GCCTGCTTGTGGACCTACTCCTCCGGATGCCCTGTTTGGAGCTTTGGGCAAGCATATGCGCCGAGTCCAATGGGCATTCGGATCCTATGCAACGCCAAGGGTCACGGGTAAGACACTTCTATTTCCCATGAGAAGATTATCTAGGCAATCAGAGCCCGTATCGGGGGTTCCAAGCCCCTAGCATCAAACCCACTAGGCCAGGAGCTGTAGGACAAACCAAGTTGGCCCAAGGGTCTGGAACCGTTTTCCATGCTACGATATTGAACGGACTGAGTTCGCCTTAACAGGGGCAGCTGAATCGCACCCGACTCAGGTCCAATTGACCTAGAACGGCCTGCCAGTGGCAGATCATGAACGATACCGCATTCCCGTTCAAGGCCGACGCGACTACGAGGAGCGCCCCTATTCACATGAGGTCATGCTGCACACTTCTTTGCCTTTGTAATTAGAACCACGACAACTAAGTTCAGCCATCTGCGCCCCTTGGGGCGTGCATGATGTCTACTGCAGAAGAATCTCCGACGCAATGCATAGAAACGCCAAAGAAGATACGGAGAAAGCAAAAGCTACGTCCGCGATGATCCCAGCCCGGACGGACCACGACAAGGCTGCAGCAAGCCATGCGGCGCTGCATACTTTTACACACAGGTCCACGTAAATCCTCAATGCAGGTGACATATTTGTGTGCCGATTATGCACGAAACTACTAGTTCGCCCCGAGGCCCGTCTTTGATCTCTGGTTCCAGCCAACCGGCGCCGCTCCCGGCTCCGCCTCGAGAGGCGTTGGCCGTCTAAGTCGACACCTTTTCGCCCGGCGACACTTTTGCGGGTTCAGTGCCCAAGCCATTCCGTCTCAAAGGGCCGAAAAAAGGCCCTTCAGGAAGTTTGGTACTAGAAAATGCGTATCCACTAATAGCTCAACAGCCTGGAAAGAGAAAGCCGATGACATCGCAATCTTGCGGAGATGCACAAACCTGCAGATGCACGAGAGAGGAGTCCGCTCCCCGCTCCCCTTAACCAGATTCTATGTAGGCTCTTCTTCTCTGGGTACCTTTTTCTATTCTTATTATTCATGTTTTGGGGCTCGTTTGTAAAGGACTTGGCAATTTGGGTATTCTTCCACGGGCCAATGGAAATATCTCCATCGCGCATCCTGCAAGGGAGGTAGATTCCCGCGTGGCCAGTGCCTCGGTCGGTCCCAGTGTCTCGGGCCACCTCGTGGCTTCTAGACCTCTGCCTCGCCGGATGCTATTACCGTTCCGAGACAACGGCAGCTAAAAGAAAAAGGCCCTGGCGAGCTTACTCGCGCGGGCCCTATACTAATCATGGTTGGTTGTTCATGGCTTGTTGTAAAAAAGGGTCCATCTTTCAATAAACGATGTCTGGTTTGCGTCTTTCGCGTGGCTCGAGATCCTGGACAACTGCCGATGATTCTCAAGCCATTTAGGCTATCACTTCGCCTTGGTTTTGCTTAGTGTGGCGCTCTGGCTGACCTTGGAAATGAATTGCTTTGTGTTGTTTCCTTCGGCTGCCTTGCCCGGCTTGCATTACAGAGCGCCGCCGCTACTCAGATAGGTCGTTGGACGTGGCAAGCATCGACGATAGAGGATCTCTGCCTAGGTAATCACGACGCTACAACGGCTAGCCTATGGGGCTCCCTTAGTGCATGGGGAGTGCTATCTCCCTCCCGAGCTTCAGAAGTAGTAGTACATGGCATCAGCATTATTCGAACGAGAAATTGTACACGGAAGCGACTCCATGGCCGACGTGGCATACGCCATCTTACACGCAATCATTTGGGTCAGCCTCTCTTTCACAAGCCAATGCGCGCTAAGAAGGGAGCTCTACACTTCACTCGCAGTTTTAGCACAGTCGACCGACCCAGCAATACGATAGTACTAAGGCTTCAGCAGCTACTTCAGTACCTACAGCTAGCAACAGCCTGCTTGCCTTGCGGCCACTTTGACTCGCGCAGCGAAATCCGACGCAGCCCCGATGCAGAAACTAGCAGTGGACGCTAGCAAGGGGGGTCCGCTAGCAAGAGAGCGCAACGCAACGCTCGCCGGGCAGCATTGAGCGCTACGTCGGAGGGAAAAAGGGCCGGTTCGTGACAGACTTGCGCAGCCTAGAAAGGCTGGCATTGGTCTTTACACTGTCAGCTGAGCATGGGGTGGAAGCTGTTGCGCGCTGGCTTGGCCCTAGCCTGATGGACGAGCCCACGATGTTCGGCGACTAGACGGACAAAGTACAGGGCTGGCAGACCCATGATAGTTATTGGCCTTTCTCTTTTTTCGTCTATTAGCGTTAAAGAGCTAGACACAAGATGCTAGTCCGTTTGGCCGTTGGGTATTATGCAGCGTGCCCCATGCGTACGTTAGTACTGTAGAGTAGGCAGAGCATGGGCCACAGGCCACGGGTACAGCATTCATCGGACGATAGCGCAGCGCATAGCTCCAAGTCAGCCCTGGAGGCTACTACTCTGTGTTTGGAGCGCCTGCGGGTGCTTACCGACTCAAACTTACTGGCTATCTAAATAGGAAAGCCGAGGTTCTGTTCTGTCATGGTAAATGAGAAGCCCTGTCGGAACCTGAGCCGTGGCAGCGGTCGCCTATGTCGATTTCAAGTTGCGGTGACGTTTGACATTCCTGGTGGGGGGTGGTGATAGATGCTGGTGAACAAGCGGACATACACTTGCATTTTCGATGCGATGCTATATGCGCAAGACAGTGATTATCAAGGTTCTGCCTTTGCAGTGAACAGCCTTGTGCCAGGGATCTGCTGCTGCCTGTAATTCGTCGGTGTACGAGTGAGCTACTTGCTGATCCAGGATGCTCAACACGGACGAGTTGTGAACGGGAGCAGAGCCGCCAATCACAGGCAGTGGCAGATATTGATAGAGTAATGAGTTTTACAGACGGTAATTACAGGTTACTCTTCGACAAGGCAAAGAAGACGAGCACAGCCAGTCTGTTGGATGACTCGCTGTTGGCAGCCATCTGCCTCCGGGTAGAGAGCTTCGTCAGGCAGCCTGGGACGTCATCTCTGGGCCCAAGTCAGATTGGCTAAGTTGGCTAACAAAGCATGGCGTCATTTCCCTTGCAACACGGCTTCCTTAATGACATATTCGGCCGCTTTGGCCGCCTCATGATGGATCAGCGCATACCACTGCAATTCTTGCAATAGCTGTCACATACCCCGCCTCCACACGGATTACGACGTACAATGTCCACTTTGCCGCGGGGCTACAAACTGTGCATATGGCACACAGTGCAACTGAACCAGGGCATTCTCCAGTTGTACCAATTTGGAATTTGCCCATGTGTCTCCTCTGGACTGTGCACGCTTTGGCTGTCCATCTGAAGTTGTGCCAAGCAAGTGCGGTGGGCTGACTTGGACGATGCTGGATGGGCGGAACGAGCATACTTGTTCTCGTTCTTCTTACGCTTTGTGTGTCTACCGGCCCATTCGATTTGGGCACAAAGAAACAAAAAGATACTCAGTTAACTACAAAATCTTTGCGCATTTCTACCTATGAAGATACAGCTCGCCGGACTATCTCGTGCAATCGGGATGTCGCGAGGTGGCATTGATCGCCGACCTTGGGCGGGCTCATCGGCAACGAGGTCGGCACGGACCACCCACTGGAAGGCCGATCTTGGCTTGCACTGCCGCCCTGGGATCGCCTAGCCAAAATTTAGGTATTTCTCTTTACGTTACGAGATGGGTGTTGCTTGAGTAATGCCAAAAACTCTATGCAGCATGACTCTCGTTGTCATCCTCGTACTGTTTTCTCGGAGTCAGGAAAGCTCGCCAGTCTCGCTACAGCCTGGTTGTGATTGGCCTTAGCACTGGTGATCCATCCTGTTCTCTCTCTCGGCAACAATAGCCTGTTCAGCATGTCAAGTATCCAAGTCGGATTATTCAGAAGCCGTCACGGTTGTCGCATCTGAGATCTTGCCATGCAACGTTCCCGTGGCCGCCTGTGCCTGTGTATTTAGTCCGTTTTTACTATGGCTCTTTTATTATTCAAGCTCGAGAGCGATCGCGTCCCCTTGTCCTTGCTCGTACGTAAGGTTACCGTTTCGTCTGGCCGCCTAGCAGGGCTGGAAGAGTGTCAAAATCGGACCATGGGATTCTTCACATACATCAACCAGCCAGCCAGCCAGCCAGCCAGCCAGTGTCACAAGGGAGAGCTCCGTAGTGCAACTTGCTAGACCTTGCCTCTACTTGAGCCTCCGTGTGAGACCAACAATATCCCTTCTTGGCGCTCGCCAAAAGATCCTGCAACCTCAAGGCCTAGGCACTAGTGGTTCCTGGGGCTGGCGCCCTGTAGCGCGCTAATCTTCGGCACTTTGAGGCGCAGAGAGACACACCACAGGGCCTGCTTGCCTTTGACAGGCGCAACAAAGAGCTCCCAGCAGCGCCCATGGACGCGCATCGTGTTTGGTTGTTTGCCTGCTACGGACAGCCCACAGCGCAGAGCGCATTGGCACGCCGATCAATCTTATTTGGACTCTGTCGCCAACTTGCGCCCACGCCCCAGGAAAAGACTAGAAATAGCCCTTGACAGCGATCCATCAAGCGCCAGAACAGGCAGGTCGCAGTGGCCCGAAAGCCGCACGGGGAGATTGCCGGCGCGCAATGGTGCCAGCGCGCGGGCAGCAGTGGGTGAGGGACATGCTATTCCAACCCAGTACAGCTTAGTCCTGTCCAGTGAATATTACACTGCTAAGAGTATTCGCTTTTTGGGGGTGGGCGGACTGCTACTGTACTATGGGGAGCGTTTTGTCCAGGTACTCATCGACGTTACTTCCCACACCTAAATGCGGAATGTACGGCGAGATCACCAAAAGCTAGGATGCCCTCTGACACTAGAACAGGCCAAAGAACAAAGAAAAAGTCAGCAGACTAAAAAGGGATTAACTCCTAGTTGCTGGTCTTGGCACGGCGCGGTCGAGGCTCCCTTTCTCATCGGGCTCCAAACTACATCTAGCCAGACAGGTAGGCAGCACGTTGCGGTCACGGTCACGGCGAACGGGCTATTTGTATCATGTTGTACATGGTCGTATATACCTTGCTAAACGCGAAAACGAAAAGGAAAATATGCTAATGCCAATGCCAATGTGTTGGTCTACTGTACAGGTGTTCCGCGGTCCTTTCTTCTTCGGGGCGGATTTCTTCTCCTCTATCCTTCTCGCTCTTCGCCGTCCCCGAAACTCAACCTTACGCCCGAGCTCGGTGGCTGCGCTTTGTCGTTTTCTTCTTCGTATGTGTGTTCTTTTTTTAAATTTTTTTAATCCTGCTGCCTAGATTTCAGCAGGGCACGCATGTCCTCGGCAACGCCTCATCGTCATCGGGGCGTGTTTAAACGCACCGCCCTAGATATTTAGCGAGTTGCGTGTGGAAGCAGTATCTCCATTGTGATAGATCATTATAGCATGTCCGACATCTGTAGGCCGAGTTAACACTTCTTTGTCTCTCTGATGGCCACTTGATGTGGCAATGGCAGTTTGGTTCACAGTCAGTCCGTAGCTTTGCAGCGCCTGTCTGTCTGTCTGTCTGTCGGCTACGTTTATGCGCTCGTAGCAAAGTAGTAGTTCTCCCAGAGGTACGCATAGTCGTCCATGATGCCGCCAATGAAGCCCGGCATACGTCTGGTGACGCCGCCCACGATGCCCTTTGTGACGTTTTCGTAAAAGGCACCGCGCATAGCCCACCAGCCCATGGCCCAGCCGCGGCGCTGCCACTCGTCTCGCTCGAGGGCCGTCATGCGCGTGCCGCCTACATCACGGAGCTGGCGAGCAGCGTACTCGACAGCCAGACCGGCAATCCACGGCGTCCATGACTTCTTGTTCTTGCTGCGCATTAGCAGCACGGCATACACCAGCGGCGCAAGGATATGCAGTACCTCAGCAGCCTGGCTTCCGCCACGCAGGCGGTTCAGCAGCTTCGTCGCCGGGCGAATGTCATCAGCTGTCAAGACCCTGCCGACCAAGTAGCCGCCGATATCTGACGAGTTAGGCAGCGAGGGCATACTCATACCCGTGCGCGGCATAGCCCAGTCCTTCTCATGCGGCGCCTTGAGCAGCGTCGAACTCGACAGATCATCCATCATCATAAACTCGCTCTGGCTCTCCGGCGTCGGCTGGCCATCCTCTGCCTCATCATCCGAGGATTCTGGAATCGGTTCGCGCTCCGGCAGCGCAGGACTAACAAGCTGCCGCGAGTTCGTTGTGCGCATGAGGAGCAGCCGACAGACGGCCTTGATAGCCTCAATGAGAACCACGACATGCCAGCGCCGCTTCTCGCCGCCGCGGCGCTTGGCGGACATTTCGCACAGGAGTTCAGTGTACATGACCATTTGCAGGACGGTCGCTATGCGGCGGTACGTCTTGGACTTGTCGGTCCAGAAGCGCGTGTAGCGCGCATGGGCGGTGCGGATGGGCGCCACGGGCAGCTTGGACACGGCGTTTTCGAGGAGGTTGTCGTGGTACATGGTGAGGAGCTGGACGCCGGAGTGGATGGACTCGGATGCGATTTCGGCATCTCGGAAGCGGCCTGTTGGGGGATCACAAAGATGTTAGCATGTGGTACGGGATAGTTTTTGAGTAGCTGCAACTGCGGGAAAAGGAGCAGAGTGTCCTAGCGAATTTTGGGTTCAACGTACCTGGGATGATGTACGTAAGACTGCGCAGGGCGCTTTCAATCTGCGATACCTGCCCGGCATTCTTGGTGATGAAGTCGCCGTACTTTTCGAGCAGCTGCGGCGGCAGCGCAAGGACCCGGCCAATCGCCGAGGCCTGCTGCCTCTTGGGGGGCAGCGTCGACGACGGCTGTTCCGGCATTTTGTGTGCTTTATTATTCTATTGGTTTGTTCGTTGCAGTCGAGTCGTGATGGGTGACAGCTCGGTAACTCCCCGCGCAGAGCTACTGAATGCTCTGCGGCCTCAATCGAACGCAGATAGCGCGCAGTTATCTTCTGTGATATTGCGTCTAGTAGGTCTCGTTGTCTTCGTACGATTTGACGATGAGTTGGATTGCCCGGTCGCTGAGGTTTGGATGAGAAATCCAGGAGCGAGGCGAGCTTGTGGTCGGCCTGTGACGCAAACCTTCTGGGGGGTTGGCGTTGCGGGTTCGTTGGTGTGGGCCGCCAAAGCCGAGGCACAAGTTCGGGTGCCGTTTTCGGCTGGGCTACCCTAGAGATGGCGTCTGATTTGAGGATAGTCGGTGTAATTTGATCAATAAAATTATAAATTAATTATTTCATGGTAAATTACACACTTATAAAGCATCCAAAGGGCATTGTATAGTATAAACCGCCACTTGGTGTATTGTGTCGTTAAAGATGTGGTACGATAGCTTCAGTCTACGGCAGCTAAGTACACTCATCCCATCACGAGTGACGGTGTACAGTTGATAAAACACGACATGGACACAAATGTGCGTTTATTTCTTTTTGTCCGCAAGTTCCAGGATGATACTCTTAAAAGACAAACAAATAAAAAAGGACAAGCCCTTCCAGGCTACGTATATCTACACCAAAAACTCCCCCGTCGTGATCTGTCGTGTTTCATCATCATAACGTTCGCTTCTACATAAGCGCAAAGCCCGCCTTCTCCAGCTCCTCGCCCACAGGCATCGTGTTGCGGCCCTGGATCGGAAACGGCCACATGGTTTCGTTCTCAATGCTCTCGGCCGCTCGCTGAATTCGTTGTAATGCGCTAACAGAGCCCCCGTGAGAGAGCACGTTGCCGCTGCCCCAGCGGCCAATAAAGTCCTCCGTCACCACGTTGGACGCAAAGAAGTTGAGGCTCGTGGAGTACGGCGCGTACGTGTTCTCCGGGTTGTACGTCTTGGGGGCCTCAATAACCTCGATATCCCACTTCTTGGCCAGGTAGCGCAGGATGTTGAGCGCCTGCTCCGCAAAGTGGTGGCACGGTACCATCTCAGTCAGGTCTTCAATACCCTGCTGTAGCGCCTTGGTTGCTTGCGGGTCGAGCTTGGCTGCCTTCTTCAGCTGCTCCTCGTCCATCATGCTCGTATTATCCGGAAGTCGTGTTGCGCCAATGGCCAGGCGCATAATGGTGGCCGTGAGCACAAAGTACGGTACAAAGGTTGGTGTCAGACGAAGAGTGTAAAGCTGCGAGTATGAAGTCAGTAGCCGCTGGATGGCGTCAGCCGCCTGTAAGCACACGTCACGCGGGGAGACTTTGGAGCCAAGGATTTGCAGCTTGATCAGCGGCCGGAATAGCAAGAGGATGGCAAAGTGATAGTACATGCTAGACAAGTGGTTAGCTTGACAAGAAACTCCCATGTATCGCATCACTGAGACATAGGTTACGTACTGGGCGAATAGAACGGCTGGTGTAAAGTTGTGGCCTAGGCGCAGCACCTCGGGTATTCGATCGTACCAGTTGAGGTACTGTGTATAAATGTTAAGTAGGACGCGCGCCGTCAACGGCTGGCCAGGCGAGTGCAGAACATAGAGCGACTTGTGGACCAGTTCGCTCAGCTCGCAGAAGCACTTGTACACGGACCGCACGTTGGACGGCTGCTCGCATGACCGCTGCAGTGGCGCGCCTATCAGAAGTCAGTATTGCGGTGTGTCGGTATGGTGGTATGTTACATATCACGTACCGTCGTCGGTATATGGTACCCAGAGCGAAGCCTCAATGTCGGCAATGATACTGGGCTTCATGGGCAGGTGGGGTATAAAGGAGCTCTGTGGGAGTGAGCCTGTTGCCAAGGACCAAGCACTACAAGTACGCATTTACAGTTAGTGAATCTGATACCATGAAATAATACCCTGGGATGGACGTCAAAACATACTGGTCGAGGGCAAACGCGCCCCAGAATGTAGCTGCTCGCACAGCCAGCTCATCGTCGTCCTCCTCATCGTGTACGTGGGTATCGTTTAGGCCCATTTCTAGGGCCAGGCGCTGGCTTTGACCGCCGTAGTACCAGCTCTCCGAGTCTCTGCCCGAGCTGGCCTCGCGAATGGCCAAGATGCCCAGCGCCTGGATGGTGGTGAGAGAGTGGTGGTCCGTCTCATTGTTGTATAAGCGGAGGGCCTCTTTGAAGAAGTGGTCTCCCGACGTGTACGGTTCGTTGGGAGACTCTCTTGTCATGGGCTGCGTCGAGAAGCGGCAGCCCAAGGCAAGCAATGCATTTACAAGCATAGGCGAGCAGAAGCGCTGGCGGCCGTTTTGAAAGTCCCGGAGGAAATGCTCCTTGCTGAGGGAGGCAAAAGTGGGGTACTCCCAGCAAAAGTACAGGGCCAGCAGATGATGGACCAAGTTGATATCCGCCGTCATATTAGTCCATGTGCCTGAAGGCTTTTGCATTTCGGCCTCACTCAAGGGACAGAGCACCTGGGCAATGCCTCTGTAGCGCGGCATTGGCTCCGACATGTGTTCCGGCCGCAGGCTGTCCGTCCAGTAGTCGTCTTGCCGCTGGGCCGCCGGATCGCGGACATCGGGCGTCCAGCTCATGGCGTCGGCTACGGAATTGCTTCGTGTGGACCCTGGTTGACTGTGAGACGACAGCGGCCACGGGCTCGATTGGCTCATCTCGCCGCGCACGCCAGGAGCTGCATGCGCGGCCATGGGGCTTATAGTGTTGGCGCTGTCGAGCTGCGCCAGGCCCGAGGGCGCGCCGTCCGGACCGTAGTCTGCAATGCTCGTGGAATCGTCGCCAATATGGCTCGCGGGAACACTGTTTGTCGCGGTGCTGGGGCCGGAAGACGCCGTGCCCAGCCAGTCGGATATCGTCTCGACGGACTGCCCATTGCGCAGGCGGGTCAGGACATCCTCGCAGAGCTTCGGGCGGACGAGTGCAGCAAATACTTGGTCACTAGAGCGTTGGCGGTACCGTAGCTGCTCGATCTCGGTGCGGAGGGTTTCTTTGGATTGGCGGATGGGGATTTCGTAGACGCATTCTACGCCCGATTGCAACTTGCATCTGCCGCATGGCTTGTTGCCATCACACTAAAAAAAACCAAACAATCAGCCGCAAGTCCAACATATGCATTAAACCGGGGTGTCTTCCCAGTACGTACCTTGGCTCTCTTCTTACGACACTCGGTGCAGGCGTTGGGCGTTACTATACCTAAGCCGCGTCTGCGCTTGGAGTTTTGGGCCGAAGCAGCCGCTGCTGGGCGGGTGGTGCCTTGTGATGTAGTAGTTCCAGGCGTGGCACCAGAGCCCGAATTAGTTTCGCTGTTGCTAGGATGGCTCTGGCCCGACGGCGTTTGGCTGTCGCGATCCTGATCCATCAGAGCGGACGGCGGCGTGAAGCTGTGATGGTCGTGGCGATAGTGAGGTTGGAGGAGGTGGAAGAGGTAGACGATGATGGCATGCTCGGTGGGGGAGGGAGGCGAAGGCGAAACGTTATTGGAGGCTGGTATTTAAAGAGAGATAGTTGCCAATGCCAAAATCATTTTTCGAAGAAAACTGAAGTGCTCGTGGTTAATGTGGTGATGCTGGGATGCGGGACATGGCCCAAGAACGCAAACAACAATGCGGGGAGGGCCTCGCCTGGAAATGTAAGCTGCTGGTATGGGGAAAAGGGAAATTGCCGGTGGTGCGGATATGGGATTGTGGTGGGATGAGGAGGAAGCAGGCTATTTGGTGATGGAAAGAGGTGCAGTCAAGGCGAATAATGAAGAATTGGTGTTTACTGCGGAATTTAGAAAGACGGGCTTGTTGATGTCTTGGAGTAGGCCGAGCTACTTTGGACGGGCACGGAAAAACGAAAAGCTTGTCTTTGTTGGTTTCGGCGGGTGCGTTGACAGTGGGCGACAGGCGGAAAACGGGTGGAGGCTAGCGGTGGTTGTTTTGTTTTAGCGGGGAGCGGTAGTGGCTGGTGGTGTTTGTATACAGTAGGTGGCAGGTATAGAATCGAGTAGAGCAGAAATAGAATACATCTTATTGGCAGCTAAGGTTGTATAATTAAATTGTATAAATCACACACAAATACGGATATACAACAACATTTTACACCACCACCAGAAACTAGAGTGTTCTGGAAAATGCCACAAACACATCCAAGTATACTGTAGCAGTCTCCCGTCGCAAACAAAACCCCGATTCACACTCTCCATCTGTGCTAATTCGCCGTATAGAACTGGAATCCGCAACAATTTCACAAACAACACTCCAATTAGCCCACAAACTACGTCATCTGCGCCGAGGGGCTCTGTTTGCTCCCCTCCACTTAGCGTCCGAAATCCCCTGCAGCTAGCTAGCTACCGCCCCAATGGCCCCCGCCAACCACAAACCAAGGCCCTGCCTCTGGCGTCATCGTGCCTTGTTTGCCAGACGTGTGCCTCCATATATGGAACCCTTGGGTCGCTCGTTCTCGTTTATGCTGCCGTCCATCGCGCCGATTGTGCTAGCTTTCCTCCGATCTCGACTTAGCCTTGGACCTTCAGGCTGTAAGTGCAGGCTGTAAGTGCTGGGTTCGGTCACCTCCTCAACGACGTCATACTGCAGACACTCGACTGATTCTTTTCGGCTATTTCACTGCAACGAATGTGCCAAGGATTCTTATATGGTGACAAATAAATAGTGCAATTTAGAGTGATAGTCCTATACAGATTGTGTCCAAAAAAGAGAAAGAAACGAGAGAGAGAGAGTGAGGTCGGTAACCAATCGAAAAATCAATACGCCTTCAACCATGGCGGCGCGTCTTGGACAGGTCCCAATGCGACGAATTTCCAACGCTAATATGCTGATGATGCTCCCCCAAACTAAACAATCAAAGAGAAAAAGAAATGGAAACAAGCCGACATATGTGTCGTACATTGCGTAAACAAGCCTGACTGTGCATAGATGGTAGCAAAGGCTGTTGCTCTGCAAACGCCATAATGTCCCAGTCTACAAAAAACAACAACGACATTTTCATCAGCCGTAAAAAAAAGTAATTCGTTAATACGCTTTGCTAGGGCTGCGCTGGCTTTTAACCGGACTGCGAGCCCTATCACTCTTGGTCGGGCTACGTCGACTCGAAGGCGTATAGTAAGCCAGCATGGGCTGGGGTTTGGGCGATGCGTCGGTATCAGAGGCGTCTTCGAGCATTGCTTGGCGCTTCATTCGAGGAGTCGCTACCGGCATCCACATTACTGAAGGGTCGTCGGGGATATTGGCCGGGCCACTGGGCTGTGGCATCGCCGGCGTCTTTGCAGACTCGTGACGGCCAAGCATCATGTTGTTACTGAAGACGCACACCACCAGAATGGCAAAGAAGAAGCCCTAGTAGAAAGTCGTTAGCATCAGCCAGCTATGTAAAGAACATTCGTTAGACGAATACATACCCATGCTTTGAAATTCATGGCGTCGGAAAATTCATTGATAATCTCGGCAATCTGCTTAACAGTCACCTTGACTCTCATAATGGCCTCTGGTCGTTGTGATAAGCAAATAGCCCATTCGTCGCAAATGGCAACAAGCGCTGGCCGGTTGTTGTCCGCACAGCCGTTGACTTGGAAGTTTCTGGCACACTCTGCAATCTTGTCCGCGAGCTCCGTGCGAGCTGCCTCGTTGGCTGTGAGAATATCGGATCGAATGGTAGAGTAAATCGTGTACGCAATACCGACAACTGTTGAAATAAAGACCAGATTGAGGAAGAGCTGAATCCATCTGTGGAGGTTGTCGGGTGCATTGGGGTGCTCATCAAGCATGTGGAAGATGGATCCAAAGAAGCCGCGCTTAACGGGAGCAGCGTCAGGGCGCTTCTTGCTTCGTGAACGGCCTCCTCGGAAAATTCGACTCGAATCAGAATCCATGCCCGACTCGTCCGAGTCTGGCTCTTGGTATCGAACCACGCTTCCGACATCCTTGTCGAGGTTATGTCTCTTTCTCTTGCGCAAGAGGCCAGCTTTAACAGGATCACGGTGAGCTCTCAGTTCGCCCTTACCAGACTTCTTTGCAAATACCGACTTTGCATATCGAGAGCTCTTGTCGATTCGCGAGGGTGACAACATACCGCCCATTGTCACGTCTCCCATGTGATCGACCTCGGGAGTGTCGTTTGGGGCATCCGACATGCCGGGACTGTCCTCGGCACCCGATGCTTCGGAGAAAATAACCTCGTCGGCTGGTCGGCGGGGTGTTGTGAAGGCTGGATTGCGAAACGGCGGTGCTGTTACCTTGCTGGCGAGCTGTGGTGTGAAAACGGAGGCTTTGGGGAGCTGTGGCAAAGGTTTCGATGAAGGGGTAGATGGGAGATTGGCGAAAGGATTCGGCCGGCTTGATGCCTTGGATGGGGAGCTAAAACCGCCTACATTCGAGTTAGATGCGTTAGAGTTTGCGCAAACCATCAAATAGCCGTTAGCACGTACCAAATCCTGTCGATGTGCCCTTTTTCGCCGCCGCGTGTGTGAACGGACTGCTGGGATCCTGAGGCCCGGAGCCTTGGTATTCCCATTCCATATGGCTTTCGTATGTCCGGGGATTCATTGTGAAATAAATATTGCCTCGTGGCCCGTGATGAGAAAAACGTCCCAGTCGAGAGATAAAGAGGCGTTGGTTGTTGACGACAAAGACAAGATGGAGTCCTGTCTGTACACAAAGGGCCCTCTTCTTTTGGCGGAAGCGTGCCCTTGCAGCTGCTTTGTCCTGAGCAACCAAAATTCCAAAGTAAACAAATCCATGTTTTGCGGGCCCATCCCTCCGAATCGAGCTGCGGCGCAGGCGTGGCGAGTGAGGGCGCGGGTGTGGGGCGCCGGCAAAACTTAGGTAAGCCAGCTTTGGTTTGCCAAACTGTCGTCGCGAACAAAGCTTTGGCTAGGCAAAAGGGTCTGTTTTATGCCAGCGTTCGTGTGACTAGGAACTTCGACTGCGGCAAACTCAGCGTGGAAGAAAAGGTGTCCTGTTGGCATCCCTGGCAACAGAAACTAGTTCAAGCATCTAAATCAACATTGACGAATAATTAATTCATCACACCTACGCAACACCCGCCGACTGTCGCATCTCTAGCACCATCGCACCAAATGTCTGATAACGAGTCACCCATTGGCTCTCCAGCCAAGGATCCCATCAACGAGGATCAGGACATGGACGCCGTGGCCGGATCTGACCACGAATCCGATGTCCTCTCCGAAATTGACGAGGATGAGTTGGATGACTACGACCCTGCGCTGGTGAACATCGAAGACCGTCCCATCGACATTGACGAAGACAACGCCCGCACGCTCAAGGCCTCGAAAAGAAAGCGAACCGATGCTAAACCACGCAAGCCTAGAGAGGGAAGAAGAGAGAAGAAACGCCGAGATGAGGATGTAGCCATGGCCGATGGCTCTGATGGGGATGCCCCTTCCAAGCCTGCCAGACGGCGAGCTGCTGCTGGTGCTGGCGCTGGCGAGCGTGCGCCCAAGGAGAAGGCATCCTCACCCGAACCCGAAAATGAAGAGAACCTCACACCAGAGCAAAGACGCAAGAGAGCTATTGATAGAGCGCTGGATTCAGCCTTGAAGAAGCCCGGTGGCGCAGGCAAGCGTCGCCGCAAGGACGAAATTGTATGTGCCTTGGCCTCTCTCCCCTCCCAAGCAGCTTGAGCAGTAGACAACTAACCTTTTTTTGACACAATAGGATTTGGAAGACGAAATCGACGAGCTGTTAGTTGATCTCAAGGTACAGATGGAAAAGGCCTGCCAGGCCGACAACGAAGCGCGTACTGCCGGAAACGCTGCCGTGCACAAGCTGAAGCTGCTCCCCCAAGTCAATGGTATTCTGAACCGCAACAACGTACAGCATGCTGTGCTTGATCCCGACACCAACTTTTTGCTGCACGTCAAGTTCTTCCTTGAGCCCCTCAACGACGGATCTCTGCCCGCCTACAATATCCAGCGCGATATCTTCACAGCGTTGACCAAGCTCAACATTGAAAAGGAAGCACTTCTCAGCAGTGGCATCGGCAAGGTTGTTCTCTTCTACACCCGCAGTAAGAAGCCCGAGCCCAACATCAAGCGCATGGCAGAGCGTCTCTTGGGAGAATGGAGCCGTCCGATCCTTAAGCGCACCGACGACTACAAGAAGCGCCACATTGAGACCCGCGACTTTGATTACCAGTATGTTTTATACCATTGTACTTACAAACTATATGAGCTACGCCCTTTACTAACACTTGTATTCTAGGGCCGCCAAGCTTGCTCAGAGACAAAAGATGGGATCGCAGTACAGCGTTCCGGACCGCTCGTCGCAGTCTGCCGCTGACATCGAGCGTGAACGTCTGCTGGCGCCTGCGCGTGTCAACAACCAGGCTCGTATGGTCAATATGCCAGCTAGCTACTCGATTGCGCCTCGCAGCACGTTTGACGGAGCCAGGGGATCGGAGCATCGCCCTCTGGGCGCCAACGGTATGGAGGCTTTCCGCAAGATGACACAAAAGAACAAGAAGAAAGGTGGCGCGTGAGGGAGCCACATGAGGGTATTACTGCTGTTACTTGCGCAAAAGCAACCCGGGATAGTCACAGGGGCTGTTATATGGCGTTTTTTGCTTTCTTTCTTCCAACATGTATTTTGTCGTTTGTTCCTTAGCACGACGTAGCTACCCCGGGTTGCCTTTCTTGGTCTTCTTTCTGTGATAATATAATTTTGGGTGTTGAACCTGGTTTTTGATACTGCGAGCGGTGTGTCTATAAAGGTTGTCCTTTGGCTGCCTCTCTTTTACACAGAATTATCCTGAGATGCTTCTACAGAATAGAATACTACATACTACTATCAAAAGCTTTCTTCATCTCATTTTGATCATCTTACGATTTCTCTTACAACTTGCAGTAATACTTGCACACACACACACATATATGCAGCAGTGGCACACACACTCAAACTGATGGTGGTAGTGGCACTCAGCAGCCACCCACATAGTAAACCTGTTAACTGGAGCCTATTGCGTCACCGGCAGGCTACGCTGACCAGTGAGACGGGCTGCTTGCTCAGTGGACGGACGGAAAATACAGCGTCCGCCCCACCGCCGTCAGCGATTCTTTCCAGCGACCCTCCCACCAAAAGGGCGGAAAAAGGGCCTGTAAATTCAGCGGGGACGGCGGGCTGGAGCCTCACGGACACAAGGGCAGGCGACGCTAACAACCACCACCAAACAAGGTCATTTTTGGGTTGCAACCAACCCAGCCAACCGCAAAGTGAGGCTAAAAAATTACCTGGTCTCTCCTACAGCTTCTTGCTCCTTTCACGCTTCCTGTCGCAATTGCATCACCGGCACCGCAGCTCCGCCCTTTGCTACACATCTTGCACAAGCGAATCATTTCCTGCTTGCATCGCCCTGCTGCTATCCCGTCAACAACAACAAAAGCTGAGCGCACGGCCGGCCGCCCTCTGAACAACCCCCCGCCTCCAAAGTTGCCCCTCTTCTCGTCCAACATCGCATCCCGCCTTGCGACGCACGCAACCTTGGCCGCCTCGACTGCAAGACAACGCCGCCATCTGCCCCGTACACAGCGACATCCCCAGCTGGTTTCCTGGGTCGCGATAGATTGGTCCAAACAGCATCTGTTGCATTGCCCGACGCTGCCGCTTTCTCACACCGTCACCGCTGAGGGGCCGTCTGATAACAAGAGCCGCCCTTTTTGCTTAGCCAAACCCAGCTTCGACGTTTACACATCCGATAAAACCAGGCGGCTTGTATAAGAAGTCACGTATACTCGGCTACCTTTATTATTTGTCGATTTCGGCATCATTGCTACTGGCATACCCTCTGCTTTCGGACCACGCGCATCATCGACTACGTGCCCAAACGATACATAGCGGATATTGCCAACCATGAACGGCGGCTCAACATCACCAATGCCAGCAGCTGGCGCAGGAAAGAGTGCCGCCGCTGCTGCGGCCGGAGCGGCACTCGCTGCATCGGACGATAAACAGAAGAAGAAGACGACTCCCGCCACCTCGCCTGCGTCTGCCAACGGAAGCGACAAGAAGAAGAAGAAGGATTCTTTGAAGCCTCTAGTAACCAATGAGGAACAGCCTGGGTACGTATATATATCGTTTGTTTCTTTGTCGACAGTTTTGTCTTGTCTTTCGTTGTTTTGTTTGATGCACGTTAGTTGGACGCTGCGCTAGCAGCGAGCATGTGATGGTGATACACCTACCATTGTGCCGAGCTCACCACCACGCCGAAAATGCAATGAGTCCAGCAGAGAGGATCAAACAGTTGGCATCTTTCTCTATTCCTTCTACCATGCAAGTGCATCACGGAGAAATATGTTACAATGGAGAAGGAAGTAGGAAAAGGACTCCTCGACTCGCCCAAGCCTTCGGGTCCAGCGGGTGGCGTGCATAGAAATGGGGTGCAAGGATGCCTTGAACCATTATGCTGCGAGTTGCACCATTTAGGCGTCGTGCAGGGAAGCAAGCAGACCAAGTGCATCTGCGCATCTGCACCGGGAAAAACGGGAGGCCCCCAAAACCGTGGTTGGGACCAGGGGTTCTTGTCGGTGAGCGTGAGCCTTGCCCGATGGTGTGTGTCTGTGTGAGTGTGGCAGTCCAACCCACCACAGATGCGAGTCCAGTGAACAATAGGGCATTGGCGAGATATCTGGTGAGAGCTGGGTTTAGTACTCGGTACCGGCTAACCAGACGTTACCTTGTGTATCCGGGTCTTTTTTTCCGGTGATGCGAGCTGCTGCTAGTGCGGCTGTTTTTGACGACATATCCGTGATGCGGCTATTGTTTGACTGCGAACCGGCTTTTGTCTTTTTCACTGCAAGCATTTCTTTTGTTTCTGTCTTTATTTCCTTGTACCTTTCTACTTTTTTTGCTTGTTCATCCTTCCATCCCCCTGCAGGCCAAGACTGGGTTCCCTCTCCCTCCCATCGTCTGGCTCTGACCTCATCAACGCCGCATCTGCCCCAGCTTCGGGCGCTAGCCGCCCACCCGCCCCTCCGCTACTGGAGCCCCCGGCAAGCCGCTACCAGCTGGGTACAGGGGATCTGCCAGCGCACCTTTGGCGGGCAGTGCAGCGATGCCTTGCCCTGTCTGCCTGCCCGGGGCCGCTGCCAAGCAACAGCTGCAGCTTCAGGTGCTGGCTGCTTGCCCCTCTACCCAAAAGCACGGTCTGCCCTGCGCAGCACAGCTTTCTTGCCATCAACACCGTCGCTACTTTGCCTTTTTCGCCGTTTTCTGTGTCGTCACGCACCCTTTGTTTGCCTTGCAATCCTTCTTCCGCCGCCTCCAACCCCGACTCGGCCAGCACTCGTCCTCATCGCCATGTGCGCAAGATGAGCTTCCTAAAGACAAGGTTCCCCTCCCCGCCCCCTCCTGCTACTGCTACTCTTCGCCCACCCCCTCCATGAAAAATAGCCGTGGTATCAACACAGGTTGTGCAAAATGTTTGGCTGCAGCTGCTGATCGCGGCCTGCCTCATCTTGTGCTTTCTGCCTATCTCTTTATCCACCCCACGTCGCCATCCCACAGCACCAGCTGCCAAAACAAGTCACAGGTCACGGCCAGCGTTGCAAAGCACCCGCGTGGTGGGCGGCCACAACCCCAAATCCGCAACGCTTACTGGCTGCGCTGCTGGTTAAGCTAGCCTGGGGGAGCCGCCCTGTGGAAACCTTTTGACGCTCTGGTCCTTTTCTGCGCGTTTCCCTGCCTGTTTCTCTTTTCTGCCCTCATCCCCGGTTTTTGCACGCGCCGTCTCTCCCGAGTTTGCTGCTGCGCTGCGCCGGTGCAATAGCTGCCTGCTCGCCTTGTTATTTCTTTGCTTCTTTTTGCCTAGTATCGCCAGTCTTTGCTAACCACGAATCTTTGTCGCGCATACAGAGCACATCAACTGGCCGCCACCATGACGGCTTCCCCCACATCGTCCTCCGTCGCCGACGACATCAACGAAAACACTGCCGATGAGGAGGATTCCGAAGACTACTGCAAGGGCGGCTACCACCCTGTCGAGATTGGCGAGAAGTTCAAGGACGGAAAATACACAGTAGTCCGCAAACTCGGCTGGGGTCACTTCTCCACCGTCTGGCTCTCGCGCGACAACACCAACGGCAAGCACGTTGCCCTCAAGGTCGTCCGATCTGCCGCACACTATACGGAGACAGCCATCGACGAGATTAAGCTCCTCAACCGCATCGTCCAGGCTAAGCCTGATCACCCCGGCCGCAAGCATGTCGTCAGCCTCCTCGACTCGTTTGAGCACAAGGGACCTCACGGAACGCACGTGTGCATGGTCTTTGAGGTTCTAGGTGAGAACTTGCTTGGATTAATCAAGAGATGGAACCATCGTGGTATCCCTATGCCACTCGTAAAGCAAATCACCAAGCAGGTGCTTCTCGGCCTCGATTACCTGCACCGTGAATGTGGCATCATTCACACCGATCTTAAGCCCGAAAACGTCCTCATTGAAATCGGCGATGTCGAGCAGATTGTTAAGAAGGTGGTCAAGAACGAAACCAACGATAAAGAGAATAACCGAAACGGCCGCAGACGCCGCAGAACCCTCATCACTGGTAGCCAGCCGCTGCCATCGCCTCTCAACGCTTCCTTCAACCATACAAATCTTTTCCCCTCCTCTACCTCACAGCCTAGCTTGGACGCTATTCTGAGCGATGGTAAGACTTTTTGTATCTCCTTCATCATCCCAGATTCCACTAACATTTTCTGTTAGGCAAAAAAGACGACTCCAAGTCAGACGAAAAGTCAGCGTATGTAACCAAGCTCCTGCCACAACTGACCAACCTTCTAACGAAAGCTTTTTTCTAGTGATATTCTTTCCCGCGAAGTATCTAGCATTTCTCTCGATAAGAACTCATCAGCATCGACTGGCGAAAAGCGCAAGGCCGAAGATGCCAACGCCTCTGATATCATCAGTGTCAAGATTGCCGACTTGGGCAACGCATGCTGGGTGAACCACCACTTTACAAACGATATTCAGACTCGCCAGTACCGCTCACCAGAAGTCATTCTGGGTTCCAAGTGGGGAGCTAGCACTGACGTCTGGAGCATGGCCGCTATGGTATGTTAAATGACGGGTTATTGCAATGCCTCTTCTTCTTGGCCGTTAACACGCAAGCAGATTTTCGAACTTATTACCGGAGACTACCTCTTCGACCCTCAGTCCGGCACCAAATACGGCAAGGATGACGATCACATTGCGCAGATTATTGAGCTGCTCGGTCCGTTCCCGCGAAGCTGCCTCAACGGTAAATGGTGCCAGGAGATCTTCAACCGCAAAGGCGAGCTGCGCAACATTCATAGACTGCGACACTGGGCACTTCCCGACGTGCTCCGCGAAAAGTACCACTTTAAGGAGGACGAGGCCAAGCGTATTGCAGCCTTTTTGACCCCGATGCTCGAGTTGATTCCAGAGAAGCGCGCCAATGCCGGCGGCATGGCTGGCCACTCGTGGCTTGACGATACAGCCGGTATGAAGGGCATCAAGATCGAAGGTCTCGAAGTTGGCGGTCTGGGCGAAGGCATAGAAGGCTGGGCAACGGAAGTGCGGAAGCGCTGATCTACTTATGAGGTCTATAAAATGATCCCAACGCTCCTTTTATAAAAACTGCCACTTCTGCCCGTCTTTTACTTTGTTCTTTTTGCAACACGAGAAATCAAACACGATATGAATGACGTCGCAAATGTCGGGTGTATCCATGAGAAAGGACTTGCTATTAGTTCGCATCGGAGTATCGCTTTTGACGGCCCCTTTTTTTGTTTGCTGGTTCTTTTTTGGTTTTGGTTAAAGGAGTAGGGAAAGGGGACGGTAGGACGACCATTTGTCTTTCTGACTCTCACTATGTTTGTTTTGCATGATAGATAGATCTTTTGTTTTTTCCTCTGGTTTCTTTGTTGGCTGCCTTTTTTTTGTCTTTGCTGCAAAATAACGCCGTCTACAATATGCAATAAATTTACACGCACCAAAGAATGAAGGGGAGCAGAATAAAGAGAAAAATCCAAATTTATACACGATACAACGATGCAAGTAGCCTTGAAAAAACACAATGAATAGAGCTATATGATGAAGATAGCAAGATGAAGTGAAGATGCAAAACGTGCGTGTCAACCTGATCAAGAAACGAAAAAAAAATACTCCTGTACTGATGCTCCCCAACTTGCCTAATAACAAAAAAGTCGTCAAAGATGAATAAGAAAAGAAGAAACCAAAACGAAGTTTTAAGAAGTTCAAGACTTGGCAGTGGAAGTTCTCTTCTTGACGGTGCCTTCTGGCTTGTCAATACCCGTGGTGCCCTCTTCGCCATCGGCCTCGACCATGACGCCGCTAACATCCTCCTCATCGTCCTCTTCCTCCACCTTTACTTTGGCATCGTCATGCTCGTCTTTAGCATCGGCCAAGACCTCGTCGATAATCTTTTGGCCTTCGTCCTCGTCGCCATTGAGCGCGTGGCACGCCATGCATCGCCACTTGCCAACCTCAGCGAGGCTCGTAGTGCCAGGAGGTGCTTGGCCATTGACGAGGCGGCATGACTGGCAGATAAGAGCAATGCGGTTCTTGGGTGACGTCTCGTCCTCGCCAAGCAACACGTCAAAGATGCGGTCGTACCAGTGCGATTCGGGGTATTGGGCGGCGCTATAGCCTGGTGGTGGTGGGCGGTTGGATGGCGAGAAGGCGTTTGGCGCAAACTCCTCGCCGGGCTCGAGCGACGGTATAGGAGCAGTATGTTGCTGTTGCTGTTGCTGTTGGTGAGGTGTTCCAGGCTGTTGCTGTTGATGCTGTTCATTATGCATTGGCGGGCGCTGGATATTCGCAGTCGGGGGAGGGGGAAGGTTGGTGCGACCAGGTTGAGGACCCTGCTTTGGGGGCTGCTTGGCCTTGTCGGTAGCCTCTTCCGTCTTCTTCTTCTTCTCGCCGCCGTATTTCTCAATCAGTTCGAGTGTTGAGTCATACTTGGTCGCATCCTTGAGCTTCTGGATCGTCTTGGCGCGCTCATCTTGGTGTGCCTTGAGGCGAGCCGTCAGGGAGTCGATGCGATACGTGTAGAATGTGGAGATGAGCTTGCGCGTGACGTAGATGCTGCGCTTGTTAGCAATTCCGGTGCATCATAAAGTTTAGATCTTGGAGAACATACATGACTGGGCCACCTGCAATAGCCCCCCATTCGTACGCGCCGAGGTTCTGGTAGCCAACGACGACAAAGACGAGGATCGAGTAAACGAGGTAGGCAAATGTGAGGTAGAGCGTCGACAGAGCTCGGAGTCGTCTTGCACGTGCGCGTGTCTTTTCGAGCTGTGCTTGTGTATCTGTAATTTTTGTCGAGAGAGTCGCTAGCGTCTTTTCGAAGGATGCAGGAGAGTTGGAGTCGCTCTATAGGATGCTCTGTTAGCTTTTGATTGTCGTCATCACAAGCAAGAAGGGAACAGCTGGCGCAAGACTCACGCTCCAAGGCCAAAAGGAAACCATGGCTGCGGTCGGGCTGGACAAGAGGAAGTGAAGAAACGAAAATAAAATAAAAAGGAGAGAAAAGAAAATGGCTTCAAAGGAGTGGAAGGACCGGCGGCATCCAGGCAACCGTTGTTGTTTGGCCGGGTTTGCAGTGACCAAGCTTTTGGTTGGTAGAAGGCGAGGCGAGTTTTGCCTGCTAAGCGAGTGGTGTGCTCCGCCGCCTGGTTGGCATGGCTGTGGGCTACTGCGCTAACAAAACACCACCACCACTCACGCTACTGCGTATACCCTGCATTGGAGGTAAACAGGGCAATGTTTAACCGTTGGCTCAACATGCGCAAGGTAAAGTAGAAGATAAATTCGCTAAATAATCTCCAAAGACTGTTTAAAGCGACCAACAAAACAAAAGGAAAAAGAAATAACAAATCGCTAGTCTTCATTTGCCCATTTGCAAAACCTGCCATCACACTCACCTCGATAACCAACTACAATGAGACAACACCACGAGGTATCACCACATCACTACGATCATCCGCTGGCCCTTCATCATCTCCATCCGTAACTGAGACTGGTGGAGTGTTTTCCCATAGAGACAATGGAGCAGAAGGAAGAGAATTTCTCCATGCCTTCTGCCCAGACCGCGCATATGGTGGATATCGAATGCGTGAGTACCGGTTGATGACCCGCCACGGGGCGGCAAAAGCGGTTGCATAAGGACCATAGTCTTGCCATATGTTTAAACGGAGCATGGTCGTCGTCATTTCAAATCCAACTGTCCAGTATGTTGGACACGACAAGCAATGGCCTGTATATACCATACCCGGGTCTCCGAAAGCCCTCTGGATAGTTCTGTAGAGCCTGGCACGAGCGGGTGTTAATATCGGCTGAACGCATTCATGAGGACAAATAGGCAATTGACCGAGCCCAAGTACGCCTACGGTGCTGTGCACGGATGTCCATAGGACCTGTGACTTCATAAGGAAGCGGTCTTGCTCCACCTTGCACCGGGCTGCGTAGCGCATCTGGGCCTCGAATGATTGTGGGTGGCCTGGGAAGACGTATCCTGAAATAAATTGTTTCGTGAGACTATGATAATGCGCAGCCTGCTCAGCGGTGAAGGCCAGAGCATCTAATTTCGAGTACTTCAGTGTCATTTGCAAGTGTCGATGAGCCAGTTGATACCCCTCCATCATCGGGTCCGTTGGGAACATAGGCCTCAACTCATCTCCATTGCAAGTAGATCTGGGGTTTAAAGGAGTGTCTTGAATACAAACTGGATGCGGCCCTCTACATGCATCGCAAATCCACACATCGAGTCGGTCTCTATAGTAGTCTGTCCACATGAAACTGGCAATCCAGATCCATGGCCGCCTGAGACGTAACGAGTTGACGGCCCTCCACGCCGTAAAGCACGAATGAGCAAAGACTTCTTGGGTATGAGGCTGCATCTGCACGACAATGTCCTCCAATATTTCCATGGGGAGGCTAAGCAGAGGAGACGGAAGGCCGCCGTTTGGTGTCACTAGGCCGATGTGATTTTGTGTAAACATTAGGAAAAATTCAAGATGGTGGGCGTGCATGCCCGGCAAAACATCCGACATGATACTCATATTCGTTGCGTGTAAATCTATACTCTATTGTTTGTTTGTAGTAGCAGAGGTTAAGGGGAGAAAATAGAAGAAAATTAAAGAACAAAAGCAAGACTTGACGGCAGACGTAAACAGAAGGAGCTAAGCTATACGGTTAGTTGTACAGTTTTACTAAGGGGTTTCTGAAATATTCAAACTACAGATGGTCAGACACGGATTAAGAAACCGAATATGAATTAACGATATATTGATTCTATTCTCTAGGAATTATCCTGCTTCATCACCACAACCGATACAAAAGAACGAGTTCGAGTTATAAGTGGGCCGTGCGCACACTGGCCATCCTCGCACTCTCCGCACGGCCCGCCAGACAGACAAGATGACGATAGTGTGGCCTTGCGCCGCTAAGCCTCCTTTGTTGCCAACAACATCGCACCACCACCAGCCTCTCAGCAATGCGCCGCTGAGCAGAAAACATAGGCAGGCCGGCTTGTATAGACAATAGAATTCTCCGCCATGTTTCAAGTAAGCCAATGCCGCCTTGTTCCCGCTGCGACCGTTCGCTAACCCTGCCTGCCAGCGCATTCGTGGCGCCATTGAGACCATTGCCGAGGAGCAGGCCAAACACCTAAAGGCTACAGAGTCAGCGGCAGCTTCTTCCAAGCCTTCCAAAGCAAAGAGTACGACTTTCGACGCTTCGGAAGCCACTGCGAACCCCGATCCGGCCGTCTTCGAAGCCGCCTTTGTCCTCGACGACAGCGACGAGCCGAGCCGCACAGCAACCCCAAAGCCAGCGTTGCCTGAGAAGGACACGAAAGGCACAGGCAAGATGAGCGGTGATAAGACAAACAGCGAGAAGGAGGTGTCTGAGAAGGATGGCGCAATGGCAGACGACTCAACCAAGCCGGCGGGTAAAGATGACGCCTCGCCAGAGCCGCCCAAGAAGGACACGGCCTCCTCCAAGCCTGCTGCTGAGCTTTCCACCGAGGTTAGACAGCGCCTCCGCAAGCTGGAAAAGCTTGAGGCTACATATCCAGGTAAATAGAGGCATTGCGTTCTCTTATGTACAGCTTGCTGACAAAATACAGAGCTCTTGCGTTCCTACCGAGTTGCACATAAGCGCGCCACGTCAATCGAGCCCTTTGAACGAGCACTGCGAGAAAATACTCCCCTGACTACAATCTCTGACCCCGCGGCCATGATTGAGTATCTCAACCAGCTCAATCTACGTGGCGACATGGTCATGGAGGAGCTGAAGCGTGTCACTGCCGAAAAGGACGGGCTAAAGAAGAAACTCGATGAATCAGACGGTGCCAAATCCAAGTTGGAGGACGAGCTAAAGAGTCTCAAGTCTGAGAGTGCGGGCAAAGAAACAGCAAAGACTGACAAGGCGAAAGCCAAAGATTCCGACGACCTCTTTTCATACGACGACGAAATCCCACAGTTGCAGGCTGAGATTGCTGCCAAGACGGACGAAATTGATACTCTTAAGACTGAAGTAACCCGTCTCAAGAAAAAGGTTTCGACAGCTGAAGAAAGCGCCGCAACCCTTACAAAGGATCTGGAAAAGGCAAAGAAGGATCTTGACACAACCAAGACTGCTTCTGCAGATGAAGAAGCTCATAAGAAGGAAGTCGCATCTTTAAACGACAAGCTTACAAAGTCCGAATCGCAGGTAAAGGATCTTGCCACTGAGCTGGAATCTACGAAAAAGGACGCTGAGAAGCTGAAACAGGTGGAGGCGAACTTGGCCACGGTCGAGAAGCGTTCTAAGGACTTGGGTGCCGAGATGGACAAGGCAAACAAGGGCAGCGATATTTCCAAGAAGCTCATTGACGAACTAAAGACACAGGTTGCCACTCTGAAATCTGAGAAGATTGAGAAGGAAAAGAAGATTGAAGATCTCGCCAAGCAGGTGGAAACCCAAGCCAGCAACACGCCGACCCCGTCGGAGCGAGACCAATCACCTGCCCCCGCGGCAGCGAATGCATCATCTGCTGGGGCGAAGAAGAAGAACAATAAGAAGAAGAAGGGCAAGGGTGGTGCCGCTGGTGCTACAACTACAGCAACCGCTGACGCAGCACCATCTGAATCTACCGAAAATGCTACTGATTCGACATCGTCAGACAAAGCTGAGCTTGAGGCTGAAATTACAAAGCTCAAGGAAGAAATCAAGGAGAAGGATGCTCTGATTGAGAAGCTTTCTAAACAACGCAAGACTGAAGAGGACTTGCGCGAAGAGATTGAGACTCTACGAGAGGATCTGCTTCATATTGGACAGGACCACGTCAACGACAAGGACAAGATCAAGACATTGCAACAGGAGAAGAAGGATCTTACAGAAAAGGTGGAAGAAATGGAGGGCAAGATTAGTGCCTCTGCTTCCAAGGCTGGAGACAGCGCCAAACTCGAAAAGGACTATGACGAGCTCAAGGATAAGTGTGCTACGCTGCAGTCTGACCTTGGTGCAGCTGAGAAGTTAGCTCAGACACGCTTTAAGGATCTTAGTGACCTCAAGGAAGTCCTGGCAAAGGCGCAACCAGAGCTGAAGACACTGCGCCAGGAGTCTGCGGAACTAAAGAAAGCCAAGGAAGAGCTTGCTAGCAAGGCCAAGGAGCTTAAAGATGTGGAGAAGAAGGAGAGGGACCTGAAGCGGGAGATTTCAACCGCCGAGAAGCTTGCATCTGATCGCGCTGGTGAAATTAAGACGCTAAAGGATAAGCTTGCATCGGAGACCAGCTCTAAGCAGAAGCTTGAAGAGACTAGCCGTATCACTGGCCGCGACTTTAGACGAGCCGAGGCAGACAAGATTGAGCTGAGCTCCAAGGCGGAGAAACTGGAACGAGAGCTGCAAAAGGTGCAAGAGGAGGCTGGCAAGCTTCGACCCAAGGTCAAGGAGCTCGAGGAGCAGATGCACAAGCTCAAGCGCGACAAGACAGCCGCGCAAGAAGATGCCGAATTCAAGACGAAACAATACAGCAATGCGCAAACACTACTCAATGGCATGCGCGACCAGACGACAGAGATGTCAGTACAGCTCAAGGAGTCCAAGTCGCAGGCAGAGTCCATCGAGGAAGAGCTTGCCGAGGTGCAGAAGCTGCTTCAAGAGCGCACTCGCGAGGGCGAAACGATGCGCAGGCTATTGTCAGATGTTGACGAGCGCGCCGAGACCAAGGTGCGCGATATGCGCAGCCGCATGGAAGCCGCCGTTGAAGAGCGCGAGCGCATCGAAGACGAGTCAAGCACTCTTGCACGCCGCAAGACGCGCGAGACGGAAGAATTCAAGCAAAAGATTCGCGAGCTAGAGCGCGAGGTCAAGAACATTACACAGGAGCGCGACGACCTCGACGACCGAAGCAAGGACTGGCGCCGCCGCCGAGAAGAGCTGGAGAGCATCGAGGCGAATGCGTCGGCCGAAGCAGAGGAGATGCGCTCGACTGTCTCGCAATTACGTACGGCGCTTGACGCCTCTGAGACACAGGTTCGGGATGGCGAGAAGCAGCGCATTGACATGCGCAAGATGCTCGATGACTCACGCCAGCGCTACGACAAGCTCGCGCGCGATCTCAAGACGACGCAGGCGAAGTTGACGTCTAGCCGCAGCTCGATGGACTCGGCGCGCAGCGCCAACGGCGGCAGTGCGCAGGACACGGCGTATCTCAAGACGATTCTGCTACAGTTTCTGGAACAAAAGGACAGCAAGCTACGAGCACAGCTGGTGCCTGTATTGGGCAAGCTGCTTGGTTTAGACGGGTATGTTTCCCCCTGTTCTATAAACGGTTTTTGGTTGAACTAACTAACTGTGTGATTTCTAGTGCGGAAGAGCAAAAGTGGATGACGGCCGTCAAGGCCATGTCGTCACGATGAGTGTAATTCGTAGATGTCTTCGACGTTTGTACAGATTAGGGGCATACAGAGACAAGGCTCGAGGGGAGCTGTGAGTCATGGCTGTTGGCGCTAAACACGGGAATTATGACGGGGCTGCTTGCTGCGGGGTAATTAGTAACTACAGTTGGCGGGGATAGATGATTACCTGATATAATATACATGTGCATATATATACAGACACTAATGTACACCGCAATCCATCCCTCGTGAACCGCGAATAGTCTCTTTATGCACACAGCCTACAGCTACCGCAATGACAGGTATGAATACAAAATCAGCAACAGCACCTGCCATGCAGCGTCTCGCAGTCCCAGAAGACATGGACGCCATTACACGGCTCCTCTGTGGCAATCCCGACGACGGCACCCTCTGGCAGTGGCCATCCTTGGCAGATGACTGGTACTGGCTATACTGCGGCATGATCCAGTGGCTCTCGACGTGCTTCCTCGACGAAACCAGAATGATCCGCGTAGCCGTGCTCCCCGCTGAGAATGGAGAGGATGCGGAACAAATTGTCGGTATGAGTATCTGGCTCAAGCGAACTGCGCAGCAAGACGGTACTATTGTCGCTGAGCCGTGGGCCAAACCATCCAGCGAGCAAGGTAGGCACATCTCCTCCTCATCCATTTACTGTACTAACACAGCACAGCCATCCACGACGTACTAGCCGCCGCAACAGCAGCCTTCAAAGCATCACATCCAGACGTACTTTCATCGGTGCCCGCCATCGCCTCTCGTAGTGCTGCCATTGAACGCAGCCGCAACAACATGCCGCCTTCACCACGACTCACCACACCCTCAATGCACCTCAATGCCATGGCTGTCTCGAAGAGCCATCAGCGGCGCGGCATCGGCAGGGCCCTTGTGGCCTGGGGCAAGACACACGGTCTGCCCATCTATGTGACGGGCGAAGAAGGCGGTCTCAAGCTCTACCGCGCGTGCGGGTTCCATGTCATTCGTGATACGCAGGTCTGGCTCAAAAGTGCGGGCGTGGATGTCGACGAAGCAGATAGCAGCGCATGGGAACGTGATCAAGGTGGGTGTTCAATGGGCGAGTGTGTGTGGGTGCCGCCACGCCAGGAATCATCAGCATCATCTCCATCAGAAGGAGGAGAAGAAGGACAAGGAACGGGGATGATTGAGATTCGTAGGGTTGCGTACAGCGCAAGCGAGTAGCAGCGCCAGACCAGGTCGGAGTGCTACCGAGAAGGCAGCAACAGCAGCAAGACTAGTTATAGAAGACACAGACAATGGTGGGCTTTATTATAAATTTATTGGCCTGAGGCTTGCCAGCTGGCGGAAGCTAAGCTTGTTCGCTCGCTCACTAGCTAATCGATTATCTTGCACCAGCACTAATCGATAACACCCCCCTCCACACCGCGGCGCCCCCCCTTGTCTAGCTCCCGCAGCACCCAAAACGGCCACTAATCCCTTCTGGATCTACAAAGCGTGGCCCGGGGAACGCCCTGTAAATCTCTGCAAGGCACCGCTTCAGCGATCGACCGGGGTGCGTGGGTGCTGGTGAGAGACACTGGGCTGGGCTTAAAAATAGAAGGATTGTGTCGTGTGTGTGTGGGCGCCTTCATTTAAGAGACGAGATGGTTTTTTGTTTTTTTGCGCTACTTGGAGTCACAATGAGCACACGCATGGAGATAAATAGTAATACTAGTAGAAAGTAGTCCAATTGAATACGAACAAAAGAGTACCGCCCAAAGAGCGCAGAAACTAAAACAGAGAAGAACAAACTCCCTGAAACCGTAAAAGCATAGCGGGTTGCGCCGCTACGTTGTCCTCGCCCAGATCAAAAAATATGACCCGTCTCCAGTAAACGTCAGTTACGACGCAGGAGAAGGCCGATGGTGAAAATATCAACAGAAGAATGGGTAAAGAGGAAGAAAAAAAACAACCAGTATATATCCCAGTCCCAAGCCCGGGTCGTCTATCGACCGCAAGGGCTGCCATTGTAAGTGAAGAGGAGCAAAACGCCAAACATGCAAGCCGTGGCCCAGTGCGTCTGTCAAGGGTAAAAAAGACAAAGGGGGGGGTCCAATAACAAGAAACAGAAAAAAGAAACCGTACCAGAAAAAAACACCGTAGGGAATATAGCTAAATGCAACGAAAGGGGTGGTTCAACGAAAACAAATCTCATGAGTGGAGTGACGTGTTAGTGGTGGTCGGTCCATGTGTCAGGACGCCGCGCGGCACGCACACCGGGGTATCTTGGTCCATTATTCCCATATGCTCCGTGGATTGCGACAATAGAAAAATGAAAGGTGAGAAGCAAGCAAAAAAAAAAAAGAAAAGCGGTGGTTTCGCTTGCTTCATGGCCAGTTTGCAGACATTAAAAAGCCTGGCCAACGTGATTCGTGTATAAGTCGTAGCGGGGTCGTAAAAAGATTGGCTTACAGGAAGCGGCGCACCCATTCAGCGTCGAGCCAGCCGACCTTCTCAAACGCAGTCCAGAGCTTGGAGGCCTTGTTGACGTCAATCTTGCAGGCCTGCTGAGCATCTGTCTTGCGGAACTCCTTTCCTGTGCGAAGGCATTGCAGGCGGCGCTCAAACATGCGGCGCTTGCTGGTCAGGTACGTAGCGCAGTCCAGGCGAAGGTTGCCGGCCAGCAGCACTTCGTCGGGGTGCAGGAGCCCAGCCTGGGGGTCATCGGACAGGTCAATAGGCTGACCCTTCCAGTCGACCTTGAGGCTGTTGGATCGCGCAGGTAGTGACGAAACAGGGGGGCAGTAATCTGGGATGGAGTTGTAGTCCTTGTCCTCGCGGTTGGGCGCCACGATGCGGCGTGAAGGCTCAGGCGTGGCACTGGTGCGCTTGACTGGTCGAGGTGCACTGAAGCTGGTGCGAGGAGCTCGGGGCTGGCTCTGTGGCTTCGATACACGCTCGGTAGGACGGTGAGTCCGGATAGGCTTGCCAGATGTAGGCTTGCTGCTGGCGGGCATGATGGCATGGTAGCGATGGGCGCCAGCCTTGCGGTCAGCCTCAAGCAGAGCACGCTCCTTGCGCAGCCATCCCATGCGGTTTGCCGAGTACTGCTTCATGACTTGTGACCTAAACGTCAAGGCGAGCTCGTAGTCTTCGCGGCGGGGCGGCTGGGTGTTTTCAAAGATGCTGCTAACACGGCGGGCGCGAACATGGTCGTCGACGATGCGCTGATGCTGCTCAATTTCGGCGCGAGCAAAGAGAGGAGGCTGAGGAGGAGAAGGAGGCGAGGATTCGTCGGCAGGATAGAGCACGGGGTCCTTGACAGTCTGGGTGGCCGGCGTCACGGGCGTCACAGCGGGCACGGCAGGCTTGGTATAAGGCGAGACGGGGGGCGACATGGGCAATGGCTCAGTAGAGGCCACAGGGCGGCCATTGATGGAGCCCATAAGGCCATTGGCACCATGAGCATTGCGATTGGCTTGACTGAAGCTGTCCAGAATTGGTTCGGGTGGTGACATGAGACTGTTGATGTTGAATTTCTTTGCTGCATCGGTTGCCCCAGTGGAGGGGGCGGCGGCAGCGCCGGGACGCTCCGCAACAACGGGGTTAGTGGACATTGTGAAGGTGGTGTGTACTTTGTCCAAGTAGCGAGGATGAAGTTGTGAGTTGTTTCGAGAAACAAAAAAAGAAGGGAAAAAAAGAGGAAGAAACCAACTCGAAAGATGCCGATTGAATCTAATTGAGTTTATCGAAAGGTGTAGAAAGTGTTGGTCATCCAACTAGGAATTCACGACAAGTGATTTGATGACTGACGTGTGGGTGGCGAAGTTGGGTGCGGATATGGTTTTTAGCGTGGGTGTGTAGTGTGCGTGGGAGTCACACGGTAGGCAGCCACCTCACTAAAATAAAAGTCAATGGAGAAAAATGCCCTGCTGCCAAAGGCGTGCGCGTTCTGTTGAGCGGGCGGAGTTGTCACCAGCCAGGCTCCGCAAGATCGCCTCGGAGATAATTGGAGTTAAAAAAGAGACAGAAAAAAAAAATAGAAGAGCAAGGTAAGGTCGGAATTTTGTATGTTCCTGGAAATATTCCTGCAGAGGTTTTGATTGGCAAGACCGGAGCAAGAAAACGGTTTGGCTTTGTCCTAAGCGGGTCGGTTGTGTGAACTGCGGATAAGGACAAGGGACCAGCTGCTCATTGAGGAAAGTCCTAGGAGATGGGAGAAAGGTCCACGGTAGTTCCAGGGAATTTCCAACGTGCGGGCTGCAATTGAACGGAACTGCAGGCAGTAGAAGAGATCCTGTTGTTGTGGTTGGTGTGCTGACACAGACGGGACTGAGTGAGTGGATGAGTGAGGCTCAGTGTGAGAGAGATGTCAGTGCGGGGAGGGTAGTGGTAGTAGCAGTAATAGATCCAACACCGGTTCTATAGGAAGCGATGAAAGAGGAGACTGAGAAGCGTTTGCTGGAGAAAGCAAATGCAACAAGAAGTCAAAATAAGGTAAATAAAGTAGGCGCAGCGGTGGTGACAATGCAGCTGCAAAGTATGTTGGCGTAGGCACTAGCTTCTGTGAGTAAGAGATAAGTCCCGGAGAAGCGGCCAGAGGAGCACAAGATAAGTCAATGGCCAGAGACGGATCCGTAGGTTTCCAATTTATGCGAAGAAAGCCTGGTGCGAGTGGGAGTTATGGTCCTTTTCTGGATATTCTTGGTGTGAGTGTTGCGCTGGTAAGAACAACACGAACAGCCTAGAGGATTGTTTGTGTTTGTATAGCAAAGGGTCAGGGCTTTGCAATTGCGGCGGGAGACTGCAGCAAAAGGGAACAAAGCAAGCGTGTGGGGAGAGGGAAATAGAAAGCAATGGCTCTTCAAACTCAGTTTGAGAAAGAGGAAGAAGGCAAAGTTTGGCGGGATTGGCTTTTTGTTGGAGTTGTGTTTCGTCCAGGAGGGAAGATGTGGGAAGAAGAAAGAGGCAGGAAGACGGCGGGTTCAAAAGGGATTCACACTCTACAGTCACAGCCCACGGTTCCCTTGAGTACATAATAAATCGACGAAGCAGGTTACAAAGCGGCGAGCAACCAAGAAGGGCGTGCGGCCAGTCTGGGTTGGAGGGGGGGCGTCCAAGGGTGTCAGTCAGTCGGTAGGTGGTAGGTAGGTAGGCACTGTAGGTACTGTAGGTGCCAGTAGGTAATACAGCACAGTAGGCGTCGGTGTCCGGTGGTGGTGGTGGTGGTGGCTGTTCTGCGACGATAGCGCAACCTTGCGCAGGGCGTGTCGTTAGACCAGATCTTGCAAAGCGGCTGGGTGGGTACTAGCCGGACTCCCCCTCCCCTCTTCGTCTTCATCAGCGTTTTCTGTGGTGCTGCTTCTGTTATTACAGAGACCGACTTTTGATTCCCAAGGCGAACCGAAAAAAGGACAAAGTGCACAGAATGCCGTCATTGTTCTTTTTTGTTCCTCAATCGGCACACAGGTGTCTCAATGCATGTGCTGCTGCTGGATTGACCTGTTCAATGCTTTCTTTCAGCTCCGTAATCGGCACAATTGGGCACGGCATATGCGTTGCCGTAGACAGCCCCGGGAGCCCTTTGCAACGCCCATGTTACAGGGCCTCCAAGCGCTAAAATAACAGTGCTACAGGCCGCTAATTCAGTATCACAGCGCCCGTCCACAGGCAACAAATTGCGCCGCCGGGGGACCCTAAAGCCGGCTGGGACTTCTCTTGCACACGCCCCCCTCAGGCCAGTCAGCTGCCGCGGCGCCTGGCCTGGTCATCAGGCACCCTTTCTATAGGCCAGTCGCCCCATCCTCCGGCGCCATGAACCATGATTCGCCCCCCAAAAATACAGACAACGTTTCTCCAGTCTAAATTAGGCACTGTCTTTGCCCTGTCTGAAACTCTACGAGGCAAGCCAGCCAGCCAGTCGGCGCCTACGATTGCTGTTGGTGGTGCTGTTGGCGGTGCTGGTGCTGGTGCTGGTGCTGCTGCCTGCAGAGCAGTTAGACAAGGTTTGTTATTTTCTAATTCTCCATTTCTTTTTTTTAATTCCTCAATGCGCTCCCAATTTGGGGCCTCCGTCTCAGGCTGCTGTTGCGTCACTGGCTCAGCCCAATTGGCTCCTTTTCGTATTCTCCCACCAAAAGCCTATACCTGGCCTGCTTTGCGCGTTCTGCCAGCCGGCGCAGCTGCCTCGCACTGCGAGTAATTACAAACAACACCACCAACCAGCTGGCTGGCACCTGGCGGCGTACGCAGAGGACCTGTCGCCCGCTGCCGCCGCTTTCTGATTGCTGCTGGCCGTTTTGGCCAAGGACCCTAACTACAGCGCCTCACGCCCCCTCCTCTTGCATCATCGCAATTCCTCCCTGCCTTCGAAACAAGCCGTAGCTTTGCGCTGTAGATGGGAAACGCACTGTGGTAATTATGATAGCGCTATCTGTCTGACACAACCCCGCCGCTGAACAATGCAATGCCCCCAAAGCCAGCCAAGTCAGCTGGTGCCAAACACCGCCTATCCTTCATTTCCTTTTCTGTTGCACTTATCAATTCACGCGCTAGCCGTTTGGTTGGTGCTGCTCCAAGATCGGACGTGACGTGACCAGCGTGCCAAAGCAGCAAAACGCTTGCTTGTGGCGGCACATGCTAGCCGCTTGTTGGCTCCCTTGAATTGCGCCTTAGCTACTCGTTCTTTGACATGAATCAACGTTGGGGGGATTCCGGACAGCCTTGCCAGATGACGACTAAAAGTCGCTGCTTGTACAGTACATGCCAATGCCTCCGTGCGTCATCACCATCAGCCCGCGCAGTGCTCGTCTGAATGAGCCTCGTTTCCGAATGGGCCGTGCTGACACGCAAGGTACCTGGCATAAGCCTGGACGGCGGCGTAACGCAACCTGGGGCACACGCAACGCCGCCCGCAACGGAGCACGATATCAGGCACAAACTCATGTTAACCTAACTAGATGCAAGTGCGACACACGGGGCCCATGCGACGACAATCGCAGACACTCGATGGAAAATGCGCTTACACCATGTCCAAACTCTGACGTCTTGCCACAGCAGCCCATACTCGTTACCCCTTTGGACATTGGACATTGCATTTTTCTGTTCTTTTTTTTTATCGGTGACTATCCTTGCTGAGCCATTTTTGCTACGCGCGCATAGTCTCGGCATCGCATCAGCAATTGCTTCGCTACACAGTACAGATAGCCCGGTAGGCCGGCGCGCTGCGACCAGGCAGGTATTAGGTGGTGGCCATGTACACTCACAAACGACCATCTTGCTGCCCAACCACTTTTCCGAATTTCTGGGTCGCGCGTATGCCTATTGGCTATTATCGCCACTTCTTCGGTCTCAACAATACCACTAACAAGGACCGAGGAAAAAAAACAGGCGAGCTAAACCCCCCCCTGCCCCTCATTCCAATTGCCCAGTAGCAAGCCAGGGAGAAATGCGCCTCGAGATGTGTTCCATCTTCTAGGCTCCGCTGTGATGCAAAGAGTACCCCTCCTTGCTCAATCGAGATGGGAGCATGAAAATTGATTGTATCGAGGCATTGGGCTTGCAATTGACTTCCATGACTCGGGTCTACAGCATGTACTGTACCAGTACGCGATATCCAAAAGCTGGCGTCGCGACAGGAGGCACAAGGTTGCGTCGCCAGTCAGTTCTCAATTCAGCCCAGCAAGATATACAACCGGAACCTAGGACGCCTGCCCAGCGCGCCGCGCCGTCACCGCTCTTGTGCAACCAAGAGCAGGGCAAGCCGTAGCCATTGGCCAATCTCCTTCGTTCCCCTCCTGCACATTCCGCCACGATTGGTCGCACGCCCCCAAACTGCTCCAGTCCAGAATGTCCTCGTGACTGCGTCACCTCTCTGCCGGTCAATGATTGTGAACCCCTCCAGGACGCCGCCCGTGAGTCACAAGATATGGGGGAGCCCAGGCAAGCGGCCCCGTTGAAAGCGGGTGCCAAACTTCCTCTCAGCCACTCACGTTACGGCAGATCAGGCTCCCTGAAGCTGGTGCTGCGAGCATAGCCGCCAACACTTTAAATGGACCATCGCTATGGGGCACGGCGCGTTGCCCTTACCGCCTATCGATACAGGATTTCCAGTGTAATCTTTCCATGCAGGATTTACATGGCCTGTCGCGCGAGATGAAAAGTCTGGAAGAGGGAAAAAGGCGTTTGAGAAAGCAAAGGTATACAGTATGCATACCTGCAGCACTGCGAATAAGCTGTACTGTCAAAATGTTTTATGTAACTCGACGCCGACTGCTTTATCCAGCCCCAGACGCAGCATCAATTGGTTGGCTGCCTCACTAAGTACCCCCAGAGCCTACATTCCCGGAACGGAAGCTGGCGCTGTGGGCGACGACATCGACCCTAACGGAGCAAGCAAGCACTCACTCACTCACTGTCTTTCGATAAAAAAAATGTACCCATGGAGAATTAAAGGGGTGTGTGGCTAATCTTGGCTCCAAACTGTCTCTAGCGATGATAAGGCGGCAGTTGCTAAGCAAATGTAACAAAACGACCTCGGACGCATCACACAAGTGTCCACACGTTACTAACGGTACGAGGCCACCAAATGCTGCCTCGACGTGTGCTGTGCCAGGCAACCTACAACGCTGGCCTTTTTGTTATTATGGATTGAAGGTTTTCCAAAAGATGTGAATTCATCACTTGCAAATGCACAAACCATTATTGCATAGTAAACGGTGAGCAATTGGCCGTCGCCAGCCGCCAACAGCATCGGATGGAGCTCGGCATGTCACTCCCTCCGATGCTCGCCAACCTCCAGGGCTACGAGACCCTCCCTCAGGACGTAGAGCCGGAGGGTACAGCAGACTTGGGCTCTTATATGTCTGTCGCTAATTGGCTGGCTCTGGTTCACCCATTGACAAATCTCGAACGAGAAAGATCCAGAATGTGGGTTACATTCTTCCGAGCTTGACCTTGAAGCGATGCGAAGCTGCGAACCATCCGTGGCTGCTTCTGCTGCTGCTGCGCGTGCAAAGATCTTGCGCTATGCTATATTCTATTACTTCTTATCGACAGGCTGAAAGAAGCACGCGCTATGCTTTGCATGGTTCCCCAGGTCATGCCCCCCCATTCGGAACATGCCCCCCCCTCCCTTTCGCTAGGACTGCGGGCTGCATTGGAATTATTGAACCCGCCACTTGCGTCGCTCATGATGCTCGATCCCGCAACGTGTGTAGTGGTGGTGGTGCTGGGCTGGACGCATTGGGACCAACTGGTACAAGATGCTCGGATTCCAAGCCGCTGCCCAGACGTTGAGTGGCGCATTACAACGCTGTAGTTTAACCCGGCGGCGCGCGTTGTGTCTGGGGAAGGTTGCCTGCGCAGGCAGATATCACTTAGAGGTCATTTGACAACGCCAGGCGGACAAGCATCTAAGACACACAGGCTGGGTTGTCTGCAACAGCCATTGTCTTATCGTGAGGTCCTCTTACACCACGTTTTACGAGCAGCTGGTCCCGGCTGTTTCTCGCAGAGGCGAGAGAAATACGGTACTATGGTAATTAACCTGCAAATACTGCTAGGTTCGTAGTTGTGGGCGAAGGACGACGCCATTCACTAATAGCATATGGGACGAGGGGATCCGCCGGCACGGGCCCCATCGTACCGTTCGCTAAGCCCCCATGCTAGAGCGTCCCGCTGCTGTAAATGGAGAGCACTAACACCAAAGTATTCGTTCAACAGAGACAGTGCCTCAATCGCAATTGTAACCAAAGCGGTACTTTTGGATGCCGTCATCTTCGCTTGCTGTTTCTTAATTCGGCATTGAGGTTAGCCGAATAGTTTGTCAACATGATGTTGGAGGAGGCCGAGCGCAATAAGCTTTTTATTCTGACAGACAATGCCAACGGGAAGCCTGCGAGGCTCTTGCAGAGATGACGGAACTTCCCACGACGGACATGGACCGTAAAGGATACGACACTGCTCCGTCAATCCGGTCGACGTCCTGCCCAATTAGGAAGAAAATCACAGGGTAGCGGCAGATTCATGTTCCTCAAGCGAAAGTTTAAGCAAGGGATGGGATATAATTCGTCGCTGGTATCGACAAAACTGGTGATGGATTGCCGCGTCGCACTGGGGGGCGTGCCAGTGGCCTATTTAGAGTTTGGTTTCAGGATGGGTGATGTTGGGCCGCCTCCTCCTACCAATCCATCTTCAGCTCCACTTGGATGAAATTGAGTTTGGTGCCCCAGAGGCTGGAAGAAATGCCCGACCGCCAGCCAAGTAAGGGTAATTCCGAGACCGTTTACGAAGTCTATTTCTGGGGGTGGGCTTGCGAGTGAGCGTGGCACCGCAGCAACTGGCCAGGCGGCTGACGAGACTTTGCGTGTGCAAGATAAAAAGGGCATAGAGCTTGTGAATTGACAATTAGCTCTCATCTGATCCGGAGCTAAGTCTGTATTCGGTGCGCCATGGCATATCATATCACGATTGGTGTTGGGTTGGTTTGCTGTGGGCGTGCGTGGCGAATGATGCTTACTACGATTACAAATGTGACAGAACACAGCAGCACCAATACGAGAGGAAAGCGAAACAGTAATTTGTAGAGACGAGGCAAATCCCTCAAGGGGGTGTACTTTTTGTAATTGTTACAGTTCAACTATCGGCGGTATTCCAGGTCAAAGGTGGACCGGATGTGACTAACACATACCCGACGGGCCGGATGCCCAAGGCATCGATGCCGCTCATGTTTGACGGATAGTAAGTGTCGTAGGCATTTGCTGCCTGCTGCTGCTAAGCTGTTGCGATGGATATCATCCCTGTTGAGCGTGAACCTCTAGACATTGTTGCCTAGGTGGTGGGATCACGGCCGCCCGGGCCGAGCCCCAATGGATGGATGCCTGGACCGTGACGCGCAAATACTTCGCGGGCATAGCCACAACAGTGCCGTCTCAATTGTCCGGCCCGGCAATTCCAGGGTGAAAAGCAGCTATGATTTTGGATATTGTATAGATTTGTATGGTGAAGAATGTTTTGGACGTAAATCATGTGAAATCGTAGACAACCAGGCTATCCCTGCCGTCGCTGGCCTCCTTGAGGACAATGACCATTTCCTCGTCAAACCCGACCCGGTTTCTGCGCTCGTCGCCATCGTCACTGTCTTGGCCGTAGTCGTCATCGGAAGCGTCATGACGTGGCTTCACCGTGACGCTTGTTCCGCCTGCGCGGCCCTCAAGCTCCCACAGGCGAATCTCGTTACCGCGCGTGCTCACGCTGACTGCCTTGCCGCGCGGCGTGATCTCTGCGTCCGATATGCCTGAGGTATGGCCCCATAGGCGGATGGCAGGTGATATGGAGAGTGATGTAGCGCTGGACGTGCACAGGTGAAGCACGAGCGTGTTGTCTGGGAGTGTGGCGAGCAGATATGGGTGGCTGTAGCAGAGTCTGGTTGGGCCGTCCCCACCACTAGTCCTTTCTTCTCTTTCTTCTTCGTCTGTACTGATGTCATTAGAAGGAAGAATAGTCGTCCTTGATGATAGAGATGTGCGTGTTTGCGACGGCAGTGTAGAGGCGATGCGAGATGTCACTGTGCCAGTGGGATGGATTGCGAGATCCTGGATGCCGATGGACCAGCCACCGACAGCGTCAAAGGTATATGCTATTGATGCGACGACCGATACGGGCGTACGGCGAATAGAAAGAGCCAGTGGCGGTCGCGTGCTATGCGACTTGAGTGATGTGAGGAGTTTAGGCGGCGGAGGAGCTGTTGTATTGGCTGCTGGTGTCGCCGCATCGCCAAACGAGTAGAGCGAGATAAAGCCCAGGCCTGTCGCTGTCAAGATGTACGGAAAGCCTGCCGCAATAGCGCTCAGTTTGCCCAAGGTGCTCTCAGGCTGGCGATGCACCAGACTCAGCTGGCGCCGCTTAATGTCCAGTCTCCAAAGGCCAAAGGTGCCATCGTGAAAGCCAATCGCAATATCCAGGGACCCGTCAGATAATCGCGCATCGTCGACGGCCAAGCAAGTCGGCCGTCCATCGTCCTGTGCCCAATCCATCTGGACAATGGCATTCTTTGTACGCAAGTCCCACGCGCGCAACCCAGACTGTCCATCCGCCGTCACGGCGAGGCCCTCGACGACCTTAACCAGCGTCTGCCACTCGAGCGTCGGATCCCGCTGCATCTCATGAACACGGACCTGCTCTACTGCACACTGGCCCTTTGCCCAATTATGCCGCAGCTTGTACTGCTTCTTCCAGTCGACAGCGTCAGCCATGTCCTGGGGCGCAATGTCGGAGGATGGCGTCGAGATGCCGCTGCGCCGGGCCGCTGCTTCCGCCCATGCTGACTTTTGCGCTGTATAAAAGAGTTTACTTGGTGATGGGTTGTCGTGGGCGAGTCGGAAGCCGGGGATGCGGTGTGCTCGGGGCAGGATGAAGCGTCTGTAGTAGTGTTCGCGCCAGAGCTGGGCGTCTGCGGTGACGGCGTGTAGGCGCTTGCAGACTAGTGCTGTCTCGAGGAGGGATCGCTCGTCGACAAAGGAGAGAATGCGGATGATGAGTTCGTCAGAGAGCTTGGCGAGGTGGTTGTGTGTGAGAGACTGGCGGATTCGTTTAGATGTGTCGGTGGGAGCAGAGCCAGACAGGCGGCGTTTCGGGGCCATTGTTGCCGTCAGGTAGGGAATAACGACGTAATATGTATGCGCTATGTGTCTCTGAAGCACGCCATTATCACAGAATGTACGTTAAAGGCCATGCTGCGAGAAATGGTGGTGGTTGAGAGTGGCGATTTCGGAAGAGCGTAGGTTGGTGGTTAGTGGCAGAACAGTGGTCGGGCGGTGTGGTCCGGCGCTAAAAGAGTGCGATTGCAGCGCTGCATCGGCTTCCCCACAGCGCATGAGGGTGCCGTTTATAGCAAGCCTTGGCAAATAAAGTTAGCTGCAGCGGATTAAAAGTGTAGACTTGGTATGATAAGAAACTACAATTGGGTATATTCGCAATGGTAAACTAAGGGAAATGCTAGACAGTAACAGGGTATTTACAAGAAAGGCTCTCTCGCCTCACGACTTTGACAATTAGAATCCAACAAGAGCAAACAGCTCGTCGTACACAGCGCCAACCCATCCATCTTGAAGACCGCCTCGCGAAACAACAGCCATGCCGCCTACACACCACGCTGCTACAGCTGCCAGTGCAACGCCCTGGATGCTAAGCCAGTGACGCTGGCGCTGGCTTCGCAACTTCTTGTTCTCGGCCAACTTCTCACTCTGCGTCCAGTCGCGCATCGACGGCGCATAGCCAAGCCACTTGGCCATGCCCCAGACCATGTGGCCGCTACCAATGGTAATGAGACCGAGATAGGCGATGCGAGCAAGCACAGGATGTCTCGCAAAGCCGTGGGCCACGTACGCGAGGCCAATGTTGGACGAGTCGCCGTCTGCAACAAGCGGTAGAATACGGTTCATAAACGCATGTGCCGAGTAGAAGACGGTAAAGGCGTAGCCAGATGCAGAGATGTAGCTAAATGTAGGCCATATCCTCACGTGGCGCGGGTCGTCTCTGCTCTTGTGCAGCGCGTACATGGAGGATGTTGAGCGGCCGTAGCGTCGGCGGTTCTGCTGCCAGCGGACGAGTCGCAACGCAATGCCGGAGCCGACGTGGGCGATGACGGGCAGGGCCACGAGGAGGGGCTCGCTGAATGTAGTCTGGTAGATTTCGCGTGTCATGAGGAGGTAGGATTCGGAGGCGGGCACGGAGCGGGTTACGGCTGGGACGAGGGAGACGTTGGCTAGGTGCAGCGATGTGAAGATGGACATGGCGTAGCTGGAGAAGCGCTGGATTCGGGAGACTATAGGAAAGAGAATTAGTTGGTTCGCCTGTCTACAAAAAGAAAAGTCGAGGTAACGCACGATAGAAGACGGAGCCATGGCCAGACCCGGGGCCGAGTGTGGTGCTGGCCAGGATGGTGCTGGCACTGCTCTCCATGCCCTCTTGCTGCGACATGTCGAGTAGCTCGAGGTCGGCATCGATGGACGGTGGCGTGTCTATGGGCGAAGGGTCGAGTTCGGTGAGGGAGATGACGGTGGTTTGCGAATCTTCGCGATAGAGCGAGGGATCCATGGCCGCGGAGGAGGGAAGGAGTTGTTGGCCTATGTGGTGGACGGCTGTGTGCTGGTGACGATTGGCGATGTAGCGAATTGGTTCTTCCACCAAGAGTTCTACTAAAGGTGAAAGATGCAAGAAAGAAAGGGAACGTAAGCAAATTAAAAAAGTCGGCGGAAACAAAATGTTGAGAGAGAAGCCAAAACGGGCACGCGGGTCGTTGAGCCGTGTGTGGGGAAGGGAGACGAGCGTGTCCTTTTTTTGAGCGGGCGTGTGGTCAGCAGCTGTCAGCGTGTATTTTACTGGCTGCCCACTGTAATTGCTACCACGCCACACTATGTTTCCTATAGCACTAGCACTACTTGCTTTTCTGCCGTTTGTCACCATCACCAACAAAACACGTCCGGTTTGTCAACACATAGAGCTAGACGTGCAATTAAAAAAAGATGCCACCGGTACTAAGAATAGACATCTAAACCATTGATACTCTATACTAACCACATCAACAGCGACACCACACGCTGCCCCCCGCGCAGACTAGCTCGGCCAGAGAGGCCCAAAAGTCCTTTTACTGCGAGCTCTGCGCAAAGGGCTACACGCGCATGAACGACTACGAAGCACATCTCAGCAGCTATGATCACAGCCACAAGCAGCGCCTCAAGGACATGAAGGCCATGGTCCGCGACTCGTCGGCCGGTGCCAGAGCGCGCAAGGCTGACGACAAGGCCGGCGGACTCTTGAGCATCAAGCTACCCAGCAGTGGAGCGGGCGCTGCAAATACCACTGCCGGTGCAGGATTCAAAAAGGGAGGTTTTAAAAAGAGCGGCTTCAAGAGCACAATGGCTCCTATTCAGGGTGCTACGGTGCCTGTTCCTCAGCCTACTCAACAACCTACTGCTGCTGCTGCTGCTGCTGCTGCTCCAGCGAAGTTGCCAATGGCTACTGACGAAAGCGACACCGAAGACGAAGGCTACGAAGTCTACGACCCTCGATACCCGACCGATTGAAGACATGTTAAAAAGAGAGATGCGATTCTTGCTTCATTCATACATCGTCACGACATAAACTACGACACTTTTCTTGGTATCAAGGCCACACCAAATCAAACACCCCCAGGAAAAAAAAAGGTTATAACGCCAAACCACTCCGACAGTATTTTTATGCTTCGCTTTACATGCCATTGCCCTGCTGCATCCATCGATACGATTCAATATTCGACAAATCAGCTTCTAGCAGACCAACCATGTTTCGGTTGCCCGAGAACCAGTCCGCAATCTGCGCCACTTGGCTGCTATTCTGCACAGATGCCGCGACATCTTGCTGCCCAGCGGCCGTGTTTGCGCCGCCGGCATTGCCCATGGTATGGTCCTCCATGGGAATCAGGCCCAGCTGGCCCATATACATTTCAAACTCGTCGCCCATGGGCACGAAGCCCTGGTCCTGTGGGTGCTGCGTCTTGGTCTCGACATAGATAGCCAACACGTCGTACATGACTTGGCACAGACGGTACAGCTTCTCCATGGCCTCGGACGAGTCGCGGGTTAGCGCTAGTGACGCGGCAAATTCCTTGAGCATCAGCATGTCTTCGGCTGATAGTGTCTCAATGACGTAGCAGAAGAGCACAAAGAAAGGCGCAAAGGGAGTGACGAGCAAGTTCCTGGGAAATCGTGCGTTAGTTAAGCGTCATTTTCATAGGGAAACGGGAAGAGATCCTACCAGTGTACATAGGTTGCTTTTGTAAAGCTCGTCAGATCAATCTTGCTCACGCAGTCATGATGGGCACGGATAGCCATACGAGCCGCATCCAGACACTCTTCGCTAAAGCGGCTTGGCGAGCCTTCGGGCGATGGAATCACACGATACGCCAGCGTTAGCGTGACGTAGAACTGCACCTCGTCGCCACGGATAAACAAGTCGACCATATCGGAGCAGTTCTTCTTCTCCATGTACTCGTATGCGCGTTTTCTCGACATGGCGGCGCGATCTTCCAATCGCAGAATGTCTTCAGCCAGTGCTCTAGCACGCGTGGCAAGCGTTGCAGGGGGACATGCCAGCGCAGCAGGACTATATCTGTAGTGTATGTTAGCAGCTGTAACTGCAATTAGACAGACAAATAGACGCTTGTTCTTACAAAAGTTCGTAAATACGGCCCTGGAGACCGCTTACTTCCACCCACATGGTAGGCACGCTGTCCGCGCCGGCTGGGCCAAAGTCGTCAAACTCAAACTCGCGGGCAATGGAGATGTCACATTCCTGGATGGACGAGGCACGGCCTAAGCGCAGACCTAGTGACTTATCTACAGTATAAATGTGCCAAAAGATGATGCGCTTGATGCGTGCAATGTGCGGTGGGTTGTCCTTGAGAGCTTCGGCACGATGGAAGCCGCCAGTAATGCAGAGCTGGGCGCCGGCTGATGCAAAGTGCCAAGCAGCTGTTGGTCGTGAGACGTCTACTGAGTAGAGACACTATAAAGCAGGATGAGTTAGTATGATATGATCGAGAACGGCCACCAGCGGTAGAAGTAGTGCTTACACCAAAGAGAAGGGCTTGCGCATTTTCCACCTTGGGAGACAGCAGCATGGGGAGATTGGCTAGAGCAGTCTCAAGGTTCGCTCGGCAGAGATGGAAGTGGGCAAGATATTCTTCACGCACGGCTGCGTCTGTTGTGTGCGAGCAGTGTTCGAGAAACAAATTGTACAGGAGAGCATTGACAATGACAAAGATGCTCTCAGAGACGTCCTCGGTTGGGAAGTACACGGTGCGGCAGATGTTGGCCACATCGGTAATGCCCGTCAACGAGCACATGATGGAAAAGAGACTGAGAGGAACAGCTACATTCAATGTTAATAACAAAACCCATTAAAAGCTTAGTACTGGATAGAGTGGAATATCATCATACCTTTGTCCTTCTTGAGGAGCTCTACAACAGTCGACATGGGCGGCAGTGAGAGTTTCGTGACGCCGCCCGGGGGAATCGGACGCTGTACAAACTTTGCCTTGAATCCCGACGTGCTCTTCTTCTGCATGGACACCAGCTGTCCAAGATTGGCAAGGGCAGCCTCCATCTTGGGATTGGGCGAGCGCAGCGACGTGCGCTTGACAGCGCGCTCGAGGAACTCACTGGCAAAGGCCGTGTGGGCAGTGAGTCCCTGGTCACCGCCAAACGAGGCTTCTTCCTCGCCGCCGCTGTCGCCATCAATGCCAGACTCACACGTCGGGGCGGAGCTGCTGCCCGTCTGGGGCGTGTGCTCAGCGCGAGACGACGATATTTCTACGGCCGTGGTCTCGCGGCTACCTCCAAACGGATGCGACAGGCCATGAAGAAGAGTCTCAATGCTTCCCAGCCGAGACTCTATCATGTCAATCTTGCGTTCACTACGATTTGGCGTTAGTATGACAGCCATTGGGTTAAGGGTGTGTAAATATCTCTCTCTTTCGGGGCTTCTACAGGGGAGGAGGGCAATGGGATATTGCAAGTATATACAAGAGGGGGCCAGGTATGGAAAGAGTAAAGTGATGGCGTATAGGTGGATATGTGATGCAAATAAATATGCTCACTTTGAGGGAGAAAGAGAAGAAGAGAGAAAAAACAGCTCAGTACGTACTATTGCGAGGAGATCAACACGCGCTGGCGGTGCTCCTTTGGTCGCTGACCGGCTCCTGTGGAAGTACATGAGCGCTTTGCCGTCCTACAATTAGAACAAGGCCAGTCTTTGTCGCAGCGAATCTAGACGCGTCCTGGTTAGCCCATTTTTTTTCTGGGTTCACGGAAGGGGTGGTGATTTGGAATGACAGATAAAAAGCGGCTCGTTGGTTCGAGGCTACTGCAGACCGCATCACGAGACATGGCTTACCTTTCTCAATCGGCATTGGTCACACTATATATGAGGGATTAGCAGGCATTTGGGATAGAGTTTTGCTTTGTTTTTTTTTTTTGTAGGAGCAGGCTCAGGGATGACGAAATATGACATGTGATGATTGGCAAAATAATAGGGGAGAACGGGGGGAAAGGTGTTTTCTTACAGCCCTTCGAGCGGATGGATCCTCGGGCACCGCGGGCCCTCCATCGATGGAATTTGTAGGCGACGATTGATGCTTTAAGGGTTGCATCTTGGCAGGCTGGGATGGTGATGAGAGGCTTCCATACACACGGTTCTAGGCTGGGCTTGGCTTGGTTTGATTTTGTGCAGATCACACAAAAGCTCTATTAGCTAGCAGCTACTGGCGAGTGAGTGAGTGGGCGTGTGAGTGAATGAGAAAAGAGGTTTTTCTGGTGATGTATTGTTGCCTTTGTGCGAGTGAGTGAGTGAGTGCAATCAGATGGAAGAAAAAGGGTTCCCATTCAACCGTTATCCATCACAGCAATCTAGCGGTACTAGTCCAAGCGACAGCAAAGTTGACTAACACTGTCGAGACAAAGCACGAGAGACACCTATGATGGTAAACGGCCCAGATCGAACGGCCAAATCGGACAATACCCTTGCAAAATGGGCACGGGCAGGGCTGTCCGTGTGTATCGAATGGTTTCTTCTTTTGGCGGGCGAGAGTGGGCGGTGGGCTGCTTTGCTGCACGCTACGCCAAACAGGATTTGTGTCTTGGGCTTCCAAACGCAGCTTGTTGCTATGTAGATGGGACGGAAGCAAAAGAACAAGGTGCTGTGCTGCTGCACAATATACGGCTGGCTCGGGCAGCCGCGGGGTTCCGCGGGTTCCGAAAACGGTGCGGAACTGCACGCCTCGCTTCCGCTCTGTGGCTCGCTACTGGCTGGGGCTGAGCCTGTGTAAGTGGGAATTTTAGGAGGGGCCGGAGGGTTACTGGAAACCTCCCGGTGGGCACGTTTACAAGAGATTGGGCATGTGTATTATTTTGGCAATGTTGCTATATGCATAGGGCTGGGCTTACCGTACCTGACCCATTTTGCGATAATTTGCATTTAATTGTTTTCCCTCATTCTTTTATAGGCTGCTCGGGGACAATTGAGGCATCTTATCTTGGCAGTTTGCGCGGACCGTAGCCTACCAATCAGAGTCACCTCGCATAGCCTCGTATGAGTCGAACTGACGACGAATGACGAGCGACCCGCGAGGTGCTACCGCTGGTAGGGAAGGCTGCTCGATCTGGTGAATGGAACGCAACCGCAAGGCTGGCGATGTCATGATGGCAGCACAGATGCCAGTTCAAAGGCAAGCTATCTGTATTTGCCTTGGCTAGGCTTGCAGAAGATGATGCTGCCGTGGGTAATGATGGCTCACCCTTCCCACGAGCACCGGAGATAGCTCACGTACCATGTGCACCCTGGCGTGAGATTGGGTTCCAACTGCCTGGTACCTAATAGTGCTGCTAGTACAGGATAGCAAGCAGCAACAAGGGAACAAAAGAAAAGATTAATGTTGGGTATGAAGATATTAATACTCCGTATAATAAAGAGAAAGGAAAGAAAGAGCTGGGGGCATGGTCTATATTTCCAACAATTCCGCAATCCGCCAGCATCACGCTCCGCATCATACTCCGGAGCTCCGTACCGGCCGGGAAGACGGCGCGGCTGGCCGCGGCCACGCGAATCCCGCAGCAAAACCCAGCAGATTCACCACTTGGTACACCTGGCACACCTGACGACTGGTGGGCAGTTGGCGCGGCTGGCGACATCGATGGAGGAGGATCCGCTGCCGAGCCTCAACACTGCCCACGTCATTTGGGGATATTTGCGCAAACAGGGCTGCGAATATTACGCTCTTAATTGGAATTGGCAACGCGGCATTTGAGTCTTCCCAACAGACTGGTCAACGGCGACAACTAGCACCAGCGATAGATTAAAAACGTGGGTGTGCTAAGCCACGCATGCCAAGCAAAGCAGAGTAAACCTTCTTCGTCTGCCAGCTGGTGCCAGCTGTCACGCCTGCCAACCGCGCTGCCACTGTAATTAATCTTGCTGTTTTTTTACCCTTTTCGGTGGACCCGGTGCCCAGATGCTAGTGTGGTGGCGGCCAGTTACTCATAGTGGAGTTGGCGCTGTATCCTAGCGGACTTAGCACGGGGCGGCCAGATTTTCCAGCGCGCCGCCTCCGTCTGTGACGCTGGAGCTTCACGTCATGGGCAGTTTGCGTGCGGTCTTCGTCTTCTTTTTCTCTTCTCCTTGCAAAACTCCACCAGATTCACAATCGTGTCTCGTATGCGCCGCAGTGCCAAAAGGGGCCTTTTTTTTTAGTTTCTTATTTTGTGGTCCCCTACCGTGTCATTGATGGCCCACGGGTGGTATCATGCCTCGTAGGGCCTGTTTGTTTTCTATTTAACTTGCATCGACATCCTCTCCCCCAGTCAATTGGGACCCTGGAGAGCCAACACCAAAATTAACAGAAGCAGAAAGCTACTGCTATCACTACCTCCTTGAAAATCATCACATTCTGTATATCCCCATCCAACCAACGAAAACACGAAACTCCCCTCACATCAGCACATCACCACCTGGCCATGGCGTCAGAAAAGTCCCTTCCAGCGGACAAGCCACCCGCTGTCTCTCTTGATGGTGCTGCAGACACCACGGAACAGCCTGTTGCTCCAGATGCAAAGGAAAAGGATAACGAAGGTGGCTTTAAAGACTTCCTGGTAAGATACATTGTCATTGGTCCCTAGGAACACTAGATTGCTAACGTTGCTTCTCCAGCGAGTCTTTCTATACAATGACGCCCTGGGCTGGGTGCTAAATGTCATTGCCATCTTGTGTATGATTGGCGCAGGCGTTGTTCTTCCGCTGATGGACGTCGTCTTTGGCGAGTTCGTCAACGTCTTTACCGACTTTGCCAGATCTGGAACCGAGAATGCTGCGGAAGTGTACCGCTCGCAAATCAACCACTTCACGTAAGTCATCTACCATGCCCATGGCGCCAATACTGACCGGCCGCTCTAACATGCGCAACAGTCTATACTTTGTCTATCTTTTCATCGGCAAGTTCGCTCTGGTATACATCTGGTCGGTGCTCATCAACATCACCGGAATCCGCGCTGTCAAGCGCCTGCGCGTCGACTTTGTCCGCAGCACTCTGCGCCAGGACATTCCCTTCTTCGACAACCCAACCACCTCCGTCTCGAGTCAGATTACCACCAATGGTAACCTCATTAGCAACGGCATCTCGGAAAAGTTTGGCATCATCATCATGTCCATGTCCACCTTCTTCGCTGCCTTCATTGTTGCCTTTGTCGTCCAGTGGAAGCTGACCCTCATCATTATTGCCATTGTCCCCGTCAACCTCGCCGTCACCATTGTCTGCGTCATCTACGACACAGTGTACGAATATGAAATGTTTGAGATTTACAGCAAGGCTGGAACCATTGCCGAAGAGGCCTTCTCCAGCATTCGCACTGCCCATGCCTTCTGGGCTTTCCCCAAGCTATCCTCGCGATTCAACAACACCCTGGCCGAAGCTCGCCGTATTGGTGACAAGAAGTCTCTCCTCTACGCTATCCTATTCCCCACCGAATTCTTCTGCGTCTTTGCCGGCTACGGCTTGGCTTTCTGGCAAGGCATGCGCATGTACACTTCGGGCGAGATCCCAAACCCAGGAACCGTTGTCACGTAAGTATTCAATTCCAAAAACAATCTCTGAATATCATCTAACAAGCCCTGTTTAGTGTCATCTTCGCCATCCTAGTCGCCGCTCAGTCTTTGACTGCCGTTACTCCCCAGTTCGTTGCCATCTCCAAGGCCACTGCGGCTGCGCAAGACTTGTTTGCCGTCATCGATAGAAAGTCTGCAGTTGACTCGCTTTCCGACAAAGGACAGACTATTGAAAACTTCACCGGCGATATCAAGCTCCGAAATGTCAAGTTTGCCTACCCTTCTCGACCCGACGTCACCATCTTGCAGGACTTTAGCATCGACATCCCGTCCGAAAAGACAACAGCGCTTGTGGGTGCCAGTGGTTCTGGAAAGAGTACGGTATTTGGCATGCTGGAGCGATGGTACCCCAAAATGGCTGGTTCTATTACTCTCGATGGCCACGAGCTGGAATCTCTCAATCTCCAGTGGCTTCGAACCAACATCAGACTTGTCCAGCAGGAACCAACATTGTTTAGCGGAACCATTTATCAGAATGTTGCTGATGGACTGGCCGGAACCGCCATGGATGAGCTTCCGGAAGACGAGAAGCGCAATTTCGTGTATGAGGCCTGCAAGTCTGCCTTTGCTCATGAATTCATCCAAGATTTGCCCAACGTAAGTACAGCCTCTCTGCAAACCAAAGAAGACTCAAGCTAACAACCTCTAGGGTTACGACACACACATTGGCGAACGCGGCGCATCCCTCAGCGGTGGTCAGAAGCAGCGAATCGTCATTGCACGCAGCATCATCTCCAACCCCAAAGTCCTCCTCCTCGATGAAGCCACCAGCGCACTCGATCCTAATGCCGAAAAAGTTGTCCAAAAGGCCCTCAACAACGTCGCCAAGGGCCGAACCATGATTGTCATTGCCCACCGTCTGTCGACCATTCGCGATGCCGACAACATCATTGTTGTCAGCAAGGGCGAGGTTGCCGAGCAAGGCACACACTCGGAACTCGTTGCATTGGACGGCAAATATGCCAAGCTGGTTTCTGCACAAGATCTCGGTAAGAAGGGCGAGTCTGTTGAAAGCGATACCGAGGGAGAAAAGATCGGTCATAACCTCGACGTCATTGCTACGGAAGCTTCTGCCTCGCCCAGTGCCGCCGTCATCATTGCCGACGAATCCACCAATTACGGTCTCGTTCACGGTCTGGCCAAAATCTTCAAAGAGCAGAGAAGTCTCTGGGTGCCTGCGTCCTGGACACTCCTTGGCTCCATTGCCGGTGGTGTTACCTATCCCGCGCTGGCCATCCTATTTGCCAAAACAATGGAGGCGTTTGAGAAGCTGGATGTCCCCAAGGTCAACTTCTTTGCTCTCATGTTCTTCATTGTCGCCATTGGAAACCTGATCGCGTACGCCGTCCTTGGCTGGCACTCCAACAACATGGCTCAGACCGTCATGCAGGTGTACCGTGGCGACACATTCGACAACATCTTGCGCCAGGACATGACATTCTTCGATAAGCCAGGCAACGGCACCGGTGCTCTTGTTTCCCGACTCTCTTCAGAGCCCACCAGCATCCAGGAGCTCCTCGCCATGAACCTTGGCATCATCATCATCACCATTGTCAACCTCTTTGCAAGTGTCGTCCTCGCCATCGCTGTTGGATGGAAGCTCGGTCTTGTTCTTAGTCTTGGCGGTCTCCCATTGCTCGTGCTTTCTGGTTACGTCCGTATTCGTCTTGAATTCAGCTTTGAAGAGGACACCGCCGTGCGCTTCTCACAGAGCAGCTCTCTCGCGTCCGAGGCCGTCATGGCAATCCGCACCGTCTCCTCGCTCGCTCTGGAGCGAGTTATCATCCAGCGCTACTCTGACGCTCTGCAAGACATTGCAACACACGCCATTGGAAGTCTTGGCTGGAAGATGTTCTTCTACTCGCTGAGTCAGTCTATCTCCTTCCTCGTCATGGGCTTGGGCTTCTGGTACGGTGGCCGCCTTGTCTCTTTTGGCGAGTACTCCACCGTGCAGTTCTACATCGTCTTCGTCTCAATCATCTTCTCGGGAGAGGCTGCCGCGCTCTTCTTCCAGTTTACAACGAGTCTTACAAAGGCTCGTGCCGCCATCAACTACATCTTCTCTGTGCGCAAGACACACATTCTTCTAGACCCTCCCGCCAAGCCAGACACCGAAGAGTCTGACGAGCCCACCAAGGGAGCCCACGTCTCATGCGACGAGGTTACCTTCTCATACGCCCAGCGACCCAACCTTAAGGTTCTCCGCGGCATCGATGTGGACATTAAGCCCGGCAAGATGGTTGCGTTTGTCGGCGCTTCTGGCTGCGGCAAGTCGACCATGATTGCTCTTTTGCAGCGCTTCTACGACCCAACCACTGGCCAGATCCGCGTCGACGATAAAGACGTGCAGGCATACGACCGCTGCGAGTACCGCAGAGAAGTGGCCCTAGTGCAGCAAGAACCCGTCCTCTATCAGGGCTCTATCCGTGAAAACATTGCTCTTGGAGTAGAGAACGGCGAGCCGTCCGAAGAGGACATCATTGACGCCTGCAAGCAGGCCAATGTCTGGGACTTTGTTTCTTCACTGCCCGAGGGTCTCAACACTGCCTGTGGCAGCCAAGGTCTGTCGCTATCCGGTGGCCAGCGCCAGCGTATTGCCATTGCTCGTGCCCTGATCCGTAAGCCGCGCCTTTTGTTGCTTGACGAAGCGACCAGTGCTCTCGATACAGAATCAGAAAAGGTTGTCAAGGAGGCGCTGGATCGCGCTGCTGCTGGGCGAACAACGATTGCCGTGGCCCATAGACTCAGCACTATCCGTGACGCAGACCTGATTGCCGTGTTTGCCAAGGGCAAGATTATCGAGCGAGGTACACATGAGGAGTTGGTGGCCCGCAAGGGCATGTATTATGAGATGGTGCTGGGCCAGTCGCTAGACAAGGAGGCATAAGCATCTCTTCCATGTCATTTTTAATATCCGTTGCATCGTTCCACTCATATATTTCTATGTACATAATTCCCGGGATGATGAACATCTCAACTTAAATAGACCAAATGTATTGGAATTCTTTAGTTTTATCTATCTCCGCTATTTTAAGAGTCCTTCTAAATAACAAAGGTCATGAGACACATGTAACTTTTCTGTATTATGCGTTTTCCAAAGACAACACCGCCTGGCTAGTCGTAGATCAATAGTGCCATTTGGGGGAGTTGGATACGGCTGTCCCTGCTTTTAAGCTCGCGCTTAGAAGTTCTTGGTCTCGCCCTCCTTGAGCTTGCCAGCATCGACGAGTCTCTTGACCTCGGCGGTCCAGACACCCTTGATCTCATCAGCAACAGTCAGGCCGTTGAGCTTGCCAGCAAGAGCGGCAATCTCATCAGGGTCAATCTTGCCCTGAACAAGCTCGACATCACCGAGGACAGCATCGATCTGAGCAGCAGAGGCATCGCCGCCAGTGGCGAAGTAGTTGGCGTCCTTGACGGAGCCCTTAAGGACACGCTTGTTCTTCTTGACAGCGTTCTTAGCAGCCTCCTTGGCCTTCTTTGCGGTCTCGCGGTCAGCCTTGGCAGCAGCTTCGGCCTCCTTAGCGGCCTGCTCCTCAGCAGCCTTCTTGGCAGCAGCCTCCTCAATGGCAGCCTTCTCAGCGGCCTCCTTTTCAAGACGCTTCTTGTTCTTGGAGGCGTTGGCTTCCTGACGGAAACGCTTGATACGCTCATCGCCGGCAGAAGCCTCGTCAAGGATCTTGCGGAGACGGGCGTTGTCCTCGGCCTTCTTCTTCTTGCGGGAGTTCTGGTTCTTGCGCTCGACGTGACGCTTGTGGTCACGGCTCTCACCGTCATCAGGGACATCCTCATCGAGGTACTCAAACGAACGCCACGAGTCGAAGTTGTAGAAGAAGTTGTAGAATTCCTCAACGTGTTCCTTGGAAGCCTCAGCATTGCCAAAGGTAGGGACGGGCTGGGTCTTAGAGAAGCGGCCCTCGGACTTGAAGACGCGGGACCACAGCTTGTAGTAGTCGCCGTTCTGGACCTGCTTCTTCGTGGGGGGCTCGACATCGGCCTCCTCATCGACGGAGTCGTACTGGCGGCGTCTGGTAGGGTCCATGAGAACCTCGTTGGCCTTCTGGATACACTTGAAGAACTGGTCGTCCTCGGTCTTGCCGGAAGCAGCCTTCTTGTCGGGGTGGTGCTTGAGGACCTTCTTGCGGTGAGCCTTCTTGATCTGGTCCTCGGTAGCCTTCCAGCGGTACTTGGAAAGACCAAGAATCTTGTAGTGGTCCTGGGTCTAAAGAGAGAAAGCAAAGATATGTTAGCAAAGGATGATCGTCTATCGAGGCATTGACCAGCTGAGATCTTGGAAATTCTATCTTACCTTCCAGTCCTTAGCCTCACGCTGAAGCATCATGGCGTCCTCGGGCTCGCTCATCTCGCTGTCCTCGGCATCCTCGATCTTCTTGGCGCTCTCCTGGGCCTGGATACGGTCATCCTCGGAAAAGGTACGCTTGTGACGGGCACGGCGGGCGTGGGCGAGGAAGTGAGGGCCAACAGGCTCGATGGTGCGCTGAGTGGCGCCGGAAAGCTGGCCAATGGCCTTGAAGTCCTTGTCGGCAGTCCAGCCGTCGGGGAGACCGGGAAGAGGCAGGTCAACCTGCGAAATAGAAGCCATTATTGCGGGTTGTTGGGCTGTGTGGTGATGATAGAAGGGGAGGAAGAAGAAGAGAAAAGCCCGCTGCTGCCACTTTTTTTTTCTGCGCTTTGCTGGCCAGCCCACGTTGGATCGACCTGTTTTTGGTGGGGCAGGATTTTTTTCGCCTGCTCTCTTCATTGTTTAGGTTTTACAGAGGACTATAGTGGTGTGCTAGCAAGTTTTAGTGGTCTTTAGTGGGGTTACAGCCGCTGTAAATCTCTTGGCTAGGCGGTCAGGGCGAGACCTGGCTGCGGAACCCGGCAGAACCGCGACTCCGTGAATTTTACTTTGAGGATGGGCATCAACTCCAGAGCATCATCATCATTTTGCTACAGCAATTGTCTACGCAACAACACTCACAATGGCTACCCAGGCATACCGAAACATTATGCGCGCCGCGCGTGTCGCCTTCAACGGTACGAACTACCAACATTGAATAGCCCCAGGCGTATGCTAGATCGAAACTGACTGGTTAAGCAGGCGATGCCCCTGTCCTCCTCGAAGCAAAGAACCAGATTCGCCAGAGCTTTCTCTCCAACGCGAAGATGGGCGCCGCTGAGCCAGCCACCGCCGAGGCCATTCAGCATGCCAACGAGGTTGCCAACTTCCTCCGAGTAAACCTCGTCCAGGGTCGCAAGATGGGAGACGCCGACAACACATACCGTGAGAATCATGGCTCTCTGCCACAGTAGACAAATTACTAACTGAGATGGTCACAGAATTACGCATTCACAAGGATACCGAGCGAGGCGATAACGATTCCATTAAGACAGCTGGTGCCGGCGTCTCCGGAGGTGGTTGCGGATGCAAATAAACATGTTACTGTATAATAGAGACTAAAACTGTATAATATGACGCCGATATGATACCCGCTAATCGAATCGCAACTTCTTTTCATGTACAAATTCATCATACTCTCCCAAACGCCTAAAAACACCATGTATGCAAATTGACAATGCTTTACTCTCCAGCCAAACTGGCGTAGTTGGGAGCGTCGGCCGCGCCAGGAGGTAGAGCAACTGCAGGTGCAGGGTTGCCACCTACGCCTAATCCACTTCCTCCTTCAATCGCCTGCTGTTGGCGCTTCTTCGCTGTTTGCTTGATGCGTGCGTCTTGAAGCATCTTGGCACGTTCGCTCTTGTCCATGTTGCCAATCGCCTTGGGCTGACCCCAGCGCACTCTCAGAGGACATCCAGCAATGACAGCTCTGCCTTGACAGGCCGCAGCAGCCTTTTCAGCTCCTTCTCTAGTTTCATAATTGACAAACGCACAATGCGACATGTGTGAGCAGACCAAGCTCTTGATCTTGCCGTGGACCTTGAAGAAATCGCGAAGCTTAAACTCAGGTAAGTCATCTTCAACGCCCGTCACAAACAGCGACATAATCTTGGTATCGGCGGGAGGAAGCCAGTCTTTAGGCGTGGGCGGGAGAGCGGATGCGCTTGGAAAGCCCTTGCCTCCAGGACGGGCTCCCATCGCCTTGGCTGCTTTGCTGTCGCGTGTACGAACAGGTCCGGGACCGCCGACGCCTGCGCCAACAGCTGAGCTGCCTCCTGTCGCATTAGCAACTTCCGATTCATCGACCTGGCGACCTTTTCTAAAGTATGGCTTGCTAGCAGCGAGCTTTCGGAGCAGCTCGCGTGCTTTGTCGTCCGTTTGCTCGTAACCTTCGGTTCCTTTGCCTTCTTCGATGAGCTTTTCGTTGTTCTGCGCATAGTATTGTCTGTTGATATCGGATTCGGGTCCAGGTGCCACCATCTTCAGTGCAGCATCACGAACGGCGATGGGCAGGCCGAAGGACAGATCGAGCATGCAGCTCTGGCAACAGTTCTTGAGTCGTGCGCATGTCAGGCAAATGTTGGTTTGTTGCTTGCGGCTTTGGGCACCTGATGATCGCCAGGCGAATACTGTAAATGGTCTCGTACACTAAACAAAAACAGTGTTAGCAATGGAACTCAACGCCAAACAGATGTCGCTATTGAACAACTTACCAATTTGCACTCGGCGCCGTAGTCCTCCTTCAGCATCTTAACATATGGGTTGTCGGGTAGGCAATTTTCGCAGACAGAAGGGAAATCTGTAGACTCCCAGCCTGCCCGGTTAAGATCTTGCTTAATTTGAGGCGGCATTATTGCGTCGTTGCAAATGCCCGATGCGATGTGTATGACGATGTCTTGAAGTGGCGTTGTCGCGATGGCTGGTGCTAGAAAAAAGTGTCGCCATGCTTTTCCTTAGCTAAGCAGATCTGAAGTGCATTATCGATAGTGGCCTCCGTCACTCCACCCCTACCAGAAACACATGCTTTTCGCTTTTTTTTACTGCCCCTCGCTCTCGCTGTAATCTGCACCTGCAGCTACTAGAACCACTGTAGCCAGGGGGCAAAAGCGGATCTACGGCAACCAGAAGCGAGCCGGCCAGCACCCTTATTTTTTCACTACAGCGGCCGCTGGTTGGTCGGATTCGTATTCGCAAACCACATACAATACATTTCACCGCCTGCCAATCTAAACACAGCCCACCCCAAATCTTGGTTCAGGCGGCTCTACAGAACCCGCGTACAGCGCCGTAGCAGCCACTCAGGGGTCGTTCTTTTCTCGCCCGCCTGGCAGAAAATAATTGAACGCGATTAGCATTCGATGGCTGCGAGTACGCTCAAGACTAGCTTAGCCAAATAAAACGTCCCACCTCCCCTTTCTTCTTAAACCTGCGCTGCTGCTCATTCTTTTGCAACTCCATCCGCATCCTCTCTCATTCTCCTCTACTCTCTAATTCTCTCTCCCCTCGAGGACCATTTCATTCAACATGGCTCCTTCTGCCACATCTAACCTCGAGCGCGAGGACCACGCCCGTGATGCCGCCTTCAACAAGGCCATGCACGGCAAGTCTGCCCAGGCCAAGGGCGGTATTGCTGCCATGTTCTCCAAGGGCGGTGACGCCAAGAAGGCTGCTGTTGACGAGTACTTCAAGCACTGGGACAACAAGCCTGCTGAGAACGAGACCGCTGAGGAGCGCGCTGTAAGTTGACTTCCCGCCCCTCTCCTGTCACCAATTGACTGCTGCGATCAATCAACTAACAACAATACGCAGGCTCGTACTGCCGAATACGCTACTCTCACCAGACAGTTAGTTTGCGCTCTCGGAATCGACTATACATACGCTACGTTCCCAATGCTAACTGCCACTCCTCTTCTAGTTACTACAACTTGGCCACTGACCTGTACGAGTACGGCTGGGGACAGTCCTTCCACTTCTGCCGTTTCTCTACCGGCGAGCCTTTCTACCAGGCCATTGCTCGTCATGAGCACTACCTTGCCCACAGCATTGGCATCAAGGAGGGCATGAAGGTCCTCGATGTCGGCTGCGGTGTTGGCGGCCCTGCCCGTGAGATTGCCAAGTTCACTGGCTGCCACGTTACCGGCCTCAACAACAACGACTACCAGATCGACCGTGCTACCCACTACGCTGCCAAGGAGGGTCTCTCCAACCAGCTCGACTTTGTCAAGGGTGACTTCATGCAAATGTCTTTCCCCGACAACACCTTCGATGCCATCTACGCGATTGAGGCTACCTGCCACGCCCCCACCCTCGAGGGCATCTACAGCGAAATCTTCCGCGTCCTCAAGCCCGGTGGTGTCTTTGGTGTCTACGAGTGGCTCATGACTGACGAGTACGACAACGACAACATCCGCCACCGTGAGATCCGTCTCGGTATCGAGCAGGGTGATGGTATCTCCAACATGTGCAAGGTCTCCGAAGGCCTTGCCGCCATCAAGGCTGCCGGCTTCGAGATGCTTCACCACGAGGATCTTGCTGACCGCCCCGACCCCTTCCCCTGGTGGTGGCCTCTGTCTGGTCAGCTCAAGTACCTCCAGAGCGCTGGTGATCTCTTCACCATTGTCCGTATGACCCACTGGGGCCGCTTCATTGCCCATGGCTTTGCTGGTCTCATGGAGACGCTTCGCCTGGCTCCCGCCGGCACCAAGAAGACTGCCGACAGCTTGGCGCTGGCCGCTGACTGCCTGGTTGCTGGTGGCCGTGACCACCTCTTCACTCCCATGTACCTCATGGTTGCCCGCAAGCCCGAATAAGTGCTGCGAGCCGCTAGGAAAGGAAATATACATGACGATGGAGTTTGTTTTTTGAAAAGAAAAGTCAAAACGCATGAATGAACGGGGAAGGCATTATCACAAAAGCACACAGCCTCGTCGGAAGGTGCAGCGCATTGCAAAACGCTCCGGTGGTGCGCAGCCGACGAGGGAAAGCAAGTTTCACGGATCACTAGACATCAGGATTCCCTATCTCTCTTTTTTTTACTCTTTTTCTTATAAGAATTCATGTAATTATAGCAACTACAACTGGCTAATCAATATTTCGACAAGAGAATTTTATTACTATTATTTCATAACTTAAGTTTGATCCTCATTAAGCTTTGCGATCGTTGCGTTTCTCGGGACACGCAGCACTGCCGCCTCTAAAATTAGATTAGCTGCGTGCCTGGTCGCGCATGGGGCTGAAGTTGCATTAGCGCCTGCTGCCAGTGCCGCCACGGGGCCCCTTAGACGGCTGTCACTGGCTTCAGAGCACTCTGAGACACAGTGGCCGAAAACAGTCAGTAGCAAAATTTCTATTCAACTAGAAAAAAATAGAATAGTATTAACCTAATTGCAAAAATACTCCGTTCCCGTAAACTTTCTAATTCGTGTGTATGTGTATATGTACAATTCTAATACGATGATGCTATCCTTGTCGCTCGTATTGAGCCATGCTGTGGCTCCCGTTGTTTAGATTCTGCTGTCAGGGCCTTTGACCAGGCCGAAAACGCATCAGTCTCTGTTTGCGAATGCCAACGAAATAAAAATAAAAACGAAATGAGAGGAATGCCCAGCGTTTGCAGTCGTACAAGCAAGGCAGCGCAATGCCAATTGGCGCAAAACAAAAAAATCAGAGACACAAGGGAGGGCGTATCAACCTTTGTTGTGGTAGTGCGCCATCTCGAGGCCAGCTCGTCGGAATCCGCACTTGATGTAGAAGCCCTCGTTGGTTTCGCTGCAGTCGAGGATTGTCTTGTAGCAGCCGACGTTCTTCGCGACGTAGTCGAGAGCCTGGATCATGCGCAGGCCGAGCTTCTTGCCCTGCTGGTCCTTGGCGACGGCGATGTCTTCGATGTGGCCGACACGACCAAGGCTGTGAATGCTGTTTGTTGTTGGTGGTTAGTTTGCAATGCTCATCAGATTCTCAAAAGTATTCGCCATTAAACGTACAACTTGCGCTCTACCATCAAAGCGCCAGTAGCAACAACAGCATGTTCCTTTCTCGCTGTGTCCTCAATGACCATGATGTAGTAGCCCTCCTGCTCGTCCATGGCGTCGTACTGCTTCTGGAAGTCCTCCTCGGTGATCTCGCCCACGGTCGTCAGCACGCGGAGGCAGTCGAGGAAGCCAGAGTTATAATCGGAGCGTCGCAGAGCGCGGAATCTGTAGCCAGGTGGCAGCTGGGCGGCGACCTCTGGGGATACGAGGTCCAAGCCAAAGAGGCCCGTCTCTTGGTCTTGCTGTTGCATGGTGTCGCCGTTTGCGTTTGTTGCGGGAGAAGAAGCTCCAATGGCTGGCGATGTCGATACGGCAGAGGCGATAGGGTAAAAATACTGCGCAAAGGAGTTGATAAGGTCGAACATGATGCAGGTGGGTGGAAACGATGACACGATAAAGAAAGCAGGTCGTAGCGCCTTAGCGTAGCGGGAAAAGGTGGTTCCAGACCAAGACGCTGCAGGGCAGTGGACTCTACAGCTGGGCACGTTGTCCAATGCGGCCCCTGCACGTGATCTCCAACTGATAGCAGCAAGCTTAGTCAACTTTTTTTTCCCAACAAGACTGCTCCAGCGGGTCCCGCCGGGAGGTGCCCGGCCGGAGCCACAGCGCTCTGCAGCGCCTGTAGCGGCGCCAACCTACCCCAAAAAAAACAGCTTGGGGGTCAGCCCAGGCCAGACGAAAAAAAAAACAGCAATCAGCTTGAAATTCCCTCTCAACCGCTGACGTCCCTTTCTTTCCTCACCTCTTTTCCATCAGCGTTCTTTAATTCCCCCCCTCGATCTCTCTCTAATTTAGCGAGCCGTCAACTCTTCCGTCGCGTCTCGAACAGGTCCAATCGCTGCGTCTCCCATTCTCGAATTTTCTCGACCTCAATTCCTCGAAACGCCCCGACCCCCTGTTCGCCATCATGTCTCGTATCCTCCGTCCTGCTACTCGCCTCGCCGCGGCCTCCAAGGCTGCTTCGACGCTTCAGACCAAGCTTGCTACTCCCACCATTGCTCAGTCTGCTCGCGCCCTCGCTGCCCGTCCCGTCTACTTTGGCGCCAATCACACCCGCTCTTACGCTGACGGCAAGGGCGTCAAGGAGTACACTGTCCGTGATGCCTTGAACGAAGCTCTGGCCGAAGAGCTCGAGCTCAACCCCAAGGTCTTCATCCTTGGTGAGGAAGTTGCTCAGTACAACGGTGCTTACAAGGTCACCAAGGGCCTCCTGGACCGCTTCGGCGAGAAGAGAGTCATTGATACCCCCATCACCGAGTCTGGTTTCTGTGGTCTTGCTGTTGGTGCTGCCCTCAGTGGCCTTCACCCTGTCGTAAGTCTTGCTCTTTTCTTTCTCTCTGCTCACCTGAGGAGGCAATTGGTACCTCTGCATGTCAATTGGCTCTCTCAGTGCTTCCGATTACGTGCTAACGCCTGTTTCAATAGTGCGAGTTCATGACCTTCAACTTCGCCATGCAGGCCATCGATCAGATCGTCAACTCCGCCGCCAAGACCCTTTACATGTCCGGTGGTATCCAGCCCTGCAACATTACCTTCCGTGGCCCTAACGGTTTCGCCGCTGGTGTCGGTGCCCAGCACTCCCAGGACTACTCTGCCTGGTACGGCAGCATTCCCGGCCTCAAGGTCGTCAGCCCCTGGTCTGCTGAGGATGCCAAGGGTCTCCTCAAGGCCGCTATCCGCGACCCCAACCCCGTCGTCGTCCTCGAGAACGAGCTGATGTACGGCCAGCACTTCCCCATGTCTGAGGCTGCCCAGAAGGACGACTTCGTCATCCCCTTCGGCAAGGCCAAGATTGAGCGCTCTGGCAAGGACCTGACCATCGTCACACTCTCTCGCTGCGTCGGCCAGTCCCTTACTGCTGCCGAGAACCTCAAGCAGAAGTACGGTGTTGACGTTGAGGTTATTAACCTGCGTTCCATCAAGCCCCTCGATCTCGACACCATTGTTGCCTCCGTCAAGAAGACCGGTCGTCTCCTGTCCGTCGAGTCTGGCTTCCCCGCTTTCGGTGTCGGTTCCGAGATCCTCGCCCTCACCATGGAGTACGCCTTCGACTACCTCCACGGCCCTGCCCAGCGTGTCACCGGCGCTGAGGTTCCTACCCCTTACGCCCAGAAGCTTGAGGAGATGAGCTTCCCTACCGAGCAGCTCATTGAGGACTGGGCCGTCAAGATGCTCCGCCTGTAAATGGGAGGTGTGTCTTGTTAATACAAAAATGATAATTATGCATTACTATAGGTGGAGAAGCGAAGAAAGAGGAAGAGTTTTGATTCCATGGACTTCCTTTTTGAGACCAGGATCTGCAGAAGGCAGATGATGGAACATCCCCCGTGTTGGCGTGACCGGCACATTCTTTGATAGAGAGGACAAAAGGAAAGGATGTGTACTTGTATTCCGTTTGTCTGTATAATCCCGACCAGAAGTTCATTATTTAATGATACGCTTTTTTTGCTGTTACTACAGCTCTACAATACCAGTCTTCCCCTTGAGTACAGTAATACGCGCGCTTGTTATATTGGTGAATGTCCTTTTACAAAATGTGTCAAGTCTATGAGTAATAGCATATTGGATTATATTTAAACCCAGGAATATTTTACAAAACATTTTTAGCAAGGTATCCCAGCTTCGTCATGGACCTCTTTTCGTAGCAACAAACCTCGAGGCGCATGAAGCTCCCCCGCCATCCAGCCTTAGGTGGGGCAGCCACCACCAAAGGCTCACCACTGATATTCTTCTTCTAGCTTTAACAACCAAGGAACCACGTCCATCTCAGCGCAGCACGTCATCCAACATGCCGAGCATAGACGAGCTCCTGCTGGAGCAAGAGGCAGATGACTGCATTGTTCGCCCGGGAGGCGGCCAGACCCAGGATATCGACGATTTAAAGCGCGAGCTTGAAGAGACTTTCTTGATGCCCTCGCCAGAATTCTCGACCGAGTGGCTCAACAGATTACAGCAGCGATGGGATTTTGAAGCGGACTACTCCTCATTATTTAGAATTGCACCAACACAGACACGAACCGTCACCCGCTTCCAACGCCATGGCCTTGAAGGTCGGGTAACAGGCTACAAGAACGTTACAGTTCCGATGAACAGCGCCACGGCCAAAAACTCGACTAGCTTCAGTCGAAAGCCCGCTAGCAGAGCCGATTTTGTTCGCGGTGCAGCTGGATTCTTCCCTTTTGCACCTGGCGGTCTTGAAGGAATCGAGGCTACCGCAGCTCTAGAGGATCAGATCCATTCCGGAGGAAAAGCCGATGCCAGTGGAGGCGGTAACAAGCTCGACCGAGTTATACAATTCACCGATGGAGGCCTCTTGCAAATTGCACCTGGTCTAACTCGTGGCATTACTTTCAAAAAGAACACAGACGAGCAACAAAAGGATGCGGAAGCTATCCAGGAAGCTCTCGAGGAGGATCCTGAGGCAGCTGAAGAGGCAGAGGACGATGGTGGAGCTCTCAAGGAAACACCAGAATTAGACGACGAGGAAGACAGTGACGATATCGACGACCTGCTCCCCGTAGAGTTCCCTTCATTAGAACCCCGCGGCGCACTAGCGAGCTCACGCGCAAAGAAGGCTGGCAAGGAATGGGCACATATGGTGGACATTCGACAAGAAATGACCAACTTTAGGGAGCTCGTACCAGACATGGCAAGAGAATGGCCCTTCGAACTTGATACGTTTCAGAAAGAAGCTGTCTATCACTTGGAAAACGGCGATTCAGTGTTCGTCGCAGCTCATACCTCTGCAGGCAAGACTGTTGTCGCAGAGTACGCTATTGCGCTAGCGGCTAAACACATGACCAAGGCCATCTATACCTCCCCCATCAAGGCTTTGAGTAACCAAAAGTTTCGCGACTTTCGTCAGACCTTTGACGAAGTTGGTATTCTTACTGGTGACGTGCAAATCGACCCTGAGGCAAGTTGTCTCATCATGACCACTGAAATTCTGCGAAGTATGCTGTACCGTGGTGCGGATTTGATTCGAGATGTCGAGTTTGTTATTTTCGACGAAGTACACTATGTCAATGACTTTGAGCGAGGTGTGGTGTGGGAGGAAGTCATCATTATGTTGCCAGAGCATATTTCGTTGATTCTGCTGTCGGCTACAGTGCCCAATACACACGAGTTTGCTTCTTGGGTAGGAAGAACAAAACAAAGAGACATTTATGTCATTTCGACCGCAAAGAGACCTGTTCCCCTTGAACATTACCTCTGGGCTGGTAAGGAGATGCACAAGATTGTTGATTCAGAAAAGCGTTTTATCGAAAAGGGATGGAAAGATGCCCACGCTGCGGTGCAGAGCAAAGAAAAGCCCGCTGGCCAAAGCACAGTTGCCACACGCGGAGGCAATCCCCGAGGAGGAGGTCGAGGCGGCCAGCAGCAGCGTGGAGGACAGCAGCAAAGAGGTGGTCGTGGAGGTGGCCAACAGCAGAGAGGTCGTGGCGGACCCCCTCGCGCCAGCCATGCTCCAGGACACATGGGCCGTGGAGGACGTGGAGGTGGATTCTCCTCTGCTGCCCAAGACAAGAATGTCTGGGTTCATCTTGTGCAGCACCTGAAGAAGCAAACGCTTTTGCCTGCGTGTATCTTTGTGTTTTCCAAGAAGCGTTGCGAGGAGAATGCTGATGCGCTTAGCAACCAAGATTTCTGCAATGCAACGGAGAAGAGTCACATCCACATGATCATTGAGCGCTCTATTGCAAGACTCAAGCCGGAAGATCGCCAATTGCCTCAGATTATCCGCCTGCGAGAACTTCTCAGCAGAGGTATTGCCGTGCATCACGGTGGTCTCTTGCCTATTGTGAAGGAAATGGTAGAGATCCTCTTTGCCCAAACCTTGGTCAAGGTGCTCTTTGCTACCGAGACATTCGCCATGGGTCTCAACCTGCCAACCCGTACTGTCGTCTTCTCAGGCTTCCGAAAGCATGATGGCCAGTCATTCCGCAATCTCCTGCCTGGTGAATACACACAGATGGCCGGACGAGCTGGTCGTCGTGGTTTGGATAAGGTTGGCTCTGTCATCATTGTGCCTCATGGCAACGACGATGTGCCACCCGTTACCGATCTGCGCAACATGATCTTGGGTGAGCCATCGAAGCTTCGTTCGCAGTTCAGGTTGACCTACAACATGATTCTGAACCTGCTGCGAGTGGAGGCTCTCAAGATTGAGGAAATGATTAAGCGCAGTTTCTCAGAACATGCAACACAGGCTCTACTCCCCGAACACGAGAATGATGTCAAGGTGGCGCAAGCTGATTTGGCCAAGGTCAAGCGCGAGTCTTGCAAAGTGTGCGATGAAGTGGTGGACAAGTGCCATCAAGCTGCGCAAGATTATAGACAACTGACTCTGGAGCTCTACAAGGGACTGTTGCGAATCACAATTGGACGCCGCATGTTCCAGAGAGAACGACTCATTGTTTTCAACTGGGAAGGTATCCGAACTGTCGGTATTCTGTTGACGGAGGGTGTGAGCCCGCAGAGCTCAATTGAGGACCCTACGCTGCATGTCTGCGCCCTTAAGACGATTAGAGATCGCCGCGATGCGACGGATCAACTTCCATTCCTACCGGGTTTCCGCAAGTACCTGCAAAGACTGCCAACCGGTAAGCGACGCATGCAGACCAAGGCGCTGCATGTACCGCTGAGCGATGTAGAGTGCTTGACGCGCTGGGTCTTGAAAGGAACAGTCCCCGAGATTTTGAAGCGCGGTTCAGCGTACGCTCAGGCGATGGAGAAGCTCGAGGATGTTTGTTCAGCGTGGGATGACCGCTGGGATGAAGTCGACATGGGCAAGATCAAGAGCATGCAGCTACAAGAGCTTGTTGAGAAGCGGGCGGATCTGGTTAAGGAAATCTCCAAGTCTCCCGCGACCAAGTGTCCCCAGTTCTTGAAACACGTGAGTTTTCTTTTCGCTTGTTGCTATGTTAACATATCTTACTAACAACGTCTTTAGTTTGCAATGTGCCACGATGAGTGGCTTATCAAGGAACACATTTCACTTCTGAAGCAGTCTCTGTCGGATCAGAACCTCCAGTTGCTACCGGATTACGAACAGCGAGTGCAAGTCCTCAAGGAGCTTGATTTCATTGACGATGCGACCAGAATCCAGCTCAAGGGCAAGGTGGCCTGTGAAGTGCACTCTGGAGACGAGCTTGTACTAACAGAACTTATTCTTGACAATGTCTTGGCGGATTTCGAGCCCGCCGAGATTGCGGCCTTGCTCTCGGCGTTTGTTTTCCAAGAAAAGACCATGGTTGAGCCGGTCCTGACTGGTAACCTCGAGCGTGGCCGAGATATCATTGTTGCTATTTCTGAAAAGGTCAACGACGTGCAAACTCGTCTACAAGTCATCCAGTCGTCGGACGATTCGAATGACTTTGTCTCACGACCACGATTCGGCCTCATGGAGGTTGTTTACGAATGGGCACGAGGCATGAGCTTCAAGAATATCACTGGGCTTACAGACGTGCTGGAGGGCACGATTGTGCGCACAATCACACGTCTTGACGAAACATGTCGCGAGGTCAAGAATGCTGCACGACTGGTTGGTGATCCGGAGCTGTATCAAAAGATGCAGCAGGCTCAAGAGATGATTAAGCGAGACATTACGGCTGTGGCCAGTTTATACATGTAAATGAGGGGAAGAAAGGCGTGATGAACTTGTATTTACGATTACTTGTGTTTATATAGCATTTTGCCTAGCTACTAGAAACCACTATAACGATACAACAGAAAGCATTATAGATTTATTTTACGAAAATTAGGACAATATATAAGTTTCAAGTATTTTGTATGTATTCTGTGTATAACCAGTCTACTTGATATCAACATTGATGTGTATCGCGTGGTCATGCAAGAAGGTAGTGCCACTTCAACCAGCCGCTGTAAACCAATCAGAGGAAAGAGTAATGAAAAACAGCCCATCCGAACGCCGAACAATGGAGTTAAAAAGTCATAACAACCCAATCTCTTATATGTAAACTCGTTTGCGCCCATCACCACAACCTAGTGGGAGTCTTTATGCGCGAAGAGCACGGAGTCTCTGCTGCAGCTTGTCCTCCTCCTCAGCCGACGGCTCGCTAGTCTGCGGCTCGACAGCAGACGGAGTCGCCTGGTTAAGCTCCTGAGTGAGCTCGATGCCCGCATCATCAGCAAGCTTTCCAAGCAGCTCGTGGACAGCATCCTCGCCGACCTGGGTCGAGGTAGACTGTGTGATGGCGTCCTGGTAGATGCCGTTGGACATGGCGTACTCTTCGTTCTGTTGCTTGAACTGCTCGAGCGTTGTGAGGGTCTTTTCGGGGTTCGTGTTGCGCTGGGCGACGTTCATGACCTTGGACGATGAGGCCATCATGTGCGTCATGCGGTTCATGGCGTTGTTGGCCTGGATCTGCGCTGCAGACAGCTCGGCCATGTCGGCCATCTGGTCCATCTGCTGCGCGAGGGCCTGCTTGGAGAGCAGCATCTTGGCCTTTTGATATGCCTTTTGCGTCTCGCCCTTTTTCAGGAGGTCCTGGATCTGCTTCTTGAGGATCGGGTCCTGCTTCGCGGCCTTTGTTGCTTCGCGGCGGGCCTGCTTGGCTTGGAAGCGGGCCTGGAATTCGACTTGCATGTCGCGGGCGAGTTGTCGATTGGACATGATGGGCAGTTTCGTCTAGAGAATAGGAGAGCTGTATAGTTGATGGTTCGTCGAAGCGAGGATTAGAGATTTCGTTGGTTGGTGATGTTGAAGGAAAGACGCAAGTTTCGTTCGGCGGTGCCGTCGTCGTCATGTGCACAGCCAGCCGCTGTCTGTTCTTTTGGCGGGGCAAGTTGAGTGACGCACGCAGAAAACGCTCGCTGGTGCTTCGCCACACGCTGGACGCCACGCTTCTGGGGGAAGATGTGGCGGGGCTCTTACGTGCAGCAACATTGACGTACTTGACTGCATCACAGCAAATGTTCTTATTTTTATTGCTGTTTTTTGAGGATCTTCGTCTTATTGAAAACATTTAATGCGACAAATTGTTGCACGATTCGCCAGAATGTCCGTCACCACAAACCTCAACGTGCAAACGTTCCCCCGCCCGCCACGCCTGGAGAAGATCGGCCGACATCTCCAAATCAAGTTCCATGACCAGCTCGTTGTCGATACAAAGGATGCATACTGGGTGCTTGAGACACACCATCCACCAAGTTTGTAACATCTAATTAGTCATAGAAAGAAAAAAAGGGCTGACTGATCTTCCTCCCTGCAGCATACTACATTCCTCCCGACGCGGTCAAGGTCCCGCTGGAAAAGACAAGCCGCCAGAGCTACTGCGAATGGAAAGGAATGGCCGCCTACTACAGTCTCACAGTTGGCGACGACAAGGTGTCCAATCGCATCTGGGCCTACCCGCAGCCAACCAAGGGCTTCCTCCCTATCCGCGACTACCTCTCCTTCTACGCGGATCCCTGGGACTGCTATGTCGACGGCGAAAAGGTCGAGGCTCAGCCCGGCGACTTTTACGGCGGCTGGGTGACAAAGGACGTTACAGGCATTGTCAAGGGAAGAAATGGAAACTGGGATCCCGTGGTTTGATTGGTTTTTCTATAACTACTATAGAGTTTCCACAGACGACGCGGCGCCAGGCACCCAGTTAGTAGGCAACACAGGTTTGATCGACCTGTAAGACACGGTTAGCCAAATCCCAGGGTAATTTGACCCAAAAGGCTTGAATGTTATTACACAGTTTAGGCGCATGTTGGGGCAACATTCAAAGAGACGGTAGTCGCATCGGCCGCCGGCCTCACTGCACATGGGACGACGTTCAAAGACGTCGCTGGCCGTGATGAGGCTAGCCATGAGACCGAGGACAGCAAAGGTGATTCTCATTGTGTATAGTGGATATATCTTGACAGAGTACAAATATCTACAGCAAAATCGCACAGGTTCTCAAGCGCAGCATGCGCAGGCTTTTATAGACGCGCCGGCAGCTACTCCCCCAAAGACAGCCTCAGCTGCCGCCTCGATTCTCTCGCGTCTCTTCGGCCTGTCGCTCTTTGATTCCGCGTAATCCGGGGCTCTGGCTGTAATAAAGACAGCCTTTAGTCTGACTTGCATATTCGTGATACTCCAGTTTGCTCGTTGTCTGCTCGTCGATGCACCAAATGAGGCTAGATGGGACGGCGCCTCCCTCAGCTGAGATGCAGCACCGCGGGGGTGGCGCTGCGATTCACGCAAAATCCGGCATCTTTTGCTATGTAAAGGAGGTCATTCCTTATATGTTCATTTGGTGGCGAGCCAATTTATATTTGATTTCTTACGTTATAGCCGTGGTTGTGTAGGCTAGAGTTGGGCGCCACCTCGACAAAAGTCCAATCTCGTGCTAACCTATAGGGTTGCTCGACGACAGAAGCCGTGTCCCAACCGTCCGACACTTGCGGTTTTTATCCTATTTTCTTCATGTTGCCTATAGAAATCGCATGCGCGTATTTATAGCCCGGGATATAAATAGTCATAACCACGCAATTCGTCCCAATGCAATAGATACAACGAGCAAAGCTAGCAACATGACTTCCCGAAAGTAGCACGTGTGGTAGGAAGCACACCCACAATACATAGATACAAAATGTAAAACTTACTGCTATATATTCCACATAGTCTATACATCCATGCCGAAATATACGGGTTTAATTCATTTTTCTAATCCGCACAGCATCCATGTTGAGTCCTTTTTGTGTCGTACCCCAAGTCATGTACGGAGATCCACGTGCGTCAACTCGCATCTTAGCGACGTCTACAACCAACAGGAAGCCCACTTACTCTAGAGGATAACCTCTTTGGGCTACCCCGTAGCCCCATTGGCAGTTGACTCGCGATTGCGGCTCTTTGGGCACGAGGGCAATTATCCCATTGCCGTTTGGGTTAACTCCCGAGACGACGCCTGAACCGGCACAAGCAATTAGTGTAGCGAGCTAGCGAATCGAATTGCTGACAGAGGGTCTACTTGGACTGACACACGAAAGTTTCCGCCACTTAAAGTTCAGTATTACCCGATGTGCGAATATGTTACGAGACTAGTCCGAGTCCCGAGTCGAGGCGGCACCGACCCGCAGTTAATAAACCCGCCCGTGGGTTGAATTTGGCTCATCAGTGCGAGGCGGAATACGAATTTCGGGAACGACGGCGCGTTTGTTGTTTTCCCTGAGTAGGCTATTAATCCGCTCTGTGATGAATACTGGGTCAATGTAAATGGTGCAATGTGCAAAGCGTTACGGGCAATCTCAAGCCACAGGGGTAAGGTGGCAAAGGGGAAGGGCCGCAATTCCCCAAATCCAAGAGTGTCTGAGATGAGCAGTGAAACAAGAAATTGCGGCCCGGTGAAACAGGGCACACAAAACGGTCCAGAAGAAAGAATGAAAATCAAAAAAGGACCAAGGGCCGTCCATGAGTTCCGATTGGTCTGTTTCGAGCATATGAGGCGAAAAGAATCCTTGGTATTGCTGTTGCACAGTGGTTATTCGTAAGTACCCCTTGTATTGAGACAATAGACGTCGTAAATGGCGGGATCTGCCCGCGCATCTCAATGCCGAAATCCCCAAGGATTGCCTTGATTCCCAATTGCCATTATTCATAGATAGCAAGATGATGCATCCAGACCCAGACGGCAGATGCCACTCCGCGCGGGGAAGCATGCAAATCGGCCTCACTTGCTCAAACAGCGCATCCATTGACTCCAGTTCTACCCCATTCGCCTTTCCGCAAGAGGCTGGTGCTGTGCTGAGGGGCGCCCACGGGTACAGCTCTGGTACGACCAAAGTAGAAGGTGAGGCGTCAGGACACTGGCGCAGACTCCGCATAGTGGTGGGGAAGACGCAGGCCTAGCGCCGTCGGTAGTGGGAGGAAAGGCAGGTCGGGATGGAGATTGGCCATGATGTCGGAGGCCAAGCGAGTAGATCGATTCTGTTGCTGCCAACTGCATTGTCACAGGCAAAATTCTGCGACGCGGCGTTTAAGCGATGGCGCAGCTACTGCTACTTCGACCAAGGCAGGAAGAAAACACATCTATGAGTAGCTTCAGTTGGCTGGAAAGGCTGGAGGCGTTCGTCTCAGGTGCAATCTGCAATGGCAAAATGCCTATGCAAGACGACCACAGAGTAGATATTTTTGGCTGGAAATACTACCAGCAGGTAGACGGGCGCCGTACCATCCCGATCAAAAGCCAATCGAGTAGCAACAGGGACTGCCTATCTGCTTGTCTGCCCTAGTGGCTAGGATAACATTGTGGCAGACGGCGAGTCGTAGCAGCAACAGCAACAGCTGAGCTATCAAAAAGCAACCCTGTTGATCTTGCGGTGGGCAAACTGTCAGACGCTCGCTCCCTCGCTCGCTTAGGCAGACCCAGCCAGCTAATGGACCAGACGATACCCAAGCCTTCCGAATTGGGTGCCCTTGTGTGTAGCAAAACGTCACATCCAAGGAGACATTGGCGAGTCTGGTGCTGAATTGGGAGAGGCTGATCTCCCGTTGCGCTGTGTCAACAGGGTCGCAGCAGCCGATTAGCCAAGTCTCTATTTTACGTTTCTGTGCGAACAACGCATCGATGCGAGGCTGGATATGGACGAGTGCTACGGTCCAAATTGAGCACGGCGATGGCAGGACCAGGGTGGCGGGAGAGGCGATGGCACGTCCTCAAGAGCGCAAACGGTCACTACAGCTTCCGAGAATGGAAAGGCAGCCATCGATATCTAGGCTACTGGTGCTACCTTGCCTTGACACTGTGACGCTGCAAGCCTAGGTAGGCGGCTGTTGCAACGCAAAGCCTCGTAGAGCCTTGCAAGGCATCGCCCCCAAGGCCGAATCAGGCGCTGCCAGTCAAGGGCACCCAAGCGGACGAGTCCCGGTATGGCGTTGCACTGACCCAGCAAAGAGGATGATGGCTTGCCATATGAAGCGACGGCAACTAAATCGGTCATGATACAGTCCAGATCTGGTCTGAGCGATGTCGCCCTGTTACCGGGATGATGATCCTACATTGGTGTAGTATAACCACAGCTTAGGCGAGGCTGGTTCTCTACTAGTCGAGCAACCACGACAGTGTAACTAGCTACAGCTACCACAGTATAGCGTATTGCGGTGAGGCCTGGACGAAAAATAGATGGCAACTGAGAGAGGTTGTGTGTGTACAGTAATTAGGTACTTGGCAGACGCCAATGTATGGTTGCTGCAGCTCTCGGCTGCGTATTGGTCGTTCGCCTCTACCAGCCTCATTCGGATAAAGTGCGTCGAAGTGCGTAGAAGCTCGCATAGCCCTCGCTCAGCCTGGTCTGTTCAGCAGCGACAATAAGCAGCCATGCAGTGCATACAAAGGAGCGAGTAATAGAAAGAGAGAGAGAGAGAGAGAGGGGCCATCGGAGCGGAGACTTAGCTGGACTTCGTACTATTTTCCTGCAATAGCACGGCATTTTGCATTGACCAGGGGCGCTGACCACCATTCTCCCCACTAACTCGAGTCGCTATTTGGTGCCTTTGGGGGATCGGATTGTCCGATCACCACCCAAAAACGCAATGCCACCCATACAACCCGCGCCGCCGCCGCCGCCCCCTTCCCCTATCCGGGCAAACGGTTGCCTTCCCTGTAACCCCCCCTCGGGGGCTTGTTCTGCAGTGAAGCTGAGCCCTGTTTGTTTTAGTCTTGCTGCAGGTTTGCTTCTTTGTTCGGCACACGGTGCGGTGCCCCCTTTGCTCCATGGGCTGCACCCAAGCTGAAACACGAGACTTTCTTTTACGGCAGAAGAGGGGGGATTTCTTTTTCTCTCTCTCGAGAAAAGTATAAAAGATGTGCGGCTTGCATTTTGCTAAATTGCGGGCAAATATCTGAGCCACTGGAATCTAAAAAAAGAAAAAAAAAACGTGCGTAGAAGAGAGAAGCTCTGTGCGGCAAGTCTGTGTTGCGTGCGCTGTCCAAGTTTGTGCGTGCGAGCAGAGCAAGCCACCGTCCAATACAGTGCAGCTACAACTGTACGAATCCGCCGAGAAACAAGGTTCGTAGGGCGTCTCAGGCCGCAGCTCGGCCTCTTTCCAGGCTTGGTTACTGGCCGCCCGCCCACTAAACTACTCCCCCCCGTAGGCTAGCGAAACCGTAGCCAAGCCTCGCCTGAATGCCTGCTTATCCATCCCACGCCAGCCTTCTTTTGCCTGAAAAGCAAAGCTGAGCGTAAAATAGTGGCATCTAGTATTACATACAATTGCAGCGGATGGATCGTTGCAGCAGTACGACGGTTCAGAGGCCCAAAACAACAACAATAACAGAATGCTGCTTGTTATGGTTCACTCGCCTCAAACCACTGTAGCAATGTAGGTCCGCCACCACAGGAATGGGGGACGGGGGCCAGAAGAAGCACAGGGAATTAGGGAGGAGCCCACAGTGCGTTTTAGGCTCTGGGCGGGTGTTTTAGTGCCCCGCCCTCGCCAAAAAAGGGAGCTTTGTGCTTTTTTTCGGGGCGGGCTAGGCTCTGGCGCACCAGAAACGTGCCCTCCCAAGCACCCAGAGCCCCGCCAATGGTAGCGCAGCACCGCCCTGCGACAGTGCCAGTGCTCGTACCCGGCCAGTGGGCTCAGGCGCTGGGGCAGTGGGCACTGCACCACTGTGGGCTGCGAGCCTTTGCATCCCCGCCCCACCTCTTGCCTCTTTGGGCCACCCGTCTCGCCCCCGTCCCCTCTGCTCGCCTCCTGAATCGTGTTTGCCTCAGGCAGCCTACCCCCGACTGATACCACCGTGTCCTATTCATAAAGACCCTCTCCGTCCCTCCAGGATCACCACTCATCAGCCAGCCCAACCAGACCATCCAAGCCTTCGGGATCGTTTTGGCATAGCCGCTACGGGGCATTACTACTAATCGAGGCAATCGACATTAAAACATCCACGCGTCCACCTGACTCACACTTAGGCAAACGCTTTTCACCTCGCAACAACCTTCCTTGCCCCCCAGCGCTGAGTCACCCGTGTTTCTAGGCAAGGATATTGAAGCAACATCTGGTATTTTGGGAAACCTTCTGCATATAGTTTTATCGGTTCCCACTTTCTCCCTCCCTCCTACCTCCTCCACCTACCACATACTTATCTCGGCTGCACAACCTCACACCAACTTGCAACCGACACACCCGCCATATACACATACACATAGAGATACCGATGGCGTATCAGCTGCAACAACAACAACAGCACCACCAATATTCAACACCAGTCAAAATGGAACTTTCTCCCACCGAGTCTTTACTCTCCGTCCCTGGTGACGACTACTCATCACTCTTTCCCGCCTCTTCCACCGGCGCCGAGTCCCCCTCGACAATGAACCCTCTCGAGATGATGACTCCCCGATCCAGCTCCGACGACAAGGATGAGGCCGATGGTGCCGAGTCTCCCTCGCAAGACGGCGACAAGAAGCCCACCAAGAAGAGAAAGTCTTGGGGCCAAGTCCTCCCTGAGCCCAAGACCAACCTTCCTCCCAGAAAGCGAGCCAAGACCGACGACGAGAAGGAGCAGCGCCGTGTCGAGCGTGTTCTCCGCAACCGCCGCGCCGCCCAGTCATCGCGCGAGCGCAAGAGACTCGAAGTTGAGGCCCTTGAGCGCCGCAACCAAGAGCTCGAGTCTCTCCTCCTCAACGCCCAAAAGGCCAACCTCCTCCTGGTTGACGAGCTCAACCGCTTCCGCCGCGACTCCGGCGTCGTCACCCGCACATCGTCACCCCTTGACGCCCTCCGTGACAACAACATGACTCTCGCTCCCGAGCTTTTCAAGGGTACCGTTGCTCAGGCCAACGGCCTTGTCGACATCAACGCTACCACCGTAAACCCAGCCTCCATCTCCCCCGAGCTGGCCCCCGTATCCGACGCTGCCCTCCAGGCTCAGCAAGCTGAGGCGTCCGCAAAGGCAAGCACTACTCCCGACGTGACACAACATCCTGCAGCGATGTTGTCCGACCTGCCGTGTCACATGTCGGCGAGCGTGCCACTGACCTCTCTGGACTCAACAACAACGCCTCGTTTGGCCTGGTTCCTGCAGCTCAGGATGCTGCTCCTTTCAGCCTCGGCGATTCTTACAGCGTGCGAACGGCCGCTGACGCAGATCGCTATGTCCTCGAAAGCGGGCTTCTCTCTTCTCCCAACTCCTCAATTGTTGACGACGATTATCTGGCTCGTGACGCTGCCCCCAGCTTCACGCATCAGCCCGATTTCGAGCTCTTCGACATCAACGACTTCCTCAACGACGAGGCCAGCCATGTCGCCTCTGACATTATGGCAGCGAGCCACTATGCCGCTGCGGACCACGGTTTCGACCTCTCGGTCCACGACTCTGAGAGTCAAGTCTATTAGGAAAATCCTAACCAGCAGCCCCTCCCTGGCGCGTCCCTTGATGGATGCGACGTTGGCGGCATTGCGGTTGGTTTCCGAGGGATGCGACAATCAGGTCGTTGGCCTAGAGAGCGAGTCCAGTGCGACGCGCGCTCAGGAGAGCGAGCTGACAGAGTGTCTGAGGGGCATTAAGCTGCCCTCAAGGGAAGTATTGTTGACTTTGTTGTGGACCTTGAAGGTTGAATCAGCCAAGTTGAAGAGAAGAGAAGAATCGACAATTACAGTTTACGACCCTAACTCGGAAGCCACCGTCATGGCCCAAAAGCAGCAGCGGAGGTTTCAAAACATCAGTGCCGGCAGGAGACGTCCTCGCCTGCACTGATGCATTTGAACATACACCATCATATTTTATTATTTTTTCATCATCTTCTTTTTTGGGGGGACCGGTTAATAATCCTTTTTATCTACTTGTTGCGAGCGCGGCGGCTTTTGCCGTGTCTCAACTTTACTGGCGCAAAAATGAATTGGGAACGAAGCAGCCTCTCGATCGAAAATGGATCGAGCCAGCGGGCATGAATGAACGGATCAAATCAATTTCATGTATACTAGTTATTTACAATTGTGGAACAGAATATACAATGTTCACCGTATAAAAAACATCTCTCTCTCTCTCTCACTGTGATTGTTATCACATCTGAGTTGGTGAGCAAGTGAGTGAGCGGCTTTACTCTGTACGTGGTGGACTTTGCCCTGTTAGGTGTGCGCTAAAAGCCTGGTGGCTCGATAGCTGCAGCCTGTCCATGGTACACTGCCAAAACTTGGTTGCAGATGTTCAAGAGATATCTCCTCTAGAGGCAGATGTGGTAATTGACTGATGATTTACACACAACAAGCAAAAGAGACTTTGGATATATTTTTAGATTTTTTTGTATTCCTTCGTAAACTATTTTCTTTTCGTTTTACTGGATAGCGGGCCTGATGTCATGGCGCAGCAGCCCCGCGACTGGGCGGGTTTGCTCTGACATCATGAGCAAGCCAGGCCCACTAACCTAGCAGCAACGGACTCTTTTTTTAGTACTTGCCGAAGCTGTCCTCAATGTGGCCGGGAGCAGCCTGGTTGGGGTCGTACTGGTCCTGGTTGCCGTAGTGGGAGTCGTACATCTCCTCAGCGTTCTTCTTGGCCTGGCGCTTGGCCTCCTCGCGGTCGATGAAGTCGGCGCCCTTGGTCTCAATGAGCTTGTCGACCTCGCCGCCAACAAAGCCAGCAAGGAGCTCCTTGGCGAAAGCGTGGTTGACAGTCTTGCCCTCCTTGCGCTGGTGGTCCTCAAAGGCCTTGAAGGCCATGAAGGAGGCACCGCCAGCGAGGAGCTCGTGGGAGAACTTTGCCTCGTGGTTGCCCGAGTTGAGCTGGTTGTAGTTGTCCTGGGCGTCGCCTGGGGTGGTGGTGCGGCGTTAGCGCAAGTCACGATGAGATGAGGCGGGCGGGCGGCTTTAGCGAGCTTGGCAAAGCCGTATTGGGGGGGCAGATTGCTGCTCCTACTCCTGTAGGTAGCCAGACAGAGCTCTTATGGGGGGTGGGTAGATGCGGGATGGAGAGGTAAAGAAGAAGGAAAAGGAACACATACCGAATCCGAACATGTTGGGCTAAAGAAGATAGATTGGGTTTGGTAGTAAAAGGGTAAAGAGATCAATTGAAAGTGGGAGAGATGATTAGGAAAGCAGAAAGAGGGAGAGGGGACCCGGACGAGCTTTTAAACTCCAGGACCAACGGCCATTGTCGACAACCCCTCTTTTTGGTCTGGTTGGTTGGCTGATGAGCAGGATGGAACAAGAGGGGTCTCGATCATGGCTGACGTCGACATCCTGCTGTAGACGAGGCATTGCTCAATGCATGGACGAGGCGGTCCCAGAGCTAGCGTGCCGAATTATCCGTTGGCGTGGCCCCAGGGGGCGTGCATGCGAGAGGTGATTGGGAGAATGGGCTTGGGCTGGCTTGTTTGAGGATCAGCGGCTACCAGAGCAATAATTGTTTGGCTAGGACGAACCAGGCCAGGCCCTGCGGACAGGGGCAGCAGCAGCAGCAAGCGGGTGGGTGGGCTCCTCATCCAGATGCCGGAGAGGTACTTGCTGCTAGCTTGCAGTATAACAGGATTGGCGTCATGCTACCAAGGTGGCGGTGTTCCAAGTATTCCTTGGTGGTAGGGCGGGGTGGTGATGGAATGGGGTGTGGCGGGGTTCAGCTACGTAGGGGTCCCAGGAAAGCAAGCTAGCACTAGAGAGAGCTATGGACAGATCGGTTAGCGGGCGGGACATTGTCAATTGAGTAGCAGCGTATGTAAGGAAAAAGAAAAGAGATAAATGAAGAAGTGATTAAATAACGCTCAGAAAGAGTTACTGAGAATGCATACGTCTTGTACTGTACCGTGTGTTGCTGCGGTGCGTACCCGTGGAGCGAAGGCTTTGTGCCTGAATCTGTGGAGACGTACAGAGGCAGTCGCGGATAAGTTCTGGCGGCTATTGGTATGCCAGCAATGGTAAAGCCATGTCTATTTTTATCTGTGCAGATAGAATGTGGCATCCGTCGATAGAGTTGAAGGATCAGTACAGCACAGCACAGTACAGCATAGGCTGCAGATTTGTTAGTCAGCCTGCTCACGCATAATGGTGGCAAATGTTGGGCACTTGGCGGCCTCGTCACACCACAAATGCTCAGTCTTCAACCTCTGTTTCTAACTAGGGAGATTCCTCATTACCTTTCATCATACATATTAATTACAAGCATTCGGGTTGTTAATTCTTCTGAATGTGTGAGACAATTGCGGAATAGTTCACAACGCCACGTTGAGCACTGAGCGTTGACCATGGATAAAGCAGCAGGCACTGGTAATTCACCAACACAACCCTCCAACCCTAGGCACATGTAGCTGAAGCTCTGAATGTAGCCCCAGTTCAACAGGAAACGACACCAAAAGAGGAAGGATGGGAAGTTGTATCCCCTCCAGTCTATCAATTGGGCGGTACTAGCAAACCACAGCATACACAGACCGTGTCAAGCAAGCTCAGCATGGATATAGGATGGGGCAAGAAGAAGTTTACTTTATTTGGTTGAGACATTAAAATCAAGTACTAACGAATCAAGTATTGATACGAACAGAAAACACGATAACACAGATGCACGCAAAGAGTGCAGTAGCCAGTGCATATGGCAGCCCAAGCCACGCCTTGCCCCAGCTCATGCCAAGATTGAATGCCCACGCCAAGCCGGGCCCTGCCACAAGATTGCCGATGCCCTCCATAATGCCAATCAACGCATAGAGTCGGCCTATATCGCTTGCATGTCCGTCATTCTGTAACTCCACCAGCGAGGTAGTTAAACTGCGCATTACAGGTGGGAATCCCGCACCAAGAGTGCTCACAACCAAACCTATAAAGATCGTTTAGGAGTATGTTACCAAGTGTGACAAACTAAAGGGAAAATCTCACCTATTATCAGCCAGGGTACGGAGTTCTCATTGAACATAATGAAAGCTCCGAGTGTAAGGAGAAGGATGCTAATCTTGCCAACGAGGAGATCTTTGGTGGCTGCAGACCTTCCTGGAAGAAGAAAGTTGACTATGACGGGCAAAATGATTACAAACAACACAATGTTCACGGCAGCACGGATGGATACCAGTAACCCCGCCTGCAATTTGTTAGAAGTGCGACTTGTACACGTATGGCACGTACCTTGGAGAGGCTCCATCCGTACTTTTTGGATGCGTATTGGAGAAGCACCACCGCATTTGTCTGGCGGCCTAGTCTCGATATAAGAAACGTAAACACCAGTAGCATTACAGTGCGATCTCGCATGAATGACGCAAACGACTCCGTCAAGCTAGCAAGCAAAGAAACACCTTTGCTATTTGAGCCTTGCGCATCGTGGTTGCTGCTGACATCCTCTTCCGATGGATCAGAGACGCCTTTGTCCTCTGGGATGGGCAAAGTCTCGGGCAAAACAAGACTAACCAGGACGGTGATAACTTGAAGCGCCACAACAACAAACAGTGGCGGCCATACGCCATGCGCCATCAGCGCGGCAGTAACGGGAGGCATGAGAAGATCAGACACTTGATCACAGCAAAATCGGTAGAAGAAGACTGTACTTCTCAGCTGCGGCGGCACCACATCGGCAACCATTGTCGTCAACCACGTTGTGGCGACAGACGGGCCGCCGCCAATGATGAGACACAATGCCGAAAGCCAAGATTGCTCAAGCGGGAGACCCGATAGGCCAGCCTAATGTAAAGAAGTTAGCACTACTCTTCAATCACTCATCTATGACAAAGAGCGGGCCACCCACCAGGAACATGAAAACGAGCATGTAAAGCACGCAGCCAACCAGTCCGAGCGTAAGCACCGGCTTTCTGCCCCACGAATCGGCCAACATGCTGTATGGAATTGGCAGCAAAATGGACGGGATGCTATCAAAAAAAAGCTGCCCACCCATGATAGACATGACCTTGCTCTGTATCTCGTCAATCTTGCACAACTCCTCGGGGACATGGCTGTGCAGGCCGATAACACTAGGGTCGTGGATCTTGTAGTAGCGGTAGCATGCAATTGCTTCGATGAAGCGGATTCGAGGGGCCACTAGCAGCGTCTCGGCCATGTCTGCTACAAAGGCCAACAGAAGGAGGATTGCTACTACGTAGAGCCATGGCCATTGGCTTCGCGTCCTTGTCTTGGGGCCTTCTGTGCTGGGGATGTCGGGTGGTTCGTTCGTTGTCTGCTGCTGCGGTAAGAGAGGACTAGTTTCCGACGACATTGCTGCTGGTCTATTCGATGGAACACGTAGGAGAAGCGAAGCAAACAATATCGCAATGATAAAAAGTCTACGACGTGAGACGCAGTTGGTAGGTAAGGCTGGGTTACAAATCAGGCTGCGTGTTTGCGTGGTGCGCATAGGTGGTGACGTACAACTGCACTAGAATGTGGTGTAGGCGGCTCTTTACAGCGTTGTCTGTTAACCACAAACTACAAGACATGCAAAAGACTACAATGCTTGATAAAAAAGAGGATGGAACGAAAACGACAATAATAACAGATCGTGGAACAAGCTGGACAGCTTGTCTAGCCGTGTATTTCAGGCATTGATGGTGTACAGCCACACGGTGCAGTCACCTATTAGACGTGTTGCTATAACTTCCATCGACTTGGTGAGCTCATGGTTACTCTTCGACCTCTTTTTCTGCATCGTCATCGTCATCGATCTCTTTTTTGTCGTCGTCACCTTCGTTCTCTTCATCCTCCTCTCCCGCCCCTTCACCTTTGTCATTCCCCTCTTCATCAGTTTTGCCAGCACGAGCGGCGCGAGTAGCCAAGACTTCCTCCGTCTCCTTGAGTAAGCGGATAATATATCCTCTCATGCTCAGGCTCAGTCCATCAAGCGGCTCTATTGACCAATGCGATCCGCACCAGATGCCATACTCGCCGGCTTTGGGCTTGGGCTTGCCTTGACTCTTGCGAAATTTGGCCCAGGTGACTGGTGGGCAGATGAAGTGTTCGACATCGTCGTTCTCCACGGTGCCTTGGTAGCCCCAGCAGCTGGGGTATTCCAGCTTTCTCTTGACTCCTGCGCGCACCGTCTCTGGCTTTTCGTTGTCGTTCTCGGCGTCGTTCTCGCCTTTATCGCCGGCCTCCGCGGTATCAGTTTCGTCTTTGTCGTCTTCGTCTTCACCCTCGTCACCCTCGTTGTTGTCATCACTACCAGCGCCTTCGTCTTCATCATACAGACCCTCCAAGTACTCCGTTCCGGCGTCAAAGTCACCCTCAAATAGGTCTTGGAGCCCCGGAAATCCACCACCAGCAAAATGCCAACCGCCCTTGAATCCGCGCGCAACTAGCGACATGTCCTTGAGGTCCTGCGGGATAGGGCCCAACTTTGCTTCGGCAATGGCAATTTCGGCGGCTGTTAGAGGAGGTAGCAGAAGATCGGAAGCCTTCTCTGGACACTCGTCCTGCTGGCCCTCATCTTCCTCATCTTCGTTTACGCCGTCTTGGCTTTGCAAGACCTTGAATCGCGCCTCTGAGAAGCGGCGCAAGAGCTCCGGCCAGGGCATGCTGGCGAAATCAATCGGCTCTTGGCCGGCCAATTGGATTGTTTCGGACATTTTCGAGAGAATGAGTGAATCAATTGATTGCGTATGTTGGGTTAACCTATGGCGGGAGGACAGGCGAACTCAACAATTATGAGAATTCACGAGCTTCGTGGGTGCTCGGAGCCCCAGATAGCTCCACGCGCAGCCTCACAAGCTCAAAACGGTCTGAGTCGACCCATTTGTGCCTGTGTTAGCGTGAACTTTTGAGGAGGTTAAATGACACTCTTGCTGAGGCTAGCGCCTTTGTTCGTTGGAGCATGTCGCTCGCTTGGGAGTATTGTTTCGCCAGAAGGCCCAGAAGCCACAATTAGTCCACCTCGTTCAGAAATCTATGGAAACGTCTCGCAGAGGCTGCTAACGAGCTCATTCGGTTCAGCATTCGCTCTCGATGACTTGGTTTTGCGGGACGATTCTTGTGGCAAAACGAGAGAGCAACAGCTTACCCAAGAGTGTATGCCTAGGCCCTCCATCTTGTACCGTTGCAGCAGGGCTGGCATGGCTGATGTTTGATCGGCGCGGTTCTAGCGCACTCAGCAGACCCTGTGGTCCAGTCGCAACCTGCAGCACTACAGTCAGCAACAGCCCTGATGACCACGAGATAGACTCCGATCAGGCTCTGTTCCCGTAGTAGTCCCACAGCGGGATAATGCCGTGGACAGCGAGGGTGCCCTGCCCTGTGTCAGTGCATGGTTGGCCTTCGGCAGATGCGGCTGAGCGTTTTGCCCTCTGCAAATATCGCCGAGGGTACTGGATTGGCCCGCTACGCAATCTATTCCATTTTGCGGCCCCCGGAGGAAGAACCCAATCACATCGCGTCCTCCTATTACACCAAGCTAGGGTCCCAGTGGGACAAAGGCGCCTAGTCGAGCTAGGGGCGGGTATTGGGGCGCCCCGTTCGTTTAGGTCTGGGCGCCACTGGGCTTCCCAAGCCACGGAACAAGGCGAAGTTGTTGCTGGCGAGGCGAATCGACAGTATGTACATTTACGTGCTGCTAAGCGCTGGAGATAGTTTTTCCAAGTTGTCTGGGGCTGAGTTTTAGCACGTCGGCACGTCAGCAGGAAGGGGGCGAAAAAACGCAGCGATCCCTGCCATGTTGAAAAACGAGGCTGCCGGGCCCCCTGACTCTTGCAGCCTTCTTTTGGAAAGATGGAATAAATTAGCTGAGCGGCCAATCTCCTTGCGCGTTACCGGATCGACCCTCTCTGCCTCCCGCTCTTCATCTTTCTCGGTCATCTTCCTTCCCTTGCACTTCCATTCTCTCCCATTCACTAGCTTACTGAGAGCCCATACACCATCTCATCCTACGATCTGACCACGAAGCAACATTATGCATATGCGTTCACTGGCTCTATGGCCCGCTGCGGCCATGTTGAGCGGCGCGCTTGCCGACAACCTTTTTATCAACCCTCCGCCTAGCGGCAAGCACCGCGACTACAGCCAAAACCAGCAGTACAAAGTAGGACAAGTGCTGAAAATCAGCTGGGAAACAGATATTACCACGGGAGTCGGAGTGGCCGTCAACTTCCCTTTGGATCACGAGCAGAATGGAGTCTTTACCATCCTGAACCTTACCAGTGCGTGACCTTTCCTGTGGTTCATTGAACGGTATTACTAACTGCTCGGCGCAAAAAATAGAAAACACAACAAAGTCCAGCCTTGAATGGGTCATCTCCTTGGATGATGTCGGCGGTGCTCCAGAAGTCCTGGAAAAGGACGGTGTGGCCGTCATGTATCTTGCCATGTGGAATGATGACAACCCTTACTTTGCCAGATCGCACTATTTCAACGTTACGGCTGCGGCTCCCACAAGCAGCAGGCCGGTGACAACGGCATCCTCAACAAGCGCAGCCTCTTCGTCAAAGCCCTCTTCGTCGTCGACGGGGTCAGCCTCGGCAGGCGCCGCTTCTACGACATCTTCGTCGCCCGGCTCCTCCACATCCTCAGCAGCAGCTGGTGGTGCTAATAACGGAGCCTCAACCGCCGATCCTTCGTCCTCTGGCTCTTCGTCAAGCGGCCCTAGCGGTGCGGTGATTGGAGGGGCCGTCGGCGGCACGCTGGGTGGCTTGGCGGTTGTTGGCGCCCTGGCGTTTTTGCTCTTCCGCCACCGCCGCAACAAGCAAGCACAAGCAAGTGGTGCTGCTGTCGAAGTCGCGGGGTCTCACGTAGAGAGCCAGGGTCCTGGAACTGGACCTGCTAGCCCTGATGCCCAGTATGGTCAGGCGGTGCAGACGCCGCAAGCTGTTGCTGCGAACGCTGCGATTGCCGGGCATTACTCTCCGGAGAAGGATCAAGCGTACACGGCCAAGGAGGGAGAAAAGTACCATTTTGGAATTCCCCTAAAGACACCACCACCACAGTGGCAGGCGTCGCCCAAGGTTGAGCAGGTGGCTGAGCTGGACAGCGTGCAGCCTCAGGAGCTGTACTCGCCTCCTCCTCCTCACCACAACTAATACACTACCGATATACGAATGAGGAGGTGTAGTAGAAAGACAGAAAGGACGAAAGCGATTGTGTACGAATACCCCCCACCAAGACTGTCATTTCATCTCTTTTTGTGTACATAGAAATAAACAGCGAGTCCAACTGCATCATCTTCTTGTGTCGACATTCTCAGCAATGGAAAAAACAATCTGTCCATCTATCTCGAAGTGAAGTCCTAAGTTCAGTACCTAAAAATAGGACATAGAAAAGGTATTCAGCTTGTGCAACTATTTTCGATGGATTGAGTATTGACAGTTGCAGATCCCAATGGAAAGTTCATGCCCGCGGTTAATTCACCATTTCATTATTTTATTATTGTTATTTTCTTGTTGCCGCCTGTTTCTATATTTGGCTTGCTGCTGCTGCTTGCTTCGCTTTGGCTTTTGGCGGTGGCGGGAAATCTATTTCCATCTGAAACTAGGGATCCCGGTAGATTTCCTAATTAGGAAATTGGCCGAACGACGGTCTCCTTTTTGCTTGCAGCGCTGACCACCGCCTGTTGTGGAGCAGTGCTGACTTTCGCTTCGGCACTGGAATTTTGCAAATCGAGTCAGTACAGTGCAGTGCAGTGAAGTGCAGAAGAATACAGTACAGCCTGTTCTTTGTTTGCTACTGCAGACGACTGGGTCATTCAGGGGCCAATAATCTGTTGGATATGTGGTGGTGTGGACGAAGAGCGAGCAGTAGCTGCAGCTTTAGCAGTGGTTGCAGCACTAGCAGCGGCCCATAGAGAAACGACTCAGCCTGTCCAGGGAGCCTTCTTACTGTAGCATCAAAACCCCACGCCGACGTCACTGCACGAACCCGTCCCGAACCGCAAGCACAGACACCTCGTGGCGACAAGTGGAGGCCGTGAATGCAACAATGACTGCCTGAGGATGAGGCCCCGGCAATGGTCAACGCTTATAGGCTGCCTTGTCTGTGCGGTGGCATACCTGCATTGCATAGACGGCATAGATACATGCATGCATACAACCTGCATGGGGGCTGAAGGAACCAGCTCCCCGACTTACACGCTACCAACCGACCTTCAGGCGGCCAGCTTTTCAGCCTACCAAATATAGAAGCAGACAAAAGCTGTATACCTTGGCAGAAACCTTCCGAGGCAGGCTGTCGTCCTAGGCTCGTCTATGCCCTTCTGGATTCATGTTGCGAAATACTACTCTGAACTATGGGAATTAGCTAGCTGGACCGGCTAAGACGGCAGACCACCAATCTTGGCAAAACTTCATGCAGACGACAAGGCAGTGGATGCAAACGACAAGGCAATGGATGCAGACGACAAGGCAGTTGACCAAGAAAGAAGATGCAAACTATAGACCCGGAACGTGAACGTGAATAAGCAACACAAGCTAGCTTCGGCGAGTTCTGTCGATCCCATACCCCGGCCGCCATCCCGGCGTCAGTGCATCCTCCGATATACCTGCACCTTTATAAAAGACCATCCTCCTTCCCACCATTTACATCAATTGCTTCTTCTTCAGACAGACAGACTGAGAACCGCCTCTCACTTGTCCGCCGTCCAATTTAACATTCCACTCCCATTCATCACTCCTCATCATGGTTAGCGCTACCTTCCTCTCCCTCGGAGCCCTCTCCCTCTCTGCCGTCCATGCTCTTCCTGGCGGCAGTGCACAGCCCAGAGCCCGTCTGGTATCCCGTGGTGCTTCCACGCCCGGCCGCATCACCATGCCTGTTGTGAAGCTTGCTGCCCACGGCAACGGCCAAAACGCCGCCAAAGACGGATGGACCAGCCGCGTCGATGTCGGCGCACAGTGGTTCATCCCCGCCTGGATCGGCACACCCGGCAAGCAATTCTACTTCCTCGGTGACAGCGGCGCCCCCAACTTGTCCATTGAGTCTACGCTCGAGCCCAAGGACCACCAGGGCGACATCCCCCTCTACGACCCGTCCCAGTCCAGCACGGCCAAGCAGCTCGATGGCTACACATACTCGGAATGCTTCGGCAGCGGCTACTGTGACAATGGTGTCGTCTATACCGACATCTTCACCGTCGGCCAGATTGCCCTTGAGGGCATGCCCATTATGGTCCAGACCAACAACACAAGCCCTACCAGCGGCACCATCCGCTCGGGCAACCTCGGCCTCAACATTGATCCCAATGGCATGACGACGCAGCCCAACAGACTGCCCACGTACTTTCAGCAAATCATGCCCTACCTCGAGTGTAAGTTTTCATTCTCCCTCTCTCAATTGCATAATACACATACCAGTGGTGACTAACACTTCGCCAAATTAGCTCCCCTCTGGACCGTCGACTACCGCACCTCGACCAAGAGCGGCCAATTCGAGTTTGGCGCCATCGACTCCAGTCGCTACCACGGCACCATTGCCTACGGTGCCCTCAGCAGCACCGGTGGCCTCTGGACTACCATCATCGACGGCATTGGCGCCGGTTATGATAACAGCGCCTTTAGAGAGCACAAGTTCCAGGTTGCCTGGGACACGGGCTCTGGCGGCGGCCAAATCAGCCGCGAGATTGCTGATCTCTACTGGAGCCAGGTCCCCAACTCAGAGTGGCGCCCCGACTGGGACAACTATCTCTACAAGTGTGACCAGCCGCTGCCTGACTTTGTCATCCGCCTCTCGGACGGCAACAAGGTCGGTATTCCCGGCTCGGCTCTCTTCTATAAGCGTGCCGAGGGCAAGGATGAGGGCAAGTGTCTCTCCATGCTTGCTATTGGTAGTGACAACGATACTCTCTGGGGACAGGACTGGATTGAGAAGTTCTTTGTTATTTTTGACTGGGGAAACAAGAGAGTTGGTGTTGCTAACAAAGACCAGTAAAGAGGGTTTGCTTCTCGCTGTGATTCTTTGTAGCCGTCTTTTTTGACCCCCCTTCTTCTTCTCTTTTATGATATATATTTCCACAGAGTACATTTTATAGCCGCTGTAGCAGCGCAGACTAGCCAGTAGATGGACAATATTATGAAACCTTGTCCCATCTAATTCGTTTTTCTTCTTTTCTTCTCTTGGTGCAGTAGATGACCAAATAGACTGTCATGTACCAACCTTTCACAATGGATCAAATTTGTACCAGGAATATAAGGAAGACGGGGGATATTCAAAATTTTCGAGATTTACATAGATTCATAGTTTCCAAGAATTACATATATTCATTGTGGACTTGCGCGTATGTACAAAAAAAGAGACAAAGACCAACAACCAGAAAATCATCACTCATGACATACCCTCATCAACCGAAGCCTATCCTCCTAGGAACCCCCGATTCTACGAAGAGGTCATGTTGGTCTTTATGGCCACATTGACCGTCTTGCATCCTCTGGTCGGGTACTCCGAGGACAGAGGCTGCAGGCCCAACACGCTTGAGAGCCATCCAAAGGCCGACAACGCACCCGCCTGGCCCTCATCAGAGTGCGAGCCCTCGCTGTTGCGCGAGTAGTAAATGTTGGCGCCCATGTTGCAGTACTTTTCCACCAGGGCGTCGTTGTCAGTAATATTGGAGATTTCGTCGTGGACCGCCTTGTACATGTACATGGGCATAGTGGGTACGCCGTGGTATCCCATGATGCCGTCGTTGTAGATGATCTTGTACGTCTCGTTGTTGAGGAAGTCGTCAAAGCCGTCCTTGAAGTACTTGCTGATGTCCTTGCCCAGAAAGGCGATGCCCGCCTCGGTCAGCGACATGTTGTACGCGGACAGGAACGTCGTCTTGTTGTATGGCCCATCCGTGTTGAGCTTCTCCACGTACTTTTTCAGGATATCGGGGTACTGGCTGCCAAGACCGAGCATAGACGACACGGCAAGACCAGCCGCCACCTGGCCATTGATGTTGTAGAGCACACTCGTGACATTGGGCGTAAGGCCGCCCATGGCATTTCCAGAGAAGTTGAGCTCGGGGGCATACTGAACCTGCAGTTCGCCGGCCCATTCGCTCGCCAGAGCACCGCCAGAGTATCCCCACATGGCGTACTTTGCGTCCTCGGCGAGCCCAACTTCCTTGGCGAGGTTGAGGACAGCACGGACGGAATCGAGAGTGGCATGGCCGGAGATGACGCCGGCTGTAAAGGATGCCAGCGGGCCCTCGTAGTCGGGCACATTGACAAACATGCCAGCCGCAAGACCGGGAATAATGGCCTGGGCACCGACAACTTTGTCAAAGTCGTACATGGCGTAGCTGGGGCTTGCGTCGACGTCGGCCGTGTCGTAGGGGATCTGGTAGGAGAGCAGGGTGGCGTTGTTTGCGTTTTTCGGCTTGAAGAGCGTCGTCACGGCAAAAGTAGGCTTGTACTGGCTGTCCATGGTGCGGTAGAGGATCTGCCACGCCTTATCGGTGCCATTGACGAGCGTGGTCAGGTTACCGGGTGCTTCACGGTAGCGCAGGACTGAACCTGGTGGCGAAGACTCGAAGCCCTTGGGCTCCGTGTACCATGGATCCTTGGAGGGTGGGAGAGGGCCGTCTACAGAGGAGCAGCCAGACGAGGACGAGTTGGAGCTGGTTGGCGCAGCTAGGCCACTGCTGGCTGAGAGAGCTGCCAGAGCTATGGCTCGAAGTGAAGGCATATTGGTTTTATATGGGGCAGAGTGATTCAATTGGATGGAGAATTGTAGCTACAGACGAGAGACGGAATACGAAGAGGGGAAGTAGACGGGCTTTATAAAGACGGGCAGCTTGATAGATACGCGGAAGTCCGGATTGGGGGAAAGGGAAGCTAGCTAGCTCAGCTAAAGGCCGAAGTCACCGAGCGCTATGCCGTCATCACGGACCAAAAAGGTAGCTAAGGCCCGTAGTCTAAAGAAGGATAAGAAGAAAAATCAAGTTGGAGGAGTGGAGCTTAGCTAGTCTTGCCGGTGGTGGTGGTGGTAGTATTGGGCGGTGGCTGCATGTAAGTCGAACGGCAGGGAAGCTAAGCGAGGGGTCTATAGCGGTTCTTTTTCCAGGGTTACAGTGCATCATCAGGGATGCCAATTGTTGTTGTTGATTATCCACATTAAGCAAAATATATACAGATATCTTGGTGGTAAAGCCGGTAGTAAACGAGAAAATGACGGTAGAGGAGGAGGAGGCGGGGGACTGGTGCCGATGGCTCCGGGCGGCGCAGGCTTCATCCGGGCGGGGGTGGGAAAGGGTTACAGTGGAGAATTAGCTTACAGCGGGGAAAGGGCGCTGTAGGAGGTTCTGTGTAGGGGATCACGGGCAACAAAAAGAGAGCTGGCTGTAGAAGACTAGCAAGAATAATAAAGGGAGATTTAAAAATACCAGTAGATAGAGACTACTGCCTAGATATTGTATATATTTTCCATATAGTTTCCTAGCGAATACTGCGCTGTCCAAAATTCACTGAAGCGTCCACGCGTTCACGGCACCCAGCCACCACTACCTGCAGCAGTAGTTCCGCCTGCTATCCCAGTTTTTAGCGGCCTTTCTCCGCACCTGGGCAGTGAGTGCCCAAAAAGTAACGCTCCAGCGGGTACGCTAAACCACGCTGGGCGACCGCCTGTAATAGGAAGTGCACAGCGCTGTTTGGTGTGTGCCGTTGAGGCGGTGGGTAGGTGGCTGGGGGCTGGCTGCCACGCAACAACGGCAGAGGATTGCCCTGCATGTATTTTATTTTCCTTGGTTTCCTTGGGCGCGAGGGGGCTTTTTTCGTTCTCGTTCAAGTTCTGTTATAGCATGAAAATTCAATAGCGCGCGCCGGAGTCGGTGGAATTTGGCCGTCCATAGACTCCGGCTCATGTTAGTGTGGTGAGCTTCACTGCAACCAGCATCAGCGGCAGCTAGCAGAGATGGAGCTGTTGAATAGGTTGTGTGTCTTGTAATGTAGAGGCGAAGGGAGAAAATGGAATGACTAAATATAGATATATAGATGTATGGAGGGGCATGAAATACGCACGTGTCCCATCTTTATACAACCACCCATCGTCTATACAGTCCTCAGCAATACGCTCCCAGCAAGCCTGTGCAGCTCCCATTACCCAGGGCTCCTCCCAGATCCCTCTTATCCAATAATACATCATCCAGTGACCGTCTCCGTAAAAAGAAATGCATCCCATTGTTCTACTTGGCAGCTCGTACGCACCGCTACCCCAGATCGACGGTTGCAACCGTTCAGCCTTGTTCGTTCCCCCCCAACCATCCCATCCCGCATACTGCCAGACTTGTCCCCCGGATATAATCTCCCATGTCTATTTCCCACAATAAATCATCTTTTTTTCTTTCCTTTTTCTTTCCTTCTTTCATCTTCCTCCCCCTTCTCTTCCCCGCACCAAAAACAGCTCGCCGACTTGAAGCCCCACGGCTATTTCCTCTTTGGGCTGGCCGCGGCGCCGCCCTCGGAGCCTTGTCAGACCAACGACGTACACACAACACGTGGCACATGACGCAAACTTGTAAACTACACAATGAATCAAAAGTACAAATACATGTAAACAAGGCTATCGTCTATTCAAACTCATCCTCACAGCAAACCACTTCTCTCAGTAGCAGCCATGTCGGGCTACGCCAACGTCTTCACCTCAGACCGTCTCATCTACGAGCCCCTCGACCCTAAAGACTCCAAAACAAAAGACTTCTACTACAGCCTCAAACGCGATCCCAATGTCGACGTCTTTGTCGATATCAACGTCCTCAGCCCCCGCTGCCGCAGCGACTTGGACGAAAAGTCCTGGGAAGACCGCATGAACGCAGATCTCTTCAAGGCCGTCATCTGTATCAAGCCCGACAACTGGGACGAACTGGCTTCCCAGCCAGGCACATCCGCTCTGCGCGGCATCCCCATTGGATTCATCGTCATCTTTGGAAGTCCTGCCACATTTGCCTCACACCGCCGCGGCACCCTGGGCATCTCCTTGTCCACACAGTACCACGGCAAGGGCTACGGCACCGAGGCGCTGATCTATCTGCGCGACTGGGCCTTTCGCTTCGGCAACCTCCACAGCCTGAGCCTCGACGTGGCGAGTTTCAACGAGAAAGCTATTGGCATGTACAAAAAGGTCGGCTTTGTCGAGGAGGGTAGGATGAGAGAGGCCCTCTACTTTGACGGCGAGTGGCGGGACGCCCTCAGTATGTCTATTCTGCGCCAGGAGTGGGATGAGATACAGAAGAAGAAGAATGCGGCCGTTCAGGAGAAATAAATGATGGGAAAATATAATAGAAGGCCGTAAGGGAGAGTTAATGTATCTGGGGGCGTACAAGAGAGCCAATTTTGCATTGAACGGGGTGCGTGTACATGTATATCTATTTCAATATAGACAACTCAATATAAATAACTTGAACAAACCATTTCATATACAAAAGCATTTCATAGACAAAAGTAACCATTACCAAATTCTTTTTCTAGTGACAGGCAGAAGGAGACAGCGTCCAGCCGGTAAGGCGGTTTGCAATATCGGCCGCATAGCACACGGTGCTGCCCCGGCCATCATCCAAGTTGGTCACCGTCGCCGAGCCGCTATTGTAGATGCGAGCGCCGGTATACACGGCCCGCGCTCCGGAGTCGCCCGTCAGCGTCTTGGCCTGCGCAATGGTGCCCTGGATGCCCGGACCAAACGGCGTACCCGTGACACCGTCGCGAATCATCTGTAAAATCTGCGCTGGAGGACACGGGTTGACGCCGGCGCAGCTGCCCTGTCCATTGTGCGACTGCATCAGACCGGGGTTCCTGACGCCATTGTCCGTCGTCGGCACGCGCACGCAGCCCTTACTCTCCTGCATCACTACTGCCAGGATGGCTCGGTTATCAACGCCCGATTCCTGTGCGACCTGACGGATAGCCGAGTCGATGGATGCAATCTCGGCCGGCGAGTTGTCCGCGCCCCAGCCGTTGAAGCCGCACGACTTTTCCATGAGGCCCTTGTTGGCGTCAAATAGTTGCTGGTAGGTGCCCCAGGCTGCTTCGGATGGCCAGCCGGCTGTTGCTGATCCGTCGCCTTGGAAGAAGGTGTAGCTGTCGGCGAACCGGGCCGAGATGTCGCCGGCAGAGACGGCTGCAGCGGCAAAGCCAGCTGTAAGAGCGATCCTGGGGAGCATTGTGAAGGAAAGAAAATGGTGGTTTACACTGCCAGAGTGTCTAAATAGAAGAGAAGAAAGAAAGTGATAAGAATGAAGGAATGGAGTGATGGATCATGATGGCATCGTGAAGGGTTTATGGCTGGCTTATATGCACAACCACCATCGTGAGAGCGCAGCATTGGCGTTCATCTCCCATCGTGCATTGCTTGACTAGCTGAAGGCGACGAGCCGGTTTGCATTACATGTAACGTCTCTTTCTCTTTGTCCCTCGGACTCGCCAGTGGCCCATGGGTAGAGGGTGGTAGCTGCGCATCATGCTGAGTTCCTCTGAGCCCAGCCAATGGCGTTTGCCTAGAACACTGTAGGCTCGCTCTCCTTTCAGAGGATACAAGAGGCAGCCTCTTTCCATCTGAAATTGTACGGACTTCACGCTTCATGCTCTATGCAAGTTTCGTGGTAAGCCCCGCCAGCAGCCAAGTCTGAAACACGGTCAGCATCAGCACCGGTGCAGCCAGATGTTATAGCAGCACTCAGCAGCTTTTGCTTGACAATCTTGCCGTTTCCTAAATTTGAAAGACCAAAAGTCTCCGCGTTTGGGAGTTTATAGATTTGTAGCTGCAATTCTACCAGGAGTCGCGGGCGGAGGAGCAAGTGGGACGAAACCTCTTGTCTCAGAGTTGATAGCTCGACGCGTGGGTGAGTTGTAGCTCCCGTTTGAGATCGCCGCCTGTGATCGCCCATTAGATAGATCCATTAAACGAGCGCAAAAAGGCCAATCATTCGTCTGATCGGGCAGCTAGGTGGACAGTCTTGGTTTTTCGACAGCGTCAGCTTCAGCCAATGCGCTGCTTCTTGCGCACCCAAACCATCATGTCCTCACCCGCGACAGGCACGGCTGTGCCTCGCTGCACATTCCTAGGTGGCGTGCCCTCATCTGGAGCCCTTAGATTCACTTCCCAGATAGTAAGCTTATACGTTGCTCGGTCTGCATTGCCTGTAAACAGATCAAAGGACCAGCCATGCTTGGGGCACGACAGGCCCGAGCTAAGAACGACGCCGAAATCCTCAATGTCAAAAGGCGTGCCCTGTGAGAGAGGATACGACGAATGGGGACATATCTGCAGAAAGAAAATGACTTAGCAATATGAATCTGAAACACCGTGGTGCGCGGGTCTACCTACATGGTCGACAGCATGAAATTTTCCCCTGTACTGAAACACCAGCACCTGGTCCTTGAGCTCGCTCGAAGCCTCAGCCGCCTCAAAGTCCGTGTCGGTCATGTCGACCTCGGTAGCTAGCGAAGGGTCTTCTCTGGGAACATGGAAGACTTTGCATCCTGGCTTGAAAGCGGCCAAGGCCTCGCAGCGGCGGTGTTGGGCGAGGGTTGCTGCGTGGTCCTGCGTCTCGGGGAATGTGGATGTTAGGCCAGCAGCAAACCAGGTGGCATCGGCCTGCACGGTAGGGCCACTAGAAAAGAGAAACATCGCAATTGTTTCTCAATTGAGTTCTGGTTGGTGCCCTGAGAGAGGTTTGTTGATGATTAAAGATGTCACTTTTACTAGCTGGTGCTGGATATTTTATGTGTGGGTCGCCTGAGCTTCCGACCTTTGAACAGAATGATCAGGATTTACTGGTACAAGTAACCCGATGGAGAGCAAAAGTTTAATAAAATAATAAAATCGACGGGAAACAAATTTGTGATAACACTCTGTACTTTATAAAAGCATTATTTTAGTTGCTCTGGTGCTGTATCTTGCACTGGAGTCCAATACCGGGTAGCGCCGTACAAATGCTCTCCTGGCCCCCTCTGGACGCATACCAGACACAAACTTGGACAATTTGTAGGATTTTACTTTGAAAATTCATTTAATTGTTAATATATATATATATTATGATACTGTCATGTACATCGTGAATTCTTAAACAAAACGCCGCCAATATGCATCACACACCTCGTACCATGCCTTTTCCGACTCTGCTGCTCACCAGCCCTCCATTTCTCGCATGGCCTCCTCGTCCTCGTCAAACGAAGGATCAGCTACTGGTGCTGCCAGCTTGACGGGGTTGGGATGGGCTTCAGATTCTGCCATCATGGCGTCGAGATCGTCTAGGTCATCCTCGGGAGGGCCATTCGTCGGGGCAGCCGTGGGGCCATTATCCTGGGCCTCTGCCTCCGCCATTAAAGCATCGAGGTCATCTTCATCTGGCACATCATTGTTTTGAGTGGTGGTGGTGGTTGCAGCCTGCGGTCTGCGCGCTAATGGCGTAGATCCATAGATGTCCTCGTCTTCTAGAGCCATTGCTCTTGTAGGCGTCTTTTGTCCGTCACCAAGAGCAGGTAGCGATAAATCGCCATCCCCAGTCTCCTTTGGCCTCGATTCGTTTAGCCACTCCGTACGGGCAGCAGCAAGCTTCCTCTTGTGGCCAGCCTTTTCTACCATAACCAGGGCGTCAGCAAATTTGGCTTTGGGATAGAGGTCGTCAAGCCACATTTGATAAAAGGTGAGCAATCGTGCCGCGTCAGAAAACTACACCAAATAATTAGACTCCATCTCTTATGATACGTTCGTCTTTATATAGCAACATACCTCATGTCCTTTGCCCTTGAGCTTCAGCTTGCCAGCCCTCTTGCGCAATGTTGGGATACCAGCCTCACTTAGCAGTCTACATTGGATTAGCCATAGTATCATTTTAGACCTCTATTATTGGCACCAAACTCACCTCTCCTCGTCAAGCTTGACAGCAGGAGCCCGCGCTTGCTTCTTCACCGAGACCTGCTCATCAATACCCAGGCCATCGTCCTTCTTTTTGGGGGACCCAGGCGGAGAGGGCGTCTTCCAAAGATCATCATCTAGACCATAGTTGTCTAGTTCATCCACTGGATCCGGCCGTTTCGAATAGTCAGGCATTGTTGTCGCTCTTTTGATATTTTTGCTGTACAATGACAATGGCGGACTCACTGCTCGCCTAATCGTAATTCACTTTACCCATCTAGACGCGCTTGTCTGGCTGGAGACGCGACAGAAAAAGTGGACCTGAAGCCAACCTGCGTAGTACTGCGACTCGACTTCACGTGACCCAGATTTATGTCCCGTCACGTGATCCAGTCCTGAGGCACCACTTCGCCAAACCTCCAATCTGCGTCGGTCGGCATCAGCTCCATCGATTTCTTGCCGCGCAAAAGGGATTGGACAACGAGCTCAAAATGTCCGATACAACGACAAAGCAGGCCCCGGCCTCCTTCACCGGCACCAGCAAGGTCGTTCAGACCCAATATCCTGTACGTTGACCCCCAAATGGCGCCCCAATGCGTGACAGAAACTGACCTTGATATAGCTCATCGACAGCGACCCGTAGGTTTCCCCGACGTGCATTTTCGACGCAGCTACGGCCTTGAAATACGCCAATGCGTGGAATTGAATAGCCTGGCATCGATTACTAACATGGAGACTCAGTCACTTTAAGCGTGTGGTTGGATATGCCAGAAAGGAGGACTACATCTACGGTGCTGCGGCTGCTGCCGCCGCCCCTACCGCCATGCTCGCCATGGAGAAGTTTGCGCCGTCGCACGTCGGCCGTGGTGGTTTTGCCAAGGCCATGCGCTTGACTGGTGCCATTGGTTTGATTGGTGGCTTCCTCTACTTCTACCAAAGATCAGCCCGTATGTGAAACTGAAAAACGACTTTCTCGACGCCGAGCTGGATGTGAACAGCACGCGACGAGAGACGAGCGTGATGATGGAACGAAAAAAACCTAACAAATCTCTTTCTGTAGTCCGATTCTATGGTGCCACCGAAAACGCCCGCGAAATCGAGATGGATATGCGCGAGATGGTCGACAAGGTCAAGGCCGGCAAATCTCTGTACGGCGAGAGCCAACTGAGCCCCTACCTCCAGGGCGTCGCTGCCCGCCAGAGCAGATACTCTGCGCTCTTCATCGGAACCATCCCCTGGTTCAACTTTGTTAACCACAACCAACACGGCGTCGACACTGCCAAGTACTACCAGCAGGCCGAGCGCGAGCTGGAGGCGGAGAAGGCTGGCAAGGCCTAAAGGAGTTGAACGAAAAAAAGAAAGTGTTGACAATTTTATTTTTTTGCAAGCAGCGACGGAGTAGGATGAGGAGTAGCACGGCAGCAAGTGCAAAGCTATAGGATGGAGGGGTTAAGTGTGTATATTACCCGGGACGCATAGTCATGCCAGACGACTGGCCGATTTTTCTTACAATAACTCAAAGCCCATTTTTTTTTCTTACTACTTGTTCCTTTCTAACTTTAGCCGCGGAGCACATTCTCGTTCGCCCCTCTTGCAGTTTGTCGCTAACGAAGTACAGATTGGTTCGTGCAGCGGTTGCCTAGGAGGCATGGCACTAGCCGCTGTATTGGGTATGTTTACGGGGAATTTAGCCATGAACAGGGAACTCATTAGAGACGGAAGTTTTTAGGAGGAATCTCGGAGAATTTTACCGGAAGTGCAGCAGATGGAGACCGAACGGCACAGGCATGTTGCGGATATTGCAGCCAGCCCGGTATCGTTTCAGACACCACCACTCCGGCCAGCATCCGGCGAACTTGTTGACTACAAGAGTGTTCACTTGACAATATGCCGGATCATCGGAGCATGAACCATCTGCCATGGTCGAGCCCGAACTCCCCCCTCTACATCGATAAGCGGACTTTTCTGGTTGCATGGGGGATGGGAAGCTGCGTGCTCCATAGAAGGTCTCAGGTTGGGCAGTCGAAATGTCTCGCTTGTCGAAGAGAGTGCGGCCTGCCAGTTCGTCACGTTGCCTGGTCTGCCGAGCTTTGAGTAGTGCCGAGAAGCCTGCTGAATTCGAGATATTATTCTACAAGCGAAATGACCGAAATTGGGGTCGCACGATGATGTCAAGAGGACCATGCAGCTGGTGTAGAGTTGGCCGCAAACTACCAACTTTCTTGGGATCCGCACATCTCAGCCTTGGAGCTAGCGAACAAGCTTGCAGGCAGCCCAGCCCGATCGCTTGCTACTTGCCGCCAGACAAGTGTAGCAGATTCTTGTGCACATCCGTGAACTGTTTTCACCACTGCATGGCTTTGTCTGGACAGTCGGTGTGGTTGCGTGAGCCAGGCAGCGGGAAGACAAGTCTCAGCAAACAAACGTTGGGCTGATGAAGATCCTGTCTGGGCTGCGTGCATGCATGTTGCAAAGGCAACCTCTTCCCGAGACGCAACAAGACTGACAGCACCGGTCGGCGTCGACCCAACCAAGGTTTGCCGCAAGTTTTTCCAGACTTGGTGGCGGCCATGGCGGACTGGTATGCAAGTGATTGAGAAACACTGGGCCACGGCGGCTCTGCAACAAATGTGGCCGACCTACTTGGGGTGAGATACATTGCCAGTTTAGGAAAGCCTGATGGTGTTGTCATGTCAACCTTGCTCCAGATTCGAACCGACTTCACCTTGGAAGAACGGCATTTGCAGCTATAGGGCAGGTCAAGGCGGACGCTAACTAACTAACACATGGGGGGCGGAGCGCCAACGAACCGATCTCTCTGATACTCGCTAGTAGCGGGCGAACACCATGGTGACGGCAATCTGGATGGTATGGGCTCATTTTCCATTTTCATCCGAGCCATCTGATGTATAAATACAACCTGGCAGTCCTGTTCCATCTATTATTGCCTTCTCCCTATATCAAACCAAACCAAACCAAACAAACCACATCTCCTCTCACATCCTCTCTCTCTCTAAAACAAAAGCTAAACCAGCTTTTCTCTCTCCAAATATACCTATCCGACTCTCCAACACACACAAAATGCAGTTCACTCTTGGTCTCTGCCTTGCTGGCCTTGCCGTTGCCGCCCCTGCTCCCCAGCTCGGCGCTCTCACCGGTACTCTCGGCGGCGTCACCGGCGGTCTCGGCGGCGCAACTGGTGCCCTCGGTGGTGTTACTGGCGCGCTCGGTGGTGCTACCGGCGCTCTTGGAGGTGCTACTGGCGCGCTCGGCGGCGTTACCAACGGCGTGACTGGCGGCCTTGGAGGAGCTACCGGAGCTCTGGGCGGCGTGACTGGTGCTGTCGGCGGCCTCACTAACAGTGCTACTGGTGCTGTTGGCGGCGCTACCGGTGCTCTCGGCGGTGTTACTGGCACAGTTACCGGCGCTGCTGGCTCTGTTACTACTCCTGGCGCTTCTTCCGGCGAGACCACCCCTGCCTCGGACCCCGACTACAAGGCCTGCACCTCGCTGCTCTCGTCTAACCTCAACTGCTGCGCCACTGACATCGAGGGCCTTGTCGACCTCGACTGCGCTCCCCCCAAGAAGACCCCTGGCTCGGCCAAGGAGTTTGAGCAGATCTGCGCTTCTGTCGGCCAGCAGCCCCGTTGCTGCGCTCTCACCTTGCTCGGCCAGGGTGTACTCTGTGGCAAGGTCGTTGGCCTCTAAGCGACAACATGGAAGCGCAAAGTGCTCACTTTTTCTACTCCTCCGTGCCTGGCCCCAGTGGGCTTGCTTATAACTAACATTGTCCCCGTTATAGGAAACCCTGCGAGGACCAAAATTTGATTGGCGCGAGGCTTTTTGAGCAGCAAGCATACCTCGATGCAGGAGCAATACTAACAGAGCAAACAAACAACACCAACAACCGGCCACTACTCGCCCGCGAGCCTTATTCGCCATGCTTCTACATGTGTATTACTTATCTTCTTCTGCATTTTTGCGCATATACCCAAACGACTTTTTCTTTCTCTCTGGACCCTTTTCCAGAGAGACGTTTTTTAACTGGAACTCGACTCGAGTGGGAGAGCTAAGCTGGCTTGCCTCTCTCTTCTTTTGCAGGGTTTTGGGGGAATATCTTTAATCACCTTTTTCTTATCTGTATTATTGGATACTTTTATATTTTCTGGGGAGGCGATTTCTTCTTCTGATACTTTTTTTATACTGTTGGCTGTGCTTTTTTTCTTAGCAGCCAGCATTTGTTTGAAAGCAAACGTGAAAAAATCAATTCAAAAATTATTAAAAATTTCATCTGATTCTTTTACAAGTGCCTGTACCATTTTAAGCAAGTAGCATGTATAAAAGACCGTTTTAATGGTCTAGGGGTCGTCGCAAAAAGGGCAGACTGCTCCGATGCTTGCATGACAACGGCGCCACTGATAAGACCGAGAGGCTAAGGGCGGCCAGCCGTGCATCGCCTATGAACGGGTTCATGAGCCGACTGGCTGGCCCGGCCCAAGCGCCAGTTTCCCTGCGATTAGCACAGCAGCAGAAAAAGAGGCGTTTTCTGTGCCTGCGCATGTTAGTGGCCTTGTTATGGCGGGCTTGCGGCTGCTGCAGACAGACTGCATGCAGGCAGGGCCAATATGTGCTGCTGTGGCTGGGCTGGGCTGGCGCAGGACCAGTCATAATTAGCAGCACCAGCTACAGTGGCAAGCAGGCACATGGCGGGTCGGCTTTAACGCCATCTTTCATTTGCTGGGAGGCTTGCGTATCACATGAAGATTGGCATTGCCATTGCAGGGGAAAAGAAAAGTTGGAGAAGGCCAAATCTGCGCTGCGTTATATGTTGAGCATCAATCAGTATCAGCAGCTGTAGCGGCTCTGCCGGCGGCGGTTGAAGGTGTGTGCAGGACGAGTCAAGGGCGAGGGGTCAAGATAAGAAAATATCTCGGGTCGCACATTGTCGCTAGCATGTGTTTTGTCTTTTGTCCATCACGGATTGACGGTGCGGGCGATCCCATTACCCGCGGGTCGTCATGGTGCGAAACGCCGGCTCATTCTATGGGCCGTACATCCAAGCAACCCCGCGATATCGGTTAGGTGGATAAGTCAGTCACGCAACCCATCATCGCCAAACGCAAATAAAAAAAGACTGGGGAAACGAAAGGGGGGACAGTAATTAGCTGAGTGCAAGTGACCAGGATGATTGACCCCCTTGCGCATTTTTATACATCCTGGCGATGCCATCGAACGGTGTAAGTACGTACTGTAGCTTTTACACGCATTTCCGTGTCACCGTGGCGGGGGGTCACAAGCTTCTTTTTCTTCATTTGGTGTGGGCTTTTCAGGTACAATAGGATTATACGAAACGGGCTGCCTCAACAAAAAAAAACACACAAGACGGCCAACGCCACTAGCACCTACACTAATGTTGGGCTTGGCGGGTGAGTTTGTAATACTGTAGGTCTGATACTGCTGATGTCGCTGTCAAGTGTCTGTGCTGCTGCTCAAGTTACCGAGGCGTGGCTTCTGCCGTTCCCCACAGGCCCCGTCCCGTCCCCCATCTTCCCCTCTCGGCCAGCGCTCACGGTGCGCTGAAGCCCAGCTGTGTGTGTTGCAGCAGGCCTAGCAATGCGCAAAGTGGACTGTTTTACAGTGGGGTGGGTTCAGGTTTTGCTGGCCCCCGCCCCCTGGAAACGCAGGCCTGCGGCAGGGAAAGGGAAGCAGAGGCCCAGGCTACCGCTGCAACGACAGAAAAAAAAGCATGTGGACATGGGCAAATGGCAGATCGCGGATGCGGGGTAAGTAGCCACCCAATCCTTTCCCCCATGCAACCGAGCACACACACGCAGACGCTACGGCCAGGCAACCCCACAGCGCTAAGTGTACAGCGCTATAGGGAGGGTTGTTAGTGTGTGTATCAGAACAAAAGATACTGTAGAGGCAGGCCAGGAGGGACTCCAGTAAAAACGAGGGCATATGGAGTGTGCTCATCTTTACTAAACAGAGTGGAATCAGCGTGCATGCAGCGGAGAAGGAGGCCCGGATCTCGGTGCATCTCTTGCTCCCCGTTCCTCCTTGTTTTACGTGTTGTAGGTGAGGAATTACAGTGGTGTACTTCCCCTATAACTGTCCGCTATTACAATGTACTTGCCCTGCTACTCACTGCTTTGCTGCACACCACCACCACCACCACCACTATCCCCGTCCTACAGCAAGCACCAAAACCACCAGCACAGCCTGGTTCCTCCTGTGGCGTTTTCCTCTTTTCTAATGCTATAAGCCAATATTCTTGCTAAAAACTGCTCCTCGGCCGAGTTCTGCCCCCTTTCCCCTCACCACACCACTTTTTTTCTCTCTTTGCCTCGCTGCTGCTGTTCTGGAATTAGCTTGTGCTTCTCTCGTGTGCTGCTTTTTGACTACCATATAAAGTTGGCCAGCCGTCCCGCTCCACCCAAACCAACCACTCCTCCAACACTTTTTTGCTCTGCCCCTCACCTTTGGCTTTGCCTTGCTTTTCTCTTTTTTTCTTCATCTCTTCCGTAAAAGCAAAAAAGAAACTCCTGCTCTGTTTTTCTCTCTTCCAGCAGACATCTTCATCTTCTTCATTTTTATAATATACCCCTTTCCTCTCTTCCTATTAAACCGCAACAATGGCCACCACCGCTGACGCCTCCAACCTGCCCGGCCGCATTGAGACGCTCACTCCCGCCGAGGATGAGAAGCTCCGCCAGACCTGGGCCGCCCTCTTCAAGATCTACGAGCTCGCCGATGGTGAGAGCTCCGTGCCCTCCACGCCCGTAGTCGAGCAGACCCCGGAGCCTGCTTCCCCGGCCTCTACGCGCCGCACCAGCCTCTTCCGCTGGCGCTCGGCTTCCAGCGCAACCACACCTGCGCCTGAGCCCGCGGCCGCTCTGGGCACCGCTGAGGACCGCTTCCACCGCGAGCTCCTCTCCAAGTATCTTGTTGGCGAAAAGGCCAGCACCCTCAAGTCCATCATCAGCAACATGTCCAAGCAGGACCATCCTGACAGCTTGCTACTGCGCTTCCTCCGCGCCCGCAAGTGGGTGCTCGAGGACACCCTCAACATGCTCTTCACCGTCCTCAACTGGCGCCACAAGGAGATGCACGTTGACGACGACATCATGTTCAATGGTGAGGGCAAGGCTGCCGACGAGGAAAAGAATGGCGACGAAAAGACAAAGGCCATTGCCAAGGGCTGGCTCGACCAGCAGCGCATGGGCAAGAGCTTGTGGCACGGCCTCGACAAGCAGAACCGTCCCATCAGCGTTATCCGCGTCAAGAGCCACAACCCCAAGGCTCAGCCTCCCGAGAGTATGGAGCGCTACATTGTCCACCTCATTGAGACTGCCCGTCTCTTCCTCACTCCTCCCATCGACACTGTTGTAAGTATTTTTTTGGTCTCTCTCACTCTCACTCGCTCCGATGGCATCACTTGACATGACGTCGCCGGCAACACCACTTGAACCCATCTCTACCACCAAACATAATCTTGCTAACATGCTCTTCCTCTGTAGTGCGTCGTCTTCAACCTTACCGGCTTCTCCCTCAGCAACATGGACTACCACGCTGTCAAGTTTGTCATCCAGTGCTTCCAGACCAACTACCCCGAGTGCCTCGGTGTCCTGCTCATCCACAACGCCCCTTGGATCTTCCAGGGCATCTGGAAGATCATCCACGGCTGGCTCGACCCCGTCGTCGCCGCCAAGGTTCACTTCACCAACGGCCGCGCCGGCCTCGAGGAGTACATTGCTTCCGACCGCCTGATCAAGGAGCTTGGTGGTGATGAGGAGTGGGACTTTGACTTTATCGAGCCTGTTGACGGTGAGAACGACCTCATGAAGGACACTGCCACCCGCGACAAGCTCCAAGAGGAGCGCCGCGTCCTCTTCGCCAAGTTTGAGGAGGTCACCCGCAAGTGGGTTGCCGCCGAGGACGAGGAGTCCCGCAAGAAGCTCAACGCCGAGCGTGTTGAGACCGCCAACGAGCTCACTGCCAACTACTGGAGACTCGACCCCTACATCCGTGCCCGCTCCCACTTTGACCGTTGCGGCACCATCCAGCCCGACGGCTCCCCCGTTGTCTGGTACAACCCTGTCCCTACCTCTGCCAAGAAGAGTGCCGATGCTGCTGCCGTCGAGGAGAAGCTTGCTGAGGTCACAATTAGCGACACCAAGGGTGCTACTGAGGTGACACATACCGAGCAGGCTGCTGCCGTTGCTGCTGCTTAGACGGAGACTGGTGATGATGTAGACGTGAAGGACCGAGTTGTCTTTTTTTTTCTTTCCTGTTGTCTACGCGATAACGACTTGTTGCTTTTCTTGCCTCTTGCACTATGATATCTTTGTATTTTCAAATTGGGTTCTCCTGCTTTTCGTCGTTTTTGAATATACCATCATTGAAACTAGCCCATATATATTCCGTCTATGTGAACCAACCCGTGCCTGTGAAAATGACATACAAAACTCCAAGATACAACTACACAGCCCACCACGCCCTACATCGCGATCTATAATCTCAACACCCCCTTTAATAGCAATCTGCACTGCATTGTGCCGTGCCAGTCCGCGTCTTGCCGCAGCAAAAGCAAGCCCACGCCCGCCGTTGCACCCCGCATCGGCCGGCTCCGACAGCCCAGCCAATCAACAGCCCCAGAAATCCACTGACAAGGCTCAACTCAGCGCAAATTCACAGGGGCCCTCTGCCGGAGCTACAGGGCACTTTGTAGCGAGCGGGGCTGTTTCTCCAGCGTGCGTTAGCCGCCAAACTTTTTTTTTCTCTCTGCCCCTCCCCCACATGCGTGCGTGCGTGCCTCTTAAACTGACCACCTCAAAACTTCACGACACCCCCTTCTTCTTCCCATCTTTCTTTTTTCAACACACGATTTTTCTCGTCACAACCCGCTCAGACTACACTTCCACACACCATGGCTCCCTCTGCCCAGGACGACTCGGCGACCGCCACCTCCATGGACCTCCCCATCATCGACCTCGACGTCTACCTCTCCAACGACCCCTCGTCCGCCGCCGTCAAGGCCGAATGCAAAAAAGCCGCCGACGCTCTGATCCAGTACGGCGCCCTGGTCTTGCACGACTCCCGCGTCGCCGCCAAGGATAACGAAGAATTCCTCGACCTGCTCGAGGACTACTTTGCCCAGCCCGAGGACGTGCTGCGCCGCGATGAGCGCCCCGAGCTCAGTTACCAGATTGGCGTGACGCTCGAAAACACAGAGAAGCCCAAGTGCGCGGTCGACGAGCCCTGCCTGGATATCATTGCCCGACTGGCTCCGGACCAGCGCCCGCTGGACATCTCTGCGCATAGCCCGGATCCCAAGTGCCGCTTCTTCTGGCGCATGGTGGAGGCGCCGCCCTACGAGACGCAGTTCCCGGGCCTGAATGCTGCCAATATTGTACCGGAGGCGGCTAACCTCAAGGAGCGCTGGACCCCGACGATGGACCGCTGGGGCACATGCATGAAGTCTGCGTAAGTTTACAAGTGTTGAGTCTTGCGTTTACCAAATGGGTCTAATAGTTGTGGTAACAGTGTCTCGTCGCTCTCTGAAATGACCGCTCTTGGCCTCGACTTGCCAGCTACGTACTTTAGCGAGGCTGGCCGCTACGGCCCTCACCTGCTTGCCCCGACAGCCTCCGACCTCACCAAGTACGGCGCGCGCGACACCATCCTGGCCGGCTTCCATACTGACCTGAACTTCTTGACCATTCACGGCCGCTCGCGATACCCCGGGCTTAACATCTGGGCGCGCAACACGGGCCGCCGCATCCCGGTCCGCATGCCTGCGGGCAACTACCTGCTCGTCCAGGCCGGTAAGCAGATTGAGCACATCACCGGCGGGCTGATCAAGGCGGGCTTCCACGAGGTTGTGGTGAATGAGAGAACACAGGAGGTCATGGCGAAGCGCGCCGCGGAGCAGCCGGAGCGTCCGCAGATTCGTATCTCTAGCACGCTTTTCTGGCATCTCAACTCGGATTTTGATCTGCATGCTGTGCCGGAACTGGCGGCGCGTGCGAAGCAGCTGCGTAAGGAGAAGGAGAGTGCAGGTGAAGATGAGGGCAGAGAGACGGAGTATGCGCCTATGAAGGTTGGCCATCAGGTCGAAGGGTAAGTTCCTTTTATTTGAGTGTGCGTGTATAAGACTATTTGCTAATGGTGTTGTTTGTTTATAGTGAACTGAAGCACATTGCGCTTATGGCTTCATGAGCGAACGGGACAAAAAATCGTAAAACAAGTTGGAAATCTATGACAGCAAAAAAAGAGATATAAATTGACAAAGTATTCATGTACATGAGACGCAGCTGTAGCAAAGTGATACTAAGCATACATGGACAGAGCTATATACAAGAAATATGTGTGTTACGTGCCAAAGTAAAGCAAAGGGAAATCATCATCATCATCATAAAAAGGAACCAAGGCGAGTGGTCGTTTTATTTCTTGGCAGCGGGCGAATCGGGAATCGTGGCATCGGCATCGCCGCGCTCAGAGCCGACATCGACTTCCTTGGTGTGCTGCGTCTCGGGAACAACCACGTCCTCTCTCCAAAAGTCCTTCTTGCCGCGTGACAGGCGAACCATCCAGGGCGGGAAGAAGCCGCCAGGGATCTTCCAGGTCCAGCCCTCGCGCTCGTCGTAGTTGGGTGGCACAATGCGGTCGCCTGAGATCTTCTTAAGAACCCAGACGGAGCCGTTGATGATGATGAAGGAAAAGACACCCGCAATAAGACCGTTGGCAATCGAGTATGTAAACGGCATAATGGTCAGAGTGAGGAACGCGGGAACCGCATCGCCCAGGTAGCGCCAGTTGATGTCGGTCACGGCTGTGGCCATCATGGAGCCAACAAGGACGAGCACGCAACCAGTAGCCCATGGTGGGATGGAAGCAAAAATGGGAGCAAAGAAGATGCTGATGAAGAAGCAGATACCAGTGGACATGGCAGTCAAGCCAGTCTTGCCGCCCTCAGAAATACCCGCACCGGATTCAACAAATGCCGTGACAGGCGGGACACCAAAGACGGATCCAATGGAAATGGAAATGGCGTCTACCATGTATGCCATGGATGAGCCCTCAAAGTCTTGAGTGACGGGGTCCATGAGTCCAGCGAAGCGTGCCATGGAGTACAGTGTGCCGGTCGCATCGAGAATATCGACATACAGGAAAGTGATGAGGGCGAGGCCGAACTGGCCGCCGTAGGAGCCAATGTTCCAGTCCTGCACATTGAGTGTGTTTTCAATGGCGCGGAAGCTGACAACCTTGCGGAAAAAGTCAAACGAGTCGTCGCCGACAGTCGTGTACGGGAAGTACGTGACGGGTGTACCGCGGGGCCACGATACAATGCTGACAAGCAAGATACCAGCAATAATGGCGCCCTTGACGCGGTACATCATCAGCATGACGGTAAAGATGCCGCCGCAAAAGATGCCCACCCACATCGAGGGGTAACGCATCTTGTCCCACGACGGGCAAGTGCCGTCGGGCAGCAGGTTAGCGGGCGAGCAGCCACCAAGCTCGACAGGCGTAGCAGTGGCGCCAGTGACAATGCCAATACCGTTGCCATACGTCAAGCCAATGAGGGTGAGGTAGAGACCGATGCCGACACCCGTGGCAATCTTGATGGCGCTGGGGATGGCGCGCGCAAGCCATTGGCGCAGACCGAGGACAGCCAGACCAAAGAAGATGAAGCCTTCAACAAAGATGGCCGTGAGGGCTGTCTTATAGGGCACGGTGCCGCTGCCGTGGAAGCCAACGACGGTGTAGGAAAAGTAGGCGTTGAGACCCATACCAGGAGCCAGACCAACAGGCAAATTGGCGAGCAGGCCCATGAAAAAAGTGGCCATGGCGGAGATGGCAGCAGTGGCGGTGACGATGTCACGCTTAATGTTTTGCGCGCAGATGAGGTAGTCTTGGTCCTTTTTGCAGATGGGGTCGTCCTTGGTGCCGGGGCAAACGCAGGTGCCACCCGTATCGGAAACAATGGCTGAGTTGACGGCGAGAATGTAGGCCATGGCAAAGAAGGTCGCGAGGCCGGCTCGGATTTCGGTCGTGAAGCGGGATCCCTTGCGTTCCTTGGGCTGTAAGACGGTTAGAAGCTGCTATTTATAAGAAGGTACTCTTTATAGACTTACATGACCACATCCTTCAAGGCGGAACCAAGTGCCGACGGGGCTCTTAGCCACCTTGTTGTTGAGATTCTCTGCCCAACCCATGGTGTCGATGGTGTTGGCGAATCGTAGGAAGAGGAGGAAATGCTTGTTTCTTGGCGGTGCTGACTTCAGGTCGACGTGGATGAAGGAGTCGTAGAAGTAGCAGCGGCCGAAGCTATGTCAATAGCAAAACCAAGAAGAGTAGGCTCTTTGAAATAAAAAGACACTGCCCACGAGGGACACCGTGTGTCACGGAATGCGCAGGAGGGATGCGCCGGAGCACGGAGCAAAGGAGATTGTAAAGCGAGGACGGAGAAGAAACAGGAGAAGGACAAGCACAGCGTCTTGCAAGTTTCTCCAATTTTTTTATTCTTCGTCACTGGTAGACTCTGCGGGCTGCTGCTGTGCGAGGTGTACAGGGAAGGGCTTCGAGCGTTTTGTACTAGTAGCCGTCGTAGAGTTGCAGACAAGCCGTGTCGGACGGCGCCGGGAAAGTCAGGAAGCGCCTCTTGGGAGCAATTGATGCGGGGGAGGGTGACCGGAAGCAAAGGCGCAAAGAAGACTGGACGCCACGAGAATGCGCTGAAGCTGAAGCTCGGTTACAAACTGGTGTGTGTGTGTTTGTAAGTTGAAGGGGCCGAAAAAAACTGTAGATGGTGTGTTGGTGGCAGGACAGCCAGTACTTATCCGACGAGAGCTGTGCCTTTGGTCCCCTTTTTAAACTGGAACCGTTTGAATTCGAGCAAATGGCGAGTAAGAGAACGGGACGCTGGACATGAAGATTCCACCCTTTTTTTTATCCTCGGGTGCTCAACGGGCGTGGGAGTGATAGGAAAAGCTAGTCTTGGCCCGATGCAGAGTGGCGTTGTGATAGCGCGAGTGGGGGTTCAACCATTGAGAAATTGGAGAAACTTTGCAGAGTGACAATCCCGGATAAAACAAGGCAGGCAAAGGAGACAGCGTTTGTATTGTTTGTCTTGTCACTTGCTGCAGAAAGGCGGCCACTCTGACGAGTCAAACGGAGAGCTGTAGCAAGGACAATGCACCTCACATCACCATCGCCTCACCTGAACACGGCCGCCTCTTGGTGCGTTTGCCTCCTCCGGTGACAGACGCCCACTCCTTCTGCCATGTTTCCAGAAACCAAAAGCTTAAGGAAAATTAAAATAAAAACGGGTTTGGCGGGTCCCCTGCTAGCCGGGCTGAATCATGGGCTCGGGGTATGGTGGTGGGTGCAGCAGTACAGTAGTAGCAGTTATCGTTCCCGCTGGGTATGTCCCGTGAGCTGTTTCGTTTTCGTCTACTCGTGTCCCCTGCGTGATGCTACATGGCAGCGATTGCACAATTCTGCCTTATTCTCTTTTTTTAATGATGATTTGCCTAGGCCACTGCTGTGCAACTTTTGTGTGAAGAGAAAAGGCAGCCAAAGAGCGGTGCAGTAAAAAAAACCTTTTTAGTGGGCACCCCACGCGACAGCGCCAGTCGGATCGGAGGGAAATAACACTCCCGGTAGGTGCAGCTGCTGCTAACGGCCAGCGCTGGTTGGCTGGTGGCTAGCAGTCTGTGGGTGCAGACTTGCAGCACCTTACAGGGCATGCTTCAGCGCTGTCGACGGGACCTTGCAGCGCCCCCTCCAGGTTGACGCTGGCAAAGAAATGGCAGCAACGGCATTGGTTGCTGGACTAAACGACTGTATCCTGGACACTCAAGCATTCTCCAACAACGCCACAGCACTTGTCGCCCGCCATTATCAATACAAGGCGTCCAAATATAGCACCCCTCCTGCGGCTCACAATCACCAAACACCATGAATACACGTATTTCAGGAGCAGCAGATAGACACTCCAAGCCCGTCTCATCCATGGCGCAACACCACCGCCAACGCCCACTTCACGACGGACACGGTATCACAAATCAGCCTCTCCGGCCGCCTACTTCCTGTTGTACTAGATGAAATACTCCTTATGCATGTCTCAGCTCTTGTTTCTCCTTGTCCCAGCATACGGTGAACCACTGCATTAACAGTCCCGTCCGCGGTCTATCCGTCTGCTCAGCTCGCACCCACCAGAGCTTCTAAAAAGATGCACTGCCAAGGTAGCTGTTGCTGCTGCCAAACAGTCCCTTCACATGCTTATTGATATGGAGTGGATTCTTAATGATTGCCGTTTAAATGAGGACAAAAAAGATAAGCGCCTGCTGATCCGATTCCAGGCTCCCCCACAGCCCAGTGACATGCCATTTGCACCACCAAGAGCCTCGATATCGACCCCTCATCGCAGGATTGCCGCACCGCCTCCAACGCCAAATCGGCGCTATTTGACAAGAAAAACGTGGAACTCGGCGCTCTCCGGGGCGCTACGGGCCGATGAAACAACCATAGAAAACACAGAGTAGGGCAGCAGTGGGTGCGCCCTAGCTCAGGGCTGTTTCGTTGTGGCATCGCCGCTGTCGTCCTCCTACTTGGCTGCAGGTCCGTATTCCTGCAGTTTGCTTCAGAGTTTCAAGAGCGAACTTGGAGAACCGCATATTCCGTGTCATAATACAGAGCCTTTTTGTTACTTCTACTATTGTCACTGGTTATGTGGCTATGCCGTGTTGTACGGCAGCTTGCGGGGCGGCGTACCTGCTGGTATTCTCAACGGCTTTGGCTCCATTTTCGCCCCAACACTTGAAGTAACCGGCACAGTGAGTACGATAACCGCGGCCGACGGCAGAAGTGGAAAAGGAGATGCCGCGTATCGTGTTCCTGTGTTGAATATAAGTGTTGGTAGGGGGGTCTGCAGAGTGACAGGCCCAGGATGTCGAGTGGTGACACAGCTCGGCACGGCCCATACTTTGCGGGAAAAGACAGAGTGTAAGTATTCGATTCACTTGACTTGCGGCAGAATTCTGTGAAGACTATTTTTTTTGTGTGCGACGTAGCTCTTTGTGAGCAGTTGCTTTGAACGTCTTCAACTGTCTGTGCTTCTGCTGTATATTGGACAGTCTACCATATTGGGTACAACACTGCCCAACGGCGCTTTTAATTTTGTTGAAAATATGATCAGTAACGCGGAAAATGTTGCTGATTGCTGCGAATACCTTGATCGCCTTTCAACTTCCTCTCACGGCCTGGACGGCTGAGATCAAGCCGTATTCCCCGTTGTTAGCCATTAGCTCCCGCTTCCCGCCCGTCCTCCCCTCCACTGGCCAAGGTTTAAATGGTGTGTATTTCGCATTCCATATTTTACAAACACCATTTCTTATTGGCTTCATTTCTATTCATATTCTCACCCTTTTCAATGGTCTTCTCAACCAAATCACCACACAACCAACAGCCTACAGCATCCTTGACGTCAGGCGACATGGACAGGTCACAGCGCAGCACCAGGCGGCCGCCCTCTGATTGGTCGCCATGACGTCAGGCGGCCTCCGTGTCTCATGCGTCGTCTGCCTACTTGGGTTTTCTGCTTAAGCCGCGATTTTACCCTTTTGGTGCTGCCAAAGACAAAACAAGAAATAGCAAAAAGAGGCGCAAATCAACTGCATCGGTCCTGTGGCTGCCTCTAGAATCAGCGAGAATACAATAAGAGCGGTGACTCGTACCGCCTGCTCGTCTAAGCATCTTATGCCTCGGGTCTCACTACCATCATTCTCCAAGCCACAAGTCTTGCTAAATAGAGCGGCCTGACCGCCTTACAGAATCCCTGACCAGCTAAAAACAAAACACCAGCTTCAGGCTCATGACTCTACGGCTGCCTGTGGTGCGCCAGACCAACGCGAGTATATCTTGGCGTTAGCTCCCTCCCTCCCCATCCGCCGACTCTTCCCGCAGATCCCGCCCTATTCCTGCGAGGTTACATTCTCTCCGATTTTCCTTGGCGATCCATCTTTTCCTTGCGGGCATCCCTGCTAATAATATTTCTTGCGACAACCCCCCGCATCCTTCTTCTTCGTTCTTATTCTTTGCGTCTCTCCCATCTTCAACTCTTTCTCTCTCTCTCCCTCGTGTTCCAACACTGTTGATAGTACAGAATCAACAGACAGCAAGCACCTAGCCATGTTTGCCTCACCACCTCGTCATAGGGACCGCGGTCCCAGATACGACGACTTCTACACAGACTATGGTCGCGAACCGCGGCGCATGTCTCCAGGCCCTCCTCCTCGCCGACACAAGTCCGAAAAACACCGTCGGCGCCCAAGTCCCGATTATCACTCAGATCCTCGTTCCAGGCGCCACGGAGACGACCGTCGCCATGCCCGAAGCCCTCCTAGCTATACCACTGAGCCGCGTCGCGGACACACAACTCGGGAATCTGGCAGACGGCATACGCAGGACGACTACGACCGTCGGCCGCGAAAGTACGATGACTATGACGAGCGTCGCGGCGGTGGACGTAGCAGACACGACGAGCCACGACACAAGGCTCGCAGCCCTCCACCTGCTTACGAAAAGCACCGGAGCAACGACAACCGAACTCGCGGAAGAGACCGTGGTGACGCTGACCGCAGCCATGACAAGCCGACTCGTCGCCACCGCTCTCACGACAATTCCCCTACAAGAGGTAGAACATCAGCAAAAGCAACCAAGTCCAGTGGAGCAACTCGTCGCAAGTCCATGCCTGCCAGCACAAAGAACAAAGGTGGAGGCTTAGGTGCTGTCCTGGGTGCTGCTACCGGCGGCGGCGGCGGTGGTGGCCAGTGGTGGCAGAATCCGATGATTCAAGCCGGCGCAAGAACGGCCTTTGCTGCAGGTGCCCAGGCGGCCATGAACAATCGCAACGCTCAGGGCGACTGGCTAGGCGCCAAAGGAGCCAAGGTAGCCACAGCGGCCCTCGGTGCAGCGCTGATGGACGGCTTTATAGGTGGCAAGCGAGAGGTAAGCCCAGAAGGGCGAAAGGATGATGGTGGCAAAAGCAGCCGGAAAGATAGCGGCAGCAAGGGCAAGGGTGGTGGTGGCATGAAGGAAAAGCTTCTGAGCCAGGGTCTCAACTTTCTCTCCAACAGAGCTAGTGGTCGACACTAGAACGATGATAGGCGTGCCAGAGTGCACTATGAGTTGAAATGACCGTTATGAAATGATGTGACTGTGTATTGGGTTTGTTCTCAGCTCGATTTACGAATATATATAGGTAGACTCACCACACTATAGGTTGACTTTAAATACACTTATACATAGATATGCCGTTTGCTCTTGATGTGATTCTTCTTCTACAAGCATCAAGGTACGTGAATAGGGTCATATATAACGTTTAGCATTATTATTCATCTTGTTTTGTCATCTAATCAAAAGGTATTCCTGAAACCCGAGGACTCATCAAGCCGTTCATAACCATTATGCAAACCAAGCCGGTGCCAATAAATACATTTAAGGGTTTACAAAGTACACCTTTCCTTCAAGAGGGGCCAGTGCGCCGCCGACAGACTTGCCGCCATGTGTAGAAAGGACTTGGGCCAACTTGGCATCCTGGCTTCTGGAGAGACCAAGCTCCTCGTTCGAAGGAGAAGCGTAGCTTTGCGGCTCTGTGGAAAAGTTAAGCACAACAAAGGCCGTGGCGACGCCGTTGGCGTTCTCCTTGACAAAGGTGTACACATTCTGGTCGTTCTCGCGGAGCGTTCGGTAGTCAGCGTAGACTGTGATGTTAGCGTTCTCCTTGCGGAATTTGATGGCGTCCTTCCAGAAAGACAGGACGCTATCCTTGTCTGTAAGCTGAGAGGCAACGTTGATCTCGCCAGAAAAGGGGTGCGTCTTCATCCAAGGCTCCTTGACCTCCTTGCCGGCGTTCTCGGCAGCCTCAGAGAAGCCGCCAAACTTGGCGTTGCCGTTCCAGGCAATAGGCACGCGGGAGTGGTCGCGGGCAAGATGCTGAATGGCGGTGAATGCCTTTTCAATCTCCTCCTTGTTATCGCCGTGGCGCTCCACCATCATCTTGTAGAAGAGCGAGCTGTCGATGTCGAGGTAGTTTTCGGGCGGGTAGCCCTCCTTCGGGACGTTTACGCAGCCAATCTCCTGGCCCTGGTACACGTATTGTGTACCACTGAGGCAGGCCTGCAAGACAGCGAGCAGCTTGGCGCTGGCAACGCGGTTCTCGACGGAGTCGTTGGCGAGACGACTGACAGAGCGAGGCTGGTCGTGGTTCTCAAAGAAGACGGTGATCCATGCATCGGTGCCACGAATGAGCTTCTGCACGGCGTCAATGGCACCCTTGAACTGCGGGAGAGTGTAGTTGTGAGGGACTGTTTCGAATCTGTGTGTCGTTCCGAGGCCAAGCTCAGTAATGTCAAACTGGAAGACCATGTCGAGCTGCTTGGCCTCGGCGCTGACGTATTGGAGGACCTTGCCTGTGTCGGGGGTGTTGGGCAGCTCGCCAACCGTAATGGCACCGTACTTGGCAAGGATATCGTTCATTTCGCCGAGGAATTCGTGCATGCGAGGGCCGTTGCAGTAAATCATGCCGGCGGGCTGTGCAAAGGTGTTGGGGTCGACAACAGGCGCATCGGGGTAGTCTTGAGGCTTGCTGTACATGTTGACGGTGTCGACGCGGAAGCCGTCGACTCCGCGCTTCAGCCAGAATTCCATGGAAGACTGGTAAATCGCATCGCGCGTCTCGGGGTTCTCCCAGTTGAGATCTGGCTGCTCCGTGGCGAACAGGTGGAGGTAGTACTCTTGGGTGGTCTCATCCCACTCCCAAGCACTGCCGACACCAAAGTTGCTACGCCAGTTGTTGGGGGGTAGGCGCTCACCGGTCTCTGAGTAGCGAGCGGGCTTCCAGATGTACCAGTCACGCTTGGGGTTTTCTTTGCTTGATCTCGACTCCTTGAACCAGGCGTGCTGGTCGGAAGTGTGGTTAATGACAAGATCGAGCATCATCTTCATGCCGCGCGCATGAGTCTCCTTGATGAGCGTCTCCATATCCTGGAGAGTGCCATAAGGTGCGTAAATGTCTTCATAGTTGGAAATGTCATAGCCCATATCAACCTGAGGGCTGTCGTACATGGGGCAGATCCAGATGACATCGACGCCCAAAGAAGCAATGTAGTCTAGCTTGGAGGTAATGCCAGGCAAATCACCCACGCCGTCTCCATTGGAGTCGCAGAAGGAGGCGGGGTAGATTTGGTAGACAACAGCCTCCTTCCACCACTTCTTATCTCTGCTGATGACAGTCATTTTGTGTATAATTGGGGGGTGAGAGGGATCGGTTCCGTGGGAGTGTCGAATATGCGAAGGTCAATAGTGACGAAGAGCGACCGGAAAGAGGGAGATGAGATGAGAAGAGGAGAGGGATGGAGAAGTACAAGAAATATGGGCAGCAGTGGTATCAGCTCTGGGGAAGACAGGACGGACTTTAAATCATTTAGTATCGTGGGTCATGGAGAGTGGAGAGATGCCCGCTGATGCAATGTGATGTGCAATGAGTCTGCGTCGGCGTATGATGAAGCGAGGAGGCGAAAAGAATATTATGATGAAATTCTTGGAAATCGGGATTAGTTTTGTTTTGCATACCCGAAAATTTATGAAATTTTTAGAGCCGATATCGTCACTTTATAACCATCACAAGGGAGCTGAAGATGGCTTTCGCTGCTTAGGTTGGGGAAGCTCTTAGTCTCGGGCCGACGCCGAGCGTCGTTTAAACTTGACGCTGAATAGCCCACGGCTGGGTCCGTGGAGGGTTTGTGTTGCACTGTCGTAAGGCGTCGGCTGGTGGATATGCGGTGAAGGCCGCGAATTCTGCTGCAAACGGAAAAACAAACACGAAGCGGTGGCGTTTTGGCAAATGGAGGAAGAAGAGTGAAAATATTCGTCGGGCCGGTGCTTTCGACAAAGAATTGGAGATGAGGGTGGCGTTTGCCAGGTGCCGTGTCAGTGCCCTGGCACTGCAAAGAGGTGCCACTGCTGGCGTCTGCCAATTTTGTCGGTCCGACAACTTTTGCCCAGGTCCCCAGACTTTGGCTTTCTCCACGTTCAGCCTGCAAACGCCACCAAACTCATCCAAAGACAGGACGGCAACCCCAGACTTCCCCAGCTAACCGAGTGGCCCTTGCATCACGCGAGCGCAAACATTTTCCAGTTTGATGATCTCGCCCTTTGTCGACCCATGGGGACCCCAGAACTCGGCGGAGCTTCCCAACAGCCGCCAAACGCCAACATGGCGTATGCCTCTTCGGGCAATTAAGCGCCATCAAAGCCTTCCAAAGTTGTCGGGCCGACATCAACTCGACTGGTATTCGCATAGTGCTGGGTATATGGGTTTTGTGCGTGTATGGTACGAGGTTGAACTTCGAACAAAAGACGTCTACATATGGTGATGGCCCGGTTTCACGGCAGTTCTATAACCTTACCACGAATGTATTGCAAGTATCCGTGCTGGTAACGTTTCGCAGCAGCTTGCCGTTGTAAGGTGACAACAGCTGACATTCTAGAAGGTTGTTGGCGTCTAAATTGAATGCCATGCTACTCTAGTAACAATGGTTCCAATCTCCGCATCTGGCCGGCCTAAGACCGAAGCGTGGCATGTATCTGCCCTTGCATGTACGGCCCCTCGGGAGGCATTGAATCGACGTTGGATCGTATAAAAGTTGTCGGTCCGACAACTTTGTTCGGACAGTCCCGCAGCAACGCAAGTACCTGGACCCCAGCGAGGCGTTAGCTCCATATAAAGAATCATACCAAAGAGAAACACATGTCATGTCATATTAATGACGGCTATGGTCGTTAATATACGCTGCTGAATTTTCTGTAATTAATTTGACAGTGCCGCCCTCAATAGTGGACAGCTTGAGCCGAGGACTTGGCTCTAGCGACATGGGGCTCTCCTACATTTTCTAAGCGCATCACGGGTCGCTCTTGAGGCACGGCGTTCAGTACTTGCATTAATCGACGCCATTAAGTTGAGAAAGACAATTAAAACATGAACCGGACCGACTGAAATGCGCCATTAGCTACCTCCTTTCTCTAGTCAACGCCACCACGGCAATCGTGCAGCGACAGCCAAGTATAGGAAAGGCGCTATGAGGACGGGGTCCCCGCGCAAACAGGCAAATCATCGACGCGGAGGTGGCAGCTTAATGGCGCTAGTTCCCCAACGAGCCGGACAATTAGGCTGGGGTGTGTGTGAGAAACCTTAGTGGCTCTCGCGCCAGCGTGGGCCTCTGCGTCGCTGGCCCCGTGGCCTAGCGTTTCCCGCCGCCCCATTCTGAAATTCTTCTCCAGACTAAATGTGCTAATACCTCATCGTCGTCCTTCAGCCTCTTTTTCATTCCTGGCAAATATATAAACGACATCCCCAGACCGTGATGATGGGTCTTGTGGATTGATATCATCGGCCAATTCGCTTCTACTCCATCCATTGGCATTGCTTTCTCATCTTCATCTGTCTTTGCGGTCGCTTTCATGACATTGGCCGATTGCCACTTCTGATCCTCCGCTTCCTATCCTCACTACAGCACCAGATCCCCTTCCTGACCCTTCTACTTATGCCTAGTGCTTCCTACCCACTCTATTCATCATGACTACCAAGGAAGAATACTACACGGCTGACAGCGAGTCGCCCCGCAAGGCTTCGCTTGTCGATACAGCCCGCAAGGAAGATCTCCTGAGCGAGGCTGTTGCAGGTACACAGGCCGAACATGCTCTCGGCTTTTGGAAGTCGCTCAAGCTTTACAGAACCGCATGTTTGTGGTCTGTTTTCCTCTCAACATGTATCATCATGGAGGGCTTCGACATCACTTTGATTAACAGTCTTTACGCCTACGAGCCATTCAACAAGAAGTTTGGCGAGCTGCACTTCGACGCAGAGCACCCAGACGGCTTCTATACCCTCACAGCTGCTTGGCAGGCAGGCCTATCCAACGGTGCCTACTGCGGTGAAATCATTGGTCTGTTCCTCGCTGGTATTATTGCCGATCGATTTGGTTACCGTAAGACTCTCATTTGCGCCCTCGGTCTAAGCTGTGCCTTCATCTTCATCATCTTCTTCTCCCAATCCCTTCCCCAACTTCTCATTGGAGAGCTTCTCATCGGTATCCCTTGGGGAGCCTTCCAGACTCTGACGACCACCTACGCTGCCGAAGTCTGCCCCCTCCACCTTCGCGCCTACCTCACCACCTATGTCAACCTCTGCTGGGTCATTGGACAGCTTCTGTCGTCCGGAGTCCTCGTTGCCATGTTGGCTCGTGACGATGAATGGGGCTTCCGAATCCCCTTTGCTCTGCAATGGATGTGGCCCGTCCCCTTGATGATTGGTATTTACCTTGCCCCCGAATCACCCTGGTGGTTGGTGCGCAAGGGCCGCATCGAAGAGGCCAAGCATTCCCTCCTCCGCCTTACCACCCGCAACTCTGGCCTGGAATTCAAGCCTGATGAGACCATTGCCATGATTGTTCACACCAACGAAATGGAGCGTGAGCTTCAAGCCGGCATGACCTACTGGGATCTCTTCAAGGGCACCAACCTTCGCCGTACTGAGATTGTGTGCGCTGTCTGGTCTGTGCAGGCTGTCTGCGGTGCTTCCTTCATGGGTTACTCGACGTACTTCTACAAGAAGGTCGGTTTGGATGACCACGGTGCATTCTCTATGAGTCTTGGTCAGTACGGTCTCGGCGCTGTTGGTACTCTCCTTTCCTGGTCCCTCATGGGACGATTCGGTCGCCGCACACTGTACCTTTACGGTCAAGCTCTGCTCTGCATCCTTCTTCTCATCATTGGATTTGCATCTCTCGCCGGCCGCAGCAATATCGCCAGCCAATGGGCTATTGGATCTATGCTATTGGTTTTCACCTTCATCTATGATTCAACTGTCGGTCCTGTCTGCTACTCTCTTGTTGCTGAGCTTAGCTCGACTCGTCTCCGCACCAAGACCGTCGTGTTGGCACGAAACGTCTACAACATGCTCAGCATCATCACCAACATCATTACTCCCAACATGCTCAACGAGACAGCGTGGAACTGGGGTGCCAAGGCTGCTTTCCTCTGGGCTGGCACCTGCTTCCTCTGCACCACCTGGACCTTCTTCCGCCTCCCCGAGCCCAAGGGCCGCACGTATGGTGAGCTCGACATTCTGTTTGAGCACGGAGTCAGCGCCCGCAAGTTTGCCAGTACCGAGGTGCACAGCCTTCAGGGCAATGAGCATAGCGTCTCTGCTGTTGAGAAGGTTGAGTCGGAGCAGGTAGAGCATGTTGTAAAGAACTGATGTACAAATTGGATTATTTCTTTTGAGCGCATTATTAGCGATGTTTGATGATTTCTCTCTTCCTCAATTTTATATATCAACTGCATATGACCAATCAAGACTATTCCTTTTTCTCATTCTCATCTATCTACTCCCCTGTTAACAGCGCAGAACTCGGTGTTTGAGTTTCAATAGCCGATGAGCTAGTGACAAGCTGCAGTTACATTGCAGCATAAGGTTATTTAACGGCTGTCTGGGGAACAGAGGGCCGCCCCTGTAACGCAAACTTTGGTATTTGTTCTGCATCTTGATACCTAAAAAGCCACTGTCCCAACAAGATACTCCAGGCGAGATTTCTCCATATTGTGGCTTTGAAACCCCGCGCAGCCTGCATCTCAGTTGTACGCCTTGCAGGTGTGCCACCCATCGCTATCTTCTTATCAACAGAGTCCACTAAAGGACTACCTATTTAACGGTAAACCCCGCTAAAGATCCACTAAACAGGGACACTAAATCGGCGCTACAGCGGAGGTTTGCAGCGCATCAGCGGGTGCCAAGGCTGCTGAAGGAAAAAAAAGCTAGCAGCAGCTGTGGCGCCAGTGCAGCAGCACCACAGCTGCTTTCCCCGCCAAAAACCTGCACGCTCAACACACCAGATGAGACGCACGCAGACACTGCATCACCACCACCACCAACACCACCAGACGATCAACCACCGCCTGCAGCAGCCCGTTCAACATGACCGGCCGAGTATCGCGAGCCTGCGACGGCTGCCGCGTCCGCAAAGTCCGCTGCAACGGCGACCAGCCCTGCTCCCAATGCTCCCATCTCAGCCTCAAATGCGTCTTCGCCCCTCCGCCGGCCAAGCGCAAACCCGGCGTCCGCGGCCGGCTCGTCGCCCAGCTTCGCAACAGCCAGGTCAATGGCACGCCGGTCCCGATACCAAACTCCAATTCGTCCACATACGTCGGTTCGGACAGCAGCCCGACATACAGCGGCGACAGCGTCTCGCCTACAGCTCCTCCGTCAGTGACGTCCATTGCCGGCATCGTCAACAACCACTCCAGCCCAACATACCACGGACTATCACTCGCAAGCCCGTTAAGCGGCAATGCTGTCCCTGTACCGACAAGATATACTACAGACTTCTTCCTGGGTTATCTTGGCCTCTTTGAAGAGCAGGTGTATCCGTTTAATCCGACAATCTCGCCCGCCGACATGCGCGTCGCCATCCACAACATGCATGCTGACTACCAGGACGCTGCGCTTGTATACGCCTTTGCGGCCGTCACAATCAATCTCACGCAGGAATCGTGGTCGGGCGGATCGGGCACAGACGACATTGCTTCGGAAATGTCGACGCTGATGGAGCTGGCGATGCTGGCGCACAAGCACGCTGAAGCGGTGCGTAACGGCGACATGGGCCGCTTTGGCGAGCTGCCTGTCACGCTGAAGCGCATTGCAACATGTATGTTTCTAGAAATCTGCATGATGGCGTTTAAACGGCACGACCGCGCGTTTGCGCTGCTTCGGGAAGCCATCACCATGATCCAGATCCTCAATGTCCATCAATACCCCGCCAACCCAGACCCGACTACAACTGCCGCTTCAGATGCTACCAACGATCGCCGGCTTTCGCCGCGAGATATCTTCCGCCTTAAACGAATATACTGGGAAGCTTATATACATGAACGCTTTCTATCCACTGTAGCTGCTTTTCCCTGCGTCCTCCCTCCGCTCAACACTGGCGTCCCTATTGGCGACCCTTCCATTCCTCCGCACATTGACGGCGCATTTGCCCGGCTCACATACCTATTCAAGATTCTTGATGGACCATTCCTAGCACATTGGATTGCCCAAAAGGACTCGTCTGCTCCTGTTCCCGAGATGACGGCCGAATGGATCGAGACGAAACAAGCAGAACTTGACCAAGACGAGGCTGATGCGGGCGAGGCCGAACGTGCCCTCGCATCCAGCGGCCGCGGAAGCTTTACAGAGCTACAAGTTGCCGATTTACTAATTACACGACTCTGGTTGCGGACGCTAGTCTGGCAGTTTGCTTTGTCTCACGGTCTGTTACGCTCTGCGCCACCGCGCTCAGCGCACCATGGCCTGTCGCTTCACTTCCCGGCACAGCGTCTTTCTTCCCAGCTTCGAAATCTGGTGAATAATATTCAAAACACATCAAGCATCACGTTCCACGGTAGTGGTATTATCCAGAAACTCTTTGAGATCACGTCTACAGTGGCAGATGTCCTGGCGTTGCCGCTTGGCCCTGGCCAAACCCAAGAAGAGTTCCGCGTTCGACTACAGGACTTTGAGTTTCTCGTTCGCTTTATTTTTGGTTTTGAGCGCATTCAAAAAGAGCAGCGGAATTATTTGCGAGAGAAACTCGGTGCTTTGCAGGAGCAGTACACCATTGTCGACTTCTCTGAGCTTGCCAGCTTGAGTCCTAGCTCGACTCGATGAGACAACCCTACCCTATAGAGGGGTGTTGCCTTTGGCAGAGATTTTCTGCCTATGTCTCTGTAAATATTATGTTTTCCATCAGTCCAAAGTCTATGAAGTTATAGGTACTTCTTCACAAATTTTATTTGTCAATAATGTTGGGCGTTAGGTGTTATATCGCGCATGGATCTATCACGATCTAATGATCAGGCATATTGTTTCTTATATAGCAAATTACACTGAACAATTCACTTCCTTCTGAGTAGATACACATGCGTTGAAGATACTCAATTGATTACGAGAACAGCTATCTGCATATATTGAAAATTCAAATACCGAATCCGTAGCTCGCTAGCTTCGTCGGGAATGAAGCCATCCGCAGCAAGTCCTTAGGCGTCAATCTTGATCTTGGTGAAAAGCATCGTCGAAGCAGCAAAGATAACAGGCAAAACGCTAACAATTTCGCCCAAGCCAGCATACGCAGGTGGAATACGTACATTAACGAATGCACCAGATGCGAGCAGAATAGCCAGCACATTGTACACAGCAGACCAGCCAAAGTTGAAGGCCATGCGACGGAAGCTGACCCGGCTAATCTCCAAAAGGAATGGAATACCCTCCAAACCATTGAGAAGAACCACGTCGGCAGCACCGCGGGTGACATCACTGGCAGACAAGACGCTGGCAATTTGGACCCCGACGTCGGCTTGCGTAACAGCCACGGCGTCATTTGTTCCATCGCCAACAAACATGACATTCTTGCCCTCAGCCATGAGACCTGCAACGTAGTCACGCTTCTCCGATGGAGTGCATTGAGCTGCAAAGCTTGAAATTCCAACTTGGCCAGCAACGCTCTCGACAGCCTGTCTCTGATCGCCGGAAACGATGTGCAGGTTGATCTTGCGGCGAGAAAGTTGGGAAATAACCTTCTTCGCCTCAGCTCTCAGGCGAGTGCGCAAACCATAAATGGCAATTGGTCGGTCATCCCGGGTGATAGCCAGAATTGTCATACCTTGAGAAAGGAGTCGCTGAACCGAATGGTGGCTTTCTGTTCCAGTCCACTTGGGATGACCGGCGCGGAGCTTAGATCCAAACACTGCTGCTTCAACACCGGAACCTGGAATGACATGGACATCTTCAATGATGGCCGTAGATGGGCAGTTCTGGACATGCTTGGCAACGGCTAGCGAGACGGGATGCTTGTTTCCAGCAACGAGGGCCTTGGTGATTGCTTGTGCCTCATTGTCATCGGGAAGAAAATACTCCTGGTCCACAACGTCGAGTTCGCCTTCAGTGATGGTTCCGGTTTTGTCAAAAACAATGTCGGTAACCTTGCGAGATCGTTCAGTGCAGTCGGCCGACTTGATGATGACGCCGTTGCGTGCTGCGATGCCACCAGCAACCACTAAAACCATGGGGACAGCAAGACCAAGAGCGCAGGGGCAAGAAACTGCCAAAGTAGCGACGGCATAGGTGATGGCGTTGGACACTGCCTGACCAGTGTTGTAGTGTCTGACTTTGATGCCAACTGCAAGCCAAACAATGATCACCACGACGGCCACGGCAGTAACAATGGGGACGAACCAACTCGCGACGCGATCCGCAATGTCTTGCAACTTTGGCTTCGAGTTTGCTGCCTCCTCAACCAACTGAGCAATGTCAGTAACGGTGTTTTTACCTGGGAGTCGCGTCAACCGAGCAACTAGCGTGCCCGAGCCGTTGATTGTGCCAGCAATGACGGAGTCACCATTCTTCTTGAACACTGGCACACTTTCTCCCGTAAGCATAGACTCGTCAACCTCGCTAGAGCCAGTGATGACGATACCATCAGTTGGCACCACGGAATGAGGCCCAACCTTGAATTTGTCGCCGTACTGCAGTAACCTGGCGTCCATCTCGGTGTCTTTCCCATCTTCAACAATCGTGGCAGTAGCAGATTGCAGAGATCGAAGTGACACTGCAGCGACAGCTCGCACTCTTGCAAAAGCAGCAACTAGACGACCCAAGATGACGAGAGTGATGAGGAGCGTGCTGGTTTCGAAAAACTCCGACGTTTCCAGCGGCCTTCCAGCCATACGGAAGCCAAAGGCAACGATAGAATACACGTACGCCGCCGTGATGCTGATGACGACCAACATGTCCATCTCAATGGTACGAGTATGCACGAGAGCAGAGATGGCAGGACGGTAGAAATCGGGAATAGCGATGAGTTGGACGAGGGTAGCCAACACGATTGAAATATAAGCGCGTGTAGTCTCATCAATAAGCGTATCGCCCCAGGCCAGCACCACAACCGGGATGGTCAGAATGGCAGAGACGACTGTCTTGATAAGCTGGTCGTACAACCGTTTTCTGCCGCTGGAAATAGACGGGTCGTCTCGTGGAGGTGCAAGTCCCTCTGAAAGTGGTTTGATGCGCGCAAGTAGCGTTCGAGCGCCCACAATGGTCGGGTCATAGCTTATTCGAACCGTTTTCTTGTTAAGAATAACGACCTGAGTGATGCCATCGTAAGTGAGGTCCAAGAGAGCTTTTGCATCGTTTCCTGAGGCCAAAATGTCAAGCGTTTGATCGTCACTAGTGAGCGTCGTGCATTTAAAACCAGTGCCGCGCTCAGAAGCACGAATGATGTCTTCGGCTGTCGTCATAGCACCGTCGTAGTTGCACTCCGCACTGCCCATGACGAAATTGACTCGGACTGCAGAAACACCTGGGAGACTCTTAAGCGTCTTTTCCATCTTGTTTCCGCAGCCAGAACAGGTCATGCCCTCAACGTGCAGAACAAGATGCTCCAAGTTGGCTGCCTTTTCGAGATCTCCTCCGTATTCTGCGTTATACGCAGGAGCGGCAATCTCAACCTGGGTAGTGGTACAACCATCGTCTTTCTCGTCCTGGTGGTGGGATTCAACCTTCTTTCCACGGCGCCTAACCTGGTGGTGATGGTGGGAACCCTTGGCCGATCGCCCAGTGGATTTACCATGATGCTGGGTCGTCGTGGTAGCCTCGCTAGTTTTGGCTTGCTTGTCGCAGCAGCTTTTAGCCCATCCGCGTTCCAAGATGCCTCGGCAGATACAGCGAGCCTGTTCGAGATACGCAGTGTACTGGTCGAATGCTCTCGTCAAGTGTGTGCTGCAAGCAGTGTTGAGATGGTGGCCGTGGTCGTCGTGTTGGTGGTCGTGGGACGAGTTGCCTAAAATAGTAATTAGTAGATTTACTTCTGGTTGCTCCTCAATATTGCACCTACCATTCTCAGAGCTGCTTTCGCAGGCCTTTTCGCATTCAATAGCAGCAGCTGCAATGATACACTTTTCTATTTTCAAGCGTTAGTGGCTGTTTGTATTTTGTAGTCTGAAATTTATGTGCGTACCGTCGCAGCGTTCGTCGTTGGAGTCGCAGCATGCAAGTGTGGCGGATTCGCTGCAACTGTCGTCACTGTCGCAGCATTCCGTATCCATGCAGATTTGGCTTTGTTCGTCGCAGGGAGCATCGCCGTCACAGTGTATATGAGTAGTCTCTTGGGCCTCTCCATGATCATGGCCTTGTTTTGGGGTGCTGTGATCATGGCCATGATCGGTAGGGTTGACCTGATCGCCGCCGGATCCGTCCTTGGAGCAGCAGCCGGATCCCATGATGAGGTTGGTTATTTGGAGTTGGTTTAGTTGTAGGGTGTTTTAATTTGAGTAAATTGGAAACGTTGATTAGGAAGTTGGGAAACAAATAAGTGATTCAAAGGAACATGCATCGATGGGGGATAATGATATAAATGCTTGCCACCAGAAGTGCCCGCCAGCCGTCTAACGCTGGCCCGGTGTGACAGCTGGTGGCAGTGAAGGGAGCATGGCAAATAGGAGGACGAAAAAAGTGGCATGACTTTTTCGTTGATGCCGTCACTACAGCTTGCACAATGGGGGATTTACCGGAGATGAATTTAACCAAGTATGTTCCTTCCAGGCGGCTGTGACTCGGACTTACACTGTGCAGAGCCCCAAAAGCGTTGTCACCAGGTACTTTTGGGCATCGGGCTTCCAGTGGATTCTTGCCTCCCGAGACTGCGGAATGGATCTGCCACTGTGGGCGTTTGCCGGTAGGCGCATTGTCGTACTTTAGTGCCAACGGCAGTCCTAATTAGGGGCAGTTGCAGCTGTTCCAGAGGGTCACAAGCGCTGTAACGTGTTCGTCCGTCCTTAGCGAGTGCTGCCACAGCCCACAATTTGGTGTCCTACAGCGGCTTAGCGCCCGCCCCAAGTCTCGGGGCGGTAGAAGCGTATGGAACGCCGACAGCGGGAACAAGTGGGGAGTGGACTGATTTCTGGCCAAATTGGTGTCACGCCAGCGCCGCGCATTGGCTTTGAGACCAGTTTCTACAGTGGGTTCCCACCCTCATTTTGCCGCTAGCCCTGTTACTTTCTCAGCCTGTAACAGCTAACAGAAACATGCCGCAACATGCATTTTAATTTGAATTAGCGTGCATAAATCTAAAAGTCATGTATATTGTCGTATATCAAAAAGTAACCGAGATGATAGATACTAACATAAAAAAACAGCCAATTTACAGAATGGACCCACGAAATCTCACTGTTGTACCCCTTCAACAGCCGATGATCGACTCTGCACCACCAACAGATCAGCTCCAATGCCTGCTGAAGTGTAGAATCCCGCCAACGACCCCAAGCACGCCCGAAGATCCTCCGATGCCCTCTCCTCAAGCTTTCCGTGGTCCATGTTGGTGCCACTGCCGCGTCCCATGACAATCAGGCTGGGAGTCTTACTCTCCTCACCCGATGTTTCAGCCGCCGCCATGGTCACCAAATCCTCCGCAGTCGTGATGCCAGGAACAGTCCGGATGCTTACCCGAGACGCAGTGTCGGCAGGCAAGTTAGACGTAACTACTTCGATGAGCTCATCCGACGAGGAAGAGCCTGCTTGACCCGAGCTCGATACACGTACGATCGATGCGGTTGCTTTGGAGTTTTCGCACAGCTGAAGAACAACACGCAAAGCCAACTGGTCATCTTCATCTCCAAAATAAGCCAAGAAGATATGGTACGGTTTGTTTCGGAGAGGAGCGATCGGCATGTCCTCTCTCATCACGCCAAACGAGTACGTTCTGGCTAATTTGCTTCCCTCGGGCCCTTTACCTTTGCCCACACCACTTTCGCTACGAGAGAAGAAAATGGCCACATTATGCAGTTTGATTTCCAAGACAGATTTGACAAAACTGGCATACACGGACGAGACCCTTTGGTCGACAGTTTGCGCCGACAGAAGTTGCGTGTCGCCCATGCCACCTGTTTCACTCCACGGGACCAGGAGCAGATCAGAAGACATCTTGCCGGCCTTGGTTGTCAACGCTTCCGAGAAGCGAGTCTCTGGCATGACTGCCACTTCGCCAGACGCTGCCAAATTGTGAAGCTGCCCGACCGTGCGAAATGTGTTTACAATCGGATCATGGCGACTGTAGTCGGCGACCTGGGACACTGTCATGACAGACGAGTCACGATCAGTGAGTTGAAGAAGGCGAATACCATGTGCCCAAACAGCTCGCTTTGGGCCCTCAGACAGAACATTGTCCTCAGCAGTATCGTTCCCGGCAGGATCAGTATTTTCCGCTTCTGGCTCGATAACAGTTTGACTACCAAACAGCGACAGCAGGTTCAGCAGTGCCGGCAAACTGTCCAAACGGAGATAGACCAATAGTCGACCGACGCGTTTCAGAGAAGACTTTTGCCGATCTGACTCAGTTTCACTGGAAGAGCGAATTGGTGCACCTGTATCCCAGTCGATTTCACCTCGCTTCCATGCCTCAATCTTGACCTGGTACCAAGGAGGATACAAAAATGAAACGATGGGGGTTGTGCCGAATGTTGTCAAAAGCGCCATAACAACAAAGATGGTAAACGTTCGTTGGCTGAGAATTTGGGCTTGCAAGCCGATGTTCTGAACAGGGATTAGTGCTTGTGACATGCAACAGCCTACAGGGACTTACAAGCACAATCAATTCGACGAGACCCTTGCAACTCATCAAAACACCAATGGTAAAAGACTCCCGCCATACTAAGCCGTTCAACCTGGCAGCCATAGAAGCTCCTAGAATCTTACTTATGAACGCCACGAGAGTTGTTGCAAAGACGTAGCCCCATGCAAGACCAGAGTCAAGCAACCCGAGGTTGGTGTTGAGTCCAGAAAGCGTAAAGTAAAGCGGGAGGAAGATGGCACCAATTAGATCTTCCAGCTTTTCTGTAACGCGAATGTTGAATCGATTTTCTCGAGGAATAATGAGGCCAGCCATGAAACCTCCGAAAATGGCGTGGACGCCAATGATGGCTGTGAAGAATGCCGATGCTAGTGCGATGATGAGGATGAGCGAAATTATACCCTGGGAAGGGTCGCTGTCAATACTTCCGCTGCGGCGGATAAACCAGACAAGTGCTGGTTTTATGATATATACCAGCAACAGCATATAACCAACACATGCGAGCAATATCCAAAGGGCAGTGAGTCCATTGCCGGCATTCACAAGTGCGACACAGAGCGCAAGAAGAATCCAACCTACTGGAGTTAATATGGTGTAGAGCTCGAGGTTAATTCGTAGACCTACCGACAACGTCATTGGCGACTCCAGCAGAGAGCGTAATAACACCGACCGAAGTATCCAAGAGCTTGAGTTCTGTCAAGATTCTGCACAGGACCGGAAAGGCCTGATGATAATTAGCAACTGCACTATTCGTGCCAATGCGTTGTTACTTACCGTGATGGCAATAGCAATACCAATAAAGAGCATGTACACGCTAAAGGAGATCGGCTTTAGGCCACTGTCCTCTCTGAAAGCATGGTAGACACCCCATGCGAGCGCACAGCCGAGACCGAAAGGAAGGGCGAGGCCAATGAAAGCAACCGACGAAGCCGCTCTCCAGTTCCTAACCAGAAAGTGGACGTCTGTTTCGAGGCCGATGAGGAAAAGATAGAGCACCAATCCCAGGTTAGCAACGAGATTGAGATTCGGGATGGATTCCTTTGGGAAAATGGCGGCTTGGAATCCCGGGATTCTGCCCATCACTGAAGGCCCAAGAATGATTCCGCCGACAACCTCTGCGATAACGCGCGGCTGGCGAATCTTGGAAAGTGGCCAGTGCAGAGCATGGCAAACAAGTACGATAAGACTGACCTAGGCAAGGTTAATTCGAGAATGCTTGACCAAAGACAATGAATGGGCAGCTTACTTGGATGATGAAAAGGACAATGGGGTTACTGGCTTGATACAGAACTGGGTTCATTCCCTCCAGAATACCACCTTGAGGAGTAACTCGCTGGGCGCTGCTCGAGGCGGCAGCGACAGCCGAGACCGTCTTGGTCACCGTCTGAACGCTGATCGAAGACATCCTGGTGCGATTGTTTGTGCGCGGTGACTCTTCAGCGTCGTCTCCCAGTCCAGTAGCAATGCGTGAAAAAAGGTTAAAATGCAGAGAGAAGAGTGCTGACGGTCCCCGCCGTTTAAAGTCTGGGGCTCTGGGACCCTTCAAAAAGGCGGCTCAGGCCTAGATTGGGCGATTGCGGCGTCCATCACACGCTTGACAGATGGCTTCGCCACAGCGCCTCGTTCTTGGGGACAAAGAATAGGCCAATGCGACCGTGGGTGCTGATCGCCGCAGCGAGTCAGACGGTCTAGAACCGGCGCTGCCTACCTAGCTGGCCAAGCTTTCTCGCCAAGCCTAGCTGTCAGATGCGTCGGTAGTTCAGCAATTAAAAAAACGACGAGAAGCTACAAGATGGGACGAATGTTGTGCTTGGTTGGTAGTCTACATGAAGCTATCGTGTTTATCCTTGTCACCGGTGTGTCGTATTGCATGGTTGACAAGACATGCAGCTGACAGCCACGCGACGACGTCGTACCCCTCCAAACGGCCGGTGAGCAGGATATGACATGGGCCGCGATAAGCGCTCATGATATTTCATCCCTTGCGTGCGCCGAGCCTTGCCGCATTCAAGCAAAGGCGTTAAGTCGCCATCATGCGCTGTCCTATGAATGACGTAGATGGCAAATCCAGACTACGCATCAACAGAACTAACTACTAATAACTCTACTCTGGATCTAATAGTCCATGCAGCAACGTTGACGCTAGTAGACTATTCGGTGGAGAAGCTGTTGTGGTCAAGTCAAGTGATTGTCTACTACCGCAGTACGCGATATGCGGGTGCTTGTTAGTCAAAGTTGGTTTTGCAGCGCACTTGGAGACGAGCCGGCCGAGGATGTTCTCGCTAAAATTACCTTCAGACGAACAGGGATAGTAGATTTTTGGTGCTAAATCTGTCTCTGGCACGTTGCGCCATTCTTCATCAGCGCCATGCTCCGGGTCGCGTCAACATGTCTCACTTGTCCCCTCACCGCGATGGTCTTCTGTTGAGGTTCTCGACTTTTGTAAACTTGAAGGTTAAATCTTTTCGGGTACCGCCAAAATGATGGAATACGACCCAATAAACCGGAATCGAAACCAGTCCGTCTTTACAGACACGACGTGCTATGATGAGGCGCTATCTGTACCCGAGAAGCTGGCGCTCATTCTTCAGCAGAAAGGCATGGTCGCACGCCTAACAAAACTCATGTTGAAGCACCGACCCGGAAAGTTTGTCCAGTTACACCCGACGTACTATGGTAGCTTTAATTGCTGTTTCCATATGGAGCTTGAGGATGGTCATGTTGCTATGAGGATACCACTGCCAGAGAACTCGATCGATGCAGAGCGCAAGATGCATTCAGAAGCTGCCATTATGCGGTTAGTCGCCGAAAGGACGACTATTCCGGTTCCCAAGATATACCACTGTGGCACTGGAAGAGAGAACCCTACTGGTCTTGGCCCCTTTATCATCATGGACTACGTTGCCCACGAACGTACCATGGCTGATCTTCTACAAGCCGGGGCTGCCAACGGATCACCAGGACCGAGTGCTGCTATAGATAAACAGCTCCCCCACGAAATGGTGCGACGCATATACGGACAAATGGCAAATATAATCTTACAGCTGGATAAAATCACCATGCCACGTATTGGTATGCTGCGTCACGACAACACCAACAACCGAAAGCGCAAATATGCCGTATCAGGGATGCCTATGACCCAGAACCTGACTGACGTAATCGTCTTTGGGGGCATGCCGTCTTACTTGTTGGATAACCGATCTTATACTTCCTCGTTCCAATTTTATAGCGCTCAAGCAGATCTTCACATGGCTCATTTCCTCTTTCAACAGGAGACAATAGTGGAATCCAAGGACGACGCAAAGGACAAGTACATGGCTCGCTTGCTGTTTCGCCGGCTCTGGCAACAAGGCAAAATTATTTACGATGTACAAGATGGCGTGGAAGAGTTTGCGGCGGAGAAGTTTAAGCTTATTTGCGACGATCTCAGCCCCAACAACATTCTCTTGGACGACGATAACAATGTTGTAGGAATTATTGACTGGGAGTTTGCATACTTTGGCCCAGAAGCGATTGCTACTTCACCGCCCTGGTGGCTACTTCTGGAAAAGCCTGAACTCTGGCACGCTGGGTTCCATGACTGGGTGACGCTCTATCCGACTTATCTCGAACTATTCCTCGAGGCTCTGGTGCTGGAAGAGAAGAAGGCCGGCAAGAAGCCAGAAGATATTGCATCAAAGATTGAAGCACTCAGCATTAGCCATACATCTCCGTTTGACGATGTTACAAAAGGTACATTGTCGCAGAAGATGAGAGCAAGTTGGGAATCAGGCGCATTTTGGATCAACTGGGCCTCGCGGCGTAGCTTTGGCTTTGACACTGTGTTTTGGAACTTTCTTGACGAGCGCTACTTTGGGCCCAATGAAAAGGGCGGTTACGAAGGGCGATTATCACTGTTGACAAGAGAAGAAAAGGAAATCATGGACTACGTGGCACATAGCAAGATGATGGAGAATTACCAGACAGATCGACGGCGATGGCATAGAGCAGACTCGAGGATGTATCTGAAAGCAATCATGGGCAAGAGCAGGGTATAATTATATAGTAACAACAATAATAGTAATACTAAGAGAAATTCCTAACGAACTGGTTAACATTATTCACCAACAAAATAAACAATGTGACATACCATTTCTCCATTGCTTCCCTCCACTTCTTCCGCAATGGCGAAAGACACTCCACCCTGGCTATATACGTAGCCTTTTCGTCTCGAGACAGGCGGAAGCTGCTGGCAGGGTCGTTGTCATCGTCCAGAACAGCCTCTACCACTACAAGCTCCTCCATCAGTCTTAACAGGCTCGTAAGCAGGGGAAATTCCTCGGCTTCTTCGGTGCCGTTGGTCTCATGCCTCCCGGCGGCCAAGAAGACAACACAGCAGCCGGTAACAACGACCGTCGCGACAAGTTCAATAAACTATTTTGTTCATATTAGTTGATTTAGTAGTGCTAGATATTAAGAAATAAAGTAAAAACACTTACGTGAGTCATGGTCTGTTTGATTTGGTGTTTGATTGTTCGCGCTGATGAACATGCTACTGTTCTGTAGTCATTTTATTTATTACCCCCTTCCTTCTTTTACACTTTACTAGGTAATTACCAATTATGGAAATCTTCTTCGTTCTTTCCCAGCGGCTTTTCTTACCAACACCGGCAACCACTTACAGCACCGCTCCTTCCTTTCTTCATCCACCAAGTGTACGATAGCGAAATCACACCGGGTTTACGCCGAGTCCGGGGCAGAGCTGAACAGGATAAAGACACTAAATATTCAGCGCAAGAGGTGGAAGCGGTTGCCTATTTCTCACGTGGGAAGTGCATTCGATAGCGTGTTAAACGCTGCGCTACTGTATGTGACGTTGTATTGCTCTGTAGGCCCTGGCCTCGAGGCTGCGCTCACCCGGGGGAGCGCGGGCCGTGCGCTAAACTAAACTACAGAAGAGAAATTCGGGGTATTATTACTGGTGTTGGAATTTCTTACAGCTACGAATACAGTGAAGTGCGATCGCGCAATGAAATGGGCGAATGAAGCCGAAGCACGATGTGAGTCTTCTCTAGATGTGGTAATAGCGTTGGGAGACACGCACACGGGCTAAAAATGCAGTATAGCTGCTGTTCCCCCATCTTTGAGAACTTCTCCGCACTATCCGCGGACAATACAGCCTGTTTGTTTGTTCACTAACCAAGGTTCGGGTCAAAGCGCAATTGCATACATACCGACTTTATTCCCTAATGTTTGCGGGGTCGATAAGTAGTGGCGCCCATGTTTGCTGCAGCTTACAGTCAGATATGTCGCCATTTACAGAAAAAAGTTATCTGGTGGTTTAACGTGCGCTGGGAAGATGCGTCTCTCACAACGCCCTATGATCATCATATGCCTATCCAGCCTGCATTTTAACCTCACATTTGACACGCCGATCCAAACAAAGCTCAACTGTGACCAGATCTTGTGGCAGAAGATCGCAAACCGACAAGCTTTCTCCTGCGCCGCGATAAACGGCCCGAATAACGATCGCGTGGCCCATGGTTTCAAAGCGACGCTAGTGACGCCGTTTGCTGACCTTGTCGACCAACCAGCGTCAAGAACCGGCGACTTCATTTCTAGTGCAAATGACAAATCTCGGAGCTGTTGTAAATGATTGGCCGAATGATCCTTCTGGCTCGTTCGTCAACTCTGTTTTCTGTGATGCACCCGCGTTATCCTAGTGCAGGTGCAGGCACAACGTCACATTGCACTTCCGCACCCTGCTGTAGACTACCGAATCTTAGGGCTACATTGAAATTGGGTTGCAGATGTCGGTCATGTTTCTTGCAGAGCAGCTCCAAATGTGCCACTAACTAAGCGTAATCATAGGCAAGTGATGTAGGAAATCAGGCTAGACGAGCTCTTTGCGCCGTGAGAAGTGCCGACGTAACGTGTATAAAAAGTGCGTGTATGCCCGGTACTTGTATACTTGCCAGCTTTCTAACCGGTATACGAAGCTTTTTGTATACATTCAAAGTTCAATATGAAGTGGACACTTGTTAAAGCGTTGACTATAGGAGCACTGCTCCAAACCACCACTGCTCTACCAGCAACACCCGACAAGCTCAAAGTCGTCAAGACTACCAAGCATGGCGACCAGACTATCGACTGGGTGGTAAAGGAGTCTCAGGGCGAGATTGCGTCCCCTCCTCCTCATCCTCCGGCCGGTACGCAGAAGAGAGCCGCGGATGTGCCGTCTGCTGCTCAAATCGCCTCAATCCCGGAACCTGGCCCCGAGGGTACCGTGCCCATTGTTCGCAGCAGCAAATCTAATATTCCTCCCAAGCGGCTCCCACAGGCCTCGGACAACAACAGTACTCATGGTGCAACGACATTTGCTGCAAATGGCTATGCTGGCACGCACTGGTACGCCAGCTCGAACCAGAACATTCTCAACCACGGCGGCGGCGCCAAGTTCAGCATCTACAATGCATACCTTGAGAGCGACTACGACTTCTCTCTGCTTCAGCTGGCTGTCACTGTAGGCAGTGCTCCTAAGCCTGGTGGTGGTACTACTGGCCAGACCCTGGAAGCTGGATGGATGCACTATCCGTTCCTCGAATCGGGGGGTCCTTTCCTCTTCACCTACTTCACCACCAACGGCTACACCAAGTCTGGCGATAACCAGGGAGGATACAACCGTCTCCAAAAGGGTTGGATGCAGGTCGATAAGGACATCTTTCCTGGTATCCACCTCTCCCCGATGTCTGTGGACGGTGGTGCTCAGTACGATCTCCAGCTCAACTACGTTCTATACCAGGGCAACTGGTGGCTGTACGCATTGGACCGCTATATCGGCTATTACCCAGCCAGTCTTTACAGCCAGGGCGGTGTTGATGCTTCCAAGACTCTGACCACACACTCGGATGTAATTCTCTTCTACGGTGAAGTTGTCAACAGCCAGGATCATCTTACCACCACGGATATGGGCAGTGGTGAGTTCCCTGACAAGGGATTTGGCAAGTCTGGGTACATCCGCAACATTTTCTACCTCGACACCAACGATAAGGCTCAGGACTACAACTCTCAAGGACACTATGTGATTAGCGATCCTAACCGCTACCAGATTTTGGATCACTGGAACTCTGGTACAGATTGGGGAAGCTATGCCTTCCTTGGAGGACCTGGTGCTGGCGGTGTTGTAGGTGGTTAAAGTGTTTGTGTTAAGTAGTTCACGCTACAAGTATAGCGTAATGTATATATGTTTATAAATATATAACAGATTGATTCTGCGTTTATTCCAATAACAAACAAACGAAATATATTCAAAGATTTAACGACCGAGAGCAGAATCTGCCTGTGGTTGAATCGTTCTACTCCACGAACATCTTGCCATTCTTTACTTGCAACAACCCATTGTTCATCTTGAAGATAACATCAGCATCCTCTAGTGTTTCCAGCCGGTGAGCAATAGTTAGAATGGTACATCCGGCAAACTCTCGCGCGATGACATCTTGCATCCTCCTATCGGTATCCTGGTCGACGTTACTTGTCGCCTCGTCTATCAATACCAGCTTGCTGCCGGTACTGATATTGTGTAGTATAGCGCGAGCGAGACAAAAGAGCTGCATTTGACCTTGAGACAGCCCAACGGTGGAAAACTCGGCATCAAGGCCATCTTTTGTCGAGATGAATTCCCATAAATCCACTTTTGTTAAAGCCGTTTTCATGGCACCGTCATTGATGGCGTTCTGCCTCTGGTCACGAGACTCCTCTGGTGGTAGAAACGGGGCCAGATTGTCTCTTACTGTACCACCGAGCTCAATAGCATCTTGCGGAAGAGTAGTGATGCGAGATCGTAGCTCTTGACGCGTGATGTGTGCTATATCGACACCGTCAATAACAATGGAGCCTGAGTACTCCAGAAGATGCAAAAGCGCTAGAAGGAACGAACTCTTGCCGCTATATATGCCGTTAGCAGTGTGATCTTACAGAAACACCCTGTCTGTTTAAACGCTTACCTGCCAGTACGTCCAATGATTCCAACTTTTTGTCCTGGTTTGATGGTAGCTGATAAACTTCGCAGCACTGGAACAGAGTTTGTGTCATTAGGGCTGTACAAACCGTCAGTAAACTTGCAAAGTATTTTATACAGTCTAACAGAAACAAGACTTACTTGTAGTTTGCCGTCACATTTTTCAGTTCAATTGCGCCACCATCAGGCCAGCTAGCGGGCAGGCTTGCTCGGGGTTCTCGAGGACCTGGCTCTATTGGTGTCTCTGAGACGAACGATTTCAATCGAGCAACCGCCCCGAGTGAAGTCTCCAGATCGATCCAGTTTTGTACCCATTTCGATAGGCTATCGCTAAATTTGACCATGTTTAGCAGGGAAAGACCAATTGCGCTCTGGCTTGTTGTTCCTGTGAACCGCAGGGCAAATGCTACCAGCGTCACAGCAACTGCCATAACGCAAAAGTCCAATACTAATGCGAGCCATCTTTGGATAGCAAACATGTAATAGTATGGCTTTTGCGAGTGATCGAGAAGCTTGAGGCCTTGTTGAAGATTCTTTTCTTCCCAGCCGAATGCGCGGATATGCTCTATCCCGGCTGCGGTCTCCGTGAGCTGGGTGTAGAGGGGGGATTTGGCCTCCAAATCAAGATAACGCATCTGTCGTGATGTGCGGAGGTAGTATATTTGAATCATATAGAGCCCTCCTATCAAAGCTGGTAGGATGGCCGCTGCATACTTGGCCCCGGATAAAATAACAACCAAATCCACCAACACTGAAAAGAATTCTTATGAAAACATTAGTTGTAAATTCTCTTTGTTTGATCATTAAACTCACGAATTAGAGTTAGAGAAACTGCTCTGGGAAGAGTTTGGTTTACTAGTGTCATATCCTGGCTGAATCTGTTTATGATGTTGTTAGCCGACGGGTCTATAAGCGTCAAGTGACAAAAGCAAACCTATTTAAAATTGTGCCCGTATCGCTCGATGATATGAATCCAATTGTGACACTGCTAAATGTTAGAATTACCAGGGCTAGCCAGGGAATATGGGATCGTACGCCATAACCGTCTTGACCAACATCCAGTGCAGATTTTCGGCTGATCTTGGCACTAGTTTCATCATATAAACCCTGTGGAACATGGTTAGTACAAGAAGAGAGAGAGTATGGACAACGGTATCAACACCTACGTGAGCATGGCCATGCTGCATAGAAAACTCGTTGCTCCAAGAACAGCAAATCCAACAAAATATATGTTGTTATCGGGATCCTTCTCAAGCCAAATGCGCACAAAGATAGCTGGCATTTTCTGCCAAATCGCAGACAGTGCCACCATGCCCAGCCATATAGCAAATAGTGCGAGACCGTTAGATTTGAGATAAAAGTAGTATAAACTTGCATCTCCTCTCTGGCGCTCAATTGCTTTGTCCTTCTTGGCTATTGACGATGCTAAGGGATTGGCTTGTTGACTTGATCCTCCACGAGTTGTTCTTGATTGCCTTTCTTTACCCTTATTTTTGGTATCGGTGGCCTCATGGTCTACCCTGCTGGCTCTGGATGGCACCTGACTTGCAACAGTGACTGTGCCTCCATCGTCAATGGTAATAACATTATCGGCGATATAAAGATAGCCGACTAGATGACAGAACGCAGCTATAGTTAGCATATAGATATATTGAGATAGGAAATCGCTGAACTTACCTGCATGTGTAGCAATAATAACAATGGCTCCATATTTGCGCACAATACCATCATCACCAAATAGTCGATGCAGGACAGTAGCAGCAGTAGTTATGTCTAAGGCGCTAAAAACGTCGTCGAGAATCATGACCGGTTTCTGTGAATAGACTGCTCTTGCCAATGCCTATAAAATTAGTGTTAGTTAGAGACCATTTAGATATAATACATAATATCTCAAGACTTGCAATTCGTTGCCTTTGGCCGCCACTCAAGTTGACGCCGCTGCTACCAGCCAGCGAGTCATCACCACCAGCGATTTCTTTAAAATCTTCAGTCAATAAACAGCCATGTACCACTGTGTCATACCACCGTTGATCAAATAAACTCTCACCAATAATATTTTTTCGCAAACTAACATTTCTCAGCCAAGATGTTTGGTCGCAATACGAACTGTTGCCTTTGTTCGACGAGACTATGCCTGTGATGAGTGACGTCTCTCCAAGTATCGTCTTTAATAACAACGTTTTGCCGCATCCGACAGGTCCTGTAATTATGGATAAACTGGATTTCGCGAGGCTCATATTGATCGATTTCAAAAAAGGCTCGTCGCTTTGACCAGCGGCAACAGATACATCCTTCAATTCAACAGTGACTGATGGTGTATCAACGTCTCCAGTCCGCTCAATGCTGTTCAGAGGTATACCGCCGCTCTGACGGTCATTTTCTGGATCCGTGTCAGCAACCTCTTTAGCCACAACCTTGCGTTCTTGTTCTTCTAGAAGCAGAAACTTTTGGACGCGGCTGAAAGAGGTCATAATAGAGAGAAGCTGTGGGAAGGCAACCAGGAGCACCTCGAGTGGAGAAGAGACCAGTAAAACGACGGACAATGTTGAAAAGGCTTCAGCAGCAGACAGTTTGCCTGCTATATTTGTCCAAAACAATCCACCAGCCATCACAATGATGGGTGTGATGTTATTGGAAAATGTGGCTATTAGATGTCAGCAGAAGTCATGATACAATCCTTTCGGGGAAACAGACCTAAACCGAAGAGGGCAATTTGATAAACCCTAGATTTCTTTGACTTTTGAAGCTCATCTACACGCAAGCCCTGTAGCTTATCACCGACGGTTGGTGCCAAGCCCGTCATTTTGATGCCTTTGAGCTGACCCAAGACAACAGACGTAGCCGCAACTCTCGTTTGAATGCTCTTAATCCATAATAGACGGGCTGGGCTCATTCGCTTGGAGAGTCGCAACGAGACAGCCACGTTGACTTTTCAATTGACATAATGTTAGTAGCTATTCTGCGTAGTTGGCAACTAGAGATCTTACTGGACGATGGTATGACGACCAAGAATGATGCCTTGCCGACTAGGGTAGCCAGCAAATAAATGCCGATGGCAAGTTCAATAATACTAGCCCATATCTCGTGGAATAATACAATTCCAGATTGTATGCCATCCATATCAGTACTCATGAGAGTGACTGCAGCCGAGCGTTTCGCTTCGGACTGGTTCAATCGCGTTGTTTTTGCGAGAATGGATGATACAACATGACCGCGGGTTAGGGTGACTGAACGATACATTACATGATTGTAATATGCATTGCTGACCTAATCAGTGGTTAGTCCTGACGTTGCTGTGCATTTTGATTGTGTTCTTACAGCCAACCCCAAGTACAGCAAAATTGTTGCTGTTATAAGCCCATTTGTAACATCGTCGGAGTGATCTTCTTGTCCTACAGCATTCACAATGCTTTGAAGAAGAAGCGGTTGTGAAAATTTGAAAGCTGCGAAACACAACCGCGGGAAAATAATGGCGATTGAGGGCTTGATAAGAAGTTTTGCACAGGTTATTGCAAGACAATACTTGGATGTTTTCTTCTCTGTGCATGAAGTAAGTGACTATTTCTTGATATTCAATATATTATTTTATACGTACCACTTTGCCAGTTCTCTTGGAATTTTCGGTGCAGCGCCTGGGAGCCAAATTTTGGTGCTAGGTCAGGTAAGTCATCTACATCAATGATTGCTTTAAACCCAGCAAACAAGGTGCGATTAAGCCAAATGAATAAAGTTCGGTTGAAGAGACCACCGGCGCATTCGGGTCCAAGTTCGGACTGCAGCTTCTCCGACTTGAGGAGAGACTTCTTTGACATTTCTTCAAGAACCAGCAGCACCATCTTTGACACGGCCGAGATGATTGTCACGATACCCAAGCTGGATAACCCTGGGCGGCGGTAGTAGGAGCGTGCCTTAACAATGTCCAAAAGAATAGCAATAAACAAATACAAACCTATGAGCGCTGAAGAGCGAGGGGACCGGCGATGTTCAGCGAAGAGAACAAATGCCACGCCAGTTGCAGCAAAGCATTTTAGGACTACAGCAGCCAGCGAAGCGTCTGAGTCGAAAGTGCGTAAGACACTCCATAAGATAGCACCAGCCAGCTCAGTTGCAAGAAACAGAAATAAGAAGGACTATTTGCCGCGTTAGATGGGTGAACTACTGAATAGGAACCGACAACCTACGAGTTTCAGCCATAATAGCAGCCCTGTCTGAACTTGAACAGGCCTAAGTGACAGCTGGTACAGATAGACGGCACCAATGACAAGGAGCACACTGGATGGTAAAATCGTAAAGATTGTTTGTTCAAACAAAAGCGTAAAGTCGGACTGTCCGTCGAGCTGAGGCCCAAAGCTACTGTCCATAGTACTGGTGGTTTTGTTAACGTGGAGCGGACTACAGCTTGAAGAGAGCTTCAGGGTATATCATACAACGGTCGTATACAAACAGACAATCGATGTTGACAACTAAGACACTGGATTAAAGATAAAAGTAGCTAGTTCGCAATTCAGATATACAGGTTGGTAAGCAAAAAAAAATTTACAAGGAAAAAAATGTCGCAGACGGACGGAGGGGTAGGCTATACCTTAGCGCAGCGCCACGGGCGAAGATGGTTTACAGATGACCTTTTCTGGCGGCATCACTAGCTCAGAACTACACCAAAAAGGGCAATCTTCAAGCAGCCACTGCACAGGACTACACACAATTTTTCGGTCGCTACGTTCTCAGAGCTACCGTATACCACACTCAAGTAGCCGCCGGGCCGCTACAGTGGGTAAACAAAAGTTACCAGTAGTCCATATTCCAACAGAAGCATTGCGAATATATTTACACAAATCTTATATGTAATAGTCATCTAAAAAGTCGATACATGCAATGTATTTATGCCATACATAATATTCTATAAATATCGTAGCCACCTCCTTGTCGGGGCGGCGCCCTGCCGCTATCATGACGTAACAAGGAGGCCATGAATACATATGCAGGGAGAATAGCTTTAGGATTATACAATTAATGCAAGACGAGATGGTTCAATTGATAGGCGGCTGCTATATCTAACTACTTTTTGTACGTGATATACAGCGAGTTACTTTATAAGGATTATATCGCTGCTATTGCTTCCATCCATTAGCGTGATTGGTTTAGTGGTAAAATTCTCCGTTGCCATCCGCAACGTCGGGGAGCCCTGGGTTCGATTCCCAGATCACGCAAGTGAATTTCTCTTTTTGCATCACGCCGTCTTGTGGCGCAAATATTTCGTTGATTTGGCGATCTCTTTTTTTTGTTCCTGTCTCATGTTTGTCCAAGAGGTGAGAGATTTCTAAGCCGCAATCCAAAGCGGCTGAGACCCCGAGAGCCTTGCGAGCCGTTGGCAAATCCGAGGTACGTACCCATTCATACAGACGCTTGTCACGCTGGTTAGCCGTTGGCTGGGTTGTACCGCACAGTCCGAGGCAAACGAGAAATAAATGCGCAATAAATTTAAAAGGAAAAAAAAAGTGTCTATTGTTTCAATTGTGTACAATTTTTTATTCTAAATATCTTTTATCGCTACAGTACAACTGTCCGCCTTCCTTCAACCACGGTCCAGTCGCGACACCCGTCACACAACTTACGCAGCGCCACCTGCCAACGGGTGCACACACTAACGCCGCCCGGTTCCCCTCCACCAGCACAAGCTTGTAGATCTTTCTTCACCAACGAGGCTCAGTTCGACCGGCAGGCCCGGAATCATGTCCTTTGATAATTAGACGAGATATTCTGCTTCAATTTAACTGCAGGCTGACGGCCAAACTTCTAACGGAATAAATCGAGGGTTGCTAGCTGAGTCTAAGACTCATATTTGCTTCAGAGCCTCGCTCACAATTTCCTTGACTCACAATGGATTTCGAAACACCACCACACGATAGCGAGTCACCGATTGATCAATCAAGGCCTGTACAGCCTATCGCCTCATCCAGAAGCTGTCTCACGTGCCATCGCCGCAAGGTTCGCTGTGACCGCCGAAACCCGTGCAATCACTGCTCACGCAACAATATCCCCTGCATCTTCCCGTCAGCAAACCGTCCGCGGCGTTCTCTTTTGGGATCGTCATTGAATGGAAATGACGAAGATGATGCGGCAGATGAAATCACCTCGAGGCTGCAAAAGCTGGAAAGCATCGTAGAGGATCTACGAGGCAAAGTCCCCAAGAAGCCCAACGCCTCCCGCTCTGCAGCCTTCCAGCAGCCTTACGGGAGACTACTGCTGGATCCTGACGGCAAAGCGAAATACTTGCATAGTGCATTTTGGATGCACATCAATGTACAGGTATGTATACCCGACTAGCTTGTTGCGAACTGGACACTAATGTAACCTGCGCCAACAGCTGGAACAGCACGTTGATACGGACTGGTTGTCAAATGACCCAAAAGCAAATAACCATAAAAGCAGCAATCGAATAATGATACCCTCAGCGGCATCCGCTCTTGACAGTAGCCAGACTTTTATTCACGGACCATTAGACGGACTGAATCTCCAGAGTCTTCATCCGCTACCCTCACAGATTCCCTACTTGTGGCACGTATGGAAGACGAATATCGACCCTATGACGAAATGCTTCCACGTACCCACTATGCAAAAGATTATAGAAACCATCGCTACGGATATGTCCCATTTGCCACCTGCGATTGAGACACTTCTCTTTGCGATCTACTATGGCGCAATCACATCCCTTGACGATGCCGACGTAAGTGGATTATGCTAATCAACATTCATCAGTAAACAGAAACTAACATTTTTCAAGGTTCTCAAAGATATGGGAGTAGAGAAGCAGCCGTTACTTAAGCGCTTTCGGTTTGCTATTGAGCAATCACTCGCCAAAGCACAGTTCCTTATAGTTCCCGAAATTCTCACATTTCAGGCACTAGTATTATTCTTGCTTTTCTTAAGAAAGAATGGCGATTTTAGACACTCTGCCATGCTGATACCACTGGCCGTACGCATTGCACAGTCGCTGGGCCTTCACAGAGACGGCACCCACCTTCAAAACCTTTCGCCCTTCCGCACTGAAATTCACCGGCGACTATTCTGGGGTGTAGTGGTGCTCGACAGAAGAGCGTCCGAGGATATTGCCATGGATCCGATGTTTGTTTCTGGCGCATACGATACACACCCTCCTCTTAACATTAACGATAGCGACCTACTGCCACAAGCAGCGCATTTACCAACCGAGCGCAAGGGCTTCACGGAGTCAAGCTTTGTACTGATTCGAATCAAAACACTTCTCACATCGGAAGCGGTGCAAAAGATGATCTTGACGGCAGCCGATGGTATACGAACGCAGGCAGAAATTGATCAACTACAGGCGCGATGCAATGAAGAGTGGCAAAACTGCGCGGCATACATCCGCGAGCACTACATTGGTGCAGATGCTACACCTGACATCAGGTTTAGATGCGAAGCGATGATGGGATTAATTATGGCAAAGTTGCGACTGATGACGCAATGCCTAATTCCAAGCATGAGTGAAGACGGTGTGACAGTAACGATACGGCGGCCTCCGAGCCTCTTGCGTGTTGCGTGTATCAGCGAAATGTTTGAGTTCAATCACCTCGGAACACACCATCCCTCTCTGAAGCAGTTTAGATGGGTTTTCATCTCATACACTCGATGGCATGGCTCTTCTATGATGCTCACAGAAATGTTACGACACCCATGGAGCTCCATTCTGGAACGTGGTTGGGAGGCTATGCATAATGTCTTTCAGGACTCCGGCCCGGGAGAGCTTGAACAGCTTGCCGAAAGAACTGTCATGGTTGTGCCCTTCCAGAAGCTATACCATTTGGTTACACAGTATCGAAAGTCTGAGCTAGCTCGTCTAAGGGCGGACCCCGAAGCTGCTCTCCAACTTCACGCGGCGACGGTGCATCCCAAGGGCCTAGGCTTATTTGAAATGTCCTTTGACGAGTATATAGTAAAAGCTGACAAGTCCTGGCGCCAGCTTGTAGGGTTGAGCACTGAAACCTCGCAAAGCTCGCCAGTCGATGTCGAAGGAACGCAATCCGGATACAACAAACTATACGATGTAATCATGAGCAGCGGACGACAGGACTGTGCCGAGGATGAGATAGCCAATGGTCACGAAGAACCAGTAGAGTACGATTTTGAAGCGCTGAGCCAGCAGGAGATGCAAGACTTTTACAATTTTGCCACAGTCTAGACGGATACTAATAGAATCAATTTTACTAACCCTGTTGTATGAGGAACTATTTCCGCCGCTGAAGCCGAACGCTGAAGTGGTGATTTGTGATCAAGAAGGACCAGAGACGGGCATCGGAGGAGGCGTCGACGCCAATGCCCGATCGAGGCTTTTGTCTGCCGAAAATGCGGACCGCCAGCGAGCGCCGCAACGCTAGCGTGGGCCACTGGAGTTCATTTGGGGGCGATCGCCGGCCCCATTCGGTGGTGGTAGTCGCGAGGCCGAAGAAGTTTCATGGGCACAGTTGACGAAGGAGGCGTGATGTCGGGTTCGCGCCTTCACAGCCGACGGCAGAGATCCGCTTGCCAAATGCATCTCGGCATGAGATCGGACGGAAATGGCTTGGGAATGCAAGGCTGACAAATTCGCGGGTTGTTTGGAAGTGATAATCGCATTCGGAGACGAGCACCGAACCACTATGGAAATGCTACTACGGTAGCGTCCCCGCTCGGCACCGACTACGACGCTGCCAACTATGATGAAACTAACAAGGTAAAAAATGCGAGTGGCGTCATGCTATGCGAAGGGAAACCCCAATGGCAACCCTCTGAACAGCGTAGAAGAAGTCACCCAACGTGCCGTCGTTCCCGGCTAAAACCCACCAGTCACCGTATAAATAACACTCTTCCACCCAAGACACAAAGGTGAATCGGTACAACACTCACAGCAAACATGACCACGGCATCTAGTAATGCCCCAGCGGCTGGAAGCTCGCCATTTGGCGCGAGGTTGCTTCCCACTGTGATTGACGATTACGCCAAAAACGAGCCGGACCGAGTGTTTGTCCAAGTACCGATAGGCGATGAAGCCAAAGATGGCTGGAGACCATTTACATTCAAAGAATACGCAGATTCTATTAACCACATGTCCCACTGGCTGGTCGAGAAACTCGGCACCCCGCTTCCAGGCTCGTTCCCAACCATAGCGTACATTGGACCAAACGATGTGCGATATCTGGTTCTCGCGATTGCTGCTATTAAAACGGGCTTCAAGGTACGGAATTTTATGCCGCCCGGGTTTGTGTTATAAAAGCACTGCTTACAACTGTTATTGTCTAGGTACTCCTCCCATCACCTAGAAACTCGGTCGAAGCACAAGTATCACTATCCAAAAATACCGACTGCCAGTGTCTGCTGCATGCAGAAGAATCCAAGCCATTTGTTACGGAATGGCTCGCAGCATATCCTATGCGGACGTTGATAATCGAACCTCTTAACGAGATATATGCCAGCAAAGATGAGGATCCTTTTCCATACAACAAGTCTTACGATGAAGCCAAGAGTGATCTATTTGCAGTCTTGCACACGAGTGGTTCTACTGGCATACCGAAACCCATTGTTTGGAACAACGAATTCATGGCCCTGTCTGATCGGTATCAGACTATGCCAACTTGGGAAGGACATACGTTTTTCATAGAGAGAGTGAGACAACTGAGCAAGACGATGCTGATGCCAAGTAAGTGCAGCCATGATCTTCTTCCTTAATACCCACCAGCACCGTTCTAATTACCTCCAGTGCCCTTGTTTCATGCTACTGGTCTAATATTTTCTATTGCTATTGCTGTCCTCTGGGGCCATCCCATGGCGCTCAACCTGGGTACCAAACCAGTCACCGCCGATAATGTGGTCGAGATCTTCAAGTATTGTCCTGCCGATGGCGCTGGGCTTCCGCCTTCTGTTGTTGCAGAAATGAGTGAAACCGAGGAAGGCCTGGCAACACTGAAGAAGCTCTCGTTTATATTTTGGGGCGGTGGTAGCATTCCTAAAGCCGCTGGTGACAAACTTGCTGCTGAAGGCGTCGTCTTTGTCAACGGTATCGGCTCTACGGAATACGGCATCTACCCTCTTTACTGGCAGGAGGACACCACGAATTGGGAATATTTCATCTTCAACAACGAGCAGTTTGGCTGTGAATACCGCCATCTGGATGACGATCTCTATGAGCAAGTCATGGTCCGAGACGAGAAGAAACGTGATTGGCAAGGCGTCTTCATCACATTTCCCGACGCCAAAGAATTTAGAGCTGGTGATATGTACTCGCCGCATCCTACCCTTCCAAACCACTGGCGCCACCGCGGCCGCTCCGACGACGTCATAGTTTTCTCCAACGGCGAGAAGCTGAATCCAGTTACCATTGAGAAGACGGTTGGCTTGCATCCAAAACTACGATCTGCTTTGGTCGTTGGCGCCGGCAAATTCCAAGCCGCCATGTTCCTTGATCCCGTTGAGCGTCCAGACACAGAAGAGAAGAAGAAGGAGTTGATCGATAGCGTTTGGCCATTGGTTAAGAAGGTAAACGCCGGGACTGTCAAACATGGACGCATTGCAAAGCATCTTATTACTCTATCAGACGAAACCAAACCCTTTACGTACTCTGGCAAAGGCGAACTACAGAAGGGCTCTGTGTTGAAGAGATATGGTGCCGAGATTGACGCAATCTACGAGAAGACAGGAGCAGAAGACACCGCAGTAATCGAGACAGCATCTGAGGAGAGCTTGATGGCATCCATACGCTCCGTCTTTGAAGACAATCTGGGTGTAACGAGTCTGGACGAAACAGCAGACTTTACTGCTGCTGGTATTGACTCTTTGCAGATTATTACCGGCGCAAGAATTGTCTCGAACGGTTTAGAGGCAGCTGGTATCTCTAAGGATTTGGCAGAAGTGTCCCCGAGAACGATTTACCAGAAATCGACCCTTCAGAAGCTATCCAAGTACATTTTTAGATGCATCCGTGATGGAAGAGAGGCTGCAGATGCCGCCGCACTTGACAACTCGGATACTTTGAGAGCTCTCTTGGAGAAGTACACGCAAGACTTCCCTAATCCAAGCAGCACACAAATTGATGCCAACACAACCGGCCAGGTTGTCCTGCTTACCGGCTCCACTGGTAGTCTTGGCTCTTACCTCCTACAATATCTCGAGCAATCTTCATCTGTCTCCAAGATTATCTGTCTAAACCGTTCTACCGACGGAGGCAAGAGCCGACAGCCAGATGTGAGCGCCATGCGCGGTCTGGCCACGACTTACCCCAAAACTGAGTTTATCCAGGCCGATCTTGCCGAAGAGTTCTTTGGTATTGGTGAGCAGAAATATACTGAGCTTCTCAAGACAGCTGACCGCTTCATCCACAACGCCTGGCCTGTCAACTTCAACATGGCAGTGGAGTCATTCGAGCCAGTGATCAAGGGTGTACGCAGTCTGGCCGACTTTGCCATAAAAGCAGACAAGAAAGTATCTATCGTATTCCTTTCTTCCATCGGCACTGTCGACGCTTGGCCAAACGCTGAGCCCATCCCTGAGAAGCAACTTCTTGACTTCCGCTACGCCTCGCTCGGGTATGGTCAATCCAAGCTTCTCGGCTCTTTAATCCTGGACAAGGCAGCAGAAACCTCTGGAATCCGAGCTGCCAATATCCGTGTTGGCCAAATTGCTGGTCCTAGTGGCGAAAAGGGTCAGTGGAACAAGCAAGAATGGCTCCCATCCATCATTGCCTCGTCTGTCAAGATTGGCAAACTGCCTCAACAAATAGGTGGTCTGAACGCAGTTGACTGGATGCCCATTGAAGACGTTGCCAATGCCGTGATTGACATTACTGGCTGTGCATCAACCGCATCGTCAGGCGCCAACGAGGCACACGTTGGCTATTTCAACCTGACCAATCCCAACGTTACACAGTGGCAGGAACTCACGGCCGGAATCAAAGTCTTTTACGAGAAGCAAGAAAAGCCTCTTCAGCTCGTCAGCATGCATGACTGGGTTGTGGCCGTTGAAGCGGCGGGCGAGGACTCCAACCCGGCATTTAAGCTGCTGGATACATACAAGGCCCTGTTGCCAAAGCCGGAGGATACAGAGTCTAAGCATCCAGGATACTCGACCCAGATATCACAGGCAGTTAGTCAAACAGTCCGCGAAATGGGCGTTGTTACCCAGAAGCTGCTTATCCACTGGTGCGAGCAGTGGTCTTTCTAGACACTGACGCCATCTAACAGAACGTTTGTAATGATCGTATGATATAATTTGAGAGAAAGACTACTAAGTTTTGTTTAGCACTAATAGAATTATTATTAACTAACTTAATTTCCTATCATAATATTTATTAGTGTAATGTTTATTGGCGTAATGTTTGCGACTAGATAAAACACCACCCTATTTCTTTGCTGTACGAGATGGCACCACCCTTTGACGACGCTCCCATACCCCCTGTCGGCGGTTATATTCCGCCGAATCCTTCTTGAATTCTCGACGTCTAATTCTCCAGAAGTTTAACATTCTAGTAACAACACTCCCAAAAGATTCGGGGTGCAGCATTTCGATATCCTTGTGCAGAATATGGGCCGTTTCAATCAAAAAGGCGTGTCTATGCTGTTCTGCACTTGTAATGCAACTCACAGAATCACACCAAGTGATATTTTTCAGCGCCGTATCTGTAGAAACTCCAGTACTCTCATCATCTAGTAACATAGCCCACAGTTGCTCCGTAGGAAACCGAAGAGTTTCCGCGAAACCCTTTCGGCCAATTATACACGGACTAGACTGATCATTGAAATAGAAATAAACGCTGCTTTGACAAGCTACGCAATCAATACTGCGAGGCTGCCTGTCGAAAAAAGCTCTTTTTGATAAGATCCGTTCGGTTAAGTTTATATGGGTCGAGTTGCATATGTGGGCAGAACGCCTTGTTGTAGGACTCATGTTTGGTTCTCAAGAACTGCAAGGCCTGAAGTGTAAGGTTGGACCTGTTATCACCCGGTTGAAGTTGATGTTTCCATAAGAAATAAACTGATAGGGGGTCGCCTGGTTTATTGAGCACTCTAACCCTGGGCGCATCCTGGCAGCCACTTGTGCATATTTTGGTCCAAGCCTTATATTTGCGTTTAATTCGTTGAAGCTCGGCCCATGTAAGTGACAAATGTAGGCAGATTGAGATTTTGCCACACCATATCATGCATTTGCGATCCTCCTTACGATTGCGATCTTCGGCGGTAAATAGAATCGCGGGGTGCTCAGCATCGCATCCGCTGCAATGTAATGGCTGACACAGGTCATAAAGACGACTACCAAAGGTTGTTTTTTCTGGCCCGCTGGCAGTCCATACACTTCCTCTTTTGGGGCCGCGTAAGAAATTTACCCTTGTTCCACCAAGATATATTATGAATGGAAATATCGTCTGCTGGCTTTAGGACAGGGTTAGCATCATCTTCACCGTTGTTTACAGGTGATTTGGCTGCCTGGTAGAATCTCTCAATTTGATCTTGAAAGTTCGGTTCTTTTTGGGGGCACTGTAAGACAGTTTTTCTTCCATGGTCTAAAAGATTTTATGGTGTATGTAAAAGTGAAAGTTGTGGTTACGGAAATCAAGAGGAACCAAGGGGCACATCCTCCATATATGTAGCTAGAATATAGGGCTTTTTCTTTCAAGACAATAGTTTTTGTTCTAAATTTTAGTAACGAAAAGCTTGAAATACCAAAACTTAATTTTGAAAATTTAAACTCTTTTTATGTTATGTATAGTGATTAGCTATAAGTTTCTTTTGACTTTCATCAGATTGCTTTCGTTCGCCTCGCTTCCTGGTCGACAAGATTTACCCGAATAGGAATATGTGGAAGAGTGTTTGGCTGAGTTATTGAGCGTAATAGTTTAATTGACGTATAAGCCGCATAAAATTATTCTACAAAATTTTCCTAGGTGTGTCTTTTTATTTTTATACTTTCCCAAAACGGCATTATGCAACGAGGTGCCCGCCCATCGCCCGCCGCCGATCCATCCGAGGAGGCGCAGCCCGGCTAATGTCCATTTACAGGGCTAGCCTGCGCCGTATTCATCGCTTCGGGCGCAACACTAACAAAACCCGTGGCGATTCGGTGAGAATAATCGGTCAGTGATAAGCGCGGCTGGGACGAACATCGTCACTGGCGCAAGTGAGGCTTCGATCTCCATCACCGGTTAATCGGGAGCCACGAGCAGCAACGAAATGCCGAAGCAGCGAGAGATGCCAGTATAAGTAGCTCGCCTCCAAGTCTCCCGGGAAGCCCTTTATTCAGTCTAACCATCTCATCCTTTCTCTCACACAAGCATCCAAACAAACACAATGTCCAGACGCTTCAGACTCTTAAAGCCTGCTTTCAAAGCACACTACGACATCATCTCCGACGACGACGCAGAGCAGCGCCAGTTTTACGTCGACATCAAAGTCAAGCCCTTCTCCAAGTCCGTCCCCGGCCTAACGCTCTACGCTGGCTCGGACAACTCGGACAATGCGCCCATTCTAGGCGCCAGTTACAAGCCAGCGTTTTCCGAAACGATCAAGGTGGCGTTTGGTGATCCAGGCCAGACGTCCCATGTCGAATGGGAGGAGCTCGAAAAGACCAAGCTGTCCCGCTTCGAGTACAAGTGGTCGACGTACATGCCGTCCAAGGACACATCAGACGACGAGGATCGTCTGACAGATCTTCTGTGGAAACGGACAAGCAGCGAAGGCGTGGATGGTGTGCAGCCTTCCTCTTGGTCACCGCGCAACTGGAAACTTACTGGTGACGATGGCGTCGTCTTGGCCGTCTTTACATCCGACAAGGGCATTGGCAAGGCAGGCACCCTGGAGATCAGGGCGGACAAGGGCGCCGACTGGGACATCAAAGTGCTCATGACTCTGGTCTGTATATATCACCGCGCGTCTCAGGGAGGCGGTTAGCCTGTTACAGCTATGATCCGACAAGGCGCTTGGAGTGATCCTTTGGTAGGCAGCGACTTCGGAGATATCTACTCTAGGAAAGGCAACGCAATATATATGCTTGGGGCATGCGTAATGTAGCAGGCTAGTACTATATGATTAAGTCTAGAAATTTAATTTAATACATAGTTTCTATTTTTAAAGTTCTAGGCTGATGCCTGTGTTTTAGAGTGCTTGCGCGGCCTTGAGCGGCGCTTTGTTGATGGATCACAGCCGCAGGGTGATCCACGCCGCACAATCGCCGCTTCAAGCACACGGTGCCGCGTAATTGGTCCTTCTTAGACGCCAAAGAATTTTATAAAGCATCTCTGCCCGACAAGTGATTCCCTTTACTCTCCTAGTTTGCATCGCCAATAAAAAGTCATCCCTAATTCACCGCAAGTTCCATCAAAATGGTTGTCTCCATCATCGTCCAAGACGAAATCACCGTTTCGCTCTCCATTGTCCTACGAAAGCTCAGCATCTTCGTCTTCGTCGTGTCTTTTGTGCCCTACATCGTACAGGGTGCCATCTCGAAGGAAGTATTTCCAGCACTTGGTCTCCTGGGGCTCGCAGGCTCTGCTCTGCTCGCCGTCATCGATCTACGTAGCCGACGTGTCAGGCTTCCCGAGACTACTCCAAGACGCGGTTCATTCCGCAAATACGTTACTCTTCTCGCCGATCTTGGCTTGCTCACCTTTCATCTCTCCTTCATCATTGTTAGCATCATCATACTCTCACAAGGAGGATGTGGGTGGAGAGGATACAGAGGCGGTTCCGGCGCCGTCGTCATGGGCACTTACAATACACTCGCTCTCTGGACTAACCTGTAAGTTTTTAGCACCGCTAGATTTATCTCGCTTAGCCCTTTATCTAACCGGTTCACAGTCTTATCCATGGCTACTTCATCTTGCGTTGCCTTGCCAGCAACAAAGAAGACGACGAGGTGGCGGCTATTATTGAAGAAGGCCGCGCTGCCCATCCCCGATTCCAGCCATACGGCGATGCCGAGGAGACTAGCGATGAAACAACACGCCTGGTCCGTGCTTCTCGTGAACCTGTCGCTGAGGCCAGCATCGACGCCTCCAAAAACTAGACCTTGACGCATGGCTCGTACAAGGCCATTCCGCGGCGAACTGGTATGCCTCTGCTGATGGGAGCGCTGCATATCAAGACTGAACCCCATCAGTATAGTAATTAAAAATAGGAATTAGAATGAGTAATCAATGCATCAGTTCATTATGTAGAGCCACGGATATCTTCGCCGACTCAGAGTAGAAAATATAATACAAAATATGCGGATCTGGCGGCAAACTAGTTCCTCGCGCCATGCATACATCATGCAAGGCCACTTGACTCAGTGGTCTTCGACATGAAGTTGTCCGGACTGGCATCGCTCGTTGGCGTCGTGTCACCTAGTTGGTCTTCTCCTTCAATCAGCTCTCCATTTTCGATGGCTGCGAGTCGAGCTGCTCGCCCTTCCTTCTTTCGAGGCACAGGTGCTGCTCTGATTAGCATTCAAGTCTCCCATAGTTTGCGAATAGTTCTCTTACCTCGGCCATTTTCTTGTACATAAAACCGACGTAGTAATCCGACGGCTTCATCCCGACCCCAACCGCCTTCAATCTCATATCCGGCCTCCACGTTGCCACCATCACCGCCGCCAGGAGGGAAAGAGATACCAAGAGTCCCTCCTGTTCCATCAGCTAGTTGTGTTGCACGTGGCATGGGATGTGCGCTGGCGGTCTGTCCATCTTCGGAGACTGGAAGAGAATTGGCGTGAATGCTGAATACACCACCTGTACCGCCAAACTTATCATTCACCGCTCCAAAGTAGACTTTTTTAATACCAAGCTGTCGCAGCAGCGAGGCGCACATAATGCACGGCTCTACCGTAACATAAAGAATGCTCTCTGTGATGATAGACTTATTCACGCGTTCGTCCGAAATGAGCTTCTGCCCGTAGGGGTAGAGATGGCTTTTGCTTCCATCCTCATTCCCTTCGTGTAGCGCTATGTTGTTCAGCGATGCCGTTTCAGACGCCGTGTCAACAGATTCGCCATCTTCGATCAGAGCCTCTCGTTCTTCTTTCATATCGCGGACCTCCTTCTCGGACAGCTCCTTTGGCTTTAGACGTGTTGTGCGGGGGCCGGTTTTGGAGGGGGATGATAATAACGCACAGATAGCCATGAATTCGGCGTGTCGTGTTCCATTTCTGGTTACATTCGTAGCGTTCATGCCTCTCGCAATAATCTCACCGTTTCTAACAAGCACACAACCAACGGGCGTCTCATTAATTTTCAGAGCCAGCCGGGCCTATTAAACCTGTTAACATGCGTAAATCAATTTTTCGTATACAAGCACTCACCATATCCAAAGCCTCTCCGATAAATCGTAAATGTTGAGCCCGTTCAGCAGCGATAACGGGATCCGTCTCCAAAATGGGAACAGGATCTGGGTGGTGTTCTGATGCGCCATCAATCTGAACAGCGCCCATAGAAGCAGTCACATTGTCGATTTCTTCCGCGGGTGGAATATTTTCTTTGTTTTCCTGGCTTTTCTTCTGTTTATCGGCGAGGAGCTTTGCCCTCGACGGCAGCTTATTGCCATTGTTATCTTCCAAGGGCATTTCGTCGGGTACTGCAGAGGTAATTACAGCATCGGCGGGTGCTTTTTCCTTCTCTGACGCAACGTTTGTCGCTTGTGTGGTGGTTGTGTCGGAGCGTAAATCGATATGCGAGGACGATGCAGCGTAGCGATGAGAGTCTGAGTCGCCAGCTGCCGCGCCTTCCTCTGAGGTGTTGCCAGTTGCCAGCTGGTCGGCACTGGCAGCATGTATCCATTCACCAGCTTGACGCGTCGGTGACTTTCCAAATAATCTCTTCAGAGCTCGTTTGATTCCAAGAGTCTTTGGCTTGGAATCTGTGGGTGGTGGTGCTGCCATGGTAATTGGACTGCTTCTCCAGCAGCCTCCGTTTGTAAAATGAGTAACGGTTTACACAGTGCAAGCAGTCCTCGTGCAGATCCCAGATGTTCCTAAAGAGTTGGGCTTCAGCGTCTTGCAGCAACAATGGCGTCAGTTGCTTCAAGTACCAGTCGTATTTGGAACAGTCGTACTCTCAGTCTTCACTGCACACTATCTCCTTCAAGTGATGCGTGGGTAAGCAAGCTTTGGACCATGCAATGAATCCTGACAAGCAGATAGAGAGTGTTATTCAATCGGCGCTGGTCGAACCTTCACACCCAAACAAGATGGCCAAGACGCCAATATCAAAGCCTCGACAGAATCCACGCTCTGAGCGCGAATAGCTCCAGAGGCCTTCAACTTGGGCTCTTGTGCCGTCCTTAACTAACGCTTGACCGCCCTTCTGTCCTCTGTTCGTAGAATCAGAGAAGGCAGACAAATCAGACAGCCTGCGTTTGACCGGTCACCTCACTAAAAAAAAGACTGCAGTTGGATTCGCCTATTGGCGTTGGTTTTGACAAAAGTCACCGTTCGTGATGGTCTCCAAGAAACCAATAAATGAAGAGAATAAAATGTATCCAAAAAAGAGAATCGGAAATTATTTCAAATGAAAAACCGACCCAAAATTGGCCCTTATTCGATGTGTTTGAGTTTTTCAAGTCGTCCTACCAAGTATGCAGAAAACCGTTCAAGAGAGAGTCACGTGTAGGGCATCCAGGCGACCAGCCGCCGTAATACGGGCCGAGCAAACACCAAACGGCACCATTCGCTACGATACAAAGAGTTTTTAGACACAGTAAGAGACAGTGATAAAATATTAAGAATCATGCGGATTTACGCCGCGAACTTTTTATTCCGATTCCCAGCACTGTGGGGAATTCCCAAGCCAACTATAAGAAATAGATGTAGTGTAGTAGTACAAGTAATGCGTCAACGCTCGACGCTAAAGAAACCAGTCTAGGAGGGTATAGACGAGTGAAAATGTTGCAAAGTGGAAACGAAAACGCTAAACAGTGTAAAGAAAAAAGAACAGAAGCAGCAACTGTGGCAACCGTCGCCACGGCAGGTACAGCTACAGGTAGTGCAGCGCCATGCAGCGTGACGGACTAAACCACAGCGATGGGTCTGGCCAACACGAGATCATTGGATTGCGTCTCTTGTTCTTGGCAGCCGTGTAGCCCGCTTGCGGGGAGCACTGGCCGTACAGATGACGAGACTCCGGCTTGGAGAGACGCGACGGTATGGCAGAGCATGACAGCAACAATCGTCTGGCTGGCGATGAATGACATCGCCGAGGCAATATCTTGTTGACCAAGAGCGGGTTGAGTTGGCTTGGCAAGAGTGTAGTCGTTGCTTGCGCCGGCAGATGATTCACCTGCAGCGGCAGAAACAACGGTAGGTTGACGATCAACATAGTCAATGCGACCGACGCCATCGCGTTCAGCTGCCATAGCAGCAGCAACATCAAGGTGACGATCATCAAGATCAGTACGGCCAACGCCGCCACGATCACCTGTGGCGATTACGTCTGACACGGGAGAGACCTGTTGCAGACCATATTGGGCATTACTGTCGCGGTCAGGGCGACCAACGCCAGTATCGCGAGCAAGGGCCTGACTAGGCGTAACAGCAGCGGTGCCGGTCGCGGCCAAGACCGAGACTGCAGCATTAACGCCATCAGCAGAAGATTGAACAAGCTGTGGCTCTGCGGTGTACGATGCGGTAGCGTAGTATACAGTACCAGCATCGCGGCTTGAGAGGACGGTAGCCTGGGGAGTGTCTCCTTCACCACGCCTAGACACAGTACGGCGGCTTGCTTTGACAGAGGTGGCATCAGACAGAGGGCCTTCTAGGCCGCTGCCGCCTGCGCCGACGTCAATGATGGTGGGCGAGGCAAGCAGATCGTTAAGGTCCTGAATTACAGTCAGTCGAACATGTTTGCACCAGCGTTGTGGGCTAGGGGTACGAACCGGTATCATATCTGCGGTGTGTACAGACGAAGCTGCAACTGCGGAAGAAGCGACCTGAATCACGGTTAATTTCTGAAATGTTGACGGACGACGGGATACACGTACGTTGTTGTTGAGGCCATGAGCAGTGGCGCCGTTGGCAACGGCAACCGTGCCAGGTGGACAACAAATGATTAGTTGGCCAGAAGAGTTGGTAGTGAAGCTAAGACCATCGAAGGCGGCAGATGAGTGGTAGTTGGCGGCAGAGGCGATGTTGGATTCAGTGGCAGCATTGAAGGCCGCCGGACGGTCGTGATTCTGTCCCAAGCCAACGCCATCGGCAACGGTTTCCAAAGAAGCACGGAGAACGCCGGCGGTTCCGCCGACATCGGTTCCATAGTTCATGTCCTCACGAGGAGATTGGCTAACGCTGGATTGGCCGCTTGACGACGATCCAATATCGAGCATACGTTCATCTTCAGAGAATGTTGAGCCAGGCGAGTACAGGTTGAAGTCGGTGTAGTCGTTGTAAACCTCGGTATCCAACTGAGAAAGGGTGATCGGTGCTGCAATTGGGCCATGAGGTGCATTGGGGAGCGAGGGTGAAACTGAGCCTGAGCCGCTGCTACTGCTACTGCGAGAGGAAGAGGATGGAACCGAGGACTGAGAGGACAGGGAGCCATCTAGGTCCGTAAAGAGGTTGTAGTCTCCATAATCGTCGGCAGCAGGGAACTGGACAAACTGGTCCCAAAGATCGGCCGAAGGCTCCAATGCAGACAGATCGAAGTCGAAGTTGGTGTCTAGGTCAAAGGTTGTCGCATCCAAGGTAAATTCTTCTAAAGAAACTGGCGGTGATATCGATTGTGGTGGTGATGGTTGTGGTCTTGGTGGCGAGGACATGGCCTTGCTAACCTTTGCGGGAGCAGCAGTAGTAGCAACCTGTGAACCTCCACGCTTCTTGTGGCTGGGGTCACATCGAATCTTCTTCTTCCGGCAGCTGTCGCAAGCCTTGATGATGCGCATCAGGTGTGCGTGGTCGCGCTGCTCCTTGGTCTTTGATCCTCGAGACGCCGAGTTTGTCACATCACGGCCATCCTTGGTCATGATCTTCATACCAGGCAGGACATTGAAGTCAGTAGCACGCTGGCGAGAAGCGCTTGCCTTGCTCACACGGTTTGTGGAGGTATGCGAAGACACTGAACCCGCTCGCGAGGGTTGGCTCCAGTCCCATGTCTGGTTGACTGGGGAGACGTTGAAGGAAGAGGCGGCGGAGGTGGAAGGAGAGGGAGTGGCGGAGGGGGCAGCGAAGACGGGGTAGAACTTGAACGACTGTCCGGTGATCTGAGTGTGCTCGAAGAAGTCGAGAGCAATGCTAGCTCGCTTCTCCTGCACCGAGGCAGCACCAGGAACGTAGGCGTTGACAAGGTCATCGAGCTCCTGTGATCCCATGGCGGGGAAGAACTGGAGCTGAGCGCCTAGCGAGGGCTGGAAGACGGAGAACCCCTGGGGGAGAGTAGAGGTAGTGGTAGTAGACCGCGACATGATAGTTGGCGTGGTAGAGTGTGAGATGGTAGAGAAGTATGAATCCACGGTGAAACTTTGAATTTGCACAAAGAAGCCTTTAGAGACTTTGTCGTAGAATATGGCGTCTTTTTTGTAACGTCAGGATCAACTGTTGCACCTGCGACGCCGGGGGCGCAAACTTACATTGGTAGTTGGCGGATTGGGCAATTGGTGTTTTTGTTGGTTGATTTGCTATGAAGAGCGGCGCACCACGTCAGCGTACAAGCTTCAGTGGGTGGTATCCTGAAAGAGAGACAGGATAGCAGATTGCGCTAGGAGGCAGGAATTCCTTGATTGGCAGGAGGAACTAGGTTCCTGGTGCGTGAGAGCTTTGTTAGTCGGCAACGTTAATCTAGGCGTAAGAGGAGAAAGAGAAAGAAGAAGAGAACCTCAGGCTGTAGACCGGAGGAGTCATGGCCAGTATTTCAGTTCGTGAAGTGAAGCAGAAGGCGCAGCGCGGGCTGACTGGGCCTTTTCGGCGTGCTCAAAAGGGTTTAGCGCCAGGCGTTGATGGCCGCGAAACCAGCAAATCAGAAGCCCTAGATTTGTCCAGGGTGTGGGTGTTTGTGCCTGTGGTTGGCCAGCGGCGCCCCACCGTGGGGATCACTTGAGAGGGCCCGTCGGCGAGAGCAGGCCCCTGTAATTGGTCAATGGGCAGTGGCATACGTGGGAAAAGTGCGCTAAGATGTGACTCAACAGCGCTGTGTAATAAAACCGACAGCGCATTTATGGCAGTAATCATACATCCAGGTAGGTCACTTTAAAGCATCATGGAGAGTGCTGCCCTGCGCCGCCTGCCCCGAGAGAGGCCTATCGGCAGATACGACAGATTCGAGATGGGCCGCTTACCGGGCGTGTGACCTGGCTTGTGCTCCTGCTACCAAAGAGCGGAGAGTCATGAAGATGGGTGGTGGGAGCAGGCTGTCGTTTTAAAGCGGTGGTGGCCGTGGTCTGGCACTGCCACCAGCTGGTGACACAGCCAGCTGGCACGGCTGTCCATACAGGATAATTTTTTTTTATGGCGGACGGCTACGGCGGCCGCTACCACCCACTCACCCCCACTCACAATACTTTGTACGGAGGAGTCATACTCTCTGGGCATGAAAGCTCAAAACTTTCTTTTGCTTCAGCCCCTCGGGGAATAACCAGGTAGTGCAGTATCTCCTGGCCCCAAGGGGTTCTCGGCCTTGCCCCGCGCTTTTGTTACCCATGCCAGCGACGCGCCAGATCTGTTGTAAACTGAATCTTGTCACCAAGGCTGTATAGGGTATGAAAGCGATATGATACGGCAACCACTTAAACGGCCCAAATTTGGAATAGAAAAATATTTGAAATATCTTGAACAGTTACTGAATACTAAATTGCGACTATTATAGATAAATTGCTGTGTGCAATCTTTGTGGGTGTTCAAGGCGGATGCTCGTGGCTCTATAACGTACGCGTCAGCTCTATTGATAGACGCAGAAAACACAACTAACCAGGTCTCCAACCAAACCGTCTACAAATATAATTCCAGCATAATTACAGTTACAAGAAAACAAACCCACTTTCATACACCAACTTGCACAAATCCAATAACCATAGATTCCATGACGTCGTGCCCAGCTCCTAGCGCTGACCGCACCCAATGCCAATACTCAACCGTCCTGCTCCTTTGAACACTGACGCCAACACAGCCACTTGGCAAGCACACTATCACCGCCCAATTTTAAAGCTGCTCTTATTTCGCTAATCCGATGCACCGCGCGCGGCAGATGCACTGGCGCTAACGATCCTCATTGGGCTGACGGCCCTGCTAGGCGGATCGAACTTCCCCGAAAGGGGGCCCGCTCACCACCTACAAGTGCTTATGTTGAAGGGCTCGGCAAGTGGGATCATGGAGTCTCGAGCTACCTTAATGAAACTAGAAGCAATTCAATAAACGATGAATGCGACGACCCGGTCTACCGTCCCTTCTATGATGTAAGAATGGCCAAACATGGAACTGGAAACAAGTATATAAAGCCGTAGCAACCACTCACCCTTCGTCGTCCTTGAATCTTATAAACAAGCCAAACCACTACTCTAGATTCAAATCTTCACATCTTTTGCACCTAAATACCGCCCAACATGCAATTCATTACTGCCATCAGTCTCTTCGCTACCCTCGTCGCCGCCAACGGCAAGGCTGGATACAACTCGGCCGGCGTCCCTACCTCTTGCGGCCAAAACACATGCTGCATCCCGGCCTGCAACGTCTCCTGGCAGGACGACAAGGGCTGCAACGGCCGCGCCTCATTTGGCGGCTCCTGCTCCAACATGTACTACTCACAGCAGGAGAAGAATGACCACACGACGGACATTTGCGGCGGCGCCCGCATCACCGCCTGCGGCTACAATGGCCACAAGCTACTCTTTGTCGTCAACGGTGCCAACGAGCTCTCTGCCCACGTTATGCCCCAGCACTACGATGAGTGCACCTTGAGTGGCCAGTGCAAGCCTTGCGGCGTCCAGGGCTCTTGTACCGATCAAGCCTACTATGTCGGCACCGTGTCTCCCGGTCAGCGCAGCTGTGAGGCTCTTACTGGCCATTGGGCTACCTTTGTTGCCCGTGCTGGTGGTGACCGCGCCTACAAGGGTTGCTAAAGGCGTTTATGGAACTGGCCATCTACTGACTGCTTCAGATTTGTCTGCAGAACAAACTAAGAAGTAGAGTATGTCACGGGAACGATGCATGAATAGTATTGAAGTGTGTGTCATGAAGATATGAAGGGTATATATAAAGAGACTATAAACATGATATTTGCAACGACTAATACTAGTGTACATCTCATTTCTTCATTCTGACCGTACACCTATGACGAAAGCCAATCGACAAAGATTTTATGTGTAGGCAATGGATATGATCGTAATATCTCGCTCATCTCACTCTCCATCAGGTTGGTTACATTGCCCAGCTCTACTTACACCCGTGGTCCCACAACAGCCCGGGGCGAGTTGGCCACTTGCCGAAGACTCGCTCTCAGACCATTGCGTAGGCATCGCTGATACAAAGTTGACAACCCTGAAATACTGCGCTTAAAGCGTCATTATTCTGGACTCTGGTCTTACAACAGCAGTCAAGGCGGCCCGGGTCGACCTATACCGAGCAGGTCGTGAGCATGCCGGCTCCAGGGCCCACCGCTCGCAGAGCTAAACGTAACTGCGCTAGCATTAGTCGTCGTCGTTGCGCTTGCGAAACTATTGGCTGGACGTGGTGGTGCCGACCGCAGAATGGCAGGCTTCAAAGCAGGACGGGCGACGGCTCGGCGCATTGGCTGCACTGGCTCAAATGGAACGATACATTGTGGCATCTGTCCGGCTGCATCTTCTTTTCGAGCGGCTTTCTTGCCCCGAGTAGCTGGGTTGACGATCCTAGGCTTTGTGCTTCCAGAAGACGAGTCTGATGCGCCTCTCGTAAGTGAAGGGGCTGTGAACGAAGAATTTCTTTGAAACGCTCTCGTCTTTGGGTCTTCTGGTTTAGATGAAATGGCTGCGTCTTCTTTTTCTGTAGTTACTGGGACATTGCTCAACGCCACTGCTTCGGGTGCAACTGCAACTGACTCTTGAACTGCCACCGGAATGACTGGGGAAACAGGACGTATTGCATCGCCTGTTTTTTGTTCTTCAGCAGTTTTCAGAATCTCCCCGAGGTGCAAATCATCTTCCGCCGTGCTCGAGAGTTTGATAGGTGGCGGCGGACTAGCTGGATGGACAGGAGCAGACGCTGTCTCAGGAACTGTGTCCAGAGAGACTGGTGATACGGGTACGTTAGTATGCAGAGACTCTTTAGCCACAGTCGTAGTTACTGGTTCCTCAGTTGTAATAGTATCAGCAGCGGGCGGACGTGGTCGTGGAAGATTCCCTTTAGGAATCACACGGTCGACTCTAGGCATTCCAATACCGCCAGCTGGCCGTGGCCCAATATTGATGGTGGGAGCAGCACCGAAGGAGCCCAGTGTATGGATGGGGTTCGGTATATCATCATAGCCGATGATTTCAATGCTTCGAATGCCCTTGCGTGCCATTCTCGAAAGGCGTGGCCCTTTTGGAGGGGATGAGATCTCCTCTTCTTGATCTGAATTCTCGGCGTCGCTGACAGAAGCCACAGACTGCTTGTCGGCATATGTGGGTTCCGGTGTCTTTTGTTTGCGTTGCCGTGCACGGCGTTGCGGGCGAATACGGCTTTCCACTTCCTCCGGTGATGCTTCCTGAGGCAGTGATTTCTCAGGCTCAGGCTCTGGCTCACGCCTCTTTTGTACTCTTCGGGTACGCCTTTTTGGCAAGGGTGCGCCATCATCAGATTCAGACTCAGCGGGTAACTCAAGCTTATTAGTAGTGATTGGTGGTTCAGCAGCTTCATCCTTGGCCATAGGTTCGTCGTCTTTGGGCTGTTCGTCTGGCACCCATGGTGGTGAACTCGACAAAACTATCGTTGGTTGAGCGGGAGAGGATGGTATTTGAGCTTGTGATGACGCTGGAGGAATAGGTAAAGGCATAGGTGATGGTTCGGTAGGAACATTTGCTATCGGACCCTCCCCTTCAGCTGGGCTTTGTTGTTTTGAGTGTACAGGCATGCTACTCTTGGGGGTTTTGTCACTCATTGGTGACTCCAGCTCGAAGTCGGGGCTATCATGATGTGCTGTAATTATTGGAGGAGTAGTTGGTGGCGTCGGTGATCTCATTGGCGCGTCATCTTTTTCTTCTATTATCGGTGTTGGTGTTGGTGGTGTTGGTGACCTCATAGGCATATCTTGATCCTCTGCTGGAGGAGGGGGTGATGGATATCGAATTGGCTCGGTCAGCATGACCAGTCCCCGTCGTTTTCTTGGTTTAATACACAGGATTGCGCGAGGTCCTTCTGGTGTCGGCGGGATTTTCCGTTTCTCCTTCTTAGGGCGATTTTGGCTTGTGCTGGATGCATCTGGATTGTCAACCGTCTCTTTCGCTTTGGGCAATTGTTGCGTCCTTGTTTTCGCTTTGGAAGCTTTTGACGACACCTTATCAACCCTAGCTTCGGTGTCTTTTGCAGATTTCTTTTTGTGCTTCGAAGGTTCTGGAGCAGGTTCGACTGGTTGTTTCTCTGAAACTTCTACTGATACATCACGTACAGCTTCCTCCCTAGTGTCGGTTGTCTTCTTCTTTTTGCGCGCTGGCGGATCAGGCCTATCTTCCACACTGGCGCTGGCCATGGCCAAGCGAGCATCTGTGAACCCATTCTGCTTTCTTGGATGATCATCAGTAGGTTTTGGAATTGATTCTTTTGGTGGAGGGGCATGTGGCTCTTCGGCATCGCTCTCTTCGTCTAGTATTTCGATTTGTGTAGGCTGTGGTATCGGCGGCGCTCTTGGGGGCGGCCTCGTTTGTAACAAACCACGAGAGGGCTGTGGCATATGTACAGGTTTCGATGGTGTGATAGGAGCAGCATCTGTTGGGCTACTTTCAACAAAGAGTGATTCTTTCTCCCGTTCCTCAGCCATCCGCTGGCGTTGTAGATTGGTCCGTTCTTGCAATGCTCTGGCCCGCGCAGCTAAGAGCTCTGGAGGAGGCCCAGCCGAGAGGTTTAACCTTACACCGAACAGGTTCTGAGCATGTCCCTTCTTCTCAGGCGGCGAGGCGCTAGCTTTCCGTTTTCTGGAAGGAGGCGGCTTTGCAACACATGCTTGTTTTCTGGGTGCAACGGAGCTGAGCAGGCCTTGCCTGCGAATCTCAAAAGGCGACTCGCTGGGAATAGCCGCCCTGCCTATTGGGCCTGGGCTTTGGAGCATGGCACTCAGAGGCACATGCTGCTGTCTTGGGCCTCTGGAGACTGTCGAAGTGGCGCTGCTGGGTATGGCGTTGGATGAAGCGGTTCCGACTCTTCCAGCCCTCGAAGCAGCGATCTGTCGTCTCTTCTCAACCTCACGAGCCCTCTTGTCTAATACCTCAGTGAGATCTTGTTCCCTCTCGCCGATACACTCTGCGACCTGGACAATCGCACTGCCTCTGTCCAGTTCCACCTCGTCGCCGTCCATTAGATCTGCATCGCCGTTCCAATGTGAATCACCAACGAAATGACCTCGTTCATCATATACCATGACTCGCTTATTGAAAGCGTGGTATTTTAATTTGCCATCCTGCCATCGCTTTTGTTTTTTTCGTAGGTCATGTGTAAACAGACACGTGAACTCGTAGACTATCGATGTCGTCGGCCGCGATGGCGATGTTCCAGCGTCCGAAGGTACCGCCTTTGCTACGGCATAAGACATATCGACAGTGTGATAATCATAACTAATTCCACCTCGATAATTTCGTTAGCCGTTTCAAGATGAACAGTTGTCGACTGGAGTCCCGCGCGCTTGCTTTGCTTGCGGTTCACGTCACTCGTTAAGTGGAACGCGTCTCCCGCCGCGCTTCAGACGCCAGTACACGTGATAGGCTTCACTATTAGATTGTACATCCGTGGACATTATATTTATTCAACACAAACTAGGGGAATTTTTATGCAAAGTATAATCAAATCAAGTTAAAAATTGAATATCTATATAGCGAGGGTATCAAATTGAACCAAACAAGCTTGCTGCGCTAGTACGAGCGGCCGTGGGTTGGTGAGCAGTTGTAAACAGTAAAAGAAAAGCAATGTGGTAAGCCGCCCATGTCTAACCAGGCTTTGCAACGCCGAATCCATGCATTCTATGAGGTTCCGCTGTGTAACATGTTGAGCAAAGAAAATACAAATGGCTGTCTGAAAAAACGAAAACAAAGAAGAGTCTGTAGTATCGCGGTGTCTCTGCTCCCTGGGATAGTATCTGTCTCACAGGGATCGCGGCGAAAAAGTTGCAGTGTTTGGAGCGAGATTCTCTTTACCGAATTCAGTAGTCACGATTCTTTTATCGAGATAACTGCCTCCAGCTTCCAATTCCATAGGGGTCACTGGGCCTGGGCTTCCCAGAGGATCCAGTCTCGGAGAAAGCGGTTTGTATGCACTGCCGGAACCAAGGCGGATATCAGGAATGGAAACATGGTGAAATGCTGAATCTTGTAAAGACGATTTATTCTTCATGGTATGATTCAAGACCATGGCAGCTTGGGCGACCATGTCACGTTGGTACTGCAGCATGCGTTGTCTTGAGTCAACATCTCGTGGTGGATAAGTTGAGCTATCCTGTCGTACAAGAGCAGCACGAGGATTCGATTTGTGTTTGTGTTGCGTCTGGAATGAGTCGTCTCTCTGTTCGTAGTTGGAAGGATAATATTTGCCCAAAGGGAGTGGCTGATCGTGGAAGCCAGCAGGCATATAAGAAGAAACGGTAGCCTGCTTTGGCCTCATGTTGGGGGATGTTGGGCGATAGGACGCCGTTGAGTATTCGCCAGGCATGGTTGAGTGAGCTTTTGTTTTGAAGGGGTTGACGTCTGGTCTGAATGGATGGGGGTGATGGACTCGAGTGGTAGGATCTTCATGCAGAGGAAAGTAGCCGCTATTGGGAGAAGTCATGTTAGAGGGTATTGTGCAGAGAGTGTTTTGTCAGTGGACTTACCCAGGAAGCTCTCCTCGACCAGATACCGGCTCTGGTGGTGTGTAAATAGAAGCAGCACTATTCTTTTTAATTTTTGGAATTTCTATGGCAATAGGCCGACTCGAAGAAGGCTGAGGGGACGCTGCGTATCCTGGAGAGGGTGCGCGGGTAGCTGCAAGTTTACCGTGTTAGTAGGAGAGACCGTTGTGATTTTGCGATGATGCAAGATGTAAAATGGGGACGCCACGATGTGAGAAATCGTGCGTGTCTATTTTAATAACAGTGAAAGAAGTCCACGCTCGGGCACTTTTGTCCTGGGACAAAGTCAAAGATACGCCAAGCAGACCGCAGGGTCTTTGATCCGTACAGCCTGACGGTGGTCGTGGTGCCAAGACAGAGGCTATAGCGCACACGAGCGCTGTACCCCGCGCGAGCAGCACAGGTAAGGTGGTGTTGTAGTGGAGCCTACGCAGCAGCGACCATAACATACGGCGGGGCTTATCCCTTGTATTGCCTTGGTTTTTGTTGCTCACAGTAGGAGAGAGTGTGGCAAAGGGATGATGGACAAAGATAAGAAAACAAGATGGGTGCTTACTTCTGTTATTGGGACAACGATGCAGCTCGAGCGTCTCCAGAGCAGGCGTAGACGGATTAGATGTTGCAATATCACCTCGGTCGTCTGAACGACTGGAGGATACTGAAAAATCAGAAGAGTTGGATAGAGTACGGCCGAGAGTTGGGCGGCGACATGGCGATAGATATGCAGGTGCCTTATTCAGCGACCGGGCAAAGGTAGACGACATGACGTCGAGGCGCTTGCTGGCTGTTGTCGATTTTGATCTCCGGGCGTACGAGGGCACCGTTCCGTATTACGAGGCCAAAGCTTTTGCTGGATGCAGCGGCTGGTCCGGAGCGGGAAAGTTACGATGACGACAGTTGAGTTTATGATGGGGCCATCAAATCATGACACTGCGTTCGATCCTGTCTGAACAATGGTGTGTCTATTTTGAGGGGCTTCGACTTTGTAAATCTTTAGGCCAACATAGATTTCGAAAAAATGATGGCCTTTCGTATTGTACTTTTTGCTCGTGTAGGCACGGCTGCGTGTGCTAATTGAAAGGTCAGCGTGGAACGGTGGGAGAAGTGGGCGATGACGATTACAGACGGTGGGAAGAACGGGTTTAGCGGCTCAGAACGTTGCACAACCTTCTGCAGGCTGCAGGACGACCGTTCTTTCGATTTGAATTTCGAGCAAAGTTCGTGATTTCTGTGATGATTTGGAGCTTACGATGAACGATGTAATGGTTGAGATTCATGAAATGGGCAAGCGACGGTGCTGAAGACGCTTTGCTGAGGGACAATACGGTGGTGATTGTGGTGTGTCAACCGGCGAGGCTCAGGTGCCGTAGGTGTCGAAAGATGGCCGTTGTAGTCGATCTGTATTGACAGGAATCAAGTCGAAAGGGAAGCAGATTCGACAAGAAGAAGAAGCTGAAGTTTTATGAAGAAGGAGAAAAGAGACGGAAATTAAAACTGGACTCTACGAAACAGTCGTATGCTGCAAATGAGGCAGAGGCGGCGAAAAGTACTTGTACGTCGAAAATGGTGGATCGCGCAGCACACAGGGGACATCGAGACACCAAAAAGTGGACTGATAGGCTGCTGGCACGGAGATTGGCAGAAGGGAGCGGCACCTGCGCCAGGCGGTGCAGCGGTGGGCAAGCATCCATGTGCGCAGTGCACGCAACAGCTACAGGCAGCACCTGGGTAAGTATTATACGAATAACATGCAACGGTTTTTCCAACTTATACATTTTTGTTTAAAAAAAATTGAGCTATCTACAACCATTTCTGCCTCATACGAAAATAAAATTTGTAGGCGCAAAAACACAAAAAATGCTTCGACGAAAAGTACAGCGGCCCTTTCTCAAGCCTTGGCACCGCTGGCTTGCCGCCCAGAAAGCCTTTGGCCCCCGCTGCGTACTGGCGACAGCCTGAACTTTAGGCTTGGTTAGGTTTAGCGTGCATCGCAACGTCTCCTCTCTGCCGCTTGGTGACGTAGTTTGCACTTTTGCTGTGGGCCAGTGAGAAAGAGGAAAAAAAAAAAGACAATAAATGACGATACGTTGCAGCAACGGTGTTTGCATGTGGTTGGGTGACAGGCTGCTGCTGCTGCTGCTGCGATATCCTAGTTACAAGTCATTGTTTCCCAGCGGAACAATCATCGAGACATTCGGCACTAGCTCAGACGGTGGCGGCGTGGACAAGGACGCGTGCTATGAACACACACACACGCCCACCACACCACCCGCTGTCAACGCGCAACTGGTGACTTGGTTACCCAGCCCAGCCAGTTCGTCACACCCGCCACCAGCTGGATCACCATCTACCTGATCGCCACAGGATGGGTTCTACTACTCCTGTGTCGGCATCACGCTTTGACCATCTACATGTTCGTGTGCAGGGCACCCTCGCAGCTGGAGGGTGGCAGGTGGCAAGGCCTGGATGTGATAGCTTTGCATGTTTGCCTGCAGATACAGGGGATATGCGCTCAGCCAAGTACGCCTCGCAAGCCTGGTGTGCAGAATGACATTATGGCTGACGGGGAACGGTTTCCAACGCCGCGAATGTGTGGTATAATACCCGTGCTGTGCCCAGTACTCTGCATCGCCACTATCAAGGGCGCCGTGGTGGGACGCCTCACGGCACCAGATTTACGTCGACTCGTCGGCTGCGCTAAGGACCGACAAAGCCACGCTGAGCGGCGTGCGCAGCAGGCCAAAAAGTGCTATGCCGTAGTAAGCGAGTATTGTGTTGTTTCAGAGGCTCTGCAGATCGGGGCGGCACTGCGCTTCAGTAGCGCTGTTGAATTGTGATAAGCAGAACCATGCCGCCGATCAATCTGTCATTTGGTAGCGAGGTATAGCCGTGGTATATTGGTTCGCCGGAGTATTGATATCAAAGCCGAAGACCTTTTTTTATCGAAATGAATATTTCATCGTGTTGCAACCAGCAGAGCCGTAGACTCGTAGAATACCTATACGAATAGCCTGGTAGAAGAATCGGTAGCCCGTTTACTTAGGTAGATTACGTTATAGGGCAGCGTTCCCTTGGCAATCTACGGTAGCCAAGGTCGGAGGGATAATCATTAATATTAGCATTGTATATAGGAGTAACCAACAACCATACTTCGCGCATGCCCAAAATGTTCAAACCGACGCAACTAGGGTATTATTAAATCGATCGAGCGTAAAAGGTAGCTGGAGTTTGCGCCGAGCCAGCTTCGCGCAGAAAATATCAAAACGAAAAACAGTATCAGTCCAACTCCGCGCTCAAAAGTCGTTGCCGTGGATGTTCGCCGCAGACAGTTTCTGCAAGGGGTATCATGGTGTTTTCAGAAGTCGAAGGAGACCAAGACGGTATTCACAGCCATGGTTCCCAAGGCGGCTCAGCCGTCTATCGTCAGAGTGTTGCTTAGACGCGGGCGCGGCCGGTGAAGCGGGTGACACCGAGATCGCGGTGTCTGGTCCAGTAGACAAGGCTGACAATGGCAGTGAAGAACCAGAGGATGGCACCAGCGAGGTCGACCCAGACAGCGTTCTTCATGCGCATAACAAAGCCGTCGCCCTTGGGGTCCTCCTTGATGAACATCTGCAAAAAGCAATACATTAGTAACGGGTATTTAGCGCGTGTAACTTTTCACTTACGGCAGCAAACACGCCAAAGAGCGAAATGTAGAGGATGAAGACGATCAAGTTCCAGATGGGAGCGAGGATGCCAGCAAGACCAATCAGCTTAGGGACAAACCAGACCAAGCAAGTCACAGCAGACAGTGCGCCAACAACAACACCGTAGACCTAGAAGAAAAAAAGTTAGCTATGTGTCGGGGATAATGAAGCTGGCGCTGTGATTAGTGAGCGCCAGTCGCGCGCACAACAAAACTCACCCATTTGGAGTTGACGCCAGTACGCTCCTCGTTACCGCGCTGGACATCGGTAGCATAGAGACCGATGACGGCGAGCGCAATAACAAAGTTGCAGAGGAAGAGCACGCAGAAGAGCACGTAGCCGGTGCCGAGATTCTTGAGGCTGAGTTTACCCATGTTTGACGCGGTGGTGGAGGCGAGCTGCAAATTACGCGGATATTAAAGAGTGATGTGGTGGCTGATGCGCGGGAGACGGCAACGCGTTAATATGGGCAAGACGGCTATCGCGATGGCGAGACTCACGATGGTGAAGGAGGGAGAAGAAAGGTGTCAACACTTTTTTGGCAGCGAGAGAAAATCACGATCGCAGGGGGGAGAGACAGAATGGGAGGGGGCCACGATGCTCATTTTAATTGCTTGCGTCCATTTCTCGTTAGCGGCCAGCGAAAAAAGGTTCGTTGACGTCACATTGGGTTAGCGTAGCGGCCTCTACAGCACAGCTTGCGGCGAAAGCCCCGCTGCAGGAAGCTTAGCTTCGACCCTGTTTAGTGGGCAGCACCCTGATTTTCGGGTTTTAGCAGGCTTACAGTGCGTTTTTCCAGCGGCGCCTTGCCTGACTTGTCGCGGGTATCATGTGATGGCAGAGGCACCATAGGCCGTTCTAGACCGCCTGCAAGATGCCCAAAAGCCTGTTTTGAACACAGAAAACTGGCACCGGTTTGCTGGGGTTTGTTAAGCCGCTCGTCTAGACAGAGACTTTATTATTTTGTCTTTGTTTCTTGGAAGTGGATAAACTGCTACACTCGGCTTAAATATAATACACGGATTAAAACAAAACGGTCGCAAGGGTCCTTTCCGAAGACGCTATGTTGGAAGAGGACCCTGCGTTGAGCGATCACTTCTAACGCCTTGTATCTCCACACCATGGGCCATGTCTCTCGCTAAACCGTCTAAAATGAGCTTGGCTCTATCGTGGCAGTCAACATTGTACTATTTCTTCAAAAGTTATTAAAAGCCGGTGTGAAGGGTTTAGAAAGGAATCAAGCATATTCAGGCGGCCAACTTGCAAGGCCAGCTGTGCCACGCTGGCACCTGCGAGGCGCAGCTGCAGGCACACTCGACGCCTTTAATAGCAGCGATGCCCCATGATCTGGATTGTAGTTTCTACTTTCACTCGTTCTTAATGCTGTACCACCATGGCAGCACTGCTAGGCGTCGTTTCCTCCGGTATTAACGCTGCAGGGTTCCCCGGTCAGCTTGCCAAACAAGCATTCGAGTTACGACGACTCTGGAATGAAGTCCAAGATGCGCCAGAAGATGTGTTCGACTTGATTGATCAGATGGAATGGCTACAACCAATGGTTTCGTCTATGGGAAATTCACTGTCCGACCACTCCGTTAATGTTCCCAATGGAGCAGAGCAGTGCCTTGTTCAGTGTGGAAAGGCACTCTCGAACCTGCAAAAGCTTGCTATCGATCTTAGTCAAAATATCACCTCAAATAAACGACTCAAGAAGTCTATTGCCAAGATTAGAGTCATCATAAAAAAGGAACAGCTTCAAAAATATCACTCCCGGCTCGAAAACGCCCTAAATGGACTACGGACTGCGTGTCTTGTTTATACCATGTAGGCTTACCCATGGATGGTGTGATAGGTAAGCTAAAAGCGATTGCATAGGAACCAATGCTACTCCATGAAGAGAGATACCTCTGCCATTATATCGAAACTTGAAAATTTCGAGGATTCGATAAAGAAGACAGATTCGTCGCTTCCGGTCAAGAATCTGCCTACCAGCGCCGCGCGCCGCTGTCACGCATGGAACAGTAGTGCGCATATGTGGGGGTCTGACTATTCATTTCAAAGCTATGAGACGAAAGGAGAGACATTTCAATGTAAGCAAAGGTGGATATCGAATTCAATACGCTGACATTTAGAAGCGCTGCGACTCCGATTGCAACTCCCTCGATGGCTGACTGGATTGTCACTCAACGTCATATTGCAACATGAGACCTGCGGTTGGAAGATGTCTTTATATCCAAGAACTATCCGGCCATATCCAGAAACAGTTTTCGATATCATATCCAACGGCTCAAGTGCTGATTTGTTTAAATTTCTATCCCAATCTAAGCGAACTCTGTTTGACTACGATGAAAATGGCAGATCTTTGATTCATGTATGTATGATTCCTGTTGTATGTGCTGCTATAAATAACTTCAAATAGCACTGCTTACATCGTCATAACGTGGCTATCGCTCTGGATCTTATTGATGCCGGTGTAAAGCTTGATGAGCCGGACAATGATGCGTGGACGCCATTTATGATGATTTGTTCGTCATTTCGGGAATCACCAAACCGAGATGTTCTTCTTAGAAGACTCGCTTCTACGGGATTGCTGTATGAGCACGCTCATGTTAGACGGTGGGCAGGACGGCACGGCACAAGTCGGCTCCTTGCTATTGAAGATGCGCAATTAAATATCAGTGGTGCGGCACATATTATACAACAAGTCACTCATCTTGGACTTCAGAAAGTACATGTGGCACAAATAGAGTGGAACCACGTTCTGAATGCCGACAATCTACTTGGTCTAATACAGTCTGGAAGTGTCATTGGCTTGGAGGAATTTCGGCTTGCGACAAGACAAGGTTCGTTTCCCAGCTTCCAGGGCATGGCTGGATTTGCTCATTTCTACTTTGATTCATATCGCCATACAAGGGTGGCACCAATCGATGGGATCAGCTGTGAGTTGGACCCTTGGCGCCAGCTCTTACGAATCCTCTTTGCTGGCGCAACGACACCCGAAATATGCCCCATCAGGGATCCGTTCAATCGACAGCAGACACTACTGTTCTCTGGTATTCATTGGCTCTGTCCAATCGACTTGGTTTTCCCAGCTGCGCGAATTCTCTGTCGACGTGCTACGCTTCGGGCGCAGCACTGGCTAGAAGATCTGGCGGCCTGTGGTATCGATCTGGAAGAATACGGGCGAAATGAAGCAAATGTATTCGTGTCAAGCAACTTAACAATGCAAGAAAATTTATGCTACTTTAAGACGTCAGATGGCCAGTCATCGCCAGTTTTTGGACCTTCAGTTACCAAGTTCAGCTACGGACCAGTACCTGCAGATTGGACATTTGTCTGGGACTACTGCATCCCAGCATATGCTCGAGAGTTCTGGCAAATGGTTGAGCCTCCTCCTCCAAGCGGCATGCCTGGATCATGGATAGACGAAGAATAGTCTAATTAAAACGTCAATACATAGATATATATACTCTCTCCTGTATAACGTATGCCTTGTGCTTAGACGCCCAATGGTGGGGAACCTCGGCATCGGGCCGGTGCCGGCCCAAACCACCACCACCACCAACATCATCCCACCAAACACCACCTCGCATTTTCTCCAGCACGACCACCATCTACCAAAAATGCGCGACCTCAACCCCGTCCGCACGATCCCCAACCTTCGCGACCTCGGCGGCGTACCTGCATCCGCCAACCGCGTCATCCGCAGCGGCATTGTCTTCCGCGCCGCCGCCCCGTCCTCAGCCGCCGAGCACAACGAGTCCATATCCGCCGCCCTGACCGAGCGAAAGATCCAAAACACATACGACCTCCGCTCTCTAGTCGAAGTAGCGCGCTACGACCAGAGCAACGAGCATGCGTCTGGGATCCTGCCGCCCGGCGTAGAGCGCATCCCCGTCCCCGTCTTCAAGGACCAGGACTACTCCCCCGAAGCCAACGCCGTGCGGTTCAAGGACTATGCCGACGAAGACAGCATCCGAGGCTTCACTGCTGCATACAAGGCTATCTTGGAGGCTGGATCTCCGGCGTTTGGCACAATCCTGAAGCATCTTGCTGTTGCCCCGCCGGCCACTCCGGCACCGCTGCTTGTGCACTGCACGGCGGGCAAGGACCGCACGGGCGTCATTGCGGCCATCATCTTGTCCCTGTGTGGTGTCAAGGACGAGGCTATTGCCGAGGAATACGGGTTGACGCAGGAGGGACTTACAGAGTGGCGCGCCATGGCGACGGCGAGACTATTGAATCACCCCGCTCTCAAGGATAACCCGGACGGTATTGCCAGAATGCTCAGCGCAAAGTAAGTTGTCTACATATATACAGAGAAACTGGTTACTGACGAGGGTAGGCCTGAAAACATGCTTGCCGCACTAAAAATGCTGCGCGAAGAGTATGGCTCCGTGGAAGACTACGTCGTGAACAAGTGCGGCCTGACAACGGCAGAAGTCACCCAGCTTCGCGAAAACATGACAGTCCCAGCATAGATTTGCGAATTATGGATGATATAATCACTTAGAAAAGAAACGAACGACGATGATATAGATGCATACAATGCGCTCGGCCGCTTTGAAGGCTGCGCAGTATAGACTTATGACAATATAAGAAAGCGTTGTACATGGCTTCGAGTTGTAATATTATACAAGTGGTGGTATTCCCCCTCCCCGTCTCTTCCGTTTAATAGCACACGGGTAGCTTTTATTCTACCGACGTAGGAATCTTAATGGCGCCGCGCTTACGGTCGTCAAATGGCGCACCGTAGCGCACGCCCGTTCCCTTTCTCGACTTGCCAGTCGCGCCGACATCGTCCACATTGATCTCCTTGATGCGGAACTCGTAGCGGTCTGTCCGTACGCGTTGTGTGGCATCCTCCTCGGCCTTTCGCGCCGCCGCGAGCTTCGCAGCAACCTTTTCTTCCTGCTTCTGCTCACGCTCCACAAACAGCTGCTTGCTCTCGCCGACAGACTTGCCCTTGCTAATCTCCTTCTCCATCTGAATGAGGCCGCGCTGCGGCGAGCGCTCGTCAACAGAGAGCATGGTAGGGTGGAAGGCCTTGGCGGCGTCCTTGCGCGTAAAGTCCTTGGACTCGGCAACAGGGACAAAGAGCTGCTGGAGCGTGTAGCGGTGGATGTGGACGTCGTTGACGGGCTCGTGGGGTGCGTTGGCGGCAGGGTTTCGTTCGTCATATCGCGTTGTGGGAAGCATGCTCATAACAGCCTTGGCATACGGCTTGGCCAGCTTCTTGCCCTGTTGTGTCAAAATGTTAGCGCCGAGTTCACTGGGGCATATATACAGATGACAGAGGATAATGGGGAAGGATGCAAGTCAGTCGAAACAACCATTTATAACCACGGATAGGTCTTCAAGACTAATCGAAAATTTATAATTGTAGTCTCATCATTTTGCGCGCGGTGAAAGGAAAGAATGACGACGAAAGCACTTACGTTGGCAACCCACTGCTTCTCAACCTCCTTTAATCTGACAACAGCAGCGACTCTTCTGACATCGACGCCCATATCTGCCGACACGACCTTGAGGGCATCGCCTCGCTGTGTGACCTTTTCCCAAATCAACTCGCGCGTTCGCTCGTCCAGCACAGGCTGGCTCTTGAACAGCGGGTTGACGGGGAAGGGCTGGTCGCGGCTGCCGCCGAGGTAGCGTCGCTCGTTGGCCTTGAAGGCCTCGCCTTCGCGCGACGTCAGCCACTTGTACATGCGCTGACGCTCACGGGTCATTCGTTCGCGGCATGGTGTGGAGGAGAAGCTGCGGGTGAGGGCGCAGGAGGTTTGTGACGAGGAGGCGAGGAGGGAGTCGAGGGTGGCGAGCGAGGTCGAGCTGGACGGTAATCTAGCTGGCATGATGTGATGGTACAGTATTAAATGGAAAAGAAAAAGAAAAAGATAATATGTCGTGCGATGGCCCAATTGGCCAGGGAAAAGTTGACAAGCTTGATACTGCAAAAAAGGAGAATGGAGAAAATTGCGTGCAAAGCTGTCCGCTGGTCGCGTGTGGAGCCCAGGTTTTCTATTGTGTGGTGGCCGGCGTCTTTATTTTTCCGAGTCGCTGGCTGGCTGGCGGGCCTGTTGAGCATCGCTGGATCTCGGCCCCAAGCAGCGCTATAGTGCAACAACGCCGCTAATACTAAACGGCCGGCCTTGAACAAATGGTTCATGTTAAAATAAATCAAAATACTTCTATGGCAGGGAGCTTTACGAGAAAGTACAGAGAGCCCATCTAGTAGGTTAGAATTTGGGGGGTATATTTTATAACCAGCGGCTAGACTCCCCTTCATGTACTCGGGGGCCTTGCACAAGTCCTGATGCCTATCAATATACAGCTCGTGTTTCGTCCCTCGAGCAGAGTGTACAAGTAATCCTCCTCGTCATCCTGCTAACCCTACTCCCAACATACAAACAAAGAGAATTGATTAAAAAAAAGAAGATACCGATACAGTCGGGGCCTCTCTCTCTCTAGCTGGCTGCTGCGGCCAAAGATGATCGCGCCTTTTTGCTCTTGGCTGCCTTTGCTGCAGCCTTTGCTTTTGCTTCCTTTTCTTCCGCCTCCAGTGCAATGTCCTTCCACCGTCTCCAGCCACTAAAGTCAATAAGGGCCTGCATGCATCCCCATTCCATAACCTTGCGTTCCAGCCAGCCAAAGTTGACAGGCTTGGTCAAGAAGTCGTTGCAGCCTGCTGCGAGCGCTTCGTGTCTGTCACTTTGTAGCGAACTGGCCGTCAGGGCCACAATGATGACAGGGCCCTTGAATAACGAGCGATCTGCGAGTCTGTCTTGTTCGAGTAGCTCTAATGTCAGCTCCTCTTGCGGTGTGCTCGGTGTCGAAGAAAAGACGCCGATGGAATTGACCCTTTCCAGACGGCGAATCTCACGCGTGGCGTCCAGGCCGTTCATGCCGGGAAGCTGGATATCCATCAGCACCAAGTGAAAGCCGCCTGTTCTCCATTTCTTCACCGCGTCACGCCCATTCATTGCCGTCTGCCATCGCACTTTTAATCTCTTAACAAAAGCCTCGAGAAGCCTCAGGTTAATGGGGTTATCTTCCACAATCAAGACGTTGATGGGAGGGACTGTGCTGTTGAGGGGGCCTGGTGTGTTGGAACCTCCATATTCGACAGACTTCTTGCTCTTCTTGATGCGGCTAGTTGGTGCGCGTGGCGACGACGTCCTCGCAGGCGGCGTGTCGACATGTATGGGCTGCACGTGTTCTGGAGCAGGCGACTTGGGCAGGTTGACCATGTTGAGGGCTCCGGGGATCTGGCCGTGCAGCGGAGCTTCTGAGGAATTCGAATGAGTACGTGAATGCGGCGGTCGCGGGCGAAAAGGTATACCGTTGTTGGCAACACCTCCGCCGGATAGGATGACCGATGCAGATGTATGCGTTCTGCCTAGTCGAGGACGATCCCCGCGATGGTGGCGAGTAGGACGCATGCTAGATCCCGGCGAGGGGATCAACGGAATGTGGCCGGTGCCTATGACTGATATAGAGTGTGGAGGCCCGCCGTTGGGTGCACCAGGTACTGCTAAGGGGGCATGCGGTGACGGCATGCCTTGAAATGGTGGGAAGTAGCCTTCGCCATTTTCCGACGGCCGGTTTTCGTCCTCGTAGTAGTTGGCGGCCGCGGCGTGGGGAGCTTGGACGTATCGAGGCGAAGCTTTTGGCGTGCGTCGCGGGATGTCGATGATAAGGGCCTCGTCCATTGTTTGGCCGCCGGGGTAATACGATTCGATGAGTCGGGACATTACTTCGTCCGGGCCGAGGATACGGTCGCGCTGTCTATCGCGGGGGCAGAGGCGGATGTTGATGTCAGGGGAATCAAAGGTCCTGCCTAGGGAGTTTGCGTATTTTCGCAGGACCGTGTCGCGGACGTCGTCGACAAGATCATCATCGTTAATGGTGACGGTCGTCGGCGAGGCATCCTGTCGCTTGACCCAGACCTTTCGCGTGGGCGGCATGGTTGTGTTGCTGTAGTCGCGGCCAACGGCCAGCGTCGAAGGGGCGGCAGGGAGGGTAGTGCTCCTCGACTGTGAGCTCTTGCGCCGCGTGGGCGCTGGAGAACGTGGCGGAGCCTGCTGCTGCTGATGGTGATGAACGGAGGCGGCGGTGGGTGTGCTCGGTGATTGCTGCGAGTGCTGCGTCGGGAGCGAGGCTTGGGCGATGCGGGCAGCGAGGGTGGTGTTTAGGTTGTGGTTGGAGGAAGCACAAGAGGCGCGGTACGGAAGGTCGTCCGGGTCATGAGGCGGCAGCGGCTGGCGGTCAATGGCGGCCGCGGAATGCTCGCGAATGCAGTGTAGCGGCTGAGTGGGCGGCGAGGCTGGATAATATTGACCTTGCGGCTGAATGTGGTTGTGATGGCAAGGTTTGCTTCCGAAGGACGAGGCGTTGGTGGAGGGAGCCAGTCTGGGCGGCGGCGGCTGCTGCTGCTGCTGGTGCTGGTGCGCAACGGCGGTGCTGTTGGTGGAACTGGAGCTGCTGTTGGCCCGTTTGTGGTGGAGCCGACAGTCGCTTGCGGGAGCGTCAGAGGTGCTGTTGGTGCCGCTGAGGGATGGTGCAGGTACGCTAACGTTGTTGCTGTTGGAGCGGGTTACAGGGGAGTCCCCTTGCTGCTGTTGCTGCTGCTCGCTTTGCTGTGTGAGATCCAGCAACACCACTTTGCGGCCAATCGGCGGTGCACCAGCGTCTACTGCCTCCGCGTCAGCATCTGGAAGCCCATTATGCGAGGACGAGGTGGTTGCAGCATCGGACCAGCTGCCTCTGTTTTTTGCACCGTCGCCGTGGGCGTGCGCAATGCTATCCGTGCTGGCTGTGGTGCTGGTATTGGGCGCCTCCTCCAGCACCACCATGACCGGCATCGCCGTGGCGGGGGAACAGCCTGCTGATGCTGCGGGTGTTGATGCCGCTGCTGCTTTTGGCGCCGTGCTCACGCTGTCGTGGCTGTCTGTCGATATTACCGGCCCATGCGAAGAGCGTCTGCGCAGCGACAGTCGAGACTTGATCCGAGAAGCGAGCTGAGAGGCCATGGCGAATTGGCCGCCTTTGGAGGGGACGGGGGGCGGAAGGGAAGACGAGGGTGAGCTTCACGAGCGTGTGAACCTTGTGTTGAGCATGATGCGTCCAGTCGAGGGTTCTTGCAGCAGAAAATCAAAGTTCACTAGAGATACAGGTCGTCAAGAATTCAATCTAGAATGTATGACAAAACCGTTGTAGACAGTCTCGCACATGCGTATACAAGGTTCAAAAGGAAGAGAACGAGCAGAATGTGACAAAGCGGGAGACGGAATCAAAACGCCTCGTCTCGTCTTGTGTATTAAAGCTAATGGGCAAATACGACAGAGACAGGTCTGCACGTTCCTTCAGCCAATAGGGAAAAAAAAACCTAATTCGCGTCTGCAGTGGCCACGAGTGAATACGTCGCATTGCGCTAAGAAAGGTAGCCTCACGCGGCGCTGCTCCTTTTGGGATGGCACTGTAGATGCTGCTGGTGCAGCTGCTGCAGAACACCAGACCACGCTGTACTGCACGCACAGTACATTCCCGAATAGCGTTAGCGGACGCCTGTTCGTACCTGGAAAGCTACCTTGCTGCAGCAGGCAAGCCGATGTCTCAGTGCGGGAGAGCTTAGCGGACTTGGCCTAGCGTCGCCGCGCTAGCAGGTGACTGAGAACGCCGACCTTGTGCACGTTTGCTTCTGCTACAGCGTTGTGCAGGGGGGCGGTTCTGGCTGGTGGTGGGCAGTGTGCCACCCGTGGCTGGATGCTGGTACTGGTGGTGCCCGCTAGTGGAGGGGAGCGAGAGAGCCTTGTGGTGGGAGGGTGAAACTTGCATGGTGCACATGGGCTTTGCCAAAAAACGAACGCGTGGCAGCGATAAAGCCGAGTTAAATTATGCCGAGAAACAAACTTGATAACAGAACAGTGAAGGTAAACGATCTTATTGGTTTACTAATTAAAGCTGCAGTAGTCTGCTATACTGTAAGGCATGTTTTCACGCTACTCATCCTGCAAGCTCTCCACAGTGTAAGCCACCACACACATTTTAATATGAAACGGTGCAGATTGGCACAGCAGTTGATCGAATGACAAGTCACAATGAGTGGACTTAATTTATAAACAATACAGTGAGTTTGCTTGTGATCAAGATAAATACACGAAAGTTTGTGTGTGTGAAGCAAACAATTCTGCGAGGTTGTGCATGTGAAAATATACTCTAGGGTATTGATGTAAAAGTACATGTTTATGGCATGGATTAGAGACGAGATGGGTAAACACGTTAAACTGAGACTCCTTATTTTGTCGTATTAAATCACGCAGTATAGATATACTATATTATAGTAAAGGGTATATTAAGCATCTTCATTTGTACGTTTTCAATTGAGTGACAGATATCCCCACCAGACACAGCCTCACAATGTAAAGCGAAACGATGGATGGGCATCTCCCAGGTTATTCCTCTCTTCTTCCGGAAGTTCCAGAAGGTTATTCCGGTGACCTTGATCCCGTCGCGTATTCTCTGCCGCCATCAACAGGGCCATGGCAATAGCCGCTATGCCCCCTAACCACAAGAAGCCGATACTGGCACCATATCCAGCATGAAACCACGGAGAATCGTTTTGGAGGAACACATTGCTACCAATAATTCCTGCAATATTGCCAATCATCACTTGGATGGACGCGCCAAAGGCCCGCTTCCAGTGACCAGATAGGTTGTTCTGCAACCAGGCGAGAGCCATGGGCACAACCATGTAGTCTCCGCCAAAGACTAAGAAAACAGCACCGAATTTATAGTCGCGGGACTTGTCTGCTTGGTTCAATAGCATTACGTAGCCAATGGTGGTCACGAAGATGCCACCAACAATGAAGCTTGACCTATGCTTGAGCTTGTCAGAAGCCCATGCACCCAAAATCATACAACCAGCGGCGAAGACATAGACAGGAATGGTGTGAAGTTGTGCCTCAGACGTGCTCCAGTGGAAGTCTTTCAGAATGGTGGGCAAGAAAAAGGTGCTAGACAAGCCAGCAACGCTGATACCGAGGTACAGAGTTGCACCAAGCCAGATTTTGTAGTCGGAAAAGATACGCCGTAGAGCCGGTTTGTCCAACGTATCCATCTTGCAAACCTCCGCGACGTCGTCGGCGAGTCGGCGGCGAAGCACATACTTTTCGCGGCTACTCAACCAGCGTGTCTGCTCCGGCCAGTCAATGATGATGAAGGACGCAATGATGGCGAGGAAAGCTGTGGCAGCGCCTTCAATGATAAAGATGTATCTCCAAGAAGTGTCTGGGTTACCAATCTTGCCAATAGCAAATGCAATCAGCCCGCCAAATGCGCCAGCCACCACTGTGCTGCAAAAGAACAAGGACACGCGCTTTTGGTACTCATGGCGTTTGTAATACATGGAGCTGACGTATATGATGCCAGGGAGTACACCAGCCTCGAAAATACCAAGCAGGAAGCGAAGCACAACAAGGGCTTCATAGCTGTGGACAAAGCCCATGCACATGTTGATGATGCCCCAGAGGAACATGAGGCTAGAGATGAAACGCGAAGGGCGGAATCTCTTGATGAGGATGTTGGAAGGCACCTCAAAGAGCACATATGAGATGAAATACACCTATCCAGTGAGTGTGATTAGCTGGGAGGGAAAGCCACATAGAGAGCATCGGCGAGCCACCCAAGACTTACAAATAGGGCCACGTTGAAGCGGTTACCGTACAGATCTAGCTCCTGGGCCATGCCCTGAATCTTTGCATTGCTAATATTGATGCGATCCAGAAAGGACATTGTGTAAATGACAAAGAAGACGGGAAACACGATGAAGTCGAGCTTGCGCACCAAGCGGCTCTCCTCGATTGGATCGAGTGGCTTTTCGTTGGCGTCGCCGAGCACAGACAGCGGCGGCCCGGCATCCACCACAAGAACGGCAGCATCCTTTGACGAAGCCATGATTGCTCTAGAGTAGCGTACAAGACGTTGAAAAATGTGTTTCCGCCAGAGTAAGATGGCAATGGAGAAACATTTTTTTCCAGAGCAGAAACAGCGGAAATTGAAATAAGGCTGTAGAAGCGGGGGAAAGAAAGCGAATTACGAAGAGCACAGCGTAAGGGGGGTCCCTCACTCAGCTATGTGCGCCTGATCAGCGACAACGTTAATATAGCAAGGCTAGGATCTGCAGCCTGGGTCCAGATCGAGCCAGCGCTGTGTTCTACGCGAGTTTGTGCCATGTTGCTAAAGTGGAAGATCAGGATTTCGAAGTGGCCGACATGGTCGTGTGTACGGTGAAGCTATCGCGGCTGAGGGTTAGCTAGTGATGCTTACTCAGTAGCAATGGGCTGCTCTCTGCATCAGCCTCCTCTCGTCGTCTTTTTTTCCCGTGTTTCAACCAGGAGCATGGGTGAATGAATAGAAGAGTGGGCGGGTGGGTAGTACTGGTGGTGGTGGCTCCAGGAGATGGTTCTTCGCAGGCGGCGTCTTTTTGTAGGGGACCAAGGCAGCCAGGCAGCCAGCCACTGTAGCCCTTTTCCCGATTATTCCACTTTACATCGCCCGCACAATCACCGCTGCAGCCGCCACCTTTTTAATAAAGAAGAACACAGCAGCAAAGAATGCATGCACCACGTAAGAGAGAGGATCTCTGCTGATGCTGATTGCCCGATTGCTGATAACAAATACACAGGGTAAATAGCAATCGCCCACCGAAAAAAAAACCCGTATAAAAAACGCGTCCACGACAAAAAGCTACCCTTGCAATGGCCCAATGCACCTCAACTGCCGCCCCTCTTGCGTGCGGCGCCTGTAGCAGCATCTCCTCAAGCTCACTGTTTCCAATGCTCTGCCAAAGGAGAAAGGAAAACCACTAGCACCGTCAACCCATGTCTGCCAACCCCTGCGACTCAGCACAATGTCACGCTGGGCCCGTCCCGCCTCCCCGGCCGAGTCTCGAAAGCGCTATCGAAACAAAAGAGTGGGCTTCTACCGCTACAGAGGCCCTCTTTTTTCTCATGGCTCTTGATGCTCAACTACAGTACAGTAGCATAGCAGAAGAATATAGCTGCAGAATAGAAAAAAGGGGACTCCGGGATGCCCAGCCGGTAGCAGACGCAGCGGGGCCGCCACGAGGTCGTGCAGCGGACCACGACTAGCCCGAACGGTGACCAACAGGGGGCTTTCCTTACTCTGGAATAGCTCTTGGACGGGCACTAACACGCTTCGTCTCTCGCGCATTCAGAATGCTTCTCGTGCTCGCCGTCGGTGCAACTCTCCTGTTCTGCCCCTCTCACACCCCTGGCTTCGACCATACCCGTCGACATGGGCTTGAGGGGCTATCGAACGTGGGATCGGCTCTTAGCCTGGTCAATAGTAGCGTGTCACTGCTTCTATCCTGCAGGCATTTGCTAGCGAAACAGAGCTGCTCCTGCATGGCCTTCTTTTTCTTCTTTTCTTCATGCCATCCCCCCGCCCTCTCACTCTTCTTACTCTCTTCTCCCCCTTCTTGCATGCGTGGCGTCTCAACTCTATCTTGCATATGGGAAGCGTCTCGTTTCTTTTTTCTCTCTTTTCCAATCGTCTCTCGTTGATCCTTTCTCGCCTTTCTTTTTCTTTTTGATACCCCCGTGTTAGTCACCAACGGCACTATAAACTGGCCCATCATGACTACAGACGCCCCTCTCGCCGATCCAAACGCCAACCGCGCCTATCTTGTCTACGTTCCTTCTCTCGTCTTCGTTATACTCTGCCCACTATTTGTTGGCCTTCGTCTATGGGCGCGCCAGGCCAAGAGAGTTGGATTTGGGGCCGATGATTACACCGCTATTGCAGCGCTGGTTGCTGGCCAGTTGCTCAATGGCTTCTTGGTTGGTGGTAAGATTTTGCAAACTCTAGATCCGTTAATCAAATAGATCTATGGCTAACTTTTCTTCATCAATAGCCTGCCAACATGGCATGGGACGACACTTTACAACCCTCACACACAGCCAACAAACCCAATCCATGACTGTGAGTTCCAGGTCTTCACCTTTGCTATAAAAGGCCGTACCCAACTAACACTTGCTCTGCTAGTTCTTCTACATGGCGCAAATCGTCTACAAACTTGCCATTAACCTCTCCAAAATCAGCATCGTCCTTCTCTACCTTCGCATCTTCCAGCTCGTCAAGTGGTTCCGCATCACTTGCTGGGCCCTCCTCGGCGCCATTTCAGCATACTGTGTCGCCTCGGTCATCGCTACCGCTCTTCAGTGCAGCCCCATCTCCCGCGCCATGGATAAGTCGATACCAGGAACATGCATCAACATGGCCACCTTTTGGTATGCCAACGCAGCCTTCTCCATTAGCACCGATGTTATCCTCCTTCTCATCCCGACCCCTCTCATCTATCGACTGGAAATCACTGCATGGTATAAACTGGCCTTGGTCGGCTGTTTTGCTGTTGGTGTGTTTGGTGTCGTGACGTCGTGTCTCCGCCTCACGTCTCTTAACGTTCTGGCCACCTCGGTAGATCAGACGTGGGACATTACCAATGTCATGTGGACTATTATTGAGCCCAACACGGCCATCATCTGCGGCTGTCTGCCCATTCTGCGCTCGCTGGTGGGAAGAGTCGTCCCAGCCCTGCGAACGCAGAACAAGTTTTCATACGACAACAACTCAAGCCAGCACTCACAGGCGCGTATTCCCACGCACGGCCATTCACGAGACAAGTCTGGCTGGGAAGAGTTGGGCGGTAACCACGCCGACGCCTTCCACATGAAGTCGGTACACAGGTCAGGCTCTAAGCACGGCAGCGACGAGCAGATCAACAGATACACAAACAAGGAGATTCACAGAACAGTGGAGTACACGGTACGCTACTCTGAGGCGAATGAGGACCATTGAAAATAGGCGGGCGGATGTGTGTATGTATATAGCAGCGATGAGTTTATTTGTACAAAAGAATTATGCAATAGAGCTCACAAAAGAGCTCTCTATGAATCGAAAAAACCCTTGTTTTATCCTTGCAAATGCGACGTTTGTGAACGCAATTTGATGTTCAAATCTCGAGCAAAGGCCGGCTGAAGATCAAAGATTGCACTCCATCGCTCCAAGTGAGACAGTTGTATATAAAGGCTCTGATAAATACCAGGCAAGACCCTCTCTGCTTCCCTTTGCGGTATGTATTCCAGACATTCTTCATACGCTCAATCTGTTTTGGCGTAAACTCAGTACGACACGAACTACACAGCTCAGTTAGCAGAAGCCACAGCCCGGCAGATCGGATTGCTCAAGCACAGGCTGACTGAATGCAGTCGTAGCCAAAAGACTGGTTATAACATGATAGTGTAAGCACATTCTACGGATATGATCTCGCGGTGCCTCTGGCAAGTAATAGGTGGAGGGGCATATTACAGGTGATCTGGCTGCCTTAATATAAAGAGATGCCGCCGACTACGCACGTCTTGCGGCGAACATGTCTTTGTTTGAGTTTTGATATATTGTGTTTATGAGTAGTCGCCAAGCTAAAAGAAAACCTACCGACTATTAAAAGCCATCGCTGTACCCCGGACTGGCTGGTAGATGATGCTACGTAATGGTAACTCAGCGCCGAGACACTGAACCATAGGCGACATAGTGAGATAGGGGACTACCTTGAAACTCTAGCCGTATTTATTACCAATCTGGATATGAAGAGTGTCTTATTGCAATTAACTGCGGTCGAAAGATGTAGTTATGGGGGGTTGTATATAGTCGGATATTGACAGTGTTTAAGTGGAAGCATCCTGGCGAGTTGGAGTCAGGCAGAACCGTGGAGATGAGAATTAGCGTTCTGATACTTGTATTCAATCGCGTCACATAATAAACTTTTGTGATTAAACCGTTAAAGAGTATATGCAAAGGTCCCAGTAGTCAAGACCGTCTAATGAAGGATTCTATTATAGTGTACACTGCGTGAGCGATTAATATACAGAAACAAGCAAAGGCCCAGCAAATGCAAAAGGTCTACTCGCTGTTAGCATGCTCCCATGATTCTCTAATAGCCTCCCAGTACTGCGTAGGATGTTCTCTCATGTGGCCGACGTGGCCACTACCCGCAAACACAGTCGCATCGCAAGCGTAGCCCTTTTGCTTGGCCTCAGCAACATGCTCCTCAATGTCCTGGTAGCCAATCAGATCGTCCTCCTTGCTGTACATGTAGAGCCTGCGCGCACTCTTGACAGCGTACTTTTCATCATTGGCAGCGACTCTGCTCCATGCACCAGCATGCTTGCGTCTCCTGATAAACAGGTACAGCGTATTGAGCATGAGGAACAGACCCCAAATGGATTGTGTAAAGACAAAAGGCCACGGAAACCACTTTGCCGTGCCAAGCGCCATGGCCCGCGACCATCGCTTCAGATTCGACCAGGTAAAGTCTGTTCCACCGGGCGTCGAGTCCATGACAAAGAGGTTGTGCGGCATGGCTTTCTTGTACATGCTGAGGTACTGGTTGAGCGTGGCGGCAAAGTTGATGGCGCCGGTGTTGGACATGGCATGAACGAGGATCTTGCCGGCTGCTGCGCCATCTGACGGGAAGATGGCCTTTACAATGGGCGTCATGGACGACGAGCGCTGTTCGAGACTTGTGTACATGGCTTTAGCGATGGGCGACAGCACGACGACCTGCTTGGCGTGTGGGAAGAGCTCGCGGTAACCAATGGCATATTTGACGACGTGTTGAGGTAGACAGTCGCCCCAGCCGTAGATCATGACGACATCGGGCTCGTTTGTCGCCGTGCTGGATTCAGCGGTGCCGTCGCGAATGAAGACTTGGTCTGACAGCGGCTTGAAGCCAGGAACCCCTGACTGTTTGGGTGCCATTGGTGCGTAGATGGTACGGGAGGCTTTGCGCAGAGGTTGTAGGACGGAGTTGGTAGTAATCGAGAGAGGCGCGTGACAAGGTTTAATAGTTTGCAAAAGCACCGTTGACAAATAACGGTTGCGTGTGGAATTTTACCGTTGTTGAAAAAAGGTCTTATCTTGTTGAGGTGGTGGGCGTCCCGGCCGGACCGGGGCGGAGCGGGTTAGCGCTTGCCGGCACCCGGGCCGGAGAGTAGGCGCGCGGGTGCAAAGCCAAAGTCCGACTGGCTTTTCTAGAAGTTCGAAATGATTCCAGGCGCTAAAATAGAGTGGCGGGAGAAGAAAGCTTGACTGGACTACAGGACGTCGCTCTTTTTGTGGTGTCTGTGAGAGGTGGTCTTTGATAGCAGAGGGTACCGTTAACAAATGGCTAACATGTGCATTGAGCGCTAGATGCTCCATCCTAGTTTTGTTTTTGTTTAGGCTCCCTGTATTGCTTTTTTTCAGAGGACTATTATGGTCAAATGAATAGTAATAGCCATCAGTATACGAGGTTGATTGACTTTACACAAGGATGTTCGTGCGAGCAGCATGGTGATGAAAGAGACTGGCTTTGAGGCTGTTAGATTTGAAGGTGCGGTTTGGCTGGCGTTTTTCTGACGCCTCATGTATTTGGGAAAAGATTTGCCATCTGGGGATCGCATTTATATTAGCGAGTGGCTGCTGCGAGATTCATGTTGCTCGGCGGCGGAGCTCCGACGTGGGCTTGGCCAGGCTGCCGACTAGCGCCTGGACGCTGTACTGGACAAACAAGATAAGTTACACGACATCACAAATTACGGTACCATGTTTGGTTTAGGTTTGTATGGAATCATGCGTGCACATAAATTTAACAAAAATTTTCGGGTTGTTGTTACTACGGTCGCTTTAATTGGCGTGAGGCTCCATACGATGGTATACAACTTCTCATCCTTGACCAGTAAAACTCGTTAATAGCAAAGCCTGGTGAAATATAATCCATCTCAGGTAAATATTGGTGTCTGCTAGCGAGAAGCCGTAGCCTGTAGCATGAAGTGTACCTTGCAGGAGCTGCTCGATAGAGGTCTCTAGGCAGTGCGCTTGACGTAGTCTTGGAACGCCTGTATGCTTAAGCTGATTTTTTTAATGGCACAAAGTGTTGCGTACACCATCATCTGCCTGAATGTCCCTCAATATGCTGCAGTACAAAAAGTGTGTCGCGCCGCTCTCTGCAGATTCATCACTTGGACAGGAGCATACCCTGACCACCAGAACACCAGCCCTGTTCCCCCCCCCGCGGCTAACCTCAACCGGAGACGGTCCATCTAACGGCACAGCCCATGCCGGGTTGTTTGTTTGTTTGCCCCGGAACTACTGTACGAACCACTAAAAGGACAGACAATATAGCGCTCAAACGCGGGGGAAGTCGCAGGCGCCAGTGGGTTGGTGGTGGTCTGACAGGGGAGCCGCAGAACACAATGCGTATGACGCTGGGAAAACGGGCCTCGGTATTTTTCTGGCCCCTTGCGCCTTGCGGGCTGGGAACGGGGAGGGGAGCGAGTGGTTGGGGTTGATTGGGGGAGGCAAGACGGCGCTACTCCGGCGTACATTTGTGTAAAAGCATATACATATTATTTCATATATGCATTCTATAGTATACAGACAGTATAATCGTAATTTTATATAATTTTATAATCTTGTCAGTATCGTCTGAAGCCAGCTTCGCCTCCGCACGTTCCGCCGACAAGATGCCCCGATTCCCCGTCCGCACAGCGCCAGGCTACCCCGCGCGCCTCCGATTTGGCGGCCCCACTTTGCCCGGCCTTGGTCATTTTTGCCGAGCTTAGGAATTCCATGTGCGGCCAACTTTAGAATTTTTATTTTATTTTTCAGCGCTTTTCCATTTTCTAACAGCAAGCTAAGCCAAAAGCCGTTGTTATTTCTTGCTGAGAAAGCTTGTGAAAGTCAACGCAACAAGCTGTGCACCCCCTCTTCCGTCTCTCTCCACAAACACAAAAGACGACTTGTACCCCAACCACCCCCTTCTGCTTTTCTTCCTTTATACTTTTGTTTTCCATCTTCCTCGCCTCTGTTCCTCCTTCATCTTCTCCTCTTCTTCTATTTCTTTCCCACATACAACAAGAAGAAACACAACCCTACCGTCCACACACCATGTCCGCCCTCTACGCCGTCCGCGAGTCCATCGTCGGCAAGTCCATCCGCGGCGTCATCGGCCTCGCCCTCAACCCCATTGTCTCTGGTGGCCTGCTCGCCTTCCTCGAAAAGGGCCCCCAGCATGTCATTGAGGACATCCTCGCCCGCGCCGGCCTCCCTGCCAACTACGACCTGACCACCGTCAAGCTCGCCCTGGCCGTGCTGCTCGTCATTGGCGGCGCCAGCGCCCTCAACAAGAAGCTCAACTCCATGGCCGCCAACTCGTGGCGCATCGGCGGCGCTCCCGGCTGGGACTGGCCCAAGGAGATTGCCGTCGTCACGGGCGGCTCCAGCGGCATTGGATTGGCCATTGCCCGCGAGCTGCTGACCAAGAACGTCAAGGTCGCCATCTTTGACATCCAGCCGCCCCCCAAGGACCTGCAGAACAACAAACTCGTCAAGTTCTACAAGTGCGATGCCACCTCTTCGGCCTCGCTCGCCGAGGCTGCCGACGGCGTGCGCAAGGACTTTGGAAACCCCACGATCCTCGTCAACAACGCTGGCATTGCCAAGCCCGCCAACATCCTGACCATTGCCGAAAAGGACCTCGAGCGCATCTTCCGCATCAACACCATGTGCCACTGGCTCACTGTCCAGCAGTTTGGCAAGGCCATGGTTAAAGCCAACAAGGGCCACATCATCACCATTGCCAGTGTCGCCTCCTTTGTCGGCATGCCTGGCCACGCTGACTACGGCGCCACAAAGGCCTCTGCCCTCGCTTTCCACGAAGCTCTCCACGCTGAACTTGCCCACACCTACAAGGCTCCCAACGTCTTGACCACCATTGTTCACCCCGACTTTGTCGCTACGCCGCTCCTCACCGAGTTCAAGAGCAACCTCGACAGCAACGGCATCCGCTACATCACCCCCGAGCAGGTCGCCCAGGTCACCTGCGCCAATGTCTTTGGCACCAAGGGTGGCCAGGTTATCGTCCCCGAGCAGTCTGCCGGGGCTTCGTTCCTGCGCTCGGCTCCCAACTGGCTGCAGATTACCGTCCGCAACTTCATGGCTGGCGCCACAAGAGACTGGACCAAGTAAAGGAGAGGGCAACGACGATGGGCTCCGGATGTGATGTTAATGATACCAAACCAAACTCCCCGAACTAGCGTGTTTCTGTAGGAGGATGGCACCATCCCCGTGTACAGTTAGTATTAGTCTAATGTAGAAAAGACGAAAAATATAGACATACAATAATTTTGATTTTATACTGCTTTCCCTCTAGCTTTGGTGTCTGAATATGGTCTTTGCCCATGGCCAATAGGACGTTTCAGTGTATGTTTTTGGTTCTATCTTTGGCCAATTAGCTTTATAATTGTATTATATAAGCTGCGAATATTTAGCATGATTTTATTTATTTTACTGTTTGCATAGTTATCCGATCTATTCTTCGCTGCAAGCGCAGTGAATAGAGTAGCCAATGGATACAGTGGATATGGCGCAGTTACAGCACCTACACCACCCTGTAATTCTGTTCTCAGAACACCAGCCCGCCGCGTGATGGCTGGCCGACAACACAGTTGTTCGTCACTGTTTCTTCACCACCCAATTCATTTATCATCGTGTCAATCTACAGCTTGCTAAAACACACTGTCATCTAATAATATAGAGAGCCGAGTTCCATATTCCATCAAAATACAAAACCCAATACAAAATACAGCTGCACGACTACTCCAAATTTTGTTGTTTTGTTCCACCAATGGTCGCCCCAGCATTAACGCTACGTCACCTACCATTTCGCGTCTTCTCCGAACGATACTAAAGACGGACATTGCCCGTCTAGACTCGCCTTTTAGACTCAGATCATCTTCCCCAGCTTCCTCGTCCGTACTACTGCTGCTGTGTGGCAGTAGTCAGTTGGCCGACAGAACGAGTCATTTAGGCCTCAGTCGGTGGAAATTGCGCTGCTAGCCGCTTTCCCCAGTTCGGGGAACCAACCCTAGGCCGGATTCCAAATCCGTTCTGTGAGGGCCAATGGCGCCGTATTTGAGTCGCATTATTGGGGACTATGGGCGGGGGACGCGTTCTTTGTGTAGTGCGCCAAGCTACGCCATGCGCTGCAAACATGCCTGATTGAGCCTAGATGGAGACTTTAAGGTTATTCTTACCTTCCTCTTGGGGCATGCGTGCCTCTGTAGCGGAACGCTGCGGCCCCGGTGCTAGAAATTGTTCCTGATTCAAAAGGCGGCGGTTTGCGCGCATCATCTCTGCAACACAAAGTTCAAAGCAGAAGCAGAAGCCGACGCTGTAGCTAGCAGAAACTTCGAAGACTACAGTAGTTCCCCCTCCAGTCAATCAATCGAGGCTGTCGCAGCACACAATGCACGCCTCCAAGATTGTCTCGTTCCTAGCGCTGTTGGCGTCCGCCACAGCCGTGTCCGTCACCCGCAGCCCCAATGCGCCCGTGGGCAACGGCAACAAGCAGCTCACTTTTTCGGATGCCGTCATTGACAACACGCTGAGCCCGCGCTCGGCCTCGTCCTTCAGCTGGCTGGCCGCGACGGGCAACAGCACCGCCGACGGCGAGTACTTGACCAAGAACAAGGCGGGCGACTACATCCGCGCCAGCGTCCTCACCAACAAGACCACTGTGACCGTCAAGGCGAGCCAGATCCCCGCGGGCACCTCTCTCTACGCCGTCGACAAGTACATGCGCACCATTGTCGTGGTAGGCAAGCCGCACCGCCCCGAATACCTCGATCCCCTCCTCTACAACTACTGGGTCATTGATGTGGCGACGGGCAAGTCTGCGCCACTCATGGCCGGCCAGAACAACGACATTGCTGCCGTCCAACTGTCGCCGTCCGGCAAGGCCATTGCCTTCATCTACAAGTACAACGTCTACGTGTGGAAGTGCGGCAAGGTCACCCAGGTCACCTTTGACGGCAGCCGCGATCTCTACCACGGTGTCTGTAACTGGGCCTGCGCCACCGACAACATTGGCGGCCTCATCTTCTCGCCCGACGAGAAGCAGCTTGCCGTTGTGTCTGCCAACAACAAGGACGTCTACGACTACCCCGTCGACTTCTTCACACAGGGCGAGGACCTGACCACGGACAAGCTCGCGCCCCAGTACCCGCACAACATCCTGCGCATCTACCCCAACGCCGGCGCCAAGGTCATCCCCAAGCCCGAGATCCGTCTGATCCAGCTCAAGAACGGCACCGCCATCACCCGCATCCCCATTGACGAGTACGACGGCAGCAACATTCTCGACGGCTTCCTCTGGGCCACCGACGCCGCCAGCACCTTTGTCTACGAGATCCTCAACCGCGTGCAAGACAAGGCCAAGATTGTCGCTGTCGACGCCGCCACTGCCTCCAAGACTCTGATCCGGGAGCGCGCTGCCGACGACAACGGCTGGCTGCGTAGCGACTCGTTCGACGTCAACGCCTTTATCGGCCGCGTCGCCGGCAAGTCCGCCAACTACATCATCGAGGTCGCCGAGGACGACGGCTGGGCTCACCTCTACCTGCAGGCCATTGACGGCAGCGACCGCATCCAGCTGACCAAGGGCGAGTGGGAGGTCCGCAGCCTTCTGAGCGTCGACACAGAGCGCCAGGTCGCCTACTTCAGCGCCACCAAGCAGCACAGCACCGAATCCCACCTGTACAGCGTCTCCTTCGACTCTGCTGCCGACTCCGTCACCGCGCTTGTCGGCGAAGAGCCCGGCTACTGGTCCGCCTCGTTCACCCCCAGCGCCAAGTACTACGTCGCAGCGTACCAGGGTCCCAATGTCCCCTACCAGCTCGTCTACAAGGTCGGCAACAACGAGGCCCTCGCCGTGATCCAGGACAATGCCGCGCTCGTCAAGCTTCTCGACAGCTATAGCCTGCCCAACATCAGCTTCTACGAGATGAAGCACCCCGACGGGTACACCATGAACGTGAAGCGCATTGTGCCGCCCAACTTCGACCCGAGCAAGAAGTACCCCGTGCTCTTCCAGCCCTACGGCGGCCCCGGCAGCCAGCGCGCCACCAAGGCCTGGACATACTACTCATGGGTGCCCTATGTCGCAGCGGACCCGGAGCTCAGCTTCATCGTGTACATCATCGACAACCGCGGCACGGGCTTCAAGGGCCGCAAGTTCCGCTCCCCGATTGTCGGGCAGCTCGGCAAACTCGAGGTCGAGGACCAGATCTGGGCCGCCAAGGAGCTGCTCGCCACCACGCCGTACCTCGACGCCAACCACGTCACCTTCTGGGGCTGGTCGTTTGGCGGCTACATGGCGTCCAAGATTGCCGAAAGCGACACGGGCGTGTTTACGTGCGCCCTCATCACCGCACCCGTCAGCGACTGGCGCTTCTACAACTCGGGCTACACGGAGCGCTACATGAAGACGCCCGATGTCAACCCGGCGGGTTACGACGCGCGCGCGGTCCGCAAGACGGCCGGCTTCAAGAACATGAAGGGCGGCGTCGCGTTTACGTTTGGCACCGCCGATGCAAACGTCCATCCGCAGCACTCGCGTGTTGTCCTGGATAATCTGGTCGGCGACGGCATGCTGCCTTCCAAACTCAAGACGTTTGAGTTTACCGACAGCGACCACGGCATCAAGTACCACGGCGCCACGCGCTTCCTCTACCGCTTCCTCACGGAGAGGCTCTGGGACGAGCTCCAGCGCACGGACAAGGTGCACCAATGGAGCCAGCCTGAACAGGTCTTTGCTGCTAATGCCTCGGCGCCTGCAAAGGGCTCTACGCCCGAGGACTACGCTGCTGACTCAGGGATGAAGGCGCTGTACATGGAGGGCGTTGTCTTTTAAGTAGTGTGCTGCTCCTCCGTGTGCTGTGCTGTACGTCATTCTCTCTCTTTTTCGATTTACATTACTTTGTTTCTTAACTGTCTATATTTTAGTCTCATCTCAAGACATTTTTTCGCTCTTCATCTTACATCAGTCTTCTACGCGTGCAAGTGTGTATGTCTGAGTTTGTGGAGATGTGCATGCAGAGTTTGTATCATTTGTGTATATTATTAGTATAAAAGCGGATTAAAGATGAAATAGGTATAGTTTAAGCGACTACTAGGAAAATGGTAGCGAGCGTAGCGGTGGTATCTAAGAATTATATTGCCCCGGAGAACAACTCAACTCTGTCGACCCTTAGGCCTGAGCCTGAGCAGGGACAGGAGTCTCCTTGGGAAAGGTAAAGCCAGCACGAATCAAGCGACCAACAACGAGGAAAGCATAGCCGGCGCTAGTAGGGTGGAAGATCTTGTGAGACTTCCAGGACCAGGTGCCGCTCTTCTTCTTCTCAGCAGGCGTCTCAGGCTCAATGACGTTGGTCTCTGCTCTAGCGAGAGCAACACGGGCAGCATGGGTAGCATCATCTGACTCCGCGCCAGCAGCAGCACCAACAGCAGGGACAACGGGGACGGCAGGGATAGCAGGGACACCGGGAACAGCGGGCACAGCGGGCACAGCGGGCACAGCGGGAACAGCGGGAACAGCAGGGACACTAGGGATGCCAGGGATGGTAGGAAGCGCAACGATGGGCTCAGGAGCCTCGGGGGCCGGGACGGCGGGAACCGCAGGAACCGCAGGCACTGCAGGAACAGCCTCGGGGGCGGGGATGGCGGGACCGTTAGGGCTGATGGGGTTGGTGGGAGTTGTAGGAAGAGTCGGCGTGGTGACGTTGGTAGGCAGAGTGGGAAGCGTAGGGGTAGTAGGGTGGCCGTTGCCAGCTTCGGTCTGGGCACCCTCCTCGGGCATGGAAGCCGTGCGGATAGCGTGGTCCTCGGCAGACATGTAGTTGGCGCGGGACCAGTCAGCAGGAGCTTCAGCGCTGGCGACCTGGCTAGCAGTATTGTTGGAAGAGGCCATGGCTTCGAGAAGAGGACAAAAAGAAGATGTGTGTGTATGAAGAAGCAGAATGATGTTGCCTACGAGGAGTGGAAAAGAAACGCAGCGTGTAAATCCGTATATATAGGCAGCCGTTTTTCTTCCATCCTCGTCTGGCGCCAAGACGTCGGACGCAATGCTACGTAATGCGCCGCCAGTCCAACGGTGAGAGGTGCCTTGGTGTCTTGAGCAGAGCTGAGTGCTGTTGGTCAGTGTCTCGGGACCCTTGGAGGGATTTGTAACTGGATTTCTGGTACTGAAAATAGCCCGTACCGCAGGTGAAGCGTTATCGTGGGGTCCTCTGGCTTACACGCCGGAACATGAGGCGGTGCTAGAAGGGATCTGACACGGCTTCGGTTGATGGCTGCTTATTTTCCGAGCCAAAGTCTATTTGGTGGATGGTTTTCCTAGACAGCGATGAGCAAATATAGATTTCTGTTGCATTTTTGCTGATATTTCTTTGACCAGCGTGCAGCCATCGCCAGTCTGTAGTTAGCTGGGCTGCTGGTGGATCTTGTCGATCGGCAGAATGCTAGTGTGCGGCTGAAGCCTCACTGCGTCACCGACGACAAGCTTTAAATTTAGCAAAAAACAAAACACACAGGGGACGTCTTCTCAAACCGCCAGACCAAGAGTCTCTGTCGTCCTCCCATCACCTGATTGCCGCTCAACTTAACACCCTTGTCAACAGAACAGCACCTTTTTTACGCCGCCGAGAAAGCGTCTGCATGACGCAGGCTCGTCGTCCATGGTCGGCGTGCCGCGAAGCAGCGGATGTCAGCTCTGTCGCAAGCGCAGAGTAAAGTGCGACGAAGTCAAGCCGGCCTGTGGCAATTGTCTTAGGTACGGCGCTGCATGCCCAGGATACGAGAAGCAACTCAAGTTCGTCTCTGGCAAGCATGTCGTGCGGCCAAAGGGCAGCGGCGCGAAGCTATCGCCTTCAAGTCAGAGAGGAGGAGGGAGTAGCAGCAGCAGCAGTAGCAGCAATGGCAGCCCGTCCTCGTCGTCTCTTATGAGCTTCAGCTCGCCAGCGCAGAGCATCACACGGAGCCCCTCGCCCAATAGAGCCCAGTTTGTAGCGACAATGCTCGCCTCGGCCACGGTTACGCTGCAGCAAAAGGACGTCACGGGCTTCTTTTCGTGGATGCAGCTTGGCAGCATTGGCATGACGGCCGGGCTCGACAGCGCGCTGTGCTGCCTCTCGATGCACATTGTCGGCAAAAACGTCGGCGATGCGGCCATGGTTGCCAGCAGCCGCACGCTCTATGGTCAGTCGCTCGCGGAGTTGCAGCGGCAGCTTGTTCACCGGACCAAATGGCGGGACTCTGATACGCTGTGCATGGCCATCCTGCTGTGCATCTTTGAGGTATGCATCATGCCCCTCTTGTGGGCCTTAACCTTGGTTCGCTAACACGGCGTAGCTATTTGCTGGGACAGGCTCATCAGACTCGTGGTTGCAGCATGCGCGAGGCATCGGTGTTCTTATTGAGCAGCGTGGCCCTGCAGCCCATGCAGACGGCTGGGATGCAGCAATGTTGCTTTCCATTCGAGGCATTCTAGTACGTTTTTAAACCAAGACCAGAAAGATAGGCTCACAAGTTCGCTTCTAACCGGCCTCTCTTGTCTAGATCATGTCGGACCTGTTCTACCCGCGAGACGAGGCGTGCTTCCTGTCGAGAAAGGAATGGCATCACGTCATGAAGGACCGAGGGCGGCGTCTTATCCATCCGCCAACCATAAGCGACGAATCGATTGAAGCTGTAGACGAGTACAACGTCCAGCTTGCATACGTACCTGAAGTGGTCCGGTTGGGATATCCTGCCCTCTTAGCAGCACGCAGCGGAATGCCCCCCGACCCTGTGTACATTGCGGCTGCACGGCCGATAGCCGTACGGTGTCACGCGCACATGAAGGCATGGAACGAAAAGTACAAGCACGTATTTCCCCCCGTAGAAGAAGTCCCCAGCGAAGATCCCGACTCACTGTATGCCACGGTGATCAAGTACCCAGTGGGCTGGGCTGGCACGATGCAGATATCGTACTGGGCGACCATGGTGCTGCTGCAGGGTATGTTGGGTGTTTTGCAGCACGAGCACAACTACGAGCAAGAGCAGCAAGAATATGTTCGGGGCATCCTGCGGTCCGTGGAGCATCTCGGTCAAGGGCCGCTTGGCGCGTATCGTGTCGGGTACGCTGTGCGAGTTGCGTACGAGGTTGCAAGCGCGGATGCGCAGGCGTGGATTCGCAGGCAGCTGGACAGGTTGTCGAAAACGTATGCGGCCGTGGACAAGGCGACATATCCTGAGCAGAGGGCCGATGATGAAGGATACTCGTGAGAAAATAAAAAAAAAGAGGTCAAATAAAAAAGAATTGTACATAAAATATGGTTGTCATAATTTCTAGTCGTTCATTTTCTAAGTGTAAATATAAAGATAAATGTACATGTCATTGCTGGTTGAGACATCCAGCGTCCCCAGCAAGCGTTTGTACAGTTTCGAGGGTATCAATCCAATCCCAACTCCAAATCCAAAAAAAGAAAGGAAAGAAATAATCGTAAAAGGGTATGAAGATAGTTCGTTGCCGCTGTTGCAATAGGAGAAAAAAAAGAGAGACAGATCGTGAGCAGTGGGCGGGGGTTGTTTACTTCTTGCCCAAGAGCGCTTTCGCCATGTCCTTCAGCGAAGGGCCACCAAAGAGCAGCTGATCTGAATGGCGGCCACAGGTTGTATGGACATTGACTGTAGGAGATGGTTTTATCCAGTTGGACGATGCCCTACGGAGGACCGACGTGCCGGTGGATGTTGTGCTCGCGTACGAATCGACTCGCTGCTGTTCATGGTCGGTTAGCTACGGCGTGCAAGTCTGCAATGGCGGGCCAGCGTACCTTGGGGCCAAATGAAAAGTTGGGATCAAAGGGGCTTCCTGGTGCCGAAGAAGCAGATGATCTCTTGGAGGAGCCCATGGTGTAAGAAATTGATGAGGATGCGGTGTTTTTTCTTTGGCTGGTTGGTTCAGCTTGTGGGTGAGGGTGGTCTTTTGATGGGAGCCTGAACCGACAAGAAGGACAAGACGGGCTGTGATCTGTTTATGTAGTCGAATGTATCAGAGAGAGAGTTGATCTCAAGAATCAAGTTTTTCTTTTTTCGTCTTGCAAACAGAGAACACTAGAGTGCGTTTTGCTGGCGGGCTGGCTGGCGGCGCGGGCAATCACGAGCTGATATATAAAAGCGCCATCGCTAGCGCGCGTGTTTGTGGTGGCATGATGCAGTGGGATGGGGGCAGCCTTACGCCCAAAAACAGCGCTGCGACTGCGTTGAGTGAGGCGGGTTGACGTGGCCCCCGCCTGGACAGGACAAGACGAGCCGAGACCCGCCAATCGCACCAGTAAGTTAATTGTACTGTAAGTACTGCTGTCTGTAGTTACCAGTAGTACTGTACCAGGAGTACTGCTTTTGTTCTCTGCTCCCTCCGCCCATCCTCGCCAAAATAGGCTGTTCAGAGTCAGTGCGTTCGTTCCCTGTGCCGTCCGTACAGTGTAAAATTGTGTGTGAGGATACCTCCCCCCCAACACTATAAAAAATGTTTTATAACAAGAAGAAACAAAAAAATTAATAGAATACTAAGAGAATTAAATGCAATAAATGTTATCTTCTCTTTCTATTTCTTTTTTGGCCCAAGATAACATGCGCAATATACACACCGTCTCTCTCTCTTTCTCTTTATCTCTCTCTCCCCTTCGCTTCGCACAGCTGTGATGATCCCGCTGGCACTCGAATCCGCGCCTGTGCGTTTCCTCCTCTCCGCCTTTCAGCCCCATCACGCACTGTACCCAAACACCGTACCACCAGGCTCCCAGCAGCTGGCTGGACCCTCTCTCTTCAGCGTGTGCCAGTACAGTACCTGGGCACAGTACGTACTGTAATTTTAGTACCCCCCCGCCCTGGTCCCTGTTGGGCGTTCTGAGAGTGGCGCCGTGTGACTCGACTCGGTCGGGCGTCGTTTATAGCGCATCGCATCGCATCGCTCCGTATAGGGCAACTGGGCTACACACTTTTAGCGGGGACCAGTTGCTGCAGGCCACTGTACTCACGGAGGCTCCGTACGCCCCGTCTCTTAGTATTGTAAACTCTATCCTCCAGGCTGCGGCAAGTCGTCCCGCGGCTCGGCTGGTGGGTCTCATCGGCACAACATCACACTCTCCTATAACTTAAGTTAGTGATCAGTTACTTGCTTTGTGTGTAGTGAATATAGTTCCCACAAGACCAGGAATTCACCTGTTAACAAACTTGCCATGACCATGTCTAGAGGCACCATGATTCCAGCCAACTTAGCTCTCTCATCATCATCAATAGCATACGAATAAACACTCTCTTCTCAAAGACGAAACAAAACTATTATCAAATTGATGCTATATACTACAAAAATAAAGACACGAAAAATAGATAAATAAAACATAAAAAGACAGTACCCATTCTAGTGGGACAAATGCGATTTCGAATCGTCCGCCCGTCAACCAATTCAACCCGTGAAATTCCCATTCTCATCAAACGGCAGATTCGCGGTGGCTTCTCTCTCTGCCTCGAGCTCTGGATCATATACCACACCGAGCAGAAGCTCCCCGCCAGCATCGTTATCGACATCTTGGCTAAGCAGTGCTTGGAATCTTTGATATTCCGCCTCTTCCTCCGGACTTCGTTGCACCACTGGCTCTGCTGCTTTCTTAGCAGCGTCTGGCTGGGATGGACCCTCGCCGTTGCCGCCAGCTCCAGGGGGACTGCGCTTCACTGTTTCCAGAGACTGACTCCTTCTTTCAGTTGCCTCTAGCGCTATGTCACGAATCGACAGTTGTCGACCACGCGACGAGTCCCCGTCAATAGGAGATTGGGTACCATCGAAATCCGGGATTTCTTCTTCAGGCTCATTGCTTTTCCGTGTTTGTGCCACAAGGGATACTCCGCCGTCTGCCACGGTGAGGATCGCGTCCATCTCTTGGAGCGTTTCACGTCGATGTGCAATAACCAGCATTGTGCACGTCTCGAAGACTTCATTGATGGCCGCCTGGACCCGGTCATCAGAGTCCTTATCCAACTGGCTCGAGACTTCATCCATAAACACAATCTTCGTCTTCTGATGGATATGATGGAGCATTCCCCTGGCAATATTGAGGAGCTGCTGCTGCCCTTCAGACAACTGCAGGCTAGCAACAGAAGCATCCAACCCGTCATGCGATTCCAGATGCTCCCACAAACCAACCTTTCCCAGAATACCAATCATAGCCTCATCAGTAACCACGTTATCGGCAGAAGCATACGGGTGTAGGTTATACCGAATCGATCCCGGCAGAATAACTGACTCCTGGCCAATAGTGGTGATGCGAGATCTTAGTGTGTCTCCGGAGATCTGTCGTAATTCCACTCCGTCAACCTTGATGCTGCCCTCGTATTGCATCATTTTAAGTGCTGCCATTATCAAGGACGACTTTCCACTACATTGCCGCCAAGTTAGTAAATGTTTTATACTGCATTGCTGTGAAAGAACTAACCTTCCAGTGCGGCCAACGATGCCGATTCTTTGTCCGGGCTGAGCGGTGAATGTCACTCCACCCACAATCCTCGGGGACTTGGGATTTTCAGGACTATATGCGTGTTAGCTGTTGACAAGAACCAAAACAGGAGTTTCTGATGTTCGTACTCAAATCTCATTGACAACTTGTCGAACTGGATGGCTCCCTTGGTAGGCCACAGGCGCTTGGCATCCCCGTCGCCGGGCCGCGGCTCTTGGGGCGTAACTCTAGCAAACTCCTGAATACGAGTCACAGCGGATAGTGATGTCTCGGCCTCAGCCCACGCTCGGAGAGTAGCCGATATAGCTTGACTAAATGTAATCAAATTCAGCAGACTAAGACCAATGCCGTTTGCTGAAGACTGATGCGGTAGGAAGAGCCCAAGAACAGCAACAACAATCGCTAGGCCACATACGCCCGAATCCAGTACCAGGAAGAGCCATTGCTGAATGCAGAGCAATTGATAGTATGGAACTTGAGCGTCGTCCAGTTTTTCAATAAATTGGGTCAAAAAGAACGGCTGCCATTTGAAAGCGCGAATGTGTTCCATACCAGAGGCAGCTTCTGTGAGTAGGTTGTAAATAGGCGCCATAGCTTTGAGCTGTAGTAGTCGAACCTGACGAGATGTTCGTAGGTAGAATATCAAGAGAATCATAAGGAATGAAAGGAATATCGGAATAGCAACGGCAGCATAGTCTGCGCCACTGGCAATTATACCGAGGTCTGATAATATGACAAAGATACCTATACAAGTAAGCAGTTAGTAGGGCGCTAGTTAAATCAAGATGTAAAGAACAACAACTGACACATGATGGTGTGTAGGAGGGAGTATGGGAGCTCCTGGCTAGCTAAGCTTATGTCTTGACTGAATCTAACCGGACAGTCAGCAGCAAGAACTCAAAGGCAGAAGTGTAAGTGCAAATACATGTTCAAGATAACACCACTCTCTGTGGTAGCAATAAATCGATAGCTTGCACTGTATAGGATTAGTAAATGACACTGAAATAAGCACAATATTATTTACCCCAGAAGTGTATCAAGCAGTGCACCGTGTAGGTATGCATACGACTTAGCGATGAGTTTCGTGAGGAACCACCTGGCAACATACATTAGTATCTTTGTAAAAAGACGAAGCAAGGAGTGAATATACCAGATATAGGCCATGCCCCAAAGAACAGCCGCAACGGAAATACTTGTATAGCCGATCAAAAATCGTCTATCATCCAATTTGTGGCTTCCGAACCAAATGCGTATAAAAACATCTGCAGTCTGTTAGCACGGTTACTGATGGAGTAAATAATGTTCAACGAACTTGGAAGTTTGAACAACAACTCTCCAATAGCACTTGATAGTATCCAAAAAATCATCTGGGTTGGGCCAAAGGATGAGAAATAGTAGTATCGCGTAGAACGATCTTCTGGCTCCTTAACCTTGGGTTTCCGCGCAGGCTTCTTGGTCTTCTTGCTTTTGGTCTTCTTGGTCTTCTTGTTCTTCTTGCTCCCAGTGCTTCGACTACTTTGGTGTGATTTGTGTGATTTGACGGAAGGGCTTCTTTGAGATGCAGGCTGTGATGTCTCGCCATTTTTCTCAAGGTCAACTGGCGCTATACAATTCTCCGACACTTCATCGTAAGTAGGCTCTGAATTTATCTCTGTAATAACACTCCGGTTGTCCAGTCTCAAGATGTAGTCGGCGGAAGAGAAGTATTCGACTAAAAGCTTGTTAGGAATGGTTTGACGTAACATATGACTACTGGTAGGTTGGGTTGTACCTGAACTGGTAGCCAAAACAACTGTAGTTCTTGACTGGCGCAAAATGCCTTCTCTGCCAAGCAGGCTGTTGAAGATTCTACCTGCGGTGTGATCGTCCAATCCACTAAATATGTCGTCAAGAAGAAGCAAGGGTTTGCGTGAATACACAGCCCGAGCAAGTGCCTATCGCTGATTAGCAAGTACTGTTATAAATTGACTTATTTTCACTTACAATGCGCTGCTTTTGACCTCCGCTTATGTTGCTTCCTGATTGTCCGATCTTGGTGTTATCGCCATCTGGCCAGTTCTCAAAATCGACATCCAAACCGCAGGCTTCGGTAACAGTTCTGTACCAGGCATCGACCATTGGGGTTGGACCAATGATGTTGTCTCTCGCTGACTGACTCTGAAGCCAAGGGATTTGGCCACAATAACCGATGATATCTGTATCAACTTGAATTTGACCCTCCGCTATAGCAACCTCTCCAAGAAGCAGCCTGAGCATTGTGGACTTTCCAGAATTGACCGGGCCAGTTATAATAGTGAATTTACTTGGGCGAATGGTTGCTTCCATGTCTTGCAAGACCTGGTCTCCTTTCGTTGTTGGGCAGGTGCCCAACTTCTTCAAGACTGCAGCCGCAAGTTCATCTTCGGAGTTCGGTACATCAACCTTGTCAGTGGCTACTTGCTTACCTTTGGATGTCTGCTGCTTTTCGTTAGCATCTTCTGGTTCTACGTCCTCCCGCACGTCAACCAGTTCTTCATGAAGCAAAAAGTCGCGAATACGGTCATGGCAAGCCATCACCTTGGCAAGATGTGAGAATGCGTGGATAAAGCGGCCCAATGGCTCAGCAATCAATCCAGACACTGCTAGGAGGGCGTATACATCGGCGATTGGTAAGCCTTCGGGATTTGTCCAGTAATATGTGGTTAGCAACACTGCAACTGGGGTTATTGCGATTCCAGTCAAGTCTGTTAATGTCTTAGTTTATCCGCTGGGGAATGTATCATGGAGGAAGCACCTACCGATGCCAAAGAGAACTGAGTTATAGAAGCGATAGTTTTTGGAAGCATCGATTTCACCGCCAAGATTGCCATTGACAAAGTCAGAGAAGGCTTTGCCAAGGCCTGACATTCTGACGCTCTTGAAATGGCTGAGCAGGCCCTGAATAGACGCTACACGCACTCCTGTTTTTGAATTCCAGTTCATCTGTGCAGCTTTAATCTTTGTAGAGAGCAGATATGACAAAGCCGTGCAAACTACATCTCTTGTAAGCCAAGTAGTATGAGTGTAGCATCACAAGGGCAAAACTTACTTAACACCGGAATAATGACTACAGCGGCAGTTTGTTTAACGTGGAGAGCAAGGTAAATAAGGCCGCCCACGATTGATGCGAACGCGGCAAGAGCATTGTTAGCTCTCGTCGGGAAAGATTGCATGCCGGTCACATCCGACGTAATGAGGGTGAGAGCGGCACCCTGGCGTAGAGTACCTGAATCGAGCACCATCATTTTACCGAAGACTGCAGAGATCGAACAAGTGCGGAAAGTTGCTGCGCTACGTGCCACTGCTTGTTGGTTGATAGCTCGACAAATCTGTAAAACGCAAATCTGTTAGCTAATTTATACATAGTTGACTGGTAGAAGTAAGCCACTTACTGCGTAAGCAGAATAAGCCAGGGCACATGCTGCAACGAGTCCCAATTTGACTAGCCAATGCGTATCACCATTCTCCACTGCAGTGACAATCTCTTTGATAAGAAATGGTTGTGCATAACTGCTCGCAACGGCCAGCAGGCAAGCTAAAATGGCGATTGTGATCTGAAGAGCTCCAGCCGTTCCCAGTAAGGCTCGAAGAAAACACGTTCTCTTCTTCGAATTAGCTGCAAGTTGTATTAGCATGAAAACATTCCAGGATCCGTGAGATCACAGTACCTCTGTCCCAACGCTGTTGAAACCTTTCGTAGACTGCCTTCGCTTTGAGATCAGTGTCGAGTTTGTCTAAATCCTCCGTGCTTAGGATTGCTTTATAACCCTTAACAAAGGTGGCGTTTAGCCAAAGATAGAGTGTCCGAGTCCAGAAGCCGCTGATCGCTTCTTTACCAGTTTTATCTTGAAGATCCTTGCTGATCAACAATCCACGTTTGGGAACTTCCTCCAGGAGGATCAAGACAGCCTTGGTTACCAAAACTAGCGATAAGAAAATCCCCTGGCTAACGAGCCCGCGGTGGAAGACGGAATAGGTCTTGAAGACATCCAAAATCCAAGTGAGCGCGAGGTAGAAGCTCAGCAGCAACGAAGGTCGGACCGAGTAGAAATGTTCAGCAAAAATGGCAACAACAATGCATGCTGCAGCCAAGGACGATGCGACGCCGGCAGTAATGCCCACATCAGTACGGAAGCGGGCTTTGGCGCATAAAAGACAAATGAGAACGATTTCCCAGGCAAGCAAGGCCAAGCCAGTCAACTGCGCAATTGAGAGTAAGAAACGAGAGCTCAATAGCATAGGATGCGATTAGCAAAGAAATCACTTACAATTTTGAACCAAAACAAGTTGCCTGCCACGGACAACTTTGGTGAGTGGAATATCCTGTACACGTAGTAGGGAACGCAGAAGATGAATAGGCAACTGGGAATGAGATCGAATACAATCTGTTCAAAGCGCAGGGTGAGGTCGAAATAGGGGCCAAGCTGGCCAAAAGAGTTCACATCTTGGGGAAGATCGCTGGGAATTTGTAGCTGGTCCATTGTTCAGGTGTGACCGAAGTATTTGAGACAGGTTCAGCTACATCCACCCAACTGAGAGGACGATCTTGATCCGGCGAGAGTCTGCACAATTGGAGTAGGGAGAGTAGATGTTGAGGTCGTTAGCTTTGTCGTTGAGTGAGTGACGAGGGACTCCTGGAAGGAGGGGATTTGAATGAAGAAAACAGGCGGAATGCGAAGGAAGAAGACGGGGAAGGCTTTCAATGAAGGGACCGATGGTGAAGGACAGTTGGTGGCGTCTGTGCGGGGGCCAACGTATAGAAAGGAAAATGGCCATGTGCTGGGGACCCCCAGGCCATCGCTGTTGGTTTCAGCCTCGTTTGCATCTGTCGGGCCCAACATGTCGACTTCCCCGTGAGCACAGTGGAGAGCGCTCATGAGTCTTCGGCCGCTCAGCCAATCACGCCAAGCGACTTCGCGCCGATAACCACCGGAGCGCTGTGTGATTGCCTTCAGGCCAGGCTAGCGAGTAATGAGCGTGCTGTAGCTCCACTGCCAATACCACATTTCTGCAGCTTACCTCCAGCGCGCTGCACTACTGTTGGTTCTTTACGAGGCCCTCCACACATACCCACAGCGCACCCCAGGCCACCCACAGGTCACCCACAGCGCGTCGAAGGGGGCCGTGCGGAGATGCTCTGGCGCGCACACAACTCTGGGAAGAAACTCGGCGCACAAGTTGAAACGAAAAAAGAAAAGGGAGAAGACTTATAGGCTCACGATACACCCCTTCTGGAAATACTCCGGCCGTCTCTATGGAGGCTATTCCGGCACCGAGTGAACGTGCCGTGTGCTGGACAATCAAAACACGCACCTGATCCCCTGAAGCTACAGTAAGAAGTGGAGTTTGTGACAATCAAAAATTGCAAAAATCAGGCTGCGCACCAACTGCACCAAAATGCACCAACCCTTTTCAGTAAGTCGCTCCGGACAGAGTACTTTTGTAACAACGCCACAATGCTGGAATAGGCTGCCTGCTATTGCCTCTGTTCGAGCAGCTGCCAGATTCGTCGGGCCCCTCCAGCGTCGTTTAGGCAGTAATAGAGCCCACTGTTGGTGGCTGTATTCAATGCCCTTCTACTTCAACCTGCACCAAGAAACCATCTAGTCTATACGGAAAACGAACCTTGGATTGCTTGATTCAATATCTCAAGGCCATCATGAGAATTTATATATACCCATAATGCGTTCTTGCTTATTTCAGACTTCTATCATGATGTATTATCGAAGCAATCATACACCACCCACGCGATTATCATGTGGATGGTATATATTTTATACTCTTTAGACTGTTAGCTTACACTCTGAAGCCAAGTTTTATGGGCAGCTTTAGCTAGTTGAACCATGTACCTAATCTAGTATAAAACTACAATCTCTGTAAAAGCTCTTTTAATGGAACGCTAAGTTACACGCTCTTGCAGCATCAGACGTTGAGGGAGCTTTGCTCATGCATGCAGCCCGCCTCATTTGAGGCTTTGGACCGATGTACCCGAGCTCGCCAGAGCGAATAACATAACATCATATTCTAAAAACATCAGAGCCATTTCTTCACGCCTTGGCCAAAATACGCAGCAGTTCAAGTCATTTTTGTTTATGTCGTTGGAGACAAATCTTTTGGGAATTTCAGGTCTGTTTTATTTATTTTTTACTATTTTTCAGCGTGTCATAGAGACCGGTTTTTAATTTTCACCGGTAGGCATAGTTGCGGATGGGCTACTCCGCGGATCATTAGAATTAATTTAAGAGTCATCGTTTGGTTGAAATAACACACCTTTGCGCTTTATTTTGAATGCTTAAAAGTCAGAAAGTGCTCGACGAGACACAAAATAGTTGAACAAGGAAAGACTGCCAGCACTTCGCGATAATCCAGTGTTGGGGGATCAAGACATTTATAGCGTTGCCAAGACCCACTGCCGGCCACGCCTCTGTAAGCTAGCCACAGTCTGCCCCATAACTCTGAACGAGTCAGAGAGTTGTGACAATGCCCACAGCCTTGAACTGATTTGCTTACTGACTGCCCTGTGGAAGACAAGCCGCAGAATAAGATCCGTTGTTACCATTCTATACAACATATGTATATTGGGCTACGTAATTCTTCAGCGTTATCAGCTTGACTTTAACACCTTGAGAAATTGAAAACAACGGTGTTGCTAGAGCTTTGCTGAACAATAGTAGACAAGGGCCCCTCACCGCTAACCAGTGGCTTGGGATATGAACAATGTTCAACAAATTAATGATATTGTGCCGTGTTTGGATCAACCAAGACATATATGTCGTCTGTACTTTATTGCTGTATCTTTGCTCTACTCTCCCTGCATTTCATTTGTTGTCCAGTATAACCAATGTCCATCAACCGGTCCGCGGTTCCCGCGACGCAGCGCTTCAACTGCCACAATCAGTCCATCACCCCGAATCTTGATATTCAGATCTCAGATCATCCAAACTCAATCAGCAGAATATAGATCCTCATCGTCACTGTCATCCATAGCAATCTTTGCCAACGCCTTGTCTTCTTGCGTCTTAGTCTCTCTCGACTCTTCCTCGCTGTGGCCCTCGTCCTTCACCACGGGTGTCGCCACCTCACCATCACGAACCTCAGTCTCTCTCAACTCTCCCTCGCTGTGGCCGTCTTCCTTCAGCACGGGTGTCACCACCTCGCCACCATGATCCTCAGTCTCTCTCGGCTCTTCCTTACTGGGACCATATCCCCTTAATCGGAGCGTCCCTACAACATCATCTCTTGACTCTTCCTCACTGCGGCCATCTCCCGTCAATACAACCGTCCCCGAAACACCAGGATCCGCAGTCCGTCCAGGTTCAACTTCAACTATGCGCTGGCCGCTAGCGTCATACCTCTTGCGCTTACGAAACTTCTCCCACCGCTCTGCTTGTTCTTGTAATTCCTTAGTATTCTTTGGCTCTTTTTTCTCAGCTTCCCGTCGCGTGATAATCGGGCTATTCATAAGCGCTTCGTACTCTTCCTCACTTAAATTTGTGCCCAGATGGCGGGGTGCTGTCTGTGATTTGCTGCTTTGTGACTTGCTGCTTTGTGATTTGCTGCTTTGTGATTTGCTGCTTTGTGATTTGCTGCTTTGTGATTTGCTGCTATGTGATTTGCTGCTGCCTGACTTGACGCTAGCCTTGGAGCTGGCCGACTGGTATCTGCCAGATTGCAAGGTGAAGTCGTCCGCTTCTTCCTTTTCCAAGTCTGCCGGAGAAAGAGGTAGGAGTACTTGGGTGGCTAAAGCCAGTATCGCTGCCTGCTGGTCAACTACATTTAACTGCCTATCAAGAAGCAATGTGCCATGGAACCGCTGCTGTCTGGATGCTCGATTTCCATCGCCATCGACTTCTGATGTAGCCCCGTTGTCCTCGCGCTCCGTGACGGTTGCTAGTACTGCGTGGCCGTGCCCAGCTCCCGCCGATAGATGTTGCAGCTCAATGCCTTCGCGTGTCGTTAAACTGGCAAGATTATTTGATCCACATCGGATCGTTTCCTCAGATGCACTTTGCCTATGTCTCGGCTCTCCAGCGCGAACAGAATATTTTCGTCCACGTGAAGGGGAGCGTTCTGGGTCGGGATGGATACCATACACAGCTTCCAGGGCTTCCACGGTCTCCATGACTTCCACAGCCTCCAAAGCTTCTGCAGCATCCACCGCTTCCACAGCGTTGAAAGTTTCCACCGTATCCACGGCCTCTATGGCCTCGACCTCGGGCGGTGGACTGGGTGGCAGACGGCTGCGTCTTGTCTGAGGGGCAAATGTGGTTGTACCATTTGCCACAGTGAGGATGGCATCCATCTCTTGAAGGTTGTCGAGCCGGTGGGCAATAGCAACCATTGTGCACTCACTAAACACTTCATCAATCGCCCGATGCACGCGCTCGTCGGCCAAAAGGTCCAGCTGGCTCGCAACTTCATCCAAAAAGACAATCTTCGTCTTTTCATGGATGTGGTGAATCATTCCTCTGGCAATGTTGAGCAATTGTTGTTGTCCTTGGGACAGTTCAAGACCGACAACACACGCATCTAATTCGCCGTGTGACTTCAGGTGCTCCCATAAACCAACCTTATCAAGAACTTGAATCATTGTGTCGTCACTAACCATACCCGAGGCATAAGGATATAGATTATATCGGACCGATCCTGGCAAAGTAACTGATTCTTGGCCAATAGTGGTAATGCGAGACCTTAAAGTGTCCCCAGATATCTTGCGCACTTCCACTCCGTCAATTTTAATACTGCCCTCATATTGCATCATTTTAAGTGCTGCCATCATCAAGGACGACTTTCCACTAGATTTTTATCATGTTAGTGAACATTCAACTAAACCTTTCAGTACAAACCCGACACGAACCTTCCAGTGCGACCAACGACACCGATTCTCTGTCCCGGTTGAGCAGTGAAAGTAACACCACCCACAATTCTCCGAGATTTGAGATCGTCGGGGCTGCATCCGTGTTAGCGAGTTGTTAATACGTAAATAAAATGTTTTGGAAATGCTTACTCAAATCTCATCGACATTTTCTTGAACTGGATAGCTCCATCAGTAGGCCATAGACGGTTGGCATCACCTTCGGTACCTGGTTGTGGCTCTTGAGGTGTGGCCTTAGAGAAGTCCTGGATGCGCGTAACAGCCCCCAGTGTTATCTCATAATCAGTCCATGCTCGCATCCACAAGGATACAGCTCGGCCAAATGTAACCAGCTTTACTAAAGCTAGACCAAGACCATTGGCGGAACTCTCCTTTGGCATCAAAAGAGCCAGACAAACAACCAAGATCGCAAGACCAGCCACTCCCAAGTCCATCACCAGTATAAGCCACTGCTGAACGCAAAGCAGTTGATAGAAGGGGGTTTGGGCGTGGTCTAAGTTCTCAAGAAGCTCAGTTTCGAAGGATACCTGCCAGTTGAAGGCACGAATGTGCTCTATTCCCGCAGCAACATCAGTGAAAAGATTGTAGATGGGTGCCATCGCACCCAACTGCAAGAGTCTCATCTGCACCGATGTTCGTTGGTAGAATCGCCTAACAACCATCATCAATGCTATGAATAAGACAATAACGCCTGCTGCGTACGGACTGCCATTGGCAATTACCGCAAGATCCACTAGTATCGCAAAGCAATCTAGATAATTGGATAGTTAGTATAACTCTCACTAGGACAAATAGAGAAAGTAAGCAAGACTTACACATTAGCAAGTGGAGTAGCAGGTACGGAAGTTCCTGGCTAATCACTGTAATATCCTGGCCGAACCTACCAATAGATTAGTGTTGTAAGCTCAAGTTGTCTCAGATTAGGACTATCAAATACCTATTCAAAATACTACCCTTCTCTACTGTGGCAATGAATCGCGAGGTTGCCCTACCCTCAGTTAGCAACCTAGGCCACTATGGCGGTAAGCCGCCCTTTGCTTACCTCAGAGTAGTTTCTAAGAGACACGTATGAAGCGATTTGTACGAATTGGCAATCAACACAGCCAAAAACCACCTGGCGTCAATTATTAGCGCTATTTTCACGAGGCAATTTAAGCTTTGAAACACTTTACCCAATGGTGAGCGTAGTGCAAATAATGGAAACTACCGCAATAACACTATAACCAAGTAGGAAGCCATTGTCTGATGGTTCGTGGTGTTGGAACCATATGCTCAGAAAAATGTCTGCAATGTTTTAGTAGACAAAGTAACCAAGAGAACGGGGGGTTAGCAGCTTACCTGGGAACTTGTACACCAGTTCGCCCAAAGCAGTAAGTATCACAAAGGCGATCATGTGGTATACACCAAATGATTCAAAATGAAATAGATGCATAGAACCCTTTCGAACCGGTCTTTTTTTCGGTGTTTGGGAAGGCGGGCTGGCGTCTGCATTCTGGACCTGTTTGTTGCTCTCACGTGGAATGACGGACCAATCTGTTCGACTTCCTTGAGCATTTAAAGACTCACCATTCATGTCGACCACAATCGGAGCGACCTTTGGTTCCGTTACTCCATCTTGTGTCGGTACCGCGTTGATTTGACTGATGACACTATCGCTCTTTAGATGCAGAATGCAATCAGCTGAAGGCAAATATTCCGCTGTGAATTGTTAGTTGCGACCTAATTCTCGAGTCCAACAGCAAAGGTGTGCATACCTGAATGTGTTGCTAAAAGCACGGTTGCTCGCGCCTGGCGTAGTATCCCGTCTGCTCCCAGCAAGTTGTTAAAGACCCTAGCAGCGGTATGTTGGTCTAGTCCACTAAAAACATCGTCAAGTAAAAGTAAAGATGCTTGTGAATATATAGCCCGAGCGAGTGCCTAGATTAGGTTAGCGATAATGGGATATTATAGACCACAAATCCTTCGCCCTGATGCTTACAATACGTTGTTTTTGACCTCCGCTCAACTTGCTTGCAGAGCTGCCAGCACTTGTTGCATCGCCCTCTGGCCAGCTGTTGAAATCGACGTCCAGAGCACATGCATTTGTAACTGTGGTATACCATGCATCCCTCATAGGGTTTGGGCCAATGATGTTTTCTCTGACTGATTGATTTCGGAGCCACGGGATCTGGCTGCAGTAGCCAATATCGCGCCCGTCAATACCAATTTCGCCCTCGACAATGCTGGCTTCTCCAAGAAGAAGTTTAAATACTGAAGTCTTTCCAGAACCAACCGCGCCAGTTACAATGGTAAATTTGTTGGCCAAAATGGTCGCATGTACATCTTGCAAAATCTGGTCCCCTTCACTAGTTGGGGCGGTTCCAACATTCTTGATTAGAGCGGCGACCTTTTCTTCTTCCTGTACCACAGCGGAAGTCGAAGCAGTATCACCAGCTGGGGCGTGTGATTCGCTTTGCAAGTCAGAATTACTTGGAGCTTGGCCAGTTGTAGAGGTCTCTCCAGTAACCGCGGGTTGATTGGCGTTTTTAGGTGGCTCTACCCCGCCTCGCACATCAACCAGCTCATCATGGAATAAGAAATCTTGAATACGATCATGGCAGGCCATACATTTCGCAAGATGCGAAAATGAGTGGACAATTATACCCAACGGATCAGCAATTAGCCCTATGACTGTTAAGAGAGCGTACACATCAGCAGTTGGTAGTCCACTGCGGTTCGTCCAAAGGTATGTTGCTAGGAGAATGAGAACGGGCGTAATTGCTATTCCGGTCAAGTCTGTCGGTAGACTGATTAGAATTGTACAACATAGGAGGCTTGTTTATGGTATAGCACTTACCAATGCTGAACAGAACAGCATTATAAAAGCGGTACCGTTTGGAGGCGTCAATCTCAACTCCGAGCTTTGCATTGACAAATTCAGAGAATGCGGAACCAAGACCTGCCATCCGCACGCTTTTAAATTTACTTAACAAAGTGTCAATTGTGGCCATGCGTTCTTCGGTGGCCGAATTCCAATCCGCTTGTGCTCGTTTTATCTTTCTGCCGACGATAAAGGATAGAATTGTACAAACTATGCACTTGTTAAAGGAATGTCATTAAAATAGAGTTTGTTTGGCCAGACTTACACGCAACCGGAACTATCACAACGACAGCAGTTGCTTTCACATAGATAATCAGATAAATCAAGCCACCAACAATGGACGCAACAGAGCTTAACGCCGCATTAATTCTCATAGGTAGGAGCTGAAACCCGGCTATGTCGGATGTGAGGAGTGTAAGAGCGACATTACGCCGCAAATTGGCCGAGTCAATCGTCATCGCTTTGCTGAATGACGCAGCTATAGAGCAAGATCGGAAAATTGTAGTACATCGTGCGATTGCCTGTTGATTGATAGCTCGAAAGAACTACACCATAAAATGCATTAGTTTCATCCTGTAACCCTCCTGGTCTTATTCAGATAACCTACCGCTGCACCGCTATAGGCTAAAGCGGATGCGGCGACCAACGCGACGATTTTGAGTTTGGTCAAACCGGGATCATCCACGGCTTCAACAACCAGTGTAATAATGAACGGCTGTGAATACATGCAGAGAACTGACAATAGACAAGTACAGAGAGCAATCGCGATCTGTTGAGACCCAACTGTTCCCAACAAAGCCCAAAGTAGGCGGTATTGACTGGAGCTGTCACCTATAGCGAATACAATTAGCAAGAAGGTGTCTAAAGTTTAGTAAGCCACCTTACCTTCGTCCCAGGAACGTTGGAATATGTTAGCCAGTGTCTTGGACTTGAGGTCATTGTCGAATTTGTCTAAATCTTCAATCTTTAGAATTGTCCTGTAGCCTCTCAAAAAGGTCGCATTCAGCCAGAAGTAGAGTGTACGGCCCAAAAAGCCGCTGACACCTTGTCGGCTTGTGTTCATTTTGAGGTCTTCGCTGATAAAGAGTGAACGTTTGGAGACTTCTTCTAAAGCGAGAAGACCTATCTTGGCCACGCAGCTCAATATGTGAATGATGAATTGAGCCTTTAGTTCGCGATGGAAGAGAGAGTATATCTGCAGAACATCGAGAAGTACTCCGATGGTCAGGTAGATGCTGAGCATGTGAGACGGGCATACCAAGTAGAAGTGCTCCGCGAACAGGGTAAAAGTCACAAACAAAGCAGAGACAGTCGATAGGCTGCCAGCTACGATGCCTATTAGAGTGCGAAAGCGTGGGTTTTGGCCCAAGAGCGCCAGGAGGGCAATTTCTGATGCAATCAGAACAACACCGAAGAACTAAAAGTTGGGGAAGCAGCTATTAGCGCCGCAGATAATGAGTTATCTCTGGACGACCAATAACTTACCATTTTAAACCGGAACAAGCGCCCAGCTTTAACCAGTCTTGGGGCGCGCCATACTTGTGCATAGTAGTACACGGCACAGACGATGAAGAGAGCACCAGGGAGGATGTTGAACATGCTCTGTTCAAAGAGCAGGGTCAGGTCGAAGTCAGAGCCAAGCCGTGGGCCAAAGGAGGCAATGTCTTGGAGTAGACTACGTGCCATGTTTCGGACTGCGCTAAGCACAGAACCCTTGGACATAATGACCGTAGAATCTGGCTGACTCATTTTAGGGTTTGAAGAAATGTGAGTGACACTGACGATGGCGTTGGACGTGACGACAAAGGCCAAGAGTAGGATGTTTGCTTTATGAAACACAGCAGTAGTTGTCTGGAGAAGAAAAGAAAAGAAAGAAAAAGAGGAGAGGGGGGGAACGAGGTGACGAGTTCTTTTGTTGGTCGCGGGCTGTTGGTTCGATGTTGGTGGCGTTGTGCCCCCGGGGGGCTAGTCTGTGCACAGGAAATTGAGGAGCAATTCGTAGTCGGGGCCGAAATCGTTGATAGTCACAGCCTCGTTTGCATCTCTCGGGCTCCAAATCCCAACTTCCCCGCTGGTGAATGCTGTGGGTGGCGCCGTAACTTTGGCGGACGGGGCCAATCACACAGAGTCGTTGGCGCCGACGCAGGCGTGGCCCCAGTGATTGCCCTCAGACCTTGCTTGCGAGTAATGACAGGCCGTTGCCTCCACCAACAATACCACATTTCTGCAGCTTACGCACGATAGTGCATTGCACTAGTCCTGGAGTGGAGGGGAGAAGGGATCCTTTGTTGTGTGCGCGGGGCCCTGGACAAACTCTATAACGCGAGAACCAACAGTCAGCCCAACCAACAGAGGTTCCGCAGCGAGAAGACTCGGTGCCCTTTGCTAGAAATGCGCATGCTGTTGCCCATTTTAGTAGTGATAGCGGTAGTAACAGTATTATTACTGATAGTATTTATGCCGCAGTGGCAAAAAACCCATGAAGAAAAGGCATCCCATCCTGCACCCAAAAGGCAGACAGAGGTGATGGGTTAAGACGTTGCAAAACTGTAGCGACCAACAGCTACCACACCACCACCATCACCCATGTTCCCCACCATAACTGACCAAGTTGCAGAGGTGGACCTGTGACAATTCTCGATCCATGAACGGTCACACATCCCAAGCACCAACCTTTTCTGGTAGCAAACTCCGGCGGTAGCGTCCTTTTGCAAACGCCACAAAATGCTAGTGAATGCAGGCGCGGGTCCCGAGTGATTTACGTACTGAGTGGTAATGAGTCGGCAATACACTCGAGAATACTTTGTACCCAATGTATTCCCAGCCGAATCCCCCGCTTTCACCCAGGGTTAGACGCTCGGCCCATATGCATTGCGTTTCTTAACGCCGTTGCAACTCACCATACCAGACCCTGGTCTCGCTTGGAGTGTCTGTCGAACGGCTCACAATGTATGAAAATCCCTCTGGATGCTTTTGCTGTCCCATGGCAATAGTCCGACCTCTACTGCACTGGCAGAGAAACCGCCACTCTCTTCTGGTTAGCATCTCAATATGCAACCCGTATATTGGATATGCCTTAGCGCGCAGCGACGTAGCAATGAGCGCAGGCCTTCAACGGCCATAGGCTGGCTACCTACCTGTTTTGTCATCTTGTTAGAGAAACTGAGGTCCCCCCTCTCTCCCTCTCTCCGCCGCCCTTCCCGGTTCGCAGCCCAAGAGTGATGTGAAAAAGAAGTATAGTGAAGCCTCAGCCTAGGATCAGTTACTACCTCACCATTAAGATTGAGGGTGTACCTAAGCCCCCCTCCTATCAAACTATTAAATTCCTCATAGAGACAAGTGACAAGAACAAACCAGACAGCCGTCACCCGTCCCACATACACCACTTGTGGCTTATCGATCAAGGAATATACATATCATCTTTCAATTCCTTGGTGTCATGCCCGGATGTCGCATTCAGTAATGGGAAACTAAGTTAGATCGTAACCATAGATCTCCAGATGGACGTTTCGTGACCAAGTACTAGCTTAATTTGCCTGCGTATTTATTTATTTATTTTGGAAAATGTATGCCAATTCATCTCCTATAAATCTACTAGGATTTGCCTATATTATTTACTTTATTATTAAAAACAATTTACGTCTTTTTTCTCTGCCTCTCGTTATCACCTTGTTTAACCCAAGGTCGCCCATCAACGCGTCTCTCTCTCGTGGTTCCACTCAACTGCCTACGCTTGCACGTGAGTCCAGTATTCTGCCGCGAGAGTGACGCGCCCAAGAGCTCGTCCGCCCTACCCCGTCCATCACCACGGAACCTTGAGATCTGCCAACAACTCATCCAATTCCCATCGTGGCATTGATAAAAAACAATTGCCCTGGATGACGGCCTAATTCAAAGCGCCAATATCCCTTTTGCTTCGACATTTTCTTCCTTCCCGCTCGTGTAGTCGTGTCCAAAGGCTGAGCTGGCGTCGACAGCTCGCCCCTTCACGCGCATCGCACACCAACTATGTCCAGCAAGCGCAAGAGAATCTTCGACTTTGATCCCAACGAATCCGACTCCAACGACGAAGACTTTGATCCCAACGCACCCGGACCCCGTCGAAGCACAAAGAAGAGCCGCTCCTCCAAAGGCCCACCTACCCACCGCAAGAAGCGCCGGGGCTATCGCGGCTCAGACATTGACGACGACGCAAACGAGCTGCTCAACGACAGCGACTTTGGCTCTTTCATTGAAGACTCGGAAGACGAAGACGCCCCCAAAAACGCTGCCGGTCGTCGCACAAGAAAGGTTGCCGTAAGCAAGCACAATTACCACGAAAGCAGCGAAGACTCCGAATCGGACGAAGAAGATTCCCTCGCCGGCGACGATATCAGCGAGCATCACACACCTACCGCATCCCGCATTGTAAAGCTTAAAGTTTCTAAAGGAGCTTTGCTTAACATGGGTCGCCGCACAACTAGGGCTGCCGCCACCGATGACGAGGATGACTTTGTCGAGCTTTCCAAGTCTGGTCACCACGCTGTGCCCTCTAGAGACTCTCGCAGTCATAGCCCCCAGGCCATGGCGCGTCGCTCTTCTCGCGCTTCCAAAGTCGTTCACGATGCTCCCGAGACTATAGATGAGGCTACACAAGAGAGCAGCATGCCCAAATTTGCCGAATCCGACGACGAAATGGATGCCTACGACGACATGCCTCCCAAGCAGGAAGAGCATGATGATGAGGATGCCGCCGAAAAGGAGGAAGATGAAGATTATAGTGCCAAGGCGGCCGATGCAGACGATGACGACGACGACGATGTAGTCGCTACTAGACGTGGCCGCTCGCGTCGCGCCAGTGGCCCTGCTGAGGAACAGGACGATGTTCGCCCTAGTGAGGAGGGTAGATCCCGACGCCTAAGGCATAAGAGCAAAAAGTCGAATCAAGATGAAAGCAGCGATGACTGGGAACCCAATGCTGACAACGAAGTGTCCGAAAAAGATGACGATGAATTGGAGGATCTTGAAAGTCCTACACCCGCTGCGAGACGATCAAAGACGCGCTCACGCGCCGGGGGGGATTCTGGTGACGAAGAACCCGATATGGACATGGATGAGCTCAATGAGGAGGCTCGCGAGCTCAAAAAGGCATCTCGGCGCCGACGCCGTGAATCACCCGTCTCATACAACGAGAGCACACGTCGAGCGCGACCCAGAGTTAATTACTACATGCCGCCACTGACTTCCGCCAACATTGAAGAAGACGAGGTGGACGATGCTGCTGCCACCCCTGCGCGAAACCGTCGACGAGGCGCCGCTAGCACATTATGGGAGCGCAACCTCAATACTACATACGGCCCCTTTGGTGGTGCCAGCGGCGCTGGCTCGCTCCTTAATGGACCTTGGGGAACTGGGGCCGCTGGAGGTGCTGCCGACTCAGACAGCAGTGACGATGAAATGGTACACCGCGCGACTGTTGCTGGCAACGTCGGTATGACGCCTACCTCAGCAGCCCCAGGTGGCCTCTTGCCTGGTTTTGGCCCGCCCAACATGGATGGCGCTCCCAATGTTGGCAAGATCAAAGATCGTAAAGCCCTTGCCGATGCGGACCCTCTGGGTGTCGATATGAATGTCGACTTCAGCAAAGTTGGAGGCCTTGAAGGGCATATTGACCAACTCAAGGAAATGGTCCAGCTTCCACTGTTGTACCCAGAGCTTTTCACCAGATTCCATGTTACTCCTCCACGAGGTGTCTTGTTCCATGGCCCTCCCGGTACTGGTAAAACACTGCTTGCGCGAGCGCTGGCTAACTCTGTTGGTGCTGGTGGCAAAAAGATTTCATTCTATATGCGTAAGGGTGCTGATGCTCTGAGTAAATGGGTTGGTGAAGCAGAGAAGCAATTGCGTCTTCTGTTTGAAGAGGCTCGAAAGACGCAGCCTAGCATTATCTTCTTTGACGAGATTGATGGTCTGGCACCGGTACGATCCAGCAAGCAAGAGCAGATCCATGCTTCTATTGTATCGACCTTGCTTGCACTCATGGACGGAATGGACGGCCGCGGTCAAGTTATTGTCATTGGTGCCACAAACAGGCCCGACAACATTGACCCTGCCCTCCGTCGCCCAGGTCGATTTGACAGAGAATTCTACTTCCCTCTCCCAGATATCAAAGGCCGACGCTCAATCATCAACATCCATACCAAGGACTGGGGTCTAAGCGACGAGTTCAAGGGATCTCTTGCTGAAAAGACAAAAGGCTATGGCGGTGCTGATCTGAGAGCCCTCTGCACCGAAGCTGCGCTAAACTCAATCCAACGAACCTATCCTCAAATTTATTCGTCAAAGGAAAAGCTGTTGGTCGATCCATCCAAAATCAACGTTCACTCGTCCGACTTTATGATCTCCATTAAGAAGCTCATCCCATCCTCGGAACGCTCTGCCACGTCTGGTGCTCGCCCGCTGCCCGCCGCCATTCGCCCACTGCTTGAGAAGCAGTTTTTGCGCCTGAAGCAGAGTTTGGAGTTGATTTTGCCTCCCAAGAAGAAGATTACTGCCCTTGAAGAGGCTATGTTTGAGCAGTACAATGATAGCGACCACGGTTTTGCCCGTGAAAACCTCGCTCAGGAATTTGAAAGAGCTCGCGTTTACCGACCAAGATTTCTTGTTTATGGACCACCAGGTATGGGCCATGGTTACCTGTCTTCTGCGCTTCTGCACTACCTTGAGGGTGTGCATGTGCAAAATTTTGACCTTCCTACGCTTTTAGGTGACGGCCGAGTAAGTTTCCGTACACTTTCCTTGCCGCCAACAGTTTACTAATATTGCATAAATAGCCCATCGAGCAGGTTATTGTCGGCCTATTTGCAGAAGCCAGACGCCATAAACCTAGCATTATCTTCATCCCCAATATCGACGACTGGTACGCGACACTTGCTTCTTCGATTGCCCTCGTTACGTTCAAGACTATGCTCAAGTCCATTCCGCCAACTGACCCCGTCCTCCTTCTTGGTACTGCAGAGTGCTCCGACGATGAACTGCGAGGAAGCGATGTTTGGCGTGATTTCTTCAGTACTTCGGCCAAGAGTCGAGCCCTAATTGACAGCCCTGGCACTGCGGAGCGCCGGGCATACTTTGCCAACACGCTAAATTTGGTGAAGAAGAATCCAGGAGAGTTCCCCGATAACGAAAACCGCAAGAAGCGAAAGCTTGAGGAACTTCCTTTGGCGCCTCGAATTGCCCCCAAACCTCCAAGCAAGGCAGAAATGAAGGCACAAAAGAAGCAGGATCACCAGTGGCTCAACGGCCTCAAAGTCCACCTGCAGCCCATCATGGACCAAATTAACCGCAAATACAAGAAATTCCGCCAGCCGGTGATCGCACCATCTCAGATTGAATATCTGTTTGTTGAGTCAGACCCTAATTTTGTCCGACCCGACATTGCAGAAGCCGAGACTCGGCCTTACACCATCGTCAAGGACAAGCACAACAATGACGTGTTGAGGGATAGCCTTACAGGCAAGACGTTTTACAATCTCGACACCACGACGATTGAGGAACGTTTGTCCAATGGTTTCTACTGCCGCCCACAAGACTTCCTCTTTGACATTCGAGCACTGGCAAAGGATGCCAAGAATATCGGCGACAAGGAGCGTACCCTCAAGGCCAACGAGTTGCTAAGCAATGTGGAAGTGGATATTGCCACGATTGAGGCCAACAGCGCAGCAATCGACTGGGAGGCACTATACCAGCGACAGGTCGAGAGGGCCAAGCAGGCCGCAGAGAAGGGGCGAAAGAAAGCCGCCATGCAGTCCATCTTGGATAGAGTCCAATCGGATATCACTGGTAACGACAGCGAGACTCAAGAGCCTGTGACTCTAGGAGAGATTGTTCCGGGATCTACCACGACAGCGCAGTTCCAGCTTAAGACACAGGCAGCAATGGACCAGAGCACCTCACACCCGTCGCAGCTTAGCAATGGCGCCCCAACCATCATTCACCACGAAGGTGATGTGACGATGAGTGGCATGGAAGAGGCCTCGCAATTGGTATCGCCTATGGGACCACCACCAAAGTCGCAAGACCGATTCGGCGGCACAGGCATGACACAAATCTCCCAGCAGTCTGCAGTCACACCACTGCCGCCAGGCATGTCCCCCTCTGCTGTGATCAACGATGCGGCGACTACAAAGACTTCAGACCCGTCCGAGAAACGATCATCCAACTTTGGCACCCCAGCCACCAATGGGCATCACAGCAGTGGCGATCGGGACCTTCCGGACACGCTGAACCGCACGCCTTCGACGCAAGAATCATGGATTCATTCTCAAGTGCCCGCTTTGCGCGAGCAGAATGCCAGCCAGCAGTCGTCCTACGTGTCGCCGACATCTGCGCGCGTGGCAACAGAAGAGGAAAAAGCCAGCCAGCAGGTAATTGAGATTCGACAGTCTGACCTGGACGCAACGCTTGACAGCATCGTCACGTACACGTCCAAATGCACCATTGAGCAGATGGAGTATCTGAACCGCGAGCTGATGGATGCCATCTGGATGACGAGAGGCGAGTGGAACCGCACCAAGGCGATGACAGCCGTCGACTCCGCCATCAACCAAGCAATGCCCGATATCGATGGCATCCAAGGCGACTGGACACCAAGCCAGCGATCTGGCATGACTGTTTCCGCGATGCAATCCATCGATATGGATAACCACTAAGGGATATTGCCACAATTGTGCGGCGAGGCCTTTTGGTATTGGGGTGGATGAGCCAAAGGAAAATGTATAATGGATTAGGCAGACAGGCAGGCGTTGGAGATTTTGTATTGTTTTATGTTTTTGGACAGTTGTCGTTTGTTTTCCTAGAGTCTTTGGCTGCGTGTACTAGGCTTGTTGTGAAAGTTATCTGTGCGTTTTGTATACAAGAGTGTGAGAAGAAGAGGAAGAGAAAAAAAACCACCAAAAGAGAATATTAGATATTAAATCCACGTATATTTTATACTAAATAAAAGGAAGATCGCTATCGTTGTCAAATTGTTTTATCACATCAACAAGACGAACCCTTGTCGTCCAGATGCCCGTATTCTACTCCTAGTACTTTACAATTTGGCGAGCTTGGTGCTGTCCATTCTCTTGCCTTCGTCGTCTTGCTCGGCCACACGCAGAGATGGCAACTTGGCGGGCATGATGCGGCGGGGATTGGAGCCCTCGACGACATTGTACTTGGAAAAGTCTGTTACGCCGCAATGGTCGCGAAGGAAGTCTTCGTCGAGAACGAGCTCACCATTGACAGTGGCTGGGTCTGCGCGGATGATGGCCAGGATGGCATCCGAGAAGATGGTGGGCTTGCGCAGATCACGCTCCTCCTCTGGGTTTGTCTTGGTCATGCGCTCTGTGGCAGCAGATTCAACAGCCTAGTTTCATTCCCACTGGTTAGTTGTGGTTGAGCATTACAGAGGGCACAATCATGCACTTACAACAGCAGGCCAGATACTGGTGATGGCCATGTCGGTCAGACCCTCGCGGACAAAGTCCATGGCAAGGCCCTTGGTCAGCACACTCATACCGACCTTGCCCATGGCGTAGGCTGTCTTTCCGCGGAAGAAGCGGCTGTAGATGGGAGGCGAGACGACGACGATGCGGCCACGGGCAGCACGGAGATGGGGCAGCGTAGCTTGGATGACGGCGTAGAGGCCCTCTGGGTTGACGCGCTGCATGAGCTGGAATCGCTTGAGCGGTGTGTCTGCTACGGACGCCCAGTATATGGCACCCGAGTTGTAAACAAGGACGTCTAGACGGCCATATGTCTGTAAAGAGTTTGTCTGTTAAAATACAGTGTCAGGCTTGGGTATGTGGCATGATACGTACAGCAATGGTCTTGTCGACGAGGGCCTGGACGCTCTCTTCAGATCGCACGTCGACCTGGATGGCGGTAGCTTCGCCGCCGGCATTGCGGATCTCCTGGGTGACAGTGGTGATTGTCGATTCCTGGGATTTGGGGTTGGGGTTCTTGGGGATGGGCTTGGAAGGGTCTGAGACGGTTTTGGCGGCCACGACGACTAGTAGCAGCTTTTGTTAGAGAAATGTTATCTTGACGACTAGCGAGAAAGACGTACCTGCGTATCCGTTGGCGGCAATGTCAATGGCAACTTGGCGACCGATGCCTCGTGATGCGCCTACGATAAGGGCAACGGGTTTTGAGGAGGAGGGCATTTGTGTGGTTGCTTGTGGTAGACGAGGTGTAGTGGGCTGGTGAGTTAGAAACGAGGATGAAATACAAAAAGTAAATCTAGCTGAGGATGACAATGATTTTAAATGCCATGCAGCGGTTGTTAAAAATATCAAAGATTAATCAGCTGGAGTCGTGGGGGAATAAGTTTGTAGTGGTTTGATGGTGATATTTATCCGCTACTACAGAAGAGCAAGCAGCTTTGCCAGCTATGCCAGTTGCGCCAGGTGCCCGTCCGGGGAAAAGTGGGCAAGCCTCGGCTGCGCGGCCCAGCTCGATCCACTTACCGCCGAAAGCTGCGCTTCTTGCTCTTCTTTTCCTTCTGCTACGCTTCTTGTCCACCAATTACTTGTCTCTTCTTATTGCATCTTTAAAAAAAACATTATTTGGTTGCCTTCGGCGTCGCGATAGTCTTGCGCCGAACCGAGCTTCTTCCCCACCCTCGGTCCACCACCATCCCCAGATTAGCAATCACTGCGCCTTAGCTGCTTCGTCGGCCTGTCGTTGCCTGCATAAACTCCGGACCTCCGACTTTCGCTCATCTGCTTGCTGAGCCGAATTCCCAAGGTCATATATCGTCATTTAAGCCTTTTGTTGGCTAATTGAGCATCTGACGCACCACACACACTTTCTTTTGGGTTCAGTGCCATATACACATAAGTCATCTCGTGAACAATGGGCGGCGGCAAGATTGACTGCTACTTGGACATTGGTAAGTGTCAACTTGGCACGCATTACGCGCGAGGGTCCGCGGCACTGACAAGATCTATGCAGTGTCCCTTTTTAGCTATGTTGCTTTCAAGGATTTGCTTCCCAACATCTCCAAGCTTGAGGCCAATGGAGTCACGGTAGAGTATGGTGTCCTTGTATGTTCTTCCATCCATCAGCTTGTCTAACTTGCTCCGTCTAGATTCCACCCCGTCTTTCTTGGTGGCATCAACAATGCCAGTGGTAAGCTCCTATCGAATCCAAGAATGATACTTACTATATACTGATCGTCCTTCAGGTAACAAGCCCCCATGGGTTCTCCCCGCCAAGGGCAAGTACCTCAACTACGACTCGAAGCGTGCTCTGAACCGTGTTGGCCTCTCTGATCTTGTCACCCCCGATCTCATGAAGGTTGGCAATACCGTCGTACCGCTCCGTGCCCTCCACTTTGTCAAGGCAAACTACTCCAAGGAGATCTTCATTGCGACTCTCGGGTCCATGTTTGTTGCCTTTTGGGGCGGCGGCGAGTACGCAAACTTGTCCGACGAAGAGTCGCTGCGTCGCTGCCTTCAGTGTGCCACTGACAAGCCTGTTGGCGGCAAGGGCACAAAGCTCTTCACTGATGCCGACGTCAAGAAGATTCTCGACGGCCGCGCCGCCATGAAAACCAAGCTCTCCGAGACCACGGCCAAGGCTCTCGAGCTCGGTGCATTTGGCGCTCCTTGGTTCTGGGCCACCAATTCCAAGGGTGAGGGACAGCCTTTTTTCGGTAGTGACCGGTATGTAACGTTGTTCCTATCAGATTGGAAACGGGAAACTAACAGATTATAGATTCAACCACATTTATCGCCATCTTGACATTGCCTTCCAGGACGTCACTGTGCTTGCACCTTCCAAGCTATAAAGGTGTCTGGTGCAGGAACATTTTAGTTGTACCTATGTTTTTAAATCTAAAGCGATGTTTCTACTTGACAATATATTTTTGTATATTTTTCACTCCTTCCATCACTCGTTTAGTGTAACTCCAACGCATCCCACCAAACCACCACACCACGCGTAGATTGAATCGACCCCACCACCACGACCTTTCAACGCGGCATCACATCCCGCACTTTGCATCCACGCCGCCGTTGAGCAGCGTCACCAGTTTAAAAACAATGGCGCCTCTCGAATTAACCCTCATTGTCGCCGCCACGCGCAACATGGGCATTGGGTTCCAAGGCTCGATGCCGTGGAAGGGCCTGCGCAAGGAAATGCAGTACTTTGCGCGCGTTACCACCCGCATCCCACCACAGGTAGTAGCAACATAAGCTCTAGCTCTCCGTAACTGCAACCGAATCGCGAAGCTAACTGTACATGCATCAATTGTAGGCTCCCGCAGGCTCCATCAACGCCGTCATTATGGGCCGCAAAACATGGGACTCGATCCCTCCCAAGTTCCGCCCTCTCAAAGACCGCCTCAACATCGTCATCTCTCGCTCGTCACCACCGCCGCCGCCGCCCACGCAGCCTGTGCCTCCCAACGAGCCGATCCGAGTATCCTCTGTCGAACAGGCTCTCGAGTACGCGCAGGGCCACCCTAGCGTTTCCCGCGTCATAATCATGGGTGGCGGACAAATCTACGGCGCTGCCCTCCAGCACCCCGCGGCAAAGCGCGTGCTACTCACAAACATCATGCGAGACTTTGAATGTGACGTGTTTTTCCCTTTGGATTTGACCGGCGGTAAAGCAGAGGGCTGGGCAAGGCGATCAACTGAAGAGTTGAAAACGTGGACGGGCGAGGGACCTGAAGTCGAGGGTATCCAAGAGGAAGCAGGCACACAGTACGAGTGGCAGATGTGGGAAAAGACAGACTAGTCCCACAAAGGCCAAGAATAAAAATTGTAAAGGTCAAACTTTTTATGTATTTCATAGATTACAATGTATGCAATGAAGAGAGGATGAAGAGTCTATCGGCTAACAGATGGCGCAAAAAGAAATCAGGAGTAAGGAGAAAGAATAGTAGCATCCGTCGAAACAGAGTAGACAACATGTACATGAGGATGCTCCGACCGCATTTCTTTTTCATAAATAGTAATACACAGTACAAATTAAGCCTCTTTCGTTGTTCGTACACCAAACTGCCGCTTTAGGCCCTCTTCTCGGCAGCCGCCTTAGCCGCCGCTTGAGCAGCATTAGCAGGCTCGCCGGTGCCATGCTTCTTGAAGGGCTCCTCAAGCCTTGTCCAGAAGACATCGACAGGTCTCTCGAGGATATCAGCAGCCTGCTGGGGGAACATGGCGTCGCTCGTGCTCTCCAGACTAGCCAGGGACGCGCGCATCCAGCCAACAATAGCCACCAACGAGCGCGGGTCGACCTCCGGGTCGCCCTTGAACAGGTTTCGCCAGACAGCGCTGGCCAGGATAGCATCGCCCTTGATAAGGCCCTCGTCGTAAGCGAGGATCAGGCCGCGCCACTGCACAAAGATGTCCTTGAGGTAGCGCTGGCGCAGGGCCGACGACGTGATGTGGTGGTCGATGTGCATCTTCTTCTCGCACTCGAAGAAGAAGTGGTCCACGAGCTGCTGTGTCCAGTTGCGGTATTCCTCGCGCTCGAAGCAGCGCACTCTGGCGTTGAGCAGGTACAGGTGCAACATGGTGACGTGCGACCAGGTGCTGAATGTCGGGGGGAGGTTGAATTCTGTGCACAGAGAGGCGTTAGTTTCCATACCTGATTTGATAGCTGGGGAGGAACCAGGACTGACTTGTGTGCCATACGCTTTCGGAGACGGTTGGCTCGCCGACTTCTTCGCCGTCCTCCATCTTCTTGACTTGGTCCTGCTTGCGCTGCTCCTCTGTGATCTTGTAGTCGGCCTGCTTGGCGCAGACCTTGAACAGGCGCTCGGAGACGCCTACGACGCGGTACGAGTCGCGGAATGACGAGCCCAGGAGGCTTCGCGCGCTGGAGTTGCTGAATTGGCGAACAGTACCGGCGGTTTGCTGCTGATGCATTGCTGAGCGAAGCATCGATCGGATTGCTGGAGAAGTTCCTCTCGTCGTGGGTGCCGCAGCACGCAGGGCAGACCGGAGCAGCCCACGGGCCGAGGTGCGGCAGCCTTCGCAAACCATGATGAACGGTGCAGATATCAAATTCGATTGTTTCTGCTCGGTGTTGACAAAACTTGGTCGGATTTCGGTCGGATTCGCGCCGGCGCGGAGGTGTCGTGATGTCGCTGGTCAAGCACAAGCAGGAGGCGAGATTTCTTTGGGAAAAGTTGCCGGCTGATTGTCGGTTTACTTTTTTTTTCGCTTTGCGCTTGTCCCGCAGGCCCCTGGCGGCGGGCGCTAGGCTGCGGAGCAGCGGAGCAGCGCTGTGGTGTAATCTTATCAGCTATCATTGCAGCCCCAATAATGCTAGAGAATACTGGTAGAGCTGCACTTTGAAGAATGGTGATCGCTTCTACAAAAGAATCTTCCTATGTATAGGAAATATATTCCATGTGTCAGGATGTATTTATGAAGAATTATTTCCAAATTATGACATTTCTATAACATTCTGTTGAACCATCTAGACCAGAGTAAATGCTCTCACTTCTATAATACATATAATACATTACGCATACGCGCTACTCGTACTGTGAAAACACCAGCGAGCTATTTGTCCCTCCAAACCCGAAGCTATTTGTAAGAGCCACGCGTACATCTTTTTCTTGGGAAGTCTTGGGTATAAAGTTGAACGCTGGGCCAACATTGGCGCTCTCCAGGTTTCTCGTTGGTGGTACAACATTCTACACACATGTTAGCCGGTCAGGTCCCCTCTCCAAAAGGTGTCATGATACGTACATTGTGGATTGCCAGAATGGCAAATAGAGCTTCAATAGCGCCCGCAGCACCAAGCAAGTGGCCAATTGCACCCTTTGTGCTGCTCACCGTCACTTGAGCCTCAGAGTCTACGCCCTCAGGTCCTAGCATAAGCCGGCGTATGGCAGCAGCCTCGGCAGCATCTCCCACTTGTGTTCCCGTGGCATGGGCATTGATATAGTCGACCTGCGCAGGCTTCACATTGGCGTTTTTGAGGGCTCTCGTCATGGAGAGGAACGCACCCTGGCCATCCTCTCGCGGGGCCGTCATGTGGTGCGCATCGCCACTGCAGCCGTAGCCCTTGACTTCCGCATATATCTTTGCGCCTCGCGCCTTTGCGTGCTCCAGCTCTTCGAGGATACACACGGCAGCTCCCTCTGCCACCACAAAGCCGTTGCGCAGCGCATCAAACGGTCTGCAGCTGGCTTCTGGCTCGTCGTTGAACGCTGTAGACAGAGACCTTGCTCTACCAAAGCCTGCAAAAGTCAATGGGTGTATGCAAGACTCTGATCCACCGGCAACCATGACATCTGCGTCTCCAAAGGCAATAAACCGTGATGCATCGCCGATAGAATGCGCTCCCGTTGTACACGCCGTTGTAGCTGCGTGATTAGGGCCGTGAAAGCCGTACTTCATCGCAACATGGCCCGCAGCAAGATTGATAAGAAGCTTTGGGACAAACAATGGCGACACTTTTTTGTAGCCCTAGTCGATAACTTAGCAAATGGACTTACCAACCACGCCACATATACATACCCCTGTGTGATGCTCTATGCTGGTGTTGTAGACTTCATCAAGATTGCCAATGCCGCTGCCAATGCAAACACCAGTAGCATCCAAATCTTCAATCTTTGTTGGCCCCCATCCAGCATCTTTGAGCGCCATATCACTAGCTGCTACGGCATACTGCGCAAACAGCGACTGACGCCTCTGGTCTGGCGGCGATGCCCAATCGGCGGCTCTCCAGCCATTCGGCTCGTGCTCCTTGGGCACAATGCCAGCTACTGTGCTTGTTAATTCGTCCCAGCGGTCCTTTGGCTCCAACCCAACGACGCTGCGCAAGCCCGATTCGCCCGCAATCAGGCGCGCCCAGGTCCTCTCAACGCCAACTCCCAGCGGCGTAATGGCCCCCAGACCCGTCACGACGACTCGGCGCATGCTGCTACCATATCGGGGTATCAAAAGCAAAAAGGTCTCTCTGTGTCGGGAGCTCTTCTTCCGACGGCGGCGTTTGTGTCAAAGGGCTGTGGCGGTGTTGGCAAACTGCTCAATAGCGTACGGTGAGAAGTTGAAATATCGTCCAAGAGCACTCCGCTGGAAACGCCCTGAATGATCACTAGCTTAGCGCTATAACGGACGCCGCTAGTCGCAAAAATAGGTGGTGTTCTGGTGTGATTTTAGCGGGCCGGCATCCACTGTGCAGCGGCGCCCGCAGCTGTCACCACGGCACTTTGCCAGCCTCACCCTGTACGCAACCGTACGACGTGGCTCAAACGCAGCCTCAGCTACTCGACGTCCTTCCACTCTGCACTCAGCCTGAAATCTTACCGACGTCCCCCTCACTTTCATTTCTAGATATTTAAGCGCTGGGACGACTCTATCATTCATTTCTACCTGTCAATGCCTAGTTGCGCACTTGTCTAGCCCTGTCTTACGCTCCTAGGGAGGGGGCCACTGTAGCGATCCAGTCGTTATCAGCACTTCAAAATGGGCCGACACAGCGCGGAAGCCGAATCTAGCGGCATGGCAATGGCATCTCATGTTGCTTCTCGTCATTCGGATTCGCCTGAGCGGACCAATTCTTTGGATGGGCTTGTTCCCGAGACGCCAACCCGCCTTAAACAGCCCAACGACGACAACGACTCGGGGTCGGAACAGGAGCGGCTGCTTGAGCAAGATCTAGACGATTACGAGCTCGACGACCTGGACCCAATCAACGGCAATGCAAAAAAGTACAATGAGGACGACGACTCGCCGTATCCCGAAGTGCGCGCCGCCGTGCGCAACTACGACGAGGATGTGCCCTGTGGGACAGTCCGCGCATGGACAATTGGTCTTGGGCTCGTCGTCATTGGAGCATCCATGAACACGCTCTTTTCGCTACGCCAGCCAACCATCTCCGTTACATCGCTGCTTGCCCAGGTTATTGCGTATCCCCTGGGTCACGCCTGGGCGGCTGTTGTGCCGTCACGGACCTTCACCACGTTTGGGCGCACCTGGAGCCTCAACCCAGGGCCGTTCAATATCAAGGAACACTCCATTATTGTTGTCATGGCCGGTGTGTCCTTTTCAGTTGCTTACTCCACCGATATCATCCTTGCGCAGATGATCTTTTACCGTCAAAACTTTGGCATCGTCTTCCAGATCCTGCTGACCATTTGCACCCAATCGCTGGGCTACGGCATGGCTGGCGTCATGCGCAAGTTCCTCGTGTACCCTGCTTCCATGATCTGGCCAACCAACTTGGTCAATGTCAGCTTGATGAATGCAATGCACGATAGGCACGATAAGCCAGATCCAAGAGTCTTTGGAGGTGGCATGTCGCGGTACAGGTGGTTTACACTGGTGTCTGCTGTGTCCTTCTTCTACTTCTTCCTTCCTGGTTATCTCGCCAAGTGCCTTAGTTTGTTTGCGCCTCTTACTTGGCTGGCACCTCAAAATGTCGTTGTAAACCAGCTATTTGGCGAAAACTCGGGAATGTCCATGCTCCCGATCACGTTTGACTGGTCCCAGGTTGCTGGGTACATTGGCTCGCCAATGATGACTCCATGGTAGGTTTGTAAGCGGCCTGCCAAGCACTAAAACTAACACTTATAAACACAGGGTTGCCATTGCCAACACGCTCATCGGCGTCATCTTCTTCTTCATCTTCTTCGTTTCCGTGCTGCACTACTCGGGCGTCTGGTACGCTCCGTATTTGCCCATTAGCGACGCCCGCACATTCGACAACATGGGCTTGCCGTACAATACGACACGAGTCCTCAACCCTGACTTCACATTAAACGTTACAGAATACAAAAATTATTCGCCGTTATTCATCAGCACCACATTCGCGCTGACATACGGCTTGTCGTTTGCCGCCATCACGTCACTTATCGTATACACTTACATCCACAGCGGCAAGACCATTTGGAAACAATACAGAAACAGTGGGCATGAGAAGCCTGATATTCACATGCGGCTGATGAGCAAATATCCGGAGACCCCTACATGGTGGTATAGCTCACTCTTCTTCTTGGTAAGCTTCTTTCCCTTTTCGTCCTCCCGCAAGCTGCTTGCTAACTGTGCTCAGATGCTTGGTATCAGCTTTTACACCGTCCTGGCATACCCAACCAACATGAGCTGGTGGACGTTTCTGCTAGCTGTGCTCATCTCATTTGCATTCACCCTACCTGTTGGCATCATCGAGGCCATTACGAATGCTAGAATCGGCCTCAACGTTCTAACAGAATTTGTGTACGGCTACATTGAGCCCGGCCGCCCTCTAGCCCTGATGCTCTTCAAGACATTTGGCTACATCTCCATGTCGCAAGCGTTGAGCTTTGTTGCCGATCTCAAGTTTGGCCACTATATGAAGATTCCACCACGCACGATGTTCCTGGCACAGGTTGTAGCCACAACGCTCTCATGCGTTATCCAAGTCTTTGTTCTCAACTTTGCGCTCCGCAACATTGACAATGTCTGCGACCTGGAGCAAGTCGATCGATTCACATGCCCAGGCGGTAGGGTATTCTTCTCTGGTAAGTTATGCCACAGCATCCGTCTGTACTTCTTCGCTAACACCACTCAGCATCCGTCATCTGGGGTCTTATCGGCCCGGCGCGCATGTTCAGCCCCGGCCAGATCTACTTTGGGCTCTTCTCCTTCTTCATTATTGGCGCCATCACCCCAATCCTCATCCACTGGGCTTCCAAGCGGTGGCCCAAGTCGCCAGTCAAACACCTCATGGCGCCTCTCATCTTTGGCGGCTCCGGCAACATCCCGCCTGCAACGCCGCTCAACTACATATCCTGGTCGATTGTCGGCTACTTCTTCCAGTACTACGTCAAACGGCGCCATAACGCATGGTGGACACGCCTCAACTTCATCACATCGTGCGGGCTCGACTTCGGCCTTGCACTCGGCACGTTTGTTCTCTTCTTTGCATTTACCATTCACAACATAAAGCCGCCGCGGTGGTGGGCGAACACCGTCGTCGAGTCTACCATGGACTACCAGGGGACGGCGATACGCATGCACGTAGCGGAAGGAAAGACATTTGGTCCTACATCATGGTGATTTCTGTTCCATCTTTTCTTTTTCTTTTTGTAAATTACATTTTGTTATCATAGCGTTTCTCTACCCCCAATCGACGTCTGTACATATCTTGCCGTCTTAATGCCCGCCTAAATCGGCCGCCGCCAGTGATAAGCCCGTCCCCACCGAATTGAGTTGACTGGTGGACTAATTGCGCCTCTACGGCCACTCCGTCCGGTGAACCGGTGCCTGCATAAGCACGCAACCCACGTTAGCCTTGTCCGTCTCACCTTGCTCGTGCTTCTGTTGCTACCCTCGGCGGAAAAAATAAATAGCTTCCAGAACCCCGTCCCCGACCTTTCTCTACCGTCTACACAGCAAAAATACACATACACGTCGAGCTTCTTCAACAATGGTCTCCATCTCCACCATCACCACCGGCGGCGTCGCTGCTCTCCATGTCTACATCATGGCGCTGGAAATGTTCCTCTGGACAACGCCCCGCGGCCGCCGCTCGTTTGGCCTCACGGCGCAGTTTGCTGAGCAGACCAAGGTCCTCGCCGCCAACCAGGGCCTCTACAACGGCTTCCTTGCTGCTGGCCTCGTCTGGGGCCTGCTTCACCCCGTCGCCGACTTTTCGCGCCAGATCCAGCTCTTCTTCAACGGCACTGTTGTTGTTGCCGGCCTGTACGGCGGATTGACTTCGTCGAGCCGAATCCTGTTGGTTCAGGGTGTTCCTGGACTGATTGGCCTTGCCACTGCCTACTTTTCGCGATAAGCAACAGCTTGAATACAAAATAATTGGAGCTAGAGGGATGCAAGGGAATAATATGAGCGTGGAAAAGAGACGGGCGAGCAATGGAACTATATCGGAGCCGTTTGGCGCGTTTTTGTATATTGGGCAACTTGTCAATGGGATGGGCATAGGCGTAATAGGTGGAAATAATGCTTGGTATTACTGCTTAAAGAGTCTAATTTGCACGTGATATAATTTACAAAATTCAAAAACAACTGTCTGCCTTCGCCGTTTTTTGTCTTACATTACCAAACGTCCAGGCTCCTCCTCAAGAATCACCTTGCAGCGCTGCAAGAAGACGTGGGCTCTCTCGGCCTCTGCTTGGGGCACCACGAGCGAGAAGACGTTGGCGCCGCTCGACAGGCCTGCTACCGTGGGAACAGTAACCATTGGGCTGGGTCTCTGGATGGGAGTACCGGCAAGCTCGTCAATCAGATCGCGCTTAGCTGGGCGGGTGTTGCGAGGAGTGAAGCGGGTGCCGGGAGGAATAGCGGAGATTTGAGGAATGTACATGCCGTTGGAGGACTTGATCTTGTCGAGTCCGAGAACAGCATCGAAGAGCTCGCTAGCGGTAGGCTCGTGCTGGGCGAGGGGAAGTTCGTTGTTTGCGATTTCGGCAGCGCGCGTGATGAAGGTGGAGATGGGCAGGAAGACGCCGAGGGTGTCCTGAATCTTGTTCTGGACCTCGACAACCTTGGCAAGCGAGACGGGGACGTTAATCTCGAAAGGGAGGTTGACAGGGGCAGCGGGAGCCTCTTCGACGGCCTTGGGAGCCGCAACGGGCGCAGCCTTTGGTGCAGCGACCTTGATGTTGCTCAGGTCGAGGTGGGCGAGCTTCTCAAAGTTCGCAGAGACAGCGGCGGGAGCATCAGCATTGATGGTGCCAAGGTAGGCGAGAACATCGCCCTTGAGGAGACGTCCACCGGGGCCGGTGCCCTCAATCTTGCTAACATCGGCTTCGGTCAAACCGTTACCCTTGACGAGGTGGCCGACGGAGGGCAGGAGAGGGTACTTGTGCTCGTAGGTGCCGGAGCCGGCCGCCGTTGCGACGGGCTTGGTGGGCTTGGACTCCACAGCTTCCACGGGCTTGGACTCGGTCGTCTGGGCGGATCCGGAAGAAATGGCTTTTTCGGCATGCTCGTCAGCAGGGAGTTCGAGAGAGCTAATATCGTCGCTGGCTTCGGCGAGGACGGCGATGCGGGCGCCCACAGGGACAGCCTTGGAGCCGTCCTGGGACATAATCTTCATCATGATGCCGTCGTCCTGGGCCTCAACATCCATGGTGGCCTTGTCGGTCTCAATCTCGAGGAGGACGTCGCCGGCGCTGAAGGCCTCGCCCTCCTTGACCCGCCAGCTAGCAATGTTTCCTTCGGTCATGGTCGGGGAGAGGGCGGGCATAACGAAGTTCTGGGCGGCGAGGCATCGTGCGGAGTTGGAGAAGCCTGTGGATTCAAACAAGAAGCAACGGTTAGCAGCAGTCTACGGGCAAATTGGCTCGAGACATGGTCGGCCGGCGGACGGGGTTGGGAATAAGACGCACTGCGAGTAGCAGCTACTCTGGCACCGACGAGCCTGGCGGAGGCGCGGCACGCAGATGTGAGGGCGGCCATGGGGAAAAGAATTTCAAGGAATCGGCGAGTGCGAGCGCGTCAATTGAGTCGAGCAGGGAAAACGCCAGCAGCCGTAGCTTTGATGATGTCGTGCTGACGGCGATGAGGAGGAGAAGGCGAAGACGGAAAAAAACTGGTGAGAGCTTTTGTTCAGCGGTGTCGCTGGCGCTTTCGGGGGGGGCAAGCGCCTTTGTTGGGGCGTTGTTGGCGATTACTTTTTAGTGGGGCTGGCTGGGAGGTTAGTGGACGCTATGCGCTGATAAGAGACTTGAGGAGATGAGATGAGTGAGGTGTGTGCAGCAAGAAAGAATTGTTATAAAATAAATGTTAAATTTAATCGGAATACCAATCACGTGTTTAAATTATTTATATAATTTAAATAACATTTAAATACGTGGTAAAATAATAAACAATGTCCGTTGATCCCTATCCAGTTATCACTAGCACGCCCCTCCCGCTATCGCCCTAACCCAGGTACAGCTGCCTCCCAAACAACCCCTAACCCACCACTGCTACGGCGGGCTACTGGTTAGTGCTGCGAGAGGCTTCATTTTTTTATTCGCTCCCCTCTACCACGCCGAGCCCGCGCTGCACGACGACACACAACCCAGCGCCCTGCGAATAATCCGATAGATCCATTCAATTGGATTCACACCCTACATCTAATTACCAATCCGATATCCTATCCATCTCCGACAGCTTCTCCCCAGCTCCGTGGGCTACGACCACGTCTCCTTTGTCCACCATGGCCTCCTTGGCCGCGTCCGTTCGCTTCTCTCCTCTCCGACAACACATCTTCTCATCCTCTCCACGCTTCTCCTTTACCTCTTGCGCCCGCTCACGATTCCTCTCCACAACCGTCCGTTGCCGCGCCGCACAGTCCGTGAGGCCTCCTCCTCCTTCGCCCGCAGCACGCGCTTCAGCAACCGCCGCCCCGTCGAGATATGCATTCATAAAGAGCCTGGCTACCAAGCCGACTCCCACAATCCTCTACGAGGGCCCATCACACTTCTGGTTCTACTTTGGCTGCTGGTCCAGCGGCATATCCATCCTGACATGGACAGTGCTCACGGGCCCTACCGTTGTGCAGCAGCCAGAAGGCGTACCAGAATGGGTCAGCTACGTCTACGGCGCAACATATGTGCTTCTCGGATCCATGGGCTTCTACCTGATATCCAAGACGCCCAGCATTGTCCACTCGATCCGCGTCATGCCGCCCTCCGCACTCGCAGGCGTTAAGACACCCACGACAACCTCGGCCGCCGGCAAAGCTGCTTCTGCTGTCGCTGCCGCAGCCCAGCAGCCCCAGATCGAAGTCAAGGTCAAGCGTATGCTCCCTATCCTGGGCTACAAGACCATCACGACAAGCCTCGACAATGTCGTCCTCAAGACGCGCTTCTCTCTGCCCGAAGAGTTTGTGCCCCAGCTTAAGCGTCTCGAGGCCCAGCGCGCAGAGGAAGCAAAGCGAGCCGCGCAATGGAAGTTCGACAAGGAGCATCTTCTCACGTTGCCGTTCCGCCATCTCGCGCGCGGTGTTTCCGGCTTCTTCCAGGGCGTTCGTGCGGCGTGGACAGACATGGGCTACGGCGTCATCAAAGTTAACGGCAAGGCGTACAAGGTGGATGTTACCCAGGGCTTTGCACACGACGGCTTTAAAACCCTCGAGAGGCTTGTCCAGATTGGAGCATAAGCGAGTATTACCCGCAGCAAAAAGGTTGGCGTGCAGAAAAATAGCATCACGCGGCCAGTGTATATTTAGCAAACACATGTACCATTATCAAGGTCCCGTAGATTTCCTTGCAAATAATGAAAGCTGATTGGACCATTTAGTCCCTGACATCTAGAGTGGGTTGCGCTATGCGTTTTGTGGCAACATCATGTGTTCATCTGCAGGCACTAAGCCGATAGGCGTAGCCTCGTTTGTGCGTGCATCGGTTCAACGTCAGTGAACGAAGGGGAAGAGAGATCGACTGTTCAATTTAAATCCCTCATTCTGTTTCTCGTGAATTCATTGTTCTCATCCCTATCAAACAAACAGAAATATTAATCATCTCTTTACCAAGTATTGTACGCAAATCGGCATTACAGCTTCTACAATGGCTCAAGCACTCCCCACCGTACCTGATCGTAATGACTTTGTTCCAACAATGGAAGAGTATGTCCAGGAGCACCGCAAGATTCTAGATCGAATCGTCAGCACTGTGAAACCCTCTGATGTCTCGTTTGAGAACGTCTTGCTCCCAATTGGCCAGCTCGAGAACGAATACGGCGGCCGAAAAGCAGTGATTGAAGCGCTGCGGTATGCATCACCTGAAGAGGAAGTACAAGAAGAAGTAGACGTGGCTAGGAAGGTTCGACAGAAGTACAGCAATGAAGTCAGCGAACGGATAGACTATTACGAGCTGCTCCAAGCTCTCAAGGACAAGGGCGAGCTGCAAGATTTCGAGTCTCGCACATTTCTCGACAAATCCTTGCAGAACTATACAAGCCGCGGGTACGGTATTGTGGACGCACAAACGATTAAAACATTCAATGAGGTACAGGCCAAGTGCAACGATCTCTGTGCCGAGTATAACAAGAACATTCGCCTGATGGATCCTAAAGCCTGCGGTATTGACTTTACAAAAGAGGAGTTGGATGGGCTACCTGAAGATTTACTTTCTCAATGTGAAGTTCAACCCGATGGCCGTCTGCGTGTTCCTCTGCAGCAGCAATATTCCGGGGCTATTAAGCAGCATGTGCACAACGGCGAAACACGGAAACGCATAATGCAAGCCTTCAATTCAAAGCACCCAGAGAACGGGCCACTGTTCCGCGAAATCATCCTCCTTCGCGATGAAAATGCTCGACGGCTGGGTCTCAAAAGTCGCTGCGAATTCAAGCTTCCTTACCGAATGATAGAGTCGGTAGAATGGGTGCAGGACCTGTTGGTCAAGCTGTGGAAACCCATGAGCGCGGAGCGGCGCAAGTTGTTTGACGCACAACTAGCCAAAAAGAGGGAGATACTTTACAAGGAACATGGTACAGCTCCTGAAGAGGTTCAGCTTGAGACTTGGGACACTGCGTACTACCAGAATATCATTGACCGTGAAGCAAAAGCCGTCGATGAGGACCTGGTGCGAGAGTACTTTCCATTCTTGCACACCTTTGACTACATGTTGCGCCAGTTTTCAACCTACTTCCAATTAGCATATGTTGAGATCCCCAAGGATGAGTTAGTTGGCCACGTCTGGTCGTCGGATATCCGGGTCTGGGGCGTATGGGATAAACGTCCAGATCATATGGGCGAGTTTATCGGCTACCTCTACGCCGATTTGTTCAGTCGCCCCAACAAATACAAAGGAAATCAGGCTGTTAACCTCCAACCAGTGATTACCCTCAATCCATTCTCCAATAACTGCATCCTACTAACCGTGAATAGGGATACCTCAATGCCGACGGATCGCGCGTCTACCCAGCTACCACCATCATGTGCAACTTTGCTCTCCGCGAGAGGCACGGGTGCGCTCTGATGGCTCATAGCCAAATGACTACACTCTTCCACGGTAAAAGATCGTCACAAAACTATGAACACCCCCAATTGCTAACTTGTTCCCCAAGAATTGGGTCACTGTATGCACGATATCCTTGCCCGAACTAGGTTCGCTCGCCACCACGGCTATGCCGTATGCTTAGAATTGGGCGAAGCCCTTGCATCCATGCTGGAAAACTGGTGCTGGATCAAAGAAGATCTCAAGGCTATGGGATACCACTATACGGCCATCGATCCCAAGTACATGGAGGCGTGGAAGGCTGATCATCCAGGCAAGAAGCCGCCGCAAGCGAAGCTCCCTGACGAGACACTTGATTTGCTCATATCCGAATATCCTCGATCTAAAATGGCGCTCTACACAAGCATATTGTAAGACCATCCACCGGAAATGCTGATATCAAAGAGTGTCTGCTGATGCGGAATTGACAGGTACTATTCGCAATTCGATCTCGCCGTCCACCACCCGCCAAGCGCCGAATCCCTGCGCAATCTCGATGAATCACAAACCTTCCGAGACTTGCATGAGCAGTTTTACTTTGCACATCCGCCGGAGCCGTTCCACCTCCAAACTGACTTCTCTCACCTTGTGTCAGGCTATGATGCTGGATACTACGTTTATATGCTGTACGTAATACTACCTGCAGTCTTCCAAGACAAGCGCACTTTGTGCCGCGCTTGCTCCGGAGAAGCTTCCAAGAATACCCGTTTTGTCGGTAACCGGGGTATTTACTTATTTCCTTCTTATTTAGGGCAAACGTGTTCGCTCAGGACATGTTCAGTGTAAACTTTAGCGAAGATCACCGCAGCATCGCGGCGTGGGATCGCTACCGCCGCGGGTTGCTCGAGCATGGAGGTAGCCGTGATGAAAAGCAGGTGTTGAAAGAATTTCTTGGTCGTACGCCCAATGAAAATGCTCTGCTCAAGAGCCTGGGGCTGTCGCAGGCCACGGATGATCGTGCAGAATAGCTGTATCTCGACATGCGGGGGGCAGACACGTAGCACGCTAGTTGATTGCACTCCTGTCTTGTCATATTTCCTGTGGGCGTTATGTATCCCACTGTACATACGCTGTTTCAGAAGAAATATTTAATGTTCCTTTATAGCAGCTGTTATTTTGCTGTGGGAATCCCACTGCCATGAGACAGACCTCCTAGGGCTCAGATCGCACAAGCTTGATACAACCAATCTTCTTTATTGTATTGGCCGTATTAGGGCATTGGAGGGGATTGCAGATGGCCCACTTAGTGCATATTCTTGAGAGTTGCTTTTAGTGATTTTAGCTCGTGCTTTGAACACTGTTAATTCATCGTTGCGAAATATGACTTATACCCGGCTACGACTCCCTCCGAGGACGGCGAGGTACCCTACATCGCCACCTGGAACATCGGCCGCAGCTTGGTGCTGCCTACAAGCATATAGTGTATGTTTTGTAAATCAAACATTGGGGTTTTGCGTTCAATCTAAACCCCGAGGAGTTGCCGAGTCGAATTCACTTGCCGTCGTTGGTCGTTTCGATCATCTTCACCTCATCCAATGGGTAGACCCTTGGATCTACACCACCAAACCCTGCACGACCCTTCGTTCGACTTACCACCTACGTAAAGGCTGGGCAGGGTGAGCGGCCGGCAGTGGCGCGCGTAGAAAATGCCATGTTAGCAGCGAAAAGAGCCGGTGTTAAACATGCAGATCTAGCCACACACAAACAGGCGTCTCAGTCGTCATGGTCTTGGAAAGAGGGGCGTTCGGCTCGGTCGAGGCTCTTATTGGGTCTCTCGAGGGCGGGAGGTGTGGGTACGGTGATCTCTCCATCATAATAGCGCCTCTAAAAACCATGCGGTCTAGCAGCCAGCGTGGGGGTGGGCCGGCCAGAAATCCACTTGTGATAACGAAGCAGCAGTAGCAAGCGTCTCTCAAGTCTCCTTTGGACGTGTGACGTCGGTCTTTGACAAACGTTTCTGTGCGAGGACGAGTGAGGCATGCTGGATATCTGCGGGCGAAATCGGAGCAACATCTGTCTGCAGCAAGGGATTCCCACCCACAGCGGGGATAGGGTCTATGTTTGGTAGCATATCGTTTTGTGGCGTAGAGGGGTCCTCTGGTCGGCCATCAGATTTCAAGCATGGCCAACATGCTATGGTGGTGCATGGACGAAGCGACGCATGGTGGGCGTTGAGGCTGTCGCACTACGCGGACACAGGGCGCCTGTGACAGCGTTTCCGTTAGCCACGACGAGATGATGCAATTTTGCCCCCTCGCGAGCCGCCGGGGTGTTGATGCAGAACGCCATGGGCCATGCTCAAGGTATAGCGTCGCGAACTAGGGATGCAGCGGAGGCTAGCGTAGCGTTGATGTTGCAGGCCACAAAACAGCTCGTGTTAGTCGGCCCTCAAGCATGCGCACACAGGTTGACCGAGCGAGGGATTTTACAGCCCGCATTGTTACCAATGTTGGATGTTGTGCGGGAATTTTGAACCTTCCTTCTCTGCTATGCGCGCTTCCCGATGCGTATTCTGCAAGAAGGCGCTTTGCTTGCGAACATCACCATTAGTTGGACGAGGCGGTGAAGAGAAAAACGAGGACAAGAGCTGGGTGGCGCGCAGCGGCGGCAAGTCGGAATGCTCCAGGTGGTGGCGAGCCAGTCAGAGCGTTAGATTGCGTCCCCGCATGGGCTCGAGTGTGCACAGATGGACCAGTAGTGTGGCAGATAGCAGTGAAAGCACCGAAATTACTGAATCACACGGGGCTGCGCAGGGCGAAACGTGGGATGGGTATAATTTGTTGTTTCCCAGAGACACGCATCTGGCGCCATATGGAGCTAACGATTGGCCTGAGACTGCAAGCATTCCCAAGTCTCGGCCAAAACGGTCTTGGTTGGTGAACGCAGCCAGTGCTGGTTTGGGTCAAAGATCGTCTCTGCTTTAGCGAAACAGTCTCGTCTGGGCCCCAAACACCAGCGGAGCCCATTCACGTCACAAAAACGCGGCTGATGTCACAGAAGCCGTGGTCGAGGCTTGGCGTAGCGCTGAGGACGCTTTGGCAATGGATCTCATCGAGCATATGGTCTGGCCTCCCTTGCCTTTGGTGCATGCACCTCAGATGCAGACTCTGACTCGGCCAGCGAATTGCAGCACAGGCCTGCTCGCATGTGGGTAACCCATGTCAGGATGGCTTCGTTGTACGTCGAGAAAAGGTGGCTCGAAGCAAGGCTCGCTGGCGTTGCATGCGCCGAATAGAGGTCATCTAGAAAGGGCTACGCATCTCGTTCGTGGGGGGCTACCCAATGGTGTGGGCTTGTTGCTAATGCTCCCGCAGCTGTGTTGATGCTCTGCCATGATATTCCACGATGACTGGCCCGCTTGGGTAGGGAGAGTGGTCCCTTCACTTACAACGACGTGCATTGCATCCAATCAACCTCCATGGCGGGCAACGCGAGTAAGCGGAGCATTGCCTCTTTGCGTAGGGATACATTACAGCGCGCCACTACCGACAAGCCGCCCCGTGCGCCAATGGACGGGGATGTATTTTTTTGGAGTCTCTTGGCTGTTGCCAACCTTTCTCTTTCGGCTGGGAGGTCTTCGATTGCCAGACTACTGTCAGAATGCGCACAGCGACGGTGGACATGCTGTCTTTATCGCGATATACTGGCAACAACCACTGTATGTAGCGCTGACGGACGCTCGGGCGTGCTAGTGACGGGCAACTTTTTTGATAGACGTGATGGGCCCAATGAATTGACAAGCTGGTGGGGTAAGTCGTGTAAATGAAATCTCGACTGCACACCCTAAGCTTGCCGCTGGCAAAGCAGACGATGCCGCCTTGAGCGCTGGCAGTGTACTCTATACAACACACAGTATCTGATTCTCGTTCAACTTGCAAGCGCTGGACCTGGCGTAGCACAGCCAGCCAGAGGGGGATATTGCGCTGCAGTGTGCCTGAACATCACTGCGGGCGGGCTGCGAGAGACAGACACATCGCAGCACGACCACTGCAGAGCTACGCACACGTAACAGAGAACCGTCTGGTGCAGCGACGGGCATGGAGGTTGCACCAGATCAAGACGGCGGACTAATCCGTCGCAAAGGCGGGCGGCAGATGGGCGCCTGCAGATGACGAGCCAAACACGGGTCGATGATTTGGTGTGGGCGGCGAGCCAAGGTTGCCGACACAATGTCTCGAAGCCCCCCAGCCAGATGTGTCGCATGACAGTGGCCGGCCGTTATTGCGAGAGGGGCGGCAGGTGGTTTATGGAAGACGCTGCGAAAAGGGAAGAATGGTGTTTATGCTATTTCTGTTTAGCAGCGTGTTCGGTAAACAAATGCCCGGCGTGGATTTTGAACGGTGCTCCCTGCATGCCTGCGGTCGACACTAACGGGTAGTCATGTGCGGTATTGACTCTAAAAAGTGTGTATCAGATAAGAAAGGAAATGGTTCCAAAGTAAACAAAGCCTGGTAGCGGAGGAGCAGCAACGGCGGGATTTGCAAGCTGGATGAGGATCCTAGAGAAGATAAAAAAAAAAAGATACAAAGATACAAAGATACAAAGATACAAAGATACAAAGGGAATGACACAGTGGCAACTGAAGCAGAATCCCTGATCGGCAATGAGACGCGACCTTTGTGACGATCTCTCTGTTGCGCGTCGAGAGGATGTGGCAAGAAGGAAAGTGAAGCCATCGTCACTTTTCTTTTGCCGTCGCTTGAGGGCCCTGGCCGCTGCAGGGTGCCCCCGTTCTAGCGCACATTTTCCCGTTTCAGCGGTCTTTGGCGCATCGTCTGGCGGCCATCTTGCCGGCAATCCCTGCCTACAGCGGGCAAGGGACCCCCTGAACCCAGTAAAAAAAAGATGCCCCTCACCCCACCAGAGGCCGTCACGCCTCAAATGCGATTTTTTTTTATAGATACAGTACAGTACATGAGCGATTTGGTCTTTTGTAAACCACTTACTTAGATCGGCGCTTGTGGTATATTTTGCTACTTTCTTCCGATGCGCAAATAGAAAATAGGCCGATGCTTTCCTTTTAACCTTTCACCATTTTCCACCTGACAAGATAACCCGGCTGCTCTCCGTGACGGGCCAAACTTTGCGGTGTACAGCAAATGGGCAAATAGCCCAGCCGTGCCAATGTGACGGCTCGGCAAAGTCCACCGCGAACAAAAATTAAGATTACCAGTGGCTCTTTGGCGGGCGGGCTACAGCGACTCGCATGCGCCACGGCGGCGGTCGTGCACAGGAAAGCCGGACGGCCAGCTGCCCAGTCGGAAGCATGCCGCCGGATTCAGCTTTAAGGTGTAAAAAAGAATTTAGAGTCAGTGTAGCTGTTGTGCATGCAGGCATAAAAGCCAACTACGTAGTAAAACGACAAAAAGAGGCGTTTGAAGCGTGCAACGAGGACGAGGCGGCAAGCCAAGTATCATGCAACCACTGTACGTGACCGCCGCAGCCTCTGACTCTGTGTGCCGGGCCGTGGCGGGCGAGGTGTGGTCTGCAGACGTTTTTAGGCGGCGCGATGCTGCACCTGTGGGCACTAAAAGCAACGCTAACGCGCCCGGGGGGTGGCGAGGGATGCCCTGCAGAGGCGCTAATATCATGCACATGGGGGGGTCCCTAGACGCTCAAAGGACCAACCATTATTGGCCTGTGGGCGGGTGCCGCAGTCACCTTGATGCTGTAAAAGTCAGATGGGCTGGGCCACAAGCTGATGGGACTGGCTGACTGACTTGACTGACTGAGATGATACGGGAGATGCGGCAAAGGACGAAGAAGAAAATGAACAAAAAAAAAGAATGGCGAAAAGAAACATAGATTTTGGCTGGGCTGCCTATTTTTGTTACTCTATGTATTTTACGCTACTCTACCTTATTACCTGTTGTGTCTCGCATCGCCGTTCGTCGCCTGTTGATTCATACGCACCACCTGGAACGCCGGTGGTTATAGTGCTTGGTGCGCTGCTGGCAGCTGTTTTTCAGGCGGACATCGTCGCCTAGGGGGCGTGCAGAGTCACCTGGAAACCCCCCAGTACGCCCCTCCCCCCTCACGCCCCCCCTCTTTTTTTAGTGGTGGCTTTGTTATTTCTCGCTGCGTTGCCTCTTCCCAGCCAGCTGCAGCATTGGCTAAAACAAGCCCCTCTGCTGGTTAAGGACCCCTTCACGTCCTCCTCTCCCCTCGCTCTTCTCCCCAACCTGCTCGCCTGTTGGTGATAGCCTCACCTTTTTTTCTTTCCTTTTCTTTCCCTGTGAATCCCCCATACCGGCGTCGGGGATTTCGGTTGTTCTTGTTTTCTTTTCTCTCCTCCTTGTTTGCAGGCTGGGTCTTGCATTTGGACTCGCCTTTTGCCTCGCCGTCTTGCGTTTGCTAATTGTGTCTGTTCGCCAACCGCTACTCTCTGCTCGGATGTCGTCGGCTTGCTTCGCGTTTTGATTCCCCTTTTCGCCCTTTTTTGTGGCTAGGTACGTGCTCCTGTCCATTTTCTTGTTCTTGCCATCTGCCTTTGTGTTTGTTTGCCTCGATATTCCTCTGTCTTCTGCCTTGCAAAATGTGATTTCTCACCACTGCTCTTGTTTTTGTGCATATATCGTTGATGTCGGGCCACGCTGCTTTTGCCAGCCTTCTACCCCAAAACACGCGAGACCTGCTCTCTTCTGCATCCCAATTGCTCATGCTCGTGCTCTGCTTTTTCATGTCCATCCTTGCCTTCGTGCTACGAATCATTTGCTGGCTGGCAAACTTTGACATCGCCTCGAGTCAACCAGCCGTTGCCTTTTGTGACTGCCTCAATCCTGTGCAACGTGCCCAACGAGACATGCATTTGCCACCATGCGACATCTCCTCTTACCAGCTGCTGCATATCTCCTTTTCTCACCGGCCAAGGGCCATATTTTCCCAGCTCACAAACGCCGGCCTACCTATACCACCAGAAACACCTAGACCGTGACGCTAATCTTTGCTTTAATCTACAGGTTGGCTGTGCCGTCTTAATACCGTGGTATTCAACACTTTCCACGAGACGTAATAGCTTCTACCGGATCGATTTCCCATACGATCTGCAACCTCCCTCTCGACCAGATAATCCCTGGCTTTTTATACCGACTTCGACGCCAGTCCATGCCGATATAATATATTTACAATGGATTCAGAAGACGGAAGCCTGTTCATAAAGGTATGTGCAGATGACCGTTGGGCATCAGTTTGTCCTGCTAACACTGCGTCTAGCAACTTGCTGCTTATGTCAAGGCACATGAAAAAGCTCTCGCCAATGCGCTCCAATATCAACGCCGAGAGCCTCGCCATAGGAGCTCTCAAAGCACCAGCGCCGTGGTTGTACCCCCCTCGCCGACTATCCCGGAACGTCCTTCTACCTCCTCATCTACCTCCAGCTCCCTTGTCGCGGCTCTCTCACTTGGCAGCCTTAACCTCTCAACTCCCAGTGTTAAATCAGCTAAGCTAGCCTTGACTCCCCACCACCTCTTTTACCTTCTCTCTCGCTTTGAGGAGCTCGGTATCGCTGTTGGGCCTATGAAGGTTCGCTTGGAAAATCTGCATGACAGCACTTCCTCGGCAAACTATGTTTCATTCCTCAATAATGCTAAACAGAGGCCCCGGGCTCATAGCTCCGATGTCAATTCCATCCACTCCGTCTCGAGCATAAGAAGCGTCATGTCAGGCATGTCAGCTCTTTGGTCCAACCTCAGCATTGGCTCCAGCATATCCTCAGCTCGACAGGAGCGCCAGAAGGCTGCCTTGGAGTCCGACATGAAGTATCTCTACTCTGCTTTCACAAAGATCCCATGCTTGAAGCTCGCCCCCGACTGGAGAGCAAGGCTAATCAGCGGCTACGAAGAGTTCCCATTTGATTCTGCCGTGCCATTATATGTCTTTAAGAATTTGCAGACCCTTGAGATCAACAGCATCGACTTTAGACAGTTCTTTGGCTGGGATAGACTTGCCGAACAAGTCCGATCCCTGACAGTTCGCCGTGCCAGTATCGAAGACCCTGCAGATTTGCTCATCGACATCGTTCTGGACGATATGGATAAAAGACGTCGACGCACCTCAAAGTCCCAGAGCTCACCTACCACAACTTGGGCACCGGCATACAGCCCCCGTCGCGGCTCCGCTACTCCCCATCCCGAACTCTCTCGTTCTGTCTCTGCTCCAGGATCTCCCGACCCGCGAAGCATCATTGCTGAGTTGCGAGTCGGCTCATTAACGCCACCGGAAACCGTTCTGGAGGATACCGAACAACCACGCCTGACTCGACAGGATAGTGACGATATTCCACGATCCCCTCCCAAGTCAAGCAGACCACGAAGTAGCTCGCCCTCGAGACAGCTCGGAGCTAGAGTCTACCAGCCGCACCCCCGAACGGGCCATAGAATTTCCCGCTCAGGCTCTGCTAGCTCATACTCTAGCATGGCTGATTCTTGGAACCCAAGCCACGGCCGCAGTGGTAGCTCTGGAAACCTGCTCGCCATGGGTGTCATGCCTTCGTCCAAGTGGCGCTTTCTGCGTCACTTGAGTCTTGCTGACAATGCAATGACTGCTATCCCAGCTACTAGCCTCACCCCCCTTGCTAATACCCTCTACTCTCTGGACCTCTCATCAAACTTGTTCAGCCAGATTCCTGATTCTCTAGCATCTCTGACTGCCCTCCGCGCCCTCAACCTATCCCACTGCATGATTGATTCGCTCCACTCTTTGACCAGAAACCCTCTTCCAGCCATCACTGCCCTCAATCTTCGTGCCAACAGGCTTCAGTCGCTTGCTGGTGTGGAAAGGCTCTACCCCCTAGAGCGTTTCGATGTGAGAGATAATGCTCTGACTGATCCTACAGAGATGAAGCGATTGACCGGTATCCCTGACATCCGTGAGATTTGGGTCGACGGCAACCCGTTCACCCGAACCCACAAAGACTATCGCATCACCATCTTCAACATCTTCAGAGCCACGCCTGGCTACACTGAGGATATTGTCATTGACGGCACTGGCCCAAGCTATTCCGAGAAGCGCTCTCTCATCGAGCGAGCCGCCATCCCAGCCTCTGTTCCTGTTGTGAAGCCCACTGCCATTGAAATTCCTGCCGTCGAGGTCAATAAGCCCACCATCGTCTATGATACGCCGAAGCCTCACACGCTCCGCAAGGAGCGCCCTATGGCTGAGAGCAGACAGGTAGAAGCCACATCCAACTCTCGTCGTCGTCGAAAGACGCCCAAGAGACGGATCGTGGACCTCGCTACTGCAGATGGGTTTTCATCCCCCGCCGCTGTAGATGTGCAGGCCCCGACTATCAGAGCAGTTGCTGGTGAGGTAGACGATCGTCTTGCACGAGCAGCTACCCGAGCCTTGCTTCCACCTGTTCTGTTGTCGCCACCGGGTGATCCTTCACATTCGATACCGGATTTGATACCCTCAAAATCTGACGGCGAAATGTCCTCCAGTGCTACTCCTGAGTATACAACAACCAGTACCAGTCAAGACTGGCAAGAGACGAAGCCGTGGGATACTACGGGTGACTATTACCGCCAAAAGATTGAAGCACTGCGAGACAAGGTTGGCGATGGTTATTTGACAGTTCTCAGCGAAGAGAATTGGGATTCAGGAACCACATATACATCTGCCAATCTTGCTGCTGCCTCATCCATCCAGGCAGTTCACGGCACACACCATGTGCCGGCGGTTCAGCCTATTCACAGTGGCCATACGTTGGGCTGAGTTGCATTTGTCTCGCTCTACCTGGCTACTCTCTCCTCCCTCATCTCCCCTCCCCTCCTCTCTTCTTCCAATACCAGTACATGATTGTGCCACCTCTGGTACAAAAAAACGGCATTTATTCTTTTACATAATTCTGCATTGTTACGGCGTTTGTTTGTTTGTTTTCAAAATCTTTTTCAAAGGCCTTTGATTTTGTGTTTTGGCGTTCAGTTGCTCTCTTGTCTTTGTTTTCTGCGTTGCTTATTCCTGGCCTCGTTTATGTGGTACTCGTTTCTCTGCCATGTCTTTTCTTCTTTTGCTTGCATCAATTGCCTGCATTCATTCTGTGTCGATACAAACTCTGCCTGTTGTTGTGTTGTTGGACTCTGTATTTGGCGCGGATTGCTTCATTTGATTATACCCTTTGTTGTGTTGCGATTTCAATGTATTTTTCTTGCGGGGTTCCCCTAGGTGTAGCTGCCTTCAAGCACTCATCGTTGAGATACCATGTTATGAATATATTGATACGGACGGCGATCTTTCGTATACAAACCAAGTTCCTACAACGTGACATGATTGTTATACTCTTGAGTTAAAGTACAGACGTATCCGCCAATCGCGTCGCTCGTTACCTTGATTACTCGGCGGGTGCCGCGTCTCGGCTACTTGGTAGCACAGAATCTGGGGTTGCCCCCACCGGCTATATGCACACAGAGTGGCATTATGGAGGTCACCGCGTCAATAAAAGACAGCCTGCCTCTATTTACCGCTGCTTTTAATATTTCAGATTGTTCAGGATACTTAGAAAGCGACCACAAGCGCCCAGTCGCGCAGAGTATCTTCGATTTGTAGACGGAGCTCCATTCATCTCGTGTTTTATTCCCCAGATCTCGACCACAGGCACAATGGTGTCGTCATTTGTGCGGCACGCTACTGGCTCTTGCTTTGAGCCTACGGTGAGTTGAACCACTTCTGGTCACGGTTGTATGGATACATCAGCTCACTGTTACGAAGATACGGCGATTATTCAATCTCAGTGCGAAGAGGGCATTCTCAACAACGAGGCCGACAGGTAGGTAGATGTCACACGTCAAGAAACTGGTAAATTGCTAACCGTGGGTACAGCGCGCATTGTTTCTAGCACGCCGTTGAGAGCAAAAGATTCGTCCTCGTCCTTTGTTCATAATTACACTGTTATAGTAAGGGTTTCTCAACTAAGACGTCTCTCCCGCAGGGGACCGTGCTGATTCCGACCCTTTAGGATCACGAATACGATGCGCTAGTTATTGGGGCTGGAGGTGCTGGTCTTCGAGCCGCTTTTGGCCTGGCAGAAGCTGGTTTCAATACAGCATGCATATCAAAGCTTTTCCCGACGCGCAGTCATACCGTCGCAGCACAGGGCGGTATCAATGCCGCCCTCGGCAACATGCACGAAGACGATTGGCGATGCCACATGTACGATACGGTCAAAGGATCAGATTGGCTCGGCGATCAAGATGCCATACACTATATGACACGGGAAGCGATTGACTCGATCGTAGAGCTTGAGCACTACGGTTGCCCGTTTTCTCGTACAGAGGATGGCAAGATGTGAGCAACATAAACTGCCAAATCTGGCTACCTGCTAATACAGTACTGCAGATATCAACGGCCATTGGGCGGACAAACTCGAGATTACGGCAAGGGCGGCCAAGCATATCGTACTTGTGCTGCAGCCGACAGAACTGGCCATGCAATGCTGCACAGTCTTTATGGACAGGCACTGCGGCACAATACCAACTTCTTCATCGAGTACTTCGTTTTGGATCTCATCATGCAAGACGGCGCATGCTGTGGAGTTTTAGCGTATAGCCAGGAGGATGGTACGCTGCACCGATTCTTTGCCAACCATATCGTCTTGGCTAGTGGTGGCTATGGTCGAGCATATCTGAGCTGCACGTCGGCACATACGTGTACTGGTGATGGGCTAGCAATGGCTGCAAGAGCCGGTCTCGCGAACCAGGACTTGGAGTTTGTTCAGTTTCATCCAACAGGAATATACGGGGCTGGCTGCCTCATTACAGAAGGAGCGAGAGGTGAGGGAGGATATCTGCTGAATTCTGAAGGCGAGAGATTCATGGAGCGATATGCACCATCCAGCAAAGATTTGGCGTCGCGCGATGTCGTATCCCGCTCCATGATGAAAGAGATTAGAGAAGGCCGCGGGGCTGGATCTGATGCAGATCATATTTATCTCCAGCTGAGCCATATGCCACCTGCCGTTTTGGAAGAGAGGCTGCCCGGAATCATGGAAACTGCCAGTGTATTTGCGGGAGTTGATATTCGCCGTCAACCTATTCCTGTGCTGCCGACCGTACATTACAACATGGGCGGCATACCGACCCGCTACACTGGTGAGGTGGTAACGGTGGATAGCCAAGGCAAAGATGTTGTAGTCCCTGGACTTTATGCGTGCGGAGAGGTAGCGTGCGTATCTGTACATGGAGCCAACAGACTAGGAGCTAATTCCCTACTTGATCTGGTCGTCTTTGGTCGAGCTGTTTCGCATACAATTCGAGACAACAGTACGCCAGGTGCAGCATTGAGGCCAACAGCAGCCGACGCTGGCTCAGAGCATATCGAGGCGCTTGATAAAGTTAGGGTATCTGATGGAGCCACCAGCCCACATAGCATTCGCCTGGCCATGCAGCAGACAATGCAGCGCGATCTTAATGTCTTTCGCACTCAGGAAAGCCTTGATGAAGGAGTGGCCAAGATGGAGCGAATCGACAGCATGTTCCACGATATTGGGCTGCAAGACCGAGGCATGATATGGAATTCTGAATTGGTGGAGACTCTTGAGCTGAGAAACCTTTTGACATGCGCGTATGTATTTTTCCCTTGGTGCTCGGTTGACTGAATATTCAAGTTGCTAACCTATACGATTTACAGCGTTCAAACGGCAGTGTCTGCAGCGGCCAGAAAAGAGTCGCGTGGCGCTCATGCGCGGGAAGATTACCCTGAAAGAGATGACAAGAATTGGATGAAGCATACGCTGAGTTTCCAAAAGAATCCCCATGGTCCGGTGGAGTTGGCATATCGAGACGTTATTACCAAGACGCTGGATGAGGCGGAGTGTCCCAGCGTCCCCCCGTTTAAGCGGGAATATTAGACGATTCAATCGTGAATTAGTAGATGAATAAATTTCTTATATATTCGTCTTCCTGTGATGAATTAGTGTATTAATAATGTTTCCCAACGTTTGTTTGAGACAAAGAAAAAAGATCAAACTCCGACTTTCCAGGCCGTCTTTGTACTTTGGCTTCAGCGACTCACCTTGACGCAGTGTTTGCCGCCGCAAGCCGCCTGCACCCACTGAATCATACCTTCTCAGCATCTCCCTCCGTCCTCCTCGCCCCCCGTAAACGCCGTCAGCCCGATCTTGCGACCGGTTCCAAAATATTTCTGGAGCCAAAGCGGCGTTGCAGCGTCGAAGCGGAGCCACCGATCGAGAAGCCGTGATGCCGCTAGGCCTAAACGGGCCACGTCCCCTGGAAAGCATTCTGCTGACTAAAAATCTCCTGCGGGCCCTCGAGATGCGTTGGCCCGTGCACGCAACCTCACGCGTTGACACTGTTTTCGCCCCGTAGAGCCGCTAGCCTACGTCACGTCTCCTCTTGAATGCTAGGATTCCTCATCCAACGACCGCCAAACGAGGCCAGGTGCTGGCCCTAGAGTGCATTCATGTGCAAATTTGAGCTTGGCTCTCGCATTCGGCGCCTTTAGATGGTTCGGAACCCAATCGCTCCGTCCTCCACCTCGCCTCGCGCACTTTGACTCCATCGACCCGACTCGCGACATTTGACGCAGAGACACACCATCTGCTGGTCTCCTTGCATCTCGAAACGATTCCTCTTAATACTATAAACACCAACATCATGGCGCCGCCGGCGCCAAACCCCAAGAACCCCACGGGGCGCAAAAGAGGGCGGCCAAAGGGGTCGACCAACGCTGCCAGGGCAGCCAGGTTGGCTGCTGAAGCTGCTGCCGGACATCCTGTCCAACCCAAGAAACGACAACGATATATCCCCGGCGGGCCTGGCGGTGGAGGGCGCTTCGTCGACGCTGATGCGCCGGACGCGCCCCCGAGCTCGTCGAGAGTTCGCAAGGTGAACCGCGACATCTCCTACGCACTTCCTTCGCCTGCGCTGCCGCGACGAGAGCGCAGCACGAGGACACGCTCTTCAGCTGCTGAAGACTCTGAAGAATGGGGTTCCGCTGCTGCAATGGCTGCCTCAGTAAAGCAGGCCGAGGATTATAAACCGCGCGAAGAACGAAGCTGGGAAGAATTTCACCCGAATCTCGACATTGATAAACCATTTCTTATTTTTGCCGCCGACGAAGTTGATGGCATAATTGCAGAAGGGCCATCGACGCCTTCCCGACAAACTCCTAGCACCCCTGCGCATGGTTCAATGACACCATCGCAGCAGCCTGACACGGCCACCGGTACCGATCTCTCGACTCTCCACACTCTTCAAGAAAACACAGGCACAGATTCACAGCCCATGACTCCTTCGAGACGATCGCGGCGAGCAACGCGTGACGTGGTGACGTTCTATGGGATCAAGCCACTTGCGCCTGTTTCCACACCACGCGCTCCAAAGATACTTCCTATACAACATCAAACGCCGAAAGAAAAGCTAGACTTGAAGCTACCTGCATTCAGAAGGACAAACCGAGTAGAGAATTTTGAGAAGAAACACTCTGATCAAGCACGCTACGTCGATAAAGCCATGAGCAACGTCGGCTACCAAGAGGGTGACAACTTTGACAGACCTGAAACGACGCTTATTCGGTCCCTTGATGCTACATTTGAAGAGGATCAGGATGCGTCGCCGTCTCAAAACGAAGAAAACACGCAGCTGTCCAAGTTTGGCCGTGTCGAGTACGACATGGACGAACAGGACGACAAGTGGCTAGAACAATACAATGTACAGCGCAAGAAGGATGGGCTTGAAGAAATCACTAAAGAAGTATTTGAGATCACCATTACGAAAATCGAAAAGGAATGGCACGCTTTGGAGAAGCGCATTCCAAAGCCAAACCCCAAGCCTCCCCAAACTCATCGCCCAAGGTCCAGCTCAGCGGCAGCCGTAAATGGCGAGCAGCAAGTGGGCGACGAGCCGGACAGCAAATGCGCCATATGCGACGATGGGGATTGTGAAAATACCAACGCGATTGTCTTTTGTGACGGCTGTAATCTGGCTGTCCACCAAGAATGCTACGGCGTACCGTTTATTCCCGAGGGCCAATGGCTCTGTAGGAAGTGTCAGCTCTGTGGTCGTGGCATACCAACGTGCGTCTTCTGTCCCAACACAGATGGTGCCTTCAAGCAGACGACTTCATCCAAGTGGGCTCACTTGCTGTGCTCCATGTGGATTCCGGAAATCTCGCTCGGCAATCACACATTTATGGAGCCTGTAATGGACGTTGAGAAGGTGCCTAAGACTAGGTGGAAGCTCAATTGCTACATATGCCGGCAAAAGATGGGAGCTTGCATTCAGTGCAGCAACAAGAACTGCTACCAGGCCTTCCACGTCACTTGCGCGCGCCGATCGCGACTTTACCTTAAGATGAAGACTAGCCACGGCGCGCTTGCGGTTCTCGACGGCACCATGATTTTGAAGGCGTTTTGTGACAAGCACTGCCCGCCAGACTATACCATAGAAAACAATGTGGCTCAGGCGACGCGGTCATCCAAGAAGTTTTATAAGAGGAACATGAAGGGGCGTATTTGGGCTGAGAATCACACCGTTGCTAATATGCTTGCTGCCCAGCACAGGATATCGCTCACCGAGACCCAAGAACGGACCGAGGATGAAACGGGTATCAAAGACGATGAGCCGCCTAAAAATATGTGGAAGCTCCCGTCTGGAGCTCCGATTATACCGAATGCAGTGTTTGAGGTGGTCGAGAGCGCAATCCAGAGATTCCCCTTCCGGAAGCGCAAGGACTTTCTGAGTGAGGCGTGCCGTTACTGGACATTGAAGCGCGAGGCACGTAGGGGTGCCGCGCTTCTCAAACGGCTGCAGCTTCAGATGGAATCGTTTACGTCAATGGAGCTTACTCGCCGCGACTTCTCCTCTATGGGTCCTAGCGGCAAGTCGCGCTTGGCACGCCGCATTGAGTTTGCCAAGAAGCTTCTTGAAGATTTGGAGCAGCTCAAGACAATATCTGAGCAAGTCGTTCAGCGAGAGGAGCTTCAAGTGGATGCCGCGGAGCTTGAACAGGACTTTGTGGATGAGTGCTACTTCCCCATTGCGCAGCATCTGACCAACGCCATTGACAAGGCCATATCGCTGGACAAGGAGCTCTTTGAAAAGGATCTCCAAAAAGTTGAGCAAAACGTTGCCGCAAGGTTCTATCCCACCGCTCTGCCATTTGCGCAAGCGCTGGCCACGGCTATCCAATCGGGGATCTCGTCACCACCGGACAAGGTCGCTATCGCCGCCCAGCTTTCCGAAAGTGTAGAGGAGTCGCCTGCCAAGGGCACATTTGCAGATATTCGGGAGCGTCGCAAGCTGGGCAAGCGGATCATGAAGGCCGTGCAGCCGTATCTAGAATCAGCATTACGCATTGAGGCAGATGTCTCACACAAGTCATATGATGCGCTCATCAGCGAGCTAGAAGCTATTATGGAGGCTGCTGTGGACGGGTCCAAAGCTGTCGAGACAACATCAAAGACGGAAGAGGACGATGCTGTAATGACGGATGCGCCAGCGGTGGACGGTAACGACGCAATGGAAATTAGCCACGATGTGGAAGACTCCATTGTTGTCGCAAGCCCGCGCAAAGGCAAGACGAGACGCAGCACTAAGGGCAGCGGCGACTCGTCAGCAACGCCACCAGACAGCGAAGCATTCTCGGCCATGAACCGATCCAATCAGGGCATACCACCGACACCGCCACAATCAAACGGCAGTCTGGGCAAAGACCCGGCAGATCCTCTAACGGAAGGCGGCATCATTTGGTATCTAAAAGACTTTGAGCCAGTTGGCACGTCTGTATTCAACTCTGAAGTTGTGGTCGAAGGTCACAGCGGCAAGATTGCCAAGGACGAGCTCTCTGAGATGGAGGAAGATGCGCTTGAGGAAGGACAAGACGACGACGATGACGACAATGGCAGAGATACCAGCAGAGCAGCTGCTGCCAAGTCGAAAAAAGCTAAACCGGCGTCTAGCCATAGCCGTCGAACGTCCACAAATAACCGTCGAGCTTCGACACGAAAGAGGTAGACGGATGTACTGAGGGGTTGGTGTATTGCAATGTATAACACGATGACATGGAGGTGGTAGAGTACCACGGACCTTCTACACACTACGGATTTGTTTTCCACATTTTCTTTTTTTTGTTTCTTCTCTCTCTACCTCTCACCCTTTTTTCTTTTTATATTCAGTGCGTTGAAACGGGAGCGGCGGGCTTGGCGTTGCATGTAGCGACATTGATTTGTTTTGTAGGGTCTTTCTTGGTCCTATTTTGCTTGTACGACAAGGCAGGACAGCGAGCTGCATAATGGTGCTTTATTCTTTCCTGATTTCTTTGCAGATCTGCACTAGTTTTTGTCTCTTTTTTCGTGTTTCGGACCGTGGATTGCATCTAGCTTACATTATATCCCGTGAGGCAACCATATAGTGAGCAATACATTTGTCTTTTTGCAATTTTCTTATCGTATTCCTTGTATTGTGAACACTGGCTGTTCGTGTAAGCCGTAGAAATTGTATATAGCAGTCATGTGACAGAGAACGGCAGCATGTCCCCCACGGGTTGCGGAACTGGGGGTTTACGAGGAGCATTGGCCAACGTGGTGGAGCAGCAGTGGCGGCAGTTTGTTCTATTTACAGGCTCTCTGCACAGTTGTGTACGTGCGTGCATACATACAAGCAGCAGCAGCAGCAGCATATTGTTCGTATGCACTGGAGCTATTGTATGGTCGCGAGCCTTGTTTGACACTATGCGCTGGCGGGGTGGCTCTCCGCCTCAACCAAGGCACAAGTGTGCCCTACAAACAAGCGTTAATGCAAGGGGGCACCAGGCTTTTCGGGGCTGGGTTAGGGCCATAACGAAAGGATACCGCTTGTCTGGGAACGGGGTTTTTTTTGGTGTGCGCTCTTTTTTTGCTTTTGGCTCCGATTGATGCATTTTGACAGAAGCCGGAGAGGGGGGGGAGAGCCTGGATCACGAGCTGAGGGTGTGGAAAGGTGCGAACAAAGCGTACGGCGCATAGCATAGTGCACAGTCAGATGAAACTGGTACCGTGTGGAGGGCGTAAGTCGGCCAATGAAGAGTTCGACCATAGCAGGCGATTAATATAGAAAATTGTATTCCTTTATGGCGTGTGTGTCTACGTGCTTTTAAAGTTTTGCAACGGGATGTAAGCGCCGGGGCACAGTGCTTGCGGCAGTATCTCTCTACAGTGAGAGGGGTACGTCGTCTGAGGGCGCGGCACGGATGAATTGCGTATGCTGCGAAAGACGAGAAGCTGTGTATTTCCGGTGCAAGTCTACAATTGACCGGCTGATATTCAATTCTTTTCTTCGTTTCTCTCCTCTTTTATTGTGCCAGGTTGAAATCGGTTGTTATTGCCCGCTTGGCAGCGCTATAGCTAGCGTGTACTCTGCTGTAGTAGCGGCTGTAGCGCCATCGGCATCGGTGGATACAGCGCACCCTGGCACGGCTGTCCCCCCCGCCTGAGCGCTGCCTTGATCTGGGTTGGCAGCACTGCCACCGTGTCCCACCCCCTTCTGTACGCTGCTCTCCGCCCTGCCTGCCTGCCTGCCTGCCTGCCGATGCAGGAGGAGGTCCAGGACGGCCGCCCGATTTGTCGGCGGGCGGGGAAGAAGAAGAGCGTGTTTGGCCGAGAGAAGTTTTAAAGATGCGTAGAAGCGAGGAAATGAGGAGGGGTGAAATGTTGGTTAGGGGAGTAATTGCTCAGCTGTAATTTCTAATTTCTAGTCATCTTCTTTTTATTTTTCTCTTTCCATTGCCCCTGGTGCTGCGCTGTCTGTGTTTTTCTTTTATTTCTTTTTTGCTTTCTAAACATTCCCGTCGGCCCCCCCTCCCACTACCACGCCACTGGGGAGGGGGACCACTACACTACACTACAGCGCACAGCACCCACCATCACAGCAGCCGACAGCGCTAAGCAAAGCCCACTGCAACTCTGCCCGCCGGCGCTGCCCCTTGGCGCCTCCCTAAGCTCGCAGCTTTCTTCTGCCGTCCGTTTCCCCCCGTCCGTCTTTCTCCTCTTCCCTCCTGCAACGGCGACCAAACAACAAAAACTCTTCATCCTTCCAACGATCCAACCCACGACGATTCAGCCAAAGGCGATCTTATCTGCACTGCATCTGCCAGCGCATCCTCTCTTGTGAGATTCTTCTATTTCTCAAGAGCACCCGCGACCGCTGCCTCAACCCGGCAAGCCTCAAACGACGATATTTTCTGTTTGCCTCGCAGCAGAAATACACACAGCGACTACAGGGAATCCATTCTCCCTCTGCAACGGACAAGGCGACTAGAAGGACACTCTTCTCCTTCTCTCTTCTTTCTTAATTCAAAGCGACCGATATATTTATTCTTATATCTGGGTCTTCTCTTTTCACAGCAGCACTTTTCGCAACACGCCTCGTGTTCTTGACTCTGCTGTAGCTGGGAGCAACTTTTTTTTGGTGAGTCCGCACTTCCCGAGGGGCAACGCGCCAGCGCGCCCGCCCAGCAATTTTTCCTCCTCCCTGCCTGGTGCGCGCACGAACACAGCCTGCCAGCCTGCCCACCCAACAAACGCTCCGCACGACCTGCGGCCAAGAGACATAAAAAAAATGGTGCAAACAAAATGGCAAATGCAATCACCAGCGATTCTATGGGAACATGGAAAATCATTCTCTTCTTTTTTCTCTGCGGCTTGGACCTGGCGACGCTTGCTTGGTCTCCTCCACGTGTTGGTCTCTTGCTTACGATAGGCGCTCTCTGCTGGGGCGGGCTCCCCCACTCGCTCACCGAGTTGATGGTGGTCGCCACCACGCGCGGTCTGAGCTAGTTGTTTGACCCCTCTTCGGTCTGCCGCTATGCCACCAGAAGATGACGGTGGAAATTTCCAGACCAAAGGTTGCCAGTGGCCAAAACCAGATCGCGACAGTTGTCGTTGAGCAGGCAAACAAACAAGAGGCGGCAAGCGACGACGGTGGCGGCGAACACTTCCTTTTGCGATTACCAATTTTCTTTGACCACAGCACACCAAGACATCATGCTAACCTGTCATTGTCCCATCTAGCAACCCTTCTCTCCGTTCTTCGACACTCCTGGCCAACTGCGTATTCCCACGAGAATAGGCTTCTGCGCTCTGTAACTGTCTCGCACGCTTAGTCGGCTCCCCTGCCCCGTCTCTCTCCCCCAATCCCATCTAGCTCCGCGCATTCTCCTCCCCGCGGGAGCTCATCACAATGGCCGATCACAACGAGGTCGATCTCGACTCTATAATTGACCGCCTCCTCGAGGTCCGAGGCAGCCGCCCCGGCAAGCAGGTCCAGCTTCTCGAATCTGAGATCCGCTACCTTTGCACCAAGGCCCGCGAGATCTTCATCTCCCAGCCTATCCTTCTTGAGCTCGAGGCTCCCATCAAGATTTGCGGCGATATCCACGGCCAGTACTACGACTTGCTCCGCCTCTTTGAGTACGGCGAGTTCCCTCCCAACGCCAACTACCTCTTCCTCGGTGACTACGTCGACCGTGGCAAGCAGTCCCTTGAGACCATCTGCCTCTTGCTCGCCTACAAGATCCAGTACCCTGAGAACTTCTTCATTCTTCGCGGTAACCACGAATGCGCCTCTATCAACCGTATTTACGGCTTCTACGACGAGTGCAAGCGCCGCTACAACATCAAGCTCTGGAAGACTTTCACCGACTGCTTCAACTGCCTGCCCATTGCTGCCATCATTGACGAGAAGATCTTCACCATGCACGGTGGCCTCTCACCCGACCTCAACTCCATGGAGCAGATTCGCCGCGTCATGCGTCCTACGGATATTCCCGACTGCGGTCTTCTCTGTGATCTTCTCTGGTCCGACCCTGACAAAGAAATCACTGGCTGGAGCGAGAACGACAGAGGTGTGTCCTTTACCTTTGGCCCTGATGTCGTCTCGCGCTTCCTGCAAAAGCACGACATGGATCTCATCTGCAGAGCCCACCAGGTTGTCGAGGACGGCTACGAGTTCTTCTCCAAGCGCCAGCTCGTCACCCTCTTCAGTGCCCCCAACTACTGCGGAGAGTTTGACAATGCCGGTGCGATGATGAGCGTCGACGAGAGCTTGCTCTGCTCTTTCCAGATTCTCAAGCCCGCCGAGAAGAAGCAAAAGTAAGCATAACCCCATCTGATACATACGGGTACACCCGCACGAAGACAAACATGCTAACAATATCTCCCTAGGTTTGGCCGCCGCTAAGCAACCCGCTTTTGACGCATTGGAGTGTACGACCGATGTCTGCCGTCGTGCCCGTCTTAATGCACCCCGAACCCTGCCAACACCAGCGTCTTTTGCGTCCAATGAGACCCGGATGTCGTTCTCATCGGCCTTGGAGGCCTTAAAAAAAGTTAACTTGATGCGCTGCCAGAAATCTTTGACGACCAAAGTCTAATCATGGAAATGAAAATCTCGGAAGAAATGGCAACATTTCTTTAGCCGCTGCGAATGGGATGACTTGTCTCCTCTCTTGATCGTTGGAGGAGGCTCACTGGCGCAAAAGAGGCTTGTTGGTTCACAGATGCTAAATATTATCTCCCTCAGAAAAATAATTTTCTTTTGACGCCTACATAAATGTCTCTTACAACTCAAGTGCATGTAATGTAATCCCAACTCCATTCATTTACAATCTTGACACTCGCCGCTTGCTGGTTCACCCGCGGGCTTCTCCTCGACGGCGCTTGGTTTCGGATAGTTCTTGTCCACATGGCCCAAATCCCGCTTAGGATCAATGACGTCTCGCACACGTCTCTTTAACTCCTTTGTTTCCGGGAACCCGCCGTCTACTTTACGGTCCCAAAGCACGGTATGCGTCGGCGCAGCGGTGGCCGCATCGCCCACTGTCAGCGTTGAGATTGTGACTGTGAAGATGCCGCCTGTAGCAGGCTGTAGCGCGACTTCGCCTAGCGATGTGGCAAATGTCGAGAGAAGTTCTTGGGCAAACTACGAGCGTAAAGGGTCATGTTAGCATGTATGTATATGTCTCTGTGCGGGAGAGGAGAAGGGGGGTGACAAACGTAGGCGGCTCGTAGGTTCCATTTGCACTGGGTGCAGAATTGGATGGCGATGCGGGGAAGAGGGGCATGGATTTGGCCCGTGGGGGTTGGCGTAGGAGCTGTTTCAGCCATGATGGACGCTCTGGGAGGTGGTTTTCTACTGTGAGAGGGGGTATATAAATGTGCTGATGGGATGTGAGACTGCGATGGTTGAGGACGGATCGGGCTGGTTCGGTCGTTTTATGAAGCAGTATGGTGGGGCAGCGATAACGGCACTACTTTCAAGAATAGCGTACGGGACAGGTGTTTGTATAGACACAGAACGAGACGTGTTGGGTTTGAGAAAAAAAAAATTAGCCATTGAAGTAATCTAGACTTAGATAAAGGGAAGGGACATTGCAGTGAAAACATGGTAGTGGCAGACAATATCCCCAAATAGTACATATCCGCAGGCTGGCTTCAGACAAAGAGATCAGATACAGCCGCAAAGAGTTACAGCTTGCTGCATGCAGTTTGAGCAAAAAAGGATAGCTCCCTTCTGCGTAACCTTGATCCCTTGTGAAGAAGGCGTTCCACCTGCTCTTATCCACCACCGCCTATCCATCCGTCTGGTTCTTGCATCGCTCGAAAAGGGAAAAAAGAGAAAAAAAAAGAAGAAAAAAGCAACCAGCCCCGTGTTTTTGGTATTACACAAGAGTGTCCAACGCCGTCTGACAAAGGAAATCAAAATAAACGAAGAAAGCATCCACAGGGAAATAAACAAAGGTCGGTCAAAATAAGACATGAAGGAGAAAGTAGCCGTGCCGTGTCTGGTGCTGTATGGGTTGGAAAATGAACAGGTAGAGAGGGAAGCTAGAGCGTTCGGAGCATCGAAAAAGAGAGTAAGCTAGTGTCCCCAAGGTGGTCGCTTCTTGGCGTGTTTAGTGCCGCAAAGTGACGTGGTCTAGTTGTCTTTCGTTTCAGGGTTCCGTAATGTCTTTGTTTTTCTTTCGTCGTGGCAGGGTGCGGTTGGCGGGAGCGAGAGTCGATAACTTCGGTACCTTTGAATCGCAAGAAAAATAAGAGACACCGCTCGGTCGTATTCGTCTGAGTCTTTTACATGACAACACAGCAGCCGCCGGACTGCTGGGGGGCGTACGGGTCCTCACCACGGGGGACAGCACCCCAGACCGAGGGGACCATGTAGTCTCTCGTGCCGTTGCAGTAGGAGATGATGCTGTTGTTCGAAGACTGTTAGCTCGAGGGACGGTGTGACGATTCGCCAAATGCTGCTTACCTCTTGGCAGCGGTGCTGACGGGGATACGCTCACGCTCCAAGTCCTCGCGGAGGCGCATGTTGAGCTCTGTCAAGCGACGGAGCTTGAGGTCGGCCATGGACTGCTTGTTCCTGCGGAACTGCGACGACTCGCCATCACGGGTGGTGTACTGAGGCATGTTGAGATGAGGAGGAGAGATTCAAGGTGCGCGAAATGAGGGAATCGGGTATATCGTCGCGGCCGTATAGCGGCGTATGGGACTGTTTGGCGACCGGGGTTTTTTTTAAGTCAAATCCTTCAATAGGTTCACGTTAGCTGGTATTCCACGCTCCTTGTCTTGTGTCTCGCGCAGGCTCTCCGGATTGCTCAACGGCGAGACGGGACCCCTTGTCGGGTTCTGTGGTATCGGGCGGGGGTGTTGACTGGGCTAGCAAGCGGTTTGGATAGCGGTTGTAGGGTGCAAGACGACGACGTTGAAGCGACAGCAAGCTAGTAAGAGAAAATCGTTCAAACAACGTAAGATGGCAAGAGTCGGCTGTTGCAGTCGTGCTAGCTCCCGAAGGATTGAGGCAGAAAGCTGCTCTGGGCTGCTCTGCACCAGTTCTGGGCTAGCTGCAAGCCTCGCGAGACCCAAAAGCAAATCCGCCCCCTTTTCGCTGCCCACCCCGAAAGAACACTGCGGTCGAGACTGTTGTGCGACTTACCGAGAAAATGGAGCAAGACAAAATAAACAGGCGACAATGCGGAAGGCGACAAAGCAATTGCGTCGGACGTGTCGATTGGGCGATGTCGAAGCGGGCGTTCGTGGTGGGAAGGAAGAGGCAGAAGAGAGGTCAGACGGGGGGAGAAAGGGGGAGGGCCAGGAGAAGGAAAAGGCGTTGGGCGGCGGGCTGCACCCATGGCAGCGCACCCATTAGCAGCGCAACACCCGCTACCACCGTAGAGAGCGGGTGGTGGGTGGTGGCCCAGCGGGATTATAGTGGGCGCGGTGCCAATAGTGCGCCTGTGCTGCACCGCTGTCAGCAACCAGCGCGACAGACACGTCGGGGGAGCGGCGGGTGCGCTATTGAATCACGGCGTGTGGTTATTTTCTTTTCTTGACGGTTTACATGTTTATTCGTTTCTTATAATATCACGCTCATACCATTTATTTATTTATCTTTTCTTTTTAAAATACAGCAGAAATATGACAGCAAACGCTGCTACTACTCCCTACAATTTGGCCGCCCGGAGAAAGCACAAAATAGAGACGCAGGCAAGCGGAGACCTGCCGCCCTCCTCCTCCCAAAAAAGGAACGAAGGTGGCGCGTGGGCCCTCCCAATTTCCCTGCTGCTATATGTTTACAGCACTAAACCGGTCCCCCGCAGGAGACGATCTCCCAACGTTGGAAAGACCTGTTACCCGTTCACCGATATCTGCAGGCTAGCCAGACCGGGCTGATGGCTGCTTACATACGTTTGCTAACCGCGGCGTGTCGACGCGTTGAGCTTTCAGATGAAAGAACCCCTTGGCTCTCAATAAGTACTCGTAGCGAAACTGTCGCTTGTTTGGATAAACATATCGCCCATTACAATTTTGCCTGTACTACGTCGAGAACGCCCATTGTTTCAACTCACGCCTCTTCCACCAGCCCATTCTCAGCTCTGGGCTGGGGTTCCTTAACACGGCGTACAAAACTCCGCGTCTCCTATCGTGTTGAATGATTAATGGAAACATTTATTACTTGCACGCATGATTGAAATCCAAAATATATATCTCGTACTTTCGATCTTTGATCCTCATTTTGAAAAGGGGGCTTGTCTTGGGTATCATTACTTCATAATAGTATAGAAATACATCTAAAACGCAGACAGCCGCAGCCAAGTCTGCTTGTGGTTAGATGAGCCAGGAAAACAACACACAAAGTGTCCTGAAAACTGAGGAGAAAACATAGGGTATTTCAAGTCACTCTGGAAACCGTCAGGTCCCAAATCTGAGATGCGCCCGTGTCTCCTCTCCTAGAATTCACTGCCCATATACGTTCTGATTGTGTGAGGGATCGATTGGCGTATGGGCCACAGGTTTTCTCGCCCGATGCAAATGGCAGCCTCAACTTCTGTCTCAGAGCAGCCGCTAGCATGCTGTACTAGTTTATATAAAGGGTGGCGCTTCGTGGCACTTGCACTGCTAGCCAAGAGATAACATCGTCTCCTCAATCTCCAGTGTCAATCTCAAGGTCCAACTGCACTCCATTCGAAATACCGTAGTCGTCTAACGTGAGTTGGTCTTTAAAGGGGCGTTCTCCTTGTCGTCTTAGCATGATTTGGTTTGCTTTTCGGCCGATGCGGGCTGCAATCATCATTTTGAGTTGCCCGACGGTGTCGCTGGGCAGGCAAGGGACTGCTGATTTGGTGCCCAACCGATCATTGATATGGACAATAATCATTTCTTGGCCAGGTCCAACTGGTGCCGCCTTCTTTGGCTTCTTTTCCTTCTTTTCCTTTTTGGAGTCGTGTCCTCGCTCGTCGCCCTTGCGATCTAAATCGGGCTTGCGAGAGTCTCCAGACTGCCGGTCAGCATCCCTGGAGTAACCGCCGCGGTCTCTTTGGGGCGAACGATCTCTGTATTCTCGCGGGCGATTCGATTCATGTCGGCCTCTATCCCGAGAGTCGCGCTGGTCGCGAGAGTCGTCTTGCCGACGATCTTTCCATCTAAAGCCACCGCTGCCTTTGGGTGCCTTTCTGGAAGGAGATCTGGAGCGAGATCTCCTACGCGGGTAGTCGGACATCCCGTTATATAGTATTGTACACCTGCTTGATCAATGTCCGTGCAGGGTGAAACGGTTGCGAAAATACAAAGCAGGCCAGAAGCATAGCTAAAAGCTGTTTGAGCTTGCTGGTCGCTCGCACGTGACTGGCGTCATACTGAAAGCTCGCCCCCACGCTGGCTACCGCGTCCAGATGCCTTACAAAGTCAACCTACTAGTATATACCTAATGAATGTTAAACTATCAGAATTAAAATGATTTAATACCAATTACTTTGCTTTTATTGCCAAAAAACGGTCCCAAATAGCAGCCCCTTGCATACAGCAAGACTTATGCTGCTGACATAACGACAAAGCCACGTGACCCACCACCCGCTCGTTAGCCCCTCAACGCACGCCCAGCAAGCGTCCACACACGAAATTGAAAAAATTCGTTTATGACTGTACCAGGCTTCACTACCTAAGGAGTGCCCCCCCCCAAGAGCCCCATCACAACCTTCGGCCTCTTGCTTGACGGCAGCTTCAAACAACTCACAACCCCTCTCGCCTAGTAACTTATACAACTATCGAGGAGGTTGCCCAGCATGGTATGTCGTTTACTATTCCCAGCCGGCCGCGTCGTCGGGCGTCGCTCAACCGCATCGCGGGCGATTACCCCTCCTTCCACGCCAACCGCGACGAGCCTCAGAAATGCAAATTTTCTTTACTAACACACCTTCCTTAATAGCCTCCTCCTCCTCACCAAAAGCCTGAGAATGTGCTTAAGCGCGCTCATGAGCTTATCGGCGTCAACCAGGCCTCCGCGGCCTTGACTTTACTGCACGAGCATATCACCAACAAGCGATCCCGAAATGTGCCCATCGCATCTCTCGAGCCTGTCATGGTCCTCCTTGTCGAACTCTCGGTCGAACAGAAGAAGGGAAAGATCGCCAAGGATGCTCTCTACCAGTACAAGAACATTTCGCAAAACACCAACATCGCCACCATCGAGCTTGTCCTTAAGAAGTTCATTGCCCTGTCCGTCGAAAAGGTGACTGCTGCCCAGCAAAAGGCCGACGAAGTCCAGTCCACTCTTGAGACCCCTGGCGATAGCAACATCGAGGATCTCGAGGCCAGCGAAACCCCTGAATCCATCCTTCTCGCTACCGTCTCCGGCGAGCAGTCCAAGGATCGAACCGATCGCGCCATCGTCACTCCCTGGCTCAAGTTTCTCTGGGAAGCATACCGAACTGTCCTCGATATCCTCCGCAACAACGCTCGTCTCGAAATTCTCTACCAGAGCACCGCGTCCCAGGCTTTCGACTTCTGCCTAAAGTATACCCGCAAGACCGAGTTCCGCAGACTCTGCGAACTGCTCCGCAACCATGTCCAGACTGCTGCCAAGTACTCGTCGCAGATGCATGCCATCAACCTGAGTGACCCTGATACTCTCCAGAGACATTTGGAGACTCGCTTCCAGCAGCTTAATGTTGCCGTTGAGCTTGAGCTCTGGCAGGAGGCTTTCCGCAGTGTTGAGGATATCCACACTCTGCTCAGCCTCAGCAAGCGCCCTCCCAAGAACGTCATGATGGCCAACTACTACGAGAAGCTCACCAGAATCTTCCTTGTTGGCGAGAACTACCTGTTCCACGCTGCCGCCTGGTCCAGATACTACAGCCTCCTCCGCCAGTCTGCCGTTCTCGTCAGCACTGGACAGGGCAAGAAGTCTGATAACCCTCCTGCTACTGACGCCGATCTGCAGAAGGCTGCCTCGTTTGTTCTGCTCTCTGCCCTCGCCATCCCCGTCATTAGCACCTCCAGATCTCGAGGTGCCATGGTTGATTTTGACGAGGCTCGCAAGAACAAGAACTCTCGCCTCACTCACCTGCTCGGCATGTCGCAGGCTCCCACTCGCGCTCGCCTCTTCCGCGACGCTCTTTCCAAGTCTCTCCTTCAGCGTGTCCGCCCTGAGATTCGCGAGCTCTACAACATCCTTGAGGTAGACTTCCACCCTCTGTCTATTTGCAAGAAGATCTCCCCCATCTTGTCCAAGATTGGTGCCGATGCCGAAATGGAGCGATACATCCTCCCTCTGCAGCAGGTTATTCTCACCAGACTGTTCCAGCAGCTGTCTCAGGTTTACGAGACTGTTGATGTTTCTTTCGTTGAGAGCCTGGCTCAGTTCCCCGAGCCCTACCAAGTCACTCGCGGCACCATTGAGAAGTTCATCATGAACGGTAACAAGAAGGGTGACCTTGCCATTCGCATGGATCATGCTACTGGCGTCCTTAGCTTCGACAACGACGTCTTCTCTTCGTCCAAGGCTGGCCAAGGCTCTAGTGCGGGCTCCGCCGAGGCCGAGAACGGCAGCGTCCAGCGTCTTCAGAGCACCCCATCTGAGATTGTTCGATCCCAGCTCACTCGCCTTGCTAGATCCCTCTTCACCACTTGCCACTACATTGACCCCGACTTCAACAAGGAGCGCCTTGCCGCCCGCAACGCTGCCTTGGCTCGGGCCACTGCTGGTGCTGAGAAGGAGCACCTCGACATCCTCGCTCGTAAGGATATCATTCAGAAGCGCAAGGAGGCTGCTTCAGAGCTTCTTGCCCGCCAGGAGCGTGAGAATGCTCGTCAGAAGCGACTCAAGGAGCAGGCACTTCAGGCCGCCGAGGATGAGCGTCTCGCCAACGAGCTTAAGGAGCGCGAGGCGAAGCGTATCAAGGCTGAGCATGATCGTGTCCGCAAGGAAGAGATCCTGAAGCAGATTGAGGGTCTCAACCTCAAGGACAAGGAGCTTGACATCGATCTCGATAACCTTGAAGATGTTGACAGCAACCGCCTGCGTGCCATGAAGCTTGCCCAGCTTGAGCGCGAAAAGAACGATGTGAACGAGAAGCTGCGCATCACTGGCAAGCGCATGGACCACTTGGAGCGTGCTTACAGACAAGAGGAAGCCAAGAAGCTTGCTGAAGACTACGAAAAGCAGATTGCTGTCGACCGTGCTATCTACGACAAGGTCAAGGCCAAGACATTGAAGGATTCCGAAGCCAGACACAAGGAAAGTGTCGAGCTCAAGAACCGCCTCACCAGACTCGTCACGCTCTACGATGACTTCCGCAAGGATCTACATGAGAAGCGTCGTGAGGAGTTCGAGAAGCGTCACAAGGATGCTGAGCGTGAGCTCGAGAAGCAGATTGCTCTACGCAAGAAGGAGGTCCGTGACCGCAAGTTGCGCGAGAAGAGAGAGCGCGAGGAGCGTGAGCGTGAGCTCATTGAGGCTGAAGAGCGTGCCGCCAGAGAAGAGGAAGAACGCCGCGTTCGTGACGAAGCTCGCAAGGTCGAGCTTGCTAAGCTCAAGGAACAACGCGACAAGGAACGTGAGGAGATGCTTGAGAAGGCAGCTCTTCAACAACGCAGAGAAGACGAGGCTTTGGCACGTCGTAAAGCTGAGAGAGAAAGAGGTGGCCTGCGCTCTGAGGCTCCTGCTGCTGCTTCTCCTGCTGACGGTGGCCGTCGTCCTCCTGTCATCGGTGCCGGCAACTGGCGCGAGCGTGAGGCATCCAAGAAGGCTGCCGCTGGTGGCGATGCCCCCCCTGCTCGCTCCGCTGCTCCTATGGAGCGCACCGATTCCCAGGACCGTCCCTCCGGCGCTCCCCGCCTTCAGCTGTCTGGCAACAAGCCTAGCTGGCGTGATCGCGAGAGCAGCAAGTCTGGTGCTGGCAGTGCTCCTAGCTCCGACAGCATGCCTCCTCCCCAGCGCAACTTCTCCCGTGGAAGTGGTGGCCCCCCTCCTGCCCGTGGCGACAGCGCTCGTGAGGCCCCCCGTGAGGCCCCTGCTGGCGAGTCTGTGCCCTCGCGCACCTCTGGCAAGTGGGTGCCTCCTCACATGCGCAACAAGGCTTAAGCTCATGTATGCCTTGCTGGCATGGCGCAGCTTAGGTGTAAGACAAAAGGCGTTGAATGATTGCGGACTGGACATGATTTTGGGTTCTCGATCTACTTCTTCTCACTTTTTGTCTCGCAAAAAAAGGAAAATATTATCTCTCTCTGGCGTTCATAGTTGTTTTCTTCCTCGTGGTTTTTATTTCTTACGTTTTTTTGATACGAAGCATCGGAGCGCAAGAGAAGACATAATGGCACACAGCCTGTTAACCGGAACTTGTTGCCTTTCATCTAGAGTTTAAAAGAACGTTACAATTACTTTACAACGCATAGTCCCTCCTTCGTTTAAACCATATGTGCATGCTGACAGCTAGTCCGAACGAATCGCATCTTGAGGCTCGGGACTCGACCTGCACCGGGGGCTTGCTAGCTGTCATCGCTCGGGATCGAGCGGTCAAGCGCCGCTTTCATGCGCAGCCTAGCTAGCCGATGGGTGGTAGCGTTCGGCTTGCTTGACCGTAGGTGATGGTTTGGCAGATGGTGGGAACGTTACAGGACATGAAGACATGCAGGTAGTTGTGCTGTGTGCTGTTGGTGATGAGACGAAATGGAACTACGAGTGATCATTGTACATCAGATAGCAATTGCCGATTCCATAGCGGCAGTTTTTCTCCGATAGAGGCAGGTATCTGTTACTATTTATTTTAGCTGCCGCGAGAACCGAAATGGATCAAGCAAGGCAACTGTAATTGACGACGGTCTCCTTTTAGCACGTTAATTACACTGCTACCTGCCGCTTGGCTTCGAGCAGTCTGGGGCGCGCTAGCTCGCGACACCCCTGGTGAAATGGTTTCTTGGTGCCTATTGGTTCCCTGTTTGCGAGTATCAGACTAATAGTAGGTGACGTCTCCCCTGTACATGCCGTAACATTGTATTGGTTCCGCGGTTAGACGCGAAAGCTTTTGTTGTTGTACAGTACATCTCGCACACTGGCAGACACATACTTGGCCATCCACACCAAATACTAGCTCGCGGATTTTCTGCACCTAGCTCTAGCTCTGGTCTGGTTCTAGCGGCCAATGCAAGGGATAGGAGGGGGGAGGGATTCCGCTAACGACGTCCCAATTCAACCGGTACGGTTCGCAGAAGAGCTGCGGCTTTAGCGTGACGGTGAGGGCTATGCGAGCGGGAATACCGCTCGTTAAACGATCTTTCCGGTGCAGCACCGTCGTGTTGCCGCTAAGGCGCGTGCAGTAGTGTACGCATGAGTAAGCCCCTTGGCTTGCATTCGTCTACATTCTGCACTGGGCAGTTGGTTGCACGCTGGCGCGCACCACTATGGGTATCTCCAGCCAGCAGTAAGGGGGTCTGTGAGATGCATATCTCCTGCATCTCAATAGAATACGAGATTGTTGGTTTGCTGGCAAATGCCTGTCGCCAACTGGAGAAAATACTTGGTTTGTATGCTTGGCTGGGCGGCCTGCTGCACAATTTCCACTTGGATGGTCAAGGCTGCACCGATAGTTCAGGTGAGAAGCTGTGCACTAATTTCACAGCGAGCGGCCCTGCCACATCACCACGGCCGCCAGAAACAAGAGGACGCTGGGTGGTCGGAAGGCGAGTGCCTAACATCAAGGATTGAATTAAGTCGGGTCTCGGCCATCAATGGCTCAACAAGCCAGCTGTGGTTGATCACTAATTACTCAGGCCCATCCGATGTGGGCGGGCGATCAGAGTCCTCGTCAATCGTGTACGAGCTCGGATTTTTCTTACATTTTCTTTTCTTTTTCTCATTAGCTTGTCGGCAGTGTTCAGGCCAAAGCAGGCTGAGCTCGGCCGGCAACGGAAATGATGGGCTTACAGAACAAAACTGGCCGCGCTGGGGCCAAACTGGATTAGCGGACTTGGCGATAGTGGCCCGGCGCCGAACGCTCGCTAAGCGGGTGCAGGAGGCGGTTGATATTGGCGCAGACGTGATTCTTCCGCTAGACCAATTGGGTCATTCAGCTCAGCTACGGCGAGTTCCATTAAGGCTCGGGTTGATACAGCCAAGAATACATGCGGCACACATATATAGCTTCTCGCTACTGTATACAACCCAACCCAGTTGCACATAGACGTGTCGTTGGATAGAGTTTCGTCCCGCCAGGCACGGGCGATCACCCAAGCCTTTCGGCTAAAATGCAGTCCATTGGAGGAACTGAAACTCGTATTGGGCAATAGTTGTGGCGCCAGACTTTGCCCTCTTTCCGGCGCTTTAGCGTAGCTTCAACTACGCTAACCCAGACTTAGTGGGGTGTCCATTTTTGCAGCAAGTCCTTTTTTCACTACTATTAGTAAACAAAATAGTTGAGAGCCTCTGTAGTTTCATTTTGTTTGGGCGCTGATCATGAACCCTCGCCGCTGTTACCCGACGGGCTTTGCTCCAGTTGCAGATCTTCTCAATTATCAGCAAGCATATCGGCGTATGTGCTCATCATAGAGGAAGGATTTGGTAAAGAGGAGATGCTCAGGTGATTCGTACTCGCTTTGTTTCCAGTACGGTCTGCTCTGGGCCAGTCAGCTGGGCGTGAAGCTACGCCGGTGGCTGCAGCACACAATGCTAAATCTGGAACCAGAATCCAGATGCGAGTTAACCATTCAGCTGGGTCGTGATGATGGCTGTTTCCACGCATTATGGTGTGTGGCTGATGGACCGGGCTCTTTCGGCGAGCAAGCCCGATCCAAGCCACTGTATGTGTCAACGCTGGAGGCTTATCAGTCGACAGCGACTAACTATGTCCTGTGAACTTGATGGGGACTCTCGCTCCTACAATTCTACCGAGCTGAGCTGAATGATGACTTGTTTTGGTTTCGTAGCGAGAACTGTGAATAAGGCTACGTCTGTACGCCAACGCATGCATCGCATCCCCCCTCTGGTGAGACACGCAGCGATTCTGGGAATCAAATGGGGAACATGAGTGATTCACAGCCTTGTCTGTCAGTGGTTGTAGTGGACAAGGTTGTATCGGGCAATTTTGAACAGCAGGGGTTGATGAACATGGGTTGGCTATGGAGGTGTGTAAGCAGCGGAAGAAGAAGAACTGGTCGGTGTTCGGACGAGCGTACCAGCAGCTACAGCGCATTACTGAAGGGCTACGGCGTCTTACAGTGGGCACCTTGGTGAAGAAAAATCTTTGGGTGGTGGGTGGTGGGCCTGTTGCAGTGTTCTTTAGCGTACGCTCTACATTATTTTTTCTCCTTTTAGGTAAGGACTCGGCAAGAACGGCTTGACGAAGCGCTAAAAAAAAATTGGAAAAAGAAACAAGCAAAAATAAAAGCGTAGGTAAGAGAAAAGGCTCTAGCTTAGAGAATGTATGGCTACGTTTTGGAAGAGGGTCTGCTTCAGGATCAGCCGCCAGTGACAGAGTTTATAGGGGAACCAGGCATACAGGCCGCCCAACTCTCCCCTATGCACTCTGGCGGGTGACGTTTAGGTGGCACCCGATGGCCCAGAAGGGTCTTTTATTGTTCAGCACTGTCCGTACCAAGCCACAGGGGCCTTCTCTCGCTATTACTGTAGTTCCCAACAGGGCCACACGCCCGCATGGTGTGCCTAAATGGGAAAGGCGGCGCCCCGCCTCATGCAGGTCCGCCAGATCCCCTCTCCCACTTTCTTCCTGACTGTACTCGTACTCAGGCTCACCACGACCACCACCATCGCCCACACACACCTTCAAGCAATCATCCCTTCCCACGCGACGCCGTCTCCACCTTGGACTCGTCTCCATTCTCCGACCCTCCTCCTCGTCTTCATGCAGCGTGCTCCACGGCTTCCGCCGTTCAGTTTCCACCCGAGTCCGCTTCCCATCGGGAGCTGTGTCAGTTCAACCATTCCTCCCCAACACACACCGTGAACCCTACTCGAAGCAACCAAGGATCCCAAGAATAGCCCAACTCAGCGGGTCTCTTGCTGCGGTCGTTTCCACTGTATGCTCGCCTCTGCCTTTTCCGGGATGATGGACTGATGGCCCGACGTGCCGGGGACATGTCCAGTACCGGACCATAGCGATGGATCTCGACCTCGGGCCCCCCTTCCTGGCAGCCCTGTCCTAATTTGCTTCCATGGCCCTGTCTATGACTATGTATATATCTCATCCACCCCAGGCTCGCCGCCGCCCGAGTGGACTGGAAATCTGTCTAGCAGACGATTCGTTGTCATCGTGATCTTCTCTTATTCCCGAAGGCTCGTGTTCTAGACGTTGCCTCACATCACTCTCGCTTATATTTCTTTTCTCTCTTTACCCTTTCCTTTCTAGTGCGACGCAACCATGTCTCTGCGCCGCTCCATTGTCGCCGCGGCGGCTTTGGCTCTTGTTCCGGCTGTCCATGCTTGGAACATTGAGCTTCCTCCCTGCTTGGAGGAGTTTAAGCCCTTTGTCTACTCTGGCTGCTACGAGGAGGGCCTCGTCTTCCGCTCCAGCCTTCCTTCCAAGGGCATGACCCCCGAGAAGTGTATGGCCGAGTGCAAGGGTGAGTCGCCGTGCTGTATAGAGCCGCCCGCGTTCTACGTGACTAACATCTAGCTTCTAGGCAACGGCTTCCGTTACGCTGGTCTTGAGTACTACGGCGTCTGCTACTGCGGTGGCACCGTCAATGGTGCTCCTGTTGATGAGTCCAAGTGCAACTTGCCTTGCGATGGCGACAAGACCCAAAAGTGCGGTGGTGACAAGTTCCTCTCCGTCTACCAGGACCCTACCTTCCCCAAGACTCCTAACCAGGTTGAAATTGCCGACTACAAGTCTCAGGGCTGCTACACCGATGACTCCAAGGATGGTCGAACGCTCTCCTACCCCATTGACATTCCCGCTGAAAAGTTCACCACCGAGACCTGCTTGACTGCTTGCAAGGACGCCGGTTTCCCCATTGCAGGTACCGAGTACGGCCGTGAATGCTGGTGTGGTGCTGTCCTTGCCAACTACACTGCCCCTGTCGACGTTTCTCAGTGCAACATTGCTTGCAATGGAAACAAGGATGAACTTTGCGGTGGCCGCGGCCGCTTGAGCCTCTACGTTGCCAAGGACCTCGAGTCGCTTGAACCCTGCGGTAGCAAGCCCCAGAGCAGCTCATCTCAGCAGCCTAGCACTCAGCCTTCCAGCTCCGCGATGCCTTCTACCTCCCAGCAGCCTTCTACCTCTGACAAGCCTACTTACAAGCCTTCCTCTTCGCAGCAGCCTTCGTCTTCTCAGCAGCCCTCGTCTTCTCAGGCGCCTTCATCTTCCCAGAAGCCTTCTACCTCTGACAAGCCTTCTTCTGTACCCTCTTCTTCTCAGCAGCCCTCGACCTCGGAGAAGCCTACCTCCAAGCCCTCTTCTTCTGAGAAGCCTACATCTATGCCTTCCTCTTCTCCGAAGCCTTCCAGCTCTTACAAGCCTTCTTCTGTGCCTTCGTCTTCTCAGCAGCCTTCTTCTTCCCAGAAGCCCTCCAGCTCTGACAAGCCTTCCTCTGTGCCCTCTTCTTCTCAGCAGCCTTCTACTTCTGGCAAGCCTACTTCCAAGCCTTCTTCTTCTCAGAAGTCTTCTACCTCGGACAAGCCTACCTCCAAGCCATCTTCGTACCCCAGCTCCTCCCAGTCTTGGGCTACCACTAGCAAGCCCAAGCCTTCCAGCACCACCACTATTGTCTGCACTACCACCTCTATTGTACCTGCTCCTTGTGAGCAAGAATGTGGTGAGTGGTGTGCTCCCCCTCTTCCTGGATGGACCGACAAGCCTGGATGTCTCGAGGCATGGAAGGTTTGTGAGCTTCAGGTCTACTCTTGCTTCCAGCAAGCCCAGTGGCCCGCCAACTTGAACTGCTACAGCTTTGCCCAATGGTGCAAGGACATCAAGAACTACTGTGAGAACTGTGATGGCAAGCCCAACTGCAGCAAGGACGACTGCTGGAGCCACTACCCTCCCGGCATCGGCCACAAGCCCTCTACTACCACAATTGTTGGCCCCTGCCCTACTACCTCCAAGCCTGGCGGCTGGTCTTCCAAGACCGCTTCTAGCTCCTACGGCGGTGGTTACCCTACTACCTCCAAGGTTGTCCCCAGCTCTGTGCCTTCGTCGAAGCCTTCGTCCACCAGTAACGGTTGCAACCCTGCTCCTACCAACATCTGCAAGCAGCCTGGCGACAAGGACTGCGACTTTGGTCCCGGAAACCCCGTCGGTGGTGTTCCTCTGCCCATTGTCACTTGCAACGATGTTAAGGGTGGATACGGAAAGCCCCTGAAGATGTACATTGACTACAACCATGACAACTGCCCTACTTACCCCGGAGACCAAGGCGCCCAGGCCTGCGCTGAGGCTTGCAAGCACCAGTTCGACAAGTGCCGCGAGATCTACGCTGATACCTGCAAGAACCTCGCCTCTGACCCCAAGTTCCACCCTGCTCGTGGCTACGGCTACGGCGGTGGCTACAACGGAGGTTACAACGGCGGAAGTTCGTCTAGCTCTTCTAGCTCTAGCTCTAGCTCCTCTTCTGGTGGCAGCAGCTCTTCTTCTTCCAGCTCCAGCTCCTCCTCTGGAAGCGGTAGCTCCTCTTCCTCCAGCTCCTCTAGCTCATCTTCCGGTGGTGGCTACGGCGGCGCCTCTAGCTCTTGCAGCTCCTCGTCCTCTTCTTCCAGCAGTGGCAACGGCAGCTCTTCTTCCAGCTCTTCCTGCAACAGCGGTGCCGGCCATCCTTCTTGCAAGGGCTATGGCAGCTACAGCGGCGCTGGTGCTTCTGCTAGCTCTTGGGCCTCTGGCAGTGGTGCTTGGGCTGAGGCTAACGCCTGGTCTGGATGGGGCAAGGGTAACGACGACTACAAGAACGCTGGTTACCGTTGCGAGATCCAGTACGAGGAGTGCCTTGCTATCAACCAGCACCCCGACACCAGCAAGTGTGACTCCGGCTACTGCAACTAAAGGAGCATATGAGTCAAAGCGGACTGCTCTAGCCTTCATAGTCCACATCCGCAGCGTCTTATTCTCAGCCCCTTTGGATTCTATGTTGTAGTTAAGGGTGTCTCTTCTGAAGACACTTCACTCTTTTAATTTCGTTTACTTTACATAATTCACTCTACTTGAACTACTAGGTCCTTAATTTAAATCTTTGTGTTAATTTGGGATTTATGCAAAGTCACTCCTATACAATTTAATGCAGTGCCACTAAGACTCCCGTCCGCTACCCTATATGTGCCGATGCGATGATATTCCCGTCATAATTGGAGATGAATAACCGTAATTATATCCTGAATATTTTGGATTGATTGTTACAGTTAAAATAACCAATGTTCATTATTTATACTTTACCAATCAGGCTCTGTTGAGACGTTAAAGGCAGCGTTCATCACATGTTACGTCGACGGACAACTCCCAGCGTCACCACGCGAAGCTCCGCTGCAATCTCTGCCATTACACCTCCAACCTCGCATTTAGCCCAGTAAAGGGAGTCAAAATGTACACGGTCCAAACAGTTGAATCACTTTTACAACATCTTCTTCGGATACCACCTTCACAATGGATCCAATTGTTTTTCCTTTTGGCGGCAGGGGGCATAGTACTACTCCACGCCCTTCCGCGTAGCTTGCGCGATCAGCTTATGGAATACGGTGCCAGGGCAGATAATTCTGCGCAAGGGGATAAGGCAACCGCGAAGGATGATAAGAATGCGATAGAAAAGGTTCTACATGGCATGATCAAGGTCAGCCGTGTGCCGCATTCCTGGTTCTGGCACTTTTACGTGCTATCGGTGGCAACTTCGGTGTTTTGGGCATGGCAAATCCTCACCCGAGGTACAGTTCTGAAGCTCATTGTCGAGAGACAAGCTGCTCTTTTGGAAAATACGGCGGCTGCAACGGAAGCTGATAGAGCGGCAAATCTTGGACGACTCTTTGTAGCTTGGACGATGATGTTCATGCAAGGATCACGGAGATTCTATGAGTGCATGTTTGTGCTGAAGCCAGGCAAATCTGGCATGCTGGTGGCACATTGGGCACTTGGATTGCTGTTTTACGCTTTCATAGGGGTGTCTCTGTGGATTGAGAATTCCGGTAAGTCTGCTGAAACGACAAGTGCACCATCTACAAAATGGTTAATATAAGATTTGGTTGCTAACGCAATGGTTCAACAGCTTCAGTTCTGGACTTCTGGGTAACAGGGTGCCAGGCGAATATCACTAGTCCTAGAGTGGCCGTCTCTATTGCTATTTTCTTGTATGGCTGGGTAAACCAGTATCTATGCCACAAGCACCTGGCGAGCTTGCAAAAGTACACGCTGCCCAGCGAGGGCTTGTTCCGATATTTGGTCTGCCCGCATTACACATGCGAGTGTCTGATATATCTCTCCTTGGCCATAGTGTCCGCTCCCCAGGGTAAACTGGTGAATGTGACGGTGCTGACTGGCGTTTTGTTTGTCGCAGTGAATCTGGGCGCTACTGCCATTGGCACCAAGGAATGGTCAATGGCCAAGTTTGGCAAAGAAAATGTGAAGAGGAAATGGGCCATGCTTCCGTTCATTCTTTAGTCTAATAGACTCATTTACCGTCTAAACAGGCCGCCTAGTTTGGCCCCTAAAGTCGACACTGCTAATACATCGCGATATGTAAGGCTCGTCCGCAGCTGGCGTACGTTAACACCGTCTTGAAAGCCTTGGGGGCGTCCTAAGAGCTCCCAATTTACGATATCTTCAGATGATATGTCTTCGTCTTGTTCGATGTCGGAAATGCCATGCAAGAAATCGGTGTACAACGAGTCTGTTGTGATGAGCAGGCTTCGTGGTTCCTGTAGAATGCGCCACGTGGGATCGGCCGCTACGGCTCCGTCTCCCTTACTTTTGTATATCCCTAGGCACAAGCTTGATCCGAGACTGACGGTACAAACTACAGGCCAGTATGCGGCTCCGTCCTAGATGCGTGTGAGTTCCTGGCCCAAGACATATCTGTGGTCGTGCGAGCATGTGTATACCTTATGGGGCATGATGCCCACACCTGGCGGATATTCGTTAATAAGAACATGATTGGGTCGTTTATGGGGGCTTTGGTCAAATAAATGCTGATCGTTTTGTTCTGATGTCGCCATAGAACGGATTCGTGAAATGACTGGCTCCTCGAGCCAGTTGGGCAGCGGTGCTTCGACCAGCTTGTTGTTTACTAGGTCAGACGGCCAAGTTTGTAATCTCCGATGTGTTAATTGCTTCCATCGAGGCTTTGGCGCCGTTTGGATCTACGCAGAGCATCAGCAGTCTTATCTCAGACGACGGCTATCTTCAGTTGACCAGTCAAACCTTCTCTAGGATTTGCTGCTCTTCCTCCTCACTAATGAAGTTCGGAATATAGTACGCTGTAGAGGGCAATTTCGATATCCGACATTCTTCTAGCGATGTAGGTAGCGCTGTTGTAGCCATAATCGCGATGTCCGGTTCGATACCAGCAATGATGCAGGTCTAGGCATGGTTTGTGTCGTGGCTTACAACTGACAGAGCTTGAACGTGGCCAGGACCCACCAAGGTTGTATTGTACTGGCGGCCATGCTCAAGTTCTACGCTTGCTTCTGGATCGGTGGACAAGTGCTTGAGACAAGACTACGTTGTGGGGTCGAAACACGTTATTCGAAAGGTTTTACATGAGTCTGAAATACCTTGAGAGTGGTGTACGAATATACTGTCGCCAACAAAGATGCTTTGACTCCGGCATATGCTGTTGCGAAATAGTCACGTCGCGGCGGAGAGCAAGGTGTCATTTGTTGATGGCAGCTTGCAACCCGTAATGTGACGTTTCGCCTTCTTGTTCATAAACAAATCCTCTCGACAACGGCATCCTGGCATGAGCGGTTCATGGCCGTCAACGCGGCGCAACAATGTTGAGTACCACTCGCATGCACGAGGTGCCATTTTGTAGATTCGTCCCCAGCTCGAAACTCATAGTGGACAGCGTGCGCCGGTCTGCATATCCCATCCCACTTATAGACGGGGTCTTTGTTTTTGCTAACAGGGGTGTTGAATGAAGGCGCCAGAAGCTCTCCATAAGTTGCGCCCCAAGCTCGAGAGCGTGGGACTGGGACAGCGAGGTCCTGGCAATGTTAGCAGTGCACGACTCAACCTAGCGTGTAGTGTAGCATTATCGTCACGCATGCAACGTATATGTCGCCCCTGTCGGAGTCATGTAATGACATAGCCGCAACTAAATTCTCAAATACTGGAAAACGACGATGTAGTAGGAGACGTCAACTTTGCTTGAGCGGAGGTGAGGGTGGGGGGAGAAAGGTTAACAGCAGAGACACGAGCTTCCCCCAAAAGACGAGGCTGGTGTGGAGTTGGCAAGCAACGGGTGCGAAAAATGGTGAAAAGAAAAACAAACACGGTGAAGACGAAGCGTGACTCGGCGCAGTTCAGGAAACTGTGGCAAATGCGGCAAAAGGCTGTGAGAATAGAGGCGCTGGCCTGCAGGAAATGAAAAATTCGCACGGTGGCTCCGCTCAGACATGCATCGAACTTGGGCCAATCAGCGTAAGGTATGCTCACGCTCACCCCCCTTTTTACCCATTTTAATGTTGGCTAGCTTCCACTAGCGCACTGTACCAGCCTGCCCGATTTCGCGGCTCCCAGCACAGTGCGCCGAACAGCATGCCCGCGTTGTTGTTATTTTAATTTGCAGCCCACAGTCGCCGGCCCCCCGTTTGCAGCTGATTCTGGTCTGCGAGCCCGCCGCTGCGACTGGCTGGAAAAGTGGACACTTGCGGTGCTATAGCGCACTGTGCTTCAGCGGGCCTCGTCGCTGGTGCCGCCCTCACCACGGCGCCTAATGCGGAGGGCCCCAGCACTTCTCCAGCAGTGAAAACAGTGCGGTCGAGTTTGGCACCCGCCACCTTTTCTCACCAAGTTCGAGAGCTGCAGCACCCATCTCTGCCTGGCAAGCCAAGTGCATCGGCGCAAATTAACACCCGGCCAGGCCCGGCGCCCAGCATCTGACGCTTCTGCATAGTCGTCTTTCTTCCCTTTCGCCTTCTCGCCTCCTCCCAACCCAACTCCCTCCTCCACCTTCAATCCAGCCCGCCTACTTTGCCCTGGTGTCTCTTCCGTGTCGCCTTTTCTCCTCACCATCCTCTTTAGCACCGGGCGCTTCATTTCTAAATTTCATTGACAATACGGAGATTTTTCTTACATTTTTTCTTTTTAATCCACCGTTCGCTGCCTTTCGTCAACGCTACCCTCTGGTCCTCCCGCCTTAGCGAGCCAACGCTACTCTGTGACCCGACGAGACAAAGGACTTGTGAGTCTGGGTTTCGTACAACAGTCTACAGCTACGGCCTCATCTTGATCGACTTGAATATTCCTGTAATATTCTTCTCGTCGGGCTTGTGTCGTTTTCTCACCATGGTGGTAGCTGCTGGTAGCCTCACTCGACATTAGATGACATGGACGCGCAGAGTGCCGCAGCGCCCGACCGGTCGAAGCCTGCGGTGGCTTCTCCTAAGCGTCGAAGAGCCTCTCTCGTCGACCAAAAATCTATAACGGTGGCATCGGCGTCTGCCACGAACAAAGACGGCCCTTCAAAGAGGGACTCAACCAAGTCCGACGATGACAGGGACTCGGACGCTGAGACAATAGTGCTGCCTGGTAAGGACGGGCATTCACCGTCCAAGGTGCGCAAAGTCAGGCAGGAGGATAAGGATGGCAGCGAGGGCGAGCGCCCAAGGGACAGACGGCGATCGACTAGAGACGACCACCCCGACAATGCATCCGACCTCCCGAGGAAAAAGAAGCGAATTTCATCGCGGCCGGACAAGGATTTGCGCTCGCGCAATGATGATTCCGACCATAGCGATCACAGCTCAAACCCACCGTCTCCTGAACTGACCCAGCGCCGGCTACAGCACCGCCGGCGACGGTCAGAACTGCACGGCGGCTCCGACTCTGATTCTGATAATTCAGATCACAAGTCTTCTGCCAAATCTAACCGTGAACGCTCCCGAACTGGCGATCGATCTGTATCCCTCAAACGGAAAACCCCAAAAGTCGAGTCAGACGACGAAATGGACAGTCGTAAAGCTCGCAGACAAAGAACGACATCAGCCGGCGCTGAGAATTTGCGCAACTATCGCGAATCAAGGGTGAGGTCTCAGAGGGATGGCAGAGCAAACTCAAATTCTCCGCCACCACGACAGCATCGGCGCAGCGCATCAAATCAGTTACAATCAAGTAACTTTGGTCAGAAAAAGAAGCGCCTGCCGCCTCCGCTTCAAACTGACTATAACTCTGATGACTCCTCTGGCAGCGACAGCCCTCACCCTCGAAATGCCAAAGTACGGAGCCTCACAACCCCATCACATCATGATTCTGCCATGTCTCCTGCAAAGGCTGGTGTACACAAGAAGCACTTGGATGCGCATGGCCAAACCTTGCTGGCGCGAGCATGTGCACGAGGGGAATATGACGGAGCAAAGCAACGATTATTAGAACGCCCCGAAGATCTTAATGTTGCAGACTATGCTGGCAATACACCGTTACAAATTGCAGCAATCAATGGTTGCGAAGATATTGTACAGTTACTTATTGAAGCGGGCTGCAACTTGGACTGCGTCAACTACGATAAAGAAACGCCTTTGCTGGATGCTGTCGACAATGGACATCTTGGGGTGGTAAAATTACTACTAGCTGCGGGTGTTAATCCTCGCAAAGCGAATGTAAATGGCGAGGAACCGATCGATCGAGTCAACGAAGACACCGAAAACGGTGATGAAATCCGTGCGGCTTTGATGCAGGCGAAGAAGAAAGCTGGAGATCGCCGCCGAACCTCTGAGGAACATCACTCTAATAATGAGCGTGAAGGACAAAGTGCGGACAGCCCGCGGAATTCTCCTGCACCCTCGCTAGCAGGTGGACGGCGTGGAACAAATGTTCGATCAACAAAAACAAGGAATGACCTATTATATATGCCTCTTGACGACAAAACCTTGCGCCAAGCTGCAGGGCGTGGTGACGAGGAAACGGTCGCCCGAATCTTACAAGTCAAGGAAGGGTTTGACGACCCGGAGTCCATGGTGGCTGCAGCTCGTGGTGGACACGACCTTGTGATACAACTTCTTTTGGGCCTGGGTGGCGCCAATGCCGACCCGGCGCCTGTATCCGGCCTAGCGCCCGAATTCGCAACACCGATACTTGCCTCGATTGGCCAAGAAAACATCAAAGTGGTAGAGTTGCTGCTTGAGCAGCAAGGATTTGACCCCACGCGCAGGTTCAAAGGGGAGACTTACTACGAAATTGCGCGACGCCGACAAGGTACGAACTGGAAGGACGAAGAGCATATTTTGAAGAATGCATACGACGAGTATAAACGTTCCAACAAAGACTCTGCCAACAGCAAATCGCCTGGTCGCCGCGAGAAGGAGCGCGCTAGAGAGGAGAAGCGCGCTCGCCGTGAAGAGGCCAAAAATGCGCTCCGTGATGCCGAAAATAGAAAGAAGACCACCTCGACAGTTAAGCTTGGTAGTCCGACTGGCAAACGCAGATCAGATTCGTTCTCGACCGTTGGTGAAGAAGAAGCCCCGAAGCGTGGCCCTGGACGACCTAGAAAAGAAGACAGGGACGGCCAAAAATCAAGCAAGGCAAAAGTTGCTGAATCTGATGTTGGTGGCTTATCATCTGATGGCGAATCTACGAAGCCAAGGAGGAAGCTTATTTCGAAGGGTGATCTCCGAGGCGAACGTGACAAGGGCAAGCGCGACTCTAAGCGTGACGAGTCGCCAGATAGACAACGGTTGTCCGAGAAGTATCGCGATAGGACCAAGGCTATAAAACGTGACGAAGGCAAAGACGGCGATGCTTCTAGCAAGAGACACCGCAGCAGTACCACGCCAGATCGCCCCAGCGATGTAGACAAGGATGATTCTGAAGCGCCCATCAAGCGCCGACGATTGGAACAAGAAGGCCAAGATAAGCGTGGCAAACGTGTCGAATCTACGGAAGACCGCCAACCCAAGACGAAATCATCCAAGTCTAGCGAAGGCAAGGACAACGACAGGAGTGCTCGCCGCTCAACGTCTGGAGACCCGGCTATTACGGTCAAGGCAGAGGATGCGGATGTAGATATGCCCGATGGCAACAGTCTGAACGAGATTCCCAGAAAATCATCCGCTACTACGGACGACAGCAAGGACGACTCTGAGAAGAAGCCAAGCAAGCAAGAACTGGCGAAGCGTACTACGGCTGAGCTCAAGCGCAAAGAGGAAGAGGAAGAGAAACGACGACAAGACGACGAAGCTCGAAAAGCCCGCGAGGCTGAAGAAGCCGCTCAACGGGAAGCAGCTAATAAGAAAAAGAAGGAAGAAGATGCTGAGCGTAAGCAGAAAGAAGAAGAAGAGCGCCGACGTCTGGAGAAGCTTGAGCGAGAGGCTGCAGAAGAGGCAAGGCGAATTCAGGAAGAAGAAGACCGGAAAGAGCGCGAACGCCGTGAGCGTCTTCACAGAGAAGAGGTTGAACGAAAACGCGCCGCCAGAGAAGCCGAAGCTAGAAGAATACGCGAAGAGCAAGAACTGGCCAGGTTGGATAAACTTCCGGGACTGCTGCGCTGGCTACATATGTGTCCCAACCCGAAGGCTGCCGCCGTCGCAGATATGTTTAAATCTATGCTTGGTGTACGTTACGATACGATCCGCCAAGAAGCCAATGGGACGCCGGAAGGACGAGAGCAATGGGTATTGAACACACACGTTGCTCTCCTTCTGGGAGAGAAGGATCTTGATCTATCTCGCTACACAGCCTGGGAGCGAGTTCCAGTGTCTCGCCTCGGCAAAGTGACAGTCTGGCGCACTGAATGGCCGCGCTACTCGCTACTCTCAGAGAAGCTGTGGGAACTCGGTCGCCAGATTCCTGGGTACTATGGTGACGAAGATCCCTCCAGGATGAGCTTCCGCACCAAGGAAGCGCTCAAGAAGGCAGCATGGGATCGATTCCTCACCACTGATCTCTTCTTTGTAAAGCTTTCTGACCTTCTCTACACGGTCCCCAATATTCCCCATCTCCGCAATCTGAAGCTTGCTATTGAGTACAGAGAACTGCTGGAGTCAGAGGCGCAAGCCAATAGTTGGCAAGCAGGACAGAAATGGAAACAGGACCCCGATGCTGACCGATTCTACGGCTTTGCACCACGCAACAAATACTACCTCAACGGAACGTTTGTTGGCGAAGACATGCCGACAAAGCATCAGACCAGCAAGACTCCATTTCCCGAGAACCGGGTCCCGCGCCGCGGGCTAGTGCAAGCATTTCCCAGCGACCCAGACTACGAGCGTCTTTGCACTGAACAAGGACTGACGCATCTGCTCAAGGGCGGCGAGGCCGCTCCGGCCTCCAACGGCGTCCACGTTGTGCCCTTGCCAGCCCCAATGGTGAACGGTACCAACGGCCATGGCCCTGATACGAAGCCTGCTAACGGCATCAATGGCGTCAACTGAGGCACTATAACACACTTTATGCGACGATGATGGAAATGTATACGGACGAGGCCGTAACGGAACGGTGCACACAGACACGAACTAGCAGAACGGATGTTTTGCATACCTTTGACTTGATGTTTTTATTTTGTTTTTGACTCGCCCTATGGCTTCTTTTGGGTCTTTGTTTGAATGCTGTCTTGGATGAAAGGCGGATTGCTTGTTCTTATACGGGTTTCTTTGGCAAGGTTCAGGAGCATCAGACGAGGCGTTTTGAAAGTTTCTATGCGATATGGCTGGCGGCTTTGTATTGCCGTTGTTTACTTTAGCTGGCCTTCTTTTTATTCTCTTCTTCTTGTAGTAAACCACGTTTGCGGCAAAAATGCTGCAGCCCCTCTTACTTTTGGTCCTCCTTCTCTTTTCTGATTGTGATATTTATTCTTGGTACTGGGACAACAACGCGCGGTATTGCTTTGTACTTGGCTAATGAGAAGACTGCAATTATTGCGTATATATAACATTTTTGGCACAGCTGAAAATGAGGCTGCCTGGGTTTGCGCAGGCCTCCCACAACAACAACAACAACAACAACAACAACAACAACCAGGTTGTTGCAAACACCCCGCACATCTCCCTCTGACATCTACATACATACCTTCTTAGAATCACACAGAAAAACAGACATGGCTCACCCTGATATGCCTTCTGAGGCGGCAGATGCCGCCTTTGCTCAATATGGCCTTCTTCCTCCCCCGTGGTATGCCTTTCCAGAAATTCATCCCTATAGCATCGGCTGGCGCATGGGCAGCGGCGAGGGCTACTTATGGGCGTATGACGTTTGGTGGCCCAAGACGAAAGACAGCATGGATGAGGAAGCACGGATTGCATACTTCCTTCGGTTTCCACCACCACCACAGTTTATGCGGTGGATGATGGAATGGCTGTGGGATCTAGAGGCCGGCGACCCGGAGGAGTTTGACTATGGACCATACTTTGCGCGAGCAGAGAAGTTGGGGTTTCCAAGCGAGGAGGAATTTAAGAAGGCGTTTTATAAGAATGACGATGATGATGATGATGATGAAGGAGAAAAAGCCGACGAGAACACGCAGCCTCAGTAGGCCAGGGTGAGCGAGAGCTTCGTTGTTGGTGGTGCAGCGAACTAAGAGCTACGCAGGTCTATTGCCACATCGCCTAGTCCTGTAACCCAACCTGTTTAGAGCCAGACTCTTTTTTTCTCAATCTCTCAAATCTCTGGAGAGACCTCCTGTACTGCAATTTACAACCACTCATAACACTTGCTCAACCTCGGACCATCGTTATGCTACCATTGGTCAGCCATCGCTCCAGAACTCGCATATTCCTAGGCATACACACGAGTTTGTCATCAAGTACCTCTACGCCACCCGTATCGTGAGTTATTTTAAGAAGCCAAAAGGCCACTAATAAAACAAGTGAAAAGGAGAATGTGGGGGACAGTACATCAAGCGAACTTCTGACTCGCTGAATCCGATGGCAAACCGAGCGTGTCCAACCCACCATAATTCCCGATCTCCAACACCCTACACTCACCAAGGCCGAGGCCGTGTTTTGTCTCTTTTAGGAAATCAGCCCTCCCACGTCAGGGCCACTCTGCCTCACCATGTGCATAAGCGCGGGTGGCTTCAGGAACGACGCACTCTTTTAGGTCAAGATCTTGTGGTGCTCACTGGCTGCACCGAAGGTCTTACAACGGTATAGGTCTACTAATACCACGCCGCTCAGGCACCCCCATAATACAAGGGAGATACACTATGGCTCATCTAATGCGACTGTAGCCATCCCGCCGGTGGGTTTCCCAAGATGACCCATCATGTCGCCCGAGACTCGACGAAGGAGACACCCTAGGTAACTCGCTTAGCTAGAGTTCTAAAGATTAGGATTCCAAAGGCGTCTAATCAACTAAATGTACAAGACTGTAATTTGCAGAGTAGAGTATATAAACCAGGCCTATTTCCTCCTCATCCCGTGGGCAGACTATTCAATCATCACGCCCGCTCGTTTTACAACTCTCAAATACCAGCCTACAACTAATACTACCTTCATTTCTTACTTCAAAATGCTTCGCTCTATTGCTTTAGCTTTCACCTTTGCCGCTGTCGGCCTAGCTGCTGACCCTGGGTTCCCCATCTTCTGCAACCAAGAGCACGATCAGTACTGCATCCAGCGCCTGGACGACTCTTGCTACAACTGTATTCAGTCTATCGAGACTACCTGCCCTGGCGATGAGAATAGCGACGAGTTCAAAAGCTGCTTCTGCAATCCGGCCAAGCTTGACATTTTTGCCAAGTGTATCCCGGATCCAGTTGCGCAGTGTTCCTATGGCCCCAACACGTTCCTGCTCGGCCCCTGGAACCTTGAATGCAGCGACTACAACAAGAAGCAGTGCGCTTCCTACGACGCTGATACCGGCAAGATAAGCATGCTTCCGTGTGGAGATGCACCCGTGTAGGTACTATAATGTTGCAAAGTACTGTGTACTAGAAGACGCTGACTCTATCTCTGAAGCTCTGTTAACGGCTCGCCGTCCTCTGCCCCTGCAACTGTCAAGGCCCATACTGCTTCCATTACTGGCCAGCCTCACACTGCTTCTGTAGCCGCACCCGCCCCTACCCATGCCAACTCTACTGCCCCTGTTATGCCCGTTGGTGCTGGTAGTCGTCCTGTTGTCGCTGCTGCCATGGTGGTTGCTGCTGCCGCCTTTGCTGTCTAATTGGATTGACGATGATGAGGGCGACTACTTTTCTGGCGTCTCGTCATGGCTTATTTTGATAATGTAAGGGGAGAAAAAGTTGAGATACTCCGCTTGTTGTTGTTGGTGTTATACAAGTTGTTTTTATGTAACCGGGTTGTTTTGAGCTTGGTTCAACTTCATATTTTGGCGAGTAAAGACAGAAGCCAGGCAATTTGGACCAACCAGTGCGCCATTTTGGTGGATAGGATCTTTCAATATCCAAACAAGTAGTTTTCCCAAAGACCCATTACTGGCGATTCCTTGTATTCCGCCTCTACTGTTGACCATGATGGATGCTGCACGCAAGTGCCACTTTGCCGCGTGCTTGTCACCGTGCGAAATCTGCCTTAACGTTAATCACTCGCGCAATGCATACTAATGTTGGGTCCACATACCGCATCTGATGCAAGTACAAGGGTTTTCACAATCGTAACGTCAGCGACAGTGTTTCCTTGTTTGGATAACGAAAGGTTAATGTCCCCGATGCACTCTCCTTTATATTTCAGGATCAAAGCATGGTATTTTTCTTGTTGCGTATGCTGTACGAGATGACGGCAAGCATTAAGAAACAAAGCCGCAGCGACTCCTCGATCCACTACGGCCATTTGCATCCATAGGGTGGAAATGTCTCTTCGCATGTCCAGTGTGCTCGGTACTGTACCGAATGGAATGCATGTCACAGCTTGACCAATGACGTGGACCACGACTGCAAAGAGTTAGCGCCAGAACAAGGCCAATGGGGAGATAGATACCGTACAGTGATGAAGTAAGAATCTCTCAAACTTCAAAACAGGGCTGTTTATCGCGGCGGCCAGAACGAGACCAGGCTTAGCGCCGTCAGCACCAACAACAGAGGAGCGCATCGCCTTGGCGATTTGATAGTTGACGACACGCTGTTGGCGCATCACGGCGTTTTTGGCGGCATGGGAGCGTATTCTTTTCTTGTGTGTTGCTACGTCAGCGGGATGTGACGAGTGAACGAAGCAGAGTGCGGACTGGGGGATGAGCATGGCTTGAATGTAGTCAACCGTGCGAAGAAGAAAATAAAATAAAATAAAATAAATAAATAATATTTGACAGCGTCTCTCAGAAGAACGGGATAATCACACAATTATCTCGTAGAACCAGGCTGACTGCCAAAATTATGTGCCACATCTGACGTCCAAGCGCTGACTGACGCTGCGGAGCGGAATACCAAGACCTGCATTTACCCTTTTAGGAAAGTCAAAGTCCGCAGCCGCCAGCCGCAGCGCACAGCCACCAATTGCGGTTCAAGGATAATCCATGGTAAACCAAACCGGCATGAGGATTTGTAGGCAAGCAGGTAAAAATAAAATAAAATAAAATTGACAATTGACAAATTACAAATTGTGCCGAATAAATGGCCATGCTTGATTAGGAATCACAATGCTCGGTACTAGTGACGGAATCTGTATTTAAACAAAGGCTTCCCCTCTGTCTATCACACCCGCTACAACCAGTAATACAACTCTCCATTTCCTCAACTACAGCCTTTTTTTTTTATTTTTTTATTTTTACTTTTATTTTCAAAATGACAGGCCATTGGAACCCAGTCAAGGACATACCTGATATGCAGGACAAAGTGGCTGTTGTAACTGGCGGAAAGTGTGATAGTCGAACCATCAGTTTCATGCTCATCACTGACTTTCTCTAAGCTCAGGAATCGGCCTTCACACCGTAAAACACCTCGTTGCGAAAGGAGCGAGAGTGTATTTCACTGCCAGATCGAAGGAAAAGGCAGATCAAACACGTCAAGTAGTGGCAGCTTATACGTCACGCGACTTTTCCAGCAGCCTTATTTGGGTTCCCCTCGATTTATCAGACTTGACGAGCGTTATGCAAGCTGCGGCTTTCATCACATCTAGAGAGAGAAAAGTAGATATTTTGAGTAAGTAGTTCCAAGTGTGTTTTTATATGTGCGGCATGGTAAGGGCTAACTATAGACATAGTCAACAATGCTGGTCAACTGACGACATGCCTTGAGAAAACCCCAGCGGGCTGGGAAATGGTCATGGCAGTGTGGTATGATCCTAATCTGATATCCCTTCGCAATGCTACTATTCTAACGGAACATCTCTCTTGACAGTCATGTCGGCCATTTTGTACTCACGAACCAACTGCTACCTCTGTTGGAAAATGCCGATGCAGAGAAAAACTCGGATGTTCGAATCGTCACCATCTCATCCAACGTCGTCGGAGTTTTCCTTCCGCACGACTATCCTTTTGCATTCAATTCGACAGGCTATCTATACGGCACTCAGCCTTTTGAACCTTGGAAGTTTCGGCATATTCAGCGCCACTTCTTCACTATGGACATGATGAGATACAGCCTGGCAAAAGCTGCCAACATGATATTTGCGCGAGAACTTCAGCGCAGATTGGATGCACGTGGATCTGGCATTATATCCATATCAGTCCATCCCGGTGGTGTCAAGAGTGATGCAGCCCTTGCGATATTCACCAACTTTATGAAACCAGTCATGCGGCAAGTTATGGTTTCGGAAGATCAAGGCTCCTTTACAACTCTTTTTGCAGCAACCGCCCCGCAGGCAAGATCGGATGCAAATAGATACAAAGGTGCCTATATCGAGCCGGTTGGAAAAGTTACTCCGCAGCATCCTGTAACCAACGACAAAGAGCAGACTAGTGGATTATGGGATACGACGACTGCCGTAGTCTCCGAATATCTTGAGGAACATGCTTGCGGGTCGCTACGTGAGTGGTAATGGATAGAACTCTCTTTCTTCATTGCGTGTATTACTCATGTTTTACCCTGCATCATTGGACAAAGATGAGCACCAGCTTTCACTAATAGATTCATTTCAATTTTCAATTTTTTATTCTTGTTCTTGAACCTGAGCTTCTAAAATTGATGTATGTATTGTAGACGCACAACTAGCAATGTCTAATAAATCCAACGCTATCCACCTTTAAAATATGACTTGTAGAGACTTTTATCTAGGCCTCATCCCATGTCTAAAACTCGCTAAATATTCCCTCTTTTGAGCACCTTAGTTTACAACCTTCAATGTCTCAGTGGTGGAAAGCTTCTGGGGGACCTCAGGGTGAGGCTGGGCCTCATCACCGTAGTTGAGGTGAGCGCGGAGCTTCCAGTCCTCAGGAACAGCAAGGAACTTCTTGATGGCTTCCTCAACAGGGGGGATGGCGTTGAGGTGCTGCAAGTTGGCGCCTAGGCCCTCGAGCTCAAGAGAAGACCAGACAAGAATCTGAGCCATGCCGCTTGAGTGATGAGAGAACTCGTCGAACATGTGAGCGGCAGAGGCGTGCGTCTTGCCCGACTCAGCGATAACGTTGGCGCTATCGAAGAAAGCGACGGAGCCATAGGCACCCTTGTGCATCTGGAAAATACCCTGCATTGTCTTCCAGACTTCTTCACCAGCACCCTTGAGGACGGGCTCAGCGGCGGCAGAGATAGCATCCCAGAGCGCAGCGTGCTTGGCTCCAGTGACGAGGACGATGCGCAGAGGCTGGGTGTTGTAGGAAGAGGGAGTGAAGGAGAGAACCTCTTCAAGAATCTCCTGAACACGCTTGTCGGAGACAGCGGAGGTGTTTTTCAAGCCGTAGACACTGCGTCTGTGCTTGGCAGCAGCAAGGAACTGAGCAGCGGAAATTGTGCTAGACATTTTGACTGGTGTGGTGGTGGTGGGTGTAGGCTTTACAGCAGACTGCTTTTCGGAAAGAGACGATGTAGTAGGCTTGCTACCAAAGAATCTTCTCAACTTTGTGCTCAGCTCGGGCATTGGCAAATGAAATTTATGTATAGGTTGTCCTTGGGACTAATAAGTGTGATGGTAAGTGCTTTTGAAAGGTGAAGTTGTTATTGTTAATAGGCTATTCTTCAGGGTCGACAAGCACGGTATTATATATTAGGAGAAAAAAAATGTATATTGTAAGCAATAACTAATAGGAAATTAGAGGCTACCATTTTTCTGTGTTTGAGTCGTGTAGAATGGCATCATGATTAGAAATGGCTAACAAAGCAGATTGTGGATAAGATTATCGATCTTTGCCGTGACATTTGTAATGCTGACTGAGTCAAGGTGGATGCTGCCCGTGTATCCGTAGGCTTTTTCCTCTTTGGGGGTTCCTCCTAAACCTAACCTTACAGTGGGCTAAAAGCGTGCCGAATGATTCCACCCACTGTGTGTATTGATAACCGACGCCTTTCCCGTCAGCGCAGCCTTTGCTGGCTGAGCCGTTAGGATTTCACTGCGCCGCCCGAACAACGTCATAGGAAGTAGAGTAAAAATATTTTTTTTTACCAAGGGCTCTCCGAGGAATAGGCCACTCTGTAGCATTTCAGCCCATGATAACATCGCCAAAAAAAAAATATAAATATAAATATAAATATTACACCAAACGCCCGATATTTAATTTTACATCTAATGTACATTGCATCCAGCACAGAACCTGGCGCGGTGGCTTGGTAACTATCTAGATGATAAATTTCAATGCGCCTACAACGACTCCCGTCCGAATTTTCCCCGCGCCAGCATTGCCCCACCAGCCCACCAAAAAGAAAACCACAAAGATCACCAAACGTCAGGCGACACGACATCCTGCGACACTGCATTGCGACCGATTCGAAGATTGATACGAGAATCCTTTGACGAAAATTATACACACCGCGATTACGAGCCAATACCTTTTCTTCTAGAGTAGCTGCGTCGTCTTTTGCGACAGGGTCGCCCATCATGTCTACCACCGTCGAGAGAGTGAGTTCCATCGTCCACTGGTATAAAAGAAAGGAAAAAGAAAATTGCTTACACAGTTATGTTTGTCTAGATCAAAGATATCGAGGCCGAAGTACGTACACTATCGAAAATACAAAGGCTGCGACCAATTTCGAAGTCTCCTCTAGCTCCGAAGAAGTTACACTAACCCCCCTTTGCAACCGACAGATGGCCAAGACCCAAAAGAACAAAGCCACGGCTTATCATTTGGGTCAACTCAAGGCGAAATTGGCCAAGCTTAAGAGAGAATTGTTGACACCGTCCGGAGGCGGCGGTGGTGGTGGCCCCGGCTTCGACGTTGCCAGAACAGGTGTCGCCTCCATTGGCTTCATTGGCTTTCCGTCCGTCGGAAAGAGTACGCTGATGAGCAGACTAACAGGCCAGCACTCCGAAGCTGCAGCCTACGAATTCACAACATTGACCTCAGTCCCTGGTCAAGTCACCTACAATGGTAAAGCTGCGAACTAATCAAGTAGGCAAATGGGTTGCTAACCGCTGGTTCTGTAGGTGCGCCGCTCCAAATCATCGATTTACCAGGTATTATCGAGGGTGCCAAGGATGGTAGAGGTAGAGGTCGTCAAGTTATTGCAGTTGCCAAGACTTGCCATCTCATCTTCATCGTCTTGGACGTGAACAAGCCTCTCACCGACAAGCGTGTCATCGAAGCCGAATTGGAAGGTTTCGGTATTCGCATCAACAAAGAGCCGCCAAACATCACTTTCCGAAAGAAGGATAAGGGCGGTCTCAATATTACTAGCACAGTTCCTTTGACACACATCGATAACGACGAAATCAAGGCTGTCATGTCCGAATACCGTATCAACTCTGCCGACATCACCATCCGATGCGACGCAACTATTGACGATGTCATTGACGTTCTCGAGGCTAAGAGCAGAAGGTGAGACTTTTAGATGCCAGTTGACACTCTGATATCGTTGTTACGCAGCGGACTGACAATTCCGGACTCGTATAGTTATATCCCCGTCGTTTACTGCTTAAACAAGATCGACGCCATCAGCATCGAGGAGCTTGATTTGCTCTACCGAATCCCTAATGCTGTCCCCATCAGCTCAGAACACGGATGGAACATCGATGAGCTCATGGAAGCCATGTGGGAGAAGTTGAACCTTAAGCGTGTCTACACCAAGCCCAAGGGCCGCGCACCCGATTACACAGCTCCTGTTGTTTTACGATCCAACAAGTCCACAGTGGAAGATTTTGTAAGTGTGGCACTCTGTTAGCCACGTGCCAAGTGACTCGTCTAGGTCTCATCGAGCGGCTTTAACATGTGAGACAGTGCAATGCCATCCACAGAACTATTGTCGAACAGTTCAAGACAGCCATTGTATACGGCAAGAGTGTAAAGCACCAGCCGCAACGAGTGGGCTTGAGCCACGAGCTTGAAGATGAAGATGTCGGTAAGTACAATCACCCGGAGCTGACCTTGACCGGTCTGAAATAGACACGGCTCTATTCCCCGACGCCTGACGGAGGCGTTGCGGCCTAGGTTACACTGCTGACACCACTACGAATAGTGACTATCGTCAAACGATGAACGCACACCTTCTCATACCTCACCGGAGGCGAGGCAGGGGGAGAAGTTCGAGAGATTTGGGTGGTGCAAGTTGAAAAAATTCAGACGCGTTCCCTGGGTGCATGGCACGGCGTTGAGTACAGGGAACTTCATTCCCACCAATCGTACTTCGTTGCGAGGGAAGTGCTCTCCACCGGGATCATGGTAGACCATCGGTTCTAGATGCACATGGACGCGGATGACGCTCGATTAGGAAAAGCTCATGGTTGAATCGCGAACGTCGCAAGGTGGTCAGCCAGGAGCGGAAGGTCTATGCTCGAATAGGTCAACGAACTGACAGACAGGGCCAGGGACGGGGATGCCGCGCCACGAAACGCAGTGTCTGGGCCGTCTTTTTTTCCCTTGTTTGTAATCACTTAGAGAGCCGCTCAGGGACATGACGTGGGCTCCTTGGATTGTTCAACGGGAGCTAGACACAAGCATGGTGTCGGGCCGCGAATCGGAGCAGGGGTTAGGTAACAAGCATGGATTAATTTGAAATGGTTCCACACCTTAGACAACCACCTCCTCATCAGGCAAGGTACCAGCCGTAGACGCAAATTTCACCTGCAGCTAATGCTTGATGGTGCGGACGGATTCGGTAAGCCACTGACCACGCTAAGTGCGGCTTTGGTGTTGTTGAAGTCGGAGGAAGCTGGCTAAATTGCGCGAGAAAACCACGTCGTACAAGAATAGTAATGCGGTGACCGCCTTCAAAAGTATGTTTGCTTGCGCCTCATGCACCACATCTGCAGACATTCCGGGTGAGAGCGTGGGGTGCAGATGGTGCGCAGCAAGTATCGCGTAGCGCCGACAATAGGCTCCATACTTTGGTAGCTGGGACAGGGCATACTGTTCCCCTCTCCTTGACACCGTCACAGGTAAGTACGCAGGGGCCGTGCCCAGGCTTTCAGAAGGCGCGAGCAGCGCTTATAGTTGATCACACCAGCGGTACTGTAGCACTGACTAGGCTCTCTGATTGTATGCTGCTATCCTCCCTTCACGCCAGGGCCAACCGTTTTCAGAAATCATAGATTGCGACACACCCTACTCGCTCAACGTGACTTGAATGCCATGTACAGCAAAGGCGGTGGATGATCTGGCATATGAGACTGCAACGCCTGGCCGTTGCATGTGTGTGCTTGTTTTGCGCGAGCCGAGGGGAGATGTCTTACACGTTCTGGCGCCACCAACACTATCTTTGGTGTAACGCAAATTCTTTTCATACTAAACTGGAACAGGTAGTCTTCAACATCGGGAAATTTAAACCTATGAGATGTTTACGTAGCAAAACGGTTTGTGGACGCACTTGCTCTTCACTGCCAGCTGGTGCCAACCGCCTGAGCACTGCGACCAGCTGTCAGAAGTGCCACAGAGGCCTGGGGGCCACCGGCACAACCCGCGCACGTACTTTTCTTGCTCCTGAATGCATTACTAAGAAATGAGGGTTCGAAAAAAGCCACCAGAGGCGAAGCCAGCGTTGCATCGGCTGGCGTAGCGAAACAGGCTCGCCAATTATCTTGTGGCGCGGCAGATACTGCGCAACCCTTCCGCGACACAACTGTTCAGCATCAAACCATTCCTCCGACAACGTCTCCACGGATCATTGTCCACACGGACGGCCCCCAAAACACCTTGGCCGCGTCCCGCAGTTAAGCTGTTGATATTCTCTGGCGTAAGTCCCGGATATTCTCACTCCTTGTCTCAGAGACGCTAGCTGTCCTTAGGTCCAACTTGTAGAAAGTAGGGCTGTGGTCTCTCATTGGTGTGCTACCACAACGTACTGTTAGGCTTCGCTGAAAGCCGGAAAGTCATGCAGATGCAGGACCCAGCGCTTGGGGGCAAAGCCAATTAAGTCTAGCGAACCCATGGTCCATGCCCGCCATTCCCGTCCAGCAAACGCAACCCTCTTGATGAGTATTTGTGGAAGCATTATGCTCCATATCTCGAGATTACATCGCTGGATATCATCATTTAGTGTGGTTATATTTATCTTGAAATGCAACAAGCTGCACTCCAATGCTAACAGTCGCCTATAATGATGCTCCGGGGTGTGTGTTTAGCGCTCCTGTACATGCATGCAGCTTGCCGTTGAACATGCACGACTCTAGCCAACAGGAATCAACCCGAAGAGTGGAAGCTGAATGCACCTAGCCATACGAGGTCACGGCTTCGAGACAATGACACTGTCGGCGGAGTTGGAGGCGCAAGTCCGCAGGCTACTTGATTTCACATCTATGGCGCTGCCTCAGCCATGTACATTACACCATCCTGAAGATGGGATGTAGATGGGTTACAACTGCACTTACTGAAGCAATATGGACAAAAGTGATGCATGCGTTTGATGGGCAGGCTAGCCGGACGATCCATCTCCGAATGCTGCAAGATTCAGGGGAGGCGAACGTGACGGAGAAGCATGAATGTCACACCCGAGATAATTAAGACGCATGGCATGCGATACTACAGATCCAATGCAACTGCCTTCTCTCTTGCAGGTGAGTGGGTGTCGTATCATTTGCCCAGCGCGCTGCATGCATATGATTTAAGCTCAGAAAAGTCTAGATGGACCATCTGGCTCCCATAATGTTTGCCTGCATCCGAAGGGCTGGACTGAACAAGAGGAGGAGGGCAAATAGCCTGCTTCGGAGAGCTTCTGACCGAGCTGCTCCCGGCATCTACCCGTTGGCCGCTGTGGGCCCCCCAAAGCGGATGATAACGCGGCAACTTAGCGTACCTGGTTTCCCCTGGACCAACAGGCTCCGCAACACAAAGGCTTTCTTCATTTCATCTTAGCACAATACCCACTTGCGCAGTGACAGCCCCTGCCAACAGCGGGATCCTGGCCAAATTGCCCAATGCTTAGCTGCGATGAGCAGCGTTTTTGTCTCCTGGCGTAGCTCGCGTCATTACGCTAAAGTCGCCAACGGCAAACCATGATCACCTTGAAGCGTCCGACTTGTTACATACCTCTGAAGCTGGGTGGCATCCTACGCCAGCAAAGTGCTCTATAAGTGGGTGATGGAGAATCGATATGGTTCCGCTCATGCAGCCCCTTGATCTTGGAGGCCATCTATTAGGTTCATCCATCGATCGTGGAGGACAACGCAGAGCTGCTGCAAGCTGCAGCTTCCTTGTTATGTCCCCCCATCCCAAATTCCCGGATCCTGGACACTCCAGGCAGACTAAGAAGTCAGAGCCCAGGCACTTATCACAAAACAGGAAGCGAACTATCCACTTGCTTGCGTCGGGGTACTTTGCAAATCATGCCCCGTCGCAGATGTCCTTGTTTGCAGTTCTTGTCTTTAGCGGGCTTCCCGCCTCAGTTAGCTGGCCCAAGGATGCTAATCAGCAACTTGTTATGCCCGAAGGCGCGAGTTGCAATGGTGGACCCTCAGTCCGTCGCCTAACCTCTTAGGGCCGACGGAGCCTACACCCCTGCTTTCCGCTAACTGGGACTAAGGTTATGTCATTGACACCCAGGTGCCGCAAAGAACGCTAAAAACTAGCGCAAGAGTGCTCATCATCAGGCGCTTGCTTATACGACCGGCGGATGCCCTCGCGCGCTTGCCAGTGGACCTCTAGTCCCTGGAATCAGACATGCGGCCGAGTTGTAGGTGCTCTTGGTTCTTCTGCAAAACCCTGCGAGACTGTATGCTGAGCCGGGCAAGTCTGTAGTCGACCGATACAGACCAGGAATACAATCAAGGTGTTGAATGCGGTAGCGATATGTGCTTGCTAACGTTGCTTCCTCCAAGCTACCATGGTTGGTCAACGCAGGAATTCCCCATCATTTCTGGGTTGGGGGCTGTTGTCACCACGGCACTGGACGGCTCTTGAAAGTCTCGAAATTGGCAACAAGCTTCGGTCTAGTCATGCTCACGGCAGAGCGTGTTCTTGACGGCGACCTGGTCTCCTCCCCCAGGGAAAACGACGGGTGCGGCTGCGTCCATCTCGGGACGGGTTTGTCCAGCACCCGCCTTTCCCCATCAGGTCAACCACACGCCTGCTTGGGCGCACCCCTCTTGAAATCCCCTACCACACCCTCCACTGGTTTGGGCCCCAATGCTACCCATCCTTGTAAACGCGCCAAAATGCGTATGGCACCAACTGTGTTCCCGTTGTTTGCTCAGCGTACCCCGGCAGAGGCAAGTTGACAAGAGAATACCCCTGCCGTGGCCTTGCATGATCTATATCCTTTCAACTCTGCTCGCTCCCGCCGGTGAATACATATGCATGCCACGTCCCTACTCGCTCCGATACAGCCTTCTGCGTTTGGCTCTTAGTCGATGCTATTTTACTAAAGTAGCTGACCTTTGTTATACTCTAATATCGGACATCTGCGCCCAACACGCCAGTCCAGTTGTCCTACATCAGCCCTAGGCCGCTCTTCCCACCAGACCGCATTCCCTTACAGCAACAGCCATAGGCCTGGTACTACACTCTTTTGAATATAGCCAATATCACATCTACCAAGCTTGGTAGTAATCAAAGGCCATGTCTACCGACACGATATCTTACGGGCCACCACAGCCCTGGCAGACCATGGGATGCTTTGAGCCTGAACAGAACCCATATGGAAACACTGCCTTTGGTCTGAGTGATTTTAAAGACCCGTTGACCACCGACATTCCCTCTCCCAATGGATTCTCTAATATGCTTCCCCCCCCTACTCCTCTCAACAGCACATCCCCAAGCGCAACAACACCACAGTCACAACTACAAACTCTTCTGCCAGCTCCTCTGCAAGAGTCCCAGCCCCAGGCTCTAGCAGGGCCATGGCCGAGTCAGCTTGTACGATCTCGCTCAGCTGGTAACATGAAGTCACCAACTCCAGAGGCTCCAAGCACAGTCCCCAGTTCACCAAAGAAATCTACTACGGGAGAAAAAGAGAAACCTCGCAAAACACTCAGCGCCGAACAGAGAAAGGCTATGTGTCAGTTCCATGAAGAGAATCCTACAATGAGACAAGCCGACATTGGTGCTAGATTTGGAGTGGAGCGAAGGTAATCTTGAAGATCTCACAATCATATGAATAGTGTTGCTGACGACTGACAGTACCGTTTCGAAAGTACTCCGCAACAAAGACGTTTACCTGGGTCGTGAACGAGATCCTGAAAACACAAATTTGAAGCGTTCAAAGACCAAGAACCCGGACTTTGATAGGACGCTAAGCATTTACGTGCGTCGACAACAGCAGCGCGGGTTTAATATCACGGATAGTGAAATCATGGAACAAGCTCGGATGTTTGCGCATGCCAGTGACGACCAAAAGACGATACTGAACAGTCTAACAGAGAACTGGTTACAAAAGTTCAAACAAAAGCACAACATTGGTGCCTCGGCACCCAAACGTCGCGCTTCAGAACCAAATATTGGGCAATGTACACCAAAACCGGTGCTGATCAAGTCCGCCGCAGAAAAGATCGATCATCGAGACCATTCTGAGCCTAGTACCAGAGATATATCGCCTGCCATCAACACTCCCGCTGTAGTCGATACAACGCAAAGCAGATTCCTGCCCGTGGAAGAAGATGCCACTCAGACCACACTGGCTATTACAGACTTCGCTGCGCCGCATGCTTCATATCCTACACCTGCCATGGACACAAACTGCGTCTACAACTTCTCTCCAAACTCCCACCCTGGCGAGTTACCATTAGATCCGTCCCAAGTTCAACTCATTCCAGGGCCGGCTCCGTCAGACATCATCAACCGGGAGAAACGTAGCAGGACGTTTCCTATGACGGTACATGACTACGAGGCGATACCTATCATAAATGACGGGTTTGGTAGCCGCTATCCATCTACTTCTACGCTGGTAGGATCGGAGACTATTGACGGATTCAACGTCGACCCTCAAGACGGCTTAGACATGCCTTTGACGTCTCCACCAGCACTTCACAGGACAAGCAGCAATTCCAGCATGACGGGGCGCTCATGCTCAACACCTCTGCTAAACACTGGGCTTGGGATTTCAACAAATGATAGCCCACCAGCTATGCCGTCCCAGGAGGACGCCTGCCGCGCTGCCAACACGCTGCTCAGCTATATCCAAGGCTTCAACTGTAGCGGCCAGTTTGAGCAGAACGAGTTCTTGACAGTGGTACAGCTAACCAAGAAGCTGAATATCTATCAGCAACAATACCTCCCCCTCAGACCTGCCATGGGCGTCTTGTCCCAGATCCCAGAGAGCGACAACGACTTGGTACCGTGCCTCTCCTGCGGTCCAGCCGACGCCGCTTAGACTCACTACGCTAACACTCCTTGGCACTCACACCAGTCGACTTACATTTCCTTTTACCGCTCTTTCTCCTCTTTTTCCTTTTCCTATCTGCTGTCCACTCAATACCACAGACAGAGGCAACTCGTTTACAACATAGGCGGCATGGCGGCAACGCATGATACCGACCTATCCACAAAACCGTTCACTTCTTTGTACATTCTTCATTATACCCCCTTCTTGGTGTTACACCGCTCTTACTTAGTTCCTTTTTGTTGTGGAGTTCTTTTTTTTTCTACGCTTGATTTCTAGCGGCAATGGGATGGCGTCGATTCAACACTGTGGGTTCGTTTTTACGGAGGGGGTTTGGGTAGGGCGGGCAGGCTAGCCCAGCTTCAGATTGTTACCGCTTTGCGACGATGGGGCAGATGACAGGGTGTGAATCCAGTAGCGCAGAAATACTGCTTAGTTCTCTTACAACGATATACGAATGAGCAGGCTCGTTCGGATTGCATAGCATATAGCAACAAGGACAGATTTCAAATGCTCCAAAACAAAATTATGTATTAATTAGTGTCTGCGCACGGAGGTGAACATCAAAAACATGAAGCCAATATATACAGGGCCAAGATGTCAAAACGCGGCTAACGCAGATAATAAAAGGAGGGGGTATCATATCATGCAACGGGGTATTACAGAAAAAAGTCACTAGGCCAGCGTGATGACACTCGGATAGAGCACGGACACGGCGCCGTCTGTTCTATCGGGACGAACATGCGGATCAAAATCAACCAAGACGTTCGTCCAGAAGCTCCATGACGCCTCTGTCGACCAGTTCAGGCATGAGCCGGACAAGGATAAGCTCCAGTACAGAGTACATAAGATGCTTGTTGCAGTATTCGTCTCCAAACACCATCAGCAGACCCTCCATGTCATCCGCCATGGCCCCCAGCGGCACATCTCTCTGCCGCGTTGGGGCTTGCCGGCCTGTTTTAGCATCGTCTCCAGCATCCCGCTCGGACGAGCCGTCCCGCTGGTGACCAAAGTACAGCTGGGCCAGCCGCGCCGGGAGAAGCTCTATAAGACTGGTAGCAGCGCGGTGACGTAAAGCCCGTAGTTCCTCTTCGGACTCTGGCGCAACAAGGGAGGACGATCCAGGCGCGTTGTTAGGAAACACAACCCCTCTAAGTGTACGGAGGACTGGGGCCAGCTTAGATGGCGAGAGCAATGACGAGGCACCGCGAGAGAGAAACCTGAAAAAATCCCGGTTAGTTACGCGGCTCCAGGCAGCTACAATTCAGATTGGCAGGCTGTGAGGCCAAAGAGGAGGGGTGTGTAAGAGGGCAAAAGAGACGCTAGTCCGTCGCGGGACACAAAACGGGCAGCGAGTTGGCTCCAAAACTAACCCGGTCTAGGCTGTTCTGGCAAGCTTGTATCCTCCGTTCTCGGTACAAGATCGGGATCAGTGAGCACTGGGCAGGAAAGGAAGGTCAAACAACCCGTGCTTCCAGGCTAAAAGACCGTCGCTTGGGGCGGTGGCCAGGAGCGGCCTAGCCTTGGGCTAGGGGGGCGCGCCGATGGTCAACGAAGACACCCCGGCTATGGTAGTGGAGGTTACCATCAGAATAGGCTGCCCGATGAGAGAGAGAAAAGTCGCAGCGGTCCATCAGCAGTAATATGCAGCTTGCGTTTAGCGGCATGTTCCTGTCTTGCCATGCCCTTGCGCTGGCAGGCTGGCCACGCTGTGCTGCTGCAAGGTACGTTGATGACCTGCAGTTCGTTTGACTCGCGAGACCGCAGCAGGCGTACACGCGTCTCAAGTTTCTTGCAGCATCTGGCCGTTATAAGCGTCATCCCGCATCGATTGGCGATTTCAACGTTGGCGAGCGCAGATGGGAGCCCATCGAAGCAAGCTCGTCGGGCATCGACCACCCGCCCATCCCAATCGCTCAAGGAAACCCTCCATGTCGGAGGAGAGGGATTTTTCTTTTCCCTGGGTGCTCTTTTCGCACGCCCCCTTAGCCTGGGAAGCAGCACCAGCAGCGCTCACAACACCCCCGGCTGATGCTGCTGATCCGGGCTCGCCAACTTGGACGAATGAGGGTTGCAGCTATTCCGCACTTGGGAAGGGTCAGAAGGGCCAGTCGTCCAGCGGTCAGCCAGTCAAGATGCCAGTAAACCAAGACCCCTGTCGTAGCTCGGCGCGTAGCCCATCAGCGGATAGTACGGGTGATCCTGGTTGGATGGTTGCTGGGTTTCGGGGGGTACTACAGCGATGCATCGGAGCCCAAAGCTGCCTCTCGGCCCTTCCATTGGCTAGCGCGCGGGGAGCTAAATGAAAGGCTCCAAATTTTTTTGGCGTCCTAGCTTGGTGGTCATAGGCCCAAGAAAGAGAGAGCGGACAGGTCCCGGGACTGGACCCCCCATCTTGTTCGACTAAGGTTGCCAAAAAGAGGAGTAGAAAAAAATCTCTTCTTTCGTTGGACAGTTGCCCAGCTTCGTATTCCGAAGACTCCGGACGCTCAAAGGGTTTGGGTGCCAGGGATTGCGCGAGAAGCGCTGGAGCTGTCCCTGTCGTAGTGGAGCGGAGGGTGTAATTGCGCTAGAGACCAAGCATCACACCCTCTGTCTGAATGGCAGCATTGGTATGGCAGCATGATGATTTGCACAGCTATTCGCTCGAGATTTGGGTCTGGTGAGTTGCCGCAGCAGCTCATTGTATCCATGATGCTTTGGGCTGTCGCGCGAGAATCGGGAAACCCGTCTAACAGCCCAGCGCAAGGACGTAGCAGGAGAATAACATGATAGATCAGGCAGGGGGTGGGGGTGGCAAGATGATGCGCCATGTTCAAATGAAATTATGTCGTCTTACCTGTCGAGACGGCTGTCAAGGCTCGCGAAGCGGCCTGGTCCGTGAACAGCCTGGTGCTGGATTAGTGAGAGAATGCCGCTGAGCCATGGCATTCGGGTGCTAAGCTGAATGATGTTGCCAGCACACTTCCATAGCTTGAATTCGAGAACCGGAGCCTTTACTGGGCGGTGCTCGGGCCTGTCGACAGTGCGTCGTGCCTTGTTGTTAGGAGGCTTTGAGAATTCCACAGTGACAAATCTTGACTGCAGAGTAGCTGAGACGGTTAACATGTCGACAAAGAGTCGAAACCAAGCAACCAATGTGGCTCCCAGATATATCATCAATACCATTATGGAATTCAACGACCACTTTGACTCTTTCGACTCTTTTGGTTCGTGTGAAGTCACCGCATTCTTTTCACGCAGCACCCTCGATACTGTGCATACGCTCTCAAATAGCAGCCACGGTTGAGATGCTTTGTTGATGAAGAGGTTTCCAATGATGAGCTCGGATAGTATCTGGCCTACCAAAGCAGTCAAGCATGGATTTTCCAGATCTTCAGTGGGGAGAAGAATGGAAAGCATCCCTTCAACAAGAAGCTGTCGATACACCGTCTCGTTGGCGGCTTGCTCCTCTACCGACGCCTTATTCTCCGATGAAGGGACAGGAGACAGTTGCGGAAGTGGGCAGAGAGCATGGTATGCCTCCCTTGGGTTGATTTCGACTGGTGATTGTGATACTGGCGTATGGCTAGCTCGATATGCTTTGTCATGCACCATCAGCAAATTGGTATCGATCCTCAGCCACCCACAGTCACTTACCTGTAACATGTCTGTCTAACAGATCTGGGATCTCGTCGAATATCAAACTCTCCAGGTCCACGTTGCGGAAACGGCCCTCCAGTGCACGCGTGCAGTGTGCAATCACCTGCACAATCTCGTCGACAAACGTCTCGTCCGGTGTGATCTTGTTGTACCAATTCTGGACAAACTCTCGCAGAACGATAGCTAGAAAGGCGTATATCTGCAAGTCGAGATCATTGCGGCTCGTCAGTGGCGGTAGCAGCTCCTCAATTGGCTGCGTGTCGTCACGGTTCTTGTCGGCCAGAGTCTGCGGGCACAGCGTCCTGCGTATCAGCATCAGCGTTGCTCTATCCGACAGAGCATCTGATATGCTCGCTGCAGGCGTAGATCGATTCTGTCGGCGTCCATCCCGTCCCGCGGCGGCCTTGTTCACTCGTCTCGCATGCTGCTTAGGGGTCGTCTGGTGCGGCGTGCTGCCGGCACTCATGGCGGTCAGGATGTCGTCAAAGTAAGCTTCGCAGGGGTTAGTCGGCAGGTATGTCAGATGGCAACGAGGCGCAGGCGAGGGTTCTTAAATGCAATGTAAATTACAACTGACAGGTATTGAAGAAGGGATCAGAGCATAGAAAAAGGGCAACGCCGTTGACAACACGACATGAACCGCCTGACCCGTGCGCCAGGCGCTGTGGTGCGGCGGCCCCGCCTGGGAATCTCGTTAGACGCCGCCACGCGTGAGGCGGGCACAAGTTTAAGCCTGCGCTGGGCAAGGCTAGCCGGGGTTGGGGGAGTAAAAATAAATCAATTAAAAATACAAAGAAGAAGGCCTGCGCCTCTTTTAGATCGGAAAGTGCTCTGTTTTCTAACCCTTGAGCTGGTTGGCAAACGGTGGCGCAGAGAGATGCATGTGCTGTTCGCCGGAGATGCAGCTGTCAGATTGCCAATATAAGACGTAATACTGTGCATAATCTACTATTCACGGTTGTACAACGGCCAAACAGCGTTTGCACAAATTGCACAAGTATATTATACATCTTCTATGAACAACAAGCAAACTTCAGGAGGTAAAGAGGAGACGGGTGGTAGTAATAGTCAAACATGTCGAGAAGAAAAAAAGGAAGATACAAAAAGTAGTTGTCAACAACACCCTCACCTAGTCCTACAAAAGGCGCATCCTTTCTTCACCATGAATTTAGTTTTATCCTCTATTTTGTACACGTTTTGCATTGACAAGAAACGAGCTACTATGCTGCTCGACAGCATGTTAGCCGACGCGCAGCTTACTCGTCGCCTTTGGTAGTCGTCTCGTAGCTGTAAGTCTTGGTTAGCACACCATTCTTATGTTCCAACACCATGATTTTGCACAACATACCGTTTTCCTCGGAACGCCCAAACACCCCAGTTGCCGCATGTAATGTCTTGGGGATCAGCATCGTTCAGGTCCCATCTTAAGCTGCGGAAGGTGTTCTCGCCAGGCTTGAGCAACATGTCAAATTCGCCACCAGACTTTTGCTGCACCCATTCCACATCACGCTCCATATCGAACTGCGTGTATCCTGTGCTGATGATGGGCAGCTTTGTCTCAAGAAGCAAAGGCAGCGTCTCATCCCACTCGTGACTGCTAGCAGGGTGACCCAGGCCAGGGTGGAAGAGCATAAAGCAGTCGAAATAAGGATCGTACGGCGCAAAGTAGCCAGTGTTGTGAACTGTGTGGAAGTAGTCCACAATGGTGCTAATCTTCATCTTGTACCACACGCGATCCTCGACGACAGCGCCGAACGGGTTCGACGGTGTTCGCTCAGGAAGCGGGAACTCGTCGTCACGGTTCGCCATGCTCTCCGGTCCGATGAAGATGAGGTGCAGGCGAGCCTCAGGGAAGAGATGGGCAAGCTGTACCCATGTCGAGCGAGGGAGAGACGATTCGGCTCGGGCTCCGAGAATAAAGATTCGCACGGGTGGAGGCTCAGGTCGCAGCTGCTGGATACTGGCGCCACGTCCAGACTTGCCGGGGTGCAAGTTGTATCGAAGAGCTATGAATTCAAGTCAGTACTCCACTACTTGATATCTGGTTCATTGGGTTATATGGTTAGTCTTACCGCTGAAACTCTTCAGACCCTCAGTGGTCAATCGTCCATTCTTTTGCATGCCGTAGGGACTAAGCTCATGCAAAACGCTACCAATGGTGACGGGATACGTCAATAGGCGGGTAATCTGACGCATGCCACGGTCCGAGTCAACAGCTTCGAACTCTCTTGTGTACATAAAGGTATCCCAGTTTGTCATGTTGATAGCAGCATCGTCAAGCTGCAGATCCGGAAGGTTGGCCTCGTGGAAGACGCGGCCGGATCGGAGATCGTGATCGTCCTCATTGATTTGACGAAGGGTATCACACACTTCCAGATGCTTTTCGTAGTGGTCCATCCAGTGCTCCTTGCAGCAGTACACGGGTACACCGCAGTCAGGGCACTCGAATCCGACGTGGGCCGGCGCCATCTCGCCCGTCGGCTCTGTAGGTTCTTCGCCTTTGCCAGCCACAGTTGGCAACTTCGTAGGCTTATGATCGGGATGCGGGCAGTATGCATGCTGCTTCATAAAAGCTGCGCGGCGGCGGAATTCGGGAACAGGCGAGTTGGTAAAGGAGTGGAAGAGATTGTCTTGGCTGAGTTTGACCGAGGTAGCCGGGGCATCCGTGTTGGTCTGTCGGGAAGCAGACGCACTCAATTGGTCCTTAGCTGACGATCCAAAGAGTCTGGCGCCATGTCCTGTGCAAGGATCGTTCTTGTGTTCGAGGGTGGCCGTTCTGGATATTCTTCGCACGGGGGTCGCGGTTCGGATGGACGCGAGCTGCCTCAAGGCCAGCTGCCTTTGCGCGGACATCGGACAGCGCGTGCAGAGGCTCTGGGCCGCACGATGGAGCGTTGGCTCCATGTTTTGACCGGATTTAACTGTAGCCTTGCGAGGGAAAGTCGGCGGTGGTGAACTTTTACAGGTTTCGTCGAAAGTTCAGTCTGCCACCCAAATGGCCTCCTGCGCTGCGCCAGCAGACCCACTAACAGAAGCAACCGCTGTGGCCGCCCGCAATAACTTTAGTTCCGGCCCTGATAATTTCTTTCAACCAATTTCTGCTGGCGTAACTCCTCTTCCTCCAAATTCAACAACCAGTCACCATGTGATGTTTGTTTCCGTCCGGAATCGCACCGCTTGCATATTTCTGGTCCGCCTGATTGCCATTCGCTCCACTTTATGTCTGCGGCAACGCATATATCGACATTATTTCCATTTAGGTAAGATTAAAACACGTTCTTCCCTCTGGCTTCCCTTTCCCTCGCTTTATGATGAGACTTTGAGATCCTATGCCAAAGAGCTGTGAGGTTTTTTACGCATTATTTCCAATTGTTCCTACTGAATCTTGTTGATATCTATTCATTACTGAACCACAAAGCCAATGGGTGAATCAGCTAGCTAACCAGGTTCCAGGCTCTACAGTGTATGTCAGTTCACTCCACGGCTGAAAGAACCGTATCCGATGTTGTTTCCTGCGACCCAGCCATGTCGACTTTTAACCTACAGTGCCTGTTAGGTGGAACGTCTCATACTGTGAAACAGGCCTCTTGAGCGGTGGTCTTGCCCTCGTGAATGTCGCCTCTCCCACTGTTCATCGGCGACATAGGCCTCGATTGCCAACTGTAAATCATAATCCGCCTGCTCCAGGTATAGTACTGCCTCGCTGTAGTCGTGAACTTTGCATGTCGTCATAAAGCGGCGAATCCTGCTCTTCCGCCGCTCTTCATCCTCTCCATCTATGGGACGTGGTGATAAGCTTTTACCATTGTGATAATATTCACCTGGTATGAGGATTGTTTTGCGGCCTTGCAGTAAATGATCACTGCCAATATTATTCTTTTGTCGTAGTGCAGAGGCTGGTACGCCGTAACGTAATGATAGCGATGATATCGTATCATGCTCGTGGTTTAGGAAGTGAAGCGTATCTTCTGGTACATGCTTCTCATTAAATACACCGCTTGGACTGTGCTTTGCTACATCGGTCCCATGAGAAGTTTCCGCAACACTGTAAGGCGGCGGTGCCAAGTCTTGTGGTGGCCTGGTCTGCGAGTATGAAGGCGGTAGTTTAAGACCTTGCGGTAATGGCCCTGGCACTCTCGAGATTTGGCAGTAAGGGCAGTATGTCGCAAATCTAGCGTTGTCCTATTTCTTGTTAACTCCAAACAAATGGGGTATCGCAAAGATAAACGTACATTGATGCAGTGGTAACATGTTATCCTACCACAACACAACTGCTGGACGTCCTCTCCAGTCTCTTTTTCTGCAGCTACTCCAGAGTCAACGGATAATGCTTTTGAGCAAATGCAGCAAGTGTCCAGCATCATTAGTCGTCTTCTAACTATTGGTATTGTTTCTATTGAAGTCAGAGGGGTCACGTTCGTAGCACGCCACCATGCGATTGCCACCATCGAAACACGCTAGCCAATCACAAACGACAGACGTCATACAACCCTCCATGGTGTCCGATGCACAAGTTCCGTATTTTTGATGATATTTTGTAATAATACACACCAGAATCCGTAATGCTTGTTTGAAAACTTTGATCATAGCTGATTACCTCAGGCATTGACACAGTCACCGTTCGGTGTCGGGTGTCGGACAGCGTCCACAGACGGCCCCGCCACTGTACCCTGCCGTACCGCCGATGCGATTTGCGCTCCGTCACTGTCTTTTTGGCCCCGACTTCGTTCCAGCAAGACCACGAACCGCATCAGCAACAACCAGATTCGACTAGATTCGACTCCCCCGGAGACCTGCGAGACTATCTCTTTTATCATTTTACCACGAAAAATCCATCGATCGCCCGCACACCACTGATAATGAGCAAGCCAGGTGGGCTCGCCTTCGGGCTGAATACCTCGAAGAAGGGTGGCCTTGCAAAGCCTCTAGCGGGACGAGCCATGTTTGGTGGCGACGATTCCGATGAAGATAACAACGATAGCCTCAATGGCGGAGATCATAACGCAGCTTCCGCGATATCATCGAAAGCCAAAAAGTCTAGCGCTCCTCTCACACAACCGCCTAAGCTCAAGTCGAAACCTGGCGTTAACGCAATGTTTGGAGATCTGTCGAGTGCCTTAACATCGAGAAAGAATGCTGAAGCTGCTGCCGAGGTTGATTCTAGCGTCTACGAATATGACAATGTCTACGACTCGTTTAAACCGAAGAAGGAAACCAAACAGGAGGACATCGAGCGAAAACCGAAATACATGCGCAATCTGATTAATGCAGCTGAGGTTCGCAAACGAGATGCATTGATTGCTGAAGAAAAGAAGATTGCACGTGAAAGAGAGGCGGAGGGCGACGAGTTTGAAGGAAAGGAGAAATTCGTCACTGCTGCGTACAAGAAACAACAGGAGGAGAACAGGAGGATAGAGGAAGAGGAGAAGAGAAGGGAAGAGGAAGAAGCTAAAAAGAACCAAGGATCAGGCATGACCACGTTTTACAAGACGTTGCTTGAAAAGGACGAGGCTCGGCATGCTGCATCTGTCAAAGCTGCGGAAGAAATGGCTAAGAATGGTCCCAAGGATGCTACGACGCCCGCCGAGGCCGATGATCTAGACGCAGATAAAGATGCAGCTACTCGGGCAAAAGAGCTCAACAGTCATGGTGCCTCTGTGGACATTAATGACGACGGCCAAGTTGTAGACAAGCGCCAGTTACTAAAGGGAGGCTTGAACGTTGGCGCTAAGAAGAAGACGCCAGTCGCACAAGAGACGCAGCGCTCTAGAGAACCGGATTCAAGGCCAAATTACAACTCTGGACAGCATGGTCGCCGGCAGGCCATGCGCGAACGTCAATCACGAATGATGGAAGAGCAGCTGGAACAGTCTCTCAAGCGGTCACTGGAGGAGGAGACGGCGCAAAAGGAGGAAATGGAACGCAATACCAAGAGCCGCAAGACGGAAGGCGAAATTTCAAGCGCCAAGGAACGATACCTCGCCCGAAAACGCGCTGCTGAAGAGGCAAAGAAACAAGGCAGCGGAGAGTCATAGTGGTGCGCGATGGAAGATGAAGCATCGATGGGCGCAATGCAGCATACTATATTGGTTAATTGGACCACAAATCACGACATTTATACCGCTACTACCGGTGCAAGATTATAGTATAAATTATCTTTTATTGTATAATACACGGTGCCGCCAATGGCAGACCAAAGATAAGAGCGATGCCATCGCTATCCTATTTTTACATGGCGTGCTTTTTCATATCCCAAAATGTATGTTTTGTATGCTGTACTTTCCAAGCTCGTCTTTTTATGCGTTATCGTCTCGTGGGTATTCCGCAATCTAATTCTTCAGCTGCTCCTGCTTGATTCTGTTGATGTATGAAGCGTTTACTTGGTTCCAGGCGGCCATGTACTTCTCCATGCAGGTCGTGGCGCAGGACTGTTCGCTGCTAGACAAGCTTCCGCCAGGCTTGGGGACACACTTTTCGAAGCAAATCTCCTGGAGGTTCTGTAAGGGCAAGAAAATGTTAGTTTCTCAGAACATGGAAGCGAAAGCTCATTCCTAGCATACGCACCTCAATCAGGACGCGGGCGTTGGCAACGTTGGCCTCTGTCTGGACCTGCTTCATGACAGCCTGCTTAACCGAGCTGGAATCCATTTTTGCAAAGATGTATGGTATGTGATTGGTATATTCGGAGGGATTGTTTCGTGATGATGGGAGAGCTGAAGTCGTTAAAAGGACGCCAACGCTGCTCCCAAGTGCCTTCTTTTTCTCCGGGGCGGCGACCCGGCCAGGATCCACTTTTTGGTTTTCTGCCCGTACTGCCTTCCCCAGTTGTATGGTGGCCACAGCGGGCGGTGTGGCTGGCGCAGGGACCGTCCGACCGAGTGCCACGACCTACGACCCGCACCAAAGAGGACAACTTGTGTTTGGAGCTTCAACTGCTTGGAAGGGGCTGGCTTCATCCTGCACCACTTTGCACCTCGCCGTCGCAGACGCATCATTTCAGCGTTTTGTTTGGTTTTCTTTCCTTGATTTTTCTTTTCCTTTCCACCGACTCTTTCTTTTATTCGAATTACGCACGGTCTACGCCTCGACGCATAACACACACATACATACAACTGATCACCGTTGAAGATCCGACATCTAGCCATCATGCGGATGCCATCCTTCTCTGCCCTCGTGCTCGGCGCTCTCGCCTGGACTGCCAGCGCAAACAACGACGATGATGTTCGACGCATTTCGGTTAGCAGACATGATACCAATTGATTTACAGGAACAGCACTAACAATACAATTGCTACAGCTCCGCACTCACACGCTCGAGCAGGTTCGTTGACGACTTGAGACACGTGAAAGAGGACGATTGACTAATATTCTCGACAGCCGTACCTCGACTCCGAAATGCAAAGTAGATGGTTCGACTTTGGAGGAGACACTGTCGTTCGCGCCGACTCGTAAATTTCCCCCACACGCATCCGTTTTATAACGAGGCACGCGAGTTAGCTAACAAACATATGACTACACAGATATATCCGCCTTACGTCTGACCGCCCTTCGCAGTCCGGTTGGCTGTTCTCTCGAGTTCCGCTGACGGCTACCAACTGGGAGGTAGAAGTTGAATTTAAGATTTCCGGCAAGAACCAGCTCTACGGTGACGGCTTCGCCATGTGGATCACACGACAGCGCGGCCAGCAAGGCGATGTCTTTGGAAACGCCGACCGCTTCGAAGGATTGGGCGTCTTTGTCGATACCTACAAGAACAACCGCCCCGGTGTCGTCTTCCCATACGTTATGGCCATGTACGGCGATGGCCATAAGTCGTACGACAAGAGCAACGACGGCAAGGAAGGCGAGCTTGCCGGCTGCTCGGCCCGTGGTATCCGCCATGCCAACGTCGACACCAAGTTGCGCCTCACTTATTTCCAGGACAAGCAGCTCAAGCTTGAGTTGCAGTACAAGAACGAGGACGAGTGGACCGAGTGCTTCAACATTGACAACCCACCTGCCATCCCCAACATTGCCTACCTCGGTTTCAGCGCTGAGACTGGCGAGCTCAGCGACAACCACGACATCATCTCCGTCAAGTCATACAACTTGTACTCCCAGCCTGGAGCTGCGGGTCGATCCAACAGCGGTACCAGCAGCCATGGCGGCAGCAAGCACTCCGGTAACAGTGGCAGCTGGACCTGGTTCTTTACCAAGATCATTCTCTTCTTCCTTATCGTTGCCGCCGCCTACGTTGCCTTCACTGCCTATAGAACAAAGGCGAGAAGCCACCGTTTCTAGAGAAGTGTTGAAGTTTGGTTGGACGGAGAAAAAGTAGGATGTAACAGGAACGCATTTGCGTATGTTTGGGACGATTATACAACGTATGGGCGGGATTGTGAAGGACAGTGTTTCTTCTATATAGCGCTGTGAAGCTGCTTCCTATGCCATGGAAAGTGAAGAAGACAGCAAACCGCTGTAGAAAGCATATTGAAACAATATAAAAATCACATATGTATCATAAGCAACGAGTACAAGACCTTGTTTGATTTTGTGTCACCTCATACCATTTCACCTGACCGCTGTTTCAAATCGATTCTAGCATAAAGTTTAAAGGATGAGAGTGGCTATGTGTTTTACACTGTGAATTGAGTTTGACAAATAAGACGGTTAGTTATACAGGGTAGCCAGCCGCCGAAGCGAGCGGGAAGCGTGTCGAGCGCATATGCCGTTTATTGATTAAATCTGAAACTTGTTATATTTTCAAATGAATTAATTTGGAATTTGACTCGTCATAAACGAGTTGAAAGGCATAGTGTCAAGGGCTGGGTTGGACTATTGTAGGCTGATTGGCGATTAGAGTTTCTCCAAGGGCGGCGAGGCGCACGACGCAAACAGCTTCGGAGCTCGGCGACCTGTATTCGTATCGTATGATTATTCAAAAAGGGGACGAAGCAGATGCGTAGTGAGTAAGTCTTCCTCTCGTAAATAAACAATATTAATCGCAAAATATTTAATTTATTTTCCTGAGATTACACGCTGTGCAATTACAGTCGCAAAAGACGACCGCAACGTACAGCTTCTGCGGACTTTACTTGCTCGCGAACAGCGCCGAAGATGGAATTCCCCCATTCCACAGAATCGCCGGGCTCCAGGCCTGCCGCTCCTTCGGGTAGCGAGCTGGGCTCAGTTTCTACAAAAGTGGTGTGTGGGACGGCATGTTTTTTGGGGGTGACGGCCAGAGCCTTGGGGAGAGAACGCAAATTGCCCGCGAGAACAGACAGGCCCGGCAAGTTGGAATTCTATATACCGTAGCTTGTCGTAGAATCTGTGCAGCAGATGAGCCTGAGCTAGAACGAACGTCTCTGCTGCGCCCGGGGTTAACGTGGGATGACGGGGTGGCAAGCAGCAGCAGCACGCCATAGGATTATGTGGTATCTCGATGCCTCGTGGGCGGGCTAGGCTCTTCCCCACCCCAGCACATGCTGCTTGTCAATCCACTGCGACCACCCAAGCTGATCCTGCTTGAGCAAATGGCGATCTTGGCGTGCTGTTAGCGGTAGTTTGTTGGGCCGTGGGGTGGTGCTGATGCTGATGCTTTATGGCAGGAGAAGGGGCACTAGGAAACATACTGGAGACCTAGTAACAGCAAGGCAGCAGCGCAAAACACATTGGCAACGGCATGAATCACAAACAGCGTCGGCGGATTGATACGCGGGCAAACCTTGAAACCAGCCCAGCCACTGTGCTCGTTGGTTTGGATCTGCGGGCGACCAAGGCGATCTAGCTTTGCTCCTAGTGGCTGGCAGCAAGCACAGCATGGCAGACGGCCCTTTTTTTCTCTCTGTACTCTGCGCGCGGGGCTGCAGGCGGCTAGCAAAAACCACGCAAATGGCGGAACCGCCCCCCAGCTAATAACACTGTAACAGTGCCTGTTGCAGAGCTGCTACACAGGCGATTCCAATTGGGCTGCATTGGAGGCAGAAGAGGCAGTAGAAAACCGTAGAATACATTGCGCATTTAATATCGCCCATTCACCCCCAACAAAGTACCCAAGCTTCTCTGCTCCCCAGCCCTCGCTGCCAATCCAAGCCGAAACCTTGCGCTGCATTCCCTGCCTGTCTGCCTCTCTGCTGCGTCGGCGGTCGCAGTGGAGCTCAGCAGCCTCCCCCGCAGTCCATCCACCAAGCGTAAAAAAAACAGCGCTAAAACCAAATCCGCACCGCCTGCAGTGTGCTGCACCACCAGCGTCTCAATGGGTGCCTCCTCTTCCGGGTCCCCTCCCCCTCTTACGCTTTTCTCCTCCTGCGCCCATTGCTCTCTTCTTCCCTCCTCCGCTTTGCTTTCCATTGCCGAGCCTCGTCCAATTCCATCCATCGCAACCCATCGCCTGGTCGGAATCAAAATCACGCCCATTCGAATTCGCAATCTAGTCGTTTCTTGCGCTTCCAGCACTCGTGCACCGCCGTTGTTGCTGGGCAATTAGCATAGCTTCCAAGTCGCAACCGGAGCTTGCCTCTCGCACCCACCCCTCGTCTCCAGCAATAGCAGCCCCTCCGAATCCGAACGCCCATTCCCGGTTTAATCCACCATCACTGCGGCCATCGTTGAATAATCATTAATTAAATCGTGGTATTTTTTTCTTTTCCTCTTGGAAGAAGAGAAAAACAACAGATCCTTTCTCTAGGCGCGATATTCCGTAGGACTGCCCTATGCCTATGCCAAGTCTTGGATTTCTTAAGAAGAAGCGGACGAGGGACGGCAATTCAGATCCGTCTTCTTCCAACCCCACCAGCCCCGTCACCTCGAAGCCCTTTGATACTTCTTCACAACCCCGAACTCTCTCTGGACTTGGTCAGGCAGGAGCCGCTGCGCCTTCCCAGTCTGGCCAGAGCCAATCCGATTCCAACCCAGCGGTACCTATCGCGCAGCAACAGCAACAGCAAGCTCCTCAGCAACCGCCCATCCAGGGACAAGAGCAGCAGCAGCAACCACCACCACAACAGCAACAGCAGATAGACGGTCAGATGAACCCCCAATTTGTCCAAGGCACTGCCTATGCTGCAGCTCCTGGAGTGCAGGACCCGCAGAATCTCCCAACCATCAGTAACCTCATGAACCCTCAAAGCGATGGCTCGGCGAACCACTACTCTACATCACCCTACCCTGCCGTCATGAGCAACTCCAACCCGCACACTGCCAGCGCTAGCCCAGGAACCGACCCCGAACTTCTCAAGCAACAACAGCAGCAGGCTCATCCTGTGCCCGCCATGCAGCCCCAGCATCAACAACATCTCCAGGCTGATACCCACATGCAACAGCAGCACCACATGCAGCAGCAACAGATGGCCCAAGCCCGCGTCACAAAGGGCAAATATTCCCTGGGCGACTTTGAAATCTTGCGAACTCTTGGAACCGGTAGTTTTGGCCGAGTTCATTTGGTTCAGTCTAGACACAACCAGCGATTCTACGCCATCAAGGTTTTGAAAAAGGCTCAGGTAGTCAAGATGAAGCAGGTTGAGCACACTAACGACGAGCGTCGTATGCTCAGCGATGTCAAGCATCCTTTCCTCGTTACCCTCTGGGGAACCTTCCAAGACTGGAAGAACCTGTACATGGTCATGGACTTTGTCGAAGGTGGAGAGCTCTTCTCGCTGCTCAGAAAATCTGGCGTGAGTAGTATACGCTAATACAACATTCGTATGTGGAGGCTAACCTTGAGAACAGCGTTTCCCTAACCCGGTTGCTAAATTCTATGCTGCCGAAGCCACCTTAGCTCTCGAGTACTTGCACTCCAAGAACATTATTTACAGAGACTTGAAGCCGGAGAACCTGCTCCTGGACCGCCACGGCCATCTCAAGATTACTGACTTTGGCTTTGCCAAACTTGTGCCTGACAAGACTTGGACTCTCTGCGGCACCCCCGATTATCTTGCTCCAGAAGTAGTCTCAAACAAAGGTTACAACAAGTCGGTCGATTGGTGGTCATTAGGCATTCTCATCTACGAAATGCTGTGCGGCTACACGCCATTCTGGGACAGTGGCTCTCCTATGAGAATATATGAAAACATCCTCAAAGGCAAAGTCAAGTACCCGGCGTACGTCAACCCCGATGCGCAAAATCTTTTGGAGCGCTTGATCACGGCCGACCTCACCAAACGCCTAGGCAACTTGTATGGAGGCCCTCAGGATGTCAAGAACCACCCTTGGTTCGCTGAAGTCACCTGGGACCGTCTCGCGCGCAAGGATATTGATGCGCCATACACGCCACCAGTCAAGGCAGGAACAGGCGATGCGAGCCAGTTTGACAGATACCCCGAGGACCCCGAGAAATACGGAGGCTCCGGTGGCCACGACGAGTAAGTTCTTCATGATTGATGTATCGCCACAGTATGTTGCCCAGAACTAACCTCCCCTATAGGTTCGGCCACTTGTTTACAGACTTTTAAAAAAACACACAAATCCACACACCGAAACGCCATAGCCCTGGATTCGCCCTTTTTTTTACTTTGCTTGATGTTTTTGTTCAATTTGGAGCTGGGAGACTAAGATGAGCATTCGATGAGGTCAATGGGATGCGAAATGGATGACGAGAACTATGCCGGATTGGACGCTATTCCTTTTGTTATACTTATGGCTGCCATTTGGCATCTAGTCACTTGGCCCGTCTTTTGCGCATGTGCTAAGTGGTTGAAGCTTGTACGAGTCTGGCTCGTTGCATTGTCCTGAAATGATACAATCAGATACTATTCTTGTATAGCCACAGTAGTGATATGAATCAATGCGTTATCAGTCAATCGCCCTACCACTGCGGTACGAACATGTATCTAATTGTATTTTCTTGTTTGATCAATTGACGCTGCCTTGCAAAATATCCGCACTGTCCACGAATGCACAATGTCGATGCTGAGGCTGCCAGCGCAGCGTGGAGTGACGATCCCTGCACAATGCGGGTGGTTGGAAGCCAAAAGTAGCGGCGTTTAAAATTGGTAGTGCAGCATGCAGCCTGCAGCGGAGGCCGCACCTGGCGACCGGCGTCAGCATCTTCTTTTCCTCTCATCTCCTCGCTTGAACCTTCTTTTTATCTCTAATTATCCCCCTGGTCGATTCCCCCCTCGTAGCATTGAACTTTCACTGCGCTGTGCAGCAGCCTCCGCCATGGACGACTACATGTTTCGCCATTTCGTCAACGAGTGCCGAGAGGTCTCAGAAGCGACGTCGTATGTCGAAATATTTAATTATTCGGTAAGGGAGCCGCTACATGGGTTATAGATGTGACTGTGTCTGACTATGAGTTCATCAAGGACCCCTTTTACAACTCATGTGAGGAGCATCCCCTAACGCCAGATGAATTCGACAACTTTTTACACCAAAAGGTGCGTAGCAGCGTATATGTAACCATCAGTTGGAACTAACGTGAGATATGAAGGGCGCGTTTGCACCGCCCAAAAAGATGAAGGCTGATGTCAAGCTCCTAAGTGGTATACGCCTAGTGTAAGAGTGCGCGCAATCTGATGCGAGCTCGTTGTGACGGCTAACGTTCGATTTGTAGCGTGCAAAGCAATGCCAAAGAAAAGGACACATTCATGCCAAAAGTTATTTCACTACCCAAGAATGCCTACGCCTCCATGGTAAAGGTCATGAAGCTTCCATACCGAGGTATTGAGACAACCTCGGTCGTTGGGCCCTTCTTCTGGAGCTCCCTGGACCACAACAAGCAGGATCCTCATTTGCGTAAGTTGGGAACGGTTACGTCTTACTGGAAAGTATGGACTGACTGTAGATGTAGATATCTTGCACCGAAAATCAGACGTCCGCAAGAAGGGCAGGACAAGAGGGTGGGAAATGATGCTTTCCCACTCCTTCCGCTCGCACATCACTACCGGCTACGTTAAAGGCACGCCGAGTTCGGACGTTGTTCAGGCCCTTGTCCATCTGAAAGCTTGCGCAGCTCAAGTTGGTCACCCCATGCTTCTCCCAATCATTATCCTCTCCCATGACCTGAGCCCGGCCAATGACCAAAAACAGCGCGACGCAAGAGATTGGTTACGCCGTCTTGAGAATGCTGTGAGTTTACGCAATGAGATCGAAGACAATGAGCAGTACTTTCAGGATGGCGTATTAGAGGTGGATGGTCTCAACCGAGACCTTGTCGAATGCCACAGCAATGTTCTTTGGAAACGGCCACAGGCATACATGGCTCTCACAATCGAAATGGAGACAGCCATGACACGGTTTCGACAAAATTGTGCGGCATTCCGTATCAAGCATAATACAAGCTTTCGACATTCAGCAAGCTTTGACGATAAGACCATGGTTAATGAAGATTTTGAGAAAGACGATGAGAATATGCTGAAGCTACATGACAGCATGATGGCTCGCCTGGACTTTTACAAGGTGAAGCTCAAGGGCTTGGAAAATTACATTCATACGACTTTGCAAAGACTCAAGGTTCAGCGAGAAGCGGTACGTCATGTTTTTGAACACTGCAAAATGAAATATGAGGCTAACTATGATGCAAGCTGTACAACATCATGTCACAACGTGAAGCTCGACTTAATTTAGAAATTGCTGGAGAACAGCGACGAATTGCCCATGCCAGCAAGCGTGATAGCACAGCTATGAAGACAATATCGCTTATGGGTACGCTCTTCTTACCAGGCACGTTTCTTGCCTCTGTTTTCAGCATGACGTTTTTCAATTTCCAATCCAGTAAGTTATCCATAATCTTGCCCTTGATAGTGGCAATTGCATCTAACGTATTCTTCTACAGATGCCGATCCAGTTGTATCAACAAGCATTTGGATTTACTTTGCTGTTACGATACCCATCACAGCCCTCATTGTCGCTGCTTGGGTCATGTATGACCGCCACAAGGAGGCTAGTTATGCCCAGAGCGATGCCGACCTGGAAAAGGATATCGATCACATGGAAAAGGACATCATGTTCCACCTCCGCAAGCGAACAATGAGCAAGGCCAACACGTGGAATTCAGTTTCTGCATCGCCTGCAATTTAAGCGTCTCGTCAAATAGTATGAACTGGTCTATTAGATTTGGGAATAGGTTATGATGCCTATATGTCGTATAACAGAGGGAGTACAATGATTGGTTTCTTAGTAATATATCCAATGAAGTTTCTATAAACTATGTTGCTACACATGCGATGCCGCTGACAAAACAAAGATGTACTCGGAACCCCAAACTCCAAAATTATGTGCTTCAAGGCACGCTACAGCATATGCAAGTCATTAACCAAGGCGAATCTGTCCGCCATTATCGCTAGCACCTCCACCTCTGTTGGTGTTACTGCTACTGCCTCCACCGCCAAACCATGATCGAAGATCGGAGTCTGCACCTCGACTTTGGCCGTTGTTTTGTGAGTAATTGGGTGCCATCCACTTAGGTCTCTGGATACCCTGACCGATATCTGTGAACCACTTTGGTGCTTCGATACCGTCCATCGTATTCTTCATCCTGTGACCTAACAGCTGAAGGAAGCTCTCGTTCTCTGGAGGTTCATCCAGATACCGGCCACGCGTTGATGGTGACGCGGATGAAATACCCATGGATGATGGGACAGGTAGGCGAGAGCTGCTTCCTCCCTGTGCTGGGGGTACAGACAGCACAGGCAGGCTTCTGTTGCTACCACTTCCGGCGTTTTCAAGACGTGCATACAAGTCTTCGCGCCGACGGATAGACTCCCCGTTAAGCTCGCGTTCAATGAGGCTTCGACCTTCTCGCCATGTACCAGTTCCAAAGCTGGACGGATTTTCTTCATCCTCATCATCCATGAGGTCAATGCCAACAAACATGCGCTTGACCCTGCCGTACAAGCCAAACATGGTGGCGCAGACGGGGAACAGAACGAATATGGGAAATAAGTCATCGAACCAGCCACCAAGCGCTGTTAGGTTGATCAGCTTGCCGAGGAAGTGGTAGAAAGTCGTCTTTTCGTAAATGTCGGTAGATAGGAAAGTCAAGAAGTTGTAGACTAGAGGAATGGTGAGCTTGGCAACTTGGGATGCATACCAAAATGCAGATTCATAAGAGGTATTGCGCTTAACTAGCGCACGGCCTCGCCAAACCTTGACCTCAGTCATGGATATAAATGCGGCAGCGCACATGTAGCAAATCCACATGGCAGATATAACCTGACCAGCCAAGCCGATTTCAGCCTTATCCCCGACCCAGTGGTGCACAACGGTGACGCTGATAACGGACAGCTTCGGAAATGCCACCTTTACTACTTCAGACCATACGATGCAGGCTGATGCGCCCGCAAGTACGAATCCCATCGCAAGCTGTAAATATGGTGCTGCATAGTAGCACCAAATATGCCGCTGGTATGGAGTAAGAAAGCTGAAGCTCATAGCTCCGCTTTCATGCGGCCCAGCCATCCCAAGTTCTAGCTTCTTGGAAGCTGCAGAATCTAAAATCTTTTGCGTCGTGCTCGCTTCTTGAACAAGGCGATGCCACTCGCTCGCATATCGCGAGCTCGTGTGCCTGGCCCGAATGGTTCGTCTCGTGAGCTCAGCGAGATATTTGTCGGTGATAACAGTTGGTATTATGCGGTTGGTGCCGTGAGGATCGCTTCCGTCGCGGGGCGGATGAGCCGGCGAAATGTTCGCTATGTCGTGTAGCTCCTCGATCCAATCCTGGTAATCGGCGGCGCTGCCAATCTTGCGCTTACCGAGTTCAAAAATCTGAGCCTCTATTTCTTCTAGGTCTGCTGCAGCATCGCCCATCTTTTCGAATAACGCAGGCGCCTTCGTTTGTAGTCGTCGCAGCTTACTGCTCAGAGTCGCATCTCGAATCAATCGCCGAGGGATGGAAACGAGTCCATGTCCCATCAGGTAGATGGCCAAGATAAGACCCCAGGAGTAAGCAAGGGCCATGACGAGAGCTTTGATAAACTCGAATTTGAAGCCATATTGTATGATGATATATAGCAGCCCGACAAATGACGCGCCAAGAGTCATGGCGTAAAATTGGGCATTTTCGCGGAGCGAATGTCGAAGTTTATCCTGCGGCTCCCGGTAGCCAGAGTCGGAGTATTCATCTAAAATCGGTAGGAGGAACCTGTAGTAGAACTATTAGCAACGTCGAGGCGTATGAATTTGTGCAGTTAAACCTACCAAGTTAGACAGAAAGTTAGCCAGTATGTGATTCTCCAAGCAACAAGAATGACCCTTCCAGGTAGCCAAATTCCTCTTGTAGCCTCATCATCTGTCGCTGCACTAGATGCAAGATCGATAGGAACAAGAAGCACAGTGACCGATGGAAGCCAGAGAGCAAAGAATATCGGAATAAGATAGAACGCTGGTGTCGTGCGCAGGGGAAGATAGTGTCGTAAGATCAGGAGAACGATGAGGGATATGAAAAGGAGCGCAAATACGGAAAATATGATGGAGCCTACAGGCGCACCACGGCTTGCGATATCCATCGTAGCAAATAACTGTGCATTTATAGCCTGCGCAAGGCAGAGAGCGCGGATGTGAAGGCGACGTTGAAGTTGAAGACGGACGCTCCCGGCTGCTTCGGTGGTTTGGTAGCGTGACGTAAGGCGCTTAAACGGGCAATGAACCACTACTGAGCCACTATAGTGGCCACGAGGCGGCTCCAGGAGCAAGTTGCTGCCTTATAAATATGGCACTACTTTTGGCTTTTAATTGAATCGCGTCTACTACGCGACCTGCGCCAGCGTCACTCAACTCATCCCACTCTGACCTGATTTTGGACATCACCATCAGACACTGGTACTTGCACGGGCGTAATATTCTCTGTTCTTGAATATGGCTGAGTTTGGCGAATTGGGAAAATGTACAACATCACTAATTTCATCTTTTAAATTTTATTCACAGCTAACGATGGCAAATAGGGATTGCCGATTCCAACGAGGCACTAAGCATCAGCTTGGTTGAGCCATCGTCCACCGGGCTTAAGGAAATCGCCAAGTTCAATCCTGAATTTACGTACACCATCTTTGGCGAGGAGCAACAGGTCTTCGGGTACACCAAGTTGGATATTAACTTGCGCTACCGTGCCAATGACATGCGCCCCAACTTACAGATGAAATATAGCGAGAAGTTCAAACCAATTGGCGAGACCACTGCGATGGATGTTGTCGATATGATGAAGACCGATGGTTGTCTCCCCGAGAGTATGTAGCTGCCCGCTTGCGTCATTCTCTTCCTTTGGTGTACTAATGCTTTATAGTTGCGTTTACGAAAGCTGCCGATTTCGAATCGAACTCCCAGAAGATGACAGATGACTGGACTCCTCCAGGCGAGCTGCATGCCTCATTTGAGGGCCCTGATGCCACGTACGAAATCTGGAAGGGTGGTTTGGAAGACCCTGCCATCAAGCAACTCAATGCCCGTTTGCAGGTGCTTGTTCCCCTCTTCATCGAGGGCGGATCGTTCATCCAAGATCTTGATGACGATGTTGAGGCTCCTTCTGATGACGATCGCTGGACCCTGTTTCTCCTTTACCGCAAATCGAGTCCGGCGTCAGATAGCTCCAAAAGCTCATACGTCTTTGCCGGTTACTCAACTGTCTATCGTTTCTTCTACTTCCAGCCGCCATCGCCGCCTCCCTCACCTCAACAGGACTGGGAGCTCCCAACTCAGAATCTAACATTCTCCTCGATGCCAAGCCGTACGCGTCTCTCGCAATTCATCATTCTACCGCCCTTCCAGAGCAAGGGACTTGGTACAAGACTGTATGAAACCATCTTCAAGCACTATTATAACGAGGCGTCCACTCTTGAATTCACAATCGAGAACCCTAACGAGGGATTTGACAAGATCCGCGACGTCTGTGATCTCAAATTCTTACGATCTCTCCCTACCTTTAGCGCCTTGAAGCTCAACGAGGCCGCCGCTGTCCCTCACTCTGGCTCGGTCCCATCTCTCATCAGCGGTGGAGACGTCGACGCTATTCGCCGTGCGTCTAAGATTGCACCAAGACAATTTAACAGAGTCTTGGAAATGCAAATCATGTCACAACTGCCAGAATCTGTCCAACCAACGGTTGAAATCGAAGTGAAGAAGCCCGCTTCCACAAAGGAAGATCGTCACCTCGAACGTCTGTGGCAGATTTTCGCCAAGCAAAGGCTTTACCGTCATAACAGAGAGGCTCTCAGCCAAATGGAGCATGCTGACAGGGTTCAGAAGCTGCATGAGACTCTGAACCAAGTTGAATACGGCTACGCACTCATTCTAAACCCCTCCAAGGCGTCAGAAGCAGATGAGTCAGGCAGCTCAAGCGGTCAGACGAATGGAAAGAGAAAGCTTGACGACGACGACGAGACGTCATCGAAGAAGGCTAGGGTTGATGATGAGTAACACTAGACGAGAGGCCGGACTGTAACTGGGCGTTTGGGGTTATTTCATAGGTTCACATGTAACATTAAGCTAGACACAGCTTGGTAAAAGCAAGTTGCATTTTTAAATCAATCGAAAACTTTTGTATCATCTAACTTCATGTTTGTATGGCTCATCATAGTGTTTAGTTGTGGCGAGTGCCATTGACACCTTGGACACCCTTGCCAAGTTGGCTAGCAACTGTGGTAGCTTCACGAACGGCTCTGGAAACGGCGCCACGGACACCACCCTCTTCCAGAACAAGAAGCCCGCCAATGGTGCAGCCGCCTGGGGTGCAGACCTTTTCACGAAGGATGGCAGGATGTTCACCGCTCTGGACAAGGCCAGTTACACCACGCATAGTCTGGGCAGCGATGCGCTGTGCCTCTGCTCTTGGAAGGCCCATGGCAACACCACCGTCAATGGCGGCCTCAAGCATGAGGGCAAACATGGCTGGGCCGGAACCAGCCAAAGCGGTGGAAGCGTCCATGTTGTTAGGTGGGAGGTAGACAACATCACCAATTTGCTTGAAAATCCAGGTGATGAGCTTCTCCGATTCGTCAGACAGAGGAGGGTCGCTGATGCCGATAACTGTCATGGATTCTCTGATGAGGGCGGCGGTGTTGAACATGGCGCGAACGCAACGGCATCGGCCATCCTCGGTTGGGCTTTGCTTAGGGACCTCACCGTAGAGGGCGGTTTCCATATCTTCGACAGTGATACCAGCACAAACACTGATCAACAGCTTTCCCTTCAAAGCATCAGCAATACCAGCCTCGCCCAGGACACCCTTGACCATATAGGGCTTGCAAGCCAGGAGAACAACATCGGCCTTCTTCACAGAGGCAACATTGTCGTTACGGACGACGTTGACACCGGAGGCATTGTCGCCCAGGGTCTTGATGATTCTGTCTGCACTGCGCTGGCTACGAACACAGGCAATGAACTCTGAGGGAAGAGAAGCGGGTGTCTCTGTAGACGGAGCGGTGCCATTAGCCTTGAGCTCGCCCAATGACGTCAGAATGCCGTTAAGGATAGCAATGCCCATGGTACCTATTCATGGTTAAGATAAATTTTGGAGAATCAGAGATTAGATACATACCGCAGCCGAGGACGGTCATGGTGAGGCCATTGTTGGACGCCATCTTGTGCTTCGAGATAGTAGATCTGGTTGGCTTCCTCTGCTGAGAGATTAGCGATTTGACTGTGAAGGTCGGCTGGACGTGAATTGCAGGGTAGTTTACTGTGAGAATGTGAATGAACAAGAGTTGGTCAGCAATTGTTATTGTTTGCGTCTGTTGAAAAGTTTAGACGAGTTCAACGCTGATGATATAGTGTAGTCAGGAATTGAAGTGCTGAAGAATTGAAGCCGACGCTATCCTTTGCAGTGCCAGCCAGGTGCCCGACTTCGCTGCGGGCCCCGCCGTGATTCTTGGCGGGATGGCCAGTTGCTCTTTTGCCGCTCCCGGAGCTTTGCCGGGCTGCGACTTTACAAGCCGAGTAACGGTCCAGGCTTATTTACAGGACTTATAGAGCTTTAATGTTAATACACAATGATGCCTTGATATTTAGCATTTTTAAAGCACGTGATATTCCTCCATAGGTCTCTATTCTGTTTATATACGTGGCATCTTTTTAAGATTTCCTGGTGTTCTGGGCTTACCAACTGTACGTCCCACTATAAGAATAGCGCGCTACAGCGCCAGATTGTCAACTGCCCAGTGCGCTACTGCCCGCTACCAAGAGAATTTACAGCCTGTCTTGCATAGCTTGACAAAATCATTGCGCTGCATCAACAACACACCTGTCTCCAGCGCCTGTCACTTAAAATGGCCGATCCGTTTGAGGTTCGCATGAGATTCAGCTCTCAGCTGCAGAGACTTAATGCGTCTGTATCATCAGCTCAGAAAGCCGCGCAGTATGCGCTTAAATACAAAGACATGGACGAAGACTTGCATTCATGCATCTTGGAGCAAATTGAACGTGTCAGTTCTCCCGTCGTATGGTTCTGAGGTGGCCTTGAGCATATGCTGACTATTCCAACAGAATAACATGAATACAAGAGCTAACATAATGTACTTTATTGAACATTTCTTGGACCTGGCGCAGAAAGATGGGCACGGCGACTACATCCGCATGATGCAGCGAGACATCATCCGAGTTGTCGACGCAGTTGCACCCGATGATGGCTCAGGCGCTGCCAACGTTAAAGTCGTGCGCAAGGTATGTTACCTATGTTGTTGATAGTATATCGAGATACTGACGAAATGTAATAGGTGCTCGCTGGCATGCAAGCGAAGGGCTATTTGGAGGAGCAAACCGTTTCTCAGATTGAAGACGTGATAAAGGAGAGAGCCGCCACCGAGCAGGACTTGGATCCATCATCTCCAGCAGAAGACACTGAAATCTCAGATAAGACACCATCGCAGAAACCAAGCCGTCGAACAGCACCGGCACGGCCAGAGAAGCGACAGATCGAGCAGCGCATCGAAGAGGATAGAGAACGACACAAGCGCGAACGTGAAAGCATCTGGGCTATTCCATCTGGCAGAGATGCCGAAGCTAATAAACTCTGGGAAGACACGAGCGATTTTGGCGAAGATGACGACCGACTTATCACTGAAGAGAGTCAGGAGTTCCTGACCGAGATGGAGATGCAGAAATGTGACCATCAGCAGCTGGCTAATGGCGGGCAGTCGACTCAGGCGGCTGTTTAGTCTTCTGTTCGGGTATCCTTTGAGGCATCTATAGCATCGCAGCGGCGTTTTTACTTTCTGGCTTAGGCACGGGGTTGATGGGTAAAAGTTTAGGCGTCTCTTCTTGAGTAGTGCGTAGACCGGCGTCTTTTTTTCTTCATTGTTTCTACTCAAACTTAGCGTGTTATAATATTAACTCTGAGAATTTGGAAAGAAGTCTCTGCAATTTCTTGTAGTTCTTCCACAGTTGTTTGGTGTGGGTGTTGAGTATAGCATGGAATGGTACAGATTGGCTGTCGGTAATGGGATGGTGTGTAGGTGAAAGAAGACTTGATATTCTTAGATACTAGTACATGTGTTTTATACAGGCCGCATGACCCTCTATCCTATTTCCTGTAGAACCCCTAATGCAAGCGTATTTGTTTTACTCCATGACGACAGTTGCGCCGAGCTCCTTCATGGTGGCCATGATCTTCTCAGCATCCTCCTTTGGTACATTCTCCTTCATCATCTTGGGGGCGCTCTCAACGAACTTCTTGCTGTCAACCAAGCTCAGGCCCAACAGACCCTTGACTTCCTTGATGACCTTGGCCTTGGAAGCGGCGTCGAAAGCCTGGAGCTTGAGGGTGAATAGTGTCTTCTCGGCGGGAGCAGCGGGGGCATCCTCAGCCTCTTCGGCGGCCGCAGAAGGAGCAGCAGCGGCAGGGGCAGCAGCAGCGGCGGCGAATCCAACAGGCATATCGGGGATGTTAAGTTTGCTCTGCAACAGGAGGTGGTTAGCGAGTGGACGAGGCGCTGACAACGGTGTGCCGCCAGGGCGCTGGTATAAATGCTTACCTTGAGGGTTGAGACAAGGTCAGCAGTCTCAAGAAGGGTCAATTGGCTAATTTGGTCGACAATCTCGGCGATCTTAGGGTTGACTGGTGCGGCAGCCTCGGTCGAGTTGTAACGTCTTGTCGTCGAAGAGATTCGAAGCATTTGCGCTGAGGCTCTGGAGGAGGCGACGGATCGCAATTGGCGAGCGCAGCTCTGCGCCGCATATCTGCATGACATGGCCATTGTTTTGGTTGAAGCACAGCGGGCTGTGAGAATGGGAAAAAAAGAAGGCGATGGGGGTAAAGGCAAAGCTGGTGTCAGTCGCGTGCGATGCTTGCCTCAAGGGTCACCCTGAAGTTTTTCGGCGGCCAGGAGCTGGTGGCCCATCCCGGCTGCTGATTGGTCCGGAAATTTGTACCACCAGCACCGAGCCTCAGGCGTACCTGTCTGGCTGCAGATGGGGGCAGTCTGGCAGAAAAAAAAAAGTTTAGCAGTGACGGACTTTTTTTTAGCGGGCCAGCAAGAACGGCAGCTAAATCTGCTTGTAGCTGGCAGCAGAGAAAACTTGCAACAAACCACCAGAAAATCACCTAAACGCGTGACAATGGCGGATGTCACGCAGCAGAGGAGGTCGCTCCTTAGGGACGCGGCTGCTTTACATCATCTGCCCTCGGATTTATTGCAAACTCTTTCGCAATACCCCTCCGCAAACTCTCTCGATGCTGTGGCTACCGCCGCATTGAGCCCGCCACTTACAGAACGAATCTTTGTTCACTTTGAGCTACTATTTCCAGATATTGTTGCAAGATGGGTGCTTGCTGCGAATTCATCTGACCAAATAATACAGACAGCCTCTGCATTGGCTAGAATATTACCCTTTGCGCCCTACCTCGCCGCCTTTATACACAGTGAACCCTCCACCTCCAACGCCGCCCCGCGAGTTGACAAGCTCAGTCTTCGAATTCCACAGCCGGAAACAGTACTGTCACAAAATAACGATGAAACATCTCTTACGAGCCTTGTTACAACATGGCGTCTGCTCAACTTCGACTTTCTCCTCTTCAACTCCTCCGTTTCACCTGCCCAGATGCAGGCGCTTTTCACACATTCGAGCAGAGCGATCCGATACATGGCAATCCGCATATTCTGTATGCTTATGCGTGCGTCGGACTTCAAGATGGAAGCACTTGTTGACAAGCATCTCGGAAACGAACCTGTCATGGGTAATCTGGATGGCAAGACAATTGACTTCTGCTTCATCTCTCTTGCCGAACACCAGCGGGCCAACATTGTGCTGGATCTTAGAGCACAGGCTACAGAATCGACAGGCGACGAATCTCCCTCGACGAATACCCTTATAACTCTGACGCCGTATGTTATGGCATATGGAAAGTCACTTCTTCCCAGACCTCGAGGGCCGACAGGCGAGGCTTCAAATCTCGTACTCACACCCACCACAATTGCAAATCTCGAGCAGTTGGCTTCGAAGCTTCAAAAGCAACAACCGATATTGATACATGGCGCACCGGGTGTTGGAAAGACTGCTGTCATTCACGAGATCGCCAAACAACTGGGCATGTACGAGTCCATGGTGACCCTGCATTTGAACGAACAGACGGATGCAAAAATGCTGATTGGCCTCTATTCCACCGATTCAAAGCCTGGTAGCTTTCAGTGGCGACCGGGAGTGTTGACAACAGCCGTTCGAGAAGGGCGATGGGTCCTCGTCGAAGATCTCGATCGCGCGCCAACAGAGGTTCTCAGCACCCTGTTGCCTTTGATTGAGAGAAACGAGTTATTCATCCCGAGTAGAGGAGAAACAGTACATGCAGCGAGCACTTTCCGCTTATTTGCCACAGTCAGAACTAGCCGAGGCATGAATGGCCAAGAAAATCTCCCCAGCTTGGTTGGTATGCGCTTCTGGCAGACCATGTCTACTGTACAACTCACAGATGGCGAACTGGAAACAGTTGTCCTCCAATCCTATCCCATTCTTAAAAAGTTTATTCCTGGCATCTTGGCTGTACACAACAGATTGAGCGCCATTACCAAATCACCACTCGGCTCAGGTCGCAGCAGAAGTATGATGGATAGGCAAATCACCCTTCGAGATCTTTTAAAATGGTGCCGAAGATTACAAGAGTGCTTATTTAGCGCTGGATCTGTGACTGGAGAGGAGCCTATAACGGAAACCACACGAGACTGGATGTTTATGGAGGCTATCGACTGCTTTGTGGGTAGCTGCCCGGACATTGACGCAAGCAACCAGCTCGTTTATGCCGTTGCTGAAGAGATGCACTTATCTAAAGAACGTGCTGATCATTACATTGCCGCCAATATCCCATTATTGAAAGACACAGAGTCGCAAATTCAAATCGGCCGTGTGAGCTTGAAGAAGCAAGTGGTGCTCGACCGGGCTGCGAAAAATAAGCGCCCATTTGCTAGTACAGTTCACGCTAAACGACTTCTGGAGCAAATTGCCGTGGCAGTAAAACTCAGTGAACCAGTTTTACTTGTGGGAGAAACTGGTATCGGCAAGACCACGGTTGTTCAACAGCTCGCTGAATCGCTGGGTAACAAGCTTGTGGCTGTCAATTTATCGCAACAGAGTGAAGTTGGCGATCTCCTTGGTGGTTTTAAGCCTGTGAATATAAGAGCTCTTGCTATACCTCTGAAAGAGGAATTCGATGATCTCTTCACAGCCACTGGCATCTCGGCGACGAAGAATCAGAAATATCTGGAGCAGATTGGCAAATGTCTGTCGAAAAGCCAATGGTCTAAACTTTCTAAGCTGTGGAAAGAGGCCCCCAAGATGTTTACGAAGATACTAGAGGAGTTACAGCGGCGTAGCGAGAAGGAGGAACTGGACTTCGCAGACGACGGATCACAGCCTACAAAACGCCGCAAGACAGAATCCAAACTGCAAACACTGTTAGAACTTAAGCCACGATGGGATCTATTCGCCACCAACTTGGAGCAATTTGATATCCAGGTATCTGCGGGCCCAGGAGGCTTTGCCTTCTCCTTCATGGAAGGCAACCTTGTCAAAGCTGTGCGCCACGGCCACTGGGTCTTGTTGGATGAAATCAACTTGGCTTCGGCTGACACTCTCGAGAGCATTGCGGACCTGCTGACCGGACCAAATGAACGACCATTCCTTCTGCTTTCCGAGACGGGTGAGATTGAGAAGGTAACCGCACACCCCAACTTCCGTATTTTTGGTGCCATGAACCCGGCAACAGATATCGGTAAAAGGGACTTGCCAATTGGTATCCGTTCCAGGTTTACAGAGATATATGTTCGCAGTCCAGACACCGACATTAAGGATCTCTTGACGATTATAAAGACCTACCTTGGAAGCACGAGCAACAAAAATGACCAGGCTGCAGACGATATTGGTCGTCTGTATCTCAATACTAAACGGCTTGCCGAAGAAAAGCGTATAGTTGACGGCGCAAACGAAGTTCCGCATTTCAGCTTGCGAACCCTTACCCGAGTTCTCACCTACGTCAATACTATTGCACCCTTCTACGGCATTAGGAGAGCTTTATACGAAGGCTTTTCTATGGGTTTCCTCACACTTTTAGAAAGAGAGTCAGAGAAGATGCTCATGCCGCTCATCCACCACCACTTATTGGATAAGCACGGTAATGCACAATCTCTCCTCTCGCAGCCCCCGAAGCATCCCGCCGATGGCAAGCAGTACGTAAAGTTTCAGAATAACGCACACGATCGACAATATTGGCTTTTCCAGGGTGAAGAGTCTGTTGTTGAAAGAGATGACTATATTATTACGCCATATGTCGAGCGCAACTTGCTGAACCTGGTTCGAGCAACATCAACGCGACGATTCCCTATCCTTATCCAGGGTCCAACTTCAGCAGGAAAAACCAGTATGATTGAGTATCTCGCAAACTTCACCGGCAACAAGTTTGTGCGTATCAATAATCACGAACATACCGATCTGCAGGAATATCTCGGCACATACGTTTCTGGTATGGACGGCAAGCTGCGCTTTCAGGAAGGTATTCTGGTGCAGGCAATGCGCAAAGGCCACTGGATTGTTCTTGACGAGCTTAATCTGGCACCTACCGATGTGCTCGAAGCTCTCAATCGTCTCCTGGATGATAACCGCGAGCTTCTGATCCCTGAAACGCAAGAAATCGTCAAGCCCCATGAGAACTTTATCCTCTTTGCCACACAAAATCCTCCTGGCCTCTACGGCGGTCGTAAGGTCCTTTCTCGAGCTTTCCGTAACCGATTTTTAGAACTTCATTTCGACGACATCCCGGAAGATGAGCTCGAGTATATTCTCCAACAGCGCAGCCGCAACACATCACCACCAGACTGTCGCCGCATCGTATCCGTTTATAAAGAGCTTTCTAGGCTTCGTCAAACCAGCAGACTTTTCGAACAAAAAGACAGTTTCGCTACCTTGAGAGATCTTTTCCGATGGGCGCTTCGAGAAGCCGATACCAGAGAGGAGATAGCATGTCATGGCTTTATGTTGCTGGCCGAGCGCGTTCGTAATGATGAAGAGAGAGATGCCGTTAAGGAGATCATTGAAAAGGTGTTCAAAGTTAAAATTGACCCTGCAGAGCTGTACTCAGCAAAAGCGGCGCCAGAACTGAAGCATATTATGTCGTTGAACAACTCACAAGGCGTGGTTTGGACACAAGCAATGCGCAGACTCTACGTTCTTGTCTCCCGGGCACTGCGGAACAACGAACCTGTTCTTCTAGTAGGAGAAACAGGTTGTGGTAAAACAACCGTGTGTCAGTTGCTTGCGGAAGCAATTTCAAAAGATTTGCATATTGTCAACGCGCACCAGAACACAGAAACAGGCGATTTAATTGGCTCTCAACGACCAGTCCGCAACCGTGGGAACATCACGGCTGCGTTAGAAGCTGATCTGAATATTGCACTAACTAACGCGAGACTGGACGTGCCTGAGAATCTGGAAGACAAGCTTACCGCATACGACACTATCGCTAGAGATACACTGGATGCATCATTGCACGAACGTATCACAGCCAACTTGATACGCAGCAAAGCTCTCTTTGAATGGTCTGATGGTGCTCTCGTGGAAGCCATGAGAGATGGCAGCTATTTCCTTCTCGACGAAATCTCACTGGCGGACGATTCTGTTTTGGAAAGACTCAATTCAGTCCTTGAACCTAGCCGAACGCTCCTACTGGCTGAGAAGGGAACAGACGATTCCTTCGTTCGAGCCTCTGATGGATTCCAGTTTTTCGCAACTATGAACCCTGGTGGTGATTTTGGCAAGAAGGAACTATCACCGGCTCTCAGAAACCGCTTTACTGAGATCTGGGTACCCCAGCTTTCTGGTGATGGAGACATCTACGAAATTGTGAGAACGAAATTGACTGAAGAAGCGAAGCCACTTACTACGATCATGGTGGACTTTGCTACCTGGTTTGGCCGAACCTTCCGCCCAATGGCTACAACATTCTTCTCTGTTCGAGAGATCCTTGCCTGGGTACAGTTTGTGAATGCCTCAAATATGGGTGATTTACAGATTGCAATGATCCACGGAGCGTCAGCAATCTTTATTGACAGTATAGGTGCAAACCCATCCGCGATTTTGGCGTCAGATATGTCAACTATTCAACAGCAGCGCGCACAGTGTTTTGAAAAGCTGGGCCAAATCATGGAATTTGATGCGCTATCCATCTTCAACACGCAACCAAAGTTAATGCTCAATGATGAAACTTTCTCAATCGGACCATTTAGCGTCGATCGCAACTCGGCGATGGAGTCATCGTCTGAGTTTGCTTTCCACGCGCCGACTACCCAGCTGAACGTCATGCGTGTTGTACGCGCACTGCAAATGAAAAAGCCTATCTTGTTGGAAGGCAGCCCCGGTGTAGGCAAGACGACTCTAGTCACAGCTTTGGCACAAATTTGTGGCCGTCCTTTGACTAGAATTAACCTGTCAGACCAAACCGATCTCATGGATCTATTTGGTACCGATGTGCCGGTCGAAGGCGCTGAAGCAGGAAACTTCACCTGGCGAGATGCCCCGTTTCTGCAAGCGATGCAAAAAGGAGAATGGGTGTTGCTCGACGAGATGAACTTGGCATCGCAGTCCGTTCTCGAAGGTTTGAACGCCTGTTTAGATCACCGTGGTGAGGTTTACATTTCCGAACTCGACCAAGTCTTTAAACGTCACCCGGATTTCAGACTCTTCGCTGCGCAAAATCCCCATCATCAAGGTGGTGGCCGTAAGGGTTTACCCGCGTCTTTCGTCAATCGCTTTATTGTGGTCTACGCCGACACCTTCACTGAAGAAGATTTGCTGCTTATCGCTGGTCACAATTTCCCAAGTCTCCCATCTGATGTTGTTTCCAAGCTGATCCAATTTGTATTTGCCATTGGCCATCAACTTATGGTAACCAAGTCGTTTGGTGCACAAGGTGCACCATGGGAGTTCAATTTGAGAGACGTACTCCGTTGGCTGCACTTGTTAAGCTCTAAGGATCCAGTCTTCAAAGCTGCCGAGTTGGATGACTTCATTGACATCGTTATTCGCCAGCGTTTCCGTGCAGAAAGCGACCGATCCCAAGTGGATGCGCTTTTTGCCAGCATTTTTGGTAAAGCTCCTCGCCAACACCATCTTTACCATGACTTGAGCTCTACTTCATGCCAAGTCGGTTTGGCAACACTGGAAAGAAATCTATCCTCCCAACCAGAGCGACTTCCTTGCTTGAATATTGTTCCCCGCCTAGCCGAGCTTGAAACCTTGATGATTTGCGTAAAGCAAAACATTCCATGCATCCTGACGGCCCAATCTGGATACGGCAAGACAGCCTTGCTTGAGCATGTGGCGGCTATATCGGGCCGCTCGCTCGCGGTTTTCCCGATGAATGCTGATGTTGATACCATGGATCTTGTAGGCGGGTTTGAGCAGGCAGACCCGTTGAGAGAGGTGAATGTCGCAGTGCGAAGCGCACGAGAGTTCTTGCGAAGCTCTATCACGTCTGTTGTGCCATCGATGCTTCCTGAGGCTGTCCTTGATCTTCTTCATCAGCTGCACTCTTTCAATGGCACCGGAGATAACATCGAGAGGGTACAAAGCGCCATTGCTACAGTCTTAGAGAGCACTGCTGCGAACTCTGAAGCTGCCGAGAAGCTACTGCACTTGCATCATTTGCTGAGCCAGCCCTTGTCACTAGAAGCACCGAGATTTGAGTGGCTCGATGGTATCATCATCAAGGCTCTCGAAGCTGGTCAATGGCTTGTTCTTGACAATGCAAACCTTTGCAATGCTTCAGTCCTCGATCGTCTCAACTCCTTACTCGAACCGAAAGGATTCTTGAGTGTGAATGAACACTGTGGCCCAGCGGGCGAACCTCGAATTGTTTATCCCCATCCTGATTTCAGAGTCTTCCTCACCGTCGACCCTCGATATGGTGAACTGTCAAGAGCTATGAGAAACAGAGCCGTGGAGATCAACCTATGTGATGAGCCGCCTACGCTTGATGCGTGCTTGAACAAGATCTCCCCAGTAGAAAGTGCCCTGCAAAGGTACCACAGCTTTCTTCAATCTGAGCAGCTCTGTGATGACAACGTGCGAGTTAACAACCTGTCAATCAATGACTTGGGTCTTCTTAGCCGATTTATTGAATTCCAACGAGAGACTGGGCAGAAATCATCCAAAACAGAAAGTCTGCTCTATTTTCTACAATCCCAGGACGGCAATGTTTCCCACGCTGCCATCAATCAGCTTTACTCAGGGCTTTCAGAGAGCGGACTCACCGATGGGTTCATCCAAACGCAACCGTTACATCCCTTGCTTAATTTCAACATATCACGATTAGCCCGGGATACATCATCCGCTCACCATGTTGCTGTTATCTTTGAGGTGTCGGAATCGTTGTACCGGATCGAACGACAAATCGACCACCACAGAGCTCAAGCCAAAACCTCCAAACTCAGTGCTCTTTCTCGCCTAGAACGATCTCTCATTAGCGAGAAGGTTGTTGCAGTGTCAAAAGACAGCACCGTTGGTGTAGAAGCGTTCTTGCATCTCACTTTGAACTTTGTGCGCGATTATCTTAAGCAATCAAATGCTGCAGATTTCCAGGAGCAGTCACATATTCTTCGCTTACTGTTAACATTCGTCGAGCGGACTATCACTCTCACAAACGCCAACTGGTTTGACGAAGCCCTCTTTCAAGCACATTTGGGACAAGGAACTGCGATGATTCAAACACAGGCGGCATCAATTCATGCTGAAAGCGGATCGGCTTTCTTGACTCAAGTTATGGGTGCTTTAGATGCTAAATTCACAAGTGGTTTTAAACTATCCACTGGCTTAAGCATGGAGCAACTTTGGATGTATTTCCGACCAGTCCCTATTGAGCAGAAGCACGTCTTCGACCAAAATTTACGACTTGATGCTCTTGGTGTTCGATTCGACGAACTAAAATGGAAGACTGATGCTCCGATTGTTGATTTGGCAAAGGCCCAAAATATGCTGGCGCAAGCATACCGAATCACCCGCGTGTCAACCACGTCGGTTGATGAGCTGCTCGACGATATTGAAAAGGAAATCCAGGTGTTAGAGACAAGAATTGGAGACGCTGCACAAGAATTCCGCCCATACTTCGCCGAAGATTTTGAACGGCTTAGACAAGTTTCCCTGCTTCAGGATGGCCAAACTGAATCTGCGAAGAGCCAACAACTATCGATACTCTCCAACCTACCGGCTAGGGTGGGTATGATGCTAGAGAGTAGCAGCAACATGGGTCGAAACCTGGAATATGTCGCCTATTTCGGCTCTTCTGACACCTATGTGTGGGATGGCCAGCTTCTTACATCAACCTGGGGACGTCTAGCCAACTTGGATAGCGTACCGCTCAAAGGTCTCGCGCTTCTTGAGACGGAGCTGCCAGCACTTGGCCGGCAAGTCTCATCTACTGTGGCTGAAATTACCGCAAATCACCTAGAGAAGGTGAATGACTTGTTGCATAAACTGATTATCGACGTTTTCAATGCCCATAGTCCCGATGCCGCCCTTTTAATCAGCCAGATCTTTGACCGCATATCCGAGGCACACTTGCCATTCTCAGAGTTTGACGCCCAGGTCTTAAAAGACTCCCCAGCACTTGCGGCTTCGATCGATCAACTCGAACCAGTTCATCTTCAAAGTACTTTGCTTAAGTATTTTGTCCCTGCCATTGCCGCTATGCTGGAAGCAAGAAGGAATCCGGTTTCTTCTGCACTTTTCTCCGGTCTTGCCTGGGTATATGCTACGACTGGTTTTACAAGCCTGTATATCCCTGATCGAATCCTTGACCCCCAGTTGCGACCAAAGATGGAACGAGAATTTTTGCAGCAGGTAAATACTTCCATCGAAGATGAGATGAACAGTATCCGCGACTTCGAAATGATCTTCACTGGCCAAGACACAAACGTACGGCTGCAAATGCTACGCGAAGAGTTGGACGATATGGGACCTCTCCCAGAAGCTGTACAACCTATCTATAGACCAGATGAATCACAGCTCAGTCACCTTCATGCAGAGTTTACCAACATTCTTAAGGCTGTTTTGGATCCGAAGACGATTCCAGCACTCAAAGCTACTGCGGCGGACGCGCTAAGCAGCGACAGTGGTCTCGATTTACTCAAAGAGAATGTACGACGACTCTTCAGCCGGTTGCTATCCCGGTTTGAAGCGTATCAAGATTTGACCCGACCAGCTGCAAATTTCCTTCGATGCTTCCTTATCGGACTTTCACTCTGCGATGCTGCAGCTGCTAGCGATGTCCAGCAGGCAACTAGCGAGCTGCTTCGAGTCGTACCATTTGCCAATGGTTCCGTGGCAGGAATGTTGCAGCTATCAACCATTGACAATACATTTGAATATCTTGATGCTCTTTCCACTAGGATTGCAGTGGAAGGTCTTAAGAACCTCGCGCCAGCAGCTTGTCAGGGATTATTCCAGTGCTTTCACACGTTCTTTGAAGAGTGGAATAAACGCCTTGAATCAGACAAAAAGGCAGAAGAAGCCAAGACCAGCCTGTACAAATTCCGCGGTTCTTTGGAAGACGAAGAAGAGCATGATGCTGAAGAGTTCAACGAGTTGTTTCCCACATACGGTGATGAGGAACCAATGACACGTTCTACCCAACTAGACGATGTACGCAAAGCGTCTGTACGAGTCGCTACCATTCATAAAGATATCTTCTTGACAAACAAAACTCCAAAGCAGGCTCTGAAGGCAATGTCCGAAGCAATTGTCTCTCGAGCCACTGAAGATGTACGAGGCAAAGCCTTCGTCCATCGTGATATTACAAGTTATATCCTCCCTACAACCCTATCCATTCTGCAAGAGCAGCGAGACAAGTTCGAAATACCAATCTCATCAAAACAGTATAACTTCTATACGGATTCGAACTTGGTTGAGGCTCGAGCCTTGGTCCTCTTACTCCGCAAACTCAAGCTGCGATTCAAGGAGCTGCAGGGTGTCGATGAAATTGGTCATATGCAGCCTTTGATTGATGTTATCCAGGGTGCTGACAAGGTTCTGGAGCTTGTCCATTCAGATCCATTGGCCAAGATTCTGCCCAAGCTGGAACAACTTCACGCTCATGTTTATGAGTGGCAATTTGGAGGATGGGCGCCGGCAAAATATGGAGCTCTGGAGCTGTACAACTCCTTAACGGACAACCTTATTAAGTGGCGAAGACTTGAGCTGTCTACGTGGGCAAACTTGTTTGACATGGAGCAGGCCCGTTGCCAAGAAGATGCTGCGTCTTGGTGGTTCATTGCTTACCAAGTAATTATTGCCGTACCTCTCACCCTAGTCGACGCCCCAGAGGATCTGAACAACTATGCCAATGCATTCACTCGTGATCTTGAGGCTTACTTCTCAACATCCATAGTTGGCCAATTCCGCGGGCGTATCGATTTGCTACGACAACTCCGCGTTCACTTGGACATGTTGACTAAAGATTATCCTTCGTTAACGGTAATTGGTCGCGCTTTGTCGAATTTCATTGGGTATTTCGCGCGATACGAGAAGGCTGCTGAAACAGCAATTGCTGATGGCCGGGCACCTATCGACAAGAAGATGAAGGATGTACTTTTGATGGCAAGCTGGAAAGATACCAACATCAATGCTTTGCGTGAGAGTGCAAAGAAATCACATCTGAAGCTGTTCCGACTGATCCGCAAATTCCGATCTGTACTCGGTCAACATATGAGTATCATTATCGCCAGAGGGCTTCCAGAGGAGACGCACACTCCGCTACTGCCGGCTACAACTATCTTCCAATCCCCCGCATTGCCCAAAGCCAAACCAGCTTTATCTTTGCTTGAGACACACATTGCAGACTGGGCTACTACGCACAAGCGCCTTGCGAACATTTCCACTACTACTTCTGTGCTACAGAGGATTACGCATAGCCCTGAGCTCGCCAACACTGCTTCTGCTTTGGTAGACAATTTTGTTGCCGAATTAGAATCATCGATGACCGAGCTGCGTAAAGAAACGCCGCCTCATCTTACAGACGAGAACACCTCAGAAGTCAAGCACCTCAAAACTCGAAAGCGCAAACTTTTCGCGGATGCGCTCCGGGATTTGCGCAACATGGGATTGAGATATAACCTGGCACAAGGGCCACTGGCCGAACAGTCTTCTCTCGCTACAATTCTGACTTCCGATGGTTCATTATCAAACTGCAACCTTGCGTCAACTGAGGAGGCTGACTACTACTTTCACAAGACACTTGATCTCACTCCCAAGGTTCGCGATTCTGCCCGTGAACACTCAGAAGACCTATCATCCGCCGAGGTTATGCGCAGTATCGGCTTTGTTGAAGGGTCAATTTACTTCGCCAGGTCACAGCGTCGGAAGATCGAGTCGTCCGTCACGTTGTTTGCATCTCTTGAGCAATCCATTGTCAAGTTCGCTAGCCTGAGCAGCAGTACAAATGTTGGTCCTCTCGCCAATACAAAAGAACACAACAACTGGACTGCTGTCCTCCCCTGGCTAGTTGAAGTACTCAAGTACCTCGCTACTATTATTAAATCCCATGGCTCTCTTGCCTCCGATAACCACACTGATTTGCTTGAACAAGTTCAGTCCTGGACCCGTGGATTTGAAGAACTGGCTGCTCAGTTAAGAAGTCTCCCTCAATTGGGGCCAATGATCACTTCTCATCGTCACCTTGAGCTACAGGCTACGTTCACAGCCGAAGTTGCATCTTTAGAAACCGCACTGGAAGACTGGGCAACACAGAAACCCCAACTCGCATTCATTTTAAGACAGGTCATTCCATGGTCCACTGTTATTAGTGAACCCGCCAAGCCACGACGAATGGCGGGAAAGCTAACCAGATTTGCAACCGATGTCTCCATTCTCTGTGACAAGCTGCTGGTAGCCGTTGAAAATGCCCGCAAGAAGTCTTCCGACTTGCCAAAAGGAGACGAAGATCCTGGTTGGCTACAGAAGTACAACGATGAGTGGTTTGCCATGCTCAATGCCCTCCATATGAAGAATATTGCCACTGGCTTGGATGACTGTCGATCCTCCGTGGAGACAATTGACTTGTTCTCTAACGAGGGTAATCTCGTGAGCCACCTCGTTGCTGTCCTGCACCCATTGCTTGAGCATTTCCAGTTCCTTTGCAAGCAAAGCATTGAACGGGCCGTTGATCTCCATAGGGCATGTACTCATATGGGGTACATCATTACCCGAGCCTATAGTCAGCTCTCTTCTCAAGGCTTTTGCTCACCCAAAGAAAAGTCAGAGGAAACATCGGGCGAGACTGGCGAGCTTGAATCCGGAACAGGATTGGGTGATGGTGATGGTGCCGAAGACATTAGCAAGGATATTCAGCCAGACGAAGACTTGTCAGAACTTGCTCAAGAACCCAACAAGGATGAGTCTGGGGAAATTGAGGACGAAAAAGACGCTGTGGATATGGCCGATGAAGACATGGAGGGTGAAATGGGTAGCGTGGATGGTGCTGATGACGAAGATGACGAAAAAGACGGAAAGGAGGAAGAAGAGGAAGAAAATGAAATGGATGAAGAGGCTGGAGATGTTGATGATTTAGACCCCACAGCTGTTGACGAAAAGATGTGGGATGGCGACGATGATAAAGCCGATAAGGATCAAAAAGGTGATAAGACGGATGGGCAACAAGACGATGATCAAGTGGCACCACATGAAGACGAAGCAAAGAACGAGGATAAGAAGAAGGATGAAGTTCAAGACTCGACGCAGAACCCCGAGGAAGGAGAGGGGGAAGAAGAAGATGAGGAGGATGAAGATGTACTAGCACAGGAGGAGCTTAACAGACAGGACCAAACTGTTGAAGAGAAAGACAACTTGGAGCTCCCTGAGGATATGGAGCTTGATCTAGAGGATCAAGAAGACGCTTCATCTGAAAGTGGCGATGACTTGGATGGCATGTCGGATACTCAGCTGGAAGATCATGATGATAAAATTGAGGAAGACGACACTCATATCGATGAAGAAGCGGGCAAGCCTGAGAATGTTGATGAAAAGGAAGATGAAGCTGCTGAGGATGAGAAAATGGAGGAGGACGAAAAGGGCGAGGGACAAAAGGATGAGGTGGATTCTAATCCAGCCGACGATGAGACTGAGGATGCCAAGGAAGACGAAGAAAAGGCAAAGGAGGAAGACGCTCCAAAACCTCAAGACGACAAGACTGCTGACTTGGACAATGCCGCTCCTAGCGACGTAAAGAGCTCAGGTCAAGATGACAACACAGATTCTATGGAGTTGGACGAGAAGTTCCAAGCCAATGCCGCCGAACAAAACGAAGGTGATATTGGTGATGGTGCTGTCGATGAAGAAACGAGCAGCGGAAATAAGGGCGCCGCGTCCCAATCCGAGCCGCAAAATCAGCAAGACAACCAAGAGAAGGATGACAATGACTCTTCTGCTGCTCAACAGGATCCATTCAAGAGGCTTGGAAATGCACTTGAAAAATGGCACAGACAACAAAAGGATATACAAGCTGCCAATCAAGATGAAGAAATGAAGCATCAACCTCAACAAGATGCTGATGAGCAGGCACAGAAAGAATTCCAACACTTGAAGGACGACGAGGACGCACCTGATACGCAGGCAATGGGAACGGCAGACAACGAGGAGGTGCAGCCAATGGATGACGCCATGGCCATCGATGAAGAAAAGCAAGACCCTTCAAGCCGTGTTCTCGACGGAGATGAAGACGATGGGGATGAGCAGGCCGACGACATCGAGGCTGATGAGCAACCTGATACGGAAAAGACTGATCGCGAAGAAGACAACAACCGAACCGGTGTCAAGACGAGACAAGGAAATTACAATCACGATCCTACTCCTGAAGCTGACGAGGTCAAGATGGAAGAAGACGAGGACCAATCTCTACAGGACGCATCCGAACAGCTGTTAACGACCCATCTCTCTGATGAGAAGCGCCTTCGAGACTTTGGCGAATGCCTCGACGAATGGAGCGAGTACCAAACACGATCCCACAGACACTCGCTCTCTCTCACCTCTCAGCTCCGTCTTATCCTTACTCCCTCCCAGTCAACCAAGCTGTCTGGAGCCTTCCGCACTGGTAAGCGCCTCAACATCAAGCGCATCATCCCGTACATTGCGTCTAGCTACAAGCGAGACAAGATTTGGATGCGTCGCGCGCTGCCAACCAAGCGAACATACCAGATCCTGCTCTGCGTTGACGACAGCAAGAGTATGGGCGAATCATCGTCTGGCACCCTCGCCATGGAGTCATTGGTCATGGTGTCCAGATCCCTTACAATGTTGGAAGCCGGCCAAGTCGGCGTTCTTGGATTTGGAGCCGGCGTCTTTGACGCGCACCAGTTGACGGAGCCATTCTCTGCCGACTCTGGTGCCAAGGTCCTGCAAAGGTTTACCTTCTCTCAAGACAGAACAGACATTATCCAACTAATCCGCCAAACAATCGATACTTTCCGCGTCGCACGCCAGCAATCTAGTGGCGGATCTGACCTGTGGCAGTTGGCCCTTATCCTGTCTGACGGTCTTACACCTTCTTCCGCTCATGATGGAATCCGCCGTCTGCTGCGCGAGGCAATGGAAGAGCGCATCATGATTGTCTTTATCATCATGGACGATCGTGGCAAGAAGCAGGGCGACAGTGTCCTGGAACTCAAGGAAGCCAAATTTGTCTCGGAGAATGGAGAGAGCAAGGTAGTAATTGAGAGGTACTTGGATACGTTCCCCTTCCAGTACTATCTTATTGTGCACAATTTGGAGGAGCTGCCGAGTGCATTGGCAGGCTTGCTGAGAACATGGTTCGCTGAAGTGAATTCGTGATTTTCTACATGCTGTTTGATTTACACATTAACCGGTATATTGGACAACGGCGTACATAGGGTTGCAATTTTGGGCGTTTTGTTTTATTTGTTTTTAGTCTGCATGAAAAGTTCAACATTATAGAGAATCAATTAGAATCAATTACTATTATTTTTGTTACTTGATGTTGTTTTTTCATCCACCCTGTCCATGCTTCTGTTGAAATGACAGCGGGCCTCGCCGGAATCTGCCGCGTAGTTCCCCGCTATGTTGTTGTAGCCCCGCCACATTTGCCGAATGCCGGGGAAGCTTGTCCACTACAACAACATCGCCATCGACCTCACTCTGCGTTTTTCATCTTCACCATCCCTTTAATTCTGCACAAATTTCCACACAACTCTATACAATTCACTCTGCTCACGTCCGTATGCCTGCTGCATCCATCGCCAGAACCTCAACTCGCGCCGTCCGCCCAGCAGCTCTCACCACCCGTTGGGTCCCCAACTCTGCTCCGGCCGTCCGAGCTACACCCGGATTTCTGCGCAAGATGTCTGCTTCCACCGCCATGCGTTTCCGTAAGTCTGAATCAAATTAGTCTGAATTTTAACTTTGTGGTTGGTTTACGTTCTAATTACCGCTATTGTCTATCACAGAACACCCGACCATCTTGTACACACCGGGCCCGCCCCGTCCACCCAAAACCTGGTATAGCTAACAAGTTGTTCTAGCGTATGCGACCTACAGGAAAAGTTCCGAACTGCGATTTACCAATTTGATAATGTGTAAGATCATACGTACATTATACTTGCAGAATGACTAATATCCTTGCAGAGTGACAACAACGGAGAAGCTCCTCAACTTTGCAAAAGCCGTATCCATCCCCATCCATTGCACCACACAGACGGCTGCCAAGCTCGGTCCAACAGTCCCGGCTATTGCAGCGCATCTGACATCGACGCCAATCGATAAGACCAAGTTCTCCATGCTCGTGCCTGAGCTAGCGAGCCAGTTGAAGCCAGCTTCTAGCGTTGCAATTGTTGGCATTGAGTCGCACATTTGCGTCACCCAGACTGCGCTTGATTTGCGCGATGCGGGTCACACTGTTTACATCATTGCTGATGGTGTCAGCAGCTGCAACAAGCAGGAAGTCATCATTGCCCTCGACCGCCTTCGGGCTGAAAAGGGTGTGATTGTCACTAGCAGCGAGAGTTGGATGTACGAGTGCCTTGGAGATGCCGGACACCCGGCCTTCAAGAGCGTTATTGGTATAGTCAAGAACTCAATGGCTAACACCAGAACAGTCCTTGACTCGCTCCCTCCAACACCCAAGATTTGAAGGATTGTCGGGCATAAACAAGCCGATGTTTGATAATTATTTAATTGACAAAGTTTACATCTGTTCTATGGTCCATATCGCCAGTCAATCCTATTCGCTTGTAGCGGCCCCTTTGGATCCTTTAACTCCTGGTGTCATCCACGCAAATGCAGAGGCACCGCCGATTGGATTAGACGCACGTGGTTGTTCTGGCGCAGTCTCCTGAGACGTCTCCCGATGCTTCGTATCTCTGCTGATACTAGGCCCTCGTTTCTGTTCCCACTTGTTGCCGCCATTGGTGCCATCTCCAGCAGTGCTTGTCTGGCTCTTTCTCCGTCCCTCGCCTTTGCTGGTTCCCTGCGTGGACTTTCCAGTTTTCAAAACCTTCATGTTACGCCCACGCGGTAATGGAGGTTGGTAACCGCTAATGGAACCGTTTTCTCGCTCGCCGCCGTTCGCGCCGTTTTGGCGCCATGGACTCCAGATTGCATTTGCGACGTCACGTTTCGATATCTCCGACTTTCGGGGCGGGCGATCGTTGCTAGCCCTTCGTATTGTCTCCGTGCCAGCAGTATCAGCCGTCCCTTCCATGGGTATCGACTTTTTCGGTTGTGCATGTGTAGCAGTTGGGGAGATGGGCTCTGAAACCTGATGCTCTTCAGTGGATTGCTCAAGGGAATCTGACTGTGCTTCTGTATCGCTCACAGCACTGGTGTCTGCAAAGACGAATGGGGCGGCACTGGCATTGAGCTTAGGCTTCTCGGGTCGATTATTGCTAGTTGTGATGTGTCGAAATATGCTCTCATCATCAGGGCGTACAAACGGGACGCGCACGCGCTCACGATTATTACCATATAGTGCCATGGTATTTTGGGAAAAGAGAATATCCGCCGAGTGAGCTCTCAGTGCGTCAGAACCAATGAAGACACCGATTGGTTTCTTGCCTTCGGGAGGATTGCCTCCGACAACCTCAAATAAAACAGTAATTGAAGGTACCAAGCTGCCTGGACTTTCGGGCTGACTGTTTCTTTGGGTGACCACGGCTTCGGCAAAGTAGACGTCGAGTTTGATTCTAGGGTTGCCGTCTACATCTCGCTCAACGTCATCAATCAATGCAAGGTCTTCTAATAACCACTGTGCAATCGTTGACTTCTGAGCGCCGGAGCATATATCCGCATACAACAGAGTTGCATGTGCAAAGTTGAGTGTCAGCCAGCATCGAGTAAGGGATGGCACGGAGCCAAGCACGTAGAGAGACACTGGCGGTTCCGGAACAGCGAACGAGTCGTCATCGTCGTCTGCATCTAGCCCCACGCTACTTGCTCGACCAGATGCAACAGAGTGATGTGAGTGTATCGAGTGCCCGGCGGAGCTGTGTCGACCGTCAGACTTGTGTGAGAGTGTTCTCTCCATCATCAGCCCCGCTCCACTCCTGATAGAACCAAAATCACCGGAGTGTCGGTTGCTTTGGTTCGCAGCCGCACTCCAGCTTGATCCATGCAGAGCGCTCTCGTCAAACCGAACGCTGTTGGCTCGCGATGCAGCCCCGCGGCGCACTGGCTCTTCTTCTGCCGGACCAAGGTGAAGTGATCCTAGCAACTCCTCTCCCTGCTCATCTAAGTCGTCAAAAACATCATTATGGGGTATCTGCACAGGCCCTATGGTTATCTTAGCGAGAAAAGTAGCAGATGATAAACAGCGGCCTTCTTACCATGTTGCGGGGTGGTGCTTAACACTCCTGGAAATGGAGAATTCCACGCTGATTTGATGGCAGAATCATCTGTTTGGCGTTTTTCGAGTCTTGAAATTCGTTCCGCATGATTCGTCTGTGCATACTGAACTTGCTTCACTTCCATTTGCAAGTTGTATAAATCCTCCCTCGAGAGCGAATACGCTGGGTCCATGGTGGCAATATATGTACACCTGGCCACGCCGTCTCTTTTCTATAGGCAGTCGCTGTTTACTGTGGTTGGAGTGTAGTTATTCTTGATTGGCAGAAGTCACATCAGCCATCGGCTGAGTGTAAGCCCAGACGGCTGAACAACAGGAGCTCAGTGGTGGTATGGAGCGACCAGTATGTGCAGGGCGTGTCGCGATGCGATACGAAGTGTTGCGCAACTGTTGTTGAATAATATCCGGCAAATCCGTTCGACTCCTATTATGTTCTGCGAATATCGGGTCTTGGATGCGTCAAATAGATGCGAGCATTCGTCGTATCGTATAAATCGTAGTAGAGTCGCTAATCGAGTGTCAGGGTTGCGCGATGATGCCTGGCTATCAAAAAGGCGTGTCGGGGAGTAGCAGTCGGGGGCAGTGCCTGATATAACACTCTTCTGCCTTTTTAGTTTTCGTGTGCGTTGTAGCTGCTTATATATTGCATGGGAAGACGGAAACTGGAAGAACGATGCGGGTTGAAAGAGCTGCTGGTTGCAGTGGTGAATGTTGGAGAAGAGAGTGGTGACGAGCTTAGCGCCACCGGTTGCACTGATGGCGGGTGCTGGAGGCGTGCGCTCCCCACCACCATCACTGGACTTTTGAAGGGAACGGGCCTTGCAGCAAGTGACAGGGAACAGCGCGCATAAAAATAATGCGGATGCTGCAATGCCATGCACGTTGGAATTTGTACCTGACATACTCACCAACCATTATTTTATACACAAATCAGCATAAATACGCATCCATAACAGTATAGAAACAGAAGTTTATTCGCGTCTATTCTATATTTGTTTGTTCAGCATACTGAATCCAAACTCTGACGCTAGATGTTTCCATCAGCATCAAATCTTCCCCATGCGGGATACACCCATTCTGACATGTCCCCAGGAACCCAATCCGAACCAATGTGAGGTTTGGTAAGCTCCCAGAAGACACGGTAGCCGTCACCGCTAAGATGCAAACCATCAGGTATCAGGGATCTCAGCCCTCCACGATTACCGTTTTCTAGACTACCGAGCCATGGGCCACCAGGTGTATAATCATCAGGTGTGAGCTCGATAGCTTTGTCCATGATACCCTTCCAGAGATCTACAAGGATAATATCTGGATACCTAGCGCTAATATCCCGTACACGTTGGGAATATGCAGCGCTGACGTTGGTCTCGCGAATGGATGCATCGAAGCCATCTGCTTTATCAAGCTCCCCTGATCTAATCTCGTCAACCGGGGGCGGCGTAACCAAGAGAATTTTCGGATTATGCTGCTTAATATGTGGATGATTGATAATATACTCCAGGTTCTTCTCGTAGTCATCAATGGGCACATGCTGGGTCGTACCTGGAACAGGCAAGACAGCGTCGTTTGCTCCGAGTAATATAATCTGCAAAATTAGTTTAGCATGTAATACAATTTGTATGATAGCTACAAATAATACCAAGTATTCGATTTTGTGTGTTTTATTATCGCGCTCCGGGATGATATCGGTCAAATACTTCTTGACATTTTTCGTAGTCCACCCAGAGAGTCCTCTGTTGATGACATCAAGACGACGAATACATTCTGAATTCGATATTAGTGAGATCCCTGGGATATATTCAAAACCGCTATATCGGCAACATAGCTTACTGGATTGGAGCTGAGCCTGGAATGAGAAGCCATTGTCCAGGTCGGCTGTTCGCTGCAGTAGCGAGTCTCCAAGAAGAAGAACTTGGTTATGTGGGCGCTAATTGTAGTGTCAGACCATGTAGAAAGCTCCAAACGTCAATTAATTAGAATTACCGCCATTTTATTTCATGAATAGTGTAGGACTATTCAGGCTGTACAGTGCCAGCGCCAGCTTAGACGTATGCACCACACCCCACCTCAGTAGCCAGCCCACCTTAAACTAGGTTAGTGCCTGAGGCGACGACCATTGGTTCATGGTTATCGATAACAACTTTTTTTTACTGGCCCGTCGATACTACAGCAAGAAAAAAAAGTTGCGAGGGAAAGCTTCAGCAAGTGACGACAGTGATCTTCCGCCATTGCACAACCCGACAGCCTCTTTTTAATTTGTCGACATCATGGCGACCTCGCTTGCCGCGCAGCTGGCGCAGGTTGCTGCGAATTCCAAATCGACTCTCAACGTCAAGGCACAGAAGGCAGCGCACTCCAAATCCTTGATCTGGGAACCTCGAGTTGCCGCCACTCAGAGTTACCAGACTCTCTACGCCAACTGCCACCAAGGATTTGAAGACCTTTGCCAGCTTGATTCGAGATTTGCTCAATTCCAATCCACCATCTTCAGCGAGGAAAGCGTCGACCAGGACCGCACCCAACTCACCGCTGCCGAGAATGAACATTTGAACCAGCAAGTCGAAGCGTTCCTACGTCTTGTTGGTGGCCGCCTCCGTCTGATGCCTGCAATCAAGTCGGTTGAGTGGCTCATTCGTCGATTCAGGTATATTACTTATACAATAATGTTCAGCTTTGCAGCAAATGCTAACACCTAGCTTCCAGAATCCACGAAGAAAACACCGTCGCTCTCGTTCTCACGTTCCTCCCATACCACACCATCCCCGCCTTTGCGACTCTACTTTCTATCCTTCCTTCCAAAGTTCCTCAAGAATTTCGTTTCTTAGATCCCTATATTCGATCGCTGACCAGCCCACCCCGACCCGTTCTGGTCCACCAAGCCATTCACCATATCGACTTCTTGATACTCGTCTCCAGCTATGTTCTTGAGTCGTGCCGAAGACAATTCCAATACCCTGCGCTTATTGCATTCTGGGGTGGACTCATGACCGAAGCTGTGGGTGGTCTGGCTGATAAGTCAAAGTCTGGCCGTGCCGCCGTTCAACTTGACAATACGCAGAACCTCCTACAACGCCTCGGCCCAATCTTTGGAGAGGCTCTGACTATGAAGACCGTACCTGGGCTTCAAATTGCAGCATACATGGCCACATCCATCTTCGTTGCCAAGGGACGCCTAGATGATGCCGCTGTCAATGCGTTTATGCAACAGACTGTTCACGGATGGACCAGCGAGACTGTTCGTGCAGGTCTGGTTTGCTTAACCATCCTCGCCCAGTTCCGATCAGCGAAACAGACCGGCAAATCAGTGACAAAGGCTTTGATGAGAGTCCCAAGCATTGGTGCGCTACTTGTCGAGATTGGAAGGGAGCGCCGTGTTGACAAATTGGCCAACGGTCTTTGCTTATCTCTTATTGAGCGATTGGCCAAAAAGGGCGATGCTAACGGTCTTCCTACCATCACCACTATTCTCAACGGTAACATTCTTCAAGCCAAGCAAGTTTCCGTTATCTTCAAGTCGCTCCTTTTGAGCGCGCACACACTGAATGATGATTCAGATGAGGATGGTGCTCTGAGACGCAGTGTTGGCTCCGTATTAATTGCTCTATCCCAGGCTTCTGGTAAGACAGGCGATATTATCCAGTCAGTTCTTCAAGATCAGCAGTTTGACATTGAGGAGTTGGAAATGAAGCTGGATCTTTCCTTCAGAACCAGAGCTGTTGTAGACGACGCCGAAGACATTTCCGAACCACAGGCTCCTGTCACCAAGCCTGTCGACCTAGCGGGCTCGCTGGAAAAGCTTAGTGTCAAATCTGAGAGCCTTCCGACTTGCCTTGTTGCTGAAAAGAGCGAGCTCTTCAACGAGCTCAGCCACGTTTTCTTCTCGATTGTGTCAGAACAAGCCAAGCATGGCGATCTTTTGGCCGAATTCGACGGCTCTAGCAAGCTCCACAAGGCTTCCGCTCTTAAGGATTCTACATATTTCGGATTCTTTATCCAAATTTGGTGCGGTCCCTACCCCGCCCTCGCCCGTGCCGCTGCTCTCAGCATGGTAAAGAACGCCTTGAAGGAAGAGACTGGTGTCAATGCTGATCCCCAGTGGCTGCTCCCGTATATCCTAGTTGCTCTCGTTGATCCGTCCAAGCGTGTCAGACAAGCTGCTGTCGACTTGGTTGCCGTCATAGCCGCTCGTTATACTCCAGGATGCTCATTAAAGCCCGTCTGGGGTGAGAGCTCCCTGTACAACAAGAGCAAGGATATCAAGAGCCTGTCCACCGAGGTTGCCACACGCCTTGTACACTTGCAACTATTGCCCAATGGTGAAGAGTGCGTTATGGATCCCGAGCGCATTACTATTGCTATTAAGGAGGCCGTTGAACAAGGCAAATACCACGGCAATTCTGGCGCTGCCTTTGATAAGAAGGACCACATGGCATCGGCTTCGCGGTTATCCATCCTCACATTTTTCTCTGCTCACGCTGTTGCCACCCCGCTGCTTGTCGCTAAAACAAGGCTGCTTAGCATGCTGAATGAAATCCGGGGTGTATCGTCAACCACACGAACTCAATTGCTACTTCCAGCGCTGCAATGGTGGTCATTCTTAAGCCCCGAAGAAGCCTTGGCCAGATGCAAGGCTGAACAACTCGAAAACGCCGCCGTCGATTCTCAGTTTGTGGATATCTTGGTTGCCAATGACGCTGATGGCATTGAGTTTGTCTTTGACGTTCTATCGAATGAGACTGTGTGCCAAAAGGAGGGCCTGGTGAAGGCCGTTTTCGCTCGTATGCGTAAGATGTGGTCGCAAATGAAGGAGGATATTCAGTTCTCCATTGCCGAAAGACTGCTTGACATGTCTCAGCAGCAAGGCGATGCTGAAGGCGACAACCAGCTTGTCTCTATTGAGGCTGCAGACCTCCTCCGCACTGTTCCTCTTACTACATCCGTCCTTTCGTCTTACTTGGATTCTATTCAGACTGGAACCAAGATGATTACTGAGCCTCCTCCTAACAAACGCCGCCGATCTAGTGCATCTGCGGGTGACCGCTCACTGATTGCCCAAGTCACGCCTGAATTGACGCAAGCCCTCCGAAAGGTCACCTTTGTGCTCCAGCTTGTCGATAACTCGGAGCCAGCTACTCATGCCGAGCTCCTTGACGGTCTTTTCACAGCCCTATCTGAGCTTCAGCATTTCCGCACAGTTGTTGGCTCTGAGCTTGGATATCTCCAGAACCTCATTCTCCGAAGCTTGCTTGCCATGATGCCTACATACAAGGAGAACAAGTCGCTCAAAATTGACAGCTCTGGTGGCTACGGCGATCTCTTGGTCAACTGCATTCAAAAGTCTTCAAGCCCTGTGGTCCAGAACGCGGCACTGCTGCTTGTTGCAAACCTGGCAACCATTGCCCCCAACCTGGTGCTTAACAGTGTCATGCCCATCTTCACATTCATGGGCACCTCGGTTCTGCGCCAGAGCGACGACTACTCAGCACACGTTGTCTCGCAGACAGTCAAGGAAGTGGTGCCACCTCTCATTGCCAGCTTGCGCAAGGGATCAAGAAACCCCATCACTGGAGCTTCTGATATCCTTGTCAGCTTCACCACTGCCTATGAGCACATTCCTCCCCACAGACGCCAGTCTCTTTTCCATGCCTTGGTTGAGACTCTTGGTCCCAAGGAATTCCTCTTTGCAATTGTCAGCATGCTCATCGACCGATATGAGCCCACCGACGACCTTCTCCAATTCATCGTTGACCTCTTGGACTTTTTCAGCATTGAGGTTCAGCTTGAGACACTTGTTAAACTTGTTGAACTCATCTCTGATCTGTTTAAGCCTAAGCCTGGTATCTCGGCCACACTCCTCGGTGTTAGCGGCGAAGCTAGCGATAAGAGGGACACTGGCAAACTAGCTCTGCGTCAACTCGTTGCATTCCCTAGCTTAATCACTGGCCGCAAGCTCACTACCCAGATTTCCAAGTTGGGTGACCGCGATGATATGCAGGCATCGGAGATTCGCACCTTGTACTCTACGCTGCTTGAGAACACACTCAAATTGTCCGAGACAGTCAAGACCGACAAGCCTCTGCGCAACCGATGCGGCGCCGCACTTGCCAATCTCCTCAACCTCCTCTCCATCAGTGAATTCATCAAGAGTGCCGAGAACTTGCTCGATCGCCCCGATATTGCACTCCGTCAGAAGGTTCTGCGAGCACTCGAAGCCCGCGTGGAAACAGAACGCAACAACGACCCCGATGCTAGAATTGCGCTTCTCACCTTTCTGCCTCAGCTTACCGCTGTCATTCGCGAGTCTGACGACATCCGTTACAAGTACACTGCCGTTACGTGTGTTGATAAGATTGCTGAGAAGTACGGTAAGAAGGATATCGAAGCTGTGCTCGCAGCCGCGGCTACTATTGCCGGTGAACACTGCTTGGGCCAGTCGGATGCTCAGCTGCGCATCATGGCTCTCCTGTGCCTGACATCACTTGTCGATGTTCTCCAGGATGCTATTGTGCCAGTCCTGCCCGTTGCGATCCCTCAAACTGTCACCTATCTTCGCATGAGTGTGCAGGATGGCACGGTCGATTCCGAACTTCACTCAGCCTGCTACGGCTTCATCAGCTCGCTCGCCGAACAGTTGCCATACATGCTGTCGTCGTACGTGGATGAGATTTTGGAAATTTCCAACATCTCTGCCTCTACTGATGAAGTTGACAACGAGACCAAGGAAAACCGCGTGTCTTGCTTGGAAGTGTTGGCAAAGACTCTCGATGGCAAGGACTTGTTTACTAGCATTGCTAAGAACTGGCAGAGTGCTTCCACCTGCGGTCCCCACGCCATTGCGGAGCTGCTCAACATCTTGGGTGTTGCCATTGAGAAGCACTCCAAGCCTGTCATTTCCAAGAACTCCAACATTTTGGCCAGCCTGTTTATGGACGCTTTTGACTTGCGCCGCCGTATTGCTGAGACGAGCAACGAGCAAGAGGACGTGCGGGCCATGGTCACGAGCATCGAGGCAAGCGTCAACGAGAGCGCCCTCAAGATGATCTACAAGCTGAACGACGCTGCTTTCCGCCCCATCTTCCAACAGTTTGTCGAATGGCCTGGCACTGGTCTCTCCAAGTCCAACTCTACAGGCCGTGCATGCCAACGCCTCAGCGTCTACGGATTCCTGGAGACCTTCTTTAACAACCTGAAGAGCATTGTTACCAACTACTCTACCTATGTTCTCGAGGATGCCGTCAAGATCCTCAAGGCCTCCAAGCCCAAGTCTGGAGATGTTGAGCTGCAGCTCTGGAACCGGGTTCTGTCAACACTGGCCAAATGCTTCGAGCATGACCAGGACGATTTTTGGCAAGCCCCTGCGCACTTTGGAGCCATCGAGCCCGTTTTGATGGCACAGTTCCTCCATGCGCCCAGCGTCAATGTCGAGGAGGTTCTTATCCCAGCCACTGTTGAGCTCGCTGCTGCCGCCGACTCGCAGACTCACCAGAAGGAGCTCAACGCATCGCTGCTGAAGCTTCTGCGCTCCGAGCAGACGGCTGTTCGTCTTGCAGCTGTCAAGTGCCAGCAGGCCCTTACTGATAGACTGGGTGAGGAGTGGCTTACTATGCTGCACGAGATGCTGCCTCGCATTGGCGAGTTGCAGGATGATGACGATGAGGTAGTTGAGAGAGAGACTCATCGATGGATTGTTAAGATTGAGGCCGTTCTGGGAGAGAGCCTGGACTCTATGCTGCAGTAAGAATATCCTACAAGATATTTGACACCCAGTTTATTGTTTCCTCCGCCGGCGCTCTTATCTGATGTATTTTCTTTTCCTACGTTTTTGCATATCATCGTTTGGCAATGGTAGTGCCTTACACACTTTTTTTTATAACGCAGTATAGCTTTTATGAGACATCAATTGAGAAGAAAAGTAAAATACTTGATGCACAAAATATCCATCCTGCTATCTATTGATAAGTGCACCCGTCCGGGATTTTGGTTACTGACTGTTTCTCGGGGTCCGCGTATAGCCCGATATAATCTTTTAGAGTGGCCCTGGCCCCAGCCAAAGTCGGGACAGGTCGGCCATGCACCGGGAGATTCTCGTGGACACGACTGGGATGCGTGACGGGTGATGAATAAATTGCATTAAAATATAAAGTGTTTTATTTGGGATGAACTTTATTTTTTCCAGCAGCCATATGTTTATTTCCTTTCGCTGAGAATAGCAACAATGCTCTCAACTCAAAATCAATCGATTCAGCAGGACAATCGCTAAAAACACCGAAACTCCGGGCGTCTGATGCGCTGTGGGGCCACTGTTCCGATCGGAAACGACGCTGATGTCATGCGGCAGGCGCGGTGACTTGCCGTACCCGCCGCCGGGCGCTGTCGAGTACCCTGTACGGATCTGCATGCAGCTGCTGCCTTATTTTTTCCTTTATCTACAAGCTTCTTCTCACTTTCATTTTTCTCGCTCTTTTCCATTGGCTCGTCTTTGGTATCTTCCATTAATTCGTTTACTGTTCATATTATCTACATAACATGTCCACAACAATAGCTGCCGGCACATTACGTGCTGCAGCTAAATCACCCCTCTTCACACAAGCTTTAACCACACGACTAGCCAGCACTGTCGTTGCCCGATCCAATGGTTAGTCAATCCAATTCAAACTATTGCCTTTGTCTTCTATCTACTTACAGATTTGATAATTGACAGACAAAGAACGCGTTGTCATCCTTGGCTCCGGCTGGGCCGGCTTCACTCTCGCTCGCACACTCTCGCCCAAACGCAACGACCGCATCCTCATCTCTCCCCGATCTCACTTTGTCTTCACCCCGCTTCTGGCATCCACATGTGCAGGAACACTAGAATTTCGAGCTGCTATCGAGCCTGTCAGACGATTACAACTTGATGAATTCCACCCCGCGTGGGCATCTAGCATCGACTTTGTCAATAAGACCATTCGCGTTGAGACCAACACAGAGGCAGATGCTGCTTCTGCAACAGTCCAGGTAGCCCATGAAAAGGGTCAAGAATACGAGGTCAAATACGATAAGCTTGTCCTGGCTGTTGGTTGCTACAGCCAAACGTTTGGCATTGAAGGCGTCAAGGAGCATGCCTCATTTCTGCGCGACGTCAACGATGCTAGACGAATTCGGTTGCGAGTACTTAAGGCATTCGAGCAGGCAAGCTTACCACAGACCAGCGATGCAGACCGTAAAAAGCTGCTACACTTTGCCGTCGTTGGTGGCGGACCTACTGGTATCGAGTTTGCCGCCGAACTGCACGATCTAATCCATGAAGATCTCGCAAAGCTCTACCCGAACATTATGGAGCACGTCAAGATTACTATTTACGATATCTCGGCCAAAGTATTGCCCATGTTTGATCAGAATCTGGCAACATACGCGACAAATCTGTTTAAGCGCCAGGGCATTGATGTCATGACTGAGCACCATCTCCTTCGAATTCGTCGCGAGGGCGACGTACTATACATCAAAACCCAAGAAGAGCAAGACGAAATTGGTGCGAGTGTTGTCGTCTGGAGCACTGGGCTGATGCAGAATCCGTTCGTTGGTGAAGTTCTGAAGCAGACGATTCCTGGTCAAGGAGCAATTGTCAAAGATGATAGAACTGGTGGCATCGTGACAGACTCACACATGCGAGTTCTGGTTCAGCAAGGAGATTCAGACACACCCAAGGTTCTCCCTGATGTGTTTGCCATTGGCGACTGTGCAGTACCACAAACACAACGATTCCCAGCAACAGCCCAGGTGGCCAACCAGCAAGCAACGTATCTCGCAAAACAGCTGAACCGCGACAAGATTGACGAATCGAAACCGTTTAGCTTCCGAAACTGGGGTACCATGACATATCTTGGAAACTGGAAGGCCATCCACCAAAGCAGCGCCGATGAGCTCAAGGGCCGCGCCGCATGGATTCTATGGCGTACGGCGTACTTGACAAGAAGTATGAGCATCCGAAACAAGATTATGATCCCTGTATACTGGGCGATTACGTGGATTTTCGGCAGAGATATTTCACGATTTTAATCGTGCATGAAAAAATGGCTCGTTTCGGGGATAAAATTTGGCGTAAAAAGTAGAGAGAGCATCACCCACCTTGTATATTAGAAATCAGTTATTAGAATCTCAAACATATTTTATACACTTGTCAATTTATACAAATCTTAGAACAAACTCTTTTGAAGTAAACTGCTCTACTCTGCGTGAAGGTATGAGCCCGCCGGTAGCCGTTGTCGGCCATGTTATCGAGCAAGGCCCATAATTCCCCAACCGTTGTGGCACTTTGAGCCTCTCATCATCATCATCGACCTCAATCGAAGAGTGTGATTGCACGGATTTATAGCTCAAGTCACATGTTAATATACGGCTTTTAAATAACGCCATTTATACAAGTCAAAAGAGTTAGGCCTATCAACACCCCCTCCTCAACTCGACCAACCATGGCAAAGCCCACAGCCAACTATGCCGTCTACCTCGTGACGGACTCGACTCCAGCGATCCTTGGAAACAAGGACCTGACTGAGATTGTCGAAAAGGCAATCCAAGGCGGTGTCACATGTGTGCAGTACCGTGACAAAGACGGCGAGCAATCGGCCGTCGTGGCCACGGCCAAGGCTCTGCATGCCATCACCAAGAAGTACAATGTCCCGCTACTTATCAACGACCGCGTCGACGTAGCAGCCGAGATTGACTGCGAGGGTGTGCACATTGGACAAGACGATATGGGTAAGTTTGTCAATCTATATCTAGCGCAAGATGTTGTAGATATAGAACCTCTGGCTAACCTTCCGGCGCAGGAATCGAAGAAGCACGCAAGATTATTGGTGAGAACAAAATCATTGGTGCCTCTGCTGGAAATGCCGAAGAGGCCATTACCGCCTGCAAAGCCGGTGCTGACTACCTTGGCATTGGTGCTGTTTACGCAACATCTACGTAAGTCTATATACCACTCGCCAACCGCTCCAATGTAGCTAACCATCTCCATAGCAAGAAGGACACCAAGACCATCCTCGGCCCAGCTGGTGTCAAGTCCATCCTTGTCGCCATGGACGCTGCCGGCTATGGTGCCGTTCCTACCGTCTGCATCGGCGGCGTCAACACGGGCAACACGGCAACCGTACTGCGACAGTCGAGCGCCGCGCCGCGCAAGAGCGTCGACGGCGTGGCTGTGGTCAGCGCCATTATCGCTGCTGAAGATCCTGCCGCTGCATCCCGAGACCTTCTGGGACAAGTGGCCGTCGGCAAGATTGCTGATGTTGTCGGAGCAGTGGCCAAGACTGCGCCTCTCTCGCATAACATGACCAACCTGGTGGTACAAAACTTTGCAGCCAACATTGCGCTCGCTGTGGGTGCTAGCCCCATCATGGCCAACTATGGCGAAGAGGCGGCGGATCTTGCCAAGCTCGGTGGTGCTCTCGTGGTTAACATGGGCACTGTTACCCCGGAAGGCCTTGCAAACTATAAGCAGGCAATCAAGGCCTACAATGGCGCTAACCGCCCGATTGTACTAGACCCTGTTGGGTAAGTTCCTATGAATACATGTGCACGTTTGAATCATGGTACTGACTACCAGCATGTAGTGCTGGCGCGACACACGTTAGACGACAGGCAGTCAAGGATTTGCTGGCAACGGGCAAGTTTACAGTCATCAAGGGTAACGAGGGCGAAATTAGCACTGTAAACGGCGCTACCATCCAGCAGAAGGGCGTCGATTCAGTCTCTGCATTGAGCTTTGAGCAGCGTGCATCCCTTGTCCGCTCGCTTGCCCGTCGTGAAGAGACAGTTATTCTTTTGACCGGTGCCACAGATCTCGTCAGTGATGGAACACGGACTTTCCGCGTCGACAACGGCCACGAGCTACTCGGAAACGTTACAGGTACAGGGTGCACTCTAGGAACTACTGTCAGCGCCATGGTAGCTGCATACCCCCAGGACGCTCTGCTAGCGACGTTGGCCGGCGTGGTCATGTTCGGAGTAGCCGCAGAGCGAGCTGTGGAGCGAGCTGATGTTAAGGGCCCTGGAACATTTGTCCCGGCATTCATCGACGAGCTATATGCTATTCGCAAGGCCACTGCCAATGCCGATTTGCGATGGCTGGTTGCCGCCAAGGTGGAAGCTGTGCAAGTCGAAGATAATTAAAAGCATATAATGCAAATGAAAACAAAATGGGTTGGATTCTGTGGAAAAGTATAAATGAAATATTAATAAATGAAAAGAGAGTTCGCTATACTATAGTAAATATGTGCCATATGCTTCGTTATAATACATGGGAGACGACTGGTAGTACATCCCGCTAGATATAAGGTTTTGAGTTGTCCATCCTAGATATTCGTCAGCCGGGGGATCGTAGGGTCGATGAGGGAAACGCGGCCTTACATGACATTGATAGGCATAGATTCGTCGCCCATCCCCCAGGCCGCTTCATTCATGAGATCAAACCACATCGATTCGTCCAGATCACCAAACATGTACGGCGAGATTTCGCCTTCTGTTCCGTAATTTTGTACCGCACGTCGAAGCTGGATTTGTACCAATTCTTTGGCGTTGTGCAGGAGTCGCCAGAGGCGGACCAGAGGGTCTTCTGCTATCGGCGCTGGGGCAGATGACATCCTCCTTCCACCTTGGCGTTTTTGGACGACTAGGCCGAGATCTTCAATGAGCCAACTTAGGATTTCCTCCAAATTTAGCTCCTTCTTAACCTGCGGAAGTTCCCATCCTGGTAAACGGACTGAGAGTAACTTGATGCTTGTAATGAGAGTGAAGGCAACGTCGGATGCTGTGAGGTTGAGAAAGCGTGGCTTTTCGAGATCACGGCCGGCGTAGCGTATTTGGTAAAACATGCGGAGCGAGCGTACGCAGGACCAGAGCAACTGGAGACGGTCGGTAATATCTATGTTGGCAGTAGTACAGCTCTGCTCAGAGATGGCAACGTCTTTGAGGAGAATCTCAGCAATATAGACATGTGCCAGGATAGGTGTGTTGTTCTTCAAGTTTTCCGGCAGCGACGTCAAGTAAGTGTCTATTTGCTGCTGGAAGGTTTCCACGACTTGGAGCAGGGGGATGGCTGGATTTCGTCGGTTGGAATCAAAAGATGTGGCGAGTGTGATATTGTGGGCGATTAGCTGGATTCTGACAAGGCTGAGCAAGAAGACGTCGGAAGGAAACTCCTTTTTGGCGTCAATCTGCTTGCAGCAGACCTCCAATTGGGCGGTGTCCATGAAAATTTCCGTCTTCTTGTTCGTTGTGAAGACAGTTGTGTTGAGATAATACGTCGCCGCTATCGCGCGAGCATAGTCAAGGTCGGAATATTTGCAGGCAGGATGATGGTGTTCATTGTTACCCAAGCCAACGCACATGGAGCGCGAAAGGAAGAGCAAGTTTGTCAGTTGAGGCCCTTTGAGGCCGTAGTGATACCAACCAATGAGTAGATGGAGCGCTTGTAATACGTCAAGTGTCTTGCAAGTTCCATCCACCATCGTGGCAATGGTAATTTCTGCCAAGAGCTTCTCTGCCAGACGAACCTGTCGTGTTGCGTCAAAGAGACAGCTCACCATCATGATGGCTTTCCAGACGTATGGACGACGATCACGCAGAGTTTCTGATGTGAGCGATCTGTTGAGTAGGACAAAAGGGAAGACTTCCTCGTAGATATCACGGAATTCCTGGAAGAGGACCTCGGCCTCCTCAGGCATTGGCCAGAGGGAGTCGAGCTGGTCGAATGCCGATGTCCCCCACATTGACGGCTTGGGAGGCTCGTCTCTGCTATCAAGCGTAGCTTCAGGGCTGGGGAAAAGATGACCAAAGCTGAGGACATCCTTGGCTGCGGCCGCATTTGCAGGAGCAGCTGGCGCATCGGAAACACCTGCTTCAGGGCTTTGGTCGCCTCGCGGCTGCGCATTCTCAACTTGGGATGAGAGCTCATTGAGCCTCTTCTCAAGCTCAGCCACACGAGACCGCTTAGGACGCTTCTTTATGCGAGGAGGAGCAGGCGGACGTGAGAAACACTCCTTGTTTAGCCTTTGACATCTGTAGGGGTGAGTTTGTGTAAGCGGGTAATCTCATATGCAAGAAGATGGGGAAGAGCATCAGCTTACCTTTCACACTTGTCGCCATCTGCGCCAGGAATACAACGGGCCTTTGCCTTTGCACAAGTGGTGCAGGCCTTGGGGCCTTTTTGGGAAATATCCATCAAGAGGGGGGGAAGATGGATGGCGTGGGTGTAGCACGGTTAAAGCCAAGAGCTCATGCTCTACTGGGGGCTAAACAAGAACAATAGTACCAGTAGCGGCGGCAGCGGCAGGAGGAGAGATAAGAGGCGCTGCACCGAGGGAGATCCGAACGGAGATAGACGGACGCAAGCTGCAACGACAGCAGCCTCCAGGGACAGACGCTGCACAGTAGGCCGATTTGATGCGTCTGCTGGGCTGGGGCGGCGGACGGACGTTTGCTCGCAGCGAGATCTGGCAGTATGGGCGAGCTTTTGCTCCGGCCCGATCCGATCCTTGAGTAGGGTGCCAATAGGTGAGTTAGTTGATGAGATGAGGTCCGACGGGATCTAATCCGGGGGCCCGCGTCAGGCTGGAGGGGCGCTAAAGAAAAGCAGAAGTGAGCAGGCCGTGACTTGGACACTGGCTCTATGAATACCAACAGCGGTGTTATGAGGATTTCAATTCTGGCGCTTTCGGCCTGCCGCGTAAAGGATTTCGTAGCTCTTTGGTGGCCTGGAGAGTTGCAGCCCGCCGTGCTACGTAAGTCGATTAGCTTCTGACGCCTCGGCAGCGGATGCTAAATTGGCCCGCTCACTCCGCCCGCGTCTCTCTTTGGCTACGTTTGCGCGCGCCTGCAGTCTTTGATCAGGATGACGTCGGCGGCACAGATTTTCCGGCTTCCGAGAACGCGGCGTGGCACATCTCTCACTCTCACTTGCAGCAAGAGGCGCATTGTATAATATCTGGTCTAGAAAATAAAAATGAAAATAACACTAGAAATATGTAAACCCATCTTATAGACTATGCAGCATACATTCATGCAGTATAGTCCCCATAAAATTATCGGCTTAGCGCGATGTGACAGGCTCTCGGGCCTCTCTTCACGTTGCATCTCGGACGCATGGCCTGCTTACAGCAATGACAAGATCAAAAGGAGCAGTTACTCACTATTTTAATTTTAATAAATTATGTAAATATACAAATCAGTATATATATGTATATACCGAATAAATGAGATGAATAAATTCATCAGACAAGCAACAATACTGTGCTATTAATACTACATTCTCGCTCCTCCTGTCCCTATGCTACGGCAGCTGCATAACACTAACAGTGTACACTCATTGCTATACACTACTATCAGAGTTATACGATCTATTTCCACAAAATAATATATCCATTTTATATGCCTTACCACATTTTTACCCCACGCCAAAACTTCATCCCTTCCACTTCGCCAAACCACACAGTGCCACACCCCGCATTTCACTCATGCGTGGCGTGCTTCTAGCGCCAAATTACACAGTCCACTCACAGCACCCTGATTTGTCAATCCTAGTGTGGCAGGGATGCCACATCGCGGAATACTCAATATCCGGGGACTAGGTCTCAAGCTAAGGGTCTAGGCTGTCAATAAAGGAGCGGACAAGCTTGAAAGATGGCGCCAATCACGCGAGGCGATTAGGAGTTGTGCTCTGTCGGTTACATGTACTGTCGCTACGCAAATTAGTAGGCTTTACCATTCACAGTCACAGGCAAATCAAGCAGAGGAAGAGGAGAGTCTCAAGGTTTACTTGCATCGCAGTTGCGAATGCGTCAGTGATGGCATTTGCGTATATTGATCGCGGGAGTGCGGCAAAGATGCCAACACTCCCATCACGATAAAAATAAAGAAATTCCAATAAATAGGGTCCAGATCACCGTTTACAGGCAAACATGGCAAGAAAGGAACGGGAGGCTTAGCTGTCCAGATATAGTTGGCAAGCAGTCTCACGTCAACTGCGCCCATACGCGGGACGCCAATCTGCCGAGCCGCCAGCCAACCCCTAGACGGGGGACAACTTTAAGCGGTGGCAGCAGCAGATTGCTTGATGCCGATCACGTTGCGCTCAAGCAAGGCTTCAGTAACGCTGCCCTGCTTGGCGTGCCCGTTGGCCAGCATTTCCTTTGTTGCTTGTTCGACACCGAGCTGCTTGTCAGTCCAGAGCGGCTGCTCGACGCTGCCTTCTTCGCCGACGCCAATAAAGCCGCCCTCTGCAGCCCATGCAGAAGTGCGCTTGATGTTGAGGCGGTTCCAAATGTCGTCGACCGCGGCGACAAGCTCGTCGCGGTATTCCTTGGTGTGGCCGGGGGTAGGCGTGATTCGGAGGCGTTCCTGACCGACGGGGACGGTGGGGTAGTTGATGGACTGCACGTAGATGTTGTAGTCCTTAAGAAGCATGTCCGACGCAGCCTTAGCGACTTCAGCGTTACCAACCAGGATCGGGATAATGTGCGATGGGTTGGGAATGACCGGGATATCGCGAGCGTTAAGCTCCTCCTTCACAGCGCGGGTGTGAAGCTGCTGAAGCTTGCGGTCACCGTCGTAGCCCATCTGGTACTCAATCGAGGTCTTGGCTCCAGCCATGGTGGCGGGTGGGAGCGACGTGGTGAAGATGAAGCCGGGTGCGAGTGAGCGAATCATGTCGACAAGCTTGGCGCTGCCAGCAATGTAACCACCAACGCAGCCGTACGCCTTACCAAGGGTACCGGTAATGATATCAATACGGTCCATGATGGTGCCACGAGGAGCGCCAGCTTGATGGGCCTCCCAGTCCAGGTGTTCGGCAACACCAGCGCCGTTGGGGCCGTACATTCCCACAGCGTGCACCTCATCCAAGAAAGTAATAGCGCCGTACTTGTCAGCCAAATCGCAAATTTCCTCAATTGGGCCAATGGAGCCGCACATGCTGTAGACGGATTCGAAGGCAATGATCTTGGGCACATGCAGAGGAAGAGACGCAATTTTCGCCTCCAAATCCGCAACATCGTTGTGCTTAAAGACGATCTTCTTGGTTCCAGAGTGACGAATACCCTGAATCATGGACGCATGGTTCAGGCTGTCAGACAGAATCACACAATCGGGAAGCTTGCTGCCCAGAGTAGCGAGAGTTGCGTCGTTGGCCACATAGCATGAGCTAAAAACCAGCGCCGACTCCTTGGAGTGCAGTTTGGCGAGAGTGCCTTCCAATTCCACGGCGTGCTTGTTGTGGCCCGAAATGTTGCGAGTACCACCAGCGCCGGCGCCGTATTCGTTCAGGATCTCGTGCATCTTGCCCAAGACGTGAGGGTTGCGACCCATGCCGAGGTAGTCATTGGCGCACCAAACGGTAACACGCTCCTCCGCATTTGCCATATGGGCACGTGGAAATTCCTTGGCAAGTCGATTGATGTTATTGAAATAGCGGTACGACTTGTCCTTGTGTTTCTTATCGAGCTCGGCGTTGTAGAAGGACTCGTAGTCGAACTTGGGGGAGTGGCTGCTGACGGCGGCGGCAACAGGACCATCCTTGCGAGGAGCCTTGGCCATGCCGGGAGGCAAATGGACTGTGAGATTGAATATTAGCATTGCCAGAAGCCTGGCACTGGGCGGGAATACGTACTATTCTCGCGGCCATCAAGGAATGGGCGCTCAACGGCACGAGCCTCCTGGTTGCGGCTCGTGTGAATGCGAGCACGACCCTGCTTGGAGTCTCCGGAGAAGGCGCGAATAGTAGAGACGGCAGCATTCTTGGAAGACTGCACAGCCATTGCCTTGCCCATCACAGGGCAGCGGTTGGCAAAGACCTGCAACTTGGACATGGTACCGCCACCGGGGGAGGCCATGGGCCGGGTGGAGGTGGACATGGCGCGAAGAGCCGCAGGCGAGGCGGTCTTGAGGAATGGGCACATGGCCTTGGATTGACGAAGAACACTATCCATTGTTGCGTATAAGATCGATCGAAGACTGGTGGTCGAAGAAGCGATTGGGACACGATTAGATCGGGAGTGGTAAGCGAGACGAGAGACGATCAACTACAAAGAAGCAGAAGAAAGACAGAGATATACTAAAATTAATTCCCGGTTAACTGACAGGAATGTCACTGTCCAGACTATGGACAATGCACAAGCGGATCGGTTAGGGGGGAACAGTAGTAAAGTCGTTGTTTAGAGAAAGAGTTTGAATGGCTCGAACGGTGAAGCCGATGAAAGGGTTTTGTAGGCAGAGAGGGGCTTCCAGGGCTACCTGTTTACAGCGCACTGGCGGCAAACCCCCCACTAATTTTTCCGCTTCAGCGCCGGACCTGCTTCGGAGTCTTGCATGCCCGGGCGCTGTAATAGCCCGCTAAAGGCCCTAAAAGCCCATAAGCCCCGTCTCACACCAGGGCCGAACCAGCACGAACCACGCTAGCAGGGATAGTGCGCCATGCCTGTAACCTTGACAGCGTACGCCTTTCTGGGGAACATAACAAATGCCTCGTCTCCTATTGGCCTGTGGGCGAATGCCATCACCACACACCACTTCCAAATACCGTGCGAGAGCCACCAGCAGTGCAAATATGCAGGCGGCCCGGCGTATTCGGAATCCAAGTGTGGCGTTATCGCGCACAACGCCTAATACATAAAAAAAGAAACACTTGGCCAAATGGCCTCAAGAGAAGAGCAGAGCGAAAAAGAAAATATCATTGCATGATTTAACAAAAAAAACCCTTGATTTATCCATTGTTTTGTACCCCTTAGCACGCCCGAACCGTATTGTGTTTCCATATCATCCCGCAGCCACTAGAACCAGGTTTCCCGCTAGCGCCGATGTGCTTTTCTAGTCGGCTCTATCCCTTCTCGACCAACAACCCACCCTGGTGGTGCAATGTATAGTCTCTTTACTTCCATACTGTTGGCCTTTGTTCCTTTCTCTACCTCTCTTCGCTCTGTAAACATGCTCTATGTTTAATAGTCAGCTCTTGCAGTTGTTTGGGCATGCGCTCTCCGCTTACCAGAATCTAGTTCCTGTCTCTCGTCAGCCTCATCGCGGCTCTCTGGCTTTGTTTATTTTATCAAGCTTCTAGCATATTGCGAATTTCCGATTCTTCGGTAGTGGCTAGCTGTGCCGGTGATATCTTTCCTACTAAAACAGCTTTCGGAAACTGGGCCTTCTCAGCCATCTCAGCGAGAAACTTCCATCTTGCGTCATCATACAAGAATCCGCCACGCTTGTCTTTCAAGGCTGTCGCGATCTCGGAGACAATTTTCTTCACGTTAGAGTGTGTCTCCGATGTGACTAACACAACGGAAGACTCTAGCCGGTTGATAAAAACTTCTTTATGTTGCGATGGCTTAGCCGTTAACTTTGCGCTTCCGGGCTTCGTTATAGGAGCTGCTTCGTTCACAGCCGGCGACGTGGCTGTATTATCTGCTTTAAGTTTCAGGGCGAGGAACCCATCGGCAGCCTTTTCGTAGAGATTGGACTGACCAGGGAAATGTATTAGCCATTGTGGCATTATTGAATTAGGGTCGATCTTCTCGTTATCGGTACTTGCCTGGTTGGCGACTTTGGCGTCTTGCCGATTCGATACGTTTGCAAGGTTGTGTGTTGACTTGGGGTCCTTGCGGAGTGACATGATTGCTTCGCTCAGCGACTGTGCCATCTGCTGTTCTTCGGCGGTCAGTCCACTCGTTAGATCCTCTTCCTCAAAAACATCTGTCGATATAATCGAGGTGATCTCCCGATTTCCTAAAGTTGACAGAATGGCATCCAAAACTCCATCTTTTCCCTGAAAAGGGCTCAGATCCTTCGGGCCTGGCTCGGCGATATCATGTAGCCATTTTTTCCGTTGCTCCGACCAGCTTATAGGATTAGCCTTGTCTACCACCCGTGCGGAAAGCTGCATTTTGAACACAGATTTGGCATGCAAATCTTCTTCAAAGGAACCGGATGTAACAAAATGGTAGACGAAGACTGGTTTCTTTTGACCGATTCGGTAGGCTCGACCGACGGCTTGCTGGTCGTGTACTGGATTGAACTTAAAATCAAAGATGACAACTCGGTTGGCTCCTTGAATATTCAGCCCATATCCGCCAGCAGTGGTAGAAATCAAAAATACCTCCTGTGGCCCTTCATTGAATGACTTCACTGTGCTTTGTCGGATTTTGACATTCGTCCTGCCATCTAGGCGACAGAATGGGCGGTTTTCAAGCTCCAAGACCCATTGAAGGTAGTCGAGAGTTGGTATCGACTGGCTAAAGACAAGCACTTTATCGCCCACGCGACGGCTTTCATCAAGGATGTTCATCAAGACTCGCAGTTTATTGGAATGTTTGATATCATCTCCGTTGCTATCAGCGGTTAGCTGTAATACTTGGTCGATGATGTCTTTTGGAAAGGTCTTCGCATCATCTTCGTCATCTCCAATACTTGCAACGTAGCTTCGAAAGACGCAGGGATGGTTGCAAATAAGGACGAGGCGGCTGAGCAATGACAAGATACCAGTCTGGCGCCGATTGCTAGCTCTATACATCTTGTCCAACCCTTCCACAAATAGCGTATAAAGACTTTTCTGTAGAGGTGTGGCGCGGACGGACAGTACAAACTCAACTTTGGGTGGAAGCTCGTCCTTCAGTGATCCGTGGATCGTTGCACGGTTGACCTTGGGGCCCACGGTTTTTTGCAACGCTTCGAGAAGTGTAAGCGCGTGCCGCTTTTCGACATCAGTGCTGTCACCCCAGACACCATCTTGGATGGGCTTGGCATACATCTGTTTGAATTCTTGCAGAGGTCCAAGATAGTTTGGTGCAAGCCAGTCTATCATTGAATAGTACTCGTCAATGTTGTTGGCGAGCGGCGAGCCTGTCAAGGCGATTCTACTCCCGGTTGCGAATTTGGAACAAAGTTGAGAAATTTGGGACTCTTGATTCTTCAAGTGATGGGCCTCGTCCGCAACGACAACATTGGCGCTTTCAAGGAGAGTACGCTTTGTGTCATCATCGCCACCATCATATAAGCGTTTCGCCATGTCGTAGCCGATAATCAGGATCCCACCATGCTGGCTCCAATCCATCAAAATTGCTACTCGGCCGTCATCAGATGCTTCAATCTTTCGTATTTTGCCAAGAAGGCCATGCCCCCATCGGCGAACCTCTTCTTCCCAGTTGTGAACCAAGCTCGTTGGGCATAAAACCAGAGTCTTGGACTCGCGGAGATCTGGGGGTACTTGTTCACGAATCGTTGGGTCTGAAGATGCTCCTGCTTCAACAAGTGCAACAAGAAATGCAATAGTTTGCATGGTTTTCCCCAATCCCATCGTGTGGGCTAGTAGGCATCCCTGGCGTTCGCCAGCACCTGCGCCAACGACAATCTGATTCCACAGAAATCGTACGCCTTTCATCTGATGGTCTTTTATCAGAGTACAAATCCGTTTTTCAACAAATATTAGTCCCTGGTCGTCGCCCTTGGTGTCGTTGATGATGAAACGGGCTCTATCTATATCTTTGATGTCGACTTTGTCCCAAAAGGCTTGGGCGCGTTCGGTATTCCACTTCTCACGTTCTTGGTCAGCTTTTCGCATGTTCATCGCCCGTCGATCTTGGATTATCTCCTTTGGTTGTTTGGAATGGCCAGATGACTTTCTACTGCCGTCTTCCTCCATCATTCCCTCACTCTGCTGCGCGTCCTCGATGGATACCATATTTGCGATTTGGTCTTGTTGCGGAAAATGGGGCTCGACAGCATAAATAAAGCGGCAAAACTTGCCGAAGAGTTTCGAATGATTCCTGTTGAGTCGATCCAAGGCTTTCTTCTTTAATCCGTCACCCTGTTTCTGATTCCTCACCTGGCAGGTTAAAAAGGCTAGATACAGATAGCACACGTCGTTAGCCAGCTTTATGCTTTCTTCGGAATGGTCTTTTGAACCCTTTCGGGCCATTCGTAAGCATATATCAACGGTTAATCGCCATGCTTCTTTGACGGGATTGTGCATCAATTCAAAGATTCTTTGACGGCGCATGTGCAGCATTTCCCAAAGAGACGCTATTGTGAGACGCCATCTGTCTTTCTGTCTTGCCCAATGCTTTGCCCGTTTGACTCCAATAGAGGCTATGCCTTCACTAGAATTGAATTGAATGTCTTTGAATCCGTCTGTGTCGATCCTGGAGATGTTTTCCTTTGTTCTGCCGTTTGTTGAGGGCATATCTTCATCGGGTCCCGTCAAGTCAATGATTTCTATTTGCTTGGTGATGGTCCCCTTTTGTGGTACAGGAGGTGTTGGTTCCGTTTTGACCAAATTTAATAGATCGTAAAGGCCGTCATATGGTTCTGCTGCAGCATCGGGCATTTGCACATCATCCACTGTTTCAGCTTCGACAGCCGAATCATAGCCGGACCTCTGGCTCGGTGTACAGGCTGATGAATCTTCGGAAGAATTGCTAAGAATTTCCTCGTCATCGTTGCCATATTCTCGCTTCCGGCGGATGGAAGTTACTCCTCGTTTGCCAGGTGTGGCGACCGGCCTGGTGGGTTTCCGCTGACTGACAAGATCTCTCTCCTAGAGAGCCCTGCATCTGTTTTCCACAGTTTGTTCCAGAGATTTTGCTTGCAAGCAAACTTCTGCTTCAGATTTCCAAACCTGGTCCTCGATTCCCTTGCGAAGCTTGTCTATGCTGTCCTGCAAGTCCTGGGCTCGTTTGTGTGCCCGTTGAGCGGCGCTATTTCCGCCCAGTTTTCGTAACTGAACCCAAGTTTTGTATTCATTTCTTTCACACTTACGTCGCTTGAATTTGTGCCAAGCTTCAGACGTAGCGTCGATTGTTTCCTGTAGAATACGAGAGACCTGTTCTTTGTCAAGAACCGGACAGGCTTGCAATCTTTCCTCACGCTCCCGCTGTTCTTCGATATCAGCGGCAACCTCTTGTTTCGTTTCTTCATCCCAAGAATCGTCGCTATCAATAATATCATCACTATCAGTTTCTTCGGATATTCGACTTATAACTCCAGATTTTAACATAAATTCTTGTTTGGATGATTCTTTCAAAAATCGATGACATTGTCGTTGAATGACATAGCGATGATTCGAAGGGATGGCTCCTTTCGAAAACATGTAAAATCCGTCGCCAGGTAGATCTTGTATGAATGAAAGACCTCTATCCAAGTTTATAGTGGCAGTGGCAAGTAATCTTTTCGCATCTAGATTCTTGTGTTAGTATGTGTTACTCCAGAGATTGAAGGGTTCTTTCACCTGTAGCATCTAGCTCGACAGGAGCTACGCGGCGCTGCTTCTTCGAAGAGCTTGTCGACCTTTCTGGCGGCTTTGATGGCAAATCCGACGAAGACTGATCGATCGTCTGTCTAAAATCCTCTGCTGTGGATGTTGGTGTTGATCCGGACATCTTTCCAAACGGTACGCGCAGAGAGCGCACTGGGGTTGTCGGCAGAAATGAGCCAGAAGGGCCATCGTCGCTTTCATTTGACACCATTGGGAGTTCTGATGTTTTTTCATTCATGCCCTTCTCGTTGGGCGATATGCAGCTGCTCGGACTACTATCGCTCAGGCGGGATTCAGCCAGAAAGGCTTTATGCCAGCGCCGATATTCTTTGCTTCTCTGGCGCAGCCGGTCGATTTCTTTGGACAGATTCACTTTCATTCTGGATGTCGCAATCCCCAAGTCAACCATGAGCTGAATTTTGGAAAACGCAAATTGATACGTGAGCAGGGTTTCGCCATCGACGCTCTGTTGGCGGAGTCTTGATTCCAGAGCGAGCACATCGTCTGTCCATGTCTGCCCATCTCGACACAAACATTTACATGTTTCGTCTATTGACCATAAGAACGCGTCGGAAGGATTGCCTTCGGCCATGGACGAAACAAGCACGGGAGCGATGTGCGGTGAACTCGAATGAGGGAAGGGTCGTGAGCTTGGGCGTCGACAGATGAGATGTTGAGAAACTAAAGAGAGCCAACTGGTATCAGCATAAATATTCTCTCAAAGTTTTCATAGATTTTAAGCAGCACTTATTATCAATGTCTGCAGGGGGCCGAACCTGTGCTGGTTGGTGGTGAATTATTGCGTCCTGGATGGCTACTAGCTGGCAGACAGCCGAGACTAAACAAATTGCTTTACAAAAATAATTAGTGATGTAGAGATAAAGAAATTGTGAGGAATCTTGGTGGTTTATATACCAACGGAGTCGGTACTGATAGAATATTGCTGTTGACAAAGGCACTGTTAGGGCGGCTTACCGCCAGCTGGCAGCCTCCTCGCGTCAGTGCCAGGAGAATTTTCGGCACAATTAATTTGAATACACGCGAACTTACGTGCTGAAAGTCCTGTATAATTCCAACAGTTAAAACATTTATTTGCTGTGGTAGCTGCTTCAGTCTTTTTCCACTCCCCCCAAACCATATGCACCCGCAACGTCAGTACCCTATATTATTATTAGATTTTCAAAATATTCATGTTAGTCTTGTAATTCACAGAATATAGTCTATAATAACCTTTAACCGCTACCAATCGCCAAATTTTACGAAATACTTCACCATTAACTCATGTTACTGTCAGTTAAGGTTCACCTCCAAATCCCCAGAGCCCTCAACCCACCAGTTTCCGTCACCGTCGCTGAGCTAAAAACTCCGCCGCTCCACAGGCTGGGACCGCTTTGAACATTATTAATCCACTACTTCAGCGCCGGATACCTCGCACCGAGTAGCATACTCTGCCATTTCACTCGTCAGCAATCAATAGAAGCAATAGTTTTGGTTTTGTTATTCTCTGTTAAACCCCTAACTTCAGCTTCAAGCGACACGTCTCGACACTCGCTATCACACGTCACTGCCCCTCCATTGCCCCTCCATTCGCCATGTCAGCGGTTGCGGCACAAACTTACCCGCCGTCTATCACCAATGATGAGGTCGCGCATCTTACAGATGTTGTGAAGGATTGGTCTGCCGGAAATGGTCTTGTCATTCGCCCACCTGCAACTGTAATTGCTGCAGATGCTGACCCGAATGGTATTACTGCCGTCAGCGCGCCAATAACTCTCTTCCCCAGCCAATTCCCCAAGGAGTGCTTTGCGCAGGCGAACGAGGTACAGCAGACTTATAATGAACTTTATGCGGCTGTGAGCAGAAATGAGGCATTCTTGGAAGAAACTGTCAAGGCGCAAGTAAAGTCCTCCTTCGAAAAAGCCAAGGGCTAACGGTCAAAAAGTGTCGCAGACGGAGACGACTTTATCCGCAACCTTTGGGATATTCATACCAAGGTGAAGGCGGAAGGTTATACTCAAGTAAGTTTTGTTTACCGTGCATAAATGGACATATTGTTCACAAATACTAGGATTTATCACTCGGCCTCTTCCGCTCTGATTACATGGTGCACCAGGATGAAGCCACAGGCTCGTCCCAAGTCAAGCAGGTCGAATTCAACACCATCGCTTCTTCATTCGGAGGCCTGTCATACAACACGTCACGACTACACAAGTATGTCAATTCTTTAGACTGTATTGGTAGGCACAGCTGCTTACCCAGGGATCCAGATTCCTTAGCGCAACAGAGTACCCTCTCCTAGACAACCCTATACAAGCCAACACCATGGACCTGCCCGAGAACACCAGTACTGAAGGCCTTGCGGCTGGTATTGAGGCGGCCTATCACGCATATCCGGAGTCTGATCTTGGTCATTCTAAATGCATCTTGTTCGTAGTGCAAAGTGGAGAGCGCAACGTATTCGATCAGCGCCATCTCGAATATCAAATCGCAAAGACATCACCCACTGCCCCTGTCTTTCGTCTTGCCTTTGGCGATTTTCTCAAGCATACATCGATCGCTGATACTGCTAAGCGCCAGCTTCTCTACCATCTTCCGCGCAACCGCAACAAGACATTTGAAGTTGCCATTGTGTATCTAAGAGCTGGCTATGGGCCAGGCGACTACCCTGACGAAGCGGCTTGGGATGCCAGACTACAGCTTGAGCGTTCGGCGGCTATCAAATGCCCTACAGTGCTGACCCAACTGGCTGGAACGAAAAAGGTGCAGCAGGTACTGGCTACCCCGTCTACCGGCTCCACATCCTCGGCTCTCAGTGCCTTTATCAAGGCCGATACAGCAGAGGCAGCAGCACTAAGCCAGACATTTACCAACATATATCCTATGGATACATCTGCCGCTGGCCTGACAGCAAGGAAGCTGGCATTGGACCCGGCAACGGCGGCAGCCTATGTACTAAAACCCCAGAGAGAAGGAGGCGGCAACAACATTTACCGTGGTGCTATCCCGGGTTATTTGGCCTCCGTGCCAGAAGAGCACTGGGGTTCATACATTCTAATGGAGCTCATCACACCACCGCCCGTATCCAACCTCATTCTTCGCAATGGCAATATCGAGAAGGGCGGTGTTATCTGCGAGTTGGGCGTCTACGGCACATGCTTGTGGGATCAGGCCAGCGGTAAGATTCTTCGCAATGAAACAGCCGGATATCTGTTGCGTACCAAGGGTGACAAGAGCGAGGAGGGTGGCGTCGCAGCTGGTTACGGGTGCATGGATAGCTGCTATTTGGTTTAAAGTGTGCTTTCGCCTCCCTTCTTTATATTTCCGGACACATTACACGCATATAGACAGTTCAGAGTCGAGCGATACTAGATGGAGCAAATATTATGTATTGACAGCGCATCAGCTTCCGCCTCTGCGTACTCGTGTACAAACGAAGCTATACAACGCTGCGGTCCATCACGCGCAGCATGATTGGTATTGTAGTGTCTTTTTTTGTCGTATTATATTCTATTACATTCGGGAGCGGAGAGGAAAGACCTCTTCTTGCAAAGAGACCAGGTCGTGAAAGATGCCCCGCTTACTGTTGGGACTCCTGGTTCTGGGGACGGCGGATGACCTCAATGTTGCCTAGAACGGGGTGATATAGATTAGCAACTGCTTCCAACCTGGTGATTGTCGGCAAACTTACGCTGGACAATGTTGAGGGCAGTGCGGCTGGTGCCATTGGCATCCTCGTAGGAGCTGAGGGTAGCATCACCCTCGACGAAGACGGTAGCGCTGCACAACACAGGTTAGCAATGGGATTCGTTTTAACCAAGCATCTTTGTCTCCTTTTTGCAATTCGAGCGAATGCGCATAGCTTGTAGCCATTGCGAGGAGCATGATGCGCAAATCGGTACTTACCCCTTGGGAAGAGTGAGGAGGTAGTCGCGGCGACCGCCCTCGAGGAAAGCAGTGACGCGGAACCAGCTGGTCTGGCGGTTATCGCGGGGGCCGCTGTTGCTGGCGACGGCGTACTTGATGATCTCGCGGCCGCTGCCGGTGGTGACAACCTCGGGGGTGTCAGCAAGGTTGCCGATGATGGACATGCGGGCAATGGAGCGAGGGGAGGAGGTGCTGAAGGCGCGGGCAGCGCCAAAGGAGGCGGCAGCAGTGCGGCGGAACATGAAGGAGGACATGGCGGCTGAGTTGGGAGGAGTGGGTGAAGATGTCGAAAATGTAGTGGAAGTGGTAGCGGTGGTGTTGAAAGCAAGCTGCTAAGTTACTGTGGGAGATGGAAATCGGAGATGCGACGCTTTCGCAACCAAGCTCGAGGGGTGCATGCACGTCGCGGTCGCGTTAAGGCAGATTAGGCCACCATCCACTTTAGAAGGTGCGCTGTGATTGGCTGGACTAGTTGGCGTGGCTGTTTCTGGCCCGTGCACGTTTTCTTAATCCTGCGGGGGCCGCCCACTGGACATGCTGCTGTTGTATCAGTCCCCTTGCATTACGCTAAGTAGGGCATCTGGTCCTGATGTAATCTTGACCTTTCATCTAAAGGACGTTTAGTGGGCATCACGTGAATCCAGGTTCGATTCTCCGAGATATCCTATTGGATGCAAATGCTTTTTACCTGCATGAACCAATATATTGCTGTTTATGCAGGGCATTGGTCCTCCATCCGCGCCAGGTCCCATGCAATTGTGCACTTGAACACCTCTCAATGGTGGTGACCTGTTTATCAAAATCTTGTTAGGGCATGCCATTCGGAAAGCGTACCCTTGGGCTATGGATCGACCTCTACTAACACTACCGTGGTTGAATCAAGTGGAATGACAAGCCTTTTGGACGAAGCTCACGCCGCTTATGCCCTCGGCTAGACCCCCCAAAAGTTAACCTTTTCCAATTATTTCATTCCAAAGAGTATAGGACTTGATTCTCAACTTACATCTGACAAGGTCGTCGAATGCTCGGGACCGAGCACTGGGTCCGTTAACCGAACGTTACTGCTGCATCAACTACTGCGTCTTAACCGGCGGGTTTCTTAGGCCAGTCCACAATTCTAGTATGCAATGGGTCCATGGCAAGGTATTTACTACCACAAGTGTAATGGATAGGTTCAACCCAGTGGTTTAAGGAGTGGTCGGAGACTTATATAGGTGGCCACCGCGGGGAATAGATGTTTCCGCTGCTCGCCAGCTCCTCACGCTTAACATCGCTAGACGAAAGCGCGAGAATATCAACACTAACCTTGAATTTTAGTGAGTCGACATCAGCTGATGGAATGATGTAATACGATTGGCTAGTTAGTAGAGAAACTGGTCGGAAAGATCTATTGTCCGTCGTTGTAGTTATGTTGCTGGTCGAGGCGAAATCTGGGAATAAAAGACCTCGCCAATCCCCCTCATATAATACCACAAATCCATCATACATCTCATCCTCAGCTGAATCCTCAAAAAAAAAACACCGCATCCTCTTGCTCCCAATTTATAAAAGCCTTCTTTTCTCACGATGCAATTGACCACCTCCCTCCTTGTCGCCGCCACCTTTGCTGGTGCCGCCTTGGGCAAGACGATTACGATTTCCGGCAAACACTGGAGCAGTGGCCGCCACCACATTGGCAACTCCGACTGCCACCAGGATGTCTACCACTATGTCAACAATACCTGCGATGGCACTGCAGTCGTTCACTTGGGCGACGATGTGCCCCGAGGCTGCATACCTCCAAAGGGTAGCGTATACTCGGGCAACCTCGCCGCTGGCAAGTGCAAGCTTCACCAGGGAAATGTTTTCCATTGAATCACGGTCATTATAACAATATAGTGAGTATTTTTTTAGTATATTTTATCTTTGAGAAATTGGCCAGTTGTTAACCTGGGCCGATGATTTAGACTGGATGTATATGCACTGGAGTGAGCCACCGTGCTTGGTTGGAAGCCACATAGATGAAATATCCTTTTTACGCATCTATTTTCCGTACTCTATTTCGTATTATATTTGCTCTAATTTTATACTCATGACTATCCTATGAGTATTCTTGTTTTTGGAATCTTTATTTATTGGCACTGTGAATTCGGAACATTTTTTCCCCACACACACCAACACATGCACGGCCCAAGAATTTCCTCTCTTGGGTGTCAATAGAAGCGCCCCTACTCCACCCTCCACAGCTTTCTCAATAGACGCAAAGCAAACTCTATTCAGCCCTCCGCATCTTGTCTCTTTACACCTGAACCCTCTCTTTTTGCACACGGCTTCATTGAACCGTTTGGAGCCTCTAAACCTATTCCGGATCTCAAACAAGCCTCTTGATCCACTTACATGGCATCGGCTGCACCGCTTCCCGCCGCAAGAGTACATGCACTGCTACCCGTTTATACATCTGTCACTATGATGCCTACACTATAAAGGAAAGTATCTTGTGTCGGTTCTGTGCAGAGATCCAAGTCCCCCTTGTGGATTTGTACTGTCGCATCTATTCACCTCTGCACCGGGCCGAATGACCCCAACCATCCACGACATGTCTGCCGCTCAGCTTGTAGTCGCTACCAGGGATGCCCTTTCCGCACTCCCAATCGGAGCCAGTACGTGCTAGAAGGCGTCTCGACACAGGTACTTTTACCTTTTGTTGTCCCGTCTCAAACACATGTAGCTTTCTTTGCCAACAATGTCACGGACTCTGGCGGCGCTTTTTGATGGGGAGCCCAGCCGGCTTTTGTTAAACAGACCAAGTCCATTCTTATCCTTTTTCCTCTTTATTGTGACTATACAAACCTTATTGATTGTGCTAGATCTGCCGTCTCGGCCATCCTCCGAGCATAGCTGGTAGTAGTATTTCATATCCTTTGCTTCCTCATCGCCTTCTCCAAAGTCAATTACTTCATTCCAGATCAAAATATTGCTCTGCTTTTCCTTTCCCAAATTTGGCCCTCAGGCATTTAACAAAAAAGGGAACAACATTAGATCATGGATCAGCCATTTGTGGCACCGTTCCCCAACCCGGAGCCGTATTCGACTCCAGGTTCACGCGCAGACCTTTACTTGAAGCTGGTCTTTTCTTGTATTGGAAATCTCGTCTGTCTCGTCCCAATGCGAAATCTCTACCGTCATGGCGAATTTGCCGCTGTCCTCTTCATTATCATTGTGGAAATCCGCAACATTCAAACCTTCATCTATGGCCTGCTCTGGCCAACCAACAACATGGACGGCTGGTGGCTAGGCTGGGGCCTTTGCGACATACACCCTTTCATCTATAACGCCTCCATTGGGCTTTTTGCTACATGTCTGCTGGCAATCATGAGAAATTTAGCCCATCAAGTTGGCTTGCTACGAGTCAACCCACTTACTGTCAAGGAACGTCGGCGCAAGAATGTCATCCAGGCCCTCATTATCTTCCCGCTGCCCATCATTATGCTGGCCTTTACTTGGCCGCTGACATCTCAGCGATACGTCATAGCGGGTGGCATGGGATGCATGTGGACATTGGTCCCAGCTTGGCCTGCCATCGTTTTCTTTGCTCTTGGACCAGTCGTTGTGGCAACAATCACGGTCTTTTACGCTCGTAAGGTCCATCTTGTCGTGAACCTGTGTCTAACCCACTGCTAACGCTGATACCTTTAGTACTTACTTTTTTCCGATTCAGACAAGTTGCGAAACTTACACAATCAACTCTCGGGAGTAATCGCGAAGCCACCCTCCGCAGTCAGAGAACCAAACGAAGACTATATCTCATGGTCGCCTCTATTCTCGTACCTGTATTCCCCGTGATGGTAGCTTGGGGTGTTTACAACTGCATCAGTATGCTTCCTCTCCAACTATTTGATTACAACGAGATACATCGAACTCCTGGATCCATGGCCGCCAAGCTCCAACCGTTTGACTGGAACACGCCTGTCCTTGTCCCTTCAAACCAAGTCAACTGGGAAGAATTCGAAGCCAGCTGGATCACAATCTTTACCACCCTTCCCATCTTTGTATTTTTTGGAATGACCAAGGACGCTCTTAATGATTACAGAAAGATTAGTCTTGTCTTCGGCGCCGGTCGTATCTGGTCAAAGCTCTACGAAGAATACGATCCCGACCGTGTTTCATCACCCTCTCGCTCTGGATCCTCAGGCACATTCACCTTCAGCACAACTGCAGTGTACGTACCAATACAACGCCATTCATGTCGAATAATGCTAACTGATTTCATAACAGTGACACTAGTCCATCCAAACGATCAAAACTCTCTCAAGTATTCACCAAGTCGTCCAGACCAGCGAATACAACCACAGTATCTGTGACCGCCTGTGATGATGGCCAGTTGGGCAACTTGACATTTATTACTTCCAATGAGATGGAGCAAGGACATCTTTCGGCGACTCCATCAGCAGAGGAAATGCCACGACCTCCTCCTATGGCAATGCGTACCCGCCGATTTTTACCATTTGCATTTCTGCTGAGACCAACACTTTCAACTACAAGTTCGACACGTGAAAGACAACCCGACATGGATGAGGTACACAATTGGTCTTCAGTACCGAGCTGGCTGCAATCGCAAAGCCGCCGTGCATCGCCTCCGCATCCTCCACCACCCAACACAGGGTCCATGGCATAATGGTCAACAGCGTGGATGTGCTCTTTTGATGATAGTACTGCAATCCGTATTTGACAGAGCTACATGATAATAAAAGAAATACTAGCATGATTCAAACTATAAAGTTGTTCCTCGACGCATGGTCCAAGGTCTTGCTCTATTCCGAGTGTATTAGAGTAGCTGTCTAAATCAGGTAAGTTACTAAATATGATAAAAAAAAATTACATCAAAGAGTCTAGTGGGTTTAAAGTATGTACAGGCCACAGAACGTTTTCTTATAAGAAAACAAGTGCAAAAAAGAAAACTCCAAACTATGAACAGGAGCGGCTCTAAACAGCCAGTTAAACGTGGACTCTCAACGGTTATTTACCACCTTTCTGCATCTTCTTCATGGCTTCACGGTGGGCCTCCAAGAGATCGCCAGTTCTCATTCTCTCATTGAAAGCACGATCACTGAACTCTCTGTCCCGTTTCTGCATCTCCCGGCGTTGTGCCTCGACCTCCTTTTGTCCAAGCATTATATTGCGCTGAAATTCGATGTTTCTCTGCAGCTCGTGATCGCGGCTGCTGAGCAGCGAGTTTGTTGAAGCAAAAGGTGTATCGCGGGTTGAGGAGAGCATCACTGGGTTGCCAGCTCTCAAATCTTGGGATACAGACATGCGGAAATTGGCAAGTTTTGCCTCGCGAGCGGCGGCCGTTGGGAGATTCGAATTGCGCTGCGGTTGATGAGAGTCGAATGTCGTGGCTTCTGCTCCTCCGTAGTTGTTTTCGGCATTGTAAAAGGAGTTCATGGAGGGTGTAAGGGAAATGCGACTGTTGTTTCGCATAAGTTGGCGTCGTTGGGTCAAAGTCAAGTTGTCTCCATCCATTACTGCGTTAGCGGGATAGGCAGGGAAGTCTACAACAGAGCCGGCATCACTGCCACCGTAGTTCATCATGGGGGGAGGTGCGTTGGTGTTGAGCAAGTTGACCTGGGATCGAGATCGCATCGCCAAGTCTCTCTGTCCAATAAGAGTCTGCGGGCTATCACAAGAAACAATACCGGGAATCGCTGGGCGACTGACAGGCTCTTGCTTGGCTTTCACAGGTGTGTTCGTAGATGACATATCAGCGGTGCCATTCTCTTCAGCGATAGGCTCAATAGGGGACGCCTTGCGAAGCCCAAAGTTGGATGGAGATCGCATAGCAAAATTAGTTGGTGACTTGGGGTTTCGACCAGACAAGGGAGAGGTTGGCGGTGGCAAAACAACGCTGCCGATTGTCAATCTCTTATCCTCACCACCAGTAAGCTCATCCAGAGCGGCTGATACATGAGCAGCACGGGACTCTGAGCGGCGAATAGCGGGTGGAATACCATGCTCCGCAACCTGCTGCAGCCCATCCATATCTACTGGGCGAACAGTATCGTCCTTGGTTGAGGAGGTTGATTCGTCAACGGGCAATTCGTCCAAGTCGGGGGTTTCAGCATGGCTGAGATGTTTCGCCCATTCGTTGGTTCGATACGATAATGCTACTCGAGACAATGACTGGGGGAGGTGCCCTTTGCTCAAGCTAGCTGGGACAGATACTTCTGATGTCACGGAAGCGGCATGGGTAGGGTGGTCGACAGCTTTGTCGGCGGTGGCGCTATCGGTAGAGCTCAACTCTGCTGTGATCTCGATGCTTTTCCGGGGTTCGATAGCCACGGAGCTTCTGCGGCTTGACGCAACACTCTCGTGGTCAACCGTCGCTGCGAGGGAGCCGTTATCATCTTCATCTCTAGGAAGCACCAGGTCCTCTTGGCTTTCACGGCCCTTGTCCAAAAGGTCGTTTGTTTTTGCGGATCCCTGAGACAGGCTTCGCAACAGGGTAGTAGAGCTTTGGGAAAATCTCTTTGCGATGCCACGACTTTTACTAGTAGGCTGATTGTTCTCTTCGTCGACAATGGCGGCGACGGACGATCGTCCGCTTTCAGGCTGGTTCTCGTCTCCTTCCGGGACCGTAAAGGGCAAAGGAACGACCTCGGGTGCTTGGGTTAGAGAGATGGATCGGGAGTGACGCTTGCTGTGGTTGCTAGTTCGCGATACACGCTTGCTAAGATTAGACAAACGTCGCTGCTGAATATCGTTTACACTATCGTGCTGTTCGTCGCAATCGCCATTTTCGTGGATGTATTCAGTAAAGGGATCGTCATGGGCATTTTGGATGATAATGGAGCCCTTTTCACCGTGGCTAGCCGCCGAACTAGCAAGGTGCTGTTGGGATTCGTTTGATTCGGACAAGTCTTCCAGTTCGATCACTTGGTTGGAGTGACGGCGGCTCATGTAACTGGAACGGAGTCCTGCCTTTTCGACATCTATCACACCTGGTTCAGAGAGGCGCGAATCTCTAAAGCTGATAACGGTATCATCTCCATAGATCCTTTCCCATGCCTTGCGGTCGCGTCGCATGCTAGCCTCGATCTGACGACCGACATTCTCTTCCTCTGCTTGGAGGTTGCGCTGATCTTCGGCTCGCTCCGCCTCTCGTTTACCGCGACGATCGCGAATGACTCGCCAAAGTTTGATTTGCGAGACGATGGAAAAGAGGAAGATTATGACCACGGCAGCGATTTCGACCCGGATACCCTTGGTTACAGGATATGTGGTGGCACCAAAGGGGAACAAGTTGTCATTGAGATGCCATGTGTAGGCCCAGAACTCCTTCAGACCAGCTTTGCTGAAGCAATCAATGCCCAACACAGTAACTGTAGCACCAGAAAATGAGATGAGAATGATAAGCGCCCAGTCACGGGTAAAGCGACTGAAGTAGAATGCAAAGCCGCTGAAGGTGAACGCGGCAATGAAGATTGCCCTGGCAGCAGCTTGTTGGAGGAGACCACCTGGTGCAAGACACATAAGCCACATGCTGAGGCAGAATCCACCTAAAGCACATCCAAATCCTTCGGTAAGCTCTCTGAAAAAGGTTGATGCTGCTCCGACGGCGCAAGATGATACGACGATTGCTACAACGTAGCCTCCTTGTAATGCGTCGCTGACTGGAACTTGCATGACATAGATAATCAGAACAGTGACTCCCAGAGCTGCCAAATATGCAGCGGAAAAGAATGTATGTATCCAGCGATTCTTGATTCCAATCAAAGAGTATGTTAGGCCGGTGAGCAAAAGAATTGAGCCAGCCACTCCCCAGCCGGGGGTAAGCTGCGGGTCGATGGGTAGCTGGTCGCCTGGCAAAGTCACTATTATAAACAATTAGCCAGTACACTCATAGTATAGTCCGATGCATCCTTGACGAACAGTTTACAAATGTGGCATTTCCTAGGGTTGTAGTTATTCCGCCAAAGGCAGACCCAGTAGGACTGGGAGCCGGCGCCGAGGTGATGGAGGCAGCGAGAGATGCGCCGCTTGTAGGTGAATCATGATTCTCGTCGTTTCCAGACTTGTTGGGTTTTTCTGTCTGTGCAGGCGCAGGCGAATCGGACCCGGCCTTGCTAGCGGGCGGTGGTGGTGGTGGTGGCTCAGAGGCTTTGCTTGCTGGAGGAGGAGGCGAAGATGATGGTATGGGATCAGCTCGACGTATGACATTGAACGATTGAGAAACGGAGAGTTGCAACATCAAAAAGAAGCACAACAGGAGCCAGACCCGGCATCTGACTTTGGAAAACATGGCTGCGGTTGGGATGAGTCGTGTCCGTGTAGTCGAATCCAGGAGTTTTGCTATTTGTTAGTAGATCCAGTCCAGAAGTATTCCTCGTTATTCCCAAGCTTCAACCATAGCCTAAACGCAGAGGAGTAAAACGAACAGTGAATAGGGAGGTGATAGGAGAGAAAGGAAAAGAATCCGGATCGGGTTGTACAGGAAACGACGCGCTGAAATGATAGCCGCAGAGACGACTGGGAGGCAGCACCAGGCAAGACAACGGAGGCAGCAACCGTTGCACTAAAGGAAGAGTCGGCCAAAGAAGCAACGAGTGCAATTTCACTACATAGAGCGAGATATGACAGTAATCGTCGCGGAGGATGAGACAAGAATATCCCGGGACTGAGACACACAACTAGAGCGATGCGGTCTGCGTGCAGGGCTGCGCAGGAGGCACACCGGGATGAATTGAAATGAAAAAGTGCAAGACACGTGCAGAAAGAGATTGAAGAAAGTAGGGATTGGACAAAGAAAAAGCAAAGAATTATGCGGGCAAGCGTGAGCAAAGATGGCGGCGGTCCGTCCGGTTGAAGCAACCTGGGCATCAGCATATTTTGGGACTGCACGGCATATAAGACACGCTTGGCGGTCCATTGCGACGGCGGATAGACGGATCATCCGGTTTGCCAGTGATTAGAGTGAACCATAGAAAACAAGCAAGCTGAGCATACGCTCCGGACTGCCAACCAACCAGTATCCAGCTGGCTGGCATCGCCTTCGCCTAATGCAGCGACGAGTTCGCGCCAACGCTATCATGGTGTGTGCCCAATTTCCCAAGGTGCGCCACCAGACCACTCCCTGGCGGTGGTGTGGGGGCCGGCCCCGCAGCGAGGACCCAAAATGTGGATGGATCAAGCAATTGGGGAAAAAGTTTGGGACACTAGATCGGATTTATCAGAGCAAGGCAAGGACGGTATATGGCCCCCCTGCGTGCATCTTGTCATGTCAAATCAGGATGCAACGCAGTCCCTTGTCGGGATATGTCCGATGTGGTAGGCCGCAAGTCCGATGCTGGTCGGGCTGCTCTGCGATTTTTTTTTGTTGGTTAAAATGATTTTTGTACTCGTGAAAGTCGACTTGTTGTCACTGCAATGCAGTCACAGCTCACCGACTTCCCCCGGAGCATCGTTAGGATGGCGATGTCTAACTAGTTGGCTAGTGTAGAATCCAAGCGTTCCAAGCAGAAGACTTCGTTGCTGCCATAGTGTCAATAGTCCACCACTGCTCTAATCCGCAGCGGGCCGGGGTTTCTAGAAACCAGCGTCACATTGAATTTGGCGACGAATGGTTTGCTTTTGGCGTGTTTTGGTGGTGATACCACGTCGCCTTGCGGTGGAATGGAATGTGCGGGCATGGCAGTTGTTACGTGGGACGGCTTGGTTGCCAGTCGGGTTTGTTGTGGTTTCTATTGGTAAGTAAACGCGGGACTGTTTAGTAGAGGTATGAGTCTGGCTCTCTTTTTTTTTCACTGTGTGCTATTTCTGTAGTTGCTGCTGCTGTGTTCAAGCATCTCTGTGGCAGTTTTAACAAAAGCAAAAGTACTCTCCTTCTTTTTTTGGTGGAGGTGCAGTACCGGCGACGTGTGTGCTAGACGGCTGCCCGCCCACTTTGTTCCCTCTCTGGCTCTTTTCCTGGGCGTGGCAGCTGGCTGGTACGATCGGCGTTAGCCAGCTATGCCGTAGCGGGCAACTGGGGCAGCGTTAGCGGGCAGCTAGAGCAAAGCTAGCGCTGGTGGTGCCTGGCGCTAAGGCTGCAGCGTGGCCACCGCAAGAAGCGATTGGGGGAACGCGACGCCCCCGCACCCACCACCAAAGTCTCTCGTTTCCTTTTTGGTGAAATGAAGCAAACGCTAACAAGCCAACGTGGATGGGCCACCTACTCGGGAAAGGAAAATCTTGGCTGCTGCCCACTGTCCAATCTCTCAGCTGCTTCTTCTTTTTTTCCTTTTTTTTTTCTTTTGGCGCGACAGCCTCCCGGTCAATTAGCCTGAGCATAATGCTTGCTTACTTACTGCACTGCACGCTGTAGAACGGGAAGACGACGGGAAGCACCACAAAAGAGTGAGACCACTTCGCCAAGAGACACTCGACGCGACAAATAGCCCGCCTTTTTCTTTTTAAATCTTCTTCATTGGTGTCTCTATTCCAACGCAAGACCCGGGTTCGCCAGAGTCTCGAGATAGCACGAAGCGGTATCAGACAGACGTCATGGTAAATCACGTCTTGCCAACGAAGTGAGAGCCATTCAACGAGCAAGCCGAGTCGCCCTTCCGCCGCGGATGCAACCTCTTGTAACATCCCACTGCCCTGATTTCCGCCCTCCGCCTACTCCGAGCGGCGGCCCCGTCTTAAACAGGGTAACCCTTGAACTTGGATCAGTGCCATGCAAGTAAGAATCCTGCTTGGCTCCCTTAATATGCAAAGTTTAACGTGCAGCGCAATGGGTTGGTTCTGTACATGAGTGGCGCCTCACTGTGGCTGTGGTCTGATGGACGCTAAGACTGCACGACTAATTACTGCTGAGACCTTTGCAACACGAACGAGGGGCGTTTGGTCCACCTAGTTCGCACTTTATCAGACGTGGCAATTGCAGTAATGCAATGTCAGCATCATCGACGAGACCTCTCAATCCTTACCAAAGAAGAGGGGAAGGGCCGGCTGTCTTTGAGCACGCGTTGCTGAGACCCCTCATCTCATCGGCGCGCAACATACTGTCATCAGTTCGATATCTGCATGTGTACGACACTACGATAGAGACAGCTGCTTAAGCCTTGTCAACACACGTACTTCCACTTTAGCCTACTTGTAATACCTGGGCAAGGCACACCAACGCATCGTCGTACATTTCAACTCTAAACAATGTGACAACGCAAGCCGCAGAGTGCCTTACGATAAGAACAATAACGTTTACCCGAACACAGCCTTAAAGCTTTATACGACGGACTTGTACTTTTGTTGGTTGCGTGCATTTCAGCTGTTGGCATGGAACTTGTGTTTTAGTTTCCAATTGGGCACATCACCAGCCGATATTACGTGCAGATGCAGATGCAGATGTAGATGCACATATGGTTCAGCTGATTCTGCATATGGCTTGATTTAAACGTTCCGATACAAGCCGACATTAAGTAATATTAATAGCTCTCGGTAATTGGGGCGCTTTTGGGCCGATTTGCGAAGCTACACGATCTGGTGTCTGCCGTATATCGATTCAGCCTGGTTAGCCCCCCGCATCGCCAGTATTGTGTTCTGCCCGTCTCAAGATGACGAAAATTGACGAAATGATATAATCGGGTGAAACAATATGTTACCATTAAAGTAATCGCTGACTTCATTGCCATTGACGAGCTGAGCACCCAAGCTGCTGGGAATTATAATACGGAACTCAGCTATATGCGGCCACAGAGGTCAGCTATATGCTGTACTCTATGCACTATCCCTTCCCACCAATTACATGGCGTGAGTATATTGTTGTAACATGCAAGTTTGTCAATATTTACGCCTTTTTGTAAAACCATGCATGAAAGTCCTCGCTTGGAATCGCCTTAACGTGTAACGTTGCTCAAGGCCAGCTGCTTGGAAGAGGCTTCATTGCAAAGTATAAATATCAGCCATTCCACTGAACTATAGCAAGTCGACAACAAGGCATTTCAATCTTCCATCAGGACCTCTAATTCATACACAGTAGCTACTTTAGCCATTCATCGTCATGCGTCTCCTCGCCATCGTCTCTGCTCTTTGCACACTTGCAACAGCTGCAACGCTAGCTCCTGAGGTACGATTTTGATACTATGCCATATATTCTTCAAACAACACTAATTATCCGTGTAGGATGCAAAGGCAGTCACCACTCTCTGGCGCGCGTACAGTCCCGGCGCACGCGACCACTTCTACACCACAGACTACAGCGAGTACAACAACGCTGTGAACAATCTCGGCTATAATGCTGAGGGTGCATCCTGCCGTGTCTTTTCCACCCATGTAGCTCAAAGCGTGCCTCTCTACAGATTGTACTCTGGTAGAGCATCTGACCACTTCTACACCACCTCTGCCCCAGAGCGGGATAATGCCATTCGGAACCTGGGGTACACTGACGAAGGCATCGCTGCGTATGTCTATTCTCAAAACATCAACAATGCAGTCCCGTTCTACCGAGCATACAGTGGCGGTGCTAGCGATCATTTCTACACTGTTAATGCAGTCGAAATGGAAAATGCCATTCGCAAGCTGGGGTACTCGTTCGAAGGCATCGCGGCGTACGTATTTAATCCGTGAGACATCCCTCTGTGATCTATAGGGATCTACCTAATTTAATCTATCAGAGCTGTCATATTGGATTAAATACTGGAGTATGTTTCTTGCTTGACCTATCAAACTTGACTGTTGTTAAATTGTTTGGCTTAGACGCAACAGAAGCATGCGGCAGTGTGTTAGCTTTTGCATCAAACCATGTCCTAGATATAGTTTAATGAATTTTATCATAGTTTAACATTTTAAATTGATTTTAACTTCTTAAGATTTTGTATCTATTTTTATGAGAATTATTTGAAGCACTCATCATTCTTACACATGACACTACCCTATAGTGTTACTTTGCAAAAAAACGGGCTCATTACACCTTTTAAAAAAAATAGTTTATGCCAAGAAAGCACCTAGAATATTATTAATATAGCTGTATGATCCATTTCGGCGTACTCCGGGTCAATTTCTGAGGGGAAACTGTCTACAAGCCTTGTTATTCCTGTCGTACTGTTGTTCTCCACGCATCGCTTCCAGACGATTTCGATTGGTCTACATCCGCAAACTGCTATTTATATCTACAAGATCCCCGAATGTAACAACATTATAGCTCAAGTGCATAGGAAATGCCTCTCACGTCTTCGGCACTCGCATAGCTGAAGCGGCAGTGATTGACCGTGTATGGTGCAACGCATCAGGGCGCCCCGCCAGCGTCGGCACTACACCAACATGAGCCGCACTCTGCTACCAGTACTTCACCTGATGATAATAATCTCGCTTCAAGCGGTAGAGAATTTGGCAGCCCAATTGCAAGCTCATCTAATTTGCGCGAAGATGGTTTTCGCTGTGGCGACATTTGCGTCTGTCTGGTGCGCGCCTTTAATATTCCCTCGTCAGGTTCGTAAACACAAAAGTATATAAACTATTGAAAACACCAAGCCAGCCCAGTCTTCTCCGGAATCCCATCCTGAACATTCATTCATTAGCTTTCTGTCATTCATTTACGCAAACATGAAGTTGCTATCTACCCTTCTCCTCACCGTGGCCAACGCTGCTGTTATAAGCCACAAATCGTCTGTTGGCCGGCCCGCTATGATCTACGACGCGCTTGCCAACTATACAACTACGCCCCTTGAACACAATATCCAAGACCGTGCTGCCAATTACGACACTAACTGGGCAGGATCTGTCCAGGAAGGGAGCAACTGGTCCTTCATCACGGGGACTTCTAGAATCCCGTACGTTGCTGATCAAAATGGAGCTTCGGCCACTTTGGTTGGTATTGACGGGCTGCGATGCACCAACGCTGTCCTACAGACTGGATATACGATCTGGGGCGCCGGTGCGGTGGAACTATGGTACGAGTGGTGGCCTAACCCCAGCTACCACTACTCCAGCGTCTCCGCCAAGGCAGGCGACTACATTCGCATGAGCGTCTGGGCTTACAACTCTACTAGTGGGCGAGTCATGATTGAGAACTTGACTACCGGGCAGTCAGACTACCGCACTTTCCAAGGCATGAACAATAACCAGCTCTGTCGTTCGGATGCAGCCTGGATAGTTGGTACGCCCACTTACAACGGCCAGCAAATGCAACTTGCCAACTTTGGCACGATTGACATCACAAACACCCAGGCACAGGGAGACCATGGAACAATGGGCGCTGCAGGCGGAAACATTGTCAATATTTACCAGAACGGGTATCAACGCACGAGCTGCGGTGCCAAAAATGATGGCATGGAGTGTCGTTATGTACAGTAGAATAAGACATCAATGTTTCCATTCGCTGTCATCCATTATATATTTGCATACATTAAGAAAACTGTTGTACCAAATTTTGTTCCTAATTGAGCGCCATACTTTGGTATATTGACTCATTAGCATTCGACAAAAATAGCATTGATGATGCTCTGCGTTGACTCACATTGAATAGTCGTATAGCTGGCGAGGCAATGGCGTGTCATATGCTCGCCACGATCAACCACTTATTACTGAAAGCTACCGAGTGTAATATATAACAAGTGAATTAATAAAACTAAACCACTGTATAGCTACTGATAATTTAGTTGGGCCCATCGTAATTGATAGTAACAGAGTCAGCTGCGAGGTCAGACGGGTGGCACAGTTGTTTTCCGTCCTTTGGCTGCCAAGTAAGACTCTTGGATCCTGTAAGATCGTAGGTTTTACCCTTCTTGTCCTTTGCCTTGGCCGAGTGGAATTGAAATGTTGAAAAGGGATAGTACACTTCATTGTCTGTGTTCAAAAGCTCGCTCTGCTGCAGCCATTGAGCAGAATTGCGGCAAAAGAAGTCTGGCGTACGCACAGTCTCATGATCCTTTTGTCCAGTGGTCAAGTTTTCAAAGTAGCTATCGATACCGTTAGTTAGTGATTAGCTATGCTTCGCATCATTTTCCTTACCAGGTCATGACGTTTGGCTTCTCGATAACCACTTTGACGTGGACATCGTCCCCAGGTTTCACTGACAATGTTAGTATAAATCATAACCCGTAGTGATGCTCATTTTAATACACATACCTTCCCCGGTAATGCCAAGTGTATAGCGTTCAGTTCCACATAGGAATTCATATGATGTTTCATTGCCCATCGCCTATTTTTATTAGTGTCGTAATATGTACATGTTTTACAAGCAACTTACATTCGCCATGGTGCCGGCATATGCACGGTATGCACAGTCAGGTTCAAAGCCACCAATACCAACCCATTGCTCGCTTCTGGAGCGATCATGCTCGTCAGCTGGGACTGTTGCATGAGGCACCTTCCACATAGCCTCAATTTCCGTCAAATCTTCTGTTGTTTCTAAGACTTGACCACAAAACTGCCCAGCGGGAGCAGCATCGCGCGCAACAGCTGTATAGTGGCGATTAGCAGCCATGGCGGCCACACTCTTGGTCATAATAGCAAGGATAGAAAGAGTGAGCATTTTGTCGATGATTTGTAACTGATGATGTATTGAATGTGAATGATGGAGTGTGATATTGTTGATATACCGTCCGTAGAACGGGTAGTTGCTCAACTTTATATACTTTTTCTAACTCTTTGTGATTCCTAAACTAGATAGCAAGTTTGCACCGTAATACCACCGTGACAATAGTTGCTTGTTGCAGGTTTCGCCATGAACTGCCTCATCATGAACGATTGGTAACGTTACGCCTCGTTCAATTGAGACCATTATACCTCTGTTTGTACGGATTAAACGGCACTGCATTGTGTAATACATTGCAGTAAGTTCATTCGACTGTTGAGGTATCGCGAACTGCCGACGTGGGATCAGGTGAGCACCGAGAACCAGCCTAGAATCACCGGATCGGCATCCGGACCCGACGGGGCGATGAAGGCAGTAAAATCCGGAATACCAAATATGGCCTCAAAAATGGAATCATGGCGGCAGTTACGTTGGTCCGAGACACTGTGCACTACTCGTTCTGCGCATAGCAGTTGAAGATGATGGAACTTTTGTCCGTCTTATATCCAGCAATACATGATCACCAATGAAAAGTGGTCGGAAGCGACGGGTGGGGGTGCGTAGTCCGACATCCAGTGTAGCATCAAAGTATAATTCTGACTCGTTTTGGCAAGTGGGCGTGTGATGCTCTGGCATGCGGCCTAACCCAACCCAAGTCTACGATCTACGATGGTCTGACTCGCAGGGTGGCCCCGGATCTATAAACCCAAACCTACAATCTAATCTACACTCATTTCTTGACTATTTGTGTACCGCGTGACTATCTAACACTATGCTAATAACCTTAATTGACGATTAATTGCTTATATACAGGCTTGCAAGCATGACCTGTGCTAGCCAAGCTATCTGGTGTATGATGTATCAGTTCATCCCATAGTCTGGGCTAGAGCACCATCATCCAGCACTGCCCAGGTTGCATAGCAGAGTCCTTGCACCTGGAATCCTCGCAAGGTGCGTCAATTTCACCTCCAGATGCTGGGCCATTATCCGATGATAGGCGCGCGAGTCAAGAAATCCTATCCACCTGCCGAGATAGGTTTCTGGGGAACAGCTGCCGTCAACAATCAAGAACGCCACGTCTAAAGCGTATATCCGGTGGGGGTGGAGCCGTAGCGATGCTCCGATCAAGGTGGTTTACAGTGTCTCCTCCCAATGACGTTCTATATCATTGGTGCGCCTCGCGTGGCACTCACCGTCTTGCTAGTCGCTCCCTCGATCGCTTCCCCGGTTTCTGATTGGTGTGATGGGGGCATACCACTGTAATCCCACACATCTAAACCCCACTCGTCGCTACCGGCCGCTATTCATTGGTCAATGCAATTTCCTACTCATATCTTACACTGCGAACTCTCCACGCGAAGTCAGGGGTTTCTCTTGACGGCCAATTACAGATAACACAAAGCGACGTGTGGGGGATTGTCACCTTAACGTCGAATGTAAGCGGTTAACTGAGACGCTTCTCTTCTGACTGACCACTTACACGCTGGCGATGCACAATCCCACAGCGCCCAACTGAATCAGAGCTCCATCATATCCGTCAGCGAGTCAAGGCCACCGTTCCATAGAACAGAGAGAAAAACCGTTTGGAGCAATTAGATTGGTTTGTTCGGAAGAAAGCGAACAGGACACCTTTAAGCGAACCCCACCCACTCCACGCTAACTACTCAGCGTAGATCTCCATACAACAACTGCATGAAGCGGGGTTATCGTACGAACCCCATCAGACGACATGACAAACAGAATCTTCCCATGGCTCGAAAGTTCAGGGGACCCCGAATGATGATATGCCGAGGATCCGTATAGAGCTTCCTTAATGGGCTCTGTTAGCGATGACATACGCGTAGTGAACCAGTCAGCAGGACATGATGCGGTGTCGTAAGATTTGTGCATAAAAGGCCATGGAGATGCTGCAATAAAAGAACATGATGAACATACTACCAAACAAGCTACTACTTTCATCGTATCAAATCATTTCACAAACAGCCATGTTTGCTACTCTCCCTCTTCTTCTCTCTGCAGCGCTGGCCGCAGCACTGCCCACCGCTCCTGTGTCTAGCCCACGAAGCTTGGGACCTAGAGCTGAGACGTGGGATACCTGGTGCGGTGCTGTCCAGCAGTACCCCGGCGGCAAAGTCCAAAGCGTTGAGGCATCCTGGGTGGTCCCCAATATATCTGTGCCCGCCGGCGGCAACTCTCAAAACGATTATTGGGTATACCACTGGGTGGGCATCGACGGCTCTTACGGGTGCCAGACTGGAATTCTACAGGCCGGCACAAGCGTTGACGTAAGTACATACACGGAATATCTAGTTTCTTTCTGATAGCACCACTAACAGGCGCAGATCACTCAAGGTTATATTCGTACTCAATTCTGGTGGGAATTCTGGCCTGACTGGCCCGTCTTCATCAATGACATTGAGTGTAAGTTACAAAAGAATTCTTTATCCGATTGGATGCATGAGACTAATTGACTTTGAAAGTGGCTCCCGGGCATGAGGTTTACGTCAAGGTCACTGCATCGGGTACTCGTTCAGGAACCATGTAAGTCTTGCAATCCGCCAAGATTTTGCGCGGCTCATATCTAACTACTATTAGCTACCTTGAGAACAAAACCACTGGAAATCAGCGATCTATCCCGGTGAATATGAACGATCCTAACGGGGCGTTATGTTTCAGCACCGCTGCGTTCGTTGCCGAAGATCCGCATTCAAGCACACAGTGGTGGCCGCTCGCCAACTTTGCTGGTACTACTATGGCTAACTGTGGCGGCACAACCTGGGACGGCAAGACATTTGGTCTCAACAATGCGAATGTGGGCAACATGGTTCAGTATGGCCAGACTCGATGCACTGCACAGCTTACCAGCGGCAATTCGGTCTACATTCAAGGCTAATAGGAGTCTACCTTCCCTCTATACGGGAAAGTTGATAAGACAAGCTCTAGAGACTGTTCAATTTGTACCTGCTAGACACTTTGAATCGTTGAATTGATTATTGAAGACTTTAAGCTGTTGCTCTGTCTATGATATTGAAGATATTATATATCTGATCACTGTTTTTGCGATGCAGATGCTGCGAATGTCAAACTAATCTCAAACTAAAGGGATTCGCTCAATTTTGCCTCATTGGCCTTGTAAAATTATAACTTTTGAAGAAGAGAAAGTGTAAAGCAGGTAGCCACATTTCGTGGGTGGTAGAATGTAGGAGAGAGGTATCGGACATGAACAATAACGGAGGCGGGCATCGTGACGGAAACATGGAAATAAGCGCATAAATTGAAGATGGATTTCGTGTAACTCATTTCTGTTACCGTTTGGGTAAACGTGCTGGCATCCGGTCTCCCCCGTATCGAGAGGGTACAGAGACTTTGCCGGGTCGTCGGGAGCGACCATTGGCCTGTGCCGACGAAGACTGCTTGCCTCCTTTTTTCTGAAAGAATGCTGTGAAAGGGCGCAGGGGAAATACCATAATCTGGGCCATAACGTTGAAAGGGAAGAGGATAATGGCCAAAATGGAATCAAGAACCCGCATAACCAGGCTGCTGCTGTTGGTGGCACTGTTTTTCACGGCGGCAGCAGCGAGGGCTATAGCATCGTCAAGCCTTGCCTCGGTGGCACCAAAGCGTGCATCAGTCTGGTGCAGAAGAAGCGTGCTTCGCTTCTCGTATCGGCGCATTGCCCTATTGAGTGCGTCGAGCTCTGGTTGGATGGCAGCGCGAACATCTTGTGCTATGGTGGTCTCAGCTTGCTGCTTGCTTATGCTGCTCTGCTTGTTATCAAGGTGTTCAGATCCACCAAGCGCTGCTCGGCCTTCTAAAACTTGAACGCGGCTAATGAGCTCGGCAACTTGAGAGCCGCTGGTGCTAGCCATGGCATAGGGGTTCTCGTGCACAATGCGTTGTAGATAGAGCGTCCGGGCCTGGACAAGCTTAATCATATGAGACATGGCTCGAAGTTCGGCTACGAGCAAAAAGATTGTCAGGTTATAATTTGATACGAGCCCTTCGGAAGGTCGGCTGAGCTGTGATCGGATGGCGTGTAAAAGGTAGGCGCTAACAAGGGGCAGAGCAAAGCAGGAGATGAGAGCTAGCGCTTCATGCATATAGAGCTCGGTCAATGCAGATTGCTGCTGCGGCGTAATAATCTTGTCTTGGCCAGCACTAGCAGGCCTGTCTGCTGAGTTGCCTTCTTCTGGGACGTCTTCAAGCACAGTGCTATTGGATAGTTCGCCATCTGCTGTTTCGTATTCGCTTTCGGAGTCTACAGCAATGTCGCTATCGTCTTCTTGTTGAACTCGTACTTGTTGTGCGGCGTGATACCAGATCCTGATCGTCAGTTAGCTTTAGTGCTACAGTTTAATGAATGAGCTGGGCAGATAGTCGTACCATGGCTGCGTTACAGACCAGTGCAGGAAGATGCCGGCCAAGCCAAGCAGCATTATATCCGTTACAACGGCATGACCATTGGTGAATAGCACACCTGAGAGCGCAGGCAGCAGAGCAAACGCTAGAGATAGGCCGGCGAGAGATGATGATTCCGGAGAAGATGTATCAATGGGCTCGCGGGAACGGCCATGAGGATTGAGGAGATCGCGCGCCTCGTTGAAACTGTACTCGGAGAAGTTGGAGCTCCGTCGCGGTGGCTGCGGAGGCAGATCAAACGTAGCATCTGCGAATCGTCCTGTTGGTGTACCAGTGCGATGGCGCGAAGAAGAGACATCGTCTACGGAAGTTCTGGAACGGCGTAAACCATGGCCAGCCGGGCCGGCGCTGAATCCTGAACTCGTTCCATTGCCGTTGGCTGTTGCTGAGCCCTTGGATTTGGCGGGAGCATCCTGCGAGGTGTTGTCGTCCGACATAATCGACAGCCTGCCTTGTGATCCGCCGGCTTTATCGCATTCGACTGGGGCAGATTGCCAGGGTTATGCACGATGATAGCGGAGAAGGGTGTTGATGACGCCTGAGGCGGCGTGGCTGCTGGGTAGCCGGGCTGTTGGCGAAGAGGAAGAAGGGTGGTAAGTTGTATAAGAAAAAAGAATAAGAAAGAAAGAAAAGCACAGCGGCTCTTCCAAGGCTGACCTCCTCGCGATAAAAAGAAGAGAATAATCTTGCAAAGGCCAAGTAGAAAACCGGTTGGAAGGATTCCAAGTGGCGGACCTCGGCCACGGCAGGCAGACGCAGCGTAGCAATTTCCTGCCCACAGCTCGAGTACATGACGTACAGCACTGGTCTGCGCGTCGAGTCGAGGTAGAGTGGCGCGCGGAGCTGCGTGGAGCTGCATGCACTGTACAGCGAGGTACCATAGCGGGCTGCCACACCATGTACAGTGTACTTTACAGGAGGTGTTTCTCGCTGCTGCCACGCTGCCCGCCGCTGTTTTTTTTTTCCCTTGCTGCGTTTAAGATTGTCTTGGACCGACAATGAAGGGTCGCCCGATGGGAAATTCCAGTCGGGATTTCTCGCTACCAAGGAGTTTACAAGCAAGAGACGCTAACGACAGTGATAGGGACGAAAAAATAAAATGAAGCAAATGACGGTGGCTGACTTGGCTCGTTGACCTTGCGGCTGAGGGCCATTGCTCCATACATGATCCTACACGGAACCGTCACTCTGCGTTGCGAGTGTGCATCAGCCTGCTAAATACTATATGGCTTGAATCATATTTCGAATCAACAGGCCACTAGCCATGACTGACAGCCAGGAGGAATCTCATCATAATTATGACAACTTCACACTCATCTCCTCAAAACGTTGCGAGGCCCTTGTTGGCATATATCGCCTCGGTCACGCCAGAGCTCCCCTTGACTATCGATCAAACGTCTTCACAAAGCTAGTCAGTATATCCGAAATCACGAAGCCAAAAGGCTATTGGTGGAAATGGCCAATGAAAAAACGACGCGGTGTCAAGCAATGCAGGTCATCGCCATTGGAGGCACTGCCCTCAGAACTCCTTGAATTGGTTCTCTGCCAACTGACCAGCTTTGGCGATATCATGAGCTTAGGAAGCACATCGAGCACGTTTGCGCGTCTGATATTTCCCCGGTACGCACCAAGTAGTTTGAGTCCTGGAAGCTGGGCCAACCAACCGGTAACGGCCTTCTTTTGCGACCCTCGTAAGAGACACCAGAGGACCTCATCAAGTCTATCATTTAGCGGGCTGCCGACTGCAAAGACTATCTGCAACGCGTATAGCCTACGATCTTCAGAGTGGGACATTTCTATTTACGATACATCTGAACGTGAAGGTGACTCGCGCTACCTCATATGCAAGCATCCAAGTGGCTTTGACTCGGATGCCAATTCTCCTTCCCTGCCTCGCCGTAGCCAGACCGCACCGCTAGAGAGGGCACTATACAGACTATGTGTGCCAGACTTTCAAACATCCTGGGGCATCGACTGGGTTCTGCGCAACCAATCGCGCCGCCGATATGTGCGGCTCAAGCTTACCCAACACTGGAAACAAGACCCTATCCCCAAAGTGGTTGTAGATGGTAAAGTCGGCGCACCCCTGGATATGGTGCTCATTCTATGTACACATTCTGGAATCCCGGAATCCCATGGACCCGTGGGAAAATGGTGCAATGATAGCTTTGACATTGTCCCCAACACCAAGAGCCAGCGCCAGCATCTGAAGGCGTACGAGTGGGAGGATGTGACAGACGACATTCTCACCACGGGACCGGGCCTAGAAGGATTGCCGATCCCGAAGGGGTACATGCAGGTATGGACGAGACAAACTTTCTTCCAAAAGCACAGACTATTCTAAGCTGGAGCACCTGGATGCAAGAAGGGGGGCTTGGTGGCTGTCGCTCTCGCTCATCCCTTCCTATTGACAACTACAGGGCACATTAAATACAGCAGCGCCAGAGCGCGTTCGCCTGATGAATTTCCTGGTTGTATTGGCGCAAGTCAAAGTGACTCGAATCCCAATTTCCAATCAAAGCTCGAGGGATTTGCATGTGACAGGCGATCCTCTGTTGCATTCAAAGGACGACGCTAAGCAGGTAAAGGGATGGTGGTGCTGCAATGAGACATGAGCCGCCTTACCTCCACCCAGAGCATTTCAGCGTTGTTTCTAGCGGGTGCAAAGTGAGCCAGGGCAAGCCTCAAAGCATTATCTGCCATTGAAATGGCGATAAGCTATGTTATAAGTTGCAGTAGGCCAATGTCGGTCGGCAGCCTTTGGCAATGTACCCTGCTCAGCGCTTTACTGGCGCGCAGTGATCACTCTACATAAGACATATGTATATTTAGCCATATTATTCGTTCTAATTTACACTACATTGGCTATAGTTCGTGCCATCTGTACAATGAGAATTTTTAGTTTTTGATTTTTTGATAGACTTTCCCATTGTTTGGTCAGCTTCGCCATATTTGCTCTTTGGGCGCCTTAGCATGCAAGTTTACTTTCACCGTAAAAGCGACGGAGCCGCCCGCCAAAACACTGCCCCCCTTTTGCTGCTGCGATTGGCTGCACGGGCTCTCTCCATCATCAACTTCACTCATTTCCCATCTATCCAACCTCAACATCGATCTTGCGACTTCGGAGAGACTCTGCAGATTCTCCTGTATAAGAACTTGCATTGCGCTTCGAGTACGCAAAAGAACATCAACCGATTATCCTGCCGCATCGATATCACCCATCTCAAAACTCCTCCACCGACATCCAAATCCGCCCACCACAGCCTCTATCCCACCAGCTATCTAGCTATAAATCGAAGCGTCCTCGGTTCATCATGACCACCGCTGCGACTTCCTTCGATCGCGACCTGGAAAATGGTCCCAGTGTCCTCCCGAATAGAGACTCCCACATGTCCAACGTGACGGAGGATGACGGCGGTATCGGCTCTGCCATCTCGTCGTCGAACTCGTCCATCATGGGCGAGGAAGTAGAGGCCGACGCAGGCACAGAATGGGGTCCCCTGCATCCATGCTATCCTCACATTAACCCCCACGTCCCCGTCGAGTCTGCCGAATACACAACTACGCGAATCATCCGAATCCGCCGTGATTGGCTGCTAGAGGGAGATGCAGCACCCGCCTACTCCAATTTGTATCCGGAAATCCTGATGGAAGCTGGTCTCTCTGAGCAAGAGTTCCGAGATATTATCCGCAACATCAATATGCGCCTCAAAGAAGCATTCGACCCTCTATCATGGCGCAACGTCCTCGATAGTGTTGTTGGCGCTGCCACTGGTTGGCTTTGGGACGACTTGGGTGCTACAGGAATTAAGAGCAAGCTTGGAAAGGTTGAAGAGTGGATTGCAGACTGGAACACCAGAAAGGAAGCCAACTTTCAAACAGGACAGGGCGTCTTTGCTCCCCAGCTTATTTCTCTGCGCCAAACAGGCTACATGACGGTACGTGCCCAGCGTTTCTAACGACTGCCACATTGTTGCTAACAAGATTATAGCTTGATATCCAAATACAAGATCCCGAGGTTGCTCCTGCTCCAAGCACCATTGGACCCGGTGCCTCGCGCACGACTTTACCAACGGAACAGCCTGCCATGAGTGTGGCGTAAATGCATTGATGCAACACCCGCATCCACAGCGTGCACGACTGAAACGATATACCATGGGCATCGCACGGCGTTTTGAATTGTTCTGATTTAGCATTTATACCATATCCCCGTTAGCTCCTTTTGTTCTTGTTGTAGTTAGACATAGTGTTCAGCACAGAATATATCTGAATAGTTTTTGCTGACCAAGATTGGCGCCACGTACCGCCACAGACTTACCATGTTCTGTAGTGTAATCTCGCATTAATCTCCTATCAGATATTCTTAGTAGTAATCTTGTTCGATGGAATTTCGCTACTGAATAGCCTCGGGCAAGACGGCGCGCACCGGCCCCCACAACTGAACGCCGGGGCCCAGGGCCGCTAATTCCCGTCAAATGTCCCACTCCCAGATTTGCGCCGGCGTCGCTCTCTGGTTTTCAATGCGCCTCTTCTTCCGATTCCAAGTGACAGTACTCCCTTTGGCACGGAATTGTTCCGGAAATATACGCCACCGCGGTTCTTACACCTCTACGAGTGCCGTTGTTCGACTAGATCGTCCCCGGAAGTCGGGTGTCCCCCACCACGGACCAGCGTTACAGCCACCGCAACAATGGCTGCTTCACCGGCTACAACGACAGCCAAGACTTCAGTCCAGAGTAGGTCGTGGGTCGTATGTAAAACGATATTCTTCTTTATTCTCAAACAGTGGCTACTCATTGGCATGGGTGTTGCCTGCGTGCTGGCCTATTACTTTCCAGGTAGGATTTCACACAATGTCATCATCACGCCCTTGCACTAACTCGGTAAATAGGTGTGGCGGCTCCCGGAGGGACTATCAGAGCCGAGTACAGTATCGTATATGGTGATGTTGCCATTATTTTCCTTATCAGTGGTCTTCAACTTTCGCCTGCCAAGTTGAGAGAAAACGTCACGAATTGGCGGCTCCATGCCATTGTCCAAGGAATGAGCTTTATTATTAGCCCGCTCATCGTCCTAGGCAAGTTTTGAGGATAATTCTTCATGAATATGCCCTGCTAACCAAGTTTCTAGCCATAATTCACATCTGTCTAGCAGCCGGGTCGCTACAGTCTGGAACACCCTCGCTCGCAATTTTGACCGGATTGCTAGCAACAGCATGCCTTCCAACAACCATTGCTTCCAACGTTGTATTAACAAGAAATGCCGGAGGCGATGATGCCGCAGCAGTCATATCTGTTGTCATTGGCAATGTCACTGGAGCCTTTCTTTCGCCGTTGCTGATCTACGGCTTCATGCCTACCGGGCCGGATTTTATCCCTTGGAGACCGGCTGGCCCAAGCACATTTGGCAGCATGTATTCCCATGTAGCAATGCAGCTCGGTCTCACAGTCTTGATACCGCTTGCTGTGGGACAAGCTATACGCTGGTGGCAAGAGAAAAAAGTCGTTACAGTCTTGACAAAACTCCGGCTCGCCAAGATATCAACCGTTGGCCTCATTCTTGTTGTGTGGTCTACCTTTTCTGGCGCTTTCAAAACAGGAGCCCTCACCACTCTCGACAAGCCATCACTAGTCTTTGACATATTTATGAGCATCGCCCTATACCTCCTTTTCACAGTCATTGTCTTTTACGCAGCTCGCCCACCTGTCCGAGCTATGAGCTGGATCAACTCCATCTGCACCGAGTCGACCGTCGTCAAACGCATGCCAGGGTTCATACAGCGCTGTTTGACGGTCCGACAAATGTCCAAGGAACAAACAATTGCCGTTTGTTTCTGTGGTGCAGCCAAAACAACCGGTCTGGGAATCCCATTGGTCGCAGCCATGTGGGCATCGTCAGATCATCTCACAAGAGCCTATCTTGAAATACCGGTGCTGTTATACACCATTGAACAGGCACGCTCAGGAAGCTATCATATTCTTTTACCATGACTAACAGTTAATAGATCTTCGTAGCTCAGGTCCTCGTATATGTCTTTCAGCGGTACCTTGCAAAGGACTGTGTATCTGATCCGGAACAGACAGAGGCTACGAGCGAATCTGACGAAGAGCCGCAATCAAAACACGACGTTACAGAGGGAAATGAAAAGACGATCACGCCTCAGCAATAAATATAGATGATATCTAATAGATTTAGTAGACAAAATTAATGATGCTATGACTTTTTAATCATACTCTCAAACAGCACCTTCATCAGACGGGCACTTTTCTTCGGATACCGCTTCTGGCAATCTTTATAGTCGACATAACAGGTGCCGAAGCGCGTCTGATACCCTTCTGCCCATTCAAAATTGTCCATCAAAGACCAAGCAAAGTAGCCTCTGACGTTGACCCCATCCAGAGAGCTCGCCACGGCCATGGCCTTGACGTACTGGTCAAAGTACTGTACTCTGAAGTCGTCTTCGAGAATCTCTTCCCTCGACAAATCATCTTCGCCCTTTATGCTAGTGCCGTTCTCTGTGACATATATTTTAGGATACTGATAGCGCCTGCTTATCCAGCCCAGCAAATCTCTGAAGCCAGTCGCACAGGGCCGCAGCCACGGCGATTGTGTTTCCTCCCCGATGCAATCGCCGCGCTTATTATAGAACAAAACATCCAAATTACCAGCAATGTCATTCAACTCTGCTGGCGTTTCGCGGTGTTTCACATAGTTGGCAGTGTAGTGATTCATGCCGTAAAAGTCGTTTGAACCTTGCACAAGAGCCCTTTCTTCGGCTGTGAATTCTGGCAGACGGTCGCCGAGCTGCTTGCGCATAGAAGACGGATAATCGCCAAAATATATAGGATCCGCAAACCAGCCAATAGTAAACTCGAGTTTTCTCTCGCAGGCCTCAACATCAGCGGGATCTGTTGCATCCCAAGGGAAGACGGCGTCACCGTTGAGCACAACTCCAATTTCTCCCTGACTGGCCTCTTTGAATTCGGATCTGTAAAGCTGGACAGCGTGTGCATGAGCCAATAGCAGGTTATGACCAACAATCCACGGATATATATCCTGTCTGGAGTCATCGCCTGGTGCAAAGATGCCAGCGCTGTATGCCTGGATCGACGAGCACCAAGGCTCATTGAGCGTGACCCAGTGCTTGACCTTGGGCAAGGCCGCAAACATGACGCCTGCATAGCGTTTGAAATCGAGAGGAAATTCTTTCCTACTAAGGAGACTTCGATACCGCTTCTCCAGCTCATCGGGCACGTCCCAGTGGAAGAGCGTGACGAATGGCGTAATGCCAGCGGCAAGCAGATCATCCACAAATTTGACGTAGTGATCTACGCCTTTCTGATTGATAGAGTCATTTCTGCCGCCCAGAGGGATGATTCGGGACCAGGAGATGGAGAATCTGTAGGCTGTAGCGCCGAGTTCCTTGAGCAAGGCAATGTCCTCTTGTGTCTTGTTGTACGAATCGCAAGCGACATCACCACTAGAGCCGTCGGCAATCTTACCAGGGATCTTACAGAAAGTATCCCAAATGCTAGGCCCTCGACCATCCTGGTCTACGGCTCCTTCTATCTGATAACTGTAACGGGAATGTAAATATCCGTCTCAGTAACCGATGGTAAGAATGATGTACGAACCTAGCTGTGGCAAAGCCCCAGTGAAAGTCATTTGGGAGAGACATTGGTAGTAGTTGAAGATTGGAGACCGGTTTCCATCAAAATGTAAGTGCTGGAAGATGGAAAAGATAAGTAAGATGACGGAGGGAATCGAATTGAACTGGCTTACTAGACGCGGTTTAGCCTAAGAGCAAAAGCCGAGATGGGAGGGCGTGTGGGTTCCGGGCGCTCGGTAACTTCGGCCCGCCTAAGCGGATAGGTGGCTCGGTCTACAAGATGAAGGCGTTTTTGTATAAGTCGCGACATATTTAATTCACATTTAAAATTGGAAGAAATAGTTTATGAGGGCAAATTGTATGCATTAATTCAAATCAAAACGCGCTAAGCATGAAATGATATTCTAAAGACGACCGAGTAAAGCAATCTATGTGGTTGAATCGTAAAAAGTAACACCGGGGTTTTGTTTCCCCTTGTCGGCTATTTAGCCAAATGTACAGGAAGATGCGAGAGGTGTAGATGAGTGGTCGTGAAAAGGGTGTTTTGATGAGAGAGAGGCGTTTATGCGGCGCAGAGGGTGAGAGTGACGTCGTTGTTTGAACCGCAAGTCTTGACTTGCGATCCTGCTGGAGGGATGCCGTCCTGCCATGTGATGGATGGGCAGTTCTTGTCTGCGCTTGTGACGGTGATCTTGCAGCCCTTGAAGGGGTCGCCAAAGACATCGCTCAGATCGTACCAGACCGCAGCACCGTCGAGAGAGTATGCAAAGTTGGTCTGGGGCTTTTGGGTGAAGAGGCCATCGCGCTCGCGAGTGACCTTGATCGTGCGGCCGCCAGTCTTGGCGTCGCGGGTGAAGGGTTCGGCGTAAGCATTACCGCCGGCGGGGATGGTGAAGGCGTTGGAGATTTCCGAGCCGACAGACCAGAGAGTAACTTCGTAGCCACAGTTGTTTTGGACGCGGGCGCTGCCGACAGCGGAGACGGAGCCGACAAGGGCGGCGGCGGTAGCAAGGATAGCGACGTTGGAGAACATTTTGAAGTTTGTTGGAGAGGTGGTTTTCAAAGAAATTGAAATAGAAGTAGAGTAGAGTAGAGTATTGTAGAAGAGTCTGTAAGAGTTGAAGATGCTGATGATGATAAAAAAAAAGTGCATCGAAGAGCGCCGGGGAGATGGGCTTTATATAATGCAGAGACTTGGGGATCCAGGATGAAGCTCGTGTACGAAGACGGACAGAAGGGTTCAACAAAGGCCAACGTCATACCAGTCCGAGGCAGCATCGACAGCCCTTTGGCCCTCGTGGACTGAGACCTGGGACACAACTAGTCCTGATGCAGCGAGGAACAAGGCCATTGAGGCTGCACAATAGGCTTTCAGACGTGCCTCTCAGACAAGGGTTCAACGCTAAAGGTACAAAATACGAGACAACATTCCGACAGGGCTACCGGTCAAGCGACGGAAGAGGCCATGATCGACAAGGCGAAGGCAGCAGAAGGTCCCAGAGAAGTAAGGGTGTAAGGGTGCTTGAACGGTGTAGTGAAGAGACATGGAGGTCAGGTGGAAGATGCAGCGTCGCATCGCAGAGCGCCTAGTGTAGCTGGCGGCGAGATGAATACGAGGTCTGCTAAGCTTCAGGGTTCTTGGAGCCGAAATAGAGCTGTGCCGATCGTTTCTTCGCCACGATGCCGAATTAAGCCTGGGCATCGTCATCCTTTTTGGTGAAGGTTATTCTCGCACCGGGTAGCGAAGTGATCATGGCCGTTGGAGGCACAGCACTTGGGCCGAAAACATCCCGCCGTTTGGGACAATCTCCCAAGGGTCGGAACGCAAAATGTCTTGCACTTTAAGATTAACTAGGCCTTTATACGCGCTTCTACGGCTTCCATTAGGCGGCATCGGAATGCAAGTCGGGCATATTCCACTGCGGTGGCGTGGCCCCCGCTCTCTGCAGACGATCGTTGGAATGTGCTGCGAGACATGGCTTGTACCTTTCTCTGCTCTCGTATTTCCCAAGGCCGTTGGACAATTTTGTTGTTTCCGAGGATGGGCAGTCGAGTTGGAGATGTTGCAAAGACGGTAATTGTTTAGAGTTTAGGGCAATAAGAACAGGTGATGTTTGTTGAAGATGGCAAATTAGACACACGTCATAACGTCGCCACTGCCGTACTGGAGACACTGCTTCCCCGCTAAAGAGTCCCCTAAAAATAGCAGCCGCCCGCTAGCGCCAGGCGCCCTCACACGCTCCATACCTCTGGTGCTCCGGCCCCCAAAGTAAGAAAGCGGCGGTGGTAGAGAAATAAGGCTTTGCTCGTTTACCTTATGTTGTTTCTACGCGTGGTTAAAGGATGTTTGCCTGAAGACAGAAAAATTTCAAGAGAGACTTTTGCCACAATAACTTGGCTTTTGCTAGGATCTGTTCTCCCAGGCTTACATGCCGAGAAATCATATCCGCTTCAGCCTTCGTATTCCCGGGCTATCTTTACTCTAATATGACCTCACCACGAATCCTGCGTGACCCATAATTGCACAGATTCGGCTGGTAGCCGAAATATTAAGGCTTTTCGACGCCATGGTGGGTGTACAAAAGGCAAATATTAAGCATCATGCCTGGGCGTGTACGACTGGCTTGACGTCAGAGAGCCATAATCCATAATCAATGATTACTGTCAGCAACAATGTCAGGCTCAGAGCAGAGAAAAGCAACCATGTTAACACCTAAGCTAAACAAAATACAAGAGCGACATAATAACCGTAAACGTCTATCTCCCAAAGCAGTGACCCAACTTTTGCCCTCTATTCATATCTGTCGTCTAATTTGCGCTTCGTGGCTGTCGAGAGTGTTTCCATATCAGTATCCTGATCGCCACCATCAGTGAACTCTACCACCTCCCAGCTAACTTGAACATTGCCATCGTCTGAGGTGTGACCTCCATGGCTATGGCGGAGCTTCCCCAACTTCGTATTTCGCATCATTGTGTCGAGCCAAGATACCCCAAATGTTTGGCGCAGCGCGCTAGTCTCTCGCTTGGAGTCTGCACTGGTTTCTACAGTCCCTCCCTGTGGTTCGTCTTTTGTTTCATCGCCCGTTAGAGTGTCGTCATCCGAATCTCCGGGAATAAGACCCATGTCTTCGAGATCCTGTAGGTCGCCCTGGTCAAGACTGCCTAGTGTGAGGTGGATGAAGTCGGCTTCGGAAGGCGGTTCTTCAGACCAAAACGACAGCGGTGTGCCGCAGTAGCCGCAAAAATGTTTCTTTGTGACCCTTTGTAGCTCATTTTCCTCCCCATTTAGGTGTTCGTATACTCTTCGGATAGAGGAGTGCGTCTCATCGGGGAAAAAGGCGTAGGTCGTGCTTTGGTACCATGTGAGGGGAACGCGGATAAACGCCGCCAGCGGGGTAGCTAATGATGCTCCTGTGCAGGTGTTAGCGAATGCCAGAGAGCAATCGAATACGTAGCCTGTTGAAAATGATGATGAAGAACGCACGATGATCGGAATCGGTATTGAAGTGTACTCGGGCGTGCTCCATGCCGTCATCGGGGATTGCAATGGCATATTGATTCCGTCCACAGTGGCAACCCCCGCGAAGTGAGCGCGCCGTTGCCATGCTTTTCGATGATCAAATAGAAGAGTAAACGTCAATTCTTGTGAGAAAATGGTGTTCGACGATGTTTACAGGATCAATTGGCGATGATTGTGGTGAGAAGTGCTTGAATGCACACGCTGTTGCATCACGCTGTTTTCAGAGGTCTCGTTGGAGCAGGCAGCTGCGGGGAACGCTGGCGCCCGTTCCGGTTAGCGGTGGGCAGTCAAATCGCCTGCCACGAGATGCGCTGTGGGAGGTGGGGTGGCGAGCCTGTCACTGGGAGGGTCATACAGAAAGAGAAGAAAAATAGAGTAATTCATAAATCCCATAGTCTTCCGTTAACTAAAATAGTATTATTATCCTTTATATAAAATACATTCGTAAATAAACCTTACGCAACGTCTTCCGTGGAACACCACTGACCTAACTAACTAGCGGCTGGGATCGAACAATTGTGGGGGGCCTACAGTGTGGAAACCTGGGGTAGCTCAACAAGCTGCAACAGAGTGCAACGGGCACGCCAAACGCTGCCAAACTTAATACGGAGTAAAAAACCCCGCCATATTTCTCTTCAAACCACTGCTCTTTTACCGATTCTGTGTTTTCCTACATCTTTTTTCTTTCCGAACCATCTCGCTACAATCACACCATGGGCCATCTCGCTAGTCGTTCGTCGCGCGTCGCCAACGCCGCCTGCCCAGCCAGCGCCATGCAGGCCTAGAACCGCTGTGATGCCAACCTACAGCAAGGCGTGCAGCCTGCCCCTCGCCTTCAGCTTTTGAATGGCGGACATGCCTGTCGTCGTCTCTGCTTCTCCCCGCATCTCTCTTCCCCTTGATTCGCGCCGTCCTCACATTGCCTGGCACCCCGAACACAGGCTATCCGTCACTACCATGCCTTCATCGTCGAAACCGCGGGCTCTCACCGATGCCGTATCAGTCGCTTCAACAGGTGTCTCTATGCCGTTGCTAGGCTTCGGTGTCTACCAAGTTCCCAAACCAACTTGCGTCGATGTCTGTTTGGCTGCGCTCGCCGCTGGATATCGCCACATCGACTCGGCCCAGGTCTACGAGAACGAAGCAGAAGTCGGTCAAGCTGTCAGTCAAGCTTCCGCCAAGCTTGGTATTTCCAGAAAAGATGTCTTTTTGACAACCAAGATAATGTCACATAGCGACAATGGCAGCCAAACCATGTACGAGAGTGTCGCAAACAGCGTGTCCAAAATTGGCGGCCGGAAAAAGGACGCATATGTTGATTTATTTCTTGTTCATGCACCGGGCACAAGACAGTTTCGTGAAGACGCATGGAAGGCGTTGGAGAAGCTCTATGAGCAAGGAAGAGCCAAGACTATTGGTGTCAGCAATTTTACCGTTGAGGATTTGGAAGAAATGAAGGAATATGCCACAATATGGCCGCCGCACGTAAATCAAATCGAGGTAAGCTGATTATGTCCACCAAGTTGTCTGTGACGCTTCTAATGCCTGTGCAGCTGCACCCTTGGTGCCAAGAACGCGAAACTGTACAATACTGTGAAAACCACCACATTATCCTGCAGGCATATAGCCCGTTAGACCAAGGGAATCGCAAAAACGATCCCGCAGTCGTCACCATTGCCGAAAAGCACAAGAAGAGCCCCGCTCAGGTGCTCATCCGATATAGCTTGCAAAAGGGTTGGATTCCCTTACCCAAAAGTGTCAACCTAGACCGAATCAAACAAAACACGGACGTTTATGATTTTGAATTGGCCTCAGACGACATGGCTGCTTTGGACAGTCTCGAGTCGTAGTGAAATGGACATTTCTTTTTTCGCAAAGAGCAATAACAAAAAGTATTATAACAGTTAATATCCAAAACCATTTGTTTATTGGTATATAAAACAAAGTAACTCTCTGCTGGCATAAAATATAACAAGCAAATCTACAGTTATGAGCTAGGTGTGCCGTTCTTGGCCCAGTCGCGCAGGTCGTTCTTCTTAATCTTTCCAGTGCTGGTCTTGGGCAGATCCTTGACAATTTCGACTTCGCCAGGAACCATGAATCTGCTAATATTGCTATTGTTCTTGGCCCACGAGATAACGTCGGCTGGTTTGACACTCTTGCCAGGCTTGACCGTGATGAAAGCCTTGGGAGTCTCTCCCCACTGCCTGCTCTTGATAGCCACGACGCCGGCTTCGAGAATGTCGGGGTGCTGCACGAGCATACCCTCTAGCGCGACTGAAGAGATATTTTCACCGCCAGAAATGATAATATCCTTGGCACGATCTAGAATCTGGGCACTGCCATCAGGATGCCAGACAGCAAGATCTCCAGAGTGAAGGCCGCCACCGGCAAAGAGCTTCTTTGTCGCTGCGGGGTCTTTGTAGTATTCTTTGGCGCAGATATTTCCAAAGAACACAATCTCGCCAATTTCCTTTCCATCCTTGACTACGTCGATAAAGACATCATTAGGTTGGTCGGGCTTGATGACTCGGATGGGCAGACTGGTAATGAAGCCGTGACCTTGACGCGCCATCTTGGCATACTTTTCGCTCGGTGGGAGCTTTTCCCACTCGGGCATCGGGTAACATTTCGTAATTGGTCCATATGTTTCTAATGCCGCAGTTAGTTTGGGTAGTCTTACTCTTCATATTGCGGAGGTACTCACCTGTCATGCCGTACACGTGCACGGGCATAAGGTTTAGGTTTGACTGCCCAGGTTAGAGGACGAATGCGCTACTAGGGATGAGGTCCTTACCATTTGTTCAAACAGATGTCCACTTGGAGGGCTGGCTGCGACGGTAACGCGAACTGGCTTTGGCAAACGTTGTGCTTCGGCGGCCGCTACAAGCAGTGTGTTAACAGTGGGAGCAGCGTTGAAGTGAGTGATGCCTTCCTCTCGAAGAAGCTTCCAAATGAGAGGATAGTCAATCTTTCGAAGGCAGACATTGACTCCACGGACAGCGACCACGGACCACGGGAATGTCCATCCAACAGCGTGAAACCTATGTACATAGTTAGATGGCGATTATTTCATAAGGGAGGAGGGCAGACTTACATAGGAAGTGTCCAGAGATATTTGCAGTCGCCAGTGTTGAGACCCGATTCAACAATGTTGGCTAGCGCCGCAAGATAGCTTCCTCTATGGGTGTATACCACTCCCTTGGGTCGTGAGGTGGTGCCAGAGGTAAACGGAATAGCAAGCATGTCATCTTCATTCGTAGCATGAGAGTGCAGTCTTGCCCAGCCATGGTTGCCCTGCTGCTTGTCGTATTCATTGCCCTCAATCACGGCCTTGTCGAACGGTCCGATATTGTCTCCTTCGTCTTTGTCTGAGTCCTATAGCTCGTTAGTGTGACGGTTATGCAAGAAGCACAGGCGATCGTACAATGTCGACAATGACGGGGACCTTGGGGTGCTTTTTTCGATAAGCACTCAAGAGATTGGCAAACTCCTCATCAGCAATAATGCAGTCTACTTCAGCAAAGTCGAAAATATAAGCAATGTCATCTTCCTTCAGTCGGTAATTGGCGGGGACCAAGACGCCACCACCAGCAACAATGCCGTAAATCGACTCCAGAAATGCCGGTGTGTTGGGAGCTAGAATGCCAACACGCTTAAGACCGTGTTTCTTTAAGAAGTAGGCGAGGCCTTTGGCGCGATCAGCTACCTGTTGATAGGACTTGCGGATGGTGACGCCGTTGGCCGTTACATGAAGCACGGCCTCGGCATTCGGCTCAATGGCGGCGGCGCGTTCGAGAAAGAAGGTTGGTGACAGGTGGTGGATATGGCCGGGAGGTGTTGGAGCCCCAATGAGATGATTGAGAATTGATCGGATGCGAGACGGAGGTCCAGACATGGTTGCGGTACGCTGGTGCCCAGCAGCGTTGTGAGCTATTACGAATGCTGTGTTTGTTGGGTGAAGCTCGAGCTTTCGTCGGGATCTGAGGGCGCAGGAGATGGTGCAGGAAACTGGTGGGAGAAGTGTATATATGCAGCCTCTTCGGCAATGCAGACGAGAAGATCGATTGGGGCAGGAAGATGCTAGTGAAAGGGTCTGGCAAAGCAATCGGCCGTACGGAAGCTTGGTTGAGACAAGCAAGCTCGACGGCCAATTGCCGACTGGCTTTATCGGTAAAGACCGCTTGGCTCGCTCAGCACGGAGGAGCCTGGAAAGTATGGGTCGGGAAAGCGAATCGGCAGGTATTGCGGGGGACAGGTCCGCTACAAAAACGCGCTAACGGCGACGGAAACAGCGCTAAGGCGAGGCGGTTGGGCTGCTCTGTGAGGCCAAATGTCGTCACAGGTGCAATCAGCAGATACGTAGTCGTACGCTACTATAATACCTTTTTTCGTATAGTTAAGTGCACACTACTAATAGTAGCCTGAGTACAGCCCGGTATCATCCGGTAACAGGTACCAGCAGTTACAACATCCGTCTATTCTCCCTGCAAAGGTAGCCAACACCAAAGAAGGCGAGGCATAAGGCTATCGACTCGTCTCAAAATTTAAGGCTAGCAGCAACGAAACACAGAGACCCAAGTCAGTCCATTTACTCAAACATTTCCAGCTGACCATCACCAGCCTTATTGGCCTTAGGTTTGTTGCAGAGCATGAAACCAACAACATGGGCCGGGTCTCGCCTTGTAACTAACTCTTCGAAACTCTCTTTTGCCAGCCACACACAATCGTCCGAATCAAAAGACTGAAAATGCAAGAATATTTAACTCGTAATCTTCAAAAGTCGCTCAGCTTGTTATTTTAGTCATACCACTGCTACTCTCGCACCTCCGCTGTGCCTTTTGCGAATGCTGCCGTGTCCTTACACTGATACCTCCCCTAAGGCCGCCCCCAACAGCCCCTAACAGCAGTACTGTGCTGCCCTGTAAATCTGCGCCCACGGCCCCGCTTGAGCAGACGCCACAAACGCAACGGGAAACACGACTGCGACGCTTCGTCACTGCCCTTGGCCTCTTTGACGCGCGGTTTCAATTCTGAATCCTCAACCGCCAACGCCCATGGGCATATAAATAATAGAGTACGTTAGTCCATCATCATGAGCTGCAGCTACTTCTTCAAGTATGCCTGCCTGTTTACCGCAGCTCTTGATCCCCATTCTCGATCAAAGACGGCGGCCCTCCGCCAGCTAACCACCATGGTCACGCAGATTCACTCCCATCACTTCATGGCATCCCACGGCCGAGACAAAGCTTCCAGCGGACACAGCTCGCCTGGCCGCATTCGATCGAATAGCTCGCGTGCATCCCCGGCCGAATCTGACCCGTTGCGACCTCCGAAGCGATTCCACACGATTCAGAATGACTCCAAAGGTTCTACCTTTAAGGAATTAGCAGAGGAAGCCGATAGGCCCGACGCTTTCGAGACCTCGGAACACACGGATAGCGAAGATGTAGCCGACGCTGGTCGCGGCTCGATCGACCTCGATGAACTCCCCATCGAGCTAATAACCTTGACAGACAGGTACAGTTATACTCCAGCTCTTGTTGTCCAAAAGTAGAGCAGTATTGCTAACATTGCCCAGTTTTATCGAGTCTCTCAGTGCAAAAGTACACTCTACTCCTCCTAATATCGATAAACTCTCCCAACTGTTCCAAGACTTTTACGGCCTCGCCTCCTCCCACATCAACACACATATCAGCGCCCTCGCCACGAGACACAGCCGCGATGAGCTTCCTGCTAGTGCATCTAGCAACTCGCTTTCAGCCACTGCTAGCCGGCTGCGATCGAAAGCTGTATCTCTAGGGTCCAAAGAAAAGCCCAAGGAAACTCCCAAGGCTGGACCAGAGCAGCAAATGATCACTGCAGAAGAGCTCGCCGAACGCAAGCGAGCTAGGAAGGCACTCGAGGCAAAGAAAGGTTTAATGGAAGAAGCTGTTGAAAGACGGCTGTGCGAGGCGATATATAAAAAGATCTACCGCCACAGAAGTACACAGGATGAGGCACAGGACGATAAGTTGCGTTCCAAGACAGCCGCGCTGGCGCTGGTGGGCATCGGACCTCACGATTTGGGCATTGACCTTGGAAACGTCTCTGAAGAAGCCGACCACGCTATTCTGGACAACAAGATTAAAGAATCGCTCTCTGCTGCTCGAAAGGACCTAAAGGAGATGCATGAATCACATTACCCATTAGGCAAACTCAACCATCTGAAAGCCGCTCACAAGAGCATCGTCGATACACTGGCACACTTTCAACCATCAGCGTCCGCCGATGAAATCATGCCCATGCTTATATTCACATTAATTACATTGGCACCCGAGGACCTACATGTCATTAGCGACCTGCACTTTATGCAAAACTTCCGCTGGGAGCCCAAGCTGACAGGCGAGGCAGCGTATTGCCTAACCAATCTCGAAGCAACAATTAGCTTTTTGCAGACTGTTGATCTCACCACACTGCGCGCTGATGAACACCCGTCCGGCCCCCCAAAAAGCTTAGACTCACCCAAAACCGAAACCTTTCCACCCGCATATACTTCACCCGATCCAACTACACCAACTACCAGCACTGTGGAGGAGTCCAACGAAACTGCCACAGGGTCTAAGCCTGTCGCTTCATCCGGTGGTCTGACAGCATCTAATGTACTGCGAAACCGCCGCCTAAGCGATCTAGTCAATACCCCTGCCCAAGCTCTTGGTGCTGCTAGCGATGTAGTGTTCAGCACTGCGGACCACGGCCTCAAAACCATATCCAACAGCCTGGGTGAGAGCTACGGTTTCCTTCTTGGCAAGCTTCGAGAGCGACAGCAAGGACCCCAGGAATCCATCACGGTACCGCGCACGCTTGACGACGCTCGAAAACTTGTCAGCACGCCGCCGCCAGAAGACGACGACAACACAACAGCAAGTGGCAATAGCTCCGTGTTAGGCACTGAGGATGCAGACAGCATCAAGAGCAAACCAGAGGACCGTGTCCTCACGCTCATTGGAGGCAAGCGAGAGCCCAGTGTAGATAGCACGCGTAGTGCCAGAAGCGCAAGCTCATCGAAAAAAGTACTTTTTGCGGAAGACGCATCTGCATCGGGGACACCTCCAGCCGCTCAAGCACCCGCAATGCTTGATCAGGTGCGAAGTCTCGGAACTTCATTTAACCCCATGTCTCGACTTCCCAGTATGAACATGATCCGCGGATTTGGCAGAAATTTAGCCACGTCAACGCCCTTGACTCCGCCTCCCAAGGAATCCGCCGAGGTCAAGGATGGAGGTGACTTGTCAACAGTGAGTTTATCATGGTAGCCCTCAGGAAGACATCAACAAACTAACCATGTCATAGGCATTCCCTGATCTTGCAGCAGCCCTTCCTCCCAGAGATATCCCCAAGATTGCCCCTCCAAACAAGCGCTTCATGGAAATCCAAACTCCTGGAGAGCTCCGTCTAGGCGAGGTTCTAGATCTACTGAGAGATTATCGTCGCTTGGCCGGTGCTCTGAAAAATATGGGTGCCTTTGAGGAAAAGTAATAACGCAAGGCGTGCATACTTTTCATTTCTCTGTTTTTGTTCATTTACAGGTATTGTGTTCTAGACAAGCCGAGAATCTTTTTGAGAGTGTAGAGAGATATAATCAAATAATAGATACATGATTTTCAACGATATGTCGTCTTTCTTCATCCGGAGAGCCGTGCTATTAATACATGCACAACAGATATTCCTGTGGCAATCTAAGGGTCAAGTGTATGATATCTCATAATATGACAGTTTGTCTCTATTCGCTATATATAAAGTATAAAAGATCAACGCTGTGTAGCAGATTTGTCTTGGGAATTCTCGAGTGCCAAAAGCTAACGAGAAAGAGTGGCATATTTGCATGAAAATTACCTTGAACAAATGAGAACTAATGATATACAGTCTTTCCAAAAAGAAAATTACATTTACGGTTCCAATTCCGTAGCAAGCTGCTGTTGCGCTTGTCTCCACGGGTTGCGCTCCAAGGTTGGAGACGTATCGGCACGCCTGGGACGCATTCGGGAAGACGTCGAGCTTGGCATCTGTTCCAAAGCGGTGTCTGGCTCCTCGGCTATTGGTTCAGTAAGCGTACGAAGCGGCTCCAGCAGGTTACCGTGGTCAATTGACCGGCTTCGCGCCCGACTGACTACCGGATCACGCTGAGGGACAGGGCCTGGGTGCAGCAGTTGAGTGAGAATATGGCTGTTTGGTCTCTCTTTTTCTCGGCTCATGCTTCGTCGACGGATGGCAAAGCTGTGCGTGCGCTGCATACCAGAAGCCGTAGCAGTAGAAACAGCGGTGTTCATTCGTGCCAGAGCTGCTTCTGCCTCTTCTGCTTCCTTCTTGAAGCGTGCCTCGCTTGGCAAGAGCACGGCTCTGTCAAGACCGTACGGCAAGCCGCGATGACGACCACGGATTTGCATGGCAACAATGACAAGCTTTCCAACTGTCGTGAATTGGGAGCAGAGAGATGCATTGACGCCCTTAGCGCCCATGCTTAGTCCGACGGTGCCGTAGGCGCTGACAGTCTCGAAAAGGACCGAAAAGAGATCAAATCTGCCCTCTGAAATTTTGCTTCCCTCACAAATCGCGAGGATGAAGAAGCCCAAGAAGACGAACCACAAATCGAACGAGAGCTGTCGTCTCAAATGGGTTCCGACATATGACAGCGCGTTTGCATCGGCGGCCTCGTCGTCTTCCTCTCCAGTATCGTAAACGCCAAGAGATTTCTCTTCGTACACGTTTGTGCGTCGAATGGAAATGGCAATTGGAAATACCGAAATGTACATCATAATCATATAAAACACGGGCATGGCGGGGTGCAAGTCTCCCAAATTGACAGCCGAAAACCCAGCAGTTCGAGTCGATGCAGATTGGAACAATCCAACGACGACACGGTTATGAACAGGCAGATCACTGATGGGTTCTGCTTTGAGCTGTATGCTGTTAGTCTTATTTGCAACACCAGTGCTTTGAAAGAATAGACTTACATCCAAAACCATGAAAAACAGCAAATCTACACTGTTCAGTAGAATAAGGATTCCAAACAGCCACCAGTTTGCACCGGAGGGGAACAATAGAGTGAAGCAACGACGGGGGTGATCCAACAGGAAGCGCAATTCTTCCCAGATTCCCGAGCCTCTGGGCACAAGCTTCGTCATTACCCAAATGAGGAAGCGAAGCATGACGGGGAAACCAGTATTGCCGATAATAATCCAGATACACATGATCATCAAGACAAATTCGGACTTGACAAATGAGATCATGCTATCAGGTGTGAGCGTAAAACCGACATCCATAAACGATACGTTTGCGGTAAAGAATCCCCACCATGTTCGAGATACACCAGCTGCCTCTACAATCTCGCCATATTCTTGCTGGTGCAGAATGTATGGAAGTAAACAGGATAATCCAATGAGCTGGAAGCCCCAGAAATAGACCAAAAGAACAATAGCCAGTGTTCTCAGGGCACGGTATTCAATGCCGCCCAACTCCTCGCGCTGCTCGAGGGTCAAGCCCACAAAGTTAGAATTTCGGCCAATAGTCGGATTATAACTCAGGTAAGGCATGTCTTGATCCTTTGATTGAGAGAGTGCGGTACGGATCCTCGTCAAGGTACGGACACGCAGCGTCTGTCTATCACCACTGTCACGAGGATCATGATGATCGTCATCATCCTCATTGTCTTCGTGGTGTTTGTTTTGCTTTCTGTTAAACAGTCGGGGCTTACGGAAGCGGATACTCGAAAGCGTACTACCCCAAACTTTGGCTTCGTCTGCCAAGTCATCGACAAAACCTCTCTCTGGTTCAGCAATTGTGATGGTAGGTTGACGGTCGCGTAACTTATGGTCTGGGTTGGAATCCGTTGTCTTTAACCTATGGGCGAGCTTAGGGTCGTCGTCGTCTTTGTGCACGTCGTCGTCCACACGAGTAGGCATCAAACCTCTCTCGGCATCGCGAGGCCCCGGAATGCGAAGGACCTCATCGGCGTCTTCATTTCTTTGCCTCTCGAGAATAGCTATGTGTTCGGCGTTGGCTCTTCGCGGTGGCAGTTTCGTTACATCGTCCTCCAAGCCATCGCTGCGCTTGACGGTTTCGGCAAACTTGATGGCGGTATGACCAGGACCAGCTGTTTCTGCTTTACCAGCGTCTTCAGCTGTCTCTTGGGCTGGCTGAGACGATGCAGACGAAGGAACGTCATCGGAATCCTCCGCTACTTGAGTAGCGCTGGACTGTGTTGCATTTGGCATATCATCAGTTATTGTGCTCGAGGCACTGGTTTCTGTATCGTCAATCGCATTTGAACGACTGCGTTCTTCGAGAATAATTCCGTCATTGGTCATGCGAGGTGATTTCCCGTTTCTAGGGACAACAGTGATATGGCGTCCATTAACGCCCTGTTCCATACGGTTGACGTCACCAAACGATTTGCCTTTCGACTTGGTAAACGTTGGTCGCCGGTTGCGAACTTCGCGGACCCATCCTTGAAAGCGTTTCTCAAACCAGTAGAGTCGCAAGAATACGACGCAACCATGGAGTGTGATCGGATTCGATGTCAAAGCGAAGAAGTATATAAGAGTTTGTTGGAAAGTGTTGAGCGTATTGACATCGACAGGATTGAGACCAGCTTGCGTATTCGATCCACTTGCGAACAGCAAGGCGTCAATGTATGCGAGCGAGCCTCTTCCAGCAGCGTAGAATAGTATGGAACCGACGATCGTAGCGCCGATAATCCAGAAGTCTAAATTCTCCAAGTTAGCATCGAGACTCAGCAACACAGAGATGAATATTCCTTACAATGTGCGGTGATAAAACTAAAATGTGGTTTTTTGGAGACAAAGGGCGGTTTGATAGCCCGGAGGCCGTTCCAAGTCGAGGATAGCACGGCTTGGAACATGATTGATTATTGTATGTGGTGTCGATATGTAGCGTTTTGGTATCGGGGCAGGTGAGGTCCAACACAGCTGCGAAGATGAAGCAGTGCGGTGTTCCTTTCTTTGTAAGCGATTGATCTGCTTAAGCACGAGTCCAGTCAAAAGACAAGACAATAGAGTTCAGGCAAATCTGCATATTGGTTATCGTGGGTAGTTGAGATAAGAAAGATCGGGGTGTTTGTCGGCGGACGCGACGCTGCACAATTAGCAACTCGAAAGCAGCCTGTCGTGCACAGCAGGTATATATTAAGGATAGAGCAATATCGCGTGGGGCTTTATCTGCTTTCGATTGGATTCCTGAGGAGGATGGCGGAGCGCGGTTGGACAAAGGCTGTGTGCTAATCTGGTGGCGGCCAAGTCCGGGATCTAGAGACGAAAAAGGACCTGTGTATCGTCCGGCACGGCGTCAGCGAGAGACGAGGGGCAAGCAATGTGCGACACGGCAGGCCCGTAGGCATATGCTTTTGGCGCTAGAAATTGTTTGTCGTCGTGCAGCAAGAGACTGGTCGATACAGAAGAGGCTGATCTGACTGTGCAGATGTAGTGTTCGAGATTCGAGTCGCGTTGGTCGAGTAATGGGCAAAGGCGCGCACGGCCAGGATAATAGATAGCAAGCAAGGCAGGCCTGACCAGGTGCAGTGGCGTCAGTCAGCAAGGCGAAAAAAGGAAACTTTGTCGCAGCCCAAGGTTCGTAAAGAAAAAAAAGTTGGATGGAAACGTGTGCAAGCCCGAGACACACGCCAGGCTTCGCTGCGCAGCTGCGGTCCGGGGTGCTGGGCCGCGTAGGGATAGGATGCAGGCAATTTAAGGATGCCGGCAACAGGCCCGGGGGAGCGGGTGCAGGGCCAAAAGCGTGGTTGTGACAGTCGGTCCTTCTTGGAAGGGTTTGGTGATTTATTTGGTGATGATGCTTTGTCGAAAAAGAGAATTCGCCAGCGGCAACACCAGAAGGAGGCTCAGCGGGTAGGCCAAGAACCCGTCGAAGCTTAGTTGGAGGGGGTGGGCGACAGCGAAGACGACGAACAAGGAAAAGAAAAAAAGTAAGGTTGCGAGGCGGAAAGCCAAAGCACCTGCAGATGCAGACGGAGGCTTGGCCCACTGCGAACCACTGGGAAGCCTGCCAGCCAGCAGCCAGCCAGCCAAAATACTCACTATTGGAGAAATTATTGCGGGGCTCACCGCCTGTCCGCCCCCAAAATCCTGTTCTTACAGGTTTACAGTGGTCCTCATCCACTGTAGTATTGACACTCATAAACCACCCCTTACAGCATTACCAGTGCAACTGTACAGTGAGAAAGACCTCGTTTGTAAATGGAATGGGTGACGTGAATATAAATAGCATCAGCTATCTACTTCTTATATCATCAATACGTTGACATTGGGACTGGAACTGCCTTTCACATGTAAAACTTGACTATCCCACTACCCAAGACGTCATATCAGACCATACCCTCAGCCACGGTCTTCACTCTCTAGGAGCAGCACTGCCACGGCGCTCCCCCTTGCACAAAGATAATCCCACGAAGAAGAAAAGGAACAAAGACGCAACAATTGCGGACATGATAAAGTTTACATTCTTGTTCTTATAATACATGGTGTAGATTTAAGCCAAAATAACGCCGTCCCAATGCCAATATCCAGTACATCCCACAGATGGTGTCATTTTATTCGCCCGCAGTGCGTCTAGCATTCTCCCTCCTAAGCTTCTTGAAAAATTTGTGTTGATCCTGCTTTCCTTTACCCTTCTTGAGTGACTGGTTAAGCTTCTTATTCTGCTCAATGTAAGCCATATCTTGGCCACCGCTGAGCTCTCCCAAAGTGCCAGCAGTTCGTCTAGCACCTCTCTTCTTCGTCCGACCCATGGTCCCGCTGTGAAATAAGTCGTCGGTTGGATCTTCATCGTCCATAGTCTCGTTTTCAACAAGAACCTTTTGCAGTAACTCGCGTCTCTCGCTTGCCGTTGCAAACGCCAAGCCTGGTGTCTTCTCTATGTTCGCCAGCTGTGTAATGACTTTAAAGGCATAACCTTGATCGACTAGGAAGGCTTGTCGCTTGGACGAAAAGTACATCTCCTGCGTGTCCTTGGACACCAAAGAGTAGAAGAACGCGTTGAAGCCTTCGTCGTTTCTTCGCTTAGCACGCAAGATGCGGCCAAGACGCTGCGCCTCTTGTCTGCGCGAACCATAGTGCGATGAAATTTGAATCAGACACGTCGCTTCGGGAAGATCCAGTGAGGTATCACCAATCTTTGACAAGAATAGCGTGTTAACGTTGGGATTGTGCTGGAAGTTCTCCAGGACTTGTAATCTCTCTGCTTGGCCGGTACTACCATAAATAAAGGCTTTGCCAAGCTTCAGAGCATATGCCTTCAAGGCATACACATTATCAGAGAAGACAATGATCTTATCGCCTCTTGCTTCGTGATAATTGATCAAATACTGGCACGCTTGGAACTTGCGCGGATTCATAATATACAGCAAGTTCTTCTTTCTGGAAGGCGCTCTGAGATACTCGTCGTAGAATTCGGTGGGCATAGGGCACCACACTTCAGCACATTGGACTCGGGCAATGTGTCCTTGCTTCGACAACTCCATCCAGTTTGCCTCAAACAGCTTCGGTCCAATAAGGAAGTTCAAATCCGAAATCTTATCATCTTCTCGCAGCAATGTTGCCGTAAGACCAAGCTTCGAGTGCGTCTTAATAGACGACGTGACCTTTCTGAAAATGTTGGCAGGTACAACGTGAACTTCGTCGAGCAACATCAGACCCCATTCACGGCCAGTCAAGAATCGCATCATCTTTTCAGCATCATATGATCGTGCTCTCGACTGTGTCACCATGGAGTATGTGGTTACAATAATACCGGTGCTTCCCGTGAAAACAGATCCCTTCGAGTCGGATGTAAAGGCGACAATATCGTCTGGGTTGATGTTGGACCACTTGAGGAATTCGTTGCGCCACTGCACGACAGACATGGAGCTGGTGCAAAGCACAATGACACCCTTTTTGATTGTGCAGGCCGCTGTGATTCCCACAAGTGTTTTGCCAGCACCGCAAGGCAAGACGATAAGACCGCTTTTAGCACGGCCATTACCAAACATCTTGCTAAGACTCTTTTCCTGATAAGGACGAATCTGTGTACCGGGACGCAAGTCGATGTCGAGGTTGGCGTTGGCTTCGTCGCGGCGGAAATCGTACTCTTCCAGGACGGGGAATCCCAAATTGAGACACTCTCGTTGCACAGTTTCGACATCCTTATCAGCAATCTCAAAGGCGTGCGTCACGTCTTGGTCATCGTCGTCGTCGTCGTTCAAGGCCGCCATGACATCCCGCTCCTGTATGCCCTGTCCATCTTGTCCATTCGCTTGCTTCACGCCAGCAGCGCTCTTAGTACCAGGAATAACCAGACCTCCAATCTTGGGTGCCGCAGATGTAACGATTTCTTCTGATCCATGGACACGAAGGGGTCCAATTTTCGGGTTCTTCAAAAGCGTTTGTAGCATATCGGGGTCAGGACTTTCGACATAGTACTTTGTATTCTTCAGCACCAGCTTGACTTTGCCGTAGCTTTGCGTGCAGCCGTTGATAAACGATCTGATCTCGCTAGGTAGAGGAGTTTTGAGAAATCTCTCGAGGGTATTAATGATATCGGCAGGTGATAAGCCGACGGACACGGCAGCGTACAGACTATGGGTAGTAAGGGCGTATTCGTGCATAAAGGTCGGTCTCGATAACGGTTCGGCGATGGTAATGAGAAAGTCCTGCGCTTGTTCGGCCAATGGATTGAAACTTTCTAGAATAATTCTCCCCTTTTGAGGGTCGATCCACAGAGGGCGATTCTGGTGGTCTTTCTTCAGGTCGAGATACGAAAAGTCATTGTTTCCGAAGATGTGAGGTAGAGGCTCTTTCACGTCATGGTGTCGTTGATATCTGTCAAGCGAGAACTGGTCTATATTCTTGTCGATATCTCGCTCAAGGACTTCGTCGACAACTGCCTCCTCCTCGCCTTCTTCGTACTCATCGTCGCTGTCGATTTCTCGAGGTGTCGCAGCACCAGGTGTTGACACCCGCGATGATCGCCCAGCCTTTGCTCCCCCAGCAACGCCTCCGCTAGCTTTTCGCTTAACTGGCATCTCAGCTCGGAACCTCTAGCAGCACGCCTATTAATGGTGCGCTATTCTAGTTTGGCGAGGAAGTTAAGCAGAGGTTGGGCGATGTGCAAAGTTGCAGTGACCGTGAACTAAGTGGCGACGCTACACTTTAATAAAGGGCGATTACCTAACCGTGGTGGAGCACCGCTAATTGGTGGACGTGTGCCGCCAGGCAGCCCCTCCAGCGCACCTGGGCGTCACCCATCGAGGGGCAATGACGGTGAAGCGCGTCCCATGAACCCTGACTTTTTTTTTTAATTTTCCATACAACAGAGCAACTTTCAGACCTGCAAAGCTTGTTCGCGAATAGAAATAGCCGGTCATGTGGTGAGTTTAACTTTGAAACAACTTCATCGCATATTTCATCCTCTAACTGTGGTAGCAAACACGTTCTCAACGCCCAGGTGGCGATCCGCTCGCCTTGCTGTTCGTCACTCCTGTGCCAATCTCGTGAACAGGGCAATGCTAACCTCAATCCTTAGGTCGTAAGTGGTTCGACTGTGCCGAGTGCCACCAAGAAAACGAAAGCCATCCTCTACAGCAGGCGTACGAAATGATCTTTGCCTGCAAGAAGTGCAAGAAGTGCTTCCGCAAGGACGCTCAGGAGTTCGATGAGAGCGACGAATACTGCCCCCATTGCGATAACCACTTTGTCATTGAGGCCAAAACACCAAAGGCCGCCATCACCATCGAAAGTGAGGACGTACGCATGGACAACAGAATGCTAAAGGATGATCGCCAAAAACAAAAGTTCCTTCGATCGCTCTTCGACCCGGATGAGGACGCAGACAGACTGGGTTAAGGTCTGCTATTGCAAAGCACAAGAAAAGTTAATGGCGTTTTGGATATCTTTTTCTGCGGGCAAGGTCGTACATAAATAAACAGTGCAGTAGGCAGACAGCAGTATATGTTAATACATTGGGCATTACTATGGTAATGAAGCCATATCATTGAGGCATGTCTAAACATTTCATCAAGCGCCGAGCTCTTTTCGTTCCTTAATCATCCTGCGATCTTGTCAAGATTGCAGCACTGCCAGTGCCTGGTGTGCGTCCGCTCTTCTTCTTAGCAGCCTCTTCCTGCTTCTCTTGCTCAATTTCCTTGACATATCGCTCGATCTCGTCTGTGGGGAGCATCTCGATGGTAGCACCCGGTGCCATGAGAGCAATCTCAATGTTCTTCGCACCAGTTTGGACAACCTCAAGCAATGACTTAATGGCAAGGCGGATGGCAGCCTCGCGGTCCATCTCCTCCTTGTAGTTGCGCTCAAGAAATTCGCGAACCGTTTTACTGGATCGGCCGATGGCATTGGCTTTCCTATTCAATGTGTTAGAGAGGCTGTCTTATCTTTTTTGAGCGTACGCAATTCTTACCAAGCAGAGTAGATGCCAGAAGGCTCGGTCTGGTAGAGTCTAGGCGTCTCGTTGCCCTTGTCGAAGCCGACAACCAGGGTCGAGATACCAAAAGGTCGCACGCCACCAGCTTGTGTGTATCTTTGCTGGACACCAGCAATATATTTCGTGATGTACTCAATCGTAACAGGGTCTTCAACAGATAGTCTGTGGGACTGGGCTTCGAGACGAGCCTTGTCGACGAGAATTCTGGCGTCGGCGTTGAGGCCAGCAAAGGCGAGTGCCACGTGGTTGTCGAGCACCTGGATTTTAGATGGTGTGATTCTGGTATCCTGGAGCTTCATAGCGGATCGCTTCTCGCATCCGAGGACGACGACATCCTTTCCCTTAACGCCAACAGCGCAGGTTCCTATAATGGCTGTTAGCATGCGATGCGCGCCACATCCAAGCGCTCTTCATACCTCGCTTTACAGCTTCGCCAGCATATTCGACCTGGAAAACGTGGCCATCGGGACTGTTGATATGTTAGGAACGGTTCGTAATGGGGCTATCTGCTCGTATATACCTGAAGACTATAAAGAGGTTAGCTGGATCTTAACACGACATGCGGGAGGGACGTACCCGACAGAGCTCTGTCGTAGCCGGAAGCCATGGTTCAGTATATGTATGGGATTAGAAGGAAGTCGGGTAGTGTGTCAGAGTATCGTGTGGTCGAGAATGGGTAGTAGATGATGGTGGGTATGAATTGGCGGCAAGACGGCGATGGCGGTAGGCAGAATGGCGTTGCTTGGTGAGCTTCGTAAGGACGGCAGCCTATCCACACTCCAAGCTGCGTGGAGCTCCGCTCAGGCTTGCGACTCGCTGAGACGATGGAGCGGAGAAACCCAACAGCCGGCATCACAGTGCAAAAGGTGGGGCTAGGATTAGCACTGTAAACAAGCACTAAGAGCTGAGCTCTGTCTCTGTCGTATAAATTGTTGTATTGTATTAGCGAAAAAGTGTGAGTCTGTGCTCCAGCAGTCCTGCTGCTGCCTTCTTTTGTCTAATCATATTTGTTCTGTCTATCCATGCAAAGCTTGAAACCTGCAAGCTGTCAAGAAAAAAAAACCATCTAATGTTGTCGCTATGCGCGCCGCAAACCACTATGCAAAAACCCGTCATCGCTAAAAAGAAGATCAGGTGAAAAAAGAAAAAGAAAAGAATAAAAGGGCAATGGTAGAATGAAAAAAAGAGTTCTAGGAGGTAGAAGTGAAAAAGAAGAGAATGGTGCGTATCAATGGGATCGACTGGCGAACCATTAATGGGGATACTGTCGTCAGTAAGAAGCAAAGTTGATCCAGCGTTGGCCCTGAAGGACATTGGCAACGTGCTGGCCTTTTGCCATCAATCGAGACTTGAAGGCGTCTAGCCATAGAGTCTCGAGTGTGGCTGTTTGAGAGGTGGCATTGAGGAGGTGATAATAGTCGAGGGCAACGGTCATTGGAGCAACCAACATGTCAGGTTGGGCCGTCAGTGTTAGAGCCGAATCGAGTGCCCTGCAAATGTTATCAGCCAGGATACGTCCATCCTGAAAGCGGCTAACATCCATTTGCAGGCCGATAGGGGAGTCTGTCCACTCTTGGCGGTATCCGTCAAAGGCTGGCTGGCACATAGTGTCGTAGAGGGCTTCGAGGCACCGGTGAAAGAGGAGCTGTGACATCCAGAAATAGAGCATTGTGAGAGCAGACAGCTCGTCCTTGAAAATGAAGGAGTTTTCAAATGGAATGCTAGCGCCAATGCTCAAGGATGGCTCAGACCAGTAGGGTCGTGGGGTGATGTTGTCCTGCTGCCACTGGTGGAACTGGGCCTCCAGAAGTAGACAGCGCTGAAGCAGCCCCTGAGCCTTATACCGGCGATCAGTTGTAGCCTGTTGCATTATAAGGAGGTCGGATTGATGGAAGAGAGCTGGTAACATCAAAACAATATCAAATAGCGTGTCGAGTTGGGATTTGGGATGATTTTGCCACGGGACAGTAAGCCAGTCAGGTCCCGAGATGAAGATGTCACGTCGAGTAAGAAGAGCAAGAGATACCTATTTATTTCGTCCTGTCAGCCATTACATGATATGAAAATGGTAGCATATCTGGTCTCCTGATATCTCTACTTACAGCCATAGGTCTGTATACTCGAACAAAGAAGTGGTGATTGGGAAAGGATGTAAAGTTGCTTGGGCCGAGACCCTTGACCATGCCCTCAGAGGCAATGCCCCAAGAGGCTCCGGGAGACACATTCTAGAGCACAAGTTAGTAAAAGCCATAAAATATGCGCAACTAATTCCTCCTCGGTAATTCACCTCAAACAAGAAAGCGCAGTAGCTTTCGGGGTACGTAGTGCCACCGTCGGCGTCGCGCTGGCAGAGCAGGCATTGAGCACTTACCCAGAGTCCATTATCCATCACGGTGGGTGAAAGATCAGGTGGGCTATAAGGGTCAAGAGATATTCCAAACGTCTTGCCATCGTCAGAGATGTTGGAGCGTTGGACAGTATGGAGGCCGGTGTGGAGAGCGGTTAGGAAAGTCGAGCTTGTTTCGGTGCCGTTGAGCAGCTCGAGCTGTTCGTCCCAAGCAGACGTTAAAGGGGGCAGTTGTATGACGCTGTCTCTGCGCTCTGTATCTTCTGTCTTGATTTTGGTGACTTTCAGCTTCTTGGGAGGTGTTACTCTCTTGGGGTGAGACGCAACCCTTCCCTTGCCCGCTGGTGTGCCTGTAATGAATACTCGTTCTCGTTCGTAACCTTCGCATTGCTTGCCAGCTTTGATACAATTTTGACAAAAAGGTCTCTCGTTGCTACACTGTAGGAATTTGTTAATACAGAACTAGGTCTGAATTCCGGCCAATTTCCTTCCTGAATATTAGGGGGGGCCAACAAACCTTTACACGGCGGCGACGACACGTCTCACAGCCTTTGTACTTTCCAGGGACTCCAACCATGGTAGATTATTCTATATGAGATTCGTTTGCCTTTTTGGAGGAGGTCTTGAGGATTTTTTTCACGGGGATATGTTGATCTTTTACTTGGTCCAGCCAACAAGGAGAGTGGGTGGGAGAGTGAGGGCGAATGCAGTAGTGGTGTTAGTTGGTGTTAGTCGGATTGGTGAGAGTTGTAAAGGATTGGTGGTAACCAAGGAATAAAGGCGAGACTCCTTTTGGCAATGTCTGAGATCGATGCTACCCCCACGAGACTATATACCTTAGCGGACGATTGAGCATCTCCAGAAGAAAGCCCGCTCGGCTCACACACATGCCTACGGTTGGAGCTATGTGCCTGCACGAGGGATCCAAGCTCTCCCCCCAAGGCTCATAAGGCCAAGCTTAGGGGGTGCGTGACCAATGGGATCGGGGCACAGCAGACGCAAGAGCGCGGTGCAGTAGATGTGTTGGACGATCCACCAACCCCCCGGGCAGTCCGACGTTAGTTTAGTCTACGTCAGGGAGAATACCAACGACCCCATCAGCCGGTGGGCGAATAGGAGCAGCGAGGAGCCTCGTGCGGCCTCAGCCTCACTGACGAGGGTTGGTTGATACAAAAGGCCCTGTAGTGGAAAGGCTGCGGGCATATGGCACACGAGAAGCCCAGAAAGTGAGACAAGGGTTAAAGTCGGATGGGCAGCCCACCGACCGGGAGGAGGGGCGTGAGAGGGGGGACGAGCACCCATCCTGCAAGAAAAAGGGTCAAACGCCCATGGCTTCGTAGGGCTGAGAGCGGTGCGAGACGCCTCGTTGGCTCGTTGTTGGGCGGACTGAGCATGTCATCCTGCAAAAGCCAACTGGGGGCGTAATAGCACAAGACCGCACGCCCTTGCTGGGCAGTGTCCTCGGGCTTGCCATTGGCCAGTCCGTTCAAAATGAGAGAAATACTCTTTTTTTTTTCTCGCTAATACCAGTTGGTAACGTCAGCCGTGCGTTAGAACGGCCATGTTTCCGCCGCGCCTATGATTATGCTCCAGCCAAGCCAATCCCGCTTTCCGGGCTCCTCTCGACTGAGGGGCCGATGGAATCAATGCTAACCCAAGATGGGATTCGATAGCCGGTGAGGAGCAAGAGAGTCATGTTTTTTTCTTCACCGTAAGAGTCGCCGGCGGCACACGACACGCGAAACGCTGTGTGTTACGTCGCCGTTGGCTGCTCTGGCGCGCACCGCACTTCAGCGCACTGCGTTGGGAGGCCTCGACTTCTGGCTACGTAGCAGCAAGCACCAGCACCAGCAAGTAGGAGGGGGCGTGCTGTATTCTGCAGAGACCGGGCAGTGCATGTGATGCCGCGTCTAAAAAAGAAACTCTGACCAAAGAATTAAGCGCCTAAGCGACAAGCCTGTTTGCTTTCGACAACGCAGTGAGGCACAGTTTGTCGTAAAATTAGAATACCTTTTGGCTGCGAGTTGCAGTGTTGGCGGACGACCAGGCGGCTGTGGGTGTGGCGAAGCAACTTGGAAACAGGCGCGGCATTCTATGTTTGGAATAAGCTCTCTAGCGGGTTTGACCCACTGCAAGCTCCCACCTCCCACCTCCCGGCAGCATGGTAGCGAACAACGGGTAACGGGATGCGATTGTTTGCTAGTTCCCGGTTGGGATGGTGGCATTTTGATTAAAAATAAATATTGATGAGTTTCGGTATGTGGCATCTTGAATATTGTATGATTTCTTTGAAGATTCTTTACCTTGATCTCTTGCCGTCATTTGCAATGTAGAGGGAGGGAAATCGTACTGCGTCCACGCTAAGACAACCCGCTGTAGCACTCACTGTAAGCCAGCACAAAACATGGACCAGCACCAGCATAGCACCGCCAACACCACCAAAAGGAATTGACACACACCCCCAATAACAACAGACGCCACGGAACTTGCCATGTGCGTAATTGCCGATGCACAAAGCCCAACCGACAAACTAAGACCTTTACGGTCAAAGCTCCGACCCGTAGCTTGCTTCTTCTCATCTTCTCTCTCTTTTTTATTCGCTTGTGCTTCCGCGGGGGCCCGATGACAACGTGCTCGCCTGCATCTGCCCCACGCCCAGAGCTCCGGCGAGGCTACGGGTGGAAGTCGGGATTCCAGGCGCCTGATTGGCCACCAAACGTGCCCTTCCTTGCAGTAGCCGCGAGCTGCGCCACCCTGTAGCGGCCCCTAGCGTGCTTTTGGGGTGCTGCAGCAGGGCGTTTAGTGCGTTTTCTCCTCCAGAAATAGCAGGCCTGGTTGGTTTCAACCAGCAACAGCCCCCATCTAAGGTATTTTGGTTCTGTCCACAGAGAGAAGCCCATTAAGCGCCGGCTGGTTAGACCGGGGGCCATCGTTGTTTCCCAGTGCACTGCGCACCCAAAAGGAAAAATAGAATTTGCCATGTCTGCTTCGCCTTCTTTGAGCCTCCCAGAAGGCATCCGCGCTTGAGCCTCTTCGAATACGCCTGATTAGCGATTAAGCGCCTTGCCAGTGTTTCGGCGTCTGCTTCTCCCGAGACGCAAAGAGAAAAAAGAGCCTGTCTTGCTCTTCTTGTTGCGGAGTGAACATATCCGTTTCTGCGCCTCGTATCACAGATGTTATGGCGCATCCATCTTCACTCGGCTTGTCCATCTGCCGCCGCTTCTGCTTCTACCCGTGTTCCCTCGCCCATCTTGTGTCTTGAAGCAGACAGACCTCCGACAGTCTCATGTTGTTGGTCGGCCGGAATGCACCATCTCCGTTTCTGCACGATCGATGGCAAGGCAGACTACTTGCTCCGAGTCCCTGGCAAGGCGGCCTCCGGTGATAATCCTATGTGCTGTCGCCAACGCCCGGTTGCCGGCCGGGGAGATGAAAGGCGTTTGTCTCACGCTACCGCGCCGATTCCCTGGTATCGCCCCCGATAGGTCCGCTTGTGACAGCATGACTTTGATCTTGCTGTCTCACTGCTTAAGCTCCCTCTGGGGGCTGTGGCTCTGCACGAGCCTATTGGCTACCGCTCATCTACGCTAATAACATGCTATGCTACGCTACTCCACGGCGCTCCCTGCTCTATAGCCTCGCCATGCTTTCCCTCCTTCGTAGCCGTCATTAAGCTTTACTGGTAATTTTTGGGTTCTTTCAGTGTTTTTCCGGTATAGACGAACCTTCGCTAATCTTGTGCCAACCTTTGCCTTTCGCAGCACAGCGAGGCTGGGTGGCTTTGCCGTTGCCGGCAGTCTGTCTACCGCGCCACGCCCGAGGAAGTTACTAGAAGGAGAGTTTTCACGATACAAGCCCCGTCGTGGAACTCCGTGAACTATTAACGAACTCGCCGAGCCTTGTATTCTTTTTCTTCTTTTTTCTTACTTTTTGTTTCTTTGGCGGTCGGCGTCTACCGCATTGGCTAGTGCCGACTGCTTCAGGCCGCTGGATTCCCCGCATTACGAGGCTGTTGTCACTGTAGCCCACCACATTCTATGACGTTCACGGAGACGCCGAAAGCTATCACTTGTAGGCCCAATTTATGTAGCATTACTACAGACTACTCTTAGTAACCGTTTTACACCCCTGGAATGAACTACAACACTCCAGCCCACGTGTTTGCCAGTACGCCGATGGTCGGACAAATGCCGAGGAATCGCGTATTGTAGACCAAGAGGCTACTGGTCCAGCGCTACACGTCGCCGCCCGCAGCTTCGCACCCATATACCTCATTATAGAAATTTTCTTTTTTATTTTATTCAGGGGGCTCAATATTCACAGGACTGAATGGTAATTGTAATCAGTGTAACATTACAGGCGCAGTCAACGTGGATTGCGGAGCTCGAAACATATATCCCGTTTAGTCCAAGTCTAAATAGTGTCCGGCACCGTCATTTTCCCTCTCCATCTCACCAAATGTGAAAATCCTCATTCCTGCAGTAGTTCTGACTGTATCTAGACGTACTTGTAGGGGTTCATGATGCCGTTCTGTAGAAGCCACAGTTAGTACATATAGTTCAAAACTAGGTTGCTGCTCTGCGTCATGGCTACAATTGACCACAGTGCGCGTAAGATATCGCATGGAAGACTGAAACTTACCGGATCATACAATTGCTTAATCTGCTTCATCATGCCCATAAACACTTCGTTGCGGCTGTACTTGATGTAGTTCTTCTTAGCAAGGCCGAGACCATGCTCAGCACTGATACTGCCTTGGCGTTCTTGAATCCATTGGTAAACCCACGGTTCGAGCTCCTTCTCTACAGCCTTATCATAGCGACGCACTGCCACATTCAAATGGATGTTGGCATCGCCCATGTGTCCGTATCCGATGACACCCAGCACAGGAAACTCGTCGGTATCACCGAGGAGGCCAGCTTCACGCATGCGCTTTTCTGTGTCGGGCACAATTCTGTACATGTCAGAAAGAGGGATGGACACGTCATATTTGTAAACACCACCCCAGTGTCCGACACACTCGGGGACTCCTTCGCGCCACGACCACAGCGACTTGACCTGCGTTGCGTCTTGCGCGACAACACCATCAGACACGATTTCGTTGGACATGACATCCTCGAGGAACTTTTCTAGCTTCTCATAATCGTGTTCGCCATTGGAGCCGCTCGTTTCAATCAAGCAATAGAATGGGTGTTCGTCATCGAGCGGCTTCTTGCCTTGTCTCACACGGTGGACGAGATCTTGGCTCAGACCGTCCATAAGCTCAAAGGCAGACAAGATTTCAGAAAGTTGCGACTTGGCCTCTCTGAATGCAAGCTGCGCCTTTTCGTAGGACTCGAGGCCGAGGAAAGCGACATTGACAGCGGGCGAGCGCTGCGGACACTGGATGCAAAGCTTCGTGATGATGCCTAGCGTGCCTTCGGCGCCGATGAACAACTGCTTCAAATCGTATCCGGTATTGTTCTTGCGAAGAGTACACAGATCGTTCATTATGGTTCCGTCTGGGAGCACCGCCTCCATACCCAACACGCTGCCGTGTAAGCTGCCGTATCGTAGTAATCGCAGACCACCGGCGTTGGTAGCCACATTGCCGCCAACATGGCAAGAACCCTTGGCTCCCAAGTCGAGAGGGAAGATGTATCCCCTCTCGGCCACGTACTGATCCGCAGCTTCGAGAACAACACCGGCATCGAGCACAAGCGAGCCACTAACGTCGTCGAACGAATGAATCTGGTTCATGCGGCTCATGTTGATAATGACTTCGTCAAAGACGGGAATAGAGCCACCAACAAGACCTGTATTTCCGCCCTGGGGTACTACAGCAAGCATATTGTCATTGCAGTACTTGAGGATCTTGCTGACCTCCTCGGTGGAGGCCGGCTTCACCACAAGCTTGCTCTGGCCGCGGTATTTATGCATCCAGTCCTCGTTGAACGGAATCATTTCTTCTGTTAGGTCTTGGCTGGTGCCGTCGATGACTGCCGATTCGCTTCCCAAGAGCGTCTTGAAGAAGTCGACGTGCTCTTGCGTCAATTGGGCGAACTTGTCGTCTCGCTTGAGGTTAGTGTACGTCTCGGACGTGAGCTTGGCCTTCCAGACCACAGGCGAGCCAGCGAATCGCCGCGCCGTCGACGCAGAGAACTGGCGCAGAGCTGACGGTGCTGACGAGGTTACAAGTCTGGTACATGACGTTGCCGTTGCGACGCCATTGCGCGAACACGATGTCGCTGCGAGTCGCAGCAATCTAGCTCGCGGAGCCATTGTGAGCGACCGAGGAAAACAAAAGAAAATACAGAATCGCAGCGCGTTACAGAGAAAGCAAAGAGTTTGGGTGAAGAAGAGTCAATTAAAGCAACAACCAAAACTACCTTGATGGAATAGAAAGGGAAGAAAAAAAATCGGGAACGCAGATGGCAGAATGTATGGGCCAGGTCCAAAAGATAAGCTCGGTTACTGGTTATCTTGTAATAGCGCAGATATGCTTCACGCGGGGCGGGTCTCTTTCGCCGTGCGGGCCTCCGAGTCCGGCGCTAGAGACAACGACTGAAGCGGCGCTATGTGAATGGGCAAAGAGAGTAGTGTTAGTGGTCTATTAAATTTATACTTCATTATTTACCAAATTATACCCAAGAAGAAATTACACTGGAATCCCACACCGTCTTCCATTCGCCCTCCGCTACGCACAACGTAAAGCAAATTAGGATAGATGATACTACGCAACGTTTATACCACGAGATGATGTACATGAAGTGCGTCAACCGACCACGGTAGAACACTAATAGCCGTTGGCCTTGGTTGTCTTTCGAGGGCTTGACTGTCCGACATTGATTCGGTCCTGCAAGACGCCTGCTGGTACGTCGTCCGTTTGGCTCTGCCCGTTGAGCATCCTCTCCATAAAGCTGATATAGTCATACTGCGGTAAGCCACGGTCACGCGACATGTCAGGGCCTGTATGTGCCGGCATAATGCCCGCAAGTTGGTCAATCACCTCATCGGGTACCAGACTGTGTCTCAAATCCATCTCTGTCACGTACGGCTTGCCGTCAGCAACCTCGCGGAAAGACTGGAACACCTGCTCTGCTGTGTTCTGATCTTCCGTGACATCAACCATGAAGCGGATAAACTGTTCAAAAGTAACCTCGTCGCGCCCTCCAGATGTCTCCATAAAGTAATCATGCATCTCATCTTCGGAAAAGACCAGTCCAAGAGATGCCAGCGCGGCATTGAATTCCAATTCCTGTAGTGAGTTCGAGTCGTCCCTATCAAAGTGGCGGAAGACGCTCTCAAATTCCTCCAGCTGGATTGGTGTAAGGTTGGTCATGTCGCGAGCCACCATTTGGTTCTCGAGAAACGAGAGCTTCTTCTGCACTGACGTCTTGACCAGAGTGAATTCATAGGCCAATTCATCGTATGTGTAAGTCGTGAAGTCGTTTTCTTCAATGTTTGCTTCTATGCATTTCGCTTCGACAGCTTCTATTGTTTCGAGGTATTGATCCAGAGGTGCGAGACTGCTGCTAAGCTTTCGTACATGGTGAAGTTGGTCTTCGAGATCGCCGTCTAGGCCAGAAATTGCTAGCTGCATCGTATGCAGCGCCATAGCAAAGTCGTTGGCCTTGTCTGCAAACGAGCGTCGAAGTGCATTTTTGATACTTTGAATTGTTAGCCTTGGTCACCGGTGAGCTTGAACACTACTTACTCTCTAATCGTCTCGTTGATCAGCTGAGCACGAGCCATCTCTGTCTTTGTGAGCACCCCCCAATCTCGATCGAGAGTGTCCAGGCTCAGGTCTGCGGGAGGCTCATACGGACGCAGCTGGTACGTTCCCAGCTTAGTTTTGATATTTCCAAGAAGGGTTGCCAAGTCACTCTTTTCGGCCACCCACTCTCTTTTTTGAGATCTCTTGTAATCGGAAAACTCCTTTGCTTGGGCCTTGGCATCCAGGTATGAGCCTTCGAAAGTTGCCTGTTCCCAAGCTCCCGTTTGACCGTGGATCTTCTCCAGCAAGACCCTCATGCGCTTTTCAAAGGTGCTCTGCATTTCCCAAACTCCTTGCATACTGTTGACAAACTTTTCCACTCGGCGGCCAGCGTTTTCGACCTTTTCCATCTGGGAGAAGGCGTGGAACCAGTAGGCAATATACGTCATCAAACTTCTCTCATCAGGCTTATCAACGTCAGCCACATCTTCTACATCGAGCAATCTAGGAATGCCAATTTCCTCAGATGCAATGTCAAATGCGAGCTGCATGTTACCCTTGTGATCAGATTTGTCCAATGAATCAAAGTCGATGAGATCGGGTCTGTGAATATCCAGGAGGGCACAGAATGCCAATCCATCATTCCAGCTGGCGCTGAAATCTCGAACTTCAACTTCGTCGTAGCAAGCAGTCTTCCTTTGGCACCAAAGCAGCAGACCCTCCTTTGCAGACATGCCTTCTTGGTTGATATCGCTAATGGTAAATCGTAAAATCAACGTCCAAATAAGACCTAGAACGATTTTACGATTGCCATCAACGATATCTTCGGCGCCAATATTTGTCATTTGGATTCCTCGGGATCGGATATAGTCTAGAGCGAGGTTGGCATTTTCGAATTTCTGCACTCGGAGCTTCGGTTTAGATGCGTATCGGCCTAGGGAATCTCCGGAGAGTGACTCGAGTAAATGAATGAGGAATACCTTGACGAAATCTGTTAGCAATGTTTGGTTGTAGTTGAAGACGGTGTGAGAAGCATACGCCATCGCTCAGGTCGGTGACCAGGTCTAAAATCTCCAAGTCGCGGTCGACCAGTTTTGTGTTGAGCCTTCAAGCACACGTCAGGATATGCTTTTAATATTTGAAAGTATGGTCTGATAACTAACGTACCACTTGGTGAAGGTCTTCTGCTGGACCGTAATCCATCGTTGCTGTTCAGAATACGCCATAATGGCAGTCTTCAATCATGCAACCACAATAGCCTTGGGAGCTCGATTTGTGTTGCGCAGTTGCACGTATGATTGGAAGCAAATTTTGTCCAATGTTGCCTCGCAGACTTATAGAATAACCGATCGTGAGTATGTCGGTGAAGCGTAGCTCCCCTATTTGGGGTAGAACTTGGCGGGGTTCCGTTCCAGTGCTGAGCGGAGCAAAGAGTCTCGGATGCGAACTTAGATTAATGAATTAACGGTTGGAGGTGAAGAGTTTAAATTCTCCGGTAATCGTATGATCTTGAGTCTTTGGGGGAAAGCGTCAAAATCTTTGTAGTGGTCAAGTGTCGATGTTGAGACGAACAGCTGTTGCGTTGCCTGTGCGCAGCAGTTTCCCAGTAAACAAGGTTCCTTGGTAAGGTCACCCGAAGCCGGGTTGCCGGGCGGCGCGAGGGGCAGCGCCAGGCACTCAGCGCGGTGGGCCTGTCGTGGCGCGCGTCGGGCCTAATTGAAAGCGTTGGGGTGTTAATTAGCACGGTGACAATTTCCTGGTTACCGGGTAGGGCGTTCCGGGTTAACAAATCTTCCCGTTTTCTATCAATGAGGTCCTATAAATATATTGGTTTATTTATTTTCAATATAAAAAGTATTGTTGTTTCGTTGAACGTAATTTTCTTTTTATTATTTGCAATATCCTCGGTGGCATGCTATGGTTATGTGATGCGCCACACGATACAATCAAAACTCCGTCCAGTCCGCACGAGTATCGATAGATCCAGTATTCATGTTCGGATTTACACGTATCGAACGAAGGATTTAACAAATCACACCATGAATCAAAGCCACAACATATACAAATGAAGTTAAAAATGATGGTACATTGGGGAATCGCTATCTACCGTGCGCGTCCACCTCGTTTTGAAATATCATACAGTGTCTGCTTGCCTGTGCTTGAACATTGCCTGGCTGCTATGCTCAACTTTATTTCTTCGCCTGCCTCTGCTTGCTTCCCTTTGTTCTAGCCTTCAGGGCAAACTTCTCCTGCTTCCAAGCCGCAACCAAGTGGTCCACGCTGCCCATATCGTGCTTAGGCTTGCGCATGTAGGTCAGCTTGGCACGACGGGCGCGCTTTGGCCGTCTCCAGACAATATTGATTCCCGTAACTGTCGGGCTATAGATTTTAAACGATGTCTCCACGCTCGTCTTCATCATTTGGCCGCGAAGCAGAATGGAGCTCTCAGCACCACGACGGCGAATGTCCAAGAGGACGCCCGAGAAGGGTTCGCCTGTCTTTGTGGAAACCATGAGGACGTCTCCAGGCTTTGCGCTATCGGCCTGGTCGCGCGAGAACAGGCGTGTTCGGGCTCCTGTTGGGTCGAGCATTGTGATTTGAGCCTGTTGTAGGAGCGGCATGGGGTCGGGATAGGAGGATCGGATAGAAGGGACTCGAGGATAAACTTCGAACTTGCTGACTTTGATCATGTTTGCCTCTACATCAATGTTAGTATAATGGTCTAACAACAACGTGTGCTGCGATGGAGAGCCGTACTCTGTCTTGGGTTCAACGCCTGGTCTAGGGCGGGGGCAGCGCGAGTAGCGATGCCTTTTTGGAAGAGTTTTTGCTGTCTTGATCTTCTCAAGGCAGTCTTTAGGCAGCCAAGCGGCCGCCCGACAACGTGAGAATTCATTGGCGAGGAATTGGCGATGGCCGTTTTTTATGACGAGAGATGAGAATTCGTGAGGTCGAAATTCCTGGGCCACCTCCCTCCTATGCGCAGGTGCTCAGGCCAGAACTTTTAGGGCGCTTTGATTGGCTGCGCGCAACCATTTTCTTCCCCCCGACCCACAGCAATCCAATTCCACGACGAAAGGGTCACCACCATAACGACTTCAATCAGGCATCTTTGTCGCACTTTTCAGCTTGATTCCTTATTCCAACATGTCGAACCAGACTGTAAAGTCTACGCTCCGGTCGCTAGGTCGATTCAACGGGGTCTCGTCTGCTCTGCTTGGCCCGTCCAGGAGGCAGTTCAGCACCACGTGCCGTCGAGGTTCGATTGCACCGAATGCTTCAGAACTTGGTTCAAACAGCTGCTAATATTCCAATTAGACATCCGAGCGACCTTTGAAATGACAGAAAACCCTGAGCTCAACCATGTTCTCAAGACCATCCAAGACAAGATCGTTCTGCCAGCCCATCTGCCCGCGAAGCAGCGCAAGATGGTCTTTGATACCAAGCAGCGCGGCCGCCTCGAACAAAACCCGGTAATTCTTGATATTGAGGACCTTGAGCACAAATTCGAGCCGATAGACAGATTCAAGGATCTTCCAAACGCAAAGAAGATGCTACGACTGGCATTGAGCAAGATGGAAACGAGCGAAGACTGGAAGAACCTTCCCATTCTTTTGACCGGATACAAGCAGGCGCAGATTAAGCTCAGTCCCGTTGAGTGGGCTAGCACTGTACGAAAGGCTTGCGATTCTGGCAACGTGCATATCATTCTAGAATGCGCAAAGCAGCCCGAAGCCACCGGCCTCAACATCTCTCACCCAGACATTGCCGCTCTCCTTCTCTCTTTCCTTAATGACCGCACCGTTGTGACAAACATGGACGCCGCCGAAACTACACAGTCGCTCAAGTTTTGCGAAACGATTCTTGATCTCTTGGCCCGTCCTCAACACGCCCCCGCGACACACACCGCCAAGCTCGCTAGAGCAGAGAACAACAAACTTTTCCGCGGCCTAGTCCTCTTTGCCCGCCTCTCGCTGCTCAAGTCGGAGATTCAGGCTGAGGCTGCCACCGACAGACTTAGCCTGTTAGCTCAAGATGAAGTCGACCGCCTCACAACGCTCTGGGGTGATTCTCACCAGTCCAATCTCGAAGAGCTATCTGACATTTCACTATTATCACCGAAGCAGACCTCTACTCCCACCGATAGCAACTTGTCAGGATTCTATTACACTCGCGTTATAGCACAAAACATCAGGGCTCTCGCCGATGCCCAGCAATTGCTCGACAGCGACGCATCTAAGCTCCAACCTATCCAGAAAGCTCTGCAAGAGCACCTGGGTAACGTGGTCAAGGCCAACAGCAGCAAGGCAGAATCTTGGGGCAAGGAATATGAAACTATTGTTGGAGCAGCGTTGTAAAACAGGGCCATGGCGGCTGTTGTATTCACACAGACAAGACAGCATGTACGACTTGCATTGTTTTTATTAGATTAAATTTTCTACACATCATGTACAATACAAAAATTATTTTCCCCTACTTTCTTATGGCAGAACAATGTACTTTTCCAAATGCTTAGGAACGGCATCCAGCAACTTCTTCTCCGTAAGCCACTTTCTGGAGAAGAGGCGATCCGCGTAGCGGTAAGCACCATCGCAGAGAATAGTGACGACCTTGTTGCCCTTGCCGAGCTTCTCTGCGACCTCCTTGGCAGCAACAACGTTTAGGGCAGAGCTTGCGCCGAGGTAGAGACCCTCCTCATCCAAGCAGCGGTAGACCATCTCAATGCTCTTCTCGTCAGCAATTGTTAGGGAGCCATCGACCAGGTCGATATCAGGTTGCAAGTTATCAGTGATGCGACCCTGGCCAATGCCTTCGGTAATGCTGGAGCCGGTTCGCTCGATTAGCTTACCGCCAGAGGTAATGTATGAGTGAAGGACGGAGCCAGGGGGATCAGCCAAGAAGCTCTTGACCTTTCCGCCAGACACGTCCTTTAGGTATCTAGTGATACCGGCGAGCGTGCCGGCCGTGCCAGTAGCGCAAGTGAAGGCGTCAACCGTTCCGTTTGTTTGTGTCCAGATCTCAGGGCCAGTTGTCTCGATATGGGCGCGTCGGTTCGCGGTGTTGTCGAACTGGTTCGTCCAGACGGCGTTCTCGAGTCGCTCAGCGTGACGCTTCGCCTGGTGGTTGTAGTTATCGGGGTTGTCGAATGCGACGGCAGGGACGGGGTAGACCTCGGCGCCGAGAAGACGCAGAAGATCAATCTTGCCCTGGGACTGGGTGTTGGGCATGTAGATGACGAGCTTGTATCCCTTAGAGCGGCAGACATGAGCCAGTCCAATGCCAGTGTTTCCGGCCGTTCCTTCGACGACGGTACCGCCAGGAAGCAAAAGGCCGCGCTCCTCAGCATCCTTGACGACGTAGAGGGCGGCGCGGTCCTTGACAGAGCCACCGGGGTTCATGAACTCTGCCTTGCCGAGGATCTCGCAGCCTGTCTCTTCGGAGAGGCGGTTGAGGCGGATCAGGGGGGTATTTCCGATGGCTGTAGTTGGGGAGAACAGTTGTTAGACGACGCGCTCTTCAATTGAGTAAAGCGGGAGCACTGATGGCTGCCAATTCAATGGTAGACGAACCTCCAGTGAGGCCCTTGGCGATGCCCTGCGCCTTGGATACCGAAATGGTGTAAGCCGAAGGCTCGGCTGCGACGGCGGCAGTGGCCAGTCTTCGCAGGCTGTGTCGGAACATGGCTGGGATGGGAATTAGCTACGCCAAGTATGTGATGAGACAGGACGTGGTCGAGCGACATAGGAAGAAGAGCTGGATTTCTAAGGTCCGACTTCCGCCTGTGGGGCAGCCCCAGGTGATTCCGATCACGCCATTTCGGGTCGTCGCCGTCAACACCCATTGAAGCTCGATTGGCAGGTTCTGAGGCAAGGAATGATAAATTTGATAGTGTTGGATTATGGTTACATTATTTCTACTGCTCGTAAAAGAATATCATGTTAAAACACAGCTTGGAGGAGCACTGGGATACAATGCCCTCAGCTTGTCGAGTTCGAGGAGCTGGAAAGTCCAGTGACGTCCAGATGTGGTTTCTATAATGCAAATGCGCCTCAAAGAGTTGCACAATGTAAACTCTGTTTGTTTTTTCTATTTAATAGACGAGCTCGTAACCGTTGTCGATGTTCACAGAAGTTCTGCCGTTCTTAACCATGTGTGTGAATCCGTACTCTCCGCGTTTAAACACTCAAACTATATTCTGGTTAAACACCCAAACTATATGCGTATTCGTATTTGTCAATTATTTCACCTTTGCATGTCGCTAGCCAGCTGCTGGCACTACCAACTAGCTATTTATATCGTCAAGAGGTATTTCGGTGGACCTGCCAGCTGTCGCGCGCGCTTCTGCCAGCCAGCACCTGGAGTCCGGGGCCGTACGGCGCCAGAGCCGGCGGAACTTGGCAGCTGGCGGCACGCGGCAAATTTGTCAACGACTTTCAACAATTACAGCGTTATCAATAATTGTTTCAGCAACAAAACGTTTGATCTACACAGCAAAATAGACACAAACCGAGTGAGTGTATTCAACGTTCGATCATTGTAAGTGACTACAACGTCTAACTTTCGTTAGCCCGCCCCGCTGTTGCCCTCCACCCACCCACCGCACACAGCCCTGCGTAATCTGAAACAAGCTTTTTGGGCGAGACTAATCTACAGGGCCTTTACCTTTATAAAACTAAACAAGGAGATCCCCACCGGACATTCAGGTGGAATGCCCGAGTGGTTAAGGGGTATGTCACAATCAGCATCACCGCATCGCAACAGAAAGCTAACTTCGCAAAAGGCGACACTCGAAGACCTGTTCTTTGGCAATGTCGTGGCTTCGGCCGCGCAGGTTCGAATCCTGTTTCCATCGGTTCTTTTTTGATGTTTTTTTTGGTCGGGTTGCCGCCTTTTGCCGCCGCTGTTGGTTGGCTCTTGCTGAGGGAGATCTTCGGGGGCCTCCCCGGTTCAATTTTTTCTTGGTCATATTTTTTGTCCGCTTCAAATTCATTCATTCATTCATATCCCACCTCTGTTTCTATCTCTTTTATTTCTTTTGTTATTTTAATTCGAGTTTTGGCGCCATTACAGCATCAAGGCCGAGCGCTGCGAGGTTTGCGCAGCTGTGCCCTGATTGGCCAGCCCGACGGAAGACTACGTGGCTCGTTGGGGGACCTACAGTGGTCTTACCCCCCCTAAAACTTCAACTGATAGCGCTGTAATCCATTCCTTCAGCAGCACAGCCCCTATCCCCCCAAAAAGCCAGTTCCTCCCACTTTGCCCCACGCGCCAGCACTGACGCAGCCGGAAACGCGATAAACTTGAAAGCCCCTTTGCGCCGCATTTTCTTTCTTCCCTGTCAAGCATTCTGCATTTTGCCATCTGATCCGCAACCTGGCCCAAACGTTTGCGTGAACAAATCTACTTGCAAGCGACTATCGACTATCGACTATCGTTCTGCACCTATATACAGCTGATTTCTCCCCCCAAACTCAACACCAGCTTGTTCATTGTCCGTCGCAATGGAGGCCGCCGAACCCGATCAAAGCCCCTTTGAGGCCGTTACTGCGCAAACCACCAAACTCCAAAGAGTACGCCCAACCAACATACCCCTTATCGATGGATAAACTGATGCTGACGACTTCTCTGTAGCAATACCAAGCTTTGCTGGATCAATCGACCCCCTATGTTCTCTACCGATGGATTGGAACTGGCGCTGGCCTCTTCCTCTTCTTTATCCGCATCTTTGTCGCCCAGGGCTGGTACATTGGTACGTATGCGCCAATGAATCAAAACCATATTGATACTAACCGGGATTGTCTTTTTCAGTTGCCTACGCTCTCGGCATCTACCTGCTAAACTTGTTCCTCGCCTTCCTCCAGCCCAAGTTCGACCCCTCCAACGATGATGTAGACAACGACATGGAAGATGGTAACGTTGGCACGCTTCCCACGAGGCAGGATGAAGAGTTCAAGCCCTTTATTCGCCGTCTGCCAGAATTCAAGTTCTGGTACTGGGCAACTCGCGCTATTACCATTTCCTTCTTTTGCACCTGGTTCGAAATCTTCAACATTCCTGTCTTCTGGCCCGTTCTTGTTATGTACTGGTTCATCCTCTTTGTTCTGACCAGTAAGTCCAAGCTCTGAGCATGCAGCATGAACCTAACTAACCTGCGATCTTCTTAGTGCGCAAGCAAATCCAGCACATGATCAAGTACCGCTATGTTCCTTTCACCGTCGGCAAGAGAACCTACTCCAAGAACAGCGACTAAGCCGCAATTACGAGGTTATGACAAATGGGAATAGAAAAAGCACTCTCTACTATACGGGACCTTTTGCAAAACTTTATTCATGTATTCATTTTAATGCAACGGGGGATGTAGAACACAGGTGATGAAATCGAGGGGGACTACCATTCTTGCGTGGCTACAATGAGGCGAGGGAGATACAGTGAGAGTCTAATTGATAGCTCTGAAATCTCACTTGGAGCTTAGAAGCTGTAATTTCAGCAAATAAAAGCACATTTGAACATTGAAATGCACTTTCTACACGATATATACCGCCTTGATTGCTACTGCGCATGCCACCGGTATTACGAAAATCTTTGAACTAGACAATGAGCGCTTCTAGAACATATCCATATTTTTACTGGATATTATGCTTTCTTATTTTGGGAGAACTCTTTGCTTCGGGGATGCTGTCAGTGGTGCTTGACATCCAGCTAGGGTGCTGCGCGGCCCTGGTAGTGGTGATCTGTTGCGCTGCTTCCCCACTGGTTTTTTCCCAGCAAACCTCACACGACGCAACCCGCCGCCGCGCTTCACAACGCCTAACCGCAACACACGCCAGCCATCGAACCCGACCCGGAAATCATCTCCAAACCCTTGCGCAAGATCATACAACCGCTCGTCTCAGGAATTGAGGCTTGCGCACGACGCCCAGCATGTCTTCCTCCGCGCCGCGCTCTGGTGAGCGTGTCATCCACCAGGATTTCATCGCTCGCATTCGTTATTCAAACGCTCTCCCACCTCCCCCGAACCCTCCAAAGCTTCTCGACATCCCTAATGTCGGGTTATCCAGCGGACAGTACACAAACCCAGGCTTTGCCTCGCGCCTTGCGCGTGAACAGCCGCTCAACATCGAGGCCGATGCTGAGCTGGGTATGCCCCTTGACCTGGTAGGTATGCCAGGTGTGTTTGACGGGGATGAAAGTTGTAAGTATTCTCTCAAACAGAAATTCTCCTTTTTGTGGTGTTATCTAACTCTCCGATAGCCATTCAAGCTCCTGTCCAGACACCGGCTGTCCACCCTCACGACAAAGCCCTTCTTCGACCGTTGGCTGCCCTCGGCAAGCTCAAGGCTCCCGAAGCAAATGTCTCTTTCCTGCGACGTACCGAATATATCTCGTCCATGGTCCCAAGACGTCACGAAAATAGCAGCCCCCGAGCGCTGCTTGCTAAAGCCAAGAAGCCTCAGCGAATTGCCGATAGTGCGGCCGATTCTCCTCAGGTCATCAAGCGCAAGATTGACCGCAGCTTCGAAGTTGCAGAGCAAGACCTCAAAGATGCCAAGAAGCTCAAGCATCCGACCAAGAAGCACCTTAAGCTTGTTGAAGCCATTCCGCTGCTGCCCGACTTGGACGCTTTCCCCGACTCTGGCGCCTACGTGACCATTAAATTCCTAACAAACCCCATGTCCACTGCAAACAACTCATACGACACTCGCTTGCTAAGCGGTCTCTTCCGACCCATCGATCGAACAGAATCCGAGGAGGCGGCTTACGAAGCTGCACTCGCTGCGCACGAACAGGATCCTTACAACGTTCCCAAGCCTCAAAACTTGATGAACTACGACTTCTACCTGGGTCAAAACTCAGAGACAGGTGTCAACTTCCAGCGCATGTTTGATGTGGAAGACCCTGATCAAGAAAACGAGACGTTATACACAGACCGCACCAACGGCTGCTTCCAATTCAACCGTATTCGCGCGTACGAGACGGCCCAAGAGACGGAGCTTGACCAACCAACGAAATACCAGGACGAGATTCTTCTCGCATATAATGATGACGCCACATACCCCCGCCAGAAAGCAATGTACTACTACCCCGTCATGCAAAAGTCGACGGTGCGTCCGCAGCGCACCAAGAATATTGCTCGCACAGCGGGTATCCACGACCAGCAGGAGCAGATTGTCGACCAGCTGGACGTTACAGTAGACAACCCCAACGAGGATATGCTGGACGCCATGAAGCGGTACAAGGAAGCCCCCCTGGGTTGGGAACAGGAGCAAGAGGGAGAGGCAGAAGAAGACAATGCTGCGGGCAGCCCAGACGGCCAACGAGAGAAGTCACCGTCTGAGGACAGAGACGCTGACGGTGATGATGAAGAATAGCATTCCTCATCTCCCCTCGGGTAAAATAACCAGAGAGTATGAAAATACTAGTGCGCTGATGGATATCTGCCTGAGCCCATCGCTGAGCAAGTCGTTTGGGTTCTTTGACCGGCCGAATGGATACAAAGTTGCTCACGATTTGTTTCCAATCTTCTCGCAGTCCAAAATATCGTCCTACAGCGACATTATATACCCCTCGCCCTGGTATTGGGTAGATGAGGTCAACTATGAATCTTTCGAAGTGGGTGTGTTTGATTTGGTTTAATTAGCTTCTTGGTCTTTCGTATTTCGAAGTCGGCTTTTGTACTTGTATCAAGCAGAATGGGAGTAAAAGGTTATATTTAGATAAAATTCTATACAAATATTCAACAATATTCAACAGCACATCTCTTTTCCATGGGCGTAAATAAATTCCCCAAAACGCCGGTCGTTGAATCCAACATGCAGCACAACAGTAAACTACCTATACAAGAGTAAAAGGCGATGATATCTCTGACGGCTTTATCCCAGGCAAGAAGAACGAAAATTTCTACAAGAAACCTGACTCAGTTACCACCAACTGGTGATGCGGCAGATTTTGCATCGGGATCATATCCAATGGATTCGCGATTATCGTCAATCACTCGACTATATCTGCAAAGAAAAGTGTTAGTCAACGTCTCTCTCTCAGCCCAGATAGCTATAAAACGCTGTTATCAACTAATAGAAAACTTACTCCAAGAGAAGCCGGAAGAACCAAGCCTCCATATCTTCTTTGCGCAGAACCTTGTTAGCCCAAGTAGCGCTAGCCTTGGCCATGTTTTCCGCCTTGGCTTCCGAGTTGCTGAAGAAGCGGACTAGCTCCAGCCAATCTTCTCCACGCATACTCATAGGCACAAAGTGAATCCACGGCATCAGCCACTCCTTGTGCCATTCTTGGAAAAGGGCTTGCTTGAAGACCTGGCTGCGGCTCTGCAAGAAGGCGTAAAAGCGTCCACTGAACGCATTGCCGTCCATGTCAAGCAGATGCTTGTATGACCAGGCATCCTGCATATCCACCATCTCGCCAACCTTGAAAAATTGCTTCTGAGCTTCACAGTCGCCGGGATCGCACTGGCCAACATGCGAAAAGTGGACGTCAACAAGGTTATTATATTGGCCGCGAGCCGCCTTTGTTGCACTCCACTGGGGGTGCGCATCATCGCCAGTGTCCGTAAACACAGTGACCTGCTTATGATCATTCAGCTTTTGGACAAGGTACTGGCGATGCTGCCGTCTCCAACCACCATTTCGGCTGAAACCGCCCGTGGTCGAGCCTCGCCAGTACAGCGCATTGTGCTTCTTGCCCCATGTCAAATCTCGTGTTTCATTATAAACAACCCTGTCTGCCCAATACCAGGGCGAGGGGTATATAATGTCGCTGTAGGACGATATTTTGGACTGCGAGAAGATTGGAAACAAATCGTGAGCAACTTTGTATCCATTCGGCCGGTCAAAGAACCCAAACGACTTGCTCAGCGATGGGCTCAGGCAGATATCCATCAGCGCACTGGCGTTGTACACAAACTCGCCCTCCGTCACGCTGTATTCGCTAATCTTATCGCCGAGGTCGTCGTCATCCAAAGCTCTCGCTGGGCTATCTGGAGCACACGACATCCTGGACGTTGACCAGGTCGGCTGATGCGCAGCCTCTCTGAAGCGGGTAAACTTGGCATCTTCAAAGCGCAGACGAGAGCTAACATCGGCAATCTTGGGGGTGAAATGGTTGGCAAGTTGCTTATTACTATTGGCGGCAGGCATATTCGTCTCCCGAGCCTTTTGAACAAGTCTTGTTAGGTCGTCGTAGGGGATGACAATGCGGGATTCGTCATGGATATTGAACGCAAGATCCATATCCGGCAGGTACTTGACAAACGGCGCCATCATTTTGATAGTTGCTTCCTCCTGCCACTCGTAACCACCGACGCTCTGCGTAAAGGCAACTTGGTGATTACGGATGCCCAGCCCCAGAAGACCATTGGGGAACCCGAGCGCTTCGCGAGCTCTACTTCGAATCGTAGCGGGCTTCAACCCCCAGAATGGTGTAATTAGATCAAATATCGTATCAAACTCGTCGATTAATTGGACATTATGGCTCTTTGCAAACTGAAACCACTTGTCGAAATGCGGCGGGGGCGGGAGATTGTACCGCCGGTTGTATTCCTTGACGGCCTCGTCTAGCGTTTTCGATTGCCGGCCAAGCATATTGTTAAAGTCATTTTTCGCATTAGTGCTTAAGTAGTCGATGGGATGGTTCGAAGTATCTGAGAGCTTTCTCGGCCCAGAGGACTCTCCTATTCTGTCTTTGATGTCCCAGTCGCGCAGCTGGTCTTCAATACCATGTGCTGGTTTGTCATTTCGTACGGGAGCGAGATGCGGCGATTCGCTTGATCTGCGAAACAGGAAAAGCAGCGTCAAAATCAGCGCAATAGCGAGCATCATATGGACGCCGCGCTTGCGCACTCTGAAACTGGCGAGCGCTGGGCGAAAGCCGGGGACAGCGCCTTGCCGCGGCTGGCCCATGGCGGGCAAGATGCCATGACGAGCCGAAGAGGAGCTGCGACGCATCGTCAACAATGTCGATGCCCCCAGACGATGCAGAAACGGCGCAAGTGGTGGTGATGTGAAAGGGGCAGCCTTGCGTCTCTGCGACGTCTATTTTGAGCTTGACGTCGACACGCGCCACGGGGCCTCAGTGGGGCTTCAGCGACAACTACAGGGGGCCACAGGGCGCAGTGAGGACGCAACCGTTTTCTGCAGGATAAAAGGGGCGTTGAGAGTTTGTTCTGTTTGTCAATTGAAAGGCGGCAGAATAATACAATTCCGTAAGCCCTTACATTTTTTTTGAAACAGCATGAAAGGAAAATTGTCAATCGATCTACAGAGATCGAGATGATAAAGCCAAGATCTGTACACTAGTCTTGCCATCCACATGTGCATGTAACGTAAAACTAATACTTGTCCCTTGTAAAGCTTCTCAATTAGAAAGATACGGTAACATAAAAGCATAACAATAATAATTCCTGATTGTGGCTGCCATCCAAAAGCTATCTTGTATACGGCATCTTCTGTGCGCATCTTTGCCCGCTGCACCAAGTCCCTAGTCCACGTTCAGATATTGCACCTTGTGCATTCGATATTTTAGCCAAGATATTGCGCAAAATTTACTGCGACTATATGTGCTTCCATTTAGATGTTATCCGCTAGTCCAATGGTGGAGCTTCGTCCTCAGATATTTGCTCCGCTGGCGGGGGTTTCTCTTCCTCATTTCCAATACCGCTTCCGTCTGTATTCATCTGGATCTGCATACCAGTAACAGCATGGAAATCATCGTGAAATGTTTGCATTGACGATAGGAGTCGTTGAAACTTTTCATGGCACTGCCGTCGCTCTTCCATCGCTATCCAGTTGCATACCTCGTTGGTAATGACGGCAACGACGTAATCCTGTGAGTAGCCTTGCCTTATAAGCTCTGGTGCCATCCCTTTTGCCAGCTCATCAAATATTTCTTTGAAATGATATGTTTGCCCTTCAATTGGCGTTTTTTGGATTGGCTGTATTCGTTCGCTAGCCGGTTCATAGACAACCTGCTCGTCCTGATCGTGATCCAACTCATTGTTTATTGAGGTCGTTGTTCTCATCAACTCTCTGGCTTCTCTGTTTTGTCTATGCCAGCGAGCTGGTATACGTCTGATACAGCTTGCCGCCTCTCGCATATATCTGCTACTGGGCGGACATCCAAACAGACGCATCAGCAGAAACGCATGCACAATTTCGATATTTCTACCCCAGTGTTGGCGTCGAATCGGATGATTGGGTATTGTTGGTCTGTTGCAACCCAGTCTTAGCTTGTCAGAAAGTTTGTTGAACAGTGTGATATCCTGGTACGTCCACAGCCGGCAAGCTCTTACGAAATCGTCAAACACAGAAGTAATCACCAGAGGCCTGCTGCGCTTCTTCCAATCGATGCCAATATATACACAAACTTGCTCCAGCTTTTCTAACGTCCACTCGTCTTTATCTTCTGGAATGGCGAATTGATCGGGAATGAGGGTTACCACTTTCGTCTTGATATTTCCATCCCATGGCTTTCTGGCTGGTAAGCCATACTTTTTGAGATCCCCAAAGTTTGTCATATTAACGATGTTTGCCTGTATGTGCGAAGAAGAAGGATTCTAGTTGTAGAGAGCTGCCGGATAGTTGATGATGTTGCAGTTACAGTGAGTGTTTACCGTTGATTGATTATATATTTATATGCAACTGTGTGGATATGCTTGCTACTATGTATGTTGTCACCTGGCACAGCTGGCGTTTGCGTTGTGTTGCGCCGCCGGCTGCGATGCATTACTTTGGAGTTGAACCTCTATATGTATGGCTTACACTGTCTTTGGGCGCGAGTTTGTTCCCAGATCGCAAATACCGGTGTTTATCAAAAATCTAAAGAAACAACACATATGTATATGTATATGTTAGTGTTATAGTTTCTATTGTTTTAGAGATTGTGCCTTGGAGTCGCTTGTCAAACTTGCTGTTTGTACAGTCAGTGCATTGTGTCCCATGGCCGGGGAGACCCCTGGTGAAGCCTACATCAGTCATGTCATTAGTCACATTTTAAGTCACGTATAAAGGGTACAAGTTTAGGTCAAGGTGTCTATATTCCATATGCCACCACACTATAGAGCATTATTTTTCATCTACTCGTAGTCGTAGCATCTGGCGCAATGCCATTGTCGTAAAGTCACCACCCAAACGCCGAGCCTGCCTCAACAAAATTTTTGTTACTTTTTTTTGTTTGCAATCCCAAGGACTTTGTTCTACATTTAGTAGAAGAAGCCAATGATCTTGCCGGCAACGTGCTTTCTACGGGCCTCCTCGTGGTCCATGATACCAGCAGAGGTGGTGAGGATGATGTAACCGAACTGGCGAGAAGGCAACAGCTTGACAACCCACTTCTCGAGGTCGGCGAGGCGAACGTTGTAGCGGGGAGAGATGACACCGGTCTTGTTGAGGCGGCCGTTGAGCTGGACAACGATCTTGCCGGAGCGGTGGTCATCGACCTCCTCGAACTCGCCAATGTAGCCTAGTAGCCAAACATGTTAGCGTTATGTTGCAATGATCATAGCCGATTCGGGTTGTGGTTTTAAACAGCCGAAAATCACAGATGCCTGATCGCTGCAGAACTTCAATATATCGGCAACTTATAGGGGCTGAGTCGTGGTGCGTTTATAGACCGTCGCCCTAGTTATCATACCGAACGGAGACGTGCGCTCCTCATTCACCCAGTTCTGCAGCTCACACAGAGCATACCATGGCTTCCCAGCTGCTAGAGGACCATTATTTCGAAATCGTGAAGTGCTTGACGTACCGTGGCGCTGCATGACCTGGAGGAACTTGACAATGACCTTGGAAGAAGGACGGATCAAGACCTGACGCTTGCCAGCCTTCTCGGCGTTGTTGATGGCGTTGAGCGCATCGTGGAGGACGGAGGTTCTGACCATGTTGGCGGTGTTATGCGGAGATTCTCAAGTCGTGGAGAGAGGAAATGAGGTATCTGTTGAACAAGAAAGTCTTGGTTAGCCTCGCGCGGCTCCGGGAGCAAGAAGAGTGCCCTCAGCAATTCCGTTGACGAGGGTTCTGCCGCTCAGTGCTGAAGAGAAGAGGCGTATCGCCGGGATTGCAAGACTTGGGCACGAGATAACCTCATTGTCTTTCGAAACGAAGCCCAGTCCAACTGTACACAAAAGCCTAGTCCCGGGATTGCCCTCCCCTGCCACGAACACGAGGCATTGTCCTAATAAAGCCGGATTGCCAAGATGCTGGTTGGTTTCTACATACCTCGTTGATTGATGATGAGAGTCGAGAGGAGGAAAAACTGCAACAGCAAATTCTCCCAGTATAGACGAAAATGCCCAGTGCTAGACCCATGATGGGCCACCAAAAAAAAAGTGGGTGTTTGTGCCCTGGTGGTCCGTGCACGACAAAATGCCCTAACACCGCACACCAATTATAGTGGGATGGTTTTCGGCAAATCTTCGCTACGCCCTGTTTAATGCGGGCTCGCCAGTGTACTACTCTAACCAACCCAAAATTTGTGATTCTCTTTCTTTTCTTTCCTTTTCTCCCCACACATCAATTAAATCTTCGAGGATCGGCCGACAAGAGTAATTATTCAAGATGGTGAGTGTGATCTCTTGCCAACTGCTACCAGCAGGACCATTTGTTTTTTCGAAATATCGACTCGCCGCTGGCGCCGGAGGGAATTGCCAAATCGCAGTGGCTGGGTCGTGAATTCGAGACGAAGGGAAAAGGCAACGACATTGCGCCTAGGGACAAATCGCTAACAATATCCTACAGTCGGACGTAGAAGACAACAACATTCCCGAGGTCGTCGAGGAGGTCGAGGTTTCCGGCGATGCCCCCAAGGGTCAGATGTCCGTTCAGGATGCTCTCAAGGGTGTCCTGAAGCTGGCTCTCATGCACGACGGTCTTGCCCGTGGTCTCCGTGAGGCTTCCAAGGCTCTTGACCGTCGCCAGGCCCACATGTGCGTTCTCAACGAGAACTGCGAGGAGGATGCCTACAAGAAGCTCGTTGCTGCTCTCTGCGACGAGCACAAGATCCCCTTGATCAAGGTCCAGGATGGCAAGCAGCTCGGCGAGTGGGCTGGTCTCTGTATGTATAACCGGGTCATATTGGTGTGCTGAACAATGGTACTAATGAATTTTTAACAGGCGTTCTTGACCGCGAGGGTAACGCCCGCAAGGTCGTCAACTGCTCTTGCGTTGTCGTCAAGGACTGGGGAGAGGAGTCCCAGGAGCGCTCTGTCATCATGAACTACTTCCAGACTGCGGAATAAACTAAGGCTTAAACAACGGCGTTGATATGAAGGGTTTAGAGGAGCGAGTCTCGGTTTGAGACCTCCATGGAAACTATTGTTTTTGTACTCTAGGCACTTCTTTTGGCATTTGGATTGGTCCGGTCTTTACGTTCATGACGAAAGAAAAATAAAAGAAAGTCTCTTTTTAAAAACTGTTTTTGCGTATACAATTGGCATGTGATGGATGAAGGCATAACTTTCTGTACCTATGTGCGTGCGATCGTCGCTTCATATCCCTTCTACTTGTGGCCCTCAACCTATAAGATAACATTAGCCAAGATCTGGTGCACAGCACGTTTAAATATTGATATTACCATAATAATATGGTAGCCGTGACTTGTCTTGGCCTCGCCATATTTGGGATTCGAAGTCGTACTGGCGTCTAGAGCGAAAGCCACCTCTTCGAATTCGGGATCGAGACTGCCCTTAGTCTTCCACCCGAGCGCACCACCTTGTCGCGCCTTGTCTTCAGAATATTCGCGCGCAACTTCATCAAACTTGACACCATCTCGCAACTTCTCTAGCGCTTCCTCTTTCTTGCTGTGCTTAGCACACTGACATGGGATGGTTAGCATAGGTTAGCCGAATGATGTGAATGATAATCGCACCAAAATATGTCGAACGTTGACAACCTGGCCACCCTTGGCTTTGCCGCTCGCCTCTTTGTCGCCGCCTTTGCCTTTAGCTCCTCCTTTATCACCACCTTTCTTATCGTTCTTCCCCATTTTGTCGAGACTTTTCGTTATTGATAGGCGCTTCTACACGAGCTTCGAATGGTAGAGCCAAGTTTCAGTTTCGCCGCGGGGTCGGAATGCACTTGGCCCCGCCAAAACGGAATCGACTTATAAGCCTATCATGCCAAACTAGCTTGCGTCAAGAAGGTCGAAATCCGCAAAACAATTTTCGTAATGAAGCTAATTCATGTCTTTTACGCGATGGTGTTTACCAAGGCTGAGCTCTTTGACAACTTCAGCTGCGTGCCACCACTTGCGATGCTCAACCCGCTCTTGCGTTTTCCGGGTTTTCCATGTGTAAAATGCTTCAATTCCTAGCTTCTTTTTTATTAGGTCACCTTCATACTTTTCAAATATGACCCAATTATCTAATTGGGAAGGGCTTGGAATAGACTCTAGGCTTTGTACTGCACGCTGTTGACGGACGCGTTCTAGCACCAATGTGATGCAGTGCAGTCCCGTTTTCTGATTCAGTTTGTGACCATATTGTCTCAGTATGTAGCTATACAATGTTAGTCAGGAGATAGATTATAATTTTATAGACTTACAGCCCATCGTATCTAATCCCGGCACGTGGTGCTAATGGGCTATGGAGAGTATGGCCTCTAAGAATTCTGATCCGAGAGCCTACCCTAGATAAAAGTGAGATTGGACTCTGGGCAAGGGGTGATTCTACAGTATATTGAGTGGAGAGCCGTAGTTGATGATATTGTTCCCGACCTCGAGTTAATATCAAAGTAGGCGTCCCGTAGCCTGACAGGTGAGAATTTGAGCTGACGTTGTTAACGACTCCGTCTCTCTGGGCGCATGCCACGTTTAACCACCAACTATATTAGGTCAGTTTGCGACTGTTAGGAAATGTCTTAAGTGAAAGTCATAAACTAACTTTCCAACTTCGAGTTGAGAATCGTCAGTCTGGCTGGAGGCCAAGGTCCCATGTGATTTCTTCGGCTTCCACACATTATCATCACTTGTTGCTTTGGTGTTAAAGATTACATCTCTGAGTAAGCCGTGTTTAGGCAAGTTTTCATAGCGAGTTTGGTCTATATCGAAATATTGTTGACGGAAGCGGAGACTCCATTTCCGCTCTATCTTTTGTGCAATTGAGCTGTAGAGTGCCGTCACTTGCATATTCTCGGGCTTCAGCAGTTCAGCTAGTAGCCGGTCTAAGTGAGTTGCTGTTATTGTGGCAAGACTAAGAGTCGGAGTAGATCGCTCGTCACGAAGGAGCTTGTGTAATAGGGTAACGATTGGACACTGCGATTCAAGAGTCCTTCTCTCGCGTAAATAGATGCGAGCATCGTTGCATAATTCAAGCAAGCCCGGCTCTTTCCGCCCATTATTCAGGTTGTTTCTGGCCAGGGCCATATGCTGAAAGTTACCTGTTGAAATATTAGCTATTTCGAAGTTAAATATTAAAGTGAAGACAACCCTTTATTCCATCTACCTGTTTGATTGTACTGGTATCATCAGCAGATTCGTCAGTTGATCCGGTCTCGCTATCGAGAGGTAGCCACATCACAGAATTCATCTTTTACAGTCGCATAGGCTCGAAATTATAAATAACGGAACAGATTATGTACATTTTACATGTCTAAATACGCTTTTTAAGAGGGGGTGCAGTGATAAAGAGTACTGGCATTACTTGAGCGTTGAGCGTTGTTCCTTCCCAGCAGAAATGGGCAAGGCCAACCATTCACCCTCTTTCAATAAATTACAATCTGTAAATAAGCGCTACAAAAGTGAGATACCATTTTATACCTCAACTCGCTGTTTAGCACCTTGTTCCCGCAGCCAGGTCACCAAAGGCTCAGCTTTGCTTCTCTCGGCCGCATCCAATGGCGTCATGTCTTCCCAGTCAGGAATGAAATTGATCTCGGCGCCACGCCGCAGTAGAAACTTGGCAGTTTCTAGTTGCCCTCCATGGCATGCATTCCATAGTGCACAGTTTCGATCATGGTCAGATACGCCAGGGTCTTGTGCGAAGAAGCCTTCGACGCGGGCGAGCAACCCGAGCGTTGCGGCATCATTAATGCTCACGATTGCTCCCCTTTCAACAAGCCGGTGTGCACATTTCAACTGTAGAAATGCTCTTGCATCGGCTAGGGGTGTCTCAGCTATAACTCCGCCGTCGGCGTTGATATCAGCTCCAGCATCTAACAAAGCGTCGAGTAGAGCTACATCGTCATTGCTCGCTGCCCAGTGAAGCGGTGTCTCTGTGTGATGTCCAATGAATCTAGCATTCACATCACAACCAACCTCGATCAAGGCCTGAGCAGTGGCAATGTTGTTGGGCAAGTTGCCCGGCCAATCAGCCAAGATGTGAAGTAGAGTTCTCCCATCGCCGGCAGACATGATGTGAGCCTTGACGAGGTCGGGGCAATCTGCCAGTGTCTGTCTAAGCGAGTCAACATTGCCGGATTTGATGGCCTCGATGGCCCGGGATGCCCGTGGTTCAGTTGCTTCTATTTGCATTATGTTTGTAGATTGAACGGAAGTTTGTTTGTAGATTGAATAAAAATGTTGCATGAAGGAGCGTGAATTCTCATTTAGACATAATAGGCAGCGATGCATGTGGTTTATAGTCGGCTTTCAGCTGCCGCCTGAAGCGGTGATTGGCTAGCAATGCCACACGGTCGGCGTGCATGAATTTACGGCATTAAGCTCATCTCACGGCATAGCGATCGCAATCTGCTTTTTTCGGACAAAATAAAAGAAAATAGTATAAAAAGAAGTCCTCATGCCTGTGCTCCAGCGGCCTGCGTGGCGTTTATCAGTTGACCAACGTGGGGTTGCCTGCACTCACTCAGCCAAGCTTACAGCTGTTGGACAACCCCAGTCGCACCCCGCCACCAGCCTCTGCTCGCCATGCTCCCAACTCAACAACTACAACAGCATCCTTGGGCGGGGATCGACGATATCGCTGATCCGTGTTTGGCAGAAACTAGATTCGACTCTTCTAGGAATGATACCGACTCTGCTGAACGCATGGATTCCCGAAAGCCAAGCCTCGATCTGGAGAAAGAGCTGACTTGCTCAGTACGTCATCTGAAGCTTTACCATAATCCATCTACTTGCTGACAGCAACCTCTAGATATGCACGGATTTACTATACCAGCCTCTTACGCTTCTTGACTGCCTGCACACCTTCTGTGGTTCGTGTTTGAAAGAATGGTTCTCCTTTCAGGCGGCCAAAATCGAACGAAACTTGAGACCGCCAGCCCCAGGTGATGTCCTGTTCACGTGCCCATCATGCCGTGCATCCGTTCGAGATACGCGGCCCAACGCCACAGTTGTCACTCTCCTGGACATGTTCTTTGCTGTTAAGCCTGAAAAGTCACGATCAGAAGCTGACAGACAAGAAATTGCCAAAAAGTACAAGGTCGGAGAATCAGTCATGCCCCATATCACCACTCGGGAGCAAACCAAGGAAGAAGAAGAGGCTGAAGAAGAAGATAGGAGATTAATCCAAGAAGTGCGCGAAATGAGTCTCCGTGAAGCTGAGACTGGTGTTTCTGAGTCTGCGTCCGGAAGAAGCCGTTCAAGCGACAACCGGCCAACCTCAAGCAGAAACAGGAGCGCCGATGACCGTAGCGGGCGACGAGGAGACGCCCCGCCCCGAGGCCCAGGTCAAGCAACTTCAAGGCAAAACTCAGACCACTTACAGGTCGGTGATAGAAGCCACCGCCGGCAACGGAGTGACTCTCGCCCTCGTCAGGTCGAGCATCAATCGTCCATCAGATCCTTGATTGGATCCGCTGAATTGTCAGAACGGGACATTGAACGTGAAATAGAGGAGTTTGCTCGGCAAATACAAGAAGAAGGTCTACTAGATGGCTTAGACTTGGATAATATCGACCTTACACGAGATGACGATCTCAGCAGACGAATTACCGAAGCCTACAGACGTCGGCAGCGCGACCGGAGAAGTAATGCGCCAAGTCGAAGTCCTGCGGCGCAAGGCCGCCAGCGTGATGACAGCCAATCCGAAGGCGCTGACCGATCGAATGGCCCGGCTGAAACGTCACAGAATCAATCAGCTACAGCCTCAGGCGATACGAACGACGCACCTTCATCGTCATCGACACCCCAAAATTCTTCCTCTAGTCGTGATATACCTAACATCCCAACCCGAAGTGGAAGACGGCGTACCAACAGTGGTGGCATAGGTACAACGGCTCCATTCCCAGGAGTGGTACCACCATTGCCTGCTGGTCGATCTCAAACGGATCTACCAATCCGAACTCGTCCCTTGGAGCTTGCTGAGCATCTTCCAGGCATGTCCGATGAACGAAGTTCTAGTGTTCCCTCGTCTCCACCAGACAACGCTCCTTCAACAAACAATATATCGTTCGCGAATAGGTTAGCCCAATCCAACACAACAGCTCCATCCGAAACTAGCAGTCAAAGCACAGCTAGACCGCATAGAGCGAGCGATCTGGAAGTCGTCCAATCCACGACGTTGGCCGCAACCGGGGGACCGGTTCGCTCGATGCGGGATCGATCTCCCAGTCAGCTGTTTCCTGAACCCGTTATAACATGCTACGCTTGCAATAAACAGCAAATACAGTACGACTTGCACTATAATTGCCAAGTCTGCGAAAGTGGGCAACTCAACCTGTGCCTGGACTGCTACCGCCGCGGAAAGGGTTGCCAGTTCTGGTTTGGCTTCGGTCAAGGTGCCAGCAGGAAGTGGGAAAAGCTACGCCAGCAAAGAAACGATGACTCTTTGCCACCTCCTCATGTGCTCGTTCCCCGCCGCTACCTGCCTCCTGCCAATCATCCAAAGGAATCAAATGGCAAACCAACGGCTACGAATGATGATCCGAACAATAGACTTGAAACAGGGACATTTTGTGCCAAGTGCCTTGCTTGGACTAACGACTGTTATTGGAGGTGTGATATTTGTAATGATGGCGAATGGGGATTTTGTAACAACTGTGTCAACCAAGGCAACAGCTGCTCACATATGCTGCTACCTCTTATTTACGAGGTTTCGGAGCCATTTCGACGATCATTAGGTCGACCTCCTCAAGCAACAGTCGCTGCCAACTTGGGGCAGCGCACCAGCGCGTTTAAGCCACTTTTATTCAACTCGACCTGCGACATATGCCACAATGGCATAGTTTCCTCTGATGTCAGATTTCACTGCCACAGCTGTACGAGTAGCCTGGTCGAAGATGCTAGCCCTGGGGATTATGATATATGTTCTCCGTGCTATGCTAGCCTTGTTGCCCGCGGGCAGATCAGCCATGAGAATGGGTATTCTGGGTGGAGAAGATGCCTTCAAGGTCACCGAATGGTCGTTATCGGCTTCGTTGATAGCGACGATGGCCGTTGGCGATTTATTGACCGAGATCTAGTAGGTGGCCGAGCCATGAAGATGGAAGTGTTAGAGTCTTCTGGAGATCGATTTCAAAAATGGACTTGGAAGAAGAACTCGGACCGCCTTGAGAGACTTGTCACCAAGGATGTGTCGGATACAGCGCCAAATACCGTCGCGTCCAAAACTTATGCGACAGATTTCCCGCCAGAAGGCGGTGCTGGCTCGCTAGGCCGAACGAAATGGGCGTGGTATCCACAAGGCGATACAGATGATGAGCTCCTGTTTCCAAAGGGGGCTGAAATTAAGGAAATTGAGGACGTGAATGGAGACTGGTACTTTGGTACATATATGGGAAGCAAGGGACTTTTCCCAGCGCCCTATGTTCACGTCGAGATTAGTTGGATATAGAACTGATCATCATATCTCAGACTGCATTGTTATGAGTACATGGAAGCTCCGCAAGGCAGTAACGTACGATATACGGGTTTCACTTTTGGATAATAAAAGCACAATCATTTGATTTTTTTTTAATAATTTATTTTCATTTCATAAAATTTAAAGCAAATGTTATAAACTTGTTTTCAATGCTTGGTGGTACATAGGCGGGTGACAAATTAAGAGTGAGTCCACTCGGGCTTCTGCTTCTCGGCGAAAGCCTTCATGCCAACCTTTTGATCGTTGCTGCCGAATAAGCTGTGGAAAACACGGCGCTCATACTCGACACCATCACGCAGAGGGAGATCCTGGCTCTTGTTGACAACCTCCTTGCAGGCCATGACGGCGACACGGGAGTAGCCAGCAATCTGCTCGGCAAGCTTCACGGTCTCCTCCATCAAGACTTCGTAGCTAGGAAATGCGCGAGCAGCAAGACCCCATTTCTCAGCATCAGCGCCAGAGAAGGAACGGCCAGACAGGATCAGCTCCATAGCCTTGGACTTGCCAATGGCGCGGGTAAGACGCTGGCTGCCACCAGCACCAGGGATAGTGCCGAGCTTGATTTCGGGCTGGCCAAAGTTGGCGTTTTCAGTGCAGTAGATGAGGTCGCACATCATGGCAAGCTCGCAGCCGCCGCCGAGAGCGTGGCCAGAGACGGCAGCAATGATGGGCTTCTTGATCTGGGTGGTCAAGAGGGACCAGGACTCGATGAAGGACTTGGTGTATGCCTCGGAGAAGGTAAGGGGGGCCATCTCCTTGATATCGGCACCGGCAGCAAAGGCCTTCTGGGAGCCAGTCAGTATAATAACGGAGGTATCATCAGAGGAGTTGAATTCGTTAAGCGCTTCGTTGAGCTCCTTGATGAGTGGGGTGCAGAGGGCGTTGAGTGCCTTGGGGCGGTTGAGTGTGACTGGTAGCGCTGGTTAGTGGCTTGAGTGTGATTTTCTGAAAGAAGGCGACCTACCCTGTCCAACGCCGGGCTTGGGCGAAGAAACCTGGATGTATTCGTAGGTCTTGGAGCTGTAGCAGCGGACGATTCTGGGAAGAGTCGAGGGCTGGAACGGCACGCGGCGCGCGGCAGGGCGGAGAGCGCGGAAGGCGTGCATTGTGACGGTATGGATTGTGTGAGGCTGGGTGTATTAAATGCTCGTCAATTGGATCGTGATCGTGTAAAAATAGGCTTTTCGGGTCGACGGACAATTTGGAGATGGAGTTGTAGGAAACTGCCTTCGGCATGTCATGTGTGGGGAGCTTCGGCTCAACGAACGTAGCGTTTCGCTGGAGCTCGGCTACTGGGGAAAGCCGGTGAAACCCGAACGGTTTGGGCATACCTTTACGATAGAGTTGGAAAATAGCGAGAATAATTGCCATTGGGCTTGGATAATTGGAAATTGTATGAGGAAGACAATTATCTATTAGTTTAAATTTATTTATGGAATGAAACCATTATAAGTTAAGATGTGAGCCCAGCCTGTTGCAATACACACTCCAGGTTTGTCCGTTCAAGTTGAGTTACGAATATCAAGTGTAGTGTAGTTTTGTTTAACACAGAGAGCGCATATAATACCGAACTCACGGACACAGCAAGCACGGCAGAAATGTTGTAAAGGACATCGCTGGCATTCTATAATATCTATTCTGCTCTGAGCTTCTGCTTGATTCGCTTCCGCTTGCCACCCACTTCCTTGCCCTCTTCCACCTCCAACAAGGCCTCACGCTTCTTCTCACTAACAATCTTGAGGGCGTCGCGAATGACTCTAGTCTCCAAGTTGACACCTTCTTCAGACCATGCTTCCATATCTCTGCCTACGCGCTTCTCAATTGCAAGCACGAGGTCGACATCTCGCTGGCCAACAAGCGTTACGGCCTCACCGGAGCGACCAGCACGAGCAGTACGACCGACTCTGTGGATATAGTCATCGGGGTCGCGGGGAATATCATAGTTTATTACCAAGCTGACTTCGGGGATATCGAGACCTCTGGCAGCAACGTCAGTGGCCACGAGGATGCGAGCAGCTGATGCACGGAAACGGCCGAGGTTGTCGATACGCTGGCGCTGCGGCAGCTTGGAGTGAAGAGAGGTGACGCGGTGTTCGAGAAGGCGGAGGAGATGGTGGAGAAACTCTGCTGTGGATGTGCGGTTGCAGAAGATAATGACTGTCTTGTTGACATTGGCCTCGGTCAAGAGGAACACGTGCAGGTAGTGTTCCTTATGTGTAACGGGGATCTGGATGTGCTTTTGGGTGAGCGTGGCGGGGATGGCTAGCATCTGCGTATCCACCTCGCATACAAAGACTGGCTGCTTTCCTGGCTTGATGGGCATGTTTTTGAGAGCTCGCACTTCTGGTGTAATTGTGGCTGTGAAGAGTAACGTCTGGCGTTCGGTAGCAGGAGGGAGGATTGACAAGCACTCTTCCACGTCTGGGAGCATGCTTCCCGGTCCGGCAGCATGTAGGAGACGATCCGCCTCATCAAGTACCACAAATTTAACCCTTCGCAATCCGCAAACAGTATCCTCGCCGGATGTTCTGATGTGGTCTGCCAGGCGGCCAGGCGTCGCAATGACAACGTGGGGACGCTGCGCCAGAGTAATGGCCTGGGCACGCTGGTCCGCTCCGCCTGTAATCAAGACTGCCTTGAGGCCCTGTGGTGAGGATATAGCCTTGAATTGTTCGTATATCTGTAGAGCAAGCTCTCTTGTCGGTGTCAAAACGACGGCAAAGATGCCCGTAGGGTCCGCAGACCACTTTTGCAGAATGGGCACGGCAAAAGCCACAGTTTTACCGGAACCGGTTCGACTGCCACCAATGCAGTCTCTTCCTTTCAGGATTTCCGGTATACATCCCTTCTGAATGCCAGTAGGCCGTCTAATCGCCATGTTTGCGAGCGACTGGACAAGCCATGGCTTCACATTGAGCGCTGAGAATGTAGTGTTGGGGTCGGTCGGGGCGAGGACGCCGGTTGGCGTCGAGCCTGCAGTATCTAGTTTCTTTTCTGACACCTTGGTCGCAGTTTTGGCCTTGACTCTAGACGGTGCTGCAATAGAAGAAAATACGCTGGTTATCTTTGCGCCGCCATCGCCGTCATCGCTATCGCTGTCGTCAAATTTGTTGTCGGCAGTCGGCGACGTGCGGCGTCTCTTGCGAGAGTGGTCGTTGTCGAGACGATCCGATTCTTCAGCAGAAGAATCAGACCTGCTCTCTATTGAATCTTGTTTTCTTAGTGCCATCTCGGCGTGTTGGGGAATTCAATATGCTATATGCAGTTTGGAGATATTTTTTTTTTGGGACATGGTTCTGCCGACAAAAAGTTTTAGTGGAGTCGCAGAGCGGGATCGCATTAGCGTGGGTTGTACGTCAATGCCCAGCAAGCAAAAGCGCCAGTTTGACGAAGCACATCTATTTAATGCCTAGAAAAACAATTTAAAATATGTATTAGTGGTTTAAAATATCATAGGCTCTGGAAATCTAATTTAGCAGTAATGAAACAGACTTATGCTCTATATCTACCTGTACGTATCTACCGCAAACCCAGTAATATCAGCTGTGATACATTGATACTATGAAAGCAGCATCTACCGTGTATACCGCACAATTCACCGCCAGTAACGCATAATCTGCCTTTTTGCTCCTCTCTCTCATTTGTTACCTCGCTCTTGTCTAACTTACCGTTCCTTTATCTGGCCGAGATATCTACTAGTTTTTGTACACAGAGTTGTTACCCTACGATTTCACCCATAGCAAACGTCACCAGCAACCTCTAAATTTGATATGACGCATTTCAGGCGGTCTTCCCCTAATCTCCTTCCTAGACAGTGCAGGCTTAAGCCCCCGTTTCCATTGCGTTAGGGTGTGAGGGGGAGCACCAATAGTGGCTCGCTATTAGCGTCATGGTAGGCGCGCGCTTGCACACAAAACTTTCATGGTTGCATCTGGTTGGCTGAACTAAACAGGGAGCTTGCACCATCCTCTTTTGAACAAGGCTCTATCTCCACGGACTTAATTGGGCTTTCGCTGCTGGGCTAGTGCTGAGGCTGGCACTGTAGCGAGCTTTATTCGGCGAAGTAGCGTACGTAATGCGGACCCAATGACCAACTAGAAGGCTCGCGATGGGGTTGAAAAGCCCGTAGGACAAGAACTTAGACGTGGCCTAGCTTCTGCAGCCACCTGGCACCATTGGTCTCCAAGCAGTGGACTATTGAGCGGATATGCCTCCGGTGCTACAAAATCACACTTATTGCCCACTATAGCCTAGGGAAGGATGATCTCCAATGGTTCCAAAGCGTTCCCCACCCAATCTTAATGCTGTGTTCTCATGACGAGGCAGAGGAAGTATTTCGTGGTTGACGGCTCACCGCGGCACCACTCAGCTGCCCTTTCGGGAAATACAGAGAGATATTCGCTAGCAACGAGGTCCGAAGTCGCAGGCATACACGACTCAGAAGAGACAGAGCAGTGGTGAGCATTAACTTGATTGAGAAGGAAGGGAATTAGGCGTGCACATGCTTGTTAGTTGGGCTGCTAAGTTTCAAAAAAGCCCTGATAATTCACGCCTTAATACACTGTGCGTAACGCTGTATACTTGGTTGAGAGCCCTGTGCAGCCCGGCGCCTCCAGGCCAGTGCGGGCAGGTTCTGGCATGCACAAGTTACATTAGGACGCACACCCCTCCCGGAATGAGACGACAGGCAGTATAGGGCATATTCGATCTTGAATGCTCGATGGCGGGCACCACATTGCTCGGTTAAATTTTGCGCTATTAGCGCCGACGCGGATTGACGGTTGTCGGGCGGTGAACTGCGCTTTGCGAGAAGACGATACGAGGGCACAGTGATGGGATCAGGGAACGGGCTGCAGCAACAGCATAGGCGAGCAAGACACGGCAAAGAAAACTGGCCAGCGCATGAGCGCCGCTGCTTGCCTTGCGGTAATTGTTGCCGTCGAGCTGTGCCGTGAGTGGTGAAAGCCTAGCCTTTTGTGTGTGTGATTCGCTGGGGTCAAGGTCTACGGTGGTGCCCCGTCCCCCCCTGTAATGCTTGATGTGCAGGGGTGGCCAGCCAAGTCGATTTTGCCTGTACAGTGCATGGAACGGCGCCAGGGAAGTCCCTTTCAGGCAACTGTTAGAAAAAAGTCGTGGCCTCGGCATCGGGCCCTTGGAGCTGCTGCCTCGGCCGTTTAAGGCTTTGATTCTGCGTGCTGTAGAAGTATGGTATGTCTGTCTGCTATGCATCTCCCACCGCCCAGTGGTACGTAAATGTTCGCTATTAGCTTTTGGGCAGCACAAGCGCCTTTGCAGGCCACTGCCGCTTGCCACTTTGCCCTAGCGGCCAATCAAGCCGTGGCGCGCCGCCCATCTCCCACACACCCAATCACAAGCTGTGTCCCACCCGTACTGCCCGCCTGGGGCTTGGCCTGCCTGGGGTGGCTCTGGAGGTCCACTCCCCCCCAAAAGAACCACCGCAGGAGTTGCGACAGTATAGCACTGGCCACCGTAGAGCCCACCTGTACCGTGCATTACGGCGCCACGGTTACTGTTGACTGCCCCCCGGGGGCTCTGGTGCCTTGTCTCGCCTTGTCTCGCCTCCCGCAGCTTGAAACCCAGCACTGCACCCTCTCCTGCAACATCCTCACTTTGCCTATATTTTCTTTTCGCATCACCTAGTCCATTTCGCATATCCTAGTTTTCGTCTTCTTTCAACCGATACGCCCTAGAGCTCGACCGCGTCTCATGCTCGACCCGACCTAGTCCGATCCTTGATCCCTTTCATCTCTCGATACGCGCTGCGATCCCCCTACGACAAGATCCCGATAGCCCAACTTCCCCTCACTTGAGGCTTTCCACGCATTCACGCCTGTTCGACCTCCACGCTCGACTACGAAGAATATCACGCTTATTCGCCTCTTTACACATCATTTGCCTCTTGGCACCATTTTATTGGCATCTTTTCGCCGGTTACCTGTGGCGGCTGGACTGCGTCTAGGACACGACCTCGGTTCTGGACAAAAGGCTGCCCAGCTTACCAACAGCCACTGCCAGGCTCACGCTCAACGCTTTCTCCTCTATCCTCCTCATACCCTATAATTTATAAAAATGGCAGATACATCTACAAATCAACCACCTGCCGCTGATGGCTCTGCACAGGTCCGTTCAAACCCAATCATTTTGCTTGCTCGTTCGCAGCCACAAACTAACCCACCACAGCCCACGCCAGTTGCCTCGATTCCGGCACCAGCATCCGGCGGCGTACCGCAGTTAGGAGTCCCCATGTTACGACCTGCTCTTGGAGGAAGAGCCGGAGGTGCCAAAACTCCACGACTGGGCCTTTCTATCCCACCCTCTCCTAGTGCTAAACCTGTTGGTGCCACTGGCGCCACTGGTGCTCCTGCTCCCGCTCCTCGCCGACCTCTTCTCCCGACTCTTAACCTTGCTACACCCATGGGCAGCCATGTTGCCCCGACCGAACAACCTCTGAGACTACAAACATGCCCTCAGCCAGGACAATCTGCGGGTGGCGGTAGTGAAAGCAGTGCTCCTCACTCTAGGTCAGGCAGCTTCGGCCCGCTCGACGATCGCCCTAGCAATCCCACATCTGCTAGCTCACAGCTTTCTGCCGTCTCATTTGTATCACATTTTGGAATCCCCATTTCACGACCACACGGTACCCCAGACCCTATATCTGCTGTTGGTTCGCTCTCTGAATTAAGCGAGGGTGGTGCTCGTATGGAACGGGACGGTAGCATGCAGGGTCTGGAGGCTTTTGATAAGCTTAGCCTTGAGAAGGCTAGAAATGCTGATGTCGAAGAGCTAGATGACGAGGGTTGGAGAATTGCTAGCATGGAAAAACGCATCGAGGAGCTCGGCAACTTGGGCGAAGGTGCTGGTGGAGCTGTCACAAAGTGTATCCTCAAAGGCGGCAAGACCGTTTTTGCCCTGAAGGTTTGTCATGCGTGTCGAAACTGCGTCGCTGTATATGCTAACTCTGTCGAAACTAGGTTATTACTACCAACCCAGACCCCGATGTGAAGAAACAGATCGTCCGAGAGCTAGGCTTCAACAAAGAATGTGCTTCCGAACATATTTGCACCTACTACGGTGCATTTGTGGACCCTTCGACGGCTACAATCTCGATTGCAATGGAGTTTTGTGAAGGAGGCTCTCTGGACAGCATCTACAAGGAAGTTAAGAGGTTGGGCGGACGTACTGGCGAGAAAGTTTTGGGCAAGATTGCTGAGGGAGTGCTCGGCGGCTTGACATACCTTCACACCATGCGCATTATCCATCGTGACATTAAGCCTTCCAATATCCTCCTTTGCCGCGATGGTGCGGTCAAGCTTTGCGACTTTGGTGTGTCGGGTGACTTTGGAACCAAGGGTGAGGCCAACACTTTCATTGGCACATCTTACTACATGGCCCCAGAGCGTATTACCGGCCAGTCTTACACCATCACCTCCGATGTGTGGTCTACCGGTGTTACTTTACTTGAGGTTGCCCAGCATCGCTTTCCTTTCCCTGCTGACGGCACTGAGATGCAACCCCGCGCCGGTCTTATCGATCTTTTGACATATATTGTACGCCAGCCTGTACCAACTCTCAAAGATGAACCGGATATGGATGTCTACTGGAGTGACAACTTCAAATACTTTATTGAGTGCTGGTAAGTTGGGATCTGCCACAGTTCCTTTCTTGATATTCGAAGCATCGCTAACATTTTACAGTTTGGAGAAGCAGGCTAACCGACGAGCCACTCCTTGGAAGATGCTCGAGCACCCATGGATGGTTGATATGAAGGCCAAGCGCGTTAACATGGTCAAATATCTATCATTCGTATGGGGCTGGGAGGATACCAAAAAGACTGCCGAATAAACAACAGTGCAGCACAACTGCTTTATATTGACGACCCTTTGCCACTTGAATCAGTCGTGGCTAGCCATATCAAACGCCGTACACGTGCATTATTTGGATATAATCAATATCTGGAAGGGAACAGATATACAAACGGGTAGCCGCAATTGTGTTTAGGCTTTGCCCATGCCTTTCATTATAATCATTTCATGTACCGATACCCAACCGATTAACGCTTCTGTCATCTTCTCGAGTCAGCCTGGATTTGGGACAAGAAATGGCTCGAAGACTAGTGGGTTCGAAAAGAACTGACAGCGGAGAAACGGTTTGATGGTCGGGATACTAGGAGGACTTTGCATTGTGCCATCTTTTTCTCCATCATTTCTACTTCTTCATCTTTTGATTTGGCCATTTTGTTTGCTGGGTTTGCATATTTCGGTGTCTAGTGGAAGGGACTTTTTATATTTATAGTACATTATTACTCATCTCTCTATTTCTCTCTATCTACATGTGCCCCTTGACGAACAATTGTGTATTACTCGCCATCAGGAGGGTTGCCCATCAACTCACGCAGAGCAACCGTAGCGTAAGCACTCTTGCCGAGTTGGAATTTAACAATGGCGGCAATCTTGTCTGGGTTACTGCTGTCGCTTGATTCGGCCTCGTCGTTTGTTTTGGCCTTTTTGGCAGCAGGCTCATCGCCCATCTCGCCCTTAATCCTGTCTAAGTCTGTAGGGTGCATCTGCTCTGTGTCGTCGGCATATGCCTTGATATCCACAGCCGGCGTACCCAAGAACTGGTTCATAAACTTGCGGTAGCGGCCAGGCAGACTAAACTCTCGACGCATGCGCTGCATCTTGTGCGGGTCAAGCGATCCGTTTTCTTCACGGCCCATAAACTCTTCATAGAAGGTGCCGATGCTGTTGGATGGGTAGACGACCTCATGGCCGGGCGTCGGCAGGACAATGTCGAAGATGGTGTACTTGCCACTTGCCGCTTCTTCTTCTGTAAGAGGGCGAGCGCGTTGAGGGGCTTCATCGTCGTCTTCCACCGGGTTGATGATGTCGTCGCCGTCCTGGTCTTGGCCAGCGACCAGCGGCGTCGGCTCGCTCTCGGCGATAACCAAGTCTCCCGCCACAACCTTGTCGCCAAAGTCTTCCCAGCGCTTGCTTGCGGCGTGGTTCCATACATACGACTGGTAGGCGTGCATGTACATGGATCGCATACCGCGGGTGATGTGAGTAATGGAGCCGACAAAGTCTCTGCGAGATCCGGTGCCGCGCGTGAGATGGCGAAGCACACAGACCTCGGATGTGAAGCGTCGGGGCATCAAGTTGGCAGCGCGGTTGATATCTTTGCCGGTGCAGAACAACATACACGCTTGATGACGCACTGAGTCGTCCTTCTTAGCTTCTTCGGGAGAAAGCTCGCCCTTTTCCATCTTTTCTGCAATCTCTTCGTCGTAGGCTAAGATGGCGTCGACGGCTTCTTCGAATTTGTCGCCCAGGATCAGCAGACCGATATCGTGTGTGCCGATTTGGTGCGTACCAAAGCGCTGGTGTCCGAAATAGTTGACCCATCCGTGCGATTTCATATGGCTGATGGCGGCACTGACGTTTGACTGTAGAAGTTGAACCTTTTCCGCAACGGGCTTGGTGCCGTTGTCGTTGGCGAGCTTGCAGTTTTTAAGTGTAATGACAAACTCATTGCCGAGCAATTGTCCTAGATGAATGGGCTCGTCGTTGTACTCGTAGTCTCCTGTGGACATACCCCAGAGTTTACCGTTGAGACCGGATAAGCTTTTAGGGTGTGTGCGGCGGATGGAGCAACGTTGGGTTGTCGATGCGCGTCTGTCCTTTGTGCCGGCATAGCCAATGCTTTGCGGTTTGATTCTCATCATGCGAGCAATCTGGTTAATGGCGTCCATTGTGTCGCGGTTCTCCTTGAACAGCGTAAAGTGAAGATATTCGCCTTTGGGGGCCTCCTCGCGGCGAGGCTTGCCTTCTCCGGGGCGGCTGCGCTTCTTGTTCTTGCGGGGCTGAAGAAACGTCGCGCAAATTGTACCATCGCCATTTGTGCTTGTATCGATGCGGGATTGGAAGATTCGTCGGACTTCTTGGTGGATCTGGCCGCGAGTGTGCTTGTCGTCAATGTTACCCGAAGTGACGGGTTTGATCTTGGGTCCGTTTTCGGTCTGCGGCGTATTGTACATGGCCATGATCTCGTCGGCAAAGGCCTTGCCGGCAATCTTCTCAAGAACAGCAACATCCTCTGCAGGGATCTCTGGCTTCTCGATTGGCTTGTCCTCCTCCACTGGCTGTTCTTCGACCTTCGGCGCTTGCTCAGCCACCTGTGATGCGCTTGTCTGTTCACCTTCGATTCCAACAGAGGATAAATGCAAGACAGATGAGTCGGGTCGAATCTCGTTAACTTGGAAATCGGTAAATCTGTTGTCTGTTAGCCCATAAAGCACCATCTTGGGGTCTTTCTAAGGTGTGTCAGACCTCACACGCATCTCTCCCGTCCACGGCTGCTCGAGAGGGGTAGAACGCTGGGTAATGCCCAATGTTTTACCACGCTGCTCCGAGCCGCGCATTTCGTAAAATAATTGGTCGGCCATGGTTGCGTAAGCTGCTGTGATGGTGATGCTGCGCAAGGCTTAAGCTGTTGGATAGAGATTTTATCTGAGTACTGGAAGTTTCTAGGCGGGTCGGGCGGGCGCGACGTCATGGGCGGGCACCCTCCAAAATAAACCTCTCCATGTTCACCATCGGCCAGTTGCCACCCATCGGCATCACCACGAGACATCATGCAGCTGCCTGTACGGAGGGCATTTATTGGTCGTGAAGCTGCGACCGTAGCCAGACTCTGCGGTACTTGCGGAGCGGCTCGCCGACAGTTCGCCTCGTCGGCAAAGCTCCCGCAGCCTCTAGCGGCTGGCCTCACCGAGCTCAAGTCCAGGAGATTGCTCTCTGTGACGGGCTCGGATGCTGGGAAATTCCTCCAAGGAATAGTCACCGCAGATGTGACTCCCTCCAAGGGCGGCCCACGACACGAGGGCTTCTACTCGGCTTTCCTCACGGCTACCGGACGAATCTTGAACGATGTCTTCATCTACCCCATGGCAGCAGGATCACCCACTGGCGAGGGCTTCCTTATTGAGGTCGACGCAGGTCAAGCGAAGCGACTCGAAAAACTTATCAAGAGATACAAATTGCGAGCGGACGTTGGGGTACGCAGTCTACCTTCAGACGAAGCGAACGTCTGGCACGCCTGGGACGATGCTCAAAGCGGACAGCTCGTTCTACCCTCGAACAGCTCTCGTATGACAATGCAAGATCCCCGCGTACCTGGACTCGGCCACCGTATCATTCAGTTCAACAACAACAGACCCGAAGTCGACTTGAACCAGACGGACGAAGCAGCCTACACGATTCGAAGATATTTGCATGGCGTGCCTGAAGGCCAGGACGAAATTCTCCGCGAGCACTCGCTACCTCTCGAGACGAATATGGAATACATGAATGGCATCGAATTTCGCAAGGGCTGTTACGTGGGCCAGGAGCTCACCATTCGCACAAAGCACCGCGGCGTTGTCCGCAAGCGCATCCTCCCATGCGTCATATACCCCAAGGATAGGCCTGCCCCCGATACACTCTCCTACCGGGATCCATCAGATGCCTCAAACTCTCCTGATGCTGTTGCGGCGGAAATGATTCCTACAGAGACCAGTATCGGCAGGTTTGAGAAGCGCGGCCGCAGCGCAGGCAAGTGGCTCAAAGGCGTCGGCAATATTGGCCTAGCGCTGTGCAGACTAGAGATTATGACGGATATTCTCTTACCCGGAGAACAATCAGCCTCTACTTTCACAGAAGGCGATGAGTTTACGCTCGAATGGGGAGAAGAGACGGTTAAAGAAGGCGTCAAGGTCAAGGCATTTGTGCCGGAGTGGTTGCGCAGGGCGATGGACGCCAGTGCTGCTCACTGAGGGAAGAGCCACGGTAAGGGTGGCTGTGTACGATAACGACAAGTAGATTCTGTACGAGTAGTGTAATATGGGACAATACTATTTTTTTTTTCTTTTTTGGAATATTCACCACCGCCGCCACTGCGGAAGACCGGCAAAGTGAACCAAAGTCAGCCGTCGCTCGCAAGCCTTGTCAGGCGACTGCGCACGTTCTCGCACCGTTGGACGGGCGCTCACGCAGCGCTGAGCCCGCTGTAAGCCCCGTGTGGGAGGAGCTGCAGCGGCTGTAGTGGTTAAACTTTGGGGAAGCCTGGTCATGCGACAGGCGAGGCATCTTGGCGGTTGCATCCAACGCGACCGTGGCATTCGCTAGAGCCTGAGCGTGTGTATTTTATATATATAGTTTGTTTGGTACACGCTTGGTGCTGTTATTGATGTGAAAGATGCAACTATTGATCTACACGCCGCCCAAACAAAAAAAAGAGATCAGCAGTCTCTAGCGCAGCGACCACGCCTTTGTCTTGTTTAGCGGCGCCAGTTACAGGCACCAACCAGTTTGATACAGGCACGCCTCAGCGCCGGGCTGTGCCCAGCCTCCTTCGTGTTCAGCAGCAGCACCAGCGACAGCCTTGCTGGTCGCGGGTCATTGCGTAGGTGGCCGCTATTTTTATATTTTGCCAATGTTTTCTTCCTCCAGCAGCCGACCGCGACAACACACATTGTCGATTTTTTTCAAACCACCAGCATGGAGAGCGTGAGGGTGCGTCCGCGCAAGCGCCTTCTCGTGTGCTGTGACGGAACATGGATGGACAGCGACGATGGCTTCATGAAGCCGACAAAAGCACACCCGCTGGGCTCCGTACAGAGCCCCTCCAATGTCACTCGAATATCGCGGTGTTTCAAGAGAACATGCAGTGACGGTACGCTGCAGGTGATATCCTACGAGTCTGGAGTCGGTACCGGTAGCGCTATTGATACTTTGACTGGCGGGCTGTTTGGACAAGGACTTTCTGAAGTATGACTCTATGCACGGACGAATGGGCCAAACGTATGCTAACAACACCTTGAATAGAGAGTCCGCGAAGCGTATTCATATATATGCGCAAACTATACCGATGGCGACGAAATCATCCTCGTCGGCTTCTCCAGAGGCGCCTTTACGGTTCGATCGGTAGCCGGCATGATCGGCCAGCTGGGGCTTTTGACAAGACAAGGTGTAGAGAGCTTCTATCCAATCTTCAAAGACATGCAAAACTGGATGGACCCCAGCTACAGAGACCCTTTCCCGACGCAGCCGTTTTCAAGGAAGCCAAAGGGGCCTGACGCAGCGGATGAGTATCGCGATCGTCTCGAGCGCATGGGCCTGACACGGGTATACCAACAAAACGGTAGCCTGATCAAAATCAAGGCTGTATGTGTATGGGATACTGTTGGTAGTCTGGGAATCCCCCAAATCAGCTGGTTAAACAAGCTCGGTGTACGGCCGTCCAACGAAGAATAAGTCCATGGTTCCGCTGACGTTTGGGCCAAGCTAACATGCTAGTTTTTACATATAGGTGGCACGACACAGACCTGTCCGATCGAATAGAACATGCCTTCCAGGCACTGGCGCTTGACGAAACCCGTTCGCCCTTTACGCCGGCCGTGTGGGAGCGACGGCCTCAAAACAGACTCACCACGGACCTGCGCCAGGTGTGGTTTCCGGGCAATCATGGAAACTGCGGCGGCGGCTGGGATGATCAAAGCATGTCAAACATAACTTTAGCATGGATGATGGATCAAATGGCGTCTGTTGGCGTGGAATTTGATCCGCCGTCTTTGGAGCGTGTCTTCAAGCTCTCCGTCAAGTACTTTGTCGCAAGCGCTGCCATGGATGAGGAACAGGGTCTTGGGCCAGGACCCAAGTGGGCTGTAGATCCCATATACAGGAATAACGATCCCGTGAGACCGTGGGCACTCGGTGCCATCCAGGCAGCTTCTGGTGTTGTGTACCGACTCGCTGGCAACGCTACGCGAACTCCCGGCCTGTACAAGCAGACGGACCCTAGGTTGCCTCAAGATTCGAATGAATTTCTGCAAGATACCAACGAGCGCATTCATAGCTCTGTCAGAGTCCGAATGGCGTGCCAAGGGCTTGGATTGAACGATAAAGGGATATGGAGATGTCCGGCCCTCGCTAGGTGGAAGCTTAAGAAGACTACACAACGGTACAAAGACCCGAGCTTCAGAGATATGAGCTGGTGCTTGGGTAAATTCGACGCCAGCGAGCCTGGCCGCACACCCAACGAAGGTGGTGATAGATGGATCTGGGTCTACGCTGGCTCGGACAAGGATGCTCCCACTGACCCGAAGCAGAGCGTAATGTTGGAAGAGCCACTAGGACCATATGAACGCTGGCTGTTGCGGATGTCGGGCGGATCACCAAACGTTTATGAGTACGCGGAGAGGAGAAGCGTCCGCCGGCGTGCGCAAGATGTTGATCGGCGCAGAGTCAGCTCGTACGGCGAGCACGAACGGCGCGACAGCAGAAGATCGCGCGAGAGAAGCCGCCACGACGATAATAGTAGATATGAAAAGGTGTACGAACGTGAGTCCAGTATGGTCTACGGCAATGGCAACGGGTACCGTGTCGAACCAAGAGAAAGACTGCGGACCGAGTATTACCCTCGCCGACCGGCGTCTACCGAAAGATATGAGGGACGACGTCGTCGATACTCCATAGATCCCGACTCTAGCTACGACCGGCGATATTAAAAACAACAAGATGCTGCAAGCACGCATGTATATTATGTATAAAGGATTACACATTAGCACATAGACCTAGCTATCACGAACAGTTTCTACAACGGTCCTAATGTCCAGACACCTTGGACCCAGCCACAAAAACACTGACAATGTTACGGTCATCACCCGTCATGATGAACTTTTCTAGCATAGTTCTCAGTGTGTCATCGTCTTCCAGCGGCGCATTGACGCCGTTGCGGTGTGCGCCAACGTCGACGAGCATGGCATCAAACTGCTTGCCAATCGTGAAATCACCAACCTGCTCTCCCCAGCCAACAACATTAGCTCCTCCCATAGTTGCCATGTGAAAGACCTGCTCGAAGCTGAGTGCAGCACTGCCGTTCCTGTCATCGAGGAAGTCACGCGCGTACGACGTAATCATGGAATGGCGCATGGCGTTGAGCATGGAGCTCGAGTAGCCGCCGCCAGAATCCGTACCCAGACCGACCTTCATACCGCGGCGGAGAAAGTCGCGGATGGGCGATGCCATGAAGCCGCCACCGACTGTCATGTTAGCTGTCGGGCAGTGAGCAACACCGCAGTTGAGCTCCTGTAGACGCTGAGACTCGTAGGGCGTCATGATGGTGCAGTGTGCCAGAATGCAACGGTCATTGAGCAGTCCAAACTTCTCGTATAGATCGGCCTCATTGTTAAAATCGGGAAACAGCGACAGCGTAAAGTTCTTCTCCTGCTCGGACTCGTTGAAGTGTGTTTGGATCGCCATTTCGGGATGCTGCTTGGCGATTTCCCCAAGACCCGTGAGGAGCTCTTCTTCGCAGCAAATGGCGAATCGGGGAGTTAGGACATGGCGAACAAGCTTGCCTTGCGGATCAATAGTCTTGATGTATTTGATGCAGTCCACTGTAAGATCCAGCGACTCTTGCGGGTTCTCGTCGCGGTAGGTGTCTGGGGCGTTTCTGCTCATGTTGCATTTTCCAATGAGGGCTCTCTGGCCATTCTGGAGGCAAGTATCAGCGAGAATCTTTGTGGCCTCGCCATGGCGAGAGCCGTAGTAGCTGGCTGTGGTGACTCCCTGGCGGAGCATGCCCTTGACCACAGCGGCGTAGACTCTCGAAGCGTGTTTGGGATCTTGGAACTTGGACTCGTGGTGGAAAGCAACTTGATCTAGCCACTCTAGAATATGCAAGCCCTGTCCTTGTCCTCTGTGAAGCCACTGCGGTGCATGGTTGTGTGTGTCAACGAAACCGGGCATGACGAACTGGCCGCGCTGAAGCTGAACGAGAGGAGCATCTTCTACTCCAAGTCGCTTTAGCGCTTCTGGTACATCCGCATCAGCTACATTTGCTTCCAGAGCTGCAATACGGCCCTCTGCATTCACAACGAGCAGCGCATTATCGAGGATGTCGATGTTGTCTTGATCTTTGGAGTGGACCACAACGCCACGATATACTTTGGCTGGTGAGGCGGCCATGTTGGATGTTTTCGGTATTTGTATTGGCTATTCACCGCAATAAACACTTGGAATGATTAAGGAAGATGATACAATCAGAAATTTTCCTTCCGCGAAGAATTTGATGCAAAAAGACAAAATCAGGCCGTGCTGCCCCGCGCGGGGTTGGTACTTGTTAAAATTGCCCTTTTTAGGAAATCGCGCCGGGAGATCAGAGAGCCTGTTTCTGTTTGCTTTGCAGCGAAGCGCCGAGACTTGGGTGACAATTATATATTTTCAATTTCAGTTGTAAAAGTATTTCTTCTATTGCACCTTTAATACCAGTAGGGTTAAATGTAGGGTTAACACGACTACTTGGGTCGAGACAAAGGTTACACAGAACACCAGGGAGTTTTGTAATTAAGCACTATAAGCGTTTACATAACATTAAGCAACTATAATTTGATAGTACAAATCCCTACAGATGAGAATATGCCGAGTTCACAAAGATTCACCACTTCGAATAATGCCAGTTTACCACAGTTTGATTATCTTATTTTCCGCTGGCGGCTTTGATGACGCGGGCGCGCTGCTTCATCATGTATGTGTAGAGAATGTAGGAACCTAAAAGTAAAAGAAGTTAGAAACCGAGACGGGGCCCAGAGTTATTTATATCATTAGCTTACCAGGGACATAGATAACAAGAATGGCGTAGAGAGCAATGCGGATCATGCTCTCAAGACCGCCAATCTTGGTGGTGAGCCAGATGAGAGAGACCTCGCTAAAGATTCCAACGGGGTAGAGGATGAAGAAGGTGTTGTATCGCAGCCAGAGCAGAACGCCAGGGCACATGCCGAGGATAGCAGTGGCGAAGAAGCTGTAGCGGATGACCTCGGTAACGGACCAGGCGATGAGCATCGACGAGTACGTGGGCGCGGCGGAGACAAAGGGATACGGGTGCACGATGCCCCAGACAAGAAGGAATCGAGAGGAGACTTGCATGACGGTGGTGAGGACGGGGGATCGGACAACGCCTGTGTTGCGCAATGGCCCATGGTTAGCGATAACAAGCTTTCCCTCGGCTTCCCGGGCCAAAAAACATGGCGTGCGTTAACTACTAAAACATACCGAGAAGCGAGTGGAGGATTTCCAAAGCAGCAGCTGTCTGCGTCCACTTTGTCCACTCTCCAACTTCAAAAAAGACCTCCTGGTGGCCGCTGGTGTACCAGGTCAAGGCAGTCTTGTAGAGGACGATGGACCATGCAGCAGCAGAAAGGGCATTGTAGACGACAAGGTAGGCCGACCGAAGCGGCGACGAGGAGGAGGCGTTGGCCATGGCAGGCGGATGGAGGTTACGATTCGCTGGGAGACGATGTAAATTGGGTGATTGTCGCGTGGGCGAAGCTTGCGAAAAGAGGGAGAGAAAGTGTTGAAGCTTGGCGGCGTTGAGCAAAGGGGTGGCCCGCTTTTTGGCGGTTGGTGTCTAAGTCGCAGTGCAGTGCACCTTTTAGGTAGCTGCTGGCGGCCCTGACGATAGCATGTGTTGAGCGGGCGTTATGGTGGCTGGCTACGCGCCACTGTAGAATTGGTCTGGCGTGGACTATAACAGAAAAAGCAAATCAAGTTTAATGGAAGATTGCATAATTTTGATGCATAAATAATATTAATGGATATCATCTTGGTCGTCTATGGAATAAGCACCAACCATATTGCACAAGTCGTGTTACACACATACAGCTAGCTAGCAGGTTGGAGCGGGGGGGTGGCGGGGTATCTCGACAGCCGCCACGCTGCCGATCCATCTTGTCTTCTCCAATATCCATCGCATCATCAGTGAATATAAGACCAACGGAACAATGGCAGACAACACGAATCGCGTGGTGGACATCCACACACACATGTACCCTCCAGTATATGTCAAGATGCTGGAGGGCCGCACGACAATTCCTCTTGTCCGCAAGTTCGTGCAGGACCCCGAGCCGCGCCTCATCCTGCTCGCCTCTGAGCTCGAGGCCCTCGACAATGCTCTCAAGGATCCCACGGCTAAGCCTCCTGGTCGCCCGCTCACGTCTCACTACGCCTCTGTGGACCAGAAGCTGCACTTTATGAAGACCAACCGCATTGATGTGTCGGTTGTGTCGCTAGCTAACCCGTGGCTCGACTTCCTCGAGAGCAGCGAGGCAGGTGGCATCGCCAAGGAAATCAACGAGGGATTCTCAACCATGTGTGAGGAGCACTGTGGAAAGCTCTACTTCTTTGCCACTTTGCCATTGACTGCTCCTCTCGACGTCCTCAAGCAGTCGATCCAAGATGTCAAGAACCTCAAGCATTGCCGTGGCGTGATTCTTGGTACATCGGGACTGGGCAAGGGACTCGATGATCCAAACCTGCTGCCCATTTTCCAGGAGCTAGCTGATGCCGAACTCATCATCTTCCTACATCCCCATTATGGCCTGCCAAACGAAGTATACGGTCCCAGGGCGGAGGAGTATGGACACGTGTTGCCACTTGCTCTGGGCTTTCCAATGGAGACAACCATTGCCGTTGCACGCATGTACATGGCCGGTGTATTTGACCAAGTGCGTGGCCTTCGCATGCTGCTAGCTCACAGCGGAGGTACACTGCCGTTCCTTGCTGGGCGTATCGAGAGCTGCATCCTCCACGATGGCGACCTCGTGCGCAACGGCAAAGTCCCCAAGGACCGACGAACAGTCTGGGATGTGCTGAAGGAGCAGATATATTTGGACGCGGTTATTTACTCGCAAGTCGGATTGCGTGCCGCCGCTGAAACCAGCGGTGCTGATAGACTGATGTATGGCACCGACCACCCTTTCTTCCCGCCAATTGAGTCAGATATCCAGGGCGAATGGCACAGCGCAATCTTCAATGCGGACGCTGTCGATTCGACGTTTGGTAAAGAATCAGACGTAGCTAGGGCCGTCATGGGTGGTAATGCGATTCGGGTTCTGCGCTTAGATGAGGAGTAGCATTAGCCAGGCATGTAGTAGAATACAAAGCAGAGTTACTTCAAGCGGCTGCGCGTTGTTGATAGCTCATCTCAGCGTCGTGAATACGTCTGCGAGCTTCCTCCACGCTCTTTTCTGCCATTTCCAAATCTTGGGCGGCAGCCTGGTTCTGCTGTAGGTCTCGCATAGTTTGGACAGCTCGCAGTTTGTCACAGACAAGCTCCCAGTACTTTTGCTGCTTCTCGCCAACCGTCACCAAGAAATCTCCAGGAACAGTCACAGCTCCGTTTGCAGGCCCTTTTGATTTGGAAATGTAGGAGGCGCCCTTCATAGCCTCCTTGGCCTGCTTCTTGCGTGCCTTTTCCTCCTTGCGCTGCTGGATGCGTCGTCGAGCTTCGGCCATGTCGTCCATCTCCTGCGCTGCCTCTGCTTGTCTCTTCGTCTCCTCATCACGCATGCGCTGCATTTCTGCAAGACGCTCACGCTCCTTTTGCATCATCTCTCTGTCTTCTTGCTCCTTGCGAGCCTGTTGCTGTCTGGCAGCATTCTCGCGGGCCTCAAGATCGTTGGCAAACTGTTGGCGCTCTTCGTCCATGGCCTGGCGCTCCTGCTTGCGCAGAAGCTTCGCCTTCATAGACTGGTCGTAGATTGTTCGAGCATTGCTATCAGACAAGATGTCACGGGCGTGCTCGAAGCGCTCCCAAACTTCGGCATCAAATTTGTCGCCAGCTTTATCGGGGTGATACTTCAGTGATCTTTTTCTCCATGCTCGGTGGATGTCTTCTTTGGCCGTCAGGGCATCAACACCAAGCATCTCATAGAGATCGATTTGCTTATCAGCGTATTCGGCCGCATAGCGGACCAAATCTTTGTTATCGTCGCTCATTGTGACTCTAGGTGAGAGGTAGAGCCTCTACTGTTTTAATAGCAAAATTTGGTGTTCATAAGAGTATAAAGAGTATTTATAGAGATGCAGAGTCCTAACAGATCGGTATATAGACAGTTTAATGTCTGGTTTGTGGTGCTTCTGTGGGTGGTGGCGATTTTTATATGCGAAACAGTAGGCTCGCGTTTGATGCACCAGCGCTGAGCGTCACCAGCTGTCTGGAGGTTGGAGCCTGCGGTGCGTGCACGTGACGCAGACCCAGTAGATCAGATCAGACAATTATACGACCAGGCGATGGGATATGAGTTACAGTCGGCGATGGAAAAAAATTAAATAATATTGTGGATAAATAGCAATAACATCAATATTAATTGTTCAATATATGGATACTAGTAAACACTTATTCTAATTAGAACAATGCCGTTGAATCGATGGATCACTATGGCGGGCCGCGGCCCATTGTAGTTGTCAGATCTGCGTATACATCTCAGCACATGTCTGCTATCAGCAGCACATCATACGGGCGAGCATTGTATCCGATAAGCAGCTAGGAACGACCCGACAGCGGTTAAGCAGACGATAAACATTTTGGGGGGACCATTGCGCGGCCGCGACGAGTGCGACGCTGGGCAGGGATTCACGAGCGCGTACGTTGGGGGGATGGATGGATGGATTGATGGCTGTAGCCAGATTCGCAGATTTAGAAGAGCAGGGTAAAGTGAAATCCGTCTGTCCATCAAGCATACAATCCCAGCTCGAGCTCATCTCTAGATTTCGGGCCTGACGCGTTGTGATAATTTTATCTAATTAGGGCCAATTTAACTTTGGTTCTTATATACCATGTCTATATCTGGCAGGACTACCCAGTGTAGGGGACCCTTGGCCTGCTTCACGTTTCATGTTTTGCACCCCCAGCGCAAAGGAGAAGTACTACGCTGTTCGTTGAGAAGACGCCAAAGGAAAGGATAAAAAAACTTTTTCTTCTTTTGCTGTCCAATGCTTCTCCGCTGAGGCTCAAGCACAGCCGTCCATTCCCTGAATAAACCCACTGTTTGGATCCTCCAGGGCCCCTCTTCAGCGGCCACAGCGACCAGTGAGGTCCACTGAAGCTGTCACGAGCCAGGACGCAGGTCCGCTTAACTGGATCGTACGAGAAACGCGTGCCCAAGGCAAATTTTCACATGGGAAAAAAATAGACTTGGTGAGAGTCAAGATTTAGACTTTGGTTCGCAAATCTAACAAGGTTGGGGGGGACACCGGCACCGGAGAGATTGGGCGATCATGCGCTGGCCCTGCCTGTTGCTGCCAATCTCCTAATCACGCGCAAGGGCCATGGAATCTCAGCAAGTGGGAGGCTTGCATGCTGTGCTCCCACCTACAACTAACAATAGTGAGGAAAGATGACAAACTCTTGCTGATGTGATCTGTCTGCTCCAGTGCAGAAAGGGATGGGCGGCTACGCGCGCTGATTGGTCCGCTGGGGCGACTCGCTCGCTGACGAATCCAGCGCTGGCATCGCATCTAGTGCCGTGTCCGACTCCGGAAAAAGCGGGCCGCCATAGCCAACGCAAGGGCGCTGTGTGGGTGCCAGGCTGCGACGCACACCCAAGGGCTGCGCTGCGCTGTCGGCAAGACACTGAGAGCCGTGGCCCCGAGCACCGAGGGCCTGCTGGGCGTCGCCGGGCACTAACCAATGTGCAAGCCAAGGGCGCCGAAGTGCCGGCGCGCAGACCGCTGGAGCCCACCACGAAAGCCGGCGGTGGCTGTGAGTCAACGGCCAGCGTGAGGCTGCGTATACGCAAAGGCGTCCAAACATGCACGGTGACTTTGTGACAGTCTGTGTTGTTGTTTTTTGTGGTTTGCAGTCTCAGTTCGAGGCTGCCAGGCCCTCAAGTAAAGAATTGATTATTATTGGAGAAGAAAGCATGTCACTGGGGAAAGGAGAACGATTTTGTTTTGAGAAAAAGTGTCCCGTAGGATTCAGTTTGATTCGTGCCAAGCTTCTGCTTTGAGCTGGTCTTTGCAATGCTATGTACTGTATGTCTAACCAATGTAATACAGGAAATCCCATTTTTTTTGCTTCGTAGAGTGGTGTAGATGATGACAAAATAAGAAAACATGAACGCCGCCCAATGTGGTATATATGTAAAAATAAAAAACGCCCTTTTTGTATGCCTGTCTTTATGCCGGAATTCGATTCGCTATGCCATGATGATTGTTCGCTGGATGATGATGTAAAGCAACTATTTGTACACAAGTCTCTGATTCAGAGAATGCCTAGTAGACCATAACGGAAGATACCAGGCCCGCGGGTCGTCGCGGTGCGTAGAATTCGCTTTGCTCAAACAGGGGCTGCTCGTCCTTGGCGTCCTTGGAAGGAAGCTCAAGAGCGGCATCGGTAGGCGAAGGAGGCATGCCAGATTCGTCGTCAGAAGACTCGAAATCGTGGTCGACAAGATCGGGAGGGGAGCTGGAGTGCGAGGGAGTGCGGACAAGCTCGAGCTGAGCAAAGTCCTCCTCCTCATCATCGTCCTCCTCCTCAAGAGTGGCGGATTCGTGGGAAAGCTTGGGAGCGTGGGCGGCAGAGACGGCGACCATATCGTCGTCAGAGTCGGAGTCGGAGGAGTCAGAGTCGAACTCTTCCTCAGACTCTTCGATGCGGTCAGCCCACTGGACGTGGCGTTTGTCGGCAGCTGTAACAGTGTGGTGCTTCTTGGGAGAGGCGCCGCGGACAGACTGGTTGAACCAGCTCTCTTGCTCACGCTCGGCCTCGGCGAGCTCAATCATGAGAGAGTCGAGCATGTTGGCGTGGCCGACGAGGAGGCGGAGATCGTGGTCGGGCTGGGCGGCTTCGCGGGAAAGCTTCGCGCGGGCCTTGTGAGCCAAGTAGTATGTTTGCGTGATGGACATGCTCTTCTTGAGGCCAAAGGCGGGAATGTGCGATCTGGTGGTGGTGGTGTTGCTGTGGAAAGCAGAGACTGGTCTGGCTACGGCAGCGGTGGACATTGTTGTAGTATTATATGATTGTAAAGGAGGGATCTCCTAAAATTTCTGTTTTAAGATTGGCGGTGGTGACTCAAGGCAGCCGGGGGGGTCCCAAAGCGGTAGTGGGTACGCAAGATGGTGCAAGGATGGTGTGTGTGTGTGTGTGGAAGGATGATTTGCTTTAACGTAGTGGCCAGCAGGGTGCGTGCGTGTTACTGATGAGCGATGTAGATGTAGATGTTGTAGATGTCGATGGGAAACAAAAAAGACCAAGATGGTTGTGTGGGAGGGCAACGGGGATTATATCTTGAGCGCGTGTTTGACGCAACTCGTCATCCCGGCTTCCGCTTCCTTCGCAGTGTTGTTCAAGCCCGAGCCTGCGCCGGCGACAGGGCGGACTTTGCACGACGGGGCCGAGCAATGGACATAACGCTGAAAAATCGCACACCCGTGGAAAAAAAGAGTGGGGGCGCAGCATTTCCAATCGAGCCCCTGCTTACTGTACGCGCGTAAGGTTTGCGTGTGGCTCGCTCTGGCTGCTCGGATTTTAGATTTGGCTTTGTACCCGCCCTGCCAGATGGTACGGGGACTGTGGCTGCGCACGCCGCCCAAGACCAAGGTATCCTTTACCCGTAAGGGTACCTTGCTACCGTAACGCTGGGCCCTGTCAGTCCGACCTCCGGCGCGGTCGCTCGAAGCTTCTGGTTGTCGCAGATGGCCCCCCCTTCGTCGCTCTCGCTCTTTGCTGGCGCCGGCGGGAGTCATACTGGGCGCCGTGCACGCTAAAACGCACGCAGTCACAGTCAGTCACAGTCTCTCAGTGGCCCCGTCACACCCAGCGCACGCCATTCTAGCGCTGCAGCGTGCACCAGCGGCCCCCCAAAAAAGCACAGCTTTGTCACTTCGGAGATTCATAATCACCGCCCGATTCGGCTTTGCTTAGAAACGCACCACTGCACTAGCGCAATATGTCACCACTTTGGTGAGCATTTCTCAGCATCGCGTGGAATTATTTTTTGCGGCGGAAATGGTGCCATCCAGGCAGAATTAGAAATTTGATTAGGTCGTATCGAGAAAAACGACAAAAGACAAAATAGACAAATTACAGATGCCTAGTGAAAGCGTCAATGCAGGGGGAAACCGATATGTGGCAGCCTAACGGTGCGTACGTAGCCTATAGTTGGTTACACTTGGTGATGTCGAGCGCTGGACCGGTTGTCTACACACAAAGGATGCCGAATTAGGCAAACTCCCTCGGCAGACCATAGCGTTTATTCGCCCAATGCAGCAATGAATTCGAGCCTTGCGTTTTGGAGCTCGTCTCATGAAATTTGCACAGCCCGCAAGGCTTGCGTTGATGCTCAGACAGGTGTTCAAACGGTTGTCGTGTTCTTCGCATTGGGCTGCGCATGTGCTATACGCGGCCAGCCCCAGACTGCGTGCGTACTGCGTGCACTGCCCTGCGGTTGCGCATTGCTCGGTTTCGCTTCGCCAATCTGTCCTTCGTTGCGTCAACCATTCCATGCGAGATCAAATCCAATCCAATACATTGAATCCCGTTTGCCCAATCCCGCTGCCATTGTCGCTGCGCCGCACGCTGCGCACCCACCACCAAACCATTACCGTGACGCTCGCATCGGGTTTTGCAGCGGCACCTCGCACTCTACTTCGTCCCGTTATGATCGGGCGTAAGGCTGGTGGTGGTGGTTGTGGCAGCAGCACCAACAGTAGCCACAGGAGCGTCTTCCACTGGCCTTCCGCCGGCACTCCCACTGAGTGTCCGCTATACGCGTTCCACCTGCCAAACACCGCGGGCGGACCTTGTGACTGCTATGTCCGCGGGAAACTTTAAGTACGGGTTAGTCGACGGAGTCTACAATCTCCGACGAGCGACAGCGATGCGGACATAAGAAAATTCCCCCTTTGACAGGCGCCGCAAAAAAAAAAATTAACCCCAAAAAATAAGAAAAGAAATTTAGACAATGTTATCAATCTGACAGGCATTGTAAGTTCTCATGGCGGACTTTTATTTCCGCACACTGGATAGAGTCAATGCTGGTAACTGGGCTGTTGACTGGTCGGGCACTTGGTAACACCCGTAGCTTACAAGCAAAGCGTACCGGCATTGCGTTACTGAACTGTAAATTAGTAGACAGCCAGCTAACCCGTCAGGTCTACCTACAGCAGACACCGTCTAACGCCGGCCTGTATTCGCGGAAAGGAGGCTCTGCGCCCATCGTCTCGCGAGAAAACAACTCCGACCGTCTCTGGCCCAATGACTCCAGCCAAACCCCTGGGATTATATTTCCAAGGGGTCACAGGGCCAAACAACGGGTGCGATCGGACTCGCGCTGGCTGGACACCCACTTAACGCCTGTCGGGCCCGACCCAACAACCAAAATACCAAGCTTTAGCATCGATCGGGTGCTACGGCTGCCCACCAGACCCGCTAATGCGAAAATCTGCAGGCGCGCCACGGGCTCCAGCAACGTGGGAAGCGCACAACGGGTGCTGCGGAACAGACGGGTTTGTGAATGTCAGGTCAGGCGACAAGCTTTTTTATTGTTTAGCGGCTCTCTCAGCCCAGACATGCTTGCATCGGAGTCTATATCGGAGTCTAAGTCAAAAACAAGGACGACTACCACCTTGTTGGAGTCGACCCTGCATTTTTGGGCGCTATCGAAATTCGGGGTTCGGCTTTTCGCAGATGCGGCTCCTAATGTCGACGTCAGTGGCGCCAATAGTCTCGATGTCGTAGCCTTGCCAAACAGAAAAAAAGACTCGCTTTCGAGTATTCAAGTAAGTGGTAATGAAGTTCGGATAGCCAGGAACAATCAATTGGAACGGGGGAGATTCAATTAACTCCGTGCGAGTGGTGCTGAGAAATCCAATGCCCTTCTTCTACGGTAGTATCTATTCTGTAATTGTTGAGAACCCGGAGCAGTGTGTTTGCCGGGCGCATTGTTCACTTGGCCCTCTTTTCTTGATTGTTCCAACATGCACACAGCTTACAATAATGCATTCCGGGTCTTGTCGTATGTCCAAGCCCGTTTATTTTCGAATCTATGGCGTCTGATTATGATGTAGTCCCGACACTGCTCTTCAGCCAGTCGTTTTTTACCCATGTTGATATCAAATCTGTAGCATCCTTTGTAAGCTGGTCGAATCCCGGGTTATTTTTCGCTTCAAATATGGCTAGAATCTCATGTTAGCACATTCTTGTAACACCTACGAAACCGCCAAACTTACTGGTATGTGCAGTAGTCTCATCCACTGCCTTGTCGTTCACTGCTGGTCGCCACTCTCCCGCCTGCATCTTGTTGGGGAGGTTGCAAAACGTTCTGTCTTTTCCAAGGATTGTCTTTGACATGGTTGCTTGTGTCGATTCAGCACCCTTTCCTAAGCGTGTGTAGAGATTGGCGTAGCCCACATGGAGCTCCTCGGAAACCTGCACCATGCACTTGACTCTCTTCTTCAGCTCTTCTGCACGGCCCAGACACCCAACGAATTCGAGATGTGAAGAGGCCCAAGTCCAGCCCTGCGCAATATTGTCTCTGTTCATCCAAGCCGCCGCACCGCCTGCCGCAACAGCTCCAGCAGCGCCAGCAACCATGGCCACCTTGCTCCATTTAGACCATGCAGCAGGGGCTGCCGCAGGAGCAGCTTTCACTGTCTTATTTGCTGCATTGGCTCCCCATAATGTAGCACCGAGCCCGCTCAGCTGTGATATGGTGGAGGCAGCAGTGTTGTAATGGCTCTCTGCGCCGTGGGCGACGACACCCGGGGCTATTCCCAGATATGGCGTATCAAACGCCAGTACGCCCTGGACATATGGAAAGAGAAGACTGTTGAGTTCGAGTATCTCGCTCTTTTCAACGCCATCTTCGGAGTATATGGGCTTCTCTGCCGCAATACCAAGGACGGTTTCAACGGCTACGATGCCGCCCATAGAGTGGCCGACCAGGATCACACGTACTGACGGGTCAACAGTGGGTGAAGGAGTACCTGCGTCAACTTCCATATCTATCACTTTTTCCTCTAGCCTATACTTATTAGCATGTGTCTGGTCTGCCAAGGTTGAAAGAGCATACCAGTTGCGAAAGCGGCTGACGCATTCTCCTAGATCTCCTTTCGTCTCATACCGCGGGTAAACCAGTGACTTGATGGTAATATCAGGCAAGCTCTGTGCAACATTATATCGAAGGTGTTCTGTAAACTGGTAGTCTTCGCCAAATGTCAAGTTGCCGCCCTGTGAGGTTATAGCCTGGTTAGCACAATGCGCGGTTGATATCGTTGCGGCGTCTCTTACTCTAAAGCCGTGGATAAAGCACAGCAGCAGCGTCTTTTTAGTCGCCATGGTTTATCTGCCAGAGCAGTGTCCGACCAGAGCTGCTCTGTTTTTGAAGCGTCTCGCCAGAGGTGGTGAAGATGCACGGTTGAGAAGGCAAGGCTCATTGCCACCAGCTGGTTCCACTCCGTTGAGGCAGAGGCGGTCGCTGCGTTGCGCTATGACGTGCGGCTTAGCGGGCGGTTCGACTTGGCGCCACCGCGAATTACACCTGTACAAATACATTTTACACATGGCACGCACTGCATTCAACATCGACAACAAAACAAGAGTGAAGCGCAATAGTTTCTATTAGAATACAAGTCCATTTTTTAGAAAAAGAGAAGAAGCTAATTAAACACAGCCAGTAGCAGCATCCAAGGAGCATCACCGGAAGCACCCCGTGCCGAAACATGCTGCCTTGACCTGCTCGCGACTCTTTTCCGCTTGCCACTGGTATAAGCCATTCCATCTCCAAATACACGCGTATTTATAATCCATTTGCCGCCCAGAACGCCAGGGGAAGTAAAAGAAAGAAAAGAAAAATATCAAACACAGTAGCACAACATGTCTGGGCTGGGTTGGTTCCAAGGGGAGCCATGAGCCACCCACAGCGCGTACTATTCCCTACGCCGTCTCTCCACCATCATCCCATCTCAGAGCAAACTCCGGTCCCGTCATTTATTCGTCCTCGCTTGGCGCCACAGGTCGAGCTCCGTTTGATTCTCGGGCAGCGCTGGAGATAATCTTGATGCGAGTTCCGCTAGGCTGTGGTGTACCATCCGTGGTGGATGGGGGTGCCGACTCGCCGACAGCACCCTCTTCAAGCTCCTTGAGTTCCGGATGAGCTGCAAGTTCCTCGTCGTACTTCTTGTTGAAGAACTCGGTCATGACCTTGGCATCCTGGTAGAGGATACTACCGTCTTCGTTGTATGTCTGGCAGTTTCGCAGCATTAGTTCAATGTCCTTGCGCATGTCACTCATGGAGTTGTAGTCCTCCTTCTTGATGCGTGTCTGGATCTGGTTCATGCAGATCGGGTTGGCAATAATCAAGTAGTAGTCGGCATAGTCGCGCTTGGGAGGCAGCTTGATGAAGGGGCCAATGATAAGTCGCTTGCCAGCGTCAGACTCATCATCTTCGGCAGGAGGCTCAATATCGTCCACCTCCAGTGTCATCAGACCGTCATACAGGATGCGAAGAGTCTTCTGCAGGACCTCGCGCTGTTGAGGGGTAAGACGGGATGCGTTTGCAGCAGCCGCACCCTTGCTGGGTCGCCCTTGAGGACCTCGGCGCTTCTTGGCGGGTGGCTCTTCATCACCGTCTTCTGCCTTTCTCTTCTCGTTCTTGCTGCCAGGCTTGCGGCCACGCTTCTTTGGTGTCTCAATCTCCTCCGTGCTAGCGCGGCTAAGTGGTGGAGAGTCATCCATGCCGTTGGCAGCAGCCGACTTCTTGAGTCGGTTAATCTCTCTCTTATCCTTACGAGCCTGCTTGCGGGCAGCAGCAGCTTCGGGGCTGTCTTCATCGTCGTCGACAGCCATAAGCCACTGCTCTTCCGTCAAACCATCGTCGTAGCGAACCTTGGTACGCTCACGAGCACCACGGCCAAGAATTGTATCCTCGGTTTCGTCGGGAACAGGGTTGCCTTCGCTCATATAGATGTCAGGTAGCTCGTCTTCCGTCATAAGTCTAGACTTGCCCTTGGGACCTCCATACAAGCCCTCCTTTGCACGCTGCTCATCCAAGCGCTGAAAGACAGCGATTTCGTCGTCACTTCGTGCCAGCATCATGTTGAGTTCGTCGTCGTCCATCTCGTCGCCCTCGCCAGACTCGGCCATATCAGCGGATTCTAGCAAGGTCCTCAACATGGCATCACGATCTGTCTCAGATGACTTGTTGTCGAAACGGCCGGCCTGAATAACCTTGCCATCCATGTCGAGCTTGAAACGGGCACGCTCGAGAATCTTTTCTTCGACCGAGTTGGAACTGATGAGACGGAGAATACGGACTTCGTTCTTTTGACCAATACGATGGGCACGATCCTGCGCCTGCAAATCCTGATGAGGGTTCCAATCGGAATCGTAAATAATGACAGTGTCTGCAGTCTGAAGGTTGAGACCGAGACCACCAGCACGAGTGGAGAGCAAGAACATGAAGTACTTGGAGTCGGGGGCATTGAATTCTCGCAACAGATCCGATCGCTCATCTGACTTTGTGGTACCATCCAATCGAAGGTATTCGAAGCGTCTGTATCGCAAGTAGTCTTCCATAATGTCCATAATAGCCGTCATCTGGAAGAACATGAGGACACGATGGCCAGTAGCCTGGTATTTTGGCAGAATACGATCCAACAGCTCAAATTTACCAGCCGTACGCCAGAGCAAATCGTTACTAATGCTCATGGGGTTCATCACGTTCTCGACTTCATCAAAGACAAAGGGATGGTTGCAGAGCTTGCGAAGCTGCATAATCATGTTGCTGAGACCACGAGCAGTTGCCTTGCCGCCATTGCCGTCGCTGACGGCAATCTTGTTGTGGGTAACCATCTGCTTGTAAAGCTTCGATTGCAGAGCAGAGAACTTGCACTTGATAACCTTTTCTGTCTTGTCAGGGAGGTCCTTTTCGACATCCTTCTTGAGACGACGGAGAAGGAAGGGTCGTAGAACTTTGTGGAGACGACGAATGACGAGAATCTGTTCTTCTTCAGTCAATTCGATCTTATCCTGACCACCTGTGTTGGCAAAAGGCGTGTTGAACCATTCATCGAAAGTTGAGGCGGACTTGAAGATGGTTGGCAACACGAAGTTGAGCATAGCCCAGAGTTCACTGAGGTTGTTTTGAAGAGGTGTACCAGTGAGAATAAGACGGAAACGGGTGTGATAGTACTGAGAGATGGTAGCACTAAGCTTGGAGTTGGCGTTCTTCATACGGTGACCTTCGTCAATGATCATGTGGAACCACTTGATCTTGCTGAGAATAGGTCTATCCTTGATGATGTATTCGTAAGTTGTCAAAAGAACTTGGAATCGGCCTTGACGAATCTTCTCCTGGTGTTGTTTACGTGCCAGGGGAGGACCCTTATAGACGATGCGGCTAATGCTGGGTGCCCACTTCTCAAACTCAAGGTTCCAGTTGGTGAGCGTACTCAGAGGAACAATAACCAAGTAGGGGCCGCTCTGCTGCTTGCGCTCAATGAGGTATGTGATGAGACTGATGGTCTGAATTGTTTTACCGAGACCCATTTCGTCAGCAAGAATACCGTTGAGGTTGTTGTTGTACAGCGAGATCATCCACTGAAGACCCTTGATCTGGTATTCCTTGAGCTTACCACCAACAAGAATATCGGCTTGTTCGGTGACTTCTTCACGGATTCTATGGGCCACGGCGTAGTAGTCGATCTTCTTGCCGCCACCCTCTTCGTCGTCCTCTTCCTCCTCAGACTCGCTCTCCTCTTCGACGATATCAGCATCGTCGCCGTAGCGCTCAGCAGCTTGGCGTTGTTGCGCTTTGACGGAAGAGGCAAGCTGGTGCAAGAAGCCATCGGTTTGCTTAAGCAAGTGAGTAATACGTGTATCCTTGGCTTGGTCGAGCAGCTTGAGGTAGGCTTCTTCATCGTTAGCCTTAAGAGCCTGGAGACGTTGCTTGGCAGTGCGCTCAATGCGTTTCTGCTCTTCCTTCTCAATGTTGAAGTGTTGAGAGTACATGAGCCTGCTGAGCTTATGAGCCTTGTTCTTCTGTGATGAGGCGGTATCCTGAATCTTGGCTCGCTGGGTGTAGATAGCTCGAAGGAAGTCGCTGTGCTTCTTCTTCTCGCGATTTTCTCTAGCGTCGCGTTGCTGCTTCTCCAGCTTCTCGGTGATGCGTGCTTCGCGCACGTTTTGCTTCTTCATGCGGCGATAGTTGCTGCGATTTGTCGTCATAGCGAGATTGTCGTAGTGCAACATTTGGCGGCCGATTTTCTCTCGAAGCGCACGTTGCTTAGCATACAAGCCAAGACTCTTCATTTCAATAATAGCCTTGCGCTTCAAAGAGTCGTCCACCTCAAGTTCCTCTTTTGATGAGTCCCATTGGGCAATGTTGGCAGACAAGTTCTTGAGCTCGTTGTAGCGCTGGCTCATGCGATTGAACACAACCACTTCGCGTTCATATCGCAGATGATCAAAATCAACACCAGTGGGGAACACTCCAGGAACAAACCAGCGGTTTTTTCTTTGAGTGTGCTCCATGTAGTTGATTGAGGGTCGGATCATGTCGCCTGTGTAGGGAGACTTGAGCGTCTTGTATACGTGTGCCTTGGGAACAAGACTTCCGGGTTCAGCAGCGTCGCCTTCCGTACCAGCGGCAGCATCGCTCTGGTCTTTTCCAGAATCCGCCTTCGCAGAGAGCGGCGTTGTGACATCGCCGGGAATCGTCTGGCGCTTCTGGCGTTGGTTGAAGATGGCTTGCTGCAATTGCGCAGAGACACCAGAGTTCTTGCTGAGCAGCTTGAAGGCGTGAATTTGCTGTCTGAGCAGAGCGAGTTGTTGGGGAGTAAAGTGGCCAGCAGAGCCAGGTGTGGCGGGCGCTCCTCCAGTAGCAGCAGCGGCACCTTGATTCGGCGCGGGCGAGGGGTTTGCACCAGGCGCAGATTGAGGTGTGCCAGGTTGCGGTCTACCAGGCTGTGCGCCATTGACGGCGCCGTTCTGTGCCTGCATCTGTTGCTGCTGCATCTGCTGTTGCTGCTGCTGCTGCATATATTGCTGTTGGTTGCGTCTCATATTGTGCTGTTGTTGGAAGTTCATCAAGAACTGAGATGCCTTGACATATTCGGGATCGGTCGGTGGAACGCCGGATTCCTTCATCTGCTTAAGTTTCTAGAGGGCATGTTAGCACACAATGCGGGGAAGCAAATTGGTGGTTTGAAACGCGTCTCCCGATGATGACACGAGAGAAAAATAGAAACCAGTAGCTAGGAGCACATACTCTAAAGACCTCTTCGGCTTGCTGCTTGGTAGCAGTCATGGGGGTAGGACCGCCTGGGTGCTGGACCGCAGGGGGTGCCTGCACCGACGCCATTGTGATGTTGTGGTGAAGACGCGTGTCAATCTACACCTCGACGAGAACTAAACGTGTGAATTATGCTCTATGACAATTGCATATCGAGTATGAACGTGTCAGTGCAAGCAGAACTCGATGCGCCGGGGCACGAGGGAGCGCAGTCCAAGTAACGGCGCGGCAGCGAAAGCGAACGTGGAGGGATGGGTGAAATAATTGCAAAAAGCGCGTCGCGGGCGGGCAAGACGGACGGCGAAGCTTGAAAATTAGCAAATACGCGAGGCAAACACGGCGTGTATGCGCGTTTGATGGTGATGGGGATGAGCTTGTCGCAGCTCGGGGGGGATGTTGATGGGAAGCGTGGCGTTGCTTGCGGAAAGAGAAAAAATGCTGACCCAAGGGGGTTCGCAAGGGGAAGCAAAGAAAAAAAGAGTGAATTCGGTTGATGGGAAGCCGAGGGGGCGGTACCACAGGCGTAGGCGGCGTGTAAATCGCGTGGAACACCAAGTTGGCGAGAGTTTTCGATGGACGCCGATGGTTTGCGACGGACCTGGCGATTTTTGGGATGCGCGCGCTTCGCTGGTTGATGATGGGGAGTGGTGAAGACACGGGCGACAAGAACTGAGCGTGATGGCGGGTGCGGCTGGCGGGCAGGGTGGCGCGGTATTTTTCAGAACGCTCCCTGCGAACCTCTGAGGCTGGGGCGACCGCGACGGCTCGGTTGGATTAGCTAATCGGCGCTAGTCCTATTTCGGACAGGTGAACAAGGGCGCTGGAGGGTAGAGGAGACCCTTGCATGCGATAACAGCGAGCTACAATACCTTTGCCACAGTGAATTGACTTTGCTGAATGCCAAATGCCTGAACTTTGAAGAGACCGAAAATTATAGTTATATATTTACAAATATAGTCAGTACATAGACTGTCTCCATAATGCCTATTTTTCCACTGTACATCCCCAGTAGCGTGATTATATTGCAATCACTTTCCGCCTCCAACAAGGCCAGCACCAACAGTAACTTTACAGCGCCAAGACGGATCTACGTACAGCGCTGAGAAACCTCGTGTAAGTCAACCTCTCAACTACATCACTCTCATCGGCGCGCGCGCTTCTTATCCGGCCCATCTTCCTCTTCATCACTCAGCTCAGCATACTGAGTCTCAGGCTGCGTCTTATTCCATGCCTTTGTAAACATGGGATCGTTTTTCGCCTGGTCTGCATACTTGAGTAGTGCCTCTCGAGGGTCTTCGTGAAGCATTCTTGCGAGTGGAATATTCTCGACAATATGCTTCTCGTCTGGTTGTGACCGCTGAAACGGCGTCGTCTGTGGCACTTGTGGTCGTCGAGGGTCCTTGGAGCGTCCCGTTCCAGTTACGCCAGCCTTGGATGCACGTCCTAGAGCACCGGGCGTGATAATCGCATCGCCTGAGATGCCAACCGACTGGTCCATTGTCAATGCCGGGTCGTCATCGATATGACGAGTCTTGGGAGCCCTAGATATGACTTCTACCGCGCCTCTCAGCGACTTGGCCGGGTTGTAAAGAACACGGGTCTCTGCGTTTGCAGAGCCGGTGACAATCTGGTTGATCTTTGGGTGCCATGCAACAGTAATAAGTGGTGATCCCGGCGTTATCGGTGTGACATGCTCGGGACGAAGATTGCCGGGGTTGAGAATGTGCAAATGTCCAGATGGCGAGCCGGTAATGATGCTTGTTGAATCTGGTGAATATCGGATACTGCTGGATGGGTAGTGGTCCGATGTGGAAGGGTGCGATATGCTAACGAGCGGTTTGGTAAACTTTCGAGTATCCCAAAGCTTGATTAGATTATCACCTCCGCGGCTAACCACCATGCGACCATCACCAGAAATATCAACACCGCCAGTCCAGGTATTAGGTGTATGGGCGTTTAAGATCTCTGCCGCTGGCCGCGTGAACGGGCCATTACCGCTATACATGACAAGCGTTCCATCTAACGCGGCGCCAATGAGAATGTTATTGCCGCCTTGGGCTGGGCTGCCCCAAGCAACCGCTGTCATCTTGGTCCTGCCGGCTGAGCCAGCAGCCTTGGATTTGAATGCAATAACCTCCTTTTGTGACCGCTTGTTATTAATGTCCCATATTCTCAGCGTACTATCAGTACCCGCGGTTACACATATATTCTTATCAGAAGGATGCCATGTGCCCGTGGTGACCTCTGAGATGTGGCCTTTGGTATTGTGCATGTCACGCAGGTACATGTCACCCTTGACAAATTCCGTGAGTATAGCTCCGTCTCGCGACAGAATTTTCGCCTGTGGATGTGCGGATACACAGAGAAGCACGCCTCCGGCATGAGGGTTGAACTCGACATGGTGAATAGGGTGGCTCTCGGCGGACGCTGCCGATGGCTTAGTCTCGAATGGGTCGACAGTTTTAAATGCTCGAAGCGTAGATGGGGTCATGGAAGAAAAGTCATGCAGATTTACCACTCCATCTAGAGACCCTGTAGCTAACCGGCCTCCTGCTGGGTCTAGCGAAACGGAGGTGACCGCTTTCGAGTGTGTTTTCAAGATGAGCTCGTGCGAAACAGGGTATTTGTCTTCGTCGTCCGACTCGGAGTCGGAATCAGAATCGTCGCTATCGCTATCGTCTTTTTGGGCTTTTTTGGTATCTTTCGAGTCTTCTGCTTTTTCAACGATTCGCCGGCTGCGTTCGAATTGAGCAGCAATGTCGGCTTCTTTGGACTTCTTGCCAAAGGATGTCGGTAGGAACTGTCGCATGGGGTCATCATGTGCCAAATCTGGCTCGTCTACGACATATTCATCGTCGCTGGACATTGCGTCGAGTCGCAGTGCGTCCACTGTAGATTGATTGGTTTCGTATGCCTGGGAGGTTGCTTGCCGGTGTCGCGTTGGAATTGAGCAGCCCGTCCAGAATTTAGTCTACAAGCGAATCGTCGTCAGTGGATCCCCGCGCTGGGCCTGTCACGCAACTGCTTTCAGGCCTGTACCAACATCTACAGTGCAAGGTCTACCTGCCGTTTAAGAGCTAAGCTGTCGCTAATTAAATAAATAAAAATGTAGCAAATCAAACCAAAATGGCAATGGTGGCTGCAGATAGCTGAGGTAATCAGGCTGGAATGGTCGTGGCTGTGTGACTGACGTAGGCAACAACTCAGCTCCAGGCATCACTATAACGCCGTAGCATAACTACAACAGATCTTCCAATCAAGTAAAAATTCTGAAAAACTACTTACAATATTTCCTAGAGCTATAATCACTATAGCCAGTCCCTCTACTTACTCCACCACAACCGTTATCGCTTGGATCTACAAGCTACCCTCCACTAACAAGGCTACGCTTGGCTACTACATTGACTATCCATATCAGAAGAGAAAATAGATAAATTGTGTAAACAGGCGTAATGTCGGACGGTGCTTGGTGAGTCTATCCCGGAGTGAGTATTTTGTTAAGATGAACAGCAACTGACTGAGAGACTTCGCCCAGTCCCATTTACGCAGTACGTGATACCATCTACCCCGCGGGGAAGAAACGTATGCAGCGATCCGAACGAACTACTGACACATATCATTTAGCCCTTCTTTAGTGGCATGGGTTGCACTGCTGCTATTGTCCTCAGTTGCATGGGCGCTTCGTATGGCACGGCCAAATCAGGCATCGGCATTATATCCACGGGTATCCTGCATCCAGAGCACACCGTAAAGAGTACGATCTCGTCCATGAATTTCCACATATAGCTTAAACCCTAACAGCCAAACAGATCTTGTTCCGGTTGTCATGTCTAGCGTCATCGCCATCTTCGGCCTCATTGTTGGCGTCCTCATCACAGGCCAGCATGAGCCTGGGCTTTCCCTCTTCTCGGCACTTACACAGCTAAGCGCAGGCATAACCATGGGCCTGTGTGGCCTTGCCTCGGGCTTTTCCATCGGAATTATTGGAGATTGTGGTGTGCGAGCAAACAGCCAGCAGCCGCGCATGTATGTCGCCATGGTCCTCATTCTGGTCTTTGCTGAAGTCCTGGGTAAGCACTACCAACTCCGGCAACGCTCAAATACTAATAGATGTGTAGCCTTGTATGGGCTTGTTATAGGGTTGGTTATGATATCTAAGATAGCGGGAGATACAAGCTGTCAGGTTTAGTCTGGTGACGATTAGTCGGCTTTGTCTATTCAAGATTCAGCAAGTTGCCTTGCCTCTCTAGACGCTCTATATATCTTTTGGAATCGAATCTAACCAGGCTCTGTATACCTTCTCCGATTCACAATCCTTATTAAGACACAGAAAGCGATTCATGATCATGTGGACGTGTACCTCATCTGGGATAGCATGCACACTAACTTTCTCATGATGGGCCTGTAGTGTCTCTGCTATTTGCTTGCCATCATTAGCGAGGTATTCATCTCGCCCATATATCACTAGAATATTGTCGATTGGTAAGTCCTGCCACCACGATGCATCTGCGGTGAGAGGAGCATTCCAAGGATCTGGCGGAGCGCCCGCCAGGAAAGATTTTGCCCAACGGTTCAATGCGGAGGGTTCTAGTATATCCAGGGCTGTGTAATCTGAAGACGAGTGTTCTGGTTCGTCATATAGCGTTGTCCAGGGTGAAATAAGAGCAGCACCAGCAAATCTGCCGTCAACTTTTACCGGTGGCACTTGTGGATGTGGATTCCGAAGATGCAGCGCAAGTCCTAAGAGGAGATGACCGCCAGCTGAATCTCCCAAAAGAATAGTTGATAATGGGGAGATAGACTCCGTTCTTAAAAGATGGTTCAGTAAAGCCGCGGCTTGCTGGAGTTGGCAAGGATATGGATTTGCTGTTTCCGTGACAAGACCTTGACTCTATTAGCCAGTAGTTACAAATTGAAATATCAACTATACTTACTATATTGGAGTACGTAAACAGCAAGGTCGCTGTGAGCACTTGGATTGAATCCGAAAGCGAAATTGATATGCTGGCCAAGAGCCGGGGCCATGTAGCCGCCGCCGTGGAAGAAGACAACACTTCTTCTACAGTTTAACGCTCCAAGTCGGTGTGCTACCGTACCATCCGGCAGATTAATTGTAGAGAATGGAAGGCCATGCCTCTTGGCAAATTGTTTGCATGTTTTGGCAGTAGACCGTACGAGATTCTGGATGCCAACAGGTCCGAGCTGAGACTGATAATCGCGCATGCCTTGATAGGCAATATATTCATAGAATGAGATGCCATCATCAGACGGTCTAGACATTCGCTTAATTGATTTTGTAGCAAGATTTATTGCTGTTGGGGAACTGTCAGCAGAATGGTTGATGGTATGGTCAATCGTCTAATGGAGGCACTGACTTGTACCGGTCGCTTGTCCGAGAGTGAGCCCCCACTGCCAAACCGTTAGATTCGTCGGGCGCTCTTGAGATTTCCGTATGATCTCGCCGGAAAGATCCGTGGCCATCGCTATTACCGGCTTCTGTGTAATGATGCCTGTTGATATTGTAGTGTCAGAGAGCCAGAGTACGTCGCCGGATTTGGCCCCTGGACGCAGCCCTACTGGGATCGGCAGGCACCTGAACACATCCACTACTTTACTCAGGTTATGCTGACTCTATCGCATGCGAAGCAAACTTACATTGTAAACGACTGAAAAAAGTGAATGTCATTGTTTGTAGTATAATTAGGATAGCTATCAACAAAGTATATATATATGGAACAAATTTAATATGTTGGCATCAGGCCTTGTTAGGTGGCGGCTGCACCGTTTCTATAAAGAGCCGCTACTTTTGAATTAGATAGCCAAGACTTGTCTTCATAAACTCTCCAGCAGAGGATCCTTGGCCAGGTGCTTTTTCAGACTCTTCATAGTAGGAGGAGTTCCAGCAAAATCTACATAGTAGCCATCGTCCGTTCGTGACAAGATGAGACTCGTGACTAGAAACCATGTTAGCTCAAATAGGAACTAGGCGAAAAGAGCGTGTTGCAAAGACTTACACCGCGACGGGTCCGAAAGCTGCTTACTTTGACCCAATACTACAAACTTGGGTATTCCTTCCGCTTTCTTCTCTCCTTTTACAACAGAACTAAAGTCTATGCCTCTCCACGCAGCAGACCAGTTGGATACATAGAAGGATCTATCGCCCGGCTCACATGTATGGCTACTTTGGCGACGGCGACACATCTCCCGATAAGTAGCCATACTGATTTCAAAATCTTCTGGCCTAGCCGCCGTTTCCAGGGCCTGGCGGTTGGCGAAGGCAATATCACCGATAGATGTAGACGGACCGACGGGTAAGCGCGCTGTTGAGTCGAAAAGGCAGTTGTGAATATAGTTATCGAGATTGGGAGCGCGGCCATGCACTATTACACGAATCAGTACACACGCCAATACAGAACGCAGCACTGAACTTACAGTTAACACTTTGTGACAGACTAACTGTCCGAGTTGAGCTTTTGGTCAATCGACAAAACTAAAACTTATTAGCAAATTTTCATGCCTAGCCGCTTCAAGAAGCTGTTCAGCGCAGAATTGTTTAAGATCAGGTCCATACCTTGAGGAGAACAGCAGCCAAAATATCACCATCACTGATCCTTGGGAGATTTCCATGTTTCTCTCTCAAGGCCTCTGAGTGACGCTTGCGCAGTGATTTTACCAATTCGTGGGGGAAAAACAGGGTGCAGGGCTCCTCCTTCGAATTGAGAACCAAGTCAGGGATAAAGGGCATGACCACGAGAGCATATTCTCCTTTGCCCATAACTCTTTGTCTTCCCTTTCGGCTGATTTCTGCTTTGCTGTAGCTGCGGCTTTTGCCTGGAAGGACATCCTGGTCACTTGGGGTTAACGGCTTCGGCTGGATACCCTCAGCAAGACCAAGCCACGCATTGACGATCTGAGAAAGGCCCATTTGATCACAGGTAGCATGGGGGATGCTGGTACAAATAACAGTAGCATCCGTGAATAGTGACAGATGGGCGTAGATGATTGGGCTGTCTGCCGAGTCATCCGTTCGATGGAATGGCCAATCGGCTGGCTTAAACCAAGAATCTACTTCAGCAATGGACGGCATTATCTGAGGACCTTTATCTTGCGGCGGATTGCGGATGCTGCCGGCTGTGACGTCGATGGAATGGTCATATTGCTTCGATGACCATCGAAAGAGCTCGTATTCAGGCTCAAATTGCTTGGGGAGATGGTATTCAAGCAGGTCAGAATTCTTCTTTGTGACGATACGAGCACCTAGTATGCGCCAGTGGTTGCGAATTAGGTCATCCAGCGAGGATTTCAGAAGGTCTGCGTCGAGGCATTCTTCAACAATGAAAAACGTCCTAGTTCTGATGTTTGGGATTGGGAGAAGTGTAACGAAGTGGCTTGCACTACGTAGGGGTCTGTCCTATGTAGTAGAACAGTTGCGGTGTAAGTGGACTAAGTCCAAGAGCAGTAGTAACAAAGGGTTGGTTAAGCGGTCGTTAAGGAGTTATCCTCAATTAATAGATAATTGCTTAGATTGATCACTGAAGATCTGAACTATCCTAAAGGCTGTTTAACTATCTACTTATATACTAGTCCATCTCTTCGTGATCATGTTGATCGACTAACGATCAACTCGATCAGTGATCGCTTCTGATCGAAGCTCGAGCGCTTCGATCACGGGCGTCACGTGACCCGGATGTGTTGCCTAGTTATGTCATGATGGAGGGGCGGCCCGTTGGCGCGACCCCTCGTCTCTGATTGGTTTGTAACAAGAAGCTGGTCCGTGAGGAACAATGGGAAAACATCCATTTTAAGAAAACGGTTTGGTACAGACACAGCAGTCGAGCAAAAGACCAAGTAGAAGACGAAGCAAGAAAAGAAACAATGTTAATGAAATAATGGGTGTGTAAGCTCTCTGGGGCCCTGCACCCCTTTTGTAAGGCTGTTCTGGAAGGGTTGTACAAGCGCCAACGGGTACCTTTGCAGGTATGGCCGGAGCCTTACCATGACGAATGTCCCCGAGCACAAGCCCTGTAACGTCGCGCACCCCTTAATGGCGCACCCACTTTAGATACCCTGTAAAGCATTAGACTCGTAGATAGAATTCAATTAAAAATACATTTTAATCTTTACATACAAAATGAGTGCATCGCGTGAAACTTCAATTTTAAATGCTCTTTCTGATATTAGCAAAGGAGCTTCTATACGCGAGGCTGCTCGTAGATACGCTATTCTAGAAAGTACTCTACGAAGAAGAAGACTTGGTGGTGTTAATCGATCTACAGCCCACGAACATCGCCAGAAGCTTTCAATATACCATGAAGAACAATTATCTTCATGGATTATTGCTCAAGAGAAGCTTGGGTATGCTCCAAACCATGCAATGGTTCGATATCTTGCTTCCCAGTTGTGTAAGTCAACTGGGTGCGAGACACCGGTTGGACGGCATTGGATTACAAGCTTTCTGAAGCGAAATCCACACATTAAAACCAAAAATGGAATTAGGATGGAGGCAGCAAGAATCAATGGAGCAACCCCGGAATCCATTAACACATCCTTTGATTACTACGAAACGCTTTCGTGGATTAAACCAGAACACATCTACAATGTCGACGAAACGGGTATAATGGAAGGCCATGGAGTAAATGGCTTAGTTATGGGATCTACTGCGCTTGGAACGAATCAAACATATCTCAAATCAAGTCAATCACGATATTGGACTTCGATTATTGAGTGTATATCCGCTATTGGTAACGCTTTAACGCCAGTTGTTATCTTTAAAGGCCAAAGCGTACAGCAACAGTGGTTTTGCCAGCAGTTCAATAAGCCTTGGTTCTTTACGACTTCTGAAAATGGCTGGACTAGCAATTCAATTGCTTTGGAATGGCTGGAAGAGGTCTTTATTAAAGAAACTACGCCGAAAGACCCTTCTGATGCCAGATTATTGATAGTTGATGGCCATAGAAGCCATACAACTAACGAATTCATGTGGCGTTGATTTGAGAATAATATCTTTCTATTATTATTACCTTCACATACGTCACATGTATTACAACCACTTGATGTGGCAGTATTTGGGCCGATTAAAAACGCATATCGGTGTTACGGACTGACCCGGGCCAGCTGGCAGAAAGGGTGTCTCAAGATAGTGATTAATTCGCTTAAAGAACATCTTCCAAAGTCTTCCGCTCGTGGAAGACTTTATATAAAGACCCTGGATAGGGGTAACAAGCACGTCGCCCGAGTGATTGACAAGGCCCTTACCGGGCCTTGATCGGCCTCTCTCTTCCTAGGTATAGGGTAGCGCTGGCACCCTTCGCGGAATGGGTATCGGGCATAGCCCGATTCTTAACAATCGGCGCCATATGGGCGATATCGACAAGCTTTACGATTCAACGCCAATTGGGAAGTTGGAATTCCTCAATTGTTATGCCAAAGCAAGGAATAATGCTTTGACATTAACCAACATTAAAGCTGGATTTAGAGGAGCTGGAATTTGGCCAATATCACGAAACAAAGCACTATAAGCCAACATGTTCTATTACAAAACGGCTCAACTGCGTTTGAAAAAAAAAACAATCCAAAAACACCAAAAAGAAAATGTATGTATAATACCGAAATTATATTCAAAACCCTTCAAAAGAGCTCAGATATTTTTAATATCTTGAAGACTATTGGTGGGTCTATGTTATCTTCAAAACGATTAATGCTTTCTTTAAGTCGTTCTGTGGGCAAGCGTCTAGATTATCAAGCTCTAGAAATCACACTCAAAGACGAGGGAATTCGATCAAAAAGACCGCAAATGACAGTTCAAGAAGAAATAGACTTGGAAATACAATGCAAACCGGAAATTAATTCTACAGCTTTTACAGGAGACATGGAACAAATGGTTTTTACATTTCCAATATGATTATATTTATTTTACTATTTAATTTAATTATTATTGCTACGGTTTCTATCTTTTTGTTTTAATTCTACGTGATCGCGGATTCCAAATTGGGTGCGCCATTAAGGGGTGCGCGACGTTTATAATTACGATTACGAGGAAAAAGCACCTCCTGTCCTGCAGATCATAGGGGAAAGAGACAGGCTAAGCATATTAGGCGAAGGAATGTCAGCCTCAAAATGGCGTTTGGATAAGGCTCTGAGAGCGGGTAAAATGGCCGCCAGCCTTGATAGAGTTGGTGTAATAAGCGAATAATAGGCAAAGATGGGACAGTTTATCTGCATGGAGAAAGGATGCTCGACGCGATAGTCAAAATGTTTCCTATGAGGAAAAAAAAGCGTTTGGAACAGAAGAGCATCGATATACTTGGAGTAAAGTAGAGTAGAAACATCAACTAATTAGTAGTGGCGGTGGGTCGAGCGGCGCATCGCACCCTACCTCTGCCGTGACCTTTGCACAGTTGCCATCAACATCGCGCTTCGAATCCCCGCGCGTAGCTCTGCTAAAGCACCTCTTTGCTGTCGACCTTACAAAAAAAGCCATTCTACAAGCGATTCTCTCGCATAGACGCAAAGCCATACGCACCAAACGGGCGACGCAAAGCTGGTGCTGACTGAGCCGCAAACAGACTGCAACACCACACCGCACCACACAATGTCGCACGATCTGCTCCACGAGGACGAAGATGAGCACTACAACTCAGCTGAGGATTCGGACTTTGCGCCGGAGGATGCTGCCGATGTAGGCTCCGAGGGCTCAGACTCTGACAGAGAAAATAGCGGTCCGGCAAAACAAAAGAGCGCCGTCGCAACAACAGAGGAAACAGACGCCGACTACAACAATTCTGGAGACGAGGCCATCATCACAAAGGGTAGAAAGAAGCTTAAAAAAACCAAAAACAACCACGATGACGATGACGAAGAAGGTGGTGAGGGTGGTTTAATCAAGACCCGAAGACAACGGGCAGCTGAGTACGTCGTAATGGCACTTCAACATTTCCGACGCGCCTGCTAACACTGACTAGAAAGGAAGAAGAGAGTGTGCTGGCCAATCTAGGCCCAGTGACAATCGATGTCGATGCCGTCTGGGCGCAAATGATTTCCGGTCAACCGATTATCCCTGAACGTCCGAAAACGCCAGATTCCACCGCCGCTGACGCGGATACAAAGTCCCCTCTCGCCACAAAGTCGCCAGCGAATGGCTCACCGGCCATGATCCGCATCAAACGAAAATACAACTTTGCCGGCCGAGTTCACACAGAAGAAAAGCTAGTTGCACGCGACTCCGCCGAAGCAAAGCTCTACCTTGCGTCCCAAGAGGGCCAAGAAGAAGGCGATGCGTCCCCGCCGAAGCGCGTAACCAAGAAGGCGTTCCGATCCATGTTTGAGCCGCTGGGTGATATTTCGTCGAAGCGATCCGACCTCAATCTCAGCATGGCCGCGCGCATGCAGGCTGCAAAGGATGCGCAGGCGAAGAAACTGACGACGGTCGAGAAGAGTAGAATGGACTGGGCGGGCTTCGTCGACAAAGAGGGCATCAAGGACGAGCTGGAGCTTGCTGGCAAATCCAAGACTTCGTATGCCGCGCGCCAGGATTTCCTTGCCCGAAGTGAAGCCATTCGCGAAGAGGATGCAAGAAAAGCCCGATTCGCCAGTCGAACACAAGCATGATTGGTGCTGGTCTCTTTTTCTTTCTGTACTGTAATGTATGCATATGGCTTCTACTGGAAGTCGGGGTCCACGGCGTTAATCATCTACGGAACTTACTGGCGTCTAATACCGCAGTTTGCGTGTTGGGCGAGATATGAATTCATGAATAACATAAACAAATTTACGCAGTTGTGAACAACCACGTGCTTGTCATCTTCCACCAACTATTTGTAAAAGAATCAGGACAGGGAGTATGGTGCATCATAAAGTCATCGTTTTATTTTTCTAATTTTAGTCCTGTTTTCTATTCCATTCTACACAATCGGCAAATTTTACTCCAGTACCGCCGAAACAGTCCAAAGCGCTTCCTATTGTGAGATCGACCTTGCCGCCACTCAGTTGTTTGACAAGCTCCAAGTCGTCAATCGTCTTGCCACCTCCAGCATACGTTACTGGAATCGAGCACCAAGAGGCAAGTCGTTTCACAAGTTCTTCATCAATACCCTGTTGTAAACCTTCATTGTCGGCTGCATGTATGAGGAACTCGGAGCAGAACGGTTCGAGGGACTTGATAGACTCTGCCAATTAGTTAGTAAGGGTATAACTCGTCGTAATGCAGATACAATATCGCAATTGGAATGGCTTACCTTCATTTACTTCCATATCAGTGATGGTTTGCCACTTGTTCATAGCAACGAACCAACAATCTTGTCCGCGCCTTCTGCAACTAAGATCAATCACCAGCTTGTTCTTGTCACCCCCAAGGGATTCCAGTACGGCATCTAATCGAGGCTGACTAAATTGGCCCCCTGGAAATAGGAAGGAGGTAATGATAACCTATGAAACTAGTTAGCGCGCAATATATTAGATGACTGGCTCGCAGTGTTACTGACTTTGCTTGCTCCGGCTTCAATCCACCGCGCAGCATTCTTCTCGTTGATGCCGCCTCCAACTTGTAGCCCGTTAGGCCATGCTGATAAAGATTCTTTCGCAGCCGAGTCATTATTTGGCCCCAGCATGATGACATGTCCGCCTTCCAAGGCATTGTCTTTGTATAATGTCGCATAGTGAGCTGCTGGCTGGTCTGACACAAAATTGGTCTTGAGGGCGCTTGACGTGCTGTCCAACGTTCCACCAACAATCTGCTTGACCTGCCCCGAATGGAGGTCAATACATGGTCTGAAGCGTGTCATATTGAATTTTTTTGGATATGCGAAATGGTATTGAATGTGATCAAAATCGCATTGCTAACTATGGTAATGAATGACGAGTTGTGATGGGCGAAGTGGGCTGTAGCTTATCGATACGCGACCTTCAAAAAAAAGTCTACAATGACAACCACCGCCATGCGCTGCACCACCAACCTTGATTAAATACACCCACAAACAAAATGGTCTCCGTAGGGAAGAAGAGAAAAGCAGAGAGCTCGTCTGTCTCCGAGTCAGATGTAAACGATATATTCCGGCGCTACTTCGAGTCGAGGTTCGAGCCGCTCGCCGACGCCGACAGCAAGGTTACGACAGGCGACGAATCGCAAGACGACGAGGCCGAGGACGACGCAAGCTCTGCCCAAGACTCAAATGAATTACTTGATGAAGGTGAATCAGATTGGGGAGGTATTTCAGACGCAGGAGAGGAGGACGAAGACAGCGACGCAGAGGAGGGTATGTCAAAACGAAAGAATCTCCCAAAGCTCCGCCACACCAGCTAACCAGCACGCAGAATCGGCACCAGTTATTGAAGTAGTAGACCACTCTTCCTCAGCGACTCCGAAATTCGCAACAATGAGCAAAAAGGAACTTAAAGCATTCATGGTATGTACCTCTACTCAAGAAACGTACTAGTTTTGCTGCGTGCCTAACAACCTTTGTCTACAGTCCTCTCGCCCGCCTGACTCAACAGCAGCCCCTCAAGAAGAGACAGCCAAAACGAAAAAGTCATCCTCCAAATCTCTCCCCGAAGATGCACCCAGCCTATTAGCACAAGACCTCGAACTCCGCCGCCTCCTTGCCGAATCCCATCTCCTCAACCCTAGCCTTCGCGGCGGCGGCTCGCCCTTTGCTGGCGGCCCTGTAGCACCCAAGACCTTTGCCGAAGGCCGCACCCGTCAAAAAGCAGTTGATTTGCGTGTACAAGCTCTCGGATCAAGAGAGTCTATTCTCAAACAGGAAAAGATGCCTATGAGCATGCGCAAGGGAATGACAGCAGCCGCCGATGCCCGCGAAGCTAAGCGACGCAAGGAAGCCAAGGAGAATGGTATTATTCTTGAGCGGGATACATCTAGTAAAAAGAAGCGTCAGCGAACCAGTGGTAGGGGACTTGACGGCCCAGGCATGGGCAAGTTCAAGGGTGCAGAACTCAAGCTCAACAAGAGTGATGTTATTAAGCTGCAGAATAGCAGGGACGTGTTTGGACGACGATCAAGAGGATGATGCTGCAGGTAGGCAGGCAGTATGTGTATATATTCCAAGTCAAGGTTAAAGATAGCATCACATGAATTTTATGAACTCTCATATTTGGATAGAAGATAATTATTTGCTATATCAGAGAAATAGTAATGCTTTTCTGCTGCCACAAGCTGAACAAGTTGGCGCGAAGAACAGGAGGGGAAATAAACTCTATATGTACAAGGAGATCACATCTCTTTTAACAGTCAATTGTTAGACTTCATGCTCGCCCCCAAGAGGGTATTCGCCAACCTGTAGAAGGATGGCTTGGTGATGGCGGGCTAGATGGTAAATTGAGATTTGAATCCACTTGCCAAAAAGCGGCTGCGCTTCCAAAGAACTGTAAACCAAAAGGACATAGTATAGTAAACAAGAAAGGTACTGTGCATTGAATGAAAGACACGTTTCAAGCAGACGTAACAGGGAAAAAGGGACCAGAGAAAAGCAAACGCTAAACACTACCAACGCCAAGCTGCCGAAAACATAAAAAAAGAATAAGTCAGAAATCATCACTACATCATGCCACCGGCATTAATAGCTGTTGATTGGCTCATTGTCATCGGCATGCTTAGCGACTGGAGTGTGTTGAAAGAGGCCGTTGAGACGTTGGATGTGGCATTTATCATGTGAGAGTTGTCAGCCATTGAGGTAGGGGCATAGGCAGCCTCCGACGTTGGTGATGCTTCCTCGAGGGAACCAAGGTTGTCCTCGCCAGAAAACTCCTCCTCTTCTTCAGCAGAGAGGTTAAAGGATCCATCACCACCGTCTTCGCGGCTGTGGGTTCGCTTGTGTTGAGCCAAGTTGTCAGAGCGAGAGAAGGCCTTGCCGCACTGGCTGCAGGCATAGGGCTTCTCTTGCGTGTGAGTACGGACGTGTCTCTTGAGGTGCTCTAATCTCTTGAAGAGGCGGCCACAGGAAGGGATAGGGCACGAATGAGACTTGTGAGAGTAGGGGCCAAGCTCCATGACGGTGGCAGAACGGGCACGGCGGATGACGCCGGTAGGTCCAGAAATAGCCCGGCGGTGGCCAAGGAGAGCATCTTGCATGAAGTCATCAGTCGAGTTGCCAAACCCCTGGAGGCCCATTCCGTTGAGTGCACCGTCCATGGTAGGCTTCTGAACCATGCCCATGCTAGATGTGCTGAAGGACAAGTCAGGAGGCGAGTTGTCGCCGGATTCGTCACCTTCAGCAACAGGGCCGACAGAAGCGGAAACTGAACGGCGAAGATCAGATGGTCTGTGAGGAGTTGTGTTGGGAGGAGGGGCAATGGCAGAGAGACCAGGGGGGATCGAGGAGCGTCTGCGTCGCTGCTTGTACGTGGGCGAGCCTTCAATGACCGAGTAGACGTTGTTGGCGCCATAGGTGCGAGAGAAGCCGGCCGTAGCAGAAGCAGGCAACTGAACCATGTTGCCCATAGCATTCATGCCAGACAGGTTATCCGACATGTTGGAGTAGAGTCCATTATCCTCATTGGTGATGTAGGTATCATTGGGCATGCCGAGAGCCTGTTGAGGAGGGGTAATGGGCTCAAAAGACAGGCCGCGGTTGCCGTAGTCATCATACTGAGAAGACACAAACGAAGGAGCAGGAGAGTACTCGAGGCCATAGGCGGGCATAGAAGAATGGCGCTGGTGAGCAGCAGTAACGGGGATGCCATTCTGGTTGTAGCTGATACGAGAGAAGTCATGATCACGCTTGACGGCAGTAACCTGGGCGGGAGCAGCAGGTGCCATCGTCATGGCATCGTAGACGAGGTTGTCTACTGGCTCAGCAAGGGGAGCCGACATGGACTGAGGCATCATTGTTGGGGGTGGCATCGAGTCAACTGATCTGACAACTGGGGAGGTGGACTGGCTTTGGTTGTAGGCCGACGCAGACTGCTGGGCGCTGAAAGAGGAGGAGTTGGCTTGCTGGGACTTTGTGAGCTGCTCGAACAAGGATTGCGAGGAATCGTATTGGAAAGACAAGGCGGGTTCGCTGACGGCAATGGTAGTAGCCTCCTGACCCATCTTCTCTCTCTTAAGATCACGCTCCAGAGCGTCAAGGAATAGGCGGTCATGGGGGACACTGTACCAGTAGAAAACCTTTTGCTTCTTCTGGGTTCGGATGCAGTTGTTCTTGTACAAGAAGTCAAGGAATCCGCTCTTGGGCTCTTCCAAGGAAGCGTCAGTTCCAGACTTGAGGTTGCGGAGATCGGAGAAGATGCCTTCTTCGAACTTCTTGGAGTTCTTAACCGGACGGCCAAAGGCTTGGAAGCGGAAAGAGAGGCAGCGAACAATGTCGGTACCAGAAATGTGAAAGAGGTTGTTCCAGAGAACACAAGAGACGTATTCTCCAGTGGGGAGAAGGAATCGTCGAATGTACTGGTCAGCCTGCCAGTCAACGGGGGCTGAAATAAGGAAGTACTTGAGGTTGTCGACCTGTTGAAGAGCAACCTGGGCGTCGTGTGGAAGTGCCTGCTGAGCCTCCGTGCTCAGCATGAAGGTCTCGGGCTTCTGTGGCGCCGCCATGGCAGCTTGTTGAGGATACATGGTGCTAGGACAAAGTGGGTTGACTTTCCGTCGTAGCCCTGTGTAGTTTGATGACGCTGGTGAAAGGTGCCGATAGGTAGCGATACACCGACGATGTCTTGGTGTAGAGGCTTAGGCGCCGGGGCTGTCTATCGGTCGCGTCGGGCGCGTAAGAGCGTAAAAATGTAAGGATCAAAAAAAAAGATGAAAGCGTATTCGAGACCAGCCCGGTAAGTACTGAAATATCGCACGGCGATGGTCCAGGAACGGCGTCAAGCTGATACTGGAAATTCAAAGCCAAGAGCAAAGGAAGATGGACCGGCAGAGAGAATTGTCGGTAGGATGCAGAGTCGCGAATGTAGGCGTGCTGCAAGGCGCTGGATCTAATCAATAGAAGAGAAGAATAAAACGGTTGACCGGCTCAGCAATCGGGATGTCTCGCGTCGTGTAGCAGTTCGTCTGGTAGGCGAAATGAGGAAGCAACGGTAAAGAGGTGGTATTGTTCTGCAAAGTAGAGCGGTAAGAAAAGGGACGACCTGGCCCGTCAAGAAGAAGAAGAAGAAAGGAAAATGACAAGGAAAATGAAACAAAGGAGAAAAGTTTCCAAGAGCGAAACAAATCGAAGCTCTGGAGGAGAAACGCGATGATGAGTTTGAGAGGTGTGGGGGAAGCGAAGGGTAATAAAAGGTTTCGGGGGGAGTGAGGAGGAAGGGTTGGAATGGGAGAGGATCGGGGGGAGGGGAGGAGATTAGTATGGGACACTGCGCAAGAGGTGTTTGGGAAAAAGAGCCAGAGCGAAGCGGGCTAGGGGACCGGGGGCGTGCGATGTGGGCACTGTCTTCTTACCTGGGGAGGGGCCTAGCGCTAGGGGACTGCGACTGCGACTAGGAGTAGCAGAAAGGGGGGCGCGGCGCAAGAAGAGAGCGTCGAAGCGTAGTGGCCGCTGGAGAAAACGGAGTCAGCCTCTATCTGAAATAGGCAGGCCCCGGTAACTTGGACTGCGCACGGAAAATAGCGGACGGACGTATGTACCTTTTTTTGGATCTTTTTTTTTGGGTCGACGGTATTAGAGTTTGGCCTCCAACAACTGACAGCCTCGAAATAGAATAGGCTGCAAAGTATGTTGTGCGTCGGGACGAATCAGTTGCGGTTTAGCTCGCGGAATAGTCCGTTGAAACTAAAAAAGAGAGTTTCACCTCCTTGGTAAACAACGTTTCGTCGGATGGACTGAGTAGCCGGGCTTCGGTGCTGTGCTAAGGCGAAGGTTTCAATAGCGGACGATGCAAACAAGCAAAGAGATATGGTCAAGCGAGTGAGATATATTGTATTGTAGTGTTGGGCGAATTAAACAATAAAATAAGACGAAACGTGATTGTACAAGACCTAACGAAAGGCTGGTTATTTCAAAATGACGAGAAAAAGCAAGCGCGGGTCCAATGGCCCTCTTCTATCTTTTGTAGCTCCATTGCCTTCCAATATTTAGTCCCAAGACGGACTTGGCTCTGCTGCAGGCACTATCTTCTTTGTCAGTTGATCATTCCCACGACGGCGGAGGGAATGAGGTGAACAGTGCCTTGCATACGGCGGTCTGCATCGACCACCTCCATCACCGTAGAATGGCGGCGCCGTCGTCGACTGTCTGCAAAGCCCGACGCTGGTGTGCACATCACCAGTCTCTCACACTCTGGCAGAACGCCTAAGTGCGCCTCCGCACGTTGCAGCAGGGCATGCTACCATGCTGGATGATGCACTTGAACGGCGCTCTTGGTTCGCGCGTGCTAACGACGCAGCAGCGGCGTCAGCGCTGACCAGGTCCCACAGCGAGCGCCCCGGCTCGACATGGGGGAGGCCAGCAGCTGGAGCCTTGAACAGGGGTGCCAGCAAGCGTCCTGATTGGTGGAGCGCCCTCATCGCATGGTGTGCGCCAGCGATTGCACAAGGCGACGCGGACGGGAAACGGCACCTTAACGCGCAAACTACTGGCAGTTGACCCACTGAGAGCGCAAACTTTCAGCACACTTTGCAGGGAAGTTACGGCGTTGCTCAGCGCCGCTGGCGGCCGCGCCATTGTCCCTCTCTCGCCTCTCTCCCCCCTCCAGCTTGCAAGCTTCGCTACGCTGCGCCGTTCCTGGCAGCACGCGCATGGGGATGCAGATGGGATCCCGCAGGGGTCGGCAACGACAAAATAATAAAATAAACAAAGCCTTCTTCTTGCGCAGCTGCTGCCATGTCTTTGTATTTTACATTCGTACCGCTTCCGGCGCGACACATTGTTGTTGGTTTTTGGCTCATCGGAATTGGTTCATGACTAGCGCAGGCTCGCTGCCCGGCGTAAACACCGACAGGCAGCTAACTGCCGCTGTCTGCATGACTTGAAGGGTGGTACTCTGGGGTGGGCTAGACTACCAATGCAGAGCAGGTTCAAGTGATCAAATCTCCTTTACCTCACCCACTATCGGCGACGAACCTGTATCATTCATTGTCGAGGCACCGCCGCCATGTGGCCTGGTCCGCGCATTGGCTACTGTACCACCCACAGTGGACTCCCGTGCTTCCTTGGTGCTACTGTACCTTGTGCTTTGGACCTTTGTGCCTGTGCCTGTCTCAAGTGTCGACATCGCTCCACTGTTTTGGGGGGTTGGGCCTGGCCGATGGAGTTTCGGTTTCTTTTTTTGTCCTCGGCGAAACCTCCATTCGATGATATCCAAGCGACGACAGCCGCGAAACCAGTTTCGTGATGTGGCCGATAGAGGCTCTGACCGTGCCAGAGATTTGTTTCTAAAATGGTAAACTACAGCCTTGCCTGTTTGTATCTTTGAGCAACGCCAAATCTCAACTCACCTTCTTTTGCTTGTACCAGCTGTGACTATCGCCGCTCTGCGTAGCATGCGCACGGTCATGATTTTCCACCAGCGCAGCGAAGCCGGCGCGGGCGACGAAGAATCTCACTGCCCTCATGGCATTCGAGGGCAGGATCTGGCCCTTGCGTTGTGAGACTAACGCAGCCGCGCATAGCGAATACGTTGATCTTTTGGTCTTGCGGCTGCACCACCGCCCGACCAAGTCTTCAAAGACCGGCGAAGCTTCGACGCGGAGAACCCACGCCGTGCATGCATAGAGCGAACGCAGCTTTTGCTTCCCGACCCCATACCCCCCAAAGCAGTGTGCTATAGTGTAGCTACCTGTGACGATGAAACCGGACCCAGGAACGACGTAGCCCTCGATGTATCAAATTGGTTTCTGTCACCTCTGATCTCGAGGACCAAGCGGACTTGAGAAGCATTGACACTGTTCGATGCAGGCTGACCATTGGAGACGCAAGATTGGCCCAACAAGGAAACCTAATCCAAATCCTTCTGTCAACTGTAAATCTCGTCCCTGCTTTAGCTCGCTGAGGTTCTAATCTTGGAGATAATGGCGGATATGTGCTTTGACTGTGGCTCATTCGCTTTTTGTCAGACATGATATCCACAACTCCAGTGCCACCGAGTGGTGGCTGTCGTTTGTTAACGGGCCAAAATGAGAATACTATGGTACCTAAGCGACATACAGATGCATTCCAACAGAAAGCTCGGGGCAGTTCATAATGTCACCTGCGCCGTCAGTAGAAAAATTGGGCGGTGGCGGTATTAGCAGCAAATTTGATGATTGCTTCGGCGGCGGACACCAATTTGGAAGCTTCCACCGGCGTTGGGCCAGCACGGTTCGGCCCTGAAAGGGACGCTGTGGGGCGCTGTGGCTTCAGTCTACAGGTGGTGGCTTTATGGGTACCAAGTGGTGTACTCGCCCAGTGCTAGCGTGGCAGCTGGCAGCTGGCAGCGTCGTGGCTCCTGCTCTTTGGTGGAAGCATAGTCGCGTGCACAATCCAAGTATTAAAATACACTGGTGTACATAAAAACAGCCGGCTTAAACGAGGTTATACATTTGTGAACTGGCAATACATTCCTCTCTCTGTCCCTATTTTTGGCTCGTTCTCCAAGCTGCCTTCATCTTAATTTTGTTTCTATTTTCTCTCCCCCTTTGCTAGCCGTTATCAATCACTTGTAATTACTGTGGAATTTGCAGCCACGAGCTGCGACACTGGAATGCTCAACGACGTGCTAAAAATCTAAAACAACTCTCTCGCAGCACCGGATGAGGTTGAAACACGGCTGGTGCGCTGCCTCAGAGTCAACCCCTGCGCACCACAACCAGCGCTACGCCTCGTCGCGCTCTGACTGGCTCTGGTGATTGCGCCACGCCCCTCCATCCACAGTCCAAGAGGGCAACGATCCAGGACGACTGGTTGTTGATGCACCTCGGCCGTCCACACTCGAATAACCTGCATATGCGTCTGCCGCTGTGCTGGTGAATGCCGGGCGTCAAGCACCATCACCGATCACCGGGCGATGAATGCTGCAGCAACCGACTTTGGTTTTGATGTTTCTGTCCGTGAGGTCGATAGAGCTTATTCAGAATTGATAACATCGTCAACGGCCGACGCCTATCGGCCGACGAAAGCATACATATCGCCAATGTCGGGCTGTCATCTCCTCAGCCCTCATACCCATAACGCCGAAAGACCCAGTACAGAAGCGAGGAACTGGTGGAAGTGACAGGGGTATACGCCATCAAAAGAAGGAAAAAGAGCGACCATGCCTTGTGTAGTTGCCGGTGCAGACGATCGCACGCAGCGGTCATGCATGCTAAACAAATTGCTTACATAGAGAGCGACCGGTGGTTGTCGTCTCCCATTCCCCGTCAGGCATTCCCTCTTCTTTGCGCCTCTCTAAAAGGCGACCTCCGTTGCGCACGGTGCTTCTTTTGTGGCTGGCGTTCGTCTAGCCAAGGCCAGCCGGCGACCTTTATGCAAGGCATGCATCTCAACATACTGCGCGCAATGGGCTCTTATGCCGGCGGCACCCCTGTGCAATTTCAAACTGTCTGTGCTTCAACAGCAAGATCCTGTAGATGTCACTTGCGCTTTGCGTGCCGACAGAGTCCACGATGAACAGCTGCAGCGGTGAGGGCTTCTGCATGAGCCAAGTCTAAACCCCATCAGCACCATATCCAGCTGATCGTCTTTATTGGCAGCAGAGGTCAAAGCGCTGAAAGTGGCAGGATGGGAAGTCCAGTATCCCCCGCCGGCCAACGTTCCCTTCTCTTATCTTTTTTCTCTTCCAAGAGTGAATACTATAGGCATGGGGGTCTCCACGGAAGACCGCACACAGGAATAGTCTTCGTGTACCATGACAAACGTCCTGTGTCCGATTATTCGATGTAACACATGGCGACCTTTGTTGCTACGCAGCCAATAGCGGCATAGCTGTGCCTTGAACCCAAACGTGTGGCCCCCAGCCAGGCACGTCGATGCCCTGATTGGGCGACGTTCAACATTTGAAACGCGGGCAACCCCTGAGAGAAGCCGCCGCACCTCGTCGCCTTGGGGAAGGATCTGGTTAACAGCCCTGATGAACATTGTAATGAATCCAGAAATAGAAGATTCGTTTTCTTGAGCGCAACCAAAGACCCAAAATCGCGGCCTCAGCCAGCTCTCCAATCAACAGCGGCCACGGTTCCCTTCCTACGTCTAAGTGTGATTGGCAGGACTTTACCCAGCCGCCAACCACTTCATCAACTTGCTTCTTGCAGGCGCGCTTGGTGTAATTTGATGTAGGTTGCCTCTTGTGAGCTTAATGGTTCCTCTGGTAGTTCTAGACCGCCCGATTCAAGTCGATCAGTTCCCTCTGTTGCTTGCTTATCAGCATCGGCGGTATGCTCTGCATGCGGAACTGCCAGCCATGCTCTTTTCTTTCCTTTTGCCTTTCGTCTGGCTCCAATTATCCACTTTGGTTCTGTTCTAGACAGCCTATTCGGAAGCACAAACTCGATCACGACAGCAAGGCCGCGTCTCTGTAGCAGCGGCTGTCAAGCTGAAACGCCATAGAAAAGCGCAGACCACAGCGGCACCGCCAGGAACGGGATGCGCCTCCCAAGAAGTGCGTCTCGCAAAAGAATACCGACACGAGCCGCCTGGCTTTGGTGGCTTCCCAGTACCACTTCCAGAATAGCGAACTGGGTCAAAAGTGACCCAAGCGTTTCGCTGCCACACTACTGCTAGCTGGCTGTTCCTGCAGCTTGCAGACGCCACCTCCATCACCAGACCAAGTTTGCGGAACAAGCCTCCTCACCAATAATAGAGCTATAGAACGAGTCGAAGCTGTTATCATGGCTGAATTCTGCGCTTGTAGCCACCACAGCCAATATCAGATGCATTTTTTTTTGTGTGGACGGCCCACGTCGCCCGTCACTCGGTATCGCTAGATGCAGCCTATCCTCGCATTACCACGATACGCTTTGCAAAGGCCTCGTGGCTGGGCCGCATGAATATGCAGGTACTGGACAACGCAGTAGCCGCCGACAATTGGGCCAAGACGGCCAAGACGGCGGTGGCGATTCAGCCTTCTAGTGGTTTGTACAATATCCGGCAGTGTCATTCAACACTGCAGGCCGCCAATGTCAAGCAACGAACCCCGGACCATGTCGTGCATCGGCATCCATCCAATTAATTAATCAATCATCAAAGACAATACCGAGCTGACGCTATTCTCGATGCTTCTCGGCACTCTCGCCTATCGTACGGCAGATAGTTCTTGTCCTGGAATCAAGAAAGGCCTCCAACAGTTGCTCTTTTCTTCTCCTTATCCTTCAGCCGTCTTCTTTCTCCGCCTCTACCCATATAAATTGATTATAAGTCTATTTCTCAGCGATATCAAAGCTCACGGCACAGCAATCAGTTCGTATTCTCCGTGTGTAGGTGTTGCTGGCCGGGGCTGTCCCACCCACTGCGTTTCACCTATAGCTGGTGGAAACACACACCCCTACGGTTTCACCTGTCAGGGCCTCCTTGCCTGCAACCGCGCCTAAAAGACCGCTGTTAGTTGTTATTTTTGGCCAAATCCTTGCTGATGATCACTATAGGCCATCTCTGCTATGGCTTCCCAAAAAGAAACAACCACCATCAACGCCGTCGTTTCGGATACTGTTTCACCTCCGAAGGGCACGCGCACAATGGGCACGGCTAGTCGCAGGATCCTTACGCAGCGGCCCGAACACATCCAAGCGCACGTTTCCCAGAAAAGAAAAAAAGGACCAAACGCAGGAAAACAAGCATCATAGCAATGCTAAGAAAAAACAATTCAATAGAGTTTGTTTCGTTTACAATTCCGTGAAACATGAGCAATTGGTGGTGGACAAAAGCTTGGCTAACTTCTAGATGACACCACCAAATGCCGTCATTTTTTTTACAGCAATTGCTACCAAAATAGCGAACCGTAACTGGTTTAGGTACGAACGAAGTCTAGCTAACCTTCTGACCTTGATTCATGCGTCCGGACTACTCGCCGCTTCCTGGGAGCCTACCCGTTGAGGCGTTCAATGCTGTCAGCAAGCTTTCCCACGAGCAACAGGACCGCTGCTCTTTGCCACGCTTGTATCAGGTCTGCCGTTCCTCCGTAGACAACCCGGCATTAAACATGACTGCATAAGATAGCTTGGATCTTGTAGGGCTCTATTGTGTTCCAGATTGACTAGTCCACGGCAGGCGAAAGCTGCCAAGCTGGATTCTTGCCGGCGGAGGGAATGATCCCCGGTTTCACACTGGAGGGTCATTGCTTTCTGGAATCCGTATAGAACCCAGTACTCTTCAAGATACGCGTAGATTTGGAGCCGGGGGTGAGAGAAAAAACAAACAAATGTTGGCTTCGATGGATCTTGTCGCAGAAAGACGGGAACCCATCTTGGCATATACGTCCCACCAAGCAATCCATATATTAAGTTAAGGTATATAGAGATATACTTGTTTTCTAAGTCAAACATGCTCTTGCGTATGTTTTCTTGGTTTTTGTATTCATTATGCCGTAATCTTCTCACCGAGAGGTGTCCATGATACTGACAGTAATCCAAGATTCTCAGAACACACACTGTCCAATATACTTTTCTTGGGAGTTATCCATTTCTATTCTACCTTATTACATCCCATTTAGCCGTAGACTTGCGATTGACTCTTCAAACGCGCCAAGCACGCCGTCGTACAAGGCATCTGTCGCGGCTTTAGACATATCCACCTCAAATACAATAGACTCCAACGTAGTACCTCGAAAGAACACATCTCGCAATCTTCTCGCCAATGGCTTCACTGCCTCGAATTTAGTAGTCCATTCTGCCAGCACCAGCTCGAATCCTGCGGTAGTCACATCCTCCAGCTTGGCTGCCGCGCACTCCTTAAAGTCTCCCTTCCACCATCGCATGAGCCTACTACTGCTCAAACCTGCTATAGAGTCTCTTATAGTCCAAACAAGGACATACAAGAACGACTCCAGGTCGTACCTATAGTTGTCAATGTTGCCTTTGAGTAGGCCAATAGCCATGCAGTGTTTGGTGCCAACGAGGTCGTTCTCGTCTGGATCTTCTTCTGATAGGTCTATTGCTACGTCCAAATCAATGAGTATACCCCGTCGATCTTTCTCGGATATGATAATGTTACCGTCAGAGATATCTCTATGCAAAATCTGTCCATCCTGGAGAAGGGCTCGGTGCGCTGTAATCGCGTCGCTCAGCACTGTGACCAGCTCAAGGGGGCTCTTAAACTTTTCTAACGGGCACCCGAGAGGTGAATACACAAGACATAGTAGGTCATTTCGTCGCAGCATTTGGCCTTCTCCGTCTCTGCTAAATCTTAATAACCCAGTTTGGTCATCGTTTTGCTTGTCATCCCTTAGCAGAGTTCTAAAAGATAGCGCTCGGATATTCGACCGTAGTTGTGGAGTGCTCGCCAAACTCTCATCCTATACTAGGGATATGACGCCTTTTATCATTTTCTCTTTGGCTTTGTACAGCATATGCGGCTCCTTTTGCAATCTAGGGATGCACCACTTGAACTTGACGACGTGATACGGCGATTGTCCTGGAGCGGAACTGGCGCGATAACAGGCAAGGCCATCGTTGAAAAGTTCGCCACGCTGGACAAAAGGCATGTTTTCCAAAAAGTACTGTGTTTTGGTATCCCTAACAGTGACGTATGCTTGATTCTGCTCGTTGCGCTCCAAACTTCGCCAGCCCAGATTCTCTCGGGATTTTTGGCTGTATTGAAGTAAGATTAAGAGAACTGTAGCTCGGTCTTGCATGAGGCCCAATGGTTCAGACACGTACATGCCGCTCTTGTCAAAGACCCATGCTTCAAAGACTAATCTGTGAACAAGGACAGCATGTACTGAGAGTCGTAAAGGTTGGCTCCTGAGTACATGGGAAGCCATCAAGTATAATTGAGCCAGGCATGATTGGTAGGATTCATCACCCTTGAATAAGTGACAGATGGCCTGAACATTCTCCCACGTACAATTCCTATGGTCTTGACTCTTGGAGCTCTCCGTGTATTCCAACACCAGATTCGTACCAGTAAGCCAGTCAGCCTCTGGTCGAAAAGCCACGGCAGGTGTCCATGTAGCCAGCCCATTGCTCAACTCGGTTGATGGCAAGGTAGAGAGCCATTCTGGTAATGTATCGGCCGATAATGGTAGAGAAAAAACTGCGAATGAATTGTTCAGCTCATCAATGACTGTCCAGTGAGCCGCGTTATCAGTATTGGGGATTGTTTTTTTAAAAACGTGGGATGCGGTCCGCTAATGCAACGTTCACCAATTTCGTCCAGACATTCTTCTTTGGAGCCCATTGTTTCGCGAACGCTGAGTTAATGTTGTAAATGAAAGAGAAGGTAAGGAACTGCGCTCCTCGAGACGCCATGGTGTAAGAAAAGCGACTATTTAACTATCTCTGTTCCAAAGTGGAAAAACGCTAGTGTTTGCCCCTCTCTTAGCCGCGTAAGGCGTCGCAAGGCGTCCGTTGGCGTCCATCTGGCAAATCTACTTAGGGCTCTGGTCTCGATTTGATGATTTTAAACAAAAAATCGGGAACAAGTCGACGATTTTTTCTTTCGTCTATCAAATTTACCTTGTATGATTATATACTGTCTTTGGAGAGTTGATAACATAATCACGTCGATTAAGAAGAACACGCTCACTCCCTACCGTACGATTCGCTGCCCGTTGAGTGGCGATTTGAGAACTGATGGATATAATGACCACATTTCAGCCATTAAACGCAATAATCATACGAATTAGTCATTCAAAACACCATATAATTATGCTAAAAGGTATTTCAAAGCCTTTATCAAGTAGACGACTATTTGCTACGCGCGTCTAGAATGTGTAGGGTAGCTGGCACGCAGACAAGCGACACCACTTCAAGACACGAGCGGTTTACCTTAACGGCCCTGTGCGTTCTCCCTAAACTCCCTGTGTAAATTGCCTAATGGGGGTTGAAAAATGGGCCCAGAAAAAATCAACTGACTTGTATTTATATGAAAGTTGTATATAATTTTAGTTATCCTACTACGACGCTGTGCATCCCAAAGAGGCAACATACACAGTCCGCATAAGGACCCGTTTCGACGTAGTCCGGTTAAGGTGGTCGCGTTTTTAGTCAAGTGTGTTCCAAGGTCGCTATATTGAAAGAGCTGCATAAACTAAAAAAATAAAGAAACCCCCTCACAGCCGTCACAATCATACAGGCTGCCCATTGTATACCATTGCCTTATACCCACCTCCAGGGGTGGCGTCGGTCAACATGGGCAGCGTTTTTTCTGTTCTACCTGCAAAGCTTCTAGTGTCCCCAAGTAACCTCCCCATGTCGATGATTTCCTGAATTTCATAATTTTAAGAACGCGCTTGCTCCAATTCCAGCTCGAGCTGGCGGATACGTTCACTCTGATCTTGGGATCCCGAGCCAATCTTTCGCTTGAGGGATTCGACTTCACTGGCCAGCTGCGCAATCTTTTCGTTCTGCGCGGTGATGACCTTGGTCTGGGTTTCGATGAGAGCCTTGATCTGCTCCAGGGAAGCCTCAACGCTACCCGAGGATGCAGTCGAGGGAGCGGTCTTCGAGACAGGGGTGGAAGAGGCAGCAGGAGTATCGGGATATGGGCCAGCGGTGATGGGAGCACTCTGCCTTGTGGCAAAGGCGGGGGTTCTAGGTTGTGAGGCCACAGGTGCCTTGGGGTTAGGCTGGAATGTTCTTTGGGCCGGGCGCGAGATTTCTTCAAAGCTCGACGTCTCGTCGTCATCTCCTTCGTCTTCGTCCTCCTCGTCATCTTGGAACTTGCTAGCAAGGTTGGAAATGGACGACTTTTGGTCCTTCATCGACGGCACTGGGCCACGGGTGGCAACGGGCTTAGGCTCCTCCTTCTTTGGCTCCTCCTTAGGAGCAGGTGTAGCCTTGACCGGAGAAGAGACGACAGACTGAGGCTTGTATTCCGAAGCAACTTCCTTCGGGGCGTTACCGTCGTAGATGCTCGCAAAGTCAATCTTGGCCGGGATGCCAGTCTTGCCATTGAACCAATCCTTGGATCCGCATACTGGCTTGGTACCAATAGCAGGAGGGAAGATATCGGCCTGGAAAGTTTCGGCTCGGCGGGGCACGGTGAAAGAGATGGGCTCAATGTACGTATCGTTGATGGTCTTGTAGGCTCGCATGACTTCGTTGTCGTGGACGTTGATGCCACGGCGGGGCAGGAAAGCCATACCGCGCTGAGGATCGGCCGACTTGTACTCGCTCAAGTACTCGAACTTGTCGTTTTCATATTCGTAGTAGCGGATGTTACCATCGCCCTTACCAGCAAGGTAAAGACAGTTGGAGCCTTCGTCCCAGAAGGGCATGCAAACACCAGAGATGGAATCAATCATGGTGAATCCACCAATGGGCTCGCTCCTTCCAGGCTCCCAGAGGGCGATCTGGCGCTCGCTCATCTTTGAGAAACCAGTGGTGGCGAAACGGTTATGCTCTCCCATCCAGACGGCTCTGCTGTTCTTGGCGCCGTGGTGGCCCTGAGCCTCATGGACAGGCTTTTCCTGACGAACATCCCACACACGGATCGTCTTGTCACGCGAGGTGGTGACGAGCAAATCGCCGCTGGCGTTCCAGCTCAGACTCTGGACAATGTCGGAATGGCGCAGAGTCAGAGGGGCCTGGCCGGTAGTAATGTCCCACAGCTTAATTGTAAGATCGCCCGAGGCGGATGCCAAGATGTTGTCGCCGGCGGGGTTGAAAAGGACCTGTCCAACCTTCCTACAATCTCGTGGCATTAGCAAATAGACGAGGAATTGGATGGGCGTTTGTCGAAGCAAACGTACCTGGAATGGCCACCAAGTTTGAGAACGGGCGCAACGTCGGTGATTTCTTCGGCATCTGTGTAAAGAGTAAAGTCCTGGGGCACCTCCCAGACGAAAACCTTGCCATCTTCGGAAGCAGAGGCGACAATGCGGTCGTTGAACGGGTTCCTGCAAAACGGGTGAGCATAGAGCGAAGCTTGAGGGTCGGCGCAGGGGCGAGGCCTACCAGTCGGTATCTAGCACAGCAGCAGTGTGTCCTCGGAACAGGGGAATCTGGTCAGGGAGCTTGCCTCGCTCCTCCAGGGGAATAACAGCAAAGGCACCACCACCAGAAGAATCCCAGTTTACAGAGAGATAGTCGGGGTTAACCTGACGACGTCATTGGTGAGCAAATGGAAACACGAGACGGTGGCACCGGGGTGAAACTTTTATACCTTGATCAAGTTTGTGTCCCAGGCATTGCGACTGATGTGCAGGTTATCGTAGCAAGAGTCCTTCCTCGTGGGTTTTCCAAAGATGTGTCCTGTGATGGATGCGCTTGTCAGTATGGACTCGGGGCAGCCCTCCCTGGTCGTCACCGGGACTCACGGTACTTCGACGCTCGAACAAAGCGTCCGGCCATTGTTGCGGCAGAAAATATAAAGGCGGCAAATTCAGAATCGATTGGAGGGGATCGGGAGTTGGAAAGTTGGAAAGGCTGTGGCGGGGGAGCTGGCGGGATTGCAACGAAGCGCAAGGGGTAGAGAGAGGGTGGGTGGCACGCTGTGTGGTGGTAGTTTAGGAGAGCCAGCTGGTAGTGTGGATAGTGGCCGACTCCAAACCAAGAGCTGCGCCCCCAGCCAACTCTTGTCCCCCCCCTCTCCCCACTGTCAACGTCAACGGGCGCAGCGCTTACGTTGCGGGTGTGCCCCCCTAACGAGAGCGAAGGTGTCACGTGCGACTTGCCATGTCTTCGTCAATAGCTACTTCACCAGGTATACAGTTATGGCGCGTGTCACCTATGGATTGCCATGTCTACATGTACAGTACATACAGCGGGACTAGACTATACCAGGCAGGATTGGTTGAGTTTGATATTCATTATAAGATCTTTTTCTCAAGCGCCATATAATCGCAAAAGATACATAAAAGCAAAGGCCATCAAAGTAACACTCGGTGACGACATATCTGCATCGAATCGTCACGTCATTTCCCTCCTTCAAATCAGTCTAGCAAACAGGAAAAACGAAACAAGCCAAAAATAAAGAAAAAAAGAGGGATAAGAAAAGAAAGGAAAGGGATAAAAAGTGATGACGCAAGAGGGGCATCATCGTAGAGGTTATAAAACAGGAACGAAGAATAGAGTGAGGATAATACAAGGCTTGTCAAGGGCGGCAACCGTCCGGCAGCTGCAGCTCAAAAGTATGAGCCGCTCATGTTAGGGATGTCTTGCTTCGAACATGTGAGCGGCGGCTTGAGCGACGGCTTGAACGGCGGCGTAGTTGCTCCTCCTTTCTCAGGACAAGCTCACACCACTTGGACTTTGAGCGCGTGCTGTCGTCTTCGTTGGTTGGCCCACGGCCAATCACATCAGATAAGATGCGCATCCAGCCGTCTTTGTCGTCGGCAGTATCCGCGTAGAAGTCAATGACCTCTCCGTTGTTGAATCGGATTCTGAATCCCTCCTCGACAAACATGTAACCTTCCTCTTCTTCGGCGAAAGCTGACCGACGGCGGCGACCACCCTTACCGGTCGTCTCCTTTTCGAGAAGAGCTCGTCGATCATCAATTAGCCTCTTCGCATTGGCCAAGTTGATTGTGGCACGTGGCTGTCTTGTAGCTTCATGATAAGCAGTCAAGCGCGAGCCTACGAGCTTGAAATATCGGCGGCGCCAGTACTACAAAGCACATGTTAGTCTTTCTTCTTGTGGTACAATATTTGTCAATATCAACTTACAGGACAGTCGCCTCCCTGCTGGCTGAGGTGTCCCTCGTAGCTGCGGGACAGCTTCTCTTCGGCTGCCTTGAGTTCACGAATGCAGGAATTCATACTCTTGGGCATATCATCATCTGTGATGTTCTTGGGTCGAGGAACAAAGAGGAGTTGCAGCTCCAGCTTGCCGATTTTGTATGGAGCACGGCGAACGACAGCTCCGTCTCCACGCTTGCTCTTGACGCTGTGCGCAAATACTTCCTCTTCCGAAGCCCACTCATTGAAGCAGACAACCTCAGCTGTATAGGGTCTTCCGAAGCAGTGCTGCTCATGCTCCTTAAGGCAAACATATGAGCGCGCAAAGCTACCATCGTCCGCCACAACGGGTGTCAACAGCTCGTAGGCAGAGGGAGCGGCGTTGCGTTGACGGGCGAGGGCCTCCTTCTGTTCTTGAGCCAATCGCTCTTCTTCGCGCTCGCGAAGCTCAATCTCCTTGCGCTTCTTGGGCGACGCGAAAACTTTGCTGAACGCTGACGTCTTACTCTTGGTTGGTTTTGTGGCCTTGCCCGGTGCTGGAAGGTTGCGCAGCCACGCAGGCTTTTCAAGTTTGACATTGAGCGTAAGCTGAAATTCCAAGTCGTTCGGGACAACTAGCTCAAATTCTTGTCCAATTGGGGCATTTCGGGCAAGTTCGAGCCAAGCAGTTGTAACGCAGTGTACACCGTTGTCGAGGGTGAGATTGAACCAAGTACGCTCGCTCTTTGCAAGCGGCAAGTCAAGATCCTTGACGCCCATAACTTTGACAAAGAGACGACCCCTTTCGTTTCCATCGAGGACACCGTTGTCCGTTGCCAAGTCGTCCTCAATTGCATGGGATGTCGCGTGGCTTTGTCTTCCAGATGCAGACTTGGCTAAAGCTCCAGAGGTTTGGCCTCGTCTGGTGCTCTTACGACGCATCTGGCCATTCCATGGCTCTACAGTCCAAGATTCCGGACGATCTTCTTCCTTGATAGGCGAGTTGTTGGCAGAGCCTGCTCGTCGAGCGTCCTGGCCATCCTGATCGCTCGCAGCGATGACCTTGGTGTTTTGTCTCATTAAGTAGCCACGCTAGGGAATTTGGGTTAGCTTTGGATTCTGCGGAGATATGGAGTTCTGGGAGAGGAAATGTAGTTTACCTTTTGAGCTTCAATGACTCTTTCGAAGTCTTGGTCAAGGCTAAGACCGGCATCAATATCGAGAGTCAGACCACGGCTTTTAAAGCCGCCACGATTATCCAAAGATTCGCGGTTGAGTTCCTCCTGCAATAGACTGGCGTCTCTAGACAAGCGGTTCTGGTGCTTGGCGGGAATCGGTGGGATATGAGGCACCTCGTGGCTGACTTGGCGTCTAGCTTCTCTCATTGCGGCAAGGTCGGATGGTGTGTTGGAAATTCTAGTCTTGAGTTTTGAGCCCGACGCTTTGATCGTAGCCATCTGTTCAGGGATGGCAGCTGGTTCTTCCGTGTAGAACGCATCATCCACGGTATGATGAAGCACTGACTCTGGCGTTCCAGGTACATCTTCATACTCATCATCTGGTTCACCCCAGCCAGTACCATCATACTCAGGTTTGGAGGTACGCTTTTCGGGGGTCTGGGGACGCTGAACAGCGGGCTCAGATACGAGAGTTTCGATCGGCTCAACGGGACTTGGCGTCTTTTTGAGCTCTTCCTTGCCCAAAGATGTCATCAACGATTGTAAAGCAGTAGGTGCAGTAGGTGCAGGCTCAACGGTATCTTCCTTCTGGACCGGGGGTTCAGCGCTGACAGATTTTTGGGATACGGCATGTGTCTCTGCGGGCGAGGGCTGAGGCGCTGACTGCGGTTCAGTTGTTGCTTTTACATCGGCGACTGTAGGGGCAGGTGCTTCCGTTTCGTCTTCGTCCAGTTCGACCTCGTAGAGATCCAGAACCTCCTCATACACCTCAGAGTCTCTATGGATGATGACGCTGTCATCTTCAGGCTCCTCCATTTCTTCAATTTCACCCATGTTCAAATTCTCCGTCGAAGGAATGGGAACATCCGGATCCAGTGAGAGCTCCCTGGTAGCCTGGTTCCTTTCTGGGCTACCAACGGGGGAGGAAAAGTTGAAATCAGACTGACGCTCTGTTACTTTGTTGCCGTTGACTCGGCGCATGATGGACTCTCTAGAAATCTTGGCCGGCATTTGGAATTCTCCAAGAATGGAGAAATCGGCGAGCGTATCCTCTTCTTGGTATTCTTCTGTGGCAGTGTTGACTTGTGGGCTGGCAGTTCGCTCGCGCCCATTTCCGCGTCGCAGTCGACGTTCTCGTTGCTGTTCGGCAGCACTCTTGGCATCGTTCTCATCAGACAACATCATCAGCTTGAGGCGCTCTTCGAGAGTCATCTTGCTATTGCCGATGTTTTGAATGTCGGTCTTGCTGGTTGTTGCCGGTGGTGGTGTGGGAAGATGGCGCTGAGGAGAATGAAGCATTCTTTCCGCAGTGGTGGACAATCCTGGAGAAGGTGAAATCGAGTTAGTTGACTGATTTCTGGAGTGTCCAACGCCTGGCACAGGAGGCAAGGGGCGGTGCTCGCCACTACATGTGACGGTGTCCTGGCTAGCTCTTTTTGTCTTGTTGGGGATAGCAAGTGAAGGCGATCCTTCGGGCATAGGGCTCTCTTCGAACCGATCGTGATCAACGCTTTTGTAGGCAGCTGGGCTGTCAGCGCGCCAATCACCGGGCCCAACGACTGGAGTCTTTTCAGTGTCTTCCAAGGACGCATCAAAGCTCTCGTCAATGTCGCCAGGCATACCCATGTGGAAATGCCCGTCGTCACCTTCATCCTCGATAGACTCGTAGCTGCCCTCGCGCGAGTTTGTAGCGATGGATGAAATGTCGGGTGTGGCCATTTCATATTCATTCACTTGGGGCGGCGCGGCATCAAATGTCACGCTCTTCACATGACGATGCGATGACGTACCACTGGCAAAGTCGTCCTCATTGTAGGACGTATGCGCAGACCACGTCCCCGTCTCCGGATCAAAGATATCCTTGAATTTGGAGGGAGACAAGGCCGACTTTGTCGGGGAAGGGAAATCTTTGACCGGCGCACGGGGAGTGCTACGCTTTGGAGCTGCCTCTGGCTGGCCAAGCTTGCCAGGGCTCATCATTGAGAAGCTCGGTTTGCTGCTGTCGCTTCGCTTGAAGTCGGGGATTTGTGGTGTGTCGGCTGACCGCTGTGTTGGAGACCCGACTGAGAGGTTGAAGGTGTTTCCTTGAACCTTTGATAATGGCCGTTCGATCTGCGGGATCCGGGTTGGGTCATATTCTTGCTTCTGTTCCAAAGCCAAGATGTTGCTGTTCTTGACGCGGGATGCTCGCTGGAGTCGCTCGATAGAGGAGCGACGTTGCGGCGACGGTGAGGGGGGGCCCGCTGTGTAGGGAATGTTCTCTACGTTGCGACTCTGCCAGAAGGACCTGGGTGAAGTCATACCGTCCATGGGTGACGACTGGAATGGAGAGGAATCGTTGCTCAGGACGGGCTTCTGCTCAACAGTTAGCACATGGTCCCCACTGGGAGTCTCATTCCACGAACCTTTGCGGGAGCCGAGTGTCTCCAGCTGGGCGAGTTGCGCCGTTGTTCTGCGGGCGAAATCTCAGATAATGGGCGGGGAAAGCCACCAGGCATCTTTGTTGGTGTCGACATAGCCTTGGGGGTGGACTTTGTGATTTGAAGTGGTTGCACCTAAAGCCAGACAGACGTCAGAATGTATTACATTGCAGGACCAGATAGAGCTTGTACATACCTGTTCGGGCGCCATTTTGGCTTGGACTGATTGTTCTTTCGTTTCAGCTTAGTGCAATGGTGATGGCATTGGAATGCAAAAGCATCCAGAAAGAGCAAAGGGGGTTCAGACGCGGAATGTAGAACCAGCGATAGTGTGGATGTTTGTCTCTCGTGGGAGGGGTTGTCGCGTGAAGGTCACGAACAAAGGCGGATGCTAAAAGCAACTTTGCTTTAATAGCAATGCCACGATTCCGTTTACTCGATTGGCAACTGCGTCCGATGACTATCGCAGTGCTCAAAAAATGTTGGCTAGGCGGATGAGAAAGAATGGGAGTGACGGTGTGAGATGAATGGACTGAAGGGAGGTAATGACTACTGATCAAGTGTTTTACCTTGACTTGGCTCTTGGCTCTGTGATTGGACGCTGGAAAATAAACACCCAGATCGCCGTGGCTGTCGGTTGCCAGGGGAACGTCGTATAGCTGGCGCAGCCGTTATAGTGGTCGAACCCCCTGAAAGTCCCGCGTTGCGACGCCTACTCCAGCTACCCCGCCCGCTAAGACAGAAGCGACAAAGCCACTAGAACCCGCCTGGCGCATCCTTGCAGGAGTCGCTGTGGCAGCGATGCAGGCTTCCGTGGCAGTGGGAACAAAACAATAGCATTCAGCGCACTCCTGCAAGCCGTATACTGGAGAAAAGCAAGCTTATTGATGTTGATTCGCTGAACCCGAAGCCTATCTCCTTTTTATCCCACTGAACTCGTACCCGCTCTAAAGTGACGTGTCTCCGGGAACATATGCACGACATCGAACGGTATTGAATCCTCATTCCCGAGCCGTTGGGTTTGCATTGTGCCTTGGAATGCTCACTGCCCTTAATATCCGTTAAAGATCGCTTACAATGCCCATTGTTATTTTTCTTCGCCTTTGTTTTGTTCGCTCATGTAAGCTATGAAACGGTGCTACCATAACACGGCGTTATAGGCAAACAGACTTGATGATGGTGTTCTGTCCATCGTTGTTGTTGACAGCCGTTGTTCCAGTGGGGAATAACAGAACTTGATACAACAACACCTCTGGTACCGTCCGTCTTGCACCATGCGCCAAGAACATGTTAATAGTCTGAATGAATTGAACTAAATGCGAATTATCCTTCGATTGTAATGGTGGTTTGGTGGGCTCTTCATCGAGTGAATCTAATACATTTACTCATGGCTCGTACAAGACGGGGAACGCTTAACAACAAGATGTGACACTATGCTCTAGCTACCATTCAAGGTTTATAAAAAAAGAAACGATAAAATAGGATACAGAGGGACTCAAAAGGCATTTATTTGAAGTGCAATGCCTCATATAAGACGTAAAAGGTTGAGAAATGGCCTGGTGTTGAAGTGGCAATGACCATAGGTCCATAGTACACAATAAGCCGGGTTTTAGCATAGGACGGTCGAATCGTATAATGGTTAGTACATATCCTTCACACGGATAAGACCCGGGTTCAATTCCCGGTTTGACCTCGTCTTCTTGACTTAATTTTTTTTTTACTTTATATGATCTGTTTCGTCAAAGATATGCATATCCAACCTCTACAGTTCTTTTTATTTTCTTTTTGTAGTGATATTTCGTGCTTGTAGCTCAATTCGTACTGGGTCGCCTACTGTGTGACTATTAGCCGCCAGATGGCTGGGACGGCCCGTAGGTCGTTACGTACTGGCCCAGCCATCTTACAGCCACTTGATTTAGCTCGTCATTGTTAGACCATCTCCCATTGTTGTTGGCAGTGCCAGAATTCCAGCCTGCAAAAATAGCAGCGTTGTTCCAGAATCAAGCCGATGCTACTATCTTCGTTTTATACTTTCCGCCGATTGTAATCAGTCTTTCGATAGAGTTGATTTGCAAGCTTCGACGTTCAACATCGAGCGCACGTCCGCGCCTGTTGACTTGATTGCGTTGGTGGCCAACCGGGCAACCGTAGCAAGCCAACTTTACGCTCACCCTTGTCGCAACCTCGGTTTTTTTTTTCTCGATCAAAGAAAGCTTGTCGCCTTAACAAAGGCACGGTATGCGACGGCATTGACACTTGCTTCAGCAGATTGCGGAAAACCCTTCACTGCTGTCTAGTTTTGCGCAGCTGCCGTCGCAATGCCTGAGCCAGTGCATCGCGACCGAGACGAAGCCCACAGCAGGGATCGCAACAGGGGCAAGGGTAAAGAAAAGTACCGAGAGCCAGACACAGAGACTGAAAAAGATGAGGATGACGACGTATCCGAAAAAGACGACTACGAAGCTGAGCGCGCACGGGAGATCGAAGCGGACAAAGAGCGAGAGCGGCGTCGCGATCGCCGCCGTGCCGTCAAGCGCGAACGAGAACAGAGAGATCGCGAGCGGGACTCCGATAAAGACATAGAGTCGGAACCCGAGCGCCCAAGACCTGTTGACGGCGAGAGAGTGCGGGACAGAGAGCCAGACAAAGATCGTGCTCAACCGAGAGACAGAGACCGTGATCGCGACAGAGACTTAGACAAGGACCGAGAGCGGGATAGGGACCGTGAGCGTGACCGGGACAGAGATCGCGACAGAGACCGCGACCGAGATCGAGACAGGGACCAACCCAGACCCAGACCCCGAGATAGAGATCGTGACCGACCCTTACCCCGCGAGCGCGACTACGAAGCACCACCAGCAAGCAAGCGACTGAGCATTACTGATCGCATCCTCAGCACATTCAACCCAGGTCGCAAAGACCCAGCCGCCAGCGCCGTAGGAACTACACCACTATCGCCTATCGAGCGAGACCGAGACGATGGCATAGACCGCAACTCGCCCCGACGCCGACCCAATGTCGAAAAAGTGCGAGAGTATCTAGACAAATGTAGCTCGCTGCACGGCAGCCACTGCAGCGGCGACGGTGGTCATGACATTCGTACCTGGCGGCCCGAATTTCTGATAGACACAGTGGATGTACGGCTGGTCGCAGCAAAGCCATCTGACCGATACATTGCGCTCAGTTATGTTTGGGGCACGGAAGTCCGACGTGCTACGCAGGAAATGCCAGCCCAGCTTCTGCGATCCAACGTGGAGGAGCTGCAGAATACGCTCTCAGGTGTCAACATCCCCCGCACCATCGCAGACGCCATGTACCTGACAAAGAAGCTTGGTATTCGGTTCCTCTGGGTTGATCGCCTCTGCATTGTACAGGATGACGAGTCGGTCCGGGAGAACCACATCAGCCACATGGCATACATATTCTCCAACGCCTATCTCACCGTTATCGCCGCATCGGGCGACGTCTACTCTGGATTAGAGGGTGGTGCGGCGCCATCCCGCCGTCAATCCCTCAAAGGCGGCAGCACAAGCCACCAAGATATGCTTGCAAGGTCAAGGTGGAATACTCGAGGATGGACGCTACAGGAGCTGCTGTACTCGCGACGAGCCGTCTTCTTCTTCCCGGAAGGTATATCTTGGGAATGTCACTGCGATATCTGGCAAGGAAGCTCGGGTGGTCTTAGCAAGATGTTCCGAGGATCTAACAATTCCGCACCGTGCAACAACAGGCTCTCTTCATCCGCTTTTGGCTTCCAGCATTCACCGTGGCCCGACTTGGAGGAATATGCGCGCATTGCGGCTGATTATAGTGCCCGCCGCGTAACATTTGTCGATGATACGCTCAAAGCCTTCTCTGGCATTACTCACGTACTGTCCAAAGTCTTCCCAGGAGGCTTCATGTACGGCATGCCGCTCCTGTTTCTGGATGTAGCCTTGCTCTGGCGTCCCCAAGCTTCCATCCGACGCAGAGCGCTATCCCGCCCGCCGTTTCTGCCATCTTGGTCCTGGATGGGATGGTGGTTTGATGGTGTCCCGGTCGACTTGACCCTTTGGCGAGCATCTGCCGACTATGTTGAGGAGTCTAGAGCTGGTAAGCGAGGTCAGCCTATCAAGCGTTTCCAGTCGCCCATTTCATTCCGCATCAAGCCTACTATAACGTGGAGGCTTACAGATCGTTCCGTCAATGTTCCGGTGCCAAATATGGGCTTCCAGTTCCGTGAATTACGCAGTCGCCGTAACACATCCGCCGTCATGCCCCCAGGATGGAGTAGGCAAGGTCAGCGCTTCGTCCACGACAGCGACGACCTGACCTATTTCAGATACCCAGTGCCTGTGGAAGATCCGCCAGAGGAGGGCGAGCACGAGGCTCCAGCTGGAGAGATTATAAATCCTGGGCCGCTGCTCTCATTTACGACAACTGGCGGCCTGTTTGACGTTAGCTTTGCAGAGGCATTCTCGCCGCCAGACTCTACTACCCCTCCTGTCGCCATAGGAAATATCCTGTCGCGATCGAACAAATGGATTGGCGAGTTCCGTGCCCACGACGCCTGGCTAGGAATCCAGTCGTCTAACTATGCTGGTGATGAGAAACTTGAGTTTATCGCCATCTCTACGGCCATGGAGCGGCGCGGGTCGCTCGTCTTCTCCCCAGAGCAGTTTGAAGAAAACGTGGAGTCAGACGGTATTATGGATATCGTGAATGTACTTTGGATCGAACGCATTGGCGGCGTGGCTTACCGTCGCGGCATTGGGCATATTGTTCGAAAGGCCTGGGACGCTCATGCCAAGGATGAAGTTGACATTATGTTGGGTTGATTGATGGGAAAGCAGTAGACAGTTGGGGTTTCAGCGATGGCGTTGATTATTATTTTATGACAGAGACCAATATTACTTGGCGAGTAAATCGTGTATATCGGAATGTTTTATAATAGTATATTAGTTAGTGCATGGGCCGCCTGGTTCTTTGATCACCTTGTGTGTGGTAGCGAATTGATTGTTGAACAGAAGCCTTATATATTTGTGACATGGCAGATCTGCTATTGCTGATGAAACTGTATGAAGCAAACGTGGGATATTATCTTTTTATTGCAAACATTCAACTCTTTGTGCACCGCCGAGCCCTTGGTTTGCTGATCGTGGAGCTTGTTGCAGCGTACCCAAAACGGCATGACTCGTAAAAAGGCACCCGTCACGCGCTGCCCAAAACCACCAACTAGTCCCCCGCTGACGGCACCCGCCACAGGCACTGAGACCTGCATGCAACCCAACTGACTGCATAGCGGCTGAACGGTCTACGAGCACCAGCGTTCCCCCCTGGTCGCTATTAAATCACACGATCATCACCGTCGGGCCGTCCCTTTGCACTAAATCCCATCTCTGTGAGGCACCAGAGCATAGTTTCTGCTGCTATCGCAGTCGCTCATCGTGTCACAGTCCACGGCGACAATGGATTTTCTGCGCAACAAGACCAACGGTAGACAGCCGCCCCGAACCGCCGAATACGCGCCGTTGACCACCGACGACGATGTCCATGCTGAGTCCGAGACTCCGTACGCCCCCGATGAGCCTGCGGACGACCGTGTGCCCTTCTCCTGGTTTGAGTATGGCACGCTGACGTTCTTGGGCATGGCTATGCTCTGGGCATGGTACGTCTCTGCGATAGTCTCCAAACGACCGAGTTACTAACCCCATTTGATAATGCAGGAACATGTTTCTCGCTGCTGCGCCTTACTTCTCATCGCGCTTCAAAGGCGATGGCTGGATCGAGACCAACTACCAATCGGCCATCATGACTGCTTCTACCATCACTAGTCTCGCCATCGCATACGTCCTCGCAAGGATGCAGAAATCTGCCTCCTATCCCTACCGAATTGCAGTCGCTCTTCTCATCAATGCCTTCGTGTGCTTTATTCTCATGATATCAACCACTATCTTCCTCAATGTGTCGCCTCGCTCCTATTTCGCCTTTCTTCTCCTCATGGTCGTCAGTACGTCGACAGCGACGGCCTTTATGCAAAATGGCATATTTTCATTCGTGGCCAGCCTCAACCGCCCCAAGTATATGCAGGGTTTAGTAAATGGCCAAGCTATAGCCGGAATCTTGCCCGCTTTAGCCAACATTGTCACCGTTCTCTTATTCCCCCCTCCGACGGTGGACTCGGACTACACTCCGGCTGAGAGGGCTGCCAAGGGGCAAACAGCAGCCTTTGTGTACTTCTTTACTGCAGTAGCCGTATCCGTAGCCGGCTTATTCCTTCTTATTCCTCTCGTCCGCCGCCATGGCGGTACAGTGAACCGCGTGATATCGCCGGACAACTCTGGAGTGGTGGATGATGCGGGCTCTGATGCTGATGGTGACGCCTTCAAAACTCGCAAAGTTGTGCCCATGGGTGTTCTCTTGAAGAAGCTCTTTTGGCCGTCCTCGTCTATCGCACTTATATTCGTTGCGACCATGTTTTTCCCCGTCTTCACAGCGCGAATCTTGTCTGTGGTATCCCCAGAGATCGCCAGCCCTCTTTTTCGCCCTTACGCATTCATTCCATTGGCCTTCTTCTTCTGGAACTTGGGTGATCTGCTTGGGAGAATAATTGCATCATCAGCTGGCAGTTTCACGAACAGCATATTTGTGCTCTTCATTTTGACTGCGTTGCGTGTTGGCCAAGTGCCACTCTATCTGCTTTGCAACATTGACGGGCTTGGCGCAGTCATTTCCAGTGACTTCTTTTACCTTGTAGTTGTACAGCTCTTCTTTGGACTGACCGGTGGTTGGATTTTCTCCAAGGTTATGACCCTAGCCCCCGAATCTGTCGACAAGAGCGAGCGTGAGGCTGCTGGAAGCTTTCTGGGCCTTGCCATCATGGTTGGCTTGTTGATCGGAAGTTTATTGAGTTTCATGGCATCAAACGTGTAAAATATAAGATATCTAGATTAATGTATATAGTGTACAAATATTTATGCTAATCCAACTAGGAAAGAAATTCTGCCGCGTGATTTCATTTAATACATATCTTCGTGTTCAGGAGTTACCAGAGCTGACACCCATTGGTGCTCCCAGCTCAACTGTGTAACCGAGAATTCAGGAAGACCGCGAGATGAAACAAGTGAGAGGTGATTTTTCAGGATAAGATCACTATGCAACTTCGTATCACCTCGACTGTGTCGTGACCGCTCTATCCTTTAACGCTAATAGACGGTGTGCAAATTCATCGACGTCGGCTGTTCGTATATAATGCACTCCTTGAGCTGATACGGAGCGTGTCTGTCGTTGTGGTTTACCCTCTTCATCAACTTGCAAAACAGAAGTGGCCGGCGGTCGACAATCTGAGGACATTTCCAATGCGCAGAGGGTAGGTACGTTGTAGTAGTCTCCTCGGAATTGGATCCTGTTTGCCGTGTAAAACCCGTCATTTATTAGCGCTGCTTCCAACCCGCGCCAGTGCGAGATCTTATTAGCTGGATTTTTCCAATCCAAATCGCCAAAGCGAAGCTTCAGTGGTCCTTCTTCAATCTCAACAGATGGCCGAAGTGATATCTGTGCGAAGCAAGTACAGTCCCGAATCGTCATTGCTAGTGCAAAGTTGGCATCTTTGGGGTCAGCTGTGAGCGGACCTGTGGTATCGTGCAGCATCTGTTGTCGCCGTAATTCTTTCATGATTGGCTGTTTTGTAATGTTTACAAGCCGCTTTGCAATGTATTCTCTGGCTGGAGACGTTGCCAGCCCGGGGGCTAATCGAAATGGTGAAGCAGCAGACGCCGCGCCACCGTCGTCACAAAGAGTTAGAGGGCAGGGCTTGTCGATGGGCAATGACCTGTCACCTGAGGGATTTGTGATGAAATATCGCAGTTCTAGTGCGCATTGCCTGCATCGAATAGCATTCGCCGGTGCACTTGGTGACTGAGCTAGCCATTTTGGTTTGAATTCTACCGTGAAATGGTCAGAGTCTGCACGAAGGTTAGCCCTGGTAGCAGTCTCGTTTGACCTGAATAGTTACCTTTTGCTGTCATGTCCTCTACTAAAAGGCCAAATTCACTCTCCCCAATGAAGGACCCGCGGAATTTCTTTTTTCTTTTGACATCCAGACTCGCTAACAGATTGTTCATTTCCTCGAAAATGTCATGATGACGGAGGCCAACCATCTCTTGATGAACGGCATATTTACCCAACACTGGTAAAATGGACTTTTCGAAAAAACTTTGCTGAAAAAGATAATCGTATGTACTCTTCTGCCCTCGTTGAGGCACCTTGGCAACGCGAAGAAGCAATCCTTCAATCTATCAGCAGACGCTCAAACGATATCTTTCACTAGTCTCACCTTTGAATTGTGTCGCTGATTCATCGGTGACGGGCACTTGAATCTCAAAAACCGCATTCGCAGCCCCTTCGCCGATAAATCGAATGGGCTTTGTGCCCCGTGGCAGCTCTTTTATCGAGTTGGACGTGACTTTCGTAAGGGCGAAAGAACCCGGCTCATCGCGACCGCGGCTAGATCGCCTCTTTCGTGCCGACAAATCAGAAGTCACCGCTTTAGAAGGAGATAGCCCATAGCTCCTGGAATCTATGCTCCTGGATCGTGGCAGCCCGCCAGAGGTCATGGTTGGGGCGCAGGGTATAGTATGTGTGGTGCTGCCCTGCAGGTTGATGCAGGAACCGCGGGGTAGGCGTTAGCGAGGGTCCCTAAAGGGTGGCCAGAGACATATTTAGGTGCGAGTGCAGAAGGTGTTTTGAAGACCGGCTGGAACGGTAAATGTAAGTTTTGGCCGCTACTAATAAGTTAAAGGTAACAACCAGGATGAAAACGTTTCGAATGAAGCAAGGTTGAAAGTTTACGCCGACCGTATGTAGTTTTCATAGCCTTGACTCAGTTTGCGCTGACCACCTCAGAGCCACAATATAGTGACGAACTAACAACCCTTTATGTACGACAATACAATTTCGTCTAAAGCTGTTTACCTTTGAGATTACGCCTACTGGGGTTTTTAGTAGAAAGATAATAGGAAATTTCATGATGGCTTAGTCGCAAGCATAGGCAAAGCATTGGGGCCACCCTATAAGGTAGCTAGCTAGCTGTAAATACCAACCAAGTTGGGGTGAACTGGTATTTGATCGGAGCTGGGCAACCTAGCGCCACAGTTGGGCGAAGCCAGCGACACATGAGAGGCAACCAATGAATATGCAAAAGCTGCATAACCGCCATAGTGCTGCTGGTTGACTGAATAAGAACCGAACATCAATCGTTGGGGTCCCCCTACCCTCTAGCATGTCCCCTGGCGATAATATTCAAAACTGTAGCTCTCCAGAGCTGATCCAACAGCTAGCTGGCACAGATCTGCACGCCATGTATCACAACTCGCATTTCTATATACACAAGGCGCTTGAGGGTTCTCACCTTATTGCCCTTGCTTCGCTACCGAATGGTGTGGCAGAGATGTGCGGGGTACGAGGTTTCGACAGAAGGTGTATGGTTCCAGAAAACGTAGGCACCTGATGCCAGCACCAGTATAACATCGAACGCGAAGCTATATCAGCCGGGCATCGCGAGTTGGCTGAATGGCGCGTGAGCAGTCACGCATGGCGGGCGCGTAGTGAACCTATACGCCGCAGCGTCGCAATATACTGGAAGCTCTGTACTGAGCCCTAGTGGTTGCGGGGTAGTGGCAACGGCAGTGGCAAACAACGAGCCTCTGTCACCCGGGCACTGGCTTGGTTAGCGGTTGGAGCAGCAAAAGCTAGTGGTCGGTTGCCCGGGGCGCGCATGACGAGCCGAGGAAAAAAGCAACCAAGTAAACAAGCGTCAGGTGATTTCGCGACGAACAACAGGGCGACAAAGCACCAACATGTTTGCCTATTTTCTGGGCTTCGTGTTTTCAAGCGTGTAAATTGTTGTAATAAACGGCTTTTGGGGGCATGAATTATGAAAAGAGCTCATTTACTAAAGAACCCTGTTGCTAAACCGTGGACCACTTCGGCCAACATCGGGACGGGGTTATCAAATTACAGGTACCTACTTACAAGCATTACAGTGCTAAGGATGCTATAATTTCACTAGTTTAGGGGGTAAGTTGACTGACACCCAATGTACCCAATGGGCGGAGCTTCTGCGGGGAGGTACCCAAGTGGTTGCATGTTGTGGGGAAGCCAAGGGAGGAGAAGCTAGTGGTAAAGCCACAAGCCAGCGCTGCTGTCCCGAGGGTCACAGTACCTAGGAACCCACTGAAGCAGAAAAAAAACCCCGAACCACAGCGCACCCCCGTTTGCACCCGAGGAAGAAAAAAAATGACGAGAGCTGACAATATATGCAGTCATCGTCGCTCCGCGCTGCGTCTTCTTCCTCCCTTCAGCTACCTCTCGGCTTCGTCAACGTCAACCGTTACGACCGGTCAATAATCTGCCGACTGCTCATATTCATCCTTTATATTTGCTCTTCTTTGGAGAGATCGTTTTTCTCAAAAGAAGAAATAATAACCGCATACCTGGTGCTCCTTGACGATTCGCTTTCTCCGGAAGCCCGAACGACGACCAAGCCTCGATTTGATAAACAACCTCCTCCTTAATGATCGCGAGGCAATAACTGCCATCTCAACATGGCCTTTAACTTTAACTGGTCACCCTTGACGGCCGACGCCGAGTTTTACTCGCGCGCTCGCGACCTCTTGACCAAGGCGCTCAATAAGTCGCCAAAGCCGCCCATCATTGTTGACGACATTCTGGTTAGCGAATTTAACTTGGGCACCTTGCCCCCCGACCTGGAAATCCTCGAGATTGGCGATCTTGCTGAAGACAGATTCCGCGGAATTTTCAAAATGACATATTCTGGCGATGCTTTCTTGACTTTAAAGACCCGTGTTCAGGTATGACCGTTCCTACCTTAACTTTTTTTTTTTCGCACTGCCCCTGGGTTTGCAACCCACGACTCGCGCCCGTAGCACTGGTCCACCACTGTCCACGGAAATTTGCACAGCACGAGAACAATTGCCAAACACTCTGTCTTACTCGCAAGGTGTCAATGCAAACTATGGACATAAAACTAATTGCTGTTATTACAGGCAAATCCCCTCAATACATATCTCGACTCTAAACCAAGCTTCACGTCTCCTCAACCGCTTGCGGCTGCGTCTGGCCTTACCATCCCACTCTCCATTACATTATCCGACTTTAAACTATCCGCCTTTATTATATTGGTCTTTTCTAAGCAAAAAGGCTTGACACTAGTCTTTCGAAATGACCCCCTTGAGTCTCTCAAGGTCTCGTCGACCTTTGACTCGATCCAATTCGTCCGCGACTACCTCCAGCGAACCATCGAGCAACAACTGCGCAACTTGATGATGGACGAATTGCCTGCTATTATTCATAGATTGTCACTGCAGCTCTGGTGTCCTGATGCTACCCAGAAGGGCGCCGAAACCCCGGTTGACAATGGCGACGAGCTTCGTGTGAATCCATTTGCCAGCCTACCCTCCGATCCTGTCGACGCAAGCGGTAATTTGATTGACCTACAGGGTCTATCAGATTTGTCTATTACTGGAAATGGCGAGATGCAATCGCTCTTTTCTCAAAAGAACCTACTTCGACTAGCAGCATTGACCGATTCGCATCGCACGTTGTCGCTGTTCACCCCCGGCATTCGCGACGTGGTCTTCCGAGCATGGTCTGGCCATTTGGACCATTCCGACTCGTCCTCGCCAGCTACTTTGACACCGAGCCTTACAAAGACGTACTCTGTGCCAGGAGCTGCCAGCACAATCTACACCTTCTCAGACACCGCAAGCGGGTCACAGGGATACTTCCCAACACGACCATCGCTTGTATCACTAAACTCGGGCAATATTCCATCAGCAGCTGCTCACCACCGCTCCCGACCTGGAAGAAAGAAGAAGACCCGTGTTGTGAACTTGCGCCGCGCCAAGTCTGAGGCCGGTTCCTCCGACGCCATGTCTGACGATGCCACCGATACCGCCTCAGTGAACATGCCGCTGTCTGAGCCCGTCGTCGCACCATCTGTTTCCGATGCCGAAGCTGGTGTAGAGGTCAAGGACAAGTCTACCGGAAAGGTTCGATTCAGCTCCACTGCCTCTGATGGCGGCATTCCCCCTCAGATGCCTGTTCCTATGGACCTGGTCAAGCGTCTGCAGGACCTCGAGCGAACCAAGGCTTCTTTGAAGGAATCCCATGCTCGCTCTCCTCTTTCTCAAGAGTATGATCCCTCCGAAGAGCTCATTGCGTCTCTCAAGGCCAGTGAAAAGATTGGCTCCGCTGCTGATCAGCACTGTTCCAGCTCCGACACCTCTTCCGTGATTCTCGAGCAAGCTTGGATCATGAAGATGGCTGGCGAAATTGCCAAGCGCGTTTACGACGAGAAGCAACGCCGCCAGGGCAACTGGGAGGCCGACCCGGAACCGGTTCCCCCTCCTGCCTACGAAGCCTCTTCTCACTAAACCACACCCGTTCAACAAAAACCTGTACATTACTGCCATTCCTTTTTCTTACGACTGCAACTTTTATGCCCTCTTCTTTTTAATGTACGGGCTCTACTTATGACATCCTTTTTGCGACAGCATCTTCGTCGCCGAATGATGTACATTTCTGCTTCTTTATTTGCATCTGTCTCATAGCGGCGCACCGCGGCAACACAGCACTCATACTCCTATTTGCTTTGGAGACCAGGTCACAGCGAGACCTGTTTACTGCATGTGTAGTTTACTTGTTTGCCCTTTTCATTGAGCCTTGCAACATTGCCATTTTTCATCTTTTGGTTGCGACATCTGGTCCCGGGAGGACAGGTATATGCAGACTGCCTTTTTACTTTTTCATTCACTAGCAAGCATTTTTTGCATTTGATGCCTTTCCACTTGGGAAGACTTTGCTTGCGGCCTCATTCTGCTATTGATACCTGTTTTGATTTACTGTTGGCCGGGCCGGAAAATTTGTTTTTTTAGGGACGGTGCTCCCGGTTTGGGGAGTGTCAAGGATCTGCTGGGAGGCTCTCACAAGAGCCTACTTATTTTGCGATTTTTACTTGAGGGTACCTGTAGGGAACAGGGCCTTGACTGGGATACTCTGTGACGGACATGGAGTTTGAGCTTATTATGATGATGTTTTTTTGATGCTCGCGCTTAGATCGCGGGCAGTGTAGGACAAGATGCGAGAATCACTCCAATCTATTGCTCTATTCTAATTTCCAAATGCCTCTGAACCTTGTGAAGCATGATGACTTTTGTTGCTCTGCATCGTCGTAATGCATACTCCCTTCATCTGGTGTCGTATTATAAAAAACATGGTGTGCGCCTGTGCTGTTGTTCGCCCTGGCATTACTGGTTTCCAGTGTCTTGCTCAGCGTGTCGCGTCTTTCTGGGACAGGTTCATTGTCCATTAAGCTCCGTAGAAATCGATGTATCGCTGGTGAGCGGCGATTGGACGCTGCAACTAGAGGCTAGTCGGACGCCATCAATAAACAGAGCTGCTGGAGAGGTAGCAGCGGCGCGGCGCGCTGGGCTACAGCGCTCGCGAGGCTTGCCTCAGTAGTTATCTTTGATTTTGCGCTTCCGCGGCCGTCTCGTCTTCTAGGCGGGTTTGGCCGCGACAGCAGCTGCCGCATTTTCTGCCTTGAGTTTTGCCAACAGGGCCTCCTTGTCCTTGAGCTCCTCCAGTAATTTGGCGTTCATTTCTTCCGTCTTGGTTTGCGCGTCCTTCAGCTTCTTGATTTCGGCAGCCTCGGTTTCTCTGCTAAACGGCTGGCCTGGGCGTGTATGTCTAGGAATCATCGCAGTATGTTCCCAGACCTCGCCGCTGTCGGGTGCGGGCAATGGTGGTGGTGCCTTGTTTTTGCCTTTGCCCTTGCCAGTGCCTTTCCAGCCCTTGGGGACGGCACCACTTGTGAGAATGTTGTAGAATACTTCGAACGGTTCGTTGAATAGTTGCTCTTCGTAGCTCCATGATCTAATCTGGCCATTTTGCGCAACCATCGCCGCCTTCTCTTCGTCGTTGCGGCCAAACGGGTGTAGGCGCAAGTAGTGGTACATGGTTTGGGGTTTCTCCGCGGATTCATTGATGTAATACAGCTTGATTCCTATATCGAACTCACCCCATCCAGTCTCGGTGACGCTAAAGGCCTTACCAGGTTCAGCTTCAATCACTATCGCGTTTGTTAGTCTCATGTTCAGGTGTTCGCGGGGCGAGCCGCCATGCGGGCAGGGACAGCTTACTCCGGACGCAGTTGGGAATCGACTCGTGCAGCTTGAACTGAACTCGGCGAAGCCAATATGTAATATCTGTATCATCGACACCCTTGACAAACACCTCCCACGAGTGCGTATGGTTGTCAGGCGCTCCGACGGGTCGAGGGTTGGAGTCGGAAAACGGCGTGGCGGTAGAGCCAATGACGAACGGCCGTCGGACTTGCGTGAGCTTAACGCGCTTTCCGTATTGTGTATTAGGCGCCATGTTTGCGACTGATTGCGTGTCGCTTTTGATGAATTCGTGCTGTGCGGTGGCGGCGCGTCGATGCAGGCGTGGTTGTGAAGTCGTGGAAGTTGAAGACTCCAGTGAAGTGGGAAAAAAAGGCCTGATGCGATTTCCACCTCCGGGAATTGGCGCTAGCGTCCAGCCTTGCACAGACAGCCGGTAGCCTTATGGGAGAGATGCATGGCGTTATGGTGGTGTATTCATGATGCAAAAAACATATGCAAATGTTAATGGATTTATAAATCGCCAACTAATCAAATTTGCTATTATGACATCAATTGCGTCTAGAGGGCCCAGTGCTGCCTCAGCGTCAACGCCTGTTGCCTTTAGCGGGCACCGGGTGCCTAAGGTGCGAAAACCACGATGCTCATGGCGCTATGATTTCATCACTTTGCCCGCAGCATCGGCGCTTGTTTCTCTAATCCCGCCTCGGCCACACCAACTTCCATTCGCTCCTTGTCCCAGCATCAAATCCAATTGGAGCGATACGTCGATAACGAGAACATATAATTCTTCTATTGCCCGATCCATCTGTCCATTTCGATCCTCAAAGTAGCTCCATGGCAGCTTCAAAACGCCTCGTCGTCTGCGGCGGCAGCGGCTTCCTCGGCTCCAGAGTCTGCAAATACGCTGTCGCGCGAGGATGGGACGTCATTTCTATTAGGTATAAACTATAACATAGTATCCAATATTACAATGAAGCTGACAACGCATCGCAGCCGCTCCGGTCAACCTCGATGGGACGCCGTGACGTCTTCAGCTGCTCCGCCCAACTGGGCTCACAAAGTAACATGGGAACGGGCCGATATCCTTAGACCGAAAACATATGCACCATTCCTACAGGGTGCCAGCTATGTCGTACATAGCATGGGCATCCTGCTCGAATCAGACTACAAGGGTCTCGTCTCTGGTAGGGAATCGCCAATCGCTGGCCTCCAAAAGATGTTTGCGACTACGCGAGATAGAGGTGTCAATCCGCTCGAAAAAGGCCTCGGTGAAGATATAGCACCCGCAAACCCCGAAGATCAATTCTCATACGAAATAATGAACCGTGATAGCGCGGTAGCATTGGCTAAACACGCTGCCGAAGCAAAGGCCGAAGGGTTCTGCTATGTCTCCGCCTCGCACGGCGCGCCAGTCCTCCCACAACGTTATATTACGACCAAACGACAAGCCGAAAACCTCATTACCAATCAGTTCCCCGAGATGCGCAGCGTTTTTGTTAGACCCCCTCTCATGTACGACAACTCGCGTCCGCTAACCATGGGTATCGCCGCCATGGCTGGTGCTGGTATGATCTTCAACAAGGCGACTGGCGGCTACCTGAAGAGCTTTATGGGTGCGGCTGGCGATAAACCTGTCAAGGTGGAAATGGTGGCTGAAGCGATTGTAGAAGCGCTTGATGACGGAAAAGTCCAAGGCCCTGTTGAGACAAAACAAATGGAAGAGCTTGCAACCAGGTCTTGGAGAAAGACGATGCTTTAATGACGGCAACAGGCAGTCAATGTACAGAAATATAGTTTAGGTCCGAATCCCAGCTTGATCAAAATGTAACAGTATTCCATTGATATAATATCTACAAGCAATATGCTGACCCTTGCCACCGGTATAAACGCCGTAGTAACCCAGCTTCCAATAGTCCAAAATAAATATACGCCGTTTAAATCATAGTGCCACGTTCGAAACTGTCCCGGATGTCCGACGTGTACTTGTCGTAGAATCTGGCAAGCTTCTGGTTGAACTGCTTGTTCTTCTCGTTAATGTACGTCACATCGCCGTCATCGCCATTCTTAGCCATGCGCTCCTTGCGCTTCTTCAGGCTTTGTTCCTCAGCTCTGCGCAAATCTGCAACCAGGCGGTCAACCGCGGCCTTGTCTGGCTTGCTCTCAGCAAACGATGTTGAGTCGGCCGTCGAGTAAAATGTGCCGTCCTTGTCCACTGCAATCATTTCGCCATCCTCGGTTTCGACGATTTCAAGTCCGCCCGAAGCTGCTGCCTTTTCAATAGCTGCAAGCTTCTCTTTGTGGTATTGCTCCAAGTCGGGGTTGATGTTTTGCAGCTGTCGTTTGTACACCTTGTTGCTTTCTTGCTGGTAGTCGTGGAAGACATTGTTGTCGCGAGCTGCCGCCTTCTTCTTGAGTCGCTTATCCCATTTTTCGCTCTCATCAATAGTCCAATCCCAGGCGCGCTTCCTCTCAAAGTCCTCGCCAGCTTCTTCTGTCTCGGCCTTGAGTAGCTTATGCGACGCAATAGCGTGTCGACGACGGATGCCTGCGAGTTGTGTAGGGTCTTGTGCTAGTCGCTCCGATTCGATAGTAACCTCCTTCATGTTGGTTTCTGATGATGTCTTTGCTCTCGCCTTCAGAGCCTTGAAACGTGCCATGCGATCTTGAGCAGATGTCGTTGAGCTGCTGGCCTCAGCCGCGAGCTCAGCAGCCTTTGCCTCGACGGCGGGAGGCGCCTCGGAATCAGGTTTCGGCTCTTCATTGTCCGCTTCAGCGCCTCTCTTCTTCGACGGAGGCGCCATCTTTTGTGATAGTGTGTATGGAGGATGTTGGTGATGCGTCGAGACTCAAAGTTTTGGAGGATGGTAGTATGGTCACGCTGCCGAATAAACTCCGGAGAAACTTTTCCACTCGGCGGCGCTGAGACGCAGCCTGTGGCGGGACTCGCACACCCACTGAGCGCCCGCTGAGCGCCCACTGCGGGACCCCTGACGGGTGGACGCTAGCGCAGTTCATTGCCTGGGGAAACCTCCGCATGATCCCCATCGCTGTCGCAGCCGCGCTCAACATCATTGCTCTTCTGAAGCGGTAGCAGCCCAAGGACGCCTCTGGATTCACGAATAGAGAAGAGACTCCCGTTCAATCGGATACTAAAGAGCCGAAACCAACGAATGATACGCCCAACATTGCGCTGGCCGTTGCGGGCGGCCAGCAACTCGATAGCGTCATGCGTCCAGCATCAACGGCGAACGAAGATGTACGAGCGCAAAACAAACAGCGAAAATGAGACATACTACGTGAAACGAAGACGAGAGTCTGTGGCAGAAGAAGACTTACCACCACAAGAAGAGTTCTTCGACATGCCAAATCTCCTCCTCGATCTAGACGCTGAAGGAGTTCGCCACGTGAGACCGTTCGAAGCAGCGGACGAGTTGGCCATGGCTCAGACTTTCTCAACCTCGCAAAGGAGAGCAGAAGTGAAATTGCAAATGAAGGAACTAGAGAGACAAGTCTTGGAATTACGAAGCAAAACAGAAGAAATCTTCCAAAACCCCGCTCACCCTTGGCGCTTGACAAGATACGATCTACTCTCTGCTGCGCTTCAAAGCCCAATAACCAATGCGACGGCAAACATACCCGATAGCGAAGCAATAAAGTGGATTGACATTGCGGCGAACAAGACATTTGAATCTACAGTGGAAAACAATGGCGTCCCCGCGCATGCTACAGAGAACGACCAACATCTTCTCGAATGGTTGTTGCTGCGAAGCCGGGCATTACGACATCATGTGGCCTCTGGGACAGACAAACATTTGACCTTTGACGACTTTTCTGCAGCATTGAGCTCGACGAAATCCTTGGCAGAGGTCCGGCGCCTTACAAACTCGTATCTTTCGTCCATCGGTTCACAGCAGCCTAAGTCTACATTCGCATTGGAGCTACGGGAGTGTGTTCTTGCCACGCTGGTAGAGGACCCAACGTGTACATCAGAGGCTTTAATATTTATAAGTAATGTCACAGCCCGTCTTAAGTTCAACAAAGACGAAGCCGACGTTCTTGTGCCATTTGCCCTTCGAATTTCGACTGCACTAGGCGAACTCGAGGCGGCTGCACAATGGTTGCAACATCTAAACACCTCTGGTGTGTCACAAACCATGACAGCATCTGTTGAAGATCTTTTCTGCTCAATTCAAAGCTTAGGGGGCCAGATTCATACCTCCGATATTATGACGAAGCAACGTATCTTTGAACTGTTGACAGGCTACAACGGCCCCGGAGTGCAGCAGCCGTCAGTTGCGCTTACTTTACGATCCATGCTGGAGAAGAAATCATCACCAGAAGCTCTGGCAGCATATGAGGTCTATGTACAGAGTCTTAGGCACCTTGGTGCAACAAGACTTCTCCAGACTGAAGCGCAGTTTGCACGTAACGCCTTGACTGATACACCTTCACTACAGTTGATATTCCAAAATGCGGAACGGAATTTAGGGAGCCATGCTAGTGGTTTATTTCCAGAGCAGCAATCAAGCCCAAGTGCGGATTGGGGACAGCTTGCAAAACTAGATTATGAGAGTCTCCAAGCGAACAAGGCGCCAGATGATCTAGCACTATTCAAGTTGTCTTTGAAAGACTACATGGCAAGCAAGGCATAACAAGCTTTAACCAAACGTAGCGTATACTATACGCTTGTATCATATACAATGTACATATGTAGCGTTTTAGGAAGCAGCATCTCATGTGCAGTGAAATTGACAGCAAATTGTGCTTTTAATTTGTTTACGAATCGATTCTACGCTCTATTGACGAGGGGGTATTGTTAGTATTGGATGATTATCATGCCACAGTGGCTAAATCGAGGTGATGAATTAACGAGTTAATACGTGCCACGTTGGTTCTTGGTCCATAGAGACGCGTATACCAGATGTCGAACCACGAAGAACCAAATTTTGTTGAGCTTTCGCTCAGTTAGGCAACATCCGCAGTGAGCTGGGCAGTGCGCTTGATTCCACTCCGAAACTTCCGGGTGGTGAGATGGACGACCCGGCACTGCCCCTGCAATGATGCTAAGAGCGGGAATATTGTATAGTAAGAAAAGCTGGGCTCAACCCACAGAAGAGGCGTGAGTCAGGAACAGACCAGGGAGCTCGCTGTAGAGATTGATATCCGAATACGTTCGCCGAGAATCGGATATCACCAAGAGTTGAGGTGAGCGGCCAGCCGCTCAGGATATCGTCGGGACAGCTCCCGAGCGATTTTAAGCGTGCCCCTGGTACTGTCAAACAAGAGCCGTATAAGGCAGCTCCATTATACACGGGGGGTTGCATGCGACGGATCGAAACGCGCTCATAGCTTGAGAATTTGATTGCCCCAGTGATATCCATAAGTGGCCTGCCCAGTATCCGCAAAACTGGTGGAGTTTGTGTGTCATGGCAAGCTGCGGCTCAGCCAGGTCCCCAACTTTCTCTCGCTGGGAAACCAAGCTTTTTTTGTTTCCCGTTATCCTAGTACACACCGCGAAGATCGAGAGTTGGCGCAAAAGATCGTAACCAGAGGATGCTATGAGGAGCTCTCTGTGGGAACGCATAGTCCAGCTAAACATGGAACTTTGAAAGATCGGCATCCCACTTTTGGTTCCCAAACGCAGCCGCGAAACCACAAGAATAGTGTCGTCTCATCAGGGTGAACAAAGGAATGGTGTCGGCCCAACTGTTTCGCATAGAGAAGACAATCTGTTCACACATAGACAAAGGAATCAGAAAAGAACCCTGAGGACAGTAAAGACCCTTGTTTTTGTGCTCTGTTGCACACGATGGTGACAGCTCCAATCGAGACCTTGATGGCTAAGGCTGGGACAGAGCCTACTGAGTCTATTTTCCAGAGGCTCAACCAGAGAGGTTAGTGGTCCCAACGGTTGCTTAACGGTTCTGTTGGGCCTGTGCCACAGAGACGCCTTGGCCCGGAGCGAAAAGCCCGCAGTGTATTCATCAATTAATATAGCACGAAGCTTAAATCCGGTCGTTGCGGGATAGTGTACCCACCAGCCCCCAAATACATTAGCGAGAGAATACGCAATACTGGTGAACTCGGGTAAAAAGGTTTGGAGACTGGTCACCTATGACGCTATGAAGCAGCAAAACGCGCTGTGCGGGCTTAATCAGCTGACCTTAAAGGGCGGAAAGTGCGCTAGCCTCAATAGGGTAATACGATCGAGCTGGGGGTGCAGGGAAAAGATCGACGGGGAGCAACTTTCATATTTTTAGTGGCAGCAAGCTGTGAAAGCCGGCACCAACAGAGTGGTAAAAGCGAAAACACAAGTAAAACAAATTTAATGCGAGTTAAAATGGGGTGAAAGATAATACATATTGTTTGGCTATTGTTGAAACATGTAAAAATTGAGCTTCAGGGAAACTTTTACCATTTACTCGCTCCCATAAGCCTGCCCAAGCGGAAGATCTGATAGCGCATGCTTCGCTCTACACGTGGTTTTTGGGATGTAGCTCCACAGCTTGCCGACCATGCACAATGGCCAGCCCTTTTAACAGGCTTAGTTGTATGTACACGGAGACTATTTAGCGTAAGCATGCCTCTATAATGACAACCGAGTGACCGAAGAGCCCGGTTTCTTCGACCAGCGCAGTATACCGTGGTGGGCTTTGTTTGGCGTAGAGCTATGCACCTCGGCAGATGATCTACAGAGTGGTGTGAAAGGAAGCAGGCGGTGGTGACAAACACGAAACCAGAGCGTAGCAGCAGCATACTGTAAAGTGAGAGCAAATTCCAGTATTTTTCTCTGGCTATGTTCCCCTTGAAGGGGTTGTTGTGCAAATGTGCGTCACTGGTCGCTGTGCTTGTCCGCGGTCAGGTGAGACAAGATCAACGGCTTTTACCTGAGCTGCAGCATACAGTAGGTGCGTTTAGATGGCCATCAGAACCACATATGCCGGTAAGAGCCATTTGTTGGACAATTTAGCGCAGGTATGGCGACGAGCAGTAAGAAAGCGAGAATATTTGCCGCAGGCAGCACAAACAAAGGGCCCGTCCCAGGTCAGACCAGTCGCTGGGAGTGACATACTGCTCCTAGCCCCAACGAGGCTGTTCCGCAGCATGCCGTTTTCACGAGCATCCCTTTGCCAACCCCCGGCATGGCCTAGAAACAACCCAGCAGACAAAAACCCGCTCTCTCTCTGTTTCTCTGCATTATTGACAGCAAGCACAGCTAAGGGGTGCCACCGTGGTTTAGGGGACAGCCGGGTGCTGCGACGGTGGTAAACCCTTGTCAGGAGAGCTATTTTAGCACGAACTTGGCCCGATGGCACCCAGAAGTGCCCTGCATGACATTACAGCGTAGGATAAGATGCTGCGCTGCCTGAGTCGCCACTGTGGACAGCTCTCGAACGGTCTGGGTAATAGAATAGCAGCAGCGAGAAGGAAAATTTTTGTGGTATTAGCGGCGAGGCTCAACTGAACTGGTAGACAGGGGGATATTGATGCCATGCTTAGCCGAACGACCTGGGGCGTGTGCGGCAAAGTCTGCCGTACTTAGCACGCTGTCTGTAAGACTCGGCAACGCAGCGAGCGTCCGTGGTCTTACTCGGCACTATATTGATGCATATTCTCTCTGTTTTCTGATTCATGCATACCAATGCACGGGGATGCTGAGTAGCCATGCTACGACATGGTGTTTGTTTGCCACTGGTTGCTTTTGGGATTTGCTGTTGTGCCAGCAGTCGCACTGCGTGATTGTTCGGCGCTCACTGGGGCCGCGCCGATCCCCCAGCTTTAGGGCGTTTGCATTGCCTAATGGCTGGCTTTATTCTCTAAAAGGCGCCAATGCATGGCGACCACACCTGGAGAGAGTTGGGAGAAGCACAAAAGGACATAAAAAAGCAATTGGGATGGGAAATGGCGTAGAACCTGGAATCCATACATGGTTCCCAGCATGTCCAGAATTCGATAGACCCCTAAATAAATAATCGAGCTGGAACTGTCCGATACGAAAGGAGCCGATGTAAGCCAGCCTGCCAACCGACAGCAGTAGCCCCGACCCTGCGCGTCAGACCTGGCGCACGCTATCGGTCGGGAGACCCCCAAACCCCATACTTGCGCTACGGGAACCGATTGCAGGGCAGAGATACGCAGCATTGAGTATGGGATAGGCGCTGCTGCTGCTGCTGCTGCTGCTGCACTAGTAGATAGTCTTGGCCTTTATCACCGACGACGGAATGCCCTCGTGACGCTGTCTTAAGAGATAGAGAATGGCTTTTTGCTTAGGATAGGCATGGCATTTCGTTCGTGGCGGTTAGCCACTAACACAGCCGGGAGCGTGTCTCTATGAAAGACAAGCCGGTTCGAGCTGGTCCGTGGTGAGGTTTCTCTCTGCTGCCAGCCTCGGTCCACATACCAGCCTGACTTGCAGAAACCAGGAATTCCATGCTGTGCATTTTTGTTTGGCTACAGTGTGCTGCGAATATACGGTGTAAAGAAGCAAGCTAGCGGTAGCGAACGAAGAGCGCACCACAGTTACTACAGCGCACAATCAATACTTGGCGGATACCTACCGCTGTACCATGTGTGCCTATAGGCTACTATAATTTGCCTCCGGAAGCCTAGAACAAACACGGGCACTGAAAACGTACCGGCAATTACAATGAAAAAGTTTAGTTTTTTTTTTTTTATCAAGCGAGATCCGGCGCACTAAACCTACAGGGAATTTGACACGCGCAAAATATCACCCTATCAGAAACAATCCTGTGCGCAAGAAGGCAATCGTTGAAAAAAATTTCGGCCACTAAAAACCACAACGGTGCGAGCAACGACAGGCCTCATCTTCACCCACGTTGTCTGTTGGCATGCTTAGGCTGGCTGTACTTGGTTCCCAACAGTGGAGCAGGCTACCCGTCGTCTTGCGTCTCGCAGCACGCAAGTCGCCCGCGGCGGCCCAATCGCGTCCCACCGCCCCGCCCGCCCTAGCAGGGCACGCAAGCGCTGAGCCACGCAGGCCAGAGCACGTTTTGCCCGCTGCAGCGCTCCCTTGGCCTGCTGGCGTGAGCAGAATTTTTCGTTTCAGTGGGCTACAGTGGACTCGCAAGGAGTCACACACCCCTCCATAGCGCCCTGTTGGCCACTAAAGTGCCAGCGTTCAGGGCGTATGGCCGCTCAAGAGGCTGGAAGCGGCTCCGTTGCAAGGAACATAGAGTGACGATGCGAAGTTTTTTCTCTTCATACAGTCGAATCACCGCGTCCAGCCTAGTCACACGTTTTTGGATGGCCCGTTATTTTCTTATTTTCATTATTATTATTATTATTTGTGGTAATCCTGCGGTTGAATGACATCGAGGCCGCCAGGTACATCAGGTACAAGCACAGGCCTGGAGCGAGAGGAATAACGCCTCAGGGCATTTTGTCGCCGCCTTCTCTGCTTCGCAAGCCTCATTCAATAGCTGTGGTCTATTTTCGTTGTCTTTTACGCGGACAATGAAAGACTCTTTCTTTATTTTAATGTTACAGTGACAATTAGCCTTTTTTTTTTCCTTTTACCGGGGAAACAAGAAAAAGCAAGCTGCTCCCCTCGATTTACGCACTCCCATAGCCCCAAATTTGAGCATCCCTCCGATCGCTGTCCCGATGCCATCCGCCCACCTAAACTGCGCCTGCTACAGCGCCTGCGTGACCGCTCTAGCGCAGCTGCTATGCTAAGCCCTTGGCTCAGCTCCGCCCGCCGTCCATCAAGGTCTCGCTTCCTGCGAGTTTGAGGGTTGTGTTTTTTGTGGCCTCCCTGCGGCTCATAAAATACCATGAATTATGGACGAAAATTTTCTACAGGACACAAAATCTATCAGCTTAGTCCTAGCGAGGTCTGGAATACACCGATCGGGACATTTTTTTCTATGTTTTTTTTGGCCGGCTCCTACTGCCACCACACATTCCCGGTTTCATGCTCCACTGCCCGGCTGACCACCGCGATCACGAAATAGAGCATCAATTAAACGTTTGTATGACGATTTGTGCTCTTGCTTCATGCGCTGAAGTGGTAGCTGGTTAAACCAAATAAAAACGAATCAAATCAAGTGTAAAATGACGACATTAATCTTTATTTCGTTGACATTTTTCTTGTATTTTTTCTCAGTGCTTGTATAACCACTGTCCAAGGCTGCGAGGTACTGTACAGCGCCGTATAGTGGACAGGTACCGCTAAAGAGAGAGACGCGTATAGTGCTCTTTAGCCCTCCCTTGGATTCTCTATGCCATTCGACTGCCGCATTCTCTCTCTTGGAATAAAAAAAAATGTCTACATATTATATTCATTTTGTGTTGCATTTCCCCTTGCAATTTCGCGTACGAATCACGCTATCCCACTCTAACTTTTTCTTTTGTCTCATTTACACTACAGTGCTTGCATCATTTCTGTTGCCCGCTCGCCCTCTGTTGCGTGACCCATCTCCGAGTTGCGTCTTCGGGGCTCCGGTTTTCGTCGACTCACACCTTGACGGCCCCATCGGTTGACACACCCCTCGTTTCCCGCATACACCCCTCCCCCTCTGCCTGTCGCCATTCACACCCAAGTCTCTGTTACCGGTATTTACAAAACCTCTTTGTCCGCACCCTCTCCTCCTCGTCTTCTGCTTCCCCTTCATATTTCAACCCACTGGCTCTCCAAGGAAACTTGTTCTTTCCTTCTTCCTCTATTGCATCCTCCATAGATCGCACACACATAACCACTCACCATGCCTCACTCACGAAGAAAGTCAGGCGGCTACGTCTCTGCCACATCATCCGACGGCAACCGCAAGACCGTCGTCGCCTCTGACTTCACAAGAACCGTCCGCACTTCCGTGCCTCGCCGATACACTCCCACATCCTCTACATCATCATCATCACAAAAGATTAGCAAGATGGCAAAGCCTAAGGCTGAGGTCTACGACGACGAGGCCGAGAGCTTCCCCCAGTTTTGGTAAGTCCGCACTCTCCCCACTTACACAGCACCATCGACGAGACAGCCAACTAACAGTCCACGTTGCAGCATGACCTGCGAGAAGCAATTCGTCCCCATCGACGACAAGTTCCTCTACTGCTCAGAATCGTAAGTTGATCCGACCAAACAAAAAAATCACGTTGGTTGCTAACCTCGCTCTACAGGTGCCGCCACAGCGACCAGTCCTCCACATCATCCGCCTCCTCTTCAACATTAACCCTTGGCCTCTATGGCTCGCACGACCACTCCGAATTCCACTACCACGAGCCTGCCAGAGATATTATTCCTCAAGCATCACCATCTCGCCCGACATCGACTCTCTTTGCCAGCTCGCCCTCGAGCTACGACGAGTACCACTCGCACCACGAGAGTGCTGTTGAGGCCCTCCGCTACTCGCTGAACAACATGGCTGTTCGACCTCCCTCGCCAGTATCACCAACCAGCGGCAGCATCTGGCCCTTCCGCAGAGCTAGTGCGGCTCCCTCGGTGTCCAGCAATGAGGATTCGTACCACAAGCCTGGATACATGACTTCAGCCACCTTCGACCCTGGTTACTACCACTACAACGGCGCTGCTGAGCGACCTCTGCCTACGAGACAACCATACGGATACTCGCGAAGCAAGAGCACCGAGCTGGTTACCCCGATCCTGACCAGGTAATCGACCCAAGCCAAAAAGCCAAGAATATTACAACAAAATACCAGGTGCGCGTCACCGTGGGTCCGATCGCGGAACCACGACCCGCAACCAAATCTTTCTCACCACTTTCAACATCTACTTCCAACATTTAATGCCATTACGACACCACTCTACACATTCAACTACATATCGGGAACTCTTTTAACACGGCGCGCTTTATTCTTATCTCATTCGGAAAACGGAACCATAAAAAAAGGGATCGGCATATTACTCTCTCGGCGTTTTTTTCTTACTTTTATACTTTGTCCTTGCTCTTGTATTTATAAAAAAAAGAGCAATATTATGTTTTAGAAAATATACACTCGAAATGTTTTTGGATAAAGACGTTTCTTCTAGAAGTTATTTTTTAGTTTTTTTTTTGTTCTGCGAGTTGGTCTGGGCTGTACTGAGTTGGCAATACTCATGTACGCTGCACTTGTTTACTACGGAGGCTTCAAAGCACCATCCGATACAATGTACTTAGCTAGCACACCAATCCAAGATTACCGCGTCTTATAACACACAAGACGACGTTGACCAAAGCAAAACTTATTCTACTTTACTTCATCACTTCGGGGATACATGTACACAACTTTCAGACATTTGCGAATTATTTGTAACTGCATTCGATCTTTCTTGCTTGGAGATAACACAAATCTATGGTACAAAAACAGCGGACGCTCGTAACAACAAGCGTCTCAGGTTTCACTAGACGAAGGTGCAAGATGGCAAAAAGGCGATACCATCCCAAAGCAGGGCTATAAAGAATCCTGTATTCTCTGGCGCTATAGACGCAGACGCCAATAATAATGATGTCAATGGCGATAATAATAGAAAAAAAGAAATATGCCGGATTTTAAAACACATAATATAGTAAAGGCAGACACTACTGGCCCGGTCTCGAGCTGACCATCTCGCCATATCTTCCTCTGTTCTTGGTGGTGTCATATGCTTGCAAAACACGCGTTTGGCTTTCGTCAGCCTGTGAAAAGGCATAGCCACGCTGCTTGCGCATACGCTGGACTTGGCGGACCTTGCGGATAGCCTTTTGGAATTGTTCCATTCTGTGAAGAAAAAACGTTAGAAATGCACAACGAAACTCATGTATAGAGTTGGAAGCATACCTGGGGCGATAATCCTGAATGTTGTACTTTTGAATCTCCTGAATGTGGTGATAGGTTTGGGGACGGTACATGCGCTTTGCGTATTTCCAGACGAAATCGCGAAGGAGGCAGAGACATGCGAGGGCAATGGTTTGGGCCCAGAATACAGGGCTAGTGTACAGTCTGGGGATGATGCCGCGGTATTCTGCTGAGAAGGGAATCATGGGTGCCACTGTACCGTAGATACCGATGAATCCGATCCAGACAACCATGCTACCGGGAATGGCCATGACGTGATACTTGGTCCAGTTGCTCGTAACGAGGCCTGCCTTGCCGAGCACGGTCAGCAAGGTGGCACCGTACAGACTTACACCCCACTGCCAGTGACCGGCTGTCTTGCCGTCCTCTTGGATGAGATCGCCGGCCCAGATCAAAGAGCCGAAAATATAGAGGATGGCAGAATGGTAGATGGCGGTCAGAATCCACTGGGCAAACACCTTAAGCTTGAACGACGAGTTTTGCTGTCCCATGACGTAGAGCTGAGGGTAACGGTCGAGGAGACGAGCAGAAATAAACTGGTCGAGAATACCAATGGCGAGAGGCGGGAAAACAGTAAAGAAGACGTTGTAGAAAGACAGGGTCCAAGATTCATAGAGAATCTGACCGGAAAAGACGTTTTCAAAGGCAAACTATATATGTGGTTAGCATCGATCGCAAGTAATGGAGTATTGTTCACGCAGACTTACCCAGAATTGTGTCAGATATAGAGCAATGTTTTTGTAGAATGAAAACAGAATCGTCTTGCTCACACGCTGGTAGCTCCAAGCACCATGTACAAGAAGCAGCTTACGCAGGAAACGGAACTGCGCAATAGCCACGTCTGCACTGCGCGCAGCTTGCAAACCTTCTTCGCCACTAATACCAACACCAATATGCGCTGCTTGGATCATTGAAACATCGTTGGCACCGTCACCAATGGCCAGCAAGATCGATTGCTTCTGGTACTTCTTGACAAGCTTGACAACAAGGGCTTTCTGCAAAGGTGATACACGGCAGCAAATGACCGCCTTGCACATGATGGCAAGGTCAAGGAAGAGCTTCTCAAGGTCCTTCTCAAGAGCATAGGTAAGTGATTTGCCATCAATAACAAGGGCCAATGTCTCTGTCTCAATGGTTCCATCGCCCTGTGTTCGGATAGCGTCGAGTTTCTTTTGGATGTTATCGCGGGTGCCTGCGGCCGTCTCTTCATTGACAATGAGGAGCATCATGTCTTCGCTTAGAAGCTTGCAACTCATACCAATGTTGATGGCTGTTTCCTGTCTGTCACCAGTCAAAACCCAAACCTTGATGTTAGCTTGCTGGAGAGTATGAATGGTCTCAGGGACGCCATCTTGGAGACGATCTTCAATAGCCGTTGCACCGAGAAGGAAGAAGTCATGCTCGATGATTTCAGCAGCCTTATCCAACTCTTCGGCACGCGTACCACCAACTGTAGTAGACGCAGCATCAAAAATGCGGTACCACTCCTCAAATTCTTGTTCAGGGACCTCGCGCATAGCGAGACACAGGGTTCGGAGACCTTCAGAGGCATATTCTTCTAGATGGCGGAGAGTGATCTCGACATGGGGGTTTTGATCGTTTAGGCGTTCCAGAATAACAGTATCGGCACCCTTGCAGTAGACGCGGATTTTACCATCCGGGCAGCGATAGATAGCAGACATACGCTTGCGCGTGGAGTTGAACTCACACACAGCCAGCAGTTCATATTCAAGCTCTTGGCCATTAGCCTCAATAATAACAGCCTTGGGCTTTCGGGCAGTGAACTTGTAACCGAGATCCAAGGCACCAGAAACGAGGGCGCCTTCATCAGGAGAAGCGGCTTGGTATTTGATCTTGCCCTTTTCGTCAATTTCAGGGATGACAGTATGGCAGGTAGCGAGTAGGGCGAGGAAATGATCGATGGCAGCAGCACTGGCATGGCCATTTTTCAAGTTGGAGCGAAGAGCGTTGAAGTCGTGGATACCAATTTCACCATCATCGACGGCTGTAGCACGTCGGTCTTCGGGGACCACCTCGGAGTACATGATTCCAGCAATGGAGCACTGTTTGAATTCCATTTGGTTGCATGTTAGCGTACCAGTTTTATCCGAAAAGACAAACTCGACCATGCCCAGCTCCTCAACCAAACTGGACGTTCTGCAGGTCGCGGGTGTATCGTTCTTATCGTAGTACATATCCATGTCGTCGTTGATGAGAATTCCGTGCCAATATTTAACCAATTCCACAGTAACAAAAAGTGAAATGGGAACCAGGGAGGAGAAGAGAACCCAGTATGTAACCATATCCTTGAAGAAGAGCTGGACGCTGATCGGATCAAGATACAGGTATGACAGAGTTTCAATCTTGGTCGCGCGGATGATAAGGTCGCCAATTGTGCTGATAATGCTGAGAACAAGCAGCATTCCAACGAGAACCAAAACTAGCCAGTTCAGCTGCTTCTCAACCTTGGTTCGCTTAATTGGTGCGGCAGTGGCATTTCGCATGAGCTTCGTCTCGTGGCCGGTGAAAACGACAACGCCGTGGATCCAAGGGGTATTGCGGAGAGTCGCACCGCGAAGGAGGAGCTGTTCCGGGTTAAGAGCGAGCTCCTTCTCGCCGCCACCTGTCTGTACGGTTAAAGTCGCTTCATAGGTGTAAAGACTAGAGTTTGGCTGTTCAGACTTGATTCGACCACCAAGCCGGCTTAGCTCGCTTGGGGAGACCATGCTTGAGGTTTCTGGAAGAGCTTGCTTGATCTTCAAGTTGGTTTCACCATCAAGATTGGCAGTTTCGATATAGCATAGACCTTCCGGCTCGGAACTAGCCAATAGCACCAAATCGGCTGGGAAAGGCTGCTCCGATTCGACTCGCACAACATCGCCCACTGCAACATTGACCCATTTTGTTTCTGTAAAGTTGGATCCTCGCAGGACATGTGCTTTGGAGTTGTTGAGCGCACTATCAGCCTGTTTTCGGCGATAATCCTCCACCAATTCCTTACCGGCTGAGATACACAGCACAACAATGAGGGGAGCAATGGTAGTATAACGGTTCGTGGGGGAGAGGCCCTTGAACTGCTGCAGGCCTGCAGTAAATAAGAAGAAGATATTGGCGAATTTAGAAAATTGTTCAAAGAGGAATTTGGGAAGGAAGGTGGCGAAGTTGTATTTGGCAGTCGAAATATGGTTGTCGACATATTTATTCGCCGAGTTCGCAGGCGGGTTGTTGAGGTGGATGATACGAGGACCGAGCGTAGCAGGGTCAACCTTGTTGCGTCCGAAGCCGAACTTGAAGTTCATATCGAAGCCTTTGCTTTTCTGAGCCTCGTTGGGGGCATTCGCACTGCTGGGACCACCTCGAGAAGTTGTCAAGGGAAGATCCATCTCAGAGTAGCCACCGCCCATGCCAAGCCTGTTTTTGACTCGGCCCATGAAGCCGCCGCCCATGCTGAGAACACTGTTTCGGTTGCGGGCATTGTTCATAGCAAACCGAGACGGCGTGTCGCCAGCGACAGAGTCGCCTTGGTGGTAGTAGGATTCGCCCTCATTGGGGTAGTCATCGAAGTCATCTGCATAGCGCTGGTAGTTTCCGAGCTCTGATGTTTGGCTGTACTGTCGGGTCATGTAAGGACCGGCCGCGTCACCTTTAGGGGTCTGGAGATGGGCACCGCTGCTGCCACTGGCGCCGCCGCGCGGAGGGGAGGAATAGGGAGGCGCTCCTCCGCCGACAAAGTCATCGTAGGAGACGGATGGACGTCCGGCATCGTTGTCCTGGTTATACGCTCGCAGCAAGTCGTCGTCGTTTACTGTGGAGCGTTGGCCCTGATTGTAGATTGGTTGCTCGTTGTCGAGATCCAAGAGCAGGTCGTTGCCATTGGACTTGGAGCCGCCGGGGGCTCCGGTAGGAGGTATTCTCCCAGCCATGCCGAAGGACAGCAGGCTATTCTATTGGAAAGTCGACCAAGTCAAAGTGCCGGTCATTCGGCAGGAAAAGCGTCGAGGATGCGAAGGCCAGTGTTGGCCCAGTCTGGCTGAATGTGGCGATGACGACGGTGATGGCAGCTGCTGGGGAACAGCAAAGTTTGTCGCCAAGAGTAAAGTTTCTTTTGTGTAGTTGGAGATGGGGAGAAGATGTTTCTCGGATGCGGAGGGGCTGGAAACAAGCGTTTCGTCAATGGCGAGGCGCCTTGTTGTCGACGCAAGAAAGTCTACGAAGGTGCACAGCCTCCTTGCCGCGTCTGAGCTTCCGCCAGAAAAGCCAGAGGTGGAAGAGACCACGACAGCGGCTGAGCTGGTGGGGCGTCGGACAGGAGAGCCAACACAGCGGGCGACGGGGCAGCGCTGTGACTGGCTGCAGCGCCAGTACCGGTGCTTTTACAGTGCCTTCTGCGGCAGCAACAGTGGCAGCGGCCCCCCTTTGCCCCTGTCTCAACGCGCTGGCAAAGGGGTCCAGCCTGCCAGCCCAACGGGTGATAGGGGGACATGGCAACTGTTGTTGTTTGTTAATGCGCTGCTTTTACACAAATGACGCATATAATTATTATATCATGTCTTTGAGCAAACTGCTGAGAATGGAAAGAAAGCTCAATAGGAAAATATCAATTATCCCCTCTCTCCCTCTTCTTTTCTGCACTGGCCTCGGGCAATTTTTTTTTGTTCCTCAGGAATTCAACAAGCGTCTCCATTCAATTTCATCAAACGCGCGTTGGCCTTAGTTAGCGCTCAGTCCCTCTCCGAATCGTTCAACCGCACTAACAGTGATCCACTCCCGCTCCCAGCTTGCTCAGTTAGTGCAGCCTTCCCGTCCACCCAAAAATAGCACCTCGACTCCCAAGGCCAACTTTTGCATTACGTCGTTTTAGCCCCCGTCGCAGGTTTGCACCCTGCAACGGTGCTACGGCTCCAACAGTACGAATATACGGCAGCAACCAGACTCTACTACGAAACGTTACCTGATCACCGAAACAAGCTCAGCCTACGTCATTCCCATTTGTTCGCTTCGAGTGGCTTGGCCCACTGCTGGCCCGCTGTCCGGCTGTGTATTGAAATGGACTGAAGTATGTATTTTATTTATTTACAAGGTACTTAAAGAACTTGACTGCAAAATCCTTCATTGGTTCATCCTCCTCTTATTTTTTAACTATTACAACAGAGATTGCTTCTTCAACCAGGCAGTGACATCTGCGTTGACTGCAGCCGCAGCCTCCGTCAAAGCCCAATGAGACGCCTCAACCTCGGTTCTCGTAAGGTTGGTAAAGTGCTGGCCCATAGCAGCACCCATGGAACGAGGCAGAGCATCGTCATGCGTTGCCCCAATAAAGAGCGCTGGCATCTCAATCTTGGCGTTGGCCTCGGCAAGCGGACGCTCTTCTTCAAAGTTGATAGGGCGGGTTCGGTACCAGTTGAACAGGCCGCGAGCCTGGGGGGCGTCGCGCAACATGTACTGATCGGTGTAGTATTCGAGTTCTTCTTCGGGTAGCAATGGCGTGGAGACAAGTCTATCCAGTCGGTCGAAGTAGAAGCCATCCAGTGTTGAGAATCCAACCTCGCCCTCTGGGGTACGGGCACCGTACAGAGCAAGGAGCAGCTGGCGCATCTTGTCTCGGCCTTGAAGCTTCTCCTGCGCTTCAGATCCCATCAATTGAAGCTGGTATCGGAAGTTGAGAAGGTGGCCCGATTCAATGATGGCCTCGAGAGGGATATACTGCGGCTGGCTCTGGGCGAATGGCGTGCAGACGCTGAAGACTCCCTTGATGAGCTTGGGGAACCACTGGGCAGTTCGCCAGACGACCATGCCTCCCCAGTCGTGTCCGCCCAAGATAATCTGGCCGTCCTCGCCAACAAATTGAGCAGCAAGCTCACGGATATCCTCCGCAACGCTCTTCAAGCTGTACTTCTCCAGCTCCATAGGCGCATCGGTGCCGGCATAGCCAACCATGTCGGGAACAACTACCTGGTAGCCAAGTGACATGAAGTAAGGAATCTGGTTGCGCCAGCCAAAGGCCATGTCTGGCCAGCCGTGAACGAGAACCATTGTGTCCTTCTTGGTGCCCTGAGGCTCACCGAGAATGTATCTCACATTCTTGCCTCGGATGGTAGTGTTGACGTGCCGCACTCGGCTGTCGTTGGGCTTAAGCTTGCTAGTATCCATTTGGTAGCACGGCCACTCGCTGTGAACTGTCGGGTATGCTGTGTGATTCAGTCGAAAGGTGTTGTGACTTGGTAGGAACAAATATCGGTCAAGAGTGGGAAATCGAACGAGCTAAGTAGTATTCTGGAAACCCCTCCGCTTACCAGTATTGTCTAGTCGGACTTTCGGGTCATCCGCCTGTAGTGTTATGCTTAACGCGGGGTGCCCACGTTAGCGGCCGGCCTTTTGGACAAGTCCGGCTCCAACGCCGCCGCCGTAAGACCCAGTGGACCTCGGCGTAGCCAGAGCTTGGTCGATAGACCATGTTATTCGTTATGTTCTGCCGTTATGCTGAAAAAATAGCCAAAATAGGAATGAAATCACTCGGGACCGGGCTGTAATGGAACATTGATTCATTTCGCTCTTTTTAGTTTGCCCGACTCGCTAATTGGCCGGGTGCCAATACAGTTTTAGCATTGGAATAATATAATACAGAAGCGATCAACATCGTCTTGAATAATACATTGGCGGAGATAAACCTCCATAGCCATGCCAACTAGTAGATAACGGCATCTTCATCGCCTTCTTCCATAATATCAGCCTCGTCATGGTGCTCGTGAGGCACAAGTGCCGTCGGCGTTGGCTCCTGAGCCGTAGCTATAACTTCTGTTGGTTGTGACTCAATTCCTTCACTTCCATTTTTCTGTTCGTCCTTTTTGGAATCTGTCACAGGTTCTGTAGTCTGCGGTGGCCCATCAGTTGTCGGATTCGAGGGATTGGGTAGCTTCTGAGGCGACGGTGACCTTGATCTTGATTCAGAAGCTGATCTGGACCGTGATCTGGATCTTGATGACAGTCTTTCCCGTTCAATGACTCTTGGTTGCCCCTTGGGCTCACCATATCTATCAATATGTTTCTGACGTTTATGTCGGAACAAGTCTTCCTGCCGCTGTATGAGCTCTTTCGCGCGGCTAATTTGTTCGTCGATGATGTCCTCTTGCTCGTCGGTGCACTTCCACGGCAAATAATACTAGTCTATGGTTAGATTGTCTTGTATAGGTACCATTTCCGAATTTTACACTTACTATTGTCGGCCTAGCCTTTGTGCTCAGAAAGCGTGCGAGTCGCAGCTCCTTGGAATGGCGATTCTTCATCTAGCAACAGTTAGTTTAACTTGTCTCAAGCCCTATGAAGTGGAATTCACTTACAATTTCTTCTTCAAAGACTATTTGCTCCGTCATACGGATTTCGCGGAGCTTTGCAAGTTTCTGAGATCTCTTGACGTCGTCTTCAGCGTCCTGTCTGTGCATCTTCTCTTGTTGCCGCTTTTCGATATCCTGCCGCCGTTTTTGCTCCGCAAGGGATGGCTTCTGACTTAGAGTACTCAGCAGCCCTCCAAATAGACGTTGTCCTCGCTTCTTTTCTTCCTGTTTTGCCACCTGCCGCTGCCCAGCATTCTTTTCGACTCTCGGGTATTTGCTATCGCTCGCATCGCCGTCGTGCCTTGTTCGTTTCGGGGAGCTTATTTCTCCTTCTTCTTTTTCATCATCGTCTTCATCAACAGACGCCTTTCGTTTGAGGCTTTTCTTATCGCTTGGTGCTTTTCTGTCGGCTGTGTCACCAGCAGCTTCCAGCGGCGCCCTAGGAAATGTTAGGCAATTGCGCACCACATGCGGCAAAGCGGAGGACTTACGATAACGCCGGGGCTATTGTTTCCATTGAAATTATCAGGCAAGCAATTAACTTTGTTTAATTATCAATATGCAACCTGCCGGACACCGTCAAAAGGATCGACGATTGGGTTGAGGTAGCGCAGCTGCTGCACGTGCAGGCGCCTACGCCAAAAAGTTCAGCGACCACTAGCGTCGTGTGACAGAGCAACCAAAACCGGCACCGCCCCTCTCAACCAGAGCTTGCCACTGCAAGGCTGATAAATCTTGCGCCGCAACGAAGAACGCGCTCTCGACTCTTCGCCTCCATCAACCTCAATCCACCATCAGGGACTCAGTAATTACCTGGTTTTTGTCAGAGAGAGTCGCTCGCCATCATGTCTCGCCACCATCCGTGAGTATTTTGACACCAAGCCCGTACAGGCCGAGCAGATCTTGCTAACCCTTTCTTCCTCGGCAGTGATCTCGTCATGTGTCGCAAACAGCCTGGCATCGCCATCGGCCGCTTGTGCGATAAGTGCGATGGTAAATGCCCTGTCTGCGATTCATACGTCCGACCCACGACCCTCGTGCGCATCTGCGACGAATGCAGCTTCGGCAACTACCAAAACAAGTGTGTCGTGTGCGGTGGTGAAGGCATCTCGGACGCGTTCTACTGCTTCGAGTGCACAAGATTGGAGAAAGACCGCGACGGATGCCCTAAGATTATAAACCTTGGCAGTTCAAGGACAGACGTACGTATCCCAATCATGTTTATCTGTCGCATTACCAGCTAACCCTTTACTTTCTGATAGCTGTTCTACCAAAAGAAAACGAACAGACAACCGAATTATTAGCCACGGGTCTTGTATATCGAAACATAACCCGTGGCACTCAATACCCTATTCGATTATGATGCTTTTTGTTATATTGAGAACTAGATTTTGCATGGTTGGCGTTGCCGGCGTTCCTTTTGAACCGCGGAAGTAGATGGCTTTTTGGTTGTCACAGAAAAACTTGAAAAAATAGAGCCGCTAGATAAAAGCAATACGAGCCTTACTTCACTTTTGTATTCATCTTGATTCGGTCTACAAAGCAAGTGCAAAATGGATAGTAGTGGTGTCATGATATCCGCCTGGATAATATATATTCGTTACAAAGTAAAAACAAGATAATCCAAATCCGTTGTCAACTCCTCAGTGGTCATGCGATGAGATAGTATATGTTACAATAGACCTTAACCTCAGCTTTAAATATAGCTGACTTTGGTGCCCATTCCTGCCGTGGCTCGAACCTTGGCCCATGAAGCACCGAGAATCTTCTGAATCCTTTGTCGGATACCCTTGTGGCCGAGCATTACCAAAAATCCAACAATAAAGACCAATAACCTGGTGACAACCGCAGGGTTGCTATTCAATGTAGCAGCCAACTGCTCAATAAGCGTTCGTACTCGCGAGAATACCATACTCGCTCGTGCACGAAGTGTAGGCGGAGCAACTGGACCACGACCAGTAGGACGGGATGTGCTAGATTGTGAAGGAGTAAGGCGGTGACCCCGTCGATTTGAAGGGCTGTTGTTTGTTTGTTCAACGCCATAATCCACTTCGCTGGCCTCTCTTCTCGCTCGCTCTTCTTCAAGTCGACGCTTCTCGCGCTCTTCATTTTCAGCGCGGAGGCGTCGGGCTTCTTCTAAATCACGACGAAGCTGGTCTTCTTGGCGTTGGCGCTCCTCTCTCTCTTGTCTCTCCTTCTCTTGTTGCTCTTCCTGTAAGCTCTCTAGGGCCTGTAGGAATGCTTCCCGTCTCTCATCGTCCAGAACAGAGCTTACACTGATGAACTCGCGGGCGTAATCCCACTCATTGTTGCGCAGCAGCACATGTAGTGTGTATAGCTCTAGTATTTTGACTCGGGCATTCAGATCTCGTGGAGTATCTGTTCCACCTGTACCAGGAGCTGGAGAGGCAAATCGACCCATGCGAGGGCCTGGGGATTTTCCTCCACCCAATCTGTTTCCGACGTCCAAATTAGGAGCATTACATGTGGCCAGGTACGATTCTAGTCTTCTTTGATTGAGTGACTGGTCGTTGGCGTGGGCAAGCAAAAGAGTAGCCCTAAACGAAAGATTCTTGTTAGCAAACGTACAGCTTAATAGGGATTGATCAAGAGTATTGGGCACAACTCACAAATTAATGACAACTTCGGAATCAACATCTCCCTCAACACCGTGGTATCCATTCCGGACAACTTCTTCCCAAACACTGCCTTCACGCACCTTGGCGCACAATGCCCGCCATTCCTGAGTGCCAAAGGCTTGTTTTCCCTCATCGGGCTCCATCTCCACAATTGCGTTAAGTGTAGTCAGATACAGGCTCCATACTTTTACTCTGGTCGTTCTTGACGAACGAGCCACAGGAGCCAAATCACCATCGTCGACGGCTCCAGGCGGAGTGATGAGTGGGAGCATTGTGCTCAGCGCCTCGGGCAAGCGACGCGTCAGGAAGAGTGTTGACGCTTGTCGATACGTCTTGGAAATCTGTGACGATTGTCTCACGGCCGTAGTAGATGTTGATAGAGAGGAGATGGAGGAGGAGAGTAATGACCGCGCAAACGGATCAGAGCTACCGACGGTGGGCGTAGGGCTCAGCGTCGGAGCATACTGGCTGCCGTTATAGGACGACATGGTGAAGAGTAATTGATTTTGTTGAATCTAAGTCAGTCGGTATGCTCTGTTATGGCATCCGGCTATGTCGTGTCGCGGCCGGAGCAGAGCGAGAAGCGAGATTTGCCCTTAACGCGATGCTAGGGCAGCGGTGATGAGAAAAGTCGCGATCGTAGAACACACAGCGTGGAAGAACCGTCCGATCGAGCAAACGAGCAAACGGCGGGGTGCGGTCAATAGGGAAATAATAATAAAAAACACGACTGAATGAGCTGGGATGGAAAGAAACAAAAGAAAAGGCGAGGGTAGAAAGACTAGTGGTGGCTACGATTGACACCGCGACATGTGCTCCGCTGCATGCCAGAGATGGGTTCGGTTCGGCCGTCGTGTGCCCCAGCTGTTTTGCTAAAGCCTCGGCAGAAACTTCTCCAGCAGGCGGCGTCCTGCTGTAGAGTGGGTGGCTGCTGCAGTTGGTGGAGCCTGGCCGCCGAGGCCGCTAGGCAGCTCGGTACAGCACCAGGCCGGATTTGGCGTGGGAGGGGAGGTTGGGGTGGGCGCTGTTAGCAGAGTACCACCGCTAGCGTCGGCTACTAGCCACCAACACAGGTCACTCAACAACCTCCGCGAGCTAACCTTCATCCACACCGCACCATGAAAGCAAGAGTCCGGAGGCAGGGGTTTGTTCTTGCATCGTTCCCCACCACACGCAACGGAGATTAAGGCCTGTTTCTAGAAAGTCTGGGGGCGACCTTTCATATGCCAGCACGAATTGTTGAACAAAGACGCGTTGGTCTGTACCCTCTAGTGTGGGGGAATGGCTTGGAGCGCATAAACGTCAATATTCGCACGCTCTATCTACAATGCTAATCTCATTAGGCTGTATGTACTCTTGCTCTATCAATGCCTTTGCAATTCATGCCACGTTCAAAATACACATATCCGTTTTTACCGTCATTGGCCCGTGATATCGTCTTCAAACATCGTTCCAATGAATTCTTCTATCGTTTCGTCGTCGATTGGTTGATAATAATACATGCAACTACACGTCGTCCACACTGCTTCTCTATAAGCTGGTCTCGTCCTGCTGAAGTATTGATGTGCCTGAGCTCGCCAGCTGCGCCTCGCTAATCCATCCAGCTTCAACAGCGAAACAGACCACTTCGGCGGCAGATCCAAAACAAGGCGTGTCCTCTGCTGCATTACTGTCCAGATACATCCAAAGTTCCTTGGTCTTTTCTTGGAAGTTGGCAAGATCGTTGTCATCGCCTTGGAATTTGTCCGTCAAGTATTTATACAGGTATGCAAGCCATAGTACATTGGTGTACGGGGCATACACATCCCAAGACAATGTCCCGTTCATCCCTCTGGCATATGGCGTTTTGTGTGCGTCTGGTGGAAGGCAGGTCCGATCTGCGCGCAAAAGAAATGATCTCATCTGCCGGTAAACTTCGCACTGATGCGCGTGAGTACTAGTGAATAAGGATAGATCTTTTTCAAGATCGCAAAAGATGGGTTTGGCGTAGTCGATCTCCAAGTCTTCGGCGCGTGACAGGCCGTAGTCCAGTATAGTGATATCAAGACCCGAATATCCGTAATATGGGCCGTCTGATCTTATGGATCGCTTGCGTTCTTTCGAAATGCTTCGAATACAGAGATTGCCTTCATGCAAGTCTCGATGCTGTTCCAAGTTAGCAGGGTAACATATACACGATCCAGTCTATTACACACCTCAAACATGGCGAGATCTTCAGCTCGAGCGAGGGCGATTGCAACAAGGAAGAAAATATCCCACAGTTGGCTTTCCGTGTTGCTCTTCCAATCTTCTAAAGCAGTTCCAGCATCGCCCAACTCAACAACCAAAAACTTGGTCTCGTCAAGGTACCGGCTCGGAGACGGGTAAAACTGAGCCCGCCCAGGATCTTGTCTCTTAAGTTTACGCTGAAACTTCTGATGGGTTTCAAGTAACTTCTTGGTTGTCTTCCCTTGTACAATATACTGCTCCTTGTAGATAACAAAGCCCGGTATGTCGGCGAGCCACTGTGATATTTGAAGTTCGCCATCCAAGTCGCCAACTGGGTGTGGTTGTTCATCTATCAGCTTCGACAGAACCTGAGTTTTCGTTTGCGCCTTGATTGGAGAGTCTAGACGCACGACCTTGATAATACTTGTTCCATGGTCATTCGTTATCCGATAGACCTCAGCGGACGAGGCTTCGGCAATCTTTTCGATTCGATCCTCCGCTGGACAAACATCGTCCCACGTCAATATGCGTAGGGACTCTTCGTAATCATGGACAGTAATATTTTCTGAATTGTCGTTATCCTCTACGTCTCCATGATTTGATAATATGCTGTCTTCTGCCGAGTCTGTATAAATTTCAGCACCCAGACATCTCTTGGGTGCAGGAGAATTCAACTTTGCTTCTTCGACAAACGATCTGAGTGTCGCATTAAAGTCAGAGAATCTCTTTGAATCAAGATTTCGAAGCGGGCTTTTCAATTTTTGGGGAGTCTGCTCGATGTGAACCTTTGCAAACTCGCTGGTCAAGTCTTCCACGTCATGAGATGCAGGCTCTATCTGGGGCTTCCGTAGCGGGCTCTGTGGTAGCTCGGCAAACAACCGCGCCGCTTGAGATTTTTTGGCTCTCTTCCCGTACGTATTTTGTCGTGCCATAATTTGTCGTTGGCTTTACGGCGTTCGTGAGCCACTTGACGCGACAAACGCGAAGTATGAAGCTTAGGGTTACGCAGATGTTAAAACGGGTTGGCACGGCAACAAGTTGAACAACGCATTGTGTTACACGACTACAATAGATGGATAAAACACGATCGTCTTGAGTGTCTTGTTCTTCTCTCTTTTTTTCTATTCAGAACATTGATGCTGGAACGAAGAAAATTTTGCCCCTTCTACTTTGCTGCGCTTTCCCTTGCCAATTACTCTACTTTATTTTTAGAGTGCTACGCAAGCAAAGTCTCGGCCTTCTCATCGCCTGAGTGGCCAGCCCACACGTGCGAGCAAGGTACTCGCACGCGGTTTTAGCCACCAACTCACCACCTGCCGGACCATCCGAACTGCACGGCTAACGACATGCATGTCACCGCAACGGTCGTGTTTAAAGGCAACGACAAAGTATCTCCGCGCCATTTCCAGTCGGCTCGTCGCACGCGAGTCTGAGCTTCTCAAGTCGGCCAGGGCAATTGTCTTTATATGGCCAAGCTGCTTACCATCGTATGCGGTCAGTTCCTTCGTCCCACTGTTACCCACTGGCATCATCAACAGGCTCCGCCAGCAAGGTGACAGACATCTGGAGCGTGGCAAACTACTGCCCAGGTTCAACACAAGGTGCAGCTCCTAGCAAATGCGCAATGACATATGCCAACAAGTGGATTAAGGGAATCACACTGTACAGGCTATGTGTTTGTGATGGCTTAGAATACCCGTCTCGTCGAAATATTTCGGATGCGCGGCACTCATACCCACCAAAAAACGTCATCATGCTGCTCCTTCGAGTCCACGATGTTTCCGGGGCCGGGGCTAGTTCTTGGTCGGCGCTATAGCCGCTAGGCCACGCGCGACGTTTAGGGGTCTAGAAGAGTGGGCTTATCCATTTTTTTTTTTCAAGTTGCATGGCGGGGAACCAAACCAAGGCGCCAGGTGACCAGCCTGAAATACCAGTCTGGTCCACCCCTTCGTGATAGATTTTTTTCATGTCTTCACCGGAGGTTGTCGCCGTGTTTCCTTACTTCAATTGTTCTTGGACGGCAACCATTGATTGACCATCGCTGTCCTCCCGTCATGGACCAGTCGCACGAGTCTTCCCAGCAAAGCGATCCGGACGCCGGTGCCGGCTCAAGCCCGAAGGACTACGCCTACACCGGATCCAGTAACTCTGGTCCTACAACGCCCCTAGCAGAACCTGGCCAAGCAGAGGTGCACGCTGCTGCAGCACGCAAAGAAAAGGGACGCGTTCGATTTAATAGCAATGCAGCACTTACACAAAGACCAGTCGGTGGTCATTTAGTCATTCCTTCTCCGGAGCGATCGCCGTCTCCTGCGAAGCTAGTCCGGCCCTCTGCATTGAGAGCTGGCTCATCGGGATCAGTTCCCACACTACAGCAATTTCAACAGGAGTCGCTGGATGCTTCGGAAAAATCGATATCTGCTGCTGCTGCGCATGAAAGAGCCCGCCAAATTGCCGATAAGCTACAGCGAAATTCTCCACGGGCATCCGTCGAATCGAACGAACATGTTATAATCGACCAAGGCCACGAAAGCGACATTCCATTACAAGACCTATCTGTATATCCTCACCAAACAGCAGACAATGGACACCAAAGTTATGGGGACTCTCAATCTGCGCTAGAAGAATCGCAATACCTTCAAGAGGAGGCACAGTCTCTTGTCCGCTCTCATACCAGAGCATATCGAGACAACCCAGCGACTCATCTCCATACGAACAAGGATAATGGAGAAGGCAGTAGCAGCCAGGTGGTTCCGAGTGATACAAACGGTGGAATCTACGATGGAGTTTACACGGTGCCTCCCCCAGAGGAGTACCGTGGAGGTGTGCTGTCGCAGCTCCTCCGGCTCTACAAATCAACAGAGAATCCTCTTGGAGGTGGTACCAATTACATGAGTCATCGTCGCCATCGCTCAACTTCATCTACGGGACCTCACACTCCAGGATCGGAGTCGGGGACTACTACCCCCAGCAGAAAGAAATGGTATGAACAGAACAAGTCTCAGGATACGCTGGCAAACTTGATTGAAGCTTCTGCACGACTTGCCAACCCTGCCTTGGGCCATCAGTCAAAGCATGACACTGAAACAGACAAGAAACATGCGAAAAAGCGACCCGGTTACAAAAGGAGTAACAGTGCTGCTCGTCTAAGCGCCTACTGGCAAAAGGAGGAGGCCCGAATTACCGTACATATTGCTGAGACGCTAGCTCGCCAGGGATATATTATCAAGCTCTGTCGAGCTCTGATGCTGTTTGGAGCACCCACGCATAGATTAGAAGAGTATCTGAGCATGACAGCCCGAGTACTGGAGATTGAAGGCCAATTCCTCTACCTGCCCGGTTGCATGATTATCTCTTTTGACGACAAATCCACGCATACGACCGAAGTCCGCATCGTCCGCCTTGTCCAGGGTATTGATCTGGGCAAGCTGAAAGATGTACATCATATTTATAAGGAAGTCATGCACGACGTGATTGGTGTTGAGGAAGGCACGGAGAGACTAGAAGACCTTGTTAATGCAAAAGACAAGTTCAGCGAATGGTTCCGCGTTCTTGTCTTCGGCTTCACATCAGCAATGGCTGCACCATTTTCGTTCAAAGCCCGTCTTATCGATCTACCAATTATCTTTCTATTTGGCTGCATTGTTGGATTACTTCAAATTATCGTTGCACCGAGATCAAACTTTTATAGCAACGTGTTTGAAGTTACAGCGACAGTCTTGATCAGCTTCCTAGCTAGAGCCTTTGGAAGTATCAGAGGCGGATCGCTCTTCTGCTTCAGTGCGTTGGCTCAAAGTGGCATTGTCATGCTTCTTCCAGGCTACGCCGTTTGTAAGTCTCTTCTTGTTTATTAGCCTTGTTCAAATAACATCTGCTAACCCTTTTACCAGTGTGTTCCGCTCTGGAATTACAATCTCGCGCCATTGTTCCAGGCTCCATCCGTATTGTGTACGCCATTGTATATTCTTTGCTCATCGGTTTCGGCATCACAGTAGGCGCTGCTCTCTGGGGCCTCTTTGATGCAGAAGCGACATCTAAAACAACCTGCGATAATCCTTTGGACGGAGAGCTTGCTTTCATATTCGTTCCCTTTTTCATCATCTGCATCAGCATTCTCTACCAAGCCAAATGGCGACAGATGCCGATGATGATCATCATTGCGTTTGCTGGCTATGTTGTCAACTACTTTAGTGGGCAAAAGTTCAAAGCTAGTCCACAAATTGCAAATACTTTGGGAGCGCTCTGCGTGGGAGTATTGGCCAATTTATACTCTCGAATCAGGCATGGCGTCGCGGCAGCAACCTTGATCCCTGCCATCTTCGTCCAAGTGCCGGGAGGTTTAGCTTCTACAGGCGGTCTCCTAAGCGGTTTGCAAACAGCCAACCTGCTGACCAACTCCAAGAACAACGGAACTACGACGCCGGCGAATAGCACATCCCAGTTCAACGGCGGGCAGCTGAGCAGTGTCGTCTTTGACGTTGCAGCGTCCATGGTTCAGATTGCGATTGGCATTGCTGTCGGTCTATTCATCAGCGCGCTTGTGGTGTACCCTCTAGGCAAGCGTCGCAGTGGTCTATTCAGCTTTTGATTTACTTTTCGATTTTCCTGGTTTTATTAGCATTTAGCGGGTGGTGATTGTTTATGGTTTCCATTTTTACACAGCCCATATAAGGGCATCTAGACTGGGAAAAGGCATCTTGCGGCCTGTATTTATTAGCCTCATCTTGTATATAAATACAACAAAAAGTCATGTTTCAACCGAGACTGACAATGTCACTTTTTTACCTTTTACCTTCTCTTTCTATCTTTGTGCTCCTGTTGCTGAACGCCTCACTAACAGGGCGGCAAGTCCCTGAGTCGTTGGTCGGCGTGCGCTAGTCCACATTGGGCGTGCTGTCGCTCTCTCCACACAGCCTGGCCAAATTCCCACTGGCGGCGCGGCCACAACTCCTAAACCCAGCTCCTTTCAACCCTAACCGCTTCCTGCCCAGGGCCCTTGCCATCTCAATTCATCATGGCTGACATCATTAAGAACGTCTTTGGCGGTGCTGAGAAGCCCAATGCGGCTGCCGGCAGCGGCGACTCTGGTAAGCTGCTCCAGCGCTCTTGTCTCCTGGGCCTGACCTGGCCCAACGGCTATCCCGACGACGACGACGATTCCTTTCCATCCAATCGCTAACACGTTGCGCTTGATAGACTTTGCCGACTTTGCTGCTGCTCCCAATGCCGTTCCTGCTGCCGCTGCCGCTGCTGCTGGAAAGGCTTTCGGGTCTCCCGCCGAGGCCACCGCGATGCCCTTTACGAAATGGTACAATATCCACGAGCGCCATTCTCTCGACGAGTTCAAGGCCGAGGGCTTTATCCTGCTGGCTGCTGTCTTCCTTCTTGCCTTCCACTTTGTGGGCTCCAAGATCAACCGCAGCAAGGCCAAGTCATGGATGAAGGTCAACGTCGACACGCTGCAGAGCGAATTCGCACAGCTTGGCACCGACCGCCGCCGCGTCCACAAGACGTACGAGACGCTCCTCCAGGAAAAGTCCCTGTACGAGTACTCGACCTACGCCACCGGCCGACAGAACGTTGCCTTTATCGACGTCAACCTGACCCTGGCCAAGCGCTTCAACCTCATTATGCACGTCCTCGAGACCGGCGCCAGCTTTGTCAGCGACATGTTTGGCGCTCCCGAAGACACCGTTGACATTACCATCTACCCCTTTGACGGCAAGGAGAACCTGACTGTTCCCCAGCTGCGCAGCATGCCTGAGGAGGACCGCAAGGAGAACAAGAGCACGTACGACGGCTTCGTCTGGGCGCTTGTCAACAAGTCCCGCATGAAGAAGCTCCGCGACGACCGCTACGATGTTTCCCTTACCGTTACCAAGGACAGCCCCAAGCTGCCTGCATGGTTGACCGTCATGAGCGAGAGCGCCGAGATTACCGAGTCCCTCTTGACCCAGGAGCTTATCGATGCTGCCACGACGGCCGGCACCGACTTTGACTACCTCGTTGTCACCGATCAGCCCCTCGACCAGCCTAGCAGCCTTGACGAGACGAACCCCCGCAAGCGCGTGTACCTCAAGTACCACCTGCCTTCGGACAACAGCAAGCTCGAGAACTTTGTGCCCCTGCTGTCCCACGCCATCCGCCTGCCTGACGTCTTGATCCAGAACGCCAAGTGGCGCCCTGAGGTCCTCAAGAAGCTGCGCCAGCCTCGTGAGGCCAAGATCAACCAGATCAAGCGCGCTATCGAGGAGGAGAAGGCCGAGGAGCGTGCCGCTGACCGTGAAAAGGCCAAGAAGGCCAAGCGTGACGCTGAGCTTCAAGCCCTCGACGCCAAGGCCCAGAAGAAGTATCTCGAAAAGGAGGCTCTCAAGGAGCAGCGCAAGGCTGCCAAGAAGATGACCATGCGCGGCTAATATCACATATTTAGTTGTAGGGGATGGTTTTCGTCTTGTTTGTAGTAGTCTGCATCTACCCTTGTTGATATCTTAGTAGTCAATCGTTCCCGAGGAACAGGAAACCAATAAATATTATTCAAGGTTATAAAGTCTTTTGATTTGTAGAATGTCCCAATGCATGAGTTACTTTTGAAATTGGTCGTGCCAGCTCCCCTCTAGGCGTCTGCTGCCAGAATATCTGTTACTCTCTTAACCTTATCTTCCGCCGTCTGCTTCTTGTCCGTCCTGTATCGCCGGGTTAGCATTTCAACTCTGTTGTGACTGTTACCACAAGATTGCTTACCTTGAGCCAACACGCATAGACGACTGGACTCGGACGACACCACGCTCATGGACAACTGTGTGTGCCTTTCCCACCACCGTCATGACATCCTCCCAACTGCCCTCTAAATGATGTTAGACGATATCCAGAAATACAATTATCGTAAGAAGAAAGACATGCAACATACCGACGGTCGTACCAGCCGAGTGCATGGTATACTTGAGGCCGCTAGCCTTGAGCACTCTCTGTACTTCTGCTACTTCTGCAGCAACAGAGGTTGTGCCTGTTCCGACCTATAGAATCATATGTTAGTTGCATTGTATTCACAAGCTATACTTGCTGCAACCTGACTCTTAAATAGAACAGCAATAGTTAGCACATACCGGAATGAGGCAAAAGTCTACATAGCAAGCAGCCGGTGTCTTAATTGATGTGTAATCCATAGCGTGTGCTTGTGTGGCAAACCTTCTAGCACTGTTTAGAAATCGAAACATGTATTAGTTAGAAGTTGAAGTATGGGGAAAGCGTTGCAAGGTAGATGTGGTGTGTGATGATGAAGATGGAGGAAGAATGCAAAGGGCTGACCAGCGCTGAGCGTGGATAGCGATGTCGGCTATTTTAGCGCCAAAACCACCAGCCGAGTACCGCTGTGGATTGCTTCCTGGTGTAAGTCACATTATTACCAAGAAACCAATGAATAGTATAAACGAATTGATTTAATCTAGCCAATCAACGTCATAAAATGCTATGCAAACATGGTTGCCCGCATTGTCTAATAAATATACAAAGCCAGACGCCATACGATAAATACTACTACAAGACGAAACGAAATTTGCCTTCCATCAGGCATGATAGTCAAAATCATAGAATCAAAAGAGCTGCAGCACAAAATGCAAGAAGAGCCCCTTTTGCCATTCCCTGGAACTGCTCGGTAGCTTTAGAGGTTGCTTCAGTCGTAATCTTTCGACCAGCAAAGTCGCTGACGCCGTTCAGCGCGTCGGCGGCAGCCAGTGGGTTTTCTTGATTCCAAAAGTCCACCAGGACATAGTTGGGACGGGCTCCCCATTCAGACTGACAGTTCTTCAAATGTAATCCAAGATTGCCGGTAGTGCTGGTCTCAGGGCTGTTGACAATGCTAAGCTTATCCGTATCCGGAACCAAGACGCCAGCGAGGAGCTGCTGATACTTGAAATGGTTGACAAGACTAAGATAGTTTTGTGAGACGGCAGATGCACCAGAGGTTCCGAGGGCCTTGGGACGATCCAGACTGCAGTTGAATCCATCCAGCGATGTGACTTCAAATGGTGTTTCGAATACATAGTTGAACTCGGGCAGCAAGTACGGCACCGACGAATCGTATTTCGCGTTGGTGACATAGCTGACTAGTCGTGTATTCTGGTTAATCATGGTCTGCAGCGTGGGCCAGTTACCCGTTGCTGTAGACCCTGCAGGAGTATATCCATACTTGGAGATACCTGATCGTTGAAACACAGCCCCGAGTTCCGATGCAGATGCAGAATCCGAGTTGACAAGAATAATGGTGACGACTTCGTTCGGATTCTTCGCCATCCATACATTGATGGCAGCCAGCCAATTTTGCAGCGGCCCAGCATCGAGCAGCTTACAGCTCGTATGGCAGAGCCGGAGGGCATTGTCCGACTTGTGCACCTGTGCCTGAAGAAGACGCAGACCAGCATCAAGAGCAACGGTGGCATTCTTGTACTGGTTGCCGGCTATAGAATTTTGTGTGCTAGCGTCTCGGAGGAAGGCTGCATCGTGCGCGCCCATGTGTGTGATTGTGTTATACGGGCGGTTACACAGTGAAGGTGAGTTGTTGCACGCAGCACCACTGGCGCCTGTAGTCTGGGGAGCTGCCGCAACAGACGCCGCTCCTAGAAGAGCAGCGGCTAATAGAGACTGAAGGTTGAACATGTTGCGTAAGTTGTGATTTTCTGTAAGGTGACAAGAAAAGGCGATTTGTGAGAAAGCGGACCAGCCGTGACGAAGTAGTTCAAGATGATGTTGAAGACTTGGGTGCGGCTAACAAGGCAGAGCGAGCGGACGCCAGTAATGAAGAGCCGAGAAAGAAACGATAGACGTGGTTTGGCGATGTAAGCAGCAGACAAAGATTGTCAGAGCGGCGAGAAACAAAGCGACAAAGAGATGACAAAGGAAAGAAGAAGTCGGACGAGGTGAGGACGTAACGAGAAAGAATGGTGTTGGCAGGGTGAAACGGCCACAGCCCCAAAGCGTACTGAACACTTGGCCCGCTGTGGTGGTGTGTGGTGGTGCCACTAGCGCCTGTTCCTACGGTGCAGTGCAGGTACACACAGTGCTGGGTTCAGCGCCCCGATCTTTTTTGGGGGCCGCGTTTTGCTGCAGGTGTGTGTGAACAGAGGCAGATCTGAGTGGCGAACAGATAGGCAACCGGGCTACCAATGTTGTCGATAAAGAAAATACGGTATTGTATTATTTCACCATTTCCCTCTCTTTTCTCTACACCTTCATTACTACCCTTTTGAATCGCGCTCATAGAGTTTGGTCCGTTACGTTTCAAGCTGCGACGCCGCCCACAGCGAGTTCGGTAGCCAGCGCCAGTTAGCGTCTCGGTTGTTAGCCAGGGCTATTTTTGGTGCTGCCACAGAGGCGAAGAGTGGGACAGACGACCTGGGACCCCTAACGGCCTCCCCACAGTCGGAAAAATAAAAGACAATACAGTGCTTTAAGCCCTGTCTCCGTAGGGCAACGTCACAGCCCACTGGAAACGCTGGACGTTGCGCTGGAAAGGGAGGTGGCGGAGCACCAACAGCAGGCATCAAACACGGTACGCAGCATCACCGTCAGCACTGTTTGTTAGGAATACGATGGTGCCAGGGTAGCATGATCAACCTGGTCTGAAAAAAAGAAGAACAACGACGCGCGGCCTTGTTCCAGCGGCCCGGCGCTTCCATGTTGTATTTGCCTGCTGCATACTAATTGTAGCAAAATGTCTTGTGTCTTGCTCATGTGCCACATCTTCGCCTACAAGCCAACAACATAACCGCCATTGACCACCTCACCACCACAAACAGCTTCATATATTACTCCCAGCCCATTCTTTAGCCCTTCATCTAATTTCTCCGCTATATTTTTACCCCAATATCCCCCAGCGCACGCGATGCCCGCGCCACCGATGCCCCGGCACCCGCTCCGCCTGCAAAACTGCTCGCCGGCCCGGCATCCCGCCCGCTTGGGGCTTCTACCGCCGCACCACGACGCAAGCTGCAGCGGCAAGCACTTTGTGTCAAAATTGCTATCCAACGGCAACAGCAAATCTTTTGCATCCCGCTAGAAAGAACCCACAGCCTCTCACCACACAAACAGACACAATGTTGCGCTGGGCCATCCTCGGAACGAGCTTCATCTCGGACGTTGTCGCAAAGGCAATCCTTGCAAGCCCCAACTCCCACATCCAGGCCGTCTTTGGCCGCAACGAAGAGCGCCTCAATGCCTTTGCCGATCGATACGGCATTGCCTCTCGCTACACCTCCATCGATGCCCTCCTCGACGACCCCAGCGTCGACGTAGTCTACGTCGGCCTGCCCAGCCACAAGCATGCCGAGGCCACCATTGCCGCTGCCAAGAAGGGCAAGGCTATCCTGTCCGAAAAAGCCCTGGCCACTACAATGGAAGATACCCATTCCATGATGGCCGCTGTCAAGGAGGCTGGCGTCTTCTTCCTTGAGGGCCTCATGTACCTCAGCCACCCTGTCCACCAGACGCTCGTCGATATCCTGAAGGAGGGCAAGCTCGGAAACGTCAAGGGCATTAACGGCTACTACGCCGCCAACATTGCCAAGAAGGCAAACCCTCTTGGCAAGGGAACTATCTACAACCTGGGCTGCTACCCCGTCTCGCTTGTCCACCTCGTCATTGAGACGGCCTTTGGCCCTGAGGCTTGGGCGAAGCGAACGGTTCTGGGCCATGGTAACCTTGCCCACGACGACGGTGTCGCTCATGTTCGTGATGCTGCTTTGGTAGTTCGCTTTGATTCTGGTGTCCTTGCCACCCTTCAGTCTACAGACAGCTTCGGTAATGACTCTTCCTTCACCATTCAGGGTGACAAGGCTGTTCTTAGCTTCCAGACAAACCCTTGGTTGCCTCTTGCTGGCGATAACATCATCCAGATCAAGACATATGGCGGTGAAGTGGAACGTATTGTCATCCCAAGCAACATGGACGCCTTCGGCTGGCAGGTTAAGCGCGTCGAAGACTGCGTTGGCGCTGGTGTGAAGGAAGCTCCCCGACCATCTCCCACTTGGGCCAACTCTGTGGAGATTATGGGCGTGCTTACGGAGTGGGAGACTGATATCATGAAGAGAAACGGTCAAAACTAAACACGTTGGTAATCAATACTATAATTAATTCATGACTTGTTCAAGGTAGCGCAAACTAGAACACTCACAATATGATGCGTTATGGATTTCGATACAGTGGCATCTAGAGAATACACATATTCACTTGACAAATTTCACCACACAACTTAACGAGCATGAAAAATAAGGTTGAAGTGTAATTTTGATTGCTATTGTTTTTGGTTTTACAGCAGTTATTCGGGGTCGGGAGTCGGGCCCTCATCTTCGGCCGCTGCGGCTGCTCGTTCAATCTCCTTAAGCTGCTGTTTGCCTTGCTCGGTAGTCGCATCGATAATCTGTTCTTCCATGCTGAGGATATTGGCCTGTTCATAAGCTTTTAGTATATATAGCTCACGTTTAGCATAAAGAATGGGCTGGCTTACCTCGCTGAATAAATTGACAAGTTCTTCAGCATCTTCAACGCTCATCTCGCCCAAGACCTTGTTGACCTTGTCCAGCTCTCCAGTCTCAAGAGCCGCTTTCATCTCCGGCGCAAAACCTTCAAAAATCTCACGAGCCCGCTTTATTTCGGTATCTTCGCTGTCGGCAGGGGGAATACTGATATTAATGACGGTTCCAGGCTCAACAGCGTGCAGTTGAATCTGTTCTACACCTTCGGGCTCGTTTGCTCTCTCTGCCACAATCTCCGCCGCGCGGTTCTTGATACGCATATATGTATCTTGAACATCACGGATAAACAAGTCCTGTGCTTGGTGTCCCTGAGTGGTAACACGCTTGAAGAAAAGCGCTACACCGTCCTTGCCTAGGGCACGGCAGTATTGTAGTAGCAGAGCCTGGTGAACACATTGTCTGCAGAGGTCATCCTTGCGCTCCAATGCGGCATCAAAGGCCAAGACCAACAGCCCGTCTGTTTCCTTCTCTGTCAAAATCTGTGGGTTCTTGGACAGAAAATCCAAGCTAGCTGAGTAGTTGTTACTAGCAATTTGGGAAAACTTGATACCGGCAGGAGATGCCTCTGCATCTTCGTCATCATCGTCAGCAGCAGAAGCAGCACCACCCGCCGATTGAGACTTCTTTGACGAGCTTCCACCAGACGTATCAAAGCTTGGATTCAAAAGTTCTACCTTTGTAGACTCGGCGGACGAGGTGGTCTTGTTTACATGGGAGCTATCAAAGCCCGTGTGAATGGAGTCACTTGTGATTTTTCGCTTATCCTCCTGCTCCAACTTTTGTAATTCAGCTGCTGAATCCTTCAGAAGCGTGTTAATTTGTCCTTCATGGCTCTCTACTTCTGCCACCATGGAAGAGTATCGGTCGTCGGGCTTCTTCTCGTCCAGTGCCTTATTAACTTGGTCGAGCATACCAGCGAGCATAGCAGAGTAAGTTTTCGGTTGGTTGGGATCAGTGTGAAGTCCTTCGGGTAGCGGAGGAAGCTTGTCATCCGTTTGTTGCCCGGCAGACTCCATGACGGCAGCAAACGCAACCTCAGCAGGGTTCTTGGTGGCAGCCTGGTCTGCCCGTGCTTTAAGGGAGGACAGCAGAGCGCTGACACGCTTGCGCAGACCTTCATGAAGCACGAGTTCATATTTTAAAGCTTCGATTTTCGTCTTTCGTTGCTGGCGCTCCTGGTGAATCTGATTCTGCTTGGCGCGGATAAACGATCGCTTGTCGACATTGGGGTGGACTTCGACGTCGGAGTCATCGCTGAGCTCCAGAGCGTCCTGTGATGGCGTTAGCACGGTGTGTACATAATGAACAGAGTATAAATCCTTACCCATTTACTGTAATCAACAGGCATTGTGGCTTTTCGTGGCGGTGGTGTAGTTGGCAAGTCTGTGCCTGTTGCTTGCTCGTTGTTGCCAACAGCAGTAGCAGTATCACCGTGGAAAAGGTGCCCCGCCTCTTTTGTTTGCCCCTCCATCCACCCCAAAGAGAGGGAGCTTACTGCTGCTGCCCGCGCTAAAAACGGTAGCCAGCGCCACCCAGGCGGATGTTTGTCGTGCATTCTAGAAACATCGCGACACTGGCCACCAGCAGCACCACACAAACGGCAAATTGCACTGATGTTAGGACATGAATTCGGCCCATGTTTGAGAACAAGAGCACATATAACTTGAGAAACTTTAGTATTGCAAGACCCCAACGCAGCATGGCCTAGGAAGTAGAAGCTAAAGATCGAGAAAAAGAAGAATACAAAAAGAGACCGCTTCCAAAATCAACCGCAGCTACCTGGATTGAAGTAAATATACATAGAGGCCAGAAGCTACATCTGACCCCAAAACAAAACGCTGCCATGGCTGCTTTTCCTAATTCCGCGTGCCCGATAATTCCACTATAATACTCGTACAAGTTGCTTGTCGTGTTGCCAGTAGTGCTGGCTTCTACGACATTGTTTTCATAAAGTCGTCAAGGTCGAAGCTTTCCTCATACTGCTTATTGTCCCAAAGTTCCTCCAAATCATCCAACCAAGTCTTCTTGCCGGGTTGTCGCAGGACATCGCCCGTCTCCAAGTCAACCATATCCTCTTCTCTGCCATCCACGCCATTCTGTGGCTTGTCAGATATAAGACCTGGTCCAGTATCGCCAATGTTGAACAGATCCAGGATTTGGTCCGTATCCATGGTTGATAACCCAGCGTTTTGCTGATTGACAACCGTCGAAGCCACGTCAATCTTGAAACGTTGCAAGCTCATAATCTTTTCCTCAAGAGTACCTCGAGTGATAAGGCGGTAAACGTTGACAACCTTCTTCTGGCCAATTCTGTGAGCTCGATCCATGGCCTGAAGATCCTTTTGGGGATTCCAGTCATGTTCAACAAAGATAACCGTGTCTGCACCAGTAAGGTTCAGACCTAAACCACCAACGCTGGTCGTAAGGAGAAGGACGTCGTACGATGGATCGCTGTTGAACTTGTTGACAATATCTTGTCGCTTGTTTGCTTCGACGGAGCCATCCAAGCGCAAATGCGATACTGAAGGAAGCATCTCCTTAAGCACCTTGTTTTGAACCATATCCAACATCTCCTTCATTTGACAGAAGATGAGAGCTCTGTGCGGTTTGATAGGTTGGTAGAGGGGATCATTACTGTCCCCATCGTCTGTGCCGATACCACAGTCTACCAGCAAATCCTTCAATGCAGTCAATTTTGGCGCGTGTACAATATCCTCTATCGACGTTCCACGCTTCTGAAGAATCTTCTGGGTTTCGTCGTAGACAGGGGTTCCGGGCTTCATCACCATCGCGGGTGAGTTGCAGAGCTTTCGCATATACTGTAGTGCCTGGAAGATATGTTGCTTGGACTCCTTATCATCACGACCAGCTTCATCTTGAATCTTCTTGCCCTGTTTCTTCTGGAAGTCTTCAAACAGCTTCTTTTGCAGATCACTGCAATCACAGTAGTAATTCTGCAGAATCTTGGGAGGCAAATCGTTGAGCACCTCTTCTTTCAATCGTCGGAGTAGAAAGGGAAGGACCTGCTTATGCAGTGCTTCGATAGCAAGAGCGCCAGCTTCTTGTTCTTTAGAGGAAGCCTTGCTGTATCGGCTGGCTGCAATAGGTTTGGCAAATCGATCCAAAAATACCTTTTCTGTACCAAGGAATCCAGGCATCAGGAAATCAAACAATGACCAAAGTTCCAAAACATTGTTTTGGATAGGTGTTCCCGTAAGGATAAGGCGATGATTGCTGGCAAAGCGCTTCACCGCCTGCGAAATCTTGGCCTTCGGGTTCTTGATTAAGTGACCTTCGTCGAGCACGATGTAGTTCCAGCTGTGCTTCTCTAATACGGCCGTGTCATTTCTGCAGACATCGTAAGATGTGATGACCACGTCGCTCTTTCCGAGACGGTCCACCATTGTTTTTCTCTCATTGGGAGGTCCAACGTAAGCGGTAACAGACAAAAATGGAGCGTATGTCTTGATCTCTTGCTGCCAATGACCAGAGAGTGTAGGTGGGCAGACAATCAGTGATGGCAGAGGGCGAACATCATCAGCTTGCGTCTTCGCATACTCTTCCTGGCGTTGATGGTGGTCACTTGCAACGATACAGAGAGTTTGTAGAGTCTTACCAAGGCCCATGTCGTCACAAAGAATACCGTGTAGGTGGTACTTGTTCAGGAAGTGCAACCAGTTAACACCGTCCTGTTGGTACGATCGAAGTTCGGCCTTGATAGCCACCGGGATCTTGAACGGCTCGACCTTCTTCGGATCAAGTAGCTGAGCAATAAACGTGCGCTCTCGGTCACGGCCTTTGAGCAACTCCTGAGATAGGCCAGGTGGATCAGGAATACCAGCTTCAAGGGGAACCAGCTTCACCAAAGTAGCAAATGATGTTGTTGCGATAAGACGGATTTCGTTGTCCGAATCACTCATGCGACCAAGAACAGGGACAATGAGGAAGATGACATAGGGCAAAATAGCGTCGCCCATAACGGCGATGAGATGGTAGATCGCCTCTGTAACACCTTGTCGGAAATGCAAATCGACAGGGTTGCTGATAGATGGTAGGACTTTCTCAACAAGAGCTGTCATACCTTCAACTGTAATGACGCTGCAGATCGTGGCCAGACACTTCGCGGCCATGTAGCGGAAGACTGAGAGTTCGGAATGTAGCGCTTTGATGACGAGCGGCAACATTTTCATGACGAAAGGATGTAGCTTCTTGTCCAACGTTGGAGTCATGGTCCTAATAACAGACAATGCGTCAACAATCTCTTGGCCCAGCGTATTTTCAGGATCCTTAGCTTCAGCGGGCAAGGTGTCTGTAAAGGCCTTAACAAGAGGCTGTTCCATGTACTCTTGTAGACTTGGTACGGTCTCGAGCAAAGCATCGCCGTAAATGTACGACAAGATTTCGAGAGCCTCCTTTGCACCTCGTCTTGTAATTCTTGCTGCTTTCGATTCTTTTGCCCATTTGGCAGCGTCAGCATGGTCCACACGGTCTTCTTCTTTCTGCATAGACAGAACGCAGTCTGTCTTTGCCGCGTGGACTGGGAATTCGGGAGTTTCAGCGACTTCCACACAAGTAAACTTGACCAAGTTGGAAACCACCTTATCCGCAGGTCCCTTTCGGCCCTTTTCTGTAAATAGTTGGACAAGTCTAGCGATGGTGTCGGATGAGCGGCTTTGGAGAATTTGCGATTCTTCAGTCTTGACCGAGTCCATGATACCCTTGATCAATGGCGATGGCTTCTTCGGGAGCATCTTGATTGCTACCATAGCAGATGCAGCACCAGCTTTAATTCTGATGTCTCGGGCGTCCTTGAATGACTTGGCTTCTTCGATGGCGGCAAGTGCCACTTCCCTGGCTTCGGCGAGCTGCTGGCTAGCAATAAGACGCTGGCCAGGTGACATGATCTTTTTAAGGCGATCGTAGTCATCTGCAACGCATTTATCAGCGGTTGCCAGCGAAAAGGCACTCGGCCCAGCTTCAGCTTCGCCCTGTACCACAACGGGCAAGAGAGGGAGCTTGTTAGGTGACACTTTGCCGTGGTCACGGAACATGTTGACGAGTTGCTGGCATTGCGTGCGTACACGCTGCATGTAGGTAACCAGATCTCGGTACCAAGAAGGCCGATCGAGATCAATGATGCGTTGCACCTGCTCGACATATCGTGAGGAATCGGTCTCAGATTTGCACACCTTGGAAAACTCATCGATGACCAAGCATGCTGTCAACTGAGTAGAGGAGAAAGCAGAGGTCAATCCAGGCACCAGGAAGGCGTCAAAGTCATCCAATTTGGCGCTAGGAACATGACCCATAATGAGACCCATGGCACGAGCAGCAGAGACGCGTGATCTTAGCAGCACTTCCATCGTAACAAGGTCGACGTCACCTTGAATCATATGACCATCAACATCGTGCGTCATACCCGACGATACGGGTTCTTCCGTTTTAGCTGATTTGCGTCTCCTCTTCGGGGCTCGGTCAGTGGTTTCCGGAGAAACTTGGCGCGCAACGGCAGTGGAATTAACATATGTGCCACCAGACGGTTTCTGGAATAATGTGGCGTTCATGGGAAGAGGATAACGGGAAACACCGATAGGGTGCAAGGTCAACTGCATAAGAGGGTCGATATGAGGACCAAACTCGTCGGCCAAAGTCTCTGGCGATTTTGATAGGTTCAGCACAAGCGCGGTCCATAGCTCCAGCGAGGTATCAAGCGTATCCTTATCTCTCTCAACCAGAATGTTCTGGAACACCAATCTTAATACTCGGCCATTAAGCCAGCCCTGCGAAGATTCGTCGGCCAACTTGGCAAAGGTAAGTAGAGCCTTGAGAACCGCAAGACGCACAGAGGTGATAGTGTGTCGGAGGAAAGGGTATAGGCGCGGTACCAACAAGGTAAAGGATCGCTCCTCGTCTTCTTGGGCAGACTTCTTCATAGCCTCGAGCACTTCAGGGAATCCACAGAGCGTGGCCAACAGATCCATAATGCGACCAGTGCTAGCACTAAGATCATCACCGAGGTTTGACAAACTCTCCCACACGATGCTCGTAAGCTCATCTAATGATCCTGGTCGCATGCTGACGAATTCTTTGGCCATGGGGATGAGAGTTGCGGCGCTTACTGAGCGAACATCATCGTCCATATCACCCAGTCCCTTCATTACAGCTTTGATAACACCATCAATCATGTCGCTATCCTTAAGCAGGAGATCCTTCCTAACGGCGACGACATATCGAAGGCCGACCATGCCACCGTGGCAAACAGCCCAGATAGGACGTTCTAGGTTAAGATCGTCTTGCATCACCATCCGGTAGAGCACGCGGTAGATGTCGTAAACTGACCCTTCAGATACATGCTTGAGTGTTGAACCAAGGGTTTGACCTATGGTTTCACGGATGGGGGCGACAGAGGTATCGGAACTGTAATCGGTGAAACGATCTAACATCAACACCAAGCAGAGGCGGCAAGAGAGGTCTTCCAGCCACGCCTTATTGGCAGCATCATTGTCTTCTACAGATTTTCCGAAAGCTCGGCCAGCACCAGCGCCGTGAACACGAATGATTTCTCGCAAGCCCATAGCTGCGCCATGGCGGGTATCCCACGAAGGATCAAAAAGGTCCGACTTTAGAAATTCACATAGTCGTTCGTAAGGCCATTGGAGGCCTTCGAGTGATTCTTCGGCTTCGATTTCGGATTTGATGGGGACAATGGGTCCCTTGAACTCGCTAACAACTTTGGCGTCTTCTTCGACATCAGCTGGGCGTTCCAAGTTGAAGTATTCGTCCATTTTCCCACTTGGCTTTTCGTTTTCTTCAGTCATTTGAGTATCGTCGGCAATTGCTTCGGAGCCTGCTGTTGTGGATCGACGAAGAGAGAGATCGCCGAAACTGCTCTTTCCCTGTGATGCTTTCATAGCTTCTCGCTTGCGTTTGCGCTTAAGAACGTTTAGCTGTCTTGAGCTTAGCTGGGATTGGTTCTCTTCACCACCCTGACTGGCAGTGGCGACGCTGTCGCTTCGTTTGATGCCATTGCCATTTGTAGATTCGGTGTTTGTAAGTTGCGTTGACTCTGCGTCAACTGGAACAGCCAGCTCCTCATCTTCTGCTTTTCGGCCAAGGAGACCCAGGCGGAGGGGTAATGTCTTGCGCTGATACTCGAGACGAGCTTGTGGTTCTAGGGCCGAAAGGTTGAACTCACGGCTGCCACCACGAAGAAGCTCACGACCGTATTTGAGGATTGATTCGATGTCGAGAGCCTTGAAGGTAAAGAGTGAGATTTCCGATATATCTTCGGGAGGTTTGACATCAGCTTCTTCCTTCTTTACGAGCCCAGCGTCGGTAGACTCCTCCTCTTTTTTCGGAGCAAGCGATTCATCTTCTGCATTAGGTTCGTAGAGTGGCGCATTCTCAATGATTTTGCCTATAGCCTTGGCAGCTGTTGATCTTGTTTCCCAGTCTTTGTGACGCAGATAGGGGACAACTCGTGATAATAGGTTGAAGAGCTCGTCGGGATGCTGCTTTTGCCAATCGGCCAGCTGATTGACGGCAGTGTCGCGGATTAGCCTTGTACTTCCAGTCTCGAGGATCGTCACGAGACGATCCAATCTAGAAGCCATGGCGTATTTCGGTAAAGTGATTCGTCAATTATATATTCATGACGAGAATGATTGAAGTAGGTGGTGAGTGGAAAGTGTCGGAGCGCGATGGTGGCGTTTGTATTATAAGTAAGGTTGGTGATAATACTGGTGGTTTGGACGGTTGTATGTGTGTTCTTTAAGTCGAATAGAGAATAGATGTTGCAACAAAAAAAATACAGCAGGCAGCCACCGATGCTCGCAGATGTGTGAGGAAAGAGGAACGAAAAAAGAAATAATAAATCGGGTTGTTGCAGTTGCCAGCCAAATAAAAGTACACTGCGCAGAATGGGGCGAGTGGGCGTGATGCGTGCGCGCGATGGCGTCTACGGATGGGACGGCGGCGTAGCTTAAAATTCACGGTCGCAGCAATTGGTCGGGTGGGCAGCTGTCAAGCGCCGGCACTTGGTGGGTGACTGTGTGCTGTGCTGCAGCGTCGAGGGAAATTTGGGGCAGAGAGGGCAGGCGGGCGGGCCGTATTTGAGAAAGTACTTGTATTTTTATACACGTCGCTGGGGGGCGCGCGACCAACCGTTTTCTACCTCTGGGCTTTTTTTTTTTTTCGCTTAATTTCCCCTTTGGACGTCCCGCCTAGTCACCAAGTCGCCCCCTAGGAAAACGCAAGGTGGCGCTAAACAAGGCCGCCCACCCGCAAGACAAGCTCACCAACGAGGGAGAACGAAAAATAATTATGGAGCCTCCTACTGAATCTAACTGTAAGTATTCCACTTTGTCCACGAGCCAAAGGTAGCTATTTACCGGTGTAGCATGCAGGTAACAGTCCAGTTACTCTCCGAAAGCATCACCGTGGTCAGGTGTCGAGCCATCACAAACAAACAGAACACTAGGCTCCAACTTAGATTCAGAGGCATGCTTGATGGCGCCATCCGTAGACGGCTTCTTACTTTTCGACTTGCCCAAGCCTAACCTCCACTTTCTAGGAATCTCGAACCTTTCTCCATCCTGAAAACTTGTCGATGCGACGTCATGCCACCCCGAAGAAGCCAATCAAATGAGATGTGGATCGGAGCGATGTTTTCTGACTGCCCGCCTTGGATCCAAGCAAAGTATTGACCCTTGCTTGCCTCGCATGTTTGCTGCCTCTCTCTTCTCCGTCGCGGCTGAGCGTCAGGCATACTGACAAGGATTCAGCTCTCCTGGATGCTCGTCATGGGAGCCAGTTGTGGAGAGATTTTTAATAACGCGCCGTGTCAAAATACCTTTTACCAGCAGGATTTCTTGGTCAGACTTTACAAAAAAGGTTTGATGCTCAACACATTCAGTAGACTTCGTTTGGTATGCAAACTCTGGGACACGTTCATACGTCGCATTGTTGCTTTTTTACACACCCCTGACCCGTACCAAAATGCATGAGCAAGCAGTGGGAGGTCGCCGCTGGTTGATCCAGTTCGCCTTATGCTTTACTGACTGAATCTTCCTGTGACCCTAGTTTTATGTTTTGCCCCAGGTGTTGTGACTTAGTAGTGGTATTATTCAGACACGACGGGCGCTTTGTCTTGAGCTACCCGGCAGAGCGGCGATGTTGGTCGACGTTTCCTTATCCAACCACAAACTGTCGAATTGTATTTTTGGTGTTGATTTATGATGATTTATGTAATTGTTGCTACCGTGGTCATTGATTCTGCGTATTTCAACGACGGTTATATGTTGACCAGTTCAGCGAGAAGAGTGTGTTTACAGCTTCTGTGAATGCCGCTCCACTTCAACAATACTGGGTTTAACCGAAAGCCATTCTATACGAGTAACCAACTGATTAAAAAAAAGTCACCTATATAGTCAAAAGTAGTAGAGACCATACATATACCGTCGACCAATACGATGACATTTAAATTATCGCACTACGTAAGAAACGGGAGCTCCCGGTTGTGTACCCAGCGTACAATGCGGTTGTTCGTACTGGTGTCTGTCTGTTCGGCCGCTTGCAGCCAGGCTCCCCGTTTGGTCCGACTGCGCACGGACCATACCATCACCCCTTATTTCTCAGGCAAGAATCACACCCGGCGTATCAACGCGCGCATCCATCAACCATCTATCGCGGCGCACGTCGAGACGCGTCGCAGTGCATAGAGTGTCGCAAATCGTCAGCGCAAGCATCGCTACCGGTCATCGACAGAATAATTCACCCGGTTGTCAATGCTGCGCTTCAGCGCCCACGAAGCCCAACATGTATATTAAACAAATCATTATCCAAGGCTTCAAAAGGTTCGTCTTGGCCTACCTGGCACATATTCCCCCACCTCGATTGTCAAAAAACGATGAATTGCTGACCATGGAACAGCTACAAGGACCAGACTGTCATCGAACCTTTCTCGCCGAAGACCAATGTCATTGTCGGTCGCAATGGTTCCGGAAAGAGTAACTTCTTCGCTGCGATACGATTCGTCCTTAGCGATGCCTACACGCAAATGAGCCGAGAAGAACGCCAGGGTCTTTTACACGAAGGCTCTGGCTCCGCTGTGATGTCGGCCTATGTCGAAATTATTTTCGACAACAGCGATGATCGCTTCCCTACTGGAAACAAAGAGGTCGTTCTGAGAAGAACTATTGGCCTGAAGAAGGATGAATATTCTGTCGATCGTAAGGTCGTCACAAAGGCCGACGTCATGAATCTCCTCGAGGCTGCTGGTTTCTCTCGATCTAACCCTTACTATATTGTACCCCAAGGACGAGTTACTGCCTTGACAAACATGAAGGAATCAGACCGACTAAATCTGCTCAAAGAAGTTGCCGGTACCCAAGTGTATGAAGCCCGCCGCGCCGAATCACTGAAGATCATGAATGAGACAAACAACAAACGAGAGAAGATCGACGAACTGTTGGTTTACATCAAAGAACGTCTCGAAGAACTCGAAGAAGAAAAAGAAGAACTCCGCGGTTTTCAAGAGAAGGATCGCGAGCGCCGATGCTTGGAATATGCATACCATCACCGAGAACAAGTCACCATACAGTCAGCACTGGAGGACATCGACAACGCCAGACAAGATGGCCTGGACAACACCGATTCAAGCAGAACCGAATTTCTTGACGGAGAGACAGCTATTGCAAACCTCGATGCTCAAATACATAAACTGCAACGGGACCTTGAGCTTCTGCAAATTGAGCGTAGGCAGCTCGATGAAGATCGCCGCGACAACGCCAAGGCTCTCGCGAAGGTTGAAATGAAAGTTAAAGACCTAAAGGAAGGACAATCGGTACAAGAACAGGCTCGTGCCCAACATGACGCAGAACTCCAGTCCGTCCAGGCCGAATATGCGTCGCAGGATGCAGAGCTCAAGAAGGTTATACCCAAATATACACAGAAGAAGCAACAAGAGGACTTGGTTCGTCAGCAGCTAGATGCTGCTGAAGTTTCGCGTGGTAGACTATTTGCCAAACAAAGCCGTGGATCACGATTCAAGAACAAGAAGGAGCGTGATTCTTGGTTGAACCAAGAAATCCAAGAGCTTAAATCAACACTCAACACACAACAAGCAAACAAGTTGGAGGCAGATGCCGAGGTTGCCAGAGTCGAACAGGCTATCAGCCAAGGAGAAGGAGAGGTTGCTGATCTACGACTTCGTCTATCAAACTGGAATGGTGACCGAACTCAGTTAGCTGATGAAGTCGCTGATGCGCGTGCTCACCTTGACCGCCTCAATGAAGAGCGCAAGTTGATTCGTCGTGAAGACGACAAATTAAACTCGCTTATTGCAAATTCACGACAAGAGAAAGAACAAGCTGACCGAGATCTCTCTCATTCTGTTGACGGTGCAACTGCCCGAGGTCTGGCAACGATTCGACGACTCAAGCAAGATCAGGATATTCCTGGCGCGTATGGCACTTTGGCTGATCTCCTGGAGGTTAGCGAAGCATACCGTCTCCCAGTTGAGCAAATTGCTGGCGCGAGTTTGTTCCATTATGTGGTTGACAATGCTGAAACAGCCACCTATTTGGCCGACACGCTTCATAAGCAGCATGGAGGTCGAGTCACATTCATGCCGCTGGAACAGCTGCGACCTCGCCACGTCAACTTCCCCAAATCAAACGATGCTGTTCCATTGCTTAGCAAGCTCACCTATGACCAAATGTACGAAAAGGCTTTCCAGCAAGTTTTCGGTAAAGTTATTGTATGCCCCAATCTTGCTGTAGCCGCACAATACGCCAGAAGTCACGGCGTTGATGGTATTACCGTAGAGGGTGATACCACGAACAAGCGAGGTGCCATGACTGGTGGTTACATTGACCCCAGGAAATCTCGTCTGGAAGCTGTACAGACTGCCAACAAATGGAGACAGGAGTTCGAAAACCTTACGAGCCAGTCCCAAGGCCTCCGCGATCAGATTGACCAAAAAGACCAAGAGATCACGGGTGCCATGTCCGAGGTACAGAAGCTGGAGCAAAAGCTAAGACAGGCTGACGATGGATTTGAGCCCATGAAGCATGAGCTTAGAAGCAAAGCTGCTTACATTGAGAATGAGAGGACGCACTTAGACTCTGCGCTACGCCGCCGCGGTGCTGTCGAGAAGAACATGAACGATTTTGTGCAACAAATCAGCGGCCACGAACAAGAAGTTGGCACCGAGTTTAAGCAAAGTCTCTCGCCAGCTGAGGCACAAGAGCTTGAGTCTCTAAGCCGCACCACACAAACTCTCCAACAACAGTGGAATGAGCTGAGCAATGCACGACGTGAGCTAGAACGTCGCAAGCAGTTTTTGGAAGTCGATCTCCGACAGAACCTGCAAATGAAACTGGACCAGTTGAACAGCCAGGTCTTTGATAACGGATCAGGAAACGGCAAATCCGGCAGCCTGAACGACGCTCAGAAGGAACTGAAGAAAGCGCAAAAGGCGCTAAGCAGCATAGAGTCCAGCCTCCAAGAGACGGAGCAGAAGATGGAAGGCTTTGTCACCCAGATTGACACTCTAACTACAGAGAAAGTCCACAAGGAACAGAGACAGCAAGAAGTATCTGCACGCATCGAGAAGCAACAGAAGCGAATGGAGAAGGCTCTCCAACGCAAGGCTCTGCTTACTACCCAGGCTGCTGAATGTGCAAAGAATATCCGTGATCTCGGTGTTTTGCCAGAGGAAGCCTTTGACAAATACGAGAACATGGATGCAAATGTGGTATGTAATTCGCAACAAGACTCGTCCCAGTTCTCCTCGCTAACATTGACACAACAGATCACGTCCAAGCTCAAGAAGGTCAACGAAGCACTGAAGAAGTACAAGCATGTCAACAAAAAGGCTTTTGAACAGTACAACAACTTCACCACACAGCAAGATCAATTGATGAAGCGACGAGAAGAACTCACCGCCTCTCAAGGGTCTATTGAAGAGCTGGTTGAACATCTCGATCGCCGAAAGGATGAAGCCATTGAGCGTACCTTCAAGCAAGTATCCAAGGAGTTTGCCACCATCTTTGCCAAGCTTGTACCTGCCGGCCACGGCCGTCTCGTTATTCAGCGCCGCACAGATCGTCGACGAGATGGTGACGAGTCCGACGAGGAGGCGCGAGGCAGCGTTGAAAACTACATTGGTGTGGGCATCAGCGTCTCGTTTAACTCGAAGCACTTGGATGAGCAGCAGAGAATCCAACAACTCAGCGGTGGCCAAAAGAGTTTGTGTGCGCTGTGCCTTATCTTTGCGCTGCAGCAGACTGAGAGCAGTCCCATGGTTATTTTCGACGAAGTCGACGCCAACCTTGATGCCCAATACCGTACTGCCGTGGCTGCTCTGCTGGAATCCATCTCTAACGAAGCTGGTACGCAGTTTATCTGCACTACTTTCAGACCTGAGATTGTGCATACAGCCGACAAGTGCTACGGTGTGACTTTCCACAACAAGACCAGTTCGGTTAACTGTGTCAGCATGGAGGATGCGCTCAACTTTGTTGAAGGCCAAGCGAAGCCTGCTTAAGTCTTCTCAAATGTTGAGCGCTCACTGTACATGCCTGCTGGCGGCTACCTCTCATTTTGGTGGGAACAAAACCTGCCTATGCTTGGAGTTTGGAGTTTTTGTATGTCTCGCAATGTGGAAAGTGAAAAAGATGGTTTTGTATTTGATAGTCTGAACAAGGAAATTTTATGTACGCTCTTGCCAAGTATATCCGTTTCCCTCGTAGTCTAGTGTTCTCTTCTCCTAGCATCCTATAGACTTTGCTGCATTCTAAGACGAATACTTTGGGGCTTACAGTAGACGCATGATGCGATTAAGCGTAGGAGGAAGAAGCCTTTTGAAACAAAAGTGCTATGTTATGTGTACATGAAAAAGTAACTAATTTTACAAGACGCTCAGGTCTACTGGTGTTCACGCTTATCGGTCAGCCATCATATTACGCACTCTGGCAAAGTATTCCGGCGCCAAAACCTTCTCCAACTCTTCGCGAGTCAACCACTGGAAGTCTGTGTATCCAAGAGGGCTGCCCTTGACGTCAGCCTGACCGGCCAAGATACGGCCCTTGAGGAAGAACGTCTTCTTGTCGCCTTTGGAGTTGTGGGCTACAGGCACGCGGCCAACAATCCAGGTGTTCATGTTGACACCAGCAGCTTCGTCGAGGACTCGTTGAGCAGCCTGGTGAATTTGTTAGCGGACTGCGAAGCTTGACCAAAAAGTGTAAAAGTACGTACCGTATGCAGATTCTCATTCTCCTTCACGGAATCCTCTGGAAACGCCCAGCCGTTCTTGCCCTTGACAACCAGGTAGAGTGTATTCTCCAGCTTTCGGTCCAGGCGCTTGATATCGTTTTTCTTATCGGCCTCTGTCAACCTTGACTGAGGTCCTTCGATGGGTACTATATCCTTTTCTGCGATGATCTCGGCGTCGTCGCTAACGCGGACTTCTGCGTCCTTGAGCAAACTCTTTACGATGAATTCCTGGCTGCTCATGTCGTCGCCGACCTTGAGCTCGTCGCTCCACGACTGGGACATCTTGCCCTGGAAAGCACCGAGCTCCTTGGCGACACCTTTGCGCTCGGCAACCTTGAGATCCCATTCTGTTTTTCTCGGCGTGTCGGGCTTGAAGTAGATATCCGTTACAAAGGGGGTGTTGAGACGTTCTTCCAGGCGCTTCTGGTAGAAGAAGAAGGCGTTTTCAAAAGGATGCAGTGTTCGGGTCAGGAGAGGTGGTCGCGTGAGGATGAGGCCAGATCGAATGTCGACCGGGTTGGAGGAGGTAGAGGCTGAAGCGCTGTCACCAGCGGCAGGACTAGGCGTCGCAGCTGTCGTGGCAGCCGAGTAGAAGCGGGCAATTGGTCGTGCATGAGGCAATGATGAACATCTTAAGCATGATGTGGGAGCTGCAAGAACGGCCATCCATCTTAGCAAAGCTGCAATTGCGATTGGGCATTGACGAGGGAGACTTACCATTGACGATGCCTTTGAAGGCTATTCTGCCTCTGCTAGAGGAACTCATGGTGGCAAGGGAATGATTATGCGCTGTCTTGTGAGGCAATCTCAAAGACAGAGGTCCAACCAATTGCTTCGACTTTTTTTTTGCAGTCCTCGACGCGATCACAGGGGGCACGCTGTAGGGCGATTAGGTAATTTTTCACAGCGCCCAACGAGCATCCCTACAGCCGTATTGTTAGTGGTCGCCTCAGGCATTCCATAGTGGATCATCCGTCCACCACAGGCAAAAAGCTCAAGCACTGCAAACTCCGCTTCTTCTTTCTCTCTCTTCTCTTCAGGCACCATTTTCCTTATCGTCAAGACCTGTTTGATCTCCTCCACAACGTCCTGATCATTTACGAGTGCCGAGAGAGATGCGTTTACTCCATAGCAGTCTTTTCGCTAGCGGCACCTGCAATTATTTATCCCACCGGGTTCTGTTAGATAGATACTGCTGACATTTCTTCTTGCTATGTGACCATGTATGACATAATGTCTTTGCTGTAAATCAACCCTGCTGCTACGTGAGCAGACAGTCCCATGCCATTGTACACGTACCGTATTAGACCTGCTATTCTTTGATCCAGTTTAGCCGAATGGCGATGTTGGCGGTGATCACAATGATGCTCATCGATCAATGTCTATCTAGCCATGGCATGAGTCCTAGTACGAACGAGGCTAAATCAATCAAAGTGTATTGGTAACATGTCTACGCTATTGCTTAATCAAGATTCCTAAATCATTCCATCATGCTTGAAACTCCGATATATGTTTTAAGTACCCAAATCCGTCGTTAACGCCGCCTTATGCCACACCTCAGTGGTAGATGTAACCAGATACAGGGGGTATCTCATTAAATCATAAGTTATTTGAATCCCGAAAAACGCCGCGCTTTGCAAACAAGTTTCTGTCAACACAAGAGAGGCCGGACAACGGCTCAGCTCAAGCTGACAGCTCAGCCACAGCTTGAGCAACAGCCTGAGTGGCTCGTTTTTCGTATTGCCGTTTGGAATTTTCATTAAATGCCCCCTTTATCTCCTCGTAAAGTTTTCGCGAGATATCTCGGTTGATGGCAGCATATTGTTCTGTGGTGAGCTTTTGAGCATGCCAATGTGGGCGTAAGGCAGTCTTGACAATATCGTTGATGTTTCTCTTCTCCTCTTGTGTCATTGTCATTCGGGTAGGTGAGCTATCTGCAGTGCGTGATGGTATTTGATGTGGACGTCGTGGACGAGGTTGGCGTAGCTCCAATGGAGGGCCATCGTGAATTGGAAGTCGTGATTCGGAATCACTATGATCGCTACTATATCTGTTGGGCGAATAGTTTGCAGGTGGATACATGGGCTCAATATGTGTGCTAAGTGAGAGAGTGGGTGATGTTGGCCGGCCTCTAGGAAGGGGTGGCGGTGTCAGTGATAGTGCCCTAGGGCTGCTGTGATTGGAAGGTGAAGGAGATATAGCGGGTGATGAGCCGTCAGGAACACCTCGCCATGGTAACTGGATGGCAGATGGTTCATCCTCTGCTTCAGACTGTGCATTTGGTTCCAGCTCTTTCAATAGAGCAGAAACCAAAGCTGGACCAGTGGTCTCTCTCTCGACGCGAGGTGTAGCAGTGGCGGCCCGGACGGTGGACGGTCCTCCTAAAGCAGGCATAACTGGCGCTGGGGAGGATGCCGACGTAGATGCCTCGCCATTCACTATGGGCAATCGCCGTGTGCGAGGACGCTTCAATTTCCTTTCTGGTTCTTGAACAGGCTCAATTGGGGATGCGGTTACAGACCGAGCTTTTCGTTTGCGGACCTGAGGGCCAGCGGGAGCATCCGTATCCCGAACAGACTCGAATGCACCCCATGCTCTTCTTTCATCCCGGGTTTCTTGGATAGGTGGCGGCGTCAAAGTTGGTACTGCCTGTAATCTTTGGCTAATTTGAGGAGGGAGAGTATTGGCGAAGGTATCTCTGGCACCCAGCCGTTGTGCAATGTTCATTCGTTGTTGCCATCTTTGAAGTTCGCGACGATCGAGTTGTACAAGCCGTCTGAAACTTTCGAGATCCTCGTCCTCGTCATCATAATTATCGAGGTCGACTTCTGTCATTTCATAGAAACGACCGGTAAACTGATCCCATGGGCCCTGCCATCTTGCTTGACGGCGGGCAGTACGGAGGCGAGCACGGGTTCGAGCGCGTAAACCACGTTGCTGGCGGGGAACTGGACGCCGGACGGCCTGAGGGCGAGAGTATGTTTGACCAACTTCTGGAGATTCTGGTTCTTCGGGCAACTGAAAAAGATGGGCACATTCCATGCAGTACCAGTCGCCGTCGGGAATATTTTCGAGTCCGATACAGTGCGTATGGTATGCCGCATCGCAGCTATCACAGAGTAGCAGGACATCTTCGTGTTCAGCAGAGTTACAAACAGGACAAGGGACGGTTTCTTCTTCGACCTCGTCCGGATTTTCACCTAGCCACTGCTGCACATCGAACTCGGCTACCTGTTTCTTATCCTGAACCGTGTAGGTTTCGATCGCAGTCCCTGCATAGCCAAAAATGGGAATTAGTATCAAATATATGCCATATTAAATTCTTGAACAGGAGTTCACATATAATATTTTCTCTGAATTTAATATGGGGTTGGGGTTAGACTCACCGTCGAGGCCATTGTAGACGCGAACTGAATGGAACGGGGTGCGGCAGATGGGGCATGTATTGGTCTTTTGGGCCCAAGATCGGATACATGCATCGTGAATAACGTGTTCGCAGCCGTCTAGAGAGGCGATTATGTTGAGATGGGCCGGATTCTCAGCAATAGGGTCGACGATATCGGCAGCAGCTGATGAAGTCGATGCGGGTTGTTGTGATTGACCGTCGTCAGCGGTCGAAGGAGTAGGTAAGGGATCTAAACATATGATGCACTGTTCAGGCTCAGACATGATGTCGATTGGGATGGTAATGTGTGGAGGTTGAAGAACACATGTAAAAAGAACCCGGGAGCAGTCAGGCAGATGATAAAGAAAAATAGAAAATAATTCTGGCACTGTTTCGGGGTCGAGATCGAGAGTTATGCCACGGGCTGTCGCAGGTCGGGGTGTCGTGATGATGTATTTAGTGGACTTTTTTTTGGGGGGGGGGGGGCGAGTTGCAGGCTACAGGCCAGCAGGTACAGCGATTCAGGTTAGGCAGAAGGGAGGGAAGAAGGAGGAGGGAAGGAAGAGAGCATGCGGGCGGCCACGCTGGGGCGACTTGAACGCTGGGGTGGGCCTTCCTGGGTTTTTTATTTTGGGCTGCGTGCGTGCGGACGAGAGGGGAGGGGGGGGGGGGGTTGATACCGGTACCGTCAACTTTTGCGGAACGGGTAAGCAGCAATAAGGCTAGGAAATACTAGAAAAAAGAAATGTTCAAATCTAGCAGATATCTGTAGATTATGAAATCCTGCCAGAGTCGCGAATTAAATAGCGGTATGTGAAGGAAGGCTGGACGAGGCCCAGATGGTGAGAAGCACGATGACAGGGCGGGTAGTGACCAAATAGCATAGTCCAATCAGCGGGAATGGAATCGCTACAGGCTGTCCGCCCTGCTGTGGCCAGACCAATCAGGGTGGCACGCCTGCTAAAGCACGCCACGTTTGGCCGCCAGGCTTTTGGTAGCAAAGTGGCTTTCTGACCGTAAAGTTTGACCTTTTTAGGTTCAGCTTGTTGGAGAAAAGAACAAGGCGAAGAAAGAGATCGCAGGGAAACAAGAGTTGAAACCTGGCATCTGAACCAAGCTGAAAGGGCCTGCTTAAACTCGATATATCTTTGCACCGTTCTGATGCTAATGATAATACACACTTACCGGTGCGGCAAGAACCACTATGGGCCCCGTGTTTTGGTGTCTTCAACGCGCCTACCGATCACTAAAACCAACGCTGACACAGGGGGCCCGGGGTGTGTGGGCGGGGGTGGCCGTTTGCTGCAGGGCAAGCTTCAACTGTTGGTGGGCATGGTCCCCGAAGACGGCAGCCGTCCAGGTCACAAGGGATTAGGACGGCAACGCGGCGCAGCACCTTCCATGTGCGTTGAGGCTTGACTATTACGAAAAGGTTGGAATATAGTAACAGAAAAGAAAACATTATGCGTATAGTAAATAGTTACCGGGTCTTCTGTAAAGCAGGTTATCAAAGCATCCGCTTAAAGCGCCGACTTCTTCGGTCGTTGACAAGACACGCAAACAGTACCACCACTATACCTCGCTTCAGTTCATCTGTCCAAAGACTTATTACGCGCAGCTGTGATCCAGATAGTCCCACGAGGCACCGTGCCCAGTGAGACCCTCTTCGGTAGCTTTACGTGTTATCTTGCAAGCGGTGCAGCATTCGTTACTACCTGCTTGTCACCCGGGGTGTCGCTTGACTGGTAAGAACACTCGACTTTCATTGACGTGGGGCCAAGCGTGGCTGGTTCCCAGCATCGACGGTATGCCTTTCCGGTGCCCAAGCATGACACGGCGACTAAAGTAGTTGTTGTATAATGGGACTGTGCCTAAGTGGCTAGCTTGATGAAGGGGTCTGTTGACGTATGGCTTGTTGCGGCTCTTCGTGGTCAGCGTAAGCAAACCGCGAGACTACCATACCAAGCCGAATGGCTATGTGCACTGTGTTCAAATATTATGAAATTGTAGACGTTCATCGAGACGAATTTTAAGGCTCTTTGGAAGTCTTTGAAGAATGCTTCGCTCATGTGGTTTGCTGTCATTCAATCTGCGTTAGCGAGCTGCCTCATCCATATCAAATACACTGACGACGATAATTGAACGTTGAGAGTTAAAATTTTTGTTATATTTTTTGTTTTGGGTCTGAGACCATGCAACTTTTTGAAGTCATTGCTATTTGCGGCCTCTGTCCAGAAAGTCGTCGAGTGTCGATGTGCATGTTCGTCAACTCGTCGCTACTAGGCGCGCCAACCTTGATTCCCCGTACACCAGACCGAAAAGCCAAATGCCGTAAACCCTTTGCTCCCTTCCCCATAAAACACTTCTTCTTTTATCATCCCTCTCCCCTTAAACTTCAGCAATCTCACGCAGACGACGGAGAGTCGAGCGCATAGCAGCAGCAGCAGGAGTGCTACAAGTTGTTAGCAAAGAATATTCACAAGATGATTCGAGGGCTAATCGTGTCCTGGATCTCGATATCCTACTATCCCACGATGACCTCCAGCTGGGGAGAAAAACGACGTACGCAACGGTGTAAGCACCACCAGCCATGGTGCGCTTGCAAGAGCGGCAGTTCCAGATACCGGTAGATTGGCGGCGGACAGTGACCTTGCCGCAGAAAGTGCAGGTGTACTTGGCGTGCTGGGTGATTTCCATCTTCTTGACCTGCTTACGCAGGGAGGCACCGTAACTGTTTCAAAGGTTAGTTGTCGGGTCCATTAGGTGTGCTTGCATCGGAAGCATCGTCATGTCAATCGCAACGGGTCGATTCGGGAAAAATGTCTAGGAGCCGTCGTGCATAGTTGTAGCGTAAGTGTTGTTGAATTCGACATATGTTGTACGGGTTCGTGGGTTGGCGAATGCTTTCGATCCAAGATTTGCAAATAATAATCATCCAACAAGTGCGGATACAATAGAAACGACGTAAAGGCTCAATCGGCGAGACAGGATCGAATTATGCGTGGCGCTGACAATAACTGGATGCTTCGAGGACGCTTTTCGAGGTGGACGCAAACTTACCGGACACCGTACTTGCCGCTGTGCAACGAGTTAGTAAATGCAAATTAATGTCTGTTCAGAACGGAGTGAATAACTTACGTGACACCGACCTTCTTCGTGCGCTTGGTCATTTTGAATGGTTATGTGTGGTGAGGTTGTCGAGGGGTGGATGTGACAAAGACCAACTCGAGCGAAAAGTGCACTCGTCGCTATACAGATCGCCCACTGAAAAATGTGGTGGATTTTTTCTTAGGGCAAACACGTGAGCTGTTGTGCGTGGAACAAGCGAGCGGGAAAATGAAGTCACGTTACCTATCACGTGATACGTTTGAGCTCCATCCCCTTTTGAGCACCGGGGTGGATCAACCCACTCTATCCGGAAGGGCCGCCGAGTTCTATGTTAGCAAGCTAATTGCGCAGGCTGCCGTGGCCCGTTCTCACGCCGTTGCCCGTAATTGAGGGAGGCATAACTGCCGCCCTGATAGATACTTCAACCTCATGATTTGGCATTCAGGGTAGATTAAATGCGAGAATTCAATTACTGTGCTCCTTCGGGTTGTCCTTCGCCTCCGTTGGACTCAATTGGACCGTGTCGACCCGCTTTGGGAATCGATCCACGAATGACTTGCGCAGGCGTTAAAACGAGGGCGACTGTATTAGGCAATGGCTGCCGAGGTACCTTTAAGTCTCGTCAGTCCCCCGTCTGAAGCTCACCCGAAGTCTTTTTATCGCAATCTAAGAATACCAGAGCTTGAGCTGCTTGCCGCTAGAACTTCACTAAATGCTAGACGACGTGAATCGTTGCAATGGCTATTCATAAACACAACCGCCAGTATGACTTGGTGGTCTTTGGCGCCACAGGTGCGCTAACAGGAGAGGATGAATCCACACGTTTGCTGACCCTGTATAGGCTACACTGGCAAGCTTGCAGCTGAAGCTATCGCAAAGAGCCTACCCACTGACCTGAAATGGGCTATTGCTGGCAGATCTGAGGCCAAGCTTAAAGCTGTAGCAGAGACCTGCAAAGCTCTGAACCCTGATAGGCTGCAACCAGGTAAGACTCTGATGGCATCAACGGGACAATGCCCCTTTCTCTTTCGCATGGTGTAGATATGAATGCTGATCTGAATTAGCCATTGAGATTGCAGACGTTTCTGATGGAACTCGTGTGAAGGCACTCGTCTCCAAGACATTTGTCTTTCTCGCTGTTGTCGGCCCGTACTGCAAGTACGGCGAGGTCGCCTTCAAAGCTTGCGCTGAAGCAGGCACACATTATCTCGATGTGACCGGAGAGTCACCATGGGTGCTGAGCATGACACAGAAATATGAAGCCGTCGCTAAAGCTAGCGGCGCAATCATGATTCCCCAGTCCGGCCTGGATTCCGTTCCGTCGGATATTTGCACTTGGCAGCTCGCCACTACCTTAAGAGAGGAATTAAACGTCAAAACAAAGGATGTGGTCATTTCCAGCCATAAGCTTAAGTTAGTTCTTTTGTTGTTGACGCGCCACATCCAGCTAACCTTGCTCCTTAGAATCATCCCATCTGGCGGCACCATCTCGACGGTCTTGTCTGCATTCGGCGTATTTTCTGTTGATGAATTGCGTAAGGGTTATGAGCCTTACTCTCAGTCTCCTATTCCACGTAACCCTTCCCTTAAGGATCCTTACTCAGGTATTACGAAAGCACTCTTCGGCTGCTTCAGTGTCCCCGATCTTGGACTTCTTACATCTTCCCCTCTGGGTCGAACCGATGCCACACAAGTTGGCCGATCTTGGGGCCTTTTAAAGACAATCCCGTCTCGCAAAGACCAATTCTACGGCGATAACTTTACTTGGACTCCGGGTATGAAGGCGCGAAACTGGTTGGCTGGTGTTGCGATTCACTGGCTCCAAGTTTCTACACTAGCTCTCCTTTTCTTGCTACCTCCTCTGAGAACCCTTGCTGCGCGCTTTGTTACCCAGCCTGGCGAGGGAGCAAGCAAAGAGGAGGCTGCTAAATGCGAGACGGAATACCGTGGTACGGCGACCGCTGACTCTAACACGAAGAAGAAGGCTTACATCCGAGCCTGGTATGACGGTGACGGCTACACACGTTAGTACAAGTTCTGCGAAATCTTTCCCACGTAAGCTAACATGACGTCTAGTTACTGCGATCTTCCTGACACAAGCTGCTCTTACCGTTCTTGAAGATGACCTGGAGCTTGGTGGAGGTGTTTTCACGCCAGCTTGCCTCGGCCAATCCTTTGTTGACAGAACCGAAGCCCAAGGATTCAAAACAGAAACCCAGATCATGGACCATTAGGGTTGGTGATACGCCGTAGGGCGATATGTGTAACGAAATGAGTTTGTTCAAGCTAGTTTTGTTTGGTCTTGTAAGACACGGACAGTGCTTGTCTACGAATATATGCTCCGTTGATTGTTATCGAGGAGTAAAACCACTTTTGATCTTATGTGAACGTCAGGTTTACCTTAGCGGAACCTATCTGATTTTTTGAACGCCCCAAATACAGCTAAAATACAAACTTACGAACATATTTATTTATTCAGATACATTCTTTGTTACATAAGAAACGTACTATCCTGTAAAGTTTGTGTGATTATCTCTAACATTCTATAAAGTAGTAATGTTTTTGTCTAAGTTAGACAAACAAATATTATTATCTTATAGAGTTTGTGTGATTATCTCTAACATTCTATAAAGTAGCAATGTTTCTTCTATACAAACAAACGTTGTTTTATCTTTGGACGTCCGGAAAATCAGTATCTCTTCGCTAAGGTATTAGTTTGCACATGTCGTTTGCCTTAGATCTCTGGTTGGCTGCAGCCCAGCGGGGCTAAGCCACTGGGTCAGCGGTGCACGCAGCCCATGACGGTGGTTCTAGACGCTAAATTTCAGCGGCGCTCCAGTGGAGATTGCATGTCCAAGGCTTGGCCGAATCTGGAAAAGTCAGGATCAGTCGCTGCTCTACTTCCGTCATCATCGATTAAACAGCTCCTCAACTCCGCTTTGCTGTGCCGATAGTCGATGCTATCGCGCTTTGCCCTTCGATCAAATTATAACAACATGCATTGCGCATAAATACACTCTATACAATACCTGTGAAACCATCGCTGGCACCCGTGGCTGCTGTCTCAACACGACTCCCAGCAACAATCAACCACGATAGCAATAACAATGGAGAACACAGCGGCTCCTTCGAGCGAACCATCCGCCGAAAGAACGCCATTATTGCCCGTTTCAAATACAGATAGCCGTCCAAAGGCTCCCCGGACGGTAACGTTCAGTTCGAACCCAGTTACGCGAACTTTCGAGCCGGAGACGCGGACGAGCTCTAAGAATGCCGCGCCTATAGCGAGTGTACCGGCCGGTCCGCCAATGCTTGCGGCGCTGAATAGTCGCCTCAGAAGACGGAATAGCCAGGGAAACGTACCGCTGCTCGCGACCGCTCCCTTTGGCGCGAAGCTAGGGCCTCAAAGAAGCACCAAGAAGACTGAGAAACTTAAGCTTCTACCCAATCCTGAAGTTGACGAAGACGATGACGAAGAAAGCGGAAGAGATGTCTACTCACAGTATACAAGAATCAAAGATCCGACAGCCAGAAGAGATGCTGCACGTCTTGGCAAAGCAGATCGCCAGCTGCTACCACGCGTCACCGCATATTGTACGGCCAACCGATATGATATGGATGGACTGATGCGGTTTCTAAAAGGCCGTGGCAAATCTCGCGGCGCGAACCCCAAACTAATCGACGAATGTATTTACACACCCTATGCGTACACGAAAGACGTCGTTCGCCCTGCTCCCGAAGTCCATCAGAACCCTGTTGAGAGATATCAACGCAGACACTCAACAGGAGGCGATAGCATTGAAAACGAGATGCGCCGAGAAGTTCAAAACGATAGACATGACTCGGGATTCGAAGATGCGTTCGTCGAAAATGATCACGATGTCGGACTGCAGCACATTAGCAACGAAGACCTGCTTGGCGAAAGCCTAGATGGTGATGTTACTCTTACGAATTCAGCTCGCGACTTCGATACACAAGTACACACTCCTGAAGTATTTCTCTTTGATTATGGTGTTGTTGTAATTTGGGGCATGTCTGAAGTCGAAGAAGCTCGCTTCCTCAAGTATATTTCGAAGTTTGAGCTCGAAAAGCTGGCGCCGGCCGATGTTGAAACGGAACGATTCAATTTCTACTATACGAGGGAATATCAGGCCCGTATTTACAACGACTTTATTACACTCCGAGACAAGAACAACTATATGGTTAAGCTAGCCATTTCCCATGCGTTGGCACAGAGCGTCAAGGTATGTCCGCGCTGGCGTATCATAGCCATTCATCCTACTTACGATTTTCTCGAGACATCATTATTTGAAGAACTTATATCCTCTACGGTTGAGACTTGCAAAGATATCCCGACACAAATCGCACTGACTGGTAAAATCGCATTAAGCCGATCACAAATCAACATGCAGATTGGCGAACTGTTCATCCTCCGCATCAATATCCACCTCAACGGCTCTGTGCTGGATACACCTGAGTTGTTTTGGGTAGAACCCCAATTAGAACCTGTCTACCAGGCCGTACGAAGTTACCTTGAAATGGACCAGCGTGTCGGCCTGCTGACGGATCGACTCGATGTCATTGCCGATTTGTTGGCAGTGCTTAAAGACCAACTGAGTCACGGCCACGGCGAGAAACTCGAATGGATTGGTGAGTTTTTCGTACCGCCAATGGAAACTGAAGCTCCATGCTAACATATTTCACAGTTATTGTTCTTATTGCTATGGAAATTGTGGTTGCAGGCATCAATATTCTTGTAGATTTGTACGCTGGAGATATATAAGCGCTGTATTAAGGGACCAGACCAGATGGACCGCCGGTACACCCTAGTAGTGACTGATGATGGCTACTTTGAATTTTTTAATATCATTGTCCAGATCGTGACAGCTGTCTCGATGAGCTTTACTTGGCCATGGCCTTTGAGTATCAACGCATATGTGATAAAAACAATTTTGAATTGGTGATGAAAGCTCAGCAAGAAGCCAAGCCACCATTACATATATCCCTTAAAAAATCAAGTCATCTCAACGCCAAACCCAACGGCATATCCTATCTGTACTTCAAACTGGCCAATATTCATATTACTCGTCACCGTCCTTGTCCATCTGAGTGTCCTGGTCTTCGGTATCGTAGTTTGCCATCTCCACATCCTCATCCTGGGTGCTCGGCTTCTCTGCTTCCGTCTTAGCAGACTCCTTCTTTTCGGCGTCCGCGACCGCCTTGGCCTCGTCCTCTTTCTTGGCCTCTTCCGCTTTGGCGGCCTGCTCGTCTGCCATTATCTGGAAGCGCTTCTTGTCCTCTTCCGAGAGACCTTCCCATCCCTTTGTCAGCTCCTCTTCAATATCTACATCACCGTCCTTATTTTTGGCTTCGAGAACAGGACGCTGTTCATCGCCGTATAGCTCTTGGGCTGTTTTGGGAGCCGGCTTGTCCTTGCTGTCGCCGTTTACTGCTACTGACTTATCCGTAGTTGGAGCGTTGGAGCCTTCAGCGTCACCATCGGCCTTGGTATCTGCGTCAGCGCCGCCTGAAGCCTTTCTATATCCTCCTCGTTTCGTTCGCAATGGCTTGTCCTGGATTTGTGGCTGCAGCTTGTTAGCGATGATTCCATCATGCGGCTTTACCGAAGCTTACGGTTGGTGGCGGACTAGGGCTGCCCTCGGAGTCCTCAACGTTGGTACTGGTTCGTTTCGCTAGCTGTTCAAGGAGGAACGCTCTCTCTATTCTTAATTTTTCGACTTGGCGCTTAATTCGAGCCAGGCGCAGTCTGGCGGCGTCGTTGGATTCCTCCACTTCAAGTGTGCGATGCTTCAATTGCACACATTTTCTTCGGTAAGCCTCCTCCACTGAGGGAGGTAGCGACGGGGGTGCAGCTGTATCGGACAGAAGGTCAGCATCGCCGAAGCGTCGTTTCGGAGGCATTGTGCATCGGTAATGGGCGGCACAGTTTACGCGTGTTCAGGGTGTACTCAATCGCTTAGAGCTTGTGATGCTGACGAGATATTCCACTGGCTTTGCGAGATTGAAGGCGCGAATGGCGGAGCTGGCAGGAAGGAGCGGAAGGGAGAGGGCTGCAACTTACTGTAGGGCATCATTGTCAAGAGGCTGAACGGGAGAATGTCTCAAAGCAGACCGCAGTACGCTGCTGAGGAAACGAAGGGGATCGATTCTTAAATAGAAAAGACAATTCAGCGAACAGAGGCCGCTGACAGTGCGTGATGAGATATGGGTGGTAAGATTGTGATGGCGATGGCGGGCGACGAAGATGGCTTTTTGGGGTTGACGCTGGGAGAGGGAAACGTCGGCGCGTGGCCGGAAGCGCGGACGCTGCTTGTGGCGCCCTGTTGCATGCACCATCACGACAGTTGTAAAGAGAAAGGACCAAACATAACTAGACTGCGCATCATGAGTAAAAAAAAAACTAATACAATATTTAGAAATTAATATAGCGCTATAAATACAGTAGTAATCTTGCATACGCCTATATTTCGCCATAAAATACGTTGTTGAGATTTAATTAATACAAAGGTTAACGCTCGAGCTGCATTGGCCTTGTTCTAAATAGAACTCGTGATTCCTCAGGCCGTCAATAGCTTTTGATAGAATTGAAATAGCTTGACTGCACCATCTTCCCACTGAATATCATTTTGGAGATGATGTCCGGCACCTTCGACGAACTCCATTTGGACTTGACTTGAGTTGACTGTCTCGACGGAACGATACAGAGCTGTGAGGTCTTCGGTTTCTCGTGTATTCATAAGTTTATCCTCAGAGCCAGCCATAACCAAAAGCCTGGCTGTTCCTTGCTTGGAATCTTGAATTTGCTGTAAAACCGTGGATGGTGTTGCGAATGGCCACATCATGCTAATTGGCCAAAGGAAGCTCTCGTATCGGCTTATGCGCTCCTGGAACGGGACGACGGAGGCTAGAGGAAATTTGCTTCCGAAAAAGGCACGTTGGGTTAAAACAGGGTGAGAGAGTGGCGAATTCGAATGCCATCCATGGAAGAGCATTCGGACAGTGAACCAAGGATCCAACTTGGCCCAATTGATGTACACCCCAAGCCTGGAATGAGATAGATCAGCATTTGAATCAAGAAGATAGATAAAGTAAACTCTTACGATCCCTGGGAGGGTACTGCTCCTAGCAATGCTAGGCCCTTAACATGGACTTCTTGCTTGGATAAGATGTCCTGGCTAAGGCCGCCTCCAGAACTGTGGCCGACTAGGACGACTTCGGATTTGGCTCGCGCCTCAGCCCATTTTATACCAGCGACAAGATCATTCGTGAGCATTCGGCGCGTTGTAAGGTATACCATGCGGAAATAGGATGGATACCACGAGTCTCCGTGTCCGCGCAATGAGATCGCGTAGCATGCAACACCACGAGCGGCCAAATATTGCATATATTCTGTCCAGACCCAGGCACCGCCCATGCCACCATGGCAGAAGAACACGGGTGGTTTGCTAGCACACCGTTCAGGCTCTGCGTATATTACCTCAAGTCGCCCTGTTGATGTCTCAATCCAGGCACGCTGAAGGCCCTCAGGGACAGGATGCGGAGGGCCGCTGGGCTTGGAAAAGTATAGCCATTTGTAGCTTAGGTGGAAATTGAACATGCTATTCACAATAAAGATAGGGATTGGTGTTTATGTTGATAAGTGTTGTTGCCAGGAGTGAAAGCATGAGAGGTAAAAATGTCTTGTAGCATTCGTGGTATACAATGGAATGACTGAGGCTGAAATATACGACTTGCTAGATTGGTATATAGCTGTAACACTGACAGCGGCAAAAGAAAAGCATCAAGAATCAAAAATACTCATATGCGTCTCGGTGGAAGGTCTACACGAATAGGTCATTGGAAGAATAAAATATTTACCATATGCCTGGACATGTACGACGGCTGGTCATTGCCTATCTATAGTGACGGGACCCTAGCACTACGCAACATAAGCTTGATTACAGTCATCACAGTGTCGGTACGAGGAGATAGTAAATGAAGGAAGAGGATATTTATAGATTTTACAACTTTACAACTTCTTGTTTTCAAAACATTTTTTTTTCCCTACGCCATCGATGGCCGTGAAATCCCCCGCGTTTCTCTCTTATACGCCGCTGCCTACTGCATCTCTCTCCTAGACGCCAGGGAAACGGATTAACGATGGACCCTGGCAGCGGCCCCCTGACGCGGTGTGATTGGCTACTGCCCCTCCACCGCCCGTCCCGCACTCATTCCCCTCTATTTTCGTGTGGGCGCTCGCTTTGTGTGGTGATTTTTCGGGGGCGTCTGCCGCTAAAGCAACACGCGCGCAGGCCCCAAGATGGATTTTGCAGTGGCGGTCGACTTTTTGGGCGGTGGCCTGGAAGCTTCCACCTTTTGTGCCCACCTCTGCGCTACCTTCTCCTTTCGCATACAATCGACATCACCGCCTGTTTGAAAAAGTAACCGCTCCGTCGACTTGCTTAGGCGGGCTATTATTTTTTAAAACATGTCTCTCAACATCCCCAAGGCCCCCAATGCCGGCCTCTTCAAGCAAGGCTACAACAAGTACGTCCGTTGCCCGCCACGAGAAAGCTCCCCTCCTTTTGCGCCCCTCGCTCGACAAGTGCACAGCTGCACAAGCCTGCAACATTCACTAACCTGATTTTTCTCCGGTAATAGCTATGATTCTGAAGACGGTGCCGTCCTCCGAAACATCGATGCCTGCCGAGCCATTGCTCAGACCGTCCAGACGTCCCTCGGACCCTACGGCCGCAACAAAGTCGTCATCAACCACCTTCAGAAGATGATCTTGACCTCCGACGCCGCCACCATCCTCCGCGAGCTCGACGTTGTCCACCCTGCCGCCAAGCTTCTTGTTATGGCCTCCCAACAGCAGGATGCCGAGATGGGCGATGCCACCAACTTCGTTATCATTCTTGCTGGCGAGTTGCTGCGAAAAGCTGAGGACCTCCTCCGAATGGGTCTCAAGGCCTCCGACATCGTCATTGGTTACGAAAAGGCACAGAAGTTTGCTCTTGAAACCCTCGAACAGCTCGCAGTCGACAAGGTCGAGAACATCACCGATCAGGAGGAGCTCAGCAAGGCCCTGCGAACCGTCATTGCAAGCAAGCAAAATGGCAACGAAGAATTCCTCGCCGAGCTCGTCGCCGAAGCCGTTCTGGCTGTCCTCCCCAAGAACCCCGCCAACTTCAATGTTGATAACATCCGAGTAGTCAAGATTATGGGTGGTAGCTTGGAGCAGAGCCGTGTCGTCAGGGGCATGGTCTTCCCCAAGGAGCCTGAAGGTTCTATCAAGAAGGCCCGCCGTGCCAAGGTTGGTGTTTTCACCTGCCCCATTGACGTCAGCCAGACCGAGACCAAGGGTACAGTTCTTCTGCACAACGCCAAGGAGATGGTGGATTTCACCAAGGGTGAAGAGACGCAACTTGAGGCCTCTATCAAGGAGCTTCACGACTCTGGCATCCGTGTCGTTGTCTGCGGTGACAGAATCGGCGATCTTGCTATGCACTACCTTAACCGCTTTGGCATCCTTGCCATCCGTATTCTCAGCAAGTTCGAGATGCGCAGAATCCTGCGCGTCGTTGGTGCCACCCCTCTGGCTCGCCTTGGTGCTCCCATGCCCGACGAAATGGGAAGCATTGATGTTGTTGAGACTATGGAGATTGGTGGTGACCGTGTGACTGTCTTCCGCCAGGAAGATGAAGTCACCAGAACTGCTACTATTGTTTTGCGTGGCGCTACTCAGAACCATCTTGATGACATTGAGCGTGCTGTCGATGACGGCGTCAACGTTGTCAAGGCCATTACCAAGGACCCCAGACTTGTCCCTGGTGCAGGTGCCACAGAAATCCAGCTCAGCTCTAGAATACAGACACAAGGAGAGAAGACTCCTGGACTGAGCCAGTATGCCATCAAGAAGTACGGTGAGGCTTTCGAGGTTATCCCTCGCACTCTGGCCGAAAGCTGTGGTCTGGATGCCACCGAGGTTCTCAGCAGACTGTACGCCGCCCACGCCAAGGGAGAGGATGGCGATACCGGTGTTGATGTTGAGGTAAGTACCATCTATCTGCGAACGTTGCTTCCAACGTGCTAATTTCTTTAACCTAGGGTGGCGATGAGACTGGCATCCTTGACGCCCAAGAAGAGGGTATCTTGGATCTGCTCTCCTCCAAGTACTGGGCTATTAAGCTCGCTACTGAGGCGGCTCGCACGGTTCTATCTGTTGACCAGATTATTGTTGCCCGCCAGGCTGGTGGTCCCAAACCCCCAGGCCCCAACCCTGTAAGTTGAAAGATCTCCAACGTGCAATATGTGCATACACTAATACTTTGACAGAACTGGGATGACGATTAAACAATTACGAACAAACTATAAAAACCAAATGAAGTCAAATAAGAGAGATTAGGTCTCTCGAAATTATGTACACAAAAACAAAAGGAGATTACGAGTCTTGGGTTGTAGTGGCGAGGAAAACATACCGATACTTTGACGATAGAACTTAGATATCAACGCATTTAATTTTTCGCTTTACATCATATCATACATACCAGGTTACTAACGACCTTTGCAAGTTTGTCGTAGACACATATTTAAAACAATAGTCTTGAATAGCCATGGCGGTGGCTTCTATCAAGTTACGAGCAGTCACAGACGAAGGAGAATAGCGATTTGTAGAACTAATGCTTCATAAAATATCCAAGTGATAACACATAACATATGCTAAACTTTCGTGGCTCAATACAAAATGAAATGGTAGATACATGTGAACAATATAGAAAAGATGTTCCGTGAGAGCAGATGACTTTTTCGATAATCATACATTAAGCATGTTTCGGGGATCATTCCCACCAGAATAAACGTGTGCGGGAGTTGTATCCGCCATATCCAAGAAGTCCCGTCATAAAACGTTAACAAAAAGAGGGAGAGACAAGTTCAGAAAACGAGAGGCAGAAAATGAGAGCTTCAACAAGGTGGCTGTATGCACATAATGCCCAGCACAGTGCTTCCTAGTGAAAAACTTCTAGGCAAGCATTGTGAGGGATCGGCATCGACAAATGGGATAAATAGCATTGAACAATGCACCCAGTTACTGTGACTTGGGGCAAGGGGTATAAGCATTGACAGTGAAGGAAATCGATCCAAGAACTGGAGAATGCTCAGGGCAAGCAATGACATCGGTCAGAACGACACCCTGAAATGTTCGGGCAGAGAGGTCCGCGCGCTTGGGGGTTTTAGGCTTCTTCCATGATGCCACCGCCATCGCCACCTTCTTCACGCCACTCGCGGCTGCGGTCCGAGAGGCGGCGGATACCTGCTACGCGGCTGGCCCAGAGCTTCTCGATCGGTGTTCGGAAGGTAAAGGCGCGCTGGGAGCTAATGACTCCAATGGCTTGAAGAACAGCCTTGCGGCTATCGCGTCCAAACACGGCAGGGTGGTTAATCCACTCAAGAGCTCTCTCAAGCTCCGCATCCAGGGCGGCAACAGTGCCGGCGTCAATACCTGTGCACAGATTGACGGCATCGGGAACTGACTTTGCGCTTGCCAATGGTCCATGAAGCCCGCCAGACGAGGCAGGGCTTTGGGGAGATGGGCTGCGCTTTCGGTCTGGTGTTCCGGCAGGGTTTGGTGATGAGTCGTTGCCTGGATGAGGCGTAGATGGCACCGACTTAGTCATGGGGACAGGGGGAAGGCCACCTTTGCCAAGACCCTTGAGAATAGATCTTGTCTCGTTGAGGAGGGTGTGGGCGCGATCGTGTTGAGCCCGGGTGACAAGAGTCAACGCTCTCGACAGCATGTCGGATGTCAGCAACTCCATACGACGCTGGACAATGCTGGGGTGGGGTGGGATAGGAGGAGAGCCCTGCCATGTTTTCTTTTGAGACGAGCTAGGGGGGAGCATGGTAATCGCGAGCAGTGATGGGCGTGGCATTTGAGTGATGGCGCCTTCTCGGAGAATGTCGCCCCAGATAACGTCAGCTTGAATGAGCGGGACTTCTTCAACCGATACACCACGTTCAGGATCACTCTCTGAGCTGCCCCCGAGAGCCTCTAGGCCCGAGACAATGTTGTCCCAAGCATCCTGAGGAAGCTGGTCCTGTGAGGAGCTGTCAGGCAGGATGATGAGTTGGACAAGAATGTCTCTCTTGTCACCAAATCGGAGATCGCCAAGCGATGCTTCCGCATCACGGCCAGTAGCTCGCTTAGTGGTTTGCAATGCACCGTTTATCTTGTGGAACTTAGCCGGTGACCCTTCAGGAAGCTTGAGCTTGAGCTTAACATTCTGATGAGAGAGCGCTTGCATGCCACCCAGGCAACCAGCAAGGCATTCACGCAGCATCATCCAATCCTGAACATAGGTATAAGAGGCTTTGGTCTTAGTAGACAACTCGATCATAGTATCAGGTTTATGAGTCATTCCTAGGCCAAAGGTATGAATTGTAATCTTGGCTGCTTCAGCGCGAGAAATGACAAAGTCAACTGAATCAGTGTCTGACGTAGAGGCATCACTGATAAGCATGATAGCTGCTGTAGGATTGCTGTGCTTGCGCTGCATAAGAAGATCCATGGCGACATTTGCACCTTCGACAACATCAGCGCGGTGGCTCTTTTGACCGACTGGCTTGATAGAGCCCAAGATGTTGGCCCAGCCAGGCCAAGCTTTCGTTGTCATTCCAACAATTGGGACACCGCCTCCTCCAGAGCCAAATGTAACGAGGCCCATGCGGTCGCGCTCGCCGAGAGTGCTCACCATAAACTTCAGCGCATCCCTGACCAGGTTGATTTTCACACCCTGCATAGACGAAGAGATCGGGACGACGACGACGACATCAATGGGAATGTGAACAGAAGTTGGAATAAAGCTCTGCTTCGAGGCAAGGCTGGTGTACTCGGTAGGGGCTGTTCCAACCGACTTGGGACCCCAAGAAGATGTGGTTGAAGAAACCCTTTGAGTTCGTTGGCGGTGCCAGTCTACCTCCTCGTCATTCTCAGAGAAGTCTGCCCGATCAAATTCAGGGCTTCGGATGGGGGCTGGGTCGGGGGAGTTCAAGTCAATCAGGGCCTGGTACCAGAGCTTAAGCTGGTTACGGTTTTCGAAATGCAGGTGGAACTGGGGAAGTTCGGCAACGGAAAGACTCAGGGTGAGGATATTGTCGTCGCTGTTGGGGGTTTCGAAAACATCGCTGAGGTGCTTCTTGATCAAGATCGATCCCTTGAGCGAGTACTTCGGGGGTGGTGCAGTACCTTCAGGCCACTCGGCGTTCGCTGCGGCGCTGGCCTTCTTCTCTCGGACACAAATGAACATTTCGGAGAATAGGAAACATTGAAGCTCTTGCCAGTTGATCTTGTCCTTACCAACACGCAGAGTACCATACAGGCGGAGCTTTCCAAAGCGGCTAAAATCAAGACCGTTCCAGTTGTCAACACGAGCCTGTAAATCTTCACTCATCTTCTCTAGCGCCTCTGGGGACTCGTAAGGATAGAACCTGGGAGCTGGAGTAGGAGCAGGAGATGCAGCATACGCTGCAACATTGTCGATTTTGCCCATTGAGCCTTGCCTTTGGATAGTAGGGGATCCAATATCCTCGGGATCGGGTCGCCACTGGTTATCGGGGACTTCGATAGTAACAAGACAGGTGAGCGTCTCTTGGCGACGTGAGCGGCTGATGGTAGGAAACTCCGAACGCACAGTAACAATAGGTGCAGGAATGGGATTTCTGGTGGCCAGGCGTTGAGGGCTAGCCGGTGTGGTTTCCATGGCCTGTACGTCATAGTCATGGCGCCATTGATGCCCGCTCTGAGTCGTTTCTGGGTAGCCCGACGAAGCAACGCCAGTTGCTTCGCTATCACTACGAGCATGTCTTGAGGAAGCATAGGCCGACAGGGCGGCATCGCGGCTGTCTCTTAAGCTGCCACGGGGCAAGCTCTCTCGGGTGCTAGGTGTTCCTCCTTGCTGTTGCGATTGCTGCTGCTGCTGTTGCTGTTGCTGTTGCTGTTGTTGTTGTTGTTGTTGTTGTTGTTGCTGTTGCGAGCGGCGTTGAGCGCTGTCGACGCTGGGCGGTCTCATAGTCTGGCTATCCCATGTCGGCGTGGGAGTAGGGGTAGATCGGGTGTCGCTACCCGCGGATCTGACGAGGTTGCTTATTTTATTGATATCAATAACGTTGCCACCTCTACTAGTGTCGAGATGTAGAGGGGAATCACATGAGGGGCAGTATTGTGAGTCGAACTCGCGGATAAATTCGTAGAAACAGGCTTCATGCGAGACATGGGAGCATGAGAACTGAAGGATCCGTTCACCTTGCAAGGTATGTTCGAGAGGTTCCTCACAGACGGCACATTCACTTCCTACAAAGGTTCTCTCGCGCCGGAAGCGGCTACGGTCTGTAGTGCTGGCCATTCTGTTATTATCGATCGCACCAACTCGTCGTGGGCTTCCGCTATTTTGAGATCCGACCGATTCACCGCGGATTCGGGGAGGAACAGTGAGCCCGCCTGTAGATTGATTGGACGGATGGAATCCTGCGAATTGATTAGTATTTTTGCAGTAGTGGAACAGTCTCCGTCGCCATGGATGCATCTATTGGGCGACATACCGTCTGCAAACGAATTGTCTGTGTTGTTAGTAGATGTAGTGCCGGGGCGAATGCGAGTAGCACCCAGAGCCAAGTCGTCGGGTCTGACCAGGCCAAAATCGTGGGCACTTGTTTGCAAATCGTTGCTCTGGCCGCCAAGATGATCAGGAGCGTAGCCGGTCTTGCCCGGGCCTTGAAGTTTGCCGTAAAATTTACTGAACATCGGAGAGTTGATGCTGGTCGCACCAGCGGTTGGTGTGGTAGAAGTTAAAAGAATCAAAGCGGAGGGGCCTCAGGCGTCGCAGTATTCGGCCCCCCAGAAATGCAAGCTGGCGGCAAGTATCCTGTGGATTGGACCTATAGCAGGGGTGCTTGGCGAAACAAAGCGAAGCCTTGCAATAAGGCAGGTTTCGGGAGCTGCAGAGCAAACAAGGGAAAGGAGAATGAGCAGCTAAGAAGCGTGGTAGCCCAATATAGAAGGCGGAGCAGCTAGCAAGAGTGTGCGTGTGGTTGTAAAAGGTGGGTGTGTCGTTTCGGGAGGTGGTTTCACGGTATTGTATCAACAATGCTGGAGCTGCGTGCGCATGATGATCGCGACAGCGGCGCAAGAGGAGAGAAGAACAATGATCAAGGCTGAACCAAGTGCCGCAGGCAAGAGGGTAAGCGTTATGATCAACTAGGAGCCCGTGTGGCTACCAGGTGGGAAACGAAACCGTCGACGGTGGTTGTAGTTGTGGGTGTGGTAAGGTGGTCAATGTTCGTCAGAGAAGGCGGGTGACCGTAGGTGGGCAGCGCACAGTCCCAGAGCTTGTACTCTGTATGTACTGTAGCATAAACCGCCTCAGGGCGCGAGCGAATAAGCAATGCAGGCAACTGTGCTTTGCGTGGGAACCGAATGCAGGTGGCGGGTTGGTTCCAGCAGACACTTAAAAGACGGTTGCTGACGATGTTGCGCTGACGATCCGCTGACGAAGACGGGCGTTTTAGGTGAAAGGGGGGGGAGGGAGAAACAGAGGAAGTCGTATCAAAAAAAAGAAAAGAAAAAAGGCAAAAGGAAGAGAGAAGAGAGGAAACGGAAACGAGGTGGTCGACAAAGATTTCGCTAGCATCGAACCCAGCTCCCAAGACAGCAGAGGGCCTGGGGAAAAGGGGGGCAGTCTATTTTTTCCCTCCTGCGCCCACTGGGTGTCTCCCGCTGGACGGCGCTGGACCAGGATTTGGGGGGCGGGCCAGGGGACTCCGGCAGCCAGGATGTGCCCAAGCCGCTGCTCCCAAAGTAAAAAGGAACCAGAGAGGCGGGCCAACGAGCTGTCCCCGCTGGTTTGCGCCCAAGGATAGCGGGCAGGCCACCCGGAAACCCCAACTGCACTAGTGGCTGAGGTAGCGTGCGCTGCCCCCCTCTGCGACGCAGAACCTGCATAGCTGGTTAGGCCTCTTTCCAGCGGCGCACACCCCCGCTAGCTAGTGTCATGGGCCGGCGGCCGCGGCAGTCTTTAGCTCGACCAACCAAGAGTTGGCAATCCAGGGCTCTGGTGCAAACCGAGACAGTGGAGATGGAGCCAGGGTCATGATGTAGGTGGAGCCCGTTGTGGTGATAGTGGTTGATGGGCGTGTGGATTTGCGGTGGGTAGTTGTTTTGAAAGGTGGTGCTGATGTTGGCGTCGTGGTGGTGTGCCTTTTTGCTGCAGAAGCTTGGCGAGTCGCCCGACGCATCTTGAATTTGGGGGACGATTCTAATGTTTCGGGCAAGCAGCACCTGATGGGCTTTTCTGGCGCCTGTTTGCGTCCGCTCAGGTCCAATTGATGGACGATGAGTCGTGCGATACACCCATGAGACGAGAGTCTACGGCGACTTTCAACCCTACTGTTCTGTATAGTGCAAAGCGCGTGCTGTGGCAGGTAAAAAGCCCCCCCTCTGCCAAAAGAGGGGCCGAAACATCTATAGGGAAGGAATACCGAAAAGAGGTACGCCAAAAATCCACCATGCAATATGGACGACGCCCAAAGGATTGGAATCCTTCCAGATAGCTGCCAATGCCTGTTTCTTGTCCGTATTCATTTAGCATTTGCCGTGTTTAGTTTCCAGAAGCAAAAAGAAGACGCTTCTCTGATGCAGGAACCATGTCGTCGCGGTAGCCCCTGCTGTGGATCTGCAAAGGCACGCTTTAAGCACTTGACGGCCGTCATTGCAACCACAGCACCCCTTATAGCAGCACCAGCAGCGCACAACGCGCTCTGACACTAGCCCGCATGGCTTTTGCACTGCCGACGCAGGTTCTGGCACTGTCACCAGCTGGTGCCAGGTGCAGACGCTGCTCAGTTCGGCCCTGATAAAAGCGCGTGCAGACAGCCACCGTTACCTTGACCTGCGACACTCCCACGCTGCACAAAAAAGCAAGCAGAGAGCAAACATGACGATACATCGTCCCATCTGCCTCTTGTGCTCTATTGCGGGCTTGTTTCAATCCACTTTCTCTCTCTGTGCATCGCCACCCGACATATTGGGTTGACCCTTGTTGCGTTCCGGTCCCCATCGAAGACGCCTCACGGGGCCGTGACGCTGGGCTGGGACAAAAATTCTCGTCTTAATTTGTTTCAAGCAGTCTGCTTTTGCATACCCATTTACAGGGGCTCTATAATACCTGGTGTACTATAGAAACCAGCCATCTCATCATGTCCGGTTCCCCTATCTCTCAATTCCTCTAATACGCCATTATGCGAGGCACTGCGCTGCAGGCTGCCGAAAAGAGCCGCAGGCCAGCATTTTCCCGTCTGGCTAACAACCAATCATGTGGTGCAATTGCGGCGTTTTGCCTGGCGTTCCTGGCGTCCGCGTGGGTGATCTTTACCTTTACAGTTCGGCCTGCATCTGCTTTGTCGAGGTGTGTTGGAGATACCCGCTGCCTCTGATGTGCGACATGTTTTGCGGTTTATCCAAACGGCAGTATATTCGCTTACTCCTTAAGCGAAGCCGGTACACAATGCATCTTTCAACTGCCTGATCTGAGCGTCCTTGTTTCTCTACCCGTTTCGATACCTAACCAATGTTTTGGTCAAGGCCCTGGACGTACTAAGCATGCCAGGGCTTCACGTGGCGACAGCGGAGATGTCTACTCCGCGCTGTGAACAGCTTCTCCGGCCACCAAAGCTGTCCAGATGGTGAACTTTCTCTGTCGCAGCCGGTTTAGCATCCACCAGAACCACCGTAACGGGTAGCCAATTGATCCCACTGACTTGCATATTGGCGAGCGGTTGGCTGGATACAAGCGACGGGGGTTAACCAATGATTCGGCCCGCTTCCGTGATTTTTAAATCCGCCGACTGGCTATCGCAGAATCAACAGACTGTGCCCTCGGCCGAATTTTACGCATACCGACTATCCTCAAAATGAACCCGACTTCTGTCGTTGATCAGACTATTTCACTAGGAAACAGCAAGGTTGAAACGCGTTGATCTTATCTTTTACCAATTAAGTACAAGCTTCTTTGTCTAATGGGGGAAGGTCACAATGGATCCTCCCCTGACCAGGCTGGGCCAATACATTCATTCTGCCCATGTTTCTACGGGGTTCTCTCCCTTGCATCGCGATGGGGCCTCCCGGAAAGCCTTCCAATAGGCACACACGAACACTATCATCAGTTGTGGCACAAGACTTGCTCAGCTCTAAGCGCAGCGGCCGCCGCTTAAACCCTAAGCCGTATACTCTCATTATCTATTGGATGTTCGTGTGACTTTTGTACTCTCTGGTTTTGCATTGTCTCTGTTTCGCAGAACCTTTGCGTCAACTGCCTTTCGCTATTGCTGGTGTGTGGGTAAGCAGGCTTTGTCGTTAGGGTGGTAGCGGCCCGAATCCGCGGCTAGAAGCCGCTGTCGACGCGACCGTATTTGTCCGAGGCCAGAGCAAAACAGTGGCAAAATATGACCTGTCCATAACAGGATTGACACCTAGCTGAACCACGTTATCAGAAGCAAAGTTGAGCGGCGGACTTCTTCGCAGAGAGCAGTGACTGGAGTCGCAGTTGAGCCGTTATAGAACATGGCGCCGGCCGACCAATGCAACGCGAGAGGTGATTTCAACTGCCGTGGTTATGTGCCTCTCGCTGTGTTTCGATACAGCTGCTCTGGATAGCCTTAATTGGGATAAGAATGACAGACTGCAGCATACAGTCTTGGGGCATCTGAGACCAGTACGTACATCTCTTACAAGGGAGCTGCGCTAGACAGAACGTCTCTGTTTGTCATCGCAGCCCCATGCTAGTCAGTGGCCACAGCTTGGGTCTGAGGCCGTGGCGTTGAGCCACCTCCACACCACACATTATCCAGATCGAATTCAAAGGCGCTTCCATTTTATGATACGTCAGTCTTGGATCCCATGGGCCACACCATATCACCCACAGGTCAAGGCATTTAGCGTCTGCCGCAGTAGATACCACGTCAGTACCGACGTAGCAAATCCTTCTAGAAGCCTACTACGTTTATCTTGTCTAACTCGTTGCGCACAACATACATCCTATGCAGCGAGCAGTATTTCGGTTTGCGCAGCTTAGTAGGCAACTATATGCCATGAAATAGCATAGGATAGCTAATGCTAGTGGCAATGGTCCGAACATTGGAGTGCGGAGGGGGAATGTCACTCAAGTGGTCCGTGTCAAGGACAACCCGACGTGTTCGCTGGTGGTCGGTAAATGAACCGCGAGGTCAATGGGTCAAAGCCAAGCTGTGAATGTGGTTCCTCGTACATGCAGCGCAGTTATCTTGCTAGCAAGTTTAACGGCCGAAATCTGCAATGCTTTCTTGACTACCTTGCCCGCCCTGGATAATAGCTATGGTACAATGGAACCTCAGTGGGCAGTTGCTGATGCTTCAAACAGGCAACAATTACCTGCATACGAGCTACCTAAGAGGTACCTCCTCTTCAGTAGATCGGGTGATTGGCACCATAAGGCTAATGTATCGAATCCCTTTCTGCCGATACGGCTGTTAAAGAAGACTGGGGCTAGCAATTGCAATCACCAGCGGTGAGAGGAGGGGTTGGTTCGCGCAAGAGCCAGCCTGCGCACAGACTACGTTCTATGCCACTTGTTTGATGAAAGACGATCATCTAGCCAACTTTTTACTGGCGCTGTCCACAACAAGTACCGAACATGTTGGATGTTGTGCGAGTTATTTTGTTGATCCCTTGGCTGGAAATTGGCGGACACTCTGACTTCCGGGTTGAGATGTAAGACGAGCGCGAAATGCCGTTTGGCTCACATTTACGTTTGGAGACGGATACTCAGCGATCTTAGCAAGCTTGCCTCGGAAATACTGTGGGCCAAGAGTCTCCCAAGTGGTTTAATTTTGGCAACGCCGTTTAGGAATAGCGTTATGGTGATCTCTGCCGTTTTGACAAGACAACCTGGGACAGCGAACGCTTAGTCGTGGGATTTCTATGCGCAAACCTGGGTCGGAGACCACCCGTTTGTAAATGAATGAGCACAACCACAAAGTAACGCATTGGCCAAGGTGTGCTGGCAGCCACACCGGTACACTGTGATGCCTCACTATTTTGTATAGGCGCACCTACAAAATACCAAGCAGCGCTCGCATGCCGACGGTTATGTTTTCGGCCGCGATCCGTGCCTTGATGGAGCGTCCGCCAGCTGAGAAGCGGCCGAGCCTGCACTGGAACCCTTCTCTGACGGAACAATGCAACCCTATGGCAGCGGTCACGTCCCTGCGTGCAGGTACATTGCGTGTGGCAAGCATGGTGAGCAAAAACGTGCACAACATGTGCCAGCGGACGTGACATCTGGAGTCCGCCTACCGTCGCCCGCTTCATTACTTTAGGACAGCACGCTCGGCCGCTGCCCTACGCCGGAGAAGTACTCTCTAAAAACGACACTAGTGATGCAGAGTCATGCAGGCCATTGCAGCGGCGATGGCACCCACACGATGGCCACTAGCCAGGCAACAGCTCCCAGAATACGCCCCCTGTTCACCTAGTCAATAGTTGATCGAATGGGCCCGAAAACGGTCCAGGGCCTACTCTCGACCGCTGCAAATGACTAGCTGCGCCGTCTGGGTAGATCAGATGGCGGCGCTGGGAGAGCGATTATGCGATGCGTAGAGCTGCTACTACAGATGCTGTTATTACACCAGAACGGATTTAACGCTATTGCTTTGCGGGGAGATGAGAAGTCCCCTTAGTTAATTACCGAGAGATAATATGCTAATTACAATAACAGATGCCAAAAAAAACAAGAACGCCTTTTTCGCCTTTTTCTCGCCAAAGAATGTGAGCCGCCGTGCCTGGACATGGGCTAGGCTACGGACTTCCCCTCTCACCTGCCCGTGTAAGCCGAGTCCCCGCGTTGACGTAGCAGTTTGCTTTGTTTGTTGCTTCACCTCCTCTTGAGAAACCCGCCGCCGCGCATCGGCACCGGTGCCCTGCCTCTGCGCAGCAACGCCTCCTTTGCTCCCATGCCTTGCCTGTTCGCTTTAGGCGCGAGTCTCTGGTCAACTTTCTTGGCCACTCTGTAGACCGTGGAGCCAACCGTCACGTCACGAGGACCTTTATCCCGTTTGGAGAGTCTGTTCTCGATTCCAGGGACCTTTCTGCGTTTCACAGGGCCCCGTTCGCGGTCGTGCGCGGCGCCGCTGGCATCGTCGACGTCGCTGTCGGAGTCGGTGAGGAACTCATCGGGCAAGACTGTAGGGAAGAGTGTTTTTTGCCCGCGCGGTTTCGTAACGAGTGTTGTCGAAGGCTTTTCTTCCTCATCTTCTTCTTCATCCTCGGCCTCGTCTTTGCTAGCAGGCTCTGGTGCGTGCTTCTTACGCTCTTCGGCTTGCTGCTTTAGCAGAGCATCACGCTCTTGTCGCTTACGCTTCTGGCTCGCTGCTTTTCTAATAAACGGTTAGTATATTGTAAATGATGTTGTTACCAATATGCGATGCATTTGCTAGATAGAACATACTCTTGAGCTACCTTTTGCGAAGCCGCGGTTGATTGCTTCACGACCTTGGCCGCCTGTGATGTAGAGACTGCTTCGGGAGCTTCGTCGCTGTCGTCTTCCTCTTCGTCTTCTTCTGGTACAGGAGCAATCTTTTTCGTAATTGTAGGAGCTGGTACGTTCATGTCGTCATCGTCACCGAAAACAACCATGTTGCCCTTGGCGGCTTTGGATGGGGTGCTCTCAGCAGCCTCTTCATCGTCATCCTTTTGGCGTACTGGCAGCTTCTTCATCCTCTTGTTTGATGTAACGGGGGACGAATCTAACGCCGTATCGATCTCCTCGACCTCCTCTGAATTCCTCTTTGCATTTCTTGTGGTAACCATGTTGGCGGTATGGGAGGGTTCTCGTCTGTATGCGCCGCAGATAGATTGGCGATGTCGGGGAGGTATACTGTTTGCAGTACAATGGCCAAGACTCTGATTAATACCTTCTCCAATTCCCTCTTCAGCCTCGTTTCATATAATTTCGTCTCGAATTACAAATTGCAAGTCAATGTCGTCGCTGGCGTCGTTAGTTTCTGCGCCGTCAAAACTTTTTTTTTCTGCCATCAACGCATGGTAGAAAGATTAAGTGGGGGCTATCGATACCGCCCACGCTTGATTGGCTCGTGGACCTGAGAGACGCTTTAACAGAGGTATGCCCTGAAGGATATGGGACGAAATTTTGCGCCGGACGAAAAATATAAAGTATAATTAAAAGCTTTGTAGTGTAATTCATAGAATTTTGGTTATATTGAATATTATTTTCAATTTCTTTAGCATGGAGGACGAGCTCTATATTCTTGGAAACAGGGAGCTCGCTGGCCTCCCTACTACGACGCATCTCCCGAGCTGTCTTTGTCCGTCTTTACATTCTGACCTCAGCAACTCCAATCACCACTCAGTGAATCGACAACCATCAAAAGCAAGGGCCACGGTTTCGCTTCAATTGGATTCTGTACATTCCCAGGGGTAATTTTACATATCCAACTTCATCAGGGCAACCACCTCGGACGTTCAAAACAGAAGCATGGCCACGCCGCGCTGTTCTCGTGCCACTCGCTTTCTGTGCCAATCACGCAGGGTGCTTGTATCGCCTTCTCTCACCGTGCCAATTCAGTATCAATTTACTCGGTTTGCTCATCGTCAAGCCGGCAGACCCATACGGAAGGCGTCGCCATCACCTAGCAGCGACGCCGCGGTGGCACGCCTGCAGAAGCTCCGAGAGCCAATTACTTTGGAGGGAGTTCCGCTGTCGAGATTCGAAGTAGCAGTCGCTTCCAATAATTGTCCCTTTACTCTCGCATCTGCAGCAGAATACTATTCAGCAGCGCATAAGTTTGTGGACGAGGCTCGCTCAAGGGAAAGCCCCTTACAGGTTGACATCAGTAAGCGTAAGGCTTATATCTATTCTCCCTTGCTTACCGGCCCCAAGATATTTACTAACGTGTACTAGTTGAGGGTGTTTCTGCGCCAGTACTTCACGATGCCGCCTGTATATTAAGCAGCTTTTACCCGCAGCGCATCCTACAGCCTGTCGTGGCAGCTATGCTCATGGCCTGTTCTCGCAGTGGTCATGACCCGTCCACAATCACACTTACAAACGCCATCATACAAGCAAACCTTTACGGACAATCGACACAGCTGAAACCTGTGGAAGAACGTTTCAAACGTATTGTCACTGTGGCCAAGAACCCGGATGCACTGACCGTGGAAGGCATGAGGCGCATAGGCCAAGGATCGCCAGAGAGCGCTATTCCTTTGCTGAATCATGCTCTAAGCCTTAACGGGGGACAAGACTTTGAGTGGAAAGCATTATGCCGATATGCAATTGCTCAAGCAGATGTCAAGTTGAACCGTTTTGACAAAGCCATCCCGGTGCTTGAAGAGCTGGCTGCAGAGGGATTACCCATTGCCACTGTTCCGTTAGCTCATGCGCTAAGGTCGAGAAATAGGACATTAGCAAAAAACCATTATGAATATGCTGCTGGATTTTACGATGAGCAGGCTATCAAGGCCCTTGTCGAAATGGAAACCGAAGATGCTGCGGCAGCAAAGGACTCTGCTTCAAAGACAAAGCATCTCAATTTGGCAGCGGAATGGTCACGGCTGTTGGACAAGAAAGCGACAGTTTGAATGTACACCATCATAAAATGTAGAATAAGAACGCCTTGTAATATAGACTAGATACGTTAATTCTTTCTCTTCTTAGACGGTTTGGTCTTGGACGACCCTTTCCGCTTGCCACTTTCACTCTTAACGTCTTCTTCTTTATCTATGCGTCCATCAACATCACTCATGTCGTCTTCCTCATCATCCTCATCCTGGTTTTCAATATCGGACAGGAAGGACCCCTTCCATGTGCCGTCCATGATGCAGGGGTCATCACCAAATAGTGCTACATCATAGGCATCCTTCATAGCCGCCATGCATATGTCTCTTCGTTTGTTAAAGTCGAACATGGGCTTCGGGTAAGTGGCTAATTCGGAGTCCTTAGGCTCCGAAATACCATCACCGGTAATACGCACTCCCGCCTTTTTCTGATCTTGTATGGGTGCTTTCCACGGTTCATAGATAAACTTGGCTGGAAAGTCTTTTAGTTCTGGAATCCATCGACGAACAAAGTCCCCATTCTTATCCCAGTTTCTGCCAAACGCAATGGGACTGTAGCAGCGAAAATACTGATGGAAGAACGCCGAACAAGATAGCCACTGCCAGTTGCCAGCGTTACAAGCTGGTTCGTGATCGAGTAAGAGCTCTTCAAATACTTCCGCACCTCGCTCCCAATCGATGTAACAGCCGCCTCTTGTTAAGAAGCATGCTACCGAATGCCGGCCTAGATGGTGGATCCAGCCGTCGTGCCTCAGTTGGCGCATGAGAGCGTCAATCCAAGGAAATCCAGTAGTGCCACGCTTCCAGCGCTGGAACCACACCTCTGCTTCTTCAGAGTCAATTTCGTACTCGCCTGTTACCATGCCAGTTTTAGGGTCAACCTTGGACCGCAAGTGCCATGGGATAAACCGACAGTGCCTGTTACGAATAGTTTGTGTAAAGGCTGGGCCAATTGCAGCTTGCGCGGCAAAGTACATGTCACGGAATAGCAGTTGGCCTGTTATACTTGTTGGTGGCTTTGATGCTCCGTTTCCGTAGGCGTCCGTGAGATCTTGAACTCTCCAGTAAAATAGGCGAGGTGATAAGGCGCCAAAGTGAAGAAATGGGGAAAGTAGCGTTGTAGACTGGGGCTCAAACTGAGCCGGGCTTGTTTTCGGTTTCTCGAATTTTGCTGTGTACTCTTCATTATCGATTATATCATCCAGCATACGAAGAGCAATCGACTCTCCTCCTCTGTGTGGCGTAGTTGCGGATGGAAATCCAAGTTCCTCCATTGTCTCGATTCCAAAGTCTCCTTTTGGACCAGCAATGGACATATACCCAGTATCGCTTTTTGTACGTTGCTCTGAATTTATATCCTCCGTAGGCGCAGGTGGCTCTGATTCAAAATCCAGCGGCATAGGACCTGGGTCTGGAAGGCTTGTAGGGGCAGGGATGGGACGTGGTATCAATCCGAGCTGCTTTCCAGTGGTCTGGAGCTGTGTAATGGACATTGTTGGCTTTCCATCCCGCTGTTTAACAATTGCGTCGCTGTCCCATAGTGTTCTTCCAGATCGCGTGATGACTTTGATACCAGCAGCTTCGGCGGCGGCCGTAACAGCCGCGTCTCGCTCCCTCGGGTAAGCGTCTGTGTCTCTTTCAAACACGATATGCGTTACTTTCCATGATTTGAATAGTTTGGGCAGTACTGTCTGTGGAGCCTCTCTGATCAGAAAAAGCTTGGATTTCGGATTCAACTTGGTGATGGATGCTGATAGATCCATCTGGCAGTCTAGACTGTATACGCCTGTGTTAGCCGCGGGTGCATTGGTGTTGTATTTGACATTTTCTTACAGAAACTGCCATCGATTGAGGCCGCCGCGGGCCTTGTATACATAATGGGGATCCCATGTGAAGATTGGCCAAAGCACTTCTGGGTTCAGGTCGAGAGCAACTTGCAGAGCTGGGGAATCGTGCAATCGCAGATCGGTTCGAAACCAATAGATGACACGGGCACCCATGTTCAAGGTAGCATGTATTTTGATAATTGTTAAATATTTATCTCAGAGTGATGATATCTCCTGTGGGAGGGTACTTGTGCGATGATTTGCATGATGTCAGGAGCTGGGTATGCCATTTGGCAGTATTCTGGAGTAGAGCGATGACACCGATCTTGGCTCTGAGCTTAACGGTCGCTCATCGCGCTACAGCGGCCAATCTATGATGCTGCTACCCTGCAGATCTGCCGTCACCAACTTTCGATACAAATTTGTGCTATGCGTTGATATAGTTTATTTTACATAAATTTTTGTGTGTATTTTAAATAATGCTTCCGCATTTAACGTATTTTCGCACTAGTACATGATGGAAAGGTGAAGATCGCGGTCTCAATTGTGTAGTAAGATAAACTTGAGCAAGCTGCTGCTACCTTGAACCATACCATTCCAACATTCGGGCCAAGGCTACATTTCTAGCGGCATAAATTGCGAAATTTTTTTTTTATTAAAAGCTACCAAAAATTCGGTGAAGTGCAGTATTAGAAAGTGCGGAAAAACATCCCAATCACACCAAACACTGCTTCGTTGCTTAAATCTGGCCATCGCCTGTAAGCGAGGTAGAGCACCCCGCTAAATTTGGTGACGGGGGTGGCGTAATTCCAGCGCCACCAGACGCGAAGCAGACGCGCTACAGTTCTAAACGCGATGCTTAACACACTCTCTTCTGCTCCAGTGACGAAAACGAAGCCGGGCATACAGCTGGGTGATAATATCGAAGGGCAATCTGTCAGACGTACACACAGATGTAAACAAATAAACAACTTAATAGAAACCAAACCACCCTCTGATCGAGGTACTCAGACATCAGCACAGATAAGCTCCAATCGTGTCTACGATGCTGAGTTGACACCTTAGCGATGAAATTAGAATCGTACAGGTTTCATGGCTCTGTCGAAACATAGTCTTGGACGCTACGCTGCACCGGCACGCAGCAACATCAAGGGCACACAGCGCCAGGACCGATACGCCAACAGAATGTAACCGCCGTCCAGGACACAGAGGCAGCACCAACGCAGCACTGCTTTGTTATTTCCTCTTTCGACCTAGATGTTGCATCCGTGCCTGTAAACAATACCACGATGGGGGATACTATTCATGTCAGAGGATAGTATTCAGAGCAGCAGTTACGAGCAAGAGTGGAATGCCACGCAAGGGATGTACAAGTCGGAGCTAGAGGCGAGATGTGATAGCAAGTGCTTTAGCGTTCGCCAACAGACTGTGCTCCAGACTTTGAGGCCGTAATTGCATCAAGACACGCATAGACGCTCTGGCCATGGTTTCCTGAACATACACAGCCTCATGCAGGAACGAGATGAACTGCGGGCAGCCTATCCACACCATAAAAAGCAAACCTCCGCGAGAGCAAGATGATCGAGATGGAGAACCCTGTTCCTAGCGGAATCCTACCATGCACAAGGTAAATTGCTCCTATGCAAAGCAGCCAGCCATACCGCCTGAACCTACCGCCAGCGCTGCAAGGAACAGACTGGTCAAATTGCGGGCGCACAGCTACGGCGCTGTACTGTGCATGTTTGCTAGGCATTTTGTCATGGCGTTGCTTCTTTGGGCTTCTTGGGCCTCTCCACCGATCTGCTGTGTTGCTGCACGTCATTTACAATCCTAACCAAGCCCGCATACTGTGCGGTGAGACTGGAGGATGTGGAAGAGAGGGCAAGCTGAGGCGTACGACCGGCTTGGAAGAAGGGGAAAAATATGAAAAAGTATAGGTGGGATAAGCCTTGGCTTTATTCGTACGCCGTGATCTATATTTGAATTATCACGACAGAGAGAGAATATTGGCATGCCACGCTATGGCGCAAAGATGGGATAATGCCTTCACAACACCTGTGATGGCCTGTTAGTGCCTGCGCCGTTGTAGCGGCGTAGCGCGCCCGCTACAGCACCAGACACCACCTTGGCCAGGCGCCGCGTTGCTTTTCTTGGCCCTCCACCTGCCCACCAGCGCCACTACGCTAGCAGCCTGCGGGGGCCACTGGACAGTGCTACTCGCCGTCCTACAGCACTTATGCGTCGCCGACTACAGCGCACTTGGGTTCTTATTAGAGTCATGCTCTGCCCGCTCCTCTCCTTCGCTGCCCTTCGGTCTGTTCTGACGTTTCCTAACAAAATGTTTTAGTAAATATCGCTCCTTCGATTCTTTCAACTTTCCTTTATCCTTCTTTCAACTCTTAATTACTTACCTAATATTTGTGTCCGCTTTCTACCATCACTTCTCGCTCATCGCTAGTGACAGACAGCCCCCAACCACCACCAGCCATCACCACTTACACGACAGAGACATCACAGGTCACTCGTTCTCTCAACCCAAGCGCCATCCACCGACTGGAATTTTTTCTTAGACTTCTTCAGCGGGTCCCCCGCCTAGAGCTGTTCACCCTTTACACCTGCTACACTGGCGTACTGTAGCGCCTCCCTTAGGCCCAGCCTCAGCCCACTTCTGCATACCGATCAAAGGCCAAACACTCAACAACCCGAGACACTCTCTGGTGCCGCTCATTGCCCTTGGCCAAAATTCCTCGACACTCCAAATCCTTTTCCTCCTGGACCGAATTGTCACTTTTCCCTCCTTAATCTATTTTCGCACACCAAAATCTCTCCATTTCGACACCATCACATCGTGTATCATACCGAGACGCCTTCAACTTCTTGATATCAGCTGGGACCAGAGGCACCAAACCTTGACCCACCCATCGACACAAGCACTTATACAAACACCGGCAGGCCGGTAGATACGCATCTGACCCGGACGCCGGTCCTGCGCGACAATACAGACACGACTCTGTCATGATTAGCTGGACGCAGCACTAATTCTAAGCGTCTCGCCTAAGCCATATCGACTTATAGGAAAATGCATCGATATGTCGCTCCATCCTTGGGCGCCTATACTATCCTCTTCACCTTCATCACCTTCATATATCTCATCGTTCTCTCCAGCCATGCTCGCCAAGCAACACACGTTCAGACCGGAGCAATGGCCGCGGCCACAATGCACACAACAACCTTTGCACTCTTGCTCTGGTCTGCATCGTTAAGCCTTTCGTCAAAGATGCACGAGTTGTTCGCAGCTTACGGCATTGTTATTTATCTGTTTGGCATGGCGTCTAGCATCGCCGCTGCTGGTCTCTCCATCACCACAGTGGTTTGGCTAAACGTCGCAGAGGCCGAGAACGAGGTGATATACCTTGAACGACAAAAATATGTGCGCGGACTCGCTGCTTTCTCCAGCCTAGCCTGGGTTGGACAGCTTGCTTTTCTTACATTACAATATCTGGCCAACCGCGCCGTTCAAAATGGCTCTAGTAGTCTATTTAACAGAAAGAGGGCAGTATGGTCGCCTAACCATTACATTAAATCTGTTCCATATAGCAGAACGGTACCCAGGAAGAGTGAGTCCATCGAAGGCTCTTTCTGCGGCTCGCCTACATCTCCCACCGGATCGACCTCTGGATTTATTAGCTCAAAGTCCAAGTCTTTCAAATCATCAGTTGGCCAGGCTTTCCAGCCTATTTCCAACAGAGTTAAAGAGCTATTCACCAGAAGCAAAGAATCTCGCCCTCTATCCCTGTACTCCCACCTTTACAAGAACAGCATGAACACCACTCTCCCCGTCAGCCAGAGGACGCCAGTTAGCGCTTATACGAGACGACCCGCCCGACAGTTTGGCCACGAAGCCATGATGCCCAAGGCCAAGACTTTTCAAACAATTTACCCTAGCCGACCCGATGCCGAGACGCCATCTCCCAGCGCCATGTCTCCTTCCCCGACATTCCCTCGCAGAACGAAGAGCTTCAGTCCATCACCAGCCCCTCGACGAAGCTTCCTCGGCGTCCCTCAAGTTGCCGGTGACGTCCATATTCACCCTCTCTTCCGCATGGACTCTCCTTCTATGGCCCCCATTGTCAATCCGGTAGAGGGAACGCTTGCTGGCCGCTCCATGGCCAACCGCCGAAGCCTCTTCGCTTTCCACAACAGAAGCGGAAGCGTACCGGCCTCTCCAGTATCTCGTGTCGAGTATGATCTGGTACCGGCACCATTGGAACTCCCAGCTTCCCCAGTGGCTCGCCTGACACCTCTTGTCACGCGTCTTTCTGTCGAAGTCAACATCCCTCCTCCCATCCCCGAGCGGCGCCAGAGACTGAGACAGCATCAGCGTCGATCATCAGTCCCTCCCCCAGTCCCTCCCAAGGACTACTAGGTGGATACTATTCTGATGCCTTACTTTGCGCCTACGCTGGACGTACAATGCTCTTCCTCTCATACCCTTCTGTGAAGGGCTCTTCACCATTACACACCCACCAATCCTTAAGTATTGGTCACAGCGAAGGCGTTCATTACCTTTTTCTATTTCAAACACACCAACATGAGTATATGTTTTCTGTTTGGAGCTTACATGTATTTACGACGGGATTATGTTTAATACTAGTTACACGACCGACTTGGACAGGCAGGCGGGATAGCACATATCTGCCAAGGTGTTTTAGCACTCTTCTGTTCTGTATGTATGGCATTGCAAAATGGAGTTTAACATATCGATTAAGAGTTGTCAAATCTTTGTTGAACCTAATTCTACCGAGTGATCTTGTGATTGGCCACAGTCGCGGCTACTAAGTAAACGTTACTGTAGCTGTGCGCTTAGCGTTGAAATGCTGTACAGTGAGTAAGTGAGCATCTGTCAGAGGCGACTGACGGCACAGTTACTGGACTGTTCTCTTCCATACAGTAACCCCACCTGCTAAGGCCGCTAGGCGAGGCCCTAAAAGGACCACAGGCTTGCGGCATTGCGTCAGGCAGCAGCTGCCTACCACAGCTGCTATTGGCGCGTATGGGGTCCAAGGTGAGGGGCCAGCCCGCTAAAAAAACCACAAAGGGAGCCCGCTACAGCCAACGGCAGCTCACCCAATGACCTGCGCCCGCGCCACGCTCCAAATCTCTGTCCTTCGGCGCCGGTCTGCCTGCTTCTTCGACCCCAATCAGTTTCGCAACACTTGCACCGTTGCCTGTTTTTTTCCTCCTTCCCGCTCTCCTCACTAACCGCCGATTCTCTCAGCCTGTGTGCAAGAGATTTCTTCTTCTTTCCTTCTTTCTTCCTCTCCTGCACCATCACAGTCTTGTCATCGGCTGTCGCCAGCCATTGCCCGCCATGAAGATTACGTTCAGAGTACGTTACGCAACTAGCCGAAGCGGTTCCGCGCCCCCAACCCCGTGTCTTCTTGTCGACTCATTGTGTCTCGACGATCTAGCACGGCAAGCTCATCATACTAACGCCTTCTCCTGCTTCTAGGATCTCAAGCAACAAAAGTTCACTCTCGAAGTCGAGCCGTCCGAGCTGGTATGTTTGCCCCGCCTCGCCACAAGTTCACAGCCCGCCCAGTGCGACGTGGGGATGACGCAACGAGCTGCTAACGCGCTGCACTGTAGATTTCGGCGGTTAAGCAGAAGATTTCAGATGAAAAGGGCTGGGATCCCAAGCTCCAGAAGCTCATTTACTCTGGTACGGACCATGGTTTCGCGATGTCTCGACAGACCAACTCACAAACTTCTTAGGCAAAATCCTCAAGGATGAGGAGACCGTCGAATCATACAAGATTGAGGAGTCCGGCTTCGTTGTGTGCATGGTAAACAAGGTAAGCCGTGCAATTGCCAGTCCAAATCCCCTCACGATGTACTGACCATCTCCGAAGCCTAAGCCCGCGCCGGCTGCTCAACCTGCTGCCGCCGTCCCAGCTACTCCCGCCCAGCCTGTTGCCAGCACTCCCGCTGCTCCTCCCGCACCTGCGCCTTCTACTACGAACACACAGGCTGCTGCTCCTCCTGCTACGCCTACACCGAACCGCGCTGCCGACACCCCAACTGGTGGTGCTCCCACCGGCCTTGCCATGGGCGCCGAGCGAACGGAAGCCATCCAGAACATGGAGGCCATGGGCTTTGAGAGAAGCCAGATCGAGGCAGCCATGCGTGCCGCTTTCAACAACCCTGATCGTGCTGTTGAGTACTTGCTTACCGTGAGTATTGAACCCGAGCTTATCACTGTGGCGCTAGTTAACACCATTATTAGGGAATCCCAGAGAATGTTCAGCAAGAACGTCAACAAGCTGCCCCTGCTGCTGCCCCTGCAACCTCGACGGAAGACACCTCCACAGTTCCTGGTGCCGACGATGTAAACCTTTTCGATCTCGCTGCCGCTCAGCGTGGTGGAAGCGGCCGCAGTGCCAGCTCTGGCGGTGCTGCCGCGGCCGGTGCTGCAGGCGACCTTGGAAACCTGGACTTTTTGCGCACAAACCCTCAGTTCCAACAGCTTCGCCAGGTTGTTCAGCAGCAACCCCAAATGCTGGAGCCTATTCTTCAGCAGCTTGGAGCTGGAAACCCCCAGCTGGCCCAGCTCATTGCTTCCAACCCCGATGCCTTTTTGAGCCTGCTTGGTGAGGATGCCGAAGACGATGTGCCTCTGCCTCCTGGTGCCCAGGCCATCTCAGTGACTGAAGAAGAGCGTGATGCTATCGAGAGAGTAAGTCGGCTGGGTCAATGGTGCGAAATATGTGTTAACAAATTATGATTAGTTATGTCGTCTCGGATTCGATCGCGACCAAGCTATCCAAGCTTACTTTGCTTGTGACAAGAACGAAGAACTCGCTGCCAACTTTCTCTTCGACCAGCCTGAGGATGACGAGCAGCCCGAAAACTAGAGCCTACACAACGAAATACGAGGAGTATAAGGCACAGGGAGAATGGGAGAACAATGGAACTCATATTTCTATTTAACGATTACGAAATAATTACTTGCTCAAAATGATTGCGAATGCCGTCGTGAGACTCTGCGCTTTCGTAGTAGTATGTTACAGGCAAATGAGTCTGGATATAAAACAGCAAATAGTAAACATGTTCATTAAGCTACCGTAAACGTGGGTATCATTCCAATTCGTGGTTGCGCCGCCGTTCCCTTCCATGTTATGAAGCTCGCTTTGTTTCTAGCCCGGCCGTTATGTGATGGGCTCGCCGTTGAGACCATATTGTACACCTTGCTTGCCCTTCTTCTTACCACCCTTCTTCTTGCCCTTCTCGTCCTCATCTGCAAACAACTCCTCGCGCCGTTTGCGCATAATCTCAGCCTGTTCGTCCACGACACGTTGCTGCTCAGCTTCATAGCTCTCCTGGACTTTGCGTTGCTCAGCCTCAATTGCTTCAACAGCTTCAAATTCAGACCCAGTAGCCGCTTGATATTCATCAATGTCGATCTTGACTGTCTTTTCGCCAACGAGAGCCGCCGTGATGCGTTGCGGGTTATGTCGTTCTTCGCGGTTGAACTTGAGCTTCACATGGCGTCGCTGCTTGCCTGGGATCATTTGTGAGATCATTTCGAAGTCTGTGCCCAGCATGCGCAAGCCCTTGTAGAACATTTCTGTTTCTTGGTCTGTCCAAATATTAGGACCGCGCAACTTGGAGGTGTTCATGAACGAGCTGCTCGTTATCAGTCGGGTAAAGTCGTTTTCTTCAATTGTCTCCATGTCTTCTCCGGCCTGTGCAGCTGCAGCTCGCGCGTGTCTATCCATGACCAGGGAGCTTTGGTCGACCACAATCTGACCGTCGACAATGCGGAACTGTGGGCCAGAGGGAGGTGCAACTGTCGTCCCTGCCGTTGAGGTAGGTGTGCTCGCACCGAGTTTTCTTTCGTTGAGAGGAGTGCTTGACCGGCTCATGCCATCGCCCAATTCACTCTTTTCCAGCTTGGCTCGGATGCGGGCCTGACGCTCTCTCTCGCGTAGCTCGTCGTGTCTACTAAATTTCTTTCCAATGTGTAAGTCTTTCGTCAAGTCGGACATCTTCAGCTTTTGTAAATCCACAACTTGGGCTTCTGAGTCCTCCGGTGTTATAGAGCGAGCCCGGCGCGGGGCTCGAGGTTTTGAAGTATCGCCAATCGTTGCTATTGAACCTCGTTTCTTGCGTTCAGTCGTAGCAGGAATTTCGGCTCTCGCAGCATCGGCGTTTGACTTGGTCCGCTTCGCTGGTCGGCCGGCAGAGACTGTGTCTTGTGCTTCAACAGACTCGACAGCAACCGAGGACCGTCTCCGTATTCTTGCTTGTGTTGGCGGGGGTGTTGCCAGGCCTGCTGCCGACGGCGCTGTAACAGAGGCAGCTTCAGTTTGAGCCTCCGCAGTGATGGACTGCTGACGAGTTCTTCGGGTCTGTCTCTTAGGAGCTGCTTCAACAGGCTTTTCTGGCACTTCTGGTTCTATCACCGGGGTATCAAGTGTTGGTATCGTAGCTAAACTGGCACGACGGCCACTAGTTTGACTTGAGTTGGAAGCTACACTTGAGCGTCGCCGGCTTCGTGTTAACGGTACGTCTTCACTTGGAAGATCTTGTTCAAGGGAAGGTGCCTCTGTATGTGTTGTAGTCAGTTTATCGTTTGTCGTAATAATAGGAGATTCGTCCACCGGGACTTCTTCGATCTGTTTTGTTGTACTTGTAGTACCGCGCGACCGGGCAGAGGGGATCTTGGGCTTAAAGGCAAGACCACCCTTCTTTTTAAACATGGAACTCATGATTTCCAACAGTAGCAAGGAGATTAATCAATAAAAAATAGCAAAGCAATAACCCTACATATCTCGGTGAAGTCTTGCAGGATCACAGCGCGCGTGTTGACGAATGGCTCTAAGAGGCCTAGTCCACCGTGAACGGCTCACTGCGACAGGAAGAAAAAAAAAGTGGAAATGCACGTTAGCCGGAGTTCTGCCGGCACGCAATATCGCCCCCCGTTCGCCAATGTTGCTATCAGACGCGCTAGTCTGGTTTAGGTGGAGACACCGTACACTTCTGATTTGTTCATCACCTTCGAAATTTCTTAACTCCTTGCCACGCATACCCTCCTACTATCCGCAACAGAGAATCTCGTGATCCGCTTGATGATCGCCTGTACGGCTGGCTATAGGACGAGAGGTGACTTTGAACTCTCGCTGGCATAATTTGCGTGCCTCGAAGCTCTAACGCGCCGTCTGTTTAGGCCCCCTGCCCCCCCCCCCCCCGAAATCCTATGCCTGCAGCCACGACACCATCTGCGTCGCCTCTTCCCCCGACCGTTGCTACAATGGAGGACAGGAAGAGACCAGCAGTCGCTCATGGCGATGATATCGCGCCTCCTAGCAAGCGCGTGGCTGTCAATGGAGCCAAGGGCAAGGATGACAATGCTGAGATGAAAGAGGAGAACTGGATCGACGTAAGTGTCGCGCGACACCCTTTATCCCATTGCAACCCCTTTCGATTGGAGAGAAAAGCCGGCATATCTGCATTGATTGGCTCGTCCATCAAAATGACGCGCAAAGCCACACTCGCTCTGTCGATTTGACGAACGCGCGCGACTCTGAACCACGCGCCAGACTCGACTGCTCATGGCGACGCCCCTTGCTCATGAAACTGCGCTCAGTGTATCATGATCCGGCGAATCTGTCCTAATATCGTCTTGGGCCAATTGATGTCTCTAAGTTCTGCTGCTAACTTGTTACCAGACATATACCAAAGGTGCTATTTATCGTCAAATGCAAGAATACAGCCGAAAAGCTGCCACGGCCGAATCACGGCTTGAAGCAGCTGAAAAGAAGGCTATCCATCATGATGATCATCTCAGAATTATTGATGCTTGGTGGCGCCAGGTGAGCAAAATCAATATGTCGCAAAGAATATAAAACTAACGTGAATCAGGTATTGGAAGAGCTTCAGCTCCTTGCCGATGGTAAAATCTCAGCGTCAAGCGACATTGCGTCCAACTATCTGAGCGGCACATCGTTCAAAGACTTGCCCGAATTCCAGACGCACCTTGAAAACAAGGGCAAATCTATAATTAGTGAAGCCGAGACTCTCCTCAGCAAACTCGCTGCGGGACGTGGTACATTCTCTCCTGAAGTATCTGCATTGGAGGGCAAGGTCAACAGCCTGTTGGCGTCACAGAAGGATTATATGCTGAAATTGGATCGACTGAATACTGAAAAGAACTCCCTATCAGAAGAACTGAATGTCGCAACGCTGCGATTCTTCAAAGCTGAGAAGCGTTTGGATCGTGCGAAGAGTGCCCAGGTTCAGAAGCTGGAGCAACAAGCCTTGTCAAATGCAACTCGGTCACCTGCAGCGGCAGCAGCTGCTGCTGCTGCCGCTGCTGAACCTGTTGAAGAAAAGAAAGAGGCAAATGGAGAGGGCACAGAGATCTTGATCAAATATGAAGAAGTTTCTGCCGAAGCCACGAAACAAAAGGAACAGCTCAGCAACATTCTGTCTCAGCTGAAGTCCCTGCAAGATGAAAACTCAGACCTCAAGGTGCGCCGAGATAATTGGACCGACGAAGACTTTGTCAGAACGGACGTTTTCAAGCAATTCAAGGGACAAAACGAAGATCTCATTCGACGTATAAACACATTAGAGGCGACAAATAAGCAGCTGCGCGAAGAGGCCGAAAAGCTGCAAGCAGAGCGATCGCTCTTCCGAACACAACTCGAAGAAGATACCGCCCAGACTGTGAAGGAGCTCGAAGCTGAACTGACGTCCCGAGACCAAGACTTGGCTAGAGTGCGATCAGCCAGAGATGAGATTTTAGCCGAGAATACTCAACGAAAGGCTAGCATGGAGCAGGAGAAGGCCTCGTTTCAACAAATGAAGGACCTCGTTGCAGCCAAGGATGACCGTATCGTGGCATTGGAATCGGAAGTAGCACGAAGCAAGCCTGCCGAATCGGATGTCACGATCAGTGAATCTGCCGCTCAACTGAGTGAGGAACAACTGCGCCAAAAGTATACTAAACTCGAGCAAGACTTCAAAGCAATCAACAACGAACTTCCCGCGATAGAAAAGGCCTACAAGAAGATGAAGGACTTGGCGCAGAAGAAGGTTTTAGATTTTGCTGCTTTGGAGGAGAAGTCGGCCCTACTGGTTGCTGAGAAGAGCAAGGCTGATCAAAAGTACTTTGCGGCTCGCAAAGACGCCGACACGAGAAATAATGAGATTCGATCTCTGCGACATCAAAATGGCAAGAGCGCCGAAATTATTGCACAGCTCAAGGATATTGAGTCTCACAACCGAGTTATGCTGAGTAATCTCGAGAAGCAACTCACGGACTTGAAGCAAACCAACGCTTCATTAACAATGGAGAACCGCCGCATGGAGTCTGCTACTCAGGATTCTGGTCGCCGAACAGAGACATTGAGCAGACAGATTACTGATTTGACCAGTATGGTTAAGTCCAAGGATCAGGCGACGGCGGATGCCAGAGAACGCAACACATCATGTGAGACGGAACTTGAGAAGCTCAAGGTTCGCGTTGACCACATGAACAAGGAGAAGGAGAACTGGAAGAACAAGGCTCTAAGCAACTCTTCAGAAGAGGAAGAGATGCTTCGAACCTTTGCTCTGTGCACGATTTGCCGCAACAACTTCAAGAACACGGCTCTTAAGACCTGTGGCCATTTGTTTTGCAACAAGTGTATCGACGACCGCATCAGCAATCGTATGCGCAAGTGCCCGAGCTGCTCCCGTGCTTTCGACAAGATGGATGTAATGCCTGTTCACCACTAAGATGGCGGAGCCATCTACGATGTATGCTACTCCTGTGAGAATATGGGTGGTAGTAGTGTGTATTTTTGTTTTTGTTTTGGAAAACTAGCTCAGTGTATTTTTAGGCGTGGTAGGACTGGGATTGGGGTTTTTGGTTGATGTTTTTGATTCTCGCCTTGAATTTGGCTCATGTACAAAGAAAGCATTCGAGGAGACATTGCAGGTGCATTAAGGGGTGTGTATGATTCTTTTACTATTTTTTATCGGTCAAGACTCAATAGTGAAAATAATTGATTATGATACAAGCTGATTCTCTCTACATGGGACATGGTGCCCGGCTCTCATCTTCGTCTCGTAGAACCAAAGCCAGTACTTTCACGCTGGCTAGAGCTGCTTGAGCTGCTTCCAGAAGAAGATGGACCAGCGGCAGAACCAGAACCCCAGGAGCTACCACCAAGCCATCCTGAGCCCCCTTGGTTGCGTCTGTTGTTATTGTTGTTGCTATTGTTGCCGCTCCTACCAGCCATATAACCAGCCGCAGCGCCGCTCATGAACCCTGTACCGAATCCGGGATTCCAGCCTCCGCTCTTTTGCCGGGACGAGGTTGATGAGGATGACGACGATTTATAACTGGAGTAAGGACTGGAGTAAGGCGGAGGAGGTTCGTCACCAAAACCTCCATCACCACCTCCACCACCACCACCGCCTCCGCCATAGCCGCCTCCGTTTCCTCCAGTTCTTCTATTTCGGCGTCTTGGAGTCGGATCTTGTGATTTGTAAGCTGAGTAGAGGATCCAACCCAATACGGCGGCGAATATAATTGCGAAGATGACAGCGCCCCAGTCCAAGCTTCCATCTTCATTACTGAAGAAGGACGAGCTCGTCTTTGCCACATCTGGATACTTCTTCTCGCCGAGATCCGTCAATTGGAGTCGGTATTCCACTCCACAGCTTCCTTTGAGGACGTAGGGGTCGTTGCTAGAGGCGTAGCCTTCGCAGATCACATCGGTGCTACCGAGTTTGAGTTCTGGAGGTAGGGAGGCAACACAACTCCATTCAACATCCTCGTTTCCATATGAAGAACCTTCATTGGTGCATCTCATAACATCAATGGAGTATAGTTTGCAGATGCTCTCTGGAGAGACGCATTTTAACTGGGGGACCGCAGAGACGCGACGATGGGATGTTTTCGCGCCATTGCCGCGTAGAGTGAGCGTCTTCACTTGCGAGAGAAGGACGGCGTTTTTGGGTTTCGCTGCCTCTGCTAGAAGTGGCAGGCAGAGCAACAGAAGCTGATAAAAATGCATTGATGCGACTGGATGACCGAATTGTCGGGCTATGAGATTGATGTTGAGTTCAAGACTATAGTGAGCATGGGGGGGGGGACTGTAGATGTGACGTCAAGGTCGCAGGCCAATCACTGCAAAAATGGTTGCTGGTAGTGCACGAATTCAACAAAATGCACTGGTTACGAAGGAATAAAAAATGCCAATAAATTGAAAATACGAAGGAGTGAATACTTTGGAGAAATTTAATTCAAGTGCAGCAACGCCGAAAGGACAGATGGCCAGTAGCAGATGGCCTGTGGTTGCTTGAGCCCAATTACCTGATTTGGGTGAGTGACTCGCCACGTTCATTAGTGTAGATGACGCGGCGCAGCAGGGCAAACGTGGCTCAAACTGCTGTGGCGCGTGGTTGTAGAGGGTAGTGAGTACAGCTGTACAGTCAGAGAGTTTGAACACCAAAGTAGAAGTGGTTTTTTAGTGTTCCTGAGTTTACAGTAGCACAGAGTAAATGGTATACGTTAAAGAGTGTTAATTTATGAGTCAATCTATCCGCGGAGGCACGGAAACTTATTATTTAATGAAGATGTATGCATACTGTCTGTAGCACGACAGCCACCATTAGTCACCGCCGCAGGGCTCCGGCTGTCGAATAGATTGCCTATTACAGCGATACAAAACACAAACAATGACTGACTTTAAACTTTTTGCTCCACGGACAACAACTAGACACGATGCGACCTTGACGATCACCTCCACGGCGAACAAAGCCCAACTGCCGACGGCAAACCACACCGATAGTTTTATTACCGTACCCGGATACCGGCAAGCAAAACGATGATTACGGAAGCGTGGCGGCAGAGATCCGTCCAACTGAAGGCGTCCATCAGCAATCAACTTGCAAGGCTGAGCATTAGTGGCTGTCTGCTGCCTAGTCGCTATCAAATTAGGAGAAATCCAGCGATGCGAGCTAGTCGCCTTGCGGACTTCGGGCCTGCGTCCCCACCTGTCGGACTCTTGTAAGGGACCGAGGCCGTAAAATCCGGGCGGGTCCCGTAGCCTGTAGCAGCCTGCTCGGGCGCTGAAGAAGCGCCACTACCGGGATAATATTGCTGGGAGATGGAAATAAAATATCCCTATGGAGATGGAGACCGGCCAAGAGAAAGGAGGTGAGTATCTCTAGGGGGTAGATGATGCTAAACAACGTAGGCAGCCGAATACACACTTTTGGCTGCCACGCAAGACAATACAGGACACAAAGCAACAAATGCTGCCTGGTTGTGCTAACCACGACAATACGACATTTTTGTGTTGGCTCCGGGTGACAGCGGCTTCTCCTTTTCCTGGCGCGACCACGAAGGGAGCAGTTAAAGAACCTGGAATAAAAATAGCACTCTCCAGCTGTCTTCTGGCACGTACCAATTTCTGCTTTCTCTACTTTAAGTGCCAATTTAGCTATGCTGCTTGCCCTGTACGCGTCTGTTCAATACATGGAGAAGATCTGGTCGTGTCTTGTACTTGGCATGTAGGGCGGCTCCAGTGATTGGCGCGCGTGAGGAAGGCTTGCAGTGCCCGCTAAAGGAGATCCATATACCTGTGCGTACATGACAGGAGCTAGGGGGAGGGGCTGCAATAGACGAAAACCTTGTTTTTTTTTTTTTAGTTTGTTAAAGTGCAAAAAAAGAGAAGGCAAAGAAATGACGAGACTGTATTCCACAAAGAGGCTACCATCAAAGACGGTGTTGTTATTGTCGCTGGCTCTCGAATCCGTGTCTTGTGCATGTTTTTTTTGTTTAAGATCTGGTTGTTGGTGTGACGTAGCGCTCCGAACCCACGGTGTAAGACGGGGTTGGGTCTCTGCTCACCACGGACTCTATGGCTTACATGATATTTGATATTGATTTCAACAAGTTTCCATGAGCCACTCAAACCGAGTTCCGATTGCAGGACCATCACCGATTTTAGTTGGAAATATCGACAACCGAAGAAATCCTCAGTTGCCCATCTCCTTCGCCGGGGCTGTCATCACGCTGCACCAACGTCAGCCTGCCTGGAGACGGATGAGTCAAACGGTGGGTGACAAGAAGAAGGGTGCCTGGCGCCGGCTGAAGAGGACAGCGTATTCGGAAACGAGCCGATGCTTTATCCTGCTTTGCTTTTTAACACTGTATTAATTTATGTAGTAATTTTTTTGAGAACTATTCGGTCTATTTTGCTTTGAAACATTGGGCTACTCTACAGGTAGAAGAATGGCTCTCGCTGCTGCCCCTGGCTATCGCTAGTTTTCTATAGCGCTCCCTTGTGTGGTAAACCCTGCTGTACTGGAAGGTAACCTACCGGAATTGCGTGCACAGGCTGCGGAGTGGGGATCTCAGTGCTCCGCCAGCGCTCATCCGCAGTGGGGCTTTCCCGCTGAACCTGCAAAGCATGGCTGCCGCTGCGCACTGTAACGCCCAAAAAGGCACACGCGTATCAACGAGCCGGTGGGGCCTTGCCCATCAGCATGCGCTCGCTCTCGTTCACTCGGGGTCCTGTGCTCCCGTCGAGTCCGTACCACGACCCGATTTCTTCTTTTTCCCTTTCCCACGACAAACGCCATCGTGCGTATTCTCTTCCGTGTTGAAATACTTCTCGTCCGCATCACCCACCTCCTTTGTCTCCTCCTCCTTTTCCACTTCCCTTCCCCGCCCTGCCATCGCTGATCCGTCTCCTTTTTCACCCTCCTGTCTATCCCTTAGTAGCGTGTTGTGTCTCAGGCTACATTCCCGCCTACCACCGCTGAAGAAACTGAGACCTTGCAGTGCACAGCTATTGGTACGCCACATTAATTCCACAGCGCCGCGAACAAACTTATCGACCAGCTACTTTGTTCAAGCGTGTTGCTGCTTCATTGCTTTTCACAACCTTTCATCTCCGTTGTTACGCTACTTCGACCAGGCTTTCTTACAGACTATTCGACTGTCTGCGGTGCCTGCTATTGGCTCTTGGAGCACAATCTTCTCTTCATAGGAGCTTTCGAATTACAGACTCCGTCCCTAGTGATCCTACCAACGCGTACCGACACGGCCACGGCCACGCGATATCTCAACCATGGCCGACAACTTGCACGAAAAGCCCGACCAGGGCTTGCCGTCGAGCCCATCGTCCTCTACCAACGGTGATGCTGTTGCCAAAGCCGCCAAGCGAGATAGTCTTGCTCTAGAAAAGGCCAACACCCAGATCCAAGAGCTCCCCAAACAAGACGATATTGACGAACAATTCAAACACCTCCCTCCCCATGAGGCCGAGATCCTCAAACGCCAAATCATCACTCCCGAGCTGAAAAAGGGCGTGGCAGTTGTCTACCGCTACGCTTCCCGCAATGATCTCATCATTATTGCCATCTCGTCCATCTGCGCTATTGCCGCAGGAGCTGCCATTCCTTTGATGACGGTTCTGTTCGGTAACATCCAAAACACTTTCCAGAGACGTCTCCTTGGTACCATGTCGCCAGAGGATTTCGTCGGAGAGCTCAACAAGTTTGTCCTCTACTTCGTCTACCTTGGTATTGGTGAATTCCTGGCCACCTACATTTGCACGGTCGGATTCATCTACACGGGTGAGCACATCAGTGCCAAGATTCGCGAGCACTACCTCGAAAGCTGCATGCGACAGAACATAGGTTTCTTCGACAACATTGGTGCTGGTGAGGTGACAACCCGCATTACTGCCGACACCAACTTGATCCAGGATGGTATCTCCGAGAAGGTGTCCCTGACTCTGACGGCCATTGCCACCTTTGTTGCCGCGTTCGTCATTGCCTTTATCAACTACTGGAAGCTCACCCTCATCCTCTCCTCTACCCTCTTCGCGCTTTTGCTCAACATCGGTATTGTATCCAGTCTTATGCTGAAGCATAACAAGAAATCGATCGATGCCTACGCCCAGGGTGGCTCCATTGCTGAGGAAGTCATCAGCTCTGTCCGAAACTCCGTTGCCTTTGGTACTCAGAACCGCCTCGCCAAGAACTACGATAAGTTCCTTATCCAGGCTGAATACTACGGCTTCCGCGTCAAGGGCCTCATGGGTGTCATGATTGGCGGTATGATGCTTATCCTCTTTCTCAACTATGGCCTCGCTTTCTGGCAAGGCTCCAAATACATCACCGAAGGCACCATTCCTCTGAGCAAGATCCTCACCATCATGATGGCCGTTATGATCGGCGCCTTCAACATTGGTAATGTCGCCCCTAATATACAGGCTTTCACCACTGCCATCGCCGCTGCCGCGAAGATCTTTAACACTATTGATCGCCAATCTCCTCTGGATCCATCCGTCGACACTGGTGATGTTATCGAGAACCTCCAGGGCAACATCCGCTTGGAAGGTATTCGTCACATCTACCCCTCCCGCCCCGAGGTCGTCGTTATGGACGGTGTTGACCTTGAAATTCCCGCTGGTAAGACCACTGCTTTGGTCGGTGCTTCTGGATCTGGCAAGAGTACCATTGTCGGCCTGGTCGAACGTTTCTATGACCCTGTTGAGGGTTCTATCTTCCTTGATGGTGTTGACATTAGCAAGCTGAACCTCCGCTGGCTCCGTCAGCAGATGGCTCTTGTTAGCCAAGAACCTATCCTTTTCGGCACCACGATCTACCAAAACATCCGCTACGGCTTAATTGGCACTGTCCATGAAAACGAGAGTGAAGAGAAGCAGCGCGAGCTTGTTTATGAAGCCGCCAAGATGGCTAATGCTCACGATTTCGTTTCCAGTCTCCCTGAAGGCTACGAAACCAATGTTGGTGAACGCGGTTTCCTGCTTAGCGGTGGCCAGAAGCAGCGTATTGCCATTGCCCGTGCTGTTGTCTCCAACCCTCGCATTCTTCTTCTCGATGAGGCCACATCCGCTCTTGATACCAAGTCTGAGGGCGTCGTCCAGGCTGCCCTTGAGAAGGCCGCTGCTGGCCGAACCACCATTACCATTGCCCACCGTCTGTCTACTATCAAGGATGCCCACAACATTGTCGTCATGACTACCGGCCGAATCGTCGAACAAGGTACTCACGATGATCTTGTCGAGCGCAAGGGAGCATACTACAACTTGGTCTCCGCTCAAAACATTGCTGCCGCGAACGAACTCACCCCCGAGGAAGAGGCTGCTATTGATGCCCAAGATTCCGCTCTTATCCGCCGCATGTCCACAAACAAGGGTGAAGGCTATGTATCTGACCCGGATGACAATATCCAGTCCAAGCTTAACCGAACCGAAACTACAAAGTCTGCCTCCAGTGTCGCCCTTCAGGGACGCCAAAAGGAAGTTGAGCAAAAAGACAGCCTGTGGACACTGATCAAGCTGATTGCATCTTTCAACGCCCCTGAATGGAAGCTCATGGTTTTTGGTCTCTTCTGGTCCATTATCTGCGGTGGAGGCAACCCAACTTCTGCTGTCTTCTTCGCCAAGCAAATTATCACTCTTTCTTACGGTCTCAAAGATGATGAGCTGAAGGAGACACCAGAACAACAACATCAGCTGCTCATGGAACGTGGTCGCGCCGCCAAGCATGAGTCTGACTTTTGGAGTGCCATGTTCCTCATGCTTGCCTTTGTTCAGTTTATTGCCTTTACATGCCAGGGTGTTGCTTTCGCCATCTGCTCTGAACGTTTGATTCACCGTGTTCGTGACCGGGCTTTCCGCACTATGCTTCGTCAGGATGTCGCCTTTTTTGACAAGGATGAAAATACTGCTGGTGCCCTTACTTCTTTCCTCTCCACCGAAACTACACACGTCGCCGGTCTGAGTGGTGCCACCCTCGGCACGATTATGCTTACTGTTACCACGCTTGTTGCTGCCATTGCCGTTTCTACTGCTATTGGATGGAAGCTTGCTCTGGTTTGCATTGCTACCATTCCTGTTCTGCTTGGTTGCGGTTTCTTTCGTTTCTGGATGCTTGCACACTTCCAGCGCCGATCCAAGGCAGCGTATGCAGCTTCCGCCTCATACGCCTCCGAAGCCATCTCCTCTATCCGCACAGTTGCTGCTCTCACCCGTGAACAAGACGTGTTGAACCAGTACCGCAACTCGCTTGCCATTCAGCAACGCCGCAGTCTCATCTCTGTTCTCAAATCGAGCTTGCTCTACGGTGCTTCTCAGTCGCTCATGTTCCTGTGCTTTGCTCTTGGTTTCTGGTACGGCGGTCAGTTGATTGGTAACAGCGTCTACACCCAGTTCCAGTTCTTCCTCTGCTTCATGTCCGTTGTCTTCGGCGCCCAGTCTGCTGGTACCATTTTCTCGTTCGCTCCTGATATGGGCAAGGCTCACCATGCTGCCCAAGAGCTCAAGATTCTGTTTGATCGCAAGCCTACCATTGACTCCTGGTCCGAAGATGGTATCCCAGTGACTGAGGTTGACGGTACTGTTGAGTTCCGTGATGTTCACTTCCGCTATCCTACTCGCCCTGAGCAACCAGTTCTTCGTGGCCTTAACCTCACCATTCGACCTGGCCAGTACGTTGCTCTTGTTGGTGCCTCTGGCTGCGGTAAGAGTACTACGATTTCGCTTCTGGAACGCTTTTACGACCCCTTAGCCGGTGGAATTTTCGTTGACGGCAAGGAAATCAGCACGCTCAACATTAACGACTACCGATCATTCATTGCTCTCGTCAGCCAGGAACCAACTCTCTACCACGGCACTATCCGCGACAACATTCTTTTGGGTACTCCCAAGGAGGACGTCTCGGACGATGCTATTGAGTTTGCCTGCCGTGAGGCCAACATTTACGAGTTCATCATGTCTCTGCCCGAAGGCTTCAACACTGTCGTTGGCTCCAAGGGTGCTCTCCTCAGTGGTGGCCAGAAGCAGCGTGTTGCTATTGCCCGTGCCTTGATTCGCGACCCCAAGATTCTTCTTCTTGATGAGGCCACTTCTGCTCTCGACTCCGAGTCTGAGCATGTTGTACAGGCTGCTCTCGACAAGGCTGCCAAGGGCCGCACCACCATTGCTGTTGCCCACCGTCTGAGCACCATTCAGAAGGCTGATATCATCTACGTCTTTGACCAGGGCCGCATTGTTGAGGCCGGTACTCACTCGGAGCTGATGCGCCAGAATGGCCGTTACGCTGAGCTTGTCAACCTTCAGAGTTTGGGCAAGCACTGATAAAAGAACGGGTTCTTTTTCTTGGGTTGCATTGTATGGTTTTCCTTCTCTTTTGATTTCGCATTATGACGGCGCTCTTGGACTCTTCCCCCAAATTATAGATATATTCCCGGGCTCAAGGTTATGGGATGGAAAATTGTTTTATTTCTTGTTCTTCTGTCGGGGCACACGGATATCCCCTCTCGGTATTTAATTCGCCTTTTCGCTCAAATACATACATTGAAATTTCACAATTCGTGCATTTCTTGGGTGAATTTACTAAACATTTCGGCATACGCGGCGGCCATACGCTAGCCCAAGCAAGAGTTCCCTATTTTGGCTGAAAGCCCACTGGACCCCACGGTAATCAATCTTTTTCGGCGCCTGGAAATTTTGTTGATTGGTGGAAACGGCCCGCCACCGGCAGTACCTGTGGTAATCGTGGGCCTGGGACGATGGTGCTGGAGACTACCCCAACGCCAAAAAGGTGCGCGGCGTCCTGCTATATTAACTGGAGGCCCATTCGCTTTGCTCGCGTGTTGCTTGCCCGTTTGAATTTTGGATTGACACCATCAAGTACCTAATTACTCGCTATCAATGGCAAAGTACGCCGCCTGTGCGCTGTTGCTACCAGCTGCTGTCCTTGCTGCCTCTGGCGACGATCAGGATGGCCTCTTCCCGTCCTATGTCTCGCTGTCGTTTGAATTGATTGGCTTCCCCGACTGGGCTGGTGAGTGACATGTCCACCATCAATTGCAGTTGTATAGGCGTGCCGCTAATCCAATTCACCAGGAACTCGCGCCCAGCCCAACGAGTACTCGGCCAACATGATCAACAACCTCGTCAACATCCAGGGGAGCCCGATGATTGTCCGTGTTGGCGGCAACTCTGCGTGAGTAGACCCTCTTATATCGTATAACGAGTTGAATTAACCACTTATATTTCGTCACGCAGCGACCGTGCCATCTACGACAAGACCCTGACGACTGCTACGTCGCGAGGCTGCCCCAATGCCGACAAGGGCGCCTGGCAGTGCATCGGCACATCCTTTTTCGATTCATACGGCGCGTTCCCTGCCGGCACGCTCTACTCGCACAACTTCAACCTGGCGACGTGGAACTCTTCTGGCTTCGATACCCTTCGCGACACCGTCCCGCTTGCGTGCAATGCCCTGCGCGGCCAGCTTGAAGTCTTTGAGATTGGCAACGAGCCGGATCTATTCATCCCGCTGCGCCGTCCAAACACATATACCGTAGCTGACTACGTTGATGAGTGGCGCAACGAGACAACCCGCTTCGAGAAGTATCTTGCCGACGCCTGCCCCGACATGACTGAGAACAACAAGTACATGTTTCCGTCTGTCAGCTCGCCCGGTGCGCGGCTGCGCATCCCGGACATCTTCAAGGAGGGCGGCGACTCTCTGGATAAGGTGACGCAGGTATCGGCGCACAATTACATGGATGGCGCTACGAATCCAGGCGTCACGCTGCAGAAGACGCTGATGAACCACACGGCTGTTGTCCGCTCGATTGGCGGCCATGTCAAGTATGCCAAGTCGTATACTGCACCTAACCCGGATGCCAAGTATATTATTGGCGAGCACAACTCCTGTAAGTCTTTTGTGTTTGGATGTGTCGTATTTCCATGTTTGGATGTGTTGTATTTCTATGTTTGGATATATGTACTGACTATCATAGTGTACGGAGGTGGTGCAGTTGGTCTTTCCGACGTATACGGCGCCGCACTCTGGGGCCTCGACTTTTCCCTCTACGCCGCATCGACGCAAATCATCAAGCGTGTGCACTTCCACCAGTCCATTGGTTCGCCATACGCTGACTGGGCTCCTACCGGACCGCGCCAGACCAAGGCTCCTTACTACGGTAAGCTCGCAGCCGCCACGTTCCTCGCACACTCGGACAAGATCCAAGTCAAGACGCTGGCCATTGGCCCGCGCGACGACGTAGACTCTGGCTACGCCGCCTACAAGGGCGACAAGCTCAGCCGCGTGGCCCTCATTAACCTGCGTGAATACGACTCTGGATCGTCGGCGCAGCGTGGCTCCCAGACTTACACCGTCGGCGTGCCGCCTCGGTCTCGCTGGGTGGCCCAGCGCCTGACGGCCCCTGGCGCCCGTGATAAGACGGGTATTACGTACAACGGATATGCATACGAGGCCGAGTCTCTGGGCAAGCCGGTTCGCGTGCAAGGTCTGGAGACGGATCGGGTAGTCAGGCCCGATAAGAATGGTAAGCTGAGCATCGAGGTTGCAGACTCGGAGGCCGTGATTCTTGTTAGAAGCTGCTAGTTGGGGTTTAACGTAGCACTGCTTGTAAATAGGCTTTTTTTTATTCTTGTCGTTATCAAACCGTAAACCAGAAACAAAAAAACTTGTTTGGGTGTCGTTGCTGAAAAAAAAAACACCTTGCCCTCCCCTAGCGTCACATCGTCCGGCGAGACTCCCGGCGTGAATGCGCATCGCCGAAGCTTGATCTCCACAGCGCCGGCCCTGAAGCCCCGCCGTGGCGATCGACCAACCCGCCGAAAAGTTTAAATGCGGCATCGCCATTCGCCAACGGCCGTCTCATCCAGGGTGCGAGTGGGTTTTTGACGTCCCGCGTTTCAAAAGCCAACGCTATCTATAGCTATTTGTGGCCATGTAACGTATGCTGCGTGAACTGGTGGGTGACTGGCCGCCCCCAGGGAGGACGGGACAGGTACGTAGACTGTATCTCATATCAGATATTTTTCGGCAGATGAGGTAGATACATTGAGAGTTTGCTAGCTTGTGATTTGATCAACGTGTATAAAGAGGCGAGGGTATTCCCAAGCGGATGATCGGTGTTTTCTGTTATTCATCATCCTCACACTCTTAAACACATCACTTCCTCCCCGTCTTTCTCGACGGGCATCTCTATTCAAAATTCCCCCAATGAATTCCTTTGTCCTTGCCGATCTCCACGACACGGCATACAACCGCCTCCACTACCCATCACAACATCTTGAAACCGTCACATCACACACTAGCCATGACGTCCCTACAAGATCCGGTTCTACAAGCTCCGAGCTCCAGCTCGGAGAGCGCGTCTCCAACAGTCGTTGGAATCAGTATTGGCGTAAGCTTGGCTTTAGCCGTCGGCGCAATGATATTCATGGTGTGGTCCTGCCGTAGGGCAACCAAGTACGATCCGGACTGTGAAGCCGCCGAGGCTGCCCAGTCTCCCATGTCCTTTCTCTACACCAGGCAGGCGGCTACCGGGATGACACCATTCTTCACCGTCGACAGGTCCCAACTACAACCTACTGCTTCTGCTTCTGAAAAGATGGACTGGGATAGTGCTTCAGCTACGTCGACAAATGTAGACCTGCAGAATAATGCCTCTGAGCGTGCTGAGTCAAAAGAAGACGGGATATCAGAGCCCGCGCAAGCTGAGCTGCCTGCGGCTCCGTTAGCAGTCAAGGCGAAAAACTACAATAGATAGACAAAAGTTACAAGTAGTCTATATTTCAACAATTACATTCCAAATATATATTTCCACAAACTTTATATGTAATAGTCATCCAAAAACTCGATGCATATAAAGTATTTATATCACACATGATATTCTACAAATATTGATAGAAAAGGTAATTTTATAATATATATTAAAGAATACTTGAAATATTGACTAAATAACGAGTTTGCTCGTAATTTTTGCTTACTTACGGTAGGGGCATGAAATAGTAAGGTGCTGCTCCACGATATGGGACGAAAGCGAGACAAAACAAGCTTAGTGATGATATATTTAGTTCTGTAGCCTGTTCAATCAACTTCACGATTACTGTTTTTTTCGCCGCTTAGACCACTTGTGAGCCGTTACTAATGGACAGCAAGTAGCCTCATCATGTTGGCTCTGCATGTGTGCCAACAGATCTAGGATCACATCTAAAAAAAGGATAAAGATCAACCGCAGGCAGTCTAGAATGCTGCAATGTAGTTGGCTCTGCCTTCCCAGCCTTATTCGGATGTCGTCGGCCCTTGCTGCGGTGGCGTGGTCTAAGAGTTGGCGAGCTTCTTAGCGTGTTCGTCACCCGTGCGCCTTGACCTCTTCCGCCAGGCATCTTTGCTTGGCTGTCCGTCGGTGTTGGCGGGGACTCAGGAGGAGGCTGGCGGAAGTTCTTTTACTATTGTTGTTACTTGGAAATATTCCGGAGCTAACTCCATAGACGGGGCCTAGGTACAACTGGGGCTGGGCAAAGGGCATATGCCGACAAGGAAACATTGGACTCCCCTTTGGAACAATGGTTTTCTGCGAGACGACGTTTCTACCAACACGCGAGATTGGATGACAGGGCAGCTGGACAGTAATTAACGACGGTTGAAACGGTGGTGGACGCAGGGGCCTGGTGGTCCGTTGCCAGACTAACCACCAGGACGGGGGACTATGGTAGCTCACCGTCGGTTGGGACGGAGGAAAGCAGGTCTAGCCGCCAGTGTCGTTGCTCCCCATTCTGTAGATATATATCCATAATGCTCGTGCGTTTACAAGATAGGTGAATGAGTGAGAACCATCGCATCTTGCGCAGCCACACCCTCTGCTCGTCACCCTCTGCTCGTCCGGTATATGCCCGCATGCGGGCTGGTTGGCAAAAACTTATAAATAGTCCGAGTGTGATAATTGGGACAGAGGTGCAGCTAGCTACAGGTGATGGGACCACAGAGCTTGACGACCGTGCGCAACACGGGCGAGCCAACCAGGAAGCAGAGAACGTGGGCAGGGAGCAGGCTAGGATTGCGAACGAGCGCCATTTTTCTGCTTCGTTGCTGTGTTTGTGGTTTGCTAACGTTGGCTCCATTTCTGAGTGATCAGGCTGAGTTTGGAATCCCAGCACAGCGAGCGAGCCTTGTGCATTGGTGGTGGTGGTGGTGGTGGTGATGAGGCAGGACAAGAAGCGACGAGCCACAGCGGGCCACCACCTGAAGCTGACTGAGCTAGCAGGGGGAGGGGGAATTTGGTGATGGTAGGTGGGGCGCAGCGTACTTTTGCTGCCTCTTTCAGCAGTCGGTCCCTGTTTTTTTTTTTATTTAAGTATTTTTTTTTTTGGAATCAACTGGATGAGACGGGCAAGGAAACAGAGTCAGGTAAATGGGAGGAATATCTTTTCGGGGACGAATTGGTTTACAAAGACGGTCGGTCGCTTGAAGCATATGGAACGGATTGAAAATGCGTACTGCTGCTATTTTAATACTCATTTCAAGGCTATCCAATGCTGCATATGCTGCGTGTGCTGTGCGGTGCTGTAACTACTCTACTGTGCTACTGTTTATCTTTATACGTGATGCACACTGAGTGGCTCCCCATAGGGGGTCCGATGACTCCGCTGCAGGTAGGCCAGGCTACGCAAGGCAGGGCACGGACACTTTGGGAATTCAGGAAAGAGTTTTTGCCCGTGATAGGAAGGGAAATAAAAACGATGAAAATAAAAACGAAAAATTCAACGTTTTGAGAAGATAGCCACATTTTATTTTCGGTGTTTGCATTGTCTTCAACGCCAGCGAGCATTGGCTTGTTGTTGGTCTGCAATTACACAGGGGGTCACTCTGGCGAATAACAGTCCACCAGTCCTGCACTGGAGACCGCCGGGGCTTGCACTGAATGTGACAGCGTAAGATGTGGTAATTAAACTCATCTCATCACCGTCCCAATAGTTTGACGCCATTTCCGTGGAAGCGTTTTTTTTATATTGCAAGTTTTCTTTTTTCTTCATGCGCGTCTTTTTTGTTTTTGTGTCTTCATGGACGCTGCTGCTGTTACTGGCTCTTCCTTCATTACACACGTGCTCGTCTCCTTATCTCTTTCGCACCACACCACACCCATTTTAGTATAATTTGCTTCCTTCGGGTCATTTTTCTCGGTCCCTTAGCGTACGCAGCCTGAAAAACGCTCTGCAGATGGCCCGCCTCGCCTGTTTACAGTGGACCACCATGCGCTAAACTGGCAAAAGCCTTAGCCTACCCACCCCGGTTAGACCGCCCACCCTTGGTGCTTGACCCCCATTTGGGCCGCCGCTGCATGGCCTTGCCCGTTCACGGATGGTTCTAGGCCCAGACACGAGAGCCCGATCCCCCAACTGAGCCATTGTCCGTGTTCTTGGGTTTTCTTTCGCTTCACCGTGATCCTCTCTCTGCCTTGTCCGTTCGCCTTTTCCCTTTCTAGCCACTGCTTTCCGGGCCTTGGCGCTGCAGCAACTGTCAAAAGGAAGCCCCCGTCCGCCCCGGCTCCGAATGCACAGCTGCTGTTGTTGTCTATCCCCGACTCCTTCAACCCATCGGCCGCACCACCACCGCCAACAACATCTTCGCTCCTTGCCCGCGCAACCACCCTCCCATACAACGGCCACTCTCTCAGCTGCCTCGTCTTCCATATATATCCAACATTCTTCAACCCGTTAAAATCTCCATTATCCATCTTAATCGGCGCTGACGATCCTTCTGGGCCCCGCCTTTCCTCTATCGATCGACACTGCTCAAGAGCGCAGCCTTCTCCGAAAATCATTACCACCAACGCTTAGGGATTGCCTCGCGCCTTCCTGGAGCCAGCATCCCCAACGCGCTTAGTTGCCATCGACCGAGGAAGCCGCTTGGTTTCGAGACGGGTTGTGTGCAATAGGCCCCGATACCATACACGCGGTGCCCCAACAGCAGCCCAGCAACAACGCGGCGACAACTTCGCGTTAACAGCTCTTCTAACACAACTATTACCGCAACCAACAGGTCTGCGACTATTTTTGTTTCGGCATCCTCGTTTCATTGCCATTTTGGATAGTCTCTATAACCGGTGACAGTCCGCAAGCCGTTTACTACATCTGAGACATTTCTACCTTGCCCCGTCTCGCCTCTGACACATCATGGCCGCGGAGAAAATGACCTACGCTACCTTCGGTAGTTTGCCGACCTCGTCGCGAACCTCTTCGACATTACCTAGAAGGTGTAAAAATAGACAACACAGCCAAAGGAAGCCGAAAACGCAAATGTCATGGCTCACAATGGGCACGATAGCCTGCTTAGCAACAACCACGCTAGCTGCCACAATCAACCCTCGATTAACCCCCGAGGCTGACCAGCTCCCATCCCCAGGCCGCCCGCTCGTCATTGATATTACGCCTCAGCATCCTTCAGATCCCTCTCCCAGCATCCTCATTACCGACTTTTCCAGAGAACTTGGCATCGTAAAGCACGACCCCTTGATGGCTAGACAAGCCGGCGGCGGCGCGCAGCCTACGAAAGATAGCGCTGGTGATAACTCCCAGAGCTCATCTACCAAATCGGCCGAATCTCCCACAAAGACCGATTCAAGCTCACAGTCTGCAACCCGTACCGGAGTTTTTGCAACTGCGTCTGCCAGCGACCAACCCTTCAAACTACCACAGCCTTTTGATGGCACTAGGCTCATCTTACCAGAGGACACTACAGACAGTTGCGCCCGCTTCATGAACAAGCTTGCTGGTGATCCTGTTGTGCGCCAATGCTCCCCCATCTCCCTCCTTGATAAGGTTAGTCTTCGCTATTTACTATTCTCAGCCGCTGGATTCCTGCTAACCCTCACCGTCTCAGACCTCTTCAGACTTCTTCCAGGCTAAGCGATCCATTACCAACCTGGCACGAGTTCTCGACGCTAGTTGCCGTGCGGACGTGAACACTTGTGATAACTACTTTGGCCAACTCCTTTCCAACATGACAATGGATGCCAATTGCTCCCCAGACCTCCACAAAGCCAAACTCAACGACCAAAACGCCGTCCTTTCCACCTATCTTGGCCTCAAAGGATACCGCCCCATGTATGCTGCTACTTGCCTCGTCGATCCCGATAAGGAGCAGTACTGTTATGCTACTGCCGTCGCTGGTGGAAGTGGTGCCAGCAGTAACACAGATCTTTTCTTGTATCCCATGGTTTACGGTACCAAGCCCCAGCTCAGCCCTGCGCCTACTTGTGGCTGGTGCACCAAGTCTGTCATGGCGATTTTCCATGATGCCTCCGCACATCGGTCACAGGAGGTCTCCAAGGTCTACGAAGGCGCAGCATCTGCCATCAACACTGTGTGTGGCAATACCTTCGTCAACAGTTCGCTCCCTGCTGCGGTCAACGCCGCGACTGGTGCTCAGCCTCAGCTACTGAGCACAGTTGCCATCACAGCTACATTGTTCCTTTTTACGACTTTCTTCTAGGAGAAATGGCCATTACCCGCTACATCTCCTTTCATCAACAGAACGCACACTCTGCTAACAGCAAGATTGTTTCATTCGACTTCTCTGCACATATACTTACGTTTTGTTTTGGTTGAAAAACAAAAATTAACGGTCCTTACTTAATGTCTATTATATATTTTGGGTTTCCTTTGAACATTGCGAGAAAACAGCTCGCAATGTATGAAGTTTCTTGAGCATTTTATACAGCACACGCCCGCAGCTCGCTACGGCTTGCTTTGGTGAACGGCGTGGTCTCCTGGCGTTTTGGGGGGCGATATTGGTACTTTTTACTACCATACATACCTTCTCTTTCAATAGAAAAAGCTTCCCATGGCTTGAATAGCTTATACATGTACCTACTCTCTCCACTATCCAACCTGTGACTAAAAAGCGACTGCTCTCACCGATATTTGACATGCGTGTAATGCCGGTCCATCATCGGTACATCGTAGGGAACTTTGTTGACGGAATTTGCCATTGAGGGGAAGGCCTGTTGCTGGTCGTTAATTCGACTGACCTTCATGAGAGGGGTGTAGAGACCGTTAGAAAGACATTGGGGCATTCCGCACTGAGACACAGCCCAGGTCAAACGTGCAAGCCACGACGCTTCGTCCCGGCGCCAGGGTCTACACCTAGTTTTAGAATTGGAGCAGAACGCTCTGCAAAGGGCTTAGATCTTCAAACAAAATTGCGGCATTCGATTGTCCAAGCCATGTCCTTCAGCTTCGACGTCATTTGTTTTGGGTTTAGACGCCTAAATTGATAATTACCCCAGTAGCTTACTTGTGGTGACACCATAGTTGTAGCCCGCTCCTGAGCAAACAAACTATGAGCGCTGGAATGCCGTTAGCAGATCCATGTGGCCTGGCTGCCTCCAGCGAGACAGGTCTGAGGGGATGGCTAGTTTCACTCTAACCGGTAACCCACACCTTTCAAACCAACAAACCCAATTAGGATAAGATCCCTTTAGGCAACTCCGCGACCAATGTTTAGCTGGGGAGCAACGGCAAGCTGGGTTGGTTGGGACACAAGGGAATATCGATCCTCCAGAAACGTTATGCCCGCGCGATGCGGTAAGCTGGAAAGAGTTCAACGCTACGCCTCAACGCGAGATTCTTGATAGAACCAGCGCAACTGCCTAACCGTTTCGAAAGGTTCTGTTTCAAAGACTCTCAGCTACGACCAGCATCCTTCACATATACAATGTTCACACCACACACTACTCCTCATCTTAGACGTGGATCCTGGCGTGGCGCATCCTTAACCTTGCAGGCTGGGAGCATATCACCTAAGCGCAAGGGCTGAAAGGGATGGTTCGTTTGTGCACATGGGAGCGCACTTGGCGCTGTTTCCCCCGTGTCGTCAGAGTTGGTTGTAGGTCGATTCATCTCGTAAGACTTTTGCAACTGATCTGTCTTGTGCGCCAGGCAGTGTCCGGTGTGCGTATGCAGCCTAATATCGCTCGCTACCTGACCGTTGTTTGTCCCAAGCCCTGTCTATATCCTAATGCCGGATGATGGAGCTACCGTGTGCAGGAGGAATGTGCAAGCGTGTTCGACAAGTGTCGACAAGGGCCACCAAGTCGCCCGTGTCTTGCATGTTTCTTGCCAACTGTCAGCGCCGACAGCCACCTGGCACAGCTGCGCTCTTTTTTTTTTGGCAGTTGGCAGCGCTGAGCGCCATTTTTTTAGACTCTCTTTCTGTGACCCCAAGGATGGCATCCTTCGCAATTTCGGCCGTACAGGCCAAAGCTTGCGAAGATGCTGCCTAGTTTGGCACTGGCGCATCTTCATGTTGGAGGCAAGCTTCTCTCCCAGCTTCTCCCAACGGTACGCTAATGCTCCACATAGGCCCGCAGGGCCCTTGCCTTCTCTGGTAACCGCTAATTACAAGACCATGGAGGTGGGATGATGGGCTGGCGATAGTGCGGAGACTGTATTTAACCCCAACGCGCACTTGCCGAGCACTGGCATCTTAAGCTTGGTCCTCCGACTACAGGGCTCCATTAGCTGTCTTTCCGCTCCTCCAGATGCGGATGCTCAGCTGCCGGATCTTGATAGTTGCATTGGCCACCCCCCAGAGGGTGTGATGTGCGAGATGAGACAACTAGCTAGCCTAGTACCGAATGCCCGAGACCTAGGCGTGCCGCGACCGCTTCCCGCCACCAGAGAGAGCCAACGCTGCGGATTCGTACCTGTACTGTTATGGTAACACCCCGAGAAGGAACCCGCTCCAGTCGCCGTTTATTTGGAGAAAGAGAGGGGAGTGGAACCCTACAACAGGCGGTCGACCATTGCCCTGTCCGCAAATACAAGTCGCCTTGCCTTCTAGATGGAAAACAAGAAAACGAAATTGTGGCAACCATGTTCGTCGACATTCCGCGCCCGTCAAATGGTGCCAGCCTTCGTGGCTTTTGGCGCCGCAGTCGTCCAGGATTTGAGCGGCATGGGGGCAGCGGGACGTTAGGCTGGCTAGCGAGATTGGTAGTCTCCAGCTGAGCGAGCGAACCTTCCATTGCCTTTCCAGGAGCGCTGTGAAACGGCCGGGAGCATTACGCGCTCCCGCAATTGGCGAGAATCAAACACCCCAGAATCTCCGGGGACGGTTTGCAACAGAAACAAACCCCGTCCACACATTGAAAACAAAAAAACGAAAGGGGGCACGCTAATCCGTTCACTGCTATGGAACCGTGGAACCTAAATACATGTTTTCATTAGATCGTTTGTAAGTCTGCATCCAGAGACAGACAGTAGTCCCGTTTCGTTTAAGTTGACTTGGACGTGAGACAAGAGGTCCAATGGCGGATAGTCACAAAGAAAGGCGTACGGCGAGAACGTACGACAGGTTGATCATGCGGGCTGCATGCCAGAAGAGAACAATAGGCGCCATACTTGCGCAAGCGAATGTAACTTGTTGCGCCGGAGTAAACAAGCAACCGCGCACACCGCATCTCGATTGGCTAGGGCCTCAACTGAACATTACGCCAAACCGCAAGATGCGCCCCAGCCCAGCACCACACTACAAGGCCGTCCTCGGGAGTACCTCTTCCCCTCTGCAGTCCAAACGACCTGTCTGCATGAAGGCCCGCAGCGGGGCTGGGCAGCGTTGGATTGAACACAAAGGGATGTGCCGTATCCAGGCCAGTGAATAAAATAGACATATCATAAAGCTATGGCGTCTATCTACCCAACGGCCTTGCTCGCACTTGCACACGCGCAAGTATTTCCGCGGTCACAACTCCCCGTCGTATTTCCTTCTTGCATCAAAACCTAGGCAACGGCCAGTACTTTGCGACAACCTAGCCTAAAGTTAATTGCTTTGAACGGCTGTACAACTGCTCGAGCTGTTGCCATCTTAGCCGGCATTCGAAGCAAGACAATTGCAAGCACACTCCACCGCCGCCGCCGCCGCCACCACCACCATCACTATCGACACATCCTCTCCCGAACGTGTATAGAAAGCTGCTGGCGCCCCAATTACCACCTCGACCACTCTTCTACCTTGCTACGTTAATATATAGCTGTCTTAGCCATATTCCATGCTCGCCGTCTGTCTGCAAGCGCCACCCTTACCGTCAGAGTGAACCAGGACGACAACCCAAGTGCGACAACAACTCGGCGACAGGCTGCACGAAGATCGGCAATACTCCAGACGAGTCTGGTTTTTGTTAAACTGGCTTAATTAGAAGCCCTTGGTACAGAGGCGAGGCCAAAGACCCAATTTATGAAGGGCTGCGGGCCGTTACCACCATCACTTCGCTTCTTGCCGCTGTGGGCAACTTAAAAACTGACGTGCCTTCCAGGATTGCGCAGGCCCCCCTGGCACAACATCCATCGTCTCCTCGGCTGCATAAGCTTCTGTCACCAAATCGTCCATAAAGTATGCTACAAGCCTCGAGTTAAGATCTTATGCAGAATCATTTTCAACTACGTCCTCCATTTGGCATGGTACCCTGGCCTCTCGTACCAGCCATCATCTAGCGAGCCGTGGTTCTAAGATTACAGTCTACCAAACCCAGGTATTGGATAGAATATTAGAAAGGAGACTGAACCCCAAGTGTTTTCTTCTATTCTAGCCAACTCCAGTTCGTTTTGCCACCCGAGACGAAGCCAGCGGCGCAGTCACCAAAACTTCAAACGCTGCTGCTGGTGCACCCACGCACCCAGTCTTGAAGTCCCCTTTTTAAAGGGAAAAGGAGCAGCGACACTATATTATAATCGAATTTTGTTTGGATTTTATACTATTGGAAAGTGGACTAAATTAATATCGTTTTGGCTGCTCGGCCACCACGATGGATCGACCTGGAGCGACCGACGACAATGCGCCGGCGGCATCGGAGGACCCGAATTACCAAGATCCCAATGCATGGCAACCTAGACTTCCATCACTTAATCGGATGGTAGCTGGAGTTCCTATATTTAACCAGCCGGATCAGAGCCACGGACAGCAGCGGCAGCCTGAACACCATCAGTATCAAGAACAACACCAATATCAACAGCAACAACAGCCTCAACAGCCTCAACAGCAGTATCGCTTTGTACAAAGCCATCTTAGCTCTGGAGCTCGCTCTACCAATATCTATCAAGATGGAACGATGCAACCGCCGCCTCCGGGATACGCCGTTTTTCATGGTGTGCAGCAGGACATGACAGCATCCCATCCGCAATACTCACAGCCAATGGACAGCCAGAGAAATATGCCTCCATACCAGTCACAGCCCAGAGGTGGTTATCATCATCAGACAGGGCCTCCTAAGGCAGGGCCATCATCTGGTATTCGACAGACTCATAGCATGACACCACCACAACATCCCGCGAGCCCGATGCGAATTGGAGCCGACACACCAAAGTCACAGTGGATGCCCAATCTGCTTGGTGCACATCGAGCTTCAGCATTAGACAGCATGTCATTCAGTCTAGTGGTACGGCAGCAGCCCAGGGCAGCAAGAGCTTGTGGCTTTGGCGACCGTGACAGGCGTGTTATTGACCCACCACCGATTGTACAGTTGGTTATCACTGCGCCAGATCTGGCGGAAGATGAAATCCGAACATATATTTGCTTCAGCAGTTATGTGATGAACTGCTCTATCTGGGATGAGACGGGCACCAAGGATGCTTCCGCGCTGCCAGAAGAGTACGACCAGCATCGACGAAGAATGACGGGCTCTTTAATAGCAACTCCCTTTGTTGGTAAGGATGAGACAGGGAAGGAAGGATGCTTCTTCTGCTTCTCTGATCTTTCATGTCGTATTCCTGGATCCTTCCGGCTCAAGTTTACATTGATTATGATTGAGCCCTCGCGCGCTTCCAGTGTGCGCCACTTCCCGAACCTGGCAGATGTGTTGACGGATGTTTTTCATGTCTATACAGCAAAAGAATTTCCCGGCATGATAGCAAGCAGCGAACTTGCAAAACGACTACGAGAGCAAGGGTGTATTATTTCGATCAAAAAAGGCAATGAGCGCGGACGGGGCGGTCGAGGACGCGATGCCGGTTCCGAAGAGGAAGATGAATAAAACTTGAGGTACAGTGTACATCGAGTATTCGCCAACGTCCAGCTTTAATTGGATGTTATCAAAAGTAGGATGTGGGTTGGCGATGTTCCACGTTTACTAGAAAGATGCGGAGGATGGCAGTTCCTGAGGGTACGGCCGCCACCATTGGGTGGAAATTGTTTTAGCGCTTGAAGGATAATGCTGTATACCCCAGGAGCAATTAGGATTGTGCCATTTTAATAGCAAAGTTGCGAACTTTTACTCGGATTCTTGGTTTCACTCTCACCGTGCCTGTGCTGTGCAACCCTACACGAAATGTTGCGAAAGTCCTGAAAGATAACAAACCTACAGATGTCGTACGAATACAAAGGTAGCTGGGTCAAGAGGCAGCGGCGATGGTGCATTTGCTCAGACGGATGGTTTAGAAGACAAATTGGGGTCCTGCGGTTTAAGCGCCCAACCTGTTGGCTGTTCGGCGGTCAGCTCTTAGTGCCTGTGACATCATATATTATGACGCTCTTGTCGATATTGATGCTGTAGAACCAATTGTTGAGATTTGTGTAATTCTGAGTTGCCGTATTGTTTTCGATAGATTATGAGGCTGGGTGTCGTGATGACAGGGTAGCCACTGTTCATATCTCAAGGAATCCATGTGTTTTGTGTCCAGGGGCGACTAGCCATGTTGAAAGCCGACTGTTAAACTGTGCATCTCGGGTATCCAAGTTATGTGTGACATTTGAACCGTCGTGATACTGATAGACAACGGCCCGGGAATAGTTGCTCGCCGTTGAGAGCTGGTGATCCGGGGGAAACGTCCACGTCGGCATGAAGCGGATTTGTTTCATCCGAAGTCCTTTTTTTGTTCGGTTTGGCAGATCCCGCATGATGATCCCTCGTGCCTTGTCTTGCTTTTGCCCTGCGTCGCTTTGTGTGGAAACAATGCACAACACTGCACAGTGTGTAGCCGTCGGTTGTGGCGTCAGAGTTGCTACCAGCTCGTGACAGATGCCTGTGCTGGAGCTAGCGTGTTTCAAGGCGCTGCGAACAATGGATTGGGCCCCCCTTTTCAGTGGAGTGCGCCCCTGGCCCAGAGGGGCTTAGCGCCAGGTACCAGCACAAGGGGGCATCTAACAGCCAACCATGGCATCATGGGGGCAGACGAGTGTGCACACCAAGTTTTGCTTGCTGCTATCTTTTTGCACAAAGAAAAATGTGGCAGGCAGGGATATGCACGCGCCAGAAGAACTTCTCGGCGCTTCCAACCCACCTTTTTTCTTTGTCATGACCCTCTTTCTTACTTTTTTAGCGGCAGCCTTGAAACGTCTGAACAGGGCGATAAGCAGGACGGGCCACGCGCCGGCGGAGGGGAATTAAATCAAGGAGGATGGGCTGGCTGGCTTGTTGGCCATGCTTGTTTCAACTTGAGTGATGTTAGTTTGTCTGTTTGCGGGCTTGTTTATTGGTTTGCATATCTGTTGGTTGGAAGTTTGGCTGGGAGCTGGGCACGGCGCTAAGGAAGGACGGCGTGGTTTGTTAGCGCAGACTGATATGGTGAGGGGCTGATGTTGACGCTTGAAGAAAAAAAAGATAGAAGAAGAAATTTCAGCCCTGGCTGAGAGTCTGTGATACTCGGCAATGAGTTCAACGTGTCGCATCGAGAGTGTAGGGCGGAGTGCCCGCGTATCACGGATACCAGTCCGTATCATTCACCGACTGCCGCTGACAGGCCATCGTTTTCCCTGTCGGTGCGCCCTTTCTTTTCTTCAGTCTTTTTGAAATTCCAGGGAGACGGCAACGCAAGCCGTCTGGTTGCACCATGGTTCGGTCCTTAGCGTCCAATCAGCGTCGCCATGAAAAACGCCTCATGCAAGCCCGCATGCAGGTACAGCATCAGCGCCAACGAGCACCTCCCTTTCCCACAGTGTCTCTTGGTTTTGTTTGCGAGGCTTATTCTGGGCTGAGTTTATTTTGCTATTTTCTGCTGCTTGCTGCCCTTCCATAAGGTTGGCCGTCAATGTGGGATGCGGCTCTTTACTATTTGCTGGTCTGTCTCGGATGCATGTAATGCCAATGTTGCTGTGCCGGCTTGACGACCAACCAGAGCCAAAGGGAAGCGACAACAGCCTACAAAGGTGGTCTATACCGTACCCAACGGCAGGAAAACTCAAAGGCACAGTGTCCAAAGAGGCGTTTCGAAGCATAAAGGTAAAAGAAATCTGGATATGCGCCACCCGACTTTGTTGGCGCTGGACTCGGGGTATGCAGCCGGCCTGTACCGGGGCCAGCTGCACCCCTGAAGACTTACATGCTGGGCATCACTTTTGCCTCACCCGGTCTGCAGAGTGTCTCTCAGCATATATTCGACTTCCAAATGGCCATAAAACCTCTTTCTTGCTATCCAACATCACGTAAACTGGCAGACGCTAACCAGGATCCTGATACAGCATCCTGTTAAAAAAAGAGAATAGACCTTGTCTTGGAACCAGCCAGGTGTCTTGCCCCCTCTCGTTAGCGGCTGTCGACAGTGGACTGCATCCCTCGCATGCGCCCCACCCCCGTCCACACACTCCTGTGCCTGTTGCTTGCAGCGCTAAAAATCCCCGCTGATAGCACTGTTGAGTGGCCCGTTTCCAGCGGCCCTGGCGCTGTCTTGCCGTCCCGCCAAGTTTGACAGTGCCCTGCCAGTGCCCTGCCAGTGCCCGCACTCGCGCCCAGGCACGGCGCTCCTCTCGATGCTTTTTTAGTCTCCCCTTCCCCCCGCACCACCTTCGCTTCGTCTTGTTTCTGTTTCTTCACATTGATTGTCTGCTTGCTACAAAGAGAACAAAGAGTACTTCTCTTTTCCTTCCTTTCCTTTCCTTCTTCTTTTCATTCATTTTTTATCTATCCGAGTTGCTGGACACTTACTCTCCTTTCTTGAAACAGCTTGGTTCTGTTTGCCTCGTTCACTCTTCTTACACGCTGTGCTTTGCTCCCACGAACAAACTTGCAACGTACGTTGTCTAGATTAACACTCGCCTTTTCAACTTTTTTCTTTCTTTCTTTTGGTGCTCTGGTAACACCATTCAAAACTTCAAACCAAACAAATTCGAAACGGAATATACCGTCACAGCTTGGGCTTCAAGACATATCAATCTTCGCTGTTAGATACGACTTGCTCTCCAACTTACAATGAAGTTTTCCACCGTTTCGGCGGTGCTCGCCCTCACAAGCGCAGCAGAGGCTGCCAAGGACAAGCGCACCTTTGCTGTTCTTCGCTTCAACAACAAGCAGCTCACCGTTTCTCGTGCTGACCCTATCGTCACTCCCGGCAAGGTTTCCACCCACGTCCACCACATCTTTGGTGGTAGCGGTTTTGGTCTTGGCTCTACTGGTGAGGACCTGATGAAATCCAACTGCACTAACGCCAAGGTCAACGGTGACAAGAGCAACTACTGGGTTCCATCCCTTTACTTCAAGGACCCCAAGACCGGTGACTTCGAGTCTGTCGAGCTCTTCTATGCCAACGTCTACTACTTCTTTGAACCCACCAACGACGATATCAAGGCTTTCCCTGTTGGCTTGTCTATTCTCAGTGGTGATGCCATGAGACGCGACCCTCCTGCTGGAGGCTCTGCTATGTCTAACCTCGATCCCTCCAAGGGTCCTGTTAACCCCGCCAAGTACACATGCCCTCGTACCAGCTTTGACCCTCCATCATGGCCCGTCAAATCCAACGGCTTGCTCGCCGGCATGGGAGACCCCAACAACAAGGGTGAAGGTGTTGGCTTTCCTGACCAGGCCTGCAACGGATATGCTTCTCCTCTGCGCGCTGACATCCACTTCCCATCCTGCTACAACCCCAAGGCTGGCTTGACCGACTACAAGAACAACATGGCCTGGCCTACCGATAACAAGGGAAAGCTGGATTGTCCCCAAGGATATATCCATGTTCCCCACCTCTTCTACGAAGCCTATTGGAACACTCCCAAGTTTTCCGACCGCTGGACACCAGGCCAGGGAAAGCAGCCCTTTGTTCTATCCAACGGCGATGCCACTGGCTACAGCTCTCACGCTGATTTCATGTCTGGATGGGACGAAAAGCTTTTGCAGCACATCATCGATACTTGTGACGCTGGTACTCAGGGTATGGACAAGTGCCCTGGACTTTTCTACGGCGTCAACAACGACAACTGTGAGATCCAGTCTCCCGTTGATGAACAGGTTTCGGGCATTCTCAAGAAGCTGCCTGGTAACAACCCAGTCTTTGGATGGCACTATGGAGGCACTGGAAACGGCACTCAGCCTCAGCCCTCTGGCACTACTGAGCCCAGCTATGACCCTACATCTGCTCCCGGCAATGGCCCTGCCAGCTCCAAGCCTGCTCAGTCTCAAGCTCCCGCTCCGGGATCATCCAAGCCAGCTTCTCAAGAGCCTGAAACCGAGGAGTCGAAGCCCACCCAGACTCCTGCCCAAACTCAGAGCAACAGCGGCGCCCAGCCTACCAGCTTGAGCCCTGCCTCTAGTGGTGGTGACTCGTGCGGTCCTAGAAAGACTCACACCGTGTTTGTTACCTACACTGTCACTGGCGATGTTCCCACGAGCACCGAAGCAGCTTCTGGAAAGGAGATCAATGGGTTCAAGTATGCTGGCTGCTTCAAGGACTCTGAGAAGCGCGTTCTGAGCGGCAAGATTCGCCCTGATGTTGGTACCATGACCAACGAGAAGTGCATTGATCGCTGCAAGTCTCTTGGCTTCTCCATTGCTGGAACAGAGTACGGTGGCCAATGCTACTGCGGCAACGAAGTTGTCGGTTCTGAGAAGCTTGCCGACTCTGAGTGCAATCTTGCATGTGAGGGCAAGGCCGACGACAAGTGCGGTGGTGGCTGGGCTTTGTCTGTCTACAGCACTTCTGGCGAGGTTAGCCTCACCAACGCCAAGGGACGTCGCCATGCTCATGACCATGTTCGCCGCCGCTCCAACAACAAGCGTCATCACTAGACCAATTTCATCGCGAGCTGGATCTTGGTGGCAACATCTTGCCCACACTATCTCTCATGATATGATCCTGATTGCTGCACCTTTGCAGTGATCTAGTCAAAAAATGCCAGTATTTAACGACAGTTTTGTTCTTTGATTGGATTTTCATTTTGGATTCGCTTTTCGATTCCACTCGTGAGCATCTACATGCACACATATCTTTTTCTCTTCTCTTCGCCCGAACAGGGTTCTGGGTGTCACCCATATTTTGCAAGCAGATTTTCTTTTCTTCATAAGGTAGAATTGTTAGAAATGACCTTTAGCGCATTTGTATAAATAAAACAACATTTGATAGCGCAAAAACCCAAGTTCTCGTAATTTTTTTTTAAGACAAGTGCAGTATAATGCTGACTTACACGGTTGCTGTGGCGGCTGAATCGCGGATAATTAGTGCCTACCTACTTAACAAGATTTTGCTGCTTCAAGCTACACCAACTGCAGGTTCAATATCGAAAGACAGCTGCTTTGGCGATTGCTGGCCAATTTTTTATTTTTAAAATCTCGCGCATATCCATGTTCCATATTGGTAGCAATCAACTGGTTAATTGAAGACGACAATCATGTCGCTGTACCACGAGGCGGCCCAGATCCTTTTGGCATCTTCATCAGAAGGCGGCAGTCTCAAATCCAGAGTCTTCAATCGCAAGAATAAACTCAAATCTAATCCAGGACAAGTTTACGCCCTGGTATTAGAAAGCGCCAAATGGAGTGCCGTCCTGAAAGAAGTGGTTGAAGGCGCGGATGTTCTGCGGTCCGAGAAGAAGGTACGGGACTCAGGACAACACTCATCGACCGAGATGTCAAATTGCTAACTAGGTACATAGCTGACACCAGTCTTGGCATTACTATTATCACACGACCTGCTTTTGTCAAAAGGAGGCGTGGCGCTTCCAAAGGACCATGGCCTCCGTGTCTCGATAGAACGACATAAGGGCCGACTAACTTCGGAGCTCACAAGAGCGAGACTCCGACGAAAGGCCCCCTCAATGGAACTGCTGAGGGAGCAGATTGAACGGGATGCGGCCGGCGAAGAAGCAAATTATCCCCGTTGGGTCCGTGTCAACGCCATCAAGTCCAGTGTTGAAGACCAACTCGAGACAACCTTTGCAGGCTATGGCCGCGCCGAGAGTATCAGCGAGGTCATCAAGAGTCACAAGAAGCATGTCTTCCTGGACCCCCATGTACCAAATTTATTAGCCATTACCAGCGGCGTGGACTTGAGCAAAACACAGGCATACGCTGACGGAAAGATTATTCTGCAAGACAAGGCCTCGTGTTTCCCAGCGTACTTGCTCGATCCGCGAGCCGAGGATGGCGACGTGGTTGATGCCTGCGCTGCACCGGGGAACAAAACGACACACTTGGCCGCGATAATTCATGAACATAAACCCGAGTTCGAAGCACCAGCCCAAACCATCTACGCCTTTGAGAAGGACTCACGGCGAGCAGGAACGCTGACCAAGATGGTCAAGGTGGCCGGCTCGCATAAGACTACTCGGATCGGCTTCGGCCAGGACTTTCTACAGGTCGATCCAAAGGCCGAACAGTACGCCCAAGTCGGTGCCATGCTTCTAGACCCAAGTTGCTCCGGAAGTGGCATTGTCGGCCGTGACTCTATGCCAGAGCTACATCTGCCGGATGGCCCGGAGACAAAAGGTAAAGTAGGAAAGGCTTCTAAACCTAAAGGCAAGGATGAGGAGGCCGCCACCAAGGGGAAGCGCAAGCACGACAATATGGAGGAGAAGACCGTGTTGATCGACGACGAGGGCAACGAAACGGTTGTCAAGTCGGAGAGGGATCTCGAGGCCCGCTTAGAGGCACTCTCGGGATTCCAGCTGACGCTATTGCTACATGCGTTCCGTTTCCCTGCGGCCAAGCGAGTCACGTACTCAACATGCTCAGTCCATTCACAGGAGAACGAAACGGTGGTGATGAAGGCTATTGCTTCAGATGTCGCTAAGCGCCGGGGGTGGCGTGTTCTTCGGCGTGACGAGCAGGTTCGCGGTATGAGAGAATGGCCGGTCCGGGGGCTGAAGGAATCATGCGACGGCGACGAAAGCATAGCAGAGGGCTGTATCCGGTCTTACAAGGATGACGGCATGGGGGTCATGGGATTCTTTGTGGCTGGCTTTATCAGAGAGGGTGACCAAGACGAGAAGGAGGTAGATGAGGAGGGGCCATATGTTCGAGACGATGATGGCGCCATAATTCGTGATGTTACGGGTATGCCTATCTTGAAATCTACGGGTGAGGCGGTTAGCCTTGTTGGCAGAGACTCGCCAGATGCAGAAGAAGAAGAAGAAGAAGAAGTAGAAGACACGGCAGCGGATGAAAGCCACGATGAGGATGAGGAAGAAGAGGATGGTTGGGAGGGATTTGACGATTAGCGAGCATATCTGTGTACACATATTACATTTGTACACACATTACATTTGTTACGAGAGTTTTCATGCACAAGCGTTCTGAATACTGGTTGTACAGGTGCTCGTTGCAGCAGTCTACGCCTACTTCGAATTCGCGTCTACCAGTACACCATATTGACACACCGTTGTGAAACCCCATCGAAAATGCCGATCCGAGGTAAATGGGCAATAGCCCGTCTTAGAGACTATCGACTAAAAAGCTCGAGCCGGCGGAACGCTAACCCGGCGGCAAGGCGCCGCCGTTGGCCCCCGGGCAAAGGCAATTAAAAAACGAAAACGATATATCCACGTGCAAGCCAGGACCCTTGCTTGTCGGCTGACGCTCTAATCACATAGTTACGCGCTTGCGCGGCTTAAGCGAAAGCGAAGCAAGAAAAAAATCAGGGACCGGTGTTTGCGACGTTTGGAGTGCGACCGGACTTTTCTAGCCTTATGAGTTGGCGCTGTAAAGTCCGTTGAGCCAAATGGGGGCTGTGGCGTTTGAGCTGCTTATAAACATAAAAGCGAAAATGGAAACGACAGAAGTCGATGCTGGAAAGTTCCGTAAGAGAGATTAAAATATTTGATGAGCAGATTCTAATTTAAAAATCCTTCTAGAAAACTTGTAGGCTGTGAAGTGGGCGCCGGTTGTGAGGGATCAAGTCCTTGCATTCGTCTGATAGCAGTTCAACGTCGACCGAGGTATCCTACCGTCGGTTCAAACCTAATCGAGACGTCGGATGCGAGCCAGCTAGGTAACAAAAAAAAGACAAGTACTTACCCGTTTTTTTCGTCCAACTCAGATATGGGAAGATTGCGCTGGGCATGCCGCTGTAGGCAACTCCGCTATGGAGTCATTGTAGTGGGTTCATGGCGGGCCAAGAGCTTAAACTGGTAACAATAAAGATTCGAATTGTTTGTAGTTTTGCTGGAAAATGGTATTAAGAAGCGAGTGTGCAGATCTGAACAAATCAAGAGCTGTGCTGTGCTTGCTATACCTTAACCCAGCATTGCCGATTATATTCCAAGACAAGAATCCCAAAGCGAACCTCGTGGTGGCTTCGGCCGTCGCACCGCGAGGGCCGAGGTGGGTGGGTGATCGAGAAACGCCACATAACGCTGTTGGTATCGTTCATTGTCCGCAGTGATAATGTATAATATTTTACGAGCACGGTAATAGTGTGTCTGATGGGGGCGCGTTGGCTGCCACATCGCTGCATTGTCTCAGAGTACCGCAGCCTGGCTGATAAATGCACACTATGTTCGCCTTAGATGCAGCACGTGTCGCCATCCTGGGTTGCATTCAGGGAGCACGCAGCAAACAGCCCCCAACCTGTTGTCCGCGGACTAAGGGGGATGTGCTTCTCGCGCATTGGTAAGCCTGGGGAAACGTTGTTGGCTTACGAAATCGAATATGTTTGTATAAAACTAGGCTCGGCTTCGTCGGGACGCGACATCCAGGAGTAGAGATTCGTTATTCTTATTCGTTGCTTCTAGCGAGGCGGCGCCCATCTGTTGTTGAACTCACGTCATAGCGCCGCACGCCACCGTAAACGAATACTGTATCGGCCGGACGGCAATGTGGCTTGCGGGCGCTGCTGTCGCAGCGGCCTTTAGCGGTCTTTGGTTGTAGCCGATTTACCGGATATGCGATGGTTGCTTGGGCGCAAATGATGCCTGTTGAGGTTTAGCGGCATCCACGGAACGATGGGCCCTTTGGGTAACGAGCCTTACAGGTTCTTGCTTGTCTCAGGGGACGAATATGATTTCTTGCTTGGTGATTGAAGATGGTTGTAAGATGGCGTGAATATGTTAGTTTGTGAGCCTGTGAATCTGTGAGTTTGTAAGGTTGTGAATCTGATGAATCCTCATATTTGGGTGATGGACAGGTGAGCATACTGGCAGCTGTTAAGGCAGGAAGGAGCTAGTGTAAAGGCCGACCCGGTCTTTTCGCGTTACTCACTTTTTCTTTTTCTTTTTTTTTTCTAGTCCGAACTGCTGCTTCTGTCCGTTATCTCCATGGAGTAAATACCACTACAGCTGACTCTCATGCACCGGGTTAATTGGAGACTCCCCTGCGCCGGATCCAGTTTTAGGATGAGGCAAGGCTCTTTCTTTGTGTAATTTTTAATTCTTTTAATCCTTTTCCTTCCTCCTGGATCTCTCCGATCCAACAGTTGCTGGCGTATATATCATTGCCACACCCGTCGTCCCCTCCCCTCCGTCATACTTACATCACCACGCCCACAACATACACACCTCGACGACTTCACCCCAACCTGGCTGGCATCCTGTTACTACATCCGCGGTGTAGCTAAACTGCCTTTCCTTCACAATGACAAACGTCTCCTCTGCCTCGTCGGTCACTGCTGCCGACTTGGAGGCTCAGCCCGCGCACTCGGTTAACAAGGTCTCCTATTTCCAGCAGCTCACCGATCAAGCTGGCGTTACCGATGCCGTCCTCAAACATGAATACCCTGGCCAGGGCACCGAGAAGAGCCCGTACCTAGTCGATTTCTTGCCCGAAGACTCCTACAACCCCATGACATTTGCACACGGCCGCAAATGGATGATCACCATTGTCCACGCTTGGGCAACACTTGCACTCGCCTTTGCGTCCTCGGCCTACTCAGGCGGTTTCACCAGTCTCCGCCATGACTTCCCCCACGCCTCACAGGAAATCATCATTCTCGGTGTTTCCATGTTCGTCGTTGGCTTTGCTCTCGGTCCCCTCCTCTGGGCTCCTGCGTCAGAGATTGTTGGCCGCCAGGTTATCTTCTTCATCAGCTACCTTGCCCTCACTGCTTTCAATGCTGGCGCCGCTGGCGCTCCCTCAATCGGCGCCTTGATCGTTCTCCGCTTCTTCGCTGGTGCCTTTGGCTCCTCTGCTCTCACTAACGCCGGTGGTGTTATTGCCGACATGTTTGATGCCTCTGAACGAGGCATTGCCACATCCATCTTCGCCATGGCACCCTTCCTGGGCCCTGCTATCGGCCCCATCGCTGGAGGATTCCTTGGCCAGTCCGCCGGTTGGCGCTGGGTCGAAGGACTAACTGCAGCCTTCACGGGTCTCTTCTGGATCATCAGCACCGTCACATACCCCGAGACCTACGTTCCTGTTCTCCTCCGCAAGCGTGCCATCGAGCTGTCCAAGCGCACAGGCAAGGTCTACATTGCCCGTATCGATGCCGACCAGCCTAAGCAATCTGTCCGCCACCAGTTTTCTATTGCGCTCTCTCGTCCCTGGGTTCTGCTCTTCAAGGAACCTATTGTCTTCCTCATCTCCATTTACATGGCAATCATCTACGGCACTTTGTACATGTGCTTCGCCGCTTTCCCCATTGTCTTCGGCCTTGGCCGCCACTGGACCCCAGGCGTCAGCGGTCTTGCCTTCTGTGGTATCGCCGTTGGTTTTGTTGCTGGTACTGCGATGAGCATTTACGACAACAAACGCTACATCAGAGTTGCCTCCAAATATCCTGCTGGAATGGCTCCCCCCGAGGCCCGTCTCCCTCCTGCCATTCTCGGCTCCATCTTCCTCCCTATCGGTCTATTCTGGTTTGCCTGGACAAACGGACCGCAGATCCACTGGATTGTCCCTATCATTGGTTCTGCATTCTTTTCATGCGGAATTGTTCTTGTCTTCTTGGCGTCCTTTGTCTACCTCGTGGACTCCTATGTCATCTTTGCTGCGTCTGTTCTTGCAGCCAACTCTGTCCTTCGATCTCTATTTGGAGCTGCATTCCCTCTTTTCACGACCCAGATGTACGATGCTCTCGGTATCCACTGGGCCAGCTCTATCCCTGCGTTCCTCGCCCTTGCTTGCCTGCCTTTCCCGTTCCTCTTCTGGAAATACGGCGATAAAATTCGTGCCAGATGCGAGTATGCTGCGGAAGCTGCCGCTGTTTTGGAGAGATTCAGAAACCAGAACGTGAAACTTACCGAGGATGAAGCTATGGATGAGGCTGCAGAAAAGGAGCACCAGAAACACCGACACCAACCAGCTCAGCAAGAGCAAATGCTGAGCCCAATGAAGACGAACGAAGAGAGCTCCAGACAGTGAGCGGCTGTATTCGTTTTTATTTCCATTTCTCTCCGCTTTTTTTTAAATTGCATTTTTCGGCGTTGGAGGAAAATCATTTGGGCATGCATATATAGAACCGGGAATGGTGTCTCTTATTTATGGTGGCATCTACCACATGTTACAGATAATACCCATAGAATCATGATAATTTATTACTATTACTATGAACCATCTTTATACAATCTCGTTGGGCACTCAGGATTAAAGGATGGTATACCAGGCATATCGGGACCAAAATACTTTTCTTCCAAAGCTTCCTTTGTCCAATTAACAGCATTACAATTTGAGCTCGTCCCCAGCTCCTCCGGCCCGAGGTTATAGTATACCTTCAGATAAACGTCGTAGTCCATAACATAAACAACGAAGGCTGTTGCACACCGCGGACAAGCTCCATATACCTGTCGGTTTAACGCCGCCCCAAAGGCTCGGTCGACACAACGCGAGAATACAGACCATTGACGAGGGTAAGCATCGTCGGTCACTCTTGCAATACTTTGGTGAGGACAAATAAAGCGGTTGCCAAGAACCTCTCGCGTGATACTATGTTTGACCTCGCCCAAGAACGACAAAGTTTTGCAAACTAGGAACTGCCCTGATCGAATACGTGCTTAGTATCTCGAACTTATGGTATATCTAACACCTGTAGGGTGCCTCTGTCGTTGCCATCCGGACTGGCGTCGGAGAATGTTGTTTAGATGGCCTCTTTGCAGATCCGTAACTACTCCTTAATTCTGTAGTCGGCTGAAACGCAGCGCCAACACTCATGTCGATGCTGAGGGAAGCACTCTTGCTCCCAGTCCCGCAGAGGTTGCAGTTTGTCGGCCCTGGGACACTCAAAGTATTTATTATTTGTGTTCGGCAAGTCTACCAGATCAGCGAGATGGATATCGTAACATAGAGGACATAGATAACACCAGGGTTGTTGCGCGCCGTCTAAGTTTAAATATTCGAAGTAGTCTTCGAGGGTGTATGCCTGCCTCTCGCGATGGACTCGATTGTATAGGGCTCTGTCAAGACTTCTGCATGTCATGGATAGAGTGAGCCGGCTTTGAGTGGGCAAGAAGTCAGCAATGTGCTGGATAATATCGATAGGCATCTCGGTGATGATGCATCTTTCTGGAGGGGTTGTGGGGAGTGTTGGTGGTGGTACGATATCTGCCTCCTCTTGTAAGATACGAGTAGTTTTGGAGCCTTGAAAGAAGCTACCAAGAGCTGACTTGAAAAATTCCATCGTTAGTTCCATCTTTAGTTAATACTGGAAGAAGTTAGGGTCGGAAGATGTAATGGAGGTGGATGAATTATTATACCTAACAATATAAAGCACAAAGTTCACTTAAATGTATGAGTAGCAAAGCATAAAATAGAATTTTCTAACACCGAGAACCTTTTTTTAAAAGTTTATACCAAATTTGAGGAGGACATTAACGAGTTAATTATTCATACGCAACCGTTATTTGAAAAGTGATCGAGATGTCTAATTAGATATTTATGCCGTAGACAGCTCTTAATGCTAAGCTATTCAATAGATTATAGAGAAACAAAAAAAATAGGTCCAAAAGGTAAATTGAAATTGCGTAAAAACCATCAAACAATATGGATGTAACAGTTTATACAAAAAATCTTTGAGTATGTTCGTTTTAGGCTCAGCAATGCTTGCCATTTGTAAAAGTACAGTGTCGGTGGAGGAGCTAAGTATGACGGCATACTGTATGGCGCGTTCAACGAGGTGCTGGCGCGACGTGGGGCATGGCGAACCAAAAGTTCACGACCTACAACTACGCCGTCTCCATGCACACACACATAGCTATTTGCTATCGGTCTGGCGTTCGAACTTAGCGGGACATGGCACCAAGGTCTCCGCAAAGTGCCTTGTCCTCTCCGGCGTCTTTCCACACGGCTGTGCAATCAGATATCTCGCCAACTACCTCCGCCAGTAGCTCTGCCCAACGTCGACCATGTGCATACAGCAAGTCAAAGCCGTTGCCTCGTGAGCTCAAGGAGCACACGCAGATCTTCTTGGAGGAGCAGATGTGTCAGTATAGCCTCAGAAACAGTGTGCCGTTTGGCGCTAACCCCTGCGCAGATGTTCCCGCTTCGCAGCTTTTGAATAGTGTTCTAGTTGCGGGCAAATCACGCCAAAATCCGACTAGTCGCCCTGTACCGATTCCCCCTCCGAGCCATATCGCATTCTTAACTACTCTTCTTGTCCACCCGACACAAACCACGCGCCCCACGAAACCAGAGCAAGTGGATGTTGCGGCGTTTGCGCTCAGATATCTACGCAACTTGCTTCGCATCGTAGGCCCTGTAGAGGCCAACTTTCGAGCAGCATTTCAGTTCTATAGCGCCCCTCGCTCCAATCGACGCAGCTTCGCACCAGTTGGAAACTCGAGCGATGTGGATTCTCCTGCGAAAGATGATGATGATGATGCTGACCTGTTACGGGGGACGATGGCAAACCAAGGCAGTCTGTGGCGAAGAGGCCAAAACTTTTGGTCTACAGTTGGTTGGGCGTTTAACTGCAGCACCCTGTACCCGATGCGCTGGAGGTTCTGGAAAGAATGGCTTCAATTCATGATTGATACTTTGGAAGCAGACTGGAACGAGCGAGAGAGACGCGACCTGGAAGCACAAGAACAAAATGGCAATGATACCCCAACAAACACTTCTCGAAACGAAAGTATTATTGTTATGTATATGAATTCAGACGGTAATGCACAGGGGGGATTTAAACACATTGTTAAATCTCTGCTTGCTGACGGAGGTAACTTATCGTCTGCGGCTTTCCGCGAAGTGTTTGATAAAGAGCTCCGAGGCCCTCGGAAGGAATCAAGCAAGCGAAAGCGAGAGGAGACGACTCTAGACATTGAAAACGGAAACTTTGGCGACTATTTTGATGACGATGCATTTTCGTCCGGTGCATCGCAGCCACCGACACCAGAACGGCAACGTGATATTCGAGGATCAACGTTTGGTGCTACGTGGCCTGGGTTAGTGGAGTCTGTCGATTTACGAATGAGGCTTTTCTCTCTGCTATCCAAAGCTACAATGGTGGCAGGCAAAAGGGGTGAGCTTGAAAGACTGTATGAATTGTTTGCGGCGTCTTTGAAGGTAATCCCACTGGAATTCTTTGCCGTGATCATGGCCCATCATGCTACAGAGCTCCCTGTAGATATTACCATATGCAAGGAGCTGTTCCATCTTCTCTTGCCAGCGTCTTATAAAGACCCCTCCAAGATTGATCCGGCAAACGACGCTGAGGGTAACATCAGTTCTTTGATGATGGAACATTGCTACATGCCATATCCGGCTAATACTATCAGCATCGAGGACAATGCAAGGCTGTCGCTTGTTATTGAGAAGGCGCTCCTCTTGCTATTATCATGTGACGAACTAGAATACACCGACTCCTTTAGAGACGCTGCGTACACGGGAATAGAGGCGAGAAACACGAAGGTACAAAAGAAGAGGACAGGGAAATCCAAACCGGATGCTGAGGATGTTTCGGCGCAAAACACCTTGATGAGCTCAGGCGAGCGGCTGAGCATCCTGATGGGCGCGTTATCTACGCAGACATGAAAAGTCTGGGAAGATGCTGAGTTTATGGAAGTATATGGAAAATAGCGGGTCTTACTTACGATTCATACAATTTGCACGGCGTTCCGGGGGGTATATATCAATTCATTACAATTCATTTCTATGACTTTTTAAATATCTACTTTACAAGGTATAATACAAAGCTAGAGTGCTTCTCTCCAGATTGGTGCAACAGGCCTCACGTAGTATCAGGTATTCGCTTCACTTCTTGGACGCCTTTGTGGGATCCCACGCCTCGGGCTGCCAGTCTTCACTCGGGCCCTTGGCTTTGGCTTTTGCCCAAGGGTCTTCAGTTGCTGCTATCGTTTGCTCCGGTTGAGCCGTTGTATTGGCTGTCTTGGTTCCAAGCAGCTCAGGCTCCTTTGGCGCCTCCATGATTTTGGGCTTGGCCTCCCACCGCGCATCCGCTTCGGCAGCCAGGTACTTCATTCGCTGCTGTCGAGTGACATCGTCGCGCTGCTCGGTCATGCTGGGCGCCTCGCGAAGATGCCGCAACCACTGGTGCCAGAGTGGGCTGACCTTGACGCTCGAGTAGTGTGTCGATCGGGGGTACTGGACGATGCGTCGCCAGGGCTCTTCTGAATCTGCGCCGCCGCGCGTCGTCAGACGGAATTCCCAGTATGTATTGCCTTGGAGATCGAAGCCTAATAGATGGATCGGCCATGTTAGCATGAGGCTGTGCGTTTGTCGCCGACGAGCGAGCGTGGTAGGAGGCAAGCGCTGCGTACCAACAAGGAAGCGCTTCCGCCACGGTAGGCGCATTGCTTTCCATCTGTACCAGGCCTGAGTAATTGGCCCTATTCGTTTGGCTGCCATGATTCTCTGGTTGCTATAGGCCGGTCGAAAAGGCAGATGTGGACGAAGCGAGCTTTGCGACGTCGAGTTCTGGCGCCCTTTAATTTTTTGGAGGTTGGCTCCAGCCACAGGCGGCTAGTGTTCGGCCGGCCGAAAGCCGGAGTAACGGTCCGAGCCACCGGGAGAGCTGTGTTGCTGTGTCTAATCTGGAGAGAAAATGGCCTAAAACGGAGATGCACAATAGTTGGTTATATTGGCCGTTATATCCATATTGTCAGGTTATTTTTACGTAATTTACAGGCGCATTCTTGAACATATTTTTTCTTCCTCCACTGGGCTGCTGTTCAAAGGGCCCGAGTCGGATTCGTCAGCACTGTGCTAGCGCTACGCGTCAGTGGCCAAACAGGAAGGTGATGTCCCCCACTGAGAGGGATTCCAGCGGCTGAGCACCTTGAGAGCCCGCCCGAACAGTGGCTGCAACAGTGTGGTTTTGAAGGGTCAGAGGCGGGGAACCCCCAGAAGCCGGGGTGCAGCTCCGCTAAACGGCAACCAAAGAGCCGCGATTTGTTCAGGCTCTGGTTTTTCTTTCCTTCTTCTTCACCATCCTCCACTTGCTTATAGCAAAGATTATTAGGATCAGTTTCAGTTGGTTATTCGGTACTAGAAACATCATTCGCCATGCTCGTAAACAAAATACTGCTCAGCAGTATCGTTGGTCTGGCTGCAGCCCAGTTCCCTCCAAAGCGCGAAGGCTTCAAGGTCGTCAAGTCCAAGCACCACGACAAGGTCTCTATTTCCTACAAGGAGGTATGTAACACACTGCGAAGAACTGGTCTTGATATATCTATTTACAACTCAATTCAGCCTGGTCTGTGTGAAAGCACCCCCAATGTAAAGTCATACTCTGGCTATGTTCACTTGCCTCCCGGCACCGTGCACGAGGACAAGCAGGACTACCCAATCAACACGTATTTCACTCCCAAAGCAACGGCTGCGGCTCAGATTGTGTTCGCTAACAGCATCCAATAGCTTCTTTTGGTTCTTTGAAGCCCGCCACGACCCCGAGAACGCCCCCTTGGCAATTTGGCTCAATGGCGGCCCTGGGAGCAGCTCGATGCTGGGACTTCTGCAAGAGAACGGGCCCTGCTTTATTGCAGAAGACTCCAAGTCCACTATTCACAACCCGTGGAGCTGGAACAACCATGTCAATATGATTTACATTGACGAACCCAACCAAGTTGGCTTTTCATACGACATCCCGACCAACGTCACCATCAACATTGAGGAAGGGGAAGTTGTTCCTACCGACTTCTCTAGTGGCATTCCGGAGGTGAATGTAACCCACCACATTGGTACAATGTCTTCTCAGAAGCAGGAAAATACGATTGGACTTACTGAGCAAGCTGCAAACGCCATGTGGCACTTTGCCCAGACCTTCTTCACCGAGTTTCCCCACTACAAGCCCAAGGATGACCGCATTAGCCTTTGGGCAGAAAGCTACGGAGGACACTACGGCCCTGCCTTTATGCGATTCTTCCAGCAGCAGAATGAGAAGATTCGAGACGGAAAGTTGGACGACGAGCATGCTCACGAGCTCCACTTGGACACACTCGGCATTGTCAACGGCTGCATCGACCCTGTTATTCGGGAGGAATCTGGACTTCTTTTGCCGTACAACAACGTAAGAACCGCGACTATGACTAACAACGTGATAAATAGCTTGCTAATCTTGTGCCATCCTTAGACCTACGGTATTCCCGTGCTCAACCAATCCACCTTTGATGCTGCCTGGCACAACTTTACAAAGCCGGGAGGCTGCAAGGAGCAAATGATTCAGTGCCAGAAGGAACTGAAGAAGGCAAAGGGCGAGCTTTTCGCTGCCCAAGAAAAAGAGGTTATGGAATATTGCTCTCTGACGAAGGAGTGCTATCGCATTTCTGAGACTGTTTTTGCGTGGAGCGACAACGGCCGATTTGACATGGCACACCCCAAAGCAGACCCATTCCCACCTCCTCATCAATTCGGATGGCTCGTTGAAGAAGGCGTACTCTCCGCTCTTGGAGTCCCTGTCAACTTCTCGGCATCCTCCCAAGCCGTGTGGGCCAACTTTGAGCGCTCTGGCGACCAGCTCCTCGGATTCATTGATGCAATCGGTTACCTTCTCGACTCTGGCATCAAGGTTCACATGATGTACGGAGATCGCGACTATGCCTGCAACTGGCTTGGTGGTGAGATGACCAGTCTGCAGATCCCCCATGCTCACAAGGACGACTTCAGCAAGGCCGGTTATGCCGAAGTCATGACGCACGATGGCTTCGGTGGCATGGCCCGTCAGTACGGAAACCTCAGCTTCACCCGCGTCTTCCAGGCTGGCCATGAAGTGCCCATGTACGTCCCTGCGACCGCATACGACATATTCATGCGCGCCATGTTCAACAAGGATATTGCTACTGGCAAGATTGACGTCCACGATGAGTACGCAACGGAGGGACCTGACAACACATGGCACATTAAACAGGCGCCCCCTGAGTTCCCCAAGCCAAAGTGCTACGTTCTTGCTCCTGAGTCGTGTACAGAGGACATCTGGGAAAAGGTCAAGGCTGGCAAGGCTATTATCAAGGACTACTTTGTCGTTGGCTTTACCGACGAGGACGACAGCGCTGATGAGCTGTAGGAGGGAGGGGAAATGACTGGATATGTAGTGTGATGATATGATATGGAAATATACGTCCAATACTATTTTTTTTTTAAATCGTGTTTTTATTTGTCTTCTTTTTATTGTTTGATTTTAGTTTCTTTTACACAACATATTCTACGCCACAATACACATCAGCCACACCCCTCTGTGCCGTCATTGCCTCTTTTGGAGGGGCTGTTGCCCGTGGGGATAGCCAGCGCCTAAAAAGTCCGCTTCCTTGTTTCGTCAACGCCTACGCACCACCCCGCTTGTGCCGACGTCAACAACCTGCCCTGGCTTGAGTTCAGGCACAGCCTTTCTTTTTTCTATTTCCCTTTATGCGCCGCTAAAGACTTGCATCTTATCTTGTGTCTCTGATTCTTTGTTTCTCCAAGCAAGCCATCTTTTGTCTTGCCTTTTGTCTGACACTGAAAAAGCCCTGAGTTGCGCAGCCCCTCCACCACAGCCAACTTGGCCACGGTCAATTCGCCCTTTTCTGCGACAACATTCCGGTCGATCTGTCTAGCGAACCGTTTCGAATACATTCAGTCGTCGGACCTGCCAGTCGATCTTCTGGTCGAACCCTTTACTCCTTCACCATATCCTCAAAACTCTTCTCGTCCTGGTAAATACTCTAGTCGTCTGGACTTTAAGGCGCAAACATGGCGTCGGTTACGTCGCTCGATAAGGACTTGCGCAAAATGCGCCTGGACAAATACACTCCGGCTGCCGCACATGAGGCGAAGTCCTGGATAGAAGAAACGCTCGGAGAGAAGCTCTCGGGGGATCTTCTCGATGCGCTCAAGGACGGTGTCGCGCTCTGCAGGTGAGTATTTGCAGTGAATGAGCACGCAAACACCTTGTCGCTAATCTGTTCTCTGTAGACTCGTTAATCTTGTTGTTCCTTCGCCGGGGATCAAATTCAAACAATCTGCCATGCCGTTTGTCCAGATGGAAAACATCTCGCACTTTCTCCGCGCATGCCAGTCCCCACCGCTGAACCTTCTACAACACGATGTCTTCCTCACTGTCGACCTTTACGAACAAAAAGACCCCGCCCAAGTATTGCAGTGCCTCGGAGCTTTCAGCAGAGCAGCCAACGGTGTCAACCCAACTCGGGTGTCCAGCGTCATTGGGCCCAAAGCTTCTGGAGCCGGAACTCCCCTCCGTGGCCGAGGAGGCTCTGTTACAAGTAACGCCTCTTCCGCTTACAACAACAATAAGGCGATGCCTCCTCAAGCAACTGGTGACTCTGCCTCGGGACGCTGGTCGCCTTCCAAGGGCCATGCCAGAGGCCCATCTGTTGATACATCATCCTCCCCAGGCCACGTTAGCAGCTGGAGCAAGAGGGAGCAAGAAAATGCGACTGCGCCGGCCTGGAACATTGCCCAGTACGGTTATATGGGCGGTGCCAGCCAAGGTAACCTTGGTATTCAGTTTGGTGGCCGTAGGCAGATTATTGGAGACTCGCCCAAGGTACCCAGCTTAGCTGAAAAGGAACGCCTACGAAAGGAACAAGCAGCCGAAGCCGAGGAAGAGGAACGCCAAAGAAGAGCTGCTGCGCAAGCAGAGGAGGAACGAGCCCGCCAAAAGGAGGAAGAACAGTGGGAGGCCGAAACGGAACGATTACGAATCGAAGAACAACGACGAGTGGAAGCCGAACGAAAGCAATGGGAGGAAGAAGAGCGACAGTGGAAGCTGACAGAGGAGAAGCGCCGAAAAGAGGAGGACGAAGCACAGGCTAAAATGGAAGAAGATAGACGCCGAGCTCGCAGCCGTAGCCCGGTTAAGCTGCGCGGCCAATATCTGAGCCAGTACCAAGCCGAGCGAGGCATTGGCGGGGATGCTGCCGAAGATGACGAGGCTTCTAAGCATATCAGAGAACTCGAGAAGCAGCTTGAGATGGCACGCCAGCGAGAGGCTGAATACGAGCGCGAACGACAAAGCCGAGGCGGCTCAGTAACTGTGACCTCGGCGCCAGCTACGGCTCCTGCTCCCGCTGCCGTTGCCTCCCCCGTATCAAATGCTGGCGCTCGTGCTAGATCAAGAAGCCGACCCCGACTTGCAGTAGCCAGTCCACCGCTGCGACAAGAATCATGGAGCAAGGGCGATAAGGAGGTGTTGCAGACTCGCGACAGCCAAACTAAGCTCACCGATGTGCTGCCCGAGCCAACTCCAGAGCCCGTCAAACCATCCCAAACGACATCTCCCCGACCCCTTCCCGAGCCTACATTCACGTCTCCCGTCGTTTCTCACAACACCGGAGGTTCTTCAAGACCGCTGCCCGATCCAGCAACCTACACATCTCCTCCTACACCTAAGAACCGAACCGATCGCTTTCTCTCACAGAACCCCGCACCTGTGCAGCAGTCCCCGACACCTACTTACTCACGCGAGCTAGGACATACCGCCGAGCGAGACCAAGAAGACCGCCGTCGCGTGCAAAGTCAGACAAACACCAAAGCTGGAGGATGGGCCTCCAAGTCTCTTTTGGAGCGTGAAATGGAAATGGAGCGTGAGCGCCAGCGAGAATGGGAAGAGGCCCAGCGTGAAACTGCTAAGGCCACTCCTGCTCCAGACGGCGTCGATGGCATTGGCGGTGGTGTTGGTGGCCGCTGGGATGTTGGTCAGTGGTCAGGTTATACCGGCGGCGACAACCAGAATAAGGGTGTTCAAGGCATCGGCGCTGGCCGTAGACAAATCGTTGGGCCTAGACCACTGCCTGGATCCAACAGGTGATGTGATTGAGTGGATAAAAGAGGAATGTAAAAAGGTAGTTGTAATAGAGAGAAGAATGTAATACATCTCACAAAAACGTCTTGCTACTATATCTACATTGTGTTGTTCTCTTCTACGTACGTGTTGTGTGAACGAAGGTATTCTAAATTTTCGTATTGTTTTTAATAAGCTATCATAATCTTTTAAAATCTTTTCCGTATGATAAGATCTTCCTGACAGAAAACAGAGACAAATCAATTGTGCGCCGAGGGAAGTATATGCAAGAGGCTGTACACGTGTACCGTACAGATATGGTATCAAAGAATGGCTAGCAGAACGAATGAAGAGCAGCTGAGTGGCGTCGTGCTCAGCTATGGGTTATGGTGTAAAGCAGACAATTGCTAAGAAGAAATGGGGACATATTTAGACTGTAGCCTCTGTAGCAGAAGTCTCGTTGGCCTCGTCTCGGCAGCGCTGGCACATACACCAGCCTCCCAGACTACCACGAGCCCACTCGCGGCGTTGCTGGACGGGCATGTTGATATCACAGTAGTGATTGAGAATCTCGTCGCCCTTCTTGATTCCGCCTTTTCGGTTTCCAATCACGCGTTCCTTACGGGCAGAGAGCACCATGCGACCACCCCATTCCCAAGTGACATTGGGATCGCAGTCGTGATTGGCGAGGCACCAGTATGGGTGGACAGCGGCGACGTCTGGACGGCCGTCGCGGGGATTCTTTCGGGCAGATGCTGTTCCGCGGAACTTGGCGTACAGAGTGTTGAGGGTCCAGAGGTCGTAGTTGCTGAGTTCCGAGTAGATATCAATGTCCATCTTCTCGAGCAGATGTAACGGTGTTTCAATGTTATACTTGAAGGAGAATGGGAGCGTCCATTCGGGAGGTGGCCCGGCGCTAGGCGAAACGTTGATATCGTTGGCGCTGCTGGGTACAAAGTCCCCCCAGATGAAGCGGACTTCTCGAACGTCCAGAGGATGGATTTCCTGGTGAGCAGCTAGTGCCAGCACACGAGCTAGTAGTAACAGGTATAGTGTCTCGTCCGCCTCATACTTGTCGGCATCCTTGGCGATGGCGTCAACGTCCTTTTCGCAAACGGAGGGGTGGTAACGCTCTTGAGCCTGGTCGTAGCAGTACTGACTGCAGAAGACGGTATCATAGCATTCGTCGCAGTTGACAGCCTCAGAGTCGGCGCCTAACGGGGGTAGCTCGCTGCTACAGGCATCGCAGACAGAGTCTTTCAGGCGGTTGTTTGCAGTTAGGAGGGAGTATTCGTGAAGCACTGCCTCACCAGCCTCAATGGCCTCAACGGCAAACACACCGAGTTGCTTGCATGTAGGGATTATTTCGTACTCGTCGGTGTTGCTTGCAGACTCGAGGAGGACGGGAAGGGTGGCGACCTGTACTGCACACTTGGGGGCCATCTGCTTCAGATCTTCGTTGAGAGTCGCCAGTGATTCTTCTGAGAATCGGTCCGGTTCATGGTCGTTCCATGGGTATACTTCACGGCGTACGAGACCGTAGTCGGGTAGGTTGTTGGGGTCGAAATCGTCCCGCCGTAACTTGCGACGGGCAACGGCGGAGATGTTTTCTTTAGTGTCGAGCAATTCGCGGTTCTCTGGAGCAACAAGGAGGCCGCGCTCGCAAAACTTGTATGCACTTTTAAGGCATCCGCAAAGCAGCAGACTTATTGACAGGATCTGGTATGCCCGAATGGATGCCAAGCGGGCGAGCTCAGCCACAGCATCGTCGCTCTTAGTGGAGGAGCCGTCATAGTACGCAGCTACAGGCTCAGCCAGGCTGCCATGAAGTAAGATTTCAGGAGCCGGTGCATTTGTGTGCATGGAAAGAGCTTCTCTTGCTTGTTCGTAGTATTCAAAGCCTTCGGTAGCGACCTCGTCGGTAAGTAGTAGAGCTCGGTAGGCATCTCCGGCGGCAAGATCGGGGTATCCAAGGTCCGAGTAGACGGCGGCGCGTTCGAGGTAGAGTATGAGGTCGTAGGGCAAACTTTCAAGGCCTGTAGTCAGCTGCAGGCGCCTGTCAAGCTGCTGTTCACGGCGGTCAATGTCGCTCATCTTTGGCAAGTTAGGTCACTGCAAAAGATGAGCTTGGCGGGGCTGTAGCGCGGGGTGTTGTGCAGGTAGATTGGCTCAGTGCTTGCGATGACGCAATTGGAGATTTCAATAGATGGTAGAGGTGTACTGAATAAAGTTATTTATAAATTGACCGATTGGGTGAAATGGATAAAAGCATCGGTACCCGATTCGTCGTTCGAGGAAGTAGTAATGTTGGTGGTGGCGAAGCGTCTGCGAAATCTCTGTCAAAAGGTGGAGGAAAGTAGAAATTCTGTGACGACAAAGCTGGAGGTGGCAGAAAATTGATGGAAAAAGTGGTGAAGGCGCCACCGGTATAGTGTGACTATTTTGGGCCTCAGTGGAGTGTTAATAGTTGACAGAGCTGATAAAGTGAGCAAAAGGTTTGGGTAAGTAAAGAGGGAATGAAGGGAAAAAACTTTTTCTTTATTCAAGTTAGGAAACAGACCGATGAATACACTATCAAGGAGAAGGACTGTATTCTTTGTTTGATATGTATACTACAGTAGCAAGTGTATTGATGAACTTAGACAAACACCGCTGGCTTGTTCTGGTACATAGCATACATAGGATTATAGTTTGTTGAAGAGTTTTTAACATTGATAGAACAAGGTTGGTAGACGCCAGCCATCTGGCCGGGACTCTGAAACATCGCAAGGAGAATATCGCGGATTAAAAAAGCAGGCATTTCATTTCCTATTAAAAAGTCATCGCTTAAGAGTCAAATTATCGCTCTTCTTTGGTGCTGGCATCTATTAATCTAATGTAGGTCGTTGGCCGGGGCATTCGGTCCGCCACTGTTACCCCTCCATCCCGCCAGCTTCAGGGGGACCCCTCCTGTACCAGATGCCATTTTTAGGGGTCCAACACTGGTTTGGTCAGCGCCACAGCACAACGGCGGCAGCATGGTGGTGCCGAACCGGCTGGTGCAGACTGGTCGGCGCCGATTCGGCAGACAGTGTGAGTCTCTCAGATGCGTCAATAAGCAGCCACAGCCGTATTTACTATAAGCAAAACTCTAACGGCTAATTCGTATCGTAGCCTTACCACTCCCTCGTTTGGGCGATGGCCTCGTCCAATCGTCGTCGCAAGCCACTCACTTCGTCGGCGACAGAAACAGACCCACTACCAGCCTGGGTGTATAAAAGACAGGGGTCCAAGGCTCGCCGATTGAGCTGATCGGATGGCTTATCTCTATTTTCCAAACTCATATACTCTGTAATAACCATGGTTTCTTCCTATATCATGAACGGCGCTCTTGTCGCTGGCCTTGTACCCGGCTTCATTGGCATCAACGGTCTCATCCGACCAGACTTTGTCTTGAACAAAGTTAGCTTTCCCATACCTACCGAACCAGAAGCCAAGAAGCTCATACATACTCTTACTCGACTTTTTGCAATTCGAAATATCTCGGTCAGCTTTCTTATAGCCACAGTATGGACTACTGGTAATCCCAGGCTACTGGGAACAGCAATGGGTGGCGCGCTCTTCGTCTGCGTCAGCGACGGGTTTGTAAGTCGCAGTTGGGTTAAAGGCAGAGAAACGCAACACTGGGGAGTTGTCCCAATCATCATTGGGCTAATGGCAGGGCTGTTTGGAGCATTTTAAATTTGTATAGATATTTAGCTATTACATCCAGTTATTGGGAGTGTGGTTATGCGTTAAGCGGGCGTCACTGGTTGGCACAGGGAAGCCACAAATACATTGACGCCGTATTATTTGACGCAAGCTTAATTAAATCGATCGATTAACAAGCCAGACCATATTGGGACCTTATCTCTCTGTCTTGCTTTGCTTAAACTCTCCCTTTATGCGTCTAGCGTCTACAGCGCCAACGGCAATGACATCAGCGACTCCGCCCAAGCTTTCCGATCCAGACATGTGAAAGAAAGTCCTCACAGCTTAGCAGGCCACTCAAAGCAATTGCTGAAAAGGAAAAAAAATCACAAGCAGTATCCAGTAAAGTATTTACGAATACAAGACAAATCGCTAATCTATTCAAACGCCAATCCACACCTCCTCAGACGATGATCCACGGGGTGCATTCTATAAACCCCGATTACACCAGCCAGCCACCTGGCAGCCACCTGGCAGCCCTACTTTGCTCCACTGTAAATGACGACAAACAGCTGCCCCGCCACTCTTTACAGCGGCCATCTCAACATTTTGCCTCCCCGCTCCCAAGAACCCCTCCAACTTGATTCTTTCTATTTCTCTCCAATACCCACCAAACAACTTGTGTATTTTATTCACACCCTTCATCCACAATGCCCAAGACACAGCCCAACCTGTTCGCCTTCTCCGGCGTCGACGCCCTTGCGCGCGCCCTCCGCTCCTACATCATCGAGACCCAAAAGGCCGGCATCGACCGCCACGACTCCTTCAAGGTCGCCGTGTCTGGTGGCTCGCTGCCCAAGACCCTCGCAGCCGCTCTCCTCGCTCCCTCCTCTGGCCCCAACGACGTGGTCGAGTGGACCAAGTGGGAGATCTTCTTTGCCGACGAGCGCGCCGTCCCCCTCGACCACGCCGACTCCAACTACGCCCTGCTCAAGAGTGAGCTCCTCGACAAGCTCCCCGCCGACCAGCAGCCCTCTGTCAAGCCCATTGACGTTACACACCTCGACGATATCCAGGAGCTTGCCGATCAGTACGAGAAGACCCTCGTGGCTAGCTTCGCTTCCCGCGACTCTGTCCGCTTGCCCATCTTCGATCTTCTCCTCCTTGGCTGCGGCCCCGACGGCCACACCTGCTCGCTCTTCCCCAACCACGCCCTGCTCCGCGAGACCGATGCTTGGGTTGCCCCTATTGAGGACTCGCCTAAGCCTCCTCCTAGACGCATCACTCTGACCCTTCCTGTCGTTACTCACGCTGTCCGCATTGCCTTTGTGGCTACTGGCGGTGGCAAGAAGGAGATTATGAAGGAGATCTTCGACTCTTCCTCTGGCCTGCCCTGCACTCTTGTCAACGAGGCTGCTGGCGAGCGATGCAGCTGGTTTGTCGATGAGCCTGCCGTTGACGGTGTTAGCTTCCCTCGCCGTTCTTTCTTGTAAAGACTACAAGAAAGCGAAACGGAAAAGAAAAGGAATAGAAAATAAGACATGCCCTTGTCTAGAGAGAAGGACTTGGAGACGCCATGAGCACGAAAATTAGACTGAATTTGATTTGAATAGGGTTTATGATATTGCTTGGAAGTTTTCCCATTTTGTACATAGATAATGCAATACTCAATGCGCCGGGTTTATGCCAGCCGTTCATGTTCACGTGAAATGTCCTTCATCTTCTAACCATAGTCTCAACGCTACAGTCCTTCTTCCTTTGTCATACTGTCTCAGATTGCTCGCCAGATTGCGCCAGCGCGCGGGGTATCATCTTCATCATCCTCCCTGTTCATCCTCTCAATCCAGTGCTCTTCCCGGGCTAGAGCTGCCTCGGCAATGTTCTCCATGATTTGCAGCTCTGCGACCATATCTTCTACTAGGCCTTTGGCACCCGCAAGTACTTGTGACAGCGCGCTATGTTTGCGGGCGTTCACAACATCATCCAGTTCGTCAAGCTGGCGCTGCCAGCCCGCTAGACGGTGTGAGAGCGCAACACACTCCTCTGTCCAGGCATCGTCCAGAGGCTCTATAAAAATAGACTTGTGCGTCTCCAGGAGAATCTGCCCGCCATCCTCATCAGCACGGGCATCCTCAATCTCGCATACATGGTCGATCCAGCGCTCGAAGCGGCGAGTAATACGAGCGTACCGGCCACCGGGTTCACTAAGCATCCACACGCCGGTGAGAGCTTGATCGAGGCCTTGAATGTTCTCTTCTAACCGGTCTCCGTATGCCCAGCTCTGCAGAGCCGCAATGTTACGCTCTTCTACGGCGGCTGTCTCCAGCTCAGACAGTGCCTTATTTGTGTCGCAGATCTCGTGGAACCGCTGTCCAAAGATTCGTTTAGCGCTGGCGTGCCATTGTTCGTTTACCGAGCCCGCATCTTTATGCATGAGATAGAGCTGCAGAAGCTCCGTTTGTAGTTTGTTTGTTTCTGCTGTAGCTGCAACATTGGCGGGCAGCTTCGAGGGCGATGGGGGGCCATGTGTTGGTGTTTTCGGTGCCGTTTTGGAAGGACTTTGCTGGAGGGCCACATAAGCCGCTCTTGCGCGTCCCAAGGTAGGCCCAGTCGGTGTCGAAACTGTTGCTGCTGAAGTTGTTGTTGTGGCTGCTGCAGGTGCCGTTTTGTCGACAGATACTGCACGTCTATGTCCAGTTCTTGATAACGTCGTTGCCGTAGCCTGCTCGCGTGATGGAGGTCGGGAAACTGGGCGTGAAGGGGGTCGTGAAGTAGGTCGCGAGCTACTTGATACTGTTGCACTGGTTGCTCGGGCATGCGAGGTAGTCCCTGGACCGGAGGACGTCGCTGGTCGTCGAGCAGACGGTCCTGACGAGCCCGACGATGTCGGTCTGCTGCTGACCGACACGTTCCGGGTCAGGGTGGTGGAGGGCGGGTATCTGCTTGTTTCCTTCTTTACGGGCTCAGAGCTCAACGTGCCAGATGGAGTTCTCTGTTGACGTAGCGATAGGGAGCGCCCTAAAGGTGCGGAAGCTTGCTTTGTAGATCGAAGGGCTGGAGATGGTCTGCTGCTGGTGATGCCCGACGCGGTAGGCTTGACGGGGAGCCGACTCGGCGAGACATTGCGGGGATCCGACGACTTTTCGCGGGGCGGAAGCTCCGTGGCCGGTTTCCTCAACGATCTTGTTCGTAAAAGAGATGCCATGGCGGCGGCGCGTTGATGGGCGGTGTCACTATTTATGTGTTCTTGAGAAGCGCGTCGTAACGAGTTGGGGGAGGAGAGGCTGAGAAGTGTCAATGCAGGCCCACAGACATACAGCCAACTACACCGCCAGCATACACCCGATGATGTCACAACAGTACTGTCTTCACAAGTATTCAGTTTGAACGTCAAAAAACTTTCAAATTATAGCGATGGCCGAATTTGCAAAAAGGTTCACACTTTTCTAAAACTCCGCCTATGAGATACGTAAAAGCTGGTCCCGACTGCCACTTACAGCAGCAACTAATACAAAAACAAGGTTCTAACCAGTGTTCGTAAGTGTTGTAGACAAAAAAGACAAAAAAAAGATACAAGGCCATATAGCAAATTTGTCGCTACAGACGACATAGAAATGGAAACAAACCCCTGGGGTATATTGAATCCTCGCAGAATAACAAAGGACCCTTTGCAGCGTAGGAGTAAAGGAAAGAGTATGGCGGTAAATGAGAGGCAGCTCCGAAATGGCAAAATATGGAGGTAAAGATACAGGTGTGATGGAGTGAGAAATAGAGTATACGGGTGAAAAGGGATGGCAGTCGCTGTCATTAGATCTGCCTGCCTGCAAGAGCCCCCATTAGTCGGTTAAGATCCTTGTCGTTCTCGTTAAAGGTGGTCAAGCAGGATTCGCAGAGGCGGAGGTGGCAGAACGAACAGGCCCATCGGTCCTCGGTATCGGATTTGCAGCAAGTCTGGCAAGTCAGCGGATACGTGCGGTTGCTGCGTCGTCCCATGGTCTTGTGTTGCTGGAAGCAGTTGTAATGTGAAATCTTGAGAACCGGCGCTGTAATCACGCCACTCTTAGGCATAGGCTCCAGCTTCGTCTTGGGGAAGTACATTGCTCGAGAGTCTGGTATACCGAGGCTGCGCATCTCCGGGTACAGAGTGCCGTCGCGGCCCTTGTACATAGCCCCATGAGCGTCTGAGTACACGATGCGAGGATCACGGAGGTCGGGTCGAAGGCCCTCCATTGGCTTTCGCTGCTCTGCTGCTCTAGACTCGCTTCTAGATGAAGCGCTAAAGTCTTGCAGCGATGATGTCTCGCTTGGCGACGTACGGGCTGTAACCACACTCATGACGGTCGAGGATGCGTCCGATGTGCGTGTGGACATCATTTTGTTATCCGGACTTGACGACTTTGGTGGCACTGGTAGTGCCTTTGCGGGAGGTGGCGGCTTCGTTGGAGTCGGCGCTCTTACTGGAGCACGGACAGGCTCTTGAACTGGGATAGGTGCCGGCAACGCAGCCGGTGCTGGAGCAGGTGCTGGAACCCCAGTACCTTTTGCCGCCAGTCGACGACGAACCTGTTCAGCCTGGAGACTAAAGTCGTGCTTAGGGGGCTTAGGTGGAATATCTCGCGATGTGAAATCAGGTGAGGAACGCGTAGGTGAGTCTGCCGATGATGACACTGGCGATGCTGGCTTCTTGACAACTTCGATGCTGGGCGCTTTTCCCTCGGATTTTCGGTATTCTGGTGTTGGTGGTCTCTGAGAAGGATACATATCCAAATCAGGTCGTCGCGTTGAGGAATTTGAAACGGCACCCTTGGCAGCTCCTGGTCGTACATTACGGCCCGGAAGTCCGGTAGGGTTGGGTCTGGAGCGAGCTGGTTTTGTTGGTGATGGCATATCGGATATTTCTTTCTCTGGCGACGAAGGCGCTTTGGGTACGGCGACAGGAGATCCATATCCGCGGCCGAGATTGAGATCCGGGAGCTCACGACTACCTGAGTTGTTCTGAGGCCGCCTTCGCCAAATCTCGGGTCGCGGGGGAGATGTTTTGGCAAGATTGGACGCGGGGAGCTCGGCGCGGACCGGGGATTTGGGAGGCGGCGTCGGTTGTTTAGCTGGGATTGAAGGTAAGGTTTTTGTTGGGGAGGCTTCTTTAGTTAGACGCAACGGCGACGGTTGCCGGCTCGAGTTAAAGCTGGTTCGGTCTGTACTGGCATCCAGAGACTCCACCGGAGAGTCAAACCCACGAGCATATGGTGATAATATGCTTGAGATGGCGGGCGACGGCTCTGAAATGGTGTAAGGTGATATGGGATTCATCTTTCCCACGGCTTTTCTAGCAATACCACTTGGAGGCGCTAGCTTATCAGGAGATGCTTTTGGATTTGGTAACGGCTTTGGTGGAAGGCTCTTTTGCGGTGTTGCTGGAGACGAAGGGTTGCTGGCCGCAATAACGGCGAGTTCGGCAGCTGATGGAATAATACCGGAGCTTGCAACAGCTTTGCGAGTTGGTATAGCTGTGGGAGGGCTAGCCACGGCCTTGCGCGTTGGCGCGGGAGTCGTGGGTATCGACTTGGAGATGGGCGCAGGCTTCGGCGTTGACGAGGTCGTTGAGCTTCCTACGGGCTTGCGAGGTCCAACCAAGGACTTTTTGATTTCCGCCGGCGTCTTATCAGCTAGCGATGGCGGATCTGGCAGCTTTCTGATATCGGGGAGAGACTTCTTTGGCGGGATGGCAGCCTTCTTGATGTTAGGCAGGGACTTTTTCTGCTCAAGCGCAAGTCTTCTGGCTTCTGTAGGCAGCTTTCGATCCTTGGAGCGAGGAGGAGGCGTAGGAGGAAGATCGGATACAGCTGATTCGGCAGCAGATACAAAGAGGCCAGGAACGGCGGGAAGGGCCTTTGAGTAGCGCGGCGTGGTGCTTTTGAGCTGGAGGGTGGATGCCGGGGGAATCATGGTGGGCGATATAAAGCGTATTGTATTAGACGGTGTTTCGAGAGTGCACGGCAGGCAGCCGCTGGGATCGCTGAAACGTCAAGCACGTTGCGGTGGCGCGAGGCCCCAAGCGGGAGTGCTCGAGAGTTGGATGCGGCGGTCGACGATGCCCCAGATGGTTTGGCGGTGCTCTTACACTGAAGGCGTGCAGCGTACGGGCATCTGGGGCGCTGAAACGAAGGGGGACTGGGCGGATGAGCCGACTAGGGAAACGAAAGGATGTGCGCGGGAAAAGCTGAAACGAGTGAATAGGAAAAAGAAGAAGACTAAAAAAACAAAGCGTGATGAGAGGCAAAGCGTGAGCGGAGAGGTGAGGTGAGGTGAGCGAGAGAATGCGCAGCAAGGAAAAAAAGACTGGGTCAGACACGATACGGGACCTCAAGTGTGTCGGAAGGCCGCCAACAGACCCCCTGTATTTTGCAGAGCTGTAGTGGGCGGACTGCTGCCGAAGAGAGGGCCTAAAAAAGGGCGTCGCGTGGCTTGCGGGATGTGTGTCGTTGAGACTCGCACGGATTTACAGCGCTGCTTGTTTCCTGCTAAAGAATGTGGGTGAAGAAAAAAATGAAGAGAAGAAAAAGACACGCAAACATATACGAAATTACAATATACTCCTGTTGCTGTTGCTGTATAACAAGACGACCTTTTTCCTTTTCAGCCCAGCCATGCCTTGATTCCCATAAAGCCCGTTCCGCTGCCTTGCTATTTGCTGCTACAACAGTACACTGGTCTTGTGGCTGCGGCACTGCCCTGGCATGAAACTCGAACCAGGACGTGCCAGGGCAACCCTGCCTACGCACACGACAGAACTAAAAAAGCCCGCCACGCCGAAGCTTCCCTCGTTCTAATCGCAGCGCCCCGGCGCGGGTACCTGCACTGGGGCGCGTTGCGCTAAAGCACGCTGGCCCCATCCAAATTAATCTCTTCAGCGGGGTGCCTCGCTGTGCCAGTCGGCCGACGGCTCACTCTTTTGCGTGTAAAGGGCTTTCCACTTACAGGTGCTTACAGCACTTGGTGGACCGCCGGGAATGACAAGTGGGGGGCCACTGCTCGGCGAGGCATTTGCTTGGGTGCACATGGATGAGACAGCAGGCCAATGAACTGGGGGGCAGCAGACGTTGTGATATGCTCAGTAGGCCATAGCCTATTTGTTCTAATGATAATGCATTCTCAGATGCTTTTTAAATTGTTTTTTGCTCTTTGCATTGGCTCCACCGGGTGCATCGGGGATGCCAAGTGGTGGCATAAAGGACAGCAATTATATGCCTTTTCATCCTCATGCAGCCGCCTTTTTCTGCAAGGAAATAAGCACTTGCAGAAACTCTGTGCTGAGTGGCCCCCATTACGTCACTAGCTGCCAGCTTCCAGCAATGCGATTCGCTGTAAATCCCTGCCTGCCAGGAAGTGATGCCCCTGTAGGGATGCCAGGGGCGACGCCCGTAATGATGCGAGGCATTAACAAGCAACAAAAATGAAAAAGGCAACAACTTTATGGGATAATCAACACGCGAGGGAAGGATAGCTGGATGGTGTTTTTGTTGTCTTGTTTTTCTTCCTCTTAACCATACACTGCTATCGTGTGGCTGCTCCTACTGTGTCTCTGTTGTGAGCCACGCGCCGCGCTCTTCAAAGACACGCCAAGCTGGTGGCATTCCAGTCTGCCGTTCCTGCGCCGTTCCAGACCCTGTAGACCGTTCGAGATACCCGGGCCGAACAGCTGATTTGTCGTAATTGTAATTCCCATGCATGTCTGTCATTGGCTGTTTGTATTGTTGAACAGAGAGACGCTGTTGATCTACGCTTTCTGTGTAGCTGGCCTTGCGTGTGGCTTGAACGGTTCTGTGGCTCGTCTTTGGGGCTCTAGAAACGCCAGCTATGCTCGGCGCAGGGATACGCAGGGGCCTCATCAAAGCACGGGGCTAAAAAGCCAAAGCGATGAAACTCGACGCTTGCGTTTCAGAAGTTATAAAAAAAGGAAAGAAAGAAAAAGTTTCTTCTTTTGGACAGAAGGATTTTCTGTTTGGTAGTGGAAGTGATGATCAGCGTAAACGTGTAGGGGACTGTTTACGATGCGTGTAAACGTATAGATTATTAACTTACTTGGGATCATCATCATTCTCACAATGAGTGATATGGTATGTCGTCACTCTCCTCAAGTAGCTGTTCTCTTTTCTAGCATAGCTTCCCATAAAATTTATTCTTCATATTTTCTTGATTCATTTGATTTTCTACAATGACGGGTGTCCTTACCGACACATCTTCTCACCGGTCAAGAGTTGCCAGGTCAGACAAGTGCTACACACCACAGTCCTCGCACCTGTGACAACTGGCATCCCATTGCCAGACTTTCCCCCTCCAATATACGCACTTTGTCCAATAACTGACGACCATCATCTACCGAAATTAACACTCATCCATACAACAGCCGCAGAGATGATTCTCTCGGCTACGCACCTCGCCCCAGATTCGGCAGAGCTTGCAGCGGCGGAATGCCTGCCGGGTACTCCACGCCGACTGCCTATCGCGCTTCTGGCAAATCAAACTCAAAAGGATGTCCATCTACAATACCAAGAAGGCAACCTATCTTGCAATTTAAGCAGACAACGTGACCTCGCCGCAATGCGACCATCATCTCAGTCGTCCTATCAGCGTCCGTTCCGCCATTTCCGGGTTAGTCCTCGCCTTGTGCGCCCCCCTCCGGGGAACCATCCCGGCGGGGAAAGCCTCCGCCAGGCTGTGGCGAAGGCGAACATGTCCTCGGAACAAAGACCCTATCCAATGTCTACCGGTCAAACCTGGTGCTAAATCCTTCGAAAATATCGTGTCGTTAGCAAACAATCGGTGTTGATCCCGAAGTTTGCTAATTGCGTCATTGTCACCGACTTTGGGAATCCGGTTGCCTTGGTTATAAGTGGCTGCCTTGCCCTCACTCCTCAGAGCCTTCTCGGATCAAAACTTCAACCATATTTGCAATTCTCATTGTCTACACGATCAAAACTGATTATCCGCATTCGACATGGTATCCAGTACTTCCCCTCCCAAGCAAGGGGATACAGAAACCTCTCCTCTTCTGCAGAGCACTGCCAGTGCTGCACAAGATGTGGAGGCAACACCTGACCCCGCGCCGCCCTCCTTGGAAGGCAATCTAGAAATGTATAAGAAGCTTCACCTTCTTATGCCTGCTGTTGCAATTGGAGTAGGCTATCTCGCATCTTTCTTTATACGCAGTACCAAAGCTTACTAACTTTCGTCTTATTCTTCTAGATCCTATTGTCTGCGCTGGATTTCCTTATCCCTGTCGCCGCTGCTGCAAAGATTGGGAGCGACCTTAATGCCTTGAACAGCATATCATGGGTTGCCAATTCGTATGCACACTACCAAAAACTCACAAACTGGCAACCCTTCTGACACACTCTTAGGTACTTCATCACCCTAACCAGCTGCCAGCCGTTGTACGGCAAGCTTAGCGACATCTTTGGCCGCAAGCAAGCTCTACTCTTTGCATACACTGTTTTTGCTATTGGCTGTATCTGCTGTGGTCTCTCCCAGGATATGCTTCAGCTATGTCTCGCGCGGGCCTTCACAGGAATTGGCGGTGGCGGTATGACAACTGTTGTTGCTATCTTGTTGTCCGATATCGTTCCGCTTCGAGAACGCGGTGAGTGGCAGGGATACATGAATTTCATCTACGCTACCGGCACCTCCTCTGGAGCACCATTGGGAGGCTTTCTCGCAGACTCCATCGGCTGGAGATGGTAAGTGTCCAATTCGTGCAGCGATTGCACTCGCAAAACCACCTGACTCTAACCGGATTCTAGGTCATTCATTGCCCAGGCTCCTCTCTGCGCCATTGCCTTTGTTGCTGTGTACTTCGTCCTCGATATTCCCAAGAAAAATGATGGGCATTGGCAAGAAAAGATAAAGCGCGTCGACTTCCTCGGCGCCTTGACTCTTGTACTGGCTGTTGTGGCACTGCTTCTCGGTCTTGACAACGGTTCCAACATTGGATGGACGGAGCTTCGAGCAATTCTGCCCCTCATCCTTGCACCCTGTCTATTCATCGCTTTCATTCTAGTCGAAATCTGGTGTGCGACGAACCCTTTTGCCCCCGGGCACGTCATCTTTGACAGAAATCTTTTCCCATGCTTCGTCATCAACTTCTTTGGCATGGGTAGTCACTTTGGTACCCTTTTCTTTGCACCGCTGTTTCTTCAGGCAGTCAACGGCTGGGATGCCACCAGCAGCGGCTCTATTCTAGTTCCGTCCCTTGCAATCAGTGTGACTGCGTCTGTTGGCTCCGGTGCGATCCTCAAACGAACTGACAAATTTCGCACACTTGCCATCTGCAGTTATATGCTAGCTCCTCCTGGAGTGGCATTGATCATTGTCGGTATGGCGTTAAAGTCTCCTTGGCTCCTTGGAATTGGGCTGGCTATTCCCACTATTGGTGTTTCTGCCGGTTCGTATACACACTTTCTGTGACAAACACTTTTTATGTACTAACGCCTGGCATAGGAACTGTTACAAGCCTGGTCGGTATGCTGGCCCATGCAGCACTTGAAGACACTGCGGTTGTTGTCGCAACCTCCTACCTCTTCCGCGCTCTTGGCTCCAGTCTAATGGTAGGGCTGAGCTCGGCCGTTCTACAGCAGACTTTGCGAACAGGGTTGAGCCGTAGACTACCTGGTGATGCCGTGGACGAAATTGAAGAAAAGGTTCGTCAAAACCTGGACTACATCAACACTCTACCCAAGACCCTCGCCGATATTGTTCGGTCTAGCTATCAACTTGCTTCTATGCATGCCATGGTACCTTGCTTCATCTTTGGATTGGCTGCCTTTGTGATCACTTTTTGGGTTAGAGATAAGGCACTAAAGCGATAATCTGAGTTTCTAAATAAGACATCTATTTCGTAATATGTACAAGTCAACTAAAAGGCACAGATGGGTAATATGAAGCAATAGGCGTAAACGGATTCAAAGTCCTTTAGACTTGGAGATTGATTCCATGCCAAAAAGCTGCCCAGACGTAGAACCTAGCGGTACATCATCCTTAATCTCATCACTTGGATCGCCAAATAAAAACGAGTTCTTTTCGCGGCTGGCATGATTGGATCGCCTGTTTTTGTTGGGGAACGAAGGAGATTTGGCTGATCCAGTGGGAGACAGTGGCGACGTGGACTCATCTGGCTCAAGCATCCATGAAAATGACGACTGTGCCAGAGTTGATCTCGTAGGAATATCCATAGATACTGGCTTGGGGACGTCTTTGTTATCCTCTTTCGAATCTGAGGCGACAGTGGCTGGCGAAGCGTTCTTTGCAGCATTCACAGACGGTTTAACCTCTCCTTCTAGATTTAAGTTTTCCTTCTCCAGCGGGTTTGCCAACCTTTCCACTTCTTTAGTCCTAACTTGGGCCTTTGGTTGTTGGGGCTGGGAACTTTGCACAGGCTCAGTTGATGCTACTGGTGCTGGTGCCGGGGGTAGTGGTTTTTGGCCTTCCACCTTGGTTGAGGGTTTCTTGGCTTCCGAAGTCTTGGGTGTTGCTTCTTTCGGTATCTCCTTTTGTTCAACGCTGTTATCGTAGCTCGGAACCTCCATGGTCGAATCTTGAAGATAGATCTGAACAAATTGTGCCTTTGCAGCTGCAATTTCAATTAGCTCAAGGCTTTTTGCTTTGTCCTCAAGCCCAGATTCAGAGGCTGCTTTTAAGCTAGCAACTGTTTCTTCAAGTATACTGGCCAGCTGCTTATTGCGTATTTCCAGTAGTGCAACAGCTTTAGCAGCATCATTGCTGGTCCTGTTCAATGCGGAATTGACTCGGGTCTCATTGAGGTTTTGCATATTGCGTCGAAGCTCGCCAACAGCATCACGGACAGCTTGATTTAGACCTAATTTCTCACTCCGCTCAAGGACCTCCTTGGCCGCGCCTTGCAAGAAGTTTTCAACGCTTCCTTGCTGCTGTTGGATAAACTTTGTTGGCGATGGTAGTGATGCCTTGAGCTTTGCTGCTCTTTGTCGTTGTAAGTGTGCGTTCGTTAGGCTGCTGGGTGCAACACTGCTTGTAACTGAACCAGGTTCAGCTGGCGGTTTGCCACTGTATTTGATGATGAGATCGCGACCGCCCTTCACCGTCATATGTTCCTTCAAATATATAGCGTCATCTACAAATGTGTGTGGCCCATGTTCTCCGCTTGGAATAGGATATTTGAGCAAGGTTTGCAAACACACAGAGTAGTCTCCTTCGAGAACTATAGTACATGTTAGCAGAGCTCAAGACTACACCTTTGGCGATGATTAAACACACGTTGCCATCGAATACGCAGAAGCATTGCACAACTTATCACATCAATCAACTGTAGCGATGGGTCGACGGCAAAGATCGTATCCCACAGGATTAAAAACTGCGTGAATGGGAATTCACGATTATACAAGAGTCGAATCCAGCGGCTGTTAACCATGTTAGTCAAATTCAGCGGCGCAACCACATGCAAACTCACATTAAGAATATTTGTGGCAAAATCTCAATGTTTTTTAAATGCATAGCAAGATCTGGGTCAATCTTGTGTAAATAGATTTCGTGGATTTGACGGCTTCGTTCCACGATGCTGGAGCTCTGTCCTTGCATGTTGCTGTTATCAGGGATAGTATCGGTCTCTATCACCTCATAAAACGATTTCGCATGCTCCATCAAACGTGAAAACAATGTATATGCGTCATGTTCAATGTAATTGGCGTCAAGAACCTCGAGCATCGCCTCATCAAGGGTTGCTTCGCTGACAGCTGATCTGTTGACAGCATCTTGTTCAAGCACATGAACGATCGGAGCCAATAGTTCATGCATGCCTTGACGATAGCCTCCTCTGTCGGGGTTAAGCTTGCAATAAATAAAGAGGATGTCAAGCACAATCTGCTGAATGTGGGTGTCGTGGTAGTTGGCGTCATCAGGTAACCGGCGCACATCCTGTTGGATCTCTGCACGCATGGTTTCATCTTGTCTCACTGTAGTCCAAGGTGACTGAAATTTCAGGTTAGATTCGGCACGTACCAAAAGGTGTTTTGATTAAATGGCGTTGCATATCGTACCTCGGGGTCATCTGCAAGTGGATCAACGGATACTTCTGCGAGCGATTCTGGATGTTTAATATATTTGAGGAAGTGGTCTCGGCGTTCCTCGTAGCGAGATCTCGTCTCCTGAAGAATATTCAACCAGTTTTTAACATCAGCATCCTCAAATACTAAAAACACCTAATATAAATCTTGTCAGCTCGAGCGATGGAAACAGAACAATACGCCAGCTCACCTTCCAACAAACTGACCGACAGCCGGACAGACACGGACTTGAAGCCCCATTGCTTTTGACAGCCTGTTGTAGCTCCTTTAGACTACCACATTTATTTATCGTCGATTGCCATCGGGATCTGTGAGTGGCTGTGGTGAGTTCGAGGCGTCGGATAAGCGGATCATAAGCGCTTACTGTGTCTCCTCAAGAGTTCTCATCTTTTTTCAAGATGAAGAGCAACGTGGGTAATAAATTCAAAATGATTTTATAATGCGAGACGGATAGTAAGATACAAGGCACGCTGCAGGTATTGGAACTGGCAGAGCACTGTTGATGTCTGAGGGAGCATCATAGACTGGTGCCAGCTGCCAGGTGAGCTATTGTGGGGCAAGCTCACGGACGACGACGACGACGACCGTCAAAGCCACACGCGGTGAGCTCGGCTCACAATTATTCACAGCTGCAACGCAATTTCTCCCTTTGGGCTAAGATTTTACAAAATAAGAGGCGGAATAAGATAGCTATTCAATTGTGTATTATGATATAATCACAAAAATAAGCATGTCTGCGGAACTTTTTGCGGAATTCAACAAGCCGGCTACCCCGTCACAGCAACAGCAAAAACCAACTAGTTCATCTAACCCCAGTCAACATCAACCAGCTCAGGCAGATCCATTTGGCAGTTTCTTTCAAAATGCGCCCAATTCATCTGGCATCGCCTCCTTTACATCACCAGCCCCTACCAATACCCAACTGGGACAAAGTTGGCTGCAAAGTCAACCAGCGTCGCTGAACACTGCGAAACAAGACGAGGATGAGGATGGATGGGGTGATTTTGAAGTAGCCGAACCTGCTCTGGCCATAAATATCGGAAACAGCCTACAGCATCAGGTGTCCAGTTTTACTTCTGCTACAAAAACTTCCAACCCACAGCCATCTACTCTTGCTTTCACTACTCCAAGCCAACCTCCATATACTCTACCTACATCTACCTTCGGTCACAGTTCCATCTTCGAAGATGACACATTTAATTACCCAAAGGAACCTCGTCTCAAAGTCAGTGCAAATGCACATGATCCTAGTGTACTGTTTGACGCCAATGACTTTGAGTTGGATGAGGGCAATGACGACGACGATACTTTTGGAGACTTTGAAGACGCACCCTCATCAAATATTCCGTCAAAAGGTCATGTCATTACGTTATCCATGCCTACAACACAAAGCAGCTCTTCCGCAATATCACCTGCAATGGTAGACTTGCTGTCGCTGGACGACCACGTAAATGACGCCGCACCTGTTCGAATAGAATCATTCCAGTCGACCCCAACTCTCCGGTTTGGAGCGCTTCAGAAGAGCTCCATCTCCGCCGCTTCTGAACAATCAGTCTCACATAAAATTCATGTTCAGGAGACCAGAAAACAATCACCATCGCAGACGGTCCCTTCAAAACCAAAGCAGCCGGCGCCGCAGCCGTCCGCAGCTAATATGGACGACGACGACGACGACGACTGGGCAGCATGGGACGACAACACGACGACGAGCTCGTCTGCAAAGCCGTTACCCAAAACTGAACCTGTTTCTGATCCATGGGCATGGGAAGCCCAAGACCAAGCAGCAGCACCACCGACGAACGACAATAACCCCCCACCTGTCAACGTTCCGCCACCATCAATTATTCTCTCCGTGTTTTCCGAATTGTTTGGTCTCGGGGAGCCCCTCTTCAAAGCGGTTGCTGGACAGTCATCAGAGAGAAAGAAACAAATTCTCTCTAGTACGAAGTCTGTTGAATTTCTACAAGGATACCTCTTGCTTGCATCCACTGCAGCTAAGGTGATTGCTGGCCGAAAGCAACGATGGCTTCGTGATAAAATCCTCGCCAAGAGTATGTCAATATCCGCAGCTGGTAGCAAGGGCATGAAACTTGCCGGTGTAGACAAGACACAGTCAGCTAGAGAGGACCGCGAGGCCGCCGATGTCGTTTCATCATGGCGCCTCTACGTTGGCAAGCTCCGATCAGCAATAGCGGTGGTAAATTCCAGCACGAGCACATCGCTAAAAGTCCCGGAGCTTAGCGATACTATGCAAGTACAGACAGCAAAGATGGTGCCAACAGCACCGAAACCTTGTATCATCTGTGGTCTCAAGCGCGATGAGCGTGTCGCAAAAGTTGACATCGACGTCGAGGACAGCTTTGGAGAGTGGTGGGTGGAACACTGGGGTCATAGAGCGTGCAAGAACTTTTGGATGCAGCACGAAAAGAGTTTACGACAGCGATGAACGGTTGTAGATACACTATTAAATCTAAGGAAAAGTACAATGTGTTGATTTGTTGAGTACATTCGTGGTGTGGGTAGTAAGTATTGATGATGATGGTGTTCACTCTTACTCACTTAACTTGACGGACCACTAACATAGTACCATTTCAGCCCGTATAAGGGGCATGCATAGGTAAGATTGTACCAGTACCAGCTTAGAACGATACAAGACGGCCACTGCTCTATTAATTATAATCAGCGTTGTATTCCGAAAACGCGAGCTGATGCAGGGTAAGCGAGTGGTCGGGGTACATCTGTATAGCCGCCCAACAAACATCCCCACTCTTCCCAAAGAGGCTACCTGGGCATCAGTTTCGGGCAACTGACGGTGAAGGGCAAAATAAACAAAGCGGCCATGGGCGTTGGAGTCGCTCCCGCGTACGCCGAGCCGTGGCGCAGTGGATTGAGACCAACGCGCGCTTGCTAGTTCGTTTGTGTTTTGTTTCTTTGAAGGGCTTCTACGCCACAGAACGTGTAGGCGACACACATCGCAAGATGTGGTGTACTTGGGTTGAGGGCCTCTTTCAACGGCGGTTGCGGGCTGAGAAAACGATGAGTTGGAAGTGTAAAGGATGGAAGGGGCCACTGGACTATATTGAAAGTCTCAGACGATAACCGAGGACTTGGCGAAGAAGCCAGTAGCTAAGCAATTAAGAAAACCGCAGTAATTACAGTCTGCGGAGTACTCGTCACTGGCCGCTGCCCTCGATCGGCCCTGCCCCCGCCTGTGCAGTGTCCAGCGCATACAGTACATTACAGCACACCCGGGCAGAAGGTGCGCCCCGACGCGGGCGTGACAGGCACCAGCACAGCGCCCACCAACACTAGAAACCCCAGCACAGAGACCTGCGCCGCACCCACAAACACGCTGGCGCTTGCGCTGGCAACAGCGCTGTTTGCTATGGGAAGCCCGCCTCCACCACCTTTTTTTTCTCCCCTTCCTCTTTTTCCTTCCCTCTTTTTTTCTTCCCGCACCCACACCACGCACACGCAAAACCAAGTCCCCTCTTCTCCCAACCCACCTCACATCTCCAAACCCCCCAACTCCCATCCTCTCCCATCCTCTCCTCTTCGCCTCGCCCTCGCCGCCTCTCGCCTCCGATCAAATTCATCGACTTTATCGTCTTCGAACCCGATCCTATCATCCGCTACGTCCCCGCCACCAGCTCTCACCTTGACCCCGCCACTTCTTTCACCTTTGCGCCGGCCTTGAAAATTTCTAGCTTCAAGCCGTTTCCCCTGACACAACCTCGTACGGACGCGCGCTTCCGTCTTTTTCAATTCTAATTCAACCTCTTTGACGTCATCTTCGTCTCAAGGTGAGTCCAGAGTCGGTAGTACCGCGCGCACGTTGGACCTCGCCTCGCCATAATCTTGCAACCCCAAGCCACACGTGCTTCGATTCGCAACGTCTGCGACAGGCCAACCCGCAAGGGAAACCAATAATATTCCTTCACCCACACCAAATACTAACTTGAGCGTCCAAATAGCCCTCTTCTTTACACCCTCTAACCGAATTCTCACCCGCACATCTCAAAATGTCTGCCTCCCAGGATCTTATGCCCTCCAACGGTAGCGACATCCTTGACAACATGGACCACCTCAAGTTCGAGGACCGCCTCGGCCCCGATGGCGAGCCTGCCCCTAAGACGGACGAGGAATATGCCCAAGCTCAGCTTACCCTTCGTGCCATCGTCTCCTCCAAGGAGGCTGGTGTCATCATTGGCAAGGCGGGCAAGAATGTCGCTGATCTCCGCGACGAGACTGGCGTCAAGGCTGGCGTCAGCAAAGTTGTACAGGGCGTCCACGATCGTGTCCTCACCATCACCGGTGGCTGCGATGCAATCTCTCGTGCGTACGCTGTCGTCGCCCGTGCCCTCCTCGAAGGCGCACCTGCCATGGGTATGGGTGGCATCATCCAGAGCAATGGAACTCACCGTACGCCTACATATTCACCCTTGTATTGTATATAATTTGCTAACAAAGATTTAGCTATCAAGCTACTCATCTCTCACAACCAGATGGGCACCATCATTGGTCGTCAGGGCCTCAAGATCAAGCACATTCAGGACAACTCTGGAGTGCGCATGGTTGCCCAAAAGGAGATGCTTCCCCAGTCCACCGAGCGCATTGTCGAAGTTCAGGGTACACCCGAAGGAATCCAGCGCGCCATCTGGGAAATTTGCAAGTGCCTCGTCGATGACTGGCAGAGAGGCACAGGCACTGTGCTCTACAACCCCGTTGTTCGAACACAGGCTGGCTCATCCACCACTAGCGGCAATGGGTTTAGCTCTAGCCCTTCCCGCACTGAGTACAGCAGCCCTCGCGTAATGCGCACTGGAAACGGATCCGACTTCAGCAACGGTGGTTCCCGCCCCTTCACCCGCCGTTCCGACTCTGACGCAGGCTCTCGTGGGCCCCCTACTCACGATGAGAACGGCGAAGAGATCCAGACTCAAAACATCAGCATTCCCGCTGACATGGTTGGCTGCATCATTGGCCGTGCCGGCAGCAAGATTAGCGAAATTCGCAAGACTTCTGGCGCTCGCATCTCCATTGCCAAGGCTCCCCATGATGAGACTGGCGAACGCATGTTCACCATTATGGGAACCGCCAAGGCTAACGAATCTGCCTTGTTCCTTCTCTATGAGAACCTCGAGGCCGAAAAGATGCGCCGCAGCCAGTTGCAGGACGGCGAATAAAGCTGATGGGTATGCACACACTGGGTAGCCTAACCAGAGTTTCTACTCCCCAGCACTCTCTGGCTTTCAACTTCATGCTTCATTTTAGGCTCCTCAATTGCAAGGCAGCCGCCGATCTCGTCACCCCTCAACCTCTCTCGAAAACCCGCCCACTGTCTTAACCCACAACAAGGCAGGCTACAGCTAGCCACGATATACTTGTACAACGCCTATTCTTCTCGAGCTGCTTCCACAGCTGATTCATTTCTCGTTACTCGTCTTTTTTTCTTTATGCGTTGACTTTCTTTTTTACATTGGCTGCATTCATGCGTTATTTATGACGGAGCTATGGACATACCGCTCCATATGATTTGATGAGAACACCTCTTCGCTTGGGCATACCTCTTAAACACCTCCCCCAAGGCTGTCGATGACGACCTCTTGAGACTCGCATCTGACATGACTTTGGGCGTACGACTCCCAATCAATCATCTCCCACCATCCGTCTTGTTACGAATGGACAATGGGCTCCGCAACCGATCTCTATATCCCCTCTTTCCCCAACAAAAAAACACACATACCGACTTTCTCTTTGCTCAACACAATACTCAACGAAACAACCAGAAAATAGTTATGTTCTTGATGCACACTGAGACGCCCCATGAGATGGCGTCTCAAGGACGACTGTGGATTATGCATCTTTTCTTAATATACCCATCTCGCCTACTTTGTGTCCTTGTTTGCCTCAGTATTTGAGGGTGGTTTGCCTAGATAGGAAGCGTATCTAGCCGTTTTGCGACGAGACTAAATACAATATAATATATTTTTTTTCTTTTGCCCTTTGTTCACATACGTTTTCTTAGTCTAAATCGTGGAGGTGGCGCGAGCGTTCTTCCCCACGTGCAGCGCTTCGTTGCATGTCTGCAGTGGATCCACTGCGAGCGCCCAGGGGTCCACGCGCCTAATGCCGATGGTGCGGGAAGGCAATCTGTTCAGTTTCGCAAAAGGCACAGGACCAGCGGAGCGCCACCATTTCCACATCACCGTTCAACTAGCGGGCATATCAACAGGGAGACAATCTTGGCTCGTTTGATACTGTGATTTTGGCATAATTGAATTGCTGACGTCTGTTTTCATTCGACTTTTGGCTTCTTAACCCGACCAACTACACATACTGAGCTGCCGCAATGGCGCGAACGAAGCAAGTCCCGGTTCGCCGCGAATCGTCGTCCGAATATTTCAACAAGGAGACCGCTACATGGGAGAAGGCGAGCGGCAAGCAAGGAGCCAATGGCGCCAGTGACAAGCAAAAGGGCTCTGCGGCGCAGGCCCCGGAAGCCGGTGTTCTGCAGCTCGTCATTGCCGTAGCTGGTATCTACGCCTCCTTGTGAGTTTGATCTGGTATTCGCAAGCGAGAATACGACAAGTACTGACATGTAGTATAGCCTGACATGGGCATATCTTCAAGAGAAGCTCACAACAACACGACACGGCCCCCCCGCTGCCCCCGAAGTATGGCACTTCCCCGTCTTCCTCAACACGGTCCAGTCCTTCTTTGCTGCCGCCGTCGGCTGCGTCTACCTGTTCGCCACGACTCCCAAGGGAAGCTCTCTCCCGCCGATCATCCCCTCGAGCCGTATTCTCGCCCCTCTGGCCCTTGTTGCCATCACCAGCAGTCTCGCCAGCCCCTTTGGATACGCTAGTCTGGCGCACATTGACTACATTACTTTTCTGCTCGCCAAGAGCTGCAAGCTGCTGCCCGTCATGTTCCTGCACATCACCGTCTTCCGCAAGAGCTACCCTCTGTACAAGTACCTCGTTGTTGCGGCCGTTACTCTTGGCGTTGCCATCTTCACGCTGCACTCTGGCCGCAAGAGCAAGAAGTCGACGCGCTCCGACGACGCCAACATGGCGTGGGGCATGCTCCTGCTCTCCATCAACCTGCTCTTTGACGGCCTTACCAACAGTACCCAGGACTACATCTTCCAGACCTTCCGCCCGTACACTGGCCCGCAGATGATGTGCGCTAACAACATGATGAGCACCCTTGTCACTGGCTCCTACCTCTTGCTCAGCCCCTTCATTGTTTCCACCGGAATTGGCGAGTGGATTGGCATGGACGTTGCGGGAAGCGCTGGCGAGTTGACGGCTGCTCTGGACTTCATGCGCCGCTACCCTGCTGTGTGGAAGGATGTTCTTGGCTTCGCCGCTTGTGGTGCTGTCGGCCAGGTCTTCATCTGTGAGTTTAATGCCATGACGCATATGTACTTTATACTAACTCGCCCTCTTCTCCTAGTCTACACTCTGTCGACCTTTTCTTCTGTCCTGCTCGTCACTGTAACAGTCACTCGAAAGATGTTCACCATGATCCTCTCCGTCGTCGCCTTTGGCCACCGTCTTACCCAGATGCAGTGGCTTGGCGTTGGTCTCGTCTTTGGTGGTATTGGCGTCGAGGCTGCCATTGCCCGCCGGGAGAAGATTGCTAAGGAGGCTGCCAAGGCTGGAAAGAAGGAAAATTAGAACGGGCACATCTAAAGAGACTATCCCTTTTGAAGCTTCTCGTATATACTCAAAATTGTAGAATCGGCGCAACCCTTCTCGCGGATTCACTGATAGACAGTACATAGGCACGGAAATCATGGTTTTATTTGGAGAACAGAGAAATATTTTGAACATAGCGGTACACATTATATTTTTCGTGTTATGGATGTAACTACAAGACCCAGGGCTCTACTCCTATTGACAAGTCTCCTTCAACAAAGGCCCTGGATACTCCTGGTAATAATGCCGAAACTGCTCGTCGCCCATGCGTCTTCGACCCTATGAACGCTTGCAAAAAGCACCTGCACCTGCATTATGTCTTCCCGTAAAAACCGACCGACCCAAACAAAGAAAAAAACGCAAAGTAAAACAAAATGCTGAAACGATGAAGTATATGTAAACCCTGGCGATGCAGATGATTGAATAGGACGTTTGCGTAAAAAGATGCGCCAGTGAGTCATCAAGGAACAGTCCGTATGCTGGAATATGTAGCCATGGCGGCGTATCAAACACTGGACCAATTTTGGCCTGCAGATGGTCGTGCTGATAAGGAATGTATCGATCAAAAGGAAAAGAAGAGCCGACAGTCTACGGCAAGTGTAGTGGTGTGTATTGCATGGATGTCGTGAATATGTCGTTAGATGAGATTATCGATGGACCTGGTAATCTGTGCCTCACCTCGCGTTGGCGGACTGCGAGGATCTGCAACTGGAGGAGGGCGCATAACGAGGGAAAAGGGATCCTTGGGAAATCCGCCCAGACGTGGAGAAAAGAGACCAACGGTTGGTGTTGGCGGGCTCTCGATGAAGCGCGCTAGAGACGGCTCGTGCGTTGCCCATAGAGGCTTCGTTGTCATGGTTTCCGCGCGCGGGGACATTAGGTCACTCATATCGGGGAATGTAGGGACAGGCATCGCGATAGTCCTTGTTACGACGTGAGAGGTAAAGGGACTCGGCTTCCTCATAGCTTCCGCCCCAATGGGGGCAGACGGCTGCTCCTGAATGCTGCGCAGAGGTAGGCTGCGAAAGCCCAAGCTAGAACGCGGTCTTGGTTCGGATGCTTGTGCCTTTGACAACATGTCGGCCATGGAGCTCGGTTGCGATTGGCCAAAGCCAGATTTTGGTCGCGGCAGGGACTCTCCGACATGGATTGGAATAAAGGGGATTGGCGGTGCAGGGCGTTGCGGTTCTGGCGGGATGACGTTTGGCGCCGGTGACGCTTCTGCCAGCACCTCAGGAACCTCTTCCTCAGGTGTGCTTAATTCTCTCCATGACGAGGTTAGTGGTGCCGAAGCTGGTCCTGGTGCAATGGGCATATCAGGCGTCGAGTTTCCGCGGGGTCGGGTTGGGCTCTCATCGAGCTGTCGAGCGCCGCTAGATTCGTTGCAAGTTGGGAGTGGTGCCGTCTTTGGCTCCTTGGGATCCATGGGAATAGCATCGGCGGACAATGTGAGGCGGTGCTTGGTTGGGCTACGGCCTGTGCGTGGCCTATAAGCGGTTGGCGGGGACAGCTTACGAGAGACCTCTTTTTGAAAGTCCTGCAACGAGTACATGAGCTTCATGTTGGGGCTAATCCACTTGCTCTTGGCTTGTGCTGCATAGTAGGCATCGTTGACACTCAATGCCGGATTTTGGAATAAACCATAGGCAATGATAAGACTGGCTGAACGACTAGCTCCTTGCTGACAGTGAATCAAAACTCGCTTGCCTTGCTTGGTACGAGCATCGATCTTTTCACAAAGCTCCATCAGATCAGGTGAAATATCCGTGTTATGGTCCCAGTCCATATGGATATACTCGGGCTTTTGAAGCGGGATGGCTCTGGGTGTTGTTGGTGTCTCGACGGAGCTATCCGTGGGAGAAGCCTGGTACTCAAGTGCCGTGGCAAATGTGCAATCCGTCGCCGCAGTATCAGGAACAGGGCTGACGTCAGCAGGGAAATGTGAAGGCGTTTTGCTTGGCTGCTCAAAGGGATCCTGAACCTCACGAGCGACGTTGAAGACCACGTCGAATTTGGACGCTTCTGCGGCGGTGGGCTCCAAGTATAAGAAGACGTTGTCCCCGTAAATTGCCACAGGGCCATTAGGATAGGTAGGAGACTTCTGGTCTTCGTTGTTCACGCGCTCATCGTAGGGCTCATACTCCGTAAAGTTGGCAACCTGCGTCTTGATAGATGCTGGCTCCTCGTGGATGGTGTTGTCGAAGCTATCCTCAGTTCCGGTTTTCATAGGGCGCAAGAAATCTGAGAGCCCAGACTCATTACGCTCAAGCATCTTGGGCATGGGAGGAATGTCGCTGGAGGTAGTGACTACTCTTGCCAGCATATGCGGCGAAGAGGTAGAGTGTTTGAGGGCTCTTCTTTGAAGAATAGGAGGAAGGGCTGGAGAGGCTGGCACCGCCAACTTGGGCCCGCCCAGCAGACCGGTTGTGTTGGTGTTCAGGCTCAGCAAGCTGGGCTTTCGTCTCATTCCAGGTATCGTAGGCTTAATGAAGGCGGGCGTTCCAGGATCGGTAGTCTGTACTTGGGACCCTGATGATGACGGGGGCTGAATGGACAGGTTCTTCATATTACGCGGCCGTCTTGGTGCCGGGGACGTCATCGGTCGCTGAAATGTACTGCTCGGCTCTGGAAGAGCCGCAATAGGGGATGTTACAATCGTCGTGCCATCGAAACTTGAACCGGGATAACTGTGTAGTGGGATTAGGTGGATGGGAGAGTCGGGTGAGGATGAGGGCGAGCCATCTGTCAGAGGAGACGAATCAGTCGTTGAGATTGTTGTGGGAGACGAATCGGTAGATGCGGATAATTCAGACGAATTGCTGTTGTGGTGTTTGTGGTCCGTATGGATATGCCCATGTGTGGAAGGGTGGGCGATGGCAGGCGCCTTTGCGCTGAGGTCTGCCATTTTTGGGTTAACCAAAGTGACTGCGTCACAATCAACCATGGGATCAGTCAATAGATCAAATACGGACATAAACGTCGGTATTTGATCCTCATAAACTTGTCGCGCAGCTGCGGACGGCATGGTTTCCGACGTGGTGCTTTTGATTGTTGGCGCACCACTGGTTGTCGGGCTGGGAAATTCTGCTTTTAGAGGAGAAAGGTAGGTGCCCAGACTGTGTAGTTCGAGGAGGATACCGAGGTGACTATCGTGATTAACACCCTCTCTAGTTGCGTTTTGTAACCAAGCAAATCTCGTTTGGTGTTGGCGAGCGGACAGCGCTGCTGGATCCGTTTGTTGGCTCTGCTAGGCAAAACGTCGACAGGCAAGACTTGAGTGAGGTTCTTGGCTGCTTATTGCCCCAGTAAGGTTTTGTAGAAAAAGAGAGAAGACTGAAGACGAAAGGAAGGCCGTCGTATAGGTTCCGCGTTTGTAACTAGGCCGTCAGGTCGTGAGACGAGCGCAAAACGAGGACGATGGCGGTTCAAAGAGGCGGGCAAAGGACCGAGTTTGGTAGGTATCTCGTCGGTCGAATAGAAGGTTCGAAGGAGAATTAAGTTTAAAATAGGCGGCTGTCGGTCTATCGCGAGGATCGTGAGGGAGTAAAGAGACCAAACTGTTCCACCTTGTTCAGCGTCCACACATGATCACACGCTGGCAAATGGGACGACCGAGATGCTTGTTGGCAGACGAAGCGAAAGAGAATGCAATGGTCGAAGGCGCGAAGAACCGGTGCTGGCGAGGGGAGGAAAGGAGACAAAGCAAAGATGCACCGGAAAGGATTCGCACAAACGACGCTGGTGGATGTGAAGAAGGAGAGGAAGTGTGTCGACTGGCGAAAGGGCGTCTGGGTAGGAAGAAGGTGGTGGAGGTTAGTGAGCGCTTGCAGCGAGAAGAGCGGGTTGGACAATGGGGGAGCGGGTCGAGCGTCGGACGGGGCCCTGGTCGAGTGTGCTGTTTGGAGCAGCTGGCGGCGCTGAAGGGCCTGTAAATTAGCGGGTAGCAGGCAGATCGGGGGGGGTAGGTTTACAGCGGCTAAGCAGAAGAGCGCCGCACAGTAAGAGAACGGAGGAGGGGGAGACGAGCCCCCCGAAAAAAAAAACACGCCAGTTTGGAGCGACCAAAGCCAGCTGGGAACGGGCGCACAGTATAGGATGCACGCACAGTGTCAAGATTTTCGGAGCCCCTCTCCCTGGCCCCATCACTAATCCCTGTCATCGGCCAGTCAGCGGCCGCAGAAAGCAACCTGATACACTGGCGCGTGCTCCGCCCAGTGCCAACTCCACCGTCTGCACGGCTGCACATCGCCTGCCAACCAGAGCCTGCGATTCGCTGTACAGCACTCCGGGCTCCGCTCCTGCCTGGCACTTGGTGTGTGGTGCTGCTCTTTGGAGCACCAGCCAGCCCGCTGAAAGGGAAAAAAAGCCCCTAGGGAGCCTGTACTGTAATCGCCCTTGTGGTGGTGTCGTGCGGTGGTGGCTGCATGCGAGACTCCCCCAGCACCACGCTGCTAAATTTAGGTTGGCCCAACCCGCCTCGGCGCCAAAAAGGGGCCAATCACAGCGCCGAACATGCTGGTTTCGGCTGGCGAGCGGGGGGGTAACAGTCAGTCCCAAATTTAACCACTGTTGGCTGCTGGCGCGTAAAATGCAACGGAACCAACAGGATGCCATCTGCCAGACTGGCCACTGCTTCCTCAGACTGTTCCATGCCCTTCTGGATGCTACGTCTTGTCCATATTTAGATTTTGACCCTTGTGTTGTTTGCGCTTCTTTTTTTCTCCGGAGCGGGCGACTGCCGCCTCCGAGGGGAAAAGCGAAGCAACCACTCTGCTGGGATAATACTGTATTTAGCGGATTTACCGCTACAGCGAGTCAAGAGCTAGCGGCGACACTAAGCTAGCGTGGCCGCGGCCCTTTGCCATCATCATGAGCACGGCCCAAACGCAATCACATCGCCGCCATTTTACCAAAGCGAAGCGAGAAAGACTTTGCTGTATGTCTGTGCCCGCGTACGTGTCAACGGGAAGCAGCCTGGGGAAATGTGGCACGACACGCGCCTTGGGAAGCTCCCTCGCCCCGTGGCCGCATTGTCTGCATAGGCAGGGCAAGTCGCAAAATGGTCACTTGGGTGTGCGCCGGCGGTATGTGAGCGTAGCCTTTGGGGTTGTCTCGGCCAGCACTAGCTCCATGCTTGATTGGCCCGCCTTCTACGGAACTACTACTGGCTGTTCGCTATTACGTCTGCATATGGGCACATGGCAAAGCTTGAGTCTGTGAGCCGCCTTGGAAAGGCTGGCTGGCGTATGGGACGTGCTCACCAACCTAGGCGCTGGCTGGGCCAACACAAGACGGACAGACACCTTCAAATCAGCCTTGGTAATTTCATAGTGAGCCTTTCTTTGCAACCTGGGGATGGGAAGCGTCGAGCTTAGCGTAGCAAAGGGATAAGATAATATGCCCCGCACACGCGTAGGTTGGACTGCCGGGTTGCTCATTCTCATCGAGCCCGCGGGCCACATAAATTACGATTCTGGTACAATGTCTAACCATGGGCCAACAATGACAGCCACACGGTAATCGAGATGGGCAGGATGGCGGCCAGTGTCCACCCACCAACATTCCCAAGGCATTTTGGTATGTGCCAGCCCGCTCGTCACTCTCATGCCAATGGTTCACGAGGCTAATTTCCCTTCTTTCAAGCACTACGTTTCATGAGCCGCCCACCAAATGTGCGGACCCAGAGCCCTGGTCGTCCGGTGGCCCCTTGTCATAGAGAGCATAAGCCAGCGGCTATCTCGACCAACATGGTGGTGGTAGTCGTTAATAGCTTCGTTTGCCGTCTTACTCAGTCGTCAACCAACCGTCCCATGCAAAGCAGTATACTTTTGCGACATCGGCAGGCGAAGCTCGAGCCGTCGTACATGGCACGGCGCTTCCCAACCACCATCAGTGCGTGTCCATCATTATTCGCCTTGCCCGCCGATCCAGGGACCGTGTAATTTCGCTGCACAGTGGACAATCCGGCCCTTGCCAATTTAGGCTCGTTGCCCAGAGTTTTGCAGGCACCCTGTAACGCACGGATAGGATGCCCCTCTTCACACAGTGCCAGTCAGCAAGCCTGTCTGATCTGAAACGATACTCCTGTCACGCGCGGGCCAGCACTACTGCGACAAAAGATGCAGGGTTAACCATAAACTGACCGATGTTCACGGGAGTTAATAATGTCCCTTTGGTGCCTGCCTTACGCCAACTTATGCTTTAACCTGGCCTCTCTCTGGCGAAACCAGGGCAACCCTCGTTAAATCTAGGACTCTGTTACACAAGCAAATCACAACACTGTCCTGAGTTCTAGTCTCCGTCATCCACAATGCGTCCTTATCTGGCAACGGCCGTGGCCCACAATGCATACTTTTCTCCTGTTAAGCTTCAGCTACCTCGAGTAAAGAACAATCATAACAAACCTGGCATGAAGCTGGAGATGCAAAGCAAAAATAGGAAATATATAGACGTGTTGGCCGTTGGACTGCCTCGTCGTAATGAACGCCTTTGTTGCAGACCTGCCCATCTTATCAAATTCAACAGCTATAGCTCACAGCCCGTACCAACTAATTCTCTTTGATCCGCCCACGAAGTGCATTGCGGTGGACCTACAAGATGGAGCAATGACCCCTGATGACCTGCATACAGCCTGCACTAGTAACGAGCTGCCAAAACGGTAGTGAATTGATAGCGTGGTTCGACGGCGCACAAATTTAGGTATATTTACTACTGAGATAGCGATAGCCGCTTCGGGGACCCTGAATACCATTAGCTCTGATATGCTCTGCATATCTCTCTGTCCCTTCCATCTTGGCATAACGGATATACTGACAGTCGACAGGTGGGAGCTGAGAATGTATCAACTTGTGACAGGGCGAGAAGCAGCAGCACCGTGTTCATCAACCCTGATCGGTTACAGATCGGGCCCGACATGGCAAAAGGCTCCTACTTTGCGCATAAATAACCGACATTCAATCTGCTGCGTCGCATATCGGTTTCGATAGTTACTAAGAATAACCCACCATGTCAAGCGTACCAGTAACGCATAAGAATTAAGGTGGGATGATGTCCATTCCTCGACTTTTAACTTTTAAGGCATGTGCCTCCACAAGAGGTTCATGGCAGAGTGTCTTGATCGGCTGTCAGTGTCGCCCATGCGTCATTGTTTGAGAGCCGAACCCTTCCCCTGCAAGCAGGCTGCTTGGATGTGATGCTCTGTCAGGGGGAACCCGTGGTTTTCTTTGGTGGCGGTGGTGCCATGCCGCGCCGACGGTGAGGGTATTTTGCTCGTCGTTGTCTGCTTCTATGGGATTTGGTGTGCTGGTGGTGTAGGATTGCCCCAGTGGCTGGTTCGTCGTGGGCGCCGTTGAGATTCTATGCTACGGTGACCTCAGCGCGATTGATGACTGACCTTGACTGTGTATACTGACTTACAATCGAGCTTCTCGGAATGAGAACTGCCGTTTAGTATTCACCTACCGACAGCCAAACACCGTATTTGTCGGCCTCTTCCAAGCTTGCCTTCTCCCCAGAACCTGTCCCAGCTGAACAGGGCCTCCCATGCTTCTCCCCCCGCCTCCCCAAGACAGACAGGGGACCAACTTGATATTTTGCCGTTTCTTACCAGACTTTGGTGCCAACTCCTTCTCCTTTTCGTCTGCATAGCCGGCGACGGCTCAAGTGGAGTCTGTTTCTCCATCGAGATATTCCATAGCCTTCTCGCCACTGTAGAAACAAAAGTAATCCCATCTTTTTTTGTGTTTGTCCTGTTTCTGGCATCCGACTGCTGCTCACATTCTTTCATTCTGGTATCTTTTCATTGTTGGAGCATCATTAAATTTCACTTCGTCTTTCCAACTCTTTTCCAGTCTGCCTACTCGGCATTGCTCTACGCCCGCACAACGCATTCTACATCAAACAGTTGGTATTTGCTTTTGCAGTTCGCATTCAGTCTCGACGAACGCTTGATATTACTTGCTTCTTCCCTTGGCGCATGTGCTGAAAGTCGACACGAGGATTGCCCTGTCAAACTTGAATCATTTGGCCGTTTGTGAGTATATTTAGTGTTGGATTGTGTCGTTTGCGGTGCATCACGACAAACCGTTGAACAGAGTCTTGGAGTGTACACACATCAGTACATTTTTCTTCTCCCACAAGCGCATCTCTTCAGAAATCTCTCTTTCGACGTTTGTGTCGATTCCTTCTCGCTTGTTTTCTTGTTTTTTCTTTTTCTTTTTTTCTTCTCCCTTCCCTTCCACGCCTTACTCGCAAACTGCGCGCAAGAGCAAGGAAAAAGAAAAACCACACGCAAAGCACTACTCAACCCCCTTGTCTCCCGCTATAGCGCCTGGGGCTATAGCGCTCTCTGGTTGGCTGTGCAAGGTTACAGCACCTGCAGCATGACGGAAACAGCGGCTCTAGTGAATTCGGCCCACGCTATAGCTCCCAACGCTGGTGCTAGCCTGGCCCGCTGCGCTAGCAACGCAGGAACCTTGCGACCTGGAAAACCCAGTATTTCCTCGTCACGCTGCCCCTCGTCCTCTCCGATTCCGCGTCCTCAGGGGAACAACACTACAGCCAGTCTTTGCTACCGGCGCATCGCCAAATCTTCTCGCCGCTCTCTAACCCTCTCTTCTCTGCCGGTTCCCAAATCAAACTCGGCTCACGCTAGCCTTGCCGGCTCTGGAACATCTCGCCGTGTCTCACCCAATACCGTGCGAGTCAGGACCAAGGCATCCCCGGCTCAGCCTGCGCTCGACCATCAGATAAACTCTGCTCGTCTTCCGCTTCCTACTGCTTCGCTGCAAACCTCTTTGCCTTCCTCCAGACCCCAGTCTGTCGTTTTGCCGCTGCGCACTCGCGCTTCTGTAGACAGTCTGCCAAAGCCTCCCCTTACAGCTGTTGAAGAGACGAGTCCTTCGCCTTCCTCGACAACCAGCGACGAACTCCCTTCTCAAACCTTCGATACATCTCCTACCTCGCCAGACACGAGTTCTGAAGTGGCAGAAATCTACTCTGGACAGTCATCGAAACGGAGCTCAGCTGCCAGCGACGACTCCTTCACGGCCAATCACCTTCGGTTGCAGGCAATCGAAGAGACGCTCCTAAACAGCGGCCGTACTGCCATCGCCGAAACAATCCTTGCTGCGCGAACTTCTCACGCAAATTTGATACCATTCTTATCCGAGTCCAGCCCTACAAATGATCAGCGCCGCCCAGTAACGCATCGTCATAAGATCTCGCTCAGATCCAGTCTGAGTAACGTATCCTTGCCCTCGACTCCAGTCCGAGTCCCGCCAATCCGAGGTTTTCGGTCGTCTGGCTCGCGAAAGAGCAGCCTTATACTAGACATGAATGTTTCAACCCAACAAACCAATGCTGTCGATGACGGCGTAGCAAATGACCACACACTCCGCCTTGTCGATGACCGAGCAGAGCATGACGCCTTGCAAGTATCGACACCTACAACTGCACGACAATCCAATATCGAAGATTCAAGTGATATTTTCCTCAATATAGCACGCGAAGAGGCATATCGTAGAGCAGAAAATGAGCGCTTCTACGGAGGTTCTTACACTCCACTCGTAAGTCCATATAATCCATTGCCTTATTCACCTACCATTACTAACATACCTAGTCTTCATCCGGACGATCAGGCCACCGTAGACCTCTGTCTACAAGTGTCGCTTATTATCAGCAGCCCATGTCGCCCCCAAAGCTGGCACGCCGACTTTCAGACCAACAAGAGCGACCCAATTTGAGAGCCATCGACGATGACCAATCTAGCCAAACATCGCGAAGCAGCACTTTTCGAAGTATGCTCAGAGAGAAAGCTGCATCGTCTCATCCCGCCGAAGAGCTCTCTCGTGCTCGTGGTGGTGGAGTATCTCTCCGCCAATCTCCTGCACCTAGATCTCCTGTATACCATGACGAAGCATTCCAGCAATCTCGCCGCCGGACCTCTGTTACTGAGAGCACCCCTCCAGTCAGCGGTCGGCAATACAAATCAGCAATTCTTGGACATGGTCACAGAAAGACGTACAGCTCATCCCCTCTTATTCAATCACTAGAGGGACGGGGCCAGCAGCAATCTGCCAATCTTATGGACGGCACCGAATCGACAACCTCGACGACAGCACCTTCAACTGTCTGGGACGAGCTTGACGACCTAAAGTCTAGAATCAACCGCCTGGAGCTTACTGGAAAACTTCCCCCAACCTCGGCTGCAGCAGTCGCTCGCCTATCTGATGAACGACCTGCAACAGCGACAACTACAGTTACCAGTGCTTCCTTGTCTCCCAAGCGCCAACCTACCCTTCAGCTGGATACCCAGAACGGTGTCTCTTCGCACCCCCTCTTACTCACTGCCCTTACAAAGTCGAAACAGATTCTAGGTCCTGGGGTTTACCAAGCTCTAGAGAGTGCCGCTCACGATGCTCTTGGGCTGTCCCAAATGATGGGCACCGCCGGTCAAGGCCCGATTTCGAGTGGCGCAAGCGCCATTGCATCTGGATCTACTCCGTCTATTACGGACAGACAGCTTCGGCGCAAGGCTGACAGTGTATGCCGCAGCTTAACTGAGCTCTGCCTGGCTTTAAACGAAAATATGGCCCAAGGTACCGCATATGCCCAACCACAGGCTGCCAACGACAATCCCCGTGCAACACCAACTACGCCTACTATCCCCAGATCGGCGGGAGGGATGGCGAGCTCGCGACGATCTAGCATCACGGCCGACTCGATCCCACCACCTCCTGGAAGCGCCTCAAGAGTACTCTCGAAATACGAGGAGCGGAGAAGTGCCCACTTCTCGGCACCTCCCATCTCCCTCTACACCAACCCCCACAATCCTACTCCAGACCCCGGAATGTCTAGGAGGTCATCTCTACTTATCTCTCGAACGAGACGAGCACAAACAGAAGAACCAGAAGAGGGTCGAGAATCACCATTCTTGCGTTCCAGACGAACCGAGAGAGTGGATGCTGAGGATGGCTGCAGATCATCATTGTTGATACGAAGCCGTAGGGGTTCTGTCGACCAAAATGATGAGCCCCAGCTTGGGTCACCGATGAAAGTCCGTGGTAGCCAGACTGCTGATTATTCTCCGGAAAATCAGACACCAACCACAGAGACTGATCCCAATGGTTCTGCGGGGCCATCCCGTCGATTCGTTTCCGACTTTCATTCCCGCGTTACGATTCCAGCAGGACCAGCTACGACACACCAGAGACGATACCTTGAACGTGGAACACCCGACCGCGAAGTTAGCACGCGAACTCCAGACTTTAGTGCAATGCGCCGCCTTTCGCTTCATAGTCGCAATAACAGCTTAGGCAGCCGCCGAGTGAACCGCGACAGCATGACGCCATCAGCCGAACCGACTGTAGCAGCGGAATAAAGGCCACAAGATTACGGAACCTGTACTTCCCTCCATGGTGTATAGTCAGGTCAGAAGCTACTTGTATATATTTCTAGAAACGGAGCGGCCTTGCCATTCTGACTGCTCATCGTTTTCAACACAACTTAGGCCTGTATAAGCGAGCAATCGCATCTTATGTGGTACATTACGATTATTCCTGTATGATATTAAAAACATTGTAGCATGAAATTGACTATTTAAATGACCAATAATTTCTGCCCTTCGTGAATTATGCGTCTATCTGTGTTGGCTACAAGGTTGACTGACGAGGCGGCTTTGCGACAGCCGTCTCCACTGACTCACATAGTTTGCGGCTAGCGCCAGTCTGGCTCCAAGTCTCCCACTATTACCATCATCCAGCCGCATTTACGTCTGCCGCGTATGAGGCAAAGCTTTAGGAACCATTTCAACGCTATTTTTTCAACTTCTACTTTACTTCCCAAGCTGTTCTACGTAGCACCTCAAGTCCGACACCTCGATATTCCACACCTACTCGTTTCATCCAAAGGGCAAAGACGCCACAATCATTCTACAATGGCTGACTCTGCAACCAATCAGTTAGATCACTTAGATCTTCAAGATAGAGTCGAGGCAAAATCAAATAGACGCGGCGGACGCGGAGCAGGCCAAGGACGAGGAGGCGCGAGGGGTAGCCAAGGGCGAGAGGTCCAAGTCTCCAAAGCTTTATCAAAACTACTGCGACATCAAGCTGAGAATGCCGGCATTAAGCTTGACGGCGAAGGATATGCTTCATTAAACGAAGTGGTATGTCTAGGCTACTTGTACAACTATATCGCACCCTCTCTCTAACCGTTAACAGTTGGCTTGGGGCCCCATCAGATCCTTAAAGGTGACTCTAGACGAAGTCAAGAGTGTTGTGGCTACGAATGAGAAGCAAAGATTCGCATTGAAAGAGAAGAACTCATCAGCACAAGATACAGAAGCGATGCTCAGCACAAATACTGTGGATTACCTTATTCGTGCCAACCAGGGCCACTCCATCAAGGTCGATGCCGCCGCTCTCATGGAGCCGATAACCCTCGAGCTGGGAAACATCCCCCCCAAGGTCATCCATGGAACTTACTTTATATTCTGGAAAGATATTATTTCCGGAGGAGGGCTGAAACCGATGACGCGCAATCATGTCCACTGCTCATCCGGCACGCCAGAGGAGGGTGCTATTAGCGGTATGCGAGCCGACGCCGAGCTCATGATTGAAATCGATGTCGAAAAGAGTCTTCAAGCTGGCGACAAGTGGTGGCTCAGTGCGAATGGCGTCGTGCTGACTGAAGGTGGTGAGGATGGTGTCCTGAGCAGCAGGTTCTTCAAAAGTGTAACTGGCCGGAAGATTGACGTTGGAACACTCTGGCAGGATGGCGAAGAAGTGGCAGATCTACCTGAGGGCACTCAAATGAGGATGCCTTCTGGCAAGACGAGAGGCGGTGGTCGTGGAGGACACGGCCAACGCCGCAAATAGTCACATTGATTGGGTTGAGACTCAAGAAATACGAGTTTATTAGACCATATACCAATTGAAACTTAGCAATCTCTAATCTAGCCTTCGAATAAGCCGTCCACTTGGCTTTGTCTTCTTATGTCTTCCTCTGTAAGCCAGTGATGAAGCTTATATGCAATCTCTAGCTTGGTCTGCTTCTTGCCAAATATGCCATTGACGGTAGTGAGGTCACGCGGCACAACGTCGCCGCTGTGAAATAATGCGTAGCCGTCAAAGAATCTAAATTGATCTGGCCTCTCAACAATGACATAACCCGGGGTGCTAAAGCCCAGCCGATGACAGAGCTTGTTAATTCTCGTCATTACATCTGCGTCGTCATCCAGCTCCGAATCGTTGTTTGTATGGCTAGTTCGTGGTGCTACCTGCGATGGTGGCGAGGGAGATATCGGTGACAGCATTTGTGAATCTTGCGGCTGGGAGTCGACTGGATGGTAGAACTGAGGAGGAGGTGGTGGAGGTAGTGGTGGAGGAGGGAATAAGAAAGACACAGGTGGTGGTGGAAGCCCAACTGGTGATGCGATGGGGGTCGGTGATGTCTGAACCACAGCCGGAGCTGCTGGAGTTGTGTTTGGGGGTTTAATTTGGTTGGATTTTATGAATCGAAGGGCCTCCTTTGCGGCGTATTGCTTAGCTTTCTGTTTTCAAGTACACGTTAGCTTTTGTAATCCAATGTTTAGTGATGTGAGTGCGAACCTTTTTGGATGCGAAAAGCGGTGGTTGTTCGCCTTGGGCGTAGCTGAAGCCGTCAACAGGAAACGAGCATGATAGCCACGGGACTGTACACGTAGTTCGCCATTTCTTCATCATGCTGGTCTTCTCTGGAACATCAATCGAGTCGGAGTCTTGGAATGTCGGGAGCGTCCTTCGTTGACCTTGCGCCAGCACTGGAAGCTATTCAGTACATTTTTGCTGCTTGCTTTCGTTTAGGTTAACTTACACATTAGCTCGCTCACGTAGTCGCCGTCGACTAAATCTGGTTCGGTTGTAAATGGGACTAAGTAAGACAGCGCCATGAGCTGTTCTCGCGATAGCTTCTCCGGAGCCTGTTCATGCTCATCTATCCACGCGCGAAGCTCACACCACGGGATAGGAACTCCTGTAGCTATAGAAGTGCCATTTGTGTCCATCTTTGCAAGACTATTCGCTGTCAAGGTAGTGGTCAAGGATCTCTCTGGGGTGGTTAACCCTGGTTGCGCTCAGCAATGGTACGCTGCTCGCTTTCACTTAGTGGTTTCGATCTCGCAGGTTGAAGTTGCCTCGTGAGCGGCTGGTGGTGATGGTATTATATAGTGGAATAGGGCAGATCAGCTGTGATCCATAAATAGAAACCCCCCTTCAATCGCCCTTTCAGATACGATTCACAAATAATCTTGGAGTGCCAAAGAACCACCGCTGTGGCGCACGCGGCGGCGGGCGGAGGCCCACTGCCAGCTCCAACATGCAGGTTTGCACAACGCTGTCTAGGTGATGCACCACCGCAAATCGCGTGTTGGCGGTGCGCCACATGACGATGTTTCTTTCAGTTGGGTTGGCTGAAACGTGGTAAAAGAGCAATCTTGTACCATGTTTCCTCTTGGGTTTAATTTACTTAGCTTATTAAAACCCCTGGTCAAGAGACGGTGTGTCCTATACATTTCACGGTTACTTGCAGATTGACCAGCTACCAGTACACAGCCTACATCATATAAAGGCATCAAATGTGGAAGATCAGCTGCTTTTAGAGTGCGAGCCGCGATAGTGAATGTGATATGACATCAAATGCAACAGTTGTGTTTTTGGACATACATACATATATACAGATAAAAGCTGAACTTCGATCTTAGAGATCAAAGAATCCAGCGCCGTTGTTCTCATTATCATCCGGTCCTTTGGCTCCCGCCGCAATTGCCTCACGCATACGCTTTCTCCTTTCCCTTCTGTTAAACTCCGGTTGTTCGCCTTCCTTGGCTCTACCAGAAGTCTTCCAGTCATGTTGTGGGTTGCTAATAAGGGCTGCTCGTGAGGGATGAGGTGCGCTACGGTCCTCCGGTACATCATTTTCTCCGCGCTTTTCTCGAATCTGACGAAGGGCTTCGTGTCCCTTTGTCATTGCCTTTTCTATTGTGTACCACATCTCAGGGCGGTCTGCAGACAGTGCAATCTTAGCTGCAGGTGTCTTCTCGGCGTCGTCGTCGTCCTTCTTTTTTCCACCATACAAGCTAATGTATGCCTCAATGTGTGGGTAATTTATCGTATATGCTTCGTCTACTTCAGCAATATGGAGCTCTTTTTGAAGTGCGGCTTTCTTCTGCTCGTCCTCCTCGGCATCGATTTGTCTTTGGAGCTGCTTCGCTAGACGGGCAGCCTTCTTTCGTTCTAGGCTTATGTTAGCAACCCCTGCAGGCCATATTCCGATCATGGATTTCTCTTACCAAAGAAGCGAACCATATGGTATTTTGAAATCATTGCACTTCGTTTTCTTTGGAAAGCCTTGTCGCCGATAGTCTGGCGATGGGCTGCCAGTTCTCTCTCCATCTCATTGCGAACATTGGCAGGCATGTCCGTGCTTCGTTTCATAAGACGTTCAATATTTCTTGTTCGCTTTCTGGCCCATTCTGTACTGCCTTGTTTGGCCTTGCCTTTGCCAGTACCACCGACTGGCTTTCTTCGTCTGGGTGGCCCAGCATCCATTGTAACTTAGTTTGAGTTGGCAAACTGTTGAAGGATTGGGTAGTAATAGTCTGGTCAGATGATAGAAAACAAATGCTGCGTGTATGCAAATTGTAGAAAATGTTTGCTTATCCCAAATCTTGGCAATGGTGGCTCGCAAATGAAGTCGGTTAAAACGTTGTCTAATGTTGTAGGCCGTCCCAAAAATATTTTGAGATCCGATAAGCTTTGGTCGCCGATAAGAAAAAATGTCATGTCAAGGGCAGTCACGTGGGGCCAGTTGCTGTAGGTGCATGTCATTGCCAGAAACTCTCAAATGCAGCTCCCCCACACTGAAGCCAATCGCTGTCAACCAGCTCAAGAGCTTCATGAGAAGCGCGCCAAACAAATATTTCGCATTCTAAATTCAACTGGAACATGTAATTGATGGCTACAGATTCTCATGACATTACCATGGAATTCTGCTAGCGACGTCTCTCACAAAGTTAATTCCTGAAGCGCCACGACAACAGCAGCCTCTGATACTACAACACCACCTAAACCATCTTCACAGTGGCCTCCCTCAAGAAACAGTACGGAAGTCGACGCTAATTCTGCCGCAATGGATCGACCTGAGCCAGGTCTCGTCAAATGGTCGGCCAATCCCCAGGTAGACAGCTTTGTGCATGTCAATCTTCAGCGACAAATTGTGCAGCTCTATGAACCAACAGGTCATGCTCGCAACGGTCAATTTGACTATGTCAAGGGCGGTAAGCATGATGACTTTCCGCCGTTGACAACTTACGATTGGTCTCCATGCGATCCAAGCTTACTTGCCGTGGGAACGGGCGCCGGAATGGTTAACCTGCTGAAGATTGATGATGGATCCAACGCGTACCTAGAATTAGGCGTCAAGATGTCGCGAACCTGCCATGCTGTTGCATTTAATACCACTGGCTTGCTAGCAGTCGGACTAGATCGTGTGCGCATGGATTCTAGTCTGCAGGTTTGGGATTTGGAGCGCTTGTCAGCGATTGACATTAGCCAGCGAGGCTTCCCCCAAGACGCGCTGAGCTATGTTGACACGAAGATTCGTCTTGAACCGAGTGTCTCCATCTCTAGCATCAAGTTCTTCGAAGACAGTCCTCAAACTTTAGTTGTTGGGATAAAATCCCAAGGTTTGCGAGTTCATGATCTGAGGAGTAAGTCCTAATGTCGCTATGTTGCAAGTCGCGCTGTCTAACTTGATACAGGTCCAACAAATGCAATCACTTTCCAAACAAAGTGCAACAACAACCTTGCTATTGACTATGCCGACCAAAATTATTTCGCCTCATCTGCTCTAGACCACCCTGGTGTATTAATCTGGGACCGCCGTGCAACTTCTCGAGCTGTTGCGTCGCACTCATACCTCCAAGCAGTTGACGAGGATGACGTACCATGGGGTGGCGCACTGCGCCTAGATCGTGCCATCGAGGCCGATATTGACCCAAATTCCAGCGACAATAAGCACTCTCTTATCCGGTCGCTTCGTTACTGTCGCGAGCAGCGCGGTCTGCTTGCTGTTCTCTCGAGAACTGGGCAGCTCAAGGTCCTCGAGACTAACAAAGAAGTCCCATCATCCGATATGCCCATGCAGGAAGGACCAGAGCTCGTACAGGTGCAAACATCGCATGAAATGGATGTATCCTATAGAGAGGCATCGAACAAGAATGATCGTATTGTTTCTTTCGATTGGGCTACCTTAGGATCACCTGGACTGCGACCAAGGCTGTTGGTATTGAAGACCAATGGTAGCTTTGGTATTCTAGAGCAGCCATCGAGAACTGCGGATCAAATTTATAAACTAGTTCCATGGCAAGCACCTCATAGAGGGCTAGATGGTAAGCGACATCATACTAGATTCTCCGGCGTTTGCACTAACACTTCGAAGCTGGTACACCATACCAAGACATCATGCAATTCCAAGAAAGCGAATCTTCTGAAATACTGGCACCCATTCGAACACAACATGTGCTGGATAATACACCGGTATTTGGAATTCCGAAATCAAGGATTGCGGCAAATATCTCAGCCCAACTAAAGTCGATACCCTCTCCCAACCTTGAGATTGAGCATTTGGATCAAATTTCCCCCAATCTCCCCGACGACTTCTACAGTGCAACAACAATCGCTGGAAAATTGCGAAGTATCCGGCACTTTTTGCAAGATGAGAGCAACGCTCCCGAGTCGACAACTGACGGAAAGAACGTCAGGTCACTGAGAAAAGGAGACGGCAACCTTTCTCTTGCATCAAATAGTCTAGAGTCGTGCAGAGAGTTTCACGAGGCTCTTCTTGGTACTCTGATATCCGAAGGCCTACCGCGCGAGGCCCAAGGCATAGTAGATCATACCATGCTACTACGTGCGAAAGAAAAGTACCTATTCGATGCCACACTGAATCGAGATATTGTTGCAGATGACCCTTGGAAGCGCTACCTGTGGGATTGGGTAGCTGATGCTGAGGAAGCAGCAGAAGACGGCGCCCTGATTCTCTCAGGTGCCAACTTGAGCTACTTAGGAATCCAGTCAATCTGGACAAATAACTTTGGTCAGCAACCGCCTGTCCTTTCCTCTTGAGCTCCACTAACTTGTCTATAGGACGAACGCCAGCTACACGCTTGGAGCCAGGAATGACACCACCAGACACTCCACAACTAGAGCGCAGCATTGCAGCATACTGTAAAAAGCGACATCTTAGAAAGTTCGACGCTGTCACAACGAAAAGGCCGTACCATCGACAACTCTGTCTCGAAATCTGTGGTTGGGGAGATGCTGAGAGGCATGATCCAAAAGGCCTGGATCGCCAGGCTGTGTCCAAATACCCAACAGCAGTACACACCATGGCAGCGTGTAGAGCGCTCTTTAAAGGAGATACTGCTCGCGCTATCGAAATTCTCAAAAAGGCCAGCTCTTCACACCCTGAGCTTCTATTTGTGTCTCTGGCACTTCAGCTTGTCGGACGCGGTAACTCGCAGTTAGCTAAAGAGCAGCTGGATTTTGACGAGACTGTAGCGTCCAAGACAGACCCTTATCTCCGTGCCATATCATCCCTCATTGCTACAGGCGACTGGACAACAATTGCAAACCAGCGAACGCTACCTCTAGCTGATAGAGTGTATGCAGCAGTTCGCAACTTCACAGACGACCAGCTGACAGCATGGCTAAACCAACAAGTCGAATGCGCCATCCAAGAAGGCGATATCGAGGGAATCGTCCTCACCGGTATTACTGATTCGCTAGTCGACATCTTCGCGCGATATGTCCAAAAGTTCCAGGACTACCAAACCGCAACCCTCGTCTTGTCCATATGCTACCCTCGCTTCATTGACGATATTCGGTGCGAAGCATGGCGCAATGCATACCGCGTACACCTCCAACGACACAAACTGTTCTTCCAGAGGACCAAATTTGAGGTAGAATCGACGAAGCGGTCCAAACGGGACGGTATCCCGACCCTAAAGCCGCCTTCCCGCCAGATAGCCCTTCGCTGCGTCTTCTGCGATGCTGAAACGACACTCAGCAACCAGCATGGCAACGGTACCTCTTCGAATGCACCGCGCCCTGTATCGTCTGCTATGGAAATGCGCAACCCTCTCCTGGCGACAAGCATCAACGCAGGTGTCAGCTGTCCTAACTGTGGCCGCCACCTGCCGCGATGTGTTGTCTGCCTCGAGGTTGTCGGCGTCCCGCGCTCTGATAAGCCGGAAGAGAAGGAGGAAACTAAAATGGCTGGGCGCTTCCCTACTTTTTGCCTACGATGTGACCACGTCCTGCACCTTGATCATGCAAGACAGTGGTTTGCTAGGCATTCAGAATGTCCAGTGCCAGAATGTCGCTGTCGATGCAACTTCCGAGCAAACGCAGAGCTGAATTATAGTTAATGCTCTTGCAGTTTCTCCTATTAGGATTTATGGGGCAGTCTAGACCAAGGAAGAGATGTTAAAATACTTGATATGTATCATTTGCGCTTTTCGCTGTATACGCCGTGACTATGTTCTTTAAATAAAAATGTGGTAGCAAGATCGGTTTGAAAGATGAGGCCAAAATACTCCTCGCCAATGTGTAGTCCATCCCGGCTCTATATCCGGAGCTTGTATTGTTTTATAATCTGATGTTGCTTGGTATCAGAATTCCACCCCATATGTACCATCCGTTCGCTCTGCCCTGTCATGATAAGTAGCCTCGTAACGGGAGGCGCAAGCAACTCTACGGCTGCGCTCTATCGCCGCTTATGCAATTATCGTCCATTTCTTCTGTACTTCATTTCGTCTGGCACCATGCATGCTCTGTTACCTGAGTGATTGTATATCGTTGGTCAACGTCGCGGTTGAGCATGCAACGGACGAGGTCAATGCTCTCATCGCTGAGGGTATACGGGACTCGTAAATCCCGATCCATGATTTCGTCTATGCTGTAGAAGGGGTTCTCCTTGTATATAATGGTGTAGAGAAGGATGCCCAGGGCCCAGACATCCTGTTCTTTGCCGCCGTACGGCTTTCCTGCCAATACTTCTGGTGCAGCGTAGTCTGTAGTTGGTTAGCATATGCTCAAGATAGTTCAAACCTGTATGAAAACTTACCAATAGTACCAACAAAGACATCAAATGGCCCACTCTTAATATATGCAGCGCTTCCAAAGTCAATGAGTTTGATGTTTCCTTCTCCGTCCAAGATGACGTTTTCGTCCTTGATATCGCGGTGTACAACAAGAGCTCGAGTGTGCAAGAAATCAATGGCTTGTACCACTTGAACGAAGATGCTTCGGCACTCTGACTCGTCCATATTTGCTCTCAACTCAATATAGTCAAAGAGATCCATGCCAGGAAGGCCGTGGGGAGCCATCTCGATATAATAGTTGACGTCGTCTTCGAAGAAGCTTTCCATTTCGACAATATTGGGGTGGCGGAATTCGGGTCGTCGTAGATATTCGAGAACATGAATCTCCAGAGGCACTGTACCGAGCTTGCGATCTCTAGTCCACGTATCCACCAAGATGCGACGCTTCGTAACGTATTTGAGTACAACCTTCTTGCCAGTTTGCTTGTCTCGAGCCAATTTGACTTGACCATAGGCACCTTGGCCCATATCTTCTAATATTGTAAAGTCTGCAATGGTCTTTTTGCGATTAGGGTCTGCGACAGTAGTCGAATCTTCTGCCACTGGGGCGGTCGAATCTTGGCCGTCACTGGGTTGCGCCTTGCTGGTAGTCTCTTGTATCACTTGGCCAGATAAGGGAGTCTTCCGCGTGGCTTTCTCTTTCGACTCATCTGAATCGGAGGACAGCTCAAGCGGTGTACGGGCTGGGGTTTGTCCAGGCGACGGCTGATGCAATGGTGTAGAAATGCCAGACTCCTGCGTCGTGTTAAAGTCGAATCTGTTTGCCGAAGCATGAATATGGCGTGAGTATGTAATCCAGAGAGCAAAAACCATTTCAGTTCGCTGGGCAGTGAACCTTTCACTTCTAGCATTGCTATCGTCTTGATCTTCATCGTTGTGTTCCTCAACGGTTTCATGGGCCAGCGGCGTCTGCTTTTCACTTTCCACTACCCTCATCTGCACATCGATCTTCAAGTCGGACCCGTCTCGATGTTTGGCTAACAGTCCGTCTGGTTGTAGGAACGAGGCAGCTGCGTCGGGTTTCTGTTCCTTCAAAGCCGTGAAGGCTGCAGCTCGTCGAAAACGGTGTTCAGGGATAACCATTCCATCTAACAGCTGTAGACCATCCTCGTGGGTGAGTGTTGCAACAACCTTGTCGAAATCAGGAATCAAGGCCGTAATATGCATGCCATCTGGCTTTTCAAATCCAAATAATGCACCACAGAAGACAGCGTTAGAGCTCTTGATGTTGAACGTTGAAGGATCAACTACAATGATACCCGCCATATGGGGGAATGTTGAAACTCGTAGCTCAAGCTTTCCTCTAACTTGCTCTACCATGCAAGGGAGATTGACCTCTCTGCGGTTTGGGCAAGTAAAGTACTTGCGCTTGGTAGTTTGGGCGAAATCAACCTCGCCAGTTGTAGGGTCAAAGCCTTGCCTTGGTATCCGAGGGATCAGTGTTGCAATATCAGTCTGGGGCTTGACATCCTTCAGTCCCCAAATCGGCTCTGTTGAACCAGATATGCTTTTCACAATGCCATCCTCGTCTAGGATAACATTCGCAACGTCCTCATGGATTTCCTCTACAACCCAGATAAGGCCAAACCGTTTCTCTTTAACCCACAAACTGGCTGAGCCAGTGGCACCATTTCGTTTTTGAATGGGTACCACATCACCACAGAGCAATACACCACGAGATAAGCTGCTACGATGGTTCCCAGTACCTCGGACTGTTGGTGGAGCTGGGTCACCGCTATGGACAGTTTGGGCTCGTCGAGGGCTTGACTTTGCGGACTGAGACCGCGAGTTTGGCTTGCTCAGTAACTGGGCTGTGATTCCAGATCGACTGCTGAGAAGGGCGTTTGTAGTCGGTGCTGGTGGTACTGGTACTGGAGAATTTCGGCCAGAACCGGCGATTTGGTCCGGATTTTGTAGCTTTCTTTCCAACCATGCTCTGCGCTCTTCTTGTACAACTTCCAAAATACCCATCTTGCGAACCTCTGCTTTGGTTACACCAAATAACAGACACGCGAGATCATTAGCAGCTAGGATCGTCCACGGGGGTTTAGATTCTGTTGTGAAAATAGCTTGTGCGGCAGGAACCCATCTATTTGTATGACCATGGACAGCGGGGTTAATAGCACTCGGGAACTTGGTTGAGGATGCTAATTGCGGAGTAAGTGTTGGCGATATAACCTGATCGTCGTAGCTGGGCTGACTAGTCAAGAAAGGTTGGCCTATTGTGTCCATCAACTTTTCTTGAATAGAGGCGGCATACACATCGGTCATAGTTCGGGTCAGGCTTGTTGGTCGCTGCGGTCGTGGAGATGCTGCATCAACCACGATAGTAGCTTCCTTGGGGCCTTGATTAGCGTCCGCAGGTTTTGATCGGGGGGATGGCGGCGCTTGGTCATCGTTATCTCGAGCTGGCCGTGATTTAGTCCGTATTTCAACTGGTGATCCCATCTCGTCTATCTCATCGGGCTCTTCTGTTAGGGTTGTAGGTAGAAAATGTTTTTCAAAGACATTCTCAGCCGACATATCCGCGGGTCCTGTCAAAGGAGCAGCCACCGCCTCATCTACGTTAGGCAAGTTACCAGCTCCGATTATCTGTGCTCTGGCGAGAAGTTCGAGCATATTCTGTGTATCGATATCCCCAGTCACTCTAGCTTGGGCACTAGCAAGACCAGCTTGAGTTGTATTGACCGACCATCCCATACGGTCCTTCATAAATTCGATAGATCGTTTCAAGACGCTTTGTCGGTTATGCAAAAAGTCTTCGGATTGATGTGCGAATGAGAAGGAGTGAAGGGATTCGGAAGGAAATCGCGTCAAGTCTTCTGAGAAACTGGGTGATGTCGGACCAGCCGTAAGGGACATTGGAGGGGGCGGGGCAAGCGTGGCGCTCATTGAAGTAGATCTGGACAGAGTAACGACGGACGGACTTCGAGAAGATGCATTCGAATTTGGCATCGTCGGTGCTCTTGAAGGAGGGTGCTGTCGGATGCGTCGAAGGCCGGACAGGCCAAGACCGTGTTCATGGTCAGCCATGACTGGCGTTCTAAAAAAGCAAATGAGGTTAGAAAGCAGCAACATGATGACGAGATTAGCAGACAGAGGCAACAAACAACTGTAGGAGAAGAAGTCTCCGAGAATAAAACATAGAAAGACTAGACATACATGGTAAGGTCATGGTCCAAGCCAGATGACGAGCCCTCAAATGACATGCGGTACCGGCTCCGATCGACTGTGTCAGCTGAGAGAGCCAGGTTTCCCGTGCTGCGATTCTTGGGCAACGACAGAGGCGGCAGCAGTTTACCACGTCCTCTCTCCGCTTCACCAGAGCTTTCGTCTGCTTCTAGAATCCAATTTTAGTGACATGTCCCGTGTGGTAAACCATCGAGAGCTGCGTCTGCGTATGGCTATTTGAGGAGTTGAACGTACGGGTTTCGCGACGCCCGCCATGCGTCTGACGCATCGTCAACGACGGGCCTGAGCACGGCGTGCCTAGCAATTCAGATTGGTCGATACTGGGGAGAAGATGACTCCAGTTGCTAGGCGAGGCTGCTTTCCAGGCGCGGAAGATCGTCGTTTGGTGATGGTGGTGGTCGGGTCTCGGGAAGGGTAGATTTTTGGAGATGCTGAAGATGGGCGGGTCGAACGAGGGCAGCTTTTAGCTGGCGGGCCGCTAAGCTTTTCCGTGGGCAGCAAAGGCGGGGGTGTGTTAAGTGCGCGGCGTGCGTTGGAGAGTTTGAAGAGAAAATACAGCGGCCCGGATGAGCATAGGAGTTTGGATAGAGTAAAAGTTTTCCATTCAAATTTTACGATAAAGCAAGCCGATACACTGATTGTGCGTCCCAACAAACACCAATCGGTAGGCCGGTAGGCTGGCGTGGAGGGGTCGATACGCCCAGCACAACCGCACGACGTGTAATTGATGGGGTAAGATTTTGCAGACCAAAAACAATAGGTCTACCGTGCGAACTAAGATGTTTTTGACTATAACTATGAAAGGCCAAGCAAGTGTGCTTTTATCTTTATACCGGCCTTGGTTCATTCCGTACGCTTGGCTGACAACGTTGCCTTTGCTGGTGACGTAGTAGCATCGGCTGCGCTCCAACGCAGCCATAAGAGCTTGGTTTTTATTTTACCATTTGGACGAACCGGGTGGGTGGCTTTTTGTATGGTGAGTTTAAGAGTAGCCGGGAATAAGGTGTTAAGGCCCAGGCTCTCTGGAACATGCGTACTCAGCTGCAGGACGCGTGCTACAGACACTCATTGGTTTTTAAGGTATTCCGATCCTCAATCTGCGCCAGGATATTTAGTTTGGTGATTTCCAAAGGCTCTCTGTTTAGGATATTTATGTCGCACTGCTAATACTTACTCTGGTCAAACTGTGTCGTCACCATCAGTAGCACTAGCTACCCATCACTTGCTACAAATAAAGGCTGCTGTCACCAGCACGTGGGCCACGCCTGACACTGGGTAAGCTGGCAACTCTCTCCAACCGTAAAGGTAGACAATCATCCAAAATTATCACCGAACTATAACCGTTACTTTTCAATATATCCCATTTTTGTTGTAGATGGTTTCCCTGAAAATCAAAATCCAGTATTGAACCTAGAAGACGGGCTACAGGAGCCATGGGCGGCACCCCAACAAGCTACCTCCGAAAAAGCGGTCTTAACTCTAGGCTTGGCCGGCGTCCAAGACAAATCTATGTGCAGGGATACTCTACCTCGCACATCTCGTCGATCCGCCCCTCATATATTTCCTTGTATTTATCGGACCATACCCTGTAATAGGCTTTTGCTCTGTGTTCTTCTTCTTTTTGAATTATTTTTCATAAATTAATACCATTCGTCAATGGCCAACTGAGTCGACACAGTAAGGCCTCTTGGGAGCATAACTGTGGCTTGAACTACAGCAGCTGGTAATAGAGCCTCACCTCTGGCCGTCTGTTTCCGAGTCAGCCATCAATATTCGGCCCGAGCACATGAACTAAAGGCCCCCTTCCCAACCTAGAGCTCTGTTTTCATTCAATTCGCGAGCAAGCTATCTCATATGGTGTGATTGTAGCGGATCGACGCGGCACCAATTCGTCCTCAGGGTAGCTGGGCTGCCCGCTCATGTAGAATCTCGGATTATTTGCTCCAACAAAAAAGTGCCACCACCAAAAGATACTAAGGAAAGTATGCTGCATTTGAGAGAACCAGGCTGCATCTAACCACCCCGCACTGTGCAGTGCGGCCAGTTTTGGAGCTTACCTGCGGAAGTGTCTGGGCACAGTCAGACGTACGGCCCCAGTTTGTTTCCAGAAGGTCGTTCCCACGACAGGGGCATGAAGTAGGCGGGGCAACACACCAAGAGCACCCCGACAGTGGGTACGGGCAGCGTCTATGGCGGTGGCAAGGACCACTATAGTTTGTTTTCTCTAGCGGGGTCCCCGAGTCGCTGGCGGGGTTATTTGCGCGGGGAGGATGTGGTTCAGAATCGAAAGTTTCTATGCAGTAGTGAAGGACGAGTGCTATTATGAAGTCCTTATATAAATCGATTATTGCTTATCTATTTTATAGATATTTAACTACAATTAACAGTGGCAGTCAAACTGCCCTCCTAGGGCTTTTGGTGGGATGGGACCCCTACACCCAGACAAGTGGCGCCAACGGTTTGGTCAGCCTCAAAAAAAAAAAAAGGTCCCCAACAGAGGCGTGTAGAGACGGGACACGAGGTGAGCCTTTTTGTCTTGTAACCGTTTTCCTTCTGCACAGGCCAGAAGATGTTTTAGCACATGAAATAGACTGCCAAATATCACGATACACCGCGTAGGACAGCCATTGCCTCTCTTCGCCAAAAGGCGGCCATCGTGTGATTTGGCCATGTGCCCCTCGCTGCGATTAGATTCCTGCCGATAACAGCCCAGCACCAAGCACGCCAGCGCTGCGTGACCCGCCTGACCACGGGGTGTCTAGCGCACTTTCGCTACCCCGCACTGTACGGGATGTAACTTGCAGGGCCCGTAGCGCCTAAGCCGCCACCTAGACGCACTTGATAGCAGCACTGTGACTCGCACCTCGGACACGGTTTAGTACTACGAGGCGTTTTCTTAGAGATCAGCCTTAGTTTCTGCTGGCGCCCGCTCTTTCCTGTCTTGAAAAGTACCCTCCCACTGTGCTCCAATTACTGTGTTGCTCGTTTCGCATGTGCTGGACCCTTTTATCTTTTTTGGTTCCCCCAACCCACCTCTACCCTTCTCTTCCGTGTCCTCCATCGTTGCCGCGACATTTATTTATGCTGCGGAAGACATTCTAATTATTTCTTTTGATACTCGAAGCTTTGCCAAAAGAACGGCAAACGACCTCGACCGATTCAATATGTCTGTAAACGACGTCTATTAACTACCACGCTCCGCTACCGGTTACCGCTTATACACACTGCACCCCAACCGATGATCGACGCCAACCGAAATTATTGATAACGCTGTATATCTATACAACAAAAGTCGGTCGATTTTGACCTATACACAACCACGAATACACATATTCTCCCTCTTATACTCTGTCGACATGGCCACCGTACTGGACAACTCCGACACGGAGCCGTTCCCCATGAGCGAGACAGAAGACTCCCATACTCCACCCGAAGTCCCTTCCAAAGGTAAAGGACGGAAGAGGCTTCTACGAGGTATTCAAAGAATATCGTCATCGTCCTCACTCAGTAGCCTGAGACGACCACGTTCTGCTAGCAGTCCGTATGGGACCCGGAGCACGCTCTCGTGCGTCAGCCTCGCCGCTGCTGGCCCGCCGGCGTCTGCCTTTGTCTCGAGAGTCGGAACACCTCAACCATCCCCGCTTGCTATGCCAGGAAATGTATCCACAGCGAATGAATATCCATTCTACGATAGCATCGATGGCCATTTGCCAGCAAAGAAAACAGCCCAAGCCTCGACACCGACGCCGACGCCGACGACAGCTGCCCTTCCAGGTGCTCTCCAAACTAGATCAACGGCTGTCTCGAGGCCCATCCCCAAGAAGCCGTTTCATTTTTGGGACAAGGTACCCCACGAAATCCGAGTGGCAATCTTTTCTTATTTGCAACCAAAGGAGCTGGTCCGGGTATCCCGTGTGAGCAGATCGTTCTACAAATTCTGCTTTGATGGGCAGCTTTGGACATCCCTGGATGCCTCTGATTTTTATCAAAAGATTCCAGCCGAGTCGCTTGCTAGGATTATCGTCGCAGCGGGACCATTTATTAAAGATCTTAACCTGCGCGGCTGTGTGCAGGTGGAACACTACAAACGAACAGAAGTTATTGTCAAGGCATGCAAGAACCTGATCAACGCAACACTTGAAGGGTGTTCCAACTTTCAAAAGGCCACCCTTCACTGTCTGCTTCGAAGCAATGAAAAGCTTACGCATCTCAATCTGACAGGACTCTCGGCTGTGTCTAATGCGTCCTGCAAAATCATTGCCGAATCTTGCCCGCAACTGCAAAGCTTCAACGTCTCCTGGTGCCAAAAGGTCGACGCTGGCGGCATTAAATCTGTTGTCGAATCTTGCTTAATGCTTCGTGAGCTGCGTGCTGGCGAAGTGCGAGGCTTTGATGACCTCAAGACAGCAGAAGTCTTCTTCAAGACGAATAATCTAGAGCGTCTTGTCATGTCTGGTTGTGCTGAGCTCAACGATGAGGCGTTCAAGACTATGATCCACGGAACCGACCCCGAAATAGACATTCTCACCGACTTGCCCGTGGTCCCGGCACGCAAACTACGCCACTTGGATATTAGTCGATGCGTACGCCTCAGCAGCGCTGGCGTCAAAGCCCTGGGCCACTTTGCACCCGATTTAGAGGGTTTGCAGCTCTCAGGTTGCAAATCTCTTACCGATGATGCTCTGGAAGCAATTCTTGCTACGACACCCCGACTTACCCACCTCGAGCTTGAAGATTTGACCGATATAACCAATTCTTTACTTTCAGAACATTTGGCCAAATCGCCTTGTGCAACTGCCCTTCAGCACTTGTCGCTTAGCTACTGTGAAAATGTTGGTGATGTTGGCGTCCTACCACTAATGCAAAAGTGCACCAAGTTGAAGAGTATCGACCTTGACAATACACGTATCAGCGACTTGGTCTTGGCAGAGGCTGCTTCGATGGTCGCAAGACGATCCGTACGATCGACCGATTCCACATCACGCCCAAAGCAAACCTTGGAAATGGTCGTCTATGATTGCCACAACGTAACATGGACTGGCGTTCGTGAAGTGCTGTTCAGGAACGCACAAATCCGACCCCAGGGTGGTCATACTGGTCGTGTGACGTATCCAAGTGAGGTTATTGGATTGAAATGCTTCTATGGCTATCAAATGACGGTCAATGAACATTACAAACGCGTCTTGAAAGGTGATTTCGAATCTGCGAATAGGTTGGAACGCAAGTGGGCAGACTACATGCAAGCTGCGGAGGAGGCGGAAGCAACAGGTTCCGGATATAGAAGACGGCGGCGCCGAGCTCGGGAAGCTCGTGTAAACTTGAACGATGAAGATGGTGGTGCTGTGGTAAGGGGTGGCCGTCAGAGGGCTAGAACGACTGGCTCCTGTACAGTCATGTAGGATCTCTGGTTTAGATTCTATATTGTGTTTCAACTTTTGGTAAAATTGGCGTTTAGGTGGTATTTTATAGGGTTATATGCATTAGGTCAAGTACAAACAGGGCCATTAGATGTCGAAGATATACGATGCTCATGTGAGCCGGCAGAACTCGTTCGTTGGGTTACAAACAATGATACATAGTTTGAAAAATGAATATTTGAAAAATGAAAATATTACTACTCTAACTGGATATATTGTATCTAAGTCTATTTATGAAAACGCCACCTTTACACAGAGTTGGATGCTACCCACTCTTGCACATCCTGCTTAAAGTCTGGCTGATAGAGCCAGCTCAAATCAAAAGGCTCTCTCTTGAAGGAGCTATCACTTCCGACTACTGTATCTTTGCTAGGCATTCTTCTGGCATCAATTTGCTGGTTCAGCACGAGAATCTTGTCGACTCTTGTCTGGCGATACTCCTGCCAGAAGCTGAGAGCCAATTCAAAACTGCGGATCTTCTGTCGTTGTCCGAGAACCAAAGCAAGCATATAGACATCCTCGAATGCCTGGTTGATACCCTGGCCAGCTGAAGGAGGAATTGCGTGCGCAGCATCGCCTACAATTACCACACGGCGCAGCTCAGAGGCCCAGCGGTCAAGCTTTGGGACAACGAAGAACGGCCATTTGTTGATGGTTACCTTGTCAATATGTGCTGTGGCATTCTTGACGAATTCAGGGAAGTGGTCGTTGTTTTGTTGGAGGAATTCAAGGGCAGAATCCTTATCAGCGACAAAATCTCGATCCCAGTCGGGTTTGTCGCCAGGCGTTACACGCATTTGCTTGCCAAAGAAGATTTCAGACCCGTCCACCTGTTGCTGCGCCATGACAAACGCGCCCTGGGGAGACATGACGGTCACCGGGAGATGATAGCCCTCTGGAAGCTGTACCTGCGAGGCAGGTACAGCTGCAGTAATTCCTGCCATGCCGATGAATTTTGTCTGAAGATCAGGATACATGTGCTTGCGAACCGTAGAATGAATGCCATCGGCACCGACCAAAAGTGATGTGGTCACTGTGGTGCCGTCTTGAAAGGCGAATGTTGTGGTGTCGCTGGACTCTCCTGTAACGTGGGAGAACTTTTTGCCATACACGACCTCGACCTTTTGCTTTTGTAAGGCCGAGACGAGCTCGCTAATGAGAACGTGTCGGTAAATTCTGAGACCTCTGTAGCCGTACTTGACCTCGCTTCCAAACTCTTGCGTATCAATAATATCACCGGCCAGGTTGCGATATTCCAGGGTGTCAAAGCTGAAACCTTTCGACTTTATTGTGCCGTAGAGACCGAGAGCATCAAGGATCTTCAGAGCATTGGGTGAAAGCATGACAGCACCGCCAATGTTGAGAGGCTCAGTTCGAGCTTCGTAGACAGTGACGGGGATAGCTTGTTGGTGAAGAGCGAGAGCGAGAGTAAGTCCGGCAAGACCAGCTCCGATGATGGAGACTTGTTGAACTTGAAAAGAAGACATAGCTAACTGTGTTGGTTTCGAAGAAGGTTGTAAGTGTGAGGTGTGAAGGTGAGGATGATGGAGGATGTGTGGTGTAAGTGTAGAAGATGTGATTGTTCGAGGGATTGATTCCGGCAAACATAGGCCGGAACGATACAAGGTTATATACTTTTACTCATATAGCTAAGTCATGATAAAAACGGACATAAAAACTGTATTAATAATTTTTCCGATGCTCGAAACCTGCAAGGCTGTGATGGCTTGCAGGCTGTGGTGAGATTTGCCCATAAACGAGTTTCTTAAGTCCGCTCTGACCAATCAGGCTTAGTCCGCTCACGGGAAATTCGCGTGTAAGACGCTGCCCCGGCGCGTTCACCGCCGCCACGGAGCGGGACACGGGTACATTTCATGCTCTCGGAAATAGGAGATTAGCAATTGCACATAGACTTTTTTGTATTTTTAGTTAGAATGGAAGATTTAATGGTCTTTCTATAGGAATAAATTGAATCATCTACACAATACAGCTATATACGATGGTGCTGTTTGAACCCCAAGGCCTACAGTAGGTAAGCAAAAGTTACAGGTAAACTCGTTTTGGTCAATGTTTCAAGTATTCTTTGATATATGTTATAAAATTATCTTTCTATCAGTCTTTGTAAGATATCATGTGTGATATAAATAATTTATATGTATCGAGTTTTTAGATGACTATTACATATAAAGTTTGTGTAAGTACATATTTAGAAGACGTTTGTTGAAATCTGGACTACTTGCCAACCTAGAGTATGTGGGGCACCGCGGCTGCTTCTTCCCTCTGCCTGAGTGCAGCAGTAGCCGAACGCCGAGGATTCCCGCTAAAGCAGCAATTGACCAACTATCTCCGTTCACAACAAATACGCCGCCTACAAATTTTCATTCATTATCAACTGTACAGGTGCAATAGAAATCGATACAGTACACACATCTGCAGTGCAATCTCGCCAGCAGCTACCCAGAAGCATGACGCTCAAGACCATTTATGTGGTGCGCCACGGTGTACGTAGCGTGGCTTCCAAGGCTGCTCTTAGACGCTCATTAGAATGCTAACCTAGACGTAGTTTCGCTCAGCCTGGTCTGTGGATCAATATGGAAACTATAGAGCCTCAATTCCATCACCTACTGGCATTGCTGCTGACCCGGCTCTGACATCACACGGCATTAAACAAGCACGGGAGCTGGCCACGCACTTGGCCCAAATCGAACCGCCTGTAGATGTTGTCTACTCTAGTCCATACTACCGCTGCTTACAAACTATTGCTCCGTTTGTGGAGCAGCAGCAGAGCCTCCACAGTCAGGGCAGACTACATGCTGGTGCCGGGGTCGACACAACCAAGATCCGGCCCGAGTTTGGCATGTGTGAATGGTTTGGCGCGGCACCATTTGAACACCCACAGCCAGCAGATGCACAAACGCTCAAGGATCTGATACCCGCGTATGATGAAACTTACATCCCAAAGGTGCGGCCGCCACCAACCGGAGAAACCTATTCGCAGCTGCAGCGACGAGTATCAGCTGGTATTGCAGCAATTATCGACCAATGTAACGCTGAAGGCAAAACTTCAGTCGTTGTGTGCACGCACGCTGCTGTCGTGATTGTTCTGGGCCGAGTCTTGACGGGCAAGATCCCTGCGGACATGGATATAGACGACTTCCAGGCCTTCACTTGCGGGGTGAGCGTGTACACGCGGGATAAGACATCGTCAAGTGGCCTGCCATCGAACAGCAAGGATACAGGTACGTGATAGACCAGCTGGCTTCGCCTCTCGGATGAGACACTTGCAGGCACTGTTTACTGATTTGACCATGCAGGACTAGGTGACTGGACCTGTGAGAAAAACAGCGACTGCAGCTTCCTGAGTCAAGGTGCTGAACGCGGCTGGTGAGTGATTGTGCGTCTTTTTGGGGCGACGCGAACAGAGCCCTTGCAGACACGCGTATTTTCTTTTTCCTTTTCTCTAGAATCGCCAACGACTGGGTTTGATGACAAGAGCTAACCTTGCATGCTGCATCGCAGGAAATTCGCTGGCGACGAGTCGTTCCCGGGAACTGGCTCCATGTCGCAAGACGACGTCGAGCCCAAACTTTGACGAATGATAGAAAAGAACAAAATCTGCCGTTTAAATACCATTGAGACATGGGTCTCGGGTTCGGTGGCTTCGCAACCGGCAGACTCGGGCCTGTCCTTGTGCCGCAACGACAACAAGGTGGTGGCGTCCTGCAGCGAAATGGTTCCCAGACATGTCCTTTGTCTTGCCCGTTTAGACGGAAGGCCAGCTGGTAGCAGACCCTAGGCTTTTGCCGAGAACTAGTCGACTTGGCGTTGTCTAGCTATGCAGTTGCGATTGGTCTCTTTCATCAGTGTATTGAGAGGCAAGATGGAGGGCTAGGCTTGCCTTTGTACGAACACGAGCAAGAAGAGGCAACAAAGGGCGGTTTAGAATTAGGTATGATGCACAACTTGGCTATCCATCACTATACAGACACTCGACTGACGCAACAATTGCATAGAGCATCGAACCCCAGAGCAGCTCATCCCCGAATCACGCCGCTTCATGATCAGCACAGGGTTTTGAGAACGATTTATTGGATGTATGGGCCCGAAGAGAACGCTGCGGAGAGTCACAATCCCCTACGCGGCTCCTTTCAACTGGATTGGGGGCTGTGGTTGATCCAGCATCTGTGGTGATGGCGGTCTGCATGAAAAAGCAGCCATGGCAGGGTAGTTTAATGAGGCATGAGCCACAAAGAAAAGCTGTTCATTTGCCACTGAGGCTAATGCAAGAATAAGATTGTGACCTTCCGGTTTTCGTGGCGATGCAAGCCAAGTTTGGGTGCCTGTACTGCTGAAGGGATGCGGCGTTCGACGTTGTCGCCTGGCCAGGAGCCCCTTGCGTGGCCATTTTATTCAAGTGGGCACGTGTACCTTGCATCGAAAGACCCTCTCATGCAGGCTGCTCAAATTGGGAAATGTTTTCATCATGTGAGCCAAATTTGTGTGCGTAATGGCGTCACTGCTAGAGGCGAGCTGGAGCGCCGCTCATGCGCGCCGAATCCAAGGATGCTACCGGGCGTATCTGGGTAACAGGATCGGAAGCCTTACAATTTCATATAGATGATAATATGGGATGAACCCTATTAAAACGCCTCAACGATCATGCTTACTGCATTGCCAAAAGGTGATTACAATTGACGTCCCTTAATTCGCATGCCGGACCTATTCTGGGATAGTTCGTCAAGCAAACAGACTGCAGTCGATTAAACACGATCTGTTCCTGCATGAGCTATAAACGGGAGAAGTTTTGAGGTTGTGAACCTTTTCCGCAAGTAGCGGCTACAAGCAAAGCAAAACTTACGGCCTTTGGGAGGGGACGGAGTGGACAGTTTGCTTTTGCTCAGCGAATCGACGGAGTCACGAGAAGCGGCTGATGTGTACCTGACGCCTCCATCCGTTATCGTCAAGAGAAGACACGGGCCAGGGTAGTTTAATTGAGTGGTTTCAGGGCTGCGGGAGGAAAAGCAAGTGGCGATGCGGTGCTGATACGACAGAACCGTGTCCTGGGGGAGCCACCCTGGCGGCGTTGTTTCTTTTTCCCAAACTGGTGCCTCTTGTTATTCCTTTTCGCACTGCTGAAGGAAGTACAACCCCTGTATCAAAAGCAAAGCCAACTTCTGCAAAGGCTTGGTACCTGAGCCAAGAAAAAAAGGTGTTCGCAAAGCAAAATGAGTTGCAACTGCGGGGAGATACCCTGGTTGGTGATGTTGGTTCCAGGTCTATCGTTTCAGAAGCCATTCGCCTGAACGGTGGCGACTACGGATAATACAAGCCTCAAAAATTCCTAAGCTTTACAATGCAATTGACGGATGCTTTTTTGAATCACCGCAAGCGGCGAGACGGAAGTGGCCCGTAGACAATGCGCAAGACAAGCGCACCACGCAGTCTCGGCCTCCCTTGAATGCTATCCTTTGTAAGGCCGACGAGCAGGATCAAGGAAAGACAAGGGATACTACCTTTGGGGGTTTAGCCCCGAATCACAAGGCTTCATTGTCGCCTTTTGTCTCACATTTTTATTTGCTTTTTTTTTTGATACTCTCGCCTTGGGGCTGCTTGCAGCGCAACAGTGAACGCATGTACTGTACACGGACTCTACGCTTGCGCAGAGCCAAAAAGCAAGCAACGGCGCCGATGGCTTCGGGTGAGATGTAGCCGTTTCATGACGCATTGGGCTTTCCTGGGAACAAGAACTGCTCTTTGTGTGACAGAAGGAGGAGGCTCTTGTGCGTATATGTGGCGTACCTTTGTATCAATGTTGGCTTTCTTATATAACGGTCCCAGGTTGTAATCTGTTTCTTACAATACGGCTCCTTTCTTCTTTCAACACATTCAATCGAGTTAAAAATACCAAATTCGATGCTACTACACTCAGTACCGTTTTTCTCCCCTCTTGCTTCCGAAGATGTCCTGATTGAAGCGAGAAAAAAAGCGGCGGTTTGGAAAAAGCAAGTCTACGGTGGGCTCCACGCCGCTGCACCCCCAACGACAAACACCATTCATTGCTTTGGAGCCTTCTAACTGGCCAGGTACAGGCCATTGTGGATTTCTTTTCTTTTCGCTCGCGGCAGTTTTTCCTTCTTCCTGGTGCGAGAAGGTGCCTGAGCAAAGCCCGTGCCTGGCCAGTACATGTGGGGGATCGCTCCGCAGCCAGACTTAGGCAGCCAAAATGCACATAAAAAGAATTGCTTCAACCCAGTGAGAGAGCACGAGATATGGCTCAAAAGGGTTAAGCTTCGTCTTGGGAAAGCCAATCGGACAGTGCTTGGCCCAACCTCTCGCGTCCCTCCCTCGGGCAGGGGACCCTTGTTCAACGCCTCTTTGCCTGGCAAAATATTGGGAAATGACGAGCTTTGTCAAAGAAACGAGATGTGCGCAGCACCTACGAGAGCGAGCCGCCACCTTAAATAGACAAACTATAGCAGAACAGTCGAATGCTTTGAGATGCATTTAGCTTGTTTGCTAGACGTTGCCAAAATAGGTAACGCTGAGAAGAAACAGCCCTCTGAGACTTCGACGACGCCTTCACGTCGGACCGATTCAGAGTCTTCCCCAGAGCAAACAATCCCACACATGTCGAACAACGAGGTAGGCGGATGAAACAAGCTGGTGGACAATACTAGAAGGCGTCCGCAGCTAACAAAGAGATCGGCCAGTGTCGCCGCCCGGAGCGGAATTGGTAAGTAGACAGCGCCACGTAGAAGAGGAGATGACTGGCTAGGCTGGTTAGTCGTCAGGCTTGCGCTGTGCTGTGTTCGCCTATGACACACTCACATGTACCATACACGCCCTCCCTTGACAGTGAGCAGTAAGTCCAGATGGATGAGAGCATATGTTTCAGGCGAAGGAGGGATGCGAGCGCCCGCTAGCACACGGTTGGCAATGTTGGCGACGGATGGCTGCAGGTCCAGCGTTGGCATTAAACGTCGAGGTGAAGCTGTGCTGTTGCCCGCACAAGACTATGCAGCGCAACGAGTGCGTTTCCTGCGTCACTGCCAATCTGTGATTCGACGGTTTGCACCGTTCTATTTTGGACACTTGCTGTGTGATTGCTACGCGCGTGACAGTTGGTCAGAATCAATCCCCCGATTTACACAGGAGCTCACTGATAGGCAAATGGCGGACCACAACCGTGATCTGTGACTTGATACAGGCTGCAATTTATCGCTATCAATTCCCTCCCAGAGAACACAGATTCAGAGAACCAGGTAGACACTGGCGCAGGTACAATCGTACTGTCGATTACCAGCACCAGGGGCGGCGTCTTAATTCATTGGCCGCACTTACAGGGAACACGCCCCCCGTGCATGGCAAGATGTTTGCCTCCCTTCCGACCAGCCCAAGACACACACACAGGCAGGCGACAGTGAACAAGAGCGTAGCAGCACCGCCCACCAACGAAAAATGGAAAAGAGGCTTGCGAGCGTGGGCAGTGAACAGGGCACTGGTTGTGAGTGAGTGTGCGTTGGGTTGGCTGCATGACGGCAGCACCCAGTGGCACCACCTCCAAAAGAAAGAAACAATAAGGGCGACTAAAAAAGCCTGGTTTATTTTGTGTCTCTGATGCCATTTTTTATTTTTTATTTTTTATTTTTATTTTTTATTTTTTTATTTATTCGCACTAACTGCTGCGGCTGCGCCATTGCGGAGAAAAGAAAGCCTCCCTCCTCCACAGCGCAGGAAAAAGCAACAACGGTGCTGTAAAGGCCGCTACAGGCACCCGCTGGCAAAAAGGAAAACAACAGGGACAGGCAAAAAGGAAAAGAAGCAACAAGCAGCATCACTATTTCTCTTGCTACTTTCTTTTTTAAACCTCTTCACAGAGAAAGCGGGAAACAGAGAGATTCAGTTAAAACATCTTCGAGTACATAACCAACGGCTTCCTCCCTCAACTTTGTCTCGCCTACCACTCCTCCTTTCTTCCTCACCCCAAACAAAGAACCCTTGCTGTGCTTTTTTGTGTTTCTGGCTCTTCCTCTTCTGGTCGAACCTTTGCTCTCTTTCACACCTGAGACGGTTTTTTTTAATTTTTATGTTATGTTGTTGCCGCCTGTTTTGGATCCTCCCGCTCATTCACTCGCAACCAAGACACACACACACACTTACCACGATACAAACTGCCTATTTTTTTTTAATTTTTTTTTTTAATCTTTCTATCCATTTTTCTCTTTCTTCGTCAACACTGAAAAAAGCACACGGCCCGGAATCACCCTCCCTCTGATTCCATTTATATAACCAACTTGCCTCCCTCTATCCCTTCTTCAGGCATAGACCCTTTGTTTCTCAATCCCGCGCCTTTCTCTCCTTCAAGCTTCTTCCTTTCTTCGCAGATTGCCAGAGAGAGGGACTATCGAAACCATCGAACGTTTCCACTCCAAACAAGCGGATACAACCCGTCGCCCTTGGGCCAACGTACCCGGCTTCGACCATGATGTCTGTTCACGACTACTCCCGCTCTTCGCCTGCTCCAGCAAGAGCGGCCAACAATTACTCGCCAGCTCACGATGATGCTTCACACTACCGCCCGGCCATGCATCCTCATTCGCCTCCCGAGTCTGTCTCTTCTAGCCCTCGAGTCAAGGCTGAACGTAAGCACTCCACGGTTCTGCTCTCTATACTGTATCCAACTAAAACTTTCTCCTTGTTGCAGGCACTTTCTCCATCGCTTCCGACTACTCGTCGCTACCCAGACTCGCTTCCATTTCTGCTGCTTCCTCTTCCTCACACTCTCTGGTCAGACTACCCAGCCTAGAGGAGTTTGATCTCGGTGTCGAGGCCATTGCCCGTGCCAACGGCAACGCCCCCTCTTGGTCGCCGCCCTCGCCTCTACCTTCTATTGCCCGCTCAGCTTCTGCTTCGTCCGGCTCATCCATGCGTCTGCCTCCTCTGGCTGTTCGCGCCTTTACTCCTCCTGCCGCTGCTCCTGTTCATGCTGCTCCTCCTCCTCCTCCTCCATCATACCAGCCGTATGCCCATGGCGACGCTTACATGCATATGCCCATGGCCCAGGACAGCTACCCCAGCCCTCCTCCCGAGCACGGCGAGAACAGACACATCAACCAAAAGTACACAACGGAAGAAGGTGACTTCATCATCTACGCTTGGCACGACAAGAAGCTCAAGTGGCAGCGCATCAAGCAAGACTTTGCCACAATGTTTGGCCGCACGCCAGAGCGCACCGTCCAAGGCCTCCAGGCCTGGTACTACAGAATGAACCAGCGCATCCCCGTCTGGGACAAGGAAGGCTGGTTGATCTTTGACAACGACGAGGACCTCGAGCCCAAGCACGTCTCCATCAAGTGCCGCGAGCGCGATGGCCAGGACAAGCCCATGGAGCCTCTTGGTCTCGCCCAGCGATACCCCGAGCGTGCCGTTCACTACTCATGGGTCGATCCCGATCTCAAAGTCAAGGCTAGAGATTGGGCCAACAAGAGATCGATGCAGTACCGTGACCGCCGAGAGCGTCGCCGCAGAAAGGAGCAACGTCGTCTCAAGCTCTAAATGGGCCCGGCAATGTTGTCTCACCATGAAGCGTTCCGCATTCCATACCCTTTCCCTTGCACCATTGTACTATATTTATCCTTCTTTGTTCAATAGCTCCCCCGCCCAGTACGCCTTACAGCTTACAATGAGCCTGTCTTTTCCTCAAAAAGTTTCCTTTTTTTTCCTTTTGCTTAATGGCCCTCTGTTTCATCATCACCCAAAAATACTTTTCCATCTCGATTCATCTGAATCACTCCGCACTCACTACCTGTACGATTACGACTATTTCTTTGCCTTTTATTTTCTCGACTGCTCGATTTCTTACTATTCTTCATTCTTTCTTTGTTTTTCACGTTGCTGGTCGCGGCTGAGGCAGCGCCATGTGAATATGATAATGTCTAGACGGATTTGGACGGATATAATGGCTTTTTATTCTCAAAGGACGACGAGTTCCTTGACACATACAGCGCGAATCTTTGTATAATACCTTTTTGGCTTTTTATTGTTTTCTTTCCTTGCGAAATAGCAGCATATCTTACCATAGCTACTGGCAGACCAAAAACAAGTCTATTCTACAATCAATGTTCGTTTCCTTACAAGTGACTGAAACAAACTGCGACTTGCCAGCACGCAAAAAGAGAGACAACCCCAACAAGTTTTTTCTGAAACGGGTGTTCGTCAAGTGCAGCAACCATGCAAAACGGGCCGATTAGCGCTGTTCTGTTCGCTCTTGTGCCAGTCCTCGCGGCTGCGCGCTTGCTGAGCTCGGTGTGAGCCACCGCCCGCACATGCACATATGCAGACCCAAGAATAGCGACGTGCCACACCATGCCGTCGAGCTGCGCTTTGATGCTGTTTGCTTATGTCTTAATGTATGTCGATCGTTTCACGTGGCTTTCCATTCACAACTTGCAGCGGCGTCTTCAACAAGCGGTGCTGGGCACAAACATTCCGACTGTTCTGTAGGCTAATGCCTCTTTTGGGTATTTCGATTTCTCGGACGAAATTCGCTGTTTGAGGAACTTTTGGGATTTCTGTGAGTGTTGTCAAACAAATCGATCAGATAGCTTAGAGCATGCAACGTTGCAATAGAGTGTAGCATGTTTGTTGCATGATATCTTCTCGACTTGGCTGTGGTGTGTGTCTAACAATCCTCTTCGTTCAATATCAAGGGTCAATACATCGTGGAAAAAGTACGCTGTATGTTTCCTTAGCTTGAACTTGGGTGGCGCAAACAAGAGTAGCTCTGCGTATTGACTCTGAAATCGGGGTTCTTGAAAGCATTGGGCATCTATGCATAGTCCAACTCTTGCTCGGTTTGGATACGGTGACGCTTCATATGGGCGACAATTCGGGCCATTCTGGCATCGTCATCGAGGTCTGCTTCTGTCGCCATGTCGTCGCTGTCATACTCATCCTCATCAAATTCTTCGTCGTCTGAGGCATTATTGTTTCTGAACCAGTATGGGTTACGCCCGTATTCATCGTCAGAAGCCACTTCATCCTCCGGATAATCGGCAGTGTAGTGGTTTTCTGCGTTTTCATCCTCCTCATCCTCGCCCAACTCGTCGTCATCGTCATTCTGCGCGCCGTAGAAAAGCATTGTATCTTCTTCGCCTTCTAGGACCAAAACACCGATATCGGATGGCGATACATCGATTGCCATGTAATTCGCTGGCACTCGGATGTATTCTTCAATAATCCAGTCTTCACCCTCTTCGCCATCCTCATCGCTCATTTCGGTAGGTGTTGCAGTATTGCTCATTTCTGTGTCGGCTTCCTGTAGTTGTGGATGACGTTCTTGATATCTCTGAGCCGGTGCCTTTGGCTTAAATCTTGCCTTTTCTGCCGCCTTCTTGTCCTCTTCAATCTGATACAAGCTCGCGCCGACCTCTCGGAGAACCCACTCGTTCATGTCGGCGGCGATTTTATCCATATCCTCGTTATGGCGGTTGATCATTGGTTCGGGTAACACCTCTTTCGTTGATGCTTCTGCTGATTCCCCTACTGCCCTTTTCGATACGCCAGGTCGTTTTAAATCCTTCTGCTTGACATCATCCGTTGGAAGCTCCTGCGAAGAGCTCATTTGTGGCGCCAGACTACGCCGGGGCTTTGCCAGAAGACGCTTCCGTTTTGTGCGCTCTACAAACAGCGTTGGCCTTTGTCTCTCTTTCTTGAATATGTTACCACCCGTGGGCTGCTTGGCTGCAGCTGCAAGCATGGCGCGGGAGACGTGGAAGCGCCGCTGCTCTTTGTTGGAGCTGATGGCCTGTTTTATTTCGTCTTCAGTAGGAGTTTTGGAGGGCAGCTCTTCTTTTGGTGCTGTCGGAGCGCCTGGACCTCCAGAGACGTGTATAACGGGTACCTGGTTTGGATGCTGGCCAGGCCGTTTTGTCGATGCATCTTTTCGTTGGTAGACCCAGTTGGCTTCACTTCGGTGTCGCTTCGTACCATGATCGAGCTCTGTACCATCATTAGCTAACTAGAAAGGTAGCTTCTATCCAAGTTGGACGCACGCAGAAAGGTAACTGGCGCTTCTTCGACTCTCTTGCGCTTCACTCGAATCACTTGTGGTGGGAGCGACATTGCTGAAGAATGTGTGCGACTGCTTATGGCAGTGCAGTCCTAGAGCAAAGTTTCGTTCTGTGTATAAAATCGCGGGCTGCTGATGGCAAAGAATCGCGAGATGCGTCGCTTGGAAGAAAGACAGATTTAAGTTGCGGTTGTCGCAAATGGGCAAAGTGGTTCCTGGTATGAAGCGTTGTCCGGTTGATGGTGGTGGGGCACTCTTTGTCTGCCGCGGGGAGCTTGAAGATGGCAGCGAAAGGCACTGGATACGCCCGAGACACGGCAGCTTTCCCTATTAAAGCATAGTATTGTGACGTCAAATTTTCGAAAAATTGAAGAATTGAAGAAATAAAATTGAATATCATAGTTGAGCTACTCCTCTATGGCACTATGTCCTGCACACCTGATGCAGCATGCACCAGAGGCTTTCATTCTTTACGCCGTACTAAAGACAACAAAGCAAATCCCGTGTATCATTAAGCGGCGACATCCGCCCAGTATTGCTATTCCGAAATCGAGTTGAGAGCCGTGAGTGGCTTCTCGCTGGTCTGGCTGCCGTAGGAATTTCCACGGCGCCTATTTGACGCTGGGCTGAGAGAAGATGATGGTGGGCTGTTACCATTCGAAGAATCCATGCTTGCTCGTCCTGTACCGTCATCCATAATTGCTACATCCGTGCTGGACTGGATCTTCCTGAGCGTCCCCATAATCGCATCTCGGTCGCAAGGGAACTCCTCTAAAGTCGGATCATTAACATCAACGTTGTCTGCATTGGGTACCATGGGCTGGGTCTTCCTAGGAACTGTCTTCTCGATGGGCTCGTCATCAAGATCCTCATCGGTGATTTCGTAGGCACCAAGGCACTCATGAGCGAACAATGGCGCCTTGGAGTGGTTATCTTGGGTCGCCCCAGCCTCCCCTAACGTGTTTACAGGCTCTCCTGGGATGGCGTTGAAAATATTTACACGATGGCCATTATCGTCTGCGCCTGCGGGTTGCGTATCAGGTTAGTGGTGGCACTCCTCATATCATATCCAAGAATCTCACCTATGGGCTTGCTTTCATCAACAGTCCATTCGCCATCTCTTCCGATTCGGAAGCGATAGTAGTAGTCTTTCCCCTGCTTGGGGTGAAATGTCTTGGTGAAGTAGGCGTCACTACCATCCAAAGTATTCGCCTCCATTTCGAGAAGTTCCCAAGCTGGTTTAGTAAAGGTGCTTGCAATAAAGACCTTTGCATCTGCTTCCTGTCCATGGAAGGAGATTTTGACAGGAATATTTGGTGATACCTCCATTGTTTACAAGTTTTCTGCGCGATTGTATTTGTTCAAGGCCAAAAATCAAGGTGAGTAGTTGACGCAGCACAGGCTACGTCATATATGTCACCAACGTGAAGAGCCCAAAACGGCGGCGTGCTTTCAAAAGACAGATAAAAGGCGCCGGCGCCAGATAATTGACGATGGTTTCTTGATGATGACGCGTGGAATTACGCAAATGATATTTCCAATCCGTTGACGATGGAAAAGGCAAGATGGACGATGGCAATGGATCGGCGCGGGACTTACACAGTGGGTTGGGGTGGGTGAGGGGCAATGTTTAAAGGCAGTGCCAGTGCAGTATGCGGCCAACGGTGCATGCGCTGAAGGCGGCAGCGTGGCGTCTAGAGGCTTAGAGAGACCGGAGAGGGGGCAACTGCAACAGTAAAAGGATTACAAAGGCGGGGAAGAGAGACCTTTTTGGCGCAGGTTTAACAATCACATGCGGGAAATGTACTCGAGGGCGCGATAAGAACCAAGCCGTTAGTCCTTCTTCTTACACTGTGTTGTGCAGCCAAAGTTAAGTAGTTCGGCCGTGTGGGGGAAAAGGCCCGACACTACATGTACAGTACCGTTGCAGTTAACCTACTGCGTGTACCAGTTTCGTTTCTGTATGTACAGGTTACAGTATGCAATACTGTCTGTCCCTAGCCTGTAGTAGTCCCAGTGGGTGGTGGCGTCCCGCAAGTCACTGCGGCTGCATCCAGGTTGCTGCATATATCTATGCAGATACTTGCGTTATATCCTGGCTGCCGCCTTCTCGGCATGCCTAATACCGCATCTACCCTTATTAGCCGACGTTTTAAAGCGACAATGTCCAAAGCTGGTTAAACAACTGCAACGGCAGCGTCGAAAAGGCGTTGCGCCAACGCCAGCCCCCAGCCGCTAGAAACTCAAAGCCTACAGTGGATCAGGCCCACTGTAGCCTCCACTGTTCCCCGATCCGCCACCAAGGTCCTTTTCTGGACTGGACGACAGAGGAAAATTTAGTTTGGCAGCCGAAAGGGTTTGACATCACCACCACCCACGCGACACCAGCAACAAACGCACAGCTGCAGAACCATGGCGGCGCAACAAAGATGCCTGGCCTGTTTGGCGTCTACCGTCAACAGACCTGCTCTTTTGCAATCCCAAACATTGCGCTCTGCTTTGTCGCAGCGTGGGTTTTCGTCGCGGCCAAAGGGGAAATCACACATGGTCTTGGCCGATAATGTCTACAGAGCACCACGCCCAAGCGAAGACCGACAGCGCAGTCGACGAAACACTGCCGGTCCCTTTGGCGCCATGAATCGAACGGTTGCCAACATTGACCCTCGACGAGCCCCGAATCGCGCCAGATCCGGCGACCGCAGCGACCGAAGTGACAAAAGGGGCCCTGGTCGTGATGGTAGACGAGATCCCGATGATCGCAAGGCCATGCGAATGCACCGCGCACTCGCCACTGTCTCTTACGGGAAACGAAATGCTGTCAAAGACAAAATGGCCCAGTTTGAATCATTTAACCAGATGGAGATGCTGCCCAATCTACAATCTACAATCACCGAGGAGCTCTTCAAGGGCCTCGTCGACATCAAGCCTACGCCCATTCAGCGCCTCGCTATTCCAGCACTCTTGGGCCAAGCAGGTGGCAAGTCATCTCGACGATCAAAGGATGGGCCTGATTCGTTTTTGCTCGCCGCTGAGACTGGCTCTGGCAAAACGCTGGCGTATCTTCTGCCAGCCATCAACGCCCTCAAGATTGCGGAAGCGGCCGACCCCGATATCAAGGCGTACAACGAGCGAGCCCAGATCGAGAAGGAGATACAAATGAACAACCCTGGTAAAAGCAAGGGTCTTGATGAGCCTCACCCTACCATGGCTCGCCCCAAGGTGGTTGTGTTGGTGCCTACAGCGGAACTTGCCCAACAGGTTCTCAAGACATCCAAGACTATCTCGCATGTTGCAAAGTTCAAAGCCGACATGCTATCCTCGGATTTGAGCCCGCAGCAAATCCAGCGCAACATGTACGGCAATCGGGGTATTGACGTCATTATCTCAACACCTCATTTGCTCTCGTCCATGGCAGACGCCGATCCCAACATTCTCTCTCGTGTGTCGCATCTCATTATAGATGAAGCAGATTCTCTTTTCGACAGAAGTTTTGCACCAGTCACCAGTGGCATTATTGAGCGCGCAAGCCCGTCTCTGAAGCAACTGGTATGTTGCTCGGCTACGATCCCCAGAAAGCTCAACAAGTATCTCGGCACCAACTACCCGGATATGGTTCGCATCACAACACCCAATCTGCACGCTATTCCCCGTCGTGTCCAGCTTGGTGTCATTGATGTCTCCAAGGACCCTTACAGAAACAACAAAGATCTGGCGTGTGCCGATGCCCTCTATACCATTGGCAAGGAAAACGCAATGCACGAGCTGGCAGATAAAGATGAGCTGGATGTTCGCAGAGTCATTGTGTTTGTCAACGAAAGACAAAAGACGGAAGACCTTGCAACTTATCTGCAGTCCAAGGGAATCGACGCCGTCGCCCTACACAGAGACACTCCCGAGAAACGTCACGGAGAAGTCCTGGGCACTTTTACATCTACCGAACCGTTGCGTATTGCCCGACCTACACCGGGCGGTCAACGTGCCCTCAAGAATGTTAAAGTTCTTGTGGTAACGGATTTGGCATCGCGCGGTATCGATACGGTTGCCGTCCGCCATGTCATTCTTTACGATGTTCCTCATACGACGATTGACTTCATCCACCGCCTCGGCCGAGCCGGCCGCATGGGACGACGTGGCCGTGGTATCGTTTTAGTTGGCAATGATGATCGCCGAGACGTCGTTGCAGACGTTAAGAGGAGTATGTTTATGGGACAAGCGCTTATTTAAGCTAAACCGGCTCAAATGGCTGCGCATCCATTGTATTTTTAGCCTATCGAGGCAACAAACTCGTGTAAGATATGGTGTAGGCGACCACTGCAATCCAAGCATGGTGGCGTCTTAGAATAGCAGCATTTTGCAGCATGAGGGACATGTATTATACTGTATTAACAACACTAGGTATTTTTCCAAAAGCAAATAGAAAGCAAAGATCTCTTTTCCTCCACCTTGCGCTTCTCACACGTGTAAATCAATTAAACTAAGAATGCCTAAACGGGTTAAGCCTTGCCCGTGTCGATTGGCCGGTGCCCCACGTTGGGCGACAAGGCGCGACACGCGACGACGCGTTGTGCCATCACACCAAATTACGATTTTCACGATTCTTCACGCTGCACCCCAAAAAATTGTCAAGAGTGCCCTGCAAGAAACAGATATAGAAGCGGGATTGTCCGTTTACAACGTCACATTTAGTGAATACGCTTCAAAACATAAACTCGACTCAATGGCTCGCACACGGAGAGCAGCGAAACCAGCTGCAGAAACAGCCCAGCAACCTACACGAGGACGACCTACGCGGGCAAATGCAGCAGAAGAGGGTGATGATACGATCATTCCCGCAAACCCGGACGAGACTATCCCTTCCATCGAACAGACAGATATAACCGCCACGCCAGCACGACGAGACACTACAGGTCTCGACCTCGCCGACGATGTGTTTGGAGATTTAGACGAGAGCTTTGCTGATGGAGAGATCCCCCGTGTTCCTGGATCGGCGGAAACGACAACTTCATGGAGCAACTTCAGGCCTCGTTCCAGACAATCCAGCATCATTGGTCGAAACGACGCCCCAATTAGACCAAGCAGCCGCGCCAGCAATACAGGCATTGGATCGTCTTTCACCATTGGCGCCTTCCGAAGACGTGCAAGAGAACCTAGTATCTTGGCTACGTCGCGAAGACCTCGCTCAGAAACCTCTGCTGCACCATCTGATCTGGAAAGTGAAGGCGAATTTGCTCCCGATGCCGAGTCAACACCGCTTAACAAGAAGCGTCGAACCACGCGAGCAAGCCTAGCTGCTTCTCAGGCCAACACATCCGTTGCGGCCAGCTCATCGAGAACAACACGCAAACGAAAGAGCGAGCAGCCTCATGCCGCCAACGAACAGCCAGAGAAAGCTTCAAGAGTCGACGCCGAGGATGACGATTCTAATAGCGAATCGGAGTTATCCGAGGTTGCATCACCAAAGTTGGCCCGAAACCCGTTCCTCAACGCCCGGCCGGTGACACCGATCAACGATGAAGAGATCATGGCACCTCCAGCAAGCAGTGGGTCGGAAGACGAAGGAGAGGTTTGGCCAGATATTCACAACCTCGCCAAGAGACGCCGCCGACCATCCGTGAGCACGCCCAACAGAATTGAGCAAATGTCTGATATGTCATCTCCGCCCTCCCTTACACATTCTCCCAACTTCCCCGGTGGTCGCTCAGGCAAGAGACGCGGCCACCAATCGCCGGTTAAGTCGCCGCCCAAGATTACCACGGCCGATCTTGCCAGCTTGCTTCCCCAGCGTCGCTACAAGAAAACATCAGAACCCCATGCGGATAGCAGCGATGAGGAGGAAGAAGAGGAAGAAGAAGAGGAAACCAACACCCGCTCGAGTCGCCGCAAGGCCAACAGCAGCCGCGCATCTTCGCGCGCGCGTGGTCTCAAGAATGCCACTTCCAACGCAAAGCAAGCTGCTACTGGTACACGAAAGTCCAAGCGTAATGCTCGCCGTCTGTCGGATAAGGAAAACTTGAGCGATGATGATATTGACGAGCATGATGAAAGCGCGTTCCAGCCCCTCCCAGAAGATACTTTTGACGACGGTGTCGAGAGCTCAGTCAATGTACAGACTGCAGAAGAGCTCAAGCAAGCTGTAAAGAAGTTTGCCGAAGTGGACAAGTGGGAGATGGAATACGAAGAGGTTGCTGAAAGCTACTCACCCAAGGGCGCCAGGTGAACGAGGGCTCTCTGTGTATTGCGTTGGGTTTCTTATTTGATGGATACAGCTCCTTCCTGTGCATTAACAGTGGATTTTGGTTTGGAGCGTTTGGAAAACACTTGCAGGAGTCAGGGTCAGTCGCTTTATCTATATCACACTTTGCTTTTTGGTCCTTTGTATGGAGAGCGTCAAAAGGGATACTATTGTAGTTTCATAAGACTTATATGTAAATTGTATATTCATGAGTTCTTTTTATTCTTTCGTTGTTCGTCACATCATGCGTAGTCCTTCTATTTCTTTATGGTGGCACCTTTTTACGTCGAGCGTAGACTAACTGCCTCAACCTTTTGGTCCTTGACGGCCAGTAGCGGATCTAGAACATTCGGGTCTCGCAGCGCTATGGTAATGTCATCTGTCAGTCGTCCTGACAGCTGTAGTGCCTGATTTTAGAGTTAGCTTTTTGTTCTCTTTTTTTGCTTCGAAGCAAGCAACGTTATATAGAAAAGTTTGACATACTCGCTTAACATCAGCAAAGCTTGATTCTTTAACAGTATACTCTCGGATAATCTCGTCTGTTTCAAAGTCTACGTAGACTCGCGTATCGCGGATTCGAACAATGACGTTGTCGAGGCGCATGAACAGTCTGCAGAGAAGCAGCATGCGCTGTTCGTGGACACGCAACTTGGCACTGTAGATGGAGATGCCGTTGTCGTCGAGCTCGCTTTCAAACAAGACAACTTCGTCAAAGAATAATATAGGATCGCGGCGCTTCAGAAGCTCCAGGGGTATCGACTTGGATGTCGGCTGCAACTCGGGCAGCTTCGCGCTGTCGGGGGGTGTCTGTAGTGTGCCGGCATATGTGGTCGAGTAACTCCAGTCGTATGGTTTGACGACTTCCTTAATCTTCTGCGTCGTTCCCTCGCGTGTGCTCTCCCAGTCTCGCGCATATGCCACCTTGAGCATGTGCTTGTCTGTCTTGTCCACGGCGTCGAGGGCATCCGGGGTGTTGAAGTTGATGGTCCAGCCGGACGGCATGTGCGTGATGGCTACGAGGTTGTCGCCGAAGATCATCTCGGGCATGGGAATCCCCAGCTTCTCGGTGAGCTCATCGATAGCGCCGGCCTTGGAAATGGGCAGCTTGCGTGTGGAAATCTTAAATCGGCCTTGGGTGTGCGCTGTGGTGGCCACCGCCAGCTGCGACGGCGTCGGGTATGGCTCGTTGGGGTGTGTGATATGGTTCATTTTTCTGCGTTTTTCTGGTAACTTTTTCGCTTAATAAAATTTTGTCGTCGGAAGCCTGCACCGCATGTGTCAATTGTTGCTGTTGGTGGATGATGCAAAGGTTAAAGAGGCACACGCAAAGCTAAACGCTGGCCATGCGGTTGACCCTCGCTGCCCCACCAAGTGCAGATTGCCTAATTGGGACGGCCTCGCTACTAACAAACACCATATACTGCCGACATCACCAACTTGCTCACGTCTAACTTTTCTTTCTTTGCAGTGCTTAATGATGGACGTTAACTTACTTTTGAAACTTTTAATTCAAAAAACCTTCTCTTCGTTCTCTGGGTTCTCTCTGGGAGCCGTATAAATACTCCTCGACGTCCACATCCATCTGGTGTCAAGTCCCTTACTCTTACTGTATGGGCGTTCACCTCACTCAAGTCAATACTCAGTTGTCTACTCAAGCCTTCTTTACCCTCACTTATTCTCAACACAAAGTCAATCTTCTTTGTTAAGAGTCTTCATTTACTTCAGCTGTGTCTAGCACCATCAACAACATGGCACCCGCACGTCTTAGAGACGATCCCGTCTGGGACAATGAGACCTTTCTTCGAGAACTTTGGCTGGCTCTTATGGAATCTCACCCTACAACAACTTTTGCTACACCATCTCCTACGCCAAATCCTCCTTCGTCTTCGTCATCATCATTATCTTCTTCTTCGTCTTCACCATCTTACTCTGTTCCGTCGTCCTCCTCTCGCTCTCGCCCACCCTCTCCCATTTCCCCCCCTCTCCCTCCAATGCCGGCTTCCTTCGTTTCCTCTACGCCAGCAAATACGACTCCTCGCTATGCTCAAGGTTACTCTCCTTGGTCAAACTCAGTGCCGGATAGGATGTGGAACCGGCCGCCACCTACACGCAGAGGTCTAGCAAACTATACCAGATATTCGATTGGATTTAGACGCAGTCACGAAGATGCTGTCAATGCAACGGACTTGTTTCGCTTTGGCTTTCATCTCAGCCCACTTATGAGCCCAGTTCCCGAGGCAAACTGGTATCTTTCCGTGCAAAGATTGTGGGCCGATCTGTACCCTGGCAGGGTCCCTCGCAAGATCGCTTGTCAATTCTTTGGCGTTGACCTTCCCTCAGACACCAAACTGGTCTGTGAGCGATGCCATGTGGCCTTCTCTATCCACCTGCAACCAATTCCTCGCCATGGTGTGGGCATCGTCAAGATCCTCCCGTACATTCATTGCCCCAACAATCGAGATGGGTCATGCAAGGAGTCCTCCATAGAGGCCTGGATTAATTATCAGCGCGCCATACAACAGAAGAAGCAAGAGGCTGGCGAGACTTTCCGCACGCTCTTGTCCACGCTCCCTGTTGGCTTCTTGTCCCTCAAGGTCTATGGACAAAGCCCCCGGGGAGCAGCCAGCGTCGACACAGAATCTGAGATTTATATGGCGTATCTCGCATGCCGCAAATTCTGGATACAGAGATGTTTCATGCTTGAAAACGGGAATCCTGTAGGCATCCCACCAAATTTAGCTTTAATGATCCCAGAATTGGAGATCATACAACTGTGGGGAGACATTTCAGCAGACCTTGGGCTTTACAAGCAAGGAATCATTTCTGCGGAAACTTTCAAATACATGTACGAGGTCAGCGTTGAGCATGCCAATGACCTTGCATTCTATCCCAGCTGGCATGTGCAACGACATTGCCTGAATGACTACGTCGGACGTCGTCGAGATTTACCCAAGAACCAGTTCCATGTGGCTAAGAGAGCTGCGCAGCGTATTGCAGTCGCCATGGAGAAGCTTTATATCGCCAGGATGGCCCATCCAGACAAACTCGACATCCTTGCGGCCAAAAAGCACATTGCATTCAATCGCTTTGAAGAGATGCGCAGCGCATTGTCACTTTTTACTTCTGTATTGCACTTTCGACTCAGCCCAGCACCACTTCCCCGAAGCATCAAGAAAGCAGGCACTAAAAACAGTGCTTAGAGTATCATACCAAGAGGGCGTGCATCCTCTCCATCAACATAAGAGTTTTATCATGGTCTCGTATCATGGGAGTTTGGAATACCCCGGATCGTTTTTGTATTGTTAGGCAGTTTTGTTTGATATGTTAAGTTATTAGACTCAAAGATGTTGGAGTTTAGGTCTGGGTTTAGTTTGGGATTTAGGTGACTTAATCAACACTGTCGGTCAACTTTAGATAGTTAGACAGCATACTAATTTTTGCTTTGGCAACATGAATAAAATTGGTTCTATTTCAACAATACGTCCTGTTCTTTTTTAAAAATGAAAATAAAATAAAAATATAGAATAGTAAAACAATGTATTGGAACAAAAGTATTGTGCAGGGTGACCAGCTCACACAGGCTGACGATGTTGCCGTGCCAACAACGCCTCCGCGGGCCGCCCTATTGTAGATGATCCACCAACAATGACAGACCACAGAGGAGATACACACAGCACAAAGACTTTACCGTGGCCACGAAAAAAAATCCGACAACGCATCTCTTCTCCTGCTTTGATCGTCAAATTCCTCTTCTACCAGCTGTCAGAAACCACACAATGGCAGCTCGAACGTTGGAAGCGCGCCTTGAGCGCATGTCTGTCCAGGACGAAAACGACTACAACCGACCAAAGGTACATCCATCCATCTAGAAGCATTCCACATCCGTTAGGCGAGACATCATGTTCTAACTATAGATCAGGCGTCTTCTAGCACCGTCAGCCGTCCGAACCTCTTCAAAGTCGCCCTCCAGTCACAGAGCAGCAACACATCCACCTCCGTCGTGCTCCCGTCACAAGCCTCGCAAAAGAAGGCCAATGGCCCGCCATCGCCGCAACGCAAAGCACTGCCGTCCAGTGCCCGACTATCCGAAGTCGTGATTGACGAAAACAAGGCGCTGACCCTCATCGAGCAGCCCAGTATCCCCAAGGCGTTCCACCTCGGCATGTTCGAAATCGGCCGCCCCCTCGGCAAGGGCAAGTTTGGCAGAGTCTACCTGGCACGCGAGCGCAAGTCGGGCTTCATCTGCGCCCTCAAGGTCCTCCACAAGAACGAGCTACAGGCAGGCGGAGGCGTGGAGAAGCAGGTGCGTCGTGAGATTGAGATCCAGAGCAATCTGCGCCACCCCAACATCCTGCAGCTGTTTGGGCACTTCCACGACAGCAAGCGCGTGTTCCTCATCCTCGAGTTTGCCGGCAAGGGTGAGCTGTACAAACATCTGCGCCGCGAGAGCCGTTTTCCTGAATGGAAGGCTGCGCAGTATGTTGCGCAGATGGCCTCGGCGCTGCGCTACCTGCATAGAAAGCATGTCATTCACCGCGATATTAAACCGGAAAACATCCTCGTCGGCATTCATGGTGAGATCAAGATCTCCGACTTTGGATGGAGTGTTCACGCGCCCAACAACAGACGCAAGACCATGTGCGGCACCCTCGATTACTTGCCTCCCGAGATGATCATTCCGGGGTCGTCCGTCAACTACTACAACGAAAAGGTCGACTTGTGGAGCTTGGGCGTTCTTACATATGAGTTTCTGGTGGGCGAAGCGCCGTTTGAGGATACACCTGTCATGACGCAGCGTAGAATCACGCGTGCAGACATGACCATTCCCAAGTTTGTGAGCCCAGAGGCTAGTGACCTCATCAAACGAGTACGTTTTTGTTTCCTGTCATCTGATGCTGTTCTATGCAAGAGTTGAAATAGCGCATTTCGGCTAACCATAATATCTCTCTCTGCAGCTATTGGTGCTTGATCCCGAGAAGAGAATCCCCTTGGACCAGGTTCAGTCTCACCCGTGGATTGTTAAGCACTGCGTCAAAGGCGAGCGAGCGACAAACCGCGACCGCAGCCAGTAACATAACCGCATGGCCGTGACGATATATAATTTGCATTTCTGACATTAAGTTTCACCGGCGTTTCTTTGGTCCTCTTTACTTTCTTCCCTAGTTCGGGAGTAGCACTTCATTGGGTTCAGGGCATTTTGCAAGGAGTTCTTTTTTTTTTCTTACCTGTTTTGTATATTGCATCTGCATTGCATATGTTCATCTAACTCTAGGCTCAGCAACGTGGTCTTGGCCATGCCAATATTGAATATAAGGAACATTATTACTATTCGTTCTACTCTGGTGTTACATGTTTTGGGTATCGTCATTAAATTGAAGACTTGTAAAAGTACATGCGGGGGAGGGGGATATGCGGAGACTATCGGGCTGCTAGTTCCGAGGACGTGCATATAATACAATGGTGATATTCCTTTTCACCGGTAAATCTCGTCAAAGGGACGGGTGTCTGAGTAGCATGAATCCCACACCTGATCAATAACTTGAGCCGCTTGGGCCTCGTCCTTGCATCTAGGTCGGGCTGCAACCGACTGCGTAGCTCGAAGGCGCACACAGTTCTGGAACTGCTGCGTCAACTTCCACTTGCCTCGGGTAAAGGCCTCGCGGGTCCATCTGCATTCGCCGCTAAGCATGGATGCTCGAATCTGGGGTAAGGGGAAAAAAGACGCAACGTTAGTCAAGCAAGATTCAGCCACCGCGTAATGTAGCATTGGACGCAACTCACCTCTGTGCATGCTGCATGCTTTAGGTCCTTGTCTCCAGTCCAGTCCACCTTCCATCGCAAGTGGTCCCATGCGTGTACCATTTCGTGGGCGAGAGTATCCTCAAGATGTTTGCGGTCTCTGACCTCGTTGGCGCAGAGAAGAATGCCGTGGTCTGGGCTGAAACCTCCGGATTGGCGGTGGACTTGCCCATCTTCCTCTAGCCTGGCTGGACAGCGCCTGCATACGACATTGGAGGCGTCAAGTTTGCCATTGAGATCGCCAATCTTTTGGTTAAGAAAACGGACAACGGGGGAATATGTGAAGAGCCAATCGCGGTAGTCGTCGCATCGTTTGCAGTCTCGTTCCTCGTGCACCTTGTACCGCCATTCGCGGTAGTGGAACATGCCCTCGTTAGTCATTTGGCCTGACAGAATACGAAAGTAGTTCATCCACCACTTCATCTGCGGGTCAAAGCCCGTCCGTGCAGGATCATTGACAACCTCCTTGGGTCGTTCCCCAGCAGCAGTATTCGATGCCACGGGCTGTGCAGATGGCGCCGCTGACGACGCGCCGGGAGCCATGGCGAAAGGGGCGGGGGATGTCGACAGGCAGCTAGCTGTGCGAGCAAACTGAGAAAAGAACGGTCGGGCGGGCTACAAAGAGAGGCTCGCTAGGCTGTGCGGAAAATACCAAAAGCAAAAGCGGCGAGCCGGAGCGATAAGAACACGGAGAGAGATTGCGATAGGCTGATAGCCAATGGTGCAAGAAGCGTTATAGTTTGGCGCTATATCTACATGGGAGTGGGAAGACGACCACAAACTGACGAGTAGTAATTCTGCCACAGCTGCAGTGTGGTAGCGTCGGGCGGTGAAGTCGGCAGGTTACTGGTGGACGGCAGGGCCATACGAAACGCCGGCATCCACTTTTGGGCCGAGTGAGCCTCGCCGTGACGGCAGGTCACTTTACAGCGGGCTAAGCGCTAGAAGTGACTTGTAGAGACGGAGACGGCGGCAACGGAAGCCATGTACCTTTATGTATTCTTTTTTGAATTTTTCCTTTTGTTTTTCATGTTCCGTTCCGTTTTTATCCCTATGGCTTTTGTATTCTGTTTGAATTTTCTTCTACTGGTTCCGTGATTGGCTATTGGGGTTACGCTTAGACCGTCAGCCTGTCGTTCTTCTTAGTGGTTTGGCAACCCCGAAACGGGATCGCTTAAGGGCTCCTTTTAGCTAGCTTACAGGCGCCCCAGCGCCCAACGATTGCCGCTTGTAGCACTGTAGCCCGCGCTGTGTTTGCGTGCTGTGCCTGTGGCGCCGTCTCTCTGTCTGAATTCCTGCTCACCGTAAGATGGGCAACGAATTCCGTGTCACCAGACCCTGTCACGGTAGATTGTTGATTGCGGCTTAAAAAAATAAAACAAATCAAAAAATAGAAATGAGAAAAAACTTCTCACTGACGATCAATCTGGCTTCTTCTGTGCTGATACTGCAGCTAATAATACTCGGAACCTCACAGTAACAAACTGACGAGGCAGCCCATACCCACACCACCACAGCCACTAAAACTACAGGCACCACCACCACTACGACGACCACCTGTCAAAGACGCACGCTGGAAACGCTGGTCTCCAGCCTCATGCACACTAAAAATCGTCTGTGTCAATAAAGGCGCGCGATGATTTGACAGGTGCTGGTCCGGTGGGACCCGAGGGGGCCTGGGCAGACGTAGCCGGACGCAACAGTGGACACCGACCGCTGGAGCACTGGCGCTGTCACTGTGGCCCAGGTACCGATGCCCGCTATCGCCACCCACGAGGTACATGGCCGCCGGCAAGTGCACTGCGTCACCAGCCCCAGTCTTCGTCCTGCTGTCGCCCAATCCCCGCGCCGGTAGCGAAATCTCCTCTTGTAGATGAGCTTTCTTTCAGGTACCGGACCACGGCCATTACGACATTTCGCCCAACGACGAATAGCAATAGCAGCAGGCTTGTGAAAATGGGCAACGCGGAGGCTCCCGCAGGTAAGTTTCTGCTCACTTGCCGTGTTTATTTTTGCGGCTCTTTTTCTTAAATACAATCGCTTCCCGGGCCTCACTTCCCAAATCCGTGTTGAGTCATCCCGATATTTCTCTCAACACCGCTTATCCCGTCGCTTATTCCGTTTGCTTATTTCCCCTTCATACGCCATATAATGCGTCTTGTCCTCGTATAGAGTTGATTTCGCTTTATTTATTCTCTTTGAACAATCCATTGCGTTGCTCGCTCCTCCGCTAACTCATCATGACTCAAAAAGTATCATGCATGAAGAGGTCTCATCCTCTGACCGTTGTCATCAAGCTTGGTATGGCTCACGATATCCTCCTGCCTCTTCTGGCTGCATGGTCCCCTACAGACACCGCTAACACGATCGCCCCCCAGGCACAAGCTCCATCGTAGATGAGGTCACCCATGAGCCGCTGCTACCCATTCTGACTCTCATCGTTGACACTGCTGTCAAACTGAGAAAGGATGGTCACCGCGTCGTCATTGTCTCATCAGGCGCCATTGGCGTCGGCCTCCGTCGCATGGACGTCGACAAGCGCCCCAAGCACCTTGCTCAGCTCCAGGCTCTGGCCGCCATTGGTCAGTGCCGTCTGATCAGCCTCTGGGACAGTCTCTTCAGTCATCTTGACCAGCCTGTTGCCCAGATCCTGCTTACAAGAAACGACATTGCTGATGTGAGTATCCTTCCTTGGCCAGTTTATCTCTCTTGCATTGCCCACTAACACATGGCAACAGCGCACAAGATACATCAACGCTCAAAATACTTTCAATGAGCTACTAGACATTGGTGTCATTCCCATTGTTAACGAGAACGATACCCTCGCTGTTTCCGAAATTAAGTTCGGTGACAATGACACCTTGTCTGCCATCACTGCGGCCATGATCCATGCCGACCTTCTCTTCCTCATGACAGACGTTGACTGTCTCTACACCAAGAACCCTCGCAGCAACCCTGATGCTCGCCCCATCGAGGTCGTAGAGGACATTTCGGCCCTGGAGGCTGATGGTACGTACCCAAGCACCCTCTATTCATATGGATTTTTCAATATTCTAATCATTCATCTATAGTCTCAAGTGCAGGATCATCTCTTGGTACTGGTGGCATGAGCACCAAGATTATTGCCGCTAGACTAGGAACATCTGCCGGTGTCACAACCATCATCACCCGCTCTTCAAATCCCGGCAACATCCTGGGCATTGTCCAGTACCTCTACAGTTCCCCTCGCTCGTCTGTCATTGCAGATGAAGACGGCGAGATCCTCTCCCGCACATCCTCTCTCAGCCTCATCTCCCCCGTCGCAAAGCACGTGCCTACCACTGGGCCCCCTCTACACACCCGCTTCCTACCCTCAAATGAGCCCATCCGCGATCGCCAATTCTGGCTGTTGCACACTCCCAACCCTCATGGCAGCATTTACATTGACGGTGGAGCTTACAAGGCCCTGCTTGGCAAGGCCGGTTTGCTCCCTGTTGGTATTCTTGATGTCGATGGCCACTTTGCTCCACACGAAGCTGTGAGAATTGTGGTTGTCAACCGCCGCAAGACGCCTGGACCAAATGGCAAGATGTGGGACGGCGAGCCTGAAGAGGTTGGCCGCTGCATTGTCAATTATGCGGCGCAAGAAATCGTGCGCATCATGGGCCACCAGAGCACCGACATTGAGGGCATCTTGGGCTACGCTGACAGCGAATATGTTGCCCACCGCTCGCATATTGGCTTCTTTAACAGCCAGAGCCGTCCTGCCTCTCCTGTGTTGGAGATGGCAGTCCCTGTTTAAATGATATTAGCGTTGCATACATGGATTTCTTTAGGAGTTGGCGTTGAGACGGTATGATACTCGATAGATATCAGATTGCATATACATTTTGATTGTATTCATCTACTATAAACAAAAGTTTTTTGGAACCCCTAAACGCCAGCGTGAAAACCCAAGTAAAAAAAATTGACATGCATATCGCATCAAATTCTTGGCTTATGCCTCTCTACTTCGGGGCACAACCACGAACGGAAAGCCAACAACCCGACGGTCTACTTAACCAGTAGCAAAGAGGTTGTCTTCGTCTCGGAGGAATTCTCCACAGTCGGCTTGTCTAAAGACGGTGATACCGGTAGGATCCAGGCGTCTGGCCTCAGCAGTGCTGCGGCTTGAGACACCAAAGCCAAGAGGGGTATCGTTCATGTTGTAGACAATAACGCCCTGGTGCTCGGGGCAGTCGTCGGACCAGCGTCCAATGTGCGCCTTGACAACGTTTCCACCGTAGAGGAACGGCATTTCACCGTTGCTCTTAATCCAGACCTTCCATCGGGCGTGTTCGGAGAGGATGGGGAGGGCGGTAATGTGCAGTCGGAATTTGCCAGTCTTGGTGAACTTGCCTGTAGGAGAACAACTGGTTAGCAACAGCACTTTGAGGCTTTATTTCAGCAGCAAATATCTTACCAAGGCAGGTTCCGAGAGACAGCAGGTTATCTCTAGAGATGGATGTAGCAAGGTTGGCGACAGAGAGCAAGACGTAGAAGACTCTGTTCTTCTGCATGCGAAAGACGTAGCGGTCGGAGTTGGGCGAGTCGTCGAGCGGCGCAATGAGGTTCTTGAGAGAGCTGCCGGTGTAGTTGGCGAGCTTCTCGAAGAGGGTTTTTGTTTCTTGCTCTGTCAAAGGTCTCATCTTGTCTGTGGTTGCGGCGATGAAGCAGTTTGATTGTTCAAATCATCGATGTCGTCTGCAAGCCCGTCGAAAAAAAAAAATTAGACAAAACCCATCGGAGCGCTAGACACCGATAGTGGGGCCGGCGGTGGTGCCTCGAGCTCCAGGCTGCTCTCTGGGCGTGGCAGGCGCTAAGATTGCACGGCACAGCGCCACGCCCAGTCGTAACAGCGCTGTTGGCTTTGCGCTGGCAACCAAGCATCAAGGGAGCCAGCCAGGTTAACCTGCGACAAACACAAAAACAACTCGAAGCCGACAGCTGCTCCTATCACCAGCCTCAGACACAGCCCGCCAATTGCGCATTACTATTAGCACTTGGGCCGACATCGCAGCCGTTCAATTGACAGCCGCAGTAGTCATAAACGCGCATCCGCCTGCACCTCCAGACAGGCAACCAAGCGCTGGCGCCGCCTAAAAGTTGCCCCCTAACAAACGGCACGCCAGTCACTGCAGCCCAGCTTCGAGACAGTTCTGCCAGGTACTCCCTTTTGGCGTGCCACCCCGCCCACACAGTTTCCCAGCCCGCCCCCACCACAACCACCACACAAGCTTTGCTCGCAAGAGACAAGTCAGCGCCGGTCTCGTTACTGTGACTCAGGTGCTTTCTTTTCCCTTGACAACAACCAAGCGATATATGAAGCCAATCCGATTCCCTGCGCCTGCATCCTCTCCTCTCCGATATACTCGCACTGCTCTACATTTCCGATTTCCACAGCGTACGCCTGCCTGGCATCGAACGTTTTTCGTCTCTCGACCCCTCCTCGCTTTTCAAACCCCTCCAAAATCGAAAAAGCCAGCAGCCATGACTTCGACCGCTACCACGCTCAAGGGTCAGCCCTTGGAGAAGCCTATTCTCGAATCCATGTTGAGACGGCGCATGTTTTACACTCCTTCGTTTGAGATTTACGGTGGCGTTGGTGGTCTCTACGACTACGGCCCTCCTGGCTGCGCTCTCCAGGCCAACATTGTTGACACTTGGCGTAAGCACTTCATCCTCGAGGAGGATATGCTCGAGGTTGACTGCACTGTCTTGACTCCTCACGAAGTCCTCAAGACCTCTGGCCACGTGGAGAAGTTTGCCGATTGGATGTGCAAGGATCCCAAGAACGGCGACATCATGCGTGCCGACCACTTCGTCGAGGCTGTCCTCGAGGCCAGACTCAAGGGCGACAAGGAGGCCCGTGGCCAAAAGGTCGAAGAGAAGGAGCAGGATCCCAAGAAGAAGAAGAAGAAGAGCGCCAAGTCTGAGGCTGTCAAGCTCGACGATGCTGTCGTGCAAGAGTACGAAGAGGTCCTCGCCAAGATTGACAACTACGACGGCCCTGCCCTCGGCGAGCTCATCAAGAAGTACGACCTCAAGAACCCCGAGACTGATGTCCTTCCCACCGAGCCCGTCGCCTTCAACCTCATGTTCCAGACATCCATCGGCCCAAGCAGCAACCTTGCCGGCTACCTCCGCCCCGAGACCGCCCAGGGCCAGTTCCTGAACTTTGCCAAGCTTCTCGAGTTCAACCAATCCGGCATGCCTTTCGCCTCTGCCTCCATTGGCAAGTCCTACAGAAACGAAATCTCTCCCCGTGCTGGTCTCTTGCGTGTGCGAGAGTTCCTCATGGCCGAGATTGAGCACTTTGTGGACCCTGATGGTGGCAAGAAGCACCCGCGCTTCCAGGAGGTTGAGCACATTGAGCTCGTCCTCCTCGACAAGGACACTCAGCTCTCTGGCAAGACCACCACAAGAAAGCTCACTATTGGCGAGGCTGTCAAGACTGGCCTCGTTGACAACGAGACTCTCGGCTACTTCCTTGCCCGTATCCACCTCTTTTTGGAGAAGATTGGTGTTGACATGTCCAAGATGCGCTTCCGTCAGCACATGGCCAACGAAATGGCTCACTACGCCTGCGACTGCTGGGATGCTGAGCTCTTCACCAGCTCTGGCTGGGTTGAGTGTGTTGGTTGCGCTGACCGTAGCGCTTACGATCTGACTGTCCACGCTAACAAGACTGGTGCTCCTCTCGTTGTCCGTGAAAGCCTTGCTGAACCTCTTGTTATTGAGGAGTGGCAGGTTATCATTGACAAGAAGAAGTTTGGTCCCCTCTTCAAGAAGGATGCCAAGCTTGTTGAGACCGCTCTCCTTGCCAACAACCAGGAGCAGCTTGAGAAGCTTTCCAAGGAGCTCGCTGATGCTGGCAAGTTCACCCTTGATGTTGAGGGCATTGCCAACAACAAGGCTGAGATCACCCAGGACTCTGTCAAGATTGAGTTCCGCAAGCGCATCGAGAACACTCGCGAGTTCACCCCCAACGTTATCGAGCCTTCCTTTGGTATCGGCCGTATTCTCTACTCTCTCATTGAGCACAACTTCTGGACCCGAGCCAGCGATGGCGGCGATGAGTCGCGCGGTGTGAGTCACTTTCCCTCTTTTTAATGTAAGGCCTGTCAACTATGATGGATTGCTGACATGTTATACTAGGTCCTGTCCTTCCCTCCTCCCATTGCTCCCACCAAGGTTCTTCTCGTCCCTCTTTCTTCCAACGCCCAGTTCAAGCCTGCTCTCAAGAAGCTGTCCCAGCGTCTCCGCTCCCTCGGCATCTCCAGCCGTGTGGATGACTCCTCAGCCAGTATTGGCAAGCGCTACAGCCGTAACGATGAACTTGGTACTCCCCTTGGTATCACGGTTGATTTCCAGACCCTTCAGGACAACACCCTTACTCTGAGAGACCGTGACTCAACCACCCAGGTCCGTGCCGATGAGGACAAGATTGTTGATGCTATCAAGGCTCTTGTCGACGGCAGCAAGAAGTGGGCTGATGTCGAGGCTGAGCTTCCCAAGTTTGAGGGCCAAGAGGTTGAGATTGCCTCTCGTTAAGCAGCGAATGTAAACATGGACAAAAAAAATCAGTAAAAGTATAAAAGCGACTCTATTAAAGCCGTCTATTATATAGAACTGCAATCATTAATATTATTTTCAGTTGTGTCGCCAATCTATGAACATGTTGTATTATGCCACCTAAGGAGCTCTGAATTGTGGTTGATGCTCAAAGCGATGCCTAGGAAATAGGCTATAGCCACTTAGATCTACATCGGCTACCTGCTAAGCGTTACAGGTTAACTAGAGAACTCCTCTAGTTGCTTTACTTTGTTGGCACGGGCCGTTTAGTTGACGTGAGCCACACACTTTTTAGTGGTTTCACATCGCGCACGTTTCGCTCAGAAACCACAAGACGTCGCAGGAGGCGGGGTTTGGTCTGGGCAGTAGCTCTACTAGCCACTGTAGGTAGAGTCTTGCTACTGTAAGCTAAGTTATAGCGCACTGCTTTGTCGGATAGAGGGATGCACTGTCCGCGCAACAGTCTCTTCTACAGTGGGTAAGCAAAAGTTACAGGTTATCTATATTTCAGCCAACGCATTCTAAATATATATTTACACAAACTTTATATATAATATTCATCTAAAAACTCGATAAATATAAGGTATTTGTTTGATAATAATATTCTACTCAAAGATTAATTAAAGGCATAATGTTAAAGATTTTGAAAGATTATTTGAAAGATTGACTACAAACGAGTCTACTTGTAACTTTTGCCTACCTACTGTAAGTGGACATGAATCGGACCCCGATGAATTAGACGCCGCATTCTTGGAGTCTCCCGCGGTTGCTACTGACACGGAATTGAATAAACTGGGGAGATTGAACAATGCGGCAACGAAATGGCCAGCGCAGTGTCTTTTGCGCCGGTCGGAAATCATGTTGGAATGGAGGCGACGAACCCCGGCGCAGTTGCGGCACTACAGTAGTTCTCACACACCGGAGATGGGATTCGCTAACGGGTCTACCACGCGGGCGGCAAGATTGGGTGCGAGGGCCAAAAGGCGAGGGAGCAGGGTGGCGCTTGTTGCGGTCGGAGTGGGGATGGGTGGGCTCCTCAGGGCTACTATTTACGGGGGGTGCTACTCACTGTAGGTGCAGTACTGTACTTTGGGGGCATCAAGATTGGCTGTGTGTTTAAAGAGCGAATAGCGCTCTTTTAGAAGAGTGTATAGCAATCAAAGTACATCTATAAAAGAAGGGGTGCCGTATACCTTTTGGGGGATTTCTTTGGCACTTCTTCCCCTTCAATGATCTAGCCTTATCATCGTCTGAAAAACCGCCTCGTTCAGCGCCGTGGTACGACTTGCCTGGTACCATACGCTGTCTTAGCGCCGGCGACCTGGGATACTTTGGCGCTGGGTCTCGGGCGGGCTCCTGTTAGTGGCTAGTTGTGGGTGGTGTACCACGTTGCAGAGAACAAAGAACGAGGGGAACCGTGCCGCCGTGGCAAATGCTTTTAGCACACAGGCAGCTTCTCGCTAGCGCCGCAGGATCGCAAAGGGCACACACAAACGAGCAGTGGAAAAAGAGTGATGAGAAAAAAATAAAGCATGCAGCGACAAGAGATTGCCCTTTGTTCTCTCTACCAGCATATCCGCGGGGCCATGACGCAGAGTGTAATTATCCAACCCTACCGGTTCCCAATCCCTCCCCCAGGCGATCACATCAACAGCGTATCGTACCCGCCATAGCAGCAGGAGACCTAATCTTCAAGGGCAGGAAAGTAAAAAAAGAGGCCCCTGCAGCCCGTCCCTCCCTCACTGGGCGCCACCATTTTCGTGCTGAGGTGCCCACTATAATCGCCCAGCGTCCACGTTATTCCAGCCTCTAGTGAGTGAGCCCATGCCGCTGTGGCCCGCTTTGGCCCTTGCTCCCCTCCTTTCCCGTGGTGTTTTTTGGGGGGGGGGGGGGGGGGGTTGTTCTCGCAAAGCCCGCCTGGGCGGACAATCCCCCTCTCAGCTAGCCCATGCCGCCGCTTTTCCTCTTCCTCTTTGCAACGCATCGACATTTTCCACCGTCTCTTGCACCGATACCTTTTGTTAGCGGCCGCTGCAGTTGTTCTTGTCTTTTGCTTCCTTTGTTTCCCATCACCACGTCTTCGACAGCCGCGCTTTTCTTTGCTTTTTTTGACCGCCTTCTCAGCCACGCCTCACTCGCCCACCCCAGGCGCACCGATTCCCCGCAGCTCACCTTCGAGGGCCAACTGGTTTTGCGTTGCTACTCGCCGCCCTTGTCGAAACATAGCATCGTTTCGTCGCTACCTCTGCAAAGCATTCGTTTGCGTTGCTCACAAAATCAACAGGAGCACAGTTGATCTTCCGTATAGGATTTTTTTTTTTTTTTTGGAAACTTGCACGCGCATCTACCAAAGCTCGTGCTGCTCACAACCAACCGCACAGGCAAATCGCAGCCTCGTCCTCCAGAGCAACCCAACTTCGCCGCCCTCACCACCACCAACACACTCCCCCCGGCGAATTAAGATCGCTCGAGGCTCACAAATTTACGATTATTCCAGAATCATACTAAGCCCGCAAGATGGCGCAAAATAGGTACGTTGCTCTCACTCTCCTTGCCACTTGGCCTGCGTCCGCCACAACCCCCTGGGGCGAGGCGTCGAGTTTCACAAATGCCCCAGAGCGCAGTGGCCGGTGTGCGATGGTGTTTGCGTGTCGCTCCACGACACATATAGCCACTAGAGGCCGACCTGCTTGCGCAGCGTCTCTTGGTTTTGTGACTTTGGACATTGCTGCGCTACTGCCACCATGATTGATTTCCACCGACCATTCAGAACTGACCAGACTCCCAGCGTCTACTCTTCGGGCCAGTTTATGAACCCGGGCCCTGCCCCCCGCCCACCCACGGACAAGCCTCGACTCAACCTCATACCGAATGCCAATCTTCCAGGAAACATGGCCAATATGGCCATTTCGCCTATCCGCAGCACTGCCAGCTCGACCTACACTGGCTCCACCATCTCCTTGCCCATTGCCCGTCAGCAAACAAGCGGCTCCGACGGTAAAGGCGGGGTCGCCATCAAGAAGGAAGGCTGGGCCAGCGTGCGCGAGAATAAAACCTTTATCCAGCCCTGGAAGCAAAAGTATCTCATTCTCCGCAAGGAGTCCCTCGACTTCCACAAGACCGAGGGCGGGAAAATCTCATATACCCTCTACTTGAAGGATGTCGTCAATGTTGGCCGTGCGGAGGCCGCCGGTGTCATCTTTGAAGTCAAGCGTAAATCTGACGGTATTTCCAACAGCCCTGGTGATGACGATGGTCAGAACAAGACGTTGCAAATTAAAGTAAAGACAGATGATGAGCTGTACGATTGGATTGACATGATTTATGGCGCCTGCCCTAGCATGGGTGGCGTGAGCAACCCAACCAACTTTTCCCATGCCGTACACGTCGGCTTCGATTCACAGACCGGCCAGTTTGTCGGACTGCCGCCTGAGTGGTCAAAGCTGCTCAACTCTTCAGCTATTACCAAAGAAGATTATGAGCGCAACCCCCAGGCCGTGTTTGAGGTTCTTGACTTCTACACAGATCTTGCCAAGCGCGCCGAGAACCCGAACCAATACCCCAGCTTGACGCCCACTCCCCCTCCAGCCAGCCAGGCACAGAAGCAGATTGGCCACAGCGGTGCCGGCGTTGCCCCTCCTCGACCTCCTCACCCCAGCCAAGTACCACGGAACCAAAACTACCCCAGTCCATCACAGTCTTCCAACCAGCGACATCTCGATCCTCGCCAGCAAGGCCAACAGCCTCCCTCCTCGCCCGGTTACATGTCCCAGGATGCCATGCGTGAGGAGCAGCGACGGAAGCAACGTGAAGCAGATGAGAGACGCGAGATTGAAGAGTATAATGCTTCGCTACCTAAGTCCAAGGTTCCTCTTTCCAAACAGGAAATGGGTGGTTTTGGAGGCGCTTCTGGAGGCGGAAATGGTGCTAGCAGTGGCGGTAGTGGCAACACACCTCCTGGTAACCACCAAGAGCGCTTCAACCCTGTGAGAACAGCGCCATCAGCACCCAAGCCGCAACAGCAACAGCAGCAAGGCGGCCAATTGCGGGCGCAGCGCGCTGCTCCTGCGCCACCTGGTTCTGGAGGTACTGGAAGAGTACCCGTGAACCCTCAACAGAGCTCCAGTTCCAGCAGAGAACATGGCCAGGCTCCTCGCGCACCTCGCGCAGATCCTCATGGAGCCCCATCTTCAAGCGCTCAGCGCTATCCCAATGGCTCTGGACAGTCTCAGCCTCGCCAGCCCCAAGCCCAGCCTCAGAGCGCTACCCGTGGTCCCGCCCCTGTGAAGCCTTTGAACGTTGGTTCCAAGCCCAGCCAGCAGCAATCTGCTGGTGTCAAGGCTGCTGAAGCGGCATTGACTGCCAAGCCTTCCGCCTCGGAGAGAAAGCAAGATGTTCGTATGTCTACAATGACAGAGAGCGAGGTTATGGCCAAGCTCAAGGAGGCCGTTTCAAAGGAAGATCCCAACCTGTCGTACTCGAAGCAGAAGAAGATCGGACAGGGTGCCTCTGGTTCCGTTTACGTTGCTAAGATCAAGGAAACCGCCCAGGGCGTCGCCCGCGAAGTCCTTCGCCAGCAAGGTCCTCGTGCTCAAGTAGCCATTAAGCAGATGGATCTGGCTCACCAGCCGAGAAAGGAACTCATTGTTAACGAGATCATGGTCATGAAGGACAGCCGTCACAGAAACATTGTCAACTTCTTGGATGCCTTCCTGCGCAACAACAACACGGAGCTCTGGGTGGTCATGGAATACATGGAGGGTGGTGCCTTGACAGACGTCATTGACAACAACCCCTCTATTTCGGAAGAGCAAATCGCCACAATCTGCCACGAGGTAAGTCGAGTAGTACCTAATTGCCTTTGTTACATTTTTCTAACTGCTAGTTTTCACAGACTTGCCGCGGTCTGCAGCACCTGCACGCCCAGCAAATTATCCATAGAGATATCAAGAGTGACAATGTGTTGCTTGACGCCCGTGGTAACGTCAAGATTAGTAAGTTGACCTGAGAAACAGCCAGTTATACAGAACAAAAGAACTAACCATGCCCAGCTGACTTTGGCTTCTGCGCCAAGCTTACCGAGACGAAATCGAAGCGAGCAACAATGGTCGGCACCCCGTACTGGATGGCTCCCGAAGTTGTCAAGCAAAAGGAATACGGCCCCAAGGTTGACATTTGGTCTTTGGGTATCATGGCTATTGAGATGATTGAGTCTGAGCCACCATACCTCAACGAAGAGCCTCTCAAGGCGCTCTACCTGATTGCTACCAACGGTACCCCACGCCTCAAGAAGCCAGAGAAGCTGAGCAAAGAGCTCAAGGCCTTCCTCTCGGTTTGCTTGTGTGTGGATATCAAGAGCCGTGCCTCGGCCGATGAACTTTTAGCACACGACTTCTTGAAGCACGGATGCCCTCTTGGCAGCCTGGCGGACTTGCTTGCCTTTAAGAAGCATGCTAAATAAAGGATTGCGCACCCAAACGGTTATTACCCTGGCAGCAGCTGAAGAACTCTTTTTTGGATTTTCTAGTCGGAAGAAGCAGCAGCAAACTCTAATACAGGCTGCCTATGAAAAGGGTGGATGATGAAGCAGCATATGGCGTTTAGGATGGGATTTGATACTCATTGCTTATTGTTAATTGTTTTCGCATCTTTGGTATTTTGTGGTGCTTTTACTGTACAGCGATTTACGCACCTGCACAGCATTTGCCCATACAAACGAAGGCTCCCCCGATGAAACAGATTGACGAGAACGGGACGCATACACGATTGGGCGGGTGGTGATTATAGTACTAGCCAGGGGGACAGGCGGGGAAAGCTGCCTTTGTTCCCCGTAGAATCACGACATATCATAGCTATAGAAGAGAATGCAGCCAATTTAAAGAAAAAAGAAAAACCACCCAATTAGAATGATTGGTACGGAGACTTGGGATGAGTGACAAGCGCTGGTGCGTGCATAAACCCGAGAGGCTGGCAAAGCGGCAGATGTCGTCGCGAATAGCATTTCAACGGGGGAGCAAAGGTTGTTTCAAAGGGATCTCACCAGTATGCGTTGACGGCTACCATTGGAGAAATTGGGGGATGGGCCATTCTGCGTGGCCGTTTCAGATTCATCGGGCTTGACGTATTGTTCTGGAAGTGATTGGCGAGATGGAAGAGGCTGGAAGAGGGGTACTCTACTTGGGAACAGTTTCATTAGAGGGGGGGGCGCCTAAAGTGTGTGCGTCTGGATTCGGTATACTCGTGCTGGAGTGTTAGTGAAGCTACTGCAGGGGTACATGGCTTCTTCCTGGCCCAGCGGCTATTCCTTTGCCCAACGCAAATGGTGATGTCGACATCGTAGCGTTTAATACTTGGGTTCGGTTCTACTTGCGAAGCGAGGAGAGGGAGACAGCGGTTTGGACTACCGATTCTGTTCCTCAAGAATTCTAAATTAAAAAGAGTCTATGATATAAAGAGTGCAGTTTCGCCTTCACTTTTCGATGCTTACTCTACTACGTAGAAGCGCTAGATGTATTACTCTAGCGGGTTGGGCGGTTCCTGTTCCTGGTGGCGTAGACACCACAAAAAATAGCGTACCCGTCGTTGCGCTCTCGTGGGTGCTGCCGGGGCCTGTCTGCTCCCCTGGCGTGGCCCACAGTGGGAACCTGCAGAACCCAGACGCGTGGACCAGCGCCGACTCCTCCTTCCAGAAACGCAAAGATTCAGGGGTAAACGAAGGGGACAATGGAAAAAGCAGCTCTTATGCGTGCCTTGGTGGACAGCGGTGCTTCAGTTCTTTTCTTCTTTGTTTTATTTGCTTATTATGCTTCTTTTCTTTTCTTTTTTTGAGGGTTTTCTCTTTTCCTTTTCTGCCTGTATAATTACAGTAATAGTAAAAGGGGGCTATTGGAAAAATTGAACTTTTGTTTGCTTGCTTGCGTGCCGTGCTGTACAGTACAGTGTTAACGAGCCTTACAAAAAAACTCCCCCTTGCAGCATTTTGGGGGGGGGGGGCAGGCTGACGCCTCGCAAGAAGTGCAGTGATGGGGAGCAAGAAAAAAAATAAGGTGCTGTACTGTAAAGTATAAGCTGTGGCCCTGTGTACAACAACGGCAGTCAGTGCTACGATTTTAGCCGAGAAACACTCCAGCACAGGAGAATTCGCAAGCTGGATATCTGTATCTCTGTGCATCTACGTTTATTCCTAAGTTCTTACAAGCCGCCGTGTATTCCAGTAGCTGGAGAGACGAGGACAATATGAAACTGGTCAGCTGTGTTGCGTGTGGTCTAGGCATGAAAGCGCCTGTTCCTTGAGGGTTCCCTGTTTTTTTTTAGTCGTCGGTTTCCATCCCACAACCTGGCGGGGCGGATGGGGGCGCTATTGGCGGCGTTGACAGGTGCCCACGCCCGCTGGAGCAGCGCCGTAGGACAGCGTTTGCCCACACTGAACGGACGCCCGTAGCCCACTGTAGACCCGGTGCGCTGCCCGCTGAATGCTAACGGCAGCAAGCCAGCCAGCCCAAGCTCTCTCTCCGCATCGGTCGTCTCCTTGGTTGCCCCCTCCCCTCTCCGCCAGCTTCTCGCCAACTCTCCTTTCAAGCCAGGGCCGTCTTTTTTTCCTCCTCTTCACTTTCTCTCTACTTCGCTATCCCCCCCGCCCTCCCATCATCCCGTCATCTTCTTCCCCTTCTCCAATTCGGCCTGTACATTGACTCTTTATTTTCTCATTATATTTTTATAAAGTCCGCCATTCTTCTCTTCATTCTTCCTTCTTCTTCCCGCCGCCACTCCTCCGCCGCGAGCACCTGGTCTTGATAAAATCGCCCCCTACCAAACAGCCGCTTTTGCAAACCAGTCAGCCCACAGCAGCCCAGCTCATCTCTCGTATTCGCCCGGTGTCTTGCAGGATCCTCGAGAAGCGGTGTCATCTACTGGAACCCGCAGCAGCAAGACTCGATAGAAATTCCTGCTTCTTGATTTTAGCTTTTTCGGCCACGATCGCTGCTCAACAAGTGCAACGCACACTCGACGTCTCCCCCGGCTCGATCCTACACTACACGTGCTTGGCTTGAACCTGCTCCCCGCCAACTCTGCGACAGGCTCACCAAGATTTCATCGTACGGTGCGAGCTTCGTGCATCGATACTTTGCAACCAGCTGCGCTGAGCTTTGCCAGACCCTAACTGGCACTGCTTTGCAAGGTGCATCACCACGGCCTCGAAGCGTCCACCTACTTTCTTAAACCTTGTCCATTGGTGGATGCCAAACCGCTCTGCCAGTGGAACACCTAACAACTATCGCTTGAGCGTTTTTCCGTCGAACAACTCTCAAACGACTATTTGCAGCTAATTTGGAGGTCGCGCGAGTCCGAATCCCAACTAAAGAATGTCGTCGAGACCTGAACAGGCTCTTCACGGCTTCCCATCGTTATCCTCCGCACAAGGCCGGTCTACATCGCCGTCTGCCAACACCTCTCCTATTGAATCCGCTTCATCCTCCATCCGCTCACATTTTGGCATCTCTACCAACATGAATTCTTCCGGGCTCATGGGCGGCAATTCGCGGTCCGGCTCTGGGTCTCCGTCACACGACCTTGGTGCCTCAAGCCGACTCTTCTCCAAACGGTAAGTTTGCCCCTGCAAAGTGGGATGTTGCTTGGTGTGAGAGTTTGCCCCCCTCTGATGCTTAAACTTCTTTCGTCACTCTCATCATGTCTAACTTTTCTCTCTGTTACTTTAAATTTTTGCTAACTAAGCTTTTTTTAACCTTATAGCGCAAGAGAAATTCAAGCACAAGAAGGAATTCAAGGTCTCCCAACCCACATCTGGGGCGGTCCTCCAACAAGTGGTAACTCAACACCACTGCGCGAAAATATTCCAGAATCTCCCACCGACGGCTTCCCCGACTTTGTCCAGCTTCCCACCCCAGAAAGCATGGCGCAACCTAGAAGAACCCGAGCCGGTACCCTCCCATCCCGCTTCTCCCCAGGTGGTGGAGGTAACAACCTCTTAAGCATCCCCGGACTTATAGCTGCTCAGTCGGCTCGAGTAACCCCCTCTCAAAGCCCCTTCAACAAGTCACCCTCGCCCAGTCTAGAACACCAGGACAGTGTTGGAAATTCGTCAGTTCTGCTGTCACGTCTTCGTGCCGGGTCGATGCCTCAGCGAAGCAACTTTACGGCACTGCCAGGCAGCTCTTCTCCCTTTGGCCCCTCCATCTTCAGTAGCTGGAATGCCCCAGGCGCTGGTCGCGAACGAGGCTCTACCCTCGCTAGCATTGCAAGTGTTGGGTCTAATGGCCCTAGCTCGCCTGCTCAGTCTCAATTCTCTAAGGAAGGCGGCCCAGAGTCTGAAGCGCATATGAGAACGCTCGATTATCTAGGTCTCGCTGAAACCCCGCAGCCCATCACAGCACAACTTGCAACTCCATACCTTGACTTTAAGCAGTCAAGTCGTTTCCGTTCTTACTCTGTGACCAATAAGGATAAATATGCCGATGAGGAGGACGACTACGATGCAAACGACTTGGCCATGGACAGCCAATACGTCGCGGCGCTCCAGGATCAACTCGCAGCCACCCAGGCCGCCATCCACAGTCATAACTTGGCCGTGCAGGCGTTTGCTACACAGGCTTCGAGACCACGCGCCAGAACCGCTGGCGTGTTGGATACTCCTGGTAGCCGTCTTATGAAAACATATCTTGCTGGCAATATTGCTGCTCCCAATCCTCTGGCAACAGCTGATATGCGTTTGCAAGAAGATAATGCGTATGACGAACTTCCTCAAGCCGTTGCTGGCATGTCTTTACATCGCTCAAACAGCGGCTTGCTGAGTGCCGAGGAGCAGACCTTGGAAGGACCAACCAGCGCTCTCTGGCTTGGTGGCGTCCCTACTTCCACGACGACATCCACTCTGGTTGAAATGTTCAAGGCGCACGGCACGATTCTCTCCGCTCGAGTATTGACACACAAAAACTGTGGCTTTGTCAATTTTGAGCGCGTGGAGAGCGCTGTGTCTGCCAAAACCAACATGAATGGCAAGGAAATCTTCCCTGGAGCTGGGCCAATCCGCATTAACTTTGCTAAACCACCTTCGGCGTCCAACACTCCTGGCCATGATGGCGCTTTCCCATCCCCAAGCCCTGACCCATTTGTCAAGGGTCAAGATCCTTCTCAGCGACCTGTTGGTTCGGGACCGTCGCCCATCTCTGCAGTCCCAACGTCTTCCTCCCCCACGGTACCAGCTCTTCCAGATCTCAAGTCCGATATTCTGCAAATTGTTGCGCAATTTGGAGCATCAGATGAATCAGTGTTGAAAATTGCTCAGAGCCTACAATCCTCTATTCAATTTACCGAGTACATTGATGAAATCCCGCCTGTGCATGAACCGACCAACGCACGGGTTTACGACGCCCCGAAGCTTCGCGACATCCGCAAACGCATTGATAACTCCCTCCTCTCTCAGCCCGAGATCGAAAGCATCGCTAAAGACATGCTTCCTGAAATTGCAGAATTAGCATCCGACTATCTCGGAAACACTGTCGTTCAGAAGCTGTTTGAGTACTGCTCCGAAGAGGTACAGGACATCATGCTTGCCGAAGTGGCCCCTCACTTGGCTGAGATTGGTTGTCACAAGAACGGTACATGGGCAGCGCAAAAGATTATTGACGTTTGCAAGTCATCTAGCCAGATGGCGCTCATCGTTGAGAATCTGCGCCCTTACTCTCTGCCACTTATTCTTGACCAGTATGGCAACTATGTTCTTCAAGGCTGTCTGAAATTTGGATCTCCATACACGGATTTCATCTTTGAGGTCACCCTTGGCCGCCTCTGGGAGATGGCCCAAGGCCGATACGGTGCTCGAGCCATGCGCGCATGTCTGGAGAGCCACCACGCCACGAAGGAGCAGCAGAAGATGCTAGCTGCTGCCATCGCGTTGCACAGTGTCCAACTTGCCACAAATACCAATGGTGCGCTCCTCTTGACATGGTTGTTGGATACATGCACATTCCCGCAGCGCCGCACGGTGCTTGCGCCATTGCTTGTCCCTCACCTCGTTCACTTGTGCACCCACAAGGTTGCCTACTTGACCGTTCTCAAAGTTATCAACCAAAAGGCGGAACCCGAGGCGAGAGATACGATCCTTCAGGCGTTGTTCTTCTCTCACAATGACAGCGTGTTGGAGGCGATTCTTACTGATCAGGCCTGCGGAGCGACATTGATCTTCAAAGTGCTTACTACTCCTTTCTTTGACGAGTCTATTCGTAGCCAAGTCGTTGAAACTGTTAAGGCTGTCCTTGTTCGCATCCAAGCCCAGCCCAACCAAGGTTACAAGCGTTTGATGGATGAGGTTGGTCTGTCTACGCGTGGCAGCGGCCCTACTCGCGAGCCGTCTGGTAACACTGAGCAACGTCAGCGACCGGGCTCTTCTCGACAGGCAAACACAAATGGCAACCAAAGCCTTCAGCCCAACGCCGGCAAGCAATTCTACGGCCAAATGAATCAACCCACGAATCATGGCGGCGCCTTCGACAATGGCGACTCTCAGAGCTTCCCTGCATTTAACCAGAACATGATGTACAATGCAGGCCCGGCACCCATGCCAGCTCCCGTCAACATGCAACAGCAGATGCCGTACCAGCCAAACATGGCCCGAAATGGCCCGCAGCCAAACTTCAACTACGGCGCCATGCAGCCACCATACGGTGCCTACAACGGGCCCGGTGGTGCTGTTGACCCATTCCGTCAGCCTGGTATGCCAAATGGCGGAGGAATCCAGCCCCCTTCTAACCCTCACATGGGGCAGATACCTCCTGCTCAGGCTCCGTTTGGTCCTTCAGGCTTTGGCATAGGCAACTTTCCCTACAACGGAGCTGGGCCTGGTATCCAGAACATGGGTTACATGCAGCAAGAGCAAATGAACGGTCGAAGAGGTCGAGTAAGTTGCATAACAAATAACCCTTTATACGTCGTTGACGATGACTAACCGATTCCCGCAGCGATGAGACCAAAATCCGTTCAACAGCCCTCGCGAAACTGCTAGCATTTTCCCATTCTGTGCTGTACGGCATTTTGTCTAACGATATGTCTCGAATCAGGGACAGATATTTGAATCAAAAAGTAAACCGTGTATTACCATTAAACCACGGAGGACCTTGGCAAGCGAAACGACGGGCTGCAACTAGCTACCGAACGCTGGTAAGAGCGACCAGCCTTGATCCTTGCGAGTGCCTCATGGTTCATACATTTCTTTTTCTTATTCTTCTTGTTGTCATTTTAGTTGTTTGGGTTTTTCTTCTTCTTTTAAATTTTCTAGCTTTGTTTGAAGGCGGAGGAAAAGGATCTCATGGATGGAAAGGAAAGGTGAAGACAGCTGGGCGAGAGGAGATCACTTTATGACCTGCATGGACCACAACAACAAATGCGTCCACAAGCGATAGCTCTTTTTTTGTGTTTTTTTAACTACTTCATCATGTTAGATTGTCTGCTGTTTGGTATGGAACAGCAAAGACTAGAAAAAAGAAAGAGGCAGAGATTGAAATGGCACTAGATGTCGTAGCTAGCTATCATAGCTGAATGGAACATGTGTGTAGTGAAGAATGACTTCGTCTTTTACAAAAAGAGTGAATAAAGAGATCCAAGGTTAGGTTTGAGTAAATATTTGCGGTACTGTGCAAGTCTATCTATCTGCGTATACCCGTTCCCTACAGTAGGTGTAAAAAAAGAAGAAGAGCCGTTTAAATTCCAAGAAAGATGAATAGAATGCACCCCAGTCATAAAAAGCTGTAAAAGAGGTTGGTTCCCCCTTAATATATACGGCACCGTTAAAATGAAGAGATTCCCCGTCCGACGCAATGAAAAGTAAAACAAAAAAGACAAGAATACGATAGTGAGGGGGTAGAACGCCGGCTTCCAATCTTCACACTTTTTTCGCGGTATTAGAATTTTGAGGGTTTGGGAGGGAGGGCGAGAGAGCAGGGCATATATATTCCCCAAGGGTTGATGGTGGCCTTTCAACCAGTGGCATGGCATGTCAAGACGAAGAGTTTGCTTTGCCAAAAACAGTGTATAGGAAAAGAGGTGGTTGTGGTAATAAAGGGTTGGCCTAGTCAAGCTCCATCGATCCTTCGGCATGGTCGACGGTCGATGGCGGCGTCGGCTCGGTGACAAGGAGAGCAGAATCTTCCTGCTTTTCGTCAGCTTGTGTATGATTAGACGACGGTTCAGCGGGTGGTGTTGCTGCACCAGGAATCGGTGTTGGGATGGTGGGCGACGGTGCCTTGTCTCCAAGGACTTGGCGGATGCGAGAGGACATGGCATCCATCTGCGCGAGCATTGCGCGAAGGCCAGTCCTATCATCATCCGTTAGGCTACCAGAGACAATGTTGTTGGCAGAGGCACGGGCCATGAGAGCCACTACATTTTCGTCGGCGTTGGACTAAGAGCAGCTTGTTAGAACATGTTGCTGTGAGGTGGGAGCCAAGATCATCTGGGAGGAAGAACTTACTAAAAGCGCAGCGGTCAAGTCGTCAATGCCGTCAGTTCGCTTGCGTTTCAATCCAATAAGGTTGAGAGAAGCTTGCATTTCATCTACTGTTCGACCCAGATCTGAGCCAAGGACAGGTGTTGGCTTTCCAGCATCAGGCTTGACAGGTATTGTAGAGGTTGGAATCCATTTGGGCTCTTCCGACCTAGGTCCATAGCCAGCGCCTTGGCGTCGCAACCTACAAAATCAAATTAGTATAAAAGCACAGAGGCCATCTCAGAGCATATACATACTGTTCAATAAAATCCAAAACAACGCCACCGGCAGACACACGGTACGTTCGTCCAAACGAGCGGGCATCGGGCCAGCCAGCATCTTTGAGAAAGTCGGCGTCGTCGCTCCAATCAATCTCAACATGGCCATTGTTCTTCATTCCACGCGTGAAGATGGGTGTAATCACCTGGGCGTTCTTTACCCGGCGGTACTTGTGCGCAGGTGCCAAAACGGGCGCTTCAGCTAGCACATCATCAACGTGGGCAGGGCAACGCCACGTCTTGAGCAGTGGAGGAACCGCCATTGGAGGGTCCAAGCAGTCAAGATGCCATTGGAACGTGCATGCACTACAGGGAATAATAGCGCGCACATCGTCTGATGGCCTCTGGCACGAATGGCACAGCACAGCCTGTCCGTCTTCTCGTTGCTTGAAGATGTCAGGCAGTTCATCATAGCCCGCGCGCTTTTTTGCTTGTCCTTTAGCAGTGTTGGTCTCCTCATAGTCGCCGTCTGCACCAGCCTTTACGCCTTCAAACCGGTTCTGCAGCTTCTTGGGCAAGCTAAAGGCCCGCGGTATGCTCTTTTCCAGGTTGTTGAGCGCTCCAGCAAACACGCCCTTGTGAATGGGCACGCGTGACGGAAACTTTCGCACAATACACTCATTGCAGTACCACTCATCTGGTAAGTCTTCTGATCGTATCATGTCGACGCACTCAAAGTGGAATGACCGAGGGCAGCCGTCACAGCAGACCACATCGCCGGCATTGCCACATGCGGAGCAGTGCTCATCATTGTCAGCGTTCTACAAAGACATGGTTAGCATTGGAACGGATTCAGATTCTCTCTCCAGATAGCAAAAAATGAAATGAGGATTCTTGAAAATCGCGCGGCAGTTGGGAAACAAGGAGGGTTGCAGCCACCCGGCTTCACCCATCGCCTCCGCCCGAGGGGGCAAAAAATTTGTTCGCAACGAGGGTCAACTGCGCGACCGCTTGTCTTGCGCCTGTTTGTAGCAGGCCTGAAGAGATTCAAGATAAAATCGCAATATACCGTAGTCACAGGCCAATCGTCCGCTAGGAATCAAATCGCAAAGAAACACAATCATACGTACCGGATCCCTGGGGCTTCCAGAGCCGTTGGCTGAGGGTTGGCTGTCTGTTGCCGGTCGCGGAATACCAGCAGCGCTTCCGCCTTGTTTTTTAACAGGTCTAAAGGAGAAGAAAGGGTAGAGTTAGCGAATAGTTCTCTTTAAAACCAAATAGAAGGACGTTGGCGGAGATGATGTGGCAACCGAGCACAACGTTTCAAACGCTTGCCATGAGGCTCTCAATTGCTCACTCATCCACCAAGCACACCACAAACAATCAAGAGCTGTCGTATGAGCATAGCAAGATCCTGATTATGCTTAGGAGCCTCTGTGATTTTTTTCGGTGCTCTCCCATCGCGCAAAGGCGAGTGGAACGTTGTCGTGTTGTCCAACAGGTGAGAGGGGGGGAAATGCCAACACTTACGATGACTTGACGCGCAGACCACTGCCCTTGGGCTTCTTGGTTGGCGTGACGGCGCGAGATTCTGAAAGAGAGCTTCCTTCTGCTGTAATTGACGGGGCTACCGATGTCGCCCTGTCTCCATCTTCGTCGCCGTTTCTCTTTACTGCAGAGCGCGTGGCTCTCGTGCTGGTGGGAGCTCCAACCGATTGGCGCGTCTTCCTCGTCTTGCGAACCGGCGTCGAGGGCCGGTCTGCCTTTGTGCCTTTGCGCATAGAGCTTTCCTTTGCCGTGTAATTGTTTGTAACGGTTTGCGCCTCTCTCCGTCTGCTCCAAACAGTCTCATCCTGATCATGCTGCATAGGCGACGGCGCCGCCTCTTCCTTGGCCGCGTCCTCGGGCCCTCGCGCAGCGTCTGGGAATAGCTCGGGGGCTCCTAGCCGTCCAGGCATTGTGCCATGAGCCTCCGGTTGCTTTGTTGGGAGGCTGGTGGTGGTTGAGGACGGAGAGTTTGACGTAGTCGAGGCCGGCTTGTTGGTGCCGGCTTTGGCGTGGGCGGCCATTGGCTGAGCATCTTGGGACCGCGCCCCAGCCAAAGTGGCCCCCCGACCCAACGACGGGCTCTGGCTTGGCGGCGAATTCGGGCTCTGCGCCGACGAGATGCTTGCTTCAGAATCTTCGCGGGAGAGTTTTTGCGCTGTCGCCATGTCGATGTCGCTGACGTCCTGGTTGGTGCTGGCAGCATCCGCGGGCTGCTTGCTGCTGCTTCTGCTGTTGGTGGTGGTGGTGGTGGTTGCGGTGGTGGCCTTGGCTCCAACGTGTGACGTTTTGGCCCTCTTCGCCACGCGTGTGTGCGCTCCGTCATCATCGTCACCGTGTTGGTGGTGCAGCTTGGTGTGAGGAGTGTTGCTACCGGCTTCATCGTCTTCTTCATTTTTGCCTCGCTTCTTTCGCCTCTCTGGCTGTCTGCTGCCAATTTCTCCCATGGCTTCTGAGTTTGCTGGCGTTGCGCTCCTCTCATCTCCTCCCTCTTGCGTAGTCTTGTCGTCAATGCCTGTGCTCCCACCTTCGTCTTCGTACGCTGCTGACAGCGTTACGGATGTTTGCCGTTGATAGCCTTCCATAGGTTCGTCCACCGGCGCATGGGGCAGTAGCTGTTTCCCCTCTGTGGCGATGGCCCTGCTTCGCGTAGTCTTTTCTGTTGGTGCTTCTGAGTCGGCACGACTTGATTTGCCGCCCTCGTTGGCGTTTCCTTCTTCCGTTGTACCTGCTGAAGTAGCGCGGCGCTTCCTACGGCGACGCGTTGTTTCGTTGGGCTCGTAGTCATCTTCCGCGCTATCCGCTGCCGCCTGAGCTACAAAGGGTTTGACAGGTCGTTTTGACGGAGGAGGAGAACCAGCAGGAGATCGTGAGGAGCGCTTGGACGACGGCCGGGACTCATCATCTCGAATCTTGGAAGCGCCAGTCTTCAAGACGGGCTTTTGAGCGCCAGTAGCTGCATCGCCAGCAAGCAGCTTTGCTTTCGGCAGAGTTCCAAGGGGCGCCATAGTCTCCAAAACGCCGTGCCTCGCAAATCCCACCTCCTCAAAGCTTGCTTTAACTTGTACTGAGGGCTCGAGCCATCGCTGCATAAAAGTCTTTGGCGCTACCTCGTTGGCCTTGGTGCCAGACGGCTCCAGCGGCGAACTCCTGTTAAGCGGCTCCGTCTGCTTCTGCGTCTGCGTAGGCGCCTGTGTCTGAGCAGGACTGGAGTACCGCGACCGTGTTGCTCGTCCGGCGGGAGCCATCTTGTCGAGCGAGTGTTGGACGGTGATGCGCCCCTAGGCGAAGCGACGAGATGGACGCCAAGACGACTCTGTTGAGGCCTGCTGGAGAGACGAAAAAGAAAACCAGTTAGCGATGCGATAAGCAAAAACAGCGGATATGAGGAATTTCAAACCAAAAGAAAACGCAGGGGCATCAACAGCAATCGTCGAGTCGCGTCCTGGCCAGTGTTTGACGCGGGTTATAACTTGCAATGGCAAAGGAGGAACACGCCAGGCGCGGCTCGTAGTGAATATTAATGATTGTAGTGGAAACGCCTCTGGGAGGCGCGACGCTGGCTAAAGTGGGCTGCTCTTGCAGTGCTGTCGCTACAGCGGGTGGACGCCCTGAATTTTAGTGGACATCAGGGGGGACGGCTGGTTAGGGGAGCGAGCGAAGTCCCAACGATAAGCCGGTGGTGTTTCGTGACAAGGAGCCAGCACGAGGCAAATACGAAACAAAATAAAGAGTCGAGATACAGAGGCTAAGAAAAAAGGAAAAGGGAAAGGCAAAGAATGCGAATTGAGGAGGAGATTTTGCCTCACTCTGCGCTCAACGCCACGGATAAGGCACCCTTCTTGCGTGCATACATACATAAAGTACTTTTCCAAGGCAAACGCGCCTGTAAGCAACAGCACAATTACTGCTATTACTGTACCTTAGCACAGAGATGCTAATTTTCCGGACATCCAAAGATAAAACAACATTTGTTTGTATAGACGAAAACATTGCTACTCTATAGAATGTTGGAGATAACCACACGTACTCTACAAGATTATACGCTTTTTATGTTAGCAAAGAACGTATCTTAATAAATAAATATGTTTTAAGTGTGTATTTTGGCTGTATTTGAGGTGTCCGCAAAATCAGACAGTTTTCGCCAAGGTACTGTACGCTGATCTCCTCGTCAAGATGCACCACCCCTTTACAAAATGCCGCTGGCTGAGCATTATCCAACATGTCTCCGCGGTTTTCCTACATCAGATGTACCGAGAAGTGAGCGGCGTGTCAGGGCAAATCAAAATTCACATGAAATTCAGTCGGCTCTAAGATTCAATGGCTCGTCAGGAACGAGATTGCATTTTCATTTTCACTACTAACATGTTTACTCGTCATCAGAGTCCTCGTCTTCCTCAGACTCTTCGGCGGCAGCCTGCTTGGCGGGCTTCTTCTTCTTGGTCTTGGGCTTGCTCTTCTTCTTGCCAGTGTTTCTGGCAAGGGGCTGCTCAAGAATCTTGAGGAGCTCCTCATCAGTAATCTTCTTGTCGCTCTTGTACTTGGAGACATCGAGGGCAGGGGGGCCACCAAGCTTGGTGATACCGTTCTTGGTGATAGCTACATGGCCATTGTTAGCTACGTGAAACTCGACTGTAAGCATAAAAGGTTTATCTTTGAATACTTACCAATGGTGGTGAGGAGACGACCGACGGGGGAGCCGTCCTTGTCGCCGCAGAGCTCGTACTGGCGGAAAACGTTACCGCGAACACACTCAACAACACCAGACTTGGCGTCACGCTCGTCATCGAGCTGTCTCAAGCTGAAGGGGAAAGTGCCAAACTTCTTCTGAACCTCAGAGAGGATCTTGCGGGAAGTAGGGCGCTTGAGGCCGTAGGTCTGGAGAGTTCTACGGTGGAGAGTGGCACGCTCGTCAAGAGTCTTGCACTTGCCAGAGCCCAGACTGACGCCCATCTCGACACCCCAAACCTCGCTGGTCTCGGGGGTACCGTCACCCTTGGAACCCTCGCTGGGGGCGAGGACAATCTTCTTGGACCCCTCAATCTCGTTGTGGTCAAAGAGCCACGAGGTGGTGCCCTCAACGAGGTGGCAGTCGTAGGCCTCGCAGACCTTCTCAAGGAGAGTGGTGATCTGGGTCTGAGTAGGGCCCTTCTTGGAAGCAGCCTTGGCCTTCTCCTCCTCGGTGCCCTGGGCAAGGAGACCAGGGGGAACCATGAGGCGGAGGAGGATCTCGTTGGCGTAGTGGGTGGCGAGGATCAGGTCAGCAGGGCGGCCGGTGACCTCCTTGTCGGAGCCGGCAAGGATGGTGTCGCAGACAATAGTACCGAAGCCATCGATCTGAGCACCGAGCTGGATCTTGATGGGCTCTCCGGGCTGGATCTCCTTGTTGGCCTCGGCCTCGTCGGTGGTGAGAGGAGTGTAGGGAGTGACATAGGAAGCGGGGGAGACGGTGGTGGGATGGGCGAAACCTTTGGGTCCTTTGTGTCAGCGAGGAGGAGCGCACTTGGCTGGTGTGTATCCGGAAGAAGCTTACCCTTATTGATCTTCTTGCCTCTGTAGACCTTGGAGATTTCCTCCTCGAGGATCTTGTCACCCTGTTGGCAGATCTCGACAATCTTGGCGCCGGGAACGCAAAGCTTGGAAACCTCAGCGAGGACCTTTTCGGAGATTTGACCAGCAGTCTTGTACTTGGTCAAGGTGTCCGGGTTGTTGAGGGAGTAATCTAGGTTATATTTTTGTCAGTCTACATGATCTTTTATTTGTTTGCTTGATGCTATCAGGCTTTCCACGATATAAATCACTGTCGTGTGCCGCAATATTCCTCGCCCTGGTAGCACCACACTCGTGATGTTTTGCATGGCGGGGTCAAAGGAGGGGCAACCACGCGACGAGGTAAAGCTAGGCAGCGCAGGGCGACGGGCTGTGAGAATAGAAGCTTACCGATCTCCTTGTTGTCAGACATGATGGGCGAATCTGGTGAGCCGCTTCACGATACAAAAAAAAGGTGTGATGTTTGGTTGAAGGTGGGACTAAGCAAAGGCGCCTTTGAGCAAAATTAGTGGCAGCAGCAGAGGCTAAGGTTTTGCACGGCGCCCAAAGGAAGCCCAGAGTGGGGAGAGTTGCTGGTGGTTTTGGAGGGGCCTCACTGGAGCCAGGCCACTAAACTACGTCCGGCGAGGGGCGGGAGGGGCGACAGATAGGAGGATTTTTGTTTTATTTTTATTATTTTACAACATATGCATCTGTTCATGCGTCTGATTGACCTATTTTCTACTGTATTTGTTTGGTTTTTTCTGCGCTGTTCTGCTCCATAGTCAGCTTGGTATATGTAGCTTCCACTAGATTGATTTGTGTGGGCGACAGGTCAGGGCCTAGCATTGGGTTTTCCCTTCTCCACCAATGCCGTTGCAGGCAGTCATCGCTACCCGGGAGCATATTTCTGTCAGCGTATATCCATTTCTGTTCATAATTTTGAATATATGCGAGTAATTTCAGACATCTATTGTATATAATCAGGTAGATGGATTTTCTTTTTTTCTTGTAAGATTTCGAGTCTCATGCCCAAGCGAGGTGCTTTCACATACTTCAATAGCTACACCTGCGTCCTTCAGTGTCAGCCATTTCCTTGTAAGTTGGGCGAAGTAGGATATAAACCTGCCCATTGCGCGACAACAGAAGCTAGAAATGAGATAAAAAGCTTTCATTCTACATCTAAGTACAGCCATATACATGATTTACGCATTTTTACATCGCTCAACATATATCAGCACGTGTAACCGCGTACTCTTTGCTCATGTCGGGTATACTCCGGCCAAACGCCACAGCCGCATCGCATCAAAGTATTGCTACACAAGTAGCCACCTAATTTGTATAGAAATACAAGTACAAATACAATCACCTTAGCCCAGCCATTGTCAGCGTCGCTACTGCCAGGAGCCTCTCCCCGTTCGCGGCAAACAACACCAGAACATTTGTCTCAACGTCCTCGCGCGCCCCCCTCGATCGCTATATCCAAGATCGCGAGCCTCGCCCGACGCCGCGGTGATTCAATCCATCATCGTCAACATCGCTGCCGCATTCAAATCGCGCCTCGCGACGCCATATTAATTATCAGCTGCCCTGCCGCATCCTGCTGGTGCCTGCATTCGCGACTATGGCCGCCCAGCCATCCACGTCGGCACCCGGGTCGGCCACCGCGACGCCCCCTGCGGCCACCGCCGACGACAACGATGCCGGCTCCCAGTCTCCTGCCCCCGAAGCAACCACAAGAACCAAAGAATCGTTTAACAAGTTGCTGATAGAGCGATACACGTCGCGCGATGCCGTTGCCGCTGCTGCTCTTGTCGAGCAGATGCAAAAGGCAAGGCTCTCGGCACAAGAGACGCGCGAACGAATCAATGATTATCGCAACATCCGCACAAATTTCCAGCCGTGGTTCCCACCTAGCAAACTCTACGGTGATGGATACCAGGGCTTTGGCAATGGATATACCGAAAACCACGGCCCTGCCAGAATCATCTACCCCGGACAAAAGCCGCGCCCGGGACAGAGAACTACCCCTTCATTCAAATGCCCTCGCAAGGATATGCTCAAGCAAGCCGAGCAACACGAGGAGCTTGTACCTCTCCGCCTCGAAATCGAATGGGACAAGGTCAAGCTCCGCGACACGTTTACCTGGAACTTGCACGACCGTATCCTCGGCATCGACCTCTTCGCTGCGCAGCTAGTCGAAGACATGGGCCTCAAGCCTCCTGCAAATCACCCAGTATATGAACAGGTTATGCAGCAGATGCGCGAGCAGCTCAACGACTTTTACCCATTTGTCTTCTCCGAAGAAGACGCTCTCGACCCTGAACTACCATACTCGGCATACAAAAACGACGAGATGCGCGTTCTCATCAAGCTCAACATCACAATTGGCCCACACACTCTTGTAGATCAATTCGAATGGGAGATCAACAACCCTGCTAACTCACCAGAGGAATTTGCGGCCAACATGGCGCGTGATCTTTCTCTGTCGGGCGAATTTACCACGGCCATTGCCCACTGTATCCGTGAGCAGACACAGCTCTTCACCAGGAGTCTTTACAGCGTTGGCCACCCATTCGATGGCAGACCAATCGAGGACGCCGACCTTGTTTCCGCATTTTTGCAGACGCCGCTGCCCAGTGTCTTTAGACCTCAGCAGCAAGCTAAGGAATACGCGCCTTACATGTACGAAATGAGCGATGCCGACCTTGACCGAAACGAGACCATATTCTCCAGAGAACAGCGCCGCCAGAAACGATCGATAAACAGAAGAGGAGGACCCCAGCTTCCCGATCTCAAGGAGCGCCAGCGAACCATCAGAACACTGATTGTCTCGTCCGTGCTGCCTGGAGCTGCGGAAAATGTCGAGGACAGCGGCTTGTACAAGCGTGCAGCTGGCAGCAGGAAGAGAGGTAATAGAGACGGTGATATTTCCGAATCGGAAGAGAGCGATGACTCCATGCCGGACTCTCCTGCTCCTTCGAACATGGCTCAAGGCACTGCTCGTACCAGAGGCATCCGTGGTGCAGCTTCCGTTGCGCAGCATCGCATGTCGACACTCGGACGATCTGAGACACCAGAAGTCGGCGGCCACCATGACCCTCGCGGCTCCCGTCGACTCAGAGAAGAAACCGAAGAACCTATCCAGCTTATCGTCACGCTCAAGGTTCCCAAAGAAAAGCTCCAGCGCTTGATGAGGGGTGACCTGCGCGACCTTCGAGCCCCCACACAGATTGAGACTCCTGTCCCCGTCCCCATCCCTGGATCTGCTGCTATTGTCAAGCCCAACGTCACATCTGCTCCTGCAGCTTCCTCCCAGCCCGGCGGTCCATCTAGCACGCTGCCTCCTGGCCAGCTTGGTCGTCTTCCCGCACCCCCTCTGATTCCTGGACAACCAACGCCTCCAGCTGTAAGTAAACTTAACAACCTCTCTTAAGGTAATAATATATGAACTAATGATTATGTGCTATAGCCTCCCCCTCCCGACTGGCTCGTCAAGGCTCTCGAGGAACTCAAGGCGAAATATGCCGGCGGTGATCGCTTCGAAGCTACGATGAAGTACTCGACACTAGACCCCATCACAGAACTACCAACACTTGTCCAGCCTCCACCTCCTGGCGTCAAGTTTGCCTGGCTTCCTAGAATTCGTTGCCTAGATTGCGCCCAGAAGCTGTACACACCTGGACCGGACCAGACTGCCCAAAAGTTCGAGGCACACTTGAAGTTCTCTGGCCATCAGCAGAATGTCCGCAAGCGACTAAGCGACGAAGCCAAAGCTAGCGAGATGGCTGGAAACTAACCCAGCTTCTGACTGTCTATTTTACTGTATTCATGCTATGGGAAGCAGCTTGGCAAAGAGACGCAAAGCCATATACTTGCTGCATACGGGACAAATGCGTGCCCCTTACTTCCTTCAAAGAAAAAAGCGGCGTTTACTTGGTTGCGTGCTGGAGACGGAACGTTGGGAACTGATGCAAACGTTATTGGTAAAGCATTATGCTGTTATTCCGCACTCAGTTCTCCCCGTGCTTCTAGACTTCGTTGTTTGTATCTTTTATTTGGTATTTTCTTTTGTTGCATTGTGTTTCTTCTAGATGACTGGTACGGGATTGGTAGCAGGTGTACGTATATATCAATTTATTATTTCCTGATTGAAAGCCCCTTTACCCAATAACGTATGATTACATAGTTTCACGGTCGTTTGTAGAGCTGAAAGCTTCGGCAGTAAGAAACAAAGGTAAACTTGACAAATTAATTTGATATTCTTTTCAAACATGAAATTCTAGCCCGACGAACCCCGGTGTCTGTCGTGGCTCCAGTTGCACAGCATTTCGACATGCCTATCAAACGAAGTAATCTCCAAACTAGCAAAATAATATCTCCTACCCGTTGATACAGCCTATCCCTTTACCTGGTTCGCCTTGAGGCGGTAGCCTTCCCTTTGCCATTCCGGCTGTTGGACCCCTCATCCTCCTCGTCTTCCTCCTCATTGCTGCCGGCCTCCTCATCCGACGAGGCAGGCTCATCGTCTTCGTCTTCATCGCCATAGGCCCACTCAGCAACACCATCTAGCATCTCCTCTTCGTCATCTTCATCGTTGCGTTCCGTGTAATTCGAAACCTTGTGGGAGCGGCTGCTTCGACGACGTTCTCCTGGCTCTGGCGCAGGAGATGCGCGCTTCTTCGGCTTTGCTACCTTCTTCGCCTTCGCCTTCTTTGGCGCGGCCTTGGTCGACTTGCTGCCATCGCCATTCTTCTCCCGGATGACCGCCTGTATTTGTCTCTTGGTGCGCTTAGCAGAGGGTTCTCCACCTTCGCTCAACGACTTTCGTTTCTGCATCCATTGTTAGTAGTGATTCAAAGCCAAGTTAGATTGGGTAATTTAGACGTACCTTCTTGCGGTCGATGGCTTTTAGCAGATCGTCCAGCTTCTCATCAAGGGAATCAGGAATGTATTGCTTTGTAGCGATTTGCTGGGCAACCTCACTAGACTTGAGAGCTGCAAAGAGACCAGCAGGTAATCCCACCTTACCGGGGAAGGCTTGGAAGCTCCAGTTGCGCTTCTCCTGGAACTTTCTGATAATGGCTTGTGCTAGGTCGCTCAGCACGTACAGGTTCTCACTGGCTTCGGGGTTGAGGCCATCTTGCGTCTGCTTGATTCTCTCGGCGTACTTGAAAATAAGAGAGATGTTCTGTTCGGTAGCGACTGTGTTGAGGTAGAAGATGAAGTAGTTGGCAAAGTCGGCCAGGTCATCAGCAGCCGGGCTGTAGTCCGGGTGATGGGCAAGAAGGGGGACCAGTCTAGCCATGACAGCCTCCAAAACTTGCGTCTTTTGTGTCTCATAGAAGATAGCCCGAGATCGAATCCATGTTTCGACCCTGTTCTTGATTTCGGGTACAGGTTCAAATGCAACGATAAATAGCATGGTGACGAATCTGACGCGCAGTTTGCCGCGGGTCAAGTAACTCTGGAGCTTCTCCATGAAACCTTGTCGTACGTGCACCTCGCTATCTTGAATGAGCTCCGCAAGCTTATTGAAGCTAGGCGCGTCAAACAGGTCGTCATATTTCTTGATCGAGCACAGCTTCAGAATAAGAAGACCAGCCAAGAGGCGAAGACGCTTCTTATGTGGCAGCGGGGTGTCTTTGACCTTGCAAAACTCTCCCTCTGCAACAACAAACGTTTTCAAGAGTTTAAAGATAGCCCTAGCTCGATCTTCCGCATCTGGTTCGTTTTCACTTGCGATGACCTGGTTCACAAGAATCTTCAAAGCCAGACACTTGGACTGGAGCTCTTGGTTCATATCAGCATCCGAGACCCAGGAAGGATCTGAAGCCTGCGCGTCAGTATGAACTTGTCGTAGGATTTGTTTGATTGTAATATCTTGAATAGCATCGCCTGAATCAACTGTGACGGTTGGGACAAGTCGTTCTAATTGACATACGGTCGCCAGTTTGTTCAAGAAATGAGGCGACTTGCGGTCAAATTTCTCCATAGTCTTGCGCAAAAGGTTGGTTGCTGATACCTTTCCCTTGTCGTCGTTCTTGGCAAGGATAATGTTAACAGCATATTTGGCAGCTTTAGGGGGAGCACCGTAGAGAGCATAGTTGCTCAAGGTCTGTACAAAGCCTCTATCGTAGTTGATATCCCCAGGATATTTCTTGGCGAAAGATGAATACGCTTTCAGAATGTCAACTACCGATGGGTCATTTGCTTTGCTTTCTGTTGGCGACTGCTCAATGATTTCTTTTCGCAGTTCTTCCGCATGGGCCTTGAACAAATCAGGATTTCTCTGTGAAATATCGTTCAGAATCTGATGGGCAGCACCCGCGAATCCATTCTTGTCACTCTTGGAACAATTCATGATCGTTGCGAGGTGGCTGCGGTTGAACATGAGGGAGCTTGACCGATAGAACAGTGGAATAAGGGTTTCCAGAGATGATGCAGCGCTGCCTCCTTGGAGCTTGGTAATGAGCTCGTTAATTGCACGCCGCACAGTCTTGAAATCACTTTCCGATTCGATGGCATATTTGACTAGCTGATAGCATCTTCGCTCATTGAGCTTCGCAAACTTTTGCAAGTCGGCACGCACTTTCAGAGGATCCGGGAAGAAGGCCCCAAGCCATTGGAAAGTCTTTCCAAGACTGGCCTTGACCTTCTCCTCGTTTGCGTCAATAACTCCTCCGTTGTAGGCTTCGCACTGCTGAATGAAAATGGAGACACCTTTAGCGAACTGAGGTTGGCGCGCTTGCATAGCGAAGAAAGCTTTCTGAGCAGAAGTATCAAAGGACTTGAGCATCAACAAAATACGCTCGGCTCTTAGACGATCTTGGTCAGCTTGACCAAGTGCTGTCTTTGACGCGGCCTTGTTCGCTTTGCCCTTAATAGCGGGAAACTTTAGAGGGACAAGGCATTCAAACATGACACGATCAAGAAGGACGTTCAAGTCAGGATCATTGGCGTAGAACACGCCAACAATACAAGATGGGATACCAGACAAGCACGCTGTGACAGCCTCCTGGCCGTCCGCGATTTCACCAGCACCAACAGCCCACAGCTTGCCTAACAGGACCATCGCATCGACACGAACAGCAGGCTTTCTGTCTCGACAGCGATCTCCAAGGATGTTGAACAAGGATCCCTTCTTTTCAATGCCGCCTAGTGGACCAAGTTTCTGGATGACGTCCTTGAACTCGAAGAGCTCAATGGCTTTAACAGCGGCGATTCGCACCTTTTCCTCACTATCGCTTAGCTTATCAACCAAGCCGCCGATAAGCTCTGTTTCGTCCTCACGACTCAAGCCGATTCCACCGGCTGATGTTGACAGGATGTACCCAACTGCAGTGACCCAGGATGAACGAATGGTGCCAGACTTATCGTTCTTTCGGCTTACAAAGTTGCGGTAGGTAGCATGATGGGACTGCGCAAAGGATTGTGGTGAAAATGGAGTGGTTAAGATGTTGGCGTTTGCTGTTGGTGTAGTTGGTTCGCTCATTAAGCGAACCGGTGGCCATGCAGATGGATCCAAAGTTGGAGGTGGCGGAGGACCTGCCGCGCCAATACCTGAAATCATATCACCAAATGCTTCTGTTGCAATCTGGCGCAAATGGACGTTGTCGGCCGACAGCTCGGCGTCGAGCTGAGGAACAACGTTTTGGAGGATTGAAGGAGCGGCACGCCAGAGCTCTCGAATCAATAAATGTGCTTGCCTCAAGCTCTTCAGATCTGCTTCCGAGGGACCCGAACCAGTGTCTTCGTCGTCAGAATCGTCGCCATGTCCGTATCCATTCTTGGTTGCAAAGCCAGATGCATTCAGGATAACATCGCTGAAGTACTGACTGACATATCGAGACATTTTGTCCGTGCAGCCATTGCAAATGTTCTTCGCCATTATATAAGCAGCAGGCTCGGTTTTGTGTAGTAATGTAGACTGGTTGTCACTATGATCCTTTGCTCGGGCACCACCTGGAGGTGCAGCGCGCAAGAACTGGCTGATGATAGCGTCGACAACACTCGCGGGAATGCTGCCTGGCGATTCGTCAATCAAATGAATCAACATATCCGTCAAATGAATTTCGACATCCTTGGCAACCTGTTCCTCAGCGGCAGCCTTGGAGCTTGCAGATATTCCGTCGAAGGTAGAGTTGAAGAGGCGCAACAATAGGTCGTCGGCACCGTGTATTTCAGGTAACAAGAGGATACTCTTAACTTCTGTAAGAGACACAAGGACATACTTGTGCTGGCTAGTGTATGGGTTTGTCGGGTCATGAAGAGCTGGGAGAATATCTTTGACGAAGAGAGTGAACATCATCTACTGGAGTTAGCTTCTGTTGACTGAGGAACATGAAGATAGGTACCTTTAGCTGCTCTTCGGAAAATGGAGCATCTGGGACATAAAGGCGCAGAAGGTCTACTAAGCAGCATGCTGTGTAGGCCTTTACACCTCGGTCTTTGTGTTGAAGGAGATTTCTATGCGCCAGATCTGCAGCAACTCGCTGAAGAGAGCTTAGGACTACTGCGCCTTGGTCAAAATCGGCGAGCTCCTTGGATAGCTTTTCGAGTCGGGTGAGTAGTGTTGCGCTAGGAATAGGTTTCGCAGGTCGCCAGGATAGCTCCTCATCAAATTCAAGGCTTTTCTGCTCTTCCTCATCGATATCCATGTCTTCATCATGAACCTCGGGGAGCTCGTCCTGAGCGGGCAGCTCCTCGGGGTCCGGGTCGGTTGCGCGTGCGCTTCGACGTGGCATATTGTATCGGAGATGAGAAAAGTGATGCTATTTTGGCTGAACAATTGTTGCGGGTGCCCGCTAGAGTTAGGTCGCAAGGAGAATGCGGTGGTGAGATTCGGCGGCTTCGCGTGTGGTTGACAGGAAGCTTCTCAAAGCATGGCCTCGAGCGATACAATTGGAAATGAACGTTTCGCAAGTTGACACCGCGATGATATTGACAATCACCAATGCGCTGTCGGGCAAATAGATGGCGAAGCGTGCAAATGCCGTGATGCTGCGTGAACAGGGTGTTGAGAGTGTGTAGAGCCGAGCTGGGGTCGGCACGGCCAGATGATACGCGACGCGCCACAGCGCGGTGGCTAGTAAATTGGATGGAGCTGGGCCTAGCTTGGTGGCCACCCCCGCGCGTGCATGGTTGAGCAAGCAGAGGACGATCATTTTGTAGAATGATTGCGAAAATACGGCACTTAATAATGTGAAAAAATAAAAATAAAAACCAAAAGGCCAAAGTATTTTATCTTGAAAAACCATTGAAGTGACTTATTCCATTAACAGCGCTAAATTTCTATTCGACGAATGAGTTCGAGCTGCATTGGTAGTGAACGTCCATTGCGCTGCTCTATAAGAGTCACAAATTACTGATAACGAAAAGAACTGGCCGTTGGGACTAATAACGATTTTCCCGATCTAGAATGTTCTTTAAGAATTCTATAGACAGATATTTGGGAGGAGAGCCCCAGGTGCGATGTCTCTGCGTTGCGTCAAAAATACAGCTTTAGTTAGAGTTGTACATGTCGGAAACAGAATACAAACTTTGGGAGTCTCCCTGAAATTAGCCAATTGGTTTCAGATCTAATACATAATCTTTAATCACTTCTCATAGTTCAAGTAGAAACATCCCTTACAAACGCTCATCGTGAACTGTCGTGTTCGTCGCCGTCATGTAATACGTAAACCACGAGTCTCAATCCACAATGTTTGCCATTGTTGTCGTAGTACTCTGTACGAGAGCCTTTTGTGAAATCATTTCGATCTATAACATAAGAGAAACATCGTGAGCAAAACTGTGGTACAACCGAGAAGTAGCTGCCCTTGTTGAACAACCATGATGTTATGCTGGTAATCAGCTTTTGGATCTGAACGTGACCCTTGACCGCATATATAAAGTAAACTTCCGCCTTGTCGAAGAAAGACTTGCTTGGATCAGGCATTGAAACTTGACATACAAATCCATTCCTCAGGCGTTGAGAAACTGGACGATTTAACTGGTGTAAGTGTCTACAAGCGTCGCCCAATCCAAATTGTCTGCCTCCCCTCATCACCATTTTGCCCCCAACAATATTTCAGCATACACAAAAAACCTCTGTTTGTTTACGTGCGATACTTGCCAGCTGTGCCAGCTGCCAGCTGCAACTTTGGCCACCTCACCTTGCAGTCATGGACTGATCTGGCCCGCCCACCTCGCACTATTTAACCTAGCAATATTCTCTTGTTGTTTTCTCACATTCGTCGTTGTTCTCTACGCTCGTTACACTTTTATCACCACGCTCCTTTTCTTTAAATATCATCTGTTCTTTTGAAAACCATATCATTCTAGTATGCCATGTTGAGATCCAAATGCTACAGAGCCACCACACAGAACAACAAAGCTAACGTTACCTTGACCTCACAGCCTAGTATTCTTCTTACTACCACTTAAAGTAAATCAACTATTCCAAAGTATGTCTACATGACTAACTCGTATTACGTATGTTTGTCCTCTAACGAATAACAGTGGCGTCCAAGGTTGACTATGGTTGGGGCTTCGTTCAAGAGGAGTTGCCTTCTGTTCAAGACCGACGTTCTCGTCGGGATGCTGGTTGGAAGCTCATGTCAGCCACTGGCATTGGCATTGGTATTCTTGCTTTGGTTTACGGTGTTGTCTATGTGATGTCAGCCTGTGGTAAGCAGTCCCAAAACCACAAGGACATATGTATAGAGGTGCTAATCACGTTTCAACTAGCTCACTTCTTGCCTGCTCAACCTTTCGAACCCGTCTCTACCATCCACGCAGAGGTTGTCAAGGCTCGCGCTTTCTATCCTCGCGGCAATGGCAATGACAGCTCCATCATTGCAGAGCCAACCCTCGGCCCAGTTGGAGTCAGCGTCCCTGTTTCGTAAGTTGATCCAGGTCCACGGCACAGTCTAAAGCTAACTCTAAGTAGTACCCAAACTGCTCTCACCACCCTCTGGTCTATCCGCACCACTGATGTCTCGACACTGGATACCCCCGTTCCAGTAAGCGCGACCATGGAGCCCAACACGACTACTTTGACCACCACTGTCATTGTGTCGGAGCCTACGGTCGATTCTTGTACCCTCAAGAACGCTACCCAGACGAATACTATCACTGTCACAGTGATGCCGACTGTGGTCAGTGCTGATCCCTACGTTCCTGCTTCTCCCTATTCTGAGTCGATTGAGGCATCTTCAGAGATTTCCTCTCTCGAAAGTCAGACTGAGCAAGGCACTGTAACCCAGTTCACTACCATCAACGTGCCCTGGAACACAGAGGACTCCCCCCATGTTACCGTCACCAGCACCAAAACTGTGCAGAGAACCGCATCTACTCTCACTTTAACCGTGGTTGCTAGTGTGGGAAGCGGCACACCCGCCGTTTCCTTCCAGTCGTCTGCTGATGCTGTTGGCACAAGTGATTCTCCATTGACAATCACAGAGGTCGTCACCACCACAGCTGGAGAAACTCCTACCTCGACGATGACTGTATTCATGTCGTCTGCTACCAGTGGAAATTCCAACGACACCTACGGCGACCCTCCAGTTATTATTTCAGAGGCTTCGTCCCGATGCTTTTCTTTCAAGACATTCTTGGCAGCCCTGTTTGTTTGGGGGTTGTTTGTGTAGATGAGCAGCAAATTGGGCTGCTCATTTCGCTGCTTTTGAACAAGATTTTCTTGTGTAGCTTTTTGAATGAATGGTGGTTTAGAACCATGCAACAACAGTGAGGCCGGCGGCCAACAAGATCTGGTTCACTGGTTAATTAAGAATTAAGGTTGATGATTTTGCTTGAATAAGAGAAGTTTAAGAGAAATAATTGTAGGGAGCCAAGAATTCAAAATGAAATGACTTGATTGAATCTACCAATACGCCGGACCAAATTGATTGAACATAGTCTAGGGTTTACTTGCACCGTGTCTCTGCTCGGCGCGAGCAAGTCTCGCTTTCCAGTTATCCTTTATCTTCCCAGCAGCTTGATACAAGTCTGTATCGCACACGCGGTCATTGATGCTCTCAAGAACACTAGAAACAGTACTCTTGTGATTTGCTTCATTCTTGTCGTCGCGGAAGCGAATTAAATGCCATCGCCCCTGCTCGTCTTGATTACATTCCACGATGCGATTGTTGAGAGGATCACCCAGGCCCTTGAGGGTTTCCCATTCCGCCTCAGTCAGATGTGCGTCTGCGAAATATTCATAGCGGTCCAGACCACTATCTCCCTTGAAGATGAATAGCTCGGCTTTAGGCACGCCATCGTAGTCAACGAATGGTTCCAGGATGCCGTCCTTCTTCTCCCACTCGTCCGGCTCAACCGTAGGGAACGTCAACCTGAGTCGGCAATCCAGAGTGTTTTCCTCTGGAGGTTTCCATTTCAGGATATGAGGATCTGTTCCATGTTTGTATGGTGTGTTTCGACATGTGAAGATTAGCCCATCATTGCCATGCTTCAAGCCTGGCAAGACCTGCTTGAACATCATTTCAATGCCATAACCGAGCTGAAATGGTTTCATCTCGACATAAAAAGGCTGGAATTTTAATTCCTCTGGAAACTCCTTGAACAACTTCTTATAAGGCGAGTACATTCTCTCCTTGAAATATGCCAAGCGCTTATCAAGTGTGCGATCCATGAGCTTCAATCCGTCAATGACGAGACAGTCGAAAACAAGAAAGCGTGGCTCCCGGCCTCCATTAGGTAGACTATCCCAAACCAATTCGCCATCGACAATTGTATCGCGATGGAACTGAGCCTTGTCGTTCAATAACGGGAAATGGAAGCTGCGGTTGGTGATGAACCAGTAATCGTTCTTTCGATCGATCAGATAGTGAGTCTCGGCCCCGGTATCATCCTCTGTTGAGTAGAGGAGGTATCTGATTCCGTCAGACTTTTCGCAAACGTAATAGCTGTTGCATATCAGTTAGCATTGATAATCACATATCTGGCGAGTCGAAGCGTACTCTTGTCGCGTCAGCTCTTCAAGATGTTGTCGCGCAAAGCTCACAGGCTGTGCTCCCGGAAAATTGGACTGCTGTCTTCCCAGAAGCTCAGCAACTTCTTTTCTCATCGTGTAGAGAAGTTGCCCTTCAGCCTTAATGCCAGGCTCGGAAATTGACTGGATAGGCCCATCTCCTGGTGGTTGCTCCATGATCCGCGATCAGGACGACGCCACGCCGATAGCTCCAGTAACACAAGTGCTAGCAATTTCAGATATCGTCGAACAAGGAGCGCGGTGATTTCATGGGCTTCTTCGATAAATATTTGTTCGCGGGGAAGTTTTGTTGTGTGCAGAGAATGGTGACAACATATTCGTTTTCACGCTCCGGCCGCGACGTTTGCGACAGGCACCGCATCTGTTAGGACCCACACGCAGTAGGTAGCTAAGACACTAACTTAGAACATCACATTGAGACATGCGCTCTCCATTGAACAACGCTGTGCCAATGTCAATGTCGAGAAATTCGGCCCTGGCATTCGCCAGTCTCGAATGATGAAAAATGATTCCTGTATTTTATGGACGATCTTTAGAAGTATTAACTGCACAAAATGGGCTTTTGCCAATGGCGATGCTCTTGGATCTCGCGCAGCCAAATGGTGGCATTACCGGCTCCTCTCTGCTCATCGTGTTGGTGGTAGAAAATGATAACGGTTCATTCGATATCAAATACCGGATTAAGAAGACTCAATCGCATTAACAGTAGTTACTGAACTCTGAACAGTTTTCGCATGCTCATATATCTTCCCCAAATATGCCAAGAGCCCGCTCTGGTTGTTTCTTGGACGTCACGCGACAGCCTGCAGTAGTATGTAATACTACAAACATCTGTGATAGTTTGAGCTTAGGATTATTTTATGTAGGTACTAATATTGGTGTACCCTAAACGGTGTGCCCTTCGCTGATATGTCGTTGTCCGATCTTTATTTTCTTCTTAGATTGGGTAACATGCTCGCCGCCTAACTACCTGTCGAAGCAGCTATTACGTGGTATACTATTGTGGATCTATAATTCATCCAACACCGGGCACATATTCCTTCACAGCCGCAGCTTGATCATGACGCCGCAGGCGAAAATGATATCTCGGCTGACGTCTTAGTAGCTTTGATGCATAGGATATGGAACGCAAGGCTCGGCAATTGTGCGAGGCAGATACTCAGCAAGTACAATATAGCATTCCACAACAAGTAGCAAAACGCTGTCTTCGGTTCCTTCACTTGTATGGGTTGCATGTACTCAGGACAGTGGCACTCGTCGCAGGGGGTTTCGGTATTGAAATTTAGCTAGCGGTAACGAGGCTTTGACTTAATTAATATTGGGTTATATAAGGAGACTTGCTTTTCCGCTTGCGTGTCCTTGTCTTCTTACCTCAACTTATCATTTCATTCATATAAAGCAATATACTTACTACTCTTTAAACCCTACTCTTTACCTCAGCGCTATCATGCAACCCGTCGCAGGTCTGGCTCTTGTCGTGTTAGCTTTGGCTCCGTACGCCTTGGCTGCCAACTGTCAGTGTTGGTTCAAGGATTAATAACACGTGTTATCAAAAGGTGAGAGGTTGTGGTAAAAGTTCGTTGTTCTCTTCTAGTTCCATGGTCGGAACTGCTCTAGTTAAATACAGCGAATACATACTGTATTCACATCCTTTTCCTGTGTTTTCCCAGCCACTTCCAGTGACTTAACTATTCCTTCACTCCTCCAGCAAAGTAACACACGTCCAATGTCACAATAGTCACAACAGTCAGACTGGTCTTAATTACTGCGGCTCCGAACTTTACAAAAAAGGCAAGTTAAATACCAACAAAAGTATACAAATGTCTCTAACATTCTATAGGTGACTACAACTTTATTATCAACCAATGCCTCACCGATAATTATAAAACCATTACCTCTACGACGCAGCGGAACACCCTATTCAGCTGTGTTACTGCGTCTAGTGGATATCCCGGTTATATCAGATACAATACCTACTGCGCCAATGGTTGCATTAGCGGTGGCAAAGACCGAAGCGATTATTGTGCATGAATACAAAACTAAGTTCATAAGAATAAGTTGAATATACATTATATATGTAGTAAACAATTAGCCTACTCTAAGCTTGTATCCTGTAACAAGTACTGCTTCGATCCACTCTTAGCTCGTCGTTCAATTGAGATCTGGAGTTGCTCTATAGACTCAACTATCAATCCGTTACTTGTGAATAGACTCCATTACCAGCTTACACAATATAAAGCCTCCCGTATTCAGAAGACTCTCTAGAATGTTCTTCAAGAAAATTAATCACTATCGTGAGACACTCTTCCCACCAGCCGGCCAGGATCAGTCCGTAACAAAATAATGTTTAAACTAAGTTAGAGCTAGAGGAATAATACCAGTGAAATAACAAGGAAAAGCCTCGTACTTCTCTACGAAAATATCTCTAAAATTTATAGTATTGCTCCCCTACGCAACCTACCCCTAACAGTGTCTGTGGTTATCGATAACACTTTGCAGAGTGCAGCGCCGCATCTATATATTTGGAGTATAATTCTGCCACGCCTTTTTATTTATAGATTAGTGTCCTTATAAATAGTGAGCTTTCGTTTATTTTTATGGGAAAAGGCAAATATAATTGTTTAACTAGAACCGCACGAACAAAAATCTACAGTTTCCGTCCTGTCTACATAGCCGGCTGTTGACACCACCGAAACGCTGGATTAGACTTCCTCAATCTTGTCGACTTCAGCGCGGGCTTCCTCCCAGTGTTGCTTGCTCTTTTTAGCCCATTCGACTTGACTTTTGGCATACGCGAGCTGGAATGGGTTAGTAAAGGAGAATCAAGATTGCAGCTATAAAGGAGGAACTTACCATGTATCTCCTCAGGTCCTCTTCTTTGTGTGTTTGAAAGCGTTGAAGGTCCTTAAGCACACTTGCACTGGCTTCTTTGACATCCTTTTCCGAAACAATTTGTGCTTGCTCTAGTTGCCCTATTGATTCCCTTGTCTTGCCAATAGTGTCTCGTCGCGTGCGCTCTGGGTCAACGTCGACCACGCCTTGCACAGCATGCCTCAGTGGACCGAAAATCCGGTTGGTCAATGAGTTACTGCCAGAAATCCTCTTCTGTGAGAGACTTGCACTTCTCTCTGGAAGACCTTGGTTGGCAGACGGAACAGGAGGTCGGAATTCGCCATGAGTTGGGGGAAAGTCAGAATCGACCGACTCAATGTCATCCTGGCTCCCATCTCTTCGATGACTACCGGGCTCCTTTAAACTGGTCGATCGTTTCGGTGGCGGTGTAAGCTGCTGGCTGCTAGATAGATACTGCTCTATACGTTGAGCTTCAGCTTCGCTCCTCTCGAGCTGCTCCAAAAGCGCCCGTTTCTTGCCTAGCTCTTCTGTTGTAAGCTCCTGCTGCACTCGTTTTAAAACTCGATATTTGAGAACGCTCTTTACTACCCCGGCGAATTGGGCATTCTCGCGCATGGGCTCGGCAAAGCTAGCTCCGAGAAGACCAGCAAGTTCTTCAGTCGCAATATATGTTGAATCAGCAGCTTGACCGACGCGCTCGATCGCAAGACTGAGAGATGGTGCTGGTTGGGAAAGAGCAAAGGCGTTATATAACGATCCCAGTTCACATAAATCTTTGGCGAGAGATGAAAGGTGGCCCAGAGTCCTTCTATTAACCCTTTCCATAGGGCCTGTGAGGAGCTGCTCCATTTCCTTAATCGACGCTTCGTAGGCCGTGAAGTACGGGTCCAACTCGTGCTCAGACAATATCGCGGAATCGGGTGGGAAACGCTCTATACCGTAGGGAGAACTCTGGAGAACCGGTGAGGTCAACTCAGCATTTGTGCCTGACGCTGTCCTCAGCTTTGCTGACGACGCCGGGACCGGCAGAAAGTTGTGGCCAATGCTGGGGTTTGCCGTATCAAGTGGAGGAGCTTTCAAGATTGATTTCGGAATGGATGCAAGAGGATGAGAATTAAGAACTTCGCTCTAATTTACAAGTTAGTCATTAGCAATTTCGCGGTGATCAACTGTCGCTTACCCAGCTAGCGTTTGGGTCGAGAAATCGCCACCAAACACCGTCATTACGGATGTCGTCCATCCGTCTACATCGGTTCAAAAATACCGCCAACATTCGCTTTCTTAGATCAATTATTTGTTGATCTTGTTTTGCATTCGCTGGATTCGCCGCGTAATCAGCCATGGTATGTTTCTCAGGGATGGGCGGGATGACGAGGGTTGGGTGAAGTCGTGTTAGAGCTTCACGGAGAGAAGCAAACTCGGAGTATCTGCGTCGGACCTCGAGGTCCTTTAAGAGAGTTAGTTCTGGATTTAATAATTGCGGTACATTGCAAAACCCACGCCAGTTCTGATTGTGTATACGATCGGTTTCCCTCCACTCTCATGACTTTTTCCAGCTTCAGTGATGAGAATAGACATATCCGGATTTTCGTCTAGAATTTGCTCAATACGGCTGGTATACCCGCCAGGTCTTCTGCGCGTTTGCACTTCTTCTGGTACGGGGCTGGTCTCTTCGACGGTAGCCGGGTTTGCCAGCGAGGGACTCGGAAGCTGCGGGGATTCATCATCGTCATTAGGCAGTGTGTCATTGGCCTCAAACGGTCGATCTGTTGTTCAAAATTATTAGCCTTCCTTTCATGAGTTTCTTTGATTCAGTCAGTGTTGTCTTACAGGCGCGCGCAGACGGAGACGCTGGGTTTATGGATGATGACGTTTGAGAATCGCGGCGGTCGAAGCTCGTGCCGTACGGGTTGTTGTCTTCGTCATTCCACATGGTCAAGGATGTAACCTAGTCTCCGGCACGAATAGAATATTTTATAACTAGTCGATCGGCCAGGACGCGGTATCGCGCGCGTACTTTGATCGAACGTGGATGAATCTCTCAGCGGGGAAGAAAGCGAAAGAGATGCAGGGAAGGCGGTCAAGGTGGCTTAGCGCGCAGCTGTTTTCATCCTTTCAAAGATTAAAATGACGAGTTTGGGCGCAATTACGAGGTTTTAGCTGAATGGAAGGAAGAAGCGTCGATGTTCAAGCGTCCAGCCAGATAAAGATTGATATAACGAAGGACCACCGTAGAGCATGTGGTAGGCAGCTTCACTTGGTGATGACGATGCGTGGATGCACGGACCAGTTGCGTCACCCCTCCATTTGGCGCCCTGCTTTTTGTGGCGCAGAACAAGCTCCTTTAGCGCTATCCGTTCCGTTGAACTTTGAAACAGGCATCGAATTTGGTTTTTAGTATTTTGTACTGTGCGTATAAATTTTGTAAATTTTACTACTTTAGGGTTTAATTTCTTTAATTTCTCCGTCTCAAATATTATGCTTTCTCATGCTGTCGCGCGGGTGCAAACACATCCTCCACCATTTATATGGTTTAACTGTATCCTCAGCTGGCCCTGGCTAGGCCAAGAAGTCATCAGTATGAACAGTTGCACCTGTGCTGCTTATCACTGCTGAATCTAGGCTTGAATTAAGGTCGCTGCATTTCATTTCAACTCCAGCCGAGGTTGTCTTCGGAGACGACGAGACGAGCACACTGTCCGGCCGTGCCTGGACAGTCTGGCCATGTCTTCCCGTGTATTTACTAGCCATAGGTTTATAAATGTGACGAGAAGCGCATTGTGACTGTTTTGATGAAGTTTCCAGTTTTCGAACCTCTACTATATTGGTGAGTTGTTCGGAGGTGACACCAGGCTGCCGCTCCCCTTTGTTGAAGGGCAAATGCGCTTGATGATATGTAAGTAATTTCGGGCGGGTGTTGTTGTTCATATATACCAGAGGTATTAGACCATGATGATGGTAGTAATTGGACTGTGAACTAGTAGTCGGTTGGATGTGTGCCGCGGATAGATGAGGTGAAGGCATGTTAGCCATTGGTCCTTTGCGCAAAAGAATTTGCTGCCCTTGATGGTACATGACGAAGAATGTGAGGATGAAGAAGATTAAACAGAATAATAACACAGAGGTGATTATAATGCCGGTTTTTAAAGAGAGGGAAAGGCAATCCCAGCCCAGACATCTGGGGCTAATAGTAGGCATTGAGTATGACTGCGATACGAAAATCACAATATCAGATGATATAGATTCAGTGATAACTTAAGGTTGGTGTCAGAATCTATTGGATTCTCAAATCAAGTACTTCTGTATAGCCAAAGTTCATTGACTTTATAGCCAAATGCCAGGCTTCCGTCTGCCAAAGTGCCGCCAGCTGGCACGGCCACACTGTCAGTTAGCATAGCACGGCATTGAAAGGTCGCGTTAGACCATCAAAATATAAGCATATGGATTTATAATCTGCTTTTTACTTTGAAAAGAAAAAAAATTCATTTTATTTAATACGCTAAATCAGCCTTTGGCGGTTACGCTCAAGGTCAACCATTCGACAGGTGTACAGGCATCAGCCAATCACAGCGGGCCCTGCTTTGCGCAAGCACGGACCACCTTCTTCCGCGAAATCCCAACTGGGACGACTCTTCTGGCGTCGCCGCGACCAGATTTCCATCATCACCCTTACCTTTTCCATCCACCCCCAACGCGAATATCAGCTGTTCAATAGTGCATAGCACTAGAAGAGCATGCTATTGGAAGCTTGAAGAGGCCAAGGAGTAGGAAAGCGCTTTACAGCCATCTCAACGGCCAGCAGTTTGCGATCGCGAAACCCTGTGCCTCACAATCATGGCTGCAGTTCTCAACGGCACGGCCAATGGAGCCATTAACGGCATCGATGCAGGCACCACTGCTAGTATTCGATTCTCCGACATCCCAACGGCCATCGATATCCCTGTCCAGGGTGATCAGGAAGACGAAGCCGTCGAAATCGATCTCGAAGACCTCGTTGACGACCCTACCGAACTCTGCACACTATTCGAAAACGAACATGCTGCCAAGACATACTGGATGACCGTTGCGCTTGCCTATGCAAAGCAGCACAAAATTGATCATGCTATTGAGATGTTGATCCGTGGCGGTGGCGCTATCCAAAGCAACCCCAGAGACAAGGTCAGCATGATATGCTGCCTTTGCTGGATGTATCTTTGGAAGAGCCGAGAAGCCCCACGAGTTGCACCAGATGGTATGAGGGCTTCCGAAGCAAAGACAAAAGAGCACTATCTCCAGCTTGCTACATCTTCTCTCAACGACGCTGCTAGGCTCAATCCTTCATTCCCACCCATTTTCCTTGCGCGAGGTGTCTTGCTGCTTCTTAGAGCGTCGCTTCAGGCCCCTTCCAAGGCAGCAGGAAGCATTGGATCCGAAAAGCAGGATTTGCTCAAGACTGCTATCAAGTCCTTTGATGATGCCCTGCGCGTTTCTCAGGGCAAAAACATGCTGGCGCTTATGGGCAAAGCGCGTGCTTTCTTTTCAATGCAAAAGTACCCGGATGCTTTAACAATTTATCAGGACGTGCTCCAAAAGAAGCCCGGTCTCGTTGATCCAGACCCCCGCATCGGTATTGGATGCTGTTTCTGGCAGCTTGGGTTCAAAAAGGATGCCAAGTTGGCTTGGGACAGATCCTTGGAAATCAACCCTAACTCGAAGGTGGCCAACATCCTCCTCGGTCTCTTCTATCTCGATGCCAGTGGTCACGTCCCTGTGAACAGCGATGAATTTGTTAGGCTATACAAAAGAGCCATGACAGAGTACACCCAAAAGTCGTTCAAACTGGATAAAGATACTCCATTAACTTGCAACACGTTTGCAAACTACTTTCTCTCACGCAAGGCGTGGGATAATGCTGACAAGCTTGCACACAAGGCTATTCAGTATACGGATGTCAACGCCATTGCCAGTGATGGATGGTATCTCCTGGCCAGAAAGGCTCACTACAATGGAGATACAGAGCGCGCGAGCGACTACTACAGACGTGCCGATGAGGCCAGAGGAGGAGCCGACACTGGCTACTTACCTGCCAAGTTTGGTATTTCTCAGCTCTCTGTGTTGAAACAAGATTTGGGTGAAGCAAAACTGAGATTGGAAAAAATGATTCAGCAGTCCAAGAACCACGAAGCAATGATCCTTCTCGGTACATTGTATGCTGAAGAAATATTTTCGAGCCAGGATAGCGACCTTAAAGAGGATAAGTCTTCAGAGATGAAGAAGGCCATCACTCTTCTCGAAGGTGCACGAAACGCGTGGAAAGATTCGAAGAGAAATCTAGTTTCCGATTCTTCTGTGCTGCTTAATCTTGCACGTCTATATGAAGCGGAAAACCCGGAGAAGGCTCTCCAATGTCTCCAACAAGTTGAGCAATTAGAGTTAGAGCAGGTCCCCGACTCAGAAAAGCCCGAGAAATCTACAGATGAAACTGAAGCTCAAATGGCGTTGCGAAAATTCTTGCCTCCTCAACTGCTGAATAACATTGGATGCTTCCACTTCCAAGCGGAAAAGTTTGAGTTGGCAAGCCAGATGTTTGAAGCTGCCTTAGGTGCCTGCATGAGAATGAGCGATAAGGACCCCAATGCCGACACTGACGCTCTTGTTTCAACTATTAGCTTCAACTTGGCCCGCAGTTATGAAGGCAGTGGACTACAAGAAAAGGCTATTGAAGTATACGACGGTCTTCTGGCGCGACACGATGACTACACAGACGCTAGAGCGCGCCTTGCCTATATTAAACTTCGCCAGCATCCTAATAAGGAAGGCCCTGATGCAGTTGCCAAACTATACCAGGAAAACACTGGCGATGTTGATGTCCGCGCGCTTTACGGATGGTATCTCGGCAAGGTGCAGTCACGGAAGCGACCTGCAAACATTGTTGAGGATCCTGAATTCAGACACTACAAACACACGCTTCAAAACTACGACAAGCACGACCGCTATGCTCTGGTAGGCATGGGCAACCTCTACATGCTACAGGCTCGAGAGATGCGACGTGAGACAGACGCAGAGAAGCAGAAGCGTAGTGCCATATATGGCAAAGCCGTCGAGTTTTTCGACAAGGCCCTCTCTCTGGACCCTAAAAACGCATATGCTGCCCAAGGCGTTGCGATTGCCCTCATTGAGGACAGAAAAGATTACAAAAACGCTCTCACAATCTTGAACAAAATCCGCGACACCATTAAGGAAGCGCATGTTTACGTTAACTTGGGTCACGTCTATGCGGAGCTCAAGCAATTCTCCAAGGCAGTTGAGCACTATGAGATTGCTCTTAGCAAGGAAGGAAAAGCCAACGACGCAGCGATTTTGTCGTGTCTCGGTCGTACCTGGCTTAACAGAGGCAGGGCCGAAAAGGAAATCGATTGTTACTACAAGGCGCTTGATTGTGCTACAAAGGCGCTCGAAGCGGCGGCTGATCAAATCCACTACAAGTTCAATGTCGCCTTCGTTCAGATCCAATTGGTTCAAACAATTCAAGCCCTACCGGAGAACAGACGCAGTGCTGAGCAATTGGAGGAGGCGGCTAAGGGGCTCGAAGCCGCCATCGAATCCCTCGATGCCATTGCCAATAGCCCCCAGCCTCCTTATCCCAAGCATGACATTGAACAGCGTGCTAACATGGCCCGCAACACCCTACGCAAGCAACTCGAGCGAGCTATCGCTAAGCAAAAGGAATGGGAAGAGGTCAACAAAGAAAAGATTGAGGCTGCCAAGAAACAGCGAGAAGAGGAGCTTGCCCGTCGCGAAGAGGAGAGACAACGAGCCATCACTGCAGAAAATGAGAGGCGCGCAAAGCTGAAGCAAGAGCGAGAAGCCATTGCTGAGAAGGACAGACTACTCAAGGAGGAGCGGGATCGTGAAGAACAGGAACGTCTCGACGCCGAAATGACGGTAGATGAAGAGACTGGTGATAAAGTCAAGCGGAAAAGGAAGCCAGCCCCGCGCCAGACTGGTGAGGGCAAACCTAAGAAGGCTGCCAAAAAGAAGCAGAGCGTCCGAGATGATGGCGACGAGGACGACGAAGGCTCTGATGGTGCATCTCACGCCAAGAAGAGGCGCCGCCTTACGAAGCGCGAAAACTCCAAGTTCAAGTCCCAAGAAATCATCGTGGATAGTTCTGAAGAAGAGGATGGTGACGACGATGCCTCGGACAAAGAAGATGTACAGTTGGATGATAATGTTAGCGATGGCGAGCAAGCTGATTCAGGCGACAAAATGGATATGGATCAAGCTGGTGATGAAGATGACGAGATTTCCACTCGCCGGAAGCCTGCCAAGCGATCTCGCCGAGCACGCGTGGTCGATAGTGACGAAGAAGACGCTGACGAAGCGGTCGGTGGAGCGGAGGATGACGATGAATAAAAGCGACCGTCTGATTCTTGTATAGCTTCGGATTTGCTTTCATAGGCGCTCATTTGCCTCATGGTTAGGCGTACTTTTAGAGTCTTGATATCTTCTTTGTCATTTTGTCCTTTTCTCTACGTAGCTCAAGTTTGAGGCTGAGGGAAGCTTGGGGTAGTCATATTTCCATGTAATTGTATGTTTGGTTTAATAGAGCAAAAGATTTAGCTTCATCATGTCAAACAGTTCAACGCCAACGCCCATGTCATTTCACGTGTTGTTAGACAACTAAGCTCGGTTCAGATAGAACGAAATATATTAATTACAAAGTATATGATTGAATGTGTTTTTCTACTTCCAATATATTCGCTGCGTTTCTCGATTCTAAGCAAACCGTGGCGACGCGATTGCGGTGCTGGAAAGCCAACAGTTACAGTCCAGCGGTTACCCAGGCGGGGCGCCAGTCTCCAACATCCTAGATTTCCACTGGCCAATCGCGTCGTAGTCGTGATTATTGCTTTCTTTAGAAGGCAAAGACCTGGTCCTCAAGCTTGCTGACAGGGCGAGCCTTCTTGAAGCCGAGACTCTCGGTTGCCTTCTTCAGGCCACTAACCATGGGAGGGGGACCGCAGAGCAGAATCTTGACGTCGTCGGCAGGCTTAGGAAGCCATTGCTACTAGATGTTAGCACTGGATCATCCAAGTTAGAATAAAGATATATACTTACAGTAATCATGTCGGCAGTAACATAGCCAACACCACCAGTCCAGCCCTCAGGGGGCTTGTCCAGGACGTAGTGGATGCGGATGCCGCTATCCTCCTTAACCAAAGCCTCGAGATCCTCTCGGAGGAGAATATCCTGAGGGGTAACGTTGGCAAAGATCAAATCAACCTGGGTCTTATCACCAGCCTCACGTCCTCGCATAATAGCGCGAATGACCTGAAGCATCGGGGTGATACCGGTACCACCAGCAATCATACCGAAGTGACGGACCATGTTGGGAGTGTAGACAAAGGCACCCTTAGGACCGCGAACACGGATGGACTGGCCAACCATGAGAGAAGCCATGTACTTGGAGATATTTCCAGTGGGGTACGACTTGATAAGCAGGTCAAAGTAGCCAGCCTGGTGGTCGCCAGAGATGGGAGTGTACGATCGAACAATCTCCTTTGTAGATCCATCGGGCTGGGGAAGGTTCGCGCCGATCGAGATGTGCTGGCCGATAGGGAGGCCAAGGATAGATCTAGGGGAGGGGAGCTTGAAGCGGTAGCTAGGATGAAGGTTAGTGACTGTGTATCGATGGTGCACGTGGGATGCCTACATCGCGACGTTGTGGGAGATGATGGTCTTCTCCTGGAGCTCGAACTCTTGGAAGGTATCAGGCTTGAGCACACGCTTGATCTCTATCACACCACTGTAATTAGTACAAGTCCAAGTTTAAGTCAGCCGAGGTTGATGGCGTGGGACGTACGGAAACTCCAGAAGTTGTAAGCTCCGAAGGCAGCGGCAACGGCAACGGAGTAAGGAAGCCATTCCTTTCGGACAATCGCAGTGCCAACGACTAGGAGAAGTCCAGGCATGTATACATAGTCAATGTATTGGCGTGACAGCCAGCCAGGCTGAAGGTCTGACATTTCGGCTTGTGGTTCGAGCGATATAGTTCGAGAGGGGGGGTAGCGCAAAGGCGATGGCTTCGGTCGGGGTTAGATTGTCAGATTATATGATTGCCATGGATTGTATAGAATGATATATCATACCAGTACCGGATTCACAGCTCGGTGAGTATCAAGACCACCCGATGCGCGATAGGAAAGCGTGATCTCGGGGAGCTATTTGTTTTAAGGAGGCAAGGGTCTTTCGGCTTCGACACGAAGCTACGTTTTTTTTCTGCCGCCCACACAGCGTTAGGGGCAGGTGCCCACTAAGCTGGGGCGCCGTGGACGCGCTAAAAGGCGGGTTTACAGCGACTTGCAGTAGTAGTGCCTGGAATTCCCACGTTACTTCATTTGGATAGATGCAGTCTACAACTAAGCGCACTGACGGATGCTACGCGTGATTAGAGTGGAATTATTAGCAGTTACTTTTAACAATATTTATTGCAATTTAATCAATACGCTAATCGACAATCACAACATCAAATCTGTTCGAGACTGTTGGCACCAGAACGAGCCCTCTGTCAAGATCGGAGCCAGTGTCGGCTTTTGTTCTTCCGATTCCGGACTCCTTCCCCGATTTCCGTCTGTCGCACGCCCGAGTGCCAATTTCTCCAGCGACGTGCCTCGTTCTGGTTCTTCGTTATAGAGGTGGTGCCTAGTTGGAGATCCTTTTTATCCCATTAAAATATGTGCAAAATCCGTGATATAATTTTACCCTATTCCGGCTAGTCATTGAATCGTCCAATACACGATAGGCACATGGCTGTGGTAACACACGATTCTAGTACACATCGGCTGCAGAGAAGCCTGACCGGCTGAGCTGTCTGTTGTTGTTCCACAGTGAGAGCCACGCACACACGTTAATATCTTATTGCAGGACCATGGGGATAGAGAAGAATGCCTATCAAGATGAGGTAAGTGATCACTGAAAAAGAAATAAAAAAGAAATAAACAATTTCACCCTGGGAGGAGCCAAATCACCGGTGTAGCTAACTGAGGCAAACACGTTCAGGGTAGGGAGGCGGAACTGTTTCAGCCAATTTCGACCAATTTCATGGACCTGGTCACCAATTGACACAATTCACGGGTCTTCAACATGATGGAATAAAATTTTTTGGACAGACACGTGCACTCAGCTCATGAGGTCCTGTCTCCGACAATAATGGTTCGATTTTTAGGTTAGCGGCCTCGGCAAACTCAGCGCGAACGTAGCTGATTGTGGTCCCAGAGAAATGTGTGGTTTCGGAGTAAAATAACGATAATCTACCTTATCAGAACAAAGGACCAGAAAACGATCAATTCGACCCGCCCAAGGATTGGGAAGATCTCGGCAGGGATCCCTGCCGTTGATGGGATGTATCCCCAGAGTCCAGCTGGCCCGCGCTGTCTACCCAGCTCGCACCCAACCAAAGGCACGCATGCATGGGAAAGGGCCCGGACAGGCTGCAGACGCCAGCGCCGCTGTCGATTTTGTGCTTTTTTGGGGCCTTTTTCGAAGCCACAATGGCAGGACAAGCTAGCTGAATGGCACCCGCCTTTGTCCCAATGAGGGGATTGAGGAGCTCGCTAGCCGAGCATGGTCTGAGCCTGAGCTATTTAGTTGTTACGGGGTGGTGTGTTGCCGATAGGACGTGAGGGGCCTTGCTCAAAGACGCCGCCTGCGTCCAATCCGAGTTGACCTCGTATTGTGTACATGGGACTGTTGGAATATTTATCCACGGCTGCCGCTCCTCGTTATGCAAAGAGGACAATTGTGCTCATCAACACTCCACGGGACAAATACTAGGTCTGCGACACCTGTTTCGACGACGACGTCGACGACGGCCTCATTATTGATACTATTCCCATTGCCAGCTCGTTCGCCGACAGGCTATGGGATTTGCCCAGACAATCAGTGACGACATTTTAGGTGGGTTTTGGGCGTTGGTGCAGAGTGCCAGCCAGCCACAGTCTACGCTGTGTCCCCAGTCCAATAGTTATCGGCAGCAAGCCACGCCGCCTTGTATTGCGGACTCCGACAATAGCTAACTTGTCCTGCAGGTTGATCGCTGTGGAAGTGGCAAAACTCTTGTCGCGAGCTCCTGGGCAACGCGGTATCAACAGCTGCTGATCAATTCATCTGTGAGCAACCTTTCTGCTTCTCCTTGCCCCTTGTCCTGTGCATTCACACCCTTTTGGGTCAATTACAGCCCTGGTCGAATTTCCCTATCGTGTGCAATGCCTCCGCTTCGCCATTGGTGGCAAGTCGCCGTAGGAGCACCGTGGCGTAACGCTACAGCGGGCCGCTAGGCTCAAAGCAAACAGGGCTTCCGAGTTGTCGAGGCTGGCTAGGCTGCTTTGGGTGGTTACGCTGGGCTTTTTGCGTGTGGATTGCGCTGGTCTTGGCTCACGTAGGCAGGCTCGATCTCGCTCAAGAGCCCGATTCCTCCTGTCAATGCGACCATGCTGAAGTGCCATTGTCGTGCTATCCCGCGTGCCTCGCTGGGCGTTGACTCGTCCCTCGTCGCTAGCCAATTTTTCCTGCCCTCCTCTGCTCGTCCAATTTCCTCACCCTCCCTCCTCTCATCTTTCTTACCTTCCATTCAAGCTTTACATCTGCCCTGGTGACGTCGTTATTGCTGTCGCCAGAAGGATTCTCGCTAAACGATTCCATTGACTGACCATTCCTCGCGTGGGTTTTTACGTTTGCAGGCCACCACACCGAACCGAACCTGAGCAAGCAGGAACCGGCCACGCTTGAATTAAACTTTTAGCGCAGGAGATAGCCCGTTCTCCATGTGCTTTTGAGGAAAAACTCCGTTCTCGGTCTAATTGTCGTTGACAGCTGGCTCAACTCTTCTCCCAAGTGCCGCTGGTTCATCAACGTTCTGCATTCGCGAGCACCGCAACCAGAGGCTGTGGCTGAGACAAAACGGCCGCTTCGAGCGCTACTCCAAGACGTTGTTACCACCAGCTCATTACTTGCAATTCCTTGTCGTCATAGCTGTTACTTTATTATTCTTTCTTGCCAATTTTCGGACTACGCCTCAACCCGTCACCGTCACAGTATTAGCTCGCCTGGATCTCGCAACATTTGGCATTGGACGCCACTGGATAGCGGCATGCTCAGCGAATAGGGACTGAACACACTGCCACAGTTTCTAGCACCGCTATATATTAATATCGCCGCAGAGAAGACGGCGTACGCGCGTAATGTTAGCCGAAAAGAAGAGCTGGAGAGCAACCTCGCCGAAACACGGCCCCCAAAATGCCGGCTCGACATCACCACCCGATAACGACTCCCAAGATGCCTCTGATGCTAAGATGCCCCGAGTGCTTACGAAAGCCTTGCGATCGATGAGCAACCCGGCATTTGAATCCGTACCAACTCATCCTACTCGGAGCTCCAATTCCTTTCGCAGAGCCAGGACAGGCTCCTCTGGATCGGGCTCGATGATGGAGCGCATTCACCGACGTCTATCAAAGGAACCCTCGGCGGGTGTGGCTCTATCCAATTCTGCACCATCTAGCCCAATCGAATGTTCCTATGCCTCTATGGACCTCATACAGCACGGTTCACTACGACTTGATCCTTCTAGCCGCCGTGGCCGGCCAGAGTACCTAGTGTTGACTGATCAATGCTTGGTAAAGTTTACTAGTATTGAAGCTGCAAGGGCTACATTCCCTCAACTAGGACAGCCCTCACCCCAGCTCCAGAGATCGTCGTCTTCCGCTTCAATGCAAAGCAAGTATGGTCGCTCTGAACCTCGTCTCGAAATCTTATTAGCATCTGTCACTGCTGTATTCAACGACGGACTTTCGGCATCCCGATGCGATCTTGACGTTTGGTGGACATCACAGGATGGGAGGTCAGTTTCTTACCGTACCATGTTGGCCTTCGGCACACCGATGGATATGGAAGAATGGCTGGCTGTCATTCATCGTGCTTGCCGCTCCAAAGTCAGACAGAACACTACTTCGAACTTTGTTGCCTCCAATATCCGAGATACAATTCACAACATTGTTCGGTCAACAGAAGCACCAACCGATGAGCTTAACAAAATCCCGATATTTCCAATTGTTAAGCGCCCAACGACGAACATTTCTGCCGCGCCATCCACCGACGACTGCCGTAACCCGATTGCTCTCTCCTCATACTATTTGGCACTCGGACCATTTATGTGTTACCTGGTAGAAATTTTGCAGCCTGAGCCTGGGGATTCACCTACTGAATTACGCGCGAGGACGCAAACTTTCGGACTGGTGACTCTGGCGAGATTTCGAGCTTCTGTTGCAACCCACACTCAATCCTTCATTATGATGTTCCGAGCACCGTTGGGACGAGATGTGCGCCTAGACCTTGCCAGCGTCCATTACCGGCGCATCATTGATATTCTGATTAAGACGGATAGAGCCTTGAAACCAATGTGGCCACAACACCTTCAGTCAAGCATTTTTGAAATCCGTGGCTTGCCGCCGCCACTGCAGCTCACTTCTGGAAATGATCTGGGCGGTCTTGGAACTAGTTTACCGGCTTATTGTGCTGCGTTTCAAGTTGCGATGCCCACTTGGTGGATTGACTGGAACACACCATCACAACCGTGCTTTTGTCTCGCACCCTCTCCCGATGTACCCTACTCTGCTCTACAGATTCTTGCAGTATTCCGTGCTTTGCGATATAACAGCTTCTTTAAGGCCATATCCTTCGAGAATGTAGACTTGGCAAATATCGTGGGACAACAAGATACAATGCAACAAGGAGACGGGGTTGTGCATATGTCTTCTAGTCATACAAGGCTTCCTGAGGATCTATTTGAATCATTGATGCAGGCCCCAATACTGGAACAGGAAATGCATTCGCTTTTATTCGCATCCGATTCCATCCGCAGCATCAACCTGAACCGCGTGAGCAGCATCAACGGCAGCAACGCTACGTCGACCGGCGAACTAAGCGGAGAACTTATTCGACCAACTATTGCTTTGCTTCGAAGAGACCTTGTACACTGCCATAGTCTCTACTTGGCAGGGAATAAGTTTGCACAGACGGATGTTGATGATCTTGCCGTCACTCTAGTTCTCGACCATGTTCGTTTACGCCGCCTTGATCTCTCAAATTGCGACCTTGGAGATGCAGGCCTGGCGAAAATATGGACGGCTCTAGCTGCCCAAGGTCCATCTTTGGAGGCTATTGATACTTCCAATAATTGGGGCTTTGTTAAAGAAGATGTCATGCGAAACACATTAAACCAGTTCCGCAATCTTACGACGCTTCGTATTGCAAAGAATACTAGGCTTGAGTCCGAGACGTCTTTGTTTGAGATCAAGACGATGGCCCTGTGGCAACTAGAAGTACTCGATCTATCGGGAATCGTTCTAAACGACGCTACAGTAGAAACACTAGCCGAATACTTAGCTATGGATAGCTCACTCTATCTACGATCTCTACATCTGAATCGATGTGGACTCACGGGCAAGCAAGTTGGGAAGCTGTGCAAGAGCATGGGTATCAGGCGAGAGATGACCATGCAGATTGAGGCTAGTCGTCTTGATTTTGGCATTACTGAGCTTTGTGATACCCTTACTGCAGGCTACGGCCCGTGGTCTCTCTTTGCTCAAATGATCGACTTTTGTCATGAAGAAAGTTACGTTAAGCTGCTAGAAGCATTGACAGAGAACCGAAGTATTCGATGCCTTAGCCTTGCTGGCTCGTCGATACCGGACGATGCCAGTGAGGTCGCCTGCCGAGCACTTACCAACTTCTTTTCAAATAACACCACCATCCAGTATCTGGATATGTCAGGATATGATTCGAAGTTAGATGAAGGGCGGTTGGGGCGCGGGTTTTCCAAAGCCATGTCAGCGATAACGCAAAACCAGAGTATTGAGCACCTCCGCGTGCGTAGTCAGATGCTGAACTTGAACGTTGATAATCTGGCAACCGCATTATCGGGCAACAAGACGCTCAGGACGCTGGACTGCGAGTACAACGATTTTGATCTGGCCAACTACAAACAATTGATCAAGCACATGACGGACAACGAAAACATCCGCTTTTTGTCGGCATTTTCTGATCATGAGCTAGAGACAGCCATGCAAAAGTCGCTTGAAGCCTTTACTTTACAGGCAGTACCTACTCGTCGGCCGTCTATGATGTCGCGATTCAAGCAAGATAGAGCGCCAATCAGCACAGAGAAAACGGCTTCTCGGAACATGAGGCAGGAATGGGATAGCGCTGCTCAAGAACTAGCTGACTGCCTTGGTTGCAACCAATTGAACACCACTCCAGGTCGCACTGTCGAGAGCAAATATGACTACCTGGATTGGGGCTACGTCTTTGCAAGCGAGTTCGGTGGCCTTGCTCTTTTTGACTTTCATCATTGTGACAACCAAAATCTAGCTCCTGATGCTGCCGAAGAAGGTCTAGCTCAGACGGACGCTGAAGTGTATCGCTCCAAATCCACCAACTCGAGCGAAAGCAATGGCACCCGAAGCACAGATGGCGCCAGCAATGAGTCTGGCGTGCCAACCCCATCGGAAATGGAACCGAAAGTTAGCGTCTCAGATTTCCATGCTAGTGGAAGTGAAGTGAATGTGGCCATATACGGCGAATTCCACGACGCGTATACTTCCATGGACTCTGCTGAGGTCGAACCCGGGCTTCAGATGAAGAGGTATCAGCGCTTTGGCGATGATCGCATCAACAGAATTGATGAAGAGGATGTTACTGCACAACCATAATTGGTAGCGGTGTAGGGGACGATGTGTATACGATTGTTTTAAGCCTTCTTTTGTGTATATATGGCGATTTAGCGCATTTCTTGTTTTTGCATTGCATTTTGGCATGTTTTTGGTTTTATTCTTGATACCCTTTTTTCTTAGAAATTGCTTACACATACGAATAAAGCACTGGATGTCTATCTTTGTTTTAATTTCTCATTCTTGCCCAATGCTACCGTGTAATGGGTTATTCTACAATGTCGGCTGTGTATTTAAAAGTACAATGCAAATAGCATGCAATGGGTTGGCTGCTTTCAGACCTGTTAGTGGAGTCCCGGCGGGCGCCGATATCTACAGCGTGTTCCTATGTGTTCCTACACCTGCGAAGGAAGCACCGCCACTACCAGCTAAGCCACCCAATTTTGCGGCCTCGCGCGCCACACCTCAGCTCAGCCTAACTGGCAAGCTGGCTCGTCTGGGAGCTTCGTCATCGTCCAACCTCCTCCACCATCCCCCTCTGGTGCAATCTTCCTCCCACGCGGACGTTTTTGCATGCCCGTGGCGCTCATAGAGAGGATTGCGTGCTCTAAATTTCTTTTCTTCATCATTTGATCGCTCATTATTTTATCCATCGCCCCTTCGGCACCGACAATTGCGCAGCCTCGCAGCCGACGACCACGCTCGGTTAGGGGCCAACGCCATCGCAGCGTTGATAAACGATCCTTAACATCACTATGTTTTCCAATTCCAACGCCTACCTAGGCGGCAATAGCCAGCGACCCGGTGCACAGCAATATGGGCAACCACTCAACAACATGAATCCTGGCCAGCAGCAGCAGCCCGGCCCTTTCGCCCCTCAGCCCACTGGCTTTGGCCAGCAAGGTCAACAACAGCAGCCTCTGCAACAACAATTCACGGGATATCCCATGCAGCCGCAGCAAACAGGCATGCCTCAACAGACCCAGTCACTTCAATCCCAATACACTGGCTATGTTGCGCCTAACCAGCAGATGCAAACCGGGTTTCAACAGTCTTCTGCTGCACCCCCTATGCCGTCTATTCCCTCTCAGTACCAACAGCAATTTCAACAACAACAGCAGCCTCCTGCCTTTTCTCCTTCTCCTCAGCAGTCTGTCGGCCCGACTCAACCTCCTGCGGCAATGAAACCCCAGCCAACGGGCTTTTCGCAAATGGCCGCCTCATTCCAGACTGGTGGTGCCAAGCCTGAAGCAAGCAAGCCAGGAAAGACGAACAAGATCCCTAATATCCGACTTTCTTTCATCACTGCCCAAGATCAAACTCGATTTGAAACTTTGTTCAAGTCTGCCATTGGAAATGACTCTACCATGTCCGGAGACAAGGCTAGAGATTTGCTGTTGAGATCAAAGCTTGACGGTGATACTCTGTCGCATATATGGTTCGTTGGGCTATACATTTAACTCCTAAAACTCACTTCGTTGCTAATACTCTTACAGGACTCTCGCCGACACGACCCGAGCTGGGCAGCTTTACTTCCCAGAATTTGCGTTGGCCATGTACCTATGCAACTTGAAACTGTCTGGAAAAACCTTGCCTCCTGCGCTACCTGAAAATATTAAAAACGAAGTCTCGAGCATGGTAGACATCATTGGTTTCAGCGTCGCCGAAGAAGCCGCCGCCTCTGCAGCGGCTGGTAATGCCCCGGACTTCTCAGGTTCTTCCACAGCGGCATCGAACCAACAACAACAACAGCAGCAGCCTTCCAATTCCCAGATTCTGCAGGCGCAGATGACAGGCTATCCTACCCAGCAACAAAGCTTTGGCGCTCAGCCTCAGAACTTGCAAGCGCAGCCAACTGGTTTTGCAGGCATGCAGAACCCTCAACCCACTGGTTATCAGGGCCCACGCCCCCCAATGCCTCCGATGCCAACCGGATACGCCCAGGGTATGCCCGCAATGCCGCTAAATGCCCAGCCGACCGGCCGACCTGGCCAATGGGGACTCGTCAATGCGCCGTCGTCTGGGTTGCCAAACATTGACGCTCTCCAAGCTCGCATGATGCCTCAACAAGGCCGTGATGCTGGGTCCTTCACCACACAAGGACTGCAGGGCAATGCTGTCATTCCATGGGCGATTACAAAGGAAGAGAAGACCCGATACGACTCGCTCTTTCGTGCATGGGATGGCTTTGGCAAAGGGTATATCTTGGGAAGCCAGGCTATTGAAATCTTTGGTCAAAGTGGGTTGGAGAAGCCTGACTTGGAGCGCATTTGGACCCTGTGTGATAATGGTAATAAAGGTCGCCTTGATTTGGACGAATTTGCTGTTGCAATGCATCTCATCTACCGCAAGTTGAACGGCTACCCAATCCCCAACAGCCTTCCTCCTGAGCTTGTGCCTCCATCTACTCGCAACTTTAGCCAATCTATTGGTACCTTGAAATCTATGCTTCATCAGGAATCTGACCTGAGAAAGAATTCGGGAGCGGCGCTTTTGCCCCAGAAAACTGGCGTCAGCTACATGAAGAACAGATCTTTCCACACTGGAGGAAGCCAAGGAAGCTCGGGTCGCAAAGATGCTACTGTATTTAGGAACGATGATGAAAGCTTTGGCTACAGATCAAGTGCGAGACGCAGGATAGGCACCTCTTCTCCCCGATCCGAGTCTCCATCTTCGGTCGCTTCTTCAGAAGATTTGACTCTGGACCAGCTTCGAAAGAAGATCAAAGAGAAGCAAGTTTTATTGGATGCCATGGATTTCCAGGACGAAAAGAACATGGAAGAGGATGATATTTTGGATCGACGCGATCGACGTGAGGCTGAAGAACTGTATCGTCGTATTCGCCGCATCCAAGAAGATATTGACGCGCATCCCAACGCCAGCTTGGCAAGCGGCGATTCAGATGCAGAACGTCGAGCATTGAAACGCCAACTTCAGAACTTGTCTGATAAGATTCCTGAGCTAGCCTCAGAAGTCCGCAAGACAGAGAAGGCTATTATGGACGCTCGTCTTGAGCTCTTCCGCTTAAAGGACGCAAAGGCACACCCAGGCAGTGCGCTTGTTATTGTCGGCACCGGCCCCGGAGGAGCTGTAACAGAATCGGATAGGCTCAAGGCTAGAGCTAAGGCTATGATGCAACAGCGTACCGCCGCCCTTACAGGCAAGAAGATCGATGCCCCCGTTGACGATGACTCGGCCTCTAAGCGTCTTGAAGAGGAGAGTATCAAAGCTAAGAATGAAAAGGAGAGCAACGAACGCATGGTCCGGGACGTCGAGGATAGCGTACGAGAATTCGCCCGAGGAATTGAAGATAGCATCAAAAGTGGTGGCCAAGACAAGAGCAGTGAGCATGAGAAACGCCGCTGGGAAGACGCACTGGGCGTTGAAGACGAGGTTCGTGATTTTATTTACGACCTTCAACGAGAGAGTCGCGCTTCTCGAGTTCGCAACCAAGAGAAATCTCGAGCCCCTGCTGCCGCGCCTAAAGCTGAACCCAAACGGGCGGCCGTTGCTAGTCCTCGTGTAGAGAGCCCAGTCTCGACATCTCGCACATCCACCCCACCAGCTAATTCTGGCTCCTATTCCGCATACAAGACGCCAGAGGAGCGAGCTGCCTTTATCCGCCAACAAGCTGAACAGCGTATGGCTGAAAGACTGGCTGCGCTTGGTATTAAGGCGCCGTCAAAGCCTGGAGAGACTGCTGCACAGCGTGCAGAGCGGGAGAAGGCAGAGCGAGCTGCAAAGCTGAAGCAAGCAGAGGAGGAAGATGCTCGCCGCGAAAACCAGCGTAAGGCTCGGTTGGCTGAAGAATCGGGTGCACCGCCACCAATTGGCGACAACGCAGCTAGCGAGTCCCTGCCTGCCCAGGATACTAGCAACAACGTTTCCCAAGAACAGGAACTGGTTCAAGAACAGGCTGCCCAAAAGGAAACCAGACAAGCTTTAGAGTACGTAATGCCAGCTGGCTTAAGTTATGACTATATGCTAACCGCTCCTAGGGAATCTGCCCAAGAAGAGGAAGACGAGTACGAGAAGGAACAAGCAGCAGCAGCTGCCCGACTCAAAGCACTGGAGGAGCAGGTCAAGCAAGGGAAGTTAAAGAAGGAGGAAGAGAAGAAAAAGAAGAAGGCAGCCCAGGCAGAAATGAAAGAAAAGGAAGCGAAGCTCGCTGCCAGACGAGCAGAGATTGCGGCAGCCAAGGAGCGAGAGTTGGAACTGCAACGCCAACTGGAAGCTATGGACGGAGATTCCTCATCTGATGATGATGAAGAGCCGGAGCAGCTGAAGCCATTAGATGCACCTGCCCCAGACGCGACTCCCGTTGTAGCTGTCAGCTCACCTCCCACTGAGACGGATAGCAAAAACCCTTACAAGAAGATGATGGCACAGCCTGCGGAATCTCCTGCAATTGAGATTACGGAGCCAGCAGCACCCCCTCCTCCTCCCGCTGCCGCACCGCCACAGGCAGACACAAATCCCTTTCATCGAATGTCCCAGGCTGCTCCTGTCCCTGCCCCAACGCAGCCTCATAGCCGCAAGCGTGCTGACTCTGAGGACTGGGGTTCTGACAAGGAAGATGATGACGAAGACTCTGATGATGATAGACCTGGCGGCGGCAATGCTGCTCAGCTAGCATCCATCTTGTTCGGCACGATGGCCCCTCCACGACCATTGTCTGCTGCTGGTCAGGAGTCGACCCCGTCTAGTCCTGTGCCGCCTTCCAGCGATGCTCCAGCCTCACAGCCTCCTCCACCACCTCCTCTGCCAACTGCAGACGCTCCTGTGACACCACCACCACCTCCTCCCCCAATGCCCGGGGCTTCCGGAGCTGCACCTAGTGCACCACCACCACCACCTCCAGTGCCTGGTGCTGGCGCTCCTCCTCCTCCTCCAATGCCATCAGCTTCTGGTCCTCCACCGCCTCCACCAATGCCAGGCGCTCCTCCTCCACCCCCTGGCGAAGCCCCAGCTCCTGCGCCTTCCGGCACACGACCAAGCGGCTTCTTGAACGAGATCCAGGCGCGCAAGACTTTGAAGAAGACTACCACGAACGACAAGAGCACTTCGTCATTGGCTGGTCGTGTATTAAACTAAGACCATTGGCACGTCATAGTGGTTTGTATCTACTTTGATACGTGTAGGATGAGACTGGGTGGTTTAACACTTGCGTGTTGAGCATAGTTTAGTAATAGAACAAGTTCATATTTGAAATCAAGTTTTCACGTGTCCACGGGCTCAAGTCAATGAGTTTGCTAGATTTTACATATATCACAGCATTTAAGCCACATTCTACTTGCCATTTTTGAACTGATTGTTATACAATACGTCACACACACAGAGTCAGGTAGCCGAAGATAAGATGGAGTTTCATCTGAGGGGTACAACGGCAAAATCTGATGTCGATTTGTGCTTCTTCAACTGCCTGGCCGCTGTATTGGGCCGGCTAGGGTAAAGGTCGGTAGCCAATGGGGGTGGAGCTTCTAAGAAATTGGGAACTTGATTGGCGGTCTGCTGTTGAGGATGATGCAGAGCGAGACCGTGCGAGGGTTAGCTCGCCTCCAGATATGGGCTGTGTACAACGCGAGGAGATACTCGGCTCTACGCGGCGTGCGTCGGCGAGTCACCAGTACAGACTCGTCCCGCTGCAGGAGCAGTAAGGAGACTATTGAACCCCAGGTTATATAAGTAGCGCTGGCGTATGAAGTGGTTCCAGCAGCCTCGACCAATAGAAACACTTTATTCGCAGCACTTAAAACACCAGGAGGGGATGGCGATCCGTGTGGTTTTGTGCAGTTACTGATTTCTCGGCGCAGATGGATGATCTGAATCGGCCGCGACTGATCTGAGAGTGACAGGAATGCAACGTTTAGAGAGCGTAGCGGGGTATCTAATGAACGCAGGGAGAGATCGCGGGTGGACCGGCGGAGGGCGAGATACGGGTCACGTTTAAGTGCATTCCACATAGGGCCGTGTCTTTAGACTGAGTATTGTCACGTCGGCTGGCACCCATTCAACAAAATTGAGGGGTTCAACAGGGCCAGCACAAAGAACGAGTGAATGAATGATAATTGCATGTCATCCAGTAATGGCGTCAGTACAACTTGCATGCTGGTGTGGGATCTTCAGTGGGTGTGGTGGTGGCGTAGCAAGAGGTTGTCGCGCTGACGACAAGAGCGACGGGCTCATGGCAGGTTGACGGCAAATCATTTGCCAGCGTATTATCAGCATAATGCATTGGTGAGGGGCAATTGATGAATTGGGCGCCCGCCGCCGGAGCTCTCTGGCGCATACAACGAGTTGGTGGAGTTGGGATGTAGTCCAGCTAAGCGCTGGTGTGGATACGCGATGGAGGTTGGCCGAGGATGCTGATTGGCCAGGGACGCGTTAAATCAAAACAAACCAGACGCGTCTGCCGGACGCGCTCCACGGCCACCCGCCCGCACTCCCGCAAAGAGTCTCACTTCTTTGCCTTCTGGCTCTTGTTCCATTCACGCCAGCGAAGCCCACATCGCTTCGTTCGTCTCACATGTCCCGAGCGTGAATGGGGTCCCAGTTAGCGCGCCCCAGAGCGAATGGAAAAAAGCAAGAAGGCACGGCGTGGCCGCGTGAGCAAGGTGTTGGGCTATGCGGCGGCTTGCCGGCCCACGGCTCATATTCTAATTTACTTGGAGTAGAATCTGCGACATTTAGCGCCTTACGTAGGCAAAAGAGCTCCAGTTGAAGGGATACAGGAAGCGACAAGTAAGAAATTCATTGCTTTCAAGGCAGTGACGAAGAAGAAAAGAAGAAAGGAAGAGGAGAGACAATCAGAGCAAAGCTACGTGACGGCAGATACCGAGATTTGCACTTTGGCTGCATGAAACGCCAGTCTTGTTCTTTCTCGGCAAAGAGTGGTGAGGTCATTCTGTGTCCATAGCGGTTGCGAAGAGGGTGCTGCCAACGCATGCATACGAGATAATAGTCGGCAAAGAAGGGGAAGGATTTCCTCTGTTGAAGGTCGGACGCCACGTTTTGACGAGCATCGAGCATCGCCATCGCCATTTCCTATCGTTTTCGAGATAGTGGCAGCAGGGGTAATACTGTAGGTAGGATACCAAGACTCGCAGAAGCAAGCAGCAGAAACAGCTGGGCCGGCATCACGGCGCATATCCAGATCGTGAATCATTTAACCAGGCACCACTTTAAAGAGTTTTGAGCTGTGTCTCTCTCAGCGCGTACATACGCTGCTCATACCTCAATGGACCACTCAATGAGCCCCCTTTCATTCGCAGGGCCTTTCTAATACATGCTCTGGTTGGCTGGACGCGGTCCCGCACCCTAGGAATTGAGTGCCGACGCCAGAGACTCCCATTGCACAGCAAGACCCGGGTCTCGCCCAGGCTGGTGTACGCGCGCCGCCACGCTCCATCGCTGCCACTGTTGCACGACATCTGCCCACTGCCGTTGGGGCTTTGCTCGCTGAGAACCCACTCACACCACCACCCTGGTCGCCTCTGTGTCAGACCTACGCGGGCGTTCGTCTTGCGCTGGCCACTTTTTGCAGGCGCCGGATCCTTGGTTTCTCGCTCTGCTCCACACCCCCTACCTCGCTCGGCCGCCTTGCTGCGCTCCACTGCGTGTCGAGCTAGGCCCAAAAGTCTATGACCTACATCCCAGGCCACCCCCCCATACCTCTGATCGAGAGAAGAAAATCAATCTATTCCCACCTTATTCCTCACACTTTCTCTCTCTTCCTCTTTACACCACCACACCTTCTCGCCAACCCTTTCCTCTCCTTTCAACCTCTACCGGATTTTCAACCATCTCCAGCCCAAGCAGCACTTTACATCTCGCTTTTGCTTTCCATCATTCTTCTTGCAAATCCTCGACACGCTCCCAACAGACGCGACTAATTCTCACCACCGCCCACTTTTGGCCCGACGACTCGTTCCGACTTGCACGCATCTCCAACACCTTCTCTCGTAATAAAGACGCGTAAATTTACAAACGACTTCGTCAACCACCTTCAACGGCAACATCTTGCCTGTTGGTGAGTCCACCACCGCCTGGATCCCACAGACTACGCCTCGGGCTTCCAAAGGCGAACCTTGAATCTGCCAAGACGCGTTCTAACTTTGCATTCAAGATAAATCAACTGCTACTACAGACCATACCTCCCCTCATCACAGTTGACCGGCCAAAATGGCCAAGTCGACGCGTTTTCTCGGCTCCAGCGAGCCTCTTCAGATCTTCCAGGACGACATGTTCGAGAACCCTAGACCCATGATTAGCCACGCTCCGATGCCTTCAGTAACCAGACCAGCTCGCCGCCCGCTTGGCTCTTCCAGCTCCAACGTCGTATTGAACCCTCCCGCTACCGTCGCCGCTAGCTTCTCGCCATACAAGGCCAAGTCCTTGTCGCCTCGCTCGCCTCTTTCCGTACAAGGAGCCAAGCTCAACCTCATCCCGATGGCACCGCCCATGCACAAGCACCACATGACAGATTCGCTTCAGAAGAAGCCCCAGCTATCAAACTTCAAAACCTCGCACAAGCAATCTTTCGACGCCATGTCGTTTGGCAAGGAGAACATGCACCCTCAGCTGTTCCCCGCTCCACCAACGATGAATCTTTCGGTTGATCACTACTACCAAAAGGACAATGGCAAGCGCGTTCTCATGGAAGCCGCACCCCTTCGTGATGCTAGAGCCCCCAAGAAGGCCAAGACCAACGACGGATCTCTCCCCGCCCATGATTCATTCCCTGCCATCATTGATGATGGAACCAAGCCCGCTCACAGCTACGCCCAGTTGATTGGCATGGCCATTCTTCGTTCGCCCTTGCGCCGCCTCACACTCGCCCAGATTTACAAGTGGATTAGTGACAGCTACTCGTTCTACAACCCCAACGATGCCGGATGGCAGAACAGCATTCGCCATAACCTCAGCCTTCACAAGAACTTTATTAAGATTGAGCGACCCAAGGATGACCCCGGAAAGGGCAACTACTGGGGCATTGAGCCCGGAACTGAGCACCAGTTCCTTAAGGAGAAGCCTCCTCGCAAGTCTGCACCCTCTGCTGAAAACATCCCTGTTATGTCGACTCGCCTGGAGCCATCGAGACACATCCCATCCATGATGTCCGAACCTACTCTTCCTCCTCACATCCACATGCACCAGTCCTCCCTCCCGCCTGTGCCTACTTCTCAAGCTACCATGACCATGGCGGCTGAACTGTCTTCGGATGCCACGATTTTGGTCTCCGACGGCGCTGCCCCAGAAGACTCTGGTGACCGAACTGGTGAGCCAGAGCTTCCTGGAGACTCGCTCTTCTCTCCTGTTCACTCATCGCCGCCTGTGGCCAGACACGATCAGCGTAACAATGGCACGCCTCCTTCCATGTCTCGACACACATCATCTGTTTCTCGCTCGCATAAGCGCAATTTCGCGTCTATGGATGACAGTGGTTACATTTCTTCACTTGAGTCGTCTGTTATGCGACCAAACCAGAAGGCTCTTCTGCTTACTTCGGAAGCAGACCGCCCTCGCATCAAGCGTGGCCGCGCTGAGGAGGAGATTGCTCGCCTCCGCGGTTCTTCACCATTTAGCCCCACGAAATCCCGCTCATTCTCATACGGCCCTGCCTCATCTTCACCACTGAGACATATTACCGAAAACCAGATGCTTCCCCCCTTGACCCCTGTGGTAAAGATGAAGCCTGCTGTCCGCCCTCCTCCCTCCGTCTCTCCCAACACTAACCTCCGCATCCATCGCGATAAGGTTAGACACATGCTGCAGTCTCCTCTGCGCCGTGTCGTTGGTGTTAGCGAGGATAACATGCCATGGAGCCCTGCCTTCCAGCTGGATGAGGCCATCTACGCTTTTGATGACATTGACACCACTGGTGGAGAGTTTGACATCTTCCAAGACCTTGCTGGTCTTGATGATGCATCCTTCCCTGTTATCGGCTCTGCTGCTGCTGGCTCGCCTGTCAAGCGACCCGCAAAGCGTTCCCGATTGGATAGATCTTTGTCAACATCTGCCCTGCACGAAGCCTCTACTTCCAAGAAGTCTATCACTTCTGCTCCTCTTTTGAGAGTACCCGAGCACTCCCCAATGCGATTCTTGGATACACCAAGCAAGGCATTTGAGGGCCTCAGCTCACCCTCCAGACTTTTCCAGCAATCCCCTTGCCGAAACTCGCCAAGCAAGTTTTCTGGCTCGCTCCTGGACATACCTGCCGATGCAGACTGGTCTTCGCTAGCTATGGATGCTTCTGACTTCATGGCTGGAGCCAGTGGCGACGCGGCCGACTTCTCTGGCCTTGATATCATGCAAGGCTTCCAAAAGATTGGTGCTGATGCTCAGAAGGCCAAGGCATCCAAGCCTGGGCTGGAGCGCAGCTACACCACTACCTTTTAAACACAATGGGCATAAAGACGCGAATGCGCAACAGACTTTTTAACGACACGAATATTATGATTTAACGAGTAGCTTTTGCTACTAGGGGCACGTTTATGAATAGAACAAAGCAGATACTTTCTGCAATATGGAAGGGTGTAGGCTTCACAGCTTGACGCGTTTTGTGATGAGGCATCACTTTGCAACTTGATAGTTTTACGTGGATTGTTTTTTTACGGCATCTTTTGCGCATTTTTGCGACGAAACAACGGCGTTGGCGGTTTGCTTTTGTTTCTTTGGAAATTGTCTCTGGCCATGGGATTGGCTCTTGTTTTTTGCTTATGGAAGCTCTGATTTGGACAGGAGTTTTGCTACTTTTTTGCTTTTCAATAGCGGACTTTTATGATGGTAGAGCCCCCTTGGCTTGGATGAATGGAAAGGCATGTGTATCAGCAAATATCTTTGGCTTGTTTAATTTCATTTCTATTGGAACACTAAAATCTAGTACTGCTAATACTGTGACTGCTCCTTGTCCATCAGACGTCTATACTGCCGACCTGGCAGGCATTACTACTGGGTATCAAAGAATAAAAACGCTTTGGGAGCACCGAAACATGGGCTCCTGCATCAACTGCCAAACGCCAACATTTAAAGACTGTTACTGCTGCTGTCGCCAATGGTGGTGACACCATTATCAGGAGGCAAAGAGGAGTTATTCAACCTCTAGTAGATGCCCATACGGGCCGCCCATCCGCTGGTCTCCTTGTTCTCAACGTTGATTTTGCATGGGAACGGGTTGCCCCCTTGCGTAGTAATGGGGGGGATATGGTCTAAGTTGGCGTTTACAATTGTGACAATCTTCATGGCGGTGGCATGCAGAGTTTGCTCCATGGCTCGTCGAACTTTGGCGCGGTCTACACAAACAGGCGTATTAGTATTTAACGAGTAGAAATTTGGTAGGTGAAGCTCTTCGAAGCATTCAAAGCAAAAGATTAAACGTACCACTTTCTGTCCGTGGCTCTGCCACTGTCACTTTGATCGTCCAACTTTCCCAGCAGACTTCTTCATCGCCGCGCGACAGCCATGCCTTACGGCGTCTCTTTTCAAAGAACTGAACGGTGATTTGGCCTCGTGCACCTTCTGAAGAAGCTCTCTCGGCATCTAGCTGGCGTTCGAGAGCAGCTGCACGCTGGTCAATCATCGTTTCAAGCTCAGCATCTTCGACATAAGGGAGGGTGAGGTCGAGGATATCGCGAGTGCGGGGCGTGATGGACGGGAAGAAGCGGTTGAAGAAGATGGTGTGCAGAATGGCCTTGACGACATCGCGGACAGATTTTGGGTCAGAGAAGGCGTCGAGAATGAACTCCGGGGGGACTTGTTGTTGGTCCATGATGGTAGCTGTTGAAAGGTGGCGGCGAGGAGGGGAGAGAGGAGGGGAGCCAAGGGCGGCTGGCGAGCTTTTCTAGTCGTTGGTAGCAGAGCGGGTGATGCGGTACGACGCGGTGTGTAGCGATGAGAAGTTTGTAACTTTTATGGGAAGTTAAAATCGTTGCGTCGGTTCCTTGTGTTTGTTTGCTGTTTTGGTGATAAGGTTCAGCATGACCCGTAGAGTCCGCATGACAGCTTTAGCTGGATAGCGGCGGGATCTGAGCATCAGACGTCACCGCGGAGGGGCATAGCGTCCGTTTGCGAGTGGCGGGCGGGTCAAACTAAAGTCAGCCGCTGGCTGCGTGGGCTTGGTCTTTGGTGGCTAGCACAAGTGGCGAATAGACCAAGACGGTCCGGGCTTGAAAAGAAAATTGATAAAAATTAGCGTTAGAATGATATCAACTCTATCTGTGTGTTATAGACTTTAAATATCCATTTTCTTTTTATATGGAGGTGAGAAGTAGGAGTATTAAGTAGCTGGGCTCTACTTACAGCGCCTGATATACAGACTAGCGGAGCACCACTGTCCCTACGGCTAAAGCAGAACTAGTTTGCATAAATTATTACATCGAAAGAAGTTCATGTATGAATTTTATACATGTTTAATATTTCTTGGAAATTTTCTCACCCTCTGCTACTGCTCTGTCCCAACCGCATACTTTACAACTGTGCTGTCGATTCAGTACCAGCTGGGGCTACTAAAACTCCACTATTTCCCCAGGTACAGTGCAGCGCCGACGGTATTTTACTGGGGGCTGTAGCTGGTGCTGGCGCTGCTGCTGGTTGCGTTCGGCAAGCTCCAAGATGCCTCGGCCCACTACGGGCGCCCCAACCACTTCCTTCCTAAAATCGCGGGCCCTTGCTTCAGAAGCCCACCTTTTTCCCTCTTTACGCGACTCCCGCGCAGGTTTCACACGTGCAGCGCCCTTTGGCCGTCTTCTTCATCTCCCATCTCGACAGAAAGGCCCTTTCTGCATCTTCACCGGTGCCATTGAATTGCTTATCAACCACGCATTGCCTCAATTCCTCTTCGCCTTCGAATACTCTCCGACAAGGCTTCAACGCTGCCCCGGCCACAGCACCCCTTGTCTCGCCGGTCTAGCTCCAGCTTCATCCTCGCGATCCGCAACTTAACCTCGGTGCTTCGGCGCGATCCCTCGCACTCGCCCTCTTCTAGATGACCCACTAACTGCTTCTACTCTTCTCTTATAATTCACAATGCTGGCCTCTGTACGGCGCTGGGCCCGCAGGAACCAGACGCCCCTCGCCATTGGCGTCGGTCTCGTCGGCGCTGGCTATGTCGTCACTCAATACGTCGTCTCCAAGATTAACGATGCTCGCGAGCGCATGAGCAGCGATCGCATTGCCAAAGAAAAGTAAGCCCATCCTCCCTATTATAACAATAAAACTGATGGATGTGCCTGCTAACCACTTTCGTTTCCGTAGCCTTCGTCGCCGCTTCGAACAGAACCAGGAAGATTGCACCTTTACCGTCCTCGCCCTCTTGCCCACCGCTACTACAAACATCCTCGCTACACTCAACACCGAAGACATCACATATGAGATCCAGCAGGCCAAGGCCACCAAAGCTCCTAGAGCGGCCGGCGCCGAAGCCATTCCGCCTCCAAGCATCGCTGACACCACCCTCACCGAGGACGATGGCAAGAGCATGGGCAGCCTCCAAAGCGACAGCGGTGTCCACGCCAGCCAAATTGCTCTGTCTGCAAGTACTGAGAGTGCTCAGCCAGAGGCGCCTCCTACGTCTGCACCTCGCCGCAGCAAGAGGCAGCTTTGGGACGATCTCATCATCAGCTGTGAGTTTTAGCCTCCAACGTCGCCCCACCTGCAAGGAACCTTACATTGCTAACTCTATCTAAGCTGTCACAAGAGCCTTCACTCTCATTTACACCCTAGCCCTTCTTACTATGCTCACCCGTGTCCAGTTGAACCTTCTCGGTCGCCGCAGCTACCTCTCCAGCGTTGTCGCTCTCGCCACCGGGTCGCAGCAAGCTACCATCAGCCTCGAAAACAATGACGACGACAACACTGAGCAGGCCTATGGCAACGATTTCGATACCAACCGCAAGTACCTTACCTTTAGCTGGTGGCTGCTGAACAAGGGTTGGGTGGATATTATGCACCGTGTCGAACAAGCTGTGCGAACAGTCTTTGGCACCTTGAATCCGCGCGACCTTCTCAGCTTTGATAGATTTGCAGAGTTGACTGTTGAGGTGCGCAAATTGGTCGAAGGCGCAACTCCCGAGGAGCGCCAAAAGGCCAATTGGTTGAAATATCTGCTACCTCCCCAAGACCAGGAAGGCGAGGTTATTAGCCAGTCAGGCATTCTTGAGGACAACTTTGAAACAGTCGAAGCACCTACATCGTCGGCTGCCTTGAGACGTCTTTTGGATGAAACTGCGGATTTGATCGAATCCCCAGCTTTCACGCACGTCCTCAGCCTGCTCTTGGATGCTGGCTTCTCCTCACTTGTTGACAAGAAGCTTGGCTCCGAAGCATTTGAGCTACCAACTGAGGCAACTGGCTTTGTCCCTGCCGCCCCCTTTGAAGCCAAGCACACCAAGGTGGTGTTGCTGCCCAAGATCTTGTCTGTTTTGACACGACAGGCTCACGTTATCGGCAACGGCGTCCCCAACGAGTATCTGCAAGACATGGAGGCCGTTCGGGACCTGGAGGCTTTTGCCGCTGTAGTGTATTCTAGCAACTGGGAAAGTGAGGTCCACGGCGATGGCATGATGGGAAGCGCCGTTCACGTCAAGCCAGAAGATGCGGCTACACCTGCACCACCAGTGGGTGTCGCCAGGGACGAGAGCCTACCTCAGACTAAGACGCAAGGCTCTGAGAGCATCGTCATGGTTGAGAGCCAAAAGTCTGACTTTGAGAGCGCATGGGAGAAGGCAGTGGAGTCTAAGTGATGAGAGGGGCCATGTAAAGGATATTAGGCGCAAGGAGATGGGAGATACATTTTGGACGCATAGATCCTCTGGGCTAGAGGATATCTGTACAACGTTACATAATTACTCGCGTATTTTGTTTACTTGCCATCACTGCATATGAAACTATACTTTTTGATAATTCTCATGGCTCATCTATTATATATGTACATGTGATGGGTGATGTATACGCTCGCATGCCGGCTGCCCGCCCCAGCACTACAACAGCTCAGCGAGGATGTAAAAGCGCCTAGCGCTGTCTTGAACTCGTATCGTGATTTCCTTTTGTGTTCCAAAATATTTCGTTTCCTTGGCACCCTTTTTACATTAAGCCACGGATAAATTGGTCGAGCCCAAGCTCAAAGAGCTCGTTCTTGACACCGTCGCCGCCCCTGTGTTCGACAGGGGCCAGAGGATTCTTGACGACTATACGCAGCTACAGTTAGTGATTTCCAGCTTTGAGAAAGCGATCAGTTGTTATCACACATACCGTATTCTACCCAAAGGTTGATGTATATCTGATGCAAGACGTTGCGCATGCTCGGCGAAGCTGTATCGGTAATGAGGACAAAGCGCAGGTTGGCCGGCGTCTCGTAGAAGTGCAGCTTGTACTGCCCCGTGCGGTAGGATATAAAAGCATCGTCGTCGCCGCCTAGCTTGCGGACCATGTTGCGTAGCGAAAAGACAGTGCCGAAGATGAGCTTTGCGTCGTCCGAGGTTGTCGAGACGGGCTGAGGCATGGCGGCGGGCATCCCGGAGCTAGACTCGGGGCGCGGCGCCCATGACTTGACGTATATGCATTCCGCTATAACGAGGCAATTGGTTAGATCAGACAAGAGAGTAGAAGGGCGGTTGGGGCGTACTGTGCCGGTCAAAGATGTGAAAGGAGTAGACGGTCATGGCGGGCGGTGACGAGGGTGGGATGGATGCAGTCGCCGGCAGGGAGAGGCGTGCGTTTGTGTGGTCGACGCGTTTTCGTGCTTCTTGTCGCTGGTGTCGTCGCTTGCGAGGGCCTGTACTATTCCGTGGGGTTGTCGTTGGGCGGTTGTCGTGGAAGAAGACTTGATCGTGTGTGGTGTTGCGCGCTGTCGGCTGAAGCTCCGCTAGCTTTGCTTGGGGTGGTGGCGCACCGGGGGCAGAACCAGGCGGGCAGGGTGCTGTGGCGTGTGCAGCGAGTGAGTGGCTTTGACGCTGGAATTCGTGTGGTGTGCCTGCCCCTCAGCGTCTGGCTTTAGGCGGAGAGGGGGCCCTGTGGAAGGGGGCGGAGAAGGAGAGGAGCGCTGGGGGAAGCTAAGAGGCGTTAGGCTAGCGGCTCATAGCCAAAAGCCAAAACAACCCCTCCCAACTGCGAGTTTAGGGCCTTTAGTGGTGCCGCAGCAGGTGGCTAACGGCCGCTGTGATGCACTGTAGATTCGGCTGGTGGGGATCAGCAAATAGATGACACCATGGACTACTGTAGGAACGGATTGACGGCGGGGTCTTCTTGGCGGGGAGTGTGGTGCTATGATGATGTTGATTGGGAATTGATAGAAAATATAGGAGCACTAATTTTGTTTTTTTTTTATCATGGGGATGTAGACTGTATACAGTCAATTGGATACACTGCTGTACAGAAGCAATCAGCCTTGTTTCAGGCAGGCTGTGCCCGCTAAGCTCAGCGCGATGCCCGGACATTTAGTGGCTGTCGCTGGTTGCAGCGCCATGCGATGCCGTCTTACCGAACCACCTCGTCGGGGCCCCGCCATCCTGACTCTTGCAGCCCCAGCACGCAACAAACCCCAACTAAGTCTAGATCCCGGTCCTTTCCCCTCGTCTTTCTTCCAAGCTGAAGAAGCTTCTCCTCTGACAGTTTCTTCCTGCATCCTCCAACATTGGGCCTCAGACGCTGCTATTAGAAGCTGTCATAGCGCTGTGGTGCCTGAGCTTGGCCTACTCCCCGCCTCACTTCATTAGGTTACCCGACGCTTGTCTTTTTGCTACTTTGTGTCGCAATGAGCGCAAACCTTCCTCCTCCCGTCGAGCTGCCTCCAGCCGACCCCAAGGATCTGCCAGACGCACCACAGAGTGCCCCGTTGCTCCCAGTATCCGATAAGGATGCTAGCTCTGGTGACGCTGAAGGGCTGGTTCGCCCACCGTTAGCATCTACGCAGTATGTGAGAGTGTATCGCAAGTTGTCAAGTCTTGTCTTGCTTATTCCAGATATAGGTCTCATCCACCAGTCTTGGAGGGTGGTTATGCAAGCCCCATGCGACAGCACCAACGACAACCTAGCTTTCAACGGGAAATCAAGGTGGGATACTATCCATATCGGAAGAGATTCTAAGCTAGCGATTAACACGAGCGTCTAGGAAACGCTGGATGCGCATGTCGAGTACACAAGTGACGAGAATGACGGCAGAACATATCACCAGGTCAATCAGTATACCATTATCGAAGAGATTGGCCGCGGTTCCTACGGCGCAGTGCATATTGCCACGGACCAGTTTGATAAGGAATATGTGAGCTGCTACGCTGTCGCATCTTAACTTTGGTATGCTAACAACATATGTTCCCAATAGGCTGTCAAGGAATTTTCAAAAGCACGCCTCCGTAAACGCGCCCAATCTCAGATCCTTCGACAAGGGCCACGGGGTCCAGGCCGCCGGCCCATCCGATCCAAGAGCGGTGGTGACCCGCTGACACCCCAGGTTGGCGGAGAGCATCCTGGCGAGAAGAAAGATGCCCTTCATCTTATTAGAGAAGAGGTCGCCATTATGAAGAAGCTCAACCATCCCAACCTGGTGCAGCTCATAGAAGTTCTTGACGATCCAGAAGAAGACTCGCTCTACATGGTGCTCGAGATGTGCAAAAAGGGCGTCGTAATGAAAGTTGGGCTAGAAGAAAACGCCGATCCATACAGCGACGAGGACTGTCGGCTCTTTTTCCGAGACTTGATCTTGGGTATTGAATACCGTACGTCACACGCCGCAGCGCATCTGGCTGGAGTCGCTAACAAGTGGACTTAACAGTGCACGCTCAGGGTGTCATTCACCGTGATATTAAACCGGATAACCTGCTCGTCTCACAGGACGATGTCCTGAAAGTCGTTGACTTTGGCGTGTCTGAGATGTTTGAGAAGAAGGGCGACATGATGGTTGCCAAGTCAGCGGGCTCGCCTGCTTTCCTCGCACCCGAACTTTGTGGTAAGCACGGCGAAGTATCCGGTCCAGCTGTAGATATCTGGTCAATGGGTATATCGCTGTACTGCTTGAAGTATGGCAAGATTCCGTTCAATAAGCCAAGCGTAATGGAAATGTATGACGCCATCAAAACAGACGAGCCAAAGCTCCCAGAGGATGAGGATGCAACGTTTGTCGATCTGATGCACAGGCTCTTGGACAAGAATCCAGACACGCGAATTACAATGGATGAGCTACGGGTGAGTCCAAAGGCGTCTTGACCGTGAAGGACATGTTGAGTATCCTCTAACCTTACAATTACAGGAGCACCCGTGGGTGACAAAGAATGGTACTGACACGCTCCTGTCAAAAGAAGAGAACTGCAGCCATGAAATTGAGCCCGTCAACGAATTGGATATTGAACGGGCCTTTACAAGGAAAATGGATAACTTATTTTCGGTTGTCAAGGCGATTCACAAATTCAAGTCACTAATCCCGAGCAAGTTGTCGGCATCCAGCACACCCGCCGATGAGGGTGATGAGCCACCACTGGATAAAGCTGCTCCCCCGCCTGAAGATGACTTTGATCCTGCAGAAGAAAAGCGCCGAGCCCAAGAAATAGAGGAGCTGTTGGAACAAAGAAGAAAGCGGGCACTTGGGAGAGCCGATGAGGAAGTGGGCAAGGGTCAAGCCAAAGAGGTTGGCGAGGAGGAGCCAATGGTCATTGGCATCGGAACGGGTATCCACGATAAGGACGCTAGGGACGAAAATACGCCCGATGTTGTCGCTGATTCACCGACTGCCGTCGACTTTGACATTTACGACCGGGCATATGAAGCAGCTATCAAGGAGCGCCTTGAAGCCAACCCGACAGAGCGCCCCGTGATGTACCTGACGAAGTATGTCAAGGAGACGGAATACTTTAAGACACTGGCGAATATCGTGGAGGAAACCATGTTGTCGTCAGAGGGTATTATGGACCAGGTCAAGGAAACTCGGGATCAGCTGTATTCGCGCTTTACCACGCCATCGTCGTCTAAGCTGGCGGACATGGTTGGCATGCTCGGCTTATCGGCTCCGGTGCACAAGGTTCCCGCTGCAGATATTGATCCGAAGACTCTGAAAGACACCGTTTTGGAATTAAAGAATCAAGTGCTAACAAGTCCGGAGGAAGCAAAGGGCGAGGACGGAGGAGCTACAGCGGAGAGCAAGTCGAGATGATGGGAGGAAAGACCCTGAAGCTGGCCTTGGGTATGCGGCGAGACGGCTGTAATTACTTTATTTTGTTCGTATGGATTTGCTTTATTCGAGCGTTTGGCGACATAGTAAAAGGCATTTGGCGCATCAAGGAGTATATATTCACCTGTACAAAAAGCCGTTTATATCCGTGTTGTACTTTAGTCTCCGAGCCGAGTCCTTTTCCGCGATTCGGAAATGCCACTAAATCGGCGCTGTCTGCGCCACGCGGCCCCTGCCGGCTCCAGGCTGTATTAGCGCAAGGGCCACAGCTAAAAACAATACTTTACAGTGGGTAGCTAATTCTACTGGACATAGCTACAACAAAAATAGCATCAGTTGTCGCCCTCGTTTAAGGCTCGTTCCTTATCTCCGTTCTTCTTCCAACTTTCTTGACTCTTCTTCTCTGTTCTCTGATCATTAAGACGAACAATCAGGGGGCATCTTTTTTAACTTGCTTAAGTAGGGAAGCGAATCCACATCCAACTAGAGTCACACCATCACAACATCAACAACAACAACAACAACAACAACAAACGAGAGCAAACAGCAAGCATTTCTAAGACCTTCAGTCTGCACCTCGACAACATGGAAGCTACAGCACCTTCAGAAACACCCACTCAGAAGCCCGGAGCTATGAAAGTCATCATTGCCGGTGCAGGCATAGCAGGCCCATCGTTGGCATTACTTCTGAGCCGTCAGGGTCACCACTGCACCATCATTGAACGATCTCCTGGCCTCCGAGCAAAGGGCCAGCAGATTGACATTCGCAAAGAGGGGGTCGAAGCCGCGAAGCGACTGGGCATCTTTGAGGAGGTCAAGAAGCATGTCGTCGAAGAGGGCGGCATGCAATTCGTCAACTCGCAGGGCAAACAAACAGCGTGCTTCCCCAAGATGGATCCCAAAGACGGCCAGCAAGGCTTTAGCAGCGAGTATGAAATCATGCGCGGCGACTTGTGCAAAATCCTTCACGATGCTACAAAAGACGACGTACAATACCGCTTTGGCTTGGCCATTACCGAGTATGAGAACCAAGAAGACCGAGTCAAGGTGACCCTTTCCGACGGCTCCGTGGAGGAGTGTGATATGCTTGTTGGTGCAGATGGCCAGAGCTCTCGAATCCGCAAGATGATGCTCCAGGATGAGCCACCAGAGGTTAACAAGACGCGAGATTTGGGTCTCTATGTTGCCTACTTTACAATCCCTCGTCGAGATGATAGCTCCGACTTTGGCACCGTCTACACTGCCGACAAACGCCGCCAGATTCTGACCAGATACCATAGCAAGACACATGGTCAAGCATATTTTGGTACCATGGAGAATGGCGAGGAGATCCTGGCCGTGCTCAAAGAAGACACCACCAAACAAAAGGAACTGTTTGCCAGGATTTTCAAGGACGCCGGCTGGCAAGCTGAGCCCTTGATTAAGGACATGATGGCATCTGAGGACTTCTTCTGTCAATCCACGACGCAAATTCAGACCACCATCTGGTCAAAAGGACGCGTTGTTCTTTTGGGTGATGCAGGCTACGGCCCAACTCCTCTAACTGGCATGGGTACCAGTCTTGCTCTCATGGGTGCTACAATCCTTGCTGGAGCCATTGGCAAACACCAAGGTAACCTGCAAGCTGCGTTTACAGAGTACGATAAAGTACTTCGACCCGTTGTGGAGAAGACGCACCAAATTCCTGGCTTGCTTCCAGGGATTGTTTATCCCAAGACTAAATTTGGTGTAAAGGTGATGAACCTGCTTCTTGGCACAGCAACATCAATTGGCCTAGCCAAGATGATTCAGGCGACGACCTTGAAGAATAAAGACGAATTCAAATTGCCAGAGTACAATGAGGTCTCTGCCTGAAACCAAAAAGAAATACACATTACAATTGAATTGAATATAACAAAAGGCAACTCTCTACTTAATCTAGGCATACACAGCTTCTATATCACAGCTCTATCTAATACAAGAATAATCACCACGAACATCACCACCTTGTTGACCATCCAAAGCACTATATCACACCCAAGATGCCTTCAGGGGTAAGCGCCTTTGTGACCAAACCAATGATTCCTCCACAGACGCACATGGCTCCCGAAAACATACTTGCTTCCAGAAACCCGCCATAGTGGCTAACAAACTTGCCATTCAATGGCGGTCCGATGAGACCACCGATTGCACCCAAAGCAAGACCCATACCAGAATACGATCCCATGACTTGCGGCGTGGGCGCACAAGATGCAAGAACTGTAGAGGCACCGGATATAAGAGTACCAGTAGCAAATCCAACGACTATGCAATACACAACAATACCAGCGGTGTTCTGGGTAAAGTTCATGAAGAAAATGACGATGCCCGTAACGATGCAACCACCGCTGTACACGTTGAAGCGCCCATATTTATCAGCCAGTGCTCCCGGGATGATTCTGCCAAAGGTTGACGCGGCGTTCAATATCGCAAGCAAATAGCCAGCAAGCGTCGGATCCATGTGCCGTATCATTGTTGCGTAGGTAGGGAGGAAGAAGATAGGCATAAACATGCCCGCAAAGGTGAAGAAGATGGAGATTGCCATGCCAATCAGCTTGCGATCCTTGAGGGCCTCCGTGGCAAGCAAAGCAGTAGCTCGAGGAGGAACTCTAGTCCTGATTGTTGCAATAGCAAACCCCAGAAACGGGATCATGATGAAGCCCGTCACACGCACCGTCCACGCAAAGCCCAGGCTTGTACCATTGAGCATCTTGGACACCAGGATAGGAATCACGATGCCACCGATCGACGAGCCTGAAATGGCTACACCAAGGGCCGCTCCTCGCTTCTTGTTGAAGAACTGTGCTACGGCCGCAATCGCCGGGAACTGCAGAAAGCCCATGATAGAGCCCATGACGACACCCTGCACCAGCATGAAATGCCAATACTTGTCGCAGAGGCTGAGCATCATGACGGAAAATAAGTAGACAATGCAGGAAGGCCAGATAACCTAAACAAACGACAAATGTTAACAAATCTCGCCGTACTTGTACTAGTTCTACATGGGTCGACTTACACGGGTGCCATAACGATCAAACAGCGGTCCGCCAATGAGGCCAGTCAGAAACTGCAGAGTAGCTGATAGAGAGCCTATCCAGGCGATATGATCCTCTGATCTATCGCGGAGCTGATGCGTGATGTAAAACTGAGCAAATGAGCCGAAGGAGTTGGCGAATCCGAGACAGCAGAAGAAGATGGAGGCTGCGCCGGCGGCGACGAGCCATGCTTGTATTCCTCCATCAGGCGCTTCATTTGGGACTTTAGAGTCGATATGGCCTTCTTGACTGGCTTTGTCGTCTGTTGTAAGTGGAGGTGAGTCGGAGGCAGCATTGCTTGCCGTGGCCGGCTTTTCGTGAGTGGACATGGCTCAGTGGTGTAAGTGAGAGACCAACAAATAGATGATTTACCAACAATATTAGTTAATTTTTGTAACTTTGAGTAGCGAATATCTTTCCAGTTGAACATTTGGATTTGTTTTACGTTTTCTACTGTTTTTATATTGGATTGCTGATTAGACCGTCAACATCGGGAAATTCAACCCCGAGGCCGAGTCGGGCCCGAGTCCGTGACGGACTCTGATATTTCGCGCAGGAGTTACAGAGCACTGTCAAAAATACATTTATATTTTCCCTTAATAATTCTAAAGGGAATTTTCATAGAGTAAATAACACATCATGGCAATAATATAGCGCATTGTTGGTTACAGGTGGTAGTGATGGATGTAGTGTAGTACACCACGGAGCCGAGGCAGCGTGATATGGACAGGCTCTGTGTACTTCGCTTCCAACAAGCTGAGAGACCCTACTCGCACAATACAAATCGTTAGACACTGTCAGATTGTCACTTTCAGCGCATTCAAGAAGAGAAGCGGTCACCTCGGACAACAACTAAGACATACACATTGGGAATAGCACACTTGGCCCGCGCCAACCTTGCAAATACATAGATAACATGCAGAGCCAAGCGCTGCGATGCAATCCTATGCCGCTGTATATCGTGCTACAGTGCAAGGAAGCATCCATCCCGAACTCCGAAATCGCTCTTCTGGACGGGCACTCCGAGCTGTCAGACATCTAGACCGGCGTCGATTTCCGATTAAGCTTCCAGATCCATGTAAGCGTGGCCGATGTTACAGTAGCATGGCTGTGCAGGACCACCGACAACAGTACCAACACGGCACCAAATCAGACCTGTCGGCGGTTGTGCGAGACAACATACACAACTGCTGTCGAAAAATTGCATATGACGGCAGCCGTGATGACAGTCAGCGATATGCAACCACGGGACAGCCCAGCCGACGTGGTCAGCCAGCCTTGGAGGATGGGCAACGGCTGATAGACGGTTCAGCAGGCTCGTAATCACCATGCACATGGCATGTGTAGTTGGGCGCGCGCCGGAAAATCCTAAACCGCCTCATGGCGGTTCAATCTCCCTCGTCAGAGCCACAGTTGAATTATGACCTGCGACGCTGGCAAAGTGAACCAGGGCGGTGTATGGGGTCCTACTAGGCTTGCGATCGGCAGCAGACGAACCTCCCGGCATGGATGTTGGAGGGCACCCCTGAGCCTGCAGCCAAGCGCCTAGCTGCAATTTGGATCTCGGCCGCAATATGACAAACTAATACTTGTATAGTAGCAAATTCGCGTAGGTGGCCGGCGGCCTCCCTGATAGAACGCCATGCCCAGCATCCAGCCCTGTGCCTGTCGATGCTGCGAGCATGTGAAGTGTTGGTGTATTGAATTAATGATTTTGTCATATTTGCTGCGGCGCTGGAGGGTTTTCAAACGGCCCGGCAGTGCATTCTTCCAGAAACCAGACGATCACTAGGGACAGACGCTGCCTTTTTCCCAACCACTAATAACAGAGGAGGTGTGCTGCTGTAGCCAGGCTTGCTTCCAGGGTCTAGCCCATGTCGTCATCCCCAGCTCAGAGGACTTGAACACGCACTGCCTGCATATATTTGCCCAGATAGGGCATGCTTGACCAGCGTTCCCTGGACCAAGAGCCTTCTGAGGTGGGCTGAAGATGGCTTGCGGGGTGACCACCGACTTGCGTCATGCTCGTTTGGAGACGGCGAATACGGAGCTTTAGGCTGCATATGAGTGCTTTACGAGAGGCGATGCCGTTTCTAGCCCCGACCCGACCTACCCCCGTTGACAAATGCAGTTGATTCTAACGGTCATTTCATTTGTAGTATTCCCAGGCAATCGAAACAGCATGAGTGTATCTGGGTTAAGACGGTGCGGCACAGAATTGGGTTCGCACTGCCCTCCCAAACACACAAACACGGCACCTGGGGATAATCAGTTACGAGAATACGTAAGAACTCATTGTCAAAAACGACCGTGCGTAAGCCTGGTTGATCCAGGCGGCAAATTCTGGGGCAAGGCGCGGCAAGCGACAGTCTCGAATATTGCGATGATTCTATCGTGGACATTCGGCAGCGCCGTATACAATGGGCTTGGCTGTCCGGAGCGGCTTATCTATACAGCCAACGAGCTCGCGTACAGCTACACCATAGCAGCATGCCGTCCACAGGTGGTACCAGAACGGTGTATTGGGAGTTGTGCGGATATAACACAAGCAAGGCGATGCATACAAAAGGGTGAATGCCAAGAGGAATTCAAGAGGCCATCACACCGTAACCTGTGCCATAGAGGGGCGCTACAGGAGACTCGTGTCGAACATAATGTAGCTTGACGCAAGCAATGAAACCAGCCAAGACTTTTAATGTCTTTCCTGCGCTGGGCGTGATTTGAAAGAAGGTCAGAGGAGAGGTATCCGGTAACGCACAATATACACCCCAATTACCGGGCGTGGAGGGTGCCCGAGAGTGTGGTAACAGGCGACAAGGCGCCTGTACTTTGCAAGTATTAGTTCCTTTTGGAGGTGGGCGGGCACCCAACTATTGGGCGAGGATCCTCTTTGCTCGCAACGTTCCCCGGATGTGAGTATCTTCCGGGTTTTGGCTTGGGACTACATGGCAATTAGAAAGCGGCCACGTTTTGCATACCGGAGCTTCTTCTTTGGGAGCCTGTCTCCGGCCAGTTGAAAAATCATATGGCTTACGGCTGCATATAAGCGGTTTTCCGGCTGCTCCTGGTGCGCGATCCTCGGCCGCCCATCTCATCGCCCAATGGCCCCGCGGAATGCCTTGGCATACGTATGATGTCGACAGACGGGGGCGAAAAACTGGAGGTTTACCAAAGACACGCACAAGATGGGCGAGGGTATGCCCAAAAGTTTATTGCTTCGCTTACCTTTTTCCTGCCCTTATTGGAAATAACAGTGGCCCAACGAGGGTACAACAGCCGCTGGCGGCGTGATGTGTAATCCACTACGCGGCGACAGTGCTGCGCCATGTTAGTTGCCTGACTCTTTTTCCTTCTGGTCAGACAACAGCATGGCGTAGCAGGCGTTAGGTCTTGGCCCCGTGGACGCCAAACGCCCCAAAAGCGTGTTTGGTGAGGGTTGTGTGTCGCGATGACCCCATCTGGCGGGCGTCTCCCTTCCAAAATAGGTAAGGCCAACGGCGAGTAAGAGGGCCTAGGGTGGAGGTTCGTGCTGATGGATCGGAAATTGAGGTGATTGTGGATTTGTTAGCTAGTCAGGGCCATGGCTTTTTGGCTGCTTTATTGCGTCTTTTTGCCTCTTTTCGTTGGTGGAGGTGTCGTTTTCTAGATGCCTCCGATTCGACTGCATCTGAGCTGTGCTGTAGATTCAAGGTTCAGGCTTGGCACGGCATTTGTTTCCACCCACTATAGAGAAGACACATGGTTAATTTCATGGAGCCTCGCCACCAAACCAGCGTCGTTTTGTACCTCGGGGCCGTGGACGTGGCGGGTTAGGGGCGCTGAAACCCTCGCCTGGACGAGGCAGTGGAACGCCATGCAGCTCTTCATCATGGCGGGCAGCAAACGAGGCGGCGATTATTGATTGGTGGACGGGGTATGGATGAAAAAGAAGAAGCAGATAGAGGCTTTTTTTTTGTCGTTCGGTTCAGCAGTGATGCCAGTAAGCACATGTGGCAGCTATTGTTGGCCACTGTATACTCTGTATGTACAGTACGTACGCAAGTATGGTTTGTACAGTTGCATGAGAGTTGGTGAGCAAGCGCTGGTAGGCCTTCTAGAAGAAAAGGGCGGCCACAAATTGCCTTGAGTTCCTTCCCCTTGCGGTACGCACCATGTCTTGTGTGTGTATCTGTTCCCCCTCTTCTCTTGTCGCTACGCGCTGTAAAAAATGCCCCATAACAGGGTCTCTCTCCACTAAAAAGTCCGCGGGCCCGTCTCCCGGCCCCAGTCTCGGGGTGTCGGGGGTTCACGGACACCAACACAGAACGGGGGGCTTGAGCGATATTTCAGCAGGCTTATCCACTATATCTTTGTTGCTGAAGCGGGCCTCCACCAAACTGCAGCGCTGTACGTTAGTATGTCCTGCAGTTTGCGAGGCCAGTAACTTATGGAGCACGTACTCTACTGGACTGTGCTCTGCTGCATGCAGAACAGACGCACAGAGCGTTGTCTTGTCAATACTGGCTGCCTGCCTGCCTGGTTGGAAAGGACTTGGATCTACAGTATAAGCCTACATCCTCGAAAAAGCCGTGATCGCCTGTTGCCAATGATTCGTGTGCCTGCTTTGACATGCCTCCAGAACGAGAACCCTTATCCGGCTGCGTTGCGGCGGCGGCAGCCAGTGCTGCAAACTCGGCCGGGGAAGCCAGATGGACGAGATCTAGAACGCAGCCCAGACCATACGGCGCACAAGGACTATTTGAGTTAATGAGAGGTATTGCTTTTTTGTGTCTGTTTGTTTGTTTGCAATGTATTATTCGTAGAAAACGTTTTGTGATGAATTGACTGTATGCAACACATCTCCAGGTTTCCGCGCCTAATAAGCAGCAAGTACGTAACGGTACCCCCCCTCGTTCCGTTTTTATTTTAACCTACTCATCTCTTTAATTGCCTCCCTCTACTTGGGATGCAAGATTAGAGATGAGTAGCAACCCGCTCGTCCACTGTAAAAACGGCTGGCGCAGCGCAGTATTGTATGGTAATGTAGTAGCCGGCCTCCACTCCATGGTGTGGGTTGTGTGCTTTCTACCCCCCTTGCCTGTCATCCACAGGGGGCCACAGCGCATCGTTTGTAGCGCTGCCAAAAGGTTCCCCCGAAGAGGCACATGCAGTGGAGCACGCAGGCAGGTACTTGGGTTCCTTACTTGGTTACCTGTCAAAACGACGCCGATAGGTTAGCTGCGGCTGCGCCAGTACATTCGGTGGCCACAGCCTGCTTGTACTTGCTGCTACTACAGTACGCGCCCCCCTGTTTGGGTCTGGCGGTCCACTAGCCCGGGAGCAGAACAGCAGCATCCGGGACCTCTCTCACCGTAGCGAGATTGTAATACGGCAGGTCCAGAAGGGCATTTGCATTTGCAGCAGGGCTGTGCTTTGTGTCTATTTGGGTTGTGTTGTTGTTGTTTTCTCAGTATCCCCAACTTGTTGTCTCGTGTTTTTATGATTATTGCTTTTATTTTACAAAATATTTTTATACATTTGGACGCAGTACTCTACGCAGAAAGATATAAAGGAGGAAGTACCCGTCTGGAACAATAAAATACGCAGCCAGCAAAAGCTAGCCCTTACTGTAAGTTACTTACTTCCCTACTTTTCCCGCTATTACAGCAGACCACCAAAAAACCCCACAGAAGCAGCGCCAGTGACGTCTTGCAGCGCACCGCCCCAAACCCTCTCTGCTGTGTCCACTGCCTGCTCTGCTAGCGCCATGACCGTTCTAGTGCTGCTGGTACTGCTGTTGCCTTTCTAAGCAACGCCTACCGCCTTAATAATCCACGGGCTCCGCTTTCTTCGTCACCGTCCCCCCAATAGAATTGCCCACGCCGCTAACAGCTGGAAAATTACAGCGCCGGGGCGCCCAGTTCGCCCACCCGCCCGCCCACACCCCCCTGCAATTTTTTTTCTCTCTCCTTCTTTCTACGTGTTAGCGGTAGTAGTGGCTGTCCCTCTCTCCCTTGCTTGGTTCTTGGCTGCTGCTTGCACTGCTGCACTGTCCTCCCCGTGCTATACACCCACCGCACCGCCCACTGTACCGTACCCAGCCCCAACCAAACACCTGCTGACAGCCCTCCCCTCCTGGCTTTCCACCAAAAGTCCTGCAGTGGGCTCCTCTCTTTTAGCCTTCTCACGCGCTCTTTCTTGCCTCTTCCTCGTCCGGCCCACCCTCTCCTCCAATATTTTTTACTTCCTCTCCATCTACAAACTTCCCCGTCCTCCGTCTTCTTTTATTTTCTCGCTGGTGTTTTTGGTTCTTCTTCTTTTTTTATTTACCGTTTGTACGTCTACTTCTCGCCAAGCATCGAGCGTCTACCTTTTGCTTACAAACGCACTATAGGCTGTTCTGGCTGTCGCAGACACACCCGCGGCAAAGCATCCCCAAGTTTCACCACCAAACACACCCTGTGGCGACAGTCAAACGCGCCTCGACATTTTGTCCGCCTTACAGTCCTCCAACGCCCCCGTAGGCGTTGTCTGCAACATATAAACTCCTCGAGTTAACATACAACCTTAACTGTCTCGATTTCGCGACTCGTCTTGCCCGATCCGCCTACTCTGACTACCCTTTCTGTAACGAATCGTTGTCGCATCCTCCCACCGTCTTCTTTTACCGACGCCCCTCCATTCAAGTGCTTGATATAACGAGTCTATAAGCTTCGCGAAATCCGTTTCTTGACTTTCGTATCAATCGTCAATCTTATCGACAACCTTCTTTACCAGACGTTTTGTATAATCGAACATCGCACAGTGTCAGCCTACCGACTATTGCGACAATGCCTGCCGCATCAGGCACCGACTCGAAGCCGAACTCGGCTCCGGCTTCAAAACCGTCGTCCATCAAATCGCATAACAGCGTCAAACGGTCTCCTGCTCTTCGACCTCAGGATGCTCTGCCAGAAGTCCCTTCTAATGGCGAATCTCCTGTCCGACCCGCTGAGAAGGCCTCTGTCAAGGACCGTCTCAAGGGTATGTTCTCAAGTAAAGAGCCCAGCCGAACTGGAACTCCCAACGGCGAATCTGGCACCCGCTCGCGCGGCGCGTCGATAAACGGGCTCGCGGCTCCGGCAACTCGCAAGAGCCCGTCTTCTGAGAAGGACAGATCCTCTGGCGACAAGTCCAGCGAGAAGCCTGCAGAGAAGCCTGCAGAGAAACCAGCTGCCCCCAAGGCTGCTGGCGGCAAGGAGCCCTCTACTCGCTTTACCGCTAACCCAGACGTTCCTGGCGGCCACGAACACGTTCTCAAGTCGAGCCGAAGACAGGAAAAGCTGTCCGATATGTGGAGAAGCTTAATCGGCAAAAAGCAAGAACCCACTCCAGAAAGCGATCTCTCCCTCGTCTCAAATTGGGTTGACTCGTTGCGTCAAGAAAAGGAAGACGCTGCCGAGAAGAAGGGCAATGTCAACGTCTCTTCCACCCTTGTTGAAAAATATGGCAAATGCCAGGAGATTGTCGGCCGTGGAGCCTTTGGCATTGTGCGCATCTCGCACAAGAAGCTTGGAGCCGGCGAGAAACTCTTTGCCGTCAAGGAATTCCGTCGTCGCCCCGAGGAAACCGAAAAGAAGTACAGCAAGCGCCTCACTGCCGAATTCTGCATCTCCTCTTCCCTTCGACACCCCAACGTCATCCACACCCTCGACTTGCTCAAGGACGCCAAGGGTGACTACTGCGAGGTCATGGAGTTTTGTGCCGGCGGCGATTTGTACACCTTGATCCTCTCCAGTGGCAAGCTCGAAGTCCAGGAAGCCGATTGCTTCTTCAAGCAAATGATGCGCGGTGTCGAGTACCTCCACGAAATGGGTGTTGCTCATCGCGATCTCAAGCCCGAGAACCTTTTGCTCACCACTCGCGGTGGCCTCAAAATTACCGATTTTGGCAACGGCGAATGCTTCCGCATGGCCTGGGAGACCGATGCCCACATGGTCTCCGGCCTCTGTGGTTCTGCACCCTACATCTCCCCCGAGGAATATACTGACAAGGAATTCGACGCCAGAGCCGTTGACGTGTGGGCGTGTGGTGTCATTTACATGGCCATGCGCACCGGCAGACATCTCTGGCGCGTTGCCAAGAAGGACGAAGACGAGTTTTACGGCCGATACCTCGAGGGCCGCCGCGACGAAGACGGCTACGGCCCTATTGAGTCTCTGCACCGAGTAAGTTTTGACTGATCATTAACATATACCATGTTCTCTCTCTCTTGACAGCTGCTAATTATCATCGCCTCACCCAGGCTCGATGCCGTAACGTCATCTACTCCGTCCTTGATCCTCATCCTACGCGCCGCCTCACAGCCGCGCAGGTGCTCAAGTCCGAATGGGTCCGCGAAGTAAAACTTTGCAAGGCCGGCGAGGAGGGTCTCTAACACACTGTCCGTCATGCTCTATTGGCATGGCGGACTGCTCCGATGGCGGTAGCCACGGCATTGCGCGCAAGCCTGCTTCTTTGGCAAGCCGCTGCGTGCGCCGTGGCTGCCCACCTATCAGCAGGTTCTACCTTGTACAACCAGTTTTTCACGTGTGTTTAAACAAAATACCCATCCCTCCCCGCGTCTGCTACCCCCTTCAAACCTGCTACGGGAAGAGGACCAGACCGCACGGGGGGGCGTTCTTCTTTTCTGAAAACGCCTGTTTCTCTATATATACATAGATACCCCCTCGACTGCATTCAGCTCCCGGCCAGCGCAACATTCGCATACACCAGAAACCAGTGTGCGACGTGCATACCCACTCTTACGACATTGAAACGACAATTCTATATACGGTGCGGTCGTAGTACCGCCTTCTTCTTCTTTCTTCTCTGAAGATGCTCCAACAACCCCGTCAATTTGGTCAAATCGTTGTTCCTCGAAGCTCAGATTAAGTACATTTGCGTTGTCAACACGACGCTTCAGTGCTGCTCTGCTTATCCATTGGCGGTGTCCCATGCATGCCATTGGAAATAGCTTTGGATTGATTGAGTCTCTTCGTCTTCATTTTTCTTCTTCCCTTCTTCATACATTTTTCTGTACGAATGCTTTTTCAGGCATGTAACGTTCGTTGCTAGATTATCTTTTAAATGACGACTGAAATGTTTACTTAAATCTGTTCTCTACATATATGCTTTAACCAGGTTTTGCCAAAGCAGGATATCACAATGTATATGAAATGTGTGTTTATTCAGCTTATTAGCTTCAAGCGCAAGATATAAAAAAAAGAAGACTCTGTTGGTCGTGCAAAAATAGAAATAAAACAACAAGAAGAAAGTATACTCCGGTATATGCCTTCCAGCCAGTAGAAAGCACCCCCGCGCCCAAAAAAAAAAGCCTTGATCACCATCAGTGTGCAATGACTCCTCTTGAAAGCAAGTTATCCTCATGTTCAAGTTCCCCTAACCCAAAAAGAAAAAGTCCAACAAAAAATCAAATACACGGAACATCAGCACTTCGCAGTGCCATATCCCCTGGATGTCTTAATCTTTCCAATTCTGAATCCATCACGTCGCAAAATCCTGCCCATCTCCATGCAAATCCCGCAAATCCCTTAAATATTTTCGCCAGTTATGTAACTAGATGGGAAAAGGTGCAAAACACTTCTCCATCCCGTGTGCAATTGAAGTAGAGGTATGTCCCGTTTCGGTTCGTTCGTGTCCTTGCGATTCAGAGTTGAAGCGGTGCATAGTGCAAAATGTCTGACACGTTTGGTCGTGCAAGGCCGCCAGCCTGCTAGCGTCTGCTGTGGATATCAAATATGTAAAAAAAAGGTGAAATCGTAAAAAGGGTTGGGAACCTTCTGTCCAAGGTTTGGGTGCCGTGTTTATCTACAACACGTTGGTTCCCAGTATAAAGACGAAACGGGAAGATTAGACGCTAGCAGTTTGGTAATTCGGCTAAGCCACTTATGAGTGGAAGAGGTCCCATGCTCTGTCACAGAGACGGAGGAATTCTTCCTTCTTTTGTCGTTGTGTCTCAGGGCTGTCGCGGCCGGCTCCAAATGGCCCTCTGCGAGTAGCGCTGGGTCCGTGGCCGAGTGGTGGGCTGCTTCCTTCATACTCAGCACGGGGTCTTCTTCTACCGCTGCCGTTGGGAGCGGGAGCACCACGAGGTGATGGCGGCGTGGGGGGTTGGTGGCCGCCGTAGTGCACGAGCTTAGGGAGCAATTCGGGGCGGCCTCTAGCGATTTCTTGCTGAGCTTCCTCAGCAGACTTGTATCGAGCTTGCTGGGGTGGTGCGGGGTGGCTAGGAGGCATGCCGGGGGAAGGCATAGGTCTACCTCCAGAGTACATAGCAGGCGCCTCTGCATGCGCAGGAGTTCCATGGGAGAAGACATCGCTGATGGGAGGAAGACGGTTGGCGGAGTGCTGAGGAGGAGGATGGATGTGGCTATGTCCGCCGCGGTTGGGCGCAATATGACGGGTGTTTGGTTCAGCGTAGTGACGACCAGTGAAGCTGCGGCCAAGGGGGGCCGATTGGATAACAAGCTCATTGGCAAACTGTTCGTGAGATGGCGCCACAATAGACAGACCGGGTGGTACTCCCTTTCTGCGCGACATGCCAGGTGTCTTTGCGGCAAAGCCAGGCGTCTCTGGATGTCTCTCACCCTTGGCAGATTGTTGCTGAAGGCGTCTCTCAATGATATCTCTCTGTTGGTCTCTGACGGTCATACTGCGCTCTAGCTGCTGCTTCATGACGGGGTCTTGGGTGACGAAGCCAGGTGAAAGGCAGGCGAGCCCGACCTCTTGGATTCCAAGGCCCTCGCGGCCAGGAAGACCAATAGCCGTTGCGGGACCACCTGGAACATTGGCTCTTGAAAGATGAAGCATAGGAGGGCGGTGACGGTTGTTTGCCATTCTTGGGGATCCAGGTTCCTTCTTAATAACAACACCTGGTTGGCCATTCTTGGCACTATTTGACAGGTTAGCTTTGCTTCTCCTTCGGCATCATACGGATAGGATACAAGCCGGGAACAACTTACGTTCGGGGAGGTGACGGCTTAGCAATGGTGGTTTTGGGGCTGACGCTTCCAGGGCTATTAGCAGCCGCAGTGCGAGGAGCAAGAGGCGGGTTGGCTTTGGGCGCCGACGGGGAAGTGGCGCCATGCGCCGGCGCGGCATTGGAAGAGTTGGCCATTTCTGGGAGAGGATTGCGCTTGTGAGGAGGTGAGGGAGCCACGGCAATTGCAGCACTCATTCTGAAATCAAGCGATCGGTGGCAGATAAGGTGGCACAGTGCAAGGACGGCTCACTGCGCAGGTAGATGTGAGGTGTTGCAAAGTGTGCGTGGCCTAGGATTGCGAGAAAATATGTCTCAAAATGCAGTTTTTATGACAATTTTGTGTTTTTTGCTTTGTGCAGTCCTGGAAAATGTCGGCGCGTCACAAATTGTAACGAGATGTGTGGCGTCGTGGTCGGGATGAAGCAGAGTCTAAGTAAGGCTCGGTGATTCCAAATGCGGTACGTTCAAGTTTTTTTTTGGTGAGAGTGCTTGAATATCGAATCAAATAATAAAGTAGAGGTGTCGCTACAATAATATGTATCCAAACAGAGCAGCTGAAGAGAAAAAGAGCTAGGTTGGAGTGGGAGACGGTGGTTTGATGCGGAACGCTGTGTGTGAGGATGTTGGTTCCCGTGTTCGGCGGTGCGTTGGGCGATAAAATGCGATCGTCGCAGCGGTGGGCAGCAGGCGGATAAGAGGAGAATAACAAGAAAGAGGAGAAGAGGATGAAGTTTTTCCGGTGATGATGAAGATGCCGCTGTTCCGGGTGCAGAGCTGAAGAGCACACAGCAATAGTCGGGTACCAACAGCAATCGGCGAAGGTGAAGAGGCAAAAAAAGAGAGCGACGGCGGCTGAGACGTGGTGGAGAGAGAGGAAGGATGGGCGAAGACAAATTCGGGGGCGTGGGGACCGCTGGGGGGGGGAGTCAGGGGACTTGGTGGCGCCCCATGGGAACGAGACGGTGCAGGCAAATGGGCGGGAGGAAGGGGGGCGTGGTGCGTGTATCAGGTTTGGGGCGCGGGCTGAGGAGCAAGAAGAGAGCAGCGGCCGGCCCCCCTGAAGAAACAGCTACAAAGTATTGGAGAGAGTATTACTGTACAGCTTCGAAACAGCGGGGACGGGCTAGCCAACTACCGTCCCTCTGTGTACATCTATTAGCACTGTAACCAACAGCCTGGCACCGGGCACACTGTGCTGCCAACCAACCACATCTGCCTGTTGGCTTGGCTTGCACTGCTGCTGCTCGTTGGCCAAGCAGGCGCACTGGAAGAGGGGCGTGCACAGGCCTAGCTGCACTACAGCGAACGCTAGTGGCTAGACCAGCGCTGGCGCACTGAACCACCGCAATAGGCCCAGGCCGTTGGGGGCCAAGCTGGCGGGCTCCAAGCACAAATCAGGCTGTGCCGCGCTCACGGCTACTACACACGGGCGGTGATACCGTGTGCATACTGTACGCTACATGACAGAAAAATAAAAAAATAAAAAAAAGATAGTGCATGCACTCAATAGACCCGTAGAGACAGAGAGAATGAGAGTCAGCGATTTCGCAGCGGCAGATGCCGAGGGCCGGCGCATTTAGAGTTTGTCCCGATGCCCCAAAACAGCTCCAGCGCTGGGCCGCGTGCGAATTCCAACCCTACAACAGCACTGGCAAAGCTTAAATCATGTTTCGAGCCTCTCTCATTCCGGGTGGTGGGCAGCAGCAGGCAAAGCCAACAATAGTGCAATGCCCTTTTTCACTTCTATTTTTTTTTTACTCTTAGTCCCCGCTGTGCTGCCATTGGGGGCTGTTGCACGCCCCCTCACGCTCGTCGTCTTTCCATTAGGCGGGGAGTTGACTGAGCTTCCGGTGAAAGAGGGTCACGCTGGTGGGGGTGGAAGAGCGCTCCGGGGATTTGGTACTTTTTTAGTGCTCTTGCAGTAGGGCCCTTAACATAACAGAGAGCGCTGTTGCAGAGTCTCTCTAGCGCGTGTATCATATATATCTGCGGCGGCAAATGAAGATCACTTGAACCCTTATAATCTGCTGGCTGCCTGCTGCTGCGCGCAAATGGTGATACCCGCGGCCGACATCACCAATGCACAACAATTCTCTTCACTGCATATTGTGTGCAATTGCTCGTTCGTATTAAACTCGCCAGCCCGTCTCCCACCCCCTGCAACCCTTCGCAGCCTCGATAACGTGCGCATGCGCGCTAGTTAGCACCAGCAGCGGGCGGCCATCGTCGCAGCCCAAGCCATCCCAAACTAGGCTTGCGCCGCAGTGACCTATCAATAATTGGCAAATTGAGCAGCAGCATTACATGGAATTCGGGATTAAGCGTTGCGTATTGGCCTGCAGCAGCCAGGAACCCCCAGCTGTGATACAACAGGCTATTTTTTTAATGCCTGTGCCCGCGCTACAAACACAGTTTCCGGGTGTATCAAACGCTGGCTGTTGGCTGTCTCACAGCGCCCTGTCAGCCTGTGGCTTTTGACGATCGCCTCCCCAAACAGAACATGGCCGCCAGCTGTGTCTGTGTCCCGGCCCGCACATTGCTGTCCCGTTGGGCGCCTCCACCACGAAACAGGCGGTGGTGGTAAGCCCGTTTCGCTTACAATCTGTCTCGCTTGCCTGTGACCGCATCCTCCTTGCTGTGTGTGTTTCCTCCTCTTATCCTGGACGCATCCTTCTATCCACCCAATAACTGCACAATACGCATCGCAGCATATAGCCAACTATTTATGACGGGTTTGTGGGGGTGCTGCCTGCACTGCAACCCATCAACTTTATCCAGCTCAACGCCGACGCGATTCAGGCGCGGGGTCTGCACTGCGTGATCTTCCTCACTACGGGCTCACTAACAGAGGATCGCCATGGGCTAACTAACCCTAGCTCCCAAGCAGTTATCCTCGTCATATATTGACACAGGATAAAGTGGTCTGGCCAACAGCCCCAGCTATCCTCTTGCGTCGTGGCAAATGGCCCCCAACCTTGGAAAAGGCGCCTTCGGTAGCGTACTCTAGCTAATGGAAGAGCTTTCCTGCTCATCAATCAGCCGGGGGCCCAACTGCATACAGCCTTGTCTTACCCTTCTATCCCTGCTCGCTCGGGACCTTTCCTCTAGAGCCTCTTCAGCGACCCTCCACTCACCGTTCCGCTCGGCGCTGCCAAACTCTGTTTGATGACTTGAGACAATCTAGTGGAGGACTTGCTTTGTCCGTTACAAAAATAGCACATCAGGCATCTCAATTCTGACAGCGGCAGGAAAAGGCGTTCTTTTTCTTCCCGCATAAACGAATATCTTGTGAGACGAGTTTGAGACACTGCAGACTACTGGGATATGGATGAGATGGGATGGCAAGCAATGCATGCATGTGCGCGTTTGCGCAGGACCGCTTCAGCTGGCTGACAGTAAGAGTGCCAATACAATAACATCCAGCGCAGGCTAATACCGCTTCGGTATTCCGGTGCTGGAGCTATTAGTACAACCGCCCCCAATACCAAACGCCTCCGCCTCACCAGGATATAGTGCCCTGGTAAACAAGATCAGCATGACAAACATGGCACGCCAAACCTGCCAGTGCCGTTAGGTCGGCTGTCGTCAATGGCTGGCAATGCTTGCTTTCCGGACTCTCCACCATGGCGAAACAACGGCTTGTGGGCGCCCGGCAAAGCTGGGCTTCTTGGGGTATGCATCCAACACGGCGACGTGGCTCAGCCAACAGCTTGGCTTGCTTCTGATGCCGGCTTTGCAGGCAAGGATCTTTTGACGGCAACGCACGGCCTAAACCTCGGCCATGTCACTCATCACTAAGAAATGGTACAGCGATTGGCTAGTACAGCAGCTGAAGCCTTGTTCCAAGCCTTATTCGTATTATCAGTGCTATTCCCACCAATCTAATGCAACCAACGCTACCTCGGTGTTTGATATCCAAGCTTGGCCCGCTGACTGATCACGTTCAAGGGACTGTGATGCCAGCCACCCCGCACAGCGTCTTAGATATCCCTTATAATAGCATACTATCAATCCCAAATATAAGCTTTGTAGCAAGAGGACACTTCTTCCCACAAAAGGTATCCTGCAGCAGAATATTAAAGGGCAATAGTACTTAATTTGATGGCTCAGGAGGTACTTATGGATATTAGATAGCCCCACTGGAGCCGCAGACCTGAGACTGCTCAACGTCTCACGTTTTTGTCCATGCGCTGCACACCGCCGTGAGCGACAGTAGTCAGCTTTGCAAAATGTACTTTAGTATCTAATACATGTGAAAGAACCGAACTATGTCCTAAACAAAGTGGCCAGTTGGCAGGCAACGACTAGTCTGAAGCTCCGGCCAAGTATAGGCAAGGTATGACAGTGCTGGTACATTGACTACAAGTATACATGCACGGTTGAACTGGGTAAAAGCACCAAAACAGATATATACGTAAAGAATGAAGGCTTCCTCATAAGTATAATTAGCCCATATATCAAAGGCATATAAATCATTCAATATCCAATCACTGACTGGGCTAACATTGTACCGAAAGCACTGTTATATCTGGTTCAGGGTAGCGTTTACGTCAACCACCAACAAGCAGCTCCATTTCTGCTTATAACTGTAAGTCAACGTTTTTCTGTCCTAGACCATTAATTGCCTGTAAACTTTTTTTTAAGAAAAGATACAAAAAAGAAGTTCATCTTTCAAAGTCGTTGAACATAGATGCCGGTAAAAATCAAGATAGGCAAAAAGGAAAGCGCGCCCGAGGGGGGGGTCGAACCCCCAGCCTTGCGGTATCGAATCCTTGAGAGGAAAGTAAAAGCCGCACGCTCTAGCCAATTGAGCTACCCGGGCGAACGTCGGAATCTGGCTTAATGATTCTTATAGACCCATGGCTGAACATGAGTCACAATGATATTAAAGACACCTCCGCCCAATCAGAATATACGAAAATTTTGAGCAAAATAGAAAATATTAGCCTAAAATAATCCATTGAATATATTCCATTACCAATATCATCTTCCTAGATAGCATTGGCAGCTTGTCTTGGGGGACATCAAATCGCAGCCGACACGGCCAACCAGACCCACTTTGGCGGAACAGGTCAAAAAAACTTTGGGTGCTGTTAGCTATCGATACCAAAAATTGATGTTCTCACAGCACTCTGCAACCAAATCCGGCGGACAACTCACAATCTTGCGCTCGAGCAACAGAGTTTGATATTACATCAAGTTTGCCAATCGATTCATTACAAAGCTCGAAAATGCCTGCTAGAACAAAGAAGCAGACGGAGTCTGTGGCCGATGACGCCAGTATGCAGGATGCTCCCACGTCGGCTCAGAACGAGATGGAGCAAGATGCCGATATGGTTGAAAACGACGAGAACACTGAAGAGGAAGAGGAGGAAGAGGTTGTTGAACCCCAAAGAGTTAGAGTTGTAAGTACATGTGTGGCGCCAAGTTATAGCGAAACTACAGCTCTAACATGGCTCTCTAGTTGCCCGGATCAACGGACACTGCCGCTTCATTTGAATTTATCGACGAAGGACACACTCTTGGCAACGCACTTCGCTATATTATTATGAAGAAGTGAGTAGGAATTTGCCCGGCTTGTGCCACGGAATGCTAATGATATCCAGCCCCGACGTGGAGTTTTGCGCATACACCATCCCCCATCCTTCAGAGTCGAAAATGAATGTCAGAATACAAACATACGGTACGTTACTCAAACACACCATTGATTCAAAGTCCTTTGTAGCAACTACTAACAAAACATATAGAGGGTCTAGCTGTTGATGCTTTAAAGAAGGGCCTCAGCGACCTGCAGCAAGTTTGTGACGTTGTTGCTGAAGAGTTTTGGACCAAGAGACAGGCATTCAACGAAAAGGAAGGCATTGAGCGATGAACTTGCATACAGAGCTCATAAAATTACGCAAAAGAAGGATTCCTGTTGGATTTATTTTAGACTTATGAGTGGTGTTGGCCGACTTTGCGTCATCATGCATGGCATCGGGGTACAATTGCTTTATTTCACGGCGTTTGATAGGAAGAATTTGATGAAAAAATATTGTTTTAACCGAACAATCTAGAGCGAATATATACATAAGAGAGCCCACGTAGAGTGTCTTTAGTTGCGTCCCTATTTGAGGATACGTTAGCAAGGTGTCAATATCACGCAGGGTGCCATATTGGCATGCTTACCTCCAAGAAGCCCTCCATGAAGCTGGATGGCAGTCTCTTGTCACCGCGGAAGTTCTCGCCCTTGAAATAGGACATAATATGTGTCGTCTGCTTCCAGAAGTTCATGGTTTCCTGTAGCTGGTTAGTCCCTCTCTTCGGTACCAAAAAACAGCCGCTGCGTATGGCTTCGCCGTAGGGCCACATACCTGGTACTCAGCATGTGATTTGAAGAGGAGAACGTCGACAACAGAGAGCTGGTTGACCTGGCGGTTGCGCTCGAATTCCTGGCGTATTCTTGTGCGGATGGCTGCGGCAGGCAGAGGGACGTTATACATGGTCTGGATCTCGGGGGCCTGCAAAAGCGCCTGTTAGCTAAGGTTCGGGGTCGTAAAACGCATCGAATCGAGTGTCGAATTGGCACGAAAGTGATTTCAATCGGGTATCGAGTCTCGTAGAGGCAGATTGTCGGGAAAAATACGTACACCACGGATCCATTCGCGGTAGGAGGATAGAACTCGGCGCTTGGCGTCTGTCCAGTTTGCGGCTATTTAGAGCTCGTTAGCAGGGAAATTTTCTCGAGGATGGTAGTCGGTGCTAACACTGGGCCGTCTTCTTAGCGAATTGGGTCGGTGTGATGGCCATTGTGGGCAATCGATGCTGCTTAAAGAATGGATGGATGGGCGTCGAGGTTCACGTTTGGCAGCGTCAAGAAGGCAGCGCATTGCCTTTACTGAGATCACGTGGCACGACACCCGCCACGCTGCCTGCTCGCGCCACGCTAAGGCTGGGCCCCTCCAGGTACGACAAATGTTTGTCCATGTCGAAACATTTCTTGCCTCGCGTCCAAGAATATTTTCCCTCCTTGTTCCAACCATCGACTTGTTTTTCCACCCTTGCGAAGCGAAGAGAACAATTCTTTCAGCTACACCGCGCCATTTTCAGCTGAAGCGTGCATCATGCCTGCTATTCGACATGCCTCCAAGCGCAAGCCGCCACCTGAAGGCTTCAGCGACATCGAAGACGATTTATTGATCTTTGCGAACAAGATGAAGGATGCCCAGAACAAGCCGCCACCCCCAGGGCCGAAACACAAGGCGCAATGGGAGATCTTCCAGATTACACATCAGCGCAGCCGCTACATCTACGATTTATATTACGAAAAGGAAGCCATCAGCAAGAAGCTCTACGAGTGGCTGCTGAAGAATGGTTACGCCGATGCGATGCTCATTGCCAAGTGGAAGAAGTCGGGTTATGAAAAGGTACGCTAGGCTATCGTACAACTATAATCTGGATAATGAATACTAACCCTATGTCTTTAGCTCTGCTGCCTTCGCTGTGTTCAGACCAAGGAGACCAACTTTAGCAGTACTTGCGTTTGTCGCGTGCCTCGAGCCGACTTTAAAGACGACCACGACCTAGAATGTGTAAGCTGCGGCTGCAGAGGATGTGCCACTGGCGATTAAGGGCGACATGTATTACAAAGCATATCGGGACAGGATAATGCATATGAGATGGCGTTCGGTGATTTGTTTCTTTATTTTGGCTAGCGACTTATGAAACGGCAAAGGATTGGCTATATCCAAAAAGTAATATATTCTATTTTATACTCATTCATTTGGTCATTCATTCATTACGTCTTCAATCATGTCTCGTGCTTCTCATGATTTGGCGAATCCGGCACGCCCGCGCCCAAATCGAACGCTTGGAGGAACAAAGTTCAAAGCCGACATGGCACCTGTGATATCCTCCACTTCTGGATCAATGCTCATTTTTTCAGTAGATTCTTCCTCAGGTAGATCTTGAGGCTTCAAGGAATTCTTCGAGGCAGCTGATTGGGTTTCATTAGGTCGTGTCTTGGCCCCAGTTTGTGATGCTGCTGAGGAACGCCGCCGGCGGTGACCTCCATCGTTGATCAACGACCGGCGGCCGTCGATTCCGTCCTTTGTAACGCCAAAGAAGTAATTTTTCGGGTACATGTGTTTATCTATAAGATGCATTCGCCGCTTTTGGTGAGTCGAACATTTGCGATCGCATCCCTCCACAAAACACGAGAACTAAATGGTCGATAGGTCAGTTGATGCCAGCCAGAGGCGGAAACCAGGTCAATTCTTACTGTACGTTCTCCTTGCTCTCTCTTCACTCGTACAAGAGGATCGTGACACTCCTCTATATGAACCCCTAAAAGGTGATTACTGGGAAAGTTCTTGCGGCATTCAATGCAGCGGTTTAAGTGAAAGCTGTGGTAATGCGCTTCGTATTCTGGATATGTGCGAAAGGCGAGGGGTTCTTTATGAGGCGGTAAGGAGCAACGCATGACGATAGCCGCGGCTTCTGAGTCGTCGATGGCAGAATCAAGCCCAACAATCTTTGCTGCGCGTTGTGAATCGGAAGAGACGGTCGGTTGCGGCTCGATGCTGTCCGCGCCGTCGTCTGAGTCGTCTTGAACTAGATCTTCATCGGGCTCTCGTGAGCGCTTCATTCTCAAAGAAGGATTGGTGGTTGTGGGAAGGGTCTTGGTTACTTTTGGTTTAGGCAGAGCCAGAGCCTGGCTTCCCGAGGCAGATGAAGTTGAAAAGCGGGCTTGAATATAGTGAAAGGCGATATGGGTCTTTTGCTTGCAACAAGACCGGCTTAGTGGTTGCTTTAGTGTTTTGGCGGGATTGCGTGGAGCTGTCGGGTTGAGTGGTAGCCCAGCTTTTGCGGTGATGCCTGGTGTAAGTGGGGGACGAGTGTTTGGCATGTCTGCATATATAGAGTATGCTTTTCTTTTTTTTCTCTTCTTCACAGAGGTGAGGTGTATTTTCTGTTTCTGCAATACCACATCTTGTTAGCGTGAAATATATTTCATTCTTGAAATAATATATTTTCTCTTTAAAAACAGTGTCGCACCCGACTACAGCCGCCGCTCTCTGCTGGCCAAACCGCCACCGGCCAGCTGACTCATTGGCAAACAGGCACTAGAATTTCTTCACTAGGTTCCCTAGAGGGGCTCGCTTCACCCGCCGCTCACCACTTGCGCACGCGCTACCTTCAACCGCCCACCAACACGCCAGACTGACCAGCCGAGGACAATAACTGCTTGTCAGATCACTTGCCACTCACCTGTCTGCCAGCCCGCTCTCGCACATACGCTCCTGTCACCTTTGCCAATGTGTCGCTGCTTCGCTGGCCTGCCACGATCCTCGCCCCAACGACTACCTCGCAGCCACTGCAGCTGAACAAACGCCTTTTGAAATGCCAGGCTTCGAGGCATATTGAACTTCAGAGATTATGATTCGACACTGTCGCTGATATCCGTCTATTATTGTCGCTTAGGCAGCTTCTCTAGCTGCAAGGACATATCCCTCCGTTAAGCGCCAGATCTTGTCGCAATGGCTACTTCGTCTCCTGCAGCGCAAGCATGGCAGTAAGTTCTACCTATAGGAGAGACACATAACGATATGCTGTAGCGAGTATATGTTACCAAAAAACAACAATCCTCCAAGTCTATGTTCAATATCTAACCGCTGCTTCCATAGCCACGCCATCAAACTCCGCAAGCACTTGCAAAAGCAGCTCGACAAGGCGGTCGCTTCAACTACCTCCGGATTCGATGCTAAACAAATGGAAGCTGTGGAAGGCACATTGGAACAGTGAGTTATTTGTAATATTTCGCGCTACTTCCTGCTGACAGACCGCTAGATTCCGACTTGCCTGCGTGCAAACGATCTTCCTCGACTTCGAATATGCCGTTGACGAACACGCCGAAGAAGCCCTTTGGTCGTCCCATATCTTGATAAATAAGGAGTACAGATCGCTTATTAACCGTTTGAAAAAGGCATCGCATGCGGTTGAGAAGCGCAAAGCCGACAAGGTCTACTCAAACTTTTTGAGAGTGGCACAAAAGTTTTACAAAGCCTATATACAGCGTCTGGGTGCACGATACGACATTGCCGAGCTGAAGCGAATTGCTCGCGGTATCGATGTTGAGCCGATGGTTGCCGACGATGCGATCAGTCCTGTCCCCTCTGCGCTCCAAGCCAAAGTCCTGCAGTCGTGTCACGCGACACTTATCCGACTTGGAGATTTGGCTAGATATAGAGTGCAAGCCAAAGAGAAGAAGTCTGGATACGATGTGGTATTGACATACTATGGTCTTGCTCACCAGCTCGTTCCAGATAATGGCTTTGCCTATCATCAAATGGGAATTGTCAGCCTCGCCCAAGATAACCATCTCGACATCATTTATCACTTCTATCGCTCTTGGGCTATTCGAACTCCCCATCCGAATGCCGAACAAAACGTACAACAAGAATTCAAAGCCGTTCAATCGTCAGCTACTAAGCCTGGTTCAACTAGAGCTCAGGATGCCTTCATCATGTGGTTTGTGCGGTTGCACGCTTTCTTCTATAAAGGCGAGGTGTTTTCGCAGCAGAAGGAGCTTGAAACAGAAGTTTTACATCGCTTAAGGCTATCTATCGAAGACCCCGAGTCAAGAACGATGCTGCTCACTATGGCCATGGTAAATATGTCGGCGCATTTCATTGCTTCAAAGAAGTACAACGAGAACCCCAAGAGCGAGAAGCTGGCTCGCTTTTATCAGTTTGTCCTCCGGTTCAATATTGTATTTCTCTCCTCAATATCAGCCTTCCTCGAAAAAGACTTGCGAGACAGCATCACAAACTCTCAAGACGACCCAGAAGGAAGCAAATCTGGAAAGTTATCAAAAGCTGCTGAGTCTACACTTGCTGTCCTGCGTATATACTGCGCTTGGTTAGGAGCTCACCACTCGGAGATATATCAACCAGACTCACCTATTCGCAACGAAACATTTTCCATGATGGATTCACTATCGCAAGTATTTACCCTACTATGCGTCGAAACATACGGCAAAGCGAACCTTGCATCATGCTCATATCTCCTGTCCGAAGATCTCGATGTCTTGGGATTGGAACCACTCTCTATTGAACGCCTTCCAGAGCCTTGTCGTTTTTATTGTACAGCAAGCGGCGTGAGGAAACCTATGCTACAAGCCGCGTCACAACGACTGGATGGTAGTGGCGAGAAGCTATCCAGGATTCTGGATATTCTACGATGTGCCTATTTTCTTGCCTCTGAGAACGGGGTCCCATTGACCCAGCAAGTCATTGATGGTTATTTATTGTTTGAGTGCAAGACAATAACCACAGCAAAAAACGCTATTGATGCCAAACCGACTGCATCTCAATCTGCTCCTACTACTACGGGACTGGGTCTACAGGGCGTTCAACAGTTGGGAACCAATATGGCTTACGTTGACGAACAGGATCATGCACCAAAACGGCAAACAAAAAGTAACCCGGTAGAAGCAGAAGATCCAGAAAATACCGTTATGAACATGTTGACGCCTTTCTTGCGCCCTCCTACACCTGATACCGACCTTGGCCGCCATGTTGCGTCGGATAACGCCAACTTTGCCAGTTCCGCTACCAACAAGGTCGCTCAAGTGCCTTTGAGCAATGCATTTGAAGCAAAGCCTATTGCTGCAGCAAAGTTTGCCCCGTTGCCATGGAACTGGTTCAACACTCCTCAACCAGGTGCAGAAGACAATTCGAGGTCCACGATGCCTCGACAACTATCGCTTCAAGCAAGCCCTACACGGTCACCTATGCAAGGCATTCGAAACAGTGTTGGTGGCGATGGTTCGTTCCCGTCACCGTCGCTGCCTAAATTGCCGAACGAAGCCCAAAACATGTCTAGAAGCTACTCGACCGCTTCTACGCACCACGCTGATGCTGCCCACCGAGCACAGCTATTACAGTCCTTAACAGGGAATCGTCAGCATGCATCACCTCGCTGGGAACAAGACCAGCCATTTCATTCCGGGACATTTAAATCGACTTGGAGCCCCCAAATTGGGGCGAATAACTTCTCAGGTGGTTCGAACATGTCCAACTTTTCTCATACCAGCACCCTATTTCACGGATCACCTGCGAATGGGTTTGGTCTAGGAATGAATGCCAACCGTAGCGCCAGTCTTGGATCAGCATGGCAATCGCCGGCATTTGAACGAGAATCCGCTCACCCTGCGCGTCATTTGAGGATGGACGACACTACCACGAGCTATGACGAAGCCATTTTACGAGCTGCATATGACGGGACCACTTGATTTGACGAACGTAGACACAACAGCTATGGCGCACTTATTTTGTTCTTATAATTCGGGTCTAGTGGTTATGGGAGCTTTTCTTGGCGATGATTGAAACATCGAGAGAACGAAGGACAGGTGCCATGGTTGGTCAAATTTGATTGTTATATAGTTAATTATAAAATCAATTGAGTATCGTGGAGGATACTTTTGCAATATGCAGTCAATATCAAGAGGACGAAATCTGCCTCGTATGCCCGTCGTAGATGCAAAACGCCGTTGTTGAAACCGTTTCCCAAATCTTTTGCCCTCAACGCCGAGCCGTGTCTATCACGGTGAATGCGCTCCCAAAAGCGGGATCACGCAGTATTATGATTTGCTTAATTTGTTATTTAAGCAGAGTAAGCCTGCTTAGGGAAGGGGTACCTATAAAATTTGGTCAGCATATCGATACTAACATGTCAGCAGGTGATGAGGAAAAAAAACGTACGAAGGACCCAACTCCTGGATGCTGAGTCTAGCAAGCCACTGACCCATGTCAATGGAAGTCTCGAGAGACTTGCCCTCAACAATACCGGCCAAGAGACCACCGGCAAAGGCATCACCAGCACCGTTGCAGTCGTTGATGAGCTTCTTGTCAATAGCGTGGACGGGGAACTCCTTGACACCCTCCTCACCCTGGACGGCAACAAGGGTGGGCTCAGTGCCCTGGGTGATGATGGCAACACGCTTTCTCTTCTCGTTGACCTTGGGAAGGTTGGCAAGGTGCTGGACAACGTCCTTGGGCTCCTTGGAAGCAAGGCCGTGAGCCTCGGCGTAAGCAGCAGCCTCGGTCTCGTTACCAATGATGTAATCCCAGTAGGGGGCGCTGGCATCGACGGGTTCCTTGAAGAACTGGGGAATGAAGGGGGCAGAGAGAGACAAGACGAAGATCTTGTTGTTGTTGGCAGCCTGCTTGGCAAGCTCCATAATGGCGGCAGGGCAGACTAACATGAGTGTGTTAGCGACAAATTGCTTAGGTCTTCTCGGGTTGATTTCCCGTTAGTCACTTACCGGTGAAGTGGTAGCCACCAATGTAGTAGACATCGGCGTTCTCAACGAGGGTCCAGATCTCGGGCTTCTTCAGGTGGTCAACATCGTAGTGGTTGGCGGCGCCAAGGTCGGTGCAGAGACTGCGGTTGTCGCCGGTGATAACAACACCGCAACGGCCAGTCTTGATGTTGGGGTCGACACGGTATTCGACACGGAGGCCAGCAGCTTTGACGGCATCGCGGAGAATGGCAGAGTATTTGTCCTCGCCGGCACCGCCGAGGTAGACAACGCTGTTCTCGGGGAGGATGTACTGGGCACCACGGGCACTGTTCTGGGCGGCACCACCAGCAATCAGCTTAGCCTCGTAGTTGTTGAGGAGATCCTCGTAGAGGGGAAGGTGCTTCTCCTCAGCGAGAATAGCATCGTTGGCCTTGAGGCCGTACTTGTCGAGAAGCTCCTGGTTGCCGACAGCCTGGATGTCTGCGAGATTATTAGCACCGAGTTATGGGCACCCCGCCAGCGTGGTTTGAGGTTGGGACCTCTGGCCAATTGAGGCGTTTAGCATGGATTGCAATAAAAGGGCTTACCGAGAAGAGGGTTCTCAAGGCAGAGAAGAGAGTATTCCTTGCGAGCGGCCATTTTAACGGATTGTGATTTTTTTGTTGTAGAAAACAATGTTGTAGAAAAACAAGAACTGGTGCTGCAACAAGGAGGGGTGCAGATTTTCTTTAGGAGACGGCCATGGCGGGGTTCCCATCATCGCCCGCCCGCCTGGCACTGGGTTCATTTACCACCAACAAAATAGCCACGCTCACTGAGCTTGGTGGGGCAGGCCGCTTGACCACCCCAGTCTGCGGCAATGCGGAAAAGGAAACGGGTTTCACTGTGGACAAACATAGTAAAAGAATATTAAGGCCGATGTGAGGCTGCTCGGGCAATTGTTTTGTCGGAACTTACGACGGCAGCACCCAATTTGGGCTCAAGGTTGGAGAAAAAGGAAACCCCTCGTTTATCAAGTTTTTAATAGGTGTCTTTCATTACATACGTCCACAGATCACAAATGTGCACTATCCAACATTGGGATATAAACTGCGCTGAAAATGTCATCCATAGTACGTGCCTTCGGTTCTACCATACTTTTTTTTCCTCAGCAGTACCATTTAACAGTTGTAAGCAAAGCCACTGTAACACCATCCCAATGAGACCATGAAATATAGCCGTCTTACTCCTTTGTCTTCTGAGTACCACGCAACAGACCCGTTCTTCTCGCAGCAATAAGACCAGCCTTCTGACCCTGGACAGCGTATCTGGAGATGGTAGAGGCCTTACCGATATGCTGGTGGTTACCACCACCGTGAGGATGGTCGACGGGGTTCATGGCAACACCACGGGTCTTGGGCCAGCTGTTACGCTTGACAGCGAACTTGTGCTTGGCACGAGAAGCCTCTGTAAGATATAGTGTTAGCATACGAATTTTCACATAATGGACACCCAATCATCTATAGTATGTGGGTGGGAGCGAGCTGGATAAACGTACTCATGAGGGGCTTGTCGGTACGGCCACCACCGGCGACGATACCAATCATACCACGGGAGCGGGAGTGGATGACCTTCTTGGAGCCGGAAGGAAGCTTAATACGGGTCTTGCCCTCATCGGGGTTGTGGCCAATGATGGTAATGTAGCCACCAGAGGTACGGCCGAGAGTGCCGCGGTCACCGATTCTCTCCTCGACGTTGGAGACAACGGTACCCTCGGGCATCTCACCGACGGGAAGGATGTTACCGACGGTAAGGGCAGCCTTCTTTCCGGCGTAGATGAACTGGCCAGTGTACATGCCCTCATTGGCGATGAAGGTCTCGGTAACGTGCTTGTACTGGTAGGGGTGGCGGAAGGAAACGCGGGCGAGAGGAGCACCTCGGCCTAGAGAGATTGTAAAGTCAGTTCGGTCCGTCCTGGTAAAAACAAAAATATGCCTGGCCGTCGTTTGTTGGCGCGCGGGCAATGTCGAGAGTTTACTAACCGGCATCGTGAATGATGTCCTTCACAACACCCTTGACGTATCCATGGCGCTCGGCGTAGTCGAGGTTGCGGAACTTGGCAGGAGCCTTGTTGAGACGGGTGATGGCCGCTGTTAACTGGTTAGTATCGCTGTTGTCGATGTTGATGTCGATTTTTTCGAGGTGAACTGACTGAAGATGGAGCCACGGCCCTTTCTCTGGTTGCGAATAACTCTACCCATGGCGACTCTTTACTCGTCAATCGGTCGAGTGTCGAGTTACTGTTTCGGTAGACTAAAGTCAGTTGTCTGACGATGAGTTGTGGTGGGAGGGAATGTTTACCTTTCTCCTGTCGCTTGGTGTTTAACGAAGAGGCCCTTTCGACTGCGCTTGGCGACAATTTTTTGTGTGCGGGCCTACTCGCCCGAAAATGGAGAGCCCTACCACGTGACCTTACTTTTTGCCATCAATTTTTGGCCAATTGCCTTGGGTAGCCCACAATTTTTGGCGAGGTGGGCCATCAGCCACCTGTGGCGCATTTGAACTTGGAACAGAATCCTGTGCTTAAAAAGAGATCTGTGGCTAGTGCACTTGGGATAGACGATTCTGTGCCTGGCTCGCTCAATTCCTGTCGTCTGATTTTATTAAATATGTAGTGAAATATTAAGAAAATAATTTATCGAGGAAATAACCATTTATCATATAGCTTTACTATATTCATGAACCTTGTTGCACAGAGTTACTTCTCCCAATTCCCCAATCCATCCGCCTTGGAGGACCTGGCGCGCTTTGCCCATCCAGCTTCGTACTGCATAACCTTTAAAAAAAGTAAAAGAAGAAAAAGACGATTATTAGCATTTTTCTGATTTTACTACACTTTTTTCTGCTCAATAGTTAGGCTAAAAAAGGGATACGTGAGCTTCCCTGGACAGCCTGGTTCTATGGAGCACGGCTCCAAGCAATTAAAGGGCCGCCCTAGCCTATGAACGTGTTCGCGTTACCAGTCGCGGCTCGAGTACGCGATCGGGCTTAGTGGCATGCCACTCCGGCGCAACGCAACCACCATCCCATTTCTCCTTTCTCCAGCATCGTCGACACAACAACCATCGACGCTGCTTGATTCCAAAAATGCCTTCCGACGACGAGTCATCCGATCTCTCATCGCTTTCATCTCTGTCACCGGTTCCATCCGATGTCGACCTCGATGACTTGAGTGCGATTGAAGACGCCAAAGACTCCAAGAGTGGCATCCTCAAATTCTTCTCCAAACTTTCAGAACAACCCCCGAAATCTCCATCGCCTCCTCCGCGCAAGCGCTCGCCATCTCCGCCGCATGAATATGTTCTTGCCGATAATGCAGACATCGCTGTAAGTCAGACCAAGATCTGTGCCGCTTGACGCCTGTCTGAAGCTTCTGATGAGCTTCGACGCGGCCTGGCGCGCATGCAATTCCATCGCTGTTTGCCGCTAACTTGATCAGTTCATTGTCATGTTCAGAAGCCGATTTACCGATTCCTTGCCCAAGTCACTCGCCAATTTTGGCCCCCAGGAACTCGAACGTGATGTGGTGGAAGCAATCCCCGGCGATCGAGTCGAACACTTTCTTTGCGCGCTCCTAGGCTTGCTTTTGAACCGTAAACAAGATGTCAAGTATGTTACAGGTATCTTGGAGAGTTGCGCAATGTTATAACATGCTAATCTGTACAGGATCGGTCATTATAACCGAGCATTGGAGGATGCCATTACAACACACAAGGGGCAGTGGCCCGCGTCCTGGGAGGATAAGAGCCCCCTTGCTGCCGGAGCTAACTTCCACACCATGAACCCCACGGAGCGTGTTAGTATGCGCCATCACTCTATTCTACTATAATACTGACCGTGTTCTGTAGCTGACACTGTTGCGCTATCTAATCCTTTGGACGATGGCTTCATCGGACACCGTTAAAGCGGCGATCAACCAGTCCTATAAGCAGAACCGACACGAAGATGACTTGAACCAAGCACGTGCAGTACAACCTTGGGGCTCGGATGCTGATAAGCGAAGATACTATCTAGTCGAAGGCCAAGATGACACTGCCTTCCGTGTATACCGCGAGAGCAACCCAGCCGGAACTAATCGCACGTGGTGGAGCGTTGCAGGTACCATCGACGAGCTGAAAGAATTGTCGGAGAAACTTGAGACGAAAGATGGCGGACCTAGAGCGAAGAAGCTCAGCCAAAAGATCCTTCAGGCGGTACCACGCTTTGAGGCTGGCGAGGAGGTATGCTCGACCCCATATCACGTCCGCGTTGAACAATTCCTCATATATTGACCAATAACAGAAACGAAAGAAGAGAGAATACCGCCAAATTCGAAAGGAACAATTTAAGAGACCAGAATCTGGACTCTCAATGTATGAAGGACGTACAAGAGGCAAACGTGTCAAGTACACATATTCAGATGATGAGGATGTCTTCTTTTCCGACTCGACCGGCTACAGACGATCAGCTAGAAATACGGGTATCGAGAGTCCCGCCGAACCTGCAATGACGACAACTGCCAGTGGTAGGCAGGTGCGCGCTGCTTCTAGAATGAACATGGCAGATGACAGCGCTAGTGTACGAGACGATCTCTCAGAATTTGATGAAGAAAACAGCATTGGTCCAACTGGCCGACCTCGTCGCTCGGCGGCTGTAAATCACGGCACAAATGGATGGACCACAGCTGAGAGCAAGCTTCGTCGTGCGCATACGGACTCAGATGCATCGGAGAGTGAAGCAGACTTTGGCGACGACGAAGAGGATGCCGATGCTCCTGCACATGAGGACTCCGAGGGAGAAGACGAGTTTGATGAGGACGAAGCCATGGTTGATGATGACTTGGAAACCGAATCAAAGAGTTTGGTTGTCAAGTTGGCTGTCACGGCGCCTAATTTGCGTACGGTACTCTCTCCTGTAGACCAAGACACCAACACCCTTCCAACGCCAGACACTCAGGACTGGCCAGCAAAGGATCTACCACCACCACAAACAGCCAATGTGGTAACAGAAGACATCAAAGCACAAGTCACCCCCGACACTAGCTTGGAGCCCAACAACCCCAACCTGGAACAAGCTAGCAACAGTGTCGAGCAAGCGACCAAAGCAGCACCAGTGTCGCCAGTGGCGACCACATCGCTCGCTTTCAGAGGAAGCCCCGAAAAGCCTCCCCCACAACCTCTTGCTTCTACGACGATTATTCAGGGCCAAGAATAGACTTGGGACTAGACATACATGGTGTGGCTTGGCGTTTTAGGCGAATTGTTTAAAATTGTTGTATGTACGGAGGTATTGGGTTGAATTGGGAGAGCAAGATACACGTAATGAAGACGGACCTTTGAGTTACCACAATATGTTACCCCAATATCTTGCCCAGAGCTGATTATGAACGTCTCAATGATAGATGTATGGATCAAGTTTGATTTCAAAAAAGGGGGTAATAAAATGGCTTTTAAATTTGTACATGTCCTCTAACAGATGCGCCAGTGCTAAGATGCAAGTAAAAGTAACAAATCACGCGAGACTATTGCTGCGACGGAAGTTTCCAGTTGTTGACTTCGTACCACCACCTGCGGAATCTGGCTCCTACTGAGTTGCCATGTACCCTAGCATTCCGGTTCCAGCCCTGCCAGCCGCAGAGGATGAGGTTATAAACGAGGCCCTGGGTGAGGGGCATTAGGACCTAGGTGTCCATATTAGTATCTTGTCCAGTTTGTGCATAATTAATTATGCTAGGGGCTACTTACCTGATCTCTCAGTGTAATAAGCAAGACTTTGTACCATGTGTCCGCATTGGCAATGCTCTTCATGTAGCTATGCTCAAAACGCAGGTCTGGCATAGGAGGCATCGTCGGCTGGGGTTGACGGGGTCGGCGAAGCACGCTTATGGGGATATCGTCGACGTCGTCTATGTCATCGTACATGCCATCCTTCTCTGCAGAGGACATGGCTAAATCGCGATATAGATGGCCTCTGAACTGCGCGGCCTGGGCGATGCGGCTGGCGTCGGCCGCTTCTGACGGACGTGACATGGGAAAGGAGCGATTGTGGCAGCGCTGCTTCTGGTCGGTACGGGTGTGTAGTTGTGTAGTTGACAGCCTGTGATAAGAATCATTCGAAATCTCCGGAAATCGTATCGCAATACCTAGTCTTGGCTTGACAGACGCTTGCTTAATGTTGCTGATGGGTTGGACATCGACAGCGACGCGCAGCTGGAGCTCCGATGTACTGTGCTAAATAGACTGTATGAAACCGATACTAGCACAGTAGTCGCATCTGTAATACTGCGTCACTAATATGGAGACACTGCAAAAGGAAGGCCATGGCTTTTGTGGATCTCGCGGAGGCACAAAAAAAACAAGAAAAAAAATCTGGCTGGAGCTGGCGGGCGCTGCCTGTGGTGGCCACTGTAACTGCTGTCTTAGCGGGGCTTTTCAGCAGGGATGGCTGCCTACTCCAGGCAGTTCCACGGGGGGGGGGGG